ATTTGCCGGCGCCCGTCGTGCATGTCAAATGACCAGGGAACCTCATTCCGGGTGTCCCGCATGCATCTGTCGGGTGGCCTCGCTCCTCGAAAACTACTGTCGTCCGGTGTGCAATGAACCCTCTAATTTATGTGTATCTTACAACAACGATTGAAAAAGCCTCGGAGTATTGACAATTCCATAAATTACAGGGCGACGTTCATCGCCGGACAGCTGCATGTGCAGAACATTTCCCAGGGGGAACAGTATTGAACAAACAGAACATGACACATCAGGTGGGCATGAGTGATGAGAAAAGGACCGTCCGCGCTAGGAACGGAAGAGAGCATCATGTTCGTCGTCTGCAAAACAAAACAATTCGATGGGCAGCAATCAAAACAACACTCTTATGCGGTAATCCGGTAAGCACTCGTCAGCGGATACATGTGCGAATGGCCAGATGTCTGCGCTCGTTCGAGTGGACTCTTCTTCTCTCAATCATATCACCGTTTCTCGAGGAATCCGATCGAGGACAGCCAGTTTTGGCGGGCGGCGTTGTTCCGCTCCATTTCGTCGCCTGTCCTTTTCTGCTATTCAAAATGTAAATATGTGCGCGTACAGAGAGACGCTCTCCCGAGATTTGATTCTATATTGTATGACTGTGTGTTTATATGTATGTACATTAAATGCAACAAAAACAGTTTTGCAGTGAAAACTGCCGCGCTAAGTGGACGGCTTCTCCGTGCCGCAGCACGCATTGATGCTTACTAAATGTTTGATACAAGATTTGACACACATGGACACTATTGTGGCGGGGAAGAAGAAGAAGAAGAAGAAAACGAAGTCTTGAAATGAAACAGCTGCACGTATCCAAACGGATATCCAAACGCCTTCAGCACCAATAAACCATTTCAGTTTTCTCCAAACGGTTTCAGCTCAAGCAATCAAAATCGACCCTTTCGGAAACTCAACAGAGCAACCATTCCAATGTTTTTCTGTGTGCTAGCTGTGATTCCACAAAAATACAAATTCGTTTTTTTTTTCGTTTCCACATTTGTGTGAAAACAACACCGCAGATCCTTGATTCTTCAAACTTTTCTGACGTGTGAGAGCACCGTGATCAATTTCTCCCACAGAAGCCGAACATGAAAACAATCAATCAGGGACGTCCCCAAATCTTCCGATCTCCTTTTGCAGAGACGTTTCCTTGTCAGAACGGAAGTCAACTTTTTGACATTTCTTGGCTCGCTTCCAGGTCACCCTTCGTTAATAATTCATGGACTCTTTGGCCATAAAAACTCTTCCTCCCTCTCATCTGAATGTTTCAGACGGGTGTGTGTGTGTGTGTGTCATCACCAAATGTTCCGCCCGTTTCGGCCGATCAATCTTCCCAAGACTTGTCTCGTTTCTCCATTTCTTTTCATCATTTCGTCGGACCAATCTTCTCTTTTTCCGCCGTTTTTCATCCGTCTCAAGACTCGGCGAGCGGCCGAAAAAACAAGAGAAACGTCTGGTTTGCTTCGGGCCTTTTGCCTCCAGCTCCGTCGCTCCCCATGAGCTCTTTTCCTCTTCCTCTTCTTCTTCTTCTTCTTCTTCTTCTTCTTCTCAAAGTCCAGGTGCCTGCTCGTTGCGAGTCTGTGGCCCGTGAACCCTTCCCTCATTTCTGCTCTCCGCCGTCACTCATTCCCTTCTTTTGCAGACACTTCATCTAGAATTCTCGGACCGCTCTCCGTGTCGCGTTGGTATCAAAAAACAAGCAGCATAATAATAGCGGAGAGAAAACAAAGCATAGCATTTATTAATCGAAAATGGCGGAAACCGATGAGAATTCACGAGACGACGCCCTTTTCGCCGCAAAACAATCTGTCAAAAATCAGCATTCCAGCCTGTTTTTCTTGGCTTCCGAACGCCCACGCAATCCTATTTATAATATAAAGCCCCCTCTGCAGAAGAGTGCCTTTCCGCTCACTTTCGGTTTCCCCTCGCCCTTATCATTCACTCTTCGCTCGGGTCGTAGCCAGTTTACGAGCAGTGTGCACTTTGAGCACAAGTGATAATCTCTAGGGTCTGGAAGCGTCTGGGACCGATTACGGTACGGGGTTTCGTTTACTTTTCTGCAAAGCGTTTCGATGAAAGATAGAGAGAGAGAAGAAACACACGTCATTCCGCCCGGTTGCCAAGATCATCCGACTCTCTCTTTCTCTTTCTCCCCCGGAAGGATTGTATTTCTTGGTGCCAAAAAAGTCCCTTTTTTCGATGAATCTAGTCGCGAAAAGGGATCATCTGAGCTTTCTCAAGATTGGAAAAGTCGGAGAGTGCTCTTCCCAAATGTCACTTCCCACGTTCAGATCGTACACAATTGAGCTCGTTTTCGAGCGAGCGATTATGAGCGTGAAAATGCCGATGAGGAAGAGAATGGGGCACAATTTAATTAACACTTTGACCCTCATTCACTCCTTTCGGCGTGAAACGTCTCGATTTCGTCGTCGATCACATGTTCGTGTGTCTCCGAAATGGCATCAAAAACCACGTCAGGTTTCATTTCGAAATGCCACGTCACAGGCGCCATGCAGACTCTAAGCCGTCCTAATCCCTTCGTCACGGTGCTCGAAACTCTTCGTTTTCCACACCAATCTTCTTTCGCCCAAACACGGAGATCTCTCTGCTTAATTCTGTTTTTTGACTGCTTATCTTTTCAACATGAAAACACAATCGGTTCGTGCCAGGAATCCTTACTCAGATCGCTCTTCATTATCCATTAGTTCCCCTCAATCCGCCTTCCTTACTCACCGTTTGTTTTCTTCTTCTTTTGCTTTTTTATCATTCAGACCAAAGTTCTGTTCACTTTCAAGTTTCGTATACTATACCATTACACTGGTAAAACAGGTCATTGCCCTGGCTACTATTCCATTTTTAGTCCGTCGGCAGACACTGAACGGGTCCCCCTGATTCCAGTGCTCATCGGAAAACCGCCAGTCACGTCCCTCCTTTTTTTTCAACGCATTTGCGAATGCCGTCATTGTCATTCACTTATAAATGTATGAATCGTCTGCGTCTCTTCATCTTTCTCACTCTCTCGTTACCTCCAATTCAGGATTGTGTCGTCTTTTGAAGCTGGCTCTTTCTCATCTTAGTCCCTTTGTTTGGTTTTCCATTTTTCCGTCCGTCTAGTACGTTCCGCATCATCTCGGATTTCCGTTCTCCCACGTCCGCGCGCGCCAGACTCGCCCCTTTTCCGTGTCATACTAGTTTCTCAGAATATTATCTCCTTCTTCTTCTTCTTCTTCTTCTTCTTGTCAGCCAACTCAATCACCGCTCCGAAACCATACATCAGCTCGACGACTTGATTAGTTTCCTTCCGGACCAGACACACACACACAACCGAGTAATTGCCCCGCCACGTCACACTTCCATCGTTCTTCCGTTCGCGAAGACGTCAATCCAGTCTCTGACGTGGCTCTTTCCTTTGTTGCTTTTTCCTTTCGCACCACTCGAATATTCATTGAATTTGGCGTCAGGGAGGTCGCTACCGGGCCCTATTATGATTGACAGAAGACGTCTCTGAAAAAAGACGTGCCATGTCTTCTATGAGCTCACAAAACAACAAATCGGCCTACAAACCGAAGGTCTCTCGTCTGACGTCTTCATAGGCAAAGTAGATTGTGAGCAATCTTTGAAAGACGAGTGCATGAGACATTTTGCTGCAGGAGCAGCTCATGTTTATCCTCCCAATTAGCTCCGGAGATTGGCATTCGTTCCACGTGTTCCCCTCAGTCATTCCATTTCGCATTCAATCCGTTTGGTGTTTGTTCCGTCCGTGCTCCCTCGTTTTTTCAATGACTCTTGCCCCTACAAAAGGTTCACACACCACCGTGATATCAGGCGACCTCCGCCGGTTTCGAATCGACTTTTACCCCGGTATCGGTCATGTTTTACACGAGATGCTCCCTGTCTCCAGGTCATTGTAATCCGATTATTTTGATATTAAAGGTCACGTGATATGTCGGCTCTCCCTGTACTTTGTATTGACGTCGTCGCGACCGCCTACTCACAGAAGGAGCCGAATGCACTCGTCCGCCATGAAATCACTTCGAATCGTATTATTGTCTATTTTCAGTCGCCTCTTTTTTCATCACCGGTGGTGGATTTGCGGTGTCTCCTCCTTTTGAATCAATCTGTCTTCCTCGTCAGAAAAGAGGAGGCGTCAACCATTTCAAAGCGGTTTTCCAGTGAATTAGGAGCGTGAGACAGAACAAGACGAAAAGAAGCGGTTAGGTCAAGGTTCTAAAGATAAGTTGACGATTTGGTTTGTTCATTGATGCCATCGCGGGGTCCGGAAATAGAAAAGAGACGGGAACTGATGTGTTTACGAAGGACTACCGTACCCGCTTGTGTACGCGTGGCTTACTACGAGCGCTCCAGGAATTATATCAGATTTTGCGATTAGAAGATGCAGTCTCAGCACTCTTTTCTTCGACGTAGAGCAACAATTCGGAGAGTTTAGTCGTGTGATGACTGGACACCAGGAAGAGGTTCTCGCTTTCATTCGTTCGAAGCATTCTGACTACGAAAAAAGAAAGTGACCAGCGGTTCGCTCCGAGAAGAAACCTCGTGATCGTGTACCCCGTCGACACTCGTTTTTTCTCGTCGATACTGTGCGATTCGGCAGTTTCTCGCTCACTCTCTCGTCCTTATCGGAATTATGCGTGTGTGAGAAAGTGTGTGATGACGGTGCGGTCGTGCAACATTTGGCCGCGCCTGCCCCCCCCCCCCCACAATTTGCTCATTTCCATGATTTACTCGTTTCACTTCCAGGAACTGCTCCGTTCTTTTCTCTTTTCTTCGATGCTTCTGTCTGTGAGCTCCCATGTTCATCTCCTCGCAAGCCCCGCCCCTTCTACCACGTCCGGGCTCAAAACACCTTTTCTATTTACTCTCAGACTGCAATTTCCTGACACCGCCTCCTCATCCGTTCCGCGCCTCACCCATTATTAATTTCCAGAGTAATATAGCCGTTCGAGATGGCTGACCGTCGTCAATGCTTGGTTCTTCTCTTGGTCCTTCTCCCGCTGGCGACGTGCCAAGGACCTCCAGACTACAGTACTCGAGAGGGACTAACCGGTCACAATGGCGTATTCCAGGTGAGTCGAATCACGTGATGGAAAGAGAAGAAAGAGCACATTGTGGTGGTGCTATTTTTGGAGAAGGAGCTATCTATGAATAGACGGAGGAACACTGTAGGCATGATTCGGCTCTAATCCTTTCGTCCGATCACTTCCGCCGCGATGACTCATCGTCTGATTGCAGGTTCTTCCGTGGTCGGAGTATGAACTCGCGCTCATCTCTTCCCTTCACGCCACCGCCAACTACCCGGCACTCATGCAATTGGTTCGCCACAAACTGCTTGTTTCCGACGTCTCCACAAACGACCGACGGAAGATCGAACGGATGCTGAAGAGCCTCCGACCGCCGCCGGTATTCGACGACTTCCTCAGCGAAGAAGATGCTGAAAAGGTGGGTGGGAGGAGAAGAAAAAGTGACAGAGTTTGACCGATCAAGTTCCAGGTGCGCAAAGCTCACGGTGAACAGGACATCACTCAAGTGCTGACAGTGATCGCCGGAAGACTGGGCGAGCTGCCGGAGTACTTGCGGGATCAGGCGGTCACCTACATCACCAAGCACACTCCGACAACACAACCGCCGTCGGACTCTTTCTAAATGCTCCTCCGATTGTATCCTTCATGTATTATAGACTCTCTCTCTCTCTCTCTTTCTCTCTCTCTCTCTCTCTCTCTCTTCTTCCGTTGTACCTATCCGTTCCCACAGTTCCCCTACTCGATCCGCTCTGCTTTTCCACGGGTTAGATGCACATAGATAGACAAGCCCAATCTCTCTAGCTCTTCCTGTCTGCCCGCTTCTCTCCCTTCCACTTTTCGATCCCGATGCCCTTAAATGTATTATACTTTGTGTCTGTCCTAACTCTGAATGATCTGCTCGAAATCTCGTCTCTCGGCTCCCTCCGATCTCTCCTCCGTCCCCTGTACATTTGGTGATCCCCCTTCATCGCATTCATCTGCTGCTCTGGCGCCCCCTCACATTGAACTGTGTTCAGTTTTTGAATGAAATGTGGTCTGTGAGAGAGAAAACGACGTCGCATCTAACAAAAAGGCCAATTGGGGACGCTCGTTTGAGAAACAGTTATCGGCCGGTGTGGGCGGCCTTTTTGTGAATTTGAAGGTGGTCGGCAGGGAGAAAAAGAGGGAAAGATGCACTCGATAAAAATGAATGGGTGATGGGGCGAACTTTGACGGCATTTTCGGATGGATGCGTTTCGATTTCTGCTCATTGAAACGAAAGAAAAACATGAGAAGGAAGACGAACAGGAACAAGGTCATAACGACTTTTCAAGTACACGAACCATTGTGAACTTTGTTCCAAATCAATAAAAACGTGGCAAATTAATCAAAACGTGGCAAAACAGTTCTGTAACTCGGGGGAATCTGACATTTCCCTATTTCTAGCGATGCAATTGCTCCTCCGCTTTTTTCATATTTTCCTGTTCGTTAACTCAACACTCATCAATTTCCAATCAGAAATCAACTGCCCGTTGGCCACTTTTTGGTGTGCGACTGTCAAAGTTTATGAGGAAAACGCCATGTGAGTGCAGTCTTGAGAATCTCCAGAATCCTCTCTCTTTCGTTCCAGATTCGCTGATGTTCTGGTCGCTGAATCCGAACCGAGTTGTCTAGAAACGGGCGGAACGGTCAAAGTGAACACAGTCGGACGAATCGACGGCGACGGATGGTTTGATGTGGGGAAGGCGCCGAATACGCATCTTCAGTCACTTTCTTCAGAATCGGTACGAATTTTTGGCGGAAGTCACTCACACGTGCTCGCGGAGCAACAGACAACTGGTGTTTCGGGAGTTTGTCGGCTCTTTCGCAGACACTCGCAAGTATTGAATCTTCTTGTGTGTCTTCTTTTCATTAACCCCGCCCGTCATTACAGTGTGCTCAAACTACGGATCAAACTCGACGTGCAGGAAAAGGGAAATTGAACGCGTCCGTTGTTTTTCTCATAAACACTTTTGCTTTGTTTATGATGATTTGCCAATTTTGCAGACGAATGCATTCCAGTCACATGATAGTGTGGCTGATTTCGTTGAAAATAAATGCTTCAAGCAGTTCAGATGTTATTCCGTTCCGAAGACATCTGCACGAGCAGCCCATCAAAGCGTTTTTATCTGAAAACGAATAAATGTTTATCGTTGAATTGAATGAGTCTTCCAAGTAATTCAAACTGCGAATTGAATGTAATTCACCTCCACTTCACTTCGATTCTATTCGGTCACGGATCACTTGGCGTGTTCGGATCGTTCGCGGCCGCTCATGCGTTCCGCTCAAAAACATTCAATTGTCCGACCTTTGACATGTTTATCGCACCGACAGTACAGCCTGCGGCCTCTCCGCGCCGCTCCCCTCCCGTGGGCCGCCCGCTCCCCTCCTCCCACCGACTCATAGTGCATTCGGCCCCGCACATTTCATCCCTCCCTCTCCTCTTTTTCCTCTTTCACGCCTCGCACCGCCTCTCCCGATTCTTCATTCCTAACTTCGGATCTTTGTCTTCTTCAGAATCGCCTCTCAAAAGCGTGTGCCTTTTTGAAACATTCTGAGGTCAAGTCCACTCTGTCCCTGGCACGTAAACAGAAAAGAGCGATAAGCGGTCAGCGCCGACGCGCCGAACGAGCCCATCCACCCTAAACGACCACCTGCCAGACAGCCGCCGATACGAGTCTAGCGCCACCCCTCTCCCATTCATTCATTCGCTCATTCACTCCTGCTGCCAGCGACGCAACCGACATCTTCTCCGATCATGAACTCGCCACTTACTACCTTCGTTGTACTGCTCGCCCTTGTCGTCTGTGTTCGGCCAGAGATCTTCCCGGCATCGCAGACTCGCTTCAGACTTCACGGAAAAGTCTCCTGTCCACTCGATCAGTGGTGGTGCTACAGGGTGGTCGTGTACGAACGCGACGGAATGTAACTGAGCCAGTGAAGTGACCATCCTAATCTGGACCAAACATTTCAGCAAGTGGGACGTCATCGACCACGTCGGAGTCAAATGCGTGCGAAGAGGCGACATGGCCTACGATCTGGACGGAGTTCAATTCGGAGGAGACGGACTTTTTGATGTGAGTTACTTCTAACTGCTGAGAACTTACTAGGGAAGTACTTTTGGTCAGACTTATTCTGGAAAAACCAGGGAGATACAGTAAGCTACGCTGAGTCGAAGCGTGTTTTCAAAAGGCCAAAATAGTGTTAGCTGATTTCATGTTCGTTTTTAAAGTCAAATCTTGTAAATCAGACAATGCAGTAGTTAAGAAGAAGTTGAATCCTGAAAACTTCAAAATCATCTCATATAAAGGCACTTCAATACCGTTTATTCAAGATTATATATATATATATAATCTGTCAGTGGAGCATCAGAAAATTATCAACAGATAAATTGCTCAATAACACTGCACATTTCATCTATTCACCACTTTTTGATGTCTCCTCAGACAGCCGAGATACCTAGTCTTGAATGAATATTAGAGATGCGCATCTATTACAGCATTTACGGTACTACTGCTAAAATGAGAAATTAGCATTCACGAAACTTTTTTTTCCAGAAGTTTTACGAGGTGGAAGTATGGATCACCCACAATTGCACCACGGACGGACACATCGAGGCCATCAAGAGAGTGGAGCAGCCCATCTCGACGTCCGAAACGTAAGTCCCACTGTTATGCTTCGCTCTCAGAATCAGAATTCGTTCATTTTCAGAGATGTTCGCCTCATCGATTGGTATGTCAACGTTCTCACAGTCAAAGGTTTACAGGTTTTTAGTTATTTTCTGTAATAAATATTTAAATTATTGCACTATCTTAAGCATTGTGTGTGGGCGCTTGAACGAGCGTAGTTTGTTGCTCAAAGTGCACATCAGAAGGAAGCGGCCACGAATGTTCGACAACAGAAGGGCTCGGCGGAGCTTGCGTTTATTCTGAGAAACTGCTTTCCGTCGGTCGTTTCAAAACAGAATTGGAACGAGAGAAAAATGGCGAAAGAGAGGAATAGCTTTGTGTGAATGACGGCAGCCGACTTGAAAGAAAGAAGAGTGTGAGATATTATTTATTGCGGGCACGAAACGGGCGCCTTTTCGTTCGTCGTTTTGCCCTCGTTGGGCAGCATCAGTTCGAGCATCAGGTTATCGATTGAGGCGAGTCCGAATAACTTGGCCAGTTGTACGTCTTCCACCAAATCGCGCGAAATTGCAAGCATGGGGGGCAACAAGAGGAGCAAGTTGGCGAACCGGAGGGGCATATCTCGATAGGGGGACACGAACCGGACGTGTCGTTCGAACGATTCGAGTACCTGCAAGTGGGGACTGTGGACGGGGAAGGAACGGATAGATGACTGACCCTCTGGCGCATCTCCTCGACATCACCGTACGACTCGTGCGATACGCCTTTGGCCACTGAAAGTATCTGTAGAAGGGGAAAGTCAGCCAACAAACGGGGACTCACATGGATCGAAGAACGCGATGGCCTTCAGAGCGATGTATTCAATCTCGTTCATGTGCAATTGTCGCATAGGATTCGTCACTTGGTCGATGATTCGTTCTGCTACTCGGCTGCAAAAGGGGGTTTGTGTTCTGGTGTTCGCGATTGGATTTTTGCTCTTGCTAGCACATTACACGCATATATTATGAACTTATTCGGAAATTCTTTCTTAAAATAACCATGGCTTTATAAAAACTCACTTCATGTCAGGAATCTTGGGACTATCTTTATGAAGACACGTTTCATTTGTCAACCAGACCGCATCCGAGAGATGGATACTTCTAAATGCAGCGCACATTACTAGATGTTGTGCTGAGAAATGTCTGGAAATATCATTTTCAAAGTTCAGAACGAAATGGCAATGGGTATGTGTGTGTACCTGAGAAGAGCGATTTGTGTGAGACTGTCGACCCTCTGAAACCCTTCGAGCACTTTGGCCCACTCGACCATGAGTGTCAACTGTTGATTCATGCTGTCCGTCACGTCCACAGTAGTCGCCTGCTTCCGTGCTTCTGCCGTCTTCGTGATCACTGTCGTTCTGAAACTATTCACTATTTATTTTTTCTTTTTTCTTTTCTGCTCTTGCCTTAACGTCCTCGTGGTCGCTTCCGCTCTGACCAGTGTGTCGAGAAGGGGATCGTCAGGAATGAGGCCATTTGTGATGGAATTCAGAGGCCGGATGCGGTCCCGTTCCGTCTGAACCGCTTCTCTTCGCATTCCCTTCCGCAAACAAACATCGAATCGGCACTTCCGACACGCATTCCGTTTTGCTGAAACATTAATGTTTTGAGAAAGTCCCTGTGTGCAATTAACATGAAATCTTTCATTTGTGTGGTCATCGAATACATTCCCGTCTCTATCAATCGCGCACTGTTTCCGTGCAAGCGGATTACGAAAAAAGATGCGATGCGGGCGAAAATACAAACACAGAGGGAAGTATATTCAAGTGGAAGGGACGAGCCCAGACACAGCCACAAACATTGTCGTCTCCTACAAGGAAATACCTTTGTCCACCTGGCACTTCTCTCCGAAACGGCACACGTAGGTGTGTCGCTTTCGAATCGTTCGTCGGAAGAATCCTGAAAAAGGAAACTGTGTTTGTTGTGGGAAATGGCTTCAGACTGACACTGTTTGCTGGAAACATTCTCATTTCTTCACTGAATAAACAACGTATTCTGTTCAGAAATTGTTTTTTACATTCTATTACATAGATTTGAGTAACGGTTTCAAGAGCTTGGAATACTGCTTCAGTTTTTCTACTCACTAGTTCAACTTAAAATGAATACGAAGGACACCGCACTTGAATCACATCCGTGACCCATTTTTAGACATTCGAGCACATATCTCGATTTTTTTCTTCCTTTCTTCCTCTTTTGTTTCCCTCCGAGAAATACGATATATAGGTTTCAAGGGCCTTTTTAGAAAGCGAAACCCCCACTCTGAGACGGAAATTTCGGTCGTTTCTCACTTCATTTACTATGTGCCAGAGCGCATTAGTGCATTGTCTGGGAACTCCCGCACACCAGATGTTTCGTCTCTTTTCTTTCTCTCTCTCTGCCCCAACATCGCTTGTTTTCGTCAATTTCAGTTGTAAAACTAGACTACGATTACCTTTGCACCCGTCACAACTCATCGCTCCGTAGTGCTTTCCGGTAGCCTTGTCCCCGCAAATCGAGCAGAACACGTTCTCGAAAAACTGCGGGCTTTGACTCGTTGACGTGGATCCGCCGCTTTCGTCTTTCTCGTCCGGACTCATTTCTGACTGAAAATGCGGGAAGTTGTGTGGGCGCTTTGGGGAGAAAGAGGAGGAGCACGAGTATGGGGAAAACGAGAATGCCACGAGGCGGCCGAATGACGGCTGCATGATCAATAGATGATAACGTCTTATTGTGATTGTATCACGGTCACTGAAGTTTTGGCTAGAAACACATTGTTGCATACTGTAGCCGTTCTCCGAGAGAAGAGAGTCACACTAGTGTGACAATCCCGTAGAAAAATGGCGAAACCCGTAGAAATAAGTACGCAAACACAGATACGCCAAAATGCAGAAAACTCAGAATATTGGACTCCTCATGGCATTTTTTAATCGTTCTGTCAAATTTGCATGTCTCAAATGAATAGTTACTAAAGGTGCGAAAAGACAATCAAAAATTAATCAAAACAGTGTGCGCGCACCTTGCATTAGGCCCCCCCCCCCCATTTCTACGGGATTTACCTCTACGGGTTTTGTGATCTACGGATTTCGAATTTTCTACGGGATTGTCACACTCTCCGAGAGAACTACAAAATTGGAGGGACGTGGCCGAGGAAAACAGTTGTGGACTACTCGAGGACAAAATTGAAATCAGCTTCATAATTTTTTCAAAGCCTGCAATTGGTTTTTATGAAATTTTTTGCTTTAAAAAGCGAACAATTTCTTTTCATATAGTTCCTAACGCTTGTCTCTAATTCAGAAATTATCGCTATCAGCCACCTTAGCTATTGTCACTAAAAGGCCAAATGAAAATGAAGAAAATGTGTTTACCACTGTAGTCTCGTTTCTCTCTCGTGCACCTCGTCCTTACTGACTGTCCCCCTCGTTTTCTGCGTCTCCCAACATTCCTATCTGTGTTGCAACATTGATTTTCCGACTCTTTCCGATTGATCAATGCCACATTGTCCCACATAATCTCATATGGTTTCCATAAATCAGAAAAACGAAACAGGCAGATGATAGAATAAGCCGCCAATGTCGGCAAAAACACGACAAGCCCCTTTGGCCAAAACAGCGCATTGGACCGAAAATAATCCACGAAATAGAGTCCTTCAGAAGAGTCCAGGTGTGCCGGAAGGCTTCGTGTCGATCCCTAATTGGGACGCTATAGCCTATGGGCCCCAGGCTTCACTCACCTGTTTCCGTCGTCTCGCAGCTGCTGCTGTCCTCACTTCTCTTTCTCTAGGCTCTCGAGTAACATCTCTCCCGGCCTGTCGCTCACCTGCCGCCTGCAAACCTCCCGCCAGACTGCTGCCTGATGCACTCTCTCCCCATCTCGCTTTCTCCGCCGTCCACTTTGTAGTTTTTCCGATTTGCCACCCGAACATTTTACTGCAACCAGAGGCGCAATTTGATTGAAAGCTCGGGAGCTGTTGCTCTAAAATTGTTTTTCATTGCAATTACTTCCAGTTTTCTGCTTGCTCACGGTCCATTAATCCTCGTAATATCAATTTATGCGGTCGCCAGAAACCAACTAACAAGTTTTTCGACGGCCACAGTATGCGACACGCGGCTGCGGAAGCTGATGTCTTCCCCTCCTCCCAAAACCACCTTTGAATCGTTATATGGCAGAATTTATGCATGAAAATGGGAACCGAGAAAGTGGGGAACCTCTAAGAATTGCCAATTTGTGCCATCTGACTCCTCCCTGTTCCTCCCCTCTTTGTTTAGTTTTTTTGTTTGTTCAGGGGTCCTTTTTCGATCTTCGTTTGGTGTTAAATAGTCTTCTCGTGAAATTTTAATCCGGTTTGACGGATCGAAGGATTGAGGCCATGGACACGCACCCAACTCTGTCGGTTTTATTGACTAGGTGAATTCTTAAGTGCACTTGTGAACCAAAATTTCTGATTTCCAATTGAAACACTAAAGTGTATTCGTCCCAATTGATATCTGCTGCATTGCAAATATGACACGTCTGATCGATGAGAACGAGCGATTTGCAAACGTACTTGATAGTCCAGTTATCTCCACTCTTCCGCACTTTTTAACAGCGGAGGTTCTGCAGTTCGTAAGCTGATACCAGTCGCTTCGTTCATTTTTCCGAGTCAGAATGAGCTTTTTGAAGGGTCAATCGAGCAGAAGTTGGAGTCGGAGAAACGGAAAAATCGCTGAGAGTTTCTTTGTTCTTTCAACATTTTCTTCCTAATCGAACATTCATATGTGCGCTCGAAATGATCTTCGCGGTTTGCCCTTTCGTTCTGCTTTTGAGTCACTTGCTCATAGAATAGTCAGCTCCCTTTTCCCAACCACTTTTGTTACTTTCCAGGTTAGCGGAAAGGAGTAAGTACCTGGGAACAATTGTCAAATATTTGTCGGCTTGTTCTCGTTTGCAACCTGGAAAACAAGCCAATTAGTCTCCGAGGGCACCCTAAACGCCATCGCGACCCGCTTTTTACGGTTTTGTGGATGACGAAAGCAGACTTGTTGTGAATAGACGATGAATTCCATATTTTGGTGGCAAGAACTGCGCACCATGATGATCCGAAACGCCTTTTTTATGAGCCTCATCGCATCGCGCCGTTTGCCCCCTCTCTTCTCCAGTGCCTCACGCCATGGAGCGCACTTGTTTCGTAATCCGTCTGCGTCTCTCGCTCCCGCGCACTCTATTGTTCCCGTGACTCAGTTCACTTTCATCAATTCTCCTTTACGAAATTACTAAATTATTTTATTGTTTCAGGGTAAAACATGGATAAGGTCGAGCAATTGAATTTAAATCTGCAAAACATTCTCGCTGATGTCGACATCGATCCGGATACGGAGAGTTCATCGGAAGACGAAACGGAGGAAAAGATGACGCAGAAAGGTAAACGACTTTTACAAACGATTTCACAATCATTTTTATAGCAGAAGTCGTGGACACGGGAAGTTTCGAAGAGCAAGAAGACACTGAAACAGACTACGATGACGACGATATGGTCGAGTTCGCAGAAGCCACTGGAGGTACGGAAGTGAGAAACTGATGTGGAATTAATCAAAAATATTACAGACTTCACGAAAAAGCTGAATGCAGCTCGTCTAAATGCAGTTGGACCGAATGCTCGCAATCGATTGACTCGTGAGTTTGTGTTCATGAATATTGGTGCTTGTGTATAATCATTGTGTGGGCATCGAATGAATCGGTTATTATGTTCGTTGGTTGCCAACAACTACTGTTTGCAGTTGACGTGGAACGCCACGCAGACAGCAGTGAGGACCGGAAGCGAAAGAGAGTGAAGGATCGTGCGGACCGTGCGACCGTCGAGCAGGTGCTCGATCCGAGGACACGTCTCGTGCTCTTCCGACTGCTGCAACGTGGAACTCTTTTGAATATCGACGGATGCATTTCCACTGGAAAAGAAGCGAACGTATATCATGCAACGGGAACGGACAACGATTTGGCAGTGAAAATTTACAAAACCAGTATTCTGACATTCAAGGATCGAGAGAGATATGTTACCGGAGAATTCAGGCAAGCTAACGTACTTTTCGTATTTTCGAATTTAAGTTTTTCCAGGTACCGCCACGGTTACTGCAAATCGAATCCGAGAAAAATGGTTGCGGTGTGGGCAGAGAAGGAAATGAGAAATCTGGCAAGAATGCACGAAGTCGGGCTCCCCGTTCCGAAGCCACATTTGCTCAAGGGCCACGTCCTCGTTATGGACTTCCTTGGAAAAGACGGATGGCCAGCTCCACTTCTGAAGAACGCCAATTTAAACGGAGAGGAAGCAGAGCCGATGTACGTCGGATTGGTGCGTGACATGCGAAGACTTTACCGAGAATGCCGACTGGTGCACGCCGATTTGAGTGAATTCAACATGTTGGTTCATGACGGAAAGCTCTGGATTATCGACGTGTCGCAGTCTGTGGAGCAGGATCACCCGCATGCTTTAGAGTTCTTGCGAATGGATTGCAACAATGTGAACAAATTCTTCAGGTTTGTTTTTTTTTGGCAAAAACGGTATTTCTAAACTGAAAAATGTTTAGAGAACTCGGCGTTGCAGTTCTGTCCGTTCGTCGGCTGTTCGAAGTGATTGTGGATCCATTGATGAACAGCAAAGAAATGGAAACAATAATCGAAACTGAAAGAGTTCTCATCCATTCAGAAGACGACGCTCTCTTCATGAACGCCTTCATTCCCCACAAATTGGAGCATGTTCTTCATTTTGAGCGCGACGGAAAGATGGCGAAAGAAGGAGTCGAAGCCAACAATCCTTTCCAGAATATCGTTTCGAAAATCGATTTGAAAGGTGATGGATTCGGAGAAACTGGGAGTGGCGATGAAGAGGAGAACGAGAAGAAGTTGAGGAAGAAGAGAGCGGAGCCGACGGAGGAAGAAATTGAAGAAAAGGAACGGATGATCGCCATGCATACAAGGAATCGAGATGAGACGGCGGAAGAGAGGAAGCAGAGGAAGGCGGCAGTGAAAGAGGAAAAACGGGAGCAGCGGAAGGAGAAGGTCCCGAAGCACGTAAAGAAACGCGCTCATCGGCAGCACATGAAGTAATCCGACGGTGAGAGTTCCTTCGTCTTCTTCTTCTCCTTCCTTTTCTAGTTACCCCTCTAATTGGTGGGAACATCGCACTTTTTCGGCCATCGCTGCATGCGTATCCGCTTCTTGTTCCCATCCATTTTCTCTAAAACGACATCTGAGTGCGTATTTCCGAGGGCAACTGAGATGATGAATTGAGCGGCGTTCTCCAGTTGTTACGTCGGTCATTTTCGCCCGCGCAGTCGTATAGATGGCCGGTCGGACCGATCCTCCGATATATCTGGCACTTATCGCTTTTTTGATCAACGTGTGATTGATATTCGATTCGTTTCCCTTCCTTCCGTTCGTTTTCGACATCTTGCCGCACTTTTCCACGTCCTCAGATGCTAGAAGACCAGAAGAAGTGAAAGGGAGTCAACAAGGGCGCGTTGGTTCCCCGGGGATCGTCGAATGGCCATTTTTCATGTTCTCCCACCCGCCACTTCTCACATCTCCGAGTTTTCTTCCCAGCTGATAGCCCAGCCCCCTCTCCTCCCTTCTATTATTATAGTTTTCATAGTTCAAATATGTTTTTTCAGCGCTTCCTCCTTGTCAATCCGAGCCGCCTCATCACTTCTCAACAGTGTTCCTTTTTTCTGTTTTTTTTTCTCTCAATTGTTTCTTTTTCACTCGTTCTCTCGCCTAATTATGATTATTTTTCAATGGATATTTGGCTAATCACAGGGCGGCCTTTCGGTCCTCTCGTCACGGCCACTACTATCAAATCATCGAACGTGCTGCCCTCTTTTCTTAACTGTTTGCCGCGGTTATTTCGAGAAAGAAGAGGTAGTTAATTCGATTCGAATGCCAGTTCATTTTTTCCTCTGATTTGTTTTGATTGTTCGGTTTCCCGCCGTTCTCCCTCGCTTTTTCCCTCTTCCGCGTTGTTGCACTCACTTTTCAATCGGCCGTTTTCTTTTTTCTTGTTATGTTTTGTTACTTGGTTATTACCCCGTTGTTCCTTTTAATTATAAATCTTTTTTCCTTTTCCCACTTATTTTATCCTCGTCACATTCGGTCGTTATTCCCGGATTCCATACCTTTCCCTGTTTTTCTCTTCAATTTCCATTTAATTTTAATAACCTTTTTTGACAGGCTTTTTCTCGAGTTGTGTTAGACTAGAAACGTATCTGAAATGGATTCAGATGAGGTAAAGGGAAGTTTCCTGAGCTGATCTATTACATTCATTTCAGGTTCGGAAGCGTAAAGAGTATGCAGAGAGAAAGGTGAAAGAGCGGCATGCGGCGCTGCGGAAAGAAGCGGAGGAACGGAGGAAGCACACTGTGGAGCACAGAGAAAGGTTTGTTTCGAGTACTTAACTGCTGCCTGAAATAATGTCTGTGTGATGCCTTCTTCTTTATTTAAAAGAGACGATGAGACGTCTCTTCTCGTTTTTGTTACGAAATCTGTCGATTTTCCGTCTCCAAATTCGGTCAAGCACTCTTTTTTACATTCACTCAGCGGCGCGCTAGGGTGTTTCAAGGGCCAAGCCGTGCCATCCAGCCGACGAGCACCTGCCATCCACCCTCTTTTCATAACCCTTCTCAGCGTCGAAGTCAGTTTCAGAGTGCAAAGTCAACTGAAGCGGGAGCAAGTGCTGCTCCAGAAGAGGATGCAGCAATTGAACGAAGACGAAGAGCGAAAGAAGGCGACTCTTGCCAAGCAGCACGAAGCGACTTCTCGCATCGCGGCCATCACCAAGTCGCCCAAATCGTTCGCGTTTGGATCTTCCACTCCACGGACTCTCACTTATCTGGATAAACTTCCGAAAAGCGAGCAGCAGTATGACAAGAAACTTCGTCCGCTCGATGGTGGCAGTCCTATCACCACGCCTACTGCTACGGTATGTCATTTTCATCTCTTTGCCCACGAAAAGTTTCAATTTATTCATAACCACTTCAGGAGTCTTGCTTGAATTTGCGGTATTTGGAGGTATTTGAATGAGTGACTCAATAAAGTAACCACTATTTTCCTCAGAAACTCAATAACTGTTCCTACCTTATTTGTCCTCAACTCACAAACTTCTCTTGTCAATTTCTTTTTTTTTCAGAGTCCGACTGCGAAAATCCACCGCGTCTTACCAACGACTCCGCAGAGAGCTCCTCCCGCAGCCCATCGCCCTGCTCCGACAATGACTTCGATGACATCCTCGATGTACGTAACTTCGTCCGCACCGCCTACGAGACATGCGAAAATGATAGCGAAGCCTGCCGTGTCGGCTACGTCGAAGCGTCTCTCACAGGGACCAACCTCAATGATGACACAGTCTGTATATACTCCGACAAGCCGTCCGGCGACTTCCTCGCGGCTTTCAATGGGAAGAACGAACCGTGGGGCGACACCCAATTCCAGCCGGCCGAATGGTGCGATCTCTCGAGTTTTCATGTGCAATGACGGTTTCTTTTCAGTCACCTCCACTCCTCCGGTTGCCGCTGGCAGACGCTCAATGGATGTCAAGAAGCCGCCAATGCCGCGGAAGTCTATGCCCAGCAAGATGGAAACTAAGAAGTTCGTTGCGGAGGCTCCGGCTGCGACTGTTTCGACTGTACCTGTCGAAACAGCTCAAATTGTGGAAGAAGCAGCCACCGAACAGCCGGTAGTCGCTTCAATTGCGGAGGAGAGTCCGTCTCCAGTGCATGAAGATTCGCCAGTTGAAGAGAAACAAGTGGCTGAACGGGCTGATAGTGAGAGCACGGAAGTTTTAGTCAAAATCGAAGAAACTCAAAAAGAGATTGAAGAGACTCAATTGATTCCGGACGTTCCGCTCATTGAGATCTCTGAGCCGGTTCATCAAACTATTGAAGAACTCGTTCAACAAGAGGAGAAAAAGATTATCATCCCAGAAGAGGCTGTCGAGGAAATCAGCGAAGCTGCGATACTCGAGGAAGTCCTCGAGCAAAAGGAGGAAGAAGTGATTATGCCATCAGCCCTGTCGGTTGGGGAACATCACGAAGAGCCAGTTGTGGTTACTGAGGAAGTGAGAAAAGAAGAAGTAAAAGAAACCGAGGTGGAGGGAGCTGCTCCGAATGAAGAACTCATCTCTTTGGCGAACGACGAAACTTCTGAATCTCAGGTCGGATCTTCAGTTAACACTTCCCTCACTGACGAGCTCATTGAGCTCGAAAGTGAACAAAACAGGTCCCACGATGACCCTTCGAAGCGAGAAGTCTTGGAACTGGTAGGAAATTGTCCCTCTGTACGACATGCCCCAATAACTCTCGTTTTCAGCACTATCCGATGCCGGATGAGTCGAAAGTGACTCCGCCCGTAGCTGCCAACGACCTCGTCGATGTGTTTGGCAACGATTTCATCAACGAGAATCCTCCACAGCGCAACATGAATTTCGACGAGGAGACTGACAGTGGAAAGGCGTCGCCAACGTCTTCGGAAACTTCGTCAACGACTGACGATGTGACACCGCGCAGTACGATCGACGAAGTGAAAGCGGCGGCACCGAGAGTGCTTCCACTCGTTCGCTCCGCCGAAGACATCGCTAGGAAGGAGCGGGAAGCCCGTGAGACGGAGGAACGAAGGAATCGACTAGCCGAAATCCTCGCCAAGACGAGGGGAATGGCATCTCCGGTGACGAACGCGTTGCCGCCCACGACTGCCACGATCAACAGTAGGTTTTGGTGTGAATGATGCCCGTAAGGGGTCCAGAATTGGAGTCCCCTCTGCGGCGCTCTTTTCATTTGGGAATGCGCGTTAATCCTTTGTCGAATTCCTTTTCGGATCAGTTTCACTCAGATTCGCCCGCAAGCTCGATCCCATGAACCGCAGAACATTCATCTATCTATTCATCCAAATCTGTATCTCTATATCCCGCCCCATCCTTTCTCTTTCTCTTTTCCGCATTCATTGTTAGGCCCCGTAGATTCTACACAATCACCAGTCACCTCACCGCCGACCCCTCCATTACCAATGCCGTCGGCGGCCGAGCAGCAGCCAGTCGCCGCTTCTTCGTCCGCCACACCAATGGAAGAGACCGCCGAAAAGGCATCGAATGGTGAGCTCGTCGTCTCTTTCCCCGGCATGTTGATGTGAACATTTGCTTGCTTATTCACCTGATTTCCGCTTGTCTCCGTCCTGCCAACACTGATTGTTTCAACGACTGATGAGCTGAAGAAGCTTCTGAAGGCGTCTTTTATTCTTCTTCTTCGGCTTCGGCTTCGTAATTTCCTCTTACTTGTTCTTAGATTCGGAGAGCGGTCTACTCACTTCGTTGGAGTTCATTCTGGTGCTTTATTTCTGTCACGAACCACTACCATTTCATTTCTGTCCGAGCTTTACCTTGATTGAAAACCATTTCCTAATCAGTGTCCGTTTTCTCCGCACTCAGTTTTTAATTATCTCGTTTGTCGTAATTGTGTTGGTTTGTCTCGGTTTGGCCTGACAAGCATCCTGTGATCCGATTGTCATCTCACACTCTTCCAATCACTTATCGATAGTTTCTTTCCAGAATCTGGAGGCGCCATCGATGTGCTCGCCCGTGTGGCTGCCAAGACAAACTTGCCGTCGTTGCAGAAGATTTTGCAGAGGAAGCAAGGCAGCAATCCGTCTCTTCAGGTACTCAATAATAACTCGTTCCTTAGCGGAACTGTTCACTTTCAGACTTCCGAGTCGAACGGCGGTGAGATCTACTGAGCCACGCAGTCTCCATTGTCATTCTACAACGCCTAAACATTCATTCATATCTCACGGGTTTCTCTTCCTTTACGGTTGGTAGGATTCATGAGATTATCCACATTCCATTTCGTCTCAATTTCAGATCTTGCCTATCAAAAGTGCATTTCGTCTGTCGTCCCTGTGCGACAGTCGCCTTCTTATATCCACTCGCTTTATTGACCCCCCCGCCCTATCCATTTCTTGTAAGTGCGCCCATCTTCCGTACTCTTTTGTCTATATCGAATATGATTGTATATCGCATGCATGTAAACTAGAATACTATTGCTCACAACCTCCCTTCCCTCTCGCTCTGTTTTGGTAAAATCATTCAGTTCCCGCCCCACACTCCCTCCCAATTCAATTCGGAAATTATGTTTCAAACCGCGTCCGCACGGTTCTTTATCGCAAAAAGAACTGCTTATTCGGAGCTCGGTCCTCTTCTTGAACGGTCTCGAAGGGACCGCCTTTCAAAGAAGGGTAAGAGCTTTTTGCGTGTTATGCACACACTTTTGGTATTTTTAAATGAGCGTTTTTGAAATAAAGTATTTTCTTGTTGAATCCAACTAAATTGGCTTAATTAAAGATATCCAGCTCACCGAATGCGAAGAGTTGACAACGAACTCAAAGTTACTTTATGCGTACTCTTCTCTTGACGGAGAAACTAGTTTTATTCAAGATTTGCTCTTCCTTCCCGTCAGAGCTTTTGAATTTTTCAAAATGGGAACACATTTTTGTATGCAAACGAGACTCCGAAGTGCCGCCCGCCGCGCCTTGTTTATCGACGCTGTGTATTTCTCGCGAACAAACTGAGAAATTTTACAATTTCTTCAATCGCTGAACTCTCTCCATTTGCTCTCAAATTTCAGAGAAAAATGGCAAAGAATATGCAGAACACCTCGTACCGGAAGCTGGACGTTGACGCCTTCGATCCAGAGCAGTACGATGAAAACGACGAGAGTGAGTCATTCGTGTGTTTGCTTATTCCCGCGCACATATCGATTGAAGATCTCCGCCTGATTTGTTGATTTTCAGCAGCCGACACTCCCGGACTGGGGCCGGATGAGCGTGCCGTGCAAGGATTCCTGAGCTCCAACCGACTCGAGGACGCTCTTCACGCCTCGCTTCTTTCACCACCACTCAAAACGAAAGATCAGGTTTGTCGCAGAACCAAGAACTCGCGTGAAAAGAGCGTGCTCAGAATGCCAAGGATCGTGCGACTCAACTCGTCACGAAAGTTCTGCAGTCTTTCAAGAATGCAGAGATCGAATCGGCGGTGCAGAAGTTGTCAATTGACGAGGGAGACATCCTCATGAAGTACGTCTACAAGGCCATGGAACTCGGATCCGACGCGGCGGTCTGCCAATCTCTGCTCGCCTGGCACGCTCAGCTCGTCGCCAAATTCGGTCACGGAGCCATCATGCGTGTTTTCTCAAATCGCCAACGTCTCTGAGCGATCTTCCGATTTTCGCACGCTGTGATATTCATTCCTCGCTCTTCCTTTTTTCTTGTAAATTAATCATTTGAATAAAGCTTTATGACATTTATTGGTTCAAGTCTTTATGAGTTCGACTAAAATTAAAGCACCAAAGATTTAATAAATTAGGTATTAGAATGGAAAGGAAAGGCACGAGAATATTATCACACGAATTGGAAACGGCATCACGGTAGAACGGTAGAAAAGGAAATCAGATTAGGCAGATTCGTCATCCGACAGTTTCGCTCGGCTGACTGACTCGATCTCTTGATGGTGGGCAGCGGGATGCCTTCGGAATTCTATTGCCAACAAAGAACTGGACAAAGAGAGAAGGAGGAGAAGAGCGAGCGAAATACACATAGATACGATGAACTGCGAGATGCTCATTCCGATGTCTAGCCAACTGCCGTCGTCGCGAAGTTGATGGAAGAAGCACTGAAATCGAATGAAACATTGGAGAGAATCGCTGGAAAACAGTTACCATTGACATGAAATCAGTGAAAATGAGAACGAAACAGCATAGTCGTTGTATGGATTCGGGATCGAATCGGACGATCGCAGCGAACGTCGAAGAGACCAGAAGGACCGGGATCAACAGTTTGAGAACGAGCAGAATCGCCATTGTGAAGGGGCTGAAGACGGAGATGAAGAGGTTGAGAGTGGAAGGATTGAAAGAGTTGATCGAGGCGAAGTTGCCCGTTCCAAACAGAGTGCACAACACGAAAGAGACGCACACGACGGCTCGACGGAGCTCTACGTGAGCTCCCGTAGATACTGAAAAAGATTGGAATTGAGGAACCGAATTTGAAAACTTGCTGATTACTTTTATTGGAATCAATTCTCAATTGCAGCAGCTCCACATCCGAGAGATGGCCAAACTCGAATCGGAGGAAGAGAGCGAGAATGACAAGGAAGAAGAGAACGAACAAAGATTCGTATGAGATGGAAAGAAGCGAATAGGGAACCTGAAAGGAATAGGAATTGAGGGAGAGAGGTGCTAGGAGAACTCACGTAGAAGCAGAGAGAATATGCGATGAGACGGTCGACGAGATACGGTCCGGACAGGAAGCACGGAGCCACGACGGAGAGAGGGATCGAGAGCCAAGACACCCAACGGGCGACCGGTGGAAGCTGAAAGTAGCCGGTACAACTAACGAGCGCGTGTAAAGAATACCTTTTCAAATCCATAGTTGACAATGAAAATGAATACGGCTGTGGAAGTATGCACATAAACCATAATTTCAAGCATCTGACCGATTCGCGCCAAGCACGGACGTTTCGAGAGACGGCGGCAGGCAAAAGCGACGAGAAGAGAGGAAATGATGCATAGAGGGATGTGAGTGGACACTCCGACGGCCGGAAGGAACGGAAATATGCTCAGAACCAGGCACATGAGCATCCACGTTTTTGACCTGAAATCCATGAAGAACCAAAGGCGGGGTGAATGTGATACCAATAGGAGACGATCGGATGGGAGTAGAACTGAGGAAGGAAGATAAGAAGAAGGAAAACGGCAGCTAAGAAGCCTCGGTTTATGAATGTGAGCACGAAAACACATATTGTGACGGCTGAAAAGGCAAGAATTGCTGGAGAATATTAAGAAACGGAAGAAGCTTACTGAAACCGACAAATCCGACGAACGGCTTGACGAACATATCGGAGGAGAATAACTTGTTGTGCCAATCTGGTTGCCGGATCAGTTCTGAGACACGTTCCCTGATTACTTTCGAAAGCTTTGAATGATTTTCGAGCAGTGCGACCAGATATACAGGCAATATTACATAGACAGTCTGTGTGAGACTGAGCGAGCAGTACGCCGAGAATACCAAGCAGAAGAGAAGAGGAGGGACGAAGAAGCGCCGAGGAACGAGCAGTTCGGAGACCTTGCCAAACGATGGACTGCAAGAAAACCGGTGGAATACTTTCTTTCTTTTCACCTTTATTTAAATACTCACTTGTATAGAAACGATATCACCAACGCAATCCACGCGACAAACGTGCAACTGACCGCTCCTCCGAGCATCTGACGGTCGTATCGATGGTAGAACACGATCGCCTCTTTCATAAGATGGGCATTGTCGGCGAACAGCGACGTGGCCACACTGAACCTGCGGTCTTTTCCCAATTTGGAAAGAGTCGTCCGCAGAGATTCCATTGCTTTGTCTCCGAACTTTTCGAACTGACGGAACCAGAATCTTCTCGATTTCGCGTTTTTGAGGAACACGATTTGCTCTTTCAACTGAAATGAAAACTTTGAAAAGTACAGTCAGAACAGGGAACTCACCTGGCGAAAGTTGGCCTCAATGGCTTTGAATTCATAACTGGTACTGTGAGAGCTCATCATCTGGACGGGAAGGATCCCCATTGAATTGACTGGAATCGGAATGCCGATCAGCGACGATATGAGTGGAGCCAAGTCGATCTGATGGATGTCCGGTTTCGGGCCGCCCCTCTTCACGCCAGCTCCCCAGGCAACGAACGGAGTGTGCACCTCTTCATCGCTCCCCGCGCCATGAGATCCCCAGTCAGTCATTCCATGGTCGGAAGTGAACAGCCAGGCCGTCTTTTGGTCACCGAAAAACTCTTCCACTAACTTGTGAACTCTTTCGATTCCGGAATCGACAACTGGAAAGTTTTCTTTTGATTTGATTCGTATTCTGTTTCTGTTTACCTTTGATGTTTTCGATGTATTGTCTACTTCTCGGCTTGTTCCCATGACCGTTCGTATCAATGCCCAGAAGATGAAGGAAGAACACACTTTTCGGCTCATTCAGCTCGCTTTTCCTCTTTTCGTCAGTTTTTGCGTTGCTGATAAAAGTCTGAACAGAGAAATGATTACTTGAAAATCTTGAAACACTCACTTCGAAATGATCGAATACCCATTTGTCCAGATTGGAAGCGTCGGAAGAGGCAAAGTCTTCTTCTTCGGCAGAATAGAAGAACGAATCGGCATTTGGAAGGTCGTCGAACAGATTCACAATATCCGGACTACCCCACATCCAACTGTGCGAAGACCGATTGAAAACACTGTCGAAGCGGACCGGATTTTTCTTCCATCCCTTCGCCACTGCACTCATATCTTCTGTGATTCCGGCGAAGATTGCCACGTGGCCAGGGCGGCTTTCGGTGGGAACGTGCGACCGAGACAGCCCATAGATTCCCTGAAAGTTTACTTCTGACTTGTACTTCGCTTGCACTTTTTTTACTTTTCTGTCGTTCATAATTGAATGAAGGAAGGGGGACATATCCGGATACTTGTTGAAGGTGTCATACCGTAGTCCATCTCAATAGATCTTCAGTTAAGTATTTCTCAAATGGAACAAGGTTGATTACCTGCTGATATAATGAATATTCGTTTAGCTGGTGGGTCTGAGCTGGCAATCGAATGAGGCGGAATTCCATGAACCAATGGACTTGTGTAGTAGACATCGAAAATCGAATAAATTAGAATCAAATGCAACACTATACTGGCTAGTAGTAGCTTCCAAGACATTTGGGTTTTCACCCAGCCTAAAAATAATTTTATTTGCCCACTTCTTGTTGCAAAAAGAGGTCAGATCGGAGTGTAATGTTGGCCGGATTGCTCCGCGTGCACTTCGACGCAACGAGGGACTAGGAAAACGGTTCATAGGATCCTCGGCCGCCGAATTTTTTTAGGGAATTGTCAGGCTTATTTCGAGTTTAAACATGTTTCTCCGCGTCGGCAAAGGTTTATTCTTTATTTTCCCTTTTCAGTTGTCGAATGATAGGTTATCCAATCGTATTCCGATGCTGTGAGTGCACCGTCGAAGAACGTAAGTGTGTTCGTTTATTGATTGATGCAAACCGGTTTTCAATCGTTCAGAAACAATGGAACACCTCGAAAAACACATTTGGAGCCGACATCTTCAAGCTTTTCCGTTTAAATGTGCTCATTGTGATTACCCTGCCATCAATTCAAATAGTCTGCTCGAGCATTTTCAGCAGGATCATGCAGATGTGATTGTACGTTGGTTAGAGCACCGAAAAGGATTTAATACTTTCATTCACTTAAGGATATTGCTTTCAAGCGAAATTTGGAAGACGAGAAGAAGTTTCGCAAAATGATTGCCGAATCGATTGCGTTTGAAATCGACGAAAGTGTACCAACCCATGAGAATCCGCAAATAGCCGTCATCGAGGCGATTCCTCAAGTGACACGTCAGATAATGATCTTACCCCCGACCAGTAATGAATACGAGGTTCGTTGTTTATTTCAAATGCCTATAACCATTCTGAATTCAGGGAATGGTCGAGCATCGACATTCAGATGAGGAAGACTTTGGCGTGCTCGAAGATGATGACAATGTAGAAGGTCTGAACGAGATGACAGATATCAAGAGCAACGTCCAGAAATTGCAGAAATAACCGACGAAGAAGAAGATGAGGAAAGTTACATGGACTCTCTTGGAAACCCCGTGTTCATTGGAGCCCACGATGACCCGGATTACATTCTAGAAGACGACTTGGAGCCTCCGACACAAGTTCGTCCTCCAACTAGCTATGTAAGTTCTCGACTGTAACGATATTTCAGTAAACGCTTTTGCTTCAGCATATGAAATATTTACGAACTCGAAGAATGGACAAACTGATAGAAAATGTCGTGATGAGTTCGTCACGAAGGAGGTCTCCAGATTCGGTACGCTTTCGACAAGTCATCTGTTCTTTATTAGGTTGTTCAGAGTAAAAATCAAATAAATGATCTTATAAACGATGATGCGGAGAGTCGGACTATAGGAAGATTTAGTTGTAATCAGTGCTCGAGAACCTTCAAGGTTTGTCTCTCGGTCCTCTTTCTATGTAACCCCATAATTTCAGTTTCACTCGAAGCTCAAAGAACATCTTCGTACCCACGTTGGCGCCCGTCCGTTCGCTTGCCAGTACTGTGATCGAGAGTTCACTCAGAAGGGCGCCATGAAGACGCACGAACGATTGCACACGGGAGAGAGGCCGTACGTCTGTCAATGGGAGTGCGGAAGACAGTTCGCGTCAGCTTCTGCACGACGACAACACGAGAAGACGCACAGTGGTGAGCGTCCTTACATCTGTAGCGTTTGTGGAAAGTGTTTCACGAAGAATTCGCATGTTCTCCGACATTTGAAGGTGAGAACAGGAAGTGTGATGTTGACATTCATCAATTCCTTGCAGAACATCCACTCCAGAGAGATGATGACTCACGCGGTAATTCTACCAGGAAACGAGCAATCCGACGCCGCCATACCCCTGGTAGGATCTGCTCTCAGAACTCATTTAAAACATTTTTTCGTTTTTCAGCCTTGCGCTCCAGATATTACACCGCGAGGACAAGAGTCGAAAATCGTCGAATCCATTGTCGGTGAGTCCCAATTGAAAAAAAAAGAGAGCAAGCCGCGCAATCACACGATTTCTTATTTTCTCGTGAAAAAAACAAATGGAAACCGTGGGAAAGCAAACCAATAATCAGTGATTTATTATCGATACTTTGGCATAAAAAGTTATGGGATCAGATTACTTTTCCAATGTGTACAAAACCGAGTAATTATCATTTTGCTTCCGTTTTCTAGGATTAGTGGGAGACGACCTTAGAATGCCAAACAAAATTGTTTTTCAGAACAAATCCACGAAGAAGTGACGGAGAAAAAAAATTTTGTGTGAACGATTAAAATTATCTCTTTTAATTTCTGTATAGGTATTGATTCTAGTTCATTTTCTGATCTCAACTGTTCTTTTCATTTACTCGCATTTGTAACGGATACAATCCATTCCTTTTGTCAGCCATAAAGTTCTTCCCCGGTTTATATATTCCATTTCCGAGATTAGTATCGCCCACTCATTCTTTTCAGGAGCACTTATCGAAATAAGGTGATTAATAATTGAGCGCGGCGTCCATTCATCCCCATTTCTGCACTTATCAACTTAATACCTCACCCCCATTCTTCCATTTTTCTTCCTTTCCTTCTGCTCTTTTTCGCCCTTTTTGTCCTTATCAATCCGCTTTGTTCCTACCGCCCTTTTACGACTCCATTCATTTGTTTTTGTCACGTTTTTGGGTGGTATAGTTTAGACCGCGGCCAAACCGACGTGGATTCATCAGAATTTAATGGAGCGAAACGGCGGAGATTCATCTCATTTCAAAGGCTTATTTCGGAAGACCCATTCGAATTCTGAATTCACATTTCATTTCGTTTTTCTTTCTCATCTTCCGTTACTCAAAGCTCCCACGGACTGGTTACGAAAAGGGCAAAGTATCCGAGCAAAGAGCATTCCCACTGTCTCATTTTCTCGATTTCATTAAAAAGTCAAAGGTTCGGACGATACTGTGAAAATGGAAAAATGATAGCAAAGAAAGATCGAATCGTGGAAGCCGAAAATAGGATGAAAACGGGCGGATCGGTCGTCATGAATACACATCACATGGGCTATAAACGACCACGGGGCGAAACGCGGGCGTTTGTAGTACAGTAGGCGTGGGAACCGCGCGCGCACTCGCTTTCTCTCCTCTGACAACGTCAGATCACTCGGCTTTTCCCGACACTTACACATCGCCTTCGTCCTTTTCTCGCTCATCCGAGCTTCTTGTTTTTTTTTTCATTTTTCTAGTCAATTCATTTACGGTTGAACTTCTGTTAGATGCGGGGCTGGGAAAAAGGACTCTCGGCCTTTTGAAGGTTTTTCGAGGCCTGCACTTTTGGCACAGTTGCAAAATTCCGATCGGACCCAAACTTTGCAGGCTTTTAATACTTGGATCTAAGTTTCAGACCGATCGGATTATCTAGTCCCGAGATTTGTGAGATGCCAAAAATGCTTCTTTTTGCGCAAAAGATTCGGTCAAATCTGATAGTCTGATCGGTTTGAAACCTGGCCTAAAGAAACTTCAAATCAGCCTGCAAAGTTTGTACCTAAACGGAATATTAAAACTGAGTCAAAAGTGCAGGGGTCCAAAATTGTGCATTCATTCTGTTATTTCAATGTTTAAATTCGTCATCTTCTCCCGTCACCGATGTATCTTTCTTTGTTTAGATTCACTTCACCTCGACCCCGAATCCTGAGAGTTCAAGATGTTACGTTGGCATTCGGTCCGTCGGAAACAGCACCAGCAACTGCAAGGTAAGACCCAGAAGACAGACAACTCCCAGAGTGCTTCTACTCATTTACAAGTGTCATTTCGTCTCCATTAGCCCTCTTTCTTTCTCTGTTTTCGAGCTCATCCCATAAAAGAGTGAATCCATTCGGTCCCGAATAATTGCATGGCGACGGGCTCCTCTCGGGCCGCCCGCTTCTCACTCAGACATTCATCTCAAAAAGTCGTGCATCTGATTATCGCCAGGTGATCGTTCGAATTCCCACGCAGCCATTTCGCATGTTTTCGACGTCTCGAATCAGAAATAGGAAGAAATGGGGCACGGGCGGTCAGCCACTTCCGTTTCCCTGTCAGCTCGTGCTCCTGCAGGAATGACGGATTCACTCATTTCCTCGCCTCCTTAATCATCCCTTCCTTCTTTCTTCTTTTTCCAATTCCATGCCCCCTCACTCTCCCGTTCTCTCCCTTTTCTCACCATGATCGTCCCGTCCGAATCTATCCTTTTTGCCGATGAACTGCCGATTCTAGACTGTCTGGCAGGTGAGAAGACGTGCATTCCATTCCCCGTTTTCTACCGTAGTCATCACAAATGCGTCGGTTATTTGCGGTCCTCCTATCCGATTTCCCCACCTTCGTCTCCCTTTCTCAGAAAAACATAACAAGTAGCAGGAGGAATTGGTAATGATTTGCCAAATGATATGCAAACAGTGGAGCCGAGCCCCGAGACCCGAGCTCGCCGCCGATCGCTCACTCGTTTTTTGTTCAAAACTTTTTCGTTTTCAGCTGAGCTGTCGAGCGGTGCGGCCAGTATGCTGTCCGCACCCGAATCACGGCGGGTCAGCCGATCCATGAGTGTGAAGGGTGAGCCCCGAATCCACGTGTCAGTCCATCCATTGATGCTATTCAGGTCCCACAGCAGCCGCCGAGTACATGCCCTTGCCGGCAGTCGATAAACCGCTCACTCTGACCGTTTCCAACTCGCACAGCATTGACCCGAACGAGCCGATCGCAGCTCTCGGAGGGCTCACTCCGACCAAAGAGGGCCGAGTGGCGGCGTTGAGAAGGAGGAGTTCGATGGTCAGAGACAAATGGGCGACCAAAATGGAGTTCCTGCTCGCGGTCATTGGGTACGCAGTCGATCTGGGCAACATTTGGAGGTGATCAGTCGTCTGAAGTTCTCGCAGTTCCCAACGTCTTCGTTCAGATTCCCATCGGTCTGCTACAAGCACGGCGGCGGCGCATTTCTCATTCCGTACTTCATAATGCTCATGGTCGGCGGACTGCCCATGTTTTATATGGAACTCGTACTCGGACAGTTCCACCGATCCGGCTGCATCAGCATTTGGAGAAAAGTGTGTCCTCTCTTCCGAGGTATTCAATTGATAACATTTGTTTTCAACTAGGGTTGGCCGGCTCAGGCCTTTTGAGGTCTGAACTTTTTGCAAAGTTTAAATATGATCGGATTATTGCCACCTGAAAAAGCCTGTGCCGACCTTCTTTCCAGCCCACCAACTCATCGCATCTTCCAGGCATTGGCTACGGTATCTGTTGCATTTGCACATTCATCGCCATCTTTTACAATGCGATCATCGCTCAAGCAGTTTATTTCGCCGTCGTTTCTCTTTCGGTAGCTTTCCAAATGTTGCTCCGTTTACACTTTTCACAATTTCTAGAAAATATGGGATTCTCAAGTTCCGTGGGCAACGTGCAACAATCCGTGGAACACCCCGAGATGTTCAGACGACCTCAACGTGACCATGTCTCGGAACGGAACCCGTCTCAGCACGCCCTCGGAGGAATACTACCTGTACAACGTGCTTGAAGTGCACAAGTCAACCGGATTCGACGATCTCGGGGGCGTCAAGACCTCCATGGCCGTCTGTCTCCTTTCTGTCTTCACAATGGTTTACTTCGCTCTCTGGAAGGGCCCACAGTCGTCCGGAAAGATTGTCTGGGTGACTGCGACTGCTCCGTACTTCATTCTGAGCATCCTCCTCGTCCGAGGACTACTTCTCCCTGGCGCGCAGAACGGTCTCTACTACTACATTACTCCGGACTTTGAAAAGTTGAAAGATCCCGCGGTAAGAGTGAATAAAGAGTTATGGCTGGAAGCAATAAAACTATAGGTTTGGTCGGCGGCAGCCACTCAGATCTTCTTCTCCCTCGGCCCCGGATTCGGAGTCCTCCTCGCCCTGAGCAGTTACAACGACTTCAACAACAACTGCTACCGGTAACTTTGTCTCCCTTCCTCTCTCACTTCCGCCCTTCCCTCTCCGTTTTAGAGATGCCGTCACCACTTCAATCATCAACTGTGCCACGTCTTTCTTCTCCGGATGCGTTGTATTCTCGACCCTCGGATACATGTCCCTGCTCACCAATCGTCCGATAAACGAAGTTCGCTCCGTACCACCTTTCTTTCCGATCCTACTCTCGTTCAGGTCGTTGGAGAACACGACGCCTCGCTCATCTTTATAGTTTACCCGCAAGCTCTCGCCACAATGGATTACAGTTGTTTCTGGTCTCTCATCTTTTTCATAATGCTCATCACTCTCGGAATCGATTCTACATTTGCTGGTATCGAGGCGCTCATCACTGGATTCTGTGACGAGTCGCGATTCCTGACAAAGAACAGAAAGTGGTTCGTGCTTGCCGTCTGCGTTCTCTACTACTTCCTCAGTTTCCCCGCCATCAGCTACGTAAGTCGCTGCCTCTTTTTCCGAAAACATTCATTGCATTCATTTCCAGGGCGGTCAGTTCGTAATTCCTTTCCTCGACGATTACGGAGTTTCGCTTTCCGTTCTTTTCATTGTCACTTGCGAAATGATTGCTGTCTGCTGGTTCTACGGAATAGATCAATTCTCGAAAGACATCCGCGCCATGCTGGGCTTTTATCCCGGAATATACTGGAGAGTCTGCTGGACGTGCTCGCCCGTCTTCATCAGCGTAAGTCATGGAATTCAGAACTGTTCTGTCCAACGCACTCATTCGACAGGTGATCTTCGTGATGACCGTCTACAACAGTTCGTTCAAACCCATCCAAATGGCCGCCTACACGTTCCCCTGGTGGAGTGTCCTCCTCGGTAACCCATTCTTCCTTTCCTTCCCAATTCCCTCTTTCACAGGCTGGTTCCTCCGCCTCATCTCCGTGCTCGCCATTCCCGGTTTTGCCATCATCTACCTTCTCAGTGGCACCGGATCCCTTTCGGAACGATTCCGATGGGCAATCACTCCCCAGCAACGCCGACATTCCGCCACGTCTCTCGCCGCCGATCCCACCCAGATAATCGACAGTTCACTGCTCGACCCCGTTCACACTCTCACTCCTGTCTGATCTTTCCCCTCTTCTTCTCGATCTTCTCCTACTTTCCAGATCTCTATACCTATCCACGTGGTGCCAACTAGATCCGTCCATCTCAATTCGCAACCTTCCCATCGTATTCTTTTCGTCTAACATAATGACTGTAAATATCTAATAATCATTCTTATTGATAAAAACATTTTTTACATAGTCTGTCTCTCTTTAATCATCTATTGATTTGTCTGAGCAATTTCGATTACAAAAATAATTATTAAGGGGAAACTAAGAAACAGTTAGCTTCCATCTTCCGACACCACCTCTCTCCACTTCACGCACCTACTGATCTTCCCGTTCCGGTCGCCACACTTTTAAATGTTTAAAAATGATATGATATCTGAGTATAAATGATGCTGAGTCGATTTCTGAAGAGACGGCCCGGAATTTGTCACGGCGGCTTACCGAAACAGGAGGTCGCGGCACTGTTTCTGGCAGATTGCAGTAGCTTCCAGACGAAAGTCGATGGGCGGCGGCACACGAACGGAAACTGGTTGTTGTGGCTTTCAAAATTTTTTCTGGTCTGTACATTCACCGTTATTTTTATCATAAACAAATGATTCAGCTGAGCGTATTAAGCAAAGAACTTCAGATCGACCAAAACCGTATTAGAACAAAGGATTAGACAGGGGGATCACAGGGGGAATGTACAGGACTCGTGAGGTTAGAGATACAACGGCTGACTGGCGAGAGATCGGACGATCCAATGAACACAACGCTCGATGTTTGTGCCTTCCAGAGCAGAAACCGGAAGAACCGCCAGGTCGGAACGGTGATTGTCGTCCTCCAGTAACATGCGCACCTGAGAAAGTTCTGGCTTTTTCTGATTATTTTTTGTTTGAAGCTCACTTCAGCGGCTGCTGCTGCTCCTTCCATTTCACTTTTATTCACTGCCACAAGAACGGGAAGATTCTGCACTATTTCATTGGACATTACTTCTTCTGAAGCGACTTTATTAAACTCACAAACAAGCACTTTGGCACTTACTGAAAAGAGAGGCAACTGTGGGGAAGAGGTCACTTCTAGTGGCATCTACGACAAATATCAGAGCACTCGCATCGTCAAAATACGTGGCCCAGAGCTCCCGAAGACTCTCCTGTCCGCCGAGATCCCAGAAGTTTAGACAAGTATTGTTCAGTTCGACTTTTCCAGCTGCAAATACATTTTATTGATGGATTATGGTTTTCAGTTTACTATTCAGTCCTACTGTTGCTGTGATTTTGGACGGATTCAGAACTCCGTAGTCCTTGACAAAGTGTGCCTTTGTTTGCTCCAAAAATGTCTGAAAATATTTTTCTAAAAAATTTCCATAGGAAGAAGTTCTCACCGTTTTCCCAGCATTATCGAGGCCAACTATGACCACAAAATAGTCTTTCTTCTTGAAGAACTTCTCCCAAATGCCGGCCGATAGTGTGTACATATGTGAGAATTCTGACGAAGGAAAAATGGGTTTATTCGGACGGGAAAATGTGTCCCAGACGACGCTCTGCTGTTGGCATATCGAGAAACGCGCGAGAGACACGCAAGCAAGGGCCCTTGCTGACGCGTTATTTCGAAATGTCGCTCACCTAGCGTTTGCGGAGGCCCGGCGGACGGCACTACAATGCAATAGAACTCGCACGGAATAGAACTGTTACGATTTGGAGCTCGCAGTTGTATTTTAACGTTGAACAGCCAGAAACTGATTTATGAGCTTTTTGTGGCGCTCACACGCATTCGCCTCGTTCTTCTCGCAGTCGATGGCAGGCAGCTCACCCGTTCCCTCCCTTTCCGATCTTTCGAGCTTTCTCTTCTGCTCTCAGATACTTACACACTGTCATTCCGGTCATTTTCAGTATATTTTGGACGAAATTCCATTTCATTCCACTTTGGCAGAAACGGATGGTCCACAATCGGACAGACTTCTTTTCAGCAGTCAACAGCAGCGACGCATACGCCCTTTTCGCTCCCTCGCGAGGAGAATGTGCGTCTGGAGTACAACTCTTTCATGAAACACTAGATGATGATAAAGAGTAGATTATGAATGAATGAAGCGAAAATTTATTCATATGAATTACGTATAATATCATTATACACCCTCTCGGTCACTTTCATACACAATCCAGTTGCGTGCTAGGGTTTTCTTATATTCCGATGCAACTGGAGTTGTTATAAAAGTGTGCGACTCACACGACAGGCACGTGGGGTATTTCGTGAGTCATGCAAAGCAGAGATTTGGAGAGACTCACCGGATACAGAGGCAATCAGTTAAAGACAGAAATCCATGCAAAAAGTGAGAGGAGCAGTTGATAAGTCGTGATGCCTTCTACAAAGAGACGGCCGATTGACCGGTTATGAACTCGCCGGGTCAAGAGATGGCATTCCAAATAAATGTTTCCTCTGTTCAGGAGCACGATTTGATCAAATTGTGTCGCCTCTTTCCGCCTCATCTGTGGGGTTTTCTGAACCGACATATCAGCTCTTTCCGTCGGTGACTCCTGCGCCAACGTCTTCTGAAGCGATGTAGAACTAAGTAAGACTATATCGGAATCGTAACTTTTGTTCTCTTATAAGATTTCGAGAACTCACATGTCCCGTAACCACATCTTTATTGTCCTCCGATTCTTCCTCTTCTTCTTCTGATGACGGCGAGGGGGAACTCGATTCGTTGGCGAGGGAGCTGCTCGCGTCTCGCATATCGATTAACAAAACGGCCGGGTTATTCCGCTCTATTTTGAGATCCGGGGATTTACAGCAGTGAAAAGACCGCGGTCACGATTTTTTTGAAATCTCTTGTCGCGAAGTTCAGTCTAGAAATGACATTCCTCACGACCTTTTATTTTTGGAACTGGAGCACAGGTAGCTCATTTCAGACTCGTCTTGTATTAACCTGATCTTAATTAATCGTTTTCGGAGACGCCCGCCACGAGACAGAGACGTTTTGTAAGATAGGGTGCAGAGGTTTTGTTGCAAGGTGTCTTTTCCCTCTGGCAATAAATTATTTGTTCTCCGGAAATCCTGTTCGAAATGTTGAAGAGATGTCACGTATGTGACTACTAGCAGAATTCATTGAGCAGTTTTAGAGTCCATCACTAGAGCAGCTCGCGAAATCTCTGTCAAAATTCAACAAATGCGACTTTCTGCTAAACAAGGCGCAGTACGATGCTTCAAAAACCGGCGGGTGTCCGCCGGGCCTCCACAAACGCTAGCTCAGCTGAGAGCGACGCTCTGATGTCGTGTACGAAGCTCGGCTTCTATTCCTTCTTCGGCTTTTGGAACAATTTTACAGTTTAAAAATTGAATAAAAAACAAGATTCTTTAGTTGTTAAGTTTAAAGTAACAACTTTTAATAGTTTATCGATTTTTAGTCAATAAATGAAAATTCACCGGCGAGTTTCGTGTGAACTCAGCAAATTCCACTTTTTCCATTGATTTCGATAGCAAAGTCTGGAAAATTTTCAACTTTTTACTGCCGTATTTTAAAGGCGCAGAACATAGTTCATGAAAAGTCCCGCAACGATTTCCTACAAAGCGATTTCCCTCAATGCATTTTTTCTATTTTTTCCTACAAACAGCTCAATTCAAAAGTGTTTGCAGAAGATGTTCTTCCACTTGTCCCTCGATCACGAAGTCTGTCTTCATCCGAAATATTTCGGACCAAATCTGAACGATACGATCAAAATGAAGCTGTTCAACGAGGTGGAGGGAACATGCACTGGAAAGTACGGTTTCGTCATCGCCGTCACCACAATCGACACAATCGGACACGGCGTTATCCAGCCGGGACGTGGCTTCGTCATCTACCCGGTCCGTTACAAGGCGATCGTGTTCCGCCCGTTCAAGGGACAAGTCGTCGACGGCGTCGTCACGCAGGTAAACAAAGTCGGCATCTTCTGCGACATCGGCCCGCTCTCCTGCTTTATCAGTCGGCACTGCATTCCGCCAGACATGGAGTTCGATCCGAACAGCGAGAAGCCGTGCTACAAGAGTGCCGACGAGGCAACCGTCATCCGAAACGACGACGAGATCCGAGTGAAACTGATCGGAACGCGGGTCGACGCCAACGACATCTTCGCCATCGGAACGCTGATGGACGACTACCTCGGACTGTGCCCAGCCGAATAAACCCTGATAAATTCACTTATCACATGTTGTACCATAATTTATCGATTAAATGATCTCGGAAAATTCGCTTGATTCATCATTCACTTGGTTTCCAGCCAAGTATTATCTGATTCTCTGTTTCAATTTTTCTGTTTTGCTCAATCATTTGCTTTCAGATGCATTTCCTGCCTGACGTGGCGATGTTCGACGAGATTCGACGAATGAATGTTCGTCAGGTACTTATTCGTTCGCATTCCTCTTATCGCTGATATTGATTGCAGCTGGTCTACCAATGTCTCAACTTCGCGATGGTCGTGTCTTCGGCGCTGATGATCTGGAAAGGCATGATGGTGATAACTGGCTCCGATTCGCCGGTCGTCGTCGTTCTTTCCGGCTCAATGGAGCCCGCCTTCTACCGTGGAGATCTCCTTCTTCTGACCAACGACCTCGCGGATCCAGTCCGTGTCGGAGACATTACCGTCTTCAAAGTGGAGGGGAGAGAGATTCCGATTGTACACAGAGTTATCAAGGTTTGAATTGGTGTCACTGAATTTTCTGAATTTCTAAACTTAAAGGTCCACGAGAAGTCAGCCGATGACACAAAGATTCTGACGAAGGGAGATAACAACCAGGTGGACGATCGTGGCCTCTACGCCCCCGGACAATTGTGGCTCAGTCGGTCGGACGTCGTCGGGAGAACGAAGGGATTGCTGCCGTACGTTGGCATGGTTACCATCATCATGAACGATTACCCGAAGCTCAAATACGCTGTGCTCGCCTTCCTCGGTCTCTTCGTTCTGCTTCACAAGGAGAACTAGGTTGCTTGGTTGTGATTACGGTGACCGGAATAATAACACTTGCATCTTCTAATTTATTGATTTTTTATTATCTTACTGTGACTTCTAGTCCGGATTTTCTTTATTGAATTTATCAAACCAAATTGTTTGAATGGGTAATAAAGTATTGGAAATAACCGCCGGAAAGCGGACGCGTAGAGAGAATTACAGGGATAGCAGCAAAATGGACGAGTTATACTGGGGTAAAAGTGTAATAGATAAGCGACGAAATTTACAGAAAGAAGAGCAGAAGCTAGTCGAGGTCTTCCAGAACAGCCTCCTGGTTCTGTGAATAACATTGTTTTGGGAATTCGCTAACTTTCACTTACCATTTCCTGGTGCTTCCTCTTCCATTGACGCATGTTGACGTTCTGACGACACACCGGACACGAATTCTTGTTTTTGAGCCACGGCTCGATGCAAGGACGATGAAAAATGTGATTGCAATCCAGGCATCCGACGTCGTCGCCCAGTTTGAATGTGTCGAAGCAAGTGGTGCACTGGGCTCCGTTGTCGACGTGCTGCTGAGTGACCTTCTTCATCGGAAGGTACATGCTGATCTCGTTGTCGTTGAATCCGCGTCCATCAATATTATTTTCCATCATCGCAAGCATGTCATTCATGGCGGCTTCCAGCTCCGTCGGATCAGCATCTATGATGTTCCCGAAGAATTGACGCGGCAGAATGCCGTTCGCATTTCTGCCGGGCAAGCCGCCGTGGATTTGGAACGACATTGACACGTTTCCTGGTCCCTGTGGCTGAGCCTGTGGTTGCGCACGTGGCCCTTCCCCATCGGGACGCATCTGAAACATTTTTATAAAATTGTAGAATTTAGATGGGTCCACCCACTTCGAACATTCTGTTCACGAAGTTTTCGAGAGCCTGCATATCTTCTTCAGGCGCCGGTCTAGGACTGTTTCCGGCAGTAGCAGCTGGCTGCTCCTGGTTGGGAGCATTCGGCGGTTGAGCATTCTGCTGCTGCTGTTGCTGAGCTTGTTGTTGAAACTGTCTCTCGAGTCCTTGGCGGAACATGTCGGCAATCTGATGGAGAGCCTGGACTCCGTTCGGTTGCATCGCCGCTGCTATGCCTTTATATAATTGGTCATCAGTGTGTTATTGAAGGGGCGACTCACCGCCTGGTGGTATGTTGATCAGCTCGATGAAATCGTCGTTGCACCTGACACAAGCGAGCCGAGCTTCCGGTTCGAGGTCAAACGAACGACGGCATCTGTGACAGTAGAACTGCGGCATCTAAATTAACTGAATAGAGGATAAAATATTGTTGCAAAAGGTATGAGACTCGGAAAGCGACCGAGAAATCGATAAGTGAAAAGCGTGGCGTCAACGAACAAAAGATGTTATTTTGAGAAGGAACAAAACAAGAACAAGAGAAAAGGATGAGGAAGAACAACAGTAAAAACAAAAAAGGCCGTTTTTCAATTATCACTTCCTTCTGCCGCCACGTTTCGCCTCGTTCCGGTTGCGACTCTGTTTCGCCCGGTTATTGATCGTCCGAACACCGAGCATGGCCGATCTGAAAAAGAAGGCAATGGAAATGTGCGCTGGCCAGCATATCAGCCGACACGAGTTGTTTCAGAAGGTGCGAGACGGCAGAAACACGAGAGAGCGTTGGTGGTTGAGAGGGGCCAGACTTCCCCGCGCGCGTCGATTCTTTCTTTCTGCCGTCTCTCGGCCATAATAATGCCCAGAAAGAAGAGGAAAACGACGAATATGTATCAACAAATGAGTCAGGACAGGAGTTTTTCTAGGAACCTACTTGGAAGTGACGTCATGAATCGAGAATGGTCCGTCGGCCAACGGATCCGTGTGCACCTTGGCCATTCGCATGTGCGGCATCGGCTGATCTTCGAAGAGACGTTCGTTGACGGCGTGCTTTCCGCCCTTCGGAGTGGCCAGAGTGTAGACGAGTCCACGTCGATTTGCGAGGCGGTTCCAGTTGATGTGCAAGTGCTGTTCTCCGTTCTCATCCACGGAAACGGCGCACTGAAAACATTCGACGTTGATTGAAATGCGATGATGAAATATCAATTTTCTTGTGCCCAACAGCTGGTTGTCAATGAAAATGAATTGAACAAATAACTAAGTACCAAAAGAAGAATAACGTTTGTTTTGAAAAGATAATCAGCGGTTATGCGTATAAGAAGAACGGAGGGAAGACATTGGGCCCCGTTTTTCAATCACGAGATCACATGGAATTGTATTGGAAATGTTTTTTTTGTTGGCAGACGGTCAAATACATTTCGCAATAGACTACACTCGGAAAAGAGCAAGATAGGCTCAATCGTTCCATTACTCACCTTGTGCAGAGTCTTGTGACCGCAAGCCGGACAGAACTCTTTCGTCATGACACTTGTTGTTGTGAAGCAAGTTCTGCAGCGGAGAACGAACGATTTGAGTTTGCGGATTCTGTAGCCGCACAGCGAGACGAGGCTCAGGTTCATGGTGAGTAGCACGTTCTGAAGGGCGAAGTCAGTGGTGAGACAGCCGACGAGCATGTTCTCCTCGATTTCGAATCCACCCAGCTTCTTCAGCGTCTCCTCGATATTATCCATTGTGATCCATCCGTCTTCGTTGTCGCTTTCAGACTCTTCTTCTTCTGATGCCGACGCATCTTCTCCGACTGCCGAATCGTCATTCTCTTCTTTCTGCTCACTCTCTTCCTCACAGATCTTTGTTTGTTCAATCTTTCCGCTCAGCTCTTCAATGATCTTCCTGTTTTCGTCATCCGTCGTCGCAACTGTCTCTTTCTCACTGACATACTGCGCATGCAGATCGTACGTCAATGCGATCATTTTGATGTCGACCATGGAAAGCGATTGAAAGTCTCCAGTCTGCTTCGAGGCATCGATAACCGCTCGCAGAGCAGCTTGTGTTGGCTCCCGGAGAATAACCTCGAACGGAAGAGTGTTCCAAACTTTTTGCGCTTTGGATGAACGCAATTCCTCAAGGATTTGAGGCGGTGCATAATAGTTGTCGGCAAGATTCTGCAATCAATATCTGCATGGATTAACCGTACTGAAAATGAAAATGAGAACTCACGTGGAGACCGGCATTTGCAATTATTGCGCCAGTGTCGAGCACAAGATGCTTAATCGGCTTTTCCTTGTTCGCCATCTTAAAAAATGTTATAAAAATGGGTAAAATTTTGATGTTAATTGTGAAATTATAGAAAAGATAACGGAACATAAGCTTTGAACAGCATAGCGGGAAGATGCGATAATGATGAAATTGAAATGTTTTACAAATTTTAGTATATCAGAGAGTGTTTTGAACGCTTTTAATCTTCAAAAGTATCGATAAATCGACTGGGAAACAAATATGTGGCTGGAAAATTCGTGAACAATAAAAGTTTTTGGTCTTTACGACACTCCGAAATCACGGTATTGCGCGATGTTTAGCGAATTATTTTCCCGCACGTTTTTTCAAGAGTTTTCAAGATTTTTAAAGCTGTCAATTGAGTTGTTTTTCAGAAAAGTGAAAGATTTTTCACATTTCTTAATAAACAAAATTATCAAAGTTATCAAATACTCTATCAACCTCATAAAAAAGGTTTGCATGCGTTCCGACCGGCCATTCCACGACCTTGATTATCTTGCTGCTTATCGAATTTATCACTAGCGAGCCTCGTTCCTCTTTTGCATAAACATTTAATCATGTTTCCGTTGTTTTCTGTTCATCTCATATGTTATTGTAAATTCCCTTATCTTCCCCGCCTGTTACTAATCTGTTCTCATTTCACATGCTAAAAGCGAGACATAAAAGAAGAAAATCTTTGAATTCGGGATTGGATGCCCGAGAACGTAAACAAATTGTGTATCTCAATCCTTGTCGCCAGTCCAGCCGTCGCTTTCTTTCGAGAGCATCCGCATCTCCTCAAATTTCTCGCCCGTTGCGTCCTTCTTTTATCGTCCATTTTGGTTGGCTCAACTATCCCTTTGCTCCTCAGTTTCGATTAAATTTTTAATTATTTAGTCTCCTCGGCCCGTCGCACCCGCGACCCTTTCTGTTTCTCTTCTTTTCTCGCTTCAGCACATTCAACACGCGGGCTCCATGCCCCGAGTCTCGAGAAGCAGTCAATAAGCTAGAGCCGTGCGCTCTGCAAGCCGCTCTATTCACTCTTTAATCGCATATTTCACCTGTCCTTCTTTTCCGGTCTCCATAGTGACTTCGTCCGTTGTACAATAAACTTCCATTCCCACTTTTTACAACTCCAATTCAATCTGATACAGAATGTCAAGCGGAAAACGGCGTAATCCGCTTGGACTCAGTCTTCCTCCGACCGTCAATGAACAAAGCGAATCTGGCGAAGCGGCGGCGGTGAGTAAACCCCTTTTTCTAATTGTTTCACTGTTAAACACAAAGTGTTCTTCATCATCAAAGTCATTTCAGGAGGAGACCCAGGCTACCGTTCCTCTAGAGGAGCAGCTTAAAAAGCTCGGGCTCACAGAGCCACAAACGCAACGTCTCAGCGAGTTTTTGCAAGTCAAAGAGGGAATCAAAGTAAGTACAAGAAAAAAAAATACATTTTGTTGCATAATTTGTAGGAATTGAGTGAGGATATGCTGCATACGGAAGGAGAACTCGGACATGGAAATGGAGGAGTCGTTAATAAGGTAAACGACACGAATTGGTTGTGGAAGGACGCGGACATGTTTTCAGTGCGTCCACAAGAAAACTGGAGTGATAATGGCTCGGAAGCTAGTGCATTTGGAGATCAAACCTTCGGTCCGGCAACAGATTGTCAAAGAATTGGCAGTTTTGCACAAGTGCAATAGCCCGTTCATCGTTGGATTCTACGGCGCTTTTGTCGATAATAATGACATATCGATATGCATGGAATATATGGACGGACTTTCTCTGGACATTGTGCTCAAAAAGGTGCGTGAGAAATACTTTATTCGTAATGTATTTACAACATTGACTCGGTGGTTTAATATCCTGGGGCAAGACGAGCTGGTGGGCAGTGCTCGCAAGATCCTGGGGACCCGGCATCTCCTGGACTTCCTGGAGTTCCAGCCTGACCTGGTGGTCCTGGTGGTCCACGCTGTCCTAAATCACAACAAATTGAGTCAGAGTAGCTCGTATCTCTGTATACCTGGCTCTCCAGCAACTCCAGCGTCTCCGTTGGTTCCGTCTTGTCCAGGAGTTCCAGCCTTTCCTGGCTGTCCCGGAGCTCCTGGTCTTCCTGGTGGTCCTGGTGGGCCTGGTGGAGCATCTCCACCTGGAAGAAGTGCTCCTGGCTCTCCTGGTGGTCCTCTTTGACCTGGTTGTCCTGGCTGTCCTGGTGGTCCTGGTGGCCCAGCCGGTCCTTGTGGTCCTGAAGCTCCATCTTCTCCGTTGCGTCCCGGGTTTCCTGGGATTCCGTCTTGTCCTGGTGGTCCTGGTGGTCCACCTAGTCCTGGAGCGGCAGTGCATGGGCACTGTGGTGGAACTGGCAGAATACGGTCGTGGAGCTCGGCATCTGGTCCTGGAGGTCCTGGCTCTCCTGGTCCCTGTCCTGGCTCTCCGTCTCTTCCCGGCTGTCCAGGCTCTCCATCGGGTCCTGGCGGTCCCTGCTGACAAGTGCAGCACTGAGCATCAGCCTGACGGGTTGCTCTCAGTAGAACATCGAGTGGATCATCTGGTCCTTCTGGCGCAACCTCGACCATCTCACGCCACATGTCTCGCGATCGCGATTTGCAGTACTCGACTTCTCCTTGCACGGAGGCCTGGAGAGTCTGCACATAATGGAAGACCAGTGGGAAGGCGATGAGCACAGCGGTGACTGCGACCGTCGAGAAAGTGACGGCGACGAAAGCGACCCCTCGCAACGATCCTTTACTCTTCTCGTCCATCTGAAAGCAGTTGAGATGAGAATCAAAAGGGAAAGGAAATGTAAAATGAGGAAAATTGAATTGCGAAGGTGTCTCGTGAGAGAAGAAGCCAGTCATTTCGCCAGCTATACCGGGTGCTTATATGCGATCGCGTCGGTGGAACGAAACAGCAAGTCGCGCACTTCTGGCGCTGCGTTTCCGCGCGGCGCGTACTGTTTCTTCCGTCGCGCGATGAACATCCCTCGACGTTTTCCCTCTGTACGTGCCCTCCGCGGTTGATTATGATGACGGCATCGCTTGGTACATCAAGGTGTAAAAGTATGGGTTTGGGGAGCGAAACTTGATTTCTGTCGTCACCTTCTCCGGTGTTCTTGATATGGAAAATGTATCAATTGCAGGTCGGACGACTTCCCGAAAAGTTCGTTGGCAGAATCTCAGTGGCCGTAGTTCGTGGATTGACGTATTTAAAAGATGAAATCAAGATATTGCACAGAGGTTACTTGAAAAGGGAACACTGATAGAAGAAAAAACAATTTCAGATGTCAAGCCATCCAATATGCTTGTCAACAGCAACGGAGAAATAAAATTGTGCGATTTCGGAGTATCCGGAATGCTCATTGATTCGATGGCCAATTCATTCGTGGGAACGAGAAGTTACATGGCGGTTCGTGTGGAAACATTATTTTTCTTGTACTCAAAATTTCAATTTCAGCCAGAAAGATTGACGGGCTCCCACTATACAATCTCCTCCGATATATGGTCGTTCGGTCTGTCTCTAGTGGAATTGCTCATTGGCCGGTATCCAGTTCCGGCTCCGTCGCATGCCGAGTACGCCACCATGTTCAACGTGCCCGAGAATGAAATAGAACTGGCGGACAGTCTCGAGGAGCCCAACTACCATCCGCCAATGAACCCGGCTGCGATGGCCATATTCGAAATGCTTGACTACATCGTCAACGGACCACCACCAACTCTTCCCAAGCGGTTTTTCACGTAAGCACCCCGATCCGTTATATTTAGATGAATTCTCTGCTTACAGCGATGAAGTAATTGGATTCGTATCAAAATGTCTCCGGAAGCTCCCCGGCGAGAGGGCGACCCTCAAGTCCCTCACTTCCGACGTCTTCTTCACTCAATACGCCGATCACGACGATCAGGGAGAATTCGCCGATTTTGTCAAAGGAACAATCAACCTCCCGAAGCTGAATCTATGAAACTGACGAAGACGTCTCTTGTGTATATCTGTTTAGGCTTCGAATCCGAGATGTGTCTCGATGCTTACCTTCATTTTCCCGTTTCCTCCGAAGACATAATCTAGTCTGTCGACTTCCTAATCAAGCCGTCCACTGCGCCCTGTTCAAAATAACACCCCATTAATTAGAAACCAAAAAAACCGTTCATTTATTGATGGAATCGTAAATGTTTTCTACTAACATTGTGTATTATATTTCCATCTGTCATCTTTGCATCTTCTTCTTTTTCAATCCGATTTCTTGGCGTTCGGCTCTTTTTCGGGAGTCTTCTGCGCTTTCTTCAGAGCAGTGTCTGAAATAATTTGCCAGTATATGATGTTCCGTAGTTTCCAAGTTCTGTTATTAACATTGTAGATTTATACTCTTCTTCTTTACGAGAATCCCGCTGCTTATAAAGATTCTATTTCCCCCCTCTTAATTTCTGATTTTATTTTTGTTTTTCGGTTTTCACCCGAAATATATTTGTCACCTGGCTCATTTGGAGTCTTGGAGTTTATGTATACGACGGTGAGGAAAACGAGAAGTGCGACTAGTGGGATGAAGACGTGGACAGCTGAAAAGAGCGCCACGTGGCAGAGATTCGGAGCAAAAGACTAACATTCGACGAGGTTGTAGACTGCGTCCATGGAGTAGTAATGCGCAGAGTGGACAAGTTGTCTTCTCGCTTCGTCGCGAGCATTTTCTTCGTGCTCTCCAACGGCTTTTGATCGATTTTCGGCATGCGTGCGCAAAGAAAACGGGGTCGGAGAAAAAGAAAATGAAGAAGCGGGAGGGCGAATTTCGGAAAATAAAAGGGGGATGCGAAGAGCACGCGCGGGGAATCTTCATCAAATTGAAAGTTTCGACGTCTTTTTCCAGATGGCATCTGGAAATAAACTCGGCGAGAACTTCCAAACGCTGACCCCTATCGTGAAGGCTCCGTTGTCGGACACTCTTTCGGTACCTCTTTCCCAGCAGGGACGCATTTGCGGATTCTTCGAGTCTCAGTTCTTCCGCTGCATGGAGGCCTACGGAGCCAAGCTCGGCCGCAAGTACTGCGATCTCGAGCACCGTGATTTCAACGAGTGCATCACAGGCGACAAGCAGAAGAAGGTTCGAAAACGGATGAGCTTCTAATAAACAACATTCACTTCAGAGAGCCGAAGCGATTGCTTCTCAGCGCCGAAAGCTTTTCCTCGAGGGAAAACTCGATTCGCCGTTCCTTGACAATCATCCGGAGCCAGGACAGTTTAAGACTGATCACTTCCAGTGGAACCGCATCAACTGAATTAGGTCGAATACATCGAAAGTGCCTTTAGAAAGAAACCACCACGTTTTATTGTAGATTACCTCTTTTTTTTAACCATAAAAACTGTTTATTTTCTATCACAAGTTGATGAGTTCATCCGTAACAAAAAGATCCGTATGTTCAATTACACGATAATACCTATGAGAAAAAACACTAGAAATGGAAGAAAAAGTCCCCGCGGCCTCCGCCGAATGGATTGAATCCGCCGCGGCCGTTCTGTCCCCGCTGGCTCTCCTGAGGGTCCAACGGATCGTTGCCGCTGTCGAACGCCCGCCGTTTCTCCTCGTCGCTGAGCACTTCCTTCGCCGCCGCAATGTCGATGAACTTCTTCTCCGCTTTCTTTTTCTCCTTCTCATCCGAGAAGTTATCGGGATGCCATTTCTGAGCCTGTTTCCGATACGCCTTTGTGATCTCTCTTTTGTTGGCATTCCGACGAACTCCGAGGATCTTGTAGTAATCCCGTTTGCCAATGAGTTCCTTCGCTCTCTTCGCCTGTTCGGTTCCCGTTTTTGCGGCTTCGTTCAGAGAATCCAATTCGGCCGCTTTTTCGAAATCTGCTATAGCTGAAAATGAGAGAAATGAGCACATCGTATAATGGTAGAGGAAGAACTGACCCAGATCGTACTCCTCGTCGAGCATATAGGCCTCTGCCCTCTGGATAAGAGTGTCCACATCCGAATCGTCGTATTCGATGACTCGAGTGCACTCTTCCACGGCTGCTCCGATGTTTCCCTCCTCTCGATTGCACTGGCACGTCAGACGCAACAAGTTCATTTTCAAGGCGACGTCTTCTTCGTTCGACTTTCGCAATTTCTCTCCGACTTCCAGACACTTTGACCATTCTTGGTTCTCGATCGCACTTTTCATCGAATCTAAACGAGTATTTGAAGAGATAGATCATAGATGCATACCCAGCGACTTCACGATCTTCCGAACCGATTTATAAGATGCGAAACACTTTTTGTGGTCTGGGTTCAGCTTGAGACACTCGCGAATCGTACTGAAACAATCATTCTTGGTCATTTAGGAACTGTGTTTGCATATAAACCTCAGAGAATCACGAATCTCTGTCACTTTGTACTGCAATTCGGACATTTCGAAGAGTATCTCTGTGCTATCTGAAGAGAGTTTCGAAGCGTGTTTCATGTCGTGAATCGCTGCCTTTAGCTTGTTTCCCTTTTCGTAGCACTTTGCCCGGTATCGGTACAAAGAAGCGTCCCACGACTGCAACTCCATGAGTTCCGTTGCCATCGCTTCGACGGCCTCGCAGTTCCCACTGGCCGCCGAATGCCTGAGAATGTCCATATCTCTCTGATGACGTTCGACAGTTTTAAGTTGTTCCGTGGCGTCCGTGTTCGAAGATGAATTATCGATCTGATAGCTATCTCTCTCAACGTCTATTCTCAGTTCATTCGACCTTACCAAGTATTGAAAATCAACCGCTGCCTCCTCCAATTGCCCCAATTTGAACAGTACATTCGCTCTTTGTTGTCTGGCGCCCGTGAAATCGGGTTTCTGTTCGAGGACAGAGTCCAGATCGGCGAGTCCCGGTTTCGGTCGTCCGAGGGCCAAATAGGCCGTCGCTCGTCGGTAAATGGCCTGATAATTAGACGGATCGAGCTCGATTGCCTTGTGATAATGTGGGAGAGCATCACCAAACTTTCCCTGAAATTAGGTAATTTTAATTTCAATGTCTTCCATTTTATTCTGATACCTTCACTAACAAAGCGTTTCCGGACTCAAATTCCATCTGAGATTGGGGTTTGTCGACTGCAAAAGCTAGTTCGGAGATGAGAAAAAGTAACAGAATTCGTCGTTTCATCTCGTACTTTTCTTTCGTTTTAACAGAAATTGTGAAAAACTGAAACTGGCGTTATGTGACGTATGCTTGCAGTTCAGAGCGCGTGAATGACGTGAAATAACCAAATTTCGCAAGTCGCGCTCAAACTCCCCGAAATGGAAGAGAATTCTCGCTTCCCCCTCTAGTCCTTCCTCAAATTTTTTTCTTTTTTTTTGTTTGCGTTTGCGTTATTTTGCATATTTTCGTTGAAGTAGTTGCTTTTTTTTTAACCCATTGTTTCTAGTATTGGTACAATCAGGTTTTATTGTCCCAGTTTATTGCCCTAATTTATTGTCCCAACAAAACCTGATTGTACCAATACTCGAAAAAATGGGTCGAAAAGAAGCAACTGTTTCAACCAAAATATGACAAGAACGAAGAGTACATAAAGTCAATTGCCAACGAAACCTACTACCAATTATTTCGCAGGAATGGGGAATGAAACGACTAAAAATCCGATTTCGCGAAACGAGCGAAACATTGTGCTGAATCTTCTCGACCGGGAAATAGGAACACAAGACACAAAATGTAGTTTCAAAGAGAGATTCAAGCAGTAAATTAAATTTCAGACTCTTCCTCAAAAGGCTCATATCGCCATCCGTATCAGCTGGTTGCTCCCTTTGCACCTCGCAACTCTTTTAAAATTTCTTTCAATGATCTGGAAACGAATTCCGGGTTAATCAAATTCGAATCGCTGGCGAATTGTCTCGGCTTCTCGCCAGATGGAAGACTCGTCGCTTTTCACAGTCATGCCCGTTCGGTTCGTTTCTGATTTCGAAACGAAGGAAGATCCAAGTAATTGAATCGTTTCAGAGAGTATCCATACTCGACTACTGCGGCGTTGAAGGCCTCAGACCTAATGAGCAAAAAGTGGACGTAAAAGTGAGTTGGGCTCTCCGCCGTCCAGATCGAGTATATTTGTTGCAGAAAGCCTTTTACAAGAGACTCGATGTGAATGTGATGCGACCGCTCATGGATTTCAGTTATATCGGACAGGGCGTGGAAGCGAGCTGGTGGACGGACGATAGCGAAGCGATCATACTCCATTTCAAAATGGAGAGCATGCCAGAATCTCGTGATGTAATCGAACAGGTTCGGACACTAACAACTACATGAAAAATAAATTTCATGTTTCAGGAAGAGCGTGAATATGACTATGATGAAGATTTGGCACTGAGAATCGAAGAAATGAGAAGGCTCGTATTGTACAGGGGATTACACGTAAGAGATAGGGCAAACAACCCGGAGGCAGTAGCAGAAGACGAAGAGGAGGAAGAAGACGAAGAAGAAGCAGAAGAGCAAGAAGAGATTGAGGTGGTCGATGAGCAGTACACACCCGTGGAGTCCGTGTCCACGGAACTGAGTTCGAATGGAGAACAAAGGTTGATCGAGAGATCGGAGGAAAGCGCAAAGTCCGAGGAAGAGGACGTTCCGAAGTACCACCAATCCACTGAGACCAGCAGGACCGTTCCGTTCTACTGCGCAGTGTGTTCTTCGTCGGAGCAGGCCTACGATGGTGATCTGGCGAACGGAGAGTGCAGTCGGACAATGACTGTCTACCATGCGATCACTTCTTCAATGCTCAACGAGAAGGACAATACGGATCCGAACGGGGAGAGTGAGGAATCGTCGTCGAGACCAGAGCCCGACTTGAAAAGGGCAAAGGTTGAGGAGAAGAGCCAGAGAGAGGAGCCCGTCCCTGTTGAGAAAGAGCAACCATTTGCGTCAATGTTGAAAGACGCAATAAAAAATAAGGAAAGCCTAGATCGTGCAGCTAGTTTACTTATGGGGAGGATGCGGAAACCTTCGGATAATCTCCGGAAGTGGATTGACCGTGCTCTTGAACTCGCAAAACACGAAGAAAACAGGAAAAGGGGTCTCGGCTACTGTTCCACGTCATATCTCTTCGGACGAACACAAAAATTGACGCTCAAATTCACTTATGAGGAGAAGCTCCGTTTAGCAATACAACGGGAGAAGGATTTAATACGGAATCATTCAGATGATGTCAAAGAAGATCCTCGCGCAGATACCAAATTCACATTTGTGTTTATTGCTGTGAACGCCTGTGTAAGTTCTGCTTCTTTCAGAATACCAGTTAGCAGAAGGCAATCTTTCAGACGGGTCAGATATCCATGTGCGATTTCATCAATACCCGGAAAGGATTCAACTTTCATATAAGGGACCGTCAGTTGGTTGTTGTCAGCAACAACGACTACGTAGAAACGTACCGTCTGATGGGCGCATCGTGGAGGATCGTCGATGCTTACAAGATCTCTCCGCTCATTTGTATGTACTCGTGTCCAATTTATTACCAGAACGGAAACATTCCCGGAAGGGCTTCTTCTGTAGTTCACAGAAGCGGGTAATCGATCACTGGATATCTTTTTCCAAGTTTGTTCTGTTGCAGAATGATTTTGGGAGACTTTTACAATCCTTATGCCTTCTACAGTCCCATTCAGCAAAATGCAAAGGCTCTTTTGTATCGAGATGAGCCCGAGTGGTTCGGCAGACACCCGGAGTTCGCATCGTGAGTGTCTGCATTAGATGCATTTTAAGAAAGAGTGACATTTCAGACAGCACCCACTCATCACAAGGTGTCATCAAATCCGAGATGACATTATCGCTTTCACAGTCACTTACCGTACTTTTGCATCCACGTATTAACCGATTACTGTTGATTTTCAGATAAACCTCACGATGAGCCTATCAATCAGGGACTTGTCCTCAAAAAAGAGAACAAAGAACTCTCGTTCTACCCCGATGTAAATCTCTTTCCCTTTCTTTACGAATATTTTCTTTTGCTTATAGTACAGGGAGTATCTCCAACTGCTTTTCACTCATCACATGGCCGACCTGGTCCCTCGGCAATGGACGTATCTTTCTCCCAACCCTATAACTACGCAGGAATGGTTCAAGAAGGCGTACATTGATATTTTCGATCCCGAACGTATGTTTATCCCTGCTAACCGAGTGACAGTTCTCATTTCTTTCAGAAATGAACAACTATGAGAAACTTCTGAGAACCTATGATTTTCTAACTGCACACATAAACTGTCCGGTACGTGATTCCACCCGATCCGTTTTAAAATTCTCAATTTTTCCAGAAAAGCACTTCTAGTCCATTTGTACATGGCAAGTTTAACCCGCAAATAAAAGCCGAACACTTTTTGTACACTTAGTGAGATTCAGAAATATGTGTCTCAGAATAATTTACAAAATTTATTTTCAGCATTTATCGATCGAATGATGGAACTCGCGATTTACCGAATGACCCATTCACAGACTATATGATGTCGAAAAGGAACAAATTTTATCATCCGCACGACCCACTAACGATTGTAAACGTGCACAAAAGTTGGCAAGTTGTGATTCCCGATGCCGCACCCGAAGATGTGATTGTCCCGACAAAGTGATAACTATTGCAAGCGAACTCACAAATGTATTTATTCTTGAACATGTGATACTTACAACCCCGAGATAAACCGTTGCCACGCGGCAAGTTGTAGTGATGCGTTTAGCCAGAACAGCTGTTCGGATCCACTAGGAAGTCGTGAAAAGGTGAGACGCAGAGCACCGGTGTACTGCTGCTCGCCGAGGATTGCGAGCAGCTTCTCTTCACTTCTCTCCTCCACTCCCTTCCTACAACAATGCGAAATAGTGCACCACTCAGGGAATTGCACGTGGCACTCGTCGGAATGTCCGGATCTGGAAAATCAGGTACAAAACAGAAGAAAACGAGAATGAAACAAGAAAAGCGAAGATTTCAGCTGTGGCTGTGAAGTACATCACAAAACGATTCATCGGAGAGTACGATTCGACACTGGAAGACAACTACTGCAGACAGGAGACCGTCGGAGGACAGTGTCTGATGGTCTGGATGATGGACACGGTGGAGAGCGCGACCAAGGACGAGATGCGGTGGATTGCGTGGGCGGACGTCTATGTGGTTGTCTATGACGTCACCAGTCAGCTCAGTTTCCAGTCAGTTTCGAAGTATACTCCATTCCAAATGACAAGCTAAATATTCAGATACTCGGAAGGTATTCTGGAGAGAATTGCCCGCCACGAACACGTTCTTTGTCCCCGAGAACACAGAACACTTCTGGTCGGCAACAAGAGCGATTTGGAAAGATACAGACAGGTTTCGGAGACGGAAGGAGAACGGCTCGCTTCCCAGCACAAAGCTTACTTCGCCGAGTGCTCCGCCGCCAGCGACCTGCGACAATTCACGCAGAGTCTGCACTCTATCTTTCAGGTAAATAACACAGTTTTTCGACTCACTGAACGAAAGCTTCCAGTATATCATCTCGGGAGCCCGCAGTCCCTCTCCGCGACAGTGTTCCTCGGATTCCGAGATTATCACTCCGAGTAAAGAATCCGTTCGGTCTTCTTTCAACTCTTTTGTCTTTTCCAGGAAAAGGCGCCTTCTCATCTCTCCGCTCCTCTTCCCGTTCTTCGCAAGTTCGAGCCAAAACATCCACGACGAAAACGCCGGCTCCGCTGCACAAAACTCCGTCGCTGAGCAAACTGAAAACCGGAAGCAAATTGCTGAAACTGTTTCATACATAACACTTCTGTACATTCGATAAAGAATAGCTTCTGTTATGTTCATGTTCCTTGTATCTGGCTTCTTTTCCCATTGATATTGCCCGAACTTTTACGAATTATTTCAAAAACAATATCAGTTTAGCTTCTTATAATGAAGTTTGCGGCGAAAAGGAAGAGCGCGAGCAGCCTGGACGCGTTGCTCAAAGCGACAGCGACTGGAAGTGAGCGATGAGAATGATCGGATGGATAAATGCAAAAATTTCAGATGAGCAGGCGAATGCAATTGACAAAGCACTGAACACGCCGACGGACAGAATCATGAAAGCGACTTTGCAATTTGAGAAAGTGCATACAATCAAAGCGACGGACACGAGCGAAGTGGAACAGTGAGACAGAGTGTACGCCCTGAGAAGCTTCGTCGATTTTCAGGTACAAAGTGCTGAAGGCGACCGTCGAGGATGAGATGAAGGCGGCTGAGAAGCTCAAGAAGCTCGGAGTGGCTCTGACGAATCGGCGATGCCACGTGGATCCGATCCCGCCCGCGTATCTCAAGTGCCGAAAGATTCAGAAGAAGTCTGATTGATCTAATTTACAGAATCTCACATTCATTGTATTATTCAATTCATTTATTTTCAATGATAATCATTCATTTCATAGCAATGTTCGTTCTCTTCATACGCCTTTCTTGCCTATCCCATAGGTACGTCCACCGTTTCTTGGGTTACTGTAGTTGCGGACGCCTTCGATCCCAGTGCTTTCGACGATAAATCCGAAGCATTCGATGCTTCAGGCTCATTCTCCATCACCAAATCATTTTTCAGACTATGGCCGGTCACCTCGTAGGTGGCTGCATTCGGTTCTTCGGCCGAGACCTCCGACTTCGACTTCGACTTCTTTTCCTGTTTGTCTAGACTTTCAGAAGTGCTCAGCAAATCCATGAGAACACGACGTCCTTGATAGTACATGAACTGAAAACGAGAGAATTCGATAATCCTTTGGAAGTTTGAAAGAAGGAAAGAAACTTCTCGGATGAAAGTGACCAGAAAAAATAAACAGAGGCCGTAACAGGTGAGAAAAGAGAAAAAGCCGACGATCGCTCGGACATCGTCGCCGAAAATGCTGAGAAGAGTTTGAATACTGCTTATTCATTCAGAAATCACTCACAATTCTGACTCGGAAATTTCATTATCAAGGCACTCGATTACGTCTTCATTTAAAGCAGAAGCGTCCATTCCACGTACAATTGAGACAATGAACTTTTGCACACTTTTGAATTTCCCCGCGACCTTTTCAAACAAATTAAAATCGAGAGAAAATATTTATGATGTTAACTAAATTCATGAAGTGAGGTCACTCAATCGTCACGTCGGCGTGCTTTCCCTTCGGCTCTTTTGCAATGATCGTCGCGAACTCCTTCTTCATCGCAGCTTGCAAACTGACGACATCTGCGAGAATATCTGGAGCACTTTGGAACTTGGTCAATCTGATTTTGACGTAGTCGATGGCCACGTAGAGACCGTAGATGCAATAGACACGATTGTGGAATGCGCCGCCACGCTGACTTCGGAGCATTGTGATCAGTTCAGTGATCTGCAAAGAGCAAAGGAATCGGCGAAGAACAGATGAGTGCTCACATCGACGGTATTGTTGCGGAACATGAGTTCAACGAGATAATCGACCATGACAAAGCACGGCGCCCGGTTGATTCCGTCGACGGAATGGATCAGATACTTGCCCTTTGTCGGTTTGTCCGCCGGCTGCAGAGCCTGAATGCCCTTGAGAATCACTTTCGGACTGGCCGCCACCAGTCCCTTCGGCCAGTACGGATAGTGAAGGATCGTCGTGAAACGGGAGTTCGAACATCCCTGCGGCAGGACTTCGATCGTGTAGCTGGCCGCTTGGTTCTTGCTCGTTGGAGCAGCCATCTTCCAGCAGTGAACCCAGAAGTTTCCGTGGTTGAAATACTTCCCCTTTTCGGTCGGAAAGTAGGTCGGAACACCATCTTCACTCGAAAATATCGCCACGATCACATCGATTTCGTCGTGAAAGACCATTTTCCAGAAATCTTCATAGTACGCCTCCATCGGGTGTTGGGCTACAATCCATTTGCGTTCACAGGGCGGGCATGCCACGTGGCTTGCATTGATGTAGTTGTTGTCTGATTCGGACTCGATCTTGAGCCGAAAACGGGAGGCGTCGTACAGCGGAAAGTCCGGGTTACGGTTCTTGTGTCGGTTTGCCTGGAATCCGTACGTCTTGTGTGCTTCCGGAGGACTCCGTTCGAACTGTTGCGACTGGAAATAGCCGAGAAGTCCTCCCGGTTTTGCTTCTGAAATGGCAATGAATCAAGAGTTGGTAGTCAGTGCCGAACGTGTCTGTGTCATCCATCCGACGGTGTTCTTCACTGCCAGCCGCGCCTTTTCGAATGTCTCGTCGAGTGTGCTCTTCCCTTCTGCAGCCGCATTCTCATTCGCATCGTCCTGAGATCCCTTCGAGTTCTTGCCCGCCTGTTTCTTTTTTCTACAAACAATCTGACCTCTCGGAGGATCTGTGACACTTGCTCACTTGTCTTTAATGTCTTTGTTTCCGGACATGTCTAATCAATCGAAAATGAATGAACGAAAGGGTATTCGTCAGAGGAACGGTCACGTTGGTTGCCCTCCAAGTTCTGGATGTTATCGACCTGTCCATATCCAGTTTATGATCCCATGCGGAACTGCAGAAAACCTTGGCGCTTCAACTTTTTCTCCAGTTTCTTGCGTATTTATTGTGAAGATTGCAGCATCACCGTCCATCTGATTCCCGATCCTTTCTTCAATTTACCTTCTTTTCAGATGTGGAAGTTCGTGATCGGAAGTGTGTCTTCCGCGGCCTTCCTGGCCACCCTCACCACCATTTTTTACTCGGCTTCTCTGATCGATGAGCTCGAAACCTTCCGAGGACAGATCAGGGAGGAATTAGCCGATTGGAAAGAGGTGACCGATGACACGTGGCAGAAACTGAACGATATGACGTCGAGAAGTGCACCGAAGAAGACGAACATTCTGAAGGCGTTTGTGAGAGGAAAGAGAAGCAACGGAGACGGACAGTGCAGTGAGTTATTCAGAAGAAGAAGGCAGTTCACAGAATAATCATTTGCAGATTGCGCGGAGCCAACCAAAAACTGCCCGGTTGGAGCTCCAGGAGAGAAAGGAGAACGCGGAAATCCGGGACAGCCAGGACCAGACGGAGTGGACGGAGGGGACGGAATTCCAGGAGACGTTGTCCATCATGATGTGCCCGACACGAAGGAATGCATAAAGTGTCCAGCTGGGCCACCAGGACCACCGGGACCACCGGGACCACTCGGAGCACGCGGAGAGAATGGACCAGCAGGACCACGCGGAGCCCTGGGAGACCAGGGAGAGACTGGAGCACTTGGAGAAGGAGGAGACCAAGGACCGGCCGGCCTTCCAGGAAGACAGGGACCACGAGGACCAGCCGGACAACCGGGAGCCATTGCAACTCCGGGACTGGCCGGAAGACCAGGACCACAGGGAGCACTCGGAGAACCGGGAACTCAAGGAACACCAGGAGTGGACGGAAAGGACGGAGCACTCGGAGCACCGGGAAGGAAGGGAGAGAACGGAAGAGCAGGAAAGAGAGGGAAGGACGGAGTGGCTGGAGTGCCGGGGACCCGCGGAAAGCAGGGAGAAGACGTCGGATACTGTCAATGCCCGGACAGAGCCGCTTGACTTGCACATTCTCTATGATAAACCATTTATTCTTGATTCTATGACATCTATTTAAACAGGCTGCAATAATTTCTGCGCAACGCCTTCGAGTCCTTTGCTCTGTTCGGTGGCAGACACCTGAACACTCTTTTTATTCGGAACTCCTTTCCAATTCACACTTACTTGTCCTTCCAAACGATCGGAAAAGTATTTTGTGGCTGCGTAAAAGACTGAAAGTCTCCAGAAAAGGACGGCTGCAATCAGAAGGATCACCGATTTAATGAGGGCGACTGCCAAGATCTTCTCGAAAAATTCCTCGTGATGGCTCTGAGAATAGAAGCGAAGGAAGGTCTCCGTGTCGAAGATGGCGATGAATAGCTGCAGCAGAGAGACGAATCCCCAGAAGAGAAATTGAGAGAGCTGAAGAGAAGAAAGGGTTGGGGTGGAAAGGTAAGGATGAAAGGATTACGGTGAAGAGGGTCATTGGCCACATGAAACGGTGCTTCTTCTTACGAAGCGCATAAATGGTGACGAGGATGAGAACGAGGTGGAATGCGATCCAGGAGAGCCACCAGGGGAAGAGGAAGAGGACGTAGAGCGGAATGACTAGCAACACTTCCAGAAGAACGAACACTTTTGCCACATTCTGAACTCTTTTCAGGTGCACTTCTGTGAATATTTAACAACTCACCACAACGTGACACTTTCCAAGAAGGCATCTGTATTTCGGATTGTCCGCTTGGAAATCGACATAGAAGTCGAAGAGTTTCGTCAAATACTCTTTCATGGGCACGTCATCGAAAAGCAGCACCATGATTGGAATTCAGGGTGCGAACCGACCGACGTCTTCTCAACTATTCGCATTTTCGACAGAAGTATTGTAGGTGTGTAAACTGGCGTGAGAGCGTGTGAAACGGAGAGAGTGCCAACAACAAAGAAAAGGCGAAAACACTATCACATCATGTGTCTTTTGGAAATATCTATCTCGATGCGAGTGGGTGTGGTAAATGCGAAACATTCTGACGGGAAACAATATGGGACTAGAATGATTTTCAGTGAGAATTAAACCTTCCATGGCTCATTTTCAGAACTTTTCTATTATTTCCGCTCGACAACTACTGAATTCAAGTTCTGTTCCCTCCCCAAATCTGATTCAAAAAAGAGAAAGGATTCATTGTGAACAGTCCATCATTCCGCGAATGTATTCCATGTTCGCACTCATCGAATCCACCGCCTCCTGCCCGCATTTATCTGCCGCCAGCTTCTTCGTGCACTCCAATTCGTCCTGGTACATTTGACAGTTTCCCGGGCGTCCCAACTGAAATCAGATTATCCTTGGAGCGCACTTCCGTTTCCCATCAAACCTCGGTTTGCAGAAATCGTGCGCACGGATACTTTTTGAGAGAAGGAGGAGAGTTTCGCAACTGGAACGGAATGTTAGTAACGGGGAAAAAAGAGGGACTCACTTCTTCAATGCACTTTCCGAACGGACCGGCCATCAGATTGATGCCGGTGCACGTCTTAGCAATCAGAACGGTCGCATTCTTCAGAAAATCGCATTTGATGTGTTCCATACAAACCTGAGATGACTTCAAGAGAATTCAGATGAAGAGAAATGCACTCACGAGAGCTTCCGAGCACATTTCCGCGAATGCCTTCAGCTCGTCCGGCGGGGGCATCTCCGCGTGTTTGGCCATTTCGACGGCGAGTCTCCCGAGCAGGGGCTTGCATTCGATCGATTTGATCGCATCCTGATGGTCGCACGGAACAGCGCCCCCCGAAAAAGTGAGGAAAATGAGGAAGACGGCGGCGAATGACTTCATGATGAATGGCGAAAATGGAAGAACAACTGCAGCTGCAGACGACCGAATGACCTTGATTGGCCGGCCCCGGTAAACATCTTCCGACACGGCGGCGTCGGAAAAAACTTTCCGGGATCGGCGAATCCGAGGTGTTTTTGTAGCATGTTCGGTCAACTTCGAAGTTCTGATTTTTATAAAGAAAAATAGTAATCATAACAACAACAATAAAAAGAAACAAAACGGAGCAGTAACAATAAAACAAATCGAATCAGATTAACGACTGCCACCGAATCCACCTCGTCCTCCTCGGAATCCTCCACGATCTCCGGATCTTCCACGGAAACCGCCACGATCTCCCCCGGAACGGCCTCTGAATCCGCCACGATCTCCGAAGCCTCCACGTCCTCGGTTTTCTCCGCGGAATCCGTCTCTTCCTCTGAATCCTCCACGATCGCCGTCTCTTCCTCTGAATCCTCCACGATCGCCGTCTCTTCCTCTGAATCCTCCACGATCGCCATCTCTTCCTCTGAATCCTCCACGATCTCCAGATCGTCCTCTGAAGCCTCCACGATCGCCGTCCCTTCCTCTGAAGCCTCCGCGATCTACAGATCTTCCTCTAAATCCTCCACGAAATCCACCCCCTTCACCGTCGCGTCTTTCTCTGAATCCTCCTCTGAAACCTCCACTTTCTTCGTCACGCCCTCTGAATCCTCCTCTTCTTCCTCGTCCGTCCTCATATCTTCCTCTCTTTGCACCGCCATAATCTCCAGAAGTTTCCCATTCTTCGTTGGCTCTTTTCAGATCTCTGAAAGAATGAACTGCTCGATCACTGCTACCAGGTTACAAACGAACCGTTCCCTATTCATCGCAATCTCTCTGTCTTTCTCCTTCTGATTTTCGACTTCTTCGACCTGTCCAGTGGCGGCCGCCTGTCTACGGGCGGCACTTTCCCGAATTGCCTTTACTTCAGCCTCGTCCGCATCCTGTTGCTCCTTCACAATTGTCAGACGTCGGATGACGCGTTGTTCACTCTCCTGTTCACGTCTCTTCTTCATTTGCCTGCAATAAAAGTATGAGATATTGATTGCGGATTCCTTCGCTTACTTCTTCTTGTCCATGTGGGCTCTCAACTTGATGAGCTCATCCGGAGTCTTCGCGTGATGCTTGTGATACAGAACTTCTCCCTCGTCGATGCCCTCCTCGATTTTCGTCAATTCCAACGTCAACCGGGGTCCGATTTCGTGGAGACGTACGTTACTTTTCTGTCCGAGCCCACATCCTCGTCCCTCCGAAATCTCTTGCGGGAGCTCCACTTCTTGCTGATCGCCTTCGAACTCGGAGTCACTGAGCTGTCCAGGACTGAAAGTGCAGAAGTTACTGAAGTCTAATGGAAATGTATCTTACTTGAGGAAGTAGTCACTGATGTCCTTATAGTTACTCAGATTCGGGATGTTCTTTCCCATCGTCTTCTCTGCTTGCATCAGCTTCTTCACCGATTTGTTCAATCCAGAAGCCACGACTCGAATAGCACTGAAAAACAACGAATGTTGTATAAATATTTCCTCCGCCGTTTTCTGACTATTGTCTCAATTGGATCTCATCGCTCTCTTCGTCGTAGCTGACGATAAGGCATCGCTTCAGATTTCCGAGTTGAATCTGAAATAGCACACCGAGTTATTTGAGTTGCTTTTCCTTATTCTTACAGTGTCCACATTGATAGCCGGGAACATATTCTGCATGAACGTCTGGACCAATGACAGATGCTTCATCGCGCCGTCTCCGAACCCATTCATAACCACAAGAGGTGAAGTTTTGAAAAGTTTGTCGGTGGCAACTGGACGCTTTTGGGAACTGATAATGTGACGAGCTAGTGAGTACTGTTTGACTGAAACGAGCTCAGAATAGGGGAGAACAAAGATAATTTATTCTACCTTTGAAAGTCAACGTAGGTCCCTGAGAGAAACGCATCATTCTAAGTTGCAGAGAAGCGTCGCTAGAGGTCAAAACCATCATGTTTGTAACTCCGAGAATCGCTCCGTTCACAATAAAATCTTTGATGTTGTTCCGTTTCAGAATCTTGAGGTTTTTTGCAGTGAACGGTTCAACAAGGTTTCGCAAATCCGATTCCAGCCCTTTCACGTACTTTCCGACATCTCCACGATGGATAACAAGACAATGAGGCTGTCTGAACTGATTCGTTATCACAAAATCCAAAAGAAAAACCGATCACCTTGCAAGTTCTTTCTCCTTGTTCTCCAAAAACTTTTGTTTCTGGATTTTCTGGACGAACTTCTCTTGATAATAAAGAGCATCCTTCTGACTCTGCAGTAAATAAAGCTTATCAAAAAAGTTTAAAGTAAAGAAATAGTACCTGTTTATCGACGTTTCCGCGATTATTATGGGCTCCCGACTTTCTCTGCTTCTTTCCTCGCTTTATCTTCATTTTATTACCTGTAAAACAGAAATCACATTTTTGTTTAAATTTCAAATTTATTATTTGAAAACATTCACACTTCAAAACCCTACTAAACATAGAGAAACTGAAGAAAAATAAAACACCTCAAAAAATTGCGAAAAAAGTTCCTCAATTTGACGTGAGTGTTTGCGGTCTGTGCAGCGTATGTGACGACAATTATTGAAAATTGAGACCCGCCAGTTTCGAACATAATTTAATGATTCAGCTGAACTCAGAAACGTCATTTATCGAAGTATTCTTTTACAGAATATGAATAAATTTGTCACACGAGCAACTCCACTAACTCCACGAAGAGGCCTTCAAAAGCGCCCACCAACGACCGAAAGAGCAGGAAATGAAAATGTGTCTTCTGCTGTAAATGTGCCCGAAACAGACAAGAAAGCAGATGAACCGACTGTAATGGAAAAACTGGTCAGTTGATTTGTCTGAAAACTACATACTGACTACGGGTGCTACTACAGCACATGGCGATACGAGAAGACGATGCACAGTTCACTTTTGACGTGCTTTCCAAGAATCGCCCGTTCGACCAAGCCATGAACGTAAGTTTAAATTGAAGCCAAGATAAGTATTCAAAATGCTTTTCCAGAAGACAATGACAAAGATAGAATTTGCTTCTACTTACTCCGACAATTCTTCTGAATTCATGCTTCTCTCGGTTGATGAATCCGTAGTTACCGCCTTCAAGGAAGGACAGAGTCTCACGATCCGAGGAGATTCCACCGATGACGCCGTTCTTTGCACCGACGTCGCCACGTTCCCCATCAAAATGATGGAGTCTGCTTCGACGGTTCTTCTGATGCACGACGTCCTCGATACTCCCGATTCCCCCACAATCCCGAATTTCGAAGTGAAAATGGTCAGTTTCTGGCCGCCTTTTTTCATTGAATATTTCGTTTGTTTTCAGGTCGACGGAAAAAGCTTCTCATCGGGCGAATTGTGTGCGGCAGTGGACGTTCTGAATATCGGACGCCTGAAAGATATGCTGAGGGAGCAGGAATTGAAATGGGAATGGAAGGAGAACGAATCGGAAGAGAAACGGAAAGGCTACAAAATGGAGGAGTTGCTGGACTCCGTTCAAATGAGCGTCGGAGAAGTAAAGACTGCGCTCGCCGACTTGCCAGTGATCAAGTTTCCGAACGGAAGATTCAGATATCTTTCGCACAAGTTCAGAGGGGAAATGCTCGGATTGATTGTTGAAATGATCGATGAAGACGAGATCGCAGAGGTCTCGATGGAATCGGTCCGTTCCAGGCACCCCTTTCCCAATCACATCTCCCATTTTCAGATGTCGTTCTCCGGCTTGCGTGCCAATCTTCCACAGAACGTTCCAGATGAGGCCATCCGTTGGTTTCTCCGTTCCCGCTGTCGGACGTCTTCACAAGAAGGCGTTCATTCTCTTCCGCAGGAGAATCTTCTTTGTGATCTGGCAGTCGTCATCCTCCAGGGACCTCAGAAACTGCCGCTCCAGCAGTTCCACGATTTGCTTTCCAAAATCATTCCCTTTGGAGTGGAAGTGAACGACTCCGTCTTCGAGGGAACTGCCGATATTGCGGATGCTCCGTTCGGAAAGATAATCTCCTATTTGGCTCCGGAAGACCTTCCGGACACTGTCAAAGAACGAATGCAGAGCCTTTTCGAGCACCGGAAGCTCTGGTCAATGGACCAACTTCGTCCGTATTTCGTTGATCTGTTCAAATCGAAAGTCGCCTTCGACAAATTCGTCGTTCAAAATTGCGACTACACCGTCTCCGAGTCTAACGAAATGTTCTATTGTGGTGTGAGAATTTGAGCTAATTTGTGAATAAAGATATTGACCTGATACCAAGTTTATTCAACTATTTGTCAGGGCATGACTTATTATTCTCAGAGAGCAGAAAGCGAAAATTCAAGATGGAAAACGATAGGAATCTCATAGTGACAGAGATAGATGCGTGACGGGGAAGTAGGGGGCGTTTGAAGAGCATGAAACAATAACAATTGTGCATATAAGACAAGAATGCAGTTGGAAGTGGCAATAGAGATTATTTGAAAGGAAAGCGAAAAAAAAACGAAAGGATGGCTAGGGTGCTGCACGTTCAACGGCTTGGATCGGCCTAGAAAATGTTTGAAATTAGCTATGACGAGACACATGTAATAGCGCAACTTGAGTATTATGAAATGGTTGGTTCTATGATCATAGTGTATACTGTTCAAAAGTGAAAAACGAGATGGGAAGTGTGGGAATATTACTGGGCTCGGGGAAAAAGACTTCAGTTGCGGATTTGTGGAGATTGTGAGATAGATCGTCATTACATGAGAGCAACCAAATACTTCACACCTAACTCGCAAACATCTGTTGAACTGACTTTCAATCGGCGAGCTTATCCATTATGAGAACATAATTGGGCACCCGCAACTAGACCTAATTAAGAGAACGTTTGGAAATATCTGGATAGATGAATAAAAGAGGGGTAGAGTTAATATACACACATTATCATGAATCAACAACGGGGCAGCACTATGTAAACGGGTTTCAACAAAGCTGGCAAACAACCGATAATGAGAAGGCACCGTACGGAGTCCGGTAACGTTTTGAATGCCATCCAGCGGCTTTTAAGAGCGACAACTACTTGTTACACAATTCGAAAAATCACTAGGGTAAAACTGCATTACTTCTCCCAGTCCATAAGCGAGGACGCTCAGAAAGAAGCAAAACAATGGTACAAATTGCCAGGCAACGACATTGAGGGATAATGAGGGACGGGGATACAATCAATTTAATGTCAAACACCCTTGATCACGCATGGAATCCATTAAATCAATTGTCACTTAAAGCTCTGAGAAGAAATTATACGATTAAAACACAATTACAAAAAGAATAGGATTGATGGAACGAAAAGATAGGAGAAGATGGGAAAGAAAAATGAATAGGCTGGGAGTAGGGTCGAAACAAGTTTTTAGGTAAAAGGAGAATCAAAGCAAACCTACTAAATAGAAAAAGGGCATAGAATGCCAAATGGTGTATAATGCGTAACTATTTTGTAGGGTATACAGAAAAGAAGACAGATTGGGAAATCCGGATTTCCATTTGCTTTCTTAGACGAACAGTTTAGACGCGAGGCGCTTGCCAGTGATCGATCGGAGCTTGATTTCCACCGTTCGAGTAGAAGCCTCCGCCACTTGGGCGGCTCATTCCGTTGTTGAAACCTCCTGAAGAACTCTTTGTAAAATTGTCCATTAAAACGATTCAAAACCTCTTCTAGGACCTCCAAATCCACCGCCTCCGGATGACGACGACACTGAGCCGTGAGCTCCAAATCCTCCGTTTGTGAACGGACGACGTTGGCTTCCTCCAGATCCTCCTCCGAATGCACCTCCGAACGCGCTGCCGCTACCAAAACCACCGGTCTGTCCTCCGGAAGAAAAATTGTTGTAGTTTCTGAAAATAATGTTTAAACGGATACTGATCCCTATAGTTGTTTACCCTCCGTAGGATCCTCCACCTCCGCTGCGACGATAGTCGACGGCACCGAAGCGGCGGTTTCCACCACGAGTGTTGTTTCCGAATCTTCCTTCGGCAGCGACCTGATGAAGCCAGTCTGGCACTTCCTGGTTAGCTTCTTGGATCAGAGTTTTGAGATCACGTCCGATGCCGCGGTTCTTGTCGTTGAAGAAGCTGGTGGCAATACCCAGATTTCCGCATCTTCCGGTTCTTCCGATGCGATGCACGTATTCATCAGAGTCACCAGGAAGATCATAGTTGACAACGTGACGGACATTCGGAATATCCAGTCCACGGGCGGCTACGGCAGTAGCAACGAGAATCGGGTATTGACCGGAACGGAACATTTCCAAGTTTCTCTCACGTTCGATTTGCTTCAAATCTCCATGAATCGAAACAGAACGAATCTGCTGACGGTTGAGGTAGTAAGCCAAATCATTGGCTCCTCGCTTCGTCTCCACGAACACAAGAACCAAGTTGCTGGCGTCCTCGGCCATCAGAATATCCATCAGATTCTGTCTCTTCTCCATATCGTTGACCCAGAGAAGACGTTGTTCAATGTTTTCAGAAGTGGATCCAACACGACCGACAGCCAAGAAAACGTAGTCCTCCTTCAGGAAGTCCTTCGCCAACACTTGAATTTCCTTGGGGAACGTAGCACTGAACATGGCAGTAGTACGAGCAGTTTTTGGTGGCATTCCTTGTCCAACAATCTTTCGAATCTGCGGCTCAAATCCCATGTCCAACATGCGGTCGGCCTCGTCAAGAACGAGGTAGCGACATCCCGAGAGACCAATGAAGCCCTGCTCAATGATATCGATCAAACGACCTGGCGTGGCGATGAGAATGTGAGCTCCACTGCGAAGGCGGTTGACCTGATCACGATAGTTTTCGCGACCTCCGTAGAGAATGGCCGTTTGCAAGTTGGTCTTGTAGCTGAACTTGGCTGCCTCTTTGTGGATTTGGATGGCTAACTCGCGAGTAGGAGAGAGAACCAGAGCAGACGGATAGTACGTGCGGCGACCATTAGTGAACGATGGCTAAAACTCTCTCTGTGATACGAGCGCTACGGAAGTGTCTTACCGGTTTGCTCATTTCCTGACCACCAGCCATGATATGCTGAATGATCGGAAGAAGGAAAGCCGCGGTTTTTCCAGAACCGGTTTGGGCGCAAGACATCAAATCGCGGTTGGCCAGCAACGTCGGGATCGAATACTTCTGCACCGGAGTCGGCTTCGTGTAACCACTGCGGTTGACATTCTCCATAACAGCAGCGCCGAAAGCAGCATCAGCGAAGCTTTCGATGGCTGTCGGAGCAGCTTCTCCGCTCACTTCAACCGGAATGTTTTCGTACTTGTCGAAGTTGATTCCGCTGTCGGTGCGGTGGAACAAGTTGCTAAAAAGGCAAATGTATATAAACTTAGCTTTATCCTCGAAAATACCTTTCAGTATATTCACCAGTTGCTCCTCCCCAGCCAGTCGTCTCAGCTCCGCTGGAAAATCTAGCAATATTTCACATAACTTCAACCTTTTCTCACTTGTTGTTGTAGCCGTTTCCACCATCAGCGTAGTTGTTGTATCCGCTCGATCTATAACTATTTTCTATTTCACCAACTGCGATTTCACTAAAAGGCGCTTTCGTAGACGAACAAAGGAAAGGAAGAACAAGCATATATGGTTAGGAGCCAACACAATCACCAACACACTATACACCTGTTCTCACCCATTCTCGTCGAAGTTATCGAAGTTCTCGGGATAGCCCATTTGAAACTGCTGCTGCGGTTGCGCATGGAAATAAGGAGATGACATGAATCCGGCCTGCTGGGCAGCCATCATCTGTCCCACGCCTGAAGGCACGAAAGGAGGCATCGCATACCCGTTCGATGAACTTCCGGTCTGAGCGAAACCGCCAACGTAGAAACCGCTTGCCGGCATATTGCTTTGAGGATACGAAGGAGACCAGCTGGAAAATGGACAGTAGTTTTCATCGCGAGCAATTGCCCACAAAAACAGCTTACCCCTGCCCTTGTTGTTGTTGTGGTTGCTGCTGTTGCTGTTGTTGTTGGTTGGTGTGATTCGCGTAATATTGTTGTGTATTCATAGTTGGTGCTTAGATACGACTAAATCAAACGGAAACCCGGAAATCGAAAAAAAAATCGGCGAATCTAAACCGATTTTGTACCCAATTCGTGTTGAGATAACAAACGTATATCTGCAAGAATACATATTTGGAAGAGTCGCAAACAGTGGAACGGCAATACGATTCTAGAAAACGTTCTGATATCCGAAATTGTTAAAGCGCTTTGAACAGTCGAACTATTTCCGTCTCTCAGAAACAGAATAACTACCCGGAAACACACGTTTCTCAAGCGCATCGTTTCGCGCAATTATTGAAGTGACAGCGAAGACTTTCAAGCTGTTCTGCTCCATAGGAGTCGACGGAAAAGCTCTTCCTTGAAAAATTATACAGAAAGAGATGACAAATGAGAGAATCGAACCGAAAGTCAATGGAGAAGCGGAGGGAGGCCTTATTGAACAGAGACACCCGCTTTCCACTCGAGACCAGCCGGCTGGCAAACAACATGCGCCTTTAGTTGTGCGCGTGCTGCAGCGTTTTCTGACGCACAAAACGCTATAGAACGCACGACTTTTCAAAGAAAATTACTGTTGGTCTTCAGAAGCTTCAGAAGCAAAAGCGGAAGCTGGAATTCCAAACACTCACTATTAAAAAATTATTTAAATTAACAAAAATTAATTGAGAAAATCAAAACGAAATCTTCAACAATTTTTTGCGACTACCGAAAAACTGAAAATGATGATAAAAGTTGACAGAATTTCAAAAAATGGCCCTCAGAATTTCGCGGCTCCAAAGTTTGATGCGCAGGTTTGTTACTGTATACAGCTGTAAATAGATCTACCGGAATTAATTTTTAGAAAGGTTAGTTAAAATTTTTAATTTTTGGTGACGCAGTCTTTCCAATATTCCCAATTTGGATCCTGATTTCTGGTCATTTAGCTGGAAAGTGTTCACTCGCGTTCAGTTCTTTGTAGTTGTACCAAGCAGAAATAGCGTGTGATCCGTGGACTCGCGGAAGAATGCGGTCACGTTGCCACGACAACGTTTTCTACTATAAAAGGACTAATTCAGACCGGTTGTGCTCACAAATCAGCACCCGCTCGCTCAAGAGAACGAACCGCCTGCTCACCGTCCATCAACCGAAATGACTGCGACTCCAGAAGTTCAGAAGGCCATCGAGGAAGTGAGTTTATCTGGCTTCCTTCAGTTATCCTGTCCGTCATTTTCCAGGTCTTCACGAAGCTGCAGGGCGCCTCCGACTGCACTTCGCTGCTGAAGAAGCATCTGACGAAGGACGTCGTCGCGAAGAACAAGTCAAAGAAGACCCGCCTCGGTGCCACACTTCTCGACGTCATTCAGTCGGGCGGAGAAAACCTAGACTCCGGCGTCGGCATTTATGCCCCCGACGCCGAGAGCTACACTTTGTTCGCCGATCTCTTCAACCCCGTCATCGAGGAGTATCACAACGGATTCAAGGCCACCGACACACAGCCGGCGATGGATTTGGGCGAGAAGAATGTGAGTTGAGCTGAAATGTTTAAAATTACCGCAAATGTTTTTTAGCTAGCCGAGCTTGTCGACCTGGACCCGGAAGGCAAGTTCATTGTGTCGACCCGCATCCGCTGCGGCCGCTCCCTCAATGGCTACCCGTTCAACCCGTGCCTCACCGAGCTCAACTACAAGAACATGGAGAGCCGAATGAAGGAGATCTTCGGAGGAATCTCTGACCCAGAGCTCAAGGGAACCTACTATCCGCTGACTGGAATGAACGAGGAGACGAAGAACAAGCTCATCGCCGATCATTTCCTTTTCAAGGAGGGAGATCGCTTCCTGAAGGCCGCCAACGCCAACCGCTACTGGCCGAACGGTCGTGGAATCTTCCACAACGAGAAGAAGTCCTTCCTCGTTTGGGTGAACGAGGAGGACCATCTGCGCATCATTTCGATGCAGAACGGAGGAAACGTCGGGGAGGTGCTCGGCCGGCTCATCAAGGGCCTGAATCTCGTGGCTGCGAAGGCGCCGTTTGCCCGCCACCCCCGTCTCGGATGGCTCACTTTCTGCCCCACCAATCTCGGAACGACTGTCCGCGCCTCGGTGCACGTCAAACTGCCGAAGATCTCCGCCAAGGACGACTTCAAGAAGATCTGCAGCGAGATGAAGCTCCAGGTACTCGGAACTGTCGTCTGCAGAAAAAAAATGCAATATTCTATTTCAGATCCGTGGAATCCACGGAGAGCACTCCGAGTCGAAGGAAGGCATCTACGACATTTCGAACAAGCAGCGCCTTGGACTTACCGAGTACCAGGCCGTCCGTCAGATGTACGATGGAGTGAAGAAGCTCATCGAACTCGAGAAGGCCGCAGCCTGAGCATCCTTTGATTGATTGCCCACCTAGTTTAGTGTTGAATAAACTATGCCCGTCGAAAATATTTATCAGTAATGGATCAGGAAAAGGAAGAAAAACAATTGAAGGTGCATTAGACAGGGATAAATTTAACAATTAGGAAAGGGGAAAATTTTTTAGAAACATTGTTTTTCGACGGGGAGCACAAGGGAATGGGTGCAAGATTTTTAGGATACGTGTTAGGTAAAACAGGGAAATAGCAATGTCACTTGGTCTTCGGTGGAAAATGAGTAAGGGGCAGCCTCGGAGATGACTGCGGACGAGAAGAGCGATGATTTTGTTGGGAAGATAGGAAATCTTCCTGAAAGCATTCAATTTTTAAAGATTTTCGCGTATAATTACATACACGATACGCTTCCGTCCGTTTCTGCAGCTTCTCGTAGACCCATTGTCTATCCTTGGAACTCCAGAAGAACATATCGTCAATGAGCATGATGCCACGGAAATCGAGACGAGTGGAGACTGGGAACGTAGGAACGGCGACGATCTAAACGCTTGGATAAACTTGGAGAGATTTGGAGAAAGCAGTTACCTCGTACTCACGAAACGGGTCAATCTCGATTTCTCCTATGAGTGTCTTCTTCATAGTCACAGTCACGTCGAGATAGGTCGAGTAGAAATAGTATTCATCCACGCACTAAAAAACTCTTTTTGCACTCAATAGTAAGAGCGGTATCTCACAGTTCTTTGAAGAGTCATGTCAGGAACAAGAAAGACTTCTTCCGGGAACTGTCTTTTCTTTTCTTCGTTGTTTGTCAGCGCGACAATGTGCGTCACAATGAAGCGATTGTTCTCGAAGCTCGCGCTGATAGAAACGATCTGAACGGACAAATTATGAGAAGTGATAGATTTGTTTGGACTGACGTCGAGTCGCTTGTCCCAGACTGGCTGCTTCTTGACGGAAGTGCGGGCTGCTCCCGAAACGATGTGCATGAGACCCAACGAATCGTTGAAACAAATCCAACGACCTTCCGATAAACGGTTCGTTTGCTTGCCGACTGGCTGTCCGAGAATGGCATATCCACGAATAACAATCCTGTGCTCAGACGGAAACTTTGCCGAAACGAGGCTCCGGGGATGACAATCGAAAGAAACCTAGAATGATCGAGTAATGATTTGAATGGGACAGAGCCTGACTCCGCGGTAGTCGCCTTCTTTGACGACCAGAAAGTAGACGTAGTCGTTGTTTTTGCGGTCAGGACGGTCGGGAATCATAACTTTTCCTATCCTGGAAGAGAACACTCTCAGCTGATTAGGTATTTGAGAATCTTTCTGAATGGCTCCTTCCACCATGAACGGATAATTTTGCTTGAACTTCTCGCGTGGAGTACCATCGTAGCTGTAAAAACGATTTGAGTCTAAAAACATTCACAATCTCACAATTTCTCCACAATGTCCTGCAGTTGCTTTTCATCAAATTCGTCCACCTGCTCCGGAGTTAGATTTCGCAAAAAATCACATGATGTTTCCAATTGGTTTTGTAATATTTGATATTCCGGAATGTCATTCTCTCGACGTATAAGAATGGACGGTGCCCGAGGTGGATGTGGGCTGACCGTAAGGGGAACGCCCGGTTTGGCTTCTCGACCTGGTCGCTGTTGATGACGGACGTGACGAACTCCCCACAGATCAGTAATATCGGGATCACTCAAATCTGGCAGATTCTGTATTGCACGAAACAGCTGGAAACGTGAATCTTAACTTTTAAACACATTTCTGTAATTTCTCTACCTGTGACTGTATCGGCGGCAAAATGTCTGTACGAGTATTCACAGAAATCGGTGGCATTTGCACAGTTGGAATAGAATTTCTGTTAACTGAAGCATCCGGAATTTCGAGTGGCTTCTGCACACGACGCATTGGAACCAGCGGCTGTCGCTGGAATACCGCTTGTTCTCCGTCTCGGACAATCGGAATGGGCCTCGGAAAAATCTCTTCAACGGGCGAAATCGGCCTTGTGCTCGTAGCCATGCTTAGAGATAACGGTTTCTTAGTCGTCGGTTGAGAATAGGCAGGTTTCGGAGGCTGCTGAGGTGGTCTGAGGGGTTGCTGCTGCTGAGAGGGATAGTTTGATCGTTGCGGCAGGGGCGCTTGTTGCATCGGATGTCGTATTGACTGTTTCTGTTGATTCGGCGGGTTTGATTGTCGCGAGCCTTGCATCTGATATTGCTGAAGACGGATTGGTTGCTGTTGAAGACGAATAGTTGGCTGTTGAGGAACTCGAATTGGTTGTTGTTCAACAGGAGCCGGTGGCTGAAGGGGACGAGACGGGAGTTGAGCACTCTGAAGCGGCTGTTGGAGACGATTAACTGACTGCACTAGACGCTGTGTGATCTGTTGTGCAGGTTGAGATGGCTGATGCATTGGCTGCTGGCCGAAATTATCTCGACGTTCTTCTTGAGCAATCTGTTGTCGGAGAGCAGTGAACATGTTCGGATAATCTTGAGGAGAACGAGTACGACTGATTTGCTCAGCGACCAGAGTGGAAGAAGCGAGTATCGGTTCGTTTGCGTTGAGATCAAAGTTGTTCGAAGGGCGCGTAGCTGGAATAGAAGCATCCATCCACGTACTCTGGTCGGCGGCAGGAATTTCTTCGATGGGAAATCGTCTGCGAGATTGAGAACGCGCCTGAAATAGTTTCTAATTCATGAGGCAAAATCCGTTTGTCTCACCGGATACCTGTCACGCTGACTTTGTCGTTCTGGGCGTTGGGCGGGAGTTTGAACCGGCACAGTCTCCAACGGAATGAAAGGAACGTCGTTACCAGAAAAACCATTGTGGTTTTCACGATTTTCCTGCCTACTTCTTGTTTGGGCGACTCGTTCCATATCTTCTCTCGAATACGTTATCAACTGCGCCCCTTCAATAGATTGTGACTGTTGCGGCTGATCTTGGAGATGTTGCTGAGGTGGATTCGGCAGAGGAGCGGGCTGACTAATTTCAGATACAAAATCCATGCGGCGGCGTCCGATCGGCTGAAGATATGCCGCCGTTTCTGGCGTGACCTCTTCGCCGTAGTTTAGAATCTGAGAAATGCCTGTTCCCTGAAATTATGTTATCATTCAGAGAAGGAACTCTGGAGAAAATACATTTCTCGAAGCACGGCTGTGATCAGCACTTTGTTGATGTGGCGACGAATTGCACGTGGAAGATGTAGACGAGTTGATGGTTGAGATCGTTTCCTCTCTGAATGAAAAGACTTTTGCATATCCCTTCACAAGAAGCCGAAACCTTTTTGGCGGATTTCCATTGCTCAGCAGTGCCACATTACGATTGATAGCTGGCACCTTCTTCGGCGACATCTGTGCACTATATCTCGGCTCGAAATGCTCCGTAGAACTGTGTCTTGATTTGACTGAAAGTGCGCGTTTTTCGTGTGACTGCGAATGTTTGTACCTCTGAGTGTCGTTGTCAAATAATTATTAATCGCTCGTAAATATTCCTCATCGGAATCACCCATTTTGCTGAATTTGTTGCTTTTTGAGTAGTATTCGAGGAGACTATTCGAGATGTACGAGAACCGAAACTTCTACTCAATATCAGCTAACTTTTTTTAAATTTAGAACGGTTTTTGATTCATGAAGCAATTAAAAAGCCAGAATATGCAATCATTTTCAAGATTTAGGACAAGAACAAGTTTGAGAAAGGTCTTCGATTTTTGGCCCGGTGTTTGCAGAAAAAAGGATATACAGTAGTCAAACTTGTTTAGGGGGAAATCATTTCTGTCGATTTCTTCTTCTTCTTTTTTTTGTCCCTTCCGAAAAAACTTTCAGCTATTGTTTCTCACGGCCATTTTCAATCAGTTTTTCATTTTCTTTGTTTGTAACCCTGCCAGCAACTGCCGCAAACCTCACGGCCGCGGAACTATGGCCTAGCAAACTCGGGGCCGACAAGTGAAGAAACACTAGCCAAAATCGTTGCTCTCTTTTTGTCTTAACTGGGACAGTTTTCCTGAAAGTGTTTTAAAATATCAATTTCTTTTGAACCGTCTGGTTTTGCAGTCCGTATTGTCATATTTTCAGGCGATGTCAGTGCATCGAGCAATGGGGTCGTTGCCCCGAATTAATGTTCCCATTGGACATGTTCCGCAGAAACTGAAGACCGGTGGCATCGAACCGAGCCGTCGAGCACGTCTCGAAGTTCTTCGTCGGATTGTGACGAGAACGGTGCGCGAGGAACGTGTCGAACTCAAGTGGAATCGCGCCGTCGAAGCGAGACCTTACCTGGAAAGAGTTAGTGATTTTGCAACTTATGCCCAGTTTTCAATTCACTTTTTCAGTTAATTCAATTGGGCGTCGAACGAGGTCCTCTTGATGAGTACACTGCAGAAATGATGGAATGGTGGCTGCCGGAAAAAGATTTGATCACCAAAATGCACGAGGTAAAATCGTAGCGCCTTCTTTGTGATTTCATTTTATTCAGGTGATTGTTCCCAGATTCACAGACCATGTCTCCCCGTTTACCTCGCTCTTCCGTTTGCCTCCGCAACGTCTCCAACAGTTTATTCAGAACAAACGCGAAGTTTGGAAGCGTTATGAGATTGGCGTGCTCGAAATCGACGGAAATCCATTCCCTCCAGTGCAAGCGGAATCTCCAGAACAATCTGATTCCATTCTCGATATTCTACTTACTGACGCTCTTCGCAACCATCAAATAAGTCTGCAGGAGAAGCTCGACAACATCAAATCTCAGTAGTTTACCGATAAATTCTAGTTTTAGATTCTTGTTTTTCTCTTTTTTGTTGGTGACTGAATGAATATTTCCCATACTTCTTTTCACGTTCCGATTAACTGAGGGTTACTGTTTCCCTGATATCTTTTGAGGATTTCCTGAACGCACGTTTTGTAAAATGTACTCAATAGACCGTAAAATGTTGGAAGAGCAGCCGGAAGTGAAGGAAGCCATCGAAAATAACCGATTCGAGATCGTTCTCAAAAATGTTCGCATCGATTCGGTCACCGAAGCGGCCAATTTATCACAGAAGCGAGTGTTCGAAAGTGTTCGTTTTCGGATTCCCCGGTCCCGTTCCGTAATTGGTCCTTCAGATGCCCCAACTCAATCTGCTCTCTCTGACTGGCTGTTCCCTCCAGAACCTCTCGTCGTCCATCAAATTCTGTTCCAATCTCATATCGTTGGTTTTGCCAAGTAATGATCTGAGACAGCTGCCCGATATTTTCGGTTTGTCCCAGTCCTCATTCTTCTCAATTCCTCCCATTTTAGATTCCTTTCCAAAGCTTAAATTCGTGGATCTTTCTCACAATTCTCTCGATTCGCTGCCCTCGTCACTTTCCACATGCGAAACCCTCGAATCTCTGATTCTGAACAACAACGTGCTCACCCAGTCGAGCTTCCCCGATCTTTCGAATCTACTGAATCTGCACGTCTTCGACGCCTCGCACAACAATCTCTCCCGAATACCTTCTTCTCTCACTTCTCCCAATTTGTCCGCCAAACTGCACACAATCACGCTCACGCACAACGCCATCGAGGAAATTCCGAACAGTCTGAGCAATTTAAAACAATTGAAAGACTTTAAAATCGATGAGAATAAGCTGAGAGAAGTGCCGACGGTTCTGGCGTTTCTGCCGAAGTTAAAAGTGTTGGATATCTCGCAGAACACGTTCTCCGAAAGTCGTTTTTTGAAACTGGCGAACGATAAACGGGCGAAGCTGAACGCGATCATCGCATTGGCAAAGAAACTCGGAAAACCGATGGAGAACGAAAAGGAAGAGAACGACACGTGTGCCGATGAAAAAGCAGAGACCGAGGAGTCCGAGAAGAGAAATTCGCTTGTCGTCCGCACCGGAATCGAAAATCTGACTGTCCGCAGACATCCGAGTGTCGCTGAAATCCGTCCGTTCCTCGTGTGCTGCGTTTTCAATAACGTCGATTTGAACGGTGATTCGTTCAAAAAGTTCATAGCACTGCAAACGAAAATGCACGCGTCGTCACTGTGCGAGAATCGAACGCTTTCTGCCATCGGAACCCATCGTCTCGACTCTTTTCAACTTCCGCTGTGCTACATGGCCTTGCCGAAAGAGGATCTCTACGTGAGCAATTCGGAATTTCCCTTCCTATGTAATTTGTGATACCTTCAGATTCGTGCGCTCAATAAAAAGTCAAGCGTCAGTGCTTCTGAGCTGCTCGATAGCCTTTTGAGAGACGCGGAACTCGCCAGGAAACGAAGCAAAAGAAGCACGGTGGATCCGTTGCACAAGTATCTTCACATAGTGAAAGACGAACAAGTGCTCGCCTGTCTCGTCGATTCGCAACAAATAGTAATCAGTCTGCCTCCGATAACGAACTCGGACTGCACAAAAGTAAGACATTCTTCTGGATAAGCTCTATTATCTCGATATTTGCAGTTGACGGTTGATACCACGAGCATTTGGGTCGAAGTTTCATCAAGACAGTCCCTGGAAGCATGCAAGAAGACGATGGACGAGCTCGTCGTCGCGAGTGCTCTCTTATTCCCGGATCTTTCGATCGATCAAGTCCGAGTAGTTGACAACGAAACTCTGGTTTCTGTTTATCCAGATAAAAACGATCTTGCCGGAATGTCCGTCGATCGGTTAGCCCAATGAACTTCCAATTTGTCTTCCCGTCACCTCCCCGTTGTTGTTCTGTTTCTTGTTGTTTCCATGCCACAATAAAATATTGCTTTCCCATGTGGGAGTATTCTCCCCGTTCCCCCACTCTCTTTTCTCTTTCTCTGGTCTCCGGCCATGATTATATCAAATTCATGGCGCGATATCGTCGAATCAGTTGCCAGAACAGAGGGCATTTTCAGAAGAAGGAATCGATTAGGAATGACCGAAACGAGGTGGGAACTCTGCATTCACGCCTTCTCCTAATCATGCGTTTCAGCGGCGTTTCCATTGCGAGCAGCACGATTGTGTGCGCAGAAGCGGAGATAAAAGGAGAAGTTACGATCAAGGAGGGCTGCGTCGTCCATCCGCACGTCATCTTCGATGCCACGAAAGGGCCGATCTTCGTCGGTGACAATAACATTTTCGAAGAGTATTCCGTCATTTGCAACAAGTCAGAATCCCCGCTCTCTGATTATTAGCAAATATTTGCAGCAGCGACGGGCAGCCAATGATAATCGGCGACTCGAACATCTTCCAAGTGCACTCGAAGTGCAGCGCCAAGTACGTCGGAAGCCGGAATGTGATCGGAGTGCACGCGGTGCTCGAGGACGGCTGTTCGGTGCCCGATGACTGCAGCGTCGCGCCCAAATCACACGTCTTCTCCCGACAGAATCTCGATCCTTCGGTCGCTGTGCACGGACAGTTCGGGGAGCATAGACAGACGGTCACTCCGAATTTGGTAAAAGAAATCGGAACTAGAAAAAGTAAGGCATTTCTCTCGTTTCAGACGCCCAACACGCAACTGGAATTCCTCCGAAAGGTCATTCCATCCTATCACCATTTGTACGGAAAGAAGAGGGCGACGGCGGCGAACCAATGACAACGATTTCTGTGTCCAATCGCATTTTGTACCCATTTCTTTTGTATTTATTTTCAACTCGCGTGCTTCGAAAGCATACTAATTCCCCCATTTTCATGCTTATTTTTATCATTTATAAAATTATCTCGCCGGCGAGCCCCCCACTTTCCCTAGAAAACAATTTTGTCAACGTGAAACCAACAGTTAATTTTTATCAAAAAGAAGATTCCATGAGAATAACGATTGAATGAAAGGAGGGAAACAATAACAATAACAAAATTAACAAGAGAATGAGAGGACGGCAGATGTTCACTCGTCCATCTCAGCGTCGTTCTCCGGAGCAGCCTCCACAAGCGGCGTCTTCTTCAACGCCTTCACCTTTCTCGTCTGAATGTCGTCGGTGCGTTGCTTTCCGATGTGCACTCTCGCCAACTGATTTCCGAAGACGTCCTCGCTCATATTCTTTCTTCTCTTCTTCATGAGCGCCTTCGGCTTCTTGCATGCCAGTTTGAACAGAACGTCGTCCGCCAGTTTCCGTCTCATTACTTCGAAGTTGAGAGATGGTCCCATCTCGGACAGCTCGACGCGCGGTGTCGCAGAGGCCGACTTCTTCAGAAGCGGACGGTAGACACGGAGCGCCAGATTGCTCTCGTCGATGGCAGTGACAACGATTACGGTCTCGAGTCCTTCCAGACGAACACTGTCAACCTTAGGACCGCGGAACCAATCGATCATGAGGTTTCCGATGCGTTTCATGTCCGAATCCGACTCAAAAGCAGCCCCTTCGAGAACGATGCACGGCTTCGATCCGAGAGTCATTTTGGCAGTCTGAAACAGCAATGATTACTTCGATACGTCTTCTTGATAAAGATCTTCTACCTCAAAGTTAGACGCCGACTTGTAAGCGGTGATTCTGAGCTCGGCCATATCAAGAAGTTGTCCGTCGTAAGTTCTGCCAAAAGTGAGACAATTCGGCTTCTTTTTCGAGTTGGAACCAAGGATAAACAACGAGGTGTCGAACTTGGAACCGGCGCGAACGACCGGAGTTTCGTCTTCGAACAAATGGTACGGATTATGTCTGAAGGTCGCGTTTGCTGGGTGCAACATGACGGATCGGACTTACTTGTCCATTTTCGTGGTCAACGGCTTCTTGATATCGAACAAATCCATCATGGCGTGGTTGATAATCTCATTCGTTTTGGCACCGCGACAGAATAGCGTCTTCTTGTCATTCTCAACCGTTTTCGGAGCTCTATCTTCGAGAACTCGTTTTCCTTTCTTCGTTTTAATTTTCTCAACTCGAACCATTCTGCAAATATGAATAAGACAAAAACAAAGAAAATAGGATAGATAGACGATTTTGTTAAAAACAGAGTTTCGAAAATCGCGGAAGTGGGATGAAAAAGTCAATAATTTATGTATATCCGTGAAAATCACCGAAAGAACGATACGAGGAGAAAATACATGTGAATTGTAAAGAAAAACTATGGAATCAAGTGAAATTGTTGCGACAAAGTGGGCACGTCGATTGGTTGCTGGACTCGAACCATTTGTACTGAAAGAGAAAAAGTTGGGGAAAGTTAGGCCGCGGCCGTGAACTTGCGGGACGATCTGGGCATGAAACCGAGAAAATTGTAACTTACCAAACAATTCGAGTGGAATTTGTTCTTGCACTGCTTGCATTTGACCTTGGGCAATTGATGGGTCGTCTGATGGACTGTCATCATGCAGATAGTGCAGTCCTCCACCCCTTCGACGCCCTTGTCCACATTCCTCTTCCACATTTCGATGCCTTCCAGAATGGCTCCGTTCTGATGGAATAGGTAAGCATTCAGTTGGAGCAGCCATTTCTTGGCCCGATCGGTCTTCACAATCGCCTTGTCGAGGGTCATAGTGGGCACCGACAGCGGGTAATCCGGCGGCAGTCCGATCGTCAGTTTCATCTTGGTTTCCTCGACGACGTATTCCGCAATGATCTCTCCCGTCACCGGCACCGTTCTCACTTTCATTTCCCCTCCGAATGCTGCTTGACGGACCTTTGCGAGTTCTTGCTCAATGAGCAATTTGCTCGCGTATTTGGTGACCGCTTCATGAAACATTGGCATGAAGCAGTTGGGCATTCCTTTGTAGAAGAGGCGAACGACGGCCGGAAGAAGGGTGACGGACTTGAAGAGGAGCCGCGTGGCGAACTTATCGAAGAAAACGGGATTGGCCGAGTGGTCAGCCACCAGATAATACTCTCTTTCTTGTGATTTTGCTGAAACAAATTCTGTATGGATTGAATAAACTAAAAAGAAAAGCTCACGAATTCGACAGCTGATCGGCATGCGTCGGAATTCGAATGGCTGATCAATCATTAATGAGTTAAGTCCCTTTTTGATAAACGGATCGATGGTGTCGCAGTAGGAGACTCTGTGCTCTTGCTTGAAACTCGCTTCCGGTTTCTCGAGCGGAGTGAGAGCCAAATCCAGGAGAAGGGGACCCAGATGAGAGTGATACTTTTCCGGATAACACTTCGGAATCATAACGGGTAGATTCAGTTTCGGACGGTTCGTCGACACCTGAAACTATTCGGGAAGACGTGACCCAAGTAAGAAGATCATGTCCTACTGTTTCTTCTCCCTCTTCCTGTTCTCTCAATGCTACTTCGTTCTCCACTTTGAACATTATCGGCATCAATCTGAAACTCTCTCATTTTATATTATATCTGTTTTTGATTCACTCACAATTTAGCGACGGCGAACCCGATGAGTTGAATGTGCTCGATACTGGAAGTGAGCAAACTGAAGGCATGGGAAATGCACGATTCTTGGAATGGCAAATAGTTGAAAACGGAGAGCTCAGGCACGAATTCCCTGCCCGTTTCGTCGTCATCGCCAGAACAGTTAGATGGGAATTCGGGTAGGGAAAAGAGGACTTTGAGAAGAGAGCGGAAGAACGGAGTGGGCTGTTGCTCCTTGCGGACACTTCGAAACAGACGGATCAAATACGAACGGATCGTCGGAGTGTAGAATTCGTTCCATTCGTCCACACTCTGCTGTGAATTTTCCTCGTCGGCTGCTGCTTTGGTCAGAACTAAGAATAGTTCCAAGTAGAGAGTTGTGAGCACCTCCAGACGGGGATCTTCTTCAAAAGCATGCGGATTCGTGGAAAGGATTTCAGTGGACTTCTGAATTAGAACATGGAAATTAACTCAAATCAGTGGGTGTTTTACGTCGAGGACAGTGACGATTCCACAGAGAGCGGCGTCTTTCAGCTCGAAGTTTTCCGTGTCGAAGATCGCTCCTTTGCTTTCGATAAAACGTTTAGCGAACATAATATTTGCCAGCCAGTCGTTTTGTTTTGTACTGAAAAATGCATAATTATAATCTGAAATTACAGAAAAACGTACAAGTTGAAGTGGAAAAGATCGATCGAATCTTCTGAGTGACTGAATTCAAGTATGTTCTCCAAGTATTCTATGGGATTTTCGCAGATCGACGGGAAAATCTGCTCGATCTGTCTGGCCGACTTTTCTTTGTCTTCTCCCTCGAACGTGTTCAGTATTCTCTCCTGCTCAACAGTAATTCCATATTGTTCTGCGAAAAAGTTCGCGGCCCGATTCTCCAGAATCAATTTCTCCACACCGTCCGACTTTCTCACTCTCTTCTCGATTTCCGCCTTCAGATGGTTTAATTCTTCGTCCAATACTTTCAAACAGTATCTCTCGCCAACTGAACGGATCACTTGGATCATTTGCCATCCCATGCTTTTGTGGAAGGAGGTGTGGTCTGAAATGAATGAGGTCCCCGCTGAATATCTCAAATTGGAAAAAGTCGTACAATGTGAGGCAAGATTGAAGAGAACTCGTCGTCCGAACACAGTGACCAGTGCCTTCGCTTCCCGTTCTTCAAGGTGTTTCACTGATTTGCAGAAGGCATCTGTGAGCACATTCGCTTTTTGTGAATACGTGAATATATCTAGTTCCAACTGAAAAAAGCCTTAATAAACAAAGTCGGAACTTGTGGTCACTTACGAAATGCAACTTTGCAACCATTTCATTGTATTCTTCTTTCGAGAACAGAATCTTTTCGGCGATCACAACTCTCGATTCCTCCGAACACATTCCGATTAGTTTGTCTAACCGACCACTGAGTTCCAGAATCCGTTCAGCATCGAGGTCTTCATTGTTGGCGAATAGCTTTTCGAAAAAGTGATCAGAGTTGAAATTCGTCGTCAGATGACCTGCGACAGTGTGGAAGTGCTCCTGCTTCGGCTCATCTTCCGACTCGAACAGCGCAACGAAGAGTTTCTTCACGAGCGTGCTCTTCTCCTCCGAATAGGCCGGATCGTTCGTGTTCATCGTGTGCAAGAACGAGATAAGGAAATCGACGTTTTCGGCGGCTTCTTCAGTATTCAAAGAGATTCCCATTTGCTTCAAGAAGTTCACCGCCGTCGCATTCGCCTTTCCGTTCCTCTGCTCGTGCCAGTGGTTTATCATCTCCTGGAACACAGACTCCGGGACGGATTTCAACAGTTCGTCCCAAATTTTGGATTCTCCAGAGAGCAGGAGCTGTCTTCCGACATGGTCATTTTTGACAGTAATCTTCAATGTCTTGCCGCTGTTCAAGATCATCAGAATTAGTTTGACGACGTCTTCGCTTTGAATCGCATCGAACGAATCAGTATTCTCGACAAAAGAAAAGTCTGTAATTTTCTGAAGTGCCGCTTGGAAATAATCGTTTTCTGATCGAGCGAGATTCCGGATAACACTGAAGTCGCTGAGATTATGAGTTTGCAGAAGAGTCGCGTGGAGATGCGATAGCTGGAGAAGCCGTCCTGGAGCTGTCAGAGCATCCCTCAGCAGTCTGCTCTTTTCCGTATCCGTTTCCGTAATCTGCGCCTCCAGCATCTGACATAGTCTCCTGATCTCCGATTCTCCGAGCGATCCCTTCTCGATCATCCAGAAAATCAGTTCGGAAACGCATTCAGTTGCTTCTGCCGTATTCAGTGACATTGCTTGCTCGCTTATTTTGCAAGTCTGAAAAGAGATTACTGGAAGAACGTTCGTTCCTGCAAGTTACCAGTGGGATAAGAGACTGTAGAATATCCAAGTTGATGCGATCGTTCGTCAGAATCCACCGTACGAAGTTGGCGTACGTGTGAAACCAGCAATGAATGGCATTCGTCGAGGCGTCGGCACTCCACGGCAGATTGTCTGTGAAGCTTTCCATGATGGAAGTGACTGATTTCAGGTCTCCCCCCGGATTATTCAATTCCTTCAGAAGAGCGACGACGGCGGGAAGAAGGTAATGCTTGAGCACTCTCCAATGATTTCCTTTCTTACGAATCACGTTCAAGAATCTCGGAAAAATCGCTTTTTGAAGGGAAACTTTCGTGCCGAAGCGCTCGTTGTGAATGAGAAGAATGATTCCTTCCCAAGCAGTGGCACATTCTGGAGTGAATGTCTGCGCATCCAGAGTGTTTTGAATGTAGGGGATGATTGGCGGCACATTGAGCATCACGTCCACGTGGTCTGCGAATCGGTAGCAAAGAGTCAGCAGTTGAATTCGCACACTCTCTCGCTTCCCGGAGAACACCTTCTTGACGTATTCCGTATTCTCGAAGAGCTTCCGTGCGTGTTCCTGCCAGATCGAAGATTCGTTGCCGAATTCCTTCAGATACGAAAGGAACATATTGAGTGCCTGGCTCTCCAGACGCGACGTCCGTGCTTCTTTGTCTTCCGATGCGTCGTACTCGACTGGAACCGTCAGTTCGTGCTTTCCTTGTGCGATGTTCGCTGCGATTTCGAATGCCGTTGGAGCGAACACTTCGACCACTTGCTGCTTTTTCTCCGCGTCGAATCCGTCCCGAATGACTGCCGATGCGGCTGCTGCCACGCCGTTCGTAACGTCTGATTTGGCGAAAAGCACCATCGGAATCACTTTCTTCAGGCCTTTGCTCGCCGATTTCTTCAGTTTAACCAAAAACAGAGTGATCGTCTTCATGGTGAGCATCCGGACGGACGGACTTCCATCTGTGCTTAGCTGAGCGACGAGTCCGCAGAAGTGTTCGTAGCAGTTTTCGATGGACGTCGTTTCCATTTGGATCAGTTCCATGAGCTCTTTCAGTCCTTTTTCTCTCGTCAACGCGTCTTTTTTTGTCAATTTCTTCATCACAATCCGCGTTTCGTCGTCGATTTCGCTCATTTGATGCAGTTTGTTACTGCTGGCAACCTGCAGGATGGCGCGTTTTTACCTTTTCCTTTTCACAACGAACTCACCTCGAAGATGTTCATTTCCGGAGTGAGTCCGACGAGAGTGGCCCCTCCCTGAGAAAGGTATCCGTGGGCGGCCGCACTGCTCGCATTCTGAACCGGTTGCTTTCACATTTTGAGCAAAACGCATCAGATACTCACCTTTGCGTTTCCTTTTCTTCTCTGTTGTTTACTCATTTTAACTTAGCTGCAATGTTGCCAAATAGGTGAGAAGACGAGGATAGTTTGCCTAGTGATTCGGTGGAGCGCGTTTGCATTCGTAATATGTTTCTGGTTGTGAAACCGAGTTGGGCAAGGGAAAAGAAAAGAAGCGAAGCCGCATATTTATACGGACTAAAAATTGAACAAGAGAATTCATGACACATGATTTAGGGGGAACAGCACAAACAAAACATATTGTGCAGGGTGCAGTACATACAAAACTATCAAAATTACTATTTCAGTCACTCCACGTGGATTGATCAAGAGTACCATCCTGCTCGTCAGAAGCCATCAAACTCTGAAATACTCACAGTTCATAAGAAAAAAAAAATGGATCAGGAAAAACGAACATCATCAGAATCATCATCATCTGCGCTTTCGGAGCCCAAATTACGTCTCTCATTGTTTTCACCTGAAAAAAATTATTTGTGATGAAGTGGCACGTGTTGGGCGTTACTTTCATCTTCTTTGGCAACCGGACTGTTGGAACGGGAAGTGGGCCGAGCAGCCTGCTTGTCCGCCAAGCGTTTATTGTAATCATTCATGTGATCATTCATTGAAAACTCCACCGGAGTGGCATCTTTTCCTTCCGGCTCTTCCGCATTATGATCTCCCCAAAAATCGAACATTTCCTTTGTGTTTTGAGTATCCCCAGAGTCGTTTATATCCAACGAGTCATCGTCTTCTGTCAAGTGTCCGGCACTTTGTTCCAATTCTTCGGAATCCAATTCCACGTTGGATTTCTCCTGGCTGATAACCTTAATTCCGGGGAACGAATCGTGCAGAATTGGACGAGTTGAGTCTGTGAAGATATTAACATGTTTCAAGGCCCGAAGTCGTTTCATTACCCGATTCAACCGACTTTCTGGTCTTGCACGGTACATTTCTTCTCCCAGGAATCAGTTCGCTGTTCTCGAGAACGGCACTTGGAGTCTGATACTCTCCGGAAGCGTGTCTGTTTTTCGAGAACGACGGGGGCTGGGGAATGTCCGTTTTCGACGCCTGCAGCAGTTGGAACGCCTCCTGTAAACCATCGGTTACCGATTATCTCTCAATTTATAGTTCTTCTTACTTCTTTTCGCGATCTTCTCGTTTTTAAAGTTTTGGGCAGTTTTGCAGACTTCTCGGTAACTTGCAGCTGAATGAGCTCTCCGTTATTTCGTTCGATCTCAGCCTCTAATGCTTCCAGTTCCAGCTGATGTTTTTCCAGAGTTCCCTTGACGGACAAGAACTTTTCCCTGTACTGATGCATTTGTTCGCTTTCATTCAATAAAACGTTTTTTTCTTTTTTCACATTTTCAAGAGATGTCCGCAGACGATCAACAGTGTCCTTTTCGGAAATAACGACGTCCGATGAAAGTGGGGAAAGCGATTTCAACTGTTGCTTCCGTGCCGAATCAAAGGCCGCCCATTCGTCAACAAGCCTATTGAGCTCGTCTTGATCAGGAAGATCGCTGATCAAATGTTCATTAAAACCGACAGATGAATCGAGTTCCTGTTTATTTTTCCATGTTTTACTGAACCCTCAGATTTTGATTTACCGAGTACAAAGCGACCAGATTTTCCATTCTGTCTATCTCCGCAGATTCCACGTCAGCCTTCTCTTTCAGGATTGTCTCCAAATCATTCAGCATTTTCTCGGCTTCTTTCACCTGAAAGACATCATTACCCCGCACGAATATCACTTTTAATCACCTTCTCCTGCGCTTCCGTCTTTATACTCCCTTCCGTCGCATTCTCTTCTCTCGCTTCTGCCAGCTTTTTCTGGCTGGCTTCAGCAGTTTTCCGCACATCGTCCACGAATCGCTTCTGACGCTGAACTTCTTCTTTCTGATCGATGACATCTCTCTCCGTTTTTACAAGCGATTTGGATACAATATCTTCTTGGCGCTTCAAATCTTCCTGGTTTTTCTTTAGGAGTTCTGTAAATTATGACTGCGAGACCGATCCAATGTGCATTGGCAAACCTTCCGCCTCTGTCAGTTCCGCCAGTTTGCGCTTTGTAATTTCGTTCGTTTCAATGTACTTTTGTATGCAGTCAGCATACGGGAGCATTATCGACAATGTCGAATATCCGTTTGAAATCGAATTGTGACTGCTGCTCCGGATTGAATCGACTTTGTCAAGAGTGGAATCCACTGAAAAAACCTATGTTGAAACGCTTTTTGAGTGGCTTACAAAGAGCAAGTGAGTCTTGCACGAATAGCTGCGTCTTTCGGAGTTGTTCGTCGACTTCTTCCTTCACGCGCGACATCTTTTCCTTGGTGTGCGAGACCATTCGTTTCACATGTAAATTGCACGTTTCGACTGAAAATGGACTCTGATTGGGAGAGCAAGTTCAAATGCTCTTACACATCCGCATATTTCTATCAATTCCTCGTTTTTGACGTTCAAATTCCGCGCATCGCTTTTCGAACCGATTATTGCTGAAAAGTTCCACGTGTTTCAAAAGCACGTTTCGGAGTACCTTTTCGCGATCACATCAAGTTCTGAATCACTTTCCAAGGAGGTCAATTGCTGCGGCATTTTCCTGAAAAAGAGCAATGCCATGCCAAAACTTTGAAAACTCCCAATTGGGAGTTTAAAAACTCAAAAAAAAATTGTCAGGTATTCTTAAAGGCGCCCGAACTTTGGTCGTTTGGTCTCACAACGAAAAATGAAGTTACTGTAGTTTTATTTGCGGCAATTTAAAAACGCAAATTCACGACATAAGCTCAACAATGAAAAGCATCCAAAATCATCGAAACAATCGTAACTGCCGATCAACAAGGCACAAGTTGGCACTTTTTCAGCGGCGAGTTCATATGGATGGTGAGAAGAAAGGCTCGGATCACCTTCTGAAACACATATTTTAACTGGAAGAGTTCAACTTGACTACTGTACCCCTTCGTGGTCAATCTCGTAGACTTTGATATGACTGTCGACGATTGGGAATCACTTGTTCGGCTTGTAGACAACGATCGGAACCCTCATTTCTTGAAGGAAAATCATGAGATAAGAAGAAATTGGGAAAGGAAAACTAGATAGAGCTTGCAAGAAAAATGAAATGAGAGCAGAAGACGCCGGAAATGAAGCGTGCAACTGTTTCTGTTTCATATTGAGCCGGAATCAGCGCCTAAGGCCAGCACGCCCGCAGTCTCACTTTCTCTTCATGCTCCATATAGTCTAATGAGTGGTGGTAAACTGGCCCCAAAAAAGGATGCGGTGCTCGTCTGCGTGTCTAGAACACGCCGTTCTTTCCAGCGGCGCAACACACCATAGTTCACCTTATAAGACGGTTTCCCCAGATCCACATTTCGTCCTGATGCATCTCTATGGCACTCTTCTTTACCTCTTCATACTCCAGATTGCAATCAACCTGTACCGTGAGAACAAGGAGTACGCCCTTCAGGTCTCAATCCGCTACAACGAGGGAGCCGTCGTCAGAAATGCGATGACGAGCAACGTGTGGGACAAGGAAGAGAGAGACGGAAAGCTGACTTTGGACAAGAAGCAAGTCTTCGACATCACCATCATCAACGAGGAGTTCTCCTTCCAAATCTTCCTCAACAACCAGAGATTCACCACTTTCGCTCACCGCGGCTCTCCGTCCGACATCAAGACTCTCGAGATCGACAGAGACGTCGAAATCCAGACGGTCACCATCAACGACGCTCCGGGAGTCTAACTCTCTAACCTCTTGTCTTTTGTTTTCTGTAATATTTTTCGCTAGTACGCATAAAGTATTCTTTCATATTTCTTCTGTTTCTACACAAATTCCCCGATTGCATTGGGCACTCCGTTTTGCAACCTTCTCGCCAAAATCTGCAAAAAAGCGTTTCATCATAGGTTTTTTTCAGTGGATTCCACTCTTGACAAAGTCGATTCAATCCGGAGAGGCAGTCACAATTCGATTTCGAACAGATATTCGACATTGTCGAAAATGCTCCCGTATGCTGACTGCATACAAAAGTACATTGAAACGAACGAAATTACGAAGCGCAAACTGGCGGAACTGACAGAGGCGGAAGGTTTGCCAATTCACATTGGATCGGTCTCGCAGTCATAATTTACAGAACTCCTAAAGAAAAACCAGGAAGATTTGAAGCGCCAAGAAGATATCGTATCCAAATCGCTTGTAAAAACGGAGAGAGATGTCATCGATCAGAAAGAAGAACTTCAGCGTCAGAAGCGATTCGTGGACGATGTGCGGAAAACTGCTGAAGCCAGCCAGAAAAATCTGGCAGAAGCGAGAGAAGAGAATGCGACGGAACAGAGTATAAAGACGGAAGCGCAGGAGAAGGTGATTAAAAGTGATATTCGTGCGGGGTAATGATGTCTTTCAGGTGAAAGAAGCCGAGAAAATGCTGAATGATTTGGAGACAATCCTGAAAGAGAAGGCTGACGTGGAATCTACGGAGATAGACAGAATGGAAAATCTGGTCGCTTTGTACTCGGTAAATCAAAACCTGAGGGTTCAGTAAAACATGGAAAAATAAACAGGAACTCGATTCATCACTCCGATTCCTGCTCCGACAAGCGAAGGCGGAATTGGGTGAACTTGGTCTCATCGTTTGCGTCGATACCGGTCGACGGCGTGTTGCTTGGTGGTCCAACCTTCCTGATCACCTTCACAACGCGAAGCCGTTGTGGACGATTACGTGGGGTCGCGGTGGCGAAATCCGGAGTCTGTCCAACGGGAACCTTCTTGTGGGGACTTGGTGCAAACGGAAGAGTTCTGCTGCATTCGTTCGCATTTGATCGCTTGGCGACAGGGAGGTTGCCCAAGGCATGATTCCCGTCAACGGCTTTCGGCTTAATTAAATGGAGTCGGTTCGGCTTCTGTTCGTCTTTTGGACCGTCTTTCGTCCAAGATGAAGAGAGTCCATTCGCCTTGGTCACAGGCTCATAGTCGTCGATGGGTTCTTGCTTCACTTCCTGCGGTTCCACGGGCAGAAAACTATCCGGCTTCTTCTCAACAGCTTCGACCTTCTGCCCAAATACGTTGCTTGGCAAAGATTGAGAGGTTCCATTCTGGAGCATCGACGACGACGCACGTTGGTTGTGGGCGGTGACAGTCTCATAAGGCAACGGCTTCTCCTTCGGCATTCGATTGCCCGGTTTTTGTGCTTGTGCAACGGGAGCCGGCATAAGTCGCACGTGTCGTCTTGGTCTGAAAGGAAGAGCTCTGCTGCAGGAGTCGAGGAGGCGAGGATCGAACTTCGCTGTCTGGTTGAAAACGGCAATCGGGAAAGAGTTCGGAAGAGCTCGTTGAACACCACGAACAGGTTCGCAGTCATCAATTGGTTCCTGCTTGACGTCCTTCGGACTGTCGTGGATAAGGAACTCTGGTTTCTTCTCCGTAATGTTAATCGCTTTGAATCCGTTATCCGTCAAATTCTCAAATCTCAAAATTTGGGACGACGTGCTAGGGCATTGACTCGAGAATCCATCTTCGTATGGTGTTTTGAAGAACCGCCTTAAAATTCATAAGTTTGTAAATTATCTGAACAGAAGATACTCCAAAAAAAACATACTTGAAAGTTCTCTTGATCCGAGCCCTCTTTGCTGCCGGTCCTTCCGTCGGGTTCACTTTGCGCGGCCGTCTACGTTTCTTTGGGGGCAAGTCAGGAAATGAAGCAGGATCACGGAACACTCTCGGGCGGGCATATTGAAGCTGATATTCTCCGGAAGCGTGTCTGTTTTTCGAGAACGACGGGGGCTGGGGAATGTCCGTTTTCGACGCCTGCAGCAGTTGGAACGCCTCCTGTAAACCATCGGTTACCGATTATCTCTCAATTTGTAGTTTTGGGCATTTTGCAGATTTCTCTTTTAATTTCTCTTTTAATTTTTATCACTTTTAATCACCTTCTCCTGCGCTTCCGTCTTTATACTCCCTTCCGTCGCATTCTCTTCTCTCGCTTCTGCCAGCTTTTTCTGGCTGGCTTCAGCAGTTTTCCGCACATTGTTCACGAATCGCTTCTGGCGCTGAAGTTCTTCTTTCTGATCGATGATATCTCTCTCCGTTTTTACAAGCGATTTGGATACAATATCTTCTTGGCGCTTCAAACCTTCCTGGTTTTTCTTTAGGAGTTCTGTAAATTATGACTGCGAGACCGATCCAATGTTCATTGGCAAACCTTCCGCCTCTGTCAGTTCCGCCAGTTTGCGCTTCGTAATTTCGTTCGTTTCAATGTACTTTTGTATGCAGTCAGCATACGGGAGCATTATCGACAATGTCGAATATCTGTTCGAAATCGAATTGTGACTGCTGCTCCAGATTGCATCGACTTTGTCAAGAGTGGAATCCACTGAAAAAGCCTATGATGAAACGCTTTTTTGAGTGGCTTACAAAGAGCAAGTGAGTCTTGCACGAATAGCTGCGTCTTGCGGAGTTGTTCGTCGACTTCTTCCTTCACGCGCGACATCTTTTCCTTGGTGTGCGAGACCATTCGTTTCACATGTAAATTGCACGTTTCGACTGAAAATGGACTCTGATTAGGAGAGCAAGTTCAAATGCTCTTACACATCCGCATATTCTTATCAATTCCTCGTTTTTGACGTTCAAATTCCGCGCATCGCTTTTCGAACCGATTATTGCTGAAAAGTTCCACGTGTTTCAAAAGCACGTTTCGGAGTACCTTTTCGCGATCACATCAAGTTCTGAATCACTTTCCAAGGAGGTCAATTGCTGCGGCATTTTCCTGAAAAAGAGCAATGCCAAAACTTTGAAAACTCCCAATTGGGAGTTTAAAAATTCAAAAAAAATTGTCAGGTATTCTTAAAGGCGCCTGAACTTTGGTCGTTTGGTCTCACAACGAAAAATGAAGTTACTATAGTTTTACTTGCGGCAATTTAAAAACGCAAATTCACGACATAAGCTCAACAATGAAAAACATCCAAAATCATCGAAACAATCGTAACTGTCGATCAACAAGGCACAAGTTGGCACTTTTTGTTTGACCTGCGGCGTTCAGGAATGACAAGCACCACAGATTGCAAAGATCCATTAGAAAACGTCTAAAAATAAGTGAAAAAACACACAATTCTATGGAACTTCAAACACATTCCGAAACCTTTCAATTGCTTCTCTTTTCTCGCCAATTACTTCGAACAAATCGTCAGTGCTGATTTTCATTTGGCCTTGCGCAAAAACGTCTGTTCGTCGAGACATTCTGAGTCAGCGATCTTGTTGTAAAGAGACGGATCGCATAAAAGAGAATGATATGATCGGCGGAGGTTATAAAAACGTTCTTTGTTCTTAGTCCGCCTGGGCTTGATCTTCCCGATCCTTCTAGCTGACCTCCAAAATACACGGCCTGCAAAAGTCTCTTGTTAAGATACTCTTTCTCGCCAAGACCGTTCTTCTTCTTCTTTTCTACCAAGCACAGTCTACTTTCGAAAGAATAGCTTCTTCTTTTCCTCTCCAATCTTCTTTTTCTACTGTAATACGAGAAAGTGTCTGCGTCTATGCCTTCTCCGCGCACTGTGTCGATTCTCGAAACAAAAACTCGGCGGGTCAATCTGGTTTGTCCGTCACAACGACGCCTTGTGCCTTCTTCTTCTTCTTCTTCATTTTATTCTTCTTCCTTCTTAGATCACATCTTCATTCTCTCTGCGTCACTTCTCTCACTGATCGGGACAATATTTGTGTTTGTTCATCTTTACTTACTTTTCCTTCCCTTTTCTTCTGTTTGCGAATCCCAGCCCACACCCTTCGATCACTCATTTTCTCAGTTCATTTCAGAAAATGTTCGTCCTCTTGTTGGGTTCCCTCTGCGTCTCGCTCTTTGTCCGAAACGGACTCGCTGCTCAGTGCAGTGTTAAGAGTGGCGACATGAGTGCTCGGTGGCAGGTGAGTCATCGATTCAATCAGGGGAGACAATAGGGTTACTGGTTTCCAGGTTGCGGACGGAGAGCTTACGATTGAAGTAACCACAGACAACATCGGAAATAATGAATGGTCGGCCGTTGGGTTCGGACCGGACATGGTACTCCCGAGGCATCCCTTCTCGTTCCAGCTCTTCTTTACAGAGTGATCTTAGTGTCGTCGTCTTCCAAGTGAAAGATTTCAAGCCTTCCGTTGTGACGGGAGCCACTCAGGGGTACGGAGCCCCCGCTCTCGACTCCTCCCCTTCCGTCACCCTTCAATCTTTGAACTACAATAGTGAGCGACATCAGAGAGTATGATAATTGATAGATCCTAATGTTCCAGGCAACACGTTGGTGGCCCGATTCGCCCGTCCGGTCGGATCCCTCTCCACTTGCACCACGTGGAACGTAAGTCTCGCTCTCCCTCTGCACGCTCCCTTCCTCCCTCTTCTATCGTAATCCCTTTCCCCTCTAACCTTTCGTTGCAGTTCGTCACGAAAGGATCGATCGAAGACGGAGAGATCGGCTACCACAACGCCGCCCCGCACTCGGTCGAAATCTGTGCGGCCAAGTGCTCCCGCAAGATCTTCCACTAACGTTCTCTTCCGTTTTTCACTCGTTTTCCACTCGCCTGCTCTCCTTTTTTGCCTTTTCACACTTCGGGAAATAAAATGAATCTATGACACTTCATAAACCCATTTTTCTCAGTTTTTCAATGCGCAACCAATGAGTGGATCATCGCTCTCCAGTCTCGGAACTCCCGAAATCCAAGTGCCGGTAACTCCCTCCTCCCTCTTTCTTTTCTTCAAATACCATCAATTCAGAATGTGTGCCCCAACGACTGCACTGGCATTTTCACTCAACGTGACGTGGCGACTGACCCAGTTCCCCAGGCGGCCATCTACAATAACCGAATCTCGAACCGATTCGATACGCTGTTCGACGCGACCCGTCAGCGAAGATCCGTCCGCTTTACGTTCTGATCTCTGCCCATCTCAATCTTTATTCTCCTTGCCAATCACATTTCTATTATCGACCACAATAAAACTGCTATCCTTGAGGCTTTCGTCGTTGATTTCGACGCACTTCACATCCGATCCGGGCACCTCGTACTTCGCGTTCATCACTGCCTTCTCCACGATGCTCTTCAGTGCCCTCGCGCCCGTTTTCCTCTTCACCGCCATTTCGGCAATCGATTCGAGTGCCTTCGGGGAGAATCGCAGCTCGACATTTTCATTCTCGAAAAACTTTTTCGTCTGTGCAATGAGACTGCCTTTGGGCTCGGTGAGCACAGCCATCAAATGGGTCTTGTCGAGGCAATGGAAAGGAACAATGACAGGAAAACGACCGACGAGTTCGGGAATCATTCCGAATCTGAAAGTAGCATTCATGCGGACAAACGGAAGGATGCTCTCACGAGATGAGGTCTCCTTGATCGCACAGTTTAATCATTTCGTCACGCGCCTTCGAGACCACAACTTCATCTGAATCCCGCAGTTGCTCCGATGTGTTCAGGTCCGATTCCCCATGCGGAACGGTCGAAGAGGAGAATCCGAGGCTCCGCTTGTCGAATCGTCTTGCGATGATGTGCTCAATGTTGGAGAAGGCTCCAGATGAAATGAAAAGAATGTTAGTGGTGTCAATGGTCACTTTCGAGTTGGGCGCCAACGGATCCTTCACCTTCACCAGACTGCCCTCCACCAACTTCAGAAGTGCCTGCTGCACTCCCTTTCCGCTCACATCTGAAAGTTCTCTTCTCAATTACCTCTCTTTCTTTCAAACCTCGATTTCCGGAAGTGTGTAGTGGATCCGAAGACGTGTAGATCTTGTCGAATTCGTCGAGAAATACAATGCCCCTCTGGCACCTGTCGATGTCCCCGTTCGCTTCTGCGAGAAGTTTCTGAATGACGGTGTCCACGTCATCGCCCACGTATCCAGCCTGAGTGAGCGTTGTGCAGTCGCAGATGACGATCGGAACGTCGAGCACGTCGGCCAGCTTCTGCGAGATGAACGTCTTTCCGGTTCCGGATGCTCCCAGAAGAATCATGTTGGACTTTTCGAGGAGAATATCCTGCCGTTTCTCGAGGTCCTTCAGAATTTGACGCTGCGATTTCTGCACGTATTCGGGAATGTACTCCTCTTCGAGTTCCGGGTGCTGCTGCTTCATCTTCTTTCTCTCTTTTGCCGCAGAAACCGCCTCCGAGAGAAGCCATTGCTGAAACCGACGGAGAGTTAGTTTTGAATGAGAAAATGGCTCTCACTTCGGTCACTCTCAGATTGTTCTCGACTCTCCGGTAATGCTGATAAACGGCCACCGCCAGACACTTCTTCGCCTCTTCCTGGCCCACAATGTACTTGTTCAGATGCTCCACGATCTCCCTACAAACGGCCGTTCTCCTTCGGAGTTCCCCTCCCTCCGTCACTCACTTCGGATACAACACTTGCGCCTTTTCTCCCCGCCCGTCGCCCCTCACGAGAGTGCTCAATCCGGAAGGCGGCTGATGAGTTAGAGCGGTCTGGAGGAGGGTTTTGCCCGAAATGAAACCCTCTCCGATGATGAATGGAAGAGAAGTCTTCTTTGAAAGTTTTTTCGAATGGATCACCCGACGATCCGATTTCCCCCTGGAAGACAATAATCGGAAACGAGTTCCGACTGATAGGAAAGTACCGTCTGATCTTGCAGTCAACTGCAGAAGCGGCAATGCTTCTGGAGGTCTGAAGGGGAATGGCCGAGTTCGCTGAAGGATTCGGATGATTTGGAGCAGTCGGAGTGGCTCACCAGAAGCGACGATTTGGGTGTAAGATGAGGATGTAATACGAAGCATTTCGAGTAGAAACGAAAATGGAAACGAACGAGCATTTCATCAGAAATGAGAGTGCGTGAAATCCCTGAGTTTCACACGCGAAAGTTTCCGTCCCAAATGTCCCGATGACTACTGTCGTTCCCGATTTCCGATTGTCCTCGCTAACACCTTTTAGAGTGTAAACGAATACGAAAAAAGAAGAATGAGAAGGAAACGACTGTCAAAATCGCAACGCCGCCTCCGTTTCCCTTTTTAACCACTGGTCTCCTCTCTTACTACTTTGTCCTCGTTTTCTCTGATTTTCGTCTTCTGACGATTGCTGCTGCTGACGTCGCGGTTTGCAACGAAAAACTGTGCGACGAGAAATTGTGGCGTCCGCGGAGACGCAGATAAATGTTGGAGGGCATTCGAGAATGGACGAATGAACGGGGCGGGGCGGAAGAGAGACGGCTTGTCGGAAATTGACAAACTGTCTGATAAGCAAGCAGAGAAGTCGATCATCCAAGGACCCGTGGGCGGTCGGCTACTGCAGTTGACTGTAACATTACGAATCAGAATCAGTCGGCATGTTTTCTGTTTATGACGAGTCCAACCTTTTCGGGCCTTTTCTTCCCCTTGACATCATTCTTTCCAGTCAACATCATATGCCTTCCTTTCGTTTTAATCTTCTTTTCCTAGAATTCCGCCATTTTTCCATTTTTATTCCCAAATGGCAACTTTTACTGCTGACCGTCGCGTCAGAAGGGCATTTCACTTGACGAGGCCTAATTGATCCTTTGAGTAGTGCCAGCTGATCGCCCAGTCTGACCACAGAATCTGTGACCAGTGACCTCTGTCCCACGTCATAATTCGTTCGCTACTTCTCCTTTCACACCTTCTCGGTGCCTTCGACGAAGTCGTCGTAGCGCCGCCCATCTTATGATTGCCATTCTGTCGATCCAATCAACCTGTCCTTTTACCCTCTAATCCCATTGTCGCTAGGTGTTCCTGATGACCTTCCGATCGACCAAAACATCAGTTGAGGACCGGTCCACTGGCCGCTGTTAATAGCTTTTGCATTATGTTACAAAATATTTTTGTATGTGGCCCGAAAGGACCCAAAAAGAGACCGATCTAGACTAGATTCTCGCATCGAGAAGTTTGTTTTTTCTACACTAGCTCTTGTCATTGGCGCGAAAGAAAGATCGTTCGTCAGATGATTCCAACCATGCTGTGCCCTTCTGAATTAGTTTCCTTTTCAGCAAATTCGCCCTTTTTTGCTGTATGTTCGGGCAATGACGGTTCGTGAAAAGACTCCTCCGGCTAAAGGTAAACACCGTTTCATTCGTCCACCTGAATGCATCCGAAATGTTTCAGAAGCCGTGAAGACGACTCGTCTCGTACGGGCGATACAGTGGTTCTTCGAGAAATGGTCGCATTTCGTGGCCGACCACGCCGTCGCTCTCATCGTCGTTTGCATTGTTCTCACTCTCATCGGCACTTTCAAGGTGGCCACGACGCCGTAAGAATGAATTGACCGACGGAGAACTTGAGACAAACTGTTTGCAGAAACGAGAATGATATCACTGGCTACACACCCTACGGAGCCAGGGCCAGGGACGAGTTTGATGTACGCAATGGGAAACGGTTTCAGAAGGAACACATTTAGACGATGTTTCAGGTGATGACTGATTTCTTCGCGCACAATGGCAACGGAATCGCAATGTTCGTGCTCATTCTGCCTCTGCGCCAGGACAATGTGCTCCATCCGGATGTGCTCAGGGAAGCTCTTCGACTTGAAGACATCCTTTCTTCCAACTTCACCATGCTCTCCGCCGATGGAAAGCACGAGAACTATCAAGAGTTCTGCACCAACTTCTGTCAAATCAATGAGCCATTCGTTCAGTTCGCTGTAAGTGTTCTCCTCAGAACATTTTGACATGGAATGGATCTTTCAGAGAAGTTATTTGACTGAACTGGATAACTCGAAAAACGGAAGTGATTTGTCTGAAAGGATATCACTGAACTACCCGATCACGAGCATTTATTCGAGGAAAATGAGCATTCAGCCCAACTTTTTCGGCATTGACATGAGAAACGGAACGGAGAGAACGATATCGAACATCAGATCGTCTAAAATGATTGCTCTCCAGCTGAGATCCGAACGGAAGGAAGGCTGGAACAGCCAGATGATCAAAGACTTTGAGATGTCCATCACCAATTACTTCGAGAAGTTTCCCCCTCCCTCACTCCCGTTCTCACTCTCCTCCCGTTCCAGAGAGTTCCAATCGGAGGACATCCGCGTGCTCACTCTCTCCACTTCCTACGTGGAAGCAGAAGTCGTCCGTGCGGGCATGTCTCTCCTTCCGTTCCTAGTCGTCGGATTCGTGATCATGGCCGTCGTCTCCTCGGTCACCACCTTCTTCTCCGCTCTCTACATGCAACAAGTTTCCATTCACAAGGTATTTTCTGCTTTCTGACAGTCTTCTTGAATGATGCGACCGAGAGGAGAAAAAGCGATTCGCCGGGGACAGAAATCGAACAAACTGGACTGACCGGGCCCGTGCCTAGCCACCATAGAAAGAACTGGAAAAGGGCATTTGCCGGGGAGGGGAATCGAACCCCTAAAGGATTTGCATCCATGGGATCTCAAGGCCCACGCCTTTGCCACTTGGCTACCCCGACCTGGGAAAACCGAGCTGAAAAAGGAAATATCGCCTGCCGTCCGGGAATACGGTAGTTCCTCAGCTGACTTCAGTCCTACGATCATGCTTCAAACTAGAAGTTAATAAATTCTTTAATAAATTTCAGTTCTCTCTGGCCATCGCAGCCTGCATCTGCCCGTTCATGGCCTGCGGCACTGCGCTCGGCGCCCTTTTCTTCTGCGGAGTCCGCTTCGGATCCATCCTCTGTGTGACTCCGTTCCTCGTTCTCGCCATCGGAGTCGACGACGCCTACCTGATGATCCATTCGTGGCAGAGAGTGACGGCCGAACGACGGAAGCATCCGGTTGCGAACGACTCGCCGGGCAGTCGGCTGTCCGAAGTGCTCGTGGACACCGGACCGGCCATCCTCATCTCTGCTCTTACGAACATCTTCGCTGACGTGGCAGGCTGTTTCACCTCGAGCCCCGAGATCTCGCTGCTTGGATACGGTAACATGGCGTGCATCTTCTGTGATTTCCTCTATCAAATCACCTTTTATTCGGCCATCATGACCATCACCGGGTACTTTGAGATGAAGGAAGAAGAGCAAAAACGACACATCAAGAAGATCGCATGCGGGGTCGACGACGACGATCAGAGCTGCACGGTGAGTGTTTGTGGCGTCATCAAGATAAAATCTGTGAGGAAAAGATCGAAAGACGATAAGTGGGGGGTTTCCGAACTATGACGACCTTTGCGCTTACTCTCATGGCATCTTATGACCAAAAGTATTCGGGAGAAATAAATGAATTAAGAGTTCTTCGGTGGACAGTTTCGAAGTGGCGGTGAAGAGAAGAGTTTCGACGTTCCTGGAAGGATACATCTCGTTCCTCACGAACGCCTTCTTTCAACTGCTCATCATTGTCACGTGGATCGTCTTTCTCGTCATTTCCATTTATGTAGTATCATCCAACACCACGGTTTTTCGCATTCAGCTCTTTCAGGGCATCACCATAATGAACATCAATCTGAGCCCGCGGAAGCTCTTTATGGAAGGCTCGAGTCTCCGAGAAATGGACGATCTCAGGGTGCAGTACGTCATTCCGAACTTCTATTTGGCCAACGTGTTCGTGAGGAAACCAGGCGATCTTTCGGACGGAAAACGATTGGAAAAGTCGGCGTCGGTCGGGAACTATCCTCCCAATTCGATAATTTCAGACTGAATCAATTTGTGCATGAAATGGAGAACTTGAACGGAAGTTGGGGCGCGCTCGGAACTAACTACTTCGTCAGAGACTTTGTGGATTTCGAGAAGGCGATGGCGGAGGAAGAGGAAGAAAACGTCGAAACGGGAGAAGTGAAGGCGATTGCGAAGAGAGGCGGAATCAATGTGAACAATTTGCCGATGTTCTTGGAGTGGCCAGAGTACCTCTTCTGGAAGGGATTCGTGCAGTTCCACAATGAGTCGTGAGTTGAGGGCATCTGTCGGCGGAATGGCAACTCTGCTCGTTTAGTGAACGAATTGTGCTGGACCGATTCTTCATCACGTTTGCCATTCACGGAAAGAACCTCCAATCATGGCCTGCTCGCGGAGACGCATTGAGAGAATGGAGGAAAGTGGTCGATGAGTACAGGTAATCTCCCCCTACAGTACCCTCCGATCCCCTGCTATCACCCCCAATTGCGCCTATTGTTTTCCGTTGCCGGGGTAGCCAAGTGGCAAAGGCGTGGGCCTTGTGAACCCATGGATGCAAATCCTTTAGGGGTTCGATTCCCCTCTCCGGCAAACTTTTCTTTTCAGCGACGAATTCGGTCTGTCCGTGTTTTCCGACGACGGAATCTATGTGGATCTCATCGAGAACATGTCGACGGATGCGTGGCAGTCGGCAGTTGCCACGTTGTCTTGCATGGCCTTCATCTGCTTCGTCTTTATGTACGACGTGCCGACGGTCGTCGTGGCCACTGCGATCATCGCGAGCATCATGACCGGCATCCTGGGAATCCTCTCCCTGACCGGAACCGACCTCGATCCGATCGTCATGTCCGCTCTCATCATCTCCATCGGATTCTCCGTCGACATCCCCGCGCACATCTCCTATCACTATCACACTTCTTCTTCTGAGAATGGAATCAGAGACAGGCTGCACCAGACTCTCTCCTCTGTCGGATTCCCCGCTCTCCAGGCCTCCTTCTCCACTTCCCTCTGCGTTCTTTCTCTCAAATTCACTTCTGTTTACATGTCGAATGTAAGTTCTGAGCCCTCCTCTTCTCAGCTAACCCGTTTCCTTTTCTTTCAGGCCTTCGTCAAGACCATGATCTGCTGCATGATCCTGTGCGTCTTCCACGCTCTCGTCCTTCTGCCCGCTCTCTTCGCCATCTTCCACCGCATCCGTCGTCTCTTCTGCTCCAAAAAGGACTATTCTGTACACCCGAAATGATCTCGTTCCCCATTCCCTCTCATCTATCATGTTTGCTCGATCTTTGTGCTCTCTTTTCCCTCTCCTTCTTTCACTTTATTTCTACTCGGTTTATGTCTACTCTGCGGAGATTTCTGATAACCAATTCGGTGATAAACACTACATAAAGGGTCTCTCACCACGTGGTCTGTTTCGTTTCGTTCGGGAACCTTCTCGGTCGTTCGATGGGCTGATAAACTGAGGTCTACGTGACTGACCGGGTCTCTCCGGCCGGACAATTGTCGATTCGCCACTCTTTTTCGCCTCTTTTCTCTCGTCTCTCTCGCATTTTCTCATTGAAAGACGTGCATTCGTCCACACTTTTCAAATGTTGATTCTCTCCAGAATCCTTCGAACTCTACTATAAAAGTGGCTGAATCCGTTATTCTACCCAATTATTCTCGATTCTATAGAGCACTTTCTGGGTCAAACTACAGTAACCGGCGCGATCGCGGTTAGTGCTGGTTCCAGTTGCGGGAATTTCGAAGCCGGAGTAGCCAAATGGTAAAGGCGTGGGTTTTAGGGATCCATGGATAACAGTCCTTCAGGGGTTCGATTCCCCTCTCCGGCAAATGCTTTTCCCGTCTTTTCAACTACTTTTAAAGTTTCGCAAAGCACTTTTTTATCGAAAACTCTCAAAAATTGTATTATTTGAATATTGTTGAGAATGGAAATGCCTTCTCAGCGAATTTCAGCAGGAATTGCTCATCTTAAACTCTTCTTGAAGCTACCGTAATCCGTGTGCCTGCCGGCTGTATCTCTTTCTCCGTTCGTTTTTTCCGAGGCCGGGGTAGCCAAGTGGCAAAGGCGTGGGCCTGCCGAACCCATGGATGCAAATCCTTTAGGGGTTCGATTCCCCTCCCCGGCAAACGTTTTTCTCGATTTATCTCTACCACACAGCACAAGTGATTCGCGATCGGTCTATTGAGAACGTAGGCTTATGATATGCCTATCATGTACCAATCGCGAAGAAAAATTGCCTACAATACGTCTATCGCGAAAATTCTCGAATTCGCATATGATAGGCCTATCATAGGCCTATTTGAAGATATTTGGAAGATCTATTGAAGAACTCGCTCCTAGTTCTCAATAGACCCACCACGAATCACCTGCATGCAGTGACAACACAGGTTTCCATTGTTTTCCTTCACAGAACACCCGCGAAATGACCTTGTTGTTGATTCCCCGCAAAAGAAACTGTGCCTGTTCTTTTTTTCTCGAGAAAACATACATTTCGGACCATGTCCTTTTTGCTCCTTTTCTTCTTTTCTGCCTTTCTCTCAATGGCTACCATATACGTATTATTAACTTCTAAAAAAATACTTACTATTCTCACTACAAAAGGTACAGTATCCCTGCCTCGTTCTAATTTCTCCTCAACTGTCCGATTTTCTTTTTACAGTGTTCGCATTCGTTAGATTCACACTTCGTTAGTATCGCTTTCAAATCATTGACCAGTTGGAAAACAGTGAAAAGTGATCGATACTGCGCGTTTGCCGCCCGATCCCCGTTGTCAACAAGAGTTCAAAGTATCGAAATGAGACCCACAAACTGTCGTCTCCGATCACCTCATGCCCGCCGTTTCGCCGTTGCGTCTCGTAGTCCTTCTAGCCGTCTTTTTCTCTGCGCCCTCTCGTTTCAGTGTGCTCATTCGCCTTTCTCTCGCCATTCTCGAGTTGTTCCGCTGGCCGCTGGCAACATAAAAAACAGCAGAATCAGCAGATTGTTGTTCTTCTTCTTCTTGTCACTTTCTAATTTTCATTCTCCCATCCCAATTTGCTCATTGTCTTCGTTTTTTCAGTCGGAAAATGCCCAGCGAGACTAGCCAATTCGGAATCGAAACTGATTCAATCACCCTCCAACGGTTTGTGCTCCAGGAGCAACGGAAACATGCCGACGCCAGTGGAGAGCTCACCAGCCTGCTCACCAATATGCTCGTGGCCATCAAGGCCATCGCTTCGGCCACTCAGAAGGCCGGACTCGCCAAACTGTGAGCGATACATTTTGAAACGAGAGAAAACTGGTTACGCTTGTTTTTCAGTTACGGAATCGCCGGTTCGACGAACGTGCAGGGCGAGGAAGTGAAGAAGTTGGACGTGCTGAGCAACGAACTGATGATTAACATGCTGAAGAGCAGCTACACAACCTGCCTGCTCGTTTCCGAAGAGAATGACGAACTGATTGAGGTGGAAGAGAAGAGACGCGGAAAGTACATCGTGACGTTCGACCCGCTCGACGGATCCTCCAACATCGACTGCCTCGTTTCGATCGGAACCATCTTCGGAATTTACAAGAAGCGCGGAGACGGACCACCGACTGTCGCAGATGTCCTGAAGCCGGGAAGCGAGATGGTTGCCGCCGGATACGCCCTCTACGGATCGGCCACAATGGTCGTGCTGTCCACCGGAGACGGTGTCAACGGATTCACTCTTGACCCGGTAAGAGAATGATTCCAGTGTCTCCGGGAATTCCATTGTTTTTCAGTCTATCGGAGAATTCATCCTGACCCACCCGAGCATGCAGTGCAAGCCAAAAGGATCGATTTACTCGACGAACGAAGGATACGCAAAGACCTGGAGCAAGGGATTCTCCGAGTACATCCGCACGCGCAAGGACCCGGAGCCAGGAAAGAAGGCGATGGGACAGAGATACGTCGGATCGATGGTGGCCGACGTGCACCGTACCATTCTCAACGGAGGAATCTTCCTCTACCCACCGACCGCTTCTGCTCCGAACGGAAAGCTCCGTCTATTGTACGAGTGCAATCCGATGGCCTTCATTATTGAACAGGCCGGAGGACTCGCCACCACTGGAAAGGAACGCATTCTCGACATTCAGCCCACTCAGGTCTGTCAATATGCGCTTCTCGTTTTTTCAAACACATCAGTTTTCAGATTCACCAGCGTGCTCCGATCATTTTGGGATCCAAACTGGACGTCGAAGAGGCTCTTGAATATCTTGCCAAATACGATAACTAGGTTCGTTAATGAATAAATCGTAAATAGTTATTCTGTACACTCCCTAATTTACTTCCCTGCCTTCCCTCTTCAGCACTTTTCCAGTTTTTCAAATACATTGGTCTTCTATATTTTCCTGTTAAATAAAATAAGATAAGTCTACTTTTCTGTCCAGAAGCAGGTATGATAATCCGATCCAGATGAGCCTGGCGGATAAGAAAAATAACCGGGGAGGGCCGGGCGACAACGGGTGGAAGAGAGCGAGAGATGCGGTCGGACGATGAGACGATTGACTCGGCGGATGAGAGAGCAGAGGAAGACCGAATCGATGCCCCCGCACCCGACGACTACATGCTTGTTTTCTTCCGTCACTGCTCGATGAGCCCAAGGGCGTTCGCCAACACTTGGCACGAGGCCAACAATGAAATTGAGAGATCTGGAGCCGCAGATTTCGGGAGCTCATTGAGCAGGAGACCTGTCGTCTCGGCTCCTCATTTCACTCGTCAATTTCTCGTCTCTTCTTTCTTTTATTTTTCTTCTTTTTCATCTTTCCACGCTTCGCCTCCCAGAGTCTCCCCCACTTTTTGTGCTCTTTACGAGTTCGTTCACCCTTGGGAATTGCGGGGTCTTCGGAGTAGGCAAGAAAAAAAAACAAGTTAGAAGAAACTTTGACACCTGGGAGCCCCGTAATAAATTGGGAAATGGCTCATGAAAGCTTAATGCACTTCGTCGAATAAATGTGTTTTTCGGCTCACCCACTTCCTCTGCTTTTTCTCATTCTTCTCGTCTTCCTCTTTTCAAAATTTTCTAATCCGTCCCAGTTTGCACAATAACGTACGCTTCAACTTCATCAAAACGTGCCAATGCGGACGAATAAAGTTAGAGCAACTTATACCGATCAAATAAAAATTCGAAGGAGCGAGTGCTACTGTGTTTGCATTTGACACCTCGGGATCTGCGCGCGCCAGATTGTGATTACACTTATCAAAACTCTGCAAAGAACAATCAGAGGGCCTCATTTAGTAATTTGCACGCGTCGAAAGCGCTTCAGAAGCGAGAGCGTCCGCACTATTCTGAAATTGTTCCAAAAGATTATTGTTTTGAGAATGCAAATGCGCTCTATTGCACACATTTTCATGAAAAGCTGCAGCTTTCAAAAGGGCACTACAACGAAGTAGAACTCGCACGGAATGGAACTGTTACGATTTGGAACTCGCAACGTTAAAATATAACTGCGAGTTCCAAATCGTAACAGTTTCATTCCGTGCGAGTTCTAATTCTATATATAGCGCCTTTAGAAGCTTACAGTCTTTTCGAAAAAGTTTTCAGCCTTTTTTTGCAAACTTTTCATTTTTTAAGATTTGAAAAACCTTATCTAATTTTTGCTCTTCAATTACTTTTTGTTAATATCAACGTAAAAATTAAGTTCAGAATTTTGATAGAATTCAGCAGTCCTTCTATGCTATTCTAACGTTTTTTTTCGAAGTGACTTCAAAACGAACTCGTTAAAAGTTTTTTGTTTTCAAACAAACGGATTTGAGAACACAATTGTTTCCCGACTCATTCGAACTGCTAGACCAAAACATGCTTTTCTCTGGAGCGACAGCCCAACTGTTTCCAGAGAGGCGCAAAACAAGCGCGGGTCGCCGACCCCAACCGAGAGCTTCTTCGTCGCCCCAATCCTTCACCATGATGTAATAGTGACGTAATCGGAGCTTCCATCCGTCTGTGCTCGCTCCCGAAGCCCATTTTTCTTCTAATTCATTCGGTGCACGAGGTGCCTTCCCGCCTTCTGATTGCCCCTAGAAGTCGCTCGTTTCCGGGATTGTTGCATCTTTCCTTTTCTTCTTTTTTTGCAATGTGCACTTTTTTCGCCCATGAGTCGCTTTACTACGAAGACGCGAAGAATACTGACGTGCCCGAGAGACGCAGAACCGGGGATGGCGGAGCGAGAAAACCCGCGGGAAGTGGGGAAGAGCACCTTCTCATTCGCTAGCACATGTCCCGCATGACAGCGGCGCGTTATGATCATTTTCATCTTCCGGATTGTTAAATTAGGTGGTCTTCTCTCGAATTGAAATATCCGGCGGGAAATACTACCCGAAAATTTTGACACATCCTCTGGAAATCACATGTGCACATGTTTTTCTAAGCGGTCCGTTTCGTTTACCAATTGAATTCCTCGAGGAGCAGCTCGTGGAGCAGTTTCCTGGCGCCAAGCACCCCACAAATCATCGTTAATTGCTGTGTCCTTGCCTCTCTTTTCTTCGTCCTCATTGAGCTTTTTCGCCTCCTGCTTTTTTTTAATTTCTAAATCTTTTGGTTTAGATCCGCCAAAATGGACGAATCTCATAAAATGGGCTTCCTCGGAGCCACCTCCTACGTCATCGGCAATATCATCGGCTCCGGAATCTTCATCACACCGGCCTCCATCCTCCGAAATGTTGACAGCATCGGACTGAGTCTCCTCATCTGGGTGCTCTGCGCGGTTATCGCCATACTGGGTGAGTTGTGAACAGAACAGAGTCCCATTTTTCTGTTCGTAAGAGATTTCCAGGTGCCATTTGCTACATCGAACTTGGCACTTCGATTCGGGAAGCAGGATGTGACTTTGCGTACATCTGCTACGTCAAATGGTACTCGATCGCGTTCGCATTCATGTGGGTCTCGGTGCTCATGACCTACCCGGCGACCATTGCCATTTGTGCCGAAACATTCGGACAGTACCTCATTGAAGGACTGAAACAGTACTACGAAATCGATGCGGCGTGGGTGCCAACGTGCCAAAAGTTGTTTGCGTACTCGTTATTATGTAAGTAAAGAATATCTTCTTCTTGTCCTGCACCCACTGCTCTCCCACTTTCCCCATGCTCTTTGTTCTCATCCGTATCCGATTTCTTTTTTTTGCAGTTCTTGTCACATGGATGAATTTTTTCGAATTGAGCAAGTTCGCCGCTCGCTTCCAAATCATCGCCACTGTTGCCAAACTGTTCTCCTGTTTCCTTATCATTGCCACTGGATTCTACTTTTATTTCTTCAAAGGTACTTATGACCTCATCACTTGATGATACAAATCTATTTCAGGATGGACGGGGTATCTGAAGAACCCAATGCAGGGATCAAACTACGAAACGGGTAATCTGATTCTCGGTTTCTACGGCGGCCTCTGGGCGTTCTCCGGATGGGACGTTCTCAACTACAGCACTGGAGAGATCAAGCATCCGAAGAGAAACGTGCCGTTTGCTCTTCTCACTGGAATCAGTGTCGTCACCGCCGTCTACGTCGCCATCAACGTCGCCTACTTCGTCGTGCTCGATGTCGACACCGTCAAGTCTTCGGACGCTGTCGCTGCGGTACCATTCCTCACGGCCCTCTCAATTCAATAGTCCACTTTCTACTCACTTTCAGATTTTTAGTCGTGAGACTCTCGGCGGCTTCGCCAACGTCATCCCGTTCCTCATCGGCATTCTGCTCATTGGATCGTTGAACAGCAATCTGTTTTCCGGCAGCAGGTACATGTATGCGGCAGCCCGACAAGGACATTTGCCAGCTTGCTTCTCGTGTGTCAACGAAATGACGGATTCTCCAAGAGTCGCCGTTCTCGCACAGGTAACTCGTTCTCTTTGTTATCCGGCCACTTGATCCAAGTGCAGAGTCTGCTCGCCCTGATCATTTCGTACATCGGAGATTTGGACACCCTCATCACCTACGTCATGTTCGGCTTCTGGGCTCAGAGAATCTTCAGTCTCGTCGCCCTTCTCATCATTCGTCACAACCACATTCCAGTGCATCCAGACGCCGTCCGAGTTCCCCTTTTCTGGTATCACATTCCTAATTTAATACTAACACTATATGTGTCTTTTCATTCCAGCATTTATCTGTTCCTGGCAATCACAGTGGCTCTTGTCATCATTCCGATCTTTCAAGAGTTCCAGTCAACTGCTCTTGCCATCGCAATCTGTCTCTTCGGATTCGTCCTCTACTACGTGTTCATCTACAAAGCCAACTTTCCAAGATGGATGATAGCTCTTAATCGTACGTTGCACGAAAATAATTATATTAACCAAATAAACGTATTTCAGAAAAGGTCACTTTGTGGTGCTGCATTGTGTTCGACTGTCTGCCGGATGTAAAGGGAGGTGTCCAACTGCTCGCTTCCGACAGTTCACAGGCGTTGCTCTCTAAGAGGTTTTATCTTTTTAAACATGTTTCGTCCATTTTCTAGATCTTCCAGAATGTCTTCCACCCGTCTCTCCGATGACAGCCTGCCGGATCTTCATTCCGACGAAAAGAACATAATGCGCAGGAACGGAAGTTCAGCAGGGCTCAAGATGTTGTAAGTGTTCTGTCCGTCTTTTTATTCAGCCGTCTCCCGATCCAGGATTTCCAGCGTGCCTTCTTCGCTCGTCGACCTCATCAGCGACGTCCAGTAGTCAATCCGTCCAATCTTCGGAATCATTCTCTCTTATATGGGTCAATCTGTTGTCTAAATTGCTCATCCTGTTGTTTTTCTTCTTTGGCTTTATCATTTTTTTCTTGTATACCACACCCGTTTTTGTTTGTTTTCTGTCAGTTTTGAAATGATGATGAAACAAACTTTATAATTTCGTTCACCGCCAACATCATCATCATCATTATTATTATTAGAAACTAGTTAATTATAGGTCAGAGAACATAAAAATTAGATAAGGCACAAGGAATGAAAGCACTCTGAAGCTCTAGAACATTAGAAGGTAATTCAGAAAAGAGAGTACGGCAAACGGACGAGGCATTTAGACTCTTCGTGCTTCGAAAGGTACGATTTGAGGGCGAAGCTTTTCCCGCATCTGGAGCACTTGTGCGGCTTCGTTCCTGAAACAGAACTGGTTGAACGAGTAAACGTCGAATGGGATTATTGGAAAATGGTTAAAAGTTCAGGCCTTTCCGTACCTGAATGCGTTTGAATGTGGGCTCGAAGGTTGCTCTTATCGGCGAAGTTCTTCAAGCAAATGTCGCATTTGAACGGCTTCTCGCCGGCTGAAAATAAGGAAAACTGTTGAGAATTGAAAAGAAAGTACTGACTGTGCGTGCGGAGGTGTCCCTGAAGGAGCCACTGACGACTGAACTGCTTGCCGCACACTTTGCATTGGCAGCCAGAAGACGTCGCGGAGGAAGAGGAGGAGGAACCATCCTTGGATTTGCGATCAGGAGAAGAGGGAGTACTGTAGGAGGTGGACGGAGAGACGGAAGACGTGGAAGCGGAAGAAGAAGGAACTGGAAAGGAGAAGGGGACGGGCGGGGACGAAGGCGTCGGAAGGTACGGAACGGGAACGAGACGGAACCGGACGTTGTACTTCTTCTGAACGCAAACTAACGAATTCAGATAAGTTTGAGGGCATTCTCACCTGGATTTCCTCGAAAATCATCGCGGAATACTGTAGCATGAATGGCGTGGAGAGCACCGGAAATGGCGGCATTTCGAACGAGTCCATTCTGCAAAGAACACTGAATGCACGGACAGAAAGCGAAGGATTTCAATTTTAAACTGGGCGGGACCGATCAGAAAATGGGCGTGGTCCTGCAGGTTACAGTAGTCGGGACATGCGGGAAAAGCCGAAGTGCGGACGGAGGAGGAGGAGGAAGTTGATCGTAAATTTGAATTGGCGCTAAACGAACTGCTCGGAGCATATGGGAATTGGCGCCATGAGGAGTGATTTGTGGAGGTGTAAATGCGACAATTTGACGCCCCCGTTCGGTTGGAAAGCGAAAGGGTTCGGGGGAAACGGAAAGGGAAGAGGAAGAAGAAGTGACGAGAGAAAAATGGGGGAAAGTGACAAGTTGCAATCAAAACCCCCATAAATGTGGACAGTAATTTTCCAGTGATTTGATTTGATACCGTTTTAACTGGAAAGTGGAAACCACTCCTTTTTTCCTTCCTAAAAACGTTTCTCTCTCTCTCTCTCTCATCATCTTTTTCTGGTTCGAATGTCAAGTGACACAAGGACACAAGGTGGGAAAGGTTGGACTGTGCAAACTTTATGGAAACCAACTCTTTACTATGCAGATGGGCTCCTTTGTGGAGTACGATACGGGCGGGAAGCTCAAAAGAATTCAAAAAACATGTGGAAAATGGAAAGAACACATTGCGACAAGTGTGTTTGGGTGGGTGACAAATGAACGGTGACCGTGTCTTTCGGAGCACACTTGCTCGCTCGCACCGCCCTTCCGGTTGGGACATTGCGGTGGAGGGGCACATCAAAAAGGGCTATAACTGACGGGTCCGATGACAAGAGAGCAGACGCAGCAGGCATGTCTTTCCACGGAAAAAATGCAACTATGGGCACGGGGGGACCCATCTGATACCGTAAGTACTGTAATAGAAAGGGACTCCAACACCTTGCATTCAAGGCAATGTACCTCAGCCGCCTTTAGGCATATCAAAACGTTGTCAACTAATAAAATGCACGCAATGTTTTCATTAGCATTTTATCAGTTTACCACGTTTTGATATCTCTATCGGAAGCTGAGATATATTGACCTGAATGAACGGTATTGAAGTTGAGTATTTACGGAATCTGAGATCTCAAATGAACGAACAAAACAAGAATGAAGAAAGAATGGCTCTAAGGCGTGAATGGTTTCCTTTTGAATGCGTCCACCCATTTATTGCCCATGTTTACGGACCTCGATACTTTTGGAGACGTGTCCCTCCTTCCCTACCGGCGGTACTCTTTTACAATACTTCTTTACGGTCTTCGTGTGTTTTTTATTTTAACAATCTTCCCAAGAGCCAGAATTCAAGAGACTCCTCTCATAAACACGTTCTAAAATCGGCTTTGAATTTGAATGCGTACAGTGTCTGATCGAAAGAATCGTTACAAATGTTCCGAATCCAGTTATGCAATACTCTAATCAAAGGACTCCGTAACACCTGAGATGGGCCTGCCAATCATCACCGTGTTTGTTGTTACAATCGAGAGCAAACAGTGGATTAGAAGACGGTTCTTGGGCATTTAAACATCAGAACAGAACAAAAGGTTTATATCTCAATCATTGAACTCATAGTGGAGCAGGAACATAATACATGCCACCGAGAGAAAGAGTGCTCCGATCTGAGCCAGTTCCAGTCGCATGTTCTCTTCTGCTGCTCCGTCCTCGTCGCCCTCGTCGCCGGCGTAATACATCCGGACAAACTGTTGAATGCTTATGGAGAGGCTCACGGAGAGAAGGAAACCGGCAATACGGTAGAATCTTAAAACAAGTGAAGAGTGAGAAGAATCTATCGGAAACGAACTGTTTGATATTCGAGTGATCCACTTTATTCTCTCCTATTTTCGATTCCTGCACCTGGTCGGTGTAGAATGTTTTATCCCTCTCGAACCTCTCCAAACGCTTTATTTCTTTCTGCTTCGCTTCATTATACGGTATCTGGAAAGTGCGTTTTTTCTTTTTTCTGCCAATCGTGTGGTAATTACGTTTTCACGAGCCAGATTTTCGAAATTCCACGTGTAATTTCCATGCAAATGGGCGGGCGGTTTCATCTCATTCAGAACAATTTGAAAGTCGTTTCTCGCTCTGCAGTACGAGTTCATCAGCTGATCGACAATAACTTCGGGAAGATCAGCTCTTCGCATTTCGAAATATTTCTGAAAGAGGACAGTTGGTTCCGCAGAAGCGCAAAGGAATTCACTAGGAATAACTCATTCTGGATGCTTGTGCCGTATTTCGAATGATTCCGATGTTCGACTGAGGAGATCCTATTCACGTAATAATCGAAACAGCTGGAATTAGAGCAGATTTGAGACTCCAGAAAACTCTCTATACGCTCACTTTTCGGACGATTTGAGGAATCTGATAAAATCGTCGGCGATCGTGGACTCAAATAAACTCGCATGAGGCAGTAGGCGTTCATTGGACGAAAATGATAAAGGAAGAAAAAACAGAAAAAGAGGGAACATCCCGAGAATGGATTCTGATTCCTTCCGATTTGACCGCTTCGTTCCATTTCCATTATTATCACGCCAAACGTTTATTTTTTCTTTTGATCGAAATAAAATCGAGTTTTATTTCCATTCGAATACTCGTTTCTAGTCACTATTACTCGGATGAATGAGTGAGTTTTCAGTCCGATTCGGGATGAATCCCTCTTTCGCTCAGCCATTGAGAAGAAAAGTCCGAAAGAGAGAAGACGATCAAAGTCAACGTCGCATTCAAAATCGAAAAACGGCAGAGGAAACACGAAGAGCACGCAGACGAAGAAGTCGAGAATGTCGGAGAAATCAAAGTCGTCGCAGCAGAAATCGGTTAAATCGAAAATGACAGCAAAAAGTGGGCTGAGCCCTCCGAAGAGCAAAACGTGGTCGAAACAAGCGGAGCCTTCGGATGTGAGAGATCGGAACGATGGGATGATAAACTGTTCTGATTTCAGCTCGGAATCGACGTGACGCAGTGGGAGTACTCTCATTATAAGGACGAGGCGAAGGGAATCGTGAACGAGGATCCAAACAAATACGTGACGGACAAGGACGGAGAGTCGACTCCGTTTCTCGCCGAGCAGAAGCAGGTGACGCTCGTCCGAGGAGAGCATCTCAAGAAGAAGCCCCTCTTCACTCTCTTCTTCCTTTTCGTCGAAATTGTGAGTACTTCCCTTTGCACACTGTTCCGTACACACTTCATGGCAGATTCTAACACTGACGGTGCTCATTACGTGGAGTTTCTTCATAGAGTACAACGAGTTCTGCCCGGTCGTTCTCTGTTTTGCCAACCTCATAATCCTTCTCATCATCCTCCTGATGGTATTCGTAATTCAGTTCGGTCGGTTCAATGTCGTCGAAGAGGTGCTCTACGAGGACATCCGTTACAGGATCCCCTACCAATGGAAGTATTGGGCAAGTAACTCGAGCACTCGCGAACATCCATCCAATCTCTTCAGATCTGCGTCTCTCACATCCTCCGCTTCTTCCTCACCTGCACGAACATCACCACCGGCGCACTCGATAACAACTTTGACGGCGGCGTCATCGTGCTAATTTCCGGTATGCCCATCATGCTCATCCTCGCCGCCGGCCACGTTTTCTTCGCTTTGAGACCTCAAGGTTAATATTGTCCCTCAATAAACCGACAACAGTTTATAATTCCACGTGAACCCTTTCTAATCATTATCCCATTTGATTATCAGTTTGACATTCTCTCGTTATCCCATTTTAATCCACGTCATCCTCTTACTTTTCTCTCTCGTTTCCCTCCGAAATGGACGTCAAAATCGCAGTTTCCAAATGCGAGGATATCACGGATACTGTAAGTCAAGTTCAGAGAGACATCTGGAGCAATTCTATCCGTCAGGTGCTGCGAAAAACGAAGAAAATCCTTCCGTATATTGGCCGCCTTTTCCTGATCTCCACTTTCGTCGAGGATGGAATCCGGCTTCTCTTCAACACTTCCGACCACGCGGATTACTTCACGGTCAGACCGAAACCGTTCCGAACGGCAAACGAATGATTCTTGTTCAGAATGGCTGGGGTATCAACTATAACTTCGCCTACTTCTTAACTTTCTCCATGGGCGCCACCCTTCTCGTTTGCTCCCTTCTTGTCATGCTTCGCATCAAGGTAACCCTTTCTTCGATTCTCAAACTCATCGTTTCGTTTCAGGTTCCAGTGACTTGTGGTCTCCTTGCTTCTGTCCTTTTCGCCCAAATCGTTCTCTACAGGCTCTACACCACTTATTATATTTTGTCTCAGAATGTGTCCGTTCTCGCCGCCATTCTTCTTCTGTTCACCGAAAATGAGCTCCGGAAGCCGACGAGGTCGTTCAATCAGTTGCCGCAGTCCGAGAATGAAGTGGAGGTGTGCTCCGATTCCAGAAGACCTCGGACTTCTTCTCGTTCCAGGCGACGTCGGTGATGCTGTGTGCGTGCCGTCTCTTTCTCAACCTCATGCTCCTCTCCATTATCCAATTCGACCTGAGCTACAAACGTCTCTTCCTTTCCATCATCTCGTACGGAATGATTTTTTGCATGTGGTGCGGCTACAAGACTCGCATGGTTTCGCTCTTGCTCGCCACGTGGCTCTTCGTCTACAACGTCATCGCCAACGACTTCTGGAACAAGAACTTTGAGTTGCACATCATCCGATACGACTTCTTCCAGGCGCTTTCTGCCGTCGGAGGCCTCCTCCTTCTGATTCACACGGGACCGGGAGAGCTGTCTTTCGACGAAATGAAGAAGAAATGGTGAACGTTGTTTTGTTTTGTGCAAATAATTCAGTTTCCATTTATGAAGCAATGAAAAGGAAAATGACAGTTTTTATCAGAAAAAAGAAAACAAATGAAACCAGTTAGGGAAGGTTCAGATCACAATGGGGGAAATTATTAGAACACCGAAAAGTAGGATTGCAATCGCGAAAAGGGAATATTCAAACTATGGGTGAATTGGGGATCAATATGTACAAGCGGTTAGGGATATGGGACTCTGGAAACGGGACGCATCACACTCGCAGTTCTCCGATCTTCCGCCGCAGAATCTGCTGGGGCGTGGGCGGCGTTGACTCTCCTCCGATCAGAATCTTCTTTCGTTGCTCATTTGATCCTGAAAATTAGGCAAATATTCGTAACAGTTCGTGTTTGAGAGGCCTAGGCTAACAGCGCAAATGAAACACACTTTTCACAGTAAAAACGCAGAATTCAAAATGAACGACAATAGCGCTATTAGTAAGTGACTCTCCAATCGAAATCTAAACGAGCTGGCAACCAAAAACAATCAAATAATCAATTCAATAAAAACTTCAGCACAGTCGTCTATTCTAAATGTGCGTTCGAAATATTTCTCTGTCGGAATGAAACGAACATGTGTGTGTCTGTGTGTGCGGAGTGCGTGAAAAAGTCAGAAAAGAAGCGAACGAACGAACCGACGTGCCGATCACGCTACCTCTGAGCAGTTCGGCAAGGGAAGAGAGCTCGCGCGAGATGTCGCTCAGCTGGTGCTCGATGGCCGTGATGCGGAGCGAGAGGCCTTCTTGAGTCGAATGCACGTCGTGCACCAGTTCGTACGTGTTCGACGACGTCTGAAAGAAAGCTAACAGTGGAAGATGCTTTCAAGATTGACCTACCTTCGCCACGTCACCGAGGGAGACCAAGTTCTCTGCCAGTTTTCTCTGATCTCTTCGTACTCGACGCATTCTAAACGAGTTCATGATATAGTTTGAGCAGATTCCTCTTTTTTCTTTTCTTACTCGTAAATGGCAAGTAAAAACTTTCTCTGATGCTGCCGAACTTTTCCGAAGTCGGCTTTCTCCACCAACTTTCTGTATTTGTAGATGAACCAAGTCTCCCGGAGGACGTTCGCAGCCGAGTGTTTCAACTGAAATCTCTTTTCCTCCACTTTTTGCTTGGCATCTACCGTACCTGCTTGGTAAGCTGGCTGTCCTGCATGAAGTTATGCACGTGCTTCTCCGCCCGCGTCAACTCTAACTTTCTCGCAATCACCGCAACGACCATCGAGGAGGCGCACGTTCCGAGGATTCCCGTCACCAAAGCCATGCTCCTGCCGCAGTTGGTTCTCGGGACAATGTCTCCGTAGCCGACGGAAAGGAAGGTGATGGCTACGAGCCAGATCGAGTTTATGTAGTTGATATCCTTCACGTTCTCTTCGTTGATGTATTCCCGTTCGCACAACCGCAGAATCCATCCGGCAATGATCCAAAGGGAGGCCGTGAAAATCATGAGCATCGTTCCCGGACACATTGTCATCAGAGTTTTCAGAATGAATCGAGCATTGAAATTGACTCGATTGAGGCCGGCGATACTGCGACTACTTGCATCTGTGAACACTCTGAAAAGAATGATTAGGATCGGAATGGTCTTGTGAATGTACCTAGAATGGAGGAGCATGACTCGGCACAACCAGTAGAGACGGAAGAACATCATGATGGACAGGAACACGTTTACGGCGTAGAGCGTTTTTCCGTTCACTCTCTCGTTCATAAAGGGTGACATCATTTCGACCGGAAGAGGGCAGAGCATGCAGATGAGGAGTTCCACTCCGATCTGAGCACACCTCCGAAGAGTCAGCGCCACGAGCCAATCGTCCGCCGCATTCGCGTTCATAAACAGCTGAAAAGAAGAAGAAGTCCACCTTGTGAGTTCTGTGAAAAGTTCTGACTCACTTGAATCTCGATGACATGAAAGTATCCGACGAATGTGAGAAGAGCTGTGGTCGTTCCGATAATGCAAACTTTCAAAAAGTGACTGAGAGAGGAGCCGGCTCTGATGACGTTTGCCGATCGAAGTTCGTTCTCGATGATCATGAGAACTGAAAATAGAGAGTGAGGAGGGCAATTAGGGGCTGCACTACTTATTCCCATAATTGCGAAAGTGAGTGCCTTGTCGCAAACCATCCGGCGCCTGTCATGCAGACATTCGCGACGGATCAGACGGCCTCCGCTGAAAACAAAGAAGTTGAGGGGAGGGAAGTGCTCCGCCCATGCTCACCTGTTTTCGTCCTTGTCGTCCATCAACGGAATCGTCGAGTCGTCTCCTGCTCCGCCGCCTTTCCCTCCCGCTTCCAAATCATTCGAATAGGCAATAGACACGGATTTCCGAGATGCGGTTTCTCCTGAAAAAACATTCTTTAGCATAAGTATGTTCTATGGGGGTTAGTTCCTGTTTTCGTACTGTCATGAGATATCCACGAAAGCCCTTGGGGTCCGAGAATACGACGGAGCAGCGCCTGCTCTCTCGACGGCAAGTACGCCATACTCATCCGTCTTCCTCCGTTTGCCAGCATTTCTGGGTCAAAATTCCGGAACATTGACTCGGAATTCGAGCGTTGCTTGAGCTCCGAGAGCCGCCATTTCGACGGGTCTCCCCTCCGAACCGTTCCCATTGGAGACATTGAACTGGGGGAAGGAACACAGGAACCGCCTCCGCCATTGTATGCGAAGACGGGCGTTCCGTTGGCGGTCACAGAGATGTGCCCTTGATTGTGATGATGGTTACTGCTCAGCCCTCCGTAACTGAATTTTCCGGCTCTCAACCGATTAGGCCTCTCGAACATGTGATAGCTGCCCGAGGCAGAGACGCACGAGCTCTTGGCCGTCGGCGTCGGACTCGCGGGAACATCGAACGATAGTTGTTTGGGAGCAGTGGTGAGTCGTGGAGCTCTTAGAATGGATTTCGGAGCGGGCGAGGAAGTTGCCTCGTTTGAGAGAGGGTCGTCAGGAGCATCCGCAGCCGCTGAGCCGAGCATCGTCTCATTAATGGGACGGGAGATAAGACTTGCAGATGAATGCGTGGAACGGAGGGCCGGCGACGTGGCGGAAGGGCTTGACGGCTGCAGCGATTTGGAATAGAAACTGGGGGACAATTCGAACAGAATTCTGAAGAGAAACGGAAATGAAGTCGGATTTGAGTAAGAGAAAAGCAGAAGAAGAAGATGAAGAAGAATAAAAAGAAGAAGGAGAAAAAGGTTTGTATAGAAAATCTCACAGCTGTTTTCGGGGGAATCATTGAAGTGATAACTGATTAGGGTGCTCATTGGAGCGTATTCAGATAATGGGATAATACGTGTACAAGTCGAGCGGATACTCTCTTTCGGAGAAGGCGAAATGACGATTGGAAAGGAGGTTAGTCGACCCGATTAAAACGAAAAAGCGTTGTGTTTATGGAGGAGGAGAGCCACGATTACGCCCCGCCACCACAGCTTATAATTAGTTTTTTGCCCGCTTTCGCTCTTCTCCGATGATATTGGCCGGTCCCCATCCGTATTATTATTTATTCTTTCTCCCTTTTGAGCCTATGATCTCCTAAATTTAGAAGGATGTAAGAAGAAGAAAAAGAGAGTAACGAATGAAGTCGGCCGGCAAAACAAGACGGGAATATTGAACGTCCGGAAACGAGGAGACAACTTGACAATTAAATATAAAACTAGCGGGTAGAGCAACGTAAATCAAATAGCAATTATAATACGTCCACGACGTAACAGGTAACTTTTCGCTTCTTGGCTGCGTTTACGGGCGGCGGATAATTGAATGAAAACAAGTCTATATAGGAAACGGGAGCTCCGAGATTTGCAGTTATTGCTTGCTTTTGATAGCTTGCAGACAATCGTGAAATATAATAAAAGTGGATCGAATTACGATGACGCTGTTTCCACTTCTCCTTCTACTCTACACATTTGAGCTGATCTTTAGATTGGTCGCGTTTCGGAATGGGAGAAGACACAAATTGAAGTGTGGAATTCCATCGTTTCGGAATGGCACTTTTAGTGGTCACGCCCCGTCATTTGCAGGCAGACATCGGATGGGACGGAAAGGAAAACGAAGCGAGCACGAATAATTGATGAGATAATGTTCAAAGTTGGGAGAAGAGCACCGACCACGGAGCACTTCTAGAAGCATCGGGGGACAATGGGATCAGGTTAGGATGGAATAGACGCAATCCCGCATAGTTTCTGAACTACACGTGGAAACGTCGAAAGCGAAAAACCGAGGAATCACGTAGACGCACGTCATCGCAGTGCTCCAGAGGGAGAAAAAACGGAAAGTCAATCCAATTTGCACCGATTTAAATGTTTCTCCTTTCCATTCCTTTTTGCAGAGAAATGAAACAGAATACTGCTGGAAACGGGCTGTCTCCGATGATGAAATGGCAGGTAAACTGGGCAGATGTAGGGGGAAGACATGCGCGTGAATGAATGATATTGGAGAGGTAAATAACTCGAAACGAAGACGAGTGGTGATGACAAATCTGAGAAGACGATTTGTATTCTGGAGAGTCTCCCGGGGGAGCCGGCAGTAATTCGAGAAGTTTCGGAGCATATCAGTTATGATGATGATCGCATGATCTATAGACATGAAAACAGAGACTTACGAAGAAGGGCTTCGTGAAGGATTTGCATTCAAATGCTTATGACTTATGTCTTTAGGGAGTCAGACAAATCCAGACGGCAATCGGATGAAGGAATAAGCCATTTAAAGGCTGCATCGCGGAGAGATGATCATGGAATCGGAAATCGACAACAAACGGAGTAGAGCGTAAAAGAGTACATTCGAATAGAAACGGGCGGTGTACTCCGAGAGCTGTCACATTTCAACTTTCTCAATTAGCCTTCGCTCTTCGTGTTTTCTATTTTATTTTAGGAGAGCACACCGAGAAAAACGTCGCGATTAGAGACCGATCTGCGTCCTTTCTAAAATGGAAATAGCCGGGTGAAATCAGTTTGTTTCGATCGGAAATGTCTCGAATCATGCGGCGCTTCCGGAGATGTCGTCCGGCTAATCGACTTCGGATTATCTTCTATTAGTTTTAGACGATTTGACGGACGACGGAGAAGGAGGAGGAGAAGAAGAAAAAGCCGAAAAGAAAGCTAACGCTTGCCATTTGGCCCCTTCGCAAAAACACGAATTTCACGAATCGGTGGGAAAGCGGTGCAAAACAACGCAAAACACGAAGGGATATATCGGGCGTAGAGGATGGAAATTGTACCCTACTTGTCGAGTAAGCGTGATCGTGATAATGAGAAGTTGGGTGGAAATCGGACACCTTGCAGGAAGTTTGTGCATTTGTATACCCACAGTAAGAACTCGGAGAGCACTGCCACGTGGCAAAGTGATTTGCAGACAAAAAAGAGACTCGCGACAATTAGATAGTCTTTTTGAGGCGGAGGGAGTGGAAGAAAAGCATAAATCGGTCGGGGAAAACATAATAACACAAAACATGTGGTTTCTTAATTTCCTCCCCTCCCGTTTTTGTCTTCTTCGCAGAGAGGAGCCTTCTAAAAGTGAGAAAACGGCAGAAAAGGCTCTCAATCTGCGCCCGCAGGTGTCCAATTTCAGAAGCACACAACGCCTTCTCCTAATGCACTTATCCGTTTTTGAAAGACTCAAAGAAGGAAAGGAAGGAGGAGGCTTCGTAATCAGAAAAACTAGGGATTATTGAAGGAGGGGAAAAGAGAAAACGAAGAGAGCAAGAGGGAGGTGATCCTGGAAACGAACGGCGATGTCAGGATCAGATTTGGATTGCGTCTGCGAGGCGGCGGCGAATTAGAAAATTCTGAGGAATCACAAGATAAACGAGCGACGAAAACAACACGAAAGCAATAACAAACGAAAGATTCATACATACAATATTCAGAATACACTTTTCGTAGACGTCTGTGAAGTGAAAGCTCAAAAGAAGCTTCAAAAAGAAGGCGGGGTACCACAGGGAGCATAGCAACGATTGCATTCGGAGCATGTCCGATGTGCCCGCTCTTCGTCAGTCTCTCGTGGATTCCCTTCATGACAGTGCCCTTTTCGACGTACCTGTTGTACACGCGGCTGCCACGTCAGCCTGGGTTCCACTCAACGATAACTTTCCGTCGATGCTCGCTTCTGCCGCATGCATCCGTCGCAGAGAGCCTATCCTCGAGATCTGCGTGGACGACTGAGAGTTGTGGATGACCGTCTTCTGAAAAAAAAACGAAAAAAGGATAGATGGGAGAGAGAGAGAGAGACTCACTTTCGGAGTGTGATTTCCGTTGAGAAACGGTCGGAGCGACGGTCCCAATCCGTTCATTCGCATCCAATTCATCGAGATCTGAAACACTTCCAATTGTTGATTTCATAAAGCAGTTTTCCTTTATCTTGGGTACCAACTTGATCATAATCAACCCGTTTCCTCCGAGGTCTCTGCCCTCGGATGGCCGGATCGAGCAAATTTATACGTGAACCACTCCTTCTCTGCGGAATCATCATTTTCTGGGCTGAAACCGTCAATTTCAGATGGAGAAAAGGGCCGGAGCAAAGTAAAAACGGAGAAGGAAACGAACCGACACCAAACGACGGGTAATTGAATGCCTTTTCGGGTGTCAGACAGCAGAGAGCTGGTAACTAATAATTGCGGGAAAACGGGAGGAACCGAGCGAGTTCCGAGTATTGATACGAAGGTTTCAAAGGGACTTTGGGTCACTCTAATCCCTATTCAACTGGGAAATGCATTAGGTCCGAACTCTTTCGGTTCCATGCCGAAGAAAAGAAAGGGAACCGGAATAAGCTAATAAAGCGAATACGAATACGCAGATGAGGAATCGCCGGGGAAATGATGAAAAAGAAGGCTTCCGAAGACTAATTATGCAGAAGAGTTTGGCTGGAAACAGCCCTCCGAATGAGCGCCGCCGCCAAGGTGAACTTGTTTTTTGCGAGTAATTCAATACGCTTGTTGTATTGGCGCTCTGTTTTCTTTCCATAACAGCTGGAATTTCTAATTGTTACCGCCGGTCCGTTTATTGGACAAATATTATTGGAATGCGGTTGAAACAGAGAGGAAATGAAGGAAAGAAATGAGGAGACAGTTCCGGAAATGTGGAAATAACTGGAGCAGGAGACGATTCCTGGTAATCAGAACGACGATAAATATCGGGAGGGAAGCCTGGATTATCCGGGAGTCAGATGAGGAAGAAGAAGAAAAAACGACGGTGAACAAAATGAGAAACGATGCTTTCTTCTGTTTTCGAGGGGAAAGGTCAGAACTGTTCGGAACGGCGTCTTTCATCTGGAAGGCTTCCATTGACAACCGGTGGTCGGGGAATTTGATTTCAGCGGAAGAAAGCTCTCGACGACGACGACGACGAAGGCCAACGGGCAGAAAACACGACCCGGTCGAGCATTGTCATGGGAAAATCATTAGGAAAATGAAGAGGAGAAACGTGGCGGCGATCAGAAACAACACGAATGCAAAGGCACTGCTGTTGTCGTCAGCGGAACTTCTGGCAACCATGTTTTTATTTTCAGTTTCTGTAGAATATGCAGAGCTGTTCCGTGAGTCACGAATCGTGTCGGAATCTTCTTTAGAAAATTTAGATAACTTGTTTGTTGGTTTGGTATACTTGCTCGATCCGTTTGATTCGAAAACAGAAAGTTCTGAGTTTTCCGGAATGTGCTCACCTGTGCGACGTCCTGATTCGAATCGAACGACGATTGCGGCGAGCGTCCGCCCAGCGGAGGGAATCCTCGTCCATTCGAGAAACCTGGAAACAACTCATTTGAGAGTGTGGCAATCCCGTAGAAAATTCGAAACACGTAGATTACAAAACCCGTAGTCAAATCCCGTAGAAACGGGCGGGGCCTAATGCAAGGTGCGCGCACACCGTTTTGACTCATTTTTGATTGCCTTTTCGCACCTTTAGTAACCATTCATTTGAGACATGAAAATTTGACAGAACGATTAAAAAATGCCATGAGGAGTCCAATATTCTGAGTTTTCTGCATTTTGGCGTTTCTGTGTTTGCGTACTTATTTCTACGGGTTTCGACATTTTTCTACAGGATTTGACTCTACGGGTTTTGTAATCGAATCTATTTTTTTGGGAACACACCTGCACTACTGTACCCATTTCCCCCAGCACATGCGAACGGACCGTCTCGTTGCACACCGGTCGAGCCGCCCGAGATGCCGGCTCTTCGCTTCCGCTGCTGGCGGTACTGAAACGATGACATTAGGAGAATGGAATGGGAAAAGGGGGAGAATAACTGGACTGTGGGAGACTCCCATCAAACTGCTCTCGTCTAAACTGTACATGTGCTGCAGCATCGGTGACGCCGACATTCTTATCTTCTGAAGAGAGTTTGAGATGAAAAGAGAACGAGTAGAATGTGTGAGAAAAAAAGGAATAAAGTATGAAAAGAACAGGGTCGGCTTAGGCTTTTTGAAGTCTTTTTGAGGCCTGAACTTTTCTGGAGGTATGTGCACGAGAAGCCTGCAAAGTTTGGGTCTGATCGGAAAATTACAAATGATTCAAAAGTACAGGCCACAGAAGGCCTTCGAAAAGCCTGGCCGGGAGAAAAGTTGGAGTGTATAAAATCCATGAAAAATGAATTTGCTTAGTAGTAACAACGCCAATAAATCCTCAGAAAGAGCATGCCATTTCGTAGTCTGGGGCGGTCGACAAAGAAAGAATCCAAACGGAAATTGACATAAAACACAACGTTTTTGTGTACAAGGGAAGCGAACGAGAGAATGATGTGAGATGAGCTACTTTTGCAGACAGATCAAGTGGATTTAGCAGAGATCCGCCCGGTTCGACTCGAAAAGTGACGAAGAGAAAGCGGAAAACCCACATCATTTCTGAGAAACTGAGCAGTTGATTTGCACGTTAACCAGCTTTTATTCTCCGTTTATAATTTGCTCAAACTCTGCAACAGAGTGACTTGATCAAGCTTTCTAAGCTTGGCGCTGAAAGTCACAGTAATCGGCGTGCGTCTCGGGAGAGTTTATAATCGTCCAAAAACCAAATGTGAGTCTGAGCCACACAACTAGTACTCCTTTGATTGACGGCTCCGCGAGAGTGGGCCACCAAATTAAAGATCCGTCAAAAAGGAGCGGAACAGAGAGAAGAAAGTGAGAAAAAACTATGAATAGCTGAAGGCGGCGAGTGTTGCTCATTGGGATGCCAATCATGGAACGGAATTGAGTACGGAAGAAGGAAAAAACAAAGATCGGAGTCCCGTCATAACAACATCATCGTGGCGAAAAGTCAGAAGGGAAAGGATGGTGGGTGGGCGATTTCATTGAAATCCGATAGTTCACTTTCGAATTTCGAGCGCTCAAAGGTTAATCTTCCCGTTTTCGGACGGCAGGTACGTCAAAAGGCTTGTATGCGCGAGAAGGAGCCCGAAATATTCCCGAATAAAGTGTAAATGAGGGAAACAGAAAGTGATGCCATTGCGAAAATGTACAAGAGAATGGACGGAAAGAATTCTAATTTTTAGATGTAATATGGGCAGAGTCCAAAGCCTTGTGCAGCAACAAAACAGGTCCCTGGAGGCAAAAAGAACGACCCGGGCGGTAAACAGAAAAAGGAAAAAACGACGTCATTTCGGAAAACGAAATTGACAGGAAAAGAAGAAGGCACGAGTCGGACAGCGAATGGGACAAACGGTGGACTTTAGAGGAACGAAAATGAGCTGGTGGCCAAGTTCGGAACTTCCTCATTTCAAAGGTTTTCATTTCAATTTTTGTGTTTTAGACGGAATTGTCAGGCAAACAAATGAGAGACTGATACTCATATTACACCCGAAAACGGAACTGGATGTCTAGAGCATCGTACGAACCCGCGCGAGGTCCCCCCAAGAGTCGTTTGTTCCAGTTAATCTCCGAGTCGATCGAAAACTTTGACTCTGCCCACTTTTTGTTCACAAAAAGGATCTGAAGTTGCTTCAAACGGAGACGTTCAATGACCAGACACGTCGGCCGTTTTCTTCAATTTCCCATTTCGCACAATCTTCAGAACTCTTCAGCCAGAAAATTGGAATTCGTTCGTGGGGTAATCTGTTTTGCGGACACTTTCTTCTGTTTTGAACTGAACAAAAAAGAAAACAAAGATGGATGAAGTTGCAGACTTAAGAGAGTTAAAGGAGCACAAGATGTTTGAGCAAGAAGAGAGAGAGAGAGGGAGAAATAGCTGTGAAAAGAACTGGGAAGGGTTCAAAGGAGGGCGTATGAAATTGGGTTAAAGGAAGAAGAAAGTAATGTAAGGAAAGAAGGCGATTGTAGCCGAAAGAGAGAGAGAGAGAGAGAGAGAGAGAGAGAGAGAGAGAGAGAGAGAGAGAGAGAGAGAGCGCGGAAGAGATTGGGCAGAACGGCCGGAAGAGCACGAGGAGTACGGTAGAGCAGCTGCTCTTGCGGCTCCGGCTCCCATTTGCTCTTGGCTCAATTGAAAATGCACTTCCCTCCGGATGCCATAAACCTTCCTGCGGCTCACCCCGACTAATAAATTGGCTCTCCCCGACGCTCTCGGTCATTCGCTCCGCCAGCCAAAGTGCCAAAAAGTCGTTTTTGATCAAATGGACCCCTCGGAAACGAGCACGTCACAAAATACAAAGGGGAGTATGCGGAGGAGGGGGGCATTCGTTCAATGCATACCAAATGGAGGCGTCCAAACGGGTCGGCGCCCCGAAAACGAAGAAAAAGATGTCATTGACCAGAGAAAAGGAAGTTGGTTCTTGAAATTTTAAACGGGCTTTTTTTGCTCGGAAATGTCAAACATCTCTGGAGAAACGATAGAAATGCTTGAACGAATTTGGAGGGGAAAAAGTGAGCAGAGGATAGAGATGTACTAGAGACATTTTATTGTTCATAGAAAATATGATGGGAGCAAAGAATGAAGTGGCGAGGATTACGGTAGGTGCTTGAAAACACTTTTGCAGGGAGTCGACACAGAATTAGACGAATCGAAACTCAACGGATGTCAGAGAGAACTGCTCGTAATACTCTTTGAAAGTTGCACAAAGCCGTCGGAGCTCCGTGAGCCCAAAGTTTCGCGGACAAAGGATTGAATCAATTGGCGGCCGAAAACACCTTTTCAAGTGGGCACAATGAGTAATATTTCTTTTTCAAATCCCTAAATGTCATTACTGTCTTTGAAGAATAAGCGAACGAAAGAAATATCGGGAGTCATGTGGATGTGTTTTTGTTTATGTTCGGAGTCTGGTTTGTTCGGCAGACATCCCAAGAGAAAAAATGATTTATGAGGTGGCGGGTCAAAAACCGAGTTGTTTGGAACTCACTGAATTCATTTGAACAAAGCAGACTTTGCTGGAAACGTTCTGATTAGACCCCTTCAGCAGGAATAGCAGAAAATCGCTTGCATTTGGATGAGAATGTCTTCTAATGAAGGGGCACTCACTTCTGAGTTTGGATGGGGCGGAGTCTTCTCGTTCCGAATTCAAAGGCTCCATTTGACGCACTTTCAGAATGTTCTGATTCGGATTGCGTGACATTTCGAGAAATTATGCATTCAGATATCATCGATAGAGATGAAGAGAGAGGAGAGGAGGCGCAGCGCATCCGATCATTCCGTTCTTTTTTCTGTTTTTTCTGTACTCGGAGACGACGGTTGAGAGACGAGAAGAGGACAATGTAATGTCAGTTATTCATTGATTCGGTAAAGAAATCGAAGGCTATTGGACCTGCGAAGAGCCAAGATCGGAACGGAAATGACGTTTCCAGCAGGGGACACTGTCGTTTTTGAGTGATGAAGGCTGGTAAAACAGAAGAAGGGCGGAGGAAAACAGAAGAAAAGAAGAATGAAAAACTGAGGGACAAGTTATAATTACCGGACACAAACGGGGCGAGATGATTGCCCTATCGCAGCGAAAATAGAGAGGACAAGGGGAGAATGATGATGCTATGAATGGCGGAAAGCGGAGAAAACACACGCATCTGTAAGAAGTGCAAGACCTTTTTGATAGAATGGATATCATCTCCTCGCCCATTCATCATGATCCCTTCTGAAAGAGTTCCGAGAGCCAGAGAGCACTCGAATATTCTGGGAATGAAGAAGAAGAAAGGGCCGCGCGTTTCATGCCGAAACGTGTCATTCTTCTCGCCACCTGCACGTTCATCCGTCAAAGAGAGCAACAATCAATCGATGCGCCATGGGGGCTTTTGACAAATGGAAAACACGTAGACCACGAGACCACGTGACTGCTGGCAAAAAGATTGGAAGTTGAATGGGAACTTGAGCAGCAGCAGCAGTAGGACAAGTGGATTTGGATTTGGATTTGGAACGTAGAAAGGTTGTAGGAATTGAAAATGAAGAGTATGTGTATGTACAGTTCAGACGAGAGCGTCTGAAAGTGTAGGAAACTTTGAACTGACCGCGTTGTCGATGTCGTTGCAGCTAGCGAACAGATCTTCACTGGAAGCCGACGGACGATCGTCAAACGAATGGTGCATCGAGGATCCTGCAAAGAGTTCGGGTCAGGGTTTGATATCATTTTCCATGGAAGGTGAGCAGCACAACAAAAAGAAGGAAAAATAAAGAGGCAGGTGCATTGTGGGTGCCTGTATTCGGAGCACGAGCGGCGCATGCTCATGCTTTGGCTCCTCCTTCGGACACTCGAAATAGATGCACCGCACTTCACTTTTTGCTCGCTTCTTGCCTGTTTTGTAAATTTCGACGACAAGGAAGAGAGGTGAGAGTTCGGAAAAGATGAGCATCTGGGCGCGTATAAATAGAATCATGGTTCGTGTTTGCGGGAAAAGAAGAAAGAAGCCAGAATATATATTTGATTTGTGCTCATAATGGACTGAAAGGCAAGAAACGGGATTATGATGGGTATATTAGGACAGCACGCGGATTAATCATTGTTCCTCCCGTCACTGATTTCATCCGAAATAGTTCGTTCACGTCGGCTATCAGAAATGACAATTGCCGTGTAGCTGCAGCGTATTTTTGGAAGGAATCAAAAGGAATTCAGAAGAGAATCGCCCGTCGTTCAGGGCCAATTCAAGTCATTATTCATTTGAATCACTCTATTTCAGCTGTGAATTCTGGGAGAAAGAAATGCACCTGCTTCTGAAGAAAAAGGCCGATGCTGCTCATTTTGACTTTCACTCTCTTCTCCTTGTTTCCCCACAGACTGCGTAGGTAACGAGTTCATTTTGACGCCCTCGGAAGACGTTTTCAAAAGAAAGAATTCAGAATTAGAAAGCGAAGCACAAAGAAAAAAGAAGTGACTTTCGACCGAAAGGATTCCGGAGAGAAAAGAGAAAACTAGTGATTAGGGACCCAGCATGTTTTTGGCAGAATAAGTTTTGAAACCGTTTTTGAAATAAAGAAGCTTCAAATTTTAAAAAAGAAGAGGTTTGTGAGCCCAAGGAAAACGCCATGTTTATTTTTCCCACTCTCAGTCGGGACCGTCGTGTTTTTGCCTTCATGAGGGGCAGTCAGACGGAACGGAATTCCAGATGACCTCATTCCAAACTTTGAGAAAAAGGAGACGAAGAAAAAGAAGAGGGAAATCAAAAAATAAAGGAAGAAGAGAGCCGAGAGGTGGTTTGTTCTTCTCCGTTTGCCGCCGGTCCAATGGCCTTCAATTGGATTATTCGGGGCGAGAATCTTTCCTTTTCCCCTTTCCGCCCGCCCCGTTTTCGTATGATCCGGATGATGTCTTCTTCGTGACTCCGCAATTGAAATCTTCCGAATTCCCCTGGGGGAAGACGCAGAGAGCATCATCCTAATTGGAGAGCTCTTCTCTTCTAGATCCCCTTCCAGATTTTTTAGTTTCCCTTTTTCTTCTGAATACACAAAGCAAAAAAGTAACACTAAGACATCAAGAATTGCAAGAACTCACCCCAAAGTTGTTGTCGTTCGGCCGCTGATATCGGGGACGCGGAACTGAGGCAGCGGCCACTTCCCATGCCTGCAAAATGGGGAACATTGGCGTATTTCAGACTGCGCAACGCCCTTTTCTAGAGTTATTTTAGTATATTCTATGAGCCAGAACAAATTTCTGAAATATGAAAAACAAAAAACGGAAGGACATGGGAATGGAAACAGGCGCACAATGATTTGGTTTTGGCTCACTAGTTAGTGACCTTTCCGCACTGATAATTTCATTTTGGTGCAACTGAACGGCAGCCGCTGATTCACTATATGGTTCTGGACAATGATAGTTCCTACCGCTGAGAAATATTCCGTTGGTATAATCGAACATGAGCTGCTCGGGCGACAACAGAAGGATCTTGGGCGTCGTCGAATCGGAATGATCGAACGCATCCGAATGATCGAGTTTTTGTTTCGAACTCATCGGATCTTGAGCATGAAATACGACGGAAAACGGACGAACGTCGGCACGAAAACAGAAGAAGAGAGGAGGCCTGACAACAATCGGACGAGCACCTCTTCTTTCCTCCGGCCGTCGCAATGAATTCTAATGAGAAATTGTTGGCGAATTAATTTGAGCAGAAGCCGCCCGCCGCGGTCGACGCAAAAGATTTCAGGCGTCGCGACGATGATGATGAGCCGGAATGGAAAACAGAGTGGCGAACGGAGACACAAACACCATCGAATTATTCACGTCACGCAAACCCGAACGGATACTGACGCCCTTTTGGTGTTCACGAATTCTGTGAAACGATGGTCCTGATCGGGGGCGGAGAAGTGACTTTTTGGTTTTTTCGGACTAAAAGTTCCGAGTGCAAATGCGCTAAAGTGCAGAAAGGGATTACAGTGGCAGTCTCCCAGAGATTTTCGAATTGACTATTTTCATCAAACGTGACATGAGCGTGACCCAATTATAGTATCGAATTCACGCCTCACAAAGTTCTGCATAAAGCACATAATTGACCCGAAACGACCGAAAATCAGTGTCAGTTTGCTCTCCGAGTTTCAGAAAAATCTGCCATTCACAGAAGACAATGGAGAACGAAAACAATGCTGAGAAAGGCTCCTTTCCGCGCCTTTTTCATATCGAAAATTGGAAGAAAAAGAAGGGGTTCCGATGCTCGCAAAGCAAAATAACCAAAATTGGCGTCCGTGTTTTTCGACTATTCTTCTCGTTTGGAGAAATTGGCCAATTTAGAAAAATGAATGAATCTGTGTGAGGTCGTCTAGGCTTCGCAGAATCCGTGGGCAAAACAAAAAAAAGGAAGGAAGAAGGAGAAGAAGATGATACTCACTTCCCGGATGACGATGTCGATATTTGTGAGTGAAAGGAAGGAAGGAGACACCGATTTACGAGAGAGCTATAAAAGTGACAAAAGCGACCCTTTTTGTGTGCTTCGGTGCTAAACTCAAAGTGAGCAAAAGCACAAAAAGTGCTCTTGTTTCACTCAAATTGGAAGGAAAGCTTTCAGGTCTTTCCCACAATCCTCCCGCCATTTATCAGAGACTCACCGCCCAACGCATTCCACTTCATTGTCTGCTGAACGACGGAGCTGAACGAGATCTTCGGAGAGGCGTGTAGTCGGCCGGATGAAGAGCATGACTGGCCTGCAATCGAATCATTTTGAAGGCTCGCCGAAGGAGGAAAGGGCCCGCCCGCCCGGCAATAATAATTATAGGGTGTCTTGTTATGAGCCCCGCCTGATTCGCGACACTTTTAGTACCCATTCTGGTTATCTGAACTGCGTGTGAGCTGGATGGATCTGAGCGGACATTTGGACACTTTCTGAACTCGATCGCTCATCAGAAAAACGAGGCACGTGCTATGGCTTCTCCGGTTTGTTTTCCCACAATTTGTTCCGAGAAAGGGAAGCGGTTAAGGAATGGAAGCATGGAAATTAGGTCAAATGGAATCTTCATAGCTCCTTATTCTTCAACAAGACTTTTTGAACCTGGGTCCGCTGCGCTCGATCCCGAGAACAGCACCTCAGATATATATTGCACGGCCCTTCCGAAAAGCACGCGCCTACCTGGTCTCAACTGCCGCAGATCGAGACAGTCGATGCTGTTGGCGCGGTGATTCCGCGCCTGTGGCACTTCCAATAATTGCAATATTTTGGCGGAGGATTTCGAGCAAACTCAAACACTGAATACGGAGAAATGTTTCAGAAATGAAAGAGGAGAGGAAGAGGAAGAAGGCGTGGGAAAGAATGAGGACAAAGAATTGTGATGTGATTAAGATGTGGAGGAGGAGAGCCTGGAGGCACCGTTGGAAACTGAAGATCACGCGGCGAAAAAGGAAGAAAAAGGTCTGATGGGAATACGAGGTTAAGGCGAAATCACGTACTCGATAAGGACGTTTCGAAGTAAGTTGCAAAGCGGGAAAGAGACGTGGCACAATGTTTCGTTCGCTTCTGAAGTGCTAATAAAGTTTCGAATATAAAAAAAACCAAAGAGATTTCCGAGAAACATCATTCCAGAAAACGTCTGATCATTGAGAATTTGCACAAATTGAGGCATGCTCTCGTTTGGAGAATGACACGTTTTTGTGACACTCTATTTACGATGGGATGAAACCGAGAAAACGGGAACGGATCCCCGAAATGAACGGGGATTACTGTTGCTTTCGTTCTTTGTGCCACGTTAAGAAGAGTAATGTGTCTGTCCTCACTAAATGGATAAAGCCGAGAAAAAAGAGAAAAGAAAGAAAAAACGAGTCGTCGCTCTCGGATCAAGAGATAAAATTGAGTTTATTAGGGGTATCCTTTTCTGGAGACAACGAGCCAAGAATCGGATTTATTCGTCAGGCAAACATCGCCCTTTCTCTTCTTTCTTTTCTTTCGTTTTTACGCCCTTTTCTAGACGATGAAATTCGAGGAAATGAGGGGAAAATCGAAAAAGGAAGCAGAAGATCCACGTGTATGCATTGGAGAGCATTCGAATCTTTGGTCCATTATGATGATGTCGATGAGGATGCTCCGGAATATCAGAACGACGTGAACACAAGTCGGCGTGAACTTGTCAACAGTCGAAAAACAAAAGAAACGGCGGGAAAAGGGATGCGTCCGGAGATCAGTGATGCTCTCATTTATCACCGGGACGGGCAGAAGCCGAAAATATCTCAGGGCGGGAGGCGAAGGTTGCGGCCATTTATATTGATAAGAGAAAAGATACTTGAGGAGGGAGAAGAACGCAGATTATAGTGGAGTGAGTTGGGGATTTGGAGTACGAAACGAGGTTCATTCTGATCCCTGAGCTGCCCGTTTCGTCGGCCTAATCAAGAGTGCCGGCTGACTGCTCCCGTCGTGTCTGCCCTTCTTCTCACGTGTTGCCTGTCAATCAGCAGGGCATGCGAACCCAGCCCACGGATTCATATATTGTCACCTCACAACAAAATGCTCATTCTCTCCTTCTTTTCTTTTCCCCCCTTCCACTCGTCATTTTCGTTCATTGACATGTACCAGAGATGATAGATCAACAGCCGAGAGCGGGCGAGAAGAGGAATAAAGGAAAGGAGCCGCTGGAATGTTCTGGAACTCACCGATCTGCATCGGCGGCTTTTCGGAGGTCGGCGACAAGGTCGAGGTGGTCGTGGAAGTGCGCACGAATCGGGGACGATCTCGGAAATCCAACGAGTTTTTGGCGGAGACTGATGACTGAAACTCGGGCGGTTCAAAAGGACTGCGGGATCAGATTATCCGAGTTATTTCCCACAATTATCCGGAAGGTTTTCAGTGCCTTCTGAGATTCCCACTCGGAAACGGACCTGTCTGAGTCCGCTGCTCGACTTCCTGATCTTGTGCTGCGACGGTTCCTCGTGTTCCGTGTCAGTTTGTTGGCTGAAAAATTAATATTTCCACACACTCGTTCCCTTTTTTCTTTTTTCAAAATTAAAAAAAAAACAGCAAAAATAGAGCAGGTCGTTGATTCATTCAGAGAATTTTAATGAGAGTCTCCAAGCTGCTTGGCCAAAACAGTGTTAATTCTGCCGCGTCCAAAGTTTAAAAAAATTGGAAATCCCGCTGATTTTGCTGTCCAAAGTCGGCCGAAATTTCCTTGAAAAACGGGGTGCGCAGAGCTGAACGAATGTGACCGTACACCATAAAACTACGGTATTTTTTGAAAATTTTTAAATTTCTTGAGAATATTTGATACGGTGATTTTTTCCGAGGGCGCAGTAGAGAGAGGAAGAACTCAGGAAAAAGGCACCGATTCGGCACATGAGCCTTTCAAAAGGCGCTGAAACGGCGTTGTCGCCGGCGCCTTTTTTCCTGAGAAAGTTAGGCCCTCATGTAAACTAACAAAGAGACACAAAAAGCACGTACGAGCAGCCATATTTTGAAAAAAAAACTGTTTTGGCAGTGGCTCCTAGACATTTCTGCGATTTTCTTGTTGCTCTTTCTTAGTTTTGATCATAATGAACGCATTCACTATGACAATGAATAAGATGAATATGTAATCTTCGAACAACACGCATCAGAAGTTTTGGCGCGCGGAAAAAGGCTTGGGAAGCGTGCTGCCGGCCGGCAAAATAAGCAGCCGACAGTTCACGGAACGATAGGCCGAACTTTCTTCCTCTCTCCACTGCGCCCCCAGAAAAAATCAAAAATTTCGAGATGAGAAGTACCTGGTTCTCCAGGTGACGCTCGGATGCGGATTCGAATCGGAAGACGTGGAGTTGGAAAGCAGAAGCACCGGATAGTGGGAGACCTGCGGAGACGAATAATTTTATTAATTGGGATGAGAAGAAAAGAGCCGGAAGGGACGGACTGATCGGCCGAGGGAAACAAAGACCAAAGGTCCAATTAGCCGAGAGAGAGAGAGAGAGAGACTCTCTCTCTCGGATCCGCCCGGATTCGGACACTCACTTGTAGCGACGGAAACTTTTTTCCGATCATGCCGGACTTTCTGCGCACAACCGGATGCGATCCCCCGTTCGTTCGGGGAATGTCTGCCACGTCGCCGGCACTCGATGACGTCACCGACTCGTTCCTCTGCAACTGAGCCGCCGCTTTCACCGCTTCTTCGAGCTTCATCATTTCTGGAAGCACCGCAGTGTGTTCAAAGATTTGGGAGAAGTAGATTAGAGTATGTTTATCAGAATGAACGGAAGCAATGGAACGAGGAACTGAAATGGAGAGAAAATGGGACAGTTTGGATGGATTCGAGTACGAACGGAAATTGTAACCGCTCGAAAAGAATGTTCCGGAGATTGAATTAACGCACAGACATTTTCACAGGAAATTGGAAAAAAGATACAACTTTTTGAGCTCAGAGACCAACGGCAGCTGACATTCTGATGATTTACCGCCTGTCTGGTGACTACATTTTTTCTCATTTCACAGAAATTCTTTGTGATCAATTCGTAAATCTTGCTCGGAAGCCATTCGGCTCAGCGTAGGTTTCCCACGTCATTTCAGGATCATTCGGAATTCATTTTTTCAAAGACTTTAGATCGGTTTAATGTCGGCGGGAAAGAGCAGGGAAATGAGTAATACACTGGGCGGAAATAATTGGAAAAGAGTCAGTGGCCTCAACTTTTTCCCTCTTTTTTTTCGTCGATGACTTCTGAAGTCATACCACGTAATTAGTCCCCCCTCCTGACACTATGGAGAACGGACAAAAATGAACGTCCGTTTCGGCTTCCGGATTGTTGCCGTTTCGGGGCAGTCGGAAGGCATACAACAGCTGGTGGTCCGTCTGGAAAATAATGAGATTTCGTCTTTTCTGGAGGGACAGCGCCGACGTCGAAAAATGAATTCAATGCAATTTTTGTGCGCAGATGATAGTGCATTTTGTGTGTAATGAGGTGAGAAGCCGTAGAAAACGGAAAAGAAAGGGGGATGACAAGTCCTAGTCTGGCGTTGTTTGGAGCAGCACAGATTACCTGAGAGCACGGGAGAAGGAGGCTAATTGGAAACGCGGAGAATGATCAGAACGAGATTGGAAGAAGAGGAAAGGAGAAAGAAAGGAAAGGGAAGAGAAGGGACTACGGTAGGGGAAAGAATGGAAGAGTGTTTCGAAATGGAAGGGTAATTGACTTTTGGCCCACTGACCATCATGACGTCATCTGGAGCGCTTCTGAATACTAATAAACTTCCGAAAGCCAGACACCGCAGGCATCCGCACTTATTAGTTCCGCATTCCGACAACCGCGCTCTACCGAACTCCTCGCGAATTCAGTGCCAACTTCGGTAGAGCGTGATTGTCGTGAGCGAGAGCGACAAAAGAAGTGCGCAAAGGAAGACAGGAAAACAAGAAAAGAGGGTAAGTGACCTCTCCGTATCATGCTCCGCAACGGCTCTCTCGGGCACGTGCACATATACATTTCGATGGCCGGGGCACTGGCCAGTTTTCCAATTATCTTCTGCTCTGTTGCATTGAGGTTTTCAAAACGAGGCGAAACGTTTTGAAGGATCGGCCGAATGATGTTTGAGATTGGTTTTCGAAGTGTAAATGAATGGAAAGTGAGGGTGGGACACACACCGATTAGATGAATAATGTCCGGTCGGTGGAAGGGCGAGAGAATAGATCAAGTGGGAGCACAATGCCCCACCGCTACAATCGTTTTTCTTTTCTTTCGTCACGCTTCTGAATTATTCGTCAGTTCGCGCCACTTTTAACGAAAAGAAAGACCGTTTCGATGTCTGCGAAGGTCGCGACGAGCGGGCACCCGATTCAATTATTTCATGAATAAACTATATTTACATTTTATAATTGGCTCGCCGGAACCCCTTGTTTCGGACGATGGTCATTGGTCATTCCGCGGAAATGCTGCACGGGTTTGAAAAGTGTGCCGGAGAATTTCATATTAGATGACAGCGTAAAAAACGTGCTTCCTAGAAGATATCTGACTTGAAAACCAGATGAAGGCGAAATGGAACGGAAACGAAGAGGAGAGGAACTCTGAAAAACAGCGGGAAAATGCAAGAGAAGACATCAGAAATTGAGTTTTTCAAAATGCCATCCGTCTGTCATATTTCGTTGCCGTCGCGAAAGTGCGTTCATTGCAATAAAAGAGGCGTCGAAATGGGATGAATCAAAGGAAGGGTCCGTCCGGCAACTGCTGTTTTTGTGTGTGTGTGTGTGTGTGTGTGTGCTCCACGAGCAATTCATCCTTCGCTCCCTTCCTGTCACTTTATCATCCGTCTCGCGGCATTATTTTGAAGATCATTAAACACGGACGGTCCCCTGAATTTTGAATTATTTGTTTTTCTGAATTCTGTTTTATAAATTTGCCTGGACAGAATGTGTTCGAATTTGACAACAATATTCAGAAAAGCACGAAGCATCGGCTGGAAAATACTAAAAAAATAACACGTTTTCTTTGGGTAGCGCCTTATTTTCAACGACCAACTGGTAATTCGAATCTCGAGTGTTTGTCTGAACGAAAAGAAACGGAAGGAGCGGACAAAGCGAACAATTCATACAGATATTCACATTTTCTCTTTTCAATGGAAACTGAACCTGAAAGCAAAAAACAGAAAGCAAGAATGTTAGCCACTTGACTGCTCGGAGCACGTGCTTTGAAGGAAAACACGAGCGGATCGAAAGCAGAAAGATCGCGGGACTCGGGCGTCGGAAGAGTCGCAACTTCTGAACCGTGTTGGTCTTTTGTTCTCGAATAATCGGAATCTACTCGCAATTCGTAGTAGAATGTGACTGCATCCCTGGCTAGATCATCCCCTAATGCGCATTGATCCGTTTTCCCATCCAAACTCACTCACCTTCCTTCCGATGCGTTCTCCCTTCCTTCTCACTCTCGTCCTCCTCTTATCGCCCGCTCTTTCCGTTTCCCAAGACTGTTCCGGTTTCTTCTCTATCGAGAACGCCTGCAACAGTCTGATTCTGGAAGTGGCCCAAGAATGGCCAAGGTACAAACCAATTCCGTCGCCCAAAGTGGCGAGTTCTCTGTCTCTGACCTGCATGAAAGCTCTTGTAAGTTCAAATTGAAGAGTGTGTGACGTCAGGGTCTATTTTAGAACTGCATAAAGTCGTTGGAATGTCCAGAGAAGAACACAATGATATCTGTAAAGCTGGCCGATGTGGCCGAGCTGTGCAGTGGTCTTTGGGCGTTCGCGGGATCATTTGGACAGTGTCTTCAGATTGTAAGTCAAAGAAATTGAGGGCACAACTAGCTCTTGTAGACGAAATAGGTTAGCAGGACCAAGATCTAATATGCCTAATAAGGGAAAACCTATTCCTTACATAAACATTGAAAAATATAACGCACAGTAATAGTTTCAGATCCGAAGCCAGGACACTTCAAACGAGTATCCGTGTCTCAAGTATTGGGATAACGAGGTTAGTCTCTGGTATGCAAATGCGCTCCAATAAACGTTCAGGAACAATCTCCGACCTGTCAATTCTTCACTTCGGACTATGATTGCGCGGAAATGCTCGTAGAAAATCAGTGTGGAGCAGACGCGTTGGCCAGTATGAGAAGGAACAAAAACTTTATAGAACAGCACTTTGAATGTGCGGAGAAGAGCGACACGACGAGACAATTTGCATTCCTCTCACAATGAACCGTTCTTTATTTATCCGTGCACAGCAGAACCCGCACCCTCTCCTCGTTCGCCCTCATATTCTCAACTGCTTCGTCGCCGCACGCGTTGCTCACAACCGTTTCCAGCTCGGAAAACTCTTCGTTCGTCAGCTCGCATTTCCGTTTTTCCTGTCCAATTGTCACGTTCTTGAGAGTCATCACGTCGAATCGAGTCTGCAATGAAATGGAACTTTCCGAATTGTGGAATTTACCCTACCTTCTCGATACATCGGCTGAACTTGCCCACTTTGAATCCGTACTCGTCGCACGCCGACCTCAGAAACACCGTTCCGAGGCTCATGAGCCCTTTCAGAAGTCCCGGCAATTCGATCGTGTCCATGCAATTCTGAGGGACCGACATTTGGGATAAAACAGCAAGAAAGGAGCACTTACAGTGGTGTCAATGCACATTTCGTAGAACACTTCCATGTTGGCGATTGTGATATTCCCAAACTTTTTCTGCTCCAATTTCAAATTTTCGAGAACATTCTTCATTTTTTCGAACTTTTGAATGCATGTCACCGGCGTCTCTTTGGGTGATTCACAGTGAATCAGAGTGGGAATGAAAGTAACAATCAAAAAGAAAAATGGAACGGAAGGCGACATTTGAGGGGTGGAAACTAGAGTGTTTTGCGAGAGAAACGAATGGTCCGACGGAATGGAATGGCCTTGTTGTACGTCCCTTTGTCCCTCATTGTATTGATCCGTACACGAGTTTATGAGGAAGGGTGTGGAAGGTGGCATCGGATTGGTACGGGAGTGCATGACATGAATCATTCAATGAAAATACTGTGAAGCAAGGCAGATAACAAAGGTGATTACAATGGAAATATCAGTCTGATGGGACAATTGAAGCTGGGTCAAAAGTCCAGAAGGGCTTCGCAGAACAAAAAGAACAAACCCAATTGTGAATTCCTCAATAAACACTAGAACGTTCCAAAAGATTTCGGAAAAGTGCACGACGTTTGTTTTTATTCCCGCCCAAACGACACTTGAGGAACGAACGAGAAACAAAACGAAACTTGAAGCGATTGGAATGGTGACGTGCCAGTTCGGACTGTAAACAGATGCGGACGGACACTCGTGCGCCTCCAATTACCGTAATCGCTCATGCTTGACTCTCTCTCTCTCAATTTCGTGTCAAGTACGTGTAAGCCCACGTGTATTCATTTCTTTCCCGTGTTTTTCGTGTCATCCACGTGTTGCCTTCTGTATAATCTGTAAAATTAAACTGACTTCTCGCAGATGACTGATGTTCCCAATTGAACTTTCCGACTTCTTGATCCGATTCTTCCCCCCGTTTCGAATAGTTCTGCTCCAAATTCTCTTCCATTCCGGCTCCACTCTACCCATTCTCTGCGCTCTCCTCTTCCTTCTCGCTCTTTTTCTCTTTCTTATCAATGTGGTTGTGGCACGGTTTCGAAAGACAACACTCTATGATAAGGGCGTCGAATCGGTCAACAGCCCGTCCGTTTTCATTCGTTTCCAGCCATGGACGACCTCATCGAAGGAGTTCTCGTCACGCTCAAGGCCCTTTTTCTCATTCTCGTCTCCACGATCCGCAACCTTTTCCCAACTGGTATTCTGCCGCGGAAGAATGTCAGAGGTCTGTTTACCAGTTCTGTTCTTCTCGAATGCAAGTTTTCAGGACAAGTGGTTCTGGTCACTGGGTCCGGCAGTGGTCTCGGTCGGCTGATGGCCTACGAGTTCGGAAGGCTGGGAGCCCGAATCGTTTTGTGGGATATCAATGAGACGGGAAATCAAGAGACATTGAAAGAGCTGGAATCTCGAGGAGTCGAGGTGAGTGGGCTAGATGTCTCACATTTATTGAACATTTCACTAAAACTTCACACAAAATTAGGATTCTATTGATTACGATGAGCAATGGATGCTCTCTACTACATTAGCCGGGTTGCCGAGAAAGAGGGGGCACTCGTACGTTAGAAAAATAAAAACACGTGTAAATGGAACAAAAAAGTACAAAACTAATCTACTACCAAAATGGCTGGCAAACGCCCATAAATCACGAGGAACCAAGTGTTCAGAAAATGGGTAACGCGAAGATGACATTGACGAATTTCGAGATTCTACAAGAAATCCTAATTACATACAAAAAATGGGTTGCGAGTAGAACGAGTAGAACGATGAAAACTAGAATTCTGAAGAGAAAGACTCATATGATGAAACATTTAGAAAATGATAGGCGGTGAGAAATGGAAAAGCGATAAGGTAGTTCAAATTTAGAGAGCGTTCAGCTCTTTTTGGTCCGGAATCGCATGCTTCATGTGGCAGCTCTCTCCGAACGGACACGATCCTCCGGTGACGAAAAAGTCGCACAGCTCGACTCGATCCATATGCGATGACGGAGTGAACTGTCCCGATTGGCTCGAACTAGATTCATCTGAAATAAATCAGATAGTTGATGAGGACGTTCTTGAGCAGTCCATACCGTATCCCGGTGTTTTATCGTCGACGAACATGTACATTGGCGAATCGCTGTTCAGGCTGATGGCATTCTGCTGCGACGATTTCAGCGTCTCTGCTATCTTGAGACTGTCAAAGTCGAACATGGTCGTCTTTGGTTTCACGATCTTCTCCTCGAGTAAGTTCTCGCTGCTCAACAATTCCATCAGCGACAGAACCTGAGAACTCGAGCTCTCACTGCTCGAACCATTATCTAAAATGGACATGCATCTTAAAGATTGCGAAAAATGAGGTACCGTGCGGAGTAGCAGCACTGCCGGGACCCGAAGCCATCGCTATTTCTTCCTCGTCGATCGGAATCTTTTCCGAACGGAGTGCATCCATTTTGGATAGCAAACTGACACTTGAATCGGTGTGTCTGGGAGCCTGGGAACTCGGGCGGAGGAAGCTGCCAATTTTCGGTTTCGGGTCGAGCCAGATAGAAAATGCATTATCCGACGGGAGGAGGGATTCAAACATCTTCGGAGGAACAGACTGTTCCATTGGCACTGCCGATTGTGGAATGCTGAAATGGGGAGGAGGCTGCGAACGGAAAGGATGATGTGACGGGGCCGGCTGATGGAGAGAATGCTGGCTCGGAGCATTCTGGAACTGTGAACGGGTCTGCTGATGGGGGAGGAAAGAATGGAGCGAGGAGTGATCGGAATGGAGTTTTGGTCGGCCACAGGGACAATCCGAGTTACTGCTTCCTGAAAGAGGTCGGAATTGATAATGAATTCACAGTCATCCTCACTGTTATTGGGCAGTCCGCTATTCGTACCCGAGGGTTGCGGAGGTGGCGGAGGCTGCTGACCGTAGATTGGGTTGCTCAACTCGTTCTGCAAACAAGCTGTGGTTTTCGAAATCGTTTCGTTGAATGAGTACCAAGAGATGTCTGGGGACCATCCGTTCGCTTATTATTCCGCGATCGAGCAAATGGCGCAAGTAGGTCATGTCTTTCATTTTGGACAGTCGCGACAACATCTGATTCACTTCGATCTCCTCGTATTTGCGCGACGGTGGCGCTGCCTGCGTAGGCAGCTTCATCTGAACTCCGCATGTCTCCATGTCCTTTTGACGCTGATACAAATCTCCAGCCACCTTCCAAATTTCCTGTTGGAACTGCGAATGAGACCCGTTGTGATTTATCGGTTGGTGCTCTCGAGAAGAGCGAATCGACGAAGAGGACCGTTGCGCAGTGGGGAACAAGCGCTCTCCTCCGAACCCGACGGTTCCAGAACGGGAAATACGGGACTGATGCTGTCCTTGAGGGATCGTCTGCTGTTGAGCCATGCCTGAAAATACACCACTACAGTCAAGCAGGAGGTAGAAATGAACCTCCGAACTGTGGCGGAAACGAAGGGTTTCTCTGATGCGGTCCGCGACTGAAAGATCGGTGCTGGTGGTGGCCTGGTCCGTTCTGAATTGGCACTCTACCCGTGAATCCCGCCTGTTGATATGGGAACGGGTTCGGAGACTGAGATGGGTACAGAATAGTCAGATGCTTGTTAGTATTTGCACTCACTAAGAATCCGAAGTCATCCACTCCAGGAGACTCATCTTCTCGCTGGAACTGTCCGGATGGAATTCTTCTCTCGAGCGCATCCTCCATCTTTCTTCCGAACTCGTTCTCGTACTCGTTTCTCATCGACGAGGAAGAGGACATCACCGCCGTCACCGATTCGTTCGGTTTTTCCACGGCCGGACCGTTTCCAGCCGACATGGAAATCCATGTCAATTGTGCCGGAGAAAGAGGGAGCGACGAATGCAAGACTTGGTCTTTGAACGCGATGTTCTGAGGGATGCTCACAGTCAGTCCCTTCACATTTGTCGACGGACGCTTCGGAGCAGCAGGTAGCTTCGATTCTTCGACAACAAGGACCGGTACCTTCGTTGCGTTCAAGTTCTCTTGCTCCTCGGGTGATGAGAGAGAAGAATGATGGACGAACGAGGCGCTCCTCTCTTTTTCCTTGTTCACTTTCTCTTCGGTCCGTCCACTCCGAGAAGGATTCAGAAAATTATCATCTGTTTTATTTTCGTCAAATTTTCTTTGCTTACCAGCTTCCGAAGATCGTCTTCTCCGTGCGCATACCAGCACGAATCACCGTACAAGCAGGTCCCATTGCGACGCCAGTGATCACACATCTTTGTCTGAAACTGTATGGATTGCGTACAGATGACTGTATTGAATGGGTAGTCAATATAAAGATTTTCTTAGCTAAAAAAGACCTTGTTGAGCGCCGAATTGTGCTCTCTGTTGGACAAGGAGGTCGACGAAACGCTCAGAGAAATGAGCCTGTTGGCCACAGAAGGCACGTTCCATTGAGGCCAGTAATACTGAATTCAGACATCAAAAAGAGTCATGAATGAAGGGGACTGACCGCCTTATTGGCAGCAAGCATACGATCCTGGTACAACGGGTTTAACATAATATTAGCGAAATCTGCTGGATTGTAGTGAGAAGCGAGGCGCTAAACAACAAAATAATGTTTACTTTTTACAAATCCCTATTATTCATCCAACCTGAATGAATTTCAAATTTGAAAAGGATGGCGGATGAGTAAACCCCTGAATTTAGAATATCTGAGATCAATCAGTGCACCCGAATTACCGAGGGCGGGATAGTAGACGAGTTTCCGACTAGATCTGGCCGATCATTGAACATTTTACGCGATTAGGTTAGTTTTTGAGAAATGGTGATAGAGAATTTTTAAAATGAAGAGTGAGTGACGGTGTGGGAACTTTTTTTTCCAATAAATTTCACGGGGTTTTGTTAAACTTACTCTCGGCTTGTTTCCTCCAACTGCTCTCAAATTTTCCGAGTCGCCGAGCAATATCTGATCGTTTAGCTGCTCTTCGGTGCTAAAAATTGGTAAATTCTCTATTCTCGACAAACTGTATATTTTAGGCTTACTTTGGACTCTCCGCTGACTTTGTGGCCATTTCCGGCTTGGGAAAACTCATCTATTTACAGAAAATACGATTTGAAATCTGAAAACAAAGGAAATTTTAAAAAATCTGAAAAAATAGGTGCGAAGAAGCACCGAATTTTCAAAAATTCAAATTTCGAGGCGGAATTTCGGAGCATCGTACCAGCTTTTCCGTCTGCATCTCTCAGACCCTCGATTAGTGAATTTACAATTTTCAGGCAAAAGCGTACACTGTGGATCTGTCGGAGTTCAAACAAATTAACGAAACTGCTGAGTTGGTGAAAAGTGAAGTAGGAAAAGTTGACATTCTGGTGAACAATGCAGGAATTGTAACTGGTGAGAACGGTCGGGAAACCAGAAAAATAGTAGGAGAGTTAATTCAGGAAAGAAACTGCTGGAATGCCCGGACGAATTGATGGTTAAGACTGTTGCGGTTAACACAAATGCTCTTTTCTTCGTAAGAAATTTTGAAAAACAAAAAAAAACATTTTTGCGTTCAGACGGCAAAAAACTTCCTTCCGGCAATGCTAGAATCGAATCAAGGCCACATCGTGACGATCGCTTCGATGGCCGGAAAGTGCGGAGTCGCCGGATTGGTCAGTCCGTCCCACAGAACCCTCAGATCTAACGTTTTCAGGTCGATTACTGCGCTTCGAAGCACGGTGCCGTCGGATTCCACGATTCGCTGACCAGTGAATTGTACGCTCTGAAGAAGGAAGTGAAAACGACGGTGGTGTGTCCGATCTACATAAACACGGGAATGTTCGACGGGGCGGAGACGAAATGGCCAACTCTTCTGCCGATCATGGAGCCGGAGTACGTCGTCGAGTGCATCATGGAAGCCGTTTTGACCGACCGCACCTTCCTCGCCATTCCCAAGTTCAACTACATCTTCATTGCGCTTGCCGGTCTGCTTCCAACTGAAGTGATCAATTTGTACGGAGATTACTTTGGAATCACCCATTCGATGGATCATTTCAAAGGACGGCAGTCACAGAAAGCCTAATTATACAGATATTTTTTTTACTAATAAAGGCAACAAGCAGATATTTTAGAACACGATAGGTCTAAAAAATAATAATTTTGAGACGTCAGGAACGGAAAATTGAAAATGATCAGTAGAAGACGAACTTCATGTGCGTCGTATTGTTAGTGCTCTCTTTGTAGAACGACACATATTGTATTTTGACGGTCTGAAACAAAGAGACACTTTGAAAAGATTAGAAAGAGTTGTGACCTGTCTGCGAATGTCCGGGTACCTCTCATCTTCGAACGTGGCAATCCTGCGAAATCGGCACTTTTGGAATTCGTCCGCCGTGTTCATGCGGATTGTGTAACCCGGGAAATTTGAACAAAATAATTCGTGCAGATGATCATTCCATATTTTTGTTACACTTTCGCACGCGTCCTCTAAGAAATTGATCCAATAAACCGTTTTGCCCTTTTCGACACATGCTTCATCCCGAGCTCCCCAAGTGATGCGCATCATGTGTCGAACTGTGTGCTTCAGGAAGTTCGCCTAAAATCCGATTATCCGATGAGAGCATCGATCTAGGGCGCCTACAGTTGCCAGTGATCCTCGAAACTCCACAATGCCGCTGGCGAGGAAGAGGAAGTGGGTGGCCCGGAACATGTTGAATGCGATGCGTCCCTGATGTTTCCACTCGAGCGGTCTGTTTGAATCGGCCTGCGAAGCGAGGGAGAGCAGCGAAAGATGGCTTCCCATTTTGGTGATGTCCGGCTCGATGTCATCGTTGCGCAGATCGAAGATTGGAAGGATTTCGTAATCACAGTCTCTGTAAAATAATTATTAAATAAAGGATTAGCAACGCAATCGCTCACTTATCGATAGTCCCAGCCGCTCGGAAAGGGCCGACATGGACGGAAATATCGAACTGATTCTGATTAAATGTCGCGAAGTATACTGCGTGGAGCGCAAGATATCTTTCCCATCGTCGTCGAGAAACGTAATATTCGTTGCCAATGGCAGTTACCACCTCAATGTGAAGTGTTTTTATTCTGAAATCGCACTTTTCATTTGAATCGCAGCGAGGAGAACGGACCGCCAAAGTTTGACAAGTAGCTGAATGGCTTCCAGAGGATGTGGCCATGGAACCTGATCCTCCTCCCCTTGCGGAATCGTTTGCAATGCCAATCTCAGTTCGTCGCATTGGATTCGCTTGAAATCGTCCTCGAAGAGTTCATAGTTGAACACTCCGTAGCCATCAAGCTCCCGAGTGTACTCGAGGGCGATATCTGCCAGGAACCTGAATACAAACGTTTCTTTGATGAAGATATCAATGACTTCTCACGAGTCCGTGCACGATATCGTTCCGTAGGAAGCTTCCTGATGTTGTAGTGCGTCCTGAGCCATTCTGAAGCTCAGAGGACCGAAATATCGCCGGCATGAACGAATGACAAGCACGCACTGATTGCACCGACAGTACTCCATATCCGGATGCATATTTCTGAAGGAACTCAATTTGCGACACCCTGAAAACTAATAGAAAAATTAACGGGGATAGAAAACGGATTTCGCACACGTCGGAGGGAGCATGCACGGTTTGAAACTCCAGCTGTCGTATATTGTGAATGATTCCGTCGGCGGCTCGAACTTGAGGTCCAACCAACTGCAAAATGAAAAATGACATTTAACTGCGGTTCGAGCAGAACAGACGTCAAGAAATTTTGAATGAATATGACGTCGAGCATGTCTTCCGGCTGGAGTTCATCCGCTCCCAGCTCATTCTCAGGCACGTCGTCATCCGCAATGTCGTCTGGGTTCCGATTCGGACGGAATCGAGGCACCTGACCACCCTTAGTGTGCTGTCCAATCGTGAAATTATTACAACGGATGTAGTAACTGCAAATGACGGGTAGAATCCGTAGTGAAACTGTGATTTTACTTGTCAATGTCCACTCGAATCACTTTAAAATCCTTACGCATTATGGTGTGTACAGCCGAATCGAAAAGAGAGCTCACTAACTGCAAAGTTCGAATTAGAGGTTACAGTCGGACTAGCACTCACTCTCAGCTCCAGAAACTTTTTTAAATTCCCAACTCGCGATCGATTGTCTACCACAAACATCTGAAATTCTAATGAAGGAAGAGAATAATGCGGATGACGTACACTTTCCCGATAGATATCCATACACTTTTCAATGATTTTCAGACGTAGCGGGGAGACGTGGAAGACCGTTTTGACGGCTTCATTCATCTCCGCTTCTTCTCCCACTTCCATTTGATTGTTCGGCATCGATTGAAGAGCAGGAATCAGAAGATAAGCGGCGCACGGTGTCAGAATGCGTTTTCCTTCACTGGCAACTCTCTGCGCCCTCCTTATTCGCACGCTCTCTCGCCTCTCAATAGCGCGCGCTTGCTACAGTCAACGGGGAAAAACACATCACCGATTGCGATTCTCATCTCCATGCTTTTAATGCGATAGAGAAAAAGTTTGAGTAATATTATTTACATCATGAAAATCACATATAAATTACATGAAAAGCACAATATCACCCGAGAAGCACGTTCAATTTGCCCTTGCAAGCCCTTGTAAATGTTCTACTTTTTAACAGAACACGTGGACTAAATGGTAATCTTCATTATAGACTATAATTTATAGTAATTGGGGAAATGGACGTGGCATCTACAGCAGATAACCCTAAATGGGACGGAATCAGTAGGTGTCTGAAGTGGAGAGATCTGGTGTCGGAAGGGGGATGCTCCCTGCTACAGATGTGATGTAAGCATGATGATTAGAGCACTTTAAGCCGAGAAAACAGTAATATTAGATAGTCTTGCAGAAATCTCTTCCGAAGTGTAAAACATTTGTCTGTCTCGGTCGCTCCCCGCGTGCATTACGAGCGCGCACCCCTCATCTCTATAAATACCCTCAGGCGGCCGTCGCCGGGTGACACGGATGGCGCAGTTGGGAGAGCGCTCGCCGCGCGCAGCAGCGAGTTTAATTCCTGCGTCCTTTCCAAGTGATGATAAAACTATAGCGTGAGCTGGCCGCAGTGATCGCTAAATGTCATAGTTACACTGATGGGTTTTGCAACATTTTTCTTTTTCAGATTATCAAAATAAAAAAGATTGAAGGTTTATTCAATTTCATCGATAGTCTTTTCCATGTCTTCGCCAGTTTCCTGTAAAATATCAGCTGAAAGGAATAATAGTCGAATTACTGTACCTTGGTTGTCACGGGAAGATACCCATTTCTCATTTTGCGGATTACAGTATAAACCAACCAAATCAGTTTGAACAGAACGGAGAAACAAATGAAAAGAATGTAAAAGAGCATGAGGGGGGTGATGGACCGTTGGCCGACAGCCACTTTCAGACCGAACGCTCCCAGCTCGACTTCTTTCTCTTTCTTCCGTTCGAACACATTATGACTCGGATTCTCAACCCATCTGGACTCGTGTTCCAGTCTTTCCACCACCGAATCTGAAACAAAGGCAAAAATGGGAAAGAAGGGGAACCTTCCGCTCACCATTTGGTCTGTGTTTATCAAAATAGTCTACCAGAAATGGTTTTTCTTCAATCCAATATTCCTGGAAATCCATTATAATTTGATCATCCTCACGGAAAACTGACAAACATATCCCTGAAGTTGGCCATCGGTCTTCTGAATTCATCCTCTGCCAGCCCTGAATTCGTCGCATTTGCTCGATTATTCAGAGCTCAAAGGTGCAAACCCAATGTTTTATCCTTGAAAGACTTTGCCGGAAAGCATCCGAAACTGATCACCGTCACTTTTCCTACATCTCTCGCTCCGAATCCGCACATCGGCGCGAACGTGTGGCAGTACATGTACCTGTACTGGCCCTGCGCCGAATAATTATTCGATTGTACAATCACACTTCCTCCTATGCACTTCTAAAAAGTACTGTAGGTATTACGGCAGCAGACAAATCACTTTTTCATTCAGTTCCAGTCTTGTGAACGCTTCTCTGGCGGTTTCTCCGGAAGAAAAGGCGAGAAAACGGCAAAGGGCGAGCGCAATGTAAAATTTGTCGATTTTCATCTCTATATATATTTAAAAATGAATTCCATTTGCTTTCTTCGTTTGCGGTGCAAATTGCGGTCAGAAGCACAGAAGATACGAATGAGTTCACAGGAAAAATCTTTATTTTTCGCTCTTTGTTCATCCTTTTTGGAACTTTTGAAGAATTCCGCTGAGAAATTTCATTTGAGTCGACACGAGAATGTATACAGAATCACGGACTCTCTGGGCATCGATCTGGAAAAAGAGAGGGAAGTATTGCGGGGAAACGCGGATTCGAACGAACCTCGAGGGTCTTGCTGTCCCTCGGAATGGCGGCGAATTCGTCGAATCGGAAGTTCTTGACCGTCCACTCCTTCTTGAATATAATGTGCAGTCCGTGGTCATTGACGCCCACAAGCCCTTGTCCCGTTCCCGTTCCCTGCAAGTAATTGGCTGTAATTGTGCACTTTCAGCCGCCCCTCCACTTTCCCTCTTGACCCTCTTCCGTCTGTCACTTCGCAATGCATGCCCCCCGGGTTCCAGGTGGTGCTCCCTTTCTGTCCATTCACATTTCCTGATTTCTCGCCGCCACACTTTTCTCGCTTTCCCGCACTTTCCAAAGGGTGTCAATGGCCGACGAGCACTTCAGAATCCGCACGTCTTAAGAGCATTATCCCACACTTTCATAGAAGTTTCGAGTTCTTCTCGCCGGAACCCTTTGCGAGTACGGAATCCATTGGTCACACTCACAATCCCTCGATATTCTGCCGTTTGTACTCGACCACAATTTCTCGCTTCAATCGTACATTCACAGAAAACAGCGACGCCGCCGCCCCGCCCCGCCCACTTTTTTCCCCATAATAATAGGCCGTTCCCGTCTGCACACATTTCCGAATTTCCCATGCCAATGATCTGTTCCAGGAGGTCATTCAAATGAATGCTTCTCGCCTCCAAGGCCACGTCGCTTTCCGTTCCGCGCTCACCTTTTTCGTGAAAACGTCGACGTCGAAAAAGGAGGCTCCGTAGGTGACGAGCCCGCGAGCCATCGACATGAACTCGGCCTCCAGCTGCATGACATTCTGGCTCTGGAAGTCGGAAATGAGCATGGAAAGCCTAATATCTGGGATGGGCTACCTCGTTCTTCTTCATTTGCGTCTTCAGTCGGTCCGCCAGTTTCGATCGGTCGTGGTTGTCGAGCATGTATTGCGGAAAGACGTTGGCAAGGTTTTTGGATCTGCAAGCTCTCAATAGATTCTAATTTCTCAGTCTATTTACTCGTTTCCGCGAAAATCTTCCGAAAAAAAAGAGAAGGCGCTCGCTCACAAGTTAGAACGAGAGCCGGCGATTTACATAAACGAGCGCACTTCATAATGGATAATCCCATTGTCAATAAGTTGGCTGAGCTCTCGCCGAAAGAGGATGTACACACCCGCCCGTCGGCCGAAAAAAGAGATGAGAAGGGGAGGCGGCGCGAGCGGAGGGTGTGAAATCGACGGACGAAATAGATAGGAAGAGCCGACCCATTTCGCCGAATTGATGTATAGTCATGTTGTTGTTCTTGCGCCCTTTCCTCTTTCTTTTTTTTCCAAAAATTTCATTTCATTCTCCTCTTTTCCTATTTCAGCAATCATCCATCCCCTCACTCGGGGGGAATTGAAAAGGGAAGATTCATCTTGACGTGCCACGTCACTTCGCCTGGGACCTCCCCTAAGCGGTTGGTTCCCATGTGCTTATCCGTATGCTCTTCTGCTCCACAAGACAACACATACACACACACAGACATGTGTAATATTGTTTTTATTATGCAACATTTATGCAATCCCCGTCCATTCCATTTCAGGGGCGGATGCCCTTTTCCAAAGAATATCAAATGAAGCGTGAAACATACGTGGGTCCCAAGGAACCGACCAATTTGCGGCCGAGCTTCTTCTTCTTCTTCTTCTTCCCTCGTTTTGCGAGTTCATAACCGAGTTTTCTTTCTGGGATCGCACCGCCTTTGCCCACAAAACAAGCGATCCTTGTTTTGCCGGCCACCCATTTCAATTTCGACCTCTTTCGGAAGGAGCCTAATCCGCAATGAAAGTGCTTGTTGCTTCTTGTTTCCATTGTCATGAGAACCGGGCGAGCCGAGCCGAGCAGCCTATTTTTCATGCTGTTGATTGCTTTTCACTGCTCGCGCTCATTTGTCATCGCGCCCTTCCGGAAGACTCCAACTTTTTGTCTTTCTTTCCCATCAAAAGTTATGGCATTCCGAGAATAGAGAAGGGTCTGCGCTTCTCTTCTGCCTCTCTTTGACAAGTGCTCAGGTCGTTGTGAGCCCGTTCTCATTTCAAATCCTAATCCCAAAATTGGGCCGTGACCCCGTTCGCAACAGTCTTTTCTTGTTCACTTTCATGAATAATTCAGTCCGAATCACCTTTGGCCCCATCAATCAATCACCGTCGGCCCCAAAAACAGCTCCTCCCGCGTTCTGCTGTCATTCGAGACCTCTCGTGCCTCTCGATAATATGGTCCCATCTCTCCATAATTATGCAAATGCAAGTGTGTGAGAGCACACCTGCCCCCCTCACTGTTCCGCTCTTCCTTTCCCTTTCTCGCCGTTTCGATGTTCAGCTCTTCCCTCCCTTTTTCCCTCAAAAACGGTGCGAATTAGAAGTTTCGAAGTGTGCGAGTAAACATCCCGGGAACCCTTTATGTGTACACATTTTCCCCATTTATTTTTCAATTTTAAAGTAGGACGGACCATCTTGAGAGTCCCATCCAAATATATTGCAAAACAGATACTCACCGCCTTCTCTTCTTCTTCCTCTTCTATTTTTTGAAGGAAACGAAAGAAGAAGAAGAAGAAGGAGAAGCGGCCGGAATGATCGGATTACTGTAAACAGAAGGAGGCATTAAAGGGCTAATCCACTTGGCACTTACTGTCAACAGTCCCTCACCTTGATTGCCTGCTCTCCGTGCCCATTGGTCGCCTCAGCTGATCGGACACTTGTCATGTCATTACACTCTTTCGAGACGCACATTCCAACGGCCGTCTCCCTTTCTTTCTCCGCCATCATCATGTTCGTTCCCCTTCCAGATTGTCATCACCCGGCACTTGGCCCAGCTGCGATCCTTTCCCGACACTTCTTCTTCTTCTTCTTCTTCTTCTTCTTCTCCGTTCCGGCACCTGTCACCATCCGGGTTCGGTGGGCGGGGCCTCCCTTTACCTCCCTCCTTTCGCGCGTTCCAGTCCCCCCTCAGAAGTACACTTTTCCTGGCTCGTTTGTGTGCTCATTGCAACATTGCCTCGTGCTCAAACTCCCCTGCTCCGGAGGTCCGTTTTCGCCCGTCTAAAGCACCTCTCTTCTCGTCTAATCGTTTCGGGTTTCGGCACAAAAAAAGACGGGGCGGAAAGAGAAAGAAGGCAACAAACGAGACGGCGACAAACGTGTGCTCCAAAATGAGCCCATCTCGAAATGAGCCCCTTCAGGCCCTCTCCTCCGCTTGCTCGTTTTGTCTTGTTTGGTCCGAAGCACTTCCATAACTAATTGCCGTGCTCTTTCCTTTTCTCTCTCTCTCTTTCTCTCTCTCTTCCTCTTTCCCAATTCCACCAGGTGCCATTTTCAATTCGAAACACTTTCCATAAACAACTTATCAGAATCCCGCGCGCACTGGGAGGCCTTTGAAACCCCTCATTAGACAGCCGTATTGTGCACGGCTTCCTGCACTAAGCGCCCCGGTTTTAAAGGTTTCACGTTCCTCCCCCGAGAGGGTTCCCGAGTACTTTTGAGCCCGAAAGTACGTCTCCTCGATTCGGACTTTTGCGACATTCTCCTTAAATGTCACTGCTGTCTACTGTATTCGTCTGATGGCTCCAAAGTTTCCCACAATCCTCAATTCCTCTCCGCGAACTGGTGCAGTCAGAAACTCATCAAAAATTGGTCAAGTGCTTCGGCTCTTCTTATGAATTCTTTTCATAGGAAGCTCACTCCCGGCCGTCCCGGTCGTCCCTATTCGCACCAATTTAATATTACCATTTTAATTAACTTAACGTTTCCTTTTCCTTTTTCCCTCTTCCCCCACTCTTCTTCTCTCACTTCCTCACCCCCCACCCACCATGAAAGTTCCTCACACGGTGCAAAAGGAAAAAAGTCATCAGAGGCGGGCGTGTAATCGAATTCTGGACATGGGCACACATATCCTTCGCGCAACACGAAAAGAAAAAAGTCTCTTGTGTCTTCTCATTCAAAATTCCAATTAGTGCGGCGGCTCGGCCCAAAAATGAACATGTTTTGTTTTGTTCGCACACAAAATGGAATGAGAATGGGAAGGGGGGCTCACGTCGGTTTGAAGTCGTGGCCCTGCATTGTCCGTGCGACGAACGCCGCGAATCGCGTGATCTCCACTTTCGAGTTGGCGATGAGGTGGCCCGCCAGATAGGCGTTGACGGCTTCGTCGAGCAGAGTGGACCACGCGAAACGGTTGTTGTCGACCTTCTGCAAATTCATCGTTCTCTCACTTCGTTTTACTTCTGATCTCGTGCAGTCATCCTAATCTTTTCAGATGAACTCGCCCTCCTCTGTCCTCCTCCGACTCTTGCTCGCCACTTCTTTGCTTTGTATCGGTAAGTGAAAGTGGTGCTGGTTGCCCAGGTGTCCCAGCTGCACCGCACGTGTTCTTCGCAACGAAACACGAAATTCGAACTTTGTTTCACGACGAGATTCCCATTCTTTTACGACCTTCTCTTCCTTTCTTCAGCAGTCTCCGCTCTCGAGTGTATCCAATGCGCGCCCAAAGACATTTGGTACTTGGAACAGGAGCATGAAAGGTATTTGCGGAGGGGTCTCCCGCACATTCCCCCAGTTTTCAGAAGGATCGAAGCGTGCCGTCAGGGTCTGATTGCTCCGTCGCCGTGCGGTAACCTCTCGCACACGCACTGCATTGTCAACTGGTATCGCACCGGCGGAAGTTCCGGTAATTGTGTTTTCCTTTTCGTCTTCTCCCCTTTCACATCTAATTATAATTATGCCGCCTGTGCTAATTGGTGACCCTCTCTCTCGAAAGAGAGAAAAAGAGAGAGACAATACGGTTCCGCGCTCTCACAACTTTCCATTGTTTTTGCAGACAAGATAGTGACCCAACGGCACTGCGGGACCGAATCGGACATCACCGGCTGCACCCTCTACAACTCGAAACTCAGTCGGAAAGTGAGAAATGGCGACGGAAAAAGGCTCTTTGGAACACAACGGTTTCAGGTTCGACGACATCTTCTCGGCAGGGACGATTCTGCGGCGCCGCTCCGCAAAGAGACTGTCACTTCGTTCGTTGAGGTGCGCCCCGTCCGTTCAGTCCCTCTTCCATTCCTTCTTTCATTTTCAGGTGTGCTCGACTGCGTGTCCCTCCGGAGAATGCGTCAACTCGTCGATGCTCCATGATTCCGTCTTCCTCCCGGTTCTTCTCCTTCTCCGTCTCTTTTTCTGATTCATTCTAGCCTACCGTAGTTCCCCATCCAATACCTTCTTACGGTGTTTTTCCCCCAAATCCTCCCGAACCGGTTCCCCGTCTACTCATCCTTTCCTTCCATTTCTTGCTCATCACACGTCTCTTTTCAATACATAAACTTCTATTTCTTACCGTAATTATTTCCATTCGGGCTGTCGCGTACGCATTTCTTTTCAGTTTTAGCCGAGGCGTTTCCGACGGAATATCGCCGTGCACAAGCTTGCGAATCATTGCGTTCCACTTGTCCAATTTCAGTTTTTCGTCAATCAGAGAGTCTGGTTTGAGTTGGAGAGCTGGAAGATTCGGAAAAGATGGACAAAATGAGGGGAGACGTACACATGGATTCCGAGTAGATGAAGATGGCGAAACAGTTTATCTGCTCCTTGCTCAGTTGGGTTTCTTCGGCCAGCCGATCGAGCACTTCCCCGACTGTCGCTTCTTCCGGCGACCGAGACTTTATACTGAACGCTCCGATCACGGTGTCCACCTGAAATGAAACGATCAAATTCGTGAGAACAGAAGGAAATCTCACGTTGATTTTAGTTTTGAATATCTGCATTTCTAGAATCTTCTGTATCGCCGGATGGTTTCCGCAGTAGTCAATCGGCCGGTATCCTTCGTTATTCCGAATGTTCACGTCAATGGAAGCGTGCGAAGTGAGCAGTTCCACCAGATATTCATTTCCGTTTATCACTGCGTACTGTAAAGCAGTCGCTCCTCCTTTGTTCTGCGCGTTTATCTGAAATGGGATAGAATGCGGAAGGCGTGAGGAAGCACCGCTCACCGCCGTCATTTGCGGGGAATTGAGTAGTTCATTGACGACTTCCAAATGTCCGTGGAAGCACGCGTAGTGCAGGGCAGTCCAGCTATCATCGTCTTTCTGATTGCTGTCCATCCCAACCTTCAGGAACCTGCTGAAACGTTCCCTTTCCGCCCACCGGATCTCTTCCCTCCACTGACCGTATCTCTTCCGCATTTCCGTCTTCGGCTGCTTTGTGCAGTGGGTACAGCCTACTCCGCATGTCTTGCGATGTGCTCGATGCGGCTCTTTGAGGTCGACACTGTTTCATTCCAGGGTAAAAATAAACGCATGACTGGAAATATATATTGTTTTTTCAATTCTTTCTAAATACAGACAAACTCACGGATTCTTCACTTGCAAAATTAGGGTTAAATGCTGGATTTATGACACTTATCGTGAATTTGTTGTACCTTAGCATGGCTATTTTCGCAATGTTGGCCACGTGGACCCGGTCGTCCAAATCGGCGGAAACGGAGGAAGCATTGCTGCGGACACTGTGCGACATGTGGCTAAAAAGTAAAGATTGGTTGGGGGACTGATTCCGGAACGAACTCACCGAATGCACTGTTCCTGGAGATCGATGTAGGCGGGATTGTGGACGCACCATCTGATTCGGGCCCTTGCCGGCTCTTTCATGAAGAAGTTGGACAGAAAATATCGGTCCGCCGTCTGCGATTCGATTAGCCATCTCTCCAGAATCAGAATCATGTTCTTCGTATGAATATCGAACATTTCCGGCTGATTGTAGGCCAAATTGACAAGTTTTTGCAAATTTTCATATCGAGAATTGGCCACTTCTACAGTTTCCTTCACGAAAACAGGCACACAGAGGAGGGAAAGACCGGGAACGTGACCGAGAGAGGGCTTGTTTGAACTGGAGGGCTGCGAGAGATCATCGTGGAGGGGAATGCGTACCGCCCGACGGATACTGTTCCTGAGACACGGGAATCAGATTGATACTGTTCTTCGAATGTGTCTGCTTACCCTGTTCTTTTAAAATAGTCATGCACCAGGTCCTCCAAAGTGCTCACTTTCGACGGTTCGAACGAGAGCGTCGGTAGTTTAAAGACGTCCGCGCCGACAGTGTGCCCACCTACCGTAACCCGTTTTGTGATATTGTAGTCCTGAACAAAGTTCCTCGACGGGCGAGAATGAGAAAGAAGACTCACGTGTTTGGAGCCGAAAGATTTGACCGTCGACGGCTCTTCCTTTATGCAAAGTTCGTAGTCCTGAGCCGTCGGAACCGCTCTGCAATGCCGCTGTTTTGTGATCAAATTCGTAAAAGGCGTCGACCGACTCACTTATCAGATAACGCACTGTTTTTAAGCCGAACGACGGCGACAGACACTTCCGCCATTCCGGGATCTCTGAGAGAAGAACTAATTGGAAAGGGAGAAGGATTCCGAACTTCGAGGAAGGCACGTGAAGCAATAAAACACTGAAACTGGAATGTAGGTCGGTGATTGTGGTGACAAGAAGCAGAGGAATCGAAAACTGTCCGAGGGTTATCAGTTGCCACACCCAAGAGAGCAGAGAAGAGCGACGGAGGGACGGAAACAAACAGTGCTCGGCGGTCGGACAGCCCATCGATTGATGTTTGGCGGCGATTTGTATTGGCTCAGCTCTCCACTTTTATCACTGTTTTGTGGTCGGCTTGGAGGAACACGGGCGAAATTCTAGAAAGCCCATAGTCCGTTTGATGCGACCACGGCTCCTCAATAGTTTAAATTAAACTGTTTAATCAATTTATTATGACACGAGCTGCGAAGAATACAAAATGGATAATTTAGGCGACGAGAGCTCTGGCCACCTTTCTCTTCTTGTACGGCTGAGCAGCTGGAGCAGCATCGGAAGTGGCCGAAGGAGCCGGAGACTCGTAGTCGTGCAGCTTCGGAGGGGCGACTGGAGCCGGTGGAGAAGTGACAGTAGGAGCGACTGGAGCAGCCGGAGTATCGTATCCAGTAGTTGAAGCGACTGGAGCAGCCGGAGCATCGTATCCAGTAGTTGAAGCGACTGGAGCAGCCGGAGCATCGTATCCAGTTGGAGCGGAGGCAGATCCTCCAGTGGCGGCCAAATCGGCAGATCTCGGTGGGCACGGGCAGTAGGCGGCGTCGGCTCCTGGAGCTCCGACCTCTCCGACGTTTCCGACAGGTCCTTCTGGTCCTGGATGCCCTGGCTGCCCGTCTGGACCGGCTGGTCCCTCTGGTCCTTGCTGTCCGTCCTGTCCGTTCTCTCCTGGCTCTCCGTCCTTTCCTGGCTCTCCTGGTGCTCCGACTGGGCCCTGTTCTCCCGGTTTTCCTTGTCCGCGTGTTCCGTTCTGTCCCTTCGTTCCGTCCTGTCCTGGTGGTCCTGGCAGTCCTGGAGCTCCCTCGTCTCCGGCTGGTCCATCGACTCCCGGCTCTCCGTCCTTCCCGTTTTGTCCGTCAACTCCGTACTCGCCGTCTGGTCCAGGATGTCCTGGCTCTCCATCTGGTCCCGGCGGTCCTGGTGGTCCTGCTGGACACTTCACATTCTTCTCAAAGTCGGCGAGTCTGCCTCCCTCGGTCGAGTCTCTTCCTGGGTTTCCGGCTCTTCCGATCGGTCCGTCATCTCCTGGAGTTCCCGGGTTTCCTGGTGGTCCTGGCGGTCCGGCTGGGCAGTCCGTCGGTTGTGGGCCACAGTTGCACTTTCCATCGCTTCCGGCCGATCCGGCGACTGCCGCGTCCCCGTATCCTCTTCTGAATCTGCTGAGGAACGTCTCGAATGGCTGAACGGCGTCTTCACGAGGGACCATTGTCGTCCACGCGTCCTCGGCAATCGTCTTGAACTCGGCGAGGTCTTCGTAGACTTCCGATTGGAAAGAGTGAATGTCGTGAAGAACGAAGAGAGCAGCGAAAAGAGCTGAAGAAAGTCATATTGGAAGATCGGATGAAGCTGTCAAAAGGTACCTGGAACGATGGCGACTCCGCAGAGCGCAACGGCAATGCCAGCAACCAATTGACCAGAAGTCGTCATCTTCAGATGATGGCTTTCCCCCACACACACTTCCCTTTTATACGCATCCGAAAGGCTCGAAAAAAGTGGATTCGCATGTTGCATAATAGCCAGTTTCGGCCCGTTGGATCTCTATCCGTCTACTTTTTCACCGATACGCAGATACACACTGCCGTTCAATATTGCTTGGATCATTTGCAACTAATCAAGTGATCTCTTCAGAAAATCCCTTATCTTACTACATATTAGGCAAAACCTTTCCTGCGCTGTAACTTCGAAGTCTTCCACCCAATAGAACGTCGTTTCACATTCAACTTTCGCTCCCATAAACGAACTAACCACTCCCTTTCCTTTATCACTTCGAAAATTGCTTTACTGGCCTCAGCGTCCAAAGTATAATCATTGTTTCTAAGACGGCACTTCCTAGACAGTTTCATCACCGGCCTGCAATACAGACCGAGGCAGCAACTTGCAGGTTATTCGGCGGTGCGCCCGACGTCTCGCGGGTTCCGCCGGCCGCTATGCGTTACACGTGAGAAGCTCCGCCCCTTTTTGTTTGGCCAATGGAAAGGTTTATTGCAACACAGAGGACGACGAAAAATAAAGAAATCCCAAAAAAAAAGAGAAAAATAGGAATAAGAACCTACGAGAAAACGGGAAACTAGGTGACAAAAGCAAAGTAAAACCCAGAGATAAGTAGATAATGAGAAAAGGTTTAAACAATTGGAGGTATTCAATTGAATACCTCCCAAGGGTATCTAGCAGTTTTCCTGAGAAATTTGAGGGTTTTCGAAAGGGATCGGGTAAGAGAACGGCATCGGATAATTGTTAAAAGTGTTCGGAAACGTCTGATTTGGGAAGTAGTAGGGGATGAACTGCTGGTAATCGGCTATGAACTGACTGTTCGACGACTGAGACGCCGGAGATTCCTGAAACGACCGAACATATCGTTTGGCAATAAAATCAGACGAGAAACTCACTTTCTTGCCGTTTTTCTTTTCAATTTCGTCAAAGTTCAAGTGGAAAACGTTTCCGCTCTTGCTGACGTGGCTTACGTTCGTCGGAATCAACTCGTTCGCAGGCGGATAATCGACGAATGGGAATCTGAAACACAGCATTGAAAGGGGCGAGAAACCGGAGGGAAACTGACGTGTAATTGGCTTCCGATCCTTTGGCTTCCGATCCTTTGAAGAACTCAGTTCCAGCCGGAACCGCCGGGTGCGCGAGCACATTAGCCGGCGGGAGCATCGCGGGCGCCATCGTCTTGTTCTCGCTCATCCAGGACCACGCGGGCATCGTGTCCTTCAGCGAGGGCTTCTCCTCTCCGTTCGAGTCCTGTTTCTCCTGTCTCCGGAACTTGGCACGACGGTTTTGGAACCAGACCTGAAGCCCAAAAAGGTGCTGCTCTAACTCGTGTCTGGCTGGTTGTCACTTCATTTTCTTCCCGTTTTTTCCCAATTAGGAAGTTGTCACTCTCTTGCTCCTCCAGTCCATTAAACTCCGCATTCCTGCCCGTCCACCACAGTAATCCCGTCAAGTCACTCTTGCGAACGGACCGTCCGTCGCGGCCGCAACAAGAGCGAAACAATGAGGTAATCCCTAAATGGGCATGTGTCCTGACAACGAGAAATTCGAGGAGGCGGAGCGACGATTAGTCAGATGTTATCCCACTTTGTTTTGTTTTGTTTTGGCTCGAAGAAATTGGGATTTGTCGGGGTGCCAGGAGAGGAAGTGTCGGGAAGGGGAAAGTGCCAATTTGGAGTGGACCCGACTGGCTAATTGTTCCCGGATGGGATCCGATTTCACAGCTGTACCCGAGATTGTACCGGAGTTCGATTCAAAAGGCGTCGAGTAATAGGTCATTTAAGGAGGAAAGTGTGACGTCTTCTTGTCAAAAAGATTAATTGCGCTAACGGGAAACTAGGTGACTTCCTTCCGTTGAAATGATACGATTCTTGAAGAGAACCAACGGGGACAGCTCACTAACTGGCCAACAAAGAGAGCTACAGTACCCGTCACTTTGCTAATATGCAGTAGTCCCCGCCGAGTTTTCACTCTCACTTTCTTACCCGAAAACACGGCCTCTCTCTCTCACTGTTTTCTCACCCCAATTTCGCTCAAAGTGAATAAAAAGGGAATATCGAACAAACAAGGCCCGCTCTTCCCAATAACACTAACTATTCGAGCATGGCCGCCCGTTTTCATCTCGTGAATTATTTCCGTCCGTTCGAGTCCCTAACAACAAAACTCACCTGGACCCGAACCTCCGGCAACTGCACCTTCTGAGCGAGCGCTTCCCTCGCGTACACATCCGGATAGTGGCTCTTGTCGAAGGCGGCCTCGAGTGCGTGCAACTGGAAGGTGGTGAACGTGGTCCGGTTGCGGCGTTGTTTCTTGTCGATCAGCTTGTCTCGAATCTTCCGAATCGGCTTTGTGGACGAGATAGAGACATTGTCGAATGGGAGGGAGATTGAGGAATCGGAAGGTGCGTAGGCGGAGAACGGGGAGAAGTTCGGGGGTGCCGGAAATGCTGCAAACGGGTAGTGGTGGTACATTGCGGGACGGACCGCGAAGGGATGATTTGTTGTAACTAGTGAGGAGAATCTATGCTGTGACTAGCTGATAACCTTGAAAAAATTATGTTGATGTTCAAGGACTCTGCGCCGCTATCTCTCCTCCCCCTCAATGTCACGCGCATCTTCCTAGCTTCTCTACTCTTCTAACTCGTCATCTAATACGTACAGTACTTTCATCGTCGGCATGTTCACTGCGAACAAAAGTGAGCACACCGCGGCTTTACGGGGGCGAATTACGTTCAATTACGGTGGGGGAGGAGCTCGCCAAATCAAATTTGGTGTAATTGTGGCAGAAAACAGAATGGCGGACGACTCACTGTTTTGGGATGAAACGGAAGAGGCGGACGAGGTGGCAGAAGAGTCGGGAACGATCATCCGGGCAGGAAGACGGCGAAAGTCGGCGGATGGATGCAGAAGACGTCGAATGGAAGGAGGCGGCCGTCAGGGAATGACGGGCGCTTTCGTGGGAGGAGCCGACGAATGGATGGGCGAGCGGAGAGACTGTGCGGGGGAGGAAAGAGGCCGGTGCCAAGCTGGAGAGCCATAAAAACGGACGCCTGTGTCCAGGGTTTATGCCCGCGGGAATCGCCATCTTAAACTGAAATACAGTGGGTTTATTGATATGAAAACTGTTCCGTGAGGTGTGAAAACAACGGCAAACAGACGAGAAGCACGCGGGGAGTTGAACATTCTGGAAGAAATCTGAGGGGAATCTGTGGAAGTGTTCGATTCTCCTGATAATTCGATCCATTAGTTCTTCTGAAAAGTGTCCATAAATAACTTTCGATTATTTGTGAATAACCTTGAATTCAGCACGTCTGTCTCCTCACGTGTACCCTTTACTTCATTCTTTGTCTGTTCATGCTGGCCGTTGGATTTCTTGCTCGCGGTTACAACTATCTATGACCGTCCTCGACCCATTACCACAAAATGAGGTGAGCCAAAAGAAGTCGATCAGGATGAGATTCGAACTCACGCGGGGAAACCCCAATGGATTAGCAGTCCATCGCCTTAACCACTCGGCCACCTGATCCCGACCGCTGCACGGCCAAACTGCCCGTATTGTGGCGGAGGCGGCCACAACAAACTGGCGCTCTTCTTGTGCAGCGAGGCGAAGACGCGAGAGAATATCGCGCCAGATTGGCCGAGTGTTGGGTAACCTTTCGGAGCCAATTAACACATTAGAAGAGTGACGAGATAGACAAGTCGAGACGATGTTTTCGGGTGAATAAGTGGTGGGAAGAAGTCGCAGGGACTACGGTAGTCTTTAAAGGCACAACGACCTTTTCGTTGTTCGAATCGCCCCATTTCTATGGGCGAATTTGTACAAATCAGGTCAGGAAAGTTGCAATAATTCGAAACATTGATTAGAAAGTATTTGAAAGGAAACATTGAAAACCGTAGATAAGGCACATTATAAGAACAGACTCTTCCAGATTTTTGAAGACTAGTACATGATTACGAACACATTTGATGCAATATCTTATTTTCTCCCAGCAGTTCGACGGATCGGAGAGCTCAGGAAACCAGATGGATAGGCGATTCGGTAAGTGACGAACCAACAACCGACGGCCACCAGCGCTCCCATAATCTGGAAATGAATCAAAATTAGGAATGAGGACAGTCTTCTTTGATCTGATTATTTACCTCTTCGATGAAAAGATGGTAGTAGAGGACGGAGATAATGAGCTGTTTGAACTGAAATCAAGAAATATGATCGGTCTCTGTCATGACCAGTTACCCAGAATCCATGCAAAACAAGCATTCCGACGAAAAAGTACTGAATAAGGCGGGTGAAGCTATCGTGTTGTTCACGGTCCCCGTCCATCTGATGAACGGCGTCGGTGACTTGCTGGTAGTTACGGAAGGCGACGGCTTCTTCGGTCATTATGAGGATACTGTAGAGCATGAGGAAACAATGCCCAGAAATGTCGTATCCGGGAGTCCAGACACCCTCTTTTTCGGAGCATTGAGCACGAGTCAGACGACGGCCCTTGTCGCAAGAAGACGTGGCAGCGTGCACTCTGTGGAACCTGAAAGTGCAAATTCAGAAGAAGAAGAAGAAGAAAAGAGAGATAATTCGCGTACAATTGAACGGAGATGTACCACAATGCAGTGGCCACTCCGAGACGGCAGATATCGACGATTGGCTGATCACGATCACGACGGTTGTGAGCCCTTGACGAGAACCTGAAAATGGAATCAAATGGAATGAAATCTACAGTCGAAAGACTTACCAAATAAAAGGCCCCACGATCACAAGAGTCCAGAACCATCCCATTTTGACTCCGTATTGGTTCAGAATGCTATGCTTCTGCACCAAGTAATAGGTGGAATCCAATTCGATTCGCGACTCGACGAACGAGAGAATTGTGATGAATGCCAGATAGAAAAGAGCCACTTTGCGCGCATCGATGAAGAGAATTTTACGGGCGATCTAAACTTTCTTTCAGTTTTTATAATTTTTTTAGAACGTACCGCCACAAAGATACCGAGTGCAGCATTTGGAGTGCTGTTTGGGGACACTGGCCGACGGGGGACCGGCTCACTGCAAAAATACGTTTTATTGGAGTCACAAATCGATAACGACTCACGATTTTGAAGGGTTCCGTTTTGTTGACATGGTGAAACCTTTCGATAATTTTTGGTCTGAAAACGAAATTACACGTCGGTTAGTTGAGAAATCACGAGAAGATGTCAATTGACGAAAAAACTAGTCCCCGAGTGAGGAATCAGTTCTGAGCTCTTTTCTAACATTCCAGTTTCTTTAAAAAACAGCTTGCAACTAAATCTGAGGAAAAATAATAGAAAATTGCCAAATAGTGAAGCAAATTTAACGAAAACCAGCAGATTTTCACTGAAGGCCCACGGTCTCCTGCACGAGAAAAGCGCAAGCAATTACGCGTGCTCTCTGCGTCGCCGGCAGCATTCTCCTTGTCTCGCACTCTCTCGCTTGCCTACTGTCGCTCGAGAAGCGAAATGAGAGTTGGTGTGGCGCTCGGAACGCCGCCGGAAGAATACTGATTTATCTTTCCGTTTTTCTTCATGAACGTGTTTATCATGAGCAAAACTTGCAAAGAGCAACAAAAAATTCTGAAAAAAATGCCGGCGTCAGTACGAAATTTGCATTTTTCGTGTTGCGGTTGATTATGCGTGCTACAAGTGAGAATCAAAATCATCTTCCGTAATTTCGTGATGAAAACGTTGCCCGAGGGTTTTTCATGACCACATCATCAAAAATTTAACGAAATTAAACGTGTAAGCCACATTGGGAGCACCGATTTCACACTTTGGTGGCCAACGAAGTTTCATCGGAGACTTCAGATGCGTGCTCTCGGAAGAGTACTGATTCATTTTTCCCGCTTTCTACGGGAATATGTTGAATATGATCAGTACTTCGAAGCAGCAACAAAAAACTTGAAAAAATATTCTGAAGTGTCCACGGAGACGGCTTCTGAAAGAGCGACAGTTTTCTGCTGACTTCAGGTGCGTGCTCTCGGAAGAGTACTGATTCATTTTTCCCGCTTTCTACGGGAATATGTTGAATATGATCAGTACTTCGAAGCAGCAACAAAAAACTTGAAAAAATATTCTGAAGTGTCCACGGAGACGGCTTCTGAAAGAGCGACAGTTTTCTGCTGACTTCAGGTGCGTGCTCTCGGAAGAGTACTGATTCATTTTTCCCGCTTTCTACGGGAATATGTTGAATATGATCAGTACTTCGAAGCAGCAACAAAAAACTTGAAAAAATATTCTGAAGTGTCCACGGAGACGGCTTCTGAAAGAGCGACAGTTTTCTGCTGACTTCAGATGCGTGCTCTCGGAAGAGTACTGATTCATTTTTCCCGCTTTCTACGGGAATATGTTGAATATGATCAGTACTTCGAAGCAGCAACAAAAAACTTGAAAAAATATTCTGAAGTGTCCACGGAGACGGCTTCTGAAAGAGCTACAGTTTTCTGCTGACTTCAGAAGCGTGCTGTTGGAGGAGGAAAAACTTTTTTTGACTGATTTCAGCTGTAAACTGTTGTTTACACTTCATCGAAACAAAGAGCAATGAATAATCGCAAGTTTTTCTTATTCTCGAGCTGTGAATTCCGAAGTTGTGAACACGACGTATTCTAGTGGACAAGTTAGTCAGAATCCACCAGTTCCTCACATTTTTTGATAGGAAATGTTCACATACGGGTAAAACTACGAATTAAACAATAGTCGAGTAAGAATGAATGTTGCCGCCGTCGGTGAGTCCGTGAGAGTCGGATCTGTCGTAATCTTGGCTCAAGTCGGCGTGCTTCAAACCGCCATATCTCTCTTCAAACTCATCCAATCTACTCGTTCGAAGTCGCAAAAGAAAGCTCATGAAATTTAGAAACTTTTGTGTGTGTGAATTTGTGAAAAGTGGTTTCTTGCTCACGTTATCCTGCAAAAACCTCAAAAAAGGCCACTTTTTCCACTGAAAACTTCAAAGTGATGCATCTGCCTTCAAACTGCATCAATTTACTTGATTAAAAAAGCAAAACGTAGGCCTCACTAATGTCTACAACTTGCCAGAATCAGATTTTCGAAAAAAAATTTTCCTGATTTTTAAAGTGACTGCAAAGTTTTCCCTTCGTGGTTTGTTACATCCCATTCATTCGAATCACATCTATATTTGATCTTTTAGTGTTCAATACTTGAATATAGTTGTGTATTAACGAAAAGTGACGAAACAGTCGTGAAAATTTTCTTGTACCCGCTCCTAGACATGTCTTATACTCAAATTTTGGTGAAACTGGCTCTTTTCAACACACAGGAACTTTTTTGATTGGCTAATAAAAAAAAAAGATTCCTAATTTTTGTCTTTGTTTGTTCAGATTTTTCGAGATTTTATTTTTTGTGTTAACCATGCCGCCGACAGCTTTCTCGTGTTGAACAAGAAATTTTTTGATGGATAATGCAAGCGCGCTCTACGGTCATGCGTTAGAGATGAGAGACGGCTGAGTATGCGCGTTTCGCGATCCGGCGGGCACATTTCTCGTGCCGGAGGCCGTGGGCCGTGTCGGGTCGGCGGCCGAGAAACCCAAAAATTTGTCAGTTTTCTCTTCCATCGCAACGAGGAAACTTTCGTAATTTCCGCCCATCTTCTGTTGTTTTTCTTATTTTCACCGCTGAATTTGAAGCTTTTTCATGCAAAATGGCTCGTGATGTGAAGAAGCGTGGAAAGCCGTCGTACACAAACCGCAGAAATAAGCAAAAGTACTTGAAAAAGAAAGAAGGAAAGAAAAAGTTGTCGAAAAGTGCTGTGTGAGTTAAATTGCTGTTGTTTTGTTTTTCATACAGGCTATTTTGCAGGCCAGTAATCAGATACACATGGGACGAATTCAAAACTCCGCGCGAGAACGTACGGGACATGGGAATCGCGTTCAATCCAAACGAGGCTGTTCCGATCAAAGAACAAAGGGTAAGCGAGAGATTTTCAGAGCAAAAAACAAAATAAACATTTCTTGCTTCATTATCCCAGTTGTTGATATTTTTAATCCGATGGAATTTTCAGAAAGAGATTATCGACGCAGTTCCGATCGATGGAGTCAGTATAGATGTTCCGAAGCCGGCAAAGCGAATGACTGGAAAGAAGACGAACGAAAAACAGGTCTTCGATTACTTTTTCAGTTCTCTGATTTCAAATTATTGCTTTCAGGCTAAGCATATTGTGTCAAAACTTGAAGAACAAGTGGCAGAAGAAGAGAAAAGGATCTCGGGTCAGGACAGGAAGTTCCAACTATTCCATCGCGAGACGGAACTGTGCGTCTACATGCTTGCCCGTCACGGAGAAGATTTTCAAGCAATGACACGTGATCCAAAGAACCTGTGGCAGTACACTCCGAAGCAGTGGGCCAAGAAGATCCGCACGTACAAGGAGTCCGAGATGTGCAAATTCCTCGAGACTGCATAATCTCCTCGTTTTGCTTCTTTTTGTTATTGTTATTACTGTTCACTTTTGTTATTCTTTTTCTTTTCTGAAACTGCGCTGAAACATTTTTGAATTTTTATTGTACAACAGGCAAGATGTATTCACAGAATTTACAGATTCGTTTGTTCAGTATCTGGAGGCGAGTTTCGGCCGTCGCAGTGACCCACCCCTCTTTCCCCCAAAGTTTGCATCGGCTTCCAGTTGTTTCTCGAAAATTGCAAAGTACATATCCGATTCCCGATCGATTTGAGGACGAAGTTTCCGAATATCGACCTGAAAACGAAGAAGTTTCGCTCTGGAGTAATCGAAGGATCGGCAGACTTTGTGGCTCTCAACACGCATTCCAAACGTGGTCCGAGCCTTATTGCACGTGTACTTTCGGTAGTTTTCGATGGTAAAAAGGGCGGTCGGAACGAGAAAAACGGGATTTCTGAAAAAGAATCAGTTGAAAAGAAAGAGAGCAGAACTGACGAATGAAAGATGTAATCCATGTACACTCTCGTCGTCATTATAACGTTTTCGTCCAAATTCAGAATAACCGGCAGCGAATTGGCGAGTCCCATCGCAATGATAAACGAGATAATTGACATGAAGAAGCGACGCATCAACTGCAAATTCCCATTTATTTATATTTAAGAGAAAAGAAGCCGAAACCGACCTTCAACGTCTTCAGATTCTCTTTCAATTGGTATCTGATGCTCAGCGTGTACTTCGTCGTCCGATGCTCTTTCTCGAGCACCAGAAGACGTTGCTGGTTGAAATACTCGACGAGCGCGTAGATCTGAAAGGACTGTCATCCGGAAGAACCGCCCGTTTTCCATACTATTCCAGAAGCGAAAAGAGCAATGACGACTGCGGAAATGAGCACTTGGAATGTGATTCCGCCGGTGGTTGTGACGACGGACATCGAGCAGGCGAACACGTTTTGGGAGGCGAATATCAGACAGAATATCCAGTGACGGTTCTTCCTCTCGTAATCTCTGAACACTAATCATTCGTCTGTGGCCCTAGAATCCTGCGAACTTTATGAGAATGGTTGCGAATATTCTCTCGGTGAGAATGCCGATCGGAGTTGAGATCACAAAGTACATGTAATGGTATCTCATGTTGGCCGCAATGAATATCGGATCGAATCCGTTCTTCCGAATGGAACACCGCCCAAAGTGGTGACATTCATCCGTGCAGACTATTTCTGAAAAGATTTGAGTACACAAATCCTTTTTCATATTCTGATGAGCTGACCTTCTCTTATCTCAATGGCAAGATTGTACTTGAATGCCCAAATGAGAATGCGGCAGAGAAGGAGTTCGAACCAGAGGAGGAGGAGTGAAATGAAGATGTTGCGCTGATTCTTGTGGAAGATTCTGCAAAACAAACGCTCGTTAATTTTCTGATTCCTCGTGTTGACGCACGCGAATCGCATGGCAGTTGAGACGCCGATCAGAGTGAAAATGAAGCTGAGAATGAAGAGAACCGCCTGAACGAGCACGCCGAGGCTGTTGGGCATCTGGTGCGAGTTGCGGATGAAGATTGCCATGATCGTGAGGTCGTCTGAACTTATTTCAGGCTCACACATGGTGCTCCGGAATCTACAGTCGCAAGTGGCAACTCAATAAGTTCGGAAGTCTTGAGAGACTTCAAATAAAATAGGTGATTAGTGAAATAGCGTTCAAGATATGAAGATTCCCAAAATAATATGTCGGGAATACTGAGGGCCACTTGAAGCAATTATACACTCTCAAAGTTGTCCGATTTCAACTGAAAAGCGTCGAAACTTTTTACTAAAAAGATGTTATTCAACGTTGGTTCTGCTTTTGTGCCAAACAAAAATCCGAAAATCAGAGCCATGAAAAGTTGAACAAACCTGCATTGATGTCCTCGCGCGCGTACGTATCCGTAGTATTTCCCATTGTGTTCAGAGCCAATCGCTATCCAATCTGGAAGTATTTTCGACTGAAAGCAGAACAGAGAATGAGCCGTGCTTCGGGAGCACCTGCCTATTCGGAGAATCGGCACACCGAATGAGTTCTGAGTCGAGAGCTCCAAAAATCTCCGCCTTTTCATTAAACCCGTCCATTTCAATTCTCATTAAGACCACGTGGCCCTCAGAATGGGCAATTCGTCATCGCGCGCAAAACCCGAAACAAAAGTCCTTTTGCATTGAGCAAACACGTGTCGCCTGTTGCCCTCCGGGCTAATATCATAATAATATCATCCATATGTGATATTTGTTAATCAAAGCGCGTCTCGTCGCTTTGTTGATATTCGTCGTAAAACGAACCGTCCGCGTAATCATGCACTTTCCTGATGCCTTTTGACCAAACCGCTATCACTGCGCAAAACAAAAACTGTAAAATGCGACGTGCTCTGATAATGTAGGTAGACATCATCTGTCAGTGAGAGAGTTCTTTTTCATCCTTGCACGCGGCGAGACCGAGCAGCGGGCAGCGGAATGGCAGTCCCCGCCAGTCACCACTAGGCCACGAGTGCATAGCATCGAACAGTGGGGAAGAGGCATACATATGAGAGGGGATGGCGCACGAGAGAACTGCGTTGTATTGCATCGGTTACCCGGCTGAAATCACGCTTTCTAGGTTTTCTAGAGTGGGGGTCTTTCTGAAAAACAACTGAGTGCCCAAGAACACAATTGAATCCGTGTCAATAAACTTGCGTATTATAGCAGAAAAGCGAGGTTCAAGAAGCGAATGTACTCGAATTTCCAGGAGTCAATTTAAGGAACATCGACTATTATTGTTTTCCTTTTTCAGATATTTCAGGTCTGTTTGGCCACAGACCAAGCAGTGAATGGCCTCCGAAACGGTGAGCAATTACCGGAAAGCGAGAGCTCTAATCTGTCAACACGGACCCGTTAGCACGTTGGGAACGAACCCAAATAAACTTTGGCAGGACCTGAACAAACACGTCTCGACAAGTACGGTACCGCTGCAGCTGCTGCTCACTTTTTGTGTTGTTTTTGTGTCGAATCGAATGAATTTGACATTTCCGTTCTTTTTTTGGTCGTTTCTCGATGAAAACAAAGGGAGCAATCGAGTTTGCGTCGTTTGACACCTTCGCAAATTGGATTGCAAACCGACGAGAAAAAGTCGTAAATTGTCAAAGTTTGGACGAATTTCTTTTTCGTCCAAATTTTCGAAAAATGTTTGTGAAAGGGATGACCTTTTTCTTTTTCTTCAAATTCAGCTGTTCATCGCCCTCTTTTTTGTTTACTGGGTCAAATTGACACGTACTATTAAACAAATTCGACACTTGCAGACACATTGGAAATTGGAAATATTCTTGATTTCGCGTTTTTAGAAGCTCGGTGAATTCACGAATTGAGCACATTTGCTGTTGCTCTCCAGAATTTCCAATCCATCACTCGTTTCTTTCCGTAAACGACATCTCATGTCACTCTTTTCTAAACTCATAAATCCCCTTTTCTCAATTCTCGGCCTAGTTTGCCATTCCAGCAGAATTGTCTGTTCTTTTCGTGTTCGTCCCATGTCCAAACACTATAGAATTCGCCTCGGTTGCATCTTTTCCGTCTCGAGACTGCCGGCCTCTCCGGCGGGAAGCCCCGCCCCTTTTGTGGCGGCTCACGCCACACTTCCTGTGGTCAAATGAGCCTCCCGCCGACCCGTCGCTCCTCTTCTTTTTAGCCAGTTTCTTTCTCCGAACCATTAACTTCTTCCAGATTCTTCTCTCAATGCTGACACGTCTTCTCGTGCTGACGTGGCTTCTCGAGGCGGCGACGGCCAACATGAGCTGTCTGGTGATGCGGCCAGGTACGTGTGTTTGTGCTCATTGCGAGCAAAGTTTGGGAGGGAAAGAGCAGTCACCGTTTATGCTCAAATTACATACAAATAAAGGGAGGAAGAAGCGCGAGCGGACGGTTGAATAGAAACAAATCGGTGTAAATACCTTTACGGCTCACCTAGATTAGAGCCACGACGGAAGGGAATGGAACCGCTTTAGTAGGGTCCAACCTTTTCGTTATTTGCACAAAAAGTGACTCTCTGATAGTGCCCCCTAAAAGCTTTCTGCCAGCGTCTCCCCAACTGTACACCCTCTCGCCCTTTTGTAGTATAAAATGTAACACGCCCTATGAGCAATTCCCCTTCCAAACTGTACAACACAAGTTGTAAAATGTCACAGACGGAGAATCGGGAATGTTTCGTTCGAAAGCGAATCGGCCGTGACAAGAATCAGCGGGAGGACATCCAAATCGAATTCTCGGAACAAAAAGTGCCGTCAAATTGCATTCTCAAGTGCTCCTTCTTCCTTTCCTCCCCTTTTTTGCTTCGAAATCTCTAAAAAAGTGTTGCGAAACAAGGAGAAGAAGATATCTTTTTTCGTGTTTTCCTCTGATTGTCACTGTCCTTTTCTTCTCGTTTCCCCTTTCAAACAACGTGTCGTTAGTGTCAGTTGTACATGCCCAAATTGGCTTTTGGCGCGTCGATCGTCGGAAATCCAAATCGAGTTTGTGGGGGTCTCTCGCCCGGGAATCCCTTTGGGGACCCGTCTGATGTTCGAATGATGGTGTCAAGTCCCGTCAGTTTATGAAGGAGACGAAGGCGAGACACTCGCGGCATTCTGTCAAAAATGGAAGGAAAAAAGAAGGCAAATAAAGGGCATGAATCAGAAAATATCGGATTTCTGGAAGTGGGCGAGAGAGTGCGCGAGACGAGGAGACGCAGAGAACCGAGCATGCAAAGTCCCCGCGACTCGCGAAATTAGACGACTTTTTTCTGAATGAGTAGGCAGGAAACGATCGCCTACGCGAGTAATCCCGGGTCAAAAAGCAAAAGCTCGGGGGCCGGGCTCACAGAGATTCCCGGGGCACTAGGATAGCAAACTGGGCAAGTTTCGGAAGCATTGACATCTCAATTATCCGCCGTTTCTCCTTTCAATCCCAGCAAATGGCGTTTCTCCGTTGTACTATTCCAATTATCCAGTGCCAATGACAACAATGTTTTTGCAACGAGTTGCTCCATCTTTTTCTCCCTTTCCCTCCAGAATGCATAACTGTGATGCATTGGTGATGTCGTCCTTTCGCAAGAACCGCCTCTCTCTCTCTATCTCTCTCCCTCTCTCTCTTTTCCTTTCTCTGCCCAAAACCGAACAGATGGGACCGCCCGTACTCTTCACAAACACAAAGATTCTGCAGAATGAAAGTAGTCAGGAGGCCAGTCTTTCTAGTGTTTTTTCACTCCTTCTGCCCATTGCACACACTGATTCCGTGGGGGATTCGGGCGGGAAAACAAAAAGGAAAAAGTGGGAGGAAGACGTGAAAACGTGTTGAAATTATGATGGATGACGGGGGAGCCAAAAGGATTTGATGGAATTCGGAAAGAAGAGTCGCAGAGGGGTCGCAGCTGATTCGAACTTTTCGGAAAGCCTCTATGGCTCCACTCAATCTTCATTTCGGCCATTTAGTGACCCATCCATCACTCTCCAAAACGGCTCTGAATGCTCAAAAACGTGTTCATCGTTTTCGGAGATGAAAAGTCGGATAACTAACTGCCGCTCCGCATCGGATTCCGTTTCGCTGGCCAAAAATGGCCATTATCTCTTGCTCGTCGCATGTTTTATGTCGAGAAAGAAAGCGGAAAACGAAGAGAGAAATGAGCGTCCGTCCGGACAAAGTCACACCATTTGACACCCAATCTCGCACCCACCAACTATACGTTTTTCCGAGCGGATTATACCGAAACGTTTTCGGGTCAAAACAAGAGTTCCTCGGAGGGACTTTGAAGGTATCTGAATGAACGGAAAGATTTTAGGATACGGTTTGGTTTCCGAAGAGTGTCCGTCTCACGCCGTCGGATGTCGGATCAGAGCGAAAAAGGATCACATCGGTGAGTTGGAATGGAAACGGAAATAGAAACGGAATAGTCTCTCAGAATGGTACGAACTTTCGCGTCTCTACGACCGTAACCAATTGGTGTGTGTCTATCCGGAAGAGTACAAATCAATGACTGGTGGGTCCCTATTAGTTGAAGATCGGCGGAAACTCACTGATTGCAGGATGTATGCGGAAGCCGTCGGGAAGTGTCCGTTGCTGGTGCGGAGGTCGGGAGAACTGCAACGATCCGGAGACGAGCAGAGATCTGTATGAAGCATTTACGGAGGGGGACAACGAGGCGGTCGAGAAGATCTCCGATTGGTTAAAGTCGGAAAAGGATGAGAGTTGTGAGTGAATAGGAGGGGGCGCTCTACGACAGAGTGTCTAATGATTCTCTGAACTTTTATTCTACCTAATGATATGTTGAGAGACGTGTTTCAGCATGGAAGAAGTTCACCACAACAGAAGAGGTTCCGACGACGACGACCAGAAGAACGACGACTCCGAGAAGAACGACGGTCAGAAGAACTACGACGACGACGACGACTACACAAGAGTGAGCACTTATAGTCCGTTTAGACAAAACATAACTTTGAGCACTTTCAGACCGACGACGACTTCTCAAACAATTACCACAAGCACTGACCGTCCAACAGTAACCCCGAAAAAGACAACGAAGAGAATCGGAAATGCGAAGAGCACGAGCACGTCGAAGCCGTCAATGTCCTCGAAGGAAGAGCCGAAGAAGGCACGAGTCATCAACATTGTCGATATTCGTGAAAAGGTGAACGAAGAACTCTTAAAATAACAATTGCAAATGGAAAAAAAGAAATGAGAAAATAGGAAGATGAAAGATTGGATTGTTAGTGCCGCTTCACAGGCTTCTGAACGGGAGCAACGAGCTAAGAGTTTCTGACATGAGAAAAAGAAGAAGAAAATATATTCTGATTTCTGATTTCTCAGCTCTAAATTTTTTGTGTATTTTTTCGGGAAGTGTTGGCTAGAGTGATCTACCTAGAAACAACTTTAATTCGATTGAAGTTAACTCGAATGAGGTTATGACGCCCCTCTATTTTCATTTCTTGACACATCCTTTCTGATGCCTCGCCCCCGCCCTTTCGGTGCCAATCAGTGAACACTTTCATTCGTTTAATGATATCTGTTTGAGGCGGTTCCCCTTCCGAACGACGATGTTTCGCTCGATGACACATTCGAAGAAACTCGCAAAAAACTGGTAAGTATACATTCGGAAGGAAGGGAACATGAGAAAGATGACGTTGCAGGAAAAGGAGATGAAGGAAGAGGACGAACGACTGAAAGAGATGCTCGCGGACGAAGAGGAGGAGGAATCGAATGGTCAGTGGGGAAGGGAAGAGCATTCAGGAAAGGGCACGTTTCAGATATCGATGAAGAGGAGGACGTGACTGCGGAAGATCAGAGGGAAGAGGAACGGGAGAGATACCGGATGGAGAGGTCAGTTAGGACATTCAACAGTAGCAAGAATGTGTGCTCTTTTCAGACGACGTGTTGAGGAACGACGTCTTCAGGAGGACACAATTCTGCGTCGGATTGAAGAGGAAGAGATCAGAGAAGCGGAGAAGGACCGTCCGAACAGAGGCACTTCAGACGACGACATCTACGGAAGCGACTTCGAGAACTCCTCCGAAGCGGTCTTCACTCCGATCCTTTCCCTTCTCATTTCCCTCTTGCTCATCTGATCTGTTTCCGTACCCGTTCAGTTCGAATTCACTTACCCCCCTAGGTCCTTCTTTTTCTTCTTCTTCTCTCCCCAACGAACTCCCCCTAATCTCCCTTGTTCTCTTCGCTTCCGTTCCTCTCTCCCTTGATACTGGTGCCTGTATTCTGCTAATTCAATCAATAAATGCTTTCTGATCGATACAATCCCGAGAGGCCTCTTCAAGCAAACGCTCCAGGACATCGCAGCCGAGAATCGATCGGTTTTTAATGTGACGTTCAAGGAGTACCGACGGCTCTACAACGAATGCAGCAGTCTGATCGATTGTATCCGATCGTTGGCCCACGTGGTGTACAATAAGGACTTTCAGCTTAACGCTGAAAACTTAGTGCTCTCTTTGGAAGTACAATGCGATTTTTTCAAGTTCAAGATCGGCAAGTTCAGCCAGTGCATCAATGAGGTGAGCAGTTTCTTCAAATTTAAGCAAAAATCATTTAATGTTTTGTTCTTCAGATCAATTTGGATTGGAAACAGATCAGAAATCAAGAAGAATCGTGCGGTCTGAACGTCCTCGAGATGCTCGCCCTTTTCAAGATCGTCAAGAAAAGATGCGGAAGTGACGCCTACCAGGACATGAAAATGAACGCTCCCTTCGTCAAAATCCTTATCTGCCTAAATGCGTTCTAAGAATATTATGTGACACTTGTATTAGGGTTTCAAAAATCCGTTGTATTCTACATACTGTTCATAACAATCTGTAATCATTAAATCATTCTTCGATACTTAATAAAGTCCTCCATCTCGAATCAATTGAGTATCGGTGACGTGATACACTCTATTCTGGAAAGGTGAGAGACGTGGAAAAGAATAATAGAGAGACAAGTCAGTTCCAAAAAAAAGTTTCCGAAAACCATGGGAGTCGAACTGTCTCTTGAGCCGCCGGTCTGTCCGATTCAAGCCAACGGCGGCACGTCGACGCACAAGGTCATCAACCATTGCGACAAGATGTTGGCTTACAAGGTGAGCAGAAGTGCATCCCCGGATCGACCGGAACGGATCCGTTCAGATCAAATCCTCGAACAACTCGAACTACAGCGTCAATACCATCTACGGCCTCATCCAAATCGGCTACACTGCCGATCTGATCATCACGAGAAAGCCCGGAAAGCCGCAAGCGGACCGTCTCGTCATCCAATACGCTTCCGTCGAGCAGACTTGCCGCGATCCGAAGGCCTCTTTTGCCACTGGGCACCCAGTTGGAGAGCTCTCTGGAGAGACCATTATCAAGTTATCGGCTGCTGAATAAACAAATGAATGAATGAATACTCTTAGAAAATGTTATTACAGATATGGATCAATCTTATGAGTCAGAAGAGATACTTGACATTGGAAAAGTGGAATGCGACGGGCAGTTGTTCTGTCCTGTCACACAGTGCTTATTAGATAAACAAAAACAAACAGGAGAAGTGGGGGTACAGCTGGAAACTATTTGAAACCCGGACATGCGACTGCCTTGGCCAGCTTCTGATTGATCATCATTTCGACGACGGCGTCCTCTCCGCACTCTCTTCTGACGACCTGGAACAGACGGAAGAACTCTCGATCGTTCAGCTCGCAATCAACTCCATCCTCGTTCATTTCTTTAACTCCCATAAAGTTCAAGTTCATCTGAAAGACCGTTCATTAGAATTGTTCATCGAAATAAAGATCTCACCTGGTTAAGGCAGTGATAAAAGTTGGTGGTTCTGAAGTGGAACACCTTGCACGCGGGGTAAACCGTATCCCAGAAGTAGTTCATCAGCGCGGAGTAGTACTCTTCGTCACTGGAACTGGAGACTTGCGCTCCCAAACCATTATAACAGTCAACTACTTTGTTGCATTCATTCCAGAAATGCATGTACGTATCGGTTGTCACCTGGACTGTTTTCTGGTTAGCTAGGGTCTTGTAAAAACTAGTGGTCATCTCCATACAATGCTCGATTTGGTCAATACTGACGGCGGAAACAGGAGCTGCCAAAAGTGCGAAAATCAAGAGAAAACGGAGAGGAGACGACATTCGAGCGGATCGGACGGAATGGGAGAATCGGTGCACACTCTTTTTATTATCTCCACCAGAGAGCGCAGGGTCTGGAAAAGAGTCGATCGATAAATGGGGGTGCCATCTGGGAAACAGACACTAAACCAGGCCAGAAGATCGGACCAGGTGTAGTTTTCCGATCGCATCCCTATTTTACCTCGTGCAGCCTTTTGCGCAGCCCTGCACTCAATGATGAAGTGATTTATACTTGAAATAGAACAGAATTCATTCGAAATCTCAAGTGGAAATGGGTTCACTTCTTCTTTTACTCGGCGGCCGACAGCTTGATGATGGTCTCTCCGGAGAGCTCTCCGGGCGGCACTCCGTTCGCGAACAGCGGCTTCGGATCGGCGTTCTCGTCGTTCACCTGACAGTACTGGATGATCAGCTTGTCCGCCTGCGGCTTTCCGGGTTTTCTCGTGATCACCAGCTCCTTGACGTCGCAAACTTTCAGGATTCCAAAGATCACATTGACGCTGTAGTTCGAGTTGTTCGACGATTTCACCTGCAACGGAGAGTCAGGACGGGAGACAGAGTCGAAGTACCTTGTAGGCGAGGTGGCGGTCCGTGTGGTTGATCATCTTGTGCTTCGAAGTGCCGCCGTTGGCCTGAATCGCACAAACGGGCGGTTCCAAAGATATTTCGACTCCCATTACTTTCCGGTGAGGTAACCTTTTCTTGGTACTGATTTGTTCGATGATTTCACTTGCCACGTCACTTTTTTTTTATCTATTTGCGAAATAAACCGGGACTGGGCAACACGTGGAATTTCACTTTTTGCGAAACTAGATGAGCTGTGATCACGAAAATGCAAAATGTTTGAATGTTTGAAACAACTACATATTCTCGGATGCTTCATTGGCCTAGATCTTTGACCAGCTGGCAGAGTGCTTCTGTATTCAGGTGTCTTCTCACCTCTAGCTTCTCAACCGCTTCCACTCTAATTGCTCTGAACATAAGCATACATCAGTGTCACGGACGTTCCAGCCAGTCTCGACCCAACCTGAACCGTACAGTCCGTCTCTTCCCACTCATTAGCCGCTTCGGCACCGCCCGGAATCGGGAAACGAAGCAGAAGCCGCAGTGTAAATTTCCGGTTGCATGTATTCGTCACTCGGCTTCTTCTCGAATATCCAGTGTCCACTTCCCTCCGTCCGACCGTCCGTCCGTCCGTGCTTACCGATAATTAGCGTCGGCGGGTCTCCTCCCCCTCCGCTTCGCTCTCCGTTTTCTTTTCTTTCGCCCAAAATTGGCCATACTTTTCGCCTCCTTCACTCGTATTCCAATCCAACTTTCACCGTCCGTCCATCCGAAGCTTATTTCGCAGTTTCAAATTGGATTCGACCGCTTCACATGCATTTTTTGCGTCTTCTTATCATCGCTTGGACAGTGAGTTTCTGTTTGATAACAAGAAATAATGTCTGTATGGAATCCCATTCAGAAACCCATTTACTTGGTTGACAGTTATTACGTAGTTCTCAGTTTTTACTCCATTAACCTGACTTACACAACATCTGATGCAGCCAATTCCGTTTCTAGGTCGTATTAGATAACTTTCGGAATTCATGGGTTCAAATGGTGGAACCAAACTATTTAGGGAACAAGAATACTGTATTAGATGAGTACCGTTCATTCAAAACGATATATCTCAGCTGCCGACCGAGATATCAAACAGTCGTCCACTTACAAAATGCTCATTGAAACATTGTGTGCATTTTATCAGTTGACCACTTTTTTATATCTCTACCGGCGTCACGAATACATCGTTTTTAATGAACAGTACTTCCCCGCCTGTACATTTCCACCCAAATCGTCGAGGCCTCAAAGTGTGTTCTTCCAAACTGCCAGACTTTCGCTCAGCTGCCACTCTTGGTGGCTGTCCGTCAAAAAGTTCGGTCCCCCATCGATCATCCGACAGACGGTCCAGCTCCCCTTTCCCTTCTCCGTCCAGCTGTATAATTGCATTCGGTTATTAATAGAGTTGGCGCGCTGCCAACGCGATCAGCATCGACAATGAGATCATCGGCGAACCGGACATTGAATGTCTCGAAGACGAAATACGCATTTGGGTGAAGACGAGGAAGATATTCGCGGGTGAAAATACAGGAAAACGGCTGGGCAAAATGAATACCGTTCGTTTCAGGAAGAATTTACGCGAAAGGAAGGTCCGATTTGGAAAACTGCTATAAAGACGATTTTGCGAACGAAAAGACCAGAAAACCGCACTTCGACCTGAGATTCGGAGATTGTGGAATGAAAAGTCTTCGATCGGTAAGTTTTTGGGAATCATTTGAAATCAAAGCAATTTAATCGGAGTGGTTGCAGGTGGATCCACGTGGAATGTACTACGGAATCACGGTCATCGTCTCGTTCCACCCTCTGTTCATCACAAAAGTCGACCAGGCGTACCACGTGAAGTGCTTCTTCGAGGAGGCGAGCAAAGGATTGACCGCCGAACTGGGCGTCAGCATGATTCCGACGACTGAGCTCGAGGCTCGCCACGGAATCCCCGGCTGTTCCTATTCGATTCATTCGTCCACAATCGAGGATTTGGATGCGGGAAGACCCGCAGGACAACCGATTCAGTTCGCGAGAGTCGGAGATCGGGTCGTCCATCAGTGGCATTGCAATGACCGTGAGTTCTGAATTCAAATGATTCCGCAATGCTAATAGTTCAGAGATGTACGGAGTGCTCATCAACAACTGCTACGTCACCGACGGATTCGGCAAGAAGGCGGCGGTGATCGACGAGAACGGTTGTCCCGTGGATCCAATTCTCATCACTGGAATCCGTTATTCAACCGACCTCCAAAGAGCGTACGCAGAGTCCCAAGTGTTCAAATACGCGGATAAACCGGGTGTCTGGTTCTTCTGCCAAGTGAGAATGTGCATGAAGAAGCAAGGAATGTGCGAAGGGATTACGGTAAGTATAGTGAACCAAGAAGGGTAGAAAATTGAGGATTCAGCCGCCGTCGTGTGGATCCATGTCCCGAATGATATCTGCCAGTGGGGATGATTTTGAAGAGGAGAAGCCGCAGAAGAAGACGAAGAAGCCGCCGGTGCAGGACTACGATTACGAGAGCGAGAGGCCGAAGCCGACGAGAGCGCCCACGAGGACAACGCCTTCCGACTACGATTACGACAACGAATCTCCGAAGTTGCACAGGTGAATCCATCGTCCTCTGTTTTCGAATCTCCGACATTTTCAGTCCGAACTCCCACTCGTACAACAGTGTGACCCCTCCGCTCGACTACGAAACTGCCACTCTCACCGCCTTCTCCCCTCCAATCAATCCGGTCACAGTAAGTTTCCATCCTGACGCCCACGCACTTTCTTCCTTCCTTTTCGTTTTCAGTCTACCCAAGAGAGTGTCTCAAAGACCTTCGAGACGGAAGACGACTTGGCATCGGTGACGTCAGAACCGAAGAGTAAAAAGATTGGGAAAAGTGAGTGGAAAGGGGCGATACCTAGGGGGAAGAGGGCACCGCTGCTAATTGCAGACGGACCAGAACTGGTCATCGACGAGACGACAAATTGTCTCTCTGCTGCTACTATTTTTATCTAGGTCAAACATAGCAAATTGGCTTACACTCCTTTGAGAAGAAGGCTTACGCGAGAGGGAGTGAAGGGTCTTTGTTTGCAGGCGATTACAATGATTACGACGAAGTGACGATCCCGCCGAACCTCACCGATCTGCTCGCCAATCTGCCCGACGACATCAGCAGCGACAGTATCCAGAAGATGTTGAGGTAGGGAACATTGCGAAATATAAGCAGCTGGATTTCGAAACTCTGAATGTTTTTGAAGGGACTCCGTGGACAACCCGAAAGCGTTGCTCGCCGAGTTCGGAAAACTGATGAAGAACAAGAATATGAAGACGGATTCGAAGAAGTTCCGATCGAGGAATCTGCGGGAGCTGAAGCCGGGCGACCTGAGATCGGGAGAGAAGATCGATCAGATCGAGGTTGCACAGAAACGAGTTCATGGAACGAATGAATGATTATTCAGGTCGACTGGACGTCCACTCGCCGTCGGGACGTTCCAGCCATCTCGGAGTTCAATACGGACACAAAGTACGACAAACCGATGCTCGCGGGCCAGCTGATGATCTACGATTTGGACGAGGAACCGCCGAATGAGACTGACGTGCTGAGAAAAAGTGAGACGACGTCGTGTCTGCTGGTTTGAACACTTTCGATTTCAGCTTCAAACTCTTCGAAATCCGCCGCCGCTTGCTCCATTTCGAAAGACGGACTGTTTGCGATGTTCGCCGGCTTCGGGGCTCTCTTCTCCGCCCTCTTCGCTATCATCGCCTTCCTAATCATTCGTCTCAAGAACCAAGGTCCGTCCGAATCTCTTTCGTTTCTCATCCGATTCTTCTGATTCCAGCTTCTCCAATCGGCGACATGACTCCCATCTCCAAGCAGTTTCAATATGCTCAAAAACGATTTTTCGAATCTTCCTCCTGAATTCTCCCTCTTTTTCGTCCCACTCACTCGTGCAATCCGTCCGTTCTTCCCCTTCTTTTCCAGGGTACCATCACATCTCACTTCCGCTTCCCCTAACTTAACTTATTTGACATTCTCATTTATTGTTCACATAAAAATACAAGATAATCGAATGGACAAAAGTTGCCATGAAATTGAAAGAAAAATGGTAAGTCTCTAGCGGCGAAAAGTTAAAATCAGAATACTTGTTGGAGATTTTTTCGAAATCAAAGAGAGATTTATACAAAATGGACAAAGTAGAATACAGTTTATTACATTTTTTTAGCAGGTTACTTTTCCTTCGATGCGTCGTAGATCGTTACCGAAGACAGGTAGTTGTTCTCCATTACCTGAAACAATTCCACGTGAGCCTTCTGGATGGGGCCACGTGGCAGAATACCTCGACGATGACCTGCTTTGTTCCATAGCAGAACGAGGGTCCGAATGGCTGCTGCTCCTGGCGGGAAAGCACGACTGGACGGTCGGGGGCCTTTTCAGCGTCCATAAAGACCGCCGATATCTCTTCGTACTGAAAACGAACACGATTAGGGAGTAGGAAGATGTGGAAATACTGCATTATTTATGCCCGACTGGTTTTGTGTTACGAAATATGTTCCGAGATTGTGTTCGTTTTCAAAATGAATGAACAACTAGGGGATAGATTCCTTCCTACCACGTCTTCTTCAGATTCTCACCTTGGAATCGGTGTGGATCTCGCATGCCTTTTCCTTCAGAAAGATCGAGAAGTTGCATCTCGAGTACCTGCAACAATCAGTTTATCGTCCATCATTCCGTGTCAATCAGCTGTCAAAGCAAGCCCGTCGGCATTTTCCTTTAATCCAATTGTTCCGCCGATGCATTGACGGAATCAAATCAAAAAGAAAGAAACAAAAGCAAAAGGATTCTCTTTAAATACGTACATTCCGAAGTCGCAATGGCCTGGCGCATTGGTGTGAAGCACGAACTTGACCACCCTTTTCGAGACGAAATCGAACAGAATGTCCTGAAAAACAGCACCGATTTGCACAGAGAATTTACTTTTGTCCCCTTGAATCCAGTGTCTCAAATGTCTTCCCCCGTTCGCCTGTGCTTCGCAATTCCCATTTAAATGTGTACTCAACCGCTTAAGGAATTGAAACTGAAGATGTCATTTCCTGTCATCGAGCCGTCCCGTCCCGTCTCCTCATCTCCCCGGGCCGTCCCGTCCATTCATACACCTTCAGAGCCTTTGGAATAAACTCAAAAGCGAGCCGCCCATGTTAATTAAGAGACAAGACAAACACCAGGCTCCGTCCGGGGGACGGGTGGCTTTCGTCAGATTAGCCATGCCATGATAGGCTTGTAAGCGCCTCTTCAACAACACGAACAGGTGCAATCTCCTGTCGGTGCTCTCCTCGTCACCAGCGCTCTCTCTGCCGTTTTACGGTAATCAAACTGAATGTCAAGTACGTGTTGACATATGTCGTTTTTGGTAAATACACGCCATGAAGCTATCATATATCATCCGGGTTTCGGCAACAAACGATACTCGAAAATGACGGATCGGGCACCCTTATGACGTGGCAAAGTGTGTGCTCCCAACAGAACCCAAATGAACCGAATGAATGCTCGCACACAGAGACAGAGACCCCGTTGTGTTGCCAATCAAATTTTCACGTCTTCTTCTTCTTCTTCGTTGTCCAGTTCCTTTTGGTCACTTCTGTCAGCTCTTTGTTCTCGTCCACAAAACAATTGGGAGGAGAAAGAAAGCAGTAAACGAGGCATGTATCGCCAGAAGAAGAAGACGAAGCAAGAATGTTTTGGGCCGAAATTGAATAAACGTATTCGAAGAGTGAAGGCCCTTCCACAGATTCGGGCGGGTCCTTGTCTCCCCCGTAATAAAGGGCTAGATGCTCATTGAAAAGTGCAGTTAAACTTCAGCTGGGCTCTTCTGTTTCGCCCCCTCTTTGGGGCCGATTTCAAGCATTAGTCAACGGGATAAACGCCGAAGACAAAGTGGCGGGCATCCGGAGAAGGGAAGACAAACAGAAGTTGAACGATGGGAGCGGAATCGAGGTCGGATGGCTACTTTGCAGTCATATCACATTCTCGCAACACAAACAAAGTTCGAATGTCGTCAGGAAAGCCGAAGACGACGAAGATGTTTGAATCCGCAAACGAGATCGTCTGAGCGAGAGAAATGCGATTTGTCTAAAGATTCGTGGGAGGAAATTCAGTCCAGGAATCAACAATCTTCTGCACAGCGTCGGAACTTCATTTCAGATATCCTTCGGCGGAATTCCATCAGGAACCAATCGTTCTTCGCACTTCCGATCTGACCTCATTCGCCTAATCCATTCTTCTTCAGTTTTTCCTCTTCTCAGGTCGTTTCCATGTCCATAATCCCTCATCGGGTTAAAAAAGTGTCAAGTTGAATAGCACCAATCGCCTGTCAAATTGCTTGCCAGCCCAACCAACCAGACCGATAGGTGGCCGCATCGCAATTCGGTATTGTGAGGGCGTTTCAATTGAATTTCGACTAAATGTACGGTTAATAATAGGTATTGTGACCGGTCTATCGACAAATTGTCCCAAAGCGGCATTGTCCGTCGTCCGCCGCCCTCTCTTCCGCGTGTCTTCCGCACGCAATCATGCTGATGATCATCTCTCGGACGGCGATGATTAATTGCCGAGAGGCGCGAATCTTCTCGCCTCAAAATGCTCCCTCCGGAAGAAGTTGCCCTCGCAGCGCATCATGTCAATTCGATAATCTCCCGCATTTCGCCGCTTTTAACTCGCCGACAAGCTCGCAGAGCATCATGGAAACCGCGGGATGAACCTGCCACTCGGATTAGCTTTATGACACCAGCTCGCCGCCAGAGACACCTGCCCTCCCCCGCCTCTAATTGATCAATTCAAATGCTCTCCTGAGGAGTATAGTGATGCGAACCTATTTGTTCCCGACGGGGTTTCTTCTCTCCCAGTACGGCCGTAAAATATTGCAGTAACAAGGCCTCCGCAGTCGAAAACTTGTCGAAAACGCGTGTCCGTCAGTTCGTTGGCCGGGCCTCAAGAGAGTTCGTGCATACAAAATGATGCATCAAAATGCGGTGATCGCGAGAAGGGCGCGCACCGAACACACACAGACACACTCGCAAGGTGTGATAAATGAATCAAGACGTGCGGGACATGTCAACGTGTTCTCGGCCGATGAATAAATTACCCGCCAACGAACACACTTCCGATGGTGACAGCCGTCCGTCCGGGCTCATCACAACACGGGGGCCAGGAAGGGGCCGTTCACACTATCTTAATTGGCCGCATACGCGCAAATGTTTGTCGGAGTTGCTTGTGGCGGAATTGGGTTAAAGTTTGCCGACGTCTTCGACAGATTCAATCTCAAACGGAAATCGAACCGCTGATTAATGAGTTTATAAGCGAAAAGGGAACATTTATACTCCCGCTGAGGTTTCCGGGTTAAAAGAGGGGACAGACGGCAGGGTTATTTTCAGGTGAATACTCCAGAAGACACCTCATCAATCTGCTTTGTGTTCACAGTTGAATGCGTAAAGAATGGCTCGAGTGACCAACTGTTTGTCCGCGATCCTTTATTGCCAAGTGTACTCGACAGGGATGAATTACCGAAGCATGCCACAATTCTGTGCGTCCATATGTCGCCCACAATTCCGATGCTCCTCATTTCTGCCCTCGTGTTCTTCTCTACAATTATCTTTGCACCCATCTAGAGAGTCACCTTTTATTGCTTCTGCTGGTCACCAATAGAGTCGTAAACGAAAAGCGCCTGCTGACATTCGTCCAGCCGTTCCCATCTGGCGAGTGGTGACCACAGGAAGACATTTTTTTCAAATCGGGGCAGAATTGCTCTATAATTTCGACCCCAAATCGAGTTCGGAAGTGACCTGAAGGGGTGCGAAATCCGGGAGTGGAACAGCCGGGTGCAATCGAGAACGGAGCACGCAGGGCACGGCACAATTCATCAGAATCTCATGAATATATGATAACTTCTTGCTCGGCAGCCGGTCCCAAATGCCTTCTTCTTATCCTTCCCTTGCCTAATTCCCGCCAAAAAGCTGCCAAGGTTTGGTGGGAGCCCAATAAAAACACGAGGATGTGGATGGTGGCGTGATAATTGGCACCCTTTGTACATGAAACAACATTAGGTGCTGTCAGTCCGGTCATCTCTTCCTTCCCTTGGGTGGTGTTGACCCCCGCCCCTCCGGCACGAGGCCCCGCCCCCTTATCCGCCCTGCGAAGCCCTCCCTCCTTCGCCTTCTCATCGTGTTTTCTCTCTGCTTGCTGCTGTTTGTCCGAAGCACAGGGAGGCTTCATTGTTCTCCGGATTCAAAATCCAATGCTCTCCTACGTTCTTCTCCTTTTGTGTTCTCTCTCCATCTTCTCTTCTGCTCTACCGTCTTGCCCGTCTCTTTGCGAATGCGATCAAAACGAGTCATCGTGGAACGTCTACTGTCGGAAGGCGATCATCAATGACACTGTCTATGCGGATATCCTCAATCAGTTGCCACTGACTCTCCGTTCTCTTCACATTCAGGTTCGTACCAATGTGTCCAGATAACATCTATTGCGAAACTTTGTCGCTCTCCATCAAAATCTAATCCCTATTTTGCATAAAATAACCTCTTTTCTTGTTCCAGCCTCCGTCAAATCGTGCCGGTTCAAACAAACTAAGATGGAATGACAACATCAACCGATTTGCGCAACTCCGTGTGCTCCGCCTCGTCAACTGTCAGATCCCGGCCATGTCCCGTTCCATCCGCCTTCCTTCGCTTGAAGTTTTGGACCTTCGCTTCAACAACATTGAGCACGCCACCATGAGCAACTTCGGGGGAATGCCCAAACTGAGAGTGCTCGATCTTTCCTCCAATCATTTGAACATTCTCCCGACCGGAGTATTCACCTATCTCCGATCTCTTCGCTCTCTAACGCTGTCCAACAACTCGATCACCGACCTTTCCACCAATTTGCTGCGTGGTCTGAACTCGCTTCGAGCGCTCCGTCTCGATCGGAATCTCATTCCCATAGAGCAGATCAATGATCTATTTTCCGACGTTTCCCAGTTGGACGAACTCTATCTCAACCACTGCAACCTCTCCTCCATTTCCGCCCTCGCTCTTGACCGTATCCCCCAACTCCGTCATTTCGGAATCGGAGGAAACGAACTGAGAATGGTGCCGACAAAGGATCTGCAGTCTCTGTCCCATCTGACGATTCTTGATCTTTCCCACAATTCCATTCAAGAGATCACGGCTTGTGCATTCTGTGCCAACAACCTCTCACAGTTGGATCTGTCTCACAACCTGCTCGGTATTTCCAAGAACTCTCCTTTTCACATCGATGCGTTCCGGAACATTCCTCTCCGTCATCTCGACATTTCATTCAATCACATGAATGATTTTGATTCCAAATGGCTCGGATGGGCTCAGGACGAGCTCACATCTCTAGCTCTTTCCGGAAACTTCATCAAGCGTGAGTTGTCTGATTTGCCACTTCCAATCATTTCCTTGTTACTTTCAGACTTCGAAGAGGCCCTCACTCACTCGCTCAAGTCTCTTCTACATCTCGAAATGGCATTCAATCACATTCCGTATATTCCGGTTCAACTTCCCGCCCGTTATTATCACTTGCTCTCACTGAACGTGTCTGGAAACGAGCTCTCGTATCTGCCGGACAACATAAACACTCTGCTTCCAAATGTGAAAGTATGTCCGTCTCTCATTCTATACGAAATCTGAGGTGCTCTTTGCTAGGAGTGCACACGCATGTCATTCGAAACCATCCTCGTTTCTTTAGACACTCGACATCTCCGCCAACCAATTCCACACCTTCTCACACACAGATTTGGCCTTTCTCAACAATGTTGAACAAGTGTTTTTGGATGGAAATCCATGGGACTGTTCGTGTGCCATTCAAGGACTTCAGGTAATCGCTTCGTTCGAAAAAAGGACTGTCCAGTCGACTTTAATGACTTCATTTCAATGGTGTCTGTCTGCAGGTGCACATGCGGGATCGTTATGCGATGCGACACATTCTCAACTATGAAAACGTCCGATGCGCGACGCCTTCGCTCGTCGAAGGTCACTCGGTTCTGGCCATTACCGACGTAAGACACTTCCCTTTTCGTTCCCAAACTTAATTTCGATTCCAAATTGCTTTTAGGTGAACGACTGTGCAGTCCTTTTCGGCGCCCGATATGGCCTCACTCAGACCAGCGAGATGCTCATTCTGCTGGCAGGAGTCCTTCTGTTCGCTGCCCTCCTCCTCTTCATCCTGGGATGCATCTACTTTTTCCGCGAGAGACAGTACAAAGGATCGTACGTGACTCGTGAGCACTCGCGAACTCCTCTCACTATGGCCAACACTCACAGTTGCTCATCGAGCACGAATGACACCCACGGACCCCTGTCCCCGCCGTTTGATCCTTTCCTCGTGAGTACCGAGACGTTCAAAGCGACTCCCCCACTCATCCCACCAGCACCTCCGAAGCCGGGATCCTCTTATTTCGGGATCTGATCCTCTTTCCGATCATTTCCCTCGCAGTTTCATCCGTGTGATCCTCTCCCTCTAGTCGTCCGATCTCTTCCATCTATTTTTGCCCTTTTCCGATACGGTGTTATTTTCATTCTTCCCCATTTCTATTTGCAATAATATTGTTTGTAAATAAAGCTAATTGCGATAGCACCACTCTTCTTTCCGTGTTGTGCGGGGGAGCCGTAAACCTCTGCTCGAGGCGACAAAATAATAAATCGGTGTGGCTGTTTCTGACAGAGCACCGGGGTCAAGTCATTTGTCAAATGCACACAAAACAAATGCATAATTGAGCATTCGGGAGCACGACTTTTGCTCCGGCACCCAAAAAAGTTTGAATACTTTTGACGAACAAAACTGATTTTACTGTACTCGGCAATGTTGGTCAGAATTTACGCAAACTTTACGAAATTTCTAACTTTAAGCAGTTTCTGCGCAAACTTCAAGAAATTTTAGCGAACATTTTTAGTAGAAATTGCGTAGAGTTTGCGCAAATTCTGAACAACACTGCCGAGTAAGACGTGCGCGAGAATTGGGAGAAGGGCTCACAAATTTATGAGTTTACGAGTCATCCGAATAATAAATTTGCGTGCGCGCGCGAAGGATGTAGATTGCACAATCTGTTATGACACACGTCCGCGCATCGGTTAGAGTCCCAAGTGACACCAAAACAATCGAGAAGCGGCCAATTAACTCATCGAACCAAGCAAGACGGAATAACGATGAAAAGTGACGGATCGTCTCGTGTTCGGAGGGAAATGACCAGTAAACATAGAGATCCGTCTTCCGCGACAATTACCAAAGTCCGCGAAACCACAGTTTATGCATGTTGCTCGTTACTTCGGTCTCGAGAGTCCCCAACTGGAAGCCAGGTACGGAATATAAATTCGAAGTTTGTTCTTTTCCATCGGAACTGTTTTTCTTCTTTCAAAATACTTTCTCTCTTGTCCTCAAGCACCTGATGAAGTGTCGGTCGGAAGAAGAAGAAGGACGTCAGTCACTGAGGCTAATGTGGCAGAAGACATTCGTACAAGTGTCAAAGCGATACAAGACAAGGCTCTTCGGAGGAGGGAAACAAGAAGAAGAAGAAGCGGATGAGGTCGTAAATCTTTCCGGACGTCGGGGGGAGACACCAGATTATTATCATATGCGGACAACGATTGCGTGTGCATTATCCGCTCGTATCTGTCCCATTCCGGAAGAACCAAAGGGACTCACCAATCCCATCGAAAAGTAGTTGAAGAAGAAGTTGGGCGGTCCGTACAGAGTCTCCTTGTGCAGGCCACGGTGGATTCTGAAGGGAACGAGGCAAATAGAGATGCGAAGGAAAGAAGAGATGAGAACTCACTTCATTTTGTCGTCCGATCTATAGAACACTTTCGAAGGTGCTCCTAGATCACACTGAACATCTGAAACGGAGTCTCCAAAGAATATTTGGCGAGTGTAGGTGGACACTTCGAACTCTCCGTCCACGATTCTTCCGTCTGAAACGCTCTCGTCTATGCTATTCCTCGTCATTTTCATATTTGCTCACTTTGAGTGTCAAACTGAATGCTCAGTCCCACAATTGATCCATTTTCCCAGATTGCCTCCACTTTTCGTGTCCTGTTTTGTCCGCAATAGCACGAGAATGGAGTGTCAACCGGTCTGAAATGGGCTGGGGTCGAAGTGATAATCATTGGGATGTCTTACTCTGGCTCGGCCGGATTCTGCCCTCGGTATATCGACAACTTCGTCAGCTTTGGTTGCGAATTGGCGTCGTACTTCAGAGACCGCATGTTCGGTCCGAATCCTGGCTGAAATCAGAGACGGATTTACGAAGATCGTGAAGAAATGCAGAATTCCTTCTGCTTACCCGAACTTCCAAATTGAAGTTCTCTCCGGTAGCCGGGAAACAGAAGGAGAGTCCTGGCCAGCTCTGAACGTAGATGTTGTGCTTGTCGTCGTAAGATCCGGGATGGGTGGATCCGAAGAACTCATTTACCCTCTCCATCGTCGCCTCGTTCGACGGAGCCGAGAATACGGTATCACTGAAACAGAATTCTTTGAGACGCGATAGAAACGAAATGATTAACTTGTAAGTGAGGGTGATCTTTGAAAGATCGTCCACTTCGATTAGTTTTATCAGTTGGGAGACGCTGTCGAAGTAGAGTTTGATGCCCGTCGATCCGATGTAAATGACGATGTCCCGGTAGCACGGATCCTGGAACTTAGGCTGCTTTTCCCCAGAATTTCTTGTAAAATGTGAACCTTTTTACTGTATTTCAGTTCCACGTTTGTGAGCATTCTCGGGTGTTGCTGCATCATTGAAATGCACTGGTTGATGGGCATTCCGAGCACGAATTCCAGTTGCGAGTTCTTCAATCCGACATCAGGAACCACCTTAAAATTTTGTTAAACTTTGAACGATTCTCGTGCGGGGTCAACAAACAGTAAAGCTCATTTCGTCTTCCACGGACGCTTTCTTGGCCACTTGATTCTTCGCAGTCATTTTGGAAGCGCTGAATATTTGTGAGAACATTGTATTTATGTATTTACGTCAAAAAACCCAATTCAGAGATGTAAAAAAAACAAAACAAACGGAAAACAACCATACGCTGAATAGCCCCATTAGGTTAGAATTGAGAAAAAGAGAAAGAGGAATAATATTACGGGACGGTGGAAAGTGATACGGTATATCGACAACTGAAGCATTGGGAAAATATTGGAAAATATGGCGAAATCAATTAAAATATTACGTTTTTTTTTTGAAATTTTGAGCAGTGCTGCGCCCCTCAATCTCTGAAAATGTTCGAGTGTCAGACAGAGATGAACAAGAGGCAGGCAAAAAAATAAACACATGACGAACGAGTAGAAGCCGGTGGGAGTGCGGTGGAGCGCACTTGCCACCTCTTGCCCGAATGACCGCGTGACGCCATGTCAATATATTCTCTATAGAGAACACCATGTGTTCTCTCCCTTAAACAAAGTTAAAAAAAAGAGAAGAATGGAATAGTGTATTCCCAATACAAAAAAATACAAAAATCGTGTTGAATTGATTGATTCGGCATATCGGCAATCGAGAGTTTAGAGCTTGTTGAGCATCTGTTTGGCGTCGTCGAGGAACTCCTGCTCGGCGTCCGAATAGGGCTCGATCTCACAGAGCTCAGTCAGGTACTTGCGGGCATTCGTCTGGAAAAAATGTCAATACAGGGGAGAGACAGATTTGGGTCACTTTGTCCTTGAGCGCCACGTAGCATTTGGCGATGAAGATGGTGTTCTCCATCCATTTCGGATTGATTTTGTAGGCGGCGAGGAAGTCCTCGTTCGCCTCCTCGTACGAGTGCGACGGCGGCTGCTGGTAAAACGTGGCGGCCAACTTTTTCTCGACCCATGTCAACGATGCGACCGAGAACTTGAAGCGACCGCGCAAATGGAGGAGCGCCGTGTCCTTGGGCTCCTTGCCGATGGCCTTGTCGAGCAGTTCCTTGAACTTCTTGCTGCACTCGAGCTTCTGCTTCGTCGCCATGTATTCGGTGGACTGTCCCGTGAGCACGGCGAGCCACTTCATCACCTTGAAGTTGTTCGGGTCCTTCTGGCTGCCCTCCTCCGCGTACTTGAGTCCATCGTTGATGGCCGCCAATCTCTGCGCCTTCGGCAGGCACGCCGATCTCTCGTGGCAGAACTGCGCCATCCGCCACAGCACTTCCGCCGATCTCTCGCCCTTATCCATCCGCTGCAAATCACGTGTTCCTGCCGGCCCCTTCTCTCTGCAAACCCACCGCCTTCAGCGTCTCGTATCCCTGATCGCGATTTTTGGTTCCGAAAGTCTTGTCAATTTCATCGAAACTCATGGCTGAGTTCTCGATTCCTTTGGCGGTCCTTTGAATTGAATACTAATTCTGTTCCGTTTTCTATCTTTGAGTGCACTTTCCACGTACACTTTCACGTTATCAAAATAATTTATTCACGCTAACAATAAATAAATATTACAGCCGCAGAAGTCTGACAATCGCGCTCTACTTGAATTGCCAGAGGTGCTAATAAATACATGAGTGTACAGTTATTCTCCCGGCCGTCATTTTCGCCAGTGCACTCTTTTCTTCTCTGTCGGCTGGAACACGGGCGGACTCTTATTGTTAGTGCTCGGCGAGCCGGACGGACTTGCTCCGTTCTGCCAATTACTGTTATCCCGCATCACGAGTGGCTCGATACGACGTTGTTTCGGACGAAAATTGGAATCTGAAACAAAGGAAAACCTGAAAGTTAGGAGAAAAGAGAAAAGTCACGTACCAACAGGAGAAACGGGCATTTCGACGCCGGAGAGAATGCGATGTTTTCCTTTTTTTGTCCGTTTTGCACGTACTCAAAGCGCACACACACACAATAAGCCGAACTTCACACAGTCAAAAAGAAAAAACGACTGAGAGGAGGGTGTGGAAGAACCGAAATTCAAGAAGTGTCGCCCGGTTCGTCTGGCGTAACACAATGGAGCTGGTCGGCGACCTTTATTCATGGTTTCAATCGATAAGCTTTTCTCCAGTTGAAAACAAAAATTGAGAGAGAGAAAGGATAAACGACATTAAAATAGGACGGAAGACGGTGAAATATGAAACGAACGACGGAATTTTTGAGAGCGAATAAACGAAAACAGGGAAGGGGTTGGGGAGAGACAAAATGGCGCCAATCTCAGGGAAGATTGGCAGAATGGAGGACATCGGAAAAGGGAGGATTTGAGAAGGCCTCGAGGTTAGACTCCGTAGTTGAATTGTCCCGGTTGAGCAGCGGAAACCGTGCTGTTTTGAGACGTGTTGTTGGTAGTGCTCGCTGAGGCTGCGTTTCCATCCTGCCCGCCGTAGGCAACTGGATGAATTTTGAAACCGTAAAGTCTGGAAAACGTTTGGGTGAAACATGAAAGATCCAGAAATCAACTTACTTTGGAACGAACTGAGTGACCGGCTTGCGCGGGCGCAAATCCGGATGCACAAAGAAGAGCATATGCGGGAATCCAGTGCCAAAGTAGCTTCCGTCAGTATGTTGATGACGCGACGAACGCGGAACGAAGACGTCATTGCAGCGAGGACAGTACAACTTGACCATCGCTTCTCCAGGGACGTCCGAGAGACCGATCGGAAGCATTGGCTGATTCTCACAGTAAACACGTGGGCAGACCCCGAAGTCGTGGTCGCGCCACTTCTCCACCATCTGCGAGATTCCGCGGTTGGTGAGAATGTATCTCGCGTGAATCAGTCCATAGAGCATCTCGGCCGCCTGCTCGACCAAATCAGTGTTCGTTGCGTTGTCTTCGATGTCATCTTCTAGAAAAATGCATTCCGGGAAGCTCAGTTAAGGGGGGAACGTCTCCGCGGGAGGCTGGTATCACCTGGCTCGAGATCGAGAATCATGTCGAGTGCCTGACGATACTTGGGCACTTGTTCATTGAGTCCGGTCAAGTTGAAACGATCCTGGATGTACTCCTCGTCGACCTCGCAGAAAAATTCATTTCCACGAAGGCCACAGAACCAAGTTATCCATGAGACCTTGATATTAAAATAATTTCGTTTTTGAGAAAAGTGCGATCCCCTCAAATCACTGAGAAAATATAAAAATTAAAGACACCTACTTCCTCCGAGCTACTCATTTCGTCCGATCCCGACAAGCTAACGCTTTGTTCCGACTGAGAACCTGACTCTGCCTGAAAGCTGTTCTGTGTTCAACGATTGTTTCTCTCATAGAGCACTCACCGAAGTGGAATCGAGTTGGCGCCAGCGAGCAGAAGCCGTGGCGTTCACGTCGATAATTGGGCAGAGTTGCGCGCAGAGCACACAACTGCCTGAAACAAAAAGTGTGAGTCGGGAGACGGCGAGGAGTCGTCAACAAAAAGTGCATTACGAGAAGGAAAAACGGATAGTTGAACGAGAAGAGAAATTTCATCGATTGAGTTGGTTGCCCGTGTGCGCAGGAATTCATAAGCGCCACTGCCGTCGTCGTCGTTGTTGGAAAAGAGGGTTGCGACGAGAGTTGACGAGGCGGCGGCTAGGGGCCAAGCAGCAGAGTGCGACGGAGCGCATTTGCACTCACTTAGGTCATACGGTCATCGATCGATGCCGCCAGAGGGACAGAGGACAAACAGAGAAACGCAGCAAAGAACAAAGTATGATAGACTCGAGAAAACGAGCGGAAGGTAAAGAATAACAGTGTCAATGAGAGGGAATGGCATTCTTATTCACAAAAATCAAAAGAAATGAGAAAAGTGGGAGATCCGGAGAAAGAGCGGCTGGACACGATCAGAACATCGAAGAATACCGGATGCACACCAAATACGCATAAATAATCATCTTCGAACAACGAAACAGCATGAATCATAATTCAACTGCATTCCATTCCCTTAGCGATCGAATCGGCCAATTTGAGCATCACCATCTTCTTCAGCACTTTCACCTGAAACTTTTGAAATGAAGACGTAAATATCATAATGATGCAACCTTTCTCGTGTATGAATCATCCAATTCCCGATGCTTGTCAAGAGTGAAAGTCGTGAGAAATGTGGAGAGTTCATAGAGAAGTTCCTTCGAGAATGGAATACCGGTTCTCTGAAATGAGATGTTTGGTGGGGGTTACATTGAAATCACATACGCCATCCTCTTTTATGATCGTGATAAGGTAGTCAAAGAGGTCATAATAGTACTGACTCGGCAGGTCTTGTGTCATGATCAGCGGAACCAAGTGCTGAACACAATCGAGCACATCTCCGCTGTGCATCATTTTCACGAATCGTTGATACGAGTAAAGAAACGTGAGAGAAGGGAGCGAGAGAACAGAGTTGCTGCTGATGGAATGGAGCACTCGGAGGGAGGCCAGATCCTCTTTCGAGCTTGCACTTATTATCCGCGACACCGTCATGTCGATTGTCTTTTTCGATCCGGTCTTCAAGGCCCATGCCAGGGCCGCACTCCATTCGTTTTGCTTGAGATATCGGAACGTCATCGTGTTCGTTACACAGCTCTTCGCGTCTTCCAGCCTATTAGTCTCACAGACCTCGAGCAGTTGCTCCGCCATTTCATCGTCCACCAGGTGCATTCCTTCGATGTGCGATTCCAATCGGAGCAGTCCTTCTGTCCCACAGGCGAGAAGATAACCAGCTCCAATTTCCCAAAGCCTACAAAATTATGATCATTCAAGATACTATTCAGATTTAAAACTCACGGAGAGTGGGTAATGAGGACGCTGGCATAATCTAGCATATGCCTCTTTTTCATCACTTCGAACTCAGGATCCAATGTGGATTTGTGAATAAGATCGACAAGATGCACTGATATCCACGGATTGGCCATGATGAGCTGCAATATTATGTATTTTTTCGTAATTTGTACACACAACCGTACTTGTTGGAAGTTCACATCATCCTTCGCAATGAGACACCAGAAAACGTCTCTTTCCACAGCGTCATCTTCTTCTTCTCCGACGAACAACGATCGGCACTCACTGGCGAGCTCCATAAGTTCAGTGTGATCGGCGAATGGGTTTTTGACAAGAACGTAGAACGGAAGAAACTGCCACCAATGCTCAAGGATCCGCGGAGCCATTGAATTCAAATACCGGTCTTCGCCGAGCAAAAGTTGGGACAAGAATTTCAGATTCTCGTGTTTTCCGTACCTTCCGTGCGTCACATTCTCACTGAGAAGATCTTTCCAATCATTCACTTTGTCCACCTGAAAATTCTGATTTTTGTCTAGTTTTACGAGTCTGAGACTGACCAGCGCCTCGTCCAACAGATTTTCGTGATCGAAGAATGCGAGCGCCTCCGTAAACAATTCTATTTCTGGAGTCTTTTCGAGCAGAAGGAGAAGTTCGATGCATTCGTTGAAATTGCAACTGAGAAGGGCAACAGCCACTCCCCTCCAGTACTGCTCGCTGTCTTTTCCCTCGATTTGCAATACTTCAACTGCCGCATTTGCGGAGTCTTTGGCAAAACTGAAGCTCTCGTTAGCCCACGAAATGAGATCCGCACAGATGGAGCTGTCTCCTCTGCCGAACCACAGCTTTTCGTAAAGCGACCATAGTGCAAAGTCTGTCATGAAATCGGCGCTCGTATGCGAATCGGCTGCATTTAGGAGAACAGAACGGTAAGCTCGAGAGAAGGTGCAGCAAGTTTTGGTATCCAATTGTTTATCGGGAGAAGATCCCTTTTGACATCTGTCGAACACGGAGAACATCTCAATGACAAGCCTTCGTAAGTTGGGAGAAGCCAGCATTTGACGCTGCTTCGAAACTTTCTCTACCATAACAATATTGACTTCATCTGGAATACTGGGCACGTTTCGAAATTTTCGAACCATCGTTACCTTTGTTCTTCTGATTTTTTTCATCTGTAACGTAGGCAAAAACTGTTGACGAATCGCTGACAGCGATCCCGTACATTCGAGCGACATCCGTCATCTGAAACAATTTTAGGAAACTGAACGAGGAGTTCGAATTCCAGCGCCGAGTTTTGAAAGAAATAACATATACAAATTGAATAAAATATTGCAAAATTAAGTTTACGACAAAACTTTGAATATTTGGAATCAAAACGAGAAAACAAAGAGAGAGCGTTCCATTTTTTCGAAATTATTTTTAAAGTGAATTCTGCAATTAGGCGTCGAAGTGTACATTCACAGCATTGCGTACGCGGCATTATAGCTTACGACGAAATTACTTTTTCCGCTTTCCCGCACTTCCGGAGCCAGCTTTTCCCTCAATTGCACTATTTTTGCTCTTATTCCGACGCCGATTTGTAGAATGTAACCTTTCAAAATGATGCCAATTGTTTTTATTTCATTTTTATTTCCTACCTAACTATGATCATAACCCTAATAGTAAGAAGAAAGATATTTTTATTATAAGGTGAAATTTATATTCGAAAGTATTCAAAAGTGTTCTCTCCGCTGGTTTAGTTGTCGATGTCTTCCTGTTGCGGACGAGGAGAGTACATAACCCTCTCCACCGCAACTCTTTCCACATTTCTCTACCAACAATTACTCTTAACCCCAGCTTTCAGATATTCGCATTTGAACTCCCGCGCACGCGCCATTTAGGAGCGTCTTGTGCGTACACTCGGCCACACACTCGCGCCCTCGCCATTGAGGAGCGTCTTGTGCGTACACTCGACCACACACTCGCGCCTCCGCACTATTTAGGAGCGTCAACGACTACGGTTGTGCGTCGACCGATGGGCCTAAATTGCTCGCCGTTCATTACATCACTTTTGCTTAGCGTTTACTGTCACCCCCCTTTTTTACCGTTTCCTTCCCTTTTTATGACCGACTTCGTGTCGCAATCGATCTGAGATACGGCTTTACCCGACTCTCGTTCGATAGACTCTATTGACCTTTTTGATAATAATTCAAACACTAAATAAATGCTTTATTATCTCTCCGCCTTCGCTTTGTACTTTACCACTCTCCGTTCGCGACAAAATTGGTGCGCCGGCTAAAAACAAATTGTCCGGAAAAAAAAGAGTGAAGGCGGAGGAGAGACGAAAGTTGTAAAAACGGGCAAATACCCGAAAATATTTAGCTGTCGAACAACAAAAAAATTTCGCATTACTTCGTAGAAAACGTCGAAGAAAATTACAAAAAATTACCGAAGAAAATTACAGAATGGCGAAACGTCGTTTCGGAATGCAGGGAAAAGCCGCGTTCAACATCGGAAAGAAAACAAGAATGAACGAGCTGCGCCGGGCGATAAAACGACGAGCGTCGGAAGACAACGACGACAAGGAAAACGACGGGCCCAGCCCGAACAAGCAAGTCGTGCCGGAGATAGAACGAGGAGACGAGGCAGACGTGACAGTGCTGTCCGAAAACAGCGTGGAATTTGTGGAGGCTATCAACTTGGTGCCAGAAGCAGTCCGTGAAGAAACAGTGCCGGCCAGCGCAGTTCTCGTCGTCGACAACAACAGGAATATCGAAAAAAGCGTCACTCAGGAAAGAGGTGAGGAGTAAAACGGGATCAAAAAAAGAAAAAAAATTACAAATGTCCAAGTTACAGAGGGTGCAAAAATCAAGGGACATGTTTTTGGAACCAACCCGACCGAATGCGGATCGGCTACGTGGGCCGAACAGATTGTGCTCACCAAGAAGGCGGATACGACGCTCCACGTCATGTGCGACATCAAAGAACATCTGAACACGATCACAAAGACGTTGAGAGATCACAATGATCTGCTGCGCGTCCAACGCGAAGAAGATAAGGCTAAAAGGGAGATTTGGCGACACATCGTGAAGGAAGAAGTCCGTGAGTGGATAAGAAAAATAGAAAAGCGCACAATGGAGAAGATCGACGCCGCCCAGAGCACAGCGGACCATCACAAGGAAGACGACAACAACGCGGACAACAAAACGGAGCAGACAATCGAGAAACCGGAGCCACCAAAGAAAGCGGACGGCAAAGGAAAAAGGGTGAGAGAGAGAGAACAGAAAAGAGAACAAAAAAGAAACTTACAGCACCGATCGTGTCTATTCTGCGGAGATGACAATCACGGAACCGAACTCTGCAACAAATACGCCACTCCGGTCATGCGAATGGCGAGGATGAGAGAACTCGGGAACTGCACAATTTGCTCCAGACGACACAAGGACGAATGCAAATTTAGACAGCCGTTGGAGTGCCGCTGGTGCGACAAGAGACATCTCAATTTTCTGTGCCCCACGTACCTCGGTCTGACGACCAAGTAGGTCAATACTTTGTTAAAGACCACAACCACCTGTTAACCTTTATTGTAGGAACGAGTCCCATTCCCCTGTTGTTTTTTGTTTTGATTCCCCTGTTGTTACTTGACCACAATAAAGGAGTATTGAGTAACTTCGTTTCAATTCGTTAACCAGAAATCGTTCTCTCGAATAGACTATCGAAATAACCGAAAGAGAGAGGGAGGAAAAGAGAAGAGATTTAGACACAACGACACCAACTCCGCGCGTTAAAGAGAAGAGATTTAGACACAACGACAGACAACACTCCGCGCGCTAAACAAGGAGAGAAGAACAAGTCAAACAAACGAGAGCCAATCAACGCGGACAACAACGGAACAACAGGAGAAAATCAGCAATGGCGGAAGAAATGAAACCCAGAGACAGCAAGAAAGTAAGTATATTTCACAAAAAGACGAGAAAGAACGGAAAACGGCCCGGAAAACGGGTTAGGAAATCAAAAAACAAGAGTAAATTTTCCATAGAAAATCAAAAAACAAGAGTAAATTTCCGGTGAAAAAACGAAAGAAATTTCAGACGGAATTACTCGAGACAGAGGACGGAGAGAAACAAGACAGACAGCGGCTGATTCCAACGACGGCAGAATGGAAGCAGATGGAAGAAGAATACACTCACAAGAAAGACGAAGAAAGGACGGAACAATGGCTGGCGCGATCAACAGAAGTAAATCCTCAAAAACTCACCATTTGGAGAGATCCGGAGGATAAGAAGGTAGAACGAAGACCAATACCGACAACAACGCCGCCACCGCCATATCAAGCCGCCGAAATAAAGATCGCCGCGGTATTGGCCAATGAAGAACTCACCAACAAAACGATCTGGGCGATAAGACTCTGGAGAACCGACAGGCAGTACCACTCTTGGAGGTGCCAAGTGTGCCGACTGAAGATTAAGCTGGAGGGAATGGAGACTATCCAGCTAATCTGGCATGCGACTCACGAGTGTTTCGTCGACAAATATCACCTCCGGCCGATATTCATTTATCGGATGACAGGAGGAGCAGTGTGCTGGACATGTCTCGGAGACAAAACGCACCCACAACACCAAAGATATGGATGCCGAAACCAAGGACTGGCAAAATGTCGGTGGTGCTCGGCACTCCAAGCGGAAAATCATTGGCACATCGCAGCGACGGGTTGGTGTGAAAGAAATGCGACGGATTTTCCGGAAAGACTCGAAGCAGATCCAAAACGACAACAAGCAGCCGTCTGGAAACTACGGACGTTTGAAAATCAATGGTCAGTCCAAGACGAACAAAAGAGACCGGATCAAGAGGTGGAGCACGAAGTAGATCGATGGTTGAGAAGTTGTAGCGAACGACAACAACGAAAACGAGCAAAAAACGAGGTAAACTAGAAACAAAAACAACACCCCAAAGAGAATAATCAAACAGCTACGTGAAAAAATTTATTTTTTCAGCGTCAACAACAAACCATCGACATCAAAGCACCGCTCGAGATCGTCGAAAAGAAAGAAGAGAACACAGAGGAAAGAATACAAGAGCAGAATCATCAGGTACAAAACAAGAAAAGAGAAATCAAGAAAAGAAAACAAAGAATTGTTACAGCCAGTGGACACGGGAAGCGAGCTCGACCAGGAGATCGCAATCGCCCGTCGACAATGGCATAACAGATGGATGAGAGCAAGAGGCAGCGACTCATAAGAAAAGACAACAAATCAATTAAATATCTCTGTGTTTATCACTGTAAAAATTGGAATTGGAAATATCTTTGCGTTATCATTTGTGACAACAATAAAGGAAGAGAGAGAATCAGTGGAGAAATAAATCAATAAAAGAGGAAAATAATCAAAACTTAGACAAAAAAAACAAGCAAGAGGAAGAGGAAAGTGAATCATCAGTGGAAAAGGGACTGACAAGGGCAGCAGTCGTTAGAGGACCTAATTCGATCAAAATTGAACAGAGAGAATTAGCGTACACAAAACCAACAGCTATCAGCGGCCAAAGGGAGAGCCGAATACTGTTGGGTAATAGATAGGAGAATAAAATCAAAGAAGACGGGAAGAAGATAGCCCGCTGGAGACACAAATGATCGTCGAACGAGAAAGATAACAAGTCACGCTGTCAAAAGGAGTGACCGGGAAGAAGATTAAAACAGAATGAATGACGGCTCATTCGAAGAGGAGTCCACCGAGTTTCTGTGAAACGAATGACAAACGGCCGTAGTCATCCGATCAGTCACAGAGAATCGGCAGAGGAATAGGATAAACCTGACAAAAGAAAACAGTCAATAGCGCTTCGGTACCTGATCATACCGACAGATGAAACAGTGAGCACTCATCTGAATTCGCAGGCTCACAGTTGATTAACAGCCCCTCTAACCAAGTTAACCAACAAAAAAACTTCTTCTTATTACCCGTTAACACTGGTTAAACATAGCCACGTTAATTGTGAACTTTCAGACTATCGAGGATCGAAATCTTATCGCCGCTAGTGAAGATGAAACTAAGTTTGAATCTTCGCGCCCACAAGCGATACATCACGGGAGTAGCCAACGTGGCTGCTCGCCGACTCAACGCCGCGATCTTAGCGATCGGGGACGTGGAGATGGAGGAATTGCCGCTCGCCAACGCTGAGGACACCGTGCTCATGCACCTAGCAAGCCTGCAAGGAGCTGAATACGACGTCGCCAACATCGACAAGTGGCTAGAAAACGAGTTGAACGCCGACAACAACTGTCAAAAAGACCCAACTCTCAAAGAGAGATACAGAGACACGTTGAAAGAGCATATCGACAAACGAGACTACCTAACTCTTCGTAGAAAGTTAGGAAAAACAATTCACAAACTGAAAGCAATCATGGATCAAGGAAAAACGGAAGCCGAATGGAAGCAGGGCGACCTGCCGGCGAGCCCGACAAAGACAACAATGACGGAGGGAGACCAAGAGCTCGAATCCGAGTCCGACGAAGACGACGTGTTTGTCCAAGACGTCGAGACAACGCAAGAACTCAACTCAACCAATCCGTTTATCAACCAAGTCGAGAACGAGGGCGAGGATATGGTCGCGAAAGGACCAGGTCTCAACCCGTTCGAACCTAATCCAAGACAGGAAAACAATACGGTCATCAACCTGATCGAGATGACGTCTCAGAAGAAAGGGATTCAGGTAGACATTGAATTGGCTGCCGAATTGAACCGCGTTTTAGATAGCCATTCCAAAAGACTAAGAAACACGGAATATAACACGTTGGCACGAGAAAACGAAATCATAAACGCTCATTCGGGAATCCAAAACATGCTCGAAAGAAATCTCACACCAAAACCAATTCTGAAAAAACCGGACCTAGAGCCGTCAGAAGAGTCATCGGACGAGGAGCTCCGACACAGATACGAGAAAGAGAAGAGACATAGAGGTGTGACGCTGAACATCAAAAGAATCGCTCAAGATTACGAATCAACCGAGAGTGAACCAGAAAAGATAGACAACAAAAAAAGAGAAAGAAAAGTCATAAAAGGAAAAAGAGACAGTTACGAACACTTGGAGGAATCAGATGGAGAGTTCACTTTACCGGTCAAACCGTTCGAATTGCCGAAATTCAGTGGGAGAACCGCATCTGAGTACGAAGAGTGGAAAGAAATGTTTAACGCAGCTTATGGACGAAATAAAAGACTAATGGAAATCCAAAAGCTCATCCAACTCAAAACGCACGTCAGCGATTATGCAAAATCGGTGATCGGTGCTATTCAACTTGAAAAAGGCAACTATGAGAGAGCGTGGGAAGTCCTCGACGCCACGTTCGCCAGTAAATCAGACACGGTGGACGAATTGTTTTCGTCGTTCCTGAAAGCGACCATTAACCACAAAGATTTCACGAAAATGCTGTGCGATACAGGGAGAATCGCCGGAATCGTCGAGAATCTGAAAAACAGAGGAGTAAACGTCGACAACATTGCATTCACGAAACCATTAATCGCAAAGCTCCCAGAGAACATTCAAAGAAAAATTATGACAACAATGGAAATAAACGGGCACGACGGAACGTTTAGAACAATGTACCAATGGATCCAAAGAGAGATCGTGATTGAAAGGAATATCACAGCAAATCTAGAGAACAACGGTACGCTGAAAAAGTCGAAGGACTTTGAAGTGGGATCGGCGGATGATACAGAAATTAATCATTCTGAAATCAAAACAAACAACAAATTTCAGAACAAGAAAGGAAACAGAGCAAAGCAGTCCTCTCAGACAGAGGGTGGCCAGCCCGGGATCACTGGCTCCGACAACGACGATTGCATATTCGGTTGTACAGAACAACACCAGTACTGGAAATGTCCCAAACCGATCAAACAAAAATACTTCTACGCCAAGGAAAACAAACTATGCTACATCTGTTTCTCTAAAGAACATCGATCAGGAGCGTGTAGCTACAAAAACGGATGCAAACACTGCAAAGGCCCACACAATTCCATCTTACACGCATCATTCGAGTACATCAACAACAAACGAATGTCGGCTCAACAACAAAATGGAAATCAACAAGTTAACAGTCCACAATTCGAACAACAACAGAATACAAACATTACATGGAACGACCGAACAGGAAGACCAGAACAAACAAACGGACCTCAAAGCCAACAGCGACAACAATACCAACAAAATCAAACTGCCAACTCAGGACGCCCGCAAAATTTCAATGGACGCGGAAACGGAGACAACGCGACTCATTAGAGTCGCGTCGGACAACAAAACCGCCTCGGAAGAGGCACGAGAGGTTCCGGGGGACAAGACGGAATCTGAGGAGAGTGAAAAAGAAACCGAACAAATAGACAACCTAGGGGTAGAGACGTTCACAGTTAACTTGATGGAAGGAGAACCAAAGTCATCTATGGCGTTTATATTACTGAGAACAACAGACAATACAATCATGAAAGGTTTGTTAGATACCGGTGCCACCGGATCGTTGATTTCCAATAGAGCTGCGAAAGCCTTGAGACTGAAGAGAGTCGGAAAGAAACAAAACGTTACTGTGAAAGGCATCGGGAGCGAGAAATCATACAAAGCAAAAACGTACATGGCAGAAGTTCTAGGACCAAACGGCGAAAACATGAGAACTATGCATTTCATGTCTTACCCAGAACTAACCACTAGAATTTCAGTACCAAACCTAACTAAAAATGATTTAGTTGAAATATTACACAACAACATCGAAGTGAGAGATATTAGACAACTCCAAAACGCAGAGAAACAGCAAATCGACGTCATTATCGGTGCAAATTACTTGTGGTCCCTGTTGACCACCGCCAAAATCGTTCATTTACGAAGCGGAAAGACAGTAATTAGCACAGATATCGGTAATTTCGTCGTCCCCAGAATGGAGACACCAAACAGCGAATTCACGTGCAACGACACACTAAACAGCGAAGACTGGACGGTGAACATTTGCACGAACGACACAAGACAGGAGATTGAACAAGAAGATGAACAACAAGTTACGCAGAAACTATTAGAGAAGTTATGGCTATTGAACGTCATCGGCATTCAAACGCCAGAAATAGTCAAGGACGAGAACTCACACGACCAAGAGTTGATCGAAGAATTTAGAAATAACGTACGGTGGGAAGATGGAATGATAAAAGTCAGGTTCCCGTTCAACGGAAACGAGGCCTATCTCAACGACAACCTACCAGTAGCCATCAAAAGATTGACCACAATGATCGGAAACATGCAAAACACACCAGAAACATTACGAGAATACGATAAACAAATCAAAAAACAACTAGAGTCCGGAATTATAGAAATTTGCACAGCACCGCCCAACGGAGTCTGCTACTACATTCCGCATAGAATAGTAGAAAAACAAACGTCAAACACCACAAAATTTCGGATCGTGAACGATGGAAGTTCACACAAACGCGGAGAGATCTCGTTGAATCAATGCATTCACCCCGGTCCCTCATTGCTCGTCTCAGTGATCTCGATCAATTTGAGAACAAGACTAGCAAAATTCGTGTTAACAGCAGATATAGAAAAAGCGTACCATCAAATACGACTACAAGAAGACCAGAAAGATTGTACCAGATTCGTGTGGTTAAAAGATGTGACGAAGCCCCCTACTTCAGACAATCTGCAGACCATGCGATTCACGCGGATTCCATTCGGAATTAACGCGTCACCGTTCATTTTAGGAGCGTCGATCACACTGTACTTATACAACAAACCAGCCCCAATCAACAAAGCTATTCTTCGCAACTTGTACGTGGATAATGTATTGTTCACCACAAACAACGAAGACGAAGTAATCGAGTTACAGAAACAAGCGAAAGAAACATTTCGAGAAATGCACATGAACTTGAGAGAATTTCAGACAAACTCGCAGAAAACTACAGAAATGATCCCAGAGGAAGATAGAGCCCCGAAGAAACCAAACAAGATTCTGGGACATTATCACGATGCAGAAAAAGACACAATCACAATTGAGATTCCAGAGCCACCAGCAGGCTGGCCGAACAAAGCAGGAATTCACGCGTTTCTGGCTAAGATTTATGATCCAATGGGAATGGTGTCGCCTATCACGGTTCGGATCAAACTCTTTTCACAGTCCCTTTGGGAAACCAAAGTAGGATGGAAGTCCAAGATTCCGAAGAACACATTACCCATTTGGGAAGAGATCAAGAAACTGTTCACTCACACACAGTTCAGTATGCCTCGACAAATGACAGAGAGATACGACTACAACGCTATTAAGTTAGTCATTTTCAGCGACGCATCCAAACACCACTACGGAATCGCGGCGTACCTCCGGTACACGTTTCCCGACAACTCCTACACCTCGAGGTTACTTTTCTCGAAGTCGAAGGTAAAACCATTGAAAGATACTGAAAGATACACAATTCCGAGACTGGAACTAATGGCTCTGACGATTGCAACGAGTAACGCAGTGTTTCTCCAAGAAGCGATTCAGCCAGAGGTGAAAATACAGTCGGTAGAGCTGTTTTCAGACTCAATGGTCGCTTTAGGATGGACAACAACGGATAAGAAATTGAAAACATTTGTATCCAATTTGGTCAAGCAAATCAAAGACAACTGCAAAAAACTACAAGACAACGACAGCGATCACTGCATTCATTACTGTCCGACTGACATGAATCCAGCTGATTTGACAACAAGAGGAAAGTCAACGGAAGAACTTTTCAAATCAGATTTGTGGTTCCACGGACCAGAGTTTCTGAGAAAAGCAGAAGACACCTGGCCCCAGAAATGGACGGGATCAGCCACCATCCCCAAATTCTTGACGAAAGAAATGGAAGAGGAGATGACTGGCAAACAGAACAATCAGAATACAAAGAAAGATGAAAACGAAACAGAGCACTTAATCAACGTAGCAACGACAACAAAATCAGAACAAACCAGAGAATATGAATCGTTTGTACCATACGAAAGTACGAATTCATTGAGTAAACTCACGAGACTGGTATCAAACGTGATGAAAGCAGCGACGCTCTTCCAGAAGAAGAGTCAACACGAATGGAGGAGCCCGATCCTCAAGAAATTCGCAGAAGCCAAGACAGGCTTAGAAGGTGAGGCACAAAGGAAAAAAGCAGTATTGTACCAATTAATAACTGACCATTACAAAGACTCAACAAGTAATTTAGGAACACTTATTCCAGCAGACTACAACCCAACGATCGACAAATACGGACTTATTAGACATGGGACCAGACTCGAAAATTCGAATCTGCCCGAAGACACAAAACGACCGATCATTTTGAACAGACAACACAGATTGACAGAACTGATCACGAGAGATACACACATCAAAAATAAACACATCGGCACGGAACACATGATCACGCAACTGAGAACCAAATATTGGATCCCACAAGCTCGACAATTGATCAGAGGGATCATCAGAACTTGTCCCAACTGCCAAAGGAGACACGGAAGACCATTTAAGTACCCCACAATTCCGCCACTTCCAACGTATAGAGTACAACGATCACGACCGTTCGAACACATCGGAACCGACTACTTCGGACCACTACACTTCAATGGATTACATGGACGGAGAAAATGTTGGGTCATGATTTGTACGTGTTTAGTGACAAGAAACGTTCACTTAGAAATGGTCTCAGACAACACCACGCACGCATTCATCCTCGCGTTAAGACGATACTTTGCGAGACGAGGAGCACCGAAATCAATGGTGTTAGACAATGCGAAGACATTTAAACTCGGAGAGACAATAATCAACGGAGATATTCGAAAAATGAGTGACAATTGCGAATATTTCACCTCCTTTCTAGACAGTAACCCGATCAAATGGCGTTTCATCACGCCGTTGAGCCCGTGGAAAGGAGGAGTATACGAAAGGCTCATCGGGATCATTAAGAAACTGTTGTACAGTGAAGGATTGACAGACGACAAATCGTTCGAACAACTATTTACGATCATTACAGAAGTAGAGGCGATCGTCAATTCCAGACCGCTCATGAAAAATTCAGAAAAGTACGAAGAAGAGACAACAATTCGACCAATTGACTTTCTGCTACCAGAAGCCGCATTGGGAGTCAAACAGGTCGGCGAAGAAGTAAAAGAAAGACAAGACAACAAGATGAGTATCGTGGAAACGAGAACGAGACAACAGCTACAAGGATTGAACATAGCTTTGGAGGAACTGTGGAACAAATGGATAAATCTTTACCTGGTGCAGATGAGAGAAAGCAAAAACCAGACGAGAGCATATACAACAACAAAACCAAAAAGAGGACAGATAGTAATCATTCAAGACACACCCTATCCAAGACATAAGTGGCCATTGGGAATCATCACAGAGATATTGCCGTCGAAAGACGGAGCCATCCGTTCAGTGAGCGTACGCTGTAGAAATCAAGATCTGAAAAGATCCGTTGACCAGTTAGTGCCGCTGGAAATTGGGGAAGAAGGACAAGGAGACACAGAACACAAGAAAACTACCGTCAGCGAAAAAGATACTTTAAAAAAGACACACGACAACATAAAACCTGAAATGGAGAAACAGAACGGACCGAGCACTTTCGAACTCACGGACAAGGAAAGACTCAAAGTGACCAGAAGGATAAACCCACCCCGGAAATGCAAGAAAGTGCCACCAGTCCCGGCCCGCGGGAGTGTTGCGGACGAGGAGAGTACATAACCCTCTCCACCGCAACTCTTTCCACATTTCTCTACCAACAATTACTCTTAACCCCAGCTTTCAGATATTCGCATTTGAACTCCCGCGCACGCGCCATTTAGGAGCGTCTTGTGCGTACACTCGGCCACACACTCGCGCCCTCGCCATTGAGGAGCGTCTTGTGCGTACACTCGACCACACACTCGCGCCTCCGCACTATTTAGGAGCGTCAACGACTACGGTTGTGCGTCGACCGATGGGCCTAAATTGCTCGCCGTTCATTACATCACTTTTGCTTAGCGTTTACTGTCACCCCCCTTTTTTACCGTTTCCTTCCCTTTTTATGACCGACTTCGTGTCGCAATCGATCTGAGATACGGCTTTACCCGACTCTCGTTCGATAGACTCTATTGACCTTTTTGATAATAATTCAAACACTAAATAAATGCTTTATTATCTCTCCGCCTTCGCTTTGTACTTTACCACTCTCCGTTCGCGACACTTCCGTAATAACCTTTGTTTTTCAACCCATTCAAACGACTACATAAATATTCTTTATTTCATCGCCCATTCAATCGATCGCTTTCCCCCTCGGCCCTCCTCCATTTCCTTTGAAATGTTAGGAATATGTGAAGCGAAACACCTTATACGCTCGTTTGCTTCTGCAAACATTGAATTCACTTTGAAAATTCAAAGTCTTGAAGATGACCCGCGGCTAAATAAATTCCAATATCATATTTCTGTTCCGCGCGCCAATCTTTCGCTCGCATCTAATGTATTTCAATGCGTTGTCCTTCTTATCAGCGCATCTCCGTGTCTCTCTTCTCTTCATACTTCTATTGTGTCATTTGCAGAATGGTCGGTGACTTCCAAGTCATCGTCCAAGGATATCACGAAAGGGCTCAGGTGGCCAAACAAATAGCCGACGATGGCCGTTGGATGGAGTCAGCTGAGCAACTGCGGCAGTTGATGGCTGATGTGAGAAGTTCCAAGATCATGTTGAACAACAAGGACGAGCAGGACGGAAAAAATGTGAGTTGTTCATATCAATCAGTTCGAAAACGATAGCTCGTCTTTCAGGCATTTCTGAAAGCGCTTGAAAGCAATCTGAAGATGGTGCAACAGAATGCGAGAGATGAAGAAGATCTTCTGGAGCAGATGAACAGACAAAGCGGCAGCCCGGAGCCGCCCGCAGATCCCGATGTCTGGTCGAAGCCTTCCCCTCCTCTACAATCATTGAAATATCCAAAACGCGGGGGAAATGTGTCACGACAGCCACGAGAGATCTCAAAGTCCACGTCATCAATGAGCAGCACAGCACATACAGCCAATCCGACGGATTCGAAGCCAGCCAATTCATCACAAGGAATCCTTCCTCCGAACAGTGCCGGAGAGACATTCGATGCATCTCTATATGATACGGTAACATTTCTTTTTGTAGAACTCCATTGAAAAATTATTTTCAGTATATTGTTCAAGCGGTTCGAGGCACGATGGCAATGCACACAGAGAATACAATGTCTCTGGATGACATCATCGGAATGCACGACGTCAAGCAAGTGCTGCATGAAGCCGTAACGCTCCCGCTGCTCGTTCCCGAGTTCTTCCAAGGCCTCCGTTCTCCGTGGAAGGCCATGTGTCTAGCGGGTCCTCCGGGAACGGGCAAGACCCTCATAGCACGTGCAATCGCTTCTGAATCCAGCTCCACGTTCTTCACCGTCTCTTCTACTGACTTGTCCAGCAAATGGCGTGGAGACTCGGAAAAGATCGTTCGTCTTCTGTTCGAACTCGCCCGTTTCTATGCTCCATCGATCATTTTCATCGATGAAATTGACACTCTGGGAGGACAGAGAGGAAATTCAGGAGAGCACGAAGCGAGTCGAAGGGTCAAATCGGAGTTTCTGGTTCAGATGGACGGAGCTCAGCACAAATTCGACGAGAGAAGAGTATTTGTGCTGGCAGCTACGAACATCCCGTGGCAACTCGATGAAGCTCTCCGTCGCAGGTTCGAGAAGCGCATCTTCGTGCCGTTGCCGGATCTCGACGCCCGGAAGAAGCTGATGGTGACGTCAATGGAAGGAACGCCAGTTTCGGAGGAAATCAATTACGATGAGTTGGCCGCCAAAATCGAAGGATTCTCCGGAGCCGACGTCGTTTCTCTATGCCGGACTGCCGCCTACAATGTGCTCAGAAGGTAACAATAAGCAGAAGTGCAAGTTCGTGCTTAATCCTCCAGAGGTCTCAGGTATAATACGAAAACGTTGCGAGGCGGAGAACTGACTGCGGCGATGGAGTCTCTGAAGACGGAGCCCGTCCGCAATTGTGACTTCGAAGCCGCCCTGCAGTCCGTTTCGCCGAGTGTCGACCAGGACACGATGCTCAAGTGCAAGGAGTGGTGCGAATCGTTCGGTGCCATGTGATCCCTCACTGCTCGAAACATGTCTACGATCTCCTCACATTCTTTCATTTTTGTGTTTTTTTGTACGATAGCTGCATAATTTCTGTAAAATCATCTCCCAAGTGCCAATGTGTGTGTTTGTCGGCACATGTAAAATAAAGAAATTTTATTAGAAGTTAAAAAGAAACACGGGAATAATGGACGCAAAGAAGAGCACTATTACAACGGTAAAGCCCTTATAAAGGGGAAAATAACTACGACTAATTGGGTTAGAATGGGGGGATAAGTGCAGATGAGAAATGAAAGTTTTGTAAATGATTGGTAAACGGTAGGAAAAGATCAATAAGAAAGCAATTTGTGGAACACGATTCAATGGATGTCGGGATGGGAAACGGAATTATGGCGGATGGGAGTGGGACTGTCTTCGGGAGACGCCGCTAGACCTTCGGCTCCGACGGCGACGATGAATCCTTCGGATCTTCCTTCAGAAGCGGAGTGTTCTCCGTCAGATTGGAAGTCGAGTTGTGTGGAGACGGGCGGATTACCTGCAAGGGAACTAGAGGTTCTGAAGGATCGGAAAAGACGTGCACTCACCTTGATCATGATCGGATCGTCGTCATCTTCCGGCTGCTCTATCGGAGCATCTCGACTCGTCGACGGATCTGAACCGGGCACATCTCTGACGAGCGAATTCTTCGAATCGGCCGACGAAATGTGCTTCCACATGCCGCTGTTGTTCAGTTCCTTCGTTAAATTAATTGAATGCGACGGCTCCTGAATTGCGGCCAACGGAATCTTGATAACATTTCCCGAAGCCATCGGAATGTGGAGATGAGCTTCCGTCTTGACGGCGTGGATCGTCGCCTGATTCTCATTGTCAAATTCGATTTCCACTGCTTCACCCTGTAAATAGAAGAATTGATGACATCGAAGATCGATTCAGTTCGTTACCTCGCTCTGTCTTCTCTTCGCGTCTTCCTTCTTTCTGAGATGGAAATCCGGCATCGGATCATCGAGATACTTAAGATCGGTGGTGGTGAACGCCTTTTCCATTCCCTTTCTGATGGCAACCATCACAACCAACTGAAATAGAACACCCGATGAAAAATCTTCTCGTCAAAAGACGAGTCTTACCATAATTGGGAATAAAATCGAGGTGGACTTGATGGATTTGATGACCCAGAGAAGGGCCAAACATCCGATCTGGAAGGCAGTGAAAAGGTGAATCTTTTTGATTGGAACGTGGCGAATGTAGATGGTGTCCGGTTGATATTTCATCGGCATGAACAGAAGAAGAGTTCTTTCGTAGAGCTGGATGCCGCCGAGAGCGGAAATGCCCATGTAGAGGAAGACTCCGTAAAGGACGGGCATCGGAATGCGGCCGAGGACGTTCGTGGCGAGGACGGAGAGACCGATGATGAGGAAGGTGACGATACCGGTGACACGTTGCTCACGGACTCCCACGAACTGCGCCACTTCTCCCGGTGCTTTGCACTCGGATTCCACTTTCAGAGAATTGATGTGATTGATGGAAAGGACGGTGGCGGCGACGTAGATCGGAAGGCCGAGGAAGCCGACCATCAGGATAGAGACGGAGAGAACGAGAAGGTCCAGATGGTATCCGCAGCCTTTTTTCAGTTTGTTCTCTTTGCGATTCACGATGACAGTGGTGATCTGCTGGTCCATAAAGATCAGAATGCAGGCGAGAAGGGCGGGGATCAGGGCGAGTGGGGCGGTCCACCATTCATTTTCAGCGAACGGCGGAATGAACCATCCACGTCCTTCCCAGGTTGGCTGAAATGGAAAAATGATTGAATGAATGGCTAGGAGGGATTCTTACTCTGAACGTGCTCGGGACATTGAGTTTCGGGGTGTTCACTCCAACGGTGATATCGACCAATGTCATGGAGAAAATGGCGATCATAACGGCGAAATCGGAGAGAAGCTGACGAACGCGAGACGGGAAGTAACACGAGTTACGCATCTTCTTGAGGGTGGTGGCAAGGAAGAAGGTTCCCACGGTCAGAAGGATCGACATGAGCAGCTTGTCGTAGAGCGGGAAGCAGGTTGTTCCGTCGAAAGAGCCTCCGATCGAACGACAGTCGGAGAGGTTGGCGGCCGAATAATCGATGAAGGTGTCGTTGAAAGCGATCGGAAGTCCGGAGCTCTTGATGACAAGACGGGCATGGTCCGGAGAAACACTTGCTGAAAATAAAAACTGTTTAATGAGGAAGAACAGAGAGAACTCACGCTTTCCGACGGGCGGCACGCACGCGCAGAAGCCTCCTTCGACGAAATCGCGCGAGTAATTGATCATGTCGAGTTGTCCCTTGATCTTCACCAACTTCATGATGGCCTCGTAAATGAAGATGACAGCGATGAGAGTGGCGAAAGATTCCTCGGTGAAACGGGTGATGAACGAGACGAGCGAGGACGCGTCGGTGACGACCATTACGAATATAATGAAGGCAGTCCAGATGTGAACCCAGACACGGAAACTCAGATAGTTAATCTTGAAACGATGGCAGAAGTCGAAGACAATGGTCTCGAAAACAAGCACGGGACCAGTGGATCCGACGATTGTAAGTGGCTGTCCGGCGAAGAAGTGGTAGATGACTCCGCAGAGAGCTCCTCCGAAAAGGTTCTCCATGGCCGCCATTCTCTGATGAGTCGCTTCCTCGAGCAGTCCTCCGAAGGTGACGATCGGTGCGAGCAATCCGAAGTACATGAAGCAGATGGAGGCGAGGCACTGGATGTTGAACGCGTCGGTGAAATCGGAAACGAAGTGGGGAGCCTTTCTTTTGATGTCCAGAATGAGTCCTCCGAACATCTTTCCGGTTCTTTTCAGTGCCGGATCGTTGCCGTGCGAATGCTCGTCTTCCTCTTCGATCACCTTTTTGACACTCTTATGAGTGGAGGGCTCCACGAGCAGCTCCTTTCCAATCTGCTTTCTTTTCTCTTGGGACGGCAGCTTCGTCGGTGGTTCGATACGAATGTTCGGGTCCCATTCACCGGGTGGCAAAACTGTCACTTGATCCAAGAATTCGTCGATTCCATCGAGAAGATCATCAACATCACGGGCTCCGTAGGCGACGTCGTGGAAGATTTCATCGGCCATCAGGGTGGCGATGGCTCTTCCGATCTCTCTGTACTGCTGACCATGTCCAGTTGGGCCGAGGAGCAGGAAAATGAATCTGGTAGGGACTGGAACTTCAGTCAGATCGCCCAGCTGGTTCGCGTTCTTCAGACGGATGAAGCAGCAAATGTGGCGAGTAAGGAAGTCAACTTCTCCTATGAGCACGTTGCTGGCTTCTACTCCAGATGGGAGCTTCTTCAGGAAATGAAGGTTCCCCTTGGAGGCTTCGTCGCTGGAGATGTCTTTCGGAACTGATTCCACCTGAAATGTTAGAAGATAACGCACATCTAAAGTTCTAACTGACCGTCGGAAGTGTGAGCTGATTGGCGGAACCAGCTGGCGCCCCGGAAGTCTGAGTTCCGACCGGTCCTTCTGGTTTCTCCTCGATTTTACCCAGATTCTTTCCATGGGAAAATGATTTTCCAATGTCGGAAATCGAGCGGACAGTGCTGAGAAATCCACTTTTTTCTCCGCCGGCTCCGTTTTTCTTGGCCTGAAAAGGATAAATCTCTCTCTTTCTCTCGTTTCTTGCGGACATTGCAAAATCATTCATCATTATCAATAACAAAAAAACGCAGAAATCAAACAATCGGTCTTGTCTCGCCCTTCATTTTTTCTCCAACCATTACAAAATTTTGTGAAAGGGTAAATAGAGGAGAGATACTTGCGTGCTCCGCGGACAATGGTTTTTCGATCGCTTCACGTCATGACTTCTCGGAACAGAGGAGCAGGCTGATAAGGGAGCATCAGCTGGCGCCGCCATGATCAGCAGCCTTCTTTTAGATTACGATCATTGTGGCACGTTTGCACGCAAGGAAACTAAGAGCAAAGAGCAAATAGCACGCGGCAATTTTGCAGAGGGATCTCGAGAGAGCACGTCCCACTGGCAAGCGGAACAAAATAATTGGAATTTTGAATCCTGCTTTTTGAGCTTGATCACTAGGCTATTTGTAGGGCTTTCGCACATTTTTACGCTCTCTGCTCCCATTTCAGATTCCAATTCGCTATCACAACGTGCTGATAAAAGATTGGCAACATCAAGAAATGCCGCTTATGGCCGTCTTTCACCTTATCGCTCGAAAAAACAATGGAGTGAGATTGGTAAAACAGAAGAGTTGGTTGGTTGGTTATGGCAAAGATCACATCAGGCACACGAAGGGAAAGACCTGCGGCGACAGAGAGTGACTTGAAAGGCTTGAGGTGCGCGACGTGGATGGGCTCGAGGCGGCCGCCACTAAGTCGTCAAACCAGCGAGAGATGGCCCAGAAGGGCGGCTACAAAGCGGAACAAATCACTCTACTGTTGAGTTGTTACAAGGAAGGAATGTAGTAGAAGCGGTAAGGGGCATTCCACGTGGGAACCGGTCGCCTACCTGCTCGTACTGGTGGACGTGTTTGCGGAGAAGAATTTCGCGGAGTTCTTCGCGATTCTCTGCCTCCAGGTCACCACTTCTGACGAGGTTCTCGATGACGGCATCTGAAAGTAAGGCAGATTAAACCGAAATGAAAAAGTCAAAAACTCACTGAAAATGGATGGAATGTCACTTTCGGCCAGATCATTCAAGAACAGTCCGTTCATAATACAGCTTCTGAGCTGGAAAAGAGAATGAAGCGAAAGCGTGGCGACGTGCGGCTTCGACCATCTGTTTCCGCCCTGCTCAACGTCTTCTTCGAACTTGACCCATCTGGCTGTTTCTCTCCATTCGTCGTTGTTTAATTCTCCCATTTCGGTGAACAGAGCTGGAGTGTTCTCCTTTTCTTTCAGCAGGAACATCACCCTTGTGCCCGGAGCTGAAAATGTTCGAATTAAGATTACTATCGCCCAATTTTAGATGGCTTTTACAGAAGTGGTCCTCATTTCTCTTGCTAAGGCGAGTGATGTGTTCACAACTTGCGCAGTTTTGCATTTTCGACGACTGACGAGCATAGAATCGTAGTAGAAAGTAGTATGAAGGTGTGATACGTACGACCACACTCGGAAAGAACCGAGTGCGAAGTATTAACACACCCGCCGCTTATCGCTTCTTTCAAGACCGATTACGATTGCAAATTTTGTTGATTGATGGTGGATGAAGGCGGCCAATACCATTTTTGGCATTCTCGATGCCAATTTCGGACTGAAGAGCCCGAGATGACAGCTAAGCGTATTATAGTAAAGAACAGTCCCGACAACTAAAATATGTGGCGTGGTTCTTCACCGTCACCAGTTTTTTTCCGGAGCAGAAGTGTGTACGTCAAACTTTGGAAGTAGTTCTGAGCGGTTTTATGACCTCATTGTGGGCATTTCATGAAAGCGTAATGAAGCTCCATTCTAGTCAATGTTAGAGTAATTCCGCACTTTCTTAATCGATAATCAGATGCCACATCTGACAATGACTCTTTTATGACTTTTCCCAGTATGTTTTTCGTACCTCCACATCCCCTTATTATTTTCCTTGTTTTTCTACCTAATTACTTTTTTAGTTTAGCGCTTCTTCCCACATCTTCAATGTTTCCGGCACAAGAAGCGCTGAACAGTTGTTGTGGACGAAGAAAATGCGCGGCGCGTGCCAATCGTCTTGTGCCTCGTCTTCAGTAGTCCCTGCTCTCCTCGCCCAACTTCTGGACCCTTTTCTCTCATCAGTGGCATAGGCTCTCCGAGTCAGACAGCGTGTAATTGGGAGAGTCCGCAGCATCGGAGCCGGCTACCTACTACGCGAATGCTTTTTGTGCTTTCTGCGTGTGCGCGCGTCGTGGAGGCCCCCGGAGCACACGCTGTTGTGTACGCCGTGCACCCGCCTATCCGGGGCTCATCCGCTCGAAGGGAAGAAGAAAAAGAAGAGGAAGGAGAGGAAGACGACGACGACGAAGCCGATGAGCAACCCGCTGCTCTTCATGTCTCCGTCTCTTCGATTGAGCATTGAGCATTGGAACTGGAAGTTTTGAATCGCCTGAATTTCACGTGCTCTTTCTTCTCCCAGCTCTTCGGCGTCTTGTCGCGAGAGATGAGTTAACCGAGTGGAAGACGGAAAACGAGTGCATTTCGGAGCGATGAAAAGGATTCAATGGAATAGATAATTGCGGACCTTGAAAGCATTACTTCTTTGCTGCAATTGGCTATCTAACGAAGGCTTCCGTGTGAACATAAACAATTCTCCGACTACTATGTATACCTCTTCAGCTGGCCACGGTTAGCGTTCAGGCGAAGAGAGCTCGCCCGACCAGAAATCCCCCCTTCGAGCTTCAAGACCAAACCACCAAAATGGTGTTGCCTAGGTGACGAAAAAGCGAACTAGTGTTTGCGTTTGAAAAGCAATCAACTAGATAATAACGTAGGGAATTTCCCGCCAATTCTCTAATCTCTATGTGCTCTTTTTCGAAAAGAGCAACGCGATCATCTGTCATCACGTCATTCGGATGGCATCTTCTGTCTCCTTAATTTGCTTTCCCTATTTCACCAGATCATCCATCAACGCAGAGGAAAACACTTTCCCGAACGCTATTTCAAACACGAAAAGCCATACATCGTTCGTCTAGTTAACCCGACGGGACGTAGGGAAATGAACCACTTCTGCCGAATCCACCGATAGTTGTGAAGAAAGACTCACCGAGGGAGGAGAGCTCGATGCTCTGCGACTCGCGACGCGCCTTCGACATTCGACGTCTTCTGGAACTTTCGACATGAACTCCCATGGACATCCACAAGGAACCGCGCGATTCACGACTACGTCCGGTTGATCCGGGAGGTTCGCAAGATCGGGACCGCGCGATTCGCGACGGTGATTCTTCGTCGGGCTCGTTCATTTCGGAATTGTTAGGAGGGATAATTCGGTCCAGTTTGGATTGGGGAGAATGAGGGGATATTTGAGAAGGGAACCAAGAGGGGCGTGTAAGAGAGAAGGGGCGGGGGTGGCTTCAAGGCTAACGCCGCCAGAATCAATAGACGTGTGCTTACCTCTGCGTCTCGCCAATCGAGATGCTCCATCTGAGCACGCCTTCTATTTAATTCGACTACGCTAGATTCTTTCTGTTTTCTTTATTCTCCACTCTGAACCGAATTGAGCCGCCCCTTCCAATTCCATTACCAGCAGCCAAATGAATGGAAGCAAGCCGTCCGAGAAGTCCGTTTTTCTACAGGTAGCACGCGATTGACGGCCTTCTCCTCGGAATAACAAAGCCGCCACTTCTGTTTCTTCTATTTTTCACAGGTATTGCTTGTAAGGCTGTTGAGATTATGTTGAGATTATGTTGAGATTTTGCAAGAATCGACAAAAAGCTAGCTAGAAGCTTGTTTAAAAACTTCAATAACTCTCTCACTCTCTCAATGTTCAATTTGTCCTTTACAATAGTGCGATTCGATTGCTTACACAAACTATTGTTAGGCTCTCACTCTCTCTATCCGTGAAACTGACCACATGGAATTTCTCTTTTTCTTTCTAGATCAATCGTGTGCACTTTCCTGTGAAAACGTGAGAAACGAGAAGTAAACGGCATTGCTTTTTCTTTCGAATACCTCCGTATTTATTATAGGGGCACCGGACAGAAAGGGCGCGCTGTTCGCAATCTGGCAGAATTTCTAGGCCGCGAAGTAATTTTCCACTGAAAACGTGGCCTAACTTTTCAAACTCGACCCCGAGGTCGCTCAATTTGCACTGCAAAAAGAGTTTCTCAACAGAGCGCCATTTCTGTGCGGTGCCCCTATAATATTTGCGCATCTACTGTTTTGAACTGAGGAAAAGCAAAAACTCACACAGAATGCGTCATTTTCGACTAGCTCAATGAGACGTTGACGGTGAAATTGGGTGCGGTGGAAGTTGCTGTCAGAAAAGATGAAGCATCCAGAAAGTACCTGCAGGAAGAAAATCAAAAATTCATATGGTGGCGGTGGAAGTGGGAGGGCCTGAGAGAAGCGGAGTGACAGAGCAGAAGAGGGTGAGGAGGAGACACTAAAAGTTGTCGGAAGGAGGAAAAGGAGGCGGGGGAGGAGGAGCATGGAAAGTCGGTCGGTCCCCAGACAGCTGGTGGTACTCATGGCCAAACTCTCCCTTTCCCTCCCACAGGTCATGTTTTATGAGTCTCCCCGTGGCACCGCACACATCAGGCGTGTCTGGCACCACCGTGCGCATTGTTCAAATGCCCATTTGCCAAGTTTTAACAGCCCATTCAATGTATGCAGCTCTTTCTGTGTACCTTTTGACTTGCTGATCGAATTTCAACTCAACTTTTACTGTCCAAGCAGTATTTCAAGTGGATCCGAGCGACTGTCTTTTATAAGAAAATATGTCTTCGAGGAGTAATTCGATTTTGTCTCAGCGAGGAGCCGAGTGTCGAATTTCAGCGTGCTCGCGTGAGAGAAACCGCGCCGCCCAAGTTTTGAGCCGAAAATATCAACAAGCGGCAAAAAAAGAAGAAAACTGTGATTTTTGGAGACCTCGGCAGCACGGAGAGCTCGAGCTCAGTTAGTAATCAGTTTGATTGCAAAACGGAGAAACGCGTGGGAATGAACACACGAAAACAGAGGAAAAACTGACGTTTTCGGCTAAAAATCGTATTTGGCAAAATGACGTGACCTGGCGTAATATTTGTGATGCGCCTTTAAACGGTAAGGTTTAAAATTACAATAACTGCAGTGTTTTGTGTTAAAAAAAAGAGCCAAATGATTAATTGATGAGAACCATCAGTTATGCACATTTGAAATAGAATTGGACGTTCATTCCACTGTTTACAGAAAATGCACAGAAATTATGGAGCGTTAAATATAGAAATAGTAACAACTTTCAGAATGTTTTAACCGAATTTCCCAGCTTTTATGTTTGCCATTCTTCGGAAAGTTTTCCTAATCCTTCTCCGACTACGATAATCCCTCGGCAATAATTCATTTGAGTGAAAAAGGGAAAAAGTTAAGAAAGCAACGGATTGGTCGTAGCGAAAGCAAGAGAAAATGGTAAAAAAAAGAATGGAACCCAAAGAACTGTCTTTTTTTAAAGGTTCAGTTCTCAAAACGAACAAAAGCAGTAATAGTGACCGCGCGAAAGTGGACCGAATGTAAACTGTTTGCCGAGCTGCATAAATATTTATCTCGGGGGCTTCTCCCTTTCATTCAGTCGGTTTCTTGGGTCTTACTCGCGCGGTTTTCACTTTGACCCGAGTGATAAGAGAGAGCAGAGAAAGTGAGGAAAAGCGGATGGCATTTGGGCGGGTACCTGCTCGGAGACAAACTATTACAACGAGGCCTCGACGGCGAGCCGGATGACAACAGTAGGCCCCGCCCTTTCGGATACAATCAGAGATCAGAAAGGGGGAAAGTGCAGAAGGAGCATGGACCAACACGAAAACACGGATGACGTGGCAGAGCCAGAGTTCGGACGGATGGAAATAAGCGGAGAGAAGAAGCTGGAGAAGAAAAAGGGCGGAAAGAAGGAGAAGAAGAAGAAGAAGATGGGGCACTTGCGAGGAAGCGAATGGGAGGTGTGGGAACACGAAACTGAGAGCACTCGTCAGAATTCTGATGAATGGGCCGATGGAGACGGACCGAACGCACGTACCTCGTGAGCATTGTAATCATTTCACAATCACACTCCGAAGTATCGAGAACAATTTATCGAAAACTTTATTTTTTATCGATATGCGCTCAGGTGAGCAGTCTAGACTTCTGTGAGAGCCCGCATGATTCAGAATTTTCAAGTAACCTATAATTTCTAAATGTGTTTTAGTTGAAATACAATTTTCGACCGACGAACGATTATATCCTTTAATGCACATTTTCGTGGCGAGACCTATTTGTACGGGCTTTTCGTAGGAAAGAGAAGAAAAGGAGGTCCGTTGCCGCCGACTCCTTCCGATTGACGTGCCCATAACTTTTCGCTTCCTTCGCTGCTCTCTTCGCGAGGCTCCGCCCTCTTCAAAGTTTCACCTCTCTACGTCATCGGCTCAGAAGAGAAGAAGGAGCAGAAGAAAAAGACGAAGATTTGAAAAGGAAAGGGAGGGGCTCAAAACGTATCCAAGATTTTGAAGACTTTCACTTTCACGAGAAAAAAGTCGTCGAAATCTCGTGGGACGGGCCGTCGCTGCCAACTCTCTAATGCGTTTCTCATCCACAAGAAGACATACTAGCCACAAATCGGCACACTGCCGCCTCGAAGTTTATTGTTTAGACAGGAAGAGAAAGACTTAGTAAATACATCGGAATGAACCGAAGAGCGAATGAGAATCGGGATAACAGACTGCCTGAAATAATTGAAGTTGAACGTGATATGGGTGAGCAAAATGATACAAAACGGGCAAATTTAGTAGAAGGTTATCCCGCATGCAACGGGAAATCGGGACGTCGGGACGTATTCCTAATTCTCGACGTATCCGGTCCCTTGAAATACTGGTGATCCAGAGCTTCTTTCGCACTCAACCGACTCTCCGGGTTCAGCTGCATGAGCTCTTCCAGAAGATCCAGAGCGGCTTCGGAGGCGTTGTCAACAGCGTCATCGATTCTGGAATGTTCTGGACCTTCCAGAACGATGTTCTGCATTTCAGGAAGGTTGTTAAAATCCGGCCAATCTTCTTCGTCCGGAACACCGAAGACGTTGATGATTTGGTTAATCTGTAGAGAGCAAATGGAGCTGATCAGGTTTCAGTCATTTACCATTCCGATCTGTCCTTGGCTCCTGAACAGAGAATAGCGACGGTACATCTCGGCTAAGACGCATCCGACGGCCCAAATGTCGACGGATGTGGTGTAGGTCGTTGATCCGAGAAGGATTTCGAGCGGACGGAACCAGAGGGTCATCATGTGCGGAGTCATTCTCGGACTGGGCACGCGACGGGCCAGTCCGAAGTCGCCGAGTTTCAGATTGTCTCCGTCGTCGATCAGCAGGTTCTCTGGCTGGAAGAGGCTCCATGAGTGCTTCCAGAATGCTTGCTCACCTTGATATCTCGGTGAATATAGTTGTTTTCGTGAAGGTACGCGAGCCCGAGCAGCATGTGCTTCGTGAACTTCTGGATTCGAGCTGGCGGGATCGGCTCTTTCGCGATGAGCTGCTGCAGATCGAACTGGCATCTCTCCATCACAATCACCTCCCGCAGTTCCATATCTGCGAAGCTGTCTATGAACTGGACGATGTGCGCGTGCGATATCTGCGAGTGCACTTCGATCTCCGGGATCGCAACTTTAGGCAGCCGATTTCTTTTCATGATGACCTGGAAGTTTCGATTGTCTGAAATGAGATTGGAAACTGGCAGACCGGCACTTTCGTTTCCACCACTTCTCCTTCGTAAACGTCAGAATTTTGACTATCCGAGTTTATGCACACGATAGCCTTGTATTTTTTGTATTTTTCCAATGGATTTTCCATTCTGAAACAGTTAGAAGATGGAGTTGAGAATATCGGAATGCAAGTATTGGATTGGTGATGACACCTACTGGGTTTCCTTAAATAGAATAATATATTCACAGGATGCTTTATTACAGGGACTATAATATTCCGAACAAGAAAAAGAGCACCGTGAATTTCGTCGGAACGGGAATTCGTCAAGGTTAGCATGAACAACGGAAAGAAGAGGCACGTGTGTCTGAAAGAAACGGGAAATTGATTATTTGAACAGTGATTGAAATGATGTTTAGAATAGAAAGTAAAACAAGGGGCAGCTTCAGACTGAAAATTGATTCTCGAGGAAACAGAGAAACAAAGAGAAGTTCGGCTAGACATGACATAGACAGCAACTTCGGAACTAGAACAAAGTAAGAAGTTCACTGCCGCGGATCGGACTTGTCAAAGCCATTCGGCCCACCTCCTCTTCTGTTTGCCGACTGAAATTCATCTGATTCTAAACGTAGCACTTCTCAACCCTTACCCTCATGTGGGACTTGTTTCCTCTCGAAGCGAATCCTCCCATGAAGAAGCTCGATCTTGTGGCTGAGTTGTCTCTTTGCTGTAATTCCGGAGACGGCGCTACTGGTGGCGCTGGAGGGGTTATTTGCCGCGATGGGACGGTCGGAGGGGTTGGAATGTTCTGCATCAACTGTGGGAATTGCATGCACGGAGCCCATCCCGTTTGCGGGTTTTGGTAATGTGACACTGGCACATTGTAGTACTGCATGTTCTGTGGTTGGTGCACGTACCCATGGCCGGACTGATTCTGGAAACAGTTGTTGGCCGCAGATGGGAACCGATTTCCGTTTGGTATCACTGGTGGGACCACGTTCGATGGCTGCGTAAGCGACTGTGAATTCGGCCGGACAGAATGCCATTTCTGTCCCGGATGTTGAGCATTTGGCGGCTTACTGAAACTGCCGCTCTTCAGTTCCTCGCCCATTTTTTTGACCTTTAATTTTTTCTGAACGAGATGAGCTGCTTGCTGCGATTGAAACTCACAGTCTTCTGCTGCACCTGTTTCTCTGACGGCTGCGACTTTTGCGGTTTGTTCGGTTTTCCGTGCGGCTCGTATTCTTTCAAGAAGTAATTCGGCATCTCTACTGCGACGAAATTGTTTCGCAAGTGTTCCGTTCTGAGCAAGTCTCGAGCCACTTTCAGCATTTTCTAAATCAAAGCGTGAAGCTGCTTGAGAAATGAGGCAAAATAATACCACGTGCAAATGAGAAGTGTTCTGTCCGAACTGTTGCGGATCATGAATTCCTTGAAGGAAGAAGTGCATAAACTGATGTCGAAGCCGAAGGAATTGCGTAAGCGTCTGCAAGTATTAGAATTCACTGCTCTCCTCTGTGTATTGAGTTTGTTTAATATACTAGAAACAGTGTACCATCACATTCAAACTCGTATTTCTCCTTTTCAAAGTGCTCATTCTGAAAATTCTGTGACCGCGGCCGTGTTTTACATCGCAATGGGGCGCGATTTCAACAACTCGAATGTCGCGGGCGCTTTTTCTCGTGTTGGATATCAGGCGAATAGCCGAGTGCGTCTTGCCACTTCACTCGCTGAATTGTTGTGTGCGCGACAACACTCTGAGACTTTCATTCGCGCGTACTCTCTCTCTCTTCTCTCTCGCCGTCTCGTTCTTCTTCCCCACTTGTCGTTTCCACTCGCTCACATTCGCATTCGAATCGATTTCGACCCGACAATGACGAGTCCCACAAAATATATCGTTATTGAAGTATCGGAGAAAGAAAATGCGCTCGACATCGTGAACATTTTGGTGAGTGAACAATTCTACTGCTGTTATTAAATAAAATCTCATTGGCAGATGACACATACGAATGCTCGTTTCACAATCACAAACGATATCTGCGAGTATGCGAACGAAAGGAAACATCTGAGTAAAGCGACGCATTGCACGAACGATCAGAAGCAACCCGAAATTCCGAATACGTACGGTGAGTCGAAATTCTCGACGACTGAAGTAGTAGTCGGTAGATTACAGATGAACCAATGTCGGATGGTACCGATATTCTGGAGGTTCCACCGTTAAACGATACGCCCTGAATGCTCCGATTCGTGTGGAACCGCAAGGCATAATCGAAATACCACCGCCGATCGACACGACAGGTCTTTTAGAAGCAAAGTCCGAGAATATGAATGTGCAACAACGGTACAACTCGTTTTACGAACCGTCTACGATGTATGGAGGTGCAAACTATGTGCAAAGTGGCGTGAAGAACCAGTCAAACGACATGGGCTATCAACCGAACGAGTACGATTACGAATGGGAAGAAAGTGCATCTGAGCCATCGTCATCATCTGCCCGGACACTCAAAAATCGTGCAAAAGGCGGCGGACGGAACAAGGAGACTCCGTATTCGAGAGCAAATTTGGTGCAAACATTCGAATGCGCGGTGTGCAAAAACAAAATCAAGACCCTTCAATCCGATTGGCACAAAAGAAGCGCCCACGCAATCATTCACACCAATCTCATGAGGTACGTTTGTCCGTTCAAAGGGTGTGGTTTCAAGAACCGTCACCGCTCGAATGTGGCTATTCATGCAAAAACGGTACACAAAATGACCGGGACGATCCGCATCAAAGAATGCCTTCTGCCGCACGAGGAAGAGATTCTCAATCAAATGGTCATCGAGTGCTTCCCAGAAATGGACAAGGCGAGAATCAAGAAAAAATCGGTGAGGAAATCGCGTGGGAACGAAGAAGAGAGCGACGAAGATGACTTTTTGGAGGAGCCCAATGAGGAGTGAACTATTGTCATTTTGAATCCACTAACCTTTCTTCCTGTTCTTACACCATACCACGCATCGAGTTCATAAGTGATTGAACTTGTGTCGAAGGCACTTCGTTCCTTATTTTCTAGTTTCTCCTCATTTTCGTGTACTGAAATAAAATTTTTGAATGTGAAAATGAGGTATTATTACCAATCTGATAGTCCTCGACATCCTGCTCGGTCATTCGGATCGGGCCAGTGAACAGAAGCGCCGTAATGGAAGGGATCACAGTGATCAACTTCATCGATAGCGAAAGGTCCGATGGTATCTGGACGAGTTCTTGAAAGGCGACGAACTCCAAACGGGCGTCCAGTTTCGCCTGTTTATTCATTTTCAGAACTTGCTTCTTGACCATCGAAGACGGATGCAATGAAGCGGGTCTGTCGTTGCTGAAACAAGACAATTTTTCATTTCTAAACCTCCTCTTCTCCAGATTACAAAGTCTGGATCTTCTTCAGTCTCTGATCGGCCGAGCTCACTCCGATCGATGGATAACATCCGGCTGCAATGGCCGCCTGAACCATCGGCCAGCAATCCGAATGTCTGTTGAATGCCATGTCGGTGAACGCTGTCGTCAGATCCCTTTCTTGAGGAACACTGATTAGTTTGGCACGCGCGAGCTCTTGGAGCAACTGTCGACGAGTTCCCACAACCATTCTCATCGTCGAGTAATTCAGATAGTTTTCACGACAGAAATGATGTTGTTGCTGTGCAGACTTGACCACAAAAGCGCTGCAGAGACGAATGAGCATAAGATGGTCGGAGAAGTCGGAGAGAGCCACCAAAGCCTTTCTGCGGGTCTGTTCCTCGCGACTTTCCAGAGAAGTCAAAATGACTGAAAAGAGATGAACGATTGATCGAAAAGGAATGGCGTGGGCTCACATGGATCTCTGTTTGCGAGCATTGCAACCAAGTTGACAATTGGGGTAAAACACTTGAGCGCCAGTCCAAAAATGAGCATTCTGGACAGCTGCGGATCCAGCGGAAGCCGTGCCATTAGTCGTCCCAAATCAGTCAGGTCCGGATCCTTTTCTTCGTCGTCCGGCTCATAGTTACTTCCCGACTTAAACTTGTTCGGTGCATAAAACGCTCCGATCTGTTCGAGGAATTGCATTGACTGCTCGATGGACTCTTCGGATGGCGGCTCGGGAGCCAACGAAAGGAAATCGGAAATGCTGGTTTTGTGGGGAGCGAACAGTTTCGCGTGCAAGGTCACATCGTAAATGGCCGCCCGTTTCATCTCGGCCAGCTGTGTCTCCAGCATTTCGTTGTATTCGCTTTCCGAAAACAAACGGATGCAGTATCCGTTGGTAACTCGTCCCGCCCGTCCGGATCTCTGCTGCGCATTGCTTCTGGCAATCGGAGTCACTGCCAAAGTGCTCAATTTCGCCTCGTGGTTGTACGATTTCTCCTTGACCTTTCCAGTATCCACTACAAAAATGACGTCTTCGATGGTAATGGAAGCTTCCGCTATGTTCGTGGCGAGAATCTGAGCGAAAGTATGAGCTCACAAATAGAAAAGCGCGCTCACAATCTTCCGAGTGTCAACGCTGACAGATCTAAAGACCTGTCCGGGATCAATACACGTCATTTGGGAGTGCAGCGGAATCACGAGCACGTCTTTAATATTCTTCAGCGCATGCTTCCACTGATCGATCTGAAACCTCTCTTTCGTTTTCTCTTTTTATCCGGTGTCGCTTACCCGGTTCATCATTTCCTGAATATCATCGTATCCCGGAAGAAAGACGAGAATCGATCCGAATACCGGACTGTCAGCCAGGTACTTGATGACGTGGTCGACCAGATGATGGTTTATCGTATTCTTGAAGTCGTCTCCGTAGAAAAGATGATACTTCTCCGCTAGTCTCAACTTTTCGAAATCGACGCTTTCGACTTTCTCGTTGACATGCGGATGATAATAAACTGGTCCGTCCGGCAGAACATTTTTCAATTCCTCTCGGAACTTCTTCTCGAGCAACTGAGCCATTTCTTGCTTTTCCTGAACACGTTTTATTTAGAAACGACACGAGACTCAGCCAGTCGGTCACTTACTCCAAACCCGAATCCATCGTAATCTACGAGTCTTCCCAGACCGCTCTTCGTGGAAGAAGGTGTTTGAACCGGTTCGGGAGACAGTGGAGGTGGAGGAATGACGATCGGAGGGATCCGCCCATGGGAAGTGATCTCGGTCGGACGCTGACTTTTGGGGACTGTCGGATGGAAGTCGATCATCATTGGACGGAAATCTGGGTGACCAACCGCACGCATGAAATCGTCCATGACAGAACCGGGGATTACATCGCCCTCCAAAGTCCGGTATTCTCCGGATTCCCACTGTCTGATCGCAGGCTCAGATCTGAAAATGATTTTTTGACGTATTATGAAGTTGACATACACAGTAATGGGCGGTGCGTAAATCGGATCAGTTTCCATCATATTTGTTTGCTGCTGCACGAGCACCGATTCGTCGATCTTCTGTTTTTTTTGTTGCTCTTTGATCTCTTTGATATCTTCTTTCCAATCGGATATTTCGAATTTGAGCGGAACAAAGAAGCTGCGAGCGACGGGCGGTTCGTATCCAGACATGGCCAGAATTTGATCGAGCCAGAAGATTTTGACGTCGAAAGTGCGGGATTCGATGCGGATGACGTCCACTTTCTGCTTTTCGAAGTACTTTGCGAACATTTGCATACTTCCCTCGATTGTGGCGGACATCAGAATCACTTTGAGATCCGGACGCTTGTGCAGACACTGACGGATTGCGATGAGCAGATAGTCCGTGTTGATCTCTCTTTCATGGATCTCGTCCATGATGATGTGCGTTATTCCAGAAGCGACAGGATCCGCAGTCAGCATTCTGAGGAGCACTCCAGTTGTACAATATGTCAAAAGCGTTCTGTCGCTCTGCCTGAAAATGTGAAAATACAGCTGAACACTTCCTTCCAACGACGACTCACTTGCTTTCCAGTCTGACCTGAAAACCAACAGTGTCTCCGTGGGGTTCTCCTCTCTCTTTAGCCACTCTCTCCGATATTGCCATAGCCGCAATTCGCCGTGGCTGCGTGACCATAATCCGAACGGGATCCTTTTTTTCGTGCGCTTCTTCGAGAATGAACTGCGGCACCTGTGTCGTCTTTCCGCATCCCGTTCCTCCGCTGATAATCACCACTTGATGCTTTCTGATGGAAGCCAGAACTTGCTCTCTGTACTTCGTAGTTGGCAGTTTGTTTCTGAAAACATACCGTTCTTCAATTGCTTTCGTTTTTGACTCACTTGGAAATTCTCATTGCTTTCGGGCATTTCGATTTTGGTGGGATCGCAGATCTCTGCCTCGATGATCCACTTTTCGGTTGATACAATTTCGTCGGTTTTTCAGTTAGAAAGTGCTTAACATCAGACTTCCGAATTGGATTTTGGGTGTTGAATTGGAATAGCGACGCGAAACTCGATGACACCGGAACGATCGGATCAGTCAGAGTGAGAGTTGATCGCGTCAGTTTCGTATTCCGTAGAGAGATCACAATGTGTCTGTGCGGTTCTTTTCCGTAACTTTTCGTGACGAGACCATGGCTCTTGGCGACGTCATGCAACACTTTCCGCAGATCTCTGGACATTTCTGGAAGGATTTCGCTGGTCTCTCCCGACCGGAGGAACCGACGGATGCATTCGTCTGCTTTCTGCTCATTCGCGCGTTGGTTTCCGTTCATCGGCAGAATCCGTGGTTTATTGAACCTGCAATTTGAATTTCACCATGGAACGCACGAAATGGATGATAAAGTCACTAACTAACCCGTTGCGTTCTCTTCGTTCTCCTCGTTTGAATTGCGATGCATCTCCCTGATTGTCTGACATTTCACTAAAAATCCATTCATTAATTCTTCTGAATAAAATGCTTTGTTGGAGCAAATAAGAGAGAAGATGAAAAGAAATTACAGGAAATTTGTTTGTTTTTAAAGGGACACAATCAAATTTTACGCGGCTAGTCTTGGCGCGATAAGTACAGTACGCTAATAAAGGCTCATGACATTTTTCGCGGAATTTAGAACTTTCAATTCATTTCTTCTCGTCATAAGTGCACAAAATAAGCGCAAAATGATGGAAGCTACTGACTCTCAATTGAGTGAAATAATCAGAGGTAAAGAGAGACGGCAAGTTGAAGTTGAAACCAGTTTCAAAAACTTCAGAAGGCAGACTCAACGAATCTGCTGATAGAGACACTAGCCAGAGCTTCCTAGGTTTCAGCCAGAACACGCGTCAGAAAATTGAGGTAAGGATGTAAAGTGTCAAATTCAACAAAAAAATAATTGGAGAATGGCACCTACATGATACCAGAACTTTCGCAGGGATGTGTCGATTTCCTCGAAGAAAACATGAATTCTCCGCGGTTAGTGGGCATTCTATCGAAAGAAAAAAAACTTTTCAGAATGGAGTTGGCCCGCAAAACGTGCGAAATAAAAAGGGAGTTCAATTTCGACACCAATCGTGACTTGCGAGTGAATCTGATTTTTCGTGCACTCATTATTGTTTTCAGGTTCAATCAAAGTTTTTCGCTGGAAACGAAGCCGAATGTTCACACAGAAGAAAAGAAAAGAACGAATCGTATACCGGATTTGTCAGTTCGCCCAATTTTTCGTGTTGTATTAATGTTTTAGAACGTTTCCGAATAATGGCAGAGGTTTGCCTGCAGTAGATTGCTACAACTTGTTAGCCGCGTTCGCTCCGCCTCCTGATGAAAACGAAAATCTTCTGAGTGTATCTTTCGAATCGGTGAGTAAGATATTTAAAAGAAGCGTCGAAAAGCGAAGCGGGCGGGAGCGAAGTAATTAACTGAAAAAAACGAATCTGAGGATCCATGCCGAGAATTAGAGAAGGTTCAGTGAGTGCGCACTGAAAATTTACAGAATATGACGCTGACGCAGAAGCAAATTGATTCGCAGACGTTTTGTCCGTATCTAAGAGATCGGACGGCTGAAGAACAGGAGAAGGTAAGAAGACGTGCTCCTTCTCCCCTTCTTTTGTTCGTTCATTCTTTCGCGGTTCTTCTGAACAATTCGGCGCGATGACGCTCATTCATTTTCAGCATAACAGAGAAAAAATGTGGAGAAAGGCAATGATTAAAAGAGAGGAGGAGCAAATGAACGAATACGGGCTGTTGGGACCCGCTATTGGACCCAATCAGCTGGAAGAACAGGATATTGGCGAGCGGGACGTGTTTGCCGATCAGTAGGAGAAATAGCGAGTAGAAATGAACATGAAAATGATTTCAGGGAGGCTTGCGGAGGCGATGACCTCAGCAATGGACTGTCGAATGACGGAGTGCAGATGGGAGGGGCGGAGGAGGAGCAGTGGTTGAGCGTCACTGTCAATGAACAGAAACCGAAGAAAATGTCGGATTTTGTGTGGAACAAGGACGGAAACAAGTCTCATTTGTGGGCCAAGATGGGCGTGGTAGTTCCAATCGCGCTGAGCTGGAGGATCCATCCAAAATACGCCGCCAGACGCATTGTTGTCAAAGTTAGAGTGAGTGCGAAAGCGAATTTCTGGCCGCAATAGCTTAATTGAAGTTCGTGAATTACCACAAAAACCACGCCTCTATGAAAATGGAAACGGCGATGGATCATCCGTATTCAGACGTGAAAAAGTGCATACAACACACACAGACCGAAGCGTTCGGCGTTCCAGCGGAATCGTTCTTCTATATCGTCAGTTCGTCGGATGACTGGATTTATCCGGGGCCAAGTGAAAAAGTGTTGAAAGGTTCGTTTAGCGGAATGAACAAAAATTCTCAATTTATTCCTATGAATACCTCCATTTCAGGCCACTCGTTCCACACCATCATCAGCGGCAGTCTTTCTCGCTTCGACTTCGACTTAAAGTTCGCATGTCAAGAAAAGTGTATGCCTTTGGACGAGCGAAGAAAGACTATGTGCCTTGCGGTATTCTTGGAAGACGAAGACGGGTGAGTGAGAGGCCGTGGAAGAGAATGGATCTCGGCCAGCAATCGCTCAACCTGAACGAATGCAGATGCAATGGAAAAAAATAACACCACAGGAAGATACTGACATTGGAGAAAACATTCAATAGAAACTAGACCTAGATGACTACTGATTCATATCACTTGAAAACGTTTCATCCACAACAGTATCCTCTCAATCGATTTCTGTCTCATTTCAGCAATCTGATCACCTATTCCTGCATCGACGAAGTTCGCGTCGTCGCCTATCCTCGTCGAGACTATAAAAACTTCTGTGAGAAGCTGCCATTCAGGAACGGGCTCGAGTGCATGAAAACACCGAAGAGGGAGTGGTCCTTCGACCCAGAGCCGTCTTCGATACCCCGTCAGCTGTGTTCGTCGTTCTCCATTTCTGCACCCAATAATCGATGGAAAATGCACAACGTGACAAACACCGATCAGGTTTACTTTTCGGCGATTTCTGATCTCGAATTGGAGTGAAACCCGATATTTTACCTTTTCGGATATCCTTTCTTTTTGCCATTTTTTCCCAATTCACCAGTTTTTCCATAGAATATCCGTGCATTTTCCAATTCCAGATGTTCCCTTCGGGCAGCCGAAAAAGAGTTGCCAGCGACATATCGCATTCTTCAATGCCTCTTCCTATCAGAAATTACGATCATCAAAGACAGCTGCTGCTTGGACATCATTGCCGTCCGGAAGTGAGCGAATCGATGGAAGTTTCGGGACCCGGGGACGAAAACGGAGGATCGTCGACGAAGAGAAGCCGCAAAACTGCCGTCGTCCACTATGAAAAACATGTGAGCTCTCTCCCAATCCTCCTTTGTTTCTCTACTTAAAAATTTCTTTCAGTTGGTAGGGGAACAATACGAAAAGGTGCTGGAGTTTCTGGCCGATCAGGCGCATCAAGAGAGGACGGAGGGGATTCGAAAGAGCCGCATGCGTCCGCACGCATTCTCGATGCTCGCCAGTATGGACACCAAAACTAGCATCGAAACGTGAGTTCGCTCCTAATTTGCACTGCGAACCGCCCGTTTTCAGATGGCTCGCCGCTTTCAGTCAACGATCCGCCTTCGTCATCTTCCAGAGACATAGAATCTTCACTCTGGGAGACCTCGTCAGAGAATACGAAATCGATACGTCGATCTTCGAGAAAATCGGAATCAGCGACAAAGATATCAAAGAGTTTTATGATGTTTTCTTCAATTTTTACCATATTTTCGCGTATGAGCGCTTGTGAGTGACATGGATATGCAGATTAAGCAATTCGAGATATTTCAGCAAGAAGGAACAAGATCAAATACAATAATAAGAACGCCAGAATTTCCTTCGGCACAATTTGGCTCAAATCTCAATCTCATCCACCTACACTGATACTCGAAGCATGGCTCAACAAGTTTTTAATCGTTTAATGTCAATCTTTTATTGGTTTTATAAATGAAGATCAACAGTTCCCTATGTTCTCTAGTGGGGTTATTCAGCGGATTTTTTTACATCGCCGAATTGAGTTTTTTGACGTAAAAAAACGGAAGAAAATCATCGAGAATTTCGCCTTCCGTGAAAACTGTTCAAATTTATTGCTCTTTTCGCAAGTCAGTGTGGCCGTTCATACAAAAATACAGTTTTTTGAAAATTCATTCCGATTATCAGCCAGGAAACTGACCTTCACGCAAAAATTTAATTTCAATTTCCGTCTTCCGCTTTTTCGAAAAATCTATTCTGCTCAACTTTGCGAACGAGCGAGCCACTGGAGTCTTTCGGCAGAAACACATGCAGAATCAAACCATGCCAACAGCCGTTCTTTAAACATGACATTCATTATAACAATAACGAACAATGAACAACAATAAGATTTAGATGAATCCGATCTTGTTGGCAACATCCAGAGCGTCGTAGTCCTGGGACAGTCGCACGTAGGCCTTCTTCTCCTGAAGAGGCGTGATGAGAGTGTTAACCTGAACAATCCAATTCATCATTCGCAGTACTCTTCGTTATTCACCTTGATAGCCTTGACGTTGTAGAGGGCGTGGACAGCCTGCTTGATGTGATGTTTGTTGGCCTTTTCATCGACGATGAAGACGAGGGTGTTGTGGTCTTCGATCTTCTTCATCGAGCTCTCAGTGGTGTGCGGAGCCTTAATGATGGCGAAGTTGTCAAGCTTGCTTCGGGTAGGGGCAGATTTGCGAAGGTATCTGGAACAATGATCAGCATTTAAAAGGGCTTGCACTCTAGAAATGACGAACTACTTACCTCGGAGCTCTAGCGACCGTGAGGGTCTTCGGGCGTCTGAAATGAACCGAAGTGCGGACATTCTTGCGAACGTTAGTCTTGCTTCCCTTGACGACGGCTTTCTTGGCCTTGATAGCCTTTCCCACTTTGTTTGGAGCCATGTCTGAAATTGAAATTTAAAATAGGTTCAAGCTTATGGAACTGCAAGAAAAGCGAAACGTTTTGCAAACGTATTCTTACTGTAACTTTTACACTTTCGGCAACTTTTGAAACGAATTTGCCTAAGCGTTCAGCAAGACAAACGTTTTTTAGGCCGGAAAATACGCAAATTTCGAAAAAAGTAAGAGTGCGACAAATGGGAGAGCGCAGACACAGCGTGAACTTTGTGCGTCAGTGAACTCCACAAAGGGTCTCCAACACTAGCACGGAGAAGTAAATGAGCAGTTTCCTGCGAAAAAACAAATCCCATGTTAGAAAGATTTTCACTGAACAAAACTTTCCAACAAAATAATTTCCCATAAATAAAGACACCTTCAAAACAAATATTTTTTTTTAAACGCCCAGAAAATAACAAAATCACCCAGAAAAGAAAAAAAAGAATTAGATTTTGGGAATTGAAATGCAAAAAGTTTAGGATTTGGTTACGGTTACTGCACGCTGCAAGACCGCCCGCCTGCGATCGCTTATGCTCCTTTAAATGCTAAGTGCCTTTAAAACATATTTACAACGAACATTCTGAAATTTTTTTAAAGAAAAAAGACATGCCGAAGGTTGCGTAGAAATCTGAAAATTTAAGAAAAAAAATTGCTGAGTTAAATTTCCCTTCTGGCTTCGTCAAATTGCCAAATATCTTGTTTCCACCTGTAGAAATGACATCACAAAATAATCAATGGATGAATGGTAAATATTTATGCCGTCTATCTCGCCGATTAACCCGAACTTGTTGGAGACTGAGTAGTACTCGGCAGTGAGCACACAATGCTAAAAGAGGAGTCATCCGGTGCTCTGTGACGTGCGAGAAGCTCTTCTGTAAACAGCCCGCGCCTTGTTCCAGAATCGGCCGTGTATCATGCGCGACGATGAGTAGATATCATGGCAAACACGGGGTGATCTGTTTGTAACCTTCAAGCGTTTTTTAATCCGTCCGCCATTTCGACCCAAACGACTTGGAGCATTCTTTGCAATCATTTCGAGGATGCGCCAGTTTCTGCTTCTTGGATTCCTTTTCATCGGTTCGGAAGCTATTCGCTGTCGTAGTTGCTACAGTTACAACGGACAGGCGTGCGTCAATGCGCCCGACTGCGAATCAGACGTCTGCTTATACGGTAAGATCTTGCAGATTCCAAATCGTACCTCCTTCACATTTTAATTTCGTTTTCTTCCGCTTTCAGAGCAACTGAATGCTGCGAATGGCATCACCCATGTCCTCCGGACCTGCTATACAAAAGGCAACTCGTACATGTTCGACGACGGAGTCACAATGAGCAACACGAATCAATGCGTGACGCGGACGACTCGGCAGGGCCAGTACTACGTCTCGCTGTGCACTTCCAACGATCTCTGCAATAATGACTGTCGCACGGAACAGTTTCCATCTACAGCCTCTCCAATTGAACCGCCCGTACCTCTCGGAGCAGTCACTTGCTATGATTGTGTGACGACGGACGGTACGGACTGTCAGACGAACACGTGTCAGGGAGCTTACTGTCTTTATGGTTTGCCCATCTAAATCGTGGCGTCGTTCCAAAGTTCCACTCTGTTCAGAACGCCGCTTGACGAACAATCAAATGTACCTTCGGAAGACGTGCCTAATCGAACCGATCGTGCAGCTGGACGACGAGACAACAGTTCGCAATGTGGACATTTGTGAGGTTCGGAACACAGTCAACAGTCGGTACTACGTTAAAATCTGCAATGATGTGAACAACTGCAACAACTACTGTAACCCAGGACAAGCTCCTCCGAGCCCTCAAAGACGTACTTTTCCGTATTTTTAATTTCCAACGTTTTCAGTTTTCCAGAGCCTCTCGTCAGGTGCTACGACTGTGAATCTTCGAATTCCGACTGTTTCACCGGCTCATGCGAGGGCAACTTCTGCATATTCGGTATTGTAATTATTCCACCATCTTCGCATTCTTCTTACTCAGAACGACAACTGAGAGTCGGCACTTCCCGCACTTACTTCCGCAAATCGTGCTCTGCTCTCGGTTACGCTCAATACCCGGACGGCTCATACACGGGAGTCTCGAATCTTTGCGAGACCCGAGTGATAAATGATGTCGAGTACAATGTGAAAGTGTGCAACACTGCGAACATGTGCAATTCCGACTGTACCCAGGATTCTTCAGCAGGTATCAAACAAGTACTCGGCTGTACAACTGAAATTGTATTTAGTGACATGTACGGAATGCACGGCGACAAACGCGGATGACTGCAGCGGAGGAACTTGTCAGGGACGGTTCTGTATCTTTGGTAATTATCTAGGAGCGATGATTGAAAAAATTAAAGTTATCTCGTTTAGTTCGCTCCAAATCTCAGTTAGATCCAACAAAAACAACTGTCAAAAAGTCGTGTGCCACGAGCTCGATCCTCAGTTTTCCGGATAACACAGCCTACACCAATATTGGCCACTGCCAGTATAAGTCAGTCAATCATTGCCTACATTTCGAGTTAACAATATTTTTTAGAAACATCGGCTCCGTGCAAACAGCTCTGAAGGCGTGCAACTCGACATTCTGCAACACCGCATGCTCCGATATCCCTCTTCCAACTCCTTCCGCTCAGAACTCTTCTGATGTTCTTTCTTTGTTCAATTCGGTTCTAGCCATTCTTTTGCTTTTGTTCTTTTGAATTCAGTAATTTGATAGCGTGAATTTATCTGTACAGTTTGAGCCTAATAAAATGAGTTCATTAATGAAATGTCAACTTTTCCCTGAAAGCTCCTGACTCGTGTTTGCAAACGCGCTCCACGGACAAACCAAATTGACTCAAATTTTCGTTTAATTTTCTGCCGTTGTGCTCAAGAAAAATGGGCAAGAATACCCCACAGTCTTCACACAAAACTCCGACTGTCTCAAAAAGGTTTGATAGTATTTCTTTATTCTTTAAAAAAATGTGTTCAGCAAATCGAAGAGCAAAGGATCGGCGCAACGACCAGGGAATTCAGTAACCACTAGCACGCCTACCAAAAAAAGTGCCAACAAAGTAAGTTATTAGGTATTTTATTAGCTTAGTCGTAAACTTTTGTACATTCAGAATGCTCGACATGCGGAGATTAACGTCAGATCCAACGGAGAACCGTCAGCGAAGAAAAATCGATTGAGCGAGATAAATTGTAGTGCGCGCGAGGCAAGCAGAAGACACACGACTAGTACGGAAGAAGAGGAGAATCCGCGGAGAAGGAGAAATCTGAAACAGTACGTACTAAGCTGACAGAAATATTTCTCACCATTAAAAAGTGCATACATTTCCAGAGGAGAACCTTTGCCGCCACAATGCTGTTTCTGCAAAGAGGAGCAAGTAAGCGGTATGGAATCTCTCAAACAATGTCACGGATGCCAAGACAGATGTGAGTATGAATAGTATATGTGAGAACAGAAAAAACCAAAAAAAATTTAGACCACATCAGAAAGTGTCTTCGGTACAAAAATGAGTTTGCGGAGAACATACTGAACAACGACAATTGGATGTGCCCAAGGGTAAGCAGTCAGCAAAGTACTCAGTTTTCATCAATAATTGTTTCAGTGTATAACGTGCTCGTCTTGTGGCCATTACATCGACGATCCGGCCAATCTCGAGTGCACCGCCTGCTGCCGAGCATGGCATGGAAAGTGTGCGCAGAGAGGATTCTGTCCTTCCGACGAATTTGACGCTGACTGGTACTGTAACCAATGCAGTCGTCTTAAAAACTTCCGAATGGCGCCTACTCCCCCACCGCCGAATGCGGTGCCGACCGCCACGAGACCGGCGAGAAGAAGCCGACCGAGGACGGAAAAATTGGAATTCGCCGATTCTGTCGATCCGATTATTGCAATTCTCGATCAGAGAGACTTTGCACAGGCCATGCGCTATTTCGAAGCGGGACTGATCGAAGAAAAACCGGAACTATCGTCTCAACCTAATGAAGAACAAAAACCGCAGAAAAAGAAGAAGGACAAAAAGGCAAAGCCGTCGCTGTTATCGGAAACGTCGGAAGACACGGATACAGATGGAGACGTGCCGTTCGTGACGAATTTCGATGCAGATCTGTTAGTTGGAATTGGTATTGTTCAAACTCAGTAAATTGCTTTTCAGATACGCCAAATCGTACATGGAAGCATATCACGTCCAGCCGGGAACCAGTGTCCAGTCTAGAGATCAGTGGCTGAGCTTCGGGACGGAAAAGAAGTGTAAAGCGATTTACAAGTCCGCCTACAGAGAGCCGCTCTATTCAGCCGAAAACCTTTACGCATGCAAGTATTGCCTGCACACAACACACCGGAGAGAGGACTTGGAACTGCACGTGGCTTACTGCGAAATCAGATATCCGCCCGGAAATGAGATATATCGTTCTCTAGATGATAATGTTTCGTTCTTCGAAGTCGATGGAGCACATCAAAAGAAATACTGTCAGCAGCTGTGTCTTCTTTCCAAACTGTTCATTTCTTCAAAGACGGTTTACGAGGAAGTGGAAACGTTCACGTTTTACGTTCTCTGCGAAATCATTCCGGAAGGATTCGTCATTGTTGGCTACTTCTCGAAAGAGAAGAATCCAGCGAAGAACAACAATCTCTCGTGTCTCCTGGTTCTGCCGATGGCTCAGAAAATGGGTTACGGACGACTTCTAATAGACATGAGCTACGAACTTTCTCGTCTCGAACGTCGAGTTGGCCATCCGGAGCACCCGTTGTCCGATCTCGGAATTCTTGCGTATCGAGGCTACTGGCGGTCCAGTCTGCTCTGTTATCTCCGTTCGAATCGCAATTCGGAACGCATCAGTCTGAAGGAAATGTCGTTGGCTACGCGGATCTCTCAAGTCGACATTGTCAACCAATTGATGCTCGACAACCTGATCGTTCTCAAGGGCGGCCTATACTCAATAAAGCTGGGAAAGCGAGCATTCAAATTCCCGCTCTCACAGTGTCGCCGTCGTGCCGTCGATCGTTCTCACCTCATATGGGGCCCAGACGCGACTTCCGAACTCCTTGATCCCAGTAAAATTAACACTTACGTATAATAATCATATTTGATTGATCTTTTGTACTTAAATTTTCAATGAAAGTTGTTCTATGTATTTTAACCGTGATTAAGAGTCTCACCCATCCAGTCAGGAAATATTGAATGAATATTTTATCAGTTTTAACACTTTTGTCCTTGTGAAATAAAGTTTACAAACCTTTTTAAGTATATCTCTGTTTTCCAGTTTAGTGAATTTCAAAAGTCAATGCTGTTCAGATGCCATGTCGTCTCCGGAAAATAACGGTTTATGAGACTAAAAGTCGATTTTACATCATCGGATGCGATAGCACCGGCTCCCGGTACAATGTGCTCAAAATCGACAGAATAGACCCGAAAACACTGATAACCGGGGAGCCGGAGTACGATTACACTCGGGAGGAAATACTCGAATTGCTCGCGACGATTTCCGATGGCAGTTCTGGTGGGATTTGACAGTTATAGTGAAAAAGAAACGGAAAAGAAAGCATTTCAGTTGTGTACAGATCTTCGTCGAAAAAGGGAACAAAGAGCGGACTGGTGGAAAGAACGACGAATGCATTCGGAATACTCGGAGTCGTCCGATTCATCGAGGGATACTATCTCATTGTAAATATCAATCTTCGGCTTCCTTTCTTATTCAATTCATTTCCAGATTATAACTCGCGCCCACGCAGTCGCGACGCTCGGATATCATCCGGTTTACAAAATAGTCGAGGTGGCAATGATTCCGATTGCGATGGACGGAGTTTCGAGCAGTTCGGAGGAGCAGAAATACGTTAAGCTGTTCCAGTCCGTCGATTTAAGCACCGACTTCTACTTCTCGTATTCGTACGATTTGAGCCGCACTTTCCAGGAAAACGCGCTCAGAAGTGACTGGAATAACAACGGACAACGGCGATTGGAAGCCGATGATCGGTTAATGAAACATTCAACTCCAGAAAAATTAAGTTTTTTTTCAGATTTGTTTGGAACTCTTTCCTACTGGAACCCCTTCGGAACAACTTGATAAGCGAGAGATGGTTCGTCGAAATAGTGCACGGATACGTCCGTCAAGAGTACATTTTCCTGCCCATCGGACGCATTTCGCTCACTTTAATCGGCCGCCGATCCACAAAATACGCGGGCACTCGATTCCTGAAGAGAGGAGCCAATCCGAGCGGACACGTGGCAAACTATGTGGAAACAGAGCAGATTGTCTGGGATATGGCCACTTCGGGAAACGTCGCGCACGGCCGCTTCAGCAGTTTCGTGCAGATGCGCGGCTCCGTTCCGATGCGGTGGTCGCAGGATCCGTCGACTCGTGGCGTCGTCGGAAAGCCGCTCATTCTGATTGACAACCACGAACCACACGCTCAGACGGCGGCCAGTCACTTCCGGGATATTCGGAACAAGTACGGCAATCCGATTGTAATAATGAATTTGATAAAACGAAACGAGAAAAGAAGGCACGAGGGAGTGCTCCACACTCAATTTCTGAAGAACATCGAGTACTTGAACCAATTTTTGGACGAGGACGAGAAACTGTGTTACCTGTCGTTCGACGTGGCACGGTGCAACAAAGCCGCCAATTCGATGCCTTCGATCAATGTGCTCAATGTGATGGAGGACCTTTCGATGAAGTCGATTCTGAAGAACGGATGGTTCCAGTCGTTCCCGATCGGAGAATCTCTCAAATTCCGTCCGAGGGAAGGATTCGCCACCTTGGAGGCGCGGTACTCGAAGGACGGGCGGTTCATGGTTCAGCACGGCATCTGCCGCACCAACTGTGTCGATTGTCTCGATCGGACAAATGTGGCTCAGTTCGTGATCGCCAAAGTGGCTCTCGGCTGCCAACTCTGCGCGATGGGCATTCTCAACGAGCCTAATCTTACGCTGCAGAGCGAAGTGTGTCGTCTGCTGGAGGACATGTTCGATGAGCACGGGGACACGATGGCACTGCAGTACGCGGGGAGTCAGCTGGTGCATTCGATCAAGACGTACAAGAAGACAGCCGCCTTCCAGGAGCGGAGGAGGGACGTGCTGCAGACGCTCTCTCGCTACTACAGTAACACGTTCAATGATTGGGACAAGCAGATGGCCATCAACCTATTCTTGGGAGTGTTCCGCCCGAAAATCACCAGTCTGAAGAATCTGTGGGATTTGACCAGCGACTACAATCTTCATTTCCCGTATCCTCTCAAAATGTACACGGATTACTGTGCGTGGATGTTGACGGAGAAAGAACTGGACGAATTGGTTTTCTTGGATTACGACGAGAAAGAGAATTCGGAGGGATACGTGGAAATTCAACAGTTGGAAGGAGATGGACGACGTGGAAGCGAAGGAAGCGAGTACAGAACTTTGCAGTTCTCCTCCGAAGAAGACTTCAGGGATTACCACAAAACATACGAGTTCACCTCATTGGACGATCGTATCGGAAGACTTTCCAGCATTGAAAACAGGGCGATTCAGGTGGACGGAATAAATGAGGAACCGACAACTCATGCACAATTCCTCAAGTTGTGGAAGACTACGGTAAGGAAATGTGGAAGAATGAGGTGGTAAATATTCGAATGTTACAGGAGACGAAAGAAAAAGAACCAAAAAAGACGGCGAAGAAAGAGAAAGAGGAGAAGGAATCTGACGATGAAGATGACGACGAAGAGAACTCGACGCAGTGGTCGGACGTCGTAGAAGCGCAGAAGGAGTGGTACGATCTCGTAAGCGCTCCGGGCAATGTCACCGGAACCAAGTCGCCGTCGCCCCCGAAACGAGATCCGACTCCGCCCCGCTCGAGAGCCCGCAAGTCGCTTCTGAGCACCGGTTTGCTCTTTGCGAAGGATCTTTATCACTTGGATCATCTGAAGACACAGCCTCAAGAACGGAAATATTACGAGAAGTACGCGAGAACCGCGTTCAAGTGTAATGTGCGCGACTGGGAAAAGGTGAAACCGACACTGCTGAGCGAGTTCAAAATCAATCCGGAATTGGAGCAGAGACGGCTCACATTCTTCACTGCCGACGACTGCTTCAGAGTGAGAAAAAGAGCGAAAAACTCGGAAAACACAATGGTTATTTCAGACGGAAACTCCAGAAGTGAGTGGCAATTCGGAGCGTTTCTACATTCGGAGCGCCCGTCCGTTGACAACCGACTGCTCGAATCGCGACTTTGAGTTCTTCTCGAAGTACATGCCCGCTACATAGATCAATGTAATTAAATGTAGATTAAGATGGAAATGTTTATTTGATTGCCTCAAAACCGGGAAAACACATTGTGATTCTTTTGTATATTGGAAACGGTTCTGTAATCACACTTCAATTTGACCCATTCGTTAAAGTTTTCATCAACATCTTATTATGAGCTCGTTTTGTGGGTTTGGTAGAGAAATAGAGAAACCTTTTGTATGGGGGGAAGGCGTTCACCGTCTTGTGGCTCGGACTTTGAACGGTTTAGGAGCGCGGAGTGAAGAAGTGATCACATCGACGGGCGGAGCGAACGGACCGTCCGTGCGCCATTCGAAGTTCTGGAGGAGTGTGCAGAAATAGAGGAAGACTTCCATTCGGGCGAGGTTCTCTCCGAGACAAGATCGTTTTCCCATTGAGAACGGATTGACTCTCTCGTCACGGACGTACTCTCCACGCGCCTGAAAAACGGAATTCACTGGAAACCATTTCACTCCTGGCCTACATTCAGGAATCTGTCAGGATTAAAGTGCTCCGGATCCGGGAAGTGTTTTTTGTCGACGTGCACCGACTGGAACTGTGCAATGACTCGCGTGCCCGCACTCAGATGGTATCCCTCGCAGTCGTCCACATCGGAGAGAGTGCATCGGAGGAAGTTGACAGGCAGCACGTAGCCGAGACGGTACACCTCCTGCAGGAATGCGCACGTGTACGGTAGGTGCTTCTGGTCGTCCATGACCACTTTCTGCAACACAAATAAGTTGGAATCAAACGGAGAACCGTCCGAACCTACCCGATCTCTTCCCACATTTATGTCCAATTCTTCGTGAATTCTCTTCTGGGTCTCCGGATTGTTAACCAAATAGAGGAATGCGAAGCGGATCACAATGATGATGGTCTCCATTCCGGCCGAGTACAAATCGTAGATCGCCACAATCAACTGCTTCTCGGTGAATCCGTCCTGGAGCGCATTCTCTGCCGCTCTGATCTTCATTTCTTTGAGGAAAGCGTCCATATAACTCGATGGCTCTTCGTCGTAATTAATTCCCGTTTTGTGCTTCGCCAGCGCCTGCTCCAACGTGTGGATGATCGCGTCGTTGGCTCGGGTGGTACGTGGGATTCCCAGACTCAATGGTCTGTCCAAATAGGCGAGAAATGGCCACGCGTCCAGAAGTTGCGTCTTCGGGGAAGTAAAATGTTCGAGAACCTGGGCAGCAATTGAGTTATGCGCGGAGAAATGGGGGCCCTCACCTCATTGATGGCAATGTGGAAGTCATGAATCTCCGTATCGTCCCATTCACGAGTGAAGCCGAACAAATGTTTGTGAATCACATTTCCGACGACGTGCTGGACAGAACAGTCAATGAAAAGAGTTTGCGGACAGACAAACCACAAGGAAAGGCCTCAGTTCGATCGGGTTGTCCTTCTCGTTCTCGATCTTCTCGACGAGTCCAGAAGCCAACGAGGCGATCGTGTCCTGGGTTCCGGCCTGTCCGACGCCGAGCGATCGGAATATGTGGGTGGTGAAGCGGCGCTGCGCCTTCCACCAGTTGTTTTCCATGAAGAAGAGACCGTAGTTGCCTTGCACAAGCATCTCCATTATGAATGTGTCGGGTCTTCCCGAGAACGCCTCGCCTTTCTTCACGATGTTCCGTTGCAGGATCTGAAGTTCAAAATGTAGATTTTATGATTTGTTTCTATTTTCGTGCTGCCTTCAAAGATCTTTTTGGTGGTTTGAACTGCACTTAATCTGCGCCCTCGGACGGATCACTCTGATCTTTTCTCTCATCTATCATCCGTTTCTTTCCACGTGGGCACTACTCCTCTCTGTTTCTCTCGCTCTCTCATTCAACATGATCATCGTCATGATCAACCATTACTCACCTCGTAATCACAAATAATCACTGTGGGAAAAGGTAGCCAGAGGGTGAAGATACCGCCGTAAATCGCTTTGTATTTGTTTATTATGAAGTCGATTCGATTCTCGGGCACTTGGAAAGTGTTGCCTGAAAACGAAAAAAAGACAGTTTGAGACGGCATGGGAAAGGCTCACACCGATGAAAGGCCAGGGGGTCGGACCGGGCGGGAATCCGCGGAGACGGTTGGCGTACAGGCAAAGAAAGAACATTAGAAAGGACACGACGACGATGAGCATCGCAAATACCATTCTGGAAAGAAGACAGATAACGGCCATTAAAACAGACAGAAAGGGGGTGGGAGCAGTGTAGAAACGGATGAGTACGTGCTGATAAGAACAATGCCGGACCGGAAAAGAAACTTCCAGAACATTCTAGATAAAGAAGTGAGATCGGGTCGAAATGATGATGGCAGAAGGGAGGGTCTTATTCGCCAAAAGCGACTGAAAACGGACAGTTCGCGGAACGAAGTGGGACGAAAAAGGGGTGGTGGTTCTGTGGAAATGGTCAAGAGAACAAGGCGAGGACACGCAGAAGATCAGTTGCGGAGGTCTCGGAAGACCAGAAGGGCGACAATGAATGATATAGAAGTGATGTTAGCACCCTTAGCGAACTTGCACCAAACAAGATTTGGGCCATCCTCGTGCTTTCAAGTTTGGTGCAAACCGGTTGGCTGGGCCTTAGAAAAGTTGACAAACAAACTTTCCGACCAACTTCAGTTCTTCTGAAGTAGGAATGCGCAAAAGAAAGTGAATAAGTAATTTTCAAAAGGGCAACTTTTGAAAAGTACTCTTGGAAAATTGCAACGGTCTTCTCTGGAACCGTCTATTTATGTGTGTGCGTGCTCGTTCCGAAACATAGTTTGTACCCCTCCGTCCATTCCTCCGCCTCCACCGTTTCCATTCGTTTTTTCGTCCGACCACACCCCTTTCTGGTAACCTACGCGCCTCCCACCTCGGCCTCCCCGCACGTTTCGACGGGAAATTGATAATGGAGAGGAGGAGGGCGAGCAGCTAAGCAGGGAAAGCGACGGAAGCAGGTGACGGTTGATATGGAAACCGCGGGAAACAACGCCGCGCAACCGCTGATTAGGGCGTGCAATACGGCTGTGTACGGCTTCATTTGAGCACGAGCCGACTGCTTTGTTTTCACGGTCACTCCCTATTGGAACCTGCTCGCGCGAGCACTTCTACTTTCACTCACCTCTCTTTCTCACTTTACTTTGTCTCTTTGCCTCCACACTTTCTTCTAAGTTTTGAGTTTTAATCTGAAAGGGTTCACAATTCCTAGTTGTAAGCTCTGTTACGAGTTAGGCAACTAACGAGCACACTTGGTATAAACTCAAAGAACAATTTCGAATAGGAAAGTCAGGGAGGTCTCCGTGGCCTTTAGCTCCTATATGCAGTGCGAAGACTCTCAATGATAGTTAATGACATCTAGGACGTGCGATCCGTCTTCCGATCCGTTGAAGCTTGTGTCTTGAACTCGCACAGATCTATTCGCTTTCTGTCTTTTTCGATCTATCCACTTATGCTTGATTCTTGTTTACCGCAATTTGTTCCGAATAACGTCCGGCAGAAAACAAATGCCCTCGTTTTCCTATAAAATACAGTACTCTTGACCCAGTAGTTTCGACAGTAATCTCTAAAAAGTTGAAATGGTTTGTGCCTGTGTTTCGTAACAGCCCGTCTCGGTGGCAATCCTTCTTCCGCTTCGCCACAGTCACGTTCTTCGATTCGCCCCCGTCCGTCTGTCTGTCGGCGGCCATGTCGCACTTCGTGCTAACTGATATCTCTCCAGATGGGCGATTTCTAAAAGTGATCGAAGAGTACGTGCGATTGGGGGCGCGGGCCGGTGCGAAACGTTTGAACACTTGATTCGACAGTACAACTGATCATCCCGAGGCCGCTAATTCGATTTGTACTTCAACCATGACCACAATGCATAGAGGATGATGCGCATGCAAGAGTGTGTTCCGTGTTTTCCAAAAACTTCGAAGAAGAAGAGCGTATCAAATTAGACGAGTGTCTGATGTGTCCGAAAAAGTGATCGAAGGAGTTTCGTGTGATGTTTAGGGTCTGACACCGAGGACAAGTGTGCCCGAAACATCTAACACTTGAAGATGTTTCGAGTGCGAATCAACTGGCCACTCTGCTGTTTTTGTGTCCGCTACGTAGTCAAGACTCTAAGCTGGAAGAAAGGGATCGACGCAGGACTGGACCGGGCCGGGCTATTGGACCCAACCTTTGCAGGCTTCCTAGACATGAATTGAAGTGTTTTGGATCCAAGTTTCAGACTATGAGCATTCTTTGTTCAAGAGATATACTGATCTGGAGCCTAAAGCCTGGAATTTTAAACAACTTTTTATCCAGATCAGATAATCCGATCGGGTTGAAACCTGGACCCGAAGTATATCAATCCATGTCTAACAAGCCTGTAAGTTTTTGGTCAGAACGTAACACTGTAAGTGGTTCAAAATTCCAGTCTCTTGAAAAGCCCGGTCATGCGGTGTCTTCACTCCACACTCCTTCTCGACCGGCGCCAGACGTCCGCCGTTCCGTTCCGATCATCAAATCAAATCAAATTAGGAATCATTTCCGCGTCCTCCCTTTTTCCCGATTACGTGCCCTTTCGCTTCATTGTAGTCTTCTTCTCCCATCCAAGCGAATCCCTGTGGCCACCGGTAGAACTTTGTGTCGCCCAGAGTGGATGTTCGAGTGCGTCCCGCCCGTTACGTGCTATTTCGAACCTTTTTCTTTTTCGTTTGCCACACACAGATTACCTATTTTGGAGGCGAATTAAGCGAATCACAGAAACACAAATCACCTCCACCCCCGTTGTCGAACTGAGGAAGCAAAAAAGGGAAATATTCTATTGAACTGTTTGGAATTGGTGAAAAGAAGAGCGATGGATGTCCAAACAATCTCTATAGTGTTTTCTGTCATTGCGAACACTTCTAACCCTTCTAACCATCTGCTTCCTTATAGCCAGACTAACAATTCAGAAGATGGCGCCGAACGGAAAAATGCGTGAGATCGTCTCGATCCACATCGGTCAGGCGGGAGTCCAAATCGGAAACGCTTGCTGGGAACTGTACTGTCTCGAGCACGGCATCAATCCCGACGGCATGATGCCCGACGACACGAGCTTCGGCGTCGAGGACCAGTCCTACAACACGTTCTTCTCGGAGACTCCGTCCGGCAAGCACGTGCCACGTGCCATCTTCGTCGATCTGGAACCGACTGTTGTCGACGAGGCGAGTTCCGAATCTTTTCGCTCTTTTCGATCTTTGCCCGGCGCGCTGATTCGCCGCCGACCATTCACCGATCCGATGCGCGCACAAAAAGAGAGAAACAGTATTATTATTATTATTTGCGGGGGCGGTAAGCGACGGATCAACGGCGCGTCGTCCCTGGCGGATAAGTGACACAGCACAAAACGGGAAAGGCGGGACTATGACTTTCGAAGGATAAGACCCGCGTATTTTGTGCGGTCATCTCAACTAAACGATAGTGACAGTGATGATGCTGCCAAATAATCTGATGACATTCCCACACGTAGTCTGAGAATTCGAGGGTGAAATTTAACAGAAAAGAGGGATCAAACTGCAGACTGAACGCCTCCGGCTCCTGTGAGGTAAACCTGGGTACGCTCCTTCTCTGCTACCCTACACTGACCAAGACCTGGGAGGTCGTTCTCCGGACGCGCTCTCTCGACATGACGAGGAAACCGAAAATGCTCGGGAAAACTGTTTTGAGTTCAGGTCCGAACCGGAATCTACGCGAAACTGTTCCATCCGGAGCAGATGATCAGCGGAAAGGAAGACGCGGCGAACAACTACGCACGCGGCCATTACACCATCGGAAAGGAACTCATCGACGTCGTGATGGATCGTGTCCGTCGACTGACCGAGCGGTGCCAATCCCTCCAGGGATTTCTGATCTTCCACTCGTTCGGAGGCGGAACTGGCAGTGGATTCACTTCGCTCGTTATGGAGAGACTCTCGATTGACTACGGAAAGAAGGCGAAGCTCGAGTTCAGTATTTATCCGGCTCCGCAAATCAGCACATGTCAGCCCGTGTCCCCTGTTCTCTTCCATTGCCATTTATTTCAGCCATGGTCGAACCCTACAACTCACTTTTGACCACCCACACCACTTTGGAGCACTCCGACTGCTCGTTCATCATGGACAACGAAGCGATCTACGAGCTGACGAAGGTGAATTTGGGCGTGCGCAGTCCCACCTACACTCATTTGAACCGTCTGCTCGCGCAAGTCGTCTCCTCGATCACCGCTTCGTTGAGATTCGACGGCGCTCTCAACGTGGATCTCACTGAATTCCAGGTGGGAAATGGGGTAGTTTGAAAAAAAAAACAGTTCGAAGTTCCAGACCAATCTAGTGCCGTATCCGCGCATCCACTTCCCTCTCGTCACCTACGCTCCTATCATTTCTGCGTAAGTTCTCTTCCCTTCCAGTTTTCTCAAGAAATGTCGAGAAATTTTTTGAAAGTACTATCCAAGACTTCTAAATAAACCTCGTGTTTCACTTCGGGCTCAAACGTTTTGTGAAATTTCGATCGTTTTGCAGAGAGAAGGCGTACCACGAGCAGTTGTCCGTGTCGGAGATCACGAACTCGTGCTTCGAGCCGGGAAGTCAGATGGTTAAATGCGACCCGCGCAACGGAAAGTACATGGCCTGCTGCCTTCTCTACCGCGGAGACGTCGTCCCGAAAGACATCAACACGGCCATTTCGACGATAAAAACGAAAAGAGCGATTCAGTTCGTGGACTGGTGTCCGACCGGATTCAAGGTCGGAATAAACTACCAGCCGCCGACGGTGGTGCCCGGCGGGGACACGGCCAAACTGCAGAGAGCCGTCTGCATGCTCTCCAACACGACCGCCATCCAGGAGGCGTGGGCGCGTCTCGACCACAAATTCGATTTGATGTACGCAAAAAGAGCATTCGTGCATTGGTACGTGGGCGAGGGAATGGAAGAGGGAGAGTTTTCCGAGGCACGAGAAGACATGGCTGCACTGGAGAAGGATTACGAGGAGGTCGGAGTCGATTCATTCGATCCGACAGAAGAAGAGTATTGATCGAGAGAATGCCGTCCCAACCACTTCATTATCAAATCAGCGACAAATACATACTTATGAATTCGGACTAGACTTCACAATAATTAATTTTGCTGATAGAAACATAAAACGATGCGTTGTCTTTGAGGACAGCAAATGAACAATGAAAGTACAGAGGTTAATAATACAAAAATAAAAGAGATAAACTATTTTCGTCCAGAACCGGCGAACAATAGAATCCTCTACACAGATTGTTTTTATGGATGCAGAGAACCTGTTCGAGAAAGTTCAGTGAAAATAATTCGGATGACACTTTTTTGAGGCTGCAGAATGCGCTTCTCAGAAAAGTCTCACTCGAACCGTTTATGAGTCTCAATTATTAAAAAAACAAGAGAAGACATCGGCTGGAGTGTCGTTTAATCCTTCGACGAACACATTCATGTGACACGTGTACATTCCGAATTCCTGAAAACAATACACATTTTTCATAAAGATGTCATCTCATCGTTTACCAATCCCTTGTCGGCTTCAATATTCACGACTAGAATTTGAAACCTTCTGCGATTCTGTCTGACGTGGTTGACCCAACGCGAATGTTGCACACGAATTTCCATGATATCATCTTCTTCCTTGTCCGTATAGTCCAGCTTGCATGGAATCGCATACGGCCTTTCTTCGCTGAATCGGTTCGGCATAGTGTGCATTCGGTCTGCACTGAATAGCTGCATCGTTCCGACATCGATCAGAAAAACGCGGAATGTCTGTGAAAAGTATAATAGCAACAAGGTAAACATTAACTGGCTCACATTGCTCGTTTCTTTGCTCAGGACGACTCCACGGTACCACCTCGGGAGCATGCCCGGCTCTTCATGACGAACGATGCACGCGTATCCACGTTTCCACACTTTTGCTGCATAGTATTTGTGTTCCGACGAAGACATAAACTGCCTGCAAAAAATAGTAATTCGCGTTCTCCTCCCAATTTACTCACTGTAGATCTTCATCCATTCGCTTGTGAGGAGCATCGTCTTCAATCAGACGGACGAAGAATTTATCGAACGAATGGAAGCAGCAAATCTCAACTCGCGCGGACGGAACTTGGTTTTCTTTCAGTTTGAAGAATCTTTGCGGACATTCCTCCTTGTCGGCCATTTGATGGCAAGAAGGCGCCCAGAAGAACGTTGGGCCGTTGTCTTCGTCGTTTGGAAAGTTCTTCGTGATGATTTCTGCAAAACTCTTTGTTTTCCTTCAGTTTCGCTGACCTCGCAAACGCACCGTTCCCGTTCTTGTATCTGAACTTTCCTATTGAGAGAAGGTAGTTGAGCTTCGGACGGAGCACTTCTTCAGACTCTTTCGTGACTTTCACCAGCTTGGCCAATGCATCTCTCACGTAGAAGTCGTCATTTGGGAATGTATCGATAAAACGGCGTATAAAGTGGAACAGATCGTCTTCTCGGTCGTCAATCGTCATAATTTCTTTTTGTTTCCATGTCAAGATTCTCTAAAAATTATTTTCTTAACTATAATGAGTAATGAATCTATTCTCACCGTTTTAGTGTTCAATACAAGCGGACCAAATTCTTCTGGAAACTGATTCTTTGCACTGATAATGTATTCCAGTTTTTCATCGTCACTCTCTGCTGGCACTTGTGTGTATCGCGACATGTAGTTGAACAGATCAGCCACGTGCAGTTCTTTTCCTTGGAACCGGGTATCAAGCGCTTGGACGGTGCGGGCCACGAATTCCGCAGTGACGTTGTTCTTGGGAAGAGCGCGCGGTGTCGCCGCCGACTGAGAAGTGTCGTTTCCGGAAGAAATGCCGCCCATGTCACTAAAAAGCTTCGCCAAATCATTGCTTTCGTTAACGGTAGCCTCGGCTCTCATCTTAGAGCGAAGTTTGGCAGAAGACTTGGCTGGCTGAACTGGCTCGGGTGAGTTCGAAATCTGCGAAAAGCCAGAGCCCGATCTTGACCGCATCGGTCCGTTTCCGTTCCTCTGCTCGTAAGCCCGACTGTTTGGCACCTGTTCGTCACGACTGATGTGATACTGTGCCGCACGAGACGGAAGCAAGCGCTGTTGAGCAGGAGACGGCGAGCGCATATGATACCGCACGGGAGACGGCGAGCGCATTCGGGACCTCACCGGAGACGGCGAGCGCATGCGGGGCCGCACCGGAGACGGCGCTCGACGATTCCCGTATGCGCCGTTTTGGTAGGACATCGGAGAAGGAGGCGGATGGGGAGCGTTACGTCGCGAGTCGTATGCATCCGGGCCTCTTCTGACTTGTGGCGGAGGGCTGTTACCACGGTACGGTCTTGGCGGCGGCGGCGGCGGCGGCGACGGTGAATGTCTTCTTGGAGAGTATCGGCGTCGATCTTTTATATTGTAACTGTCTTGGTCGTACACAGATTCGTCGAAGAAGCCACGGGATGCGTTAAAGTCTCCAGTGTCAATGTCACGACGACCGAAGTTGTTGTTCGGAACACTGAAAAAACTAAAATAGAAAACTGATCCTGCGGCAAACAACTAACTAGTCGTCATAGTCGTTTCTGTGACTCTTGTAGTTGTCGTTATTGAATTTAGGCGGAGCCTTCGGCGGCTCGTTGTTGCCCCGATGACGATCGAAAGATGAGTTGAAATTGTCGTATTGCATGGGACGAAGTGGGCGTTGGTTGTTAAAGTTCACCGCGGGGGCGGGTGGTGGTGGCTGGAAGACCGGACGGAAGGGGAATTCGTGCACACTCGAGCTCGGACGAGACGAGTTTCCGCGACTTTGAGCTGTAATTCTTCAAGCTACTCTTTAAGAAGAAGATTTGCCTAACTCACGAGGCATTCCTCGAGCGGATCCTCCTCTGCCGCCGCGCCCTCTGTTCGAAACTCCTCTCGGATAACCTCCGTTGAATCCCCGTCCTCCGCCTACGCCGCCGCCTCCTTTTTTCCCTTTTCCTGTGTTTTTGTTGTCAGTCATGACTGTCGCAAATTCTTCGTTTCCCTTGCCCGCCCATTGATCTCCCGCGATTCTGGTGAAGAGGTCCGGACGGCTCAGCAACAATTCGCTCAATGACATCTTGAGAGTGTTGAGGCCCTGTTGAGTTCTGCCAGGTTCAAAAAGTCTGCAAAAAAGGTTTAAAAAGGCCTGTCACCAAAAAATTGATCTTCAAGCTACTTATACCATTGGATAGAACGATAAAAGACCACATCAGGTTGCAGTGCATCAATGTTCTCAAAGATCATAATTAGGGCCTGATCCTCAAAACACTTTACTTCGCTCTACTCTCAAAACTCATTTATCCTTGGACACTTCTATTTTAAGATAGAATGCTTTGTGAGCCAAAACAGGCACAAATAATGATTTTTGAGAAAAATGATGTACTGCAACTTGATGCAACGAGTGGTGTACAAAAAGGGGAAAAAATAAAAAAATAACGGGTAGAGATAGACGGAGCAATTATGTGTATGGTACAAGGAGCTTGAGCACTTTTTTTGTGACAGGCCTTCTTTAATAATTTCTCGTGTCTTTGTCAAGGTATCCATCAAAGGCTCTTTGATGGTCACTAAATTCATCGTACTTGCCCCTGTGTGTGTGTTTGCGGCCTCGAGCCAAATTTTCGGAACGATAGGCAACTCAATTTGCTCCCCACACCTCAGCTATTTAGGAACATCTTACGCGGGATAGTCCAAGTTTCATTCCGCTATTTCCATTTCAAAAATTCATTTGTTCTATCTTCCCTTGTCAATTTGATCTCGATTAATAAGAGTTATTTTTGCAAAAACAAAACGTACTCATTCCCGAGGACGAGCTCTCTCTCCGTCAACACTTTTTTCTTCTTCAGGAGAAAAACGGCGTTTAACTCAGTAGCGAGGTCATTGGCGAGTTCATCCATGGCCGCGAAGATTCGTCAAAGAGACACTATTCTAACACTTCTGAAAATATGAGAATCATTCACAGTTGAAGAAATCGATAAGAATAAAACCAGAGAGAATCGAAAATAGTCTTTGAGAGGCACAAGCATTGAATCAGCAGTAGCGGCGAGACGGCGTCCTTAGAGAAAAAGAAAATACATTCTCAGTGTCTTTCCGACAAAGACAAAACACTCCGCGTAAATTTTTCCAATCGCCGTTTAGTTTCGACTCCGGAAAGCCGTGCAAACGTTATGGGAGGAAGTTTTCCTCCTTTTTTTTTCGGCTTTTTGTCGTTAGAGCGCAAGTGCGCAAACACCCCAATACGGGTGAAATAATATGGAAAATGAGAAAAAGTGGATAAAATACGAAACCAGATTACAAACCGGGCGAAATCGGAAACGATAGAAAAAGAAAAAGCAAAGTTCATTCGGAAAAAAGAGATCAATGCAAATTAAGAGCCAATATGCCAAAACGAGAAACAAATTTCATGAGAAAAGAAACACATAAAAAGGCGGAGGAATCACAGAGCAATGAGTTTCAAGTGAGTTTCTCGGATATTACGTCTACCGCTTTCTTCAATATCTCTCCGTTCTCTTCTTGCCAGTTGGTGCTTGCCAGCAGTTCGAGCACCTACAATCAATTTTCGGTTTGCAAAAGAATGCACGATGAACTCACTTCGTCATCCGTCTCTTCGGCACAGCACAAATGCTCGTAGAGCCTCTCGGCGGCTGACTTTCGTAGGACGGGTCGTTGACTGCTCAGGTTATCCAGAATCTGAAACGGATATATTTCACTTCAAATGAACCATCACTGACCATGCTAAGTGCTGTCCTGTACACTTTGCTCTTCTTGCCACAATTAAGCAATTCACCCAATGAATCGATTGAAAGGCGTTGACGAGACATGAGTACCGAGTTCACCGCTATCGTCTTCATGATATCCACCATTTCAACAAGAGACCCGGACGTCTCCGGGCACAGCTCGTAGATGCCAAGGTTGCCGAATATCTGTGGGAGAACTTGCATGAAACTGTTGCCGATCCTAGCCACATTCTTCGCTTTTCGGAACAATTTCGCACACGTCGTCAGGAAATTGTCGAATCTCTGAATGTTTTTCACATATTCCGCCACTCTTTACCCGATTCTCACCGGTTTGTCTTCGAATACATCCCGTTGATGCTCCAGAAGAACCTGTTTCGCACTTTTCTGTGTGCCTTCAGCGAGTCCGCCGGCAGACACGATTAGCCCCAAAAGAATTGATTCATAGTATTCTTCACCAAGATCGAGCAGAGGTCTCAGTTCAAACACGGTTCGGTCGGAAATGAAATCTTTTGGTTCCGCGTAGATCATTCTGAGCAGCTCGACTTCTGGCATTCGGCGGCCAGTCATTTCACAAGCAGTCAATTGGTTGAGGCAAGCGGCAGCGCACTGAAAAGAAATGAGGGATAGGCGAGTAAAAAAAACGTGCGGAAAAACGACGAACCTCTCTTGTTCTGGAGATTCTTTCTACACTTTGTTGGATCATATGACGAGCACATTTGATCACGTGCTCATCGAGGAACGAGGGTTCTGCCTTAGAGTTCTCCAGAATGTCTGACATGGCACACATGCTCGCTTCTCGGACGAACCGTCCAATTTCTCCATTGGCATTTGTCGTGTAGTCAGCCATTGCCTTGTAAAGTGTCTCGAAGCACTTGGAGCTTATGCGAGCGAACATTTCAGCAGATGCCTTCACACAGATTTTATTGATGGACAGAACGGTTTGTTGCCTGGCAAGGGCCCACTTTGCATCCGAAGAAGTTGGCCTGAACTTTAGAATGAATTGTAATTACGAAAAAGAAAGCTCTCACTTGAGAATGGAGTTACACAGGATTTCAAACATCTGAACATCAATAGCTTCCGGATGAAGCACTTCGCACATTATGCCCATTCCGATGCGTTCGCTTTCATCGGAGCAGTGGCTCATCTATAAAATAAAACAGGTTATTTTCCTATTCCTCTAAAATGCTTACCGAACTGACCACTCTAGATTTGACCTTCTGAATGAGTTCCTCATTATTCGGAAGATATGATTTTACGAATTCTTCGGCGGATTTCTTCGCCAATACTTGAATTGACTCTTTCGAATCGATCAGCAAGTCCAACACCATATCCAACCATTTCGTCTTCTGTTCCGAATTCGTCAACGGAACTTTTTTCGAAGCAGAAACTAGTTCGATGAATTTGCAAAGCGTCTTCCGTGTCAATGCGCCCGCGTGTGTTGTTTTGTCGCAAAATTCACGCAGCACTTCTGGAACTCTGGCAATATCGCGGACCCGCGATGAGATATCCACTCCACGCGCGGAGAGCCCTTTTGTCAAATGGCCTACTGCCAGGAGGTATCCGTGTCTCAGAAGTGACGACACCTTCGGCTCGCAGCTCCTTGTCAGGAATTCTTCCATCACGTCCAGATAGAACTCGTCGTCTATCCTTTCCAATTGAACTTCGCTGATCTTTTCCAATGCAATTGCTGCTTGCTGACGAATCTTCTCATCCCAATGCAAAACTTTCTCTGCTATTAAATGCCTCAGAACGGCCAATGAGTAGGTGGGATACTGAGCTACAGGGACGCATAACTGCTCGTAGCACCTCTGCCGATTTGTGACGGTGAAGTAGTCAACCGTTTGAATCAGAGGAATTCCGTCAGCGACGTTCTTCTGACGTCCAACCATTTCCTGGAAGGCGGCCGATGCAGCACGGCGGAGGTTGACTTCCCGATCGAAAAGAGCTTCGCATAACTGAAAAAAGAAGATTCAAGAGGCCGAAGAATAAAAAAAAATACCAGAGCAGAAGCAAGTCTCTGCAAGTAAGGCGCCATCACGCTCGGCTCGTAAGTTCTTGAGAAAGCCCAGACGGCGTAGCAGGCAGCATCTCGCACTTGATTTCCGTTCTGATGCCTTCCCATCGCGTCTTCAAACACCAATGACAGCTCGAGCGCAGGAACGACGTCTTCGAGCAGACTGGGAAGGAGAACTCCGCGATGCGCAAGCTCGGCAAGAGCCATGCATGCTCCATGACTATGCCACGGCGAGATCTGAGCAACTTCACCGAAATGGCATTGAATTACAGATTGGACGACTTGAGTGGCGAGATCCGCACTGGGTAATCGTACTGCGATCCTTCCGACACCTTTCGCCGCCGACCATCGGACTGCTGTGTCCGAGTTGCTCAGCGCTTCGAGTACATGCATTAAAGTCCATTCGACGATTTCTGGATGTTCCATCTCTGTGCCATCATTCCATTCATCGTCTTTATCCGAGTTTCCGTATCCATTTGCACGTCCGTTTGATTCACAACCTTCCGTTTCGTTCAACATACCTTCCAAGAGCCGCTTTCCTCGACAGTAACTCCATTTGCACGTTCTCGGCTTCAAAGCAATCAATCCGATCCTTTGAACCACTTTGACTAGACACTTGCAAATGAGACTTCCTCTGTCTTCGGTTATTGGGTAAAGGAACCCGAGCTGCTCCTTTATTTCAGGCAAGTGAATTAACAGAATTCTCCTGTCCACATGTTTCAAAATTGCGAGGAGAAGAAGAAGATTTGCGAGGAGAAGCTTCTTGTTCTCGTGATCCGTTCGAATATCATCTAGTAATCTTCTCAAGAAGTCGGGAACTTTGGCAATTCCGTCGGCTCGTGAGAGACATTGTGCGATGACGAGGGACGCCGACGTCTGACTGCTATTCCAATTCCATTTCATGTAATGAAGCGCTATATTCATGATCCGAGTGATGACGTTGTCGGGATCTCCCGTCGGATCGAATCTTCTCAAATCGAACGGATTGCCCACGACAATCCATAGCCACATGAGCAGAACATTTCTCTGGCTGTGGTCGGGAAGTGAACTTTTCTCATAGAACTGAAGAGTTCGGAGTAGTGGATCTAGCAGATGTACTTGATGAGGGAGAAGTCGGACAACGGTCTTGCTTCCACGGAAGATGCACATATCGGAAAGATACTTGAGCGCTTCCCTTGATAACCGACTCATCCCTTCATTACTCGCCTCGTCTGTAAAAAATACATTATGCTTTCTCATTGGAATTATTTTTCTAACCGTTTTCAATCAGCCTAACAAACCCGATCAAATTTTCAACAAATGCGGGAATCCATTTATCGAGTAGGCGCGGCTGTTCTTGATAAAGGTGAAGAAGCCGGGAATATCGAAGATGGGCGACTTCAACGGAAGTTTCATCAGTTTCCGTCTCTTTGAATGCCATAGGAAGATGTCCGATGAGCTCAGTGAGCTCTTCCACATGACGAGCATCAACAACACTTGGCAGGCATCCAATTATCCCCTCATTTGATTCATCTAATGATAAATCTTCTTCCATACCTGAAAGAAACCAATTACGAGCGAAAAAAAAGCATAATACAGTCTTTGCATTAAACGAAAGTGTAGAAAAAGTAGCTGTTTAACTGATTATTGAAGGAAAGCTAAAATTTTCCACTTTTTGGATGAAAAACTATCAAAAAAACAGAAAAAACGCTCTTTTTTCGAGAAGCCGTTTGGATTTTAGTCTGCATTTGCGCGTAGAGTCTTCTGTTTTCTGCGAACACCTTTCGTGAATTTTCAGACGCAGCACTCTAAATCAGATTGTAATTAAATTAGAATAACTTGATATTGTATTTTTCCAAAAAGCTCTTTACAGAAAAATGTCAGACCACTCGGAATATTTTACCCAAAAAATGCGCGAGTTGTACGTGGCAGAATGCATGGCGGTTTGTTAAGAAAAATTGATACGCTCTATTGACCAGAGTTCTTCAGGAAAAAGCTCAATTGGAAGTAGAGACAGATTGCCGAAAGTTAATTGCAGACAACTACGAAGAAGTGCACGCACAGGCTCAAGAGTACTCAAAAAAAGTGGAAGCACCTATCCTGGTTTGAATTCATCTGAGTAAACCAACCAACGATGTCATTTCAGGCCAAAATTTGCGAAGTCGGCTACTTCTGCGATGCTCACGTTGTTCGAACCAACGTCTTAACATTAGAGCTGGGATCGGAATTTTTTGTGGAATGCAGTGTGCAAAACGCCAAAAAGATCGTTGCTCGGAGGGCTGCAGAAATGAGGAAGCAACGTGAAGACGGACTGGAAACTATTCGACTATTGAACGAGAAGATCAAGTTTGCTGCGGAGAACTTCTCGTCCGTGAAAGTAGACGGAGGACCGTTGGAAATTGTTGAGAAGTACGACGAAGAAATGGAGAAACGGTTTTACGATAACAGAAAGAAACGAAAAGAAGAACAAGCAAACGGAATCGGTAAAAAGGAGGATGAGAAAAGCGCGGAAGATAAGAAGGCCGTTGAACTGATGAACCGTCTGGATGAGTTGGAACTACTGGAAGAAACGAACGCTGAAATCGAAAAAGTTATTCGGGAGGAAGTTCCCGTTCCGAAGCCGTTCGAAATGTCTGCTGAAGATCTCGTTGATATAGTAGAATACGAGGAAGACGAGGAGAAACAGAAGGAGATAACTCAAAGATTGTTGGCGCAGCCGGGAGTCTCGCAGAAGGAGATGGAAGCACTTTTGAAGTATTTGGATGAGTGTGATCAGAGTTCGGACGAAGATAATGAAGAAGTGGAAGAAGAAGAAGAAGAGCAACAAAGGGTTGAAGAGTTGGACTCTGATGACTACGCTTCTGATGAAGACGTCGAGAAAGTGATTGAAAAAAAAGAGGTGAGATTAAAGTTTACATTTTGTAGTATTATTTAATGTCTCAGATTGTTGACGTGGCCCTTCCGAGAAAGAAATCGGGAGTCCGATTCTCTCATCAATTGGAAGAAGTGAAGACATTCCGCCACACCGACACCATCGAGCTAAAGGAAGAGTCTCCGATCGAAACCAAATCAATACTTCGGAACACTGAGCCAACCCCTGTCGATCGTTCGGCCCTGGAGCCCGAGCAGAAAGAGCTGGCCGCCATGAGTGCGGTGTCTTTTCCAGGGGAGATTGTGGAGAAGAATCCGTACGAGTGTCAGCCGTCGACGAGCAAGGATCCGGCTCCCGTGATTACCGAGAAGAAAGTTTCCAAGTTCAGAGCCTCGCGCAACAAAAACTGAATGACCATATTTAATCCCCCCTTTGCCTCACAATATTTTCCCAACTTTTCTTGTCGCTTCAAAAATGCCTTATTTACTCGGTTAGCACTTTCCTGCCCGTTGAATTAGTATTTCTCCGAGTCTCGTTTAGTATCTTTTGCAACTAATTTCCCCGTTTCATTCCCACTTTCCCCTTCCAAAACCTTTTTTCTATTGCCACATGTTGATATAAATCCCCCATCTCTCCTCCACTTTTTTCTCACCACTCTACCGCCTCCGACGCCAAACAACTGAAAACAGAGATAGAGGGGAGGTGAGATTTCGAAAGTGGATGTGCGGCAGTGTGTACACGTTAACAACCACAACATTTGCTATTTTCACTCGCTGTCATCTCTTCGCGTATCCGGCCGGCGGTCTCCAACCCAATTCCTCGTGTGATAGGTGACCGACAGGAGGAGCACGCCTGCTCGACGCACGGAGCCCTTCAAATTATTTAATGGGCTTCTCCCGCGATTGAAACGACAGAATCAGAAGGAAAGAGGGCATTCGGCGGTGAGAATGACAGCAGTCATGCGGCGAGTTGCGGCAAAGGAAGCATCCGAAAAGGAGCTGATCAGTTGGGAAGAATGAACACAGGGCAAAGACCGGCCCAGGCTTTTGAGGCCTGAACTTTTGACTCAGCTGTTTCTATCGGACCCAAAATTAGCAGGCTTGGATTGAAGTATATTGGGTCCATTCACTCTGGTGAGTTTTTGCGAAAACATGGCCTATTCGGCCTCCAACCCCAAAATCTGAGGGCCCTTCAAGCCGATCGGTCTGAAACTTGGACCCAAGACACTTCCATCCAAGTCTAAGTAGTCTGCAAAGTCGGGTCCCGATTGGATAATTGCAATTCGCTCAAGACTTCTGTGGGCCGGCCTTTTGCCCAGATCCGGTCAGAAGCGGCCGCTTCTCATGGATCCTCGAGGAGCACGAGCAGGTCCTTTCCAGTCATTTCCAGTCCCGTTCGGCTGGTCCGTTGCTCGAAGCCTCGTGACGATTTCCCCCCGCGGAGCCATCCATCTCGAGTCGATCTATCACAAGCGGTGGTGTCAGCCGACAGCCGGACGGCAATGCGGTGTGTATGCAATAAATGTAGTAGCAACAAGTACCTCCTGCTCCTTCTTCTTCTTCTTCTTCTTCTTCTTCTTCTTGTTCTTCCTCTCCTTCCCCGACTTTCCCCCGTTTGTCACCACTGATAGCGGTTGGACGGTGATCGATGTGGCTGCGTCGACGGGCGAGAGCCGCGAGCAACTGTCAGGTGACAAAGGCAAAGAAGAAGAAGGAGAAGAGACGGCTTGTGGCCAAATTTTATGACACGCCGCCGTTGAAAGGCGGCAAATGGGTGGCACGGGCAAAGGGAAACAGGCTCCGCCCACTTTCGAAGATTCACCTGTCCGGATGCGACTTCTTGTGCAATCAGATTGATCGGAGCAAAGGATCAGTTGTCTACACACCCCATGATTGTGTAACCTCCTCCTTCTACTCCTTCTTCTTCTTCTCCTTCTTCTTCTTCTCCTCATCAGATTCCCTTCGTTCATTTGCCGCAACCATCTCCCAAAACGTCGCCGTTTTCGTCTTCCTCGGCCCGGTTATAGATGGCAATCGGCGCATCATAACAGACAGGCAGAAACGGGCGGGCGCGAGACGAAGAACAAGATGGTATGGCGAGATGGTGGTGGAAACATTCATTATCCATGACACACTGTCGCCCTGCCGGCCTCCTGACACCCTTTCCAAAAAGTGGGCGGGGCTTCTGGGGATACGGTACACGTCGGAGTGAGGAGGGACTTCCATGACAGTGCCTATAGGTTATTTTGTTTCTATTCTCAGCCGGAAATGGGAAAACCACTTGGAAACCTGTTGACTGCCAAACTTGTGAATTGAATCAAATAACTTTTCCCCCTACACTCGGACAGTTTCAAAGTAAACGCGCTCTGTTGAAAATAAAAGCAGAGGAAGTTCTTCTTCCAGAGTTCTAATGAGAGACTGAAAACAAGAAAACCTCGGCCACGGAGATCACTAAAGAAGGCGTTTCCCAAAAGAGCGTATTTACTCCGAAATTCCCGACAGTCTGATTTCCTGAAATCCTTCTCCGTTTCATATTTGAATTCCGAAATTCCGAAATTCCGAAATAGTGCGATGCGATCTGCTTCGGCCGCAGCTTGTCCTTCGATGATATACTCTCATTCATATGTTCGCCCGTTTAGTTCTTCTCCCTCAGCTGCTGCTGCTGCTGCTGCTGCTGATCCCTATCTTCGACCCATCCGTTCGTTCGCTCGGACTCAGTTATCGCATCTGCGTGTCTTCGCCTCAAAACAACCGCGAAACACCCATCATCCGGATGGCGGACGTCTGCCGAATCCTTCGCGCAACCATCCCCAGATCTGTCCTTTCAGTCCGTCATTTTCTGTTTGGAACCCTATCAAGTTGTGGTTGACGACGTAGCCATGCTCTTGAGAATGTTCTGCACTTTTTGTGCATCGCAGAAAGAGCACCACCTAGGCACTTGAGAAGTTGTTCTGATCTGGAAGAGTTAGAGTGTTAGATTTTCGCAAGTCTTCAGAAGCGTTTTCATGGCTTCGTGAAGTAACAGTACTACCCCACGGCCCGGCATTTCATACATGCAACTAGCGGCTGTTTCAATTTATCTCCATAAATCGAACATGGAGCTTTCTGCTTTTTTGATAATAGTTCAATTGTATTTTGTTCTTCAGAATGAGTCGGGTTAGAGGTAAATGTAAGGTTTCTGTGAGAAGTTTCAGCTTCACAACTTCCAGTTCCCCGTTCACTTTGCCGGCTTGTGTACTTTTGTGCCCTAACAAAGACAACTTCTTCAAGAATCCACTCCAGGAACAGACCGAGTCCTTTCGGATGTGTCGGTGCCCGAGTAATCTCATCTCCGCCAACCGCAATCCGTGACCCCTTTCACCCGTTTTTCCCTCTTTTCTCTTTTTATTTCCCCTTCATCAACTTCATTTTTTGCGGTCCGCTCGCTCCTCCGTCCCCCTCACTCAGTCCGTCGCTTTCAGTACCTGTCCTTTATCTGGCCGCCCATCTACCGCCCGCCAACACCTTTCAAGCCGCACACGCTCTTTCGCCCACCCCTCCAACCGAAACCTTTCCTTCTCTCGAAGGTTCTCCCTATCACTTTTCATTCTTTTCCAGTTCGTCCCTCCTTCCCCTGCCTTTTCGTTTTCCTTGAATTCGCAACTCTTCCCCGATACTCTTCCCGCCCCTCCCCTCCCGAATATAAACCTCTTCCCTCTAAACCACACTTCCGCTTTATCAGTTGCTCCTCGCCGACTGTTTATCATCTTGCTGCGGTTGCACGAGAGACATTCTCTGTTTTGACGCTCGTTTTTTTCTTCAGCAGCTTCGTTCAGATGACCAACGTCTTCCATCATGTTCGCAATTTTATAGAGCAGCAGCCGGTGCCGGCGAAAGCCTTGGAGGTACGCAAACGAGCTGGAAAACAGCTTGGCTTGAGCGTTCTCAAGCGTACTTACCTTTTAGCAAATAAGTCTTTCGAGGTTTAAAAATGAATCACAATTGATCCCACCGTAACAGATACTGTAGATCTTCTGGATGAAATATTAAAGTAGCATGTTAGCGGGAACATTGTTTGTGCATGTTGCAAAACCGCAGTACCACTGATAACATGCCTCCCCCGCTCGTGAGCCCATCATACTTTTCACATGTACAACAGTTTTCCATCGAAAACTATGTGCTGACAAACACTTTCTTGTGGTTTTGCAGTCATTCTTATCAAGGGGTTACGGTATCTTTTCAAAAGGGAAACGAGAGTTTGAAATAAGAAAAAGTTAAGACCAATCGCTCTCTCAGCGACTATCAGGTCTGTCGGAGTTTGAGAAATGGCGAAACTACGTTAAATGGGAGAATTTTCAGAAGTCATCGTCTCCGAACATCCTCTACACCGCCCTTCCGAAGCATTGGAGGTCCAACAAATCGTTCCAAGAGCCATTTTACGTTGTGCTTCTCACGCCGGTCCCTGATAACACGGAAGGTAAACAGAATTCCAGTTCAAGTCCCTCTCAGAATCCTCCGTTTTCTCAGTATCGATCTGGGCCGGAAACGACGACAAACCATGCGAAGAAGTGCGAAACGAGAGGGCGAAAGTGCACCGGCAGGTCGCCAAATTCAACGATCTGCGGTTTGTCGGTCGGTCCGGACGTGGTGAGTCGGGGCCTTGACGCAAACGGCGACGAAGCAAATGGAGAGGACAAAACCGGGTTTTTGTGTTGGTTGCTGCCTGCTGACCGCCTGATTCATTGACTGCCTTTTGGAGAATACTGTAAGAGTATGGCAATTGGCAGACAGGGCGAGGAGGAGGAGAAAGGAGCGGCGAAAGGGATCTGAAAATGGGGAAGAGGGAAGCCAGATCTCTGTTATGATGACATCTAATCAGAGAGTATTCAAAAAGAAGCTGGCCCTAAAGGAATCCAATTATTCGCCTTTTTTTTCTGAAGGACTCAAAGTGCTTCTCATATTCCTAAGCACGAAATCTTTGTAGCCTTCTAGACTATGTTCCCTGGTAACCTTAAAACTTTGAAACTTTTCAACGACTCTAGAAAAATATAACATGCAAATCTATTTGACATCAGCTTAGTTCCATTCAATTCAAAATTCCGTACGAGGCAACCATTATTTCGAAATGGCGCTTTGTTCTTTTACTCATGTTTCAAAAGTAAACAGTACTTCTTACAAACACATTCCTTAACAGACTTAACCCATTGGTCTTATCTTTTCGCCCGATTCCATCCCTGCCCGCTCTTCTTCTCCCTCCGATCACTGTCCTTCCGCTTCCTTTCTTGACTCATCCTGTCCGCATTCTTTCAATCGAATCGCATTCGGATGCTCCGTTTGTCAATCAATCCAATGAAGTTAAGAAACGACATGTTTTCCGCTCGGATTCCTCGCCCATTAGTAATGGGATGACGACACTCGGGCGGCCCAATAAAACAAAACACACCTGGTCCTTCTCCGCCGCCGCCGTCTGACCGGAGTCCTCATTCTCCTCCGGAACACCTTTCGAAAATGTGACGGCGGAACATAAAGATGCGCGACAAATGCCCGCATTTTATTGTTTTCTCTCTGGGCGGCGGCGGCGGCGACATGGGATTTGGCGGCTCCCAATAAAACTGCACATTCTTGCAGGCCGAAAATTCCATTTGACAATCGTTATACACTCGTCGCCGATGATGGTGGCCACCGTTAAAAATGTGATCAAGGTGAGTGAGGGACCCGTCGATGCTACCGTATTCGCCGCTTATCTGATTAACCGCATGAGGGAAAACGGACTGAAAACAAGTATGACAAACGGAGGAAAGCGAAAATAAATGATATCAGCTTGTTATCGTCATTTCCACTACCTTTTCCGGCCCGAAACATTCTAATTTTGATAAGTTTAAAGTACCGATTGGGACAAACTATCAATCGCTGGTAAACCTCTGCATCTTTTGAGCAAGAGTAGAGTGAAAGTTGCAGAGGTTTACCCAGGTGTTACCAAATGTTTCGAGCGTTTAGACTCAGAAAAGCCCTCTCTCCAGCCCTGACAACCACAATAAAAAAACGTTTGCAGGTTACGGTAGATGGCCCGCGAGACGCCCGGATTCCGAAGACGATCGGAGGGAAACGGCCGGCCGAACAGCAGACGCCCTCGCTGTTTCCCTCGGATATCGTGGTCCCTCCTGCCCCGGTGAGACCCAACTCCCTTCATTGGTAATCCCTCAGTTCCAGATGCCGATTCCCATGATGCCCCATCCGTTCTGGCCGCTTCCGATCCCGCAGGCCCTTCCGTGAGTCGCTCCCATTTCAGTGTCTGTTCATCATCCTTTATGCTTTCAGTCCCTCGTTTTTCCCGCTCATTCCCAACGGTCCTCCTCATTTCCCGGCTGCGTTCTGGAAGTTTCACAGCGAATCGATGAAGACTCCGATCAAAATAAAGGCCGAACAGGAGAATGGTACTGTTTTGAATGCGTCCGTCCGTCGGCTGATTCTCCGTTTCTCAGAATCCCTCAACACTTCCACGTGCCTCTCTTCTCCGTCCGTTTTCATCACTCCGAGCTCCCTCGACAAGACGTTCCGCACCTTTTCGCCCGCCGAAATAAAACCATCTCCCACGTCGATAAATCTCATCCAGGACACTCCGGAATCGGTTCCTTCGAAACGTCGTCGGAATGCTTCGACCACTTCTTCAAATAGTTCGTCTCCGACCATCTGGAGACCCTTCTGAATTCGACCACTCGTTCATTTTCATCTCATTTCTCTACCTCCATAGTCACTTGCATCTTTATAATCTTCTCATTTCTGAATACGCTTACGGGTACACTACGGTTTTCCGTTTTTCGAATGAAGTATTTTCCCAAATCAAACATTTTATCCAAAAGGACAGGTGATTGGGGGCGGCAATGGGTTCCTACTAGATAGGTGCAATTAGAACAATTATATAAATATTAAATAGGAAGCTTTCGATAAAAAGAAACGATAAAAAAGATAAAACGTTACCTTACATTCTGCTTGTGTACATCAAATGAGGTAAAACGCATTGACCATACTACAGATTGAGAAGCTGAGGGGGACGAGGAAATTACTGGAAAAGGGAGGGGACGAATGGTATATGAATGGGGAGAAGGGCTAGGGGGAAGAGTGCGAACTGCGGATGACTTCTGACGGATCACGGAGTAGAATTATGGCATAAGATGCATGTGAAACAAAGTAATAAAGGTTAGGAAATCTCTAACAAAAACAGATATGAACGGAATGGAGGAACTTCCGAAACAAGGGGATTTGGTTAAAAACAAGAGAACTTGGATGAGGGTGCGGCCCGGGGCTGATAACTTACAGGACACAAGAGAAAACGAAATTCACAGATGAAAAAGGGACTAGCGAGGGAATTGATTTGCAATCTACTGGGCGTAGTTGTGGGGTGTTGGAGAACACATGAAAGATGGGTGGTGAGAAGCATTCGGCGAGACGTCGTAGGCCATCGGCTGAGCCATATACCCGTAGTAGACACTGCGACCGTAGTACGGCAGCTGCTGGGAGATATTTCCGGATGAAGAGTGCGTCGGGGACCCGAAGTAGGCCGGTGGAGTGAGGAATGCGGCAGAGTTGGTGTAGAAGCCAGGCAGCGAGCTATCCGTGCTATCTGGAAACAAGCGTTGAGTTTAATACTATTTCTGTGGTTTCACTTTTCTGAGGGCTCATGACCGGAGTGTACATAGCTGACGAGGTGTGGAAATCAGTGCGGCTGCCTCTTTTCGAGCTCGATTCGTTCGATGACGGAGTCATTGGAGGTTCGTAAACGGAAGGAGACATAACACATTGCTGGTTGCCCGGAACGTAGCCGTATAGAGCGGAGAGGGTAGTTGTCTGCGGAGCGACGATCATGGGAAAGGCTGTAATGAAAGGGATGTTAAAAATAGCGATTCAACGAATGAAAGTACCTGGTGTGAGAATGTGTGCGAACTGTGAACTTGACTGATTGGAGTGTATCCCAGTTTTGACGGGCGAGTTGCTCGATAGATGCGAGCGTCGGGGAGGTCCTGGATAGGCCTTCGAAGCCGACGAAGGAACGATCACAGGCACGTGCACATCCACGTCACTGTCTTTTCCGTGATCAACTGCCCAGCATGAGTGGCAGTAGTACTTGAAGCAGTTGCGATTCCGGCAGAAGCAGTGAGCGGGCTCCGAGCTGCAAACCATGCAGCATGTGCTCTCCAGGAACGGGTCAATCTGGACACGCTTCCGGAATTTGCTCGTGTGCACGTGGAGGTATCCTATTTCTATGGCTTTGAAGTAAGCGCCGTGCTCTCGGAAAGTCACTCGTCCGCTGCCTATCGGATACTTGAACTTGTCGGTATCCAGTTGAACGCATTCGACACTTCCGAAGCAGTCCTCCATTATTGCATGCAGCACTTGAGCAGTCATCATTCCGTGCAGTGCTCCGACGAAAACAGTTCTCTTCGGTTCGATTCCAGTCTCGAGGATACTTTCGTCGTCGCAGAATAGTGAATCGGAAGTAACCCAAGGAATGATTTGAACCTGAAAATGATATGAGTGTCAACTTTTAAGATGGAGCTTGGGAGGTTGGGTTTACCTGGCGGATTTCGGTTGATTTGGAGCGCTGAGCCCTTATTTTGAAGTACCATTCCCCGGCGCCTCCGATTTCCTGCGAGCACTCGTGGAGCAACGCAGCAACAGCTCTCTCGTCTTCGAATATCATATAGACGTATCCGGTAGCCGCTTGACCAGCAAACTGAATGAATTTTTGCTGAGATTTGGGGAATCTCTGAACTCACCTTCGACTGATTTCTCGTGTTTCCGTTCGATGACATTCCGGACTGTCCACTTCGATAACGAGCTTCCTGTCCTGGCCATTCCACAGCACACGACCCGAATTCACCGAATGAGTCTTTCAGCGCCGCTTCGGTGATATCCCATGGAACGCCGCCAACGAAGATTTTGCGAGAGAAAGTCGGACTCGTGTAGTCTCTCGGAGGAAGTTCTCCGTGCCACGAAGCACTCGAATTCAAGGGAGCATCGGATGAACGGGCCAAGTCCCTGGATAGCATTCTTTTCTTGTTCGGCGAGTCATCGTTCGTCGAAATGAAGAGGCCGCGCGTCGTTCTTTCTTGTAGGGACGAAAATTTCTCAGGAGAAGAGCTCGAAGAGGAAGAGTACGTCTTATCCGGAGATGAATCGGGCGTTTCGAGGGATCCGCGCGGATTACGAGCCACCTTGTTGACCGGCACCGGGACTCCTCTCTGCGTGACAATCTTCTCGTATTCACGAGTCATTGCGGCCACCACTCTGTTACGCTGAACCTCCGTTTCGGGTTTGTACTCCCCATCTCTGTTCTGGAAGTTCAGACGACGAGCCGATTGCTTCCGTTGTGTGGATGGAGGCTTTTCTGATTCGGACGTCTTCTGAGAAGACCGACCAAACATACTCAACCGGCCAGACGATTCGGAGTGTTTTCTGTCCGTTGAACTGCGTGACGGAACAAACTTTTTGAGTAGTTTTCCAGCGGAAGACAGTGATTGCTCTTCGTCGGACCTCGGACTCTTTTTGTTGCCCACAGTCAGCATCTGCAGCTTTCTGAGGAATCCGTTCTTCTCATCCGAAGACAGCTGAGCGAATCCAACATTCACATTTTCCTCGTCCGTGGAACGCCTCTCATCAGCTTTTCGATACTTTTTGAATAGTTCGCAGACAGAAACAGGAGCCGGCGATATCTGAGTTGGAAAACTTTAATAAACATTCTCAGTTCAAATTCTCATGCCTCTCCAGTCTCCACAATCTGCTCGAACTTCAGCGGCGGCGGAGTTTTATTTTTCTTGTCGACATCACGTTTCTTCCCCGGAAATACCGTCTCAATAGATTCTTCAGTGACTTCAACGTCATTGACGTTGTTCTCAATCATTTCCAGTGAGTGGGTGCTATATACACGGCCGGCGACCTGAAAATTCGAAAAAATAGGACATGCCGATGGAAACTCATAGATTCCGGTGATAGGGAGCGCCAGCATTCAAGAAACGCAGAATGAGATTTGAAAAAATCAACAAAAAGATGTTTAAATGTGAGCATTTTACACGTATGGAAAAAACTAACAACATATCGGAGGAAGAAAGCGCAAAATTATCTTTTTTTTAATTTAAATTTTGAGTGCGGCCGCAGGCTCTGCACTATACCTTACGGCACGGGCACACTGTTTTCAAACGACCGTAAGATTTGAATTTTTAGAAATTTAGCAACGAAGATTTACAAAAAAAAACGTACATTTAGACTGATAGAAATAATGGCGCCCTCGATTTTCAAGCCCAAAGTTTGTCGGAATTTCTGCCGCCGGCGCGCAGATGTCAAATGTGTAGGTCAACATTTTCGAGGAAACGGTAGGTCAAAAGAAATGAATTTCCACGAAAACTATTTTTTGTATCTTTTAAAAAACTAAAGTTTTAGTGTTTTTTTTGTTTTTATTCACTCAGATCTCACTGAGTTTTCTCAAAAAGTTTTCCTTTTTATGTAATGGAGATTGGAGTCGTGGAAGTTTTGGCAAAAGCGGCATTGCTATCTCTTTCCCACTACTATGCTCAATTCGATGATATCCACTTTGCTGCTGTCATGCTTTCTCCACGAACGAAGAAAATGACTATGTTCTCTTCAGAAGACGTGAAGCGTGCAAAAAGTGTATCCATGGCCTGCTTCCAATAGATCCCACGCCACCAAAAGAAGTGAAAAAAGCTGAGAAAACGGATATAATTGAATCACTATATCAATCTGTGAGCGACACCCCCGAAGATCACAATGAAATTGATGAACTCAATTCGTAAGCCTCAATATTTTTTACATAATCGATGTGTTAATGTTACAGATATCTTGGCGAGTTCACAGTTTTGTCAGAAACTGTTGAGGATTACTGGAGAAAGAAACGAAACGAGTACCCGACGTTATATGAAGTTGCTGCTCAAGTTTTTTCAGTAATTCCAAGCGAAAGTGTATGTGAAACATCGTTCAGCACTGCCGGATACCTACTTGACAAAAGAAGAACACGACTTCGTTGCGAAAAAGCGGAACATGTAGTGCTCGGAGCACAAATTGCTTCGAAATATCCAAACTGGATTGAGGGAAACTCTGCGAGTGTTGCATAAATATCCCATTTGTTACTTTTCGTTGTTTTTTGTTAATTGTTCTTTTTCTAATTGTTTCTTCTTTGTTTTTTTTTGCTATTATGAATTTTTTATGAGAAATGCATTTGTTTTTCAATGTTCGATGCTCGCAAAAAACCCCTAATTCTACAAAAAATGGCTTCATGCGATCAATAATTCAAATGTTGAATTCCCGCTTTTTGAACCGGGCCGACGGGCCGGGCCGGGCCGGAGTTTTGGAAATTTCGGCCCGGCCCGGCCCGGCCCGTGGCAACTATGGTTTATATTGGAACCAGATGGCGTGACGATTTTGTTCCCCTTTCTACGGTATGTTACATTGATGCGAATATGTATTGTATTGTGTTTAGAATGAGAGCAGTGAAGCTATAATTTTTTACATGGGATTAATTGTGGGACTTGGAAAGAGTTCAAAACTGCAGCCATTGTCGACTTCTGCATGGGTGTAGAACGAAAGAATTCGAAGAAACACTTTTTGCCAGACTTGCCAGATTTCGGGCCGGCCATGCAAGCCGGGTCGGTGAAGTGCCGGCCCGGCCCGGCCCGGTCGGCCCGGTTCAAAAGGCGGGAATTCAAATTTTCGCGGAAATTTGTTTTTTGTTATTACAAAAAAAATTTTCGAACTAAAGTTTTAGTGTTTCTTCTTTGTTTTTTTGCTATTATGAATTTTTTATGAGAAATACATTTGTTTTTCAATGTTCGATGCTTGCAAAAAACCCCTAATTCTACAAAAAATGGCTTCATGCGATCAATAATTCAAATGTTGAATTCCCGCTTTTTGAACCGGGCCGACGGGCCGGGCCGGGCCGGAGTTTTGGAAATTTCGGCCCGGCCCGGCCCGGCCCGTGGCAACTATGGTTTATATTGGAACCAGATGGCGTGACGATTTTGTTCCCCTTTCTACGGTATGTTACATTGATGCGAATATGTATTGTATTGTGTTTAGAATGAGAGCAGTGAAGCTATAATTTTTTACATGGGATTAATTGTGGGACTTGGAAAGAGTTCAAAACTGCAGCCATTGTCGACTTCTGCATGGGTGTAGAACGAAAGAATTCGAAGAAACACTTTTTGCCAGACTTGCCAGATTTCGGGCCGGCCATGCGGGCCGGGTCGGTGAAGTGCCGGCCCGGCCCGGCCCGGTCGGCCCGGTTCAAAAGGCGGGAATTCAAATTTTCGCGGAAATTTGTTTTTTGTTATTACAAAAAAAATTTTCGAACTAAAGTTTTAGTGTTTCTTCTTTGTTTTTTTGCTATTATGAATTTTTTATGAGAAATACATTTGTTTTTCAATGTTCGATGCTTGCAAAAAACCCCTAATTCTACAAAAAATGGCTTCATGCGATCAATAATTCAAATGTTGAATTCCCGCTTTTTGAACCGGGCCGGGCCGGGCCGGGCCGGGCCGGGCCGGAGTTTTGGAAATTTCGGCCCGGCCCGGCCCGTGGCAACTATGCTTTTTGCAAAGATTTAATACAAAGCTAGCGTGGGATGACCGATCTAAAGAAGTGTTTGAAAGTACTTCAAGGTAAGTGGACGCAACCATAGAAGATTGAAATTTGCTTAAATCTGATTTCTTGTTTTATTTAGAAAGGAACGCCTTGATATTGCTAAAAAATGGCTCGAGAAGTGGAGCTTCATACAAAAGATCAATGAAGCTGATAGTTGTATGACACAATTAAAAGATGACCTGAAAAAAGAATTCGCAACAAAATTCAGAGGATATGATACCGACGAGGATGACGAGATTTACAACTCTGGTAAAATTGAAAACTTTCCTCAGCCATTTTCAAACTTTTCTAAACTTTCTCAAGACAAAAAACTTTTCTAAGAAATTCTTAAACTTTTTCAAGCGGTCAAAACTTTTCCAAGGATTTCTCAAACTTTTTAAAGAAATTCTTAAACTTTTCTAAGCAATTCTTAAAAGGTTTTGAGCTAAAACTTTCTTAAACTTTTCTAACCCATTCTCAAACTTTTCTAAGCCATTCTCAAACTTTCCTAAGAAGAGTTTTGACGAGTAGTTTCCTAGGCCACGACCACGTGGACAACAGTTTTTTCTGGAAACTTTTCACTGTTTTTCCCAATTTCTTCGGTTTTCAGCTGCTTTTTCGCATTTTTCGGTCTTATTACGCTTATAATTAAATAGTTCGATTGTTTTCACTAGTTTTCACCGAATTACGCGCCAGAATAGAGGTGTTTGCGTGAAAAATTGTAGGATAGGCCTAAAAAATGCACTTTTTTTTCGAAACAATCTTATTTTCACCGCTTTTTGTGCATTTTTTCAATTAATTACCGCAATCGGCAATGTTTTCAGTCTCTCTTTCTGAACATTTCACTTTACCGAACGTCCGCGGCAATTTTTCCCTAGTTCTCTCAGCTGTCATGCATTTCGAAATGTTTTCTTCCATTTCCTTCTACATTTCACACTTTTTCCAGTCAACGATCGCTACGGAGACATCGGCGGCCGACGAAAACGACTTCAAAAGTCGACTGCACAAGAGGAAAAGAGGATTTGTGGTATATGAAAGTTGACTACCAATCCGCACGGTATTTCCCCACTTTCAGTAGTACAGAAATGCCCCCGAAGAAGCGATTTCGTTTGTCCGGTCAGAAGATCCTGGAAATGTGCGCTCGACGAGGTAACAAAGCATCAATTCATATTTGCGGAGAAACGGAGAAATTTTCACAGAGATACCTCCTGCTGCCATTGAGCCAACCGCTTCCACAATCAGCGACGCTTCTTCGCACTTCGGCGACCACTTCTCATACGACGTGGACCTAACTTTTGACGACTACGAGCCAACTCAGTTTGATGTGAAAGCGAACAGTGGCATCTCGGATCTCGTTGACAACACGTGTCAGGAGGTGCTCGATGACTTTGAGCCGAGAGAAAGGAGTAAAACACTTGCGCACCGTGTGTCGCACATTAAGTTTGGCCTAAACATAGCAAAAGCTCCAGCAGAGTCTTTGCAAGACGTGAAAGTAGGCAGCCAGTGGTACGTACGCTGTACAACGTTTTCAGGAGCAGTGGAAGAACGTGATGCCCGATGGAATTGTCGATGACCTCAGAAGAATCGTTGTAAAGACCAAGGGGACTCTCGAGTGCGAAAAGTGGGCGTCAATGCTCGGATGCACTGCTTATCTGATCAAGCGGGACGAGTGCCGGCAGAAAGAGCACGACGAGATGGCCGCGAAATTCCGTCAAATGCAAGTGCAGTTGATGAGCATCCGCGACAAGACGTCCAACGTTCTGACTATTTCGGAGATGCCGAATCCGATGGCCAAACTCAACCCTTCTCTGTACACAGGGACCGCCGTTCTTCTGAAATCTCCAGTAGACAGTAATAATAAATAGTATCCAGGAATCGCGTACAGTTAATAATTGCAGAATCGACTATTAACATTTCCGAAATGTTCGACAAGGAGGGAACGAGAGCTGCGCGCCTGAAGAAGATTGTCTCCCATTGCACAGTTCGTCTGCTCAAGGCGGTAAGTCACATTTAAAGATTAGATGAAGGGGGAAATACTTATACAAAGTAAAGTCCTAGTGACTGACGAAAAGTTTTCTTCCCGAATCAGGTGAAGACGACAATAACTAAACAACGTTCAGATTGTACCGCAGCATCTCATGGGCACTTTCTCAACCGCCGACAACCCGACCGCACTCGACAAGTATCCGGAGAGCCACGTCAAAGACTTTTCCGGTGAGTTTCGTTGTACTCCGAAATAAGTGTGAACAAGCAGAACGCTTCATAGATAGGTTCATTTCTAATCGTTTTAGTTAGTATCGGAAAAGAGAAGTCATAAAATTCACCAAAAATGAAGTGAATTTGTGCGAACTGATGTATGATAATAAATTCATTGCAGATTACCTGCAGGAAATCGTGCGCATTGTACCCGCGGAGGAGGGAAGTGTGAGCCCAGAAGACTTGAAGTTCCTGATTCCCGAACTAGTGAAGTCTCAAATGAAATCACAGTTGTACGGGAAATTGAGAAATCAAAGAGATTAAGTTCAATTTTCAGCAAAAACGCGCTCAATTCGGGAAGAAAGGCCAAGAAGAACGCGAAACGGACAGCCCACAACAGCCCGAGCACAAGTTCCGAGCACAGTGATGCATCCACTTCGAACCCGCCCGGCAAATAGTTCAATGTTGCCGATACTACTTACTCTTTTCCGTTCTTATTTCTTATGTTGTCACTGTTGTTCTGTTCCACCGTTGTTACTCTCCATAAAATCCAGTTTTTCAATAAATTCTCACTTTTTCCAGCCTTTCTCAAACTTTACTAAGAAATTCTTACTTTTCCGAGAAATTCTTAAGCTTTTCCAAGAATTTCTCAAACTTTTTCAAGAACTTCTTAAACTTTTCCAAGCCTTTCTCAAACTTTCGTAAGCGCTCAAAACTTTTCTAAGAAATTCTTAAACTTTTTCAAGCCTTTCTTAATCTTTTTCAAGCCTTTCTTAAACTTTTTCAAGCCTTTCTCAAACTTTCCTTAGAATTTCTAAAGTGGCGCCTCGAAAAGTTTAAAAAAGTTTGAAAATGGCTGAGGAAAGTTTTTTTTTACCAGAGAATGCTTAAGTAACAGATGACTTGACAACATACAATGATTTGTTAAAGAGCAATGTGGAGACTTTTTTGGAATAAATTTGGATTATGTAAGCCTTACTTATGCGTGTTTGTGGAAATGGGTTAATTTTGGAGTGTCCCAGGTTTTTGAAAATAGTCTGATACGATAATTTGTCTAATTTTGACGTTTTTTAGATTTGGTGTGTAAAAATTGATGTTGGCCTCAGGACTGTAAATTGCATTTATTTAAGCATTATTTTTATTCAAAATGTTAGCGCACTATTTCGACCGTTTTGACCATGGATTTCGACCACATTTTTAAAGTAGCGCATTTCGACATTTTGACCATTTTTGAAAATTGTTGAAAATGACAAATTTTTGAAGAGTTAAGACACAAAATCAATGAAAATAAGCCTTAAAATGGCTTAAAATGTGTAAAAATTGAGGATGGGCGAAAAGGTGCGCTAGAACGGCAAAATATATATTATTGTTATTGCAGTTAATAATCGAATATTTAGGGGATTTGAAAAGTAAATGCGAATAAATAAAACAGTTGAATCCATTGAACAGAATGGAAGTTCAGAAAAAAAGGCTATTCACGAGAGTTCACGTTCAAGAATCGGCGGGCACAGAAACTCTTCCGGGATTCAGGTCGACGGGGAATCCGTGCTCTTCCATACTGGCTATCACCATCTCTTGCTTCGAGTCTGCGTGGACCGTCTTCGGAAGCATTTGGATCGTCAACGTCTTCGTCAGAAAAATGCGACTGGGCACGAGTCCGTACATAGTTGGGAGAGGCATTTCCATCAAATCTTCATCCGGAGCAGTGTCGATTTGTCCGACTATGAACTTTATGCGATCGCGGAACTCCACATTGTAGTACTTTATGAGATTGACTGTCATTTTCGGACGAACAGGCGCCTCGATCCGTTCGAGCACCGTTTCCTTCGTATTAACTGGAATCTTGTTGCCCACGTCGTCGATTTGATCGCAGTGGATGGTGACGTTCCGGTAGACGAACGTGGCATCCTTGGCTTGCCGTCTGTACTGGGCAATAATCTCGTTGAACGTGACTTTCGATTGGTTGAGTCGCATTACGACATAGACGCAGCAGAGAAGAATCTGATCAAGATGACGGTCCATGAGAATAAGAGGTTCATTCCGGATGAGGTAGTCGAACAGAGACCAGCACTGCGACTTCTGACGATTATTCATGATTATTCGGTCACCAAACTCTTGGAGACGACGGGCGGCGGTGAAGTAAACCTGAAAACTTTTCAATAAGAAAAAGAAGTTGCAATCGTTCAACGCACTCGTTTCAAGAATATCCGCAACGTTCTTGACGTCTGATTCTGTGGAACAATCGGCCGTCCGAGCTCGTCTCGCAGTTCATCGTCGTCGTCTATATCCGGCTTTTTGAGAGGAGTGAATTTGAATGGAGAATAGGTGTTCACTGAAAGAACAAACAGATAATTAGATATACATATTCTTCTCACATTTATCCGCCCAATCCTCTCCAAACTCTGAAAAATGCGAAAGCGGATAACGGACTATCATCGGCCACAAAGGACTGTCGCACTTCCAGGCGTAATACTCGATCACACTCTCTTCGATTCGATTGAAGTGCCGAACGATCGCACGACTCAACCTCTTCTCGTGCGAAATCATCAGGTCGATAATTTTGTGGAACTGGAACGGATGACAGTTGCAGAGTTTCGCACTCCACGGGAACGCTCGAGAGTATCCATTCGAGAAGAGAATAAGTTCGACACAGAAACAGAAGACGGAGTCGAGAAACTCTTCCCGTCGGAGCACAATCAGAAGATCTTCCTCCCGCACTTTCTTCTTGAGCTCATTCATCAAAATCTTCTCCATATAAATAAGGAAGACCTTCTCGAGATCTCTGCGTATTCCGGCATGATATCTGTTCATCGCCGTCTCTTCCCTCGTTTCTCCGATTTCCGACGCCAGCTTCTGCTCAAACTTTTGGGTCATTTCGTCTGACTTTAAGAGCAGAGTGGCCATCGGATTATCGCACATTTGTTCGCACATTCTGGAAAGGCGTTTATTCAGAAATAGGCTATTTTGCCTGCGTACTCACTCTTTCAGTTTCGACGACTCTAGATGCCATCCGTCAATTATTTTCTTCACTCTCATTTGCGTTTCAGACGCATTCTTGTCCTCTGGATACGCCCCAAGATCCAAATCGAATTCGACCAGCGGCACTCTCGGCTGTTCTTTCGCCTGTGCGAGTCTCTCCGGACCCGTCTTCTGCTGCGAAATGGATAGTTTCTCCAGGCACTGTCGGTTGGTGATCTTGTTCAGGAAGACGGCTTCTGTGAATTCCTCTCCAGACTTCGACTTTTTCAATGCATTCGAAGCCAGAAAATCCCTCGCGTCAGTGTAGATTTCATGGAACTTATTGACGCACGGAATAAAGATTCTCTCGTCAACGTTTCCACGAAGTAGCAAGCATTCGTCGTAGGCGTTCTTTGTGCCCTCTCTGCAAAAATTGACGATGAACGAGAAAAGGAGGGAACGACAACTTACATGATTTCCTTTCTGGACTGTTTGAAGTCCCACGTGGACGGAATTCCCACTTTCGGAAGCTTCTTGTAGGTGTGATCATAAAAATGGCGAGCATCGAGCAGGCCGCCTCCGAATTGATTGCACAGTGCTCGTATTATAGTACTGTCAGTGTCAATGAGGTTATTCACAAAGTTCTGGTTCAAATGATGCACAATTCCATCTTGAAGTGAGCACATTTGAGTGTAGAACTGGTCGAACATCGAGAACATCATATAGTAGTTGGAGACTAGGTCGTCCACGGGCAGCCGTCCTCTCATGATCAGAAAAGACGTCCAGAGAACAGTGAACAGTTCATGGGAAGAGGGCGATTGATCGGTGGCGTTTTTGACTTCAACGAACATACTGCAGTAGACTTTGATAAATTTTTTGAAAAGGATGACAGTGACGGCGAGACCCTCCTGGATGCGTCGGAAGAAGTCGTGGAATCGACGGGACTTGCGGGAATGTATCATCTCGATAAACCGATAAGTCTTGTCGAGCAGCTCCATTACGGAGACGTCAAAAGATTGAGCGATAGTCAGCATGGAAACGGGAAGCGGTTGGATGAAGAGGCGACTTGCTTTGCCGTGTCTTTTAACTAGTTTCGAGAGGAAGAAGTAGTAGATGGAGGCGAGTTGCCATGATTTCTCGGGACCCTGAAACATCTGGATGCATTGTTTGGCAACTGTCAGAACATTTCTCGATTGAAACAGACAATTTGACTAATCTTTCATTTCAGTTTGCACATCATTAATCATTCATTCAATGCGAGTAGTTGTTTTGGGACTCCCTACTAGTCTCTGCCTACCTCGAGCGACACTCGTTGAAAAGCGTGGTGATACAACTCCCAGGAGCCGATGACGACGTCTTCCGGCAGATTCGCGGCGGCACAGAATTTCAGGAAGGAGTTGGTCGGCGCTGGAATCTACAAAGATTCTTTTTTCGAGTCGAATCGCTGCTTCGTGATCTTACATCAGTTTTGTCAATGATACTCTCCGTGTCGTAGTCATCGTCTTCTTCGTCTTCCAACGCGGCCATCGGTGATCCAGAAGTTTCTTCCTCTTCATCTTCGTCTTCTTCTACTTCTCTCTTCAGATGACGATGATTTTCTTCAAGAATCAGTGCTCCGCTCTGCTCAATGTTTTCTGAAAAGAGAAGTTGCCATCATCTTTTATCACCAGTTTCCCTGATAAGCTCTCCTTCTTCCACTTTTTCCCCCATTCTCCCTGTAACCTCCTATTTTCTGCCAACTCATTTTCTATTGAAATCGGACACCGTGTGCGACTAAACGAGAGAGGGCTGTTGTGCTCCGTTGACTCATGTCCCATATATACATATATATATATTATGTATTTTTTCCACACAATATTCCCAAAATGCCCCCATCCACCAAACACTTTCATATTCCCGAGCGCCTCTCTCTCTCTCTCTCTCTCGTTTTATGCCCCTTCTCCCTTGTTCTTTCTATTTTGCTTAACCGTTTTTTGTCGTTTTATTCCCAATTCAATTTTTTTGACTCGAACCAGTCTTCCTGCACTTACAGCTGATTTCAATGCTCTCCTCCGCCCTCCTCCTCGCCCCCCTTGCCCTTATTTCTCCACTTTTCTCCAATATTTGCCCAACACACGTAGTATCACCTCCGCTCCGTCGACCATATCAGTCGTCACTCGTCTCCTTCTCCCCTGCTTTCCCCTCTTTTTGTAGGCACAAGCCGACCGCGTATTGATTCCAGGAACCACATGCCTCCTCAAGCCGAACCGTCCCTTTCACAGGCCCAACGAATAGCTGCCGAGCCGGAGCCTCGGGTGCTCTGCGGGCTCCCGATCGGAGTGAGTTACAGTACTCTTTCTTGGAGGAGATTAAAGACATTTCCAGGGCGCCGTGGGTATACTGGGCTCAATACTGATGATTTGTCAGATTTTTGGGCTTTTTTATCTTTCGCCATTCATGCTCTACTTTTTCGAAATTTCAATCGGCTCGGCGATGATGTTCATTTTGTCCACAGGTGCCAAGCACAGAAAGATCGCCTACGTCACTGCGTACATGCTGTATATAGTAAGCGAAACATACTTTCACAACAGAACATGGTTTTGTTTTAGTCTATGTACACATTCTGGGTGTTCTTCCTGATCTTAGGAGCAATTTTGGCAACTGTCTACTTGGTTGACAACAATAATAACATTTGCAACCCAAGTGAGCTCTGTGCAAAGAGGTGCAAAGAGACTTACAATATAAACTATTCTAGCACACACTGCGAATACCTCCACTGCAAAAGGATGCATCGAAACGAAGTTCACGACTGGAGACGTCGAGATGGTTATCATCTCGTGCTTCTTTCTCACTGTCAGTATCATCGTGGCCATTGTTCAGATGAGATATCTCATGATACTCTACAACTTTCTCAGAAGAAATGCGTACAGATTGTGAGTACCTTTTTCGTTGACCCCATTTAATGTCAATTATTAGACCGGCGCATCACGCCTCCAATTACAATGTCCAGTACATCGTTCCCACTCCGATCAGTCCCAGTGGAATGCCACCACCGCCGAGATACACTGCTCATGCTCCACCAATGCCCATGCAGCCGGGAACCACAACCAAACAGCCGATACCAACTGACAATGATCCGACTGGAAGCCGCAATGGGTCTATCGTTCTGTCTCCGACGCCAATTTTGACGGCCACCAACGTAGGCGTTCTTTCTGTTCTGGGCCGCGTTCCAACTTCTTGGATATCCGTTGTAGTGTGGACGGAAAATACATAGAACACTCATTGCCTAGGGACAGTTTGACTTGATGGAGAACACTCGCTCAAATGATAACGTGCAGAAGATGGGAGAAAGTTTTTCGTGTTTTGTGTGGGAATTACAAATTTATGGAGGGGACCACTATGGCATAGGCCAGAATTTACAGTGAACGCTAGTGTAAAAAGCAGTAGCGGATTATATAAGCTTGCGAAGACTTCACCGGGTGACCGAACTTGTTTTCCAGCCTACCCCATCACCTGGAGCTGACAACCTTGCTTTCGGAGATGACGATCTCTCCCGTTCCCGTGCTCCGTCGCGCCCTCCAGCCTACAGTGACGTCGTTGAACCCGGCCATATCACTGTCCGCAACGACGCTCTTTCCTAATTCCATTCTCACCATCTCGCCTCGTTTACCCACATTCCCCGTGTATAATATGCTCCCTACTTGTGTGCAATGAATATGAACAAATTCGACATTTGCTGCTGTTCTTTCCTTTCTTGCTCGTCAGGTGATTCGCTCAATAATTCACCTGCTCTCTTATCGTTATGAGAGGTTTCGCAACTGATAAAATTGGGAAGTTCGTTGGGAGAAAGGAGAGATTCAGCGGTGAAATTTGAACCGTGAGACAACAAGTCGGAATCAGACTAGAATAGAAGAGCAATCGAGGAATCGTTCGCTATAAAGTTTCGAAATTTGTAGCCAACATGTTTTCAGTGTTTCTGTTAGAAGTAGTAAAACTAGAAAGCAGGGACTCACCTTGTTTTATTTCCGGATTGAACTTTTTGGGAACCGGTTCCCCAAAGCTACCAGATAAGTGCTGCTCATTTAGAAGAAGCGTATCGTCGGTCGAACTTCCTGAAATATGGTTTGATTGAACAAAGATAACAATCATATGATTGACAAGATATTATGATACGTCCCTGTCATGCCCAACGGATTCTTACATAGCGGAATAGCAATAACTTTGGTTTTCGTTTTAAATTTATTCATGTTTGTTGTTGAAAACACTAATTTTGGGGAATGGGCAAAAATAAACTAACACTTTAATGGCAGTTAATAACGAATCCCGAATACTTTTTCCTTTGGAAAATAATTTTGAAAATACTGACCAGAATCCGCGTTTGACGTTCCGGGCTCACCAGAAGCAGGAGCTCGTTTTGGCATAGTTCAATCGATAATTCGTCAAAAATCGACCTTTGTAATGTGAGGCGTCGAGGCGAATAATCGCGATCTGACTGCGTTTTTTCAAGACTCCGCCAATTTTCCGCAAAGCGCGCGTTCGATTTGTTCTCAATAGAGCGCGTTTCCACGCCTCTAGCACAGCCTGGCGGCCGCTCTTCCACCACCATCTAAACTTTTCTCGGCACTTCTCGGACAATCGTGACTTTTTGCACGGTGACGTCATCAATCAGATCAATGGCTTATGCTCTGGACGTCACCAAACCAGAATTCGACGTGGAAGCCTATATGGTTAAGTGAGTCGTTGAATAGTTTTCAGTTAAATTTCTCCTTGCTGACCCAGTCCTATCAACCAGTTCGTACATTTATCACGGTCCATTAGAGTCGAATGATAACATCAATCGATTCAATGTAACTTACAGAATTCTAAAAGAAAAGTCACTGAATGAATTGGTCAAAGAAGAAGAATCGATGGTTTCTGCCGTACGGAGACTCGACTCGGACGTGCATCAGATCGTGTACGAGAACTATAATAAGTTCTTGACGGCCACGAATACTGTCCGAAAGATACAAGACGAGTTCACACAACTCGATTCGGTACGTTTTTGTGTTCTTCAATTCTGAATTCTGAGTCCTCACTTTCAGGAGATGAAGTCGTTGAGTCAAAGCATGCAAACAATATCTTCGTTGATTGGAAACTTGGACGGTGTGCTCGGAGAGAAAAGAGATGACATCTTGCAGCTGGGAAGCTCGTACAAAGTGGTGAACAGTCTGAAACATATCTTCGATCTGCCACTTGTTCTTCAGGTATAATATTCGTACGTTCGGTTTCTTCATTCAAAAAAGATTCTTTCAGAGTGAATTTGACGAGCGAAACTACGGTGAAGTGCTTCGAATGTTCAAGCTGGCCGAAGAATCCCTTGAGCAGTACAAAGATGTTCCGACAGTTCAAAGTGTTCTGGAGAAGAGCCGAAAAATATACGACATTACTGAGAAGCAGCTGATGGATCAACTCAGAAATCCCGCTTCTGGTGCCGAGTTCGTTTCGGAAGCGGTCGATCTTCTGTTAACGATCGGAAGGGACAAGGATGAAGTGCAGAAGATGTTGCTCACTTGCTCGGAACAATCACTGAGAGTAGATCTGAAAGATTTGCAACAAAATCATGCGGATGTGCTTGATTTAGTGGACCGAGCATCGGAGAGTTTCATCCCGAATCTCACTCTGATTGCCACCACGCACGATCGGTTATTCGAAGAGAAAAGAGACGAGCTTTTAGCCGTATTGCAGACGGAAATGAATTCGCTTCACGCGCTCGTTTCTAAAGTGTTCCTCTCCTCCAGCGACGCCAAGGATTGCTCCATTGTCGTCCGTGCTCTAGACCGATACTTCCGAAAGATTTCCACTTGTCGTCACGTCATTCCGGGACTCGACTTCCTTCCGCTCACAATCGAACTCATAAACGAAGTTTCCGAGCATGAAATTGATCTATCATTGACACGGATAAAGGAAGAGCTCCGAAGTTCGTTAAATGACGTTCGGAAGGCGTTGGTAAACGAAGAGAAGGATCTGTCGGTGCTGGTGAGCAAGATAGAGCAAGTGTTCGTGCACCAGGTGAAGGTGAAGTTATATCCCCGTGGCCCCGTTCCGACGGATTCACTTACAGACCGCTCTCGCCAATCTTCTTTTGTTCACTGCAAGCGATGTCACCTTTGCCACGCTGCCTCCAGATGAATTCCGTCAATCGTTCGCTCTGAATGCACATGAACGTCTTCTCGTTCAGGCATTCCATCGATTTACTGAGTTAGCTGATGAATACGGTAATTGAAAACGTCTCTCTATCTTTTACTTCTCTCTCATTTTCCAGAGGCGGGCGCTGGCAATATTCGTTTTGTGGATCCGCGAGTCCTTCTCATCTTTGCCGTTGCCCTCCAGCACCTCTCCAATAAGTCGGCCACGTACCTTCTGAACCTCTGCCGAGAACAGTTCTCATTGACTCCAGATGACGGGCTCACAGACATTACCGTCGTGACCGCCGAAGTCAAAACGAGAGCCCAAAAGTTGATCCGTTGTTACGCGGAAAAGACGGGGCTGGCTTTCGGAGAGACGCTCGTGAAAGGATGTACAATGCTCGTTCAGCCCGCGGCCACTCCGAATGCAGTCCGAGCATCTGTGCGCCGTTTAGTGGAGGAAATGACCGCTTGTGACGGAGAACTTACGCAGTTGCTGGGCGGAGAAACAAAGCCAAAAGACATCCGAGTCAGGTAGAATCATCTCATTAAAAACATCCCAACTCGTTCTCCAGCCGCCGTCCGATCACGACCGCTCTTGATGCCGCAAGGGACTCCCTTTGGTGCGAACGAATAGATTTCCACCTTCAAATCCACGTGAGCTCGTCCATTTTACTGCCTGAATCTATTTTCGTGCTGTTCAGTTCAATCGTTCCTCGATCATCACTGCAATTATCAAAGTGGTTCTGAAGATCTTCATTGAGTCGATCCGTCTGCAGACGTACTCAAAGTTCGGAGTGGAACAAGTGCAAGTAGACTGCTATTATCTGCAGAGATGCCTGGCTGCCATGATCTCCGACGAAGTAACCCTACCCCCTCTCTCTCTCTCTCTCTCTCTCTCTCTTCTGATTCCGTCACTCTTTCAGGTGGTTGTCAATTCAATGGTCGACCAAGCCCTATCGTCCGCTCTCAAACGATGCCAAGATCCGGTGCTCGTTCATCCGTCCCGTTTGGCGCAACTCTGCGAGCAACCACCGCCAAATCGGCCGAGCTCACAGTCGTCAAGCCTTGGATACTAATCTTATCAAATTTTAAAGGAAATGAACGTGCTGAATTATTTATTGCTTCTTCTGGGTGTGCATAGTTTCTGTTGAACGGGTTTTTGTACCTTTTAAGCTTTCTGGCATAAATGTAATTAGTGACTTTCTGATCTTTGATATATTTTATACTACTGAGTAACTTCACTCGTACCGTACTTGATAAGCAAATGGAACGCAGAAAAAGTGAGTATTTATAATTCTTTAGTACTGAATTCGAACTCTTCATAATCAAATGTTCGCGAATATTTCGGATCACTTTTCCCGTTATTCTCATTTCCAGCTGCTCAGTTCGACGTCAACGAGTTTCTAAGTATAAAACCGAGTTCTGTTCAATACGAAGAAAACGTTTATTTGAACTACTGTTGTCGCATAAAATTGGCAGTCGCGCTCTACCGCACTTAACGTGAATTCACGGCCGCGGCCGCGTATTCACGTGGAATTGCGGTAGAGCGAATTAGTTCTAACTGATAGTATCTCTTCTTTTGTTGACTTTCTGCATCGGAATCACAATGACCACTGGCGTGATGGCCGGCAGTTCCCTGTGGTTCGAGACCGTATTCACTTCGGGCGCTTTCATCGAATCCCTCACTTTATTCCTCTGATTGTACTTGAGTGCCGCGTTCCTCCGTCTTTTCGGCCGTCCTTTCGGTTCTGCGCCACAAATCAGAACGAGCCAAGTGCGGAACTTTTTGAATTGAATCGAAAGAAGAGCGTCGACGTTGGCTCGATTACACAGAATATAGGACACTTGGATGACGAACGGGGTGGTCGTTACGTCCGAAATTACGAATGCGGTGAATGCCTGCAAAGAGATGGTTTCTTTCATTGTTTCCGCGAGTGCAGTCTCACCGAATCATCGCTGTATTCGTACTGTAACGACGCCACGAGAATGATGGTGAGAGCCAAAAGTTTGGCGATCGACAGAAAGAACGTCTGGTAGAATATGTACTTTTCCGGATGATTCGATAAGTCGCCGGTCATTCTGCTCCATCTCCGCACTTTTATGAACATGATACAGTAGAGGACGGCAGCCGTCATAACTAGAATGTCGCCGATCAAGTAGATCCGCTGTGACGCATTTTCTTTTTCCCGTTCTGATCCCCTCGCTTACCACGTAAATGGAATCGGTTCTTGCGGCGCACTGATCGTAATGATTGACGAGCTCGGTCGTTTCGTTCCTATACAGACTGCTATCATTTTGTGTGACCGCTGCGAGCAGGCCCGACTGAACCATCGAATCGGTTCCACAGAATATTTTGATGACTTTGGTGAGAATCTGTATGCCAACGTAGAAGGCGTAGAGACTTCGCAATGATATTCGGAAGGTTTTCGGATCAATTGAAATAAACTTTTTGAAATTTGGGAAAAAGAGAATCACGAAACGACGGAGGGACAGGACGAAGAGCAGGATATTCTGAACACTCGTGACTGTCACCGCGATGAAATAGGCGAAAAAGAACGAGACGGCAAGGACGTTTCCGGCACAACGGATGTCACTGAGAAGAGGAGGATTGAGAATATCAATGGATGGGGGTGACGTACAAGAATATCCAAGAGATCAGGGCGACCGAAGTGGTTACGTACATGTAGAATTGCATTGAGCAGATTACGGTATAAAAGTGCCTTGTGATTGGGTAGAAGAACGCCTGAAAGCGAACGAACATGCCAGAGGTTGCACGTTTCCGAACTGAAGATCTTACCAATCTATCACTTTTCTTGTTGATCCGATGAACATAGACGTAGAGGGGAAAAGTGACTAGAATACTGATTATAAAGATGGCCAGAAGACACAGTCCTATTCCGAAAATGATAAATGTGCCGGTCGGAAGCTCGGAGAAGGCCTCTATCACCGAATCGTTCATTTAGGAGAGAGAAAGTGCTGCCTGGGCAACTTTCCAATTTCTTTGGTTTTCATTTTCACCTGCTCGTGGTTGGCGTCAGTTTACATTTGAAATGAGAGCGAAAACAAGTGGGAAGAGGACACAAATACGTGGATTATTTATCAGAAAACGGAGGAATCGAATGAGAAATAGTCACTTCCGATCCTAATCACATTTTTGATCATTGCGTACCAGTTACTGTGCTCAAATAGACACCTCTTTCGGACAGACCCCGTGGCGGCGCCGATGTTCAACTGATAACCGTTTTCTTCAATAAAACGTTCAATTTGATTCTGTCTGTTTTTTGATTGTTCACTGATAGTTCTGCCAACTATTTATGATACCTCTCGCCTTCAAATGCCTCCTTCATTGACCTACTTTCATCCTTTCACAGGTATCTTTTCTATGTGACGCGTATTTTATGCGATTTCGGTGTCGCGGGAAAGTTGACAATTGAAAGTGAGTGAGAGTCTGCCCCGCCCTCGCTTTCTTTATCATTCCCTTGACAGGTTATTCGAAAAAATGAGCAGCAATCGATACAAAGGCATCAAAAGGTGCAAGAGCATGCCGACGATTGACGATGAGATCGCCAAGGATATTCGCAAACCGTTAGTAGCCTAAGCTTGCAAGAAAGAAATCTGATGACTTCATTCAGAGCTGCAAAGAGAATGCTGACGAAGACGAGCACTTCGAAGAGGGAGTACATGGGACGGAGGAGCCTCGGAGTCGCCGGCGTTTCCTCCAAAGGTAAACTCAATTCATCGCTTGTGCCCCTCGGCGTTTGCAGACTCAAGCCAAAATTTTCTGAAATTAGACTTGAAGTCTGCAAACACCGAGGAGGCAAGAGCGGTAAATTGAGTATAACTGAAAAGACTATTCTCGAACGACCTTATTAGTGCTTTTCAGTCAAACGGAAAAAAAGTAAAACGGAACGGGACAGAGACATTTACGACGAATTGTACGAGGATGAAGGATACCCGGCAAGTGCTCAGACCTTCCTTTCTCTTTCTGAATCTCTCATTTTCGCAGGCCTCTGCTTCCTCCTCCACTGGCACCTACAGATGCATTCCTGTGCTGGAGCCGAGCGCCCGCAGTTCCAGTATCTACCTGCCTTCCGTGGATTCCAGTTCGAGCGACACCGAACGGAACCATCACCGTCCTCCGCTTCTCTACAGTGCCGCTCTCGCCACCCCGCAGTCCCTTTCGATTGAGTCTCTGAATGACAAACTGGAGCAGTTGGAGGTGACCGATCGGAACAAGCTGCACTTGGAGATTACACAATTCTTGAAAAAGGCGGACGGCGAGAAGAGCAAGCAGATCCAGATGTCGCAGAGACTTATGAACTGTCCCCAATTCGGGCAGACTGTGGTAAAAATGCGAATCTCCTTAGTGTCTCCACAAATTCAATTTTCAGAGATTGATAGTCGAGGAAAGCGGTCACACGAAATATACATTCGAGAATATTCTTTGGCTCATTCTGAAGACCTACTTCTCGCCGAGTGCGGCAGGGAGAGAGATGATGGTCGGACGGCCGGAATGGAAGGCCGAAGACGATAAAATTGTGAAGGCGAGAGAGCAGTACATGACAGTCATGGACAGGATCAAAGAGTTCAAATTCGAACTGACGAAAAGTGAAAAAGGTTTGGGATTCATGGAAGTTTTTAAACTTGAACTGAATTTCAGATGAAACCTCGTACGATTCTCTAAATCGTCGAATGGAATTTTCTCCTGATTACTGCGAGAGTCTTCGTGAGGCGAAAGAAAAAGTGACGGACATTCTGGACAAGTACGACGCTTTGGTTGAACTTTTTCCGAATCGAAACGCCCTGTGGAAAGTAGTTCAATTGGATAGGGGAGAGGCGGAAAGGACGCTTCTGGAAGGGCGGATGACGTCGATGAGAGTGTGGCTGAACACTCTGAACGACGTGACAGACAAGTTCAAAGCGGTGAGTAAATAACTAGAAGAAGTGTCCGTTCAATAAATCCTTTCAGTTGGGAAACCTTTTCGAAGTAGGATCAATGACCGGAGGAGAAGAGTGCTGGTTCCGCCCACTGGAGGGGAGCAACCAGATATTCGCACTCGAGGATGTTCGTGTAGTCTTCCTCGAGTACGTCAAGAAGAGTCTGAACTTGAAAGGAATGAAGAAGGTGCTGACTCGCGTCGAGAAACTCATCGAAATAACTCTCGTGAAGACGGCGATTTTGATGCAGAAACCGCCGACTTCGTACGCGGCGGCGACTGCTTCGAAGGGCGTTGCACTTCCGTTCAGCCAGGTAATGAAGGATCGGTACGGAGAGATGGCCGAGTGGCGCTTCTGCAACCCCCTGGCTCTCGCCCTCAACCTGCCCCCGCTCACTCATCTCTTCTTTTTCCTCGTCGCCGTTCCGATGCAACTAGTCGTTCACTGGCTCGAGATCAGATCCGAAACGGAGCCGCCGGACTCCTGTCTTCTAGACGAGCTCACCTTCGACGCGATGATCACCGATTCGAGGGACTGTGTCGAAGAGGCGGTGCGGATCAAAAAGAACTATCTGACGATTCTGCAGTCGATGTGTCCCAAGTGTGCCATGCCGGGATTCCTTTATCCGCTCAAGTACAACACCTACGTGCTCGACGTTTTCAAGAAGTACATTCATTACGTAAAGTGCTGGTCCAACTGTGACTCCGTCCGGAAAGAACCGACTCTTCTCTTCTCCCGTCTTGAAATGGAATGGTCCTCGGCAGTTCTGTGTGCTCGTTCGGTCAAATCGGCTCTCGAACTGCTCTGTAACACGTACTGTGATATCATCGAATCACTCATTCGGGAGGTTGTTGAAGTGTTCGCCGACGATCAGATCGAAGAGATTAAGAGCCGATACTTTTATTCTGGAGAGTCGGAAAATGAAGATGAGGAGGATGAAGAATTAGAGTTCGTGGAATCCTCGAAGAGACCATTCCGATTGTCGAAACATCATCGCTTCATGATTGAAATAAACTCGTTGATCCGAGAAGTCAAGGAACGGGAACTCCGGATCTTTTCCCTTCTCCGAACGGTTCTGAATGACAGCCACGATGCAGTCGGCTACGAGCTCAGGCCAGGGATAGGAAGGGAGAGAATGTTCAGTGAAATGGTCTACGACTTCTGTCTCATTCAACTCGTCATGTCATCTACCGGAGGAGAAGAAGACGAAGACGACGACCTCGTGAACCTTCCGATCGTTCTGTTCGTCGATAAGAACTCATCGGATAAAGCGTACGTGGAGACGTGCATGCTGGCGATTTCGGAAGGCCGGAAGATCGACGAAGGATGCATTGTGATCGTGCCGGACACCAATCACGAGCTGCGGAAGCACTGGAAGGGACGAGTCGTGAAGATTGTGATCGACGAGGAGACGAGAATCTGTTATCGATGGCTCAGAGATGTAAGCTGAACTCCTACTCTAGCTTTCTATTATCTCAAGTTTAGGATACTATTTTGTGTCTGACGAACGGAAATCTTCGGACTGAAATCGAGCAGAAGTACTCGGCGCTCCTCAAATGCCTGGCTCCCGCGTGCTCCTCAAACCTGCTGATTCACTTGAGAATCGAACAACTCACGGTACAATCCATTACAGCCCTTTTTCCTTTTCCAACCGAATCATTGCAGAAAGAGTCTCTGCTTCCCCACCTGAACGAGGAAAGGAAGAGAATCGGAATGCTTCTGGGCAAGTTGGGATCCCGTTTTGCCCAACAAGAAGTGAGAATATTTTGCGAGTAAGCGTTTCATTTTGCTCCGATTACAGGAACGAGCCCTTTCCAGCCTCGGGTTCAAACTCGAGAAGCACTTTCTCGTCGCCTTCCAAATCCACCGTGACGTGGCACGAGTGGTCAGCGATTCGTTCATGAGCGGTCTGGGAAATGAGATAGTGGACAAGGCGCTGATGCTGACGAGGCAATGGATGCAGTACGTGCAACTTAAGAACTCGCAGCCGTCGCCCACTCTTCCGATGTGGGCCTCTCCGGGCTTCACGTTCCTCCAATTCATCACCGAACCGAAGTGGAGCAACGCGGAAATCATGACCGACGAACAGTTCAAAGAGTTTTCGGAGCTTGTGAAGCAGTTCGAAACCAAGATTATACTTTCATCCTCGAACATGAGCACTCCGGTGATTCTGAAGCAGAGAATGACTCGCTCGACGAGCTCGAAGACGTCGTCTTCGTTGGAGAATCAGAAGAAGAACAAGAAAGAACGACAGTTGGAAAGGTTGCTGGAGATCGAGGAGAAGAGGAATCAGGCGGTGAATTTTCCAAACGGAATCCTGAAATCTGAAGTTAGAATGATATTCAGGATTTGGAAAACCTTCAAATCGGAAAAGTGATAACGGACGACAAACGGAGACATTTCGTGCTGGGAACGGGCAAACAGGTCGTCACGAAAGCGCCATTCCAATGGGTTCTTCTGGACCCGATCGGTGAGAGTCATTCTTTCTTCTCACTTCATATTTCCTATTTGATGCATCTTTCAGCGTCTGGAAGTTTTGGAACAGTCTACCGGGCCATGGATCTTGATTCGCACCGGGTCATCGCGGCGAAGGGAATGGAAATTCAGAGAGAAAATCACAAAGCGATCGAATCGGAAATTAACATCTTCCGCCAACTGAGCCACGAGAATCTCGTCAAGTACTACGGAGTGGAAGTGAAAAACAACGACGTGCTCATTTTTATGGAGTACTGTTCGCAGGGAACACTCGAACGAATCTGCCACGGACGGATGGATCTTAAAATGGTCAGACAGTACGCGCACAGTCTGCTCCGGGCGGTTCAGTACTTGCACACGCAGAAGATCATCCATCGGGACATCAAACCAGCCAACATCTTTCTCGACAAGTGCACCGTCCTCAAATTGGGCGACTTCGGCTGCTCTTCGCGTCTCGTCGAGACTTCCACAGTATACGGAGAGTTCCAGACGACGGTCGGAACTCCGCAATTCATGGCCCCCGAAATCTATTCGTACGGAGAAAAGGACGAAGCGACTGGAAATTACAGCGGGTACGGAAGAAGCGTGGATATTTGGGCGGTCGGAGCAACAGTTGTCAACATGATGACGGGCAAAGTGCCGTGGGAAGGACAGACGAGACATCAGATTGCATTTGCGGTAAGCAATGCCTCCAGTCGATGTCGAGAATTGCACGTTTCAGGTGTGCTTTCGGAAGATGAAACCCACATATCCGACGATCGCCGACGAAAGAACAGACGTGCAAGTGTTCCTGGATAAGTGTTTCGAATTCGAACCAACTGAACGTGCCACTGCCGCTGAGCTTCTCCAGACGACGTTCGCGAATGTGAATGTGAATGTGAGCAGACAGTGCTCAAAATTAGATTTCATATTACTGTTTTCAGGACGAGTACCACGTGCCCGACTACCAATCTCAGTCATCGAGAGATAAATCGGCGCCCAGCTCCTTTTATATGGTCTGACATGCTTTCAAAGTTGTATTCCTTATTAGATTCAATGTGACATTGTACATATTGTCAATTCAACAAACAAACGTTATTTTAAATCTCGTGATCAAAACTTACCTCCAAATTCCACTCGTGTTTCACTTTTCTTTGCAATATCATAAACCTTTACTCGCAGTTGAACAAATGAACTATTCTCACATCATCTCACGTTCCACAAGTCGTCATCCACCTTCCGACACCTTCTGATTTTCCCGTTCCGTCCCATTCAGGGACTTTCCGGTTTCACGGCAATGTGACAATCTGGCCGAAGTCAACACGTGATCTTCTCCGTTCCTGCCCTAATGGGGCTATTCAGCGTATGTTTGTTTTCCGTTTTTTTTTCCGTTTTTTTACATCGCTGGATTGGATTTTTTGACGTAAAAAAACGAAAAAAAAACGGAAAACAATCATTTTTTTCACAGTCTGAATAGCCCCATAACGCACGTGGTAATAATATGTTTTTCGTTGACAAACGGAGAAAAAGGCGCACGCGGCGAGCGAAGTTAAAGGCGCAGCGACTTTGGAGGAGGCGAGGGTCTCGAAGCGAATTGCACCAAGCGGTCGCGGTAGGCGGAATTTGAATTCGAAAAGTCATTCTACGGAATTAGCAAGGTTCCCGGCCCACCCACCCAACAAGAGAATGAAAACGAGTGTAAAATGGTTGCAGAGGGCGCGAAACGACAGTATGTCAGAGATTTGGAGACGCAGGCGGGACCTCGGATGCAACATCTCATCGACGCGCTGAAGCTCGTGCCGTACGAGTCGAAAGCCACGTCCACGGCGAAGGCCTACAGAGCGGAAAATGTCAAAAGGAGCGCTTGGATCGAGACGATGCAGCTGCCGAAGAACGAGTCGTCGTTCCTGCTCTACCTCGTGGAGCGTGGGAAGAAGATCGGAAGCAGTGCTATGTCGAAGATCTCGGCGGCGTATCAGGTGGCCAATGAAGGTTTTTCCAAGATCGGCGGGACGTTTGTGACGGACATCATCAAGATGAAGAGAAGACTCGAGATTCCGATGAAAAAGAAGCCAGTAGAGGTGACTTTGGAGGACATTGAGAAGATCACGCAGCGAGCGATGCAGTCAAACAGACCGGCGAGCGATCGGGATGCCTTGCTGGCGATCCTGTCGTTCCGCGTGATGCTGCGAGCGTCGGAGGCGGCGGAGATCAAGTGGGACGGCGTCACGCAAGCAGGAGATCTGATTGAGGTAGTTGTGGAGAAGGCGAAGAACGATCAGATGGCTCTGGGACGTCGTTCGTTTTTCAACTACGAACCGGGCAGCGATGCGGACATTCTGATGTGCAGATGGAGACTTCGCTGCAAGGAGAGGGCATGCGAGTACGTGTTCTCCAATCTGGAAGGATCCAAAAGGCTGACGAAGCAGTCGATCTCGGCCCTGGCTTCGAAGATGCTCAAGGCGATCGGGAAGTCGGGAGCGACGCACCACGGATTCAGGAGAGCCGGAGCGAACTACTTGCGAGCGCAGGGACATTCGATGGACGAGATCAGGTGCCGAGGACGTTGGAGATCGATGGAGGGGCTGCAGCGGTACTTGAAGGATGTTCCGGAGGCGCAGGGATGCAGGCGAGCGGTCAAAGGAGTCGGAGGAGACGCAGACGAGTCCGAGTCGGACGAAGAATGAGCTCTTTCGCCAAATTTCTCGTATCATGTACAATTCGTTTGTTGTGTTCGCACATTTCGTTTGTTTTAGTTTTTGACTGAGTGAGAATATCGTGTAATATTGAGTAGTAATTGTCAATTGTTTGTGCGTTTTTTTTTTGTGCGTGAGAGCCCAGTTGGCTCGGTTAAAACGACCTAACTTATTCCCAAAAAAACCTAACTTATTCCCAAAAAACCTACTTGTTCAATAAAGGCTGTAAGATGAACCTTTCCCTTTTTCGGAGTGAGGAATCAGAAAAACATATTCTCTAGTAGCGCAGCGAAAAGAGAATGTACATTTTGACTGCGGCCTTGGAGCTTCTTCCTTCCGAAACCACCTCTCTTCCATTCCGCTCACAGGGGCCCATAAATCTATCGGAGGGTGCAAAAGGGTTTTTGACCAGAGAGGCGTAGGGCATGACGCGATTTTTTTATTCACACGTGAAGCGGTAACTTTTTTTGAAATTATAATTTAGGATGTGTTGTTGTGAACTTTGACAAGTTTTTACAATTTTTATTCCAAGCATGATCTTATTTCCGTACGTAGAATCACTGCATCGTCGACACGACTGAATTGTTAGAAGATTAGAAAAAGAAGATTATTCGAGTCTCACTTATTCTTCATGAAGAATAAGTGAGACTCGAATAATAAATGCATTTCTTCGCGAAACTCAGCAAGAAGATGATCCACCACTTGTTGCTTCTTCTTTCTCATCCTGTTCCTGTGAATGAGTCGTCTTTTACAAGGATAAGGACGCATAAACATACAGAAAATTTCTAGTGGTCGAAGTGATCGTCGAAATGAGGGACGTCTTGTTCATAACTGTGTCATCGATTCCGAAACCAGCAGTGAGGACGTCTTAAAGATGATGTTGTCATTGTGCAACTTGTTTCCCTGTACTTACTTGCGAAATGAGGGAAGAAACCGGGTTTCATCGGGATGTATCGAGTGGAGCGGCCGCTTTCCGGTGCACAGCAAATCATGGTGAATCGATCGTAGGAAGCGATCTGAAGGAACAATATCTGAGCTAATCCAGTAGTTTGCCTTACCTTGTGCGAGACAGCGACGACGGCACGTTCAATACAAGTTTCGACTTTCTTTGATGTCCACTTGCTCGTGTCGTCCAAGTTGACGAGGCTCGTCAAAAACACTTGCTTGCCACTCGGAAGTGGGATCGGTGCATCGCCCCGGCAAGCGGCTTCGTGCTCGAAAAGCACCAAGTTCTGCGACTCCTCGCCTTCGTCGCAGGCAGTACGCTCTTTACGGTTTAATGCATAAATCGTGTAGGCCACGTCCTATGTTGTGTTCGTTGGGAGTCGAGAGAGTTCGTAGAAGGGGTTTATTCAGGAGAGAGAATATATGAATGGCCTTCGGGTGGAACATCGCTAGGGGAACATGTGGATAAAAGATAAATATAATATTTCGCGGGGTGCGGGTAGTTGTAGATCAAAAGGATACGGTAGGTCAAAATATATAATTGTGGGCCTGAACCCAACACCTATATTCATCGCCATCATGTTCCGAATGTCCAACACATATTGGTGGTGATCCTTTATAACAATCAATTTCGACGGCGGAGAAACACGTCGTCCACGTAGATTCCGTTGCTTCGTCATCTGATGCAAACTCAACGTTCTCTTCATCTCTGCCATTGTTGCATTCCAATTCACGTGAAGAAGTTATTGGTTTAACTCAGTCACTCGGAATTTGGATAGTACGTTTTCTCGTGAGTCTCGGAAACAACCTTCGATTTGACCTCGGCATGTCGTACTTCTGAGAAAGAAACTCTCAATTCAATTGAAATTCTTTTTTCAGTATCGCAGTGATTTTACGTACGGAAATAAGCTCATGCTTGGAATAAGAATTGTAAAAACTTGTCAAATTTCAGAACAACACAGCTTAAAATCATAATTTCAAAAAAAAAAAAGTTACCGCTTCCAAACATCATACTCGTAAATACTAAGGACTTGTAAACTTTTAGAGTGTGGACAAAGCGAAGAGCAACAGCAACACTAGAGTAATCCCAGAGCGATCCCGTTTTGTTTAGTAGCTCCTCACTAATTTTTCGCTCATCGCGTTTCACTCATGCTTCGCTAACTCCTCACTGCGCTCCTCAGTAATCGGACAGTGATTCCTCAGTGCTTAGCGTCCCCTTCAGTGACTGTTCACTGACCGATTACTGGTTTTTGGCTAATCAGCGTCTACTCGGTGATCGCTCCGTAATTCCCGAGTGTTGCCGTTTTTCCTCTGGTAGTTTTCTATTTTTCTTTATCCCTTCGGAAGTAAACCTGAAATTCTAAAAACTCTGAAAATTCTAAAAAAAAAAAATAAATAAATAATTCATTCAGTTTTTATTCAATTGGGCCCACTCGAATACTTGGTACGTAAGTTAGTAGTATAACTTATACTTATACTGTATAAGTAAGTTCTAGATCACAAAAAACGTAATGAGAGGTACTGGAACCGTCTCATCTTCGAGAAAATCCTATTCAAACATACACGACAACCACTTTCAGACGCTTGTTTTCAGTTGTTCTCGGCTTCCAGCCGGTCCCGCGTCTCGAATGAACAAAAAATTCGAATAACTTTATTATATAAAATGATAAGAGATATTGGAAACGGGGAGAGGAAAAAAGAAAGAGAATGGAAAAATAGAGGAAAGAAAAGTAAAGTTTGCAAAAAGGCAACATAACCGAGACGGATGAGGAGGGGGTGAAATGAGAGAAAATGGGAACACTTGAGTGATTTCACAACCCGCACAAATTCCACGCTCCACGTTTCCACGTTTCATCAATTGCTTTCATGTAACAACTACTTTTGCCAAATAGGGAAACTGGAACAGAAAAAATCAACATCAAGACTTTGAATTGAGAATAAGTTCGCGGATGTCCCCTTGCTCTGTGAGCGCGAATCCGTTCGCCGCGTCGACCAACTGAATGACTTTCATCATCGATTCTTTGTTTTCTACTGCGAGCGGAACAAACGAGACTAGATCGAAATCTGTGATCACCTGGAATAAAGCAATGAAATTCCGAACGATAACTGTTGCTTACTCCACAAATGGCCTCGTTCAGTTTTTGATACTTCTCCAATCCGGGTACTTCATTGAGCAGATCCATCAATCTGTTCACGTCGGGAAGGTAGGAGAAAAAGTCGAGATCATAGGTGCCTTCTGCAGAAAAGAGATCCACCTTCGACAGGCAGTTCACTTGTGGCATTTCCATTGTCATCATTGTGGCTGAAACAAGAACTTATTAGAACAACAGAAGAAAAGGAATACCGAGTGTGGAGAGTGTGACCGAAATGAACTTGGCGGGATCACTGCAGTAGAGGGAATCTGCGAGGTGGAGGGCACAGAGACGGACACCGGCCTTCTCCAGATATCTGATCACTTTCCACAGTTCTCCTTCGCTTTTGTACAATTCCAGCTGTCCGGGACAATCAATTATCAGATACTTCTTCCTGTTCGCTTCTATTTTCTGAAAACACTTTTCCATTTGATGATTCTCAATTATCTCTGCTTACTTGAAGTAACCATTCACTGTTCGCTCCCAGAGTCTCGATGCAGTACTTGAGTGCTCCGTTCGGACCGAGACTCAATCGATCCATCACGTCATTCACTGTAATCAACTCCTGAAGAAGAAATTTACATGGTCTGCTCAAAGAAGTCCACTGACTGTGATATTCACGTCCGGATGGTAGGCCATCGTGTCATTTGCGGGATCGAGATTGACTGTGAGGAACGGTCTTTCTGTCTGGCTGAAGATGTCTGTTAAACCGGCACAAAAAGTCGACTTTCCTGCTCCTGGCGCTCCGATTACAAGAACTCCGTACATATTTACGTCTCACTGGCCGCCGGCGAATCGTCGCCGACCGTTGGAGTGTTGTAATGTCGCCCGGTTTAGCAGAAAGCGGCATTTTCAGAATTCGCCAAAGAATTCGTTGAAGATCAGAAGAGAACAAAAGTAAAAACGCTTAAAACAAGAAGTAAAAGTGACTATTTTACAAATTCGAGAATACATTTTCGGAATCCATATCACATTTATTTTGCTTCCTTACAGCAAAATCCCTTTAGTTTACGAAAATGTAGAAGAATGGATGCTGGACATGCTGCTTTTCCAGCGTCCGAGGATGACGTAGTGAGATTCTGATGGGCGAGGTTTCTGAGAAACCTGGAGAATGCATCGGAAGTCTGCTGGAAGCAGCAGGAGCGCGTAGGCAGGGAGAGGACGGCGACGCGGGCGGATTGCACGCAAGAGGCTCAGCTCGGTTGGAGGTTCGCACGTCCGAAGATGGCGTCGTCATATTCTGATAGGGAGGGGTTCACTTGGAAAAGGTTCAGAGTTTTGAGACACAACTTCTCCAGGTGTCTCAAAATCCTCACGACGTCTCCCCCGGATGCTGGAAGAGCAGCATCTCCAACCGAGCGGAGCCACTTGCGTGCGATCCGCCCGCGTCGCCGTCCACTCCCTGCCTTCTGCGCACTTCTACTGCTCGCAGCACGCTTCTATTGCCTTCTCCGGGCTTTTCTGAATCGTAGCCCATCAGAACTCAACTATGACAGTTTCTGATGCACAGTACACGCGTCGGCGACGAGTCGCCGGCGCGTGTACTGTTTGATGCTAGATTTTAATATCAACGTATCACACCAAAAACTTCTACACGAATTAAAATTTTCATTGAACTTTCTCAAGACTATTCCTTGAACATACTTTTTTCCTCTGTTTTTCGAATGAAATCCTGCAAAACATTTTGGCGTGAGTCCCGGCAAAATCTGTGCCTGCACGACATTTTACGACAGTGTGCAAACACGCCGGAGCGGGAGATTTGAACATGTTTCCCAGTCACGTCGATGAATTGATTTTTAAAACCCCTCCAAAAACAAATTCGTACATTATCATGTGGAAAAAAATCGTTACTTTTTCAGGATCAAAGATGGAGAATAAACCGCATGTGCGACTACCGAGTGCCGGTCAAGGGCGAGCCGATATATCGAAAAATACGCCGAATAGGGGAGGGTAATAGTTTTCCTACGTTTTCTTTTCAACGAACTGATTTTTTAAAGAGATTTTTCCATTAGCGACTTTGAAATCGGAAGACCGCTCGGGAAAGGAAAGTTCGGCAGCGTTTATCTGGCCAGAACAAAAAAGGGACACTTTCACTGTGCCGTCAAAGTGAGTTGCACTTGTCATCTACTTGCTCAATTGCAATTCCTAGATTCCAGGTTCTTTTCAAATCCCAATTGATTTCTGGAGGTGTCGAACACCAGCTGGAACGCGAAATTGAAATTCAGTCTCATCTGCATCACCCAAATATCATACGACTTCACACATACTTCTGGGATGCCAAGAAAATCTATTTGGTGCTGGAGTACGCACCGGGCGGCGAAATGTACAAGCAACTGACGACGCAGCGCAGGTTCCCGGAGACGTTGGCCGCAAAGTATATGTACGAAATTGCGGACGCCCTCAGTTACTGCCACAGAAAAAACGTGATTCATCGAGATATCAAGCCAGAAAATCTGTTGATTGGGGCGAACGGAGAACTCAAAATCGGAGATTTCGGATGGAGTGTCCATGCGCCTTCAAACAAGTATGTTTTTTTTTATTATTCAAAATTGTAACGTGAAAACATTTCAGGCGCCAGACGATGTGTGGAACGATGGACTATCTGCCTCCAGAGATGGTCAGTGGGCAGTCTCACACTGCCGCTGTCGATTTGTGGGCGATCGGCGTCTTGTGTTACGAATTTCTAGTTGGAAAGCCACCTTTCGAGCACGAACACCAGAAAGACACTTACGATGCTATCAAGGTGGCGAGATTCACTTACCCTGATCATGTGAAGAAGGGTGCTCGTGATTTGATCGGCAGGCTTCTCGTGGTTAACGCCGCGCAAAGACTTTCGCTGGAAGGGGTCAGTTTTCTGTGTAATCCTTATAATTTCGAAACTTCCTTCCAGGTTATGAATCATTACTGGATCCAGTCAATGATGGAAACGAGGCAGAAGGCCGAAAAGCAGCAAAAACAAGAGAAAGAAGCCAGTCTCCGCAACTATTAGGCCGTTTCTCGACCCATCGGCCTCCGTCACATAACTGATCTCCCACGACTCGTAAAACCGCTTCCCTTCCAGTTTTATTGGAATAGAATTCATTTGTCTGTTATTCTTCGCGGTACCAATGCTCTCTGTGTATTACCCATTTACTCTATTCACAATATAAATGTATTTTCTTAGCACCCGTCCGCTCTGTACAACTCAATTATCCATTGGTCCTCCGACTGCTGCTCGGAGGTTTTGCTCGTTTCAAGTGACGCCCATACCCGTGATTAGACTCCTGAGTTTGTCGTATTGCACGCCGCACCTGCGGATGGAAATTCCAGGTCTCGCCACGGAGACGAAGGCGGCCCCGCCGGTTACTCATCGTGCTCATTAGCTCCGCTCGGTCGTGATTCGGGATGAATCACGCGTTTTTGTACATTCGCAAAACTCGCTTTCACTTTCGAAACCGAGATAATCAAGTGGGTGTACCTCAGGGAGAACATGCTCAAATCCGCTTACTTCGAGTACCTTCCCACTTGTTTTTCTCCCATTTTCCTTTGTCGAATCGAGCACTTTCCCGGCTGAATGTCAGTTTTTGAAGGGTAACGCAGTGGAAAAGAATGTCCAGAATGTCACTGATCAGAAAAAAAGACAATAACTGCGGATAAGTTTGAAGAGAGAGAGAGAGAGAGAATGCAGCTGAAATTGGCAAGTCAGATCAGAAATGAACTGAAAAAGAGAATGTGAGATGTGAGCTCTGACTTTGATTCAATTACGAAGAGAGAGAGAGAGAGAGAGAGAGAGAGAGAGAGAGAGAGAGAGAAAGAGAGAGCAGGTGATTCAATCACGATTTCTAATTTCTCAGAAACTCCATCCAGTACGATTGTCCACCAAGTTCCTCCCTCCTTCCCCTTCCTGGAATTGTCAATTTTCCGATGAATCGGTTCTCACTTCCTCTTCTTCTTCTTCTTCTTCTTCTTCTTCTTCTTCTTCTTCTTCTTTTCCCAAACCAACACCACACATCAGTCTCTTCCTGTCTGCTTTCCCTCTCACTCAGATATCATCGGCAGGTGCTCCGATGCTCCACCCCTTCTTCTCACGCATTCACAGACTTTCACATTTCAATCGAAATTCTCACATTTCGTGGTATCATTCTTATCAAAAGTTTGTGCACAAACTTTAACGAAATGTCCGTACGCCCCCGCCCGAATCACTCGGGCGCCAATAATTTGGCACCAGACTAAGGTACTGAAAACGTGCTGGGTTTCAGTAATTGGCAGTTGCCGTCTTCCCGATTCAAATGCCTCAAAGATTTCTGACTAACAAGGTAAACGTGATCAGCCGAATATAATTGGACTTGAGCAAAGTGTACAAAGTACATCGTCCCTTCTACACGGAAATGGATGATATCGTTGCCCACTTCTTGCTCGTCATCCTTTTCCGCCCTTTCCCTTCCGAAACCTTTCGGATTTTGTCCCTTCCCATTATTCGCAGAATCCTCCCACGTTCCGATGTGTTCCGATGCTCCACCCACATTTGGAAACCCTCAATTTCTCCAAACTAGACACAGAGCGCGGCTCGCGGAGCCTTCTCACTCTTCCGTTTTCCTCAAATCCCCATTCTTTTTCTCTCTCTCTTTTTCTATCTGAAAAAAAAACCGATTTGGGCGCGCATAATTGAGTGACGCAAAGAAATTGGAAAGTGGCCATTCTCGGCTCGGCCGCCCGTCTTTCGCCCGAGCCCTGAGCCCTCAGATCAGATGGTTCCGTGCCTAATTACTGGTTGCGCACCGCTTTCGCGGTTTCACTCGTGTGAGCCGAGCAGATGCTGCTGATAAGAGAGCCAGATATGAATGAGCAATAGGTGAGATGGCACAGAGCAAAACGCCTCCCCGGGGCATTAATTAATTTTATTTGTGCTCCCTCTTTCTTTCTCACTCGACTGCTCTACCGACTCTACTTCTTCTTCTTCTTCGTCTTCATCTTCATCTTCTTCTTCTTGTTTTGTGTCGACACCTTCCTCATCTCACACCAAGCCTACAATTTTTCAGGAGTCGTCCACGAAATAGTTTCGAGCGTAGCCGTAGTAGAATGGTGTTCAGTTGTTTCGAAAGAATTAGCGTCGCTTATTGTCACCAGTGCATGCACGGTCCCGACGGGTATACTCTCGCCAAGGGGCTCAACAATTAAGATGGTCTTTTCAGGTGCATGGTCCCTACAAGACAAGGAGACAGTGGAGAACTGTACGCGCATTCCGACGAGATTGAAAACAAACTGAGGATAATTGCCAAGTGAGTTTGCAATAACAAGAAGAGACGCAGACGAGTCATCTCCTTCCATCGTAAATTTTCAGAAAAGAGAGTCAGGATATCGAAAAGCAGTTAGCCGAAGAAAAGAAAAGTTTTGGCAGCAACATCAAGATTCTCATTCTCGGAGGGCCTTCCAGCGGGAAAAGTACAATCTTCAAACAGATGCAGTGAGTTTGAGCTAATCTCTCGGAGTCCGTCCACAGTTTAAACCCCTTTCCAGAATAATCCACGTAAACGGATTCAAGCAACAGAAAGAATTACTGCAATACAGAGAGCTAATTGATAGTAATATACGAGACGCGTACCTCCAGCTGATTGCCGGATCTCACCTAGTCGGCGTTCCTCTCCAAGAAATCGAGCACCTCTTGTTCAAGATCGATGATATTTACGGGCCAGTTTCGAACGAATTTTCGGTGCGAACAACTCCAGAGCTCGTGGAACCACTGACGAGATTCTGGAGATCCGAGCAGGTGCAAGAGGTGTACAAACGGAGATACGAGTTCGAACTGATGGACTCGGCCAAATAGTAAGCACCTGACAATCCTTCTCTTTCAAATGCACTTTCTCAGTTTCCTCGATAATCTGGAGCGAATTGCCAATCTGGACTATCTGCCAAACGAAGAAGATATTGTGCATTCGCGGAAGGCCACAGTCAGCATCAACAGCATAATCTTCACTTACACGAACGTGTCCTTACAGTATGAGCATTCGATTTCTCACGTGATTTCGTTATATATTGTTTCAGTATGGTCGATGTCGGCGGCCAGAGATCAGAACGGAAGAAGTGGTTGCACCTGTTTGACGACGCGCGAGTGGTTCTCTTTGTGATTGACTTGACGGGATACGCCAAAAGATCAGAGGAAAGTCGAATGGAAGTGAGTCATTCGGACTGATCTCTGAGAATCACGAATCATTTCCAGATGACACGCTTTCCGTTGCTTTTTCGCAGCTTCAATCTCGACGCGTACGACATGAAAGTCGCGCTGAAGATATTCAATGAAGTGGCCATGGCGAAGCCTCTTGCTCACGCCGTCTTTCTGCTCTTCTTCAACAAGGTCGATCTGTTCAAGGAGCTTCTGACACACGTTAAATTGCGGGATTGTTTCACGAAGTTCGAAGGTACTGTCGAATATGAATAGCCGTGGCATCCGGATGATCGCAATGAACTTTCAGGCGAGAATACATTCGACGAAACGAAAAACTTCATCTGCGACAAATTCGTGAGGGCGGCTCGGCCCAAGAAGTCTGTGTTCCCTCATTTCACAACTGCCACAAGTACGGAGAACATCAAAGTGAGTCCGTTTCCCTCTTCTCGTCCCACTTTTCCCCCTTTCAGCTCGTTTTCCGTGCCTGCATGGAGAGTGTGTTCAAAGCGAATTCGAAGGCAACTGGCCTCTCCTGAGCCGTTCCCCCCACTGTTTTGCACATTATTTATCCCTTTCAGAAGACGTACGTCACCTGAATGGATGGTGTTTTGTGAACATTCCGCTATTGTCGAACACCTGTTTTCTAATTCCAATTCATCATTTCTGTGCCTCTTTTTGTCTCCCATTCGGTCTTTCAAATAAAGCAACGAGTTATGTTCACAAAAATCGACTTTATTGACATGAAACGAGAGTTGATCGGAAAAGTTGACAGCACGACGAGTGGATGGTTTCAACGAGTTCACAATTCGAAATGTTTGTCGTCAAGGAATTCAGAGCACTTTGACGTTCATCAAACGGCTGATTGCCCGGTTAAATCCGGCTGCGAGTCTGCAATGGCGAGTCTTGAAAGAACGGAAACTCGATCGAAGCGCCCCATTGCGAACCTGCCGAGCTTGTTCTCATCCTTCTGCGAAGATCCGTTCGTCGAGCTCAGAGTGACCACTTCCCCGCCGGACGTCTCCTCGCTCTCCAGCTCTTTTTCCGAATCGGTAAACTTGGTGAAGTAGAGTTCGTAGAATGCGGATCCTTCCTCAAAGTCCAAAGGATCCGACTCGTGGATCTCGAGCCGAACAAACATTTGCTGATAGAGATTCAGCATCGCCTGGTAATCGGGGCACGAATCGAACTTGAGCTGACTGCAAAGGGAAGTACTCGATAGGATTTTCCCACGAAGACGAATTCTCACCGGATATGCTCGAACATGAGAGCAATCTCACGGGGACATTTGAAGAAAAGGCCCTTTCCGACCTTCTTCTTCATGTTGCTCACCAGAATTGTCTTATCTTCGTTCGTCCACGGAAGCGATCCCTGAACAGACTTTCTAATTCTTGCTCCCATTTCAATTCGGTAATTTCACCAGGAAGAACTCGACGCTCGAGTAAAGCCACGCCCACAGATCGTCCCGTCTTCCTTGATCCAGTTCGTCGTGCGCGTACACGCTGCAATACTTGCTCGTTCCCATAAACCCGGGGCTTTTTCTGGCGGCCCGATGACGGATTCTCGTACGGGTCGGGTCCAATTCCAGCTGAAATGAAGAGTTATTTGGTGCATAAATGCTTTTCGATCCCACATATTTTCTGCTGAAACCGAGGTCGAACAACAGGATCCTTCTGCTCGGCGCGTGCCATCCGCAATTGCTTCCCTTGATGTCCCGATGGAGAATTCCGGTGGTGTGGAGGTCTCGGATGGCCTCAAGCAGTTGGACGGAAAGACGGGCGGCCGTCGACTTCGTGAAGTGTTTGTCAGGCATCATGCGACGGAGTCTCGAGAGCGGACGACTGCACAGAGTCATCACCATTATGTTCACTTTCTGGATCCCCCAGTTCAACTGAAACTCACTTCGCAAACACGTTCAGATTCCCTCCCTCTCAAACCTTTATGGCAGCGTAAAGCCGACAGAAAGCGGGCGACCACTGCATCAATCTGAGCATGTGCGCCTCGTTCTTCAGCGTCTGATCCTCCTCGTCGTCGATGAACTCCGTCTTCAACGCCATGTCAATTCCGTCCTTCCGAACGTGATAAACGGCTCCAAAGCCCCCGGATCCAAGTTTCTTTACCACCTCATACCCGGAGATCGACTCGCCATTTCTGAACTCCGGTTTGGCACAAGATGACGACGACGACATGCTTCCCACTCGTTATTTGTTAGGCTTTGTATCCCTTGAAATTAAAAACGCATAATGCGGGTCAAAACAAGATATTACAGACCGGCGAAGGGGTGCCGAAAATTGGAAAATAACAGATCCCCGGGGGGTGGATTTACGAGTGGAATACGTGGAAAACAAACGGTCACAATGAACCGAACAGGCTGACACGGGACCTTTTTTCCTGTTCTTTTAGTTTCTAAAGGACTATTGTAGCATGTTCACAGTTTGGACAGCTTCTTGCAGACGTGCTCGCATGTTTTGTATCCATTGGAGCCTCTCGAAACAACTCATTTCAAGTGTGTGCGGAACAATCGCGTGTCATCCCGAAAGGGACTCATTCGTCTCTCTTCTCCCTCACAGACCTCTCTTGTTTATATCTGCAAGCCCCAATTGGTGCGGCTCTCGCCAAACGTCAGTCACTCATCTCGACAAAGAAAAGAAAAGACGGGCAATTTCCGTTCGGGATATGTGTACTCGATACGTTATAATAGTTTCGACTCTTTCCATCTTCTGCACTCTCCCTTTCTTCCATTCCTCCGCGTTCGATTATTTTTCAAGACGTAGGCTCAATTATGAATATTTATAAGAGCGGCCACTGCGCGAGGAATCTCTCCACTCGGATGTTTCAATTCCATGTTCTGTATCCGTTTGCGACGCACTTTTCATTTTAATCTGAAAATAGTCTGTGAATTCTAAATAACCTGCAAAAGCCCTTAAATTTTCCGTCGACTCTCACAGATTATTGACTGAAATGAAACCAAACGAAAGAGTTCAGAGACCGTCGTCCTCGTCGTCCTCAATCGGTTTCTCTGGTCGTGGGAACCTTCTGCTCTATTCACGAATCGGACAAAAGATGGTGAGTGAGCGAGCCGAAGAATTCGCACGATCGAAAATGGAAAAGCCAGCAGGAGAATAAGATCTTTCGGCTGGCGAAAAGAAGCGAATAATCCTCGTCCTCCTCCCGGCGGCGGCAGTGATTATCATCATCTGAAATGTATATTAGCCCGATTAAACATCTCCTGCCCGCTCAGCACATCCCTCCTTCGCCCCTTCCTTTCGCTGGCTCTCGCCCTTCTTTTCTCACCTCCGTAGCTCTGATATGTCTGCGACTCTTTGTTTCGCACACTCTCTCGCCCTTTCAAATCGCACTTTTCAATCTTTTTAATTTGAATGAATGACACGTCTATGATGAAGACGTCGGGACACGATGGGGCTTAATCGCATAAGTCTTATCGATTAGAATGGAAATCCTTTTCGAGGATTCTCCCGTCATTTAGAAATGTTGTCCATATATTTTTGCGTCCACTTTCTATTTCGTTTTGAATTCTGTGCTCAAATTGAAGAAAACGTTTTCTGTCGTAAAAGTTAATAAAAACCTTAAAGACGAGGATCTGAGTTCTTCAAACCAGAGATTTCGCGGAGCTCTGCTGGAGATCATCCTGTAAACTCAGACTCAACCTCGTTTCCAGCAAGTGATCCTACTCTTTCGAATGCAAATTCGGTCAAAACACCGATCAACAAACCTCGGACTGAATACGTAAATATCCTCTTTCTCTCTCTATTTCGAGTTCTTTGCCCCGGTCAAAGCGAGTCGCCGCCGTCAAGTCTTCGCAGCAATTACGTGTTTCTTTTCATCACTCTGCTTCAGACACTTCTTCATCAGGAAGAGAAGAGAGTCCCTTCTTGCCCCGGCGTTTTAATTGGAGCCCAAAATGGAAAGAAAACGGGCGCCTCCGAGTTTTCAGAAAAGAGCCTGTTCTCCGGCTGAATCCGTCTCGAACTGATAACGCTCGTTCCGGAGTTTACTGCCGTGCCAATTTGGTTAAGTGCATCCGCCGATAAAAGGTGTTCTGCTCGCCCCCGGAGACCCCGTTTTTTTCCCTTTTTCGACCTGAGTTTCCTCGCCGTTTGGTCCCATTTAAGGGTGCCCACTCATCTAGAAGTCAGCACCTAAATTAGCTTCTTCTTCTTCTTGCTCCGTTTCCGCTCGTAAATAGTTGCTCTGTGCTGCCCCATCCGGGTCTTTCTCTTCCCGTTTTTCACTGGAATTCATTCGAAACACGGAAGAAGAATGTTATACGATGAAGTGGTGAGATTTTTAAATGATTCCATAGTGTTTTTACGTAAGTTTGTGAGTGAGGAGAGTGGTGCTCTTTAAAGAAAATTTTGGACCCTTTTATAGATGTTTGGCACATTTTTCGTTCTTTATTCATCATCATTTTAAAATTACTTTGAAATATATATAATATATTTATCCCTTTATCCCCCTCCTTTCCGAAGAGACACAAGAAGAGGATAACTAAAATGTTTTGTGTTCGAAAAAGCGGAAGAAGGAGAGAACAATGTGCGCTCGATGTGTTTTCTTAATGAATTATTGAAAATTCGAAGGAATCGAAAGCGAAAAAACGTTTTCACTCGATTCGCTTCCGTCCGTTTTCCGCTTGATATTCAGCTTTTTGTGTCCGGAAACCGAGAGAGGAAGAGGCGCAGACGTAAAGGATAAGTGATAGGAAACGAGATTTCCGACTGAAATAATGCTCTCTATCGTCTACAAGACTTCTGAAACCTGGGCCTGCCACGCGATCCGAGCTGGCACTCGAAATCGGCTTTGCCGCTTCTTTGTTTTTTAGAACTGTTCCGTTTCACTACTTTCTCAGAAGTGAATTGAATATGTCTGTCTGTCTGTTTGCTTGTTTATTTCCCCGTTTGTTGTTTTTCAAGGTAGGTTTTTCGGATTAGTTCAATAGTCGCCGACCCACGAGCCGACGGGTTCTTGAATCGCAAATAAACAAGAACTGACTATTAATGGAACAGATTGCCCAACGACTTGCACATTCGAACATGATTAGAAATAACGGATGATATTAGAACAAACAATAAGCGAGAATTTCGGCATCTACTCAACGAGTCCCTACTCATTCTAATTTATTCATTTTCCTCATCGGAATCGCCGACGTCCTCCGGCTCTCCACTGGTTCCCGCGCCCACTCTCAAATTCCGAGTGAACTAGTGGCTCCTTTCGTGAGCTCATTTGGCGATTCAGTTCATTAGAATGGTGCGGTGCTCTCCGAGCCGGTCGCTTGATTGCTCTGCCAATTACCTCGTGCAGTCGTCCTCGTGTCCTTCCTTCCTTTCGGCCTTGCTTCTTTCTCAAATCAGACCCTCTATTCATGCCTGTTTCTTCTGTGAATCCGCGCCTAATTAGAGCCCACGAGCGCATCGAATTGCGTCCAAAACAGACACGTCGAATCGGCTCTCAGCTCTTTTTCGGGCTGTTCTCAATCGATTCTCCGTTCGTTTGAATCCTCTTGTTTCCCTTTTTATCTCATTATGAATTCGACGTTCTCGGTGCGCAATGTTGGTCCGAAAAACGTGCACGAAACAAACGAATTCGTTGTGCCATTCCGAGGGCTCATTTGCGAATTACTCTCCGATTTCCTTGTGCGTGTGTGTGTGTGTGTACTCGAAAGGATCTCATTCCGAGCAGCCAAATCATCAGTTTCTGCCAAAAAGGAGCCCTCATTTGCTCCGTATTCCTATTCTAGTACATTTCCTGGAATGATGCTTCCTGATCAGGTCAGATCCGATTAACTTAGACTGAAATGAACGACAAAACAATCGTTTCCTGTTACTTCTCTCTGCAAATATTTATCCGTCGTTTCCAGATGTTCTACGCGTGTCTGGCCATCATGATACTCTTCGTTATAATGTGTTCCTGCATCACAATGGCCATCATCGACCTGGAAATGTACAATTTCGGCCTCTACATTGTTCTTTTATGCATCGTAGGTGAGCCCATCGCCTCGCCCTTGTCCCATGTGCAAAAAGAGCATCCGATTCAGGAACGATGCTCGCGTGCGCCCTTTGCATTGCCAATCCGGGAGCGTGCGCGAATCCCATGTGGTACACAAATTTCTGTCTTTTATTACATGTGAGTGAGCCACAAACCATTAAAAATAGCAGTCGGAGGGTTTGCAGGACTACATGCAAGAAATGTATCCAGTGCATCCGGACGGCACTTCCAGTCCCAAGATGACCGGATTGAGGGCTCAAATGCAAAGGCACGCGGCACAAAGTATGGCCACGTCGGAAGATGGGACACGGCTGACAGTCCGCCAGGAATCGAGGGCTACGGTAGCCATGTTGGCGCCGGCGGTTCACATAATGCACCAGGTGAGAAGAGAGGAGAGAACGAAAGGAAGAGAAATGGATTCAGGTGTGGAAAGGAATGGCGTGGGTGACGGACGGAATCGAGGAGGAAGACGAGGACACGAGGATGTCGATGTACGACAAAATGGAACAGGTTTCGAGAGGGAGCAAGAGCCGAACGGATCGATTGATTTCAGGGAACTTCCGACGAGACACGCTCCGGCAGCGACCACGCACTCAAGAGACTCTCCACCATTGCGGAGACCAGTTCCTACATTCTCAGAGAGCTCGTGAGTCGTTTTCCACCGGATAAGCTTTGTATTTTCTCACGATATTCCAGGAAGATCCGAGCAGTGAGATCAATTCGCGCAACGACGTCACCCTCTGAAATTGCCACTTCCCTTGCCTTTCTCCTGTTCAATCTGCCTCTCCTCCCACAACATACATGTACCGGTTTTTTATTTTGTGATAATATGATAATGATCAAACGCTCTTCCTCTCTCTCTCTCTCTTTCTTTCTGTATCTTTTCGTTCATCTCATCCTCCGCCCGTAGACATTGTCGATGCAGTGCCCGTCGTGGCGACTCCAGAAGCTCTCGACTTTGCATCTGTGCTCTCCGCATTCTTCTGTCTTGCTCCGCCGTTCGCAGCATCCTGAGGACACCCCAGAACTTCGCGAACACTCTGAATAAGAAAATAGCCATAGAAGTTTGCGAGCGAATGATCACTTCGGGAATGCAGGAAAGGAGGAGGGCGTCCATAATGATGAACGTCTGTTTGCGAAGTTCGGCAATTGCCGGTCTTATCTGCACTCACATTCGAATTCAAAACACGAAATACTTTCCCTTACAAATCTCAAAACTCCAAAAAGAATGGTAATGTTGAGGAAGAGCAGAGCGATATTGAAGCCGGAAGTGATGAACAAGAGCAAGTTTTCGGCGGAGCCATCGTTCTGAAATGCCACTGAGTACGAGAAACTTCTCCGAATCCACTCACTTTGAGGACATAATCTTTGAAACAGTCGGCCGCTTTTTTGCTCATTTTGCCCGCAACCTCTGAAAAAGTGCTACCGTACTCCTTCCTGCAAAATCAAGAATATACCGATGACGAGGAGCAGAACGAATATGAACACTTTCATTTCGACCAGATGATTTTCAAAATGAATGTAACTTTAATTTCCCACACTTTCCTCCTGTTTTTCTCCGTGACTACACGCGAATCTGTCGGCGAGAGACCTTTATAAATATCAGTGACAGTTCAATTTTGAGCAAAAACGTTTATTGACGTGAACGTTCGATGATTTGAACGAGGAGCACGATGCCGCAGACGGTGACGAGCAACGTGGCGGTCATGACGATGCACACGAAGTGGGAGCTGTTCATCAGTTTGGCTCGACGGACCAGGTTACGGTGGTGCACGGACTCATCGCTGACACTCGACAAGTGGAGACGGAGCTCTGGAGTAAACAAATGTTGCATTTGGCTCAATGAGCATCTGTGTCCTCACTCACCTTCTTTGTTGTTTTTGAGTGCTCCGGCGTTTGCAATGAATTGCGTTTCATCGGAAGAACTCATAGTCTGAAGTGGTAACCGAACTGGTAAAGGAATGCAGATGATATTCTTGCACTTGTACGTCTCCCGCCCAAACCGAATATTTGAGGAGGAGAAGACGAAACACAATTTGAAAACGAGACATAAAATGGGACAAACAAGTCGAAAAAAGGGCTCGAAGAACAAGAATAATCAGCAAGGAAGCGAGGAGGGTAATGAGTTGGTTGCAAAACGAAAAAAAGAGCGGAATGAGCTCGAAGAAAGAAGGGTTACGGTAGCTGAAGATCCGTTCAAAAGGGCGGAAATAATCCGGATGAAGAAGGAATGGGCTAACGCACAAGAGACTCGCGTCTTCTGGGAATTGAAACAACGTTTGCGGGAGGAGGAAAACAGAAAGAACGAATAGTTATGAAAAGTGAGTGGAAGGGAATCCGAAAAACATTTCGGATATTGATGGTCTCTTGGAATTATGTATCTCTTCCCCATTCGAAATTCTTGAAATCCTCCTCCCAGAAAACGTCAAAGATTGGAAAAGAAGGAGATTTGAGAGGAAAGGACAACGGAGCGACTTCTTTTTCCCCTCTATATTTCATGTCATTCGGAATTATCATTTGAAGAGGGAAAGAGAGGAGTCTCTGAAGATTTGAATGGGATGGGGAAGACGTCCTCTTTTTTCGCATCTGAAAACATCTGCTTCTGGACTCTTCAAAGTAGTTGAAATGAGTAACAGAACACGAGAAAACGGAGGGAAAGATATGAGGAAGGGAAGGAAAAAAGAGTGACATTGGGCGGGTATTAGGGGCACGAGATGGGCGCGGAGCACAACGAATAAAGAGCACCGAATAAGGTAAACACAATTAGGGAAACTGGAGAATCGGGGAAAAAAGACGGAAGGCTTCAGAGGATAACTGGAACAAGTTTATCATTACTCACGTGAACCAGGGGTGGCTGGGGCTGGAAAGGGATGAGCGAAGAGTCAGTGCACATTCTTCCTCGTCATTATTCCCATTAAACTCTGCGAGAGAAACGCAACGAAGATGGAAGGAGATCTCACAAAAACACCTTACAACAGTATCTACGCGACACTGGTGAGTGCTTCAGAACGCCTTCTTCTTCTTAATGACAGAATTCAGAAGAACAAGAAACCCGAAGGTGACGTGATGTGTTGCGTGCACGGAAGCCAATGCACTTACGGTCGTTCGAAGCCCGGAGTGAAGCCGGACAACAACCAATACGTGAACTTGGCCTCTCCGAAAATGGAAGCTTCGCAACTGGCGGAGAAGTTGAGCAAGCTGACCACCGAGGACGGCGGAGCATCCTCGAAGCCGGAGCTGATAAGCCTGAACAGTCTGATGGCGAACAACGGCGGCGATCAGCGCAAGTCGAAAAGCGGTCGCGACAAGAGAAAGAAGAAGACGCCGGCAATCGTGGACGACAATCAGTCGTACGTGATGCTCGGCCCTTCGACCGACGAGTCTTCCGCCCATCGGGCTCCCATTCCTCCGCCGCCGCCAACCGAGGTCATCAGTAAACAGAAAAGTTTCAAGTAGGTCCCCTCGGCTCCCTTCCCACCTTCCTGGTCCCTTACAGACTGGGCCAGGTCGCTTCCGCCTACATCGGAGTCTCCACTCTCACCGATGCGGAGAACCGTCTCACTCGTCGCGGAGAGTTCGCTCTCTACCATCTGTTCAACTCGAACAGCCGTCTCGACACTCTCTCAGACGACCTCGCCCTCATGCTCGTCTACCGTACCACCACCAAAAAGATCCGTCACTACTCGATCCGCATGACGGCCGACGAGCAGTTCTTCGTGGACTGCGGATATCCGAATGTCCGCAAGCACTTCTCGCTCGACCAGCTCGTCATGTACTACAAGGTATTCTGGAGTTCCTCGAGTTCTCCATCCGAAAGTATTCCGTCCTTCAGACCTCGGCGACTTGCGAGATCAATCCGGACGACACTTCGGCCGATTCGTTCTCCTGGTGGCTCGAATGATTTCGTGATCACTCTCTTTTTCTGTCGAATGAAAACTGCTACATGTGCGCGTTTTATGCCTTCTCCCTCGTCAAATCAATGCTTCGTTTTTCTGAGAAAAGAAAAAGGTTGCGGCCGGATTCAATTACAAGTTATTTACCACCTACTCGAGTCTAGCCGGAATGAAAAAGAGTGTTTTCCTGATAGACCTCATCTTTATAGTACGATTTACTCGGACAGATTGACATTATTTTGTAAAATCGGGATCCGAAAAGTATTTATTGAATTATTGAGTTCTTGCACATCAAAATCAACTGATATGCGTTGCTTGCATCTGCGCATATTTTTGGATAAATGAAAAACAAGTTCGAATCCCACAATGGCTCAAAAGGGCTCCGCACTTGTTGTTGACTGTCGGTTCGCAGTTCCGTCATTGCTGCGTGTGCACCGTTGCATTTGAATATTCTAGGTAAAATAACCGGAAAATTTGATTGGGTCTAACAGAAGTGCAACGGAAACGGAAGCCCTCAGAAGAAACAAAGAAATCACCCTCATTCTTTTTTCTTCTAATCACTCAGTCATTCGGCAGTCGCGGTCCCCGACACTTTTACTCAGTCTCCGTTGCTGCAGATCACTTATTTTTGTCGCCTTTTTTCTTGTTTTTTGGAGTCTCTGCGTCCTCCGGTAAATGAGGTTAACCCGAATGATTTGCGCAGATTGCACGTGACGCCTTCGTGAGCCGCCTCCGAGTTACTCACTCGAAAGCACTTTCTCCGTTGACTTCCAACTGCTCCTTCCCCATACTTTCTCTCATTTCCAGATCTTCAAATGTCTTCCACAGCCTCTCCGATTCCCGTCGATTTCTACAATTCGTTGCCGCCGTCTAACTATTCACTGTTCGATTTGACGGTCACTCCAATGTCCTACAAAGACCGAATCACCGTGGAATTCATTTTGAACGGAAACTCCTGGCTCCTCAGCTCTTTCCTTTTCCTCTTCGTCCGATTCAGAAGAAGCATCTGGAATTCCCTCAAGGTCTCTCTCCTTCTCTCACTCTCCCTTTCCAATATTTCCCGTTCAGAGTACAATTGTGTTCGTCACAGTCGGCTCGTTCCTTCTGAATATTCCGCTGCTTCTGTTCCAAGCGTGGATGGTTTTCAATCTTCAAATGGCAATTCAGCCCGTCTATTCCATTTTTGTTTGTTCTTTTCTCAAAAACCTCTGCAGTTCGACGACGTCCGCGTACCAAGTGCTTCCCTTCGTGAGTTCCTTTTCCGCCCATCCAATTCATCCACAATTTTCCAGGCAGTTTCCCTCTATCGCTACCGGACCGTCGTGCTCAAAGGCCATCCGGGACCGTTGTTCGTCGTCAGTGTGCACTTTATTGTCACGATGATATTTGTGAGTGAGACAACACTCCCGCAGATATTTTTTGATTTCAGATATTCTACGCGTTTCTCAATTATCCGTTCGGCGAGAATACCAAGAACGACGTGTGCTACACGCTACGATTTAGCAATGCGATGGAATTAATTCGTGTGAGAATTTCTGTCCCTTTCAGGGTTTTTCGGGGCTCGACTTGGTATAATATACCTAACTGGAAAGTCTCAGTCCGATCGGGTCTAGAGATATAGTGAGTACTTTCCGGCTTCAAAACACACCTCGAGATGAGGTAATCCAATCGGGCTGAAACTTTCCAGGATAATAATCCCAAGTGCGTCAACAGTCTCATCCCCTACAACCTCCTATTCCAGATCTTCTCCACTCTCTTCTTCAACATCGCTGCCATTATTGTCAACTGCGTCATCCTCCGATTTGTGAAACACTTTGAAAGTGAGAGCAAAAGTGATGTTTTCCTCTGCCCGGTGCCTCCCGATTTCATCCCTTCTTCCCTATTCAGACGTTCAATCGAAACGTGTCCAGCTGACGCAGAGCCTGCTCATCCAGTCCGTCATCCCCGTGCTCGTCTCACTTCCTCTTCTGCTCGGCTCTTTCGAGTTCTACTTCGGTCAGTTTTCCCCGGGCCATCCCACAGTGATCCCCTCCGCTTCCAGGCATTCCGCTGCCCAGTTCGTTCTCTTCCACGTGGTACGCCACCACTTTCCTCGGTCCTTTTCTCATGCCGCTCTCCTCGATTCTCGGCATTCGGAGTACCCGTCGCGAGCTTGTCAACGTCCTGCTCTGCGGATGTTTCCCGCATCCACCGACCCGACAGAGCCAAATGAAGTCAGCCGTCACCGTCATTATGGTTTCGAAGCACAGCACTTTTACCGTCAGAGACGACGACTAGACTTTTAAATACGTTACATGCTTGATAGGTTCATAAAAATGTGTGTAATTTATTATGGTACACTACTGCAGCATAAAGCACTAAAACGGCTGCCCAGTTGAAGGGCAAATAATTACAAAATCACCATTTTTACACATAGATTCAAGTGTTCGATAGAATGGAAAGGGGAAATTTGAAGTAGGGGGCAAAGATGAAAGAGAGTGAGAGAGGAAATCACAGGGTTGAGTTACGGACGGCCGGCTTCACAATCAGTTTTCCGTTGTGATCACAGCTCAAACTGAATGGCGAGAGGGCGTCGCGACAACGACGAGCGATGCTGAAACCGGGAGGATGAGTGGATGCGGTTGGATTGGTCGCCTACATCGTGGGTGCTACAATTCTCCTGTGCACTCCGAAAACGCCGAACAGAAGGATGCCAACGCAGAAGCACACGGTAAAATCGAGATGAGTGGAGAAAAGCAGGTCGAAGAACTTCCACTGGAACACCTGTTTCTGGAAGCAAACAATAAAAGAAGGGCCGTCAACCGTTGTTTACCTCGCTTGCCAGATACTTGGAGCCAGTGACGCCGATAACGACCGCGAAAATGACGATTGCAACTGAAACTGTCGACGACGGCTAGTGGAGCTCACTTTATATAACTTACTTCTCCATCGAGTGCACGGCGGTCCCATGTAATTGATCACTTCTGTCAACCGTTTTTCGAAAAATTTGAGATCTGAAAAACAGGTAGTCAGCTTTGAATTCAGCTTCAATGAAACCGTGTACTCTTACTCACCTTCCCTCCGTTTCACTTCCCAATTCTCACCTTCGCACGCCGTTGATGGATCCTCGGGCAGTCTCCGTGCCTGAATCGCCATCTCTTTCGTGCTGATATTATGGGGGAAACCGGATGAAATCAGAAAAAATAATTACAATGTGGCTATAACTCGGTTTCTTTCCAACGTTTCGATGAATTACCTGAAAATGGGCAACCGTGTGTAAGTTGGAAAACGAAAGCAAAAAGGTGTTAGAGGTATGAAAGCAGGTAATTCAACCAAAGCACTATAATTTCAAAGTTTTCAAGTTTTCAACAAATTTTCTTTATTCAATCAAAAATGGTTTCAGATTACGAATAGAAGAGGAACATTCTCAAATCTGCAGAGTATGGGAAAAGAGGTCAACAACGATAAAAAAAGGGGTTAACAATAAACGAAATGAACAACAAAAACAGAAGTCGTCGTCGAAGGAAAGTTACTTCTGATGCTTCACCTTTCTTCTCTTTTCCAATTTCTTTCTCCACATGTTCGACTTCTGAGCACCCGGCTTCGAGAACTCAACGACACTCTGCAAAAGAAACAAGATCGATAAGCCGCCCAGAAGTGTTCTTCGTGCTCACCTTGTCCTTTTTGTCTTCAGCAGCCGCCTGAACAATCGTCTTTCCGGCCAATTTGGCCTTATTCGCCTTTTTTCCTCCCCTCTTTCCACGAGTTCTCATGCTGGCAATTTCTGATTTGTCCTTCTTTTTGTTCGAGCCTTTCGAATCGGAAACCGATGGTTCCTCCGTCACTTCATCGTCGTCTTCTGGCAAATCATCGGCAAGATCACTGATTCCGGAGAGATCAGTCAGTCCGGAGCAAGTGGATCCGATTTCAGTCAACTCCTCTGCCTCTTCATCATCAAGTGCCTCATCGCCGTTTTTTTCTTCGTCATCACTTTCTCCATTCTGAAAGTAAACGATTACAAATTCATACGAAGCAAGATACATACTCTGGCGATGTCGTCCAATTCCAGTTGTGCGTCAGGAGGCAGCTGCTCATCTTCATCGGCGCACATCTCGGTCATCGGCGCCTGAAGAGTTGAATGATTGTATTGCACTGGAGAGCACTCTCACCTGTTCGTAGTCCTTCTTCGCTCTTTCTTCACAGCCTGGTGGCACCGTAAAATACGGAAGCTTTCCTCTTTGGAATTCATTGAGAACAACTTTCGAAACAGCAACAATGTCCGGATCTCCTCCCTTCAGAAGACGTCCTTGCTTGATGGCGATCTTGGTGAGGAAGTCATCAACGTCTGTGAACTCGGGAATTCCGTACTGACGACGGAGGTGCTCCTGTTTGCACCGATCGAGCACTCCTTGCACGTGGTTCTCCGGATCTTTCACGTTTTCAACTCTGACAACTCCCTTCAAAATGATCTCCGTCTCGGTATCTCCTTGCGGATAGACGACTCCGGGAGAATCGATCAAATAGATTCTACGCATCAGCATCACGTATTGCCACACTTTGGTCTCTCCGGCAATCGGAGCCGTTTTGCAGACCTTCTTTTTGCGCAGAGTGTTCACCAGTGACGACTTTCCGACGTTCGGATAACCAATGAATCCAACACTGATCTGTGGGCGATCGGGATGCAGTTTGGCGAACTGACGGAGCAGATTGATTACAGCTCCTTTTCCGAACGAATTGTTGATGGACGCGTGGAATGCGATTGTCGGCATCTCCTTCGACAGTTCTCCGATCCATTTTCTCTAAAAGCACAATTTCATAACGGAAATAGTTTCTTGCAAGACTTACAGTAACCCATGTTGGTACCAGATCGACCTTGTTGATGACGGTCACCAAGTGCTTGTGCGGCTTCTCCTTTCTCAGAAATTCCTCGACGTGACAGCACCGAGTTCCCTGCAAGAAGATGTGCTCGTAAAACAGACGACGTTCTCTCCGGTAACTATTTTCTTTTCGCCCATTTCTCTTCTTTCTCTTCAGTTTCTACCGCAATGGTGGTTTGGCAACATTTTCAGCAGAAGTAGGCAATTAAAATTTTATGGCCATCTTTCGTTTTCCCGTTTTGCAAAATGTAAATTCTCCAAGCACGTGCAGATAACGGGGGGAAAAGTGCCGCAGAAGCCATCGAAAGAGCGCGTTTCGCCTGGAGAAAAGCGCGGAATTCATCAGCATAAAAGGGTTCGCTCCACTTGTTTTGCCGTCTCCTCCTAAACGCGCTGTGTGTTGTGCAAGAAAGAGAATGTGGATCGAAGAGGAAGTAAAAAAAGGGAAACACTTGCGAGCGAACGGCGAGCTTTCTCTTTTTGAATACGCAACCAAGTTATTAGCCTGTCGAAGAATTCTCTCACCCCCTCGTTTAGTCCCTCTTTCCTCTTACCATCGGATCTCTAGCATCGACGACTTGCACGACGACGTCCGAAGAGTCGATGACTTTGTAGAGTTCTCCCCACACGCGGTTACTCTGTCCGGCCCTGAACAATGGGTTTTGATTCTCCGGACGATCGCCGAGTTCAGTTTGTCTGCTCAGATCCAGTTCCGGCTTATACTTCTCCTCTCTGTCTCCGGCGTTCTTTGCCATCTCCTGAAATAACACGGATATTCCCTCAGGTGCCTTATCCTCGTTCACAAACCTCCAAGGAGGCGTCATTCAACTTGGCCTTCTTCCTCAGCGCCTTCTTTCCGAACGTGTACTCGAAGCTCTCCGTCTCCGTAACGTGCACTCTCTGCGTCTGAAAACAATCCAATTTTTGATGAATTACTCTTTCCTCTATCGGACCTTTGCCTTCTCCTGAAGCAGACTAATCGGCAATTTCGTCTGTTTCATGACCACTTGAAACGGATCGCTCATCACTTTTCCGAGATTAGCCTGGAACTTTTGCAGCTGTTCTTGTCCGATAATTCGAGTGTTTCCTGAAAGAACGCACACTACACGGCGACATTTTTCCCACGAAAACTTACCGAACCATTTTCTGTTTGGCTCGATTCTTGCTTGAGTTCCCGAGGCCAAAGTGTCCTGGAATGGAGCAGCCTTCAGGATTTTTCCTTTCGAGTCTCTGATCGGCTTGAAACTTTTGTACATGCGGAGACGATTGATGGTGGCCCTCGAACGTTGACTTCCGTCCTTCGAATCCGCCTTGCGGTCTGAATTATTCAAATTTTACTTCATTTCCTTTATTCCTCTCTCAATTACCTGGATTCATAGAGTGGTTGGATCCACGGAACGTGTGTCTGTTCTTGACCGGCCCATAATCCGGCTTCTGTTTCAGCTTTCTGCTGACTTTTCCCTCCTTTCTGGCTTTCACCATTTTGGACGTGTGTTACCCTGAAAAATCAATACGGGGATTATAACAGTAAAGCCAAAAAACTGCGAGAGACAGAGAAGAAGAAGAGCGAAAAAGGAAACGTTTCGAAGGCAAACAAAGCGAAAAACGATGATTTTTATGAGATACGGCCGAAACGAGCCGAAAAGAAGGAAAGAAGACTTTTTTCCCGGCCGGCACCACATTTGTCGTCGTTTCGTTCGTTCTGATTTTCAGATACAAAACACGACGCTTTCTGGCACACCAACCAAAAACAAATCTAATTCTTTGACTACTCCGTTTTCTACTTTCTCTCGCTCATTACAAAGGGAGGAGGACCCCAGAACATCCTTTCGTGCTCACTAAAATGTTTCTTTTGACCCCTCGTTCTCGCTTCTCAAAGCCCCCGCCCGCAAGTCTATATATTTTGTTTTCCGTCGTCTCCTGACTGACGCCTTCTTCCTTTCTTTTTACTTTCGGCCGGAATATGTCGCATTTTGTTGGCTCCCGCTCGCGTTCTCGCGCCCGCACAACAAGTATGTTGTACTTGGTTGCGCCAAATTTCCTTGTTCGCCGAGTCTGATCTGTGAGTCAAGTCTTATGCAAATATTTGGATAAGGTGGCCGAAATCGTGAAATCAATATTTCGGTTCGCAAAAATTAGTCTACTTGCTTAACTCGCCCTTTCGCTTCCTTTTCCGTTTCCGCACACTCATCCATCAGTCAGTCAGCGAGAAAGCTCCAAATTAATATTTGGTATTCATGGAAGCAGAAGAAAAAACGGAGACGGAAAGAAGGAACTTTTCTTTTTATGTACAACAATTGATCACGCAGCAGAAAGCTTCTTTTTTCGTTATCCGTCACTCCCCTCTCCAAACGAAAAACATAATAATATTTCCTAAACTTTCTTTCTACAGCATGTCCTATTGCATGTTCTTCGTCATCGCGCCCTTTATTAGCCATCGTTACGATTTTGTGTTCGTGTTGAAAAGGGAAGGAAAGATAGAAACTTTACGATTCGATTTCAGTCCAATTTCAGTATGTTGTTCTTTTCTCTTTCTCGCTCTCTTCACTAAAATTCGCGCTCTTCAAAAACGAAACATTCGCTTTTGCGTTCGGCCGATGTCTATCTTCTGCCAAAATCTCAATGTTTGGAGCCATGCGCTTTTGTTGTTGTTCTTTGAGCGCTTTTTTCCGTCCATCACAAGTCGAAACAACGCTCTTTCTGCTTTTTAGGAACAACCACTCGTTTTCCAACTACTATATTTAGACCTGATGAACAACACTTACTAGTTAATTTAGGATAACTCACTTTAAAATATTGAAAAATTCGTGACATTTTATAAGAATCTGTCAAAATTTGTTTTGGAATAAATAACACTAAATACTTGCAACGGACAGGGCCGAAACTTGGCATTCTCCGACCCGGCCCGCCCAGCAGGCTCCAACTTGGTCAAAAATTAACGAAAATATTTTGAAATTTGAAAAAAAAATGAATTCAAAAGTAAGCGATAGATCGCAATTCTGACACTCACTTTCAGAAACTTCACGAGTTTTTTATTTTACACCGCAGAAAACTTCGTTCAAGGTGTGACTTCCGGGCCGTCCCGACCGGAATCTTGTGATTCTAGGAAAGAGTAAAGATAATGAGATGTTATCAACTTATTGCTGGGAGAAATACACACAAAATAACTCTCAATCGCAATTTTTGAACAAAATTTGCCAATTTGAAATTACTCTATTACGCATTCACTTTTTCTTACTGTGCGGATAACTAGCACAGAGTTTTATTCAAATATGAATTTTTGAAAAGGTAATTGACGTTGAAAAAATGAAAAACGGTGTCGAAAGGAAGAAATAAGGTCAGATGATTACTGCGAAAATATTTTTTCGGCTACAAAAAGCGCGTCACCAACCGCGCGCGCGTGCCAGCAGCCGGCCGTTGGCGCACATTTGTGAACGGTCGAAAAGGGGCGGAGCCTGTCGGGCAGACTTCACTCGACCCGACTTGTCTCCAGAAATCGTATTGCTACTGTCTGCTGCCGACACCGATTATTCTGATAAATATTGAAAACGAGGGAGATTTGATTATCAAACTTCTCCTCATCCGCCGCTTTCATGGTTAGTTTCAGCATTTGTTTTTGCAAATTTTCTGCCGATGACTCATCGCATTCACTAATTTGACACTCCAAAAATAGTACAACTCGTTTTGTTGACCGCATTTCGATCGAGGAAAATCGTTCAACCGACGTACACTTTTTAAATTGAGAAACTTTTCCGTTTGCTTTGTCTTCAAATCCGATCAGATCTCTCTCGCTCGGAAATATTGATTTCCGCTCGAGAAGCAGAGAAAAATAGAAAGCAAAACAAACAAAACAGATGATATTTCTCATATTTCACACGATAACCGGTCGGTTTTTGAACGACCAACCACAATTAAAATTCCATCCTCTCTTAATAGTTCTCTGATAAATTCCAGTTTCAAGACACCGTCTAGAGGTGTGATAAGAGCATTTTCTTATCAAAATGTCCGACACCTTTCTATCATTTTTTGCATTGGCGATTTGTAATAGGTCTGAAAGTGTTCCACGCCGACATAAATAGACAGGTGTGACGTCACGTGATGCCAGCGCTACGCAACAAAAAACTGGTTCCTTGGGGAGAAATAGACTGAATTTCTCAGAATTGCCTTTATGCATCGAAGGTAGAAGAAATATACTAATGAAAACTGCTGAGAGCCTAATTGAATTTGAATTTCAAACTATAGTTATTTAGCATTCCACAACTCATGCATCTTTTCAATTGTTTACACCCCGTTGTAACACCAACGACATGAAATAGGCCAGTGTAATTGTTGAATTATTATTATGCACCGAAAATTGAAATGAAAAACGGAACAGGTGAAATTCGCTGCTTTGTTCTTGCCTTTTCACCTTTCACACTTGTGTGTATTTAGATTTCGTTCATTTCCATCCATATCAGCCATTTTCCACTCTTCACGCCTACAATTGACTCTAAATACATTCTCAAAATGCGAGGGAAACTCTTGCTCACTGCTCCAGCTATTTCATAATCCATTTCAAAATATTCGTCCTAGCATTCCGTCCTCTTACCTCTCCTCACACCTCAATGTTTTCTAATCCATAATTAGCATAAAAGGTGAGTCCAAGGACGTCGTCTTCCTCTCTCGATTCCTTCCCGGGGAGTGGTCTTTTCCTCATTCTTTCACAATATAATCGTAGTGATAACGGGGGCGCAAAACGAAGAAGAATCGGGTGCGCTCTCGGCCTCACGCACTACTAATCCGTGCCTAGCAACGACCAAAGACGAGCCCTTTTCCCTCCAATCTTATTCCGTTTCATTGCAGACTGATATGATGATTGTGGTCGAGCCGCAAGGTCTCGGACTCGTTCCTTGGGACAAGTTGGCCGGCTATCTCATCTTGGGAGTCACCTACTTTTTCAAGTTCTTCATCATCGGTGAGTCATTTTTATTGGTTTGTTTCAACAAAAAAAAGCAGTCACACAGTTTGTTTGCTCGTGATCTTTTCCTCAAAACTTTGTGGCGCAGATCTCTGCGAAACCACTTGGACCACCGGAAACGTGCTGTTTTTCAGTGGGAGGAGCGATCCCGTATGTATTCCAGTACGCAGAAGTTCACCATCGTCGGAATGCTTCAGGATTCTCTCTTTTCGTTTGTCTCGCCCTTTGCGTCGCCAACATCCTTCGTATCCTTTTCTGGTATGTTTTTAAAATCCAGTTTTATCGAAGCGGGCGTCGGTGGGATTTTAAGCTTAATTTGAGAAACGAAACCTAAATTACTTGATTCATCAGAAGTTTTATAAGATTGAAAGACCAAAACAACTTAACATTGCTCGATCTGAGATTCTAAGCGTTCCCTTCCAGGTTCGGAAAACGATTTGACAATGCCCTTCTTGCTCAGAGTATCGTGATGCTCATTTGTATGGTTTTCATGTAAGTTCTCCGTTCATTTTCATGTTTTATTCTCAAACATCCATATTTCCAGGCTCGAAATTGCCGTCCGAATGAACCGAAAACACACAGCGAAGCCGTTGAGGAAGTCAATTCTCAGTGAGTTTTCCGATGATTTTTTTGTAGAATCTCTCGACTGCCAAACTGTGACTGCCAAACTCTTGATCTATCCCAGTGTCCTCTCCCCTTTTCCGCATGCCTTTTCGTCCGTTTTTGTGTGTGAATGGGAATGGGAATACGAGACGCTTCGATGACGTCAGCAGAATTCAGAAAAGAGTCGGAGAGGATATTTTAGGACACTGGGCACAGCTATTCATAGATTTGATCAGCTAACAAAAAGGAGAAATGTTGTGACCTTCTAACCAGGAAGTAATCTTCGAACTGCTCTGTTCGCCCCTTTTCATAAAACTCAGACATCCCTCCCTTCGAAATCCAATTTGAATAATTACACTCTTTGCTCTCTGTCCGCCAGTTTTCAGCCCTTGTTCACATTTTCCACCCTTTCCGTATCCATAATTCATCTTCCCAGCAACGGGCGCCTCTTCATTCCACATCACTCTAGTTGTTGCAAACTTTTTCTTTGCGTTGGTTCAAATTCGGAAGTACGTCTTTGCTCTGCCGAATTATTCATACCGAAATGAGAAAAAGGCAAGGGGAAAGAGAAGAGATTTTATATACAAAAAAGGGTTACACCGATTGAAATCAGATCGAGCGAGGAAAATAAATTAATTATGGCATGGGAAGATGAACACGTCCGAAGGGAAGAGAAAAGATAAAAACGAAGAGATACCGATCGGTTACGAAGCCGTCGTCTGCAATTGGAATCGCATAGATATTTGAGATAACACTGGTGGAAAGGGGCTGTGTTAGCAGCCAGAATAATTTGAACGGAAAGGTTGACGGGAGGAAGGGAGTGGGGAAAGTAGTCTCACCTTGTTATTAGGAGTTATGAGCCCAACTACATTCGGCTCCGTCTGCCTCCGCTTCGATCGGACTTTCGTGGTCAGCATCCCGTTTTTGTTCGATGACATTTCGAATGAGCGATGTCTTGTTTGCATTTCCTTCAAAACTTTCATCAATTCAAGAGACTCCTTGTCCAAAACTACTCACTTTTTCTTTGTGCCTGTTGACATGTCTGGCGATCCTCTGTAGAATGTTATCGGGAGGAGCAGGAACGAAGGGAAGACATCGGCTGGCAAACTGCCAAATGGGAACCACCAGCCGAAAGGCCGATCGTTTGAATTCTTTGACAGTGAATGAGTAGATAATTGGATTGAGCATCGAATTGCAGTATCCGAGCCAACTTGCCACGTCAATGGCAATTGGGGGAATACAACCAGAACACTTGTAGTCTAAATAGTGGTTTTGGAGTTCACGAAACGAAAATAAATCGACTTACTTGTAAGATATAATCCGAAAAAGGGAAGCCAGCAGAATAGAAAAGAGCAAGAAACGACGCCGAGAGTCTTCGCAATCCTTTCGTGCGTCCTCAGAACCCTCCGCTGATGCTCCACCATCCCGTTTGTTTTGCCAAAGTGTACGCGGAGTGTTGTCTGAAAGCGCGGAAGTTTGTGAATAATTCACCGATCGGAAGCATTTAAGGCAAACAAGTTTAAGAAGTTCTCCCCTGCATAACGATACCTGCTGACTGAGTGTGTTCGTGAGAAAGTTCATGTTCTGGCCGAGAATCATGAGAAAGCCACGGTCTAGAGCTTTTTGTCGGTTACGAGCCAATTTGTAGATTCTCCAGTAGAGGGTGAGGGTGACGGAAGCTGGGAGGAAGAAGGCGAACACGACACTGTGCGCCAAGTGACGGATCTCATTGCCCACGAAGCACAATGACTTAAAGAGAACATCATCTTGAAAAGACACAATAGTAGAAACTCACGTCATCGTAGCATTCCGGCTGTTCCCACCTGACAGTGGTGAGCAGAATTGAAGAGGAAAAAATCCATATGGTAGTCATTACTGTGATCACTTTCGTCTTTGTCACAATAGTTTTGTATCGCAACGGCCTCGTCACTGCCAAGTATCTGTCCACTGATATCACACAAATGGTAACCTGAAATGGCATTCCATTGGAAAATCTCGTCTGAGTCATGTTGTACTCACCACGGAGCATGTGCAAAACGTCACATCAGCAGCTACCCATAAACGACAAAGAAACCTTCCGAATATCCATTTTCTGTAGATCAGATAGACGGCACCCATAGGAAGGACTATGATTCCGACTAAAAAGTCGGTTAGTCCGAGGTTCCATACGAGAAGAGTCGTGTTGGTGCGGCCGACTCTCGCTTTGAAAAAGAGCACTAACAAGTTACCGAAGACGGTCAGAAGGATAATGATCACTGCCGGAATGCAAAGAAGAACTAGAACTGCTGGAGGTAGCTGCTCGCCCGTTCGAAGCTTCTCTCGGAGTATTATTCGAAGCTTAAATGTCTCAACGGTAGAGATTCAAAACAGGCGATTTTATGCGCTTGCGCCTGTTCTGCATCCCTACTCAACGGTTCTGATTTCATTCTTCGTTTTTGCCTACCTGCTCTTTACACAACTCTGAAACGACGTCTGTTGCGTTGCCCATACTGATGCCTGCCAGGTTCGCAATCTGTGCATAATCGACCTCATTGTCTCCATCGGAGACAACAAACATGACGGTATCACGTGGCAATGATCAGACGAACGAATGCGTTTTGGGTGTTTCTGAGATAAAGCAGGCGCTTTTGTTGCGAATCGAAAGAGGACCGACGAGCACAAACGGGTGCAAGAAAAGAAGGAGCAGGGGGAAAAAGAGGACAAATAGAATTTTGGCGCGGATGAATGGGAAGATAATCAGAAGAAGTAGAAAAGGGGCGCGAAGTAGGAGTAGGAGGAGACGACGAAATCGCGTGCCGACGAGGTGCTCTTCGAGGCGCCCGTTTTGGAAACATGCCCAGTCATTCTGGGGTACCATTCGAGGGGGACACCTTTCACGCCCACATTGTGACGGAGGAAGAAGGTGTAGCCGACTAAGGAGACGTTCCGGAACTGAAAGTCGAGCAGAAAGAAGCAGAAAACGGAGAAGATGAAGCGGATGGAGTCGAGAGTTGCGGTCATCATCATCCCATCATCATGTGATATTGAGTGCGCGCGCAGGTTCTCACACACAACGCGCTCTCGCAGGACGATGAAGCGAAGGAAGAAGACGAAGAAGCAGAAGGACGTGTGAGAAAACGGAAGGAGCAGAAGAAGAAGAAGAAGCCGTTGGACTCTTGATATATAACTGAGAGGTGCCCAACTCTCGACCAGAATTTGCACCTTACTCGGAAAGGGAAGGAAGGTCAATTGTAGGAGATGGGCAGGTTCGCAGATGGCAGCGTCTTCAACCTTCGCGAGAGATTATCCTATTCCTGGATGGAGGAAGGCACCGTCTGGCACGACGAACTGCCTAATCGAAACAATTAGGAGGTGGAATGGCAAATGAGAAATCGAGGAAGTCGAGAAGAGATCGTAGATCCTAATGTTTCGTGAAACACTTCCAAAGTTGTTCGATGATCTTTCGAGCGACATGTTCTAGGAAAAGCTATTTTGCTGGAGAAGTCCGTTCAAAACATGCTGCGGAGTCCCTTTGGAAGCCGTCAACCGTGAGAACGTCAACATAAATGTGCAACTGACAAGAAAAGCGGGAAAAGTTAATATTTTCAAAAAAGAAGAGTATGAAAGATAGGTCTAAATGTGTGCCAAACGTGGTGTCAAAAAAGGGACAAAAGGGAAGGGACGAGCAGAATAATAATTGGTAAGAGAAGGGAGAAAAGTCAGGGAAGTTGAGTCCAGCGGGATCTGTGAATGAAAAGGCCAAAAGTACACATGTAAAATGGGAACTTGAATGTGTGCCAATAAGGGAATTATCTACATTCATTCGTCACGACGAAAAAGTTCCTTCCTCATTCTTGATTTTAAGTTCGATACTTGAACTGATGAGCTAGACACAGAAAGGTTGTCAACAAGGATTGACTCCTATTTCATCCATGGGACGTAGGGCGTTGTGCTGTTCACCCAAGAGATCTATCTGCCTAGTAAAATCCCTTCCGAAGCCGTCTTCCTTCCCTCCTTTTTTGGAAATTTTCTGTCATTCCTTAGGTCGTCGTTGTCGAGGGCAAAAGTGTGAAGAAGAAGACGAAGCATAGGAAGAAGTGTGCCGTCGCACTGGTTTATGAATAAGTGATGGCGTTCTATGGTTTTCGCGTGTGGTGCACGCGTCTTGGTGCGAGGCTCGTGAGAGCCTAGCCGCTGCCCGGAGCAACTCGGAAAGAGATATCATCGACGGTTGTAATTGTGATGAAAGCCATCATCCAAATGAGCGGTATTGACGGGAAGAAACGAGGCACATGGGAAGAAGAAGAAGACAAAGGAACTGAGCTTCGGAGTCAGGTGGTCGCCGCAATTATGATTGATAAACAGACTGATAGACTTGGGGAAACTCACGGAACTGGCCGTGAGGAGGGAACATCCAAAACATGACCTCTAAACTGATTTGGAAAAGATGAAAAGGAAAAAGCAGACTGCCCACATGTAAATTTGAGGCAGAACCTAAAAAACATGGACTTGCTCTACTCAGCCTTTATATTTTGAGACGCGGCTAAATGCTTAGAAGTGGCCGATAGAGCCCTTCTTGATTAGTGCAACGCTCATTTTTCGAAGTAGTGGTTCGTTTGAAATTAAGAATTAGCATAGTAATTGAAGAGCGAACGATACAATCGGCTTATCCTTTTCCCTCATTCACCTTTTTTCCCATTTTCTCATCGCCGTTGTCTGTGGCAGACGTGTGCTTTGAAACACCATAATTCGATCTGCAAATTGTAAAGGTTTCTGGTGTGTTTTTGGAAAAAAAGAAGACGAATTCTTTTTTCTGTCTTCTGTCCACACATACCGAGAAATAGCATTAGGGATTTGCACACAAATGACCGAACAGACAGAGGGCAGAGAAAAGAGAAAAGGAGAGGCTAACGGGGAGCACGTGCACGAGATTCCCTTCAAGTACCATAAAAAGTCAAGGATCAGGTCAAGCGAGGAGCGAATATTGAATAACGTCTTCTTCTCCTTCTTCTGCTTCTTCATCGTGCCCGTTTTGCACACTAAGAGTGGGCTCCTGGAGCAAACGCAAAAGAAAGAAAAGAAAGGGGAAGAAGACGTCGCAGTTTCCGTCAGAAGAAGAGTTCAATTCGATTTCAGCGCGGATTACTTTTCGACAAAAAAAATGTGCGCGCCCCTAGTGTCGTCGACTTTTCGGAATTGAAAACGAGAAAAAGAAGGGGAGTGAGCGTAGGGAGCTCTTCGAAAACTGGCCGAGAACTGTAATGAGCACACGAATGAGTTCGTAATTGTAGCCCCGAGGGAGTTGTTTTCAATTGAAATGTCAAGTGTAACAAACAAACAACGGAGGAGTGTCCTTTCCCTTCGCCGTGTTTTCCGTGGTCCCATCCCGTTTGAATAAGCCATCTTAGATTCGTGCTCCTTCAAATTGCATTCACGGACACTGCCGCCCGCATGGAAAACTCGATGGTAGGGGCGGTAAACAATGATTTCTGGGTGCACACGTGATGGCGACAGAGCGCCCCGAACTCGGACACGTCGTGCGAATATTCGGAGACGTTGCAAAGAAAAGGGGCGGAGCTTTGAAGTGGCAACCAGCAGGAAAAGAGAGCGCTGTCAGCATCATTAACGCGTTTCATGACACGGGAGGAAGAGAAGAAAATGTTGGAAACAAATATGAGTCGGATTACAAAAACATTGAGAAGACCTCACTTCGCCTGATCTCTGGCATTTACAAATCAAAAATATTTATGCATTCAATCAATTGCCAACTCATACCTCTTCTCCTCACCGCTTCACTCCAATTTTCTCTAGAATGCCCCTAACACGTCCGCATCCCGATCCGTCCGTCTGAATGTTTTGCTTGCAATTCCTATCCGTCGTGATGTGATTGTCATCATTCGTTTCGTTCATTTTAGAGCAAACGTACCATCGGAGTCGACTCGCTAACGCGTTTTACGTGATAATCAATGGAAAATGGGACCACTTCAAAGGTGAAAAGGCAGATCGCGTCCTTGTGGAACCTACCGTAACTCTCTCCCTCTCCAGTTGTGTGGGCCCTTTCTCTCTTTCTCTCACTCTCTCCTCCCTCTCTAATATCTGTGATGGAAAGAGCGAAGCAGTAAAGCCCTTCCTTCGAATCATCAGAATTCGCTAATCCCAAAATGTAACTTCTTCTCATTTCAGAAGGAGACTTCTTCTCCGCCTTCTGGGCATGGCACGACCTCGCCTCCTTCCTCATCGCTCTGCTCGTCTTCACAGTATTCTGGTCCGTTACCACGTACCTTCTCATCAATGTAAGTGATATTTTTGTTTGCAAATTCAAGAACTCAATGCGTTTTTTTTTCAGCAAACGGTGTACATTGAAGCGATCGGATTGGTGGCTCTTCTCACGGAAGCAACTCTTGGAGTTCCTCAATTGCTCAGGAATTTCCAGAGAAAATCAACACAAGGAATGAGGTGAGCAAAAAAGTGCATAAAACAGCCTGGGAATCCGAGTGAGCCATCTGACCGAAAATGTGCTCTGCTCTCTCGGTTTCCCTGCAAACAAACCTGCACAAATCCAAAGTTCGTTCCGCCAAAACAAAGTAACGAATAAAAACGAGACATTCGAAAAAACAGATCGGATTTCGCGTAACATTGCATTTTGGACGATGGTCTCACTGCTGGAAGTGACGCTTTCGAAAAGAAAAACAAACGAAAACGGGAATCACAGATTGTATCCGATGGCAGTCAAATACGATTATTTTGAAAAAATTTAAAAAAACGAAATACGATCAAACGTCGTGAATCATCCGCCAACGTTGTTTTTATTTTCAGTATCCCGATGGTGTTGGCCTGGTTGGCGGGAGATCTCGCGAAGACCGGATATTTCGTGGCGACCGGCAGTCCGTTGCAGTTCTGGATCTGCGCTATTCTTCAGGTTCTATTGATTCGCTGAAAGCCATCTAGTTTGAAATGTTTTTAGATTTCGATCGATATATTCATTCTCGGCCAAGTGTTTGTCTATCGGAAAAACACGAATCAGCCGGAGCTGCCGTACACGGCGAACAATCAGACGACGAGTTCGTCCGAAGGAGCCGTCATCGACTGATTCCGCTGTCACTCGTTTGTAGTATTTATTGAAAACTTTTCACAATTCGGAAAAACAAGCAACCAAATAGAAACTGTGATTTAGAGTTCCCGAAAGATCAATTCGGTTTATATTTGCTCATTTTCCCCTTTCCCCACCGACGAGCCGAGCGCATGATTTCAGTGGATCGTTCCCAGCTTTAACCGACCGTTTGGATCCATTCTTGATCCGACTCAACTGACAAATCTCTTCTCCTTCCCTCCTTTCCTTTCTAGACACAATTCACTGGTTCCGGGTATATTCTCTCTCTATCTCTCTTTTCGAGACGTTTTCCTCCTTCCTCTCCCGATGTGTACATAATCTGTTTTCCGTTGCTTTCTCAGTGTTCCCCTCCCTTTTGGATCCACTGGAACCATGCCTTTGTCCGAGGCCTCGACTCGTCTTCTTCCCCTTTATAACTCACAGGACCACCCCCATTTACTCCTATATCGCCTCAGATTCTCACCGTGAATATATTCCCGATCGATTCTTTGTGAAGCATATTTGCCAATGAGATCAAACGAAAATTATGATTTGTTTTATTAAAATAAATTTTTTACGGAACAACATCAAAAGACTCAAAAGAGAGGTTCAGGTTTGACAGTTTTCGGCGGAACTCCGGCCAATGCTCCAAAATGCGTTTTCTGTAGTCACTTCAGGCGAGACACTTTTTGTAGAACTCTGCGATTTTGTAGAACGTGACTCCATCGATCGGCTCATTCTCATTCGGATTCTCGCAAAGCACAGCGACAATCTGCTTGTGATCCTGCGAGTTTTCCTTGACTCGAACACTCTGCACACACTTTTCGACACAATCCATCACGTCCGAGCACTCTTTCATGAGGATCCGTCCGACCGACTGGTTCTCCATGAGCGCCCTGATCACGGGACGCACCGACTTGTTCCGCGTCTTCTCTCTGTCCAACTCTTCGAGCACAGACGACGGGAGCACGCAGATAAAGTCGTCCATTTCCCAAATTTTGCGCGCGAGCCGTATCATGCTCACTATCGTCTCGTAGTTCATCACTACGTACACTGGTTTCCAGTCTTCCCGGTTCATTTGGCTCACTTTCTCGACGAGCTGCTCTATTGACACTTCCAGACGCTTCGCAACCAATTGATTGATTCGACGGAGAAGAGGTTCAGAGGTTTTTCTCTCCGAGTTCAATTTCATCGTCGGATACTTGAGGGAGAGCAGCTGATGAACAGAACTGCTGAGATGCTCCAAAGTTGGCTCCGATTTAGGTCCATTTAGAAGGAGACTGGTGGAATAGGAAGAAGAGGAAATGAGCGGGGAAAGGGAGGCCGACGCGAAAACGATGTTCACGTGGTTCAGGACGGCGTCGTTCAACTCGCACCATTTCTTAAAAAATACAGCAGTGTACGCGGAGAATTCTGTTAAAAGCTTACGGTTTTAGAGAAGTTAGAGACGGAAGAAAAGTTGGGCTGATTCTTGAACATGTCCCATCTTCCGAAGTTCTCCGAGACAGCGCATATCCAGGTGATCGCCTCGGAAAGGAACCGAGTATCCATCATTTCGTTCGCATAAAAACAGAGATAGAGCTCGGTGATCACATCGAACGAATCCATGTATCGGATGACTGAAAAGAAAATTTGAATAATTTAGAAATTCAAAATTTTCAATTAAGATATACATCCGTCATTCTCCATCGAGAGTTGGGAAGCCAACCGACACGCGGACAGAATCATCGGCCAATCGGCGTCTCGATTCTTTCCGAGGATCTCCTTGAACTCTTGAATCAGTTCCATTCCGATCTTCTGATGTTCCGCTTTTCCCGACTTTGCAAACAACGCCCAGTTCACAAAATCGACGAGGAACTTTTCATCGCCGGAATCGTTCAGAATCTCTTCCAGCTTTTTGTCAGTATCATACGCTTTTTCAGCGAGTTGTGCGAGGATGAGCAGTCTGTAAACGCAATGGTAATTAGAAATATATCTACAATGTCTTGCCTGCATTTTTCGGCCAGAGTCGGGTTCGGTTTGACGGTCAGGAACACATCGAACGCTCTTCCGTTCTGGGGATTCAACTCGACGCTCCGTGCGTAGAATCCGGCCGCCAACGACTTCTGAATCTCGTCGTCGGGCATGTATCGATGGAGGTCCCCGAGATAGAGATTGATCTGAGCGGCGTATTGATCGGAGACCTGCAGAAATTCGTGCATTTCTCCGCAAAACATCGTGAGCAATGTCGGCGTTTCCATGACATTTTCGCTCTCCTGAAACGAATATTACGTTTCTTTTTCTTTTCGAGAAGAACAGAAACTCACTCGAATGAAAAACTGATACGGCTGGTAATATCCGTATGTCCACAGTTTGCTCAGCCTGTGATTACAGTCGATTCCTTTCTTTATCAGCTCAATTAGCTGTTTTTGAGCTCTGAATGTTATGAATCTTTAGTATCATTTGTCTGTGTTAACTCACTTTTTGCGAAGCATTGCCATTGTTGGAGAATGGACATTCTCTGTTTCGCCAAACTTGCAGAGTTGAAGAATGTACTTGTCGAACCGCTTTTCTTCTTCGCTTCTTGACATGATGTTAACTTTGACTCTGGAAAAGAAAAAAGTGTTGAAAAAGTATAAGAGCAGTTATATACGACCAGTTCAAGTGATAAAGTTCAGAAAAAGGCTTGATTCAGCATTGAAAAGTGTTGAAATTTTAGAGTTTTACTGTTGTGGCCTAGGAATTTGCCGGCGCGGCCGAAGTTTCCCCATTTTTTGGGAAATTTCACTGAACTGTTTTTTTCGTTTTTCATATTACAACACTCAATTTTCTCACTCTTCTCGTTTCTTATCGGTTATCAGTTTCAGATTGCATGTCATCAGGCGCCGGGCAACGCATTATCCAAAAAGAGCTCAAATCGTACGAATACAGCCTCAGAGTGAGTCGTTTCTGTCGTCTCCCACGCAACGATTGTGATTTCTGGTCTGGCCATTGTCATCCCGTCCACAGTTCACCATGCTTTCTTATCAAATCCCTTGATTGTCACGGTCGCCGCCTCAGTTCACTCGTTGCAAACACCTTGCCGTTTCGGCGCAATTTATTGGCCTAAAACCTAAAAGAATGTAGTGGCCATCGTGTTTTTCGCTCTGTCTTCTTTCAGTTATCAAAGTTCACAGCGTTTAGCGACCATTTCACCCATGATAACGATTCATTTCAGGCGTCAGCGAGTTGCGACTCTTCTCCCGGCCTCTTCCAGCCGTTCTTCCAACTTGTGCTCCATTATAAAGACGGAGAAACGCAAGTTCTGGACTTCACTCCCAAGCAGGTATTAATAAGTTTGACAACCTTCGAATACAGGTTAATTTCAGCTCGAACAATTCTGTGCGAAGCTCAATAATTGGAAAGAATGAGTCAGAAAGCAGACCGCAGGTACATCTATCCCAAACTTCCACCCGGCGCCATCAGCAAGTCGACCGTCATCGTTCTGGCGACGGGACTCGCAGGATACACTGCCCTCGAACTGCTGTATGGGTCAGAAACATTCTACAAAAAGGCGGTGATGCCTGTAGTTCATAAATTTGTCGACGGAGAAGATTCGCATCGATGGGCGGTGCGGGCGGCAAAACTGGGACTATTGCCTCGGTTCGGATGGAATCGCAAAGAATATCCCGAGCTGAAGTGTGAGCTCTTCGGCCGAGTATTCAAAAATCCCATCGGTTTGGCTGCTGGATTCGATAAGGACGGAGAGGCAATCACGCAACTCGCCAAGAATTCCGGATTCGGACTTATCGAGATCGGATCGGTTACTCCTATTCCTCAACCAGGAAATAATCGGCCGAGAGTTTTCCGACTGCTGGAAGACGAAGGCGTCATCAATCGGTACGGATTCAACAGCGACGGAGTAGGAAAAGTGCACCAGAGAGTTCGGAGTGCCAGGGATGCGTGGGTCCCTGAGGATTATGCATACTTTGGTGTCAACTTGGGAAAGAATAAGCTAACTGAAGATGCGAAGTGAGTTGAGTCAGAAAAAACCATAAATAAATCATTTCCCATTTCAGACTGGACTACGAAATCGGCGTCAATTACTTTGCTCCGCATTGTGATTACATCGTTCTCAACGTCTCCTCGCCGAATACTCCGGGACTTAGAAGCATGCAAAAGAAGACTGACCTCGAAAAGCTGTTAACATATGTAAAACAGTCACTTGACATGCACAAACTGGAGAAAAGACCACAAGTGTTCCTGAAGATTGCTCCGGATCTCATTGATTCAGAGATGAAGGACATTGCAACAGTGGTCACAAATCAGAAGTTCGGCGTCGACGGAATCATTGTCTCAAATACAACGATTGCCAGGCCGGACTATCTGAGATCAGAGAACAAGGCTGAATCCGGGGGATTGAGTGGAGCACCCGTTCGAGAGATCAGTACGGAGTGCGTGAGAAAGATGTACAAGTGAGTGGGCAATCAGAAAAAACGAGCAGCTAAAAATTATCTGTTTCAGACTGACAAATGGACAAATTCCGATAATTGGATGTGGTGGAGTGTTCAGTGGCGAAGACGCGTACGAAAAGATTCGGTGAGAACAGTGCTCACCTCATTTATCTTTTATTCTTCGTTTTCAGTGCGGGAGCCAGTCTCGTCCAGTTGTACTCTGCATTCGTTTACGAAGGATTTCCAGTCATCGGAAAGATCAAAAGAGAGCTAGCTGCGCTGCTCAAAAAGGACGGATTCGCTCATGTTTCGGAGGCCGTCGGAGCTGATCACAGAGAACAGAAATAGAGATAATTGAATAACATTTGTTCAGGTTCAAATCGAGGGTTTTAATTTCCGATGTTGATATTATAAAATTTCGTGCCTTTGTCGCCTTTGGACACACTTCATCTTTATTTTATTTGTTATGAAAATAGATTTTACCTTTTCTTTAAATTTTCATCAATCTTGGTGATTCGCCATGATTATTTATATCCACGAATGCCTTCTGATTACCCAAATTGCATTTCATTCAGGGTTGATCAAATATGCCGGAGCTCCGCGTCATTTCTCTCGATGAGGTTTCGAAGCACAACTACGAAGGAGTGGACAAGTCGTGCTGGATCATTATCTCCGGGAAAGTGTACGACGTTACCAAGTTCTTGAACGAGCATCCCGGAGGAGAGGAGGTCATCACTCAGCTGGCCGGAAAAGATGCCACCGTCGGATTCTTAGACGTCGGACATTCGAAGGATGCGGTCGAAATGGCCAACGAGTATCTGATCGGAGAACTGCCGGCGAACGAGATTCCGAGAGCGGCGGCCGCTCCGACGAAGGCTCCCACTGGCGGACAATCGAACGCTTTTAAGGACTTCACTGATATCATGACGTCGCCGACGTGGACGAACTTTCTGATTCCGACCACGATGGGCATCGTCATCTATGCCGTCTACAAGTGCGTCTTCCACTAATAACGCCTATACCAAAGCTTTTCGGATGATCTTTTTATTCCCAATTCCCTTTCCCTGCTCTAGTTTTATTCTGCTCCCGATAATTATCATAGCTTGAAATGTGATAAAATGGATGTTTATTTCAAGTGTCCTCAATGGTCCGAAAAGGTGGAACACCTGCTGGCATACCAAATTTTCCAAAAACGAGACGATTTTGAAAACTGAAAAGGGAAAACAGTTTTTGCAGATCTGAATGATTCGTCAGATTTTTCGTCCCATTTTAAGTAAGATTTCACCTTTTTGTGCGAATTTCAAGATACGATTCAGCGAGTTCGAGAAGGTTTTCCGACGTGAAACCGAAGAAAACGGCGAAAGAAAAGGCGATGGCTGACAAGACTCCGAAGGGAACGCTCGACAAAACGGAAGAGCAGCAGTTCGAGGATCCTCATCTGTTGAAGCACCCGGGCGGAGTGAACAAGGCGACGGGAGAGGTCGGCGGACCGGCGGGACCAGAACCCACCAGATACGGAGACTGGGAGCGCAAGGGAAGAGTCTCCGACTTCTGAAGAATTCAGCTTAGAACAAACCGTAGCTCGTCATAAGAATTTAATGTTTATTAAAGTTTAGATCGTCATTGTACTATTATAACATACATAAAGTACTTGGGGGACAAATGAATTGGATGTGACATAAAACAGGAGCTCGAGACAAAATATGAAATAAATGGAGAATAGAATGGGACAATTCGAATGAGTATCTTGATCACTGCGAATGGTATTCGACCTGGTAAAGCGTGGCTTTCTTCTCTCCGGAGCCGGTGACAATAAGCGAATCGTCGAAGGAAATGTCGCACGAGAGCACCGAACTGCTCTCTTTCAGAGTGAACAGGGAGGCTCCGTACGGAGTACGCCAAGCGTGAAGGGCGTTATCCTGAAATTTGAACGATAAGAATGGGGGAGGGAACATGCGAAACTAACCTTTCCGGTCGAGACGAAATACTTTCCAGAGTGAGCGAACTTGAGAGAAAGAACGCAAGACTCGTGCTGCGTCAGCTGATACTTTTCCTTTGCCGTCGTCGACAGCACTTCCACGTAGTTGTTTTCCATTCCGACGGCCACCCACTCGTCATCCGGACAGCATCCCAATGAGAACACTTGGCTAGCAAAGTCGTGTTTCGCGATCTCCTTCCGCTCTCCGAGGTCCCAGCAACGGACCGAGTTGTCGAGACCGCCCGACCACAATTTGGAGCCGTCCTGGGAGAGATCGAGGCACGAGGCGCCGTCCTGGTGGCCCGGAAGAGTTCCGACTTTCAGTTTGTTGTGAATATCGTAAATCAGAATGTTTCCATCGGCGAGGCAAGCGAACAGAAGCTTCTCGTCAGGGGACATGGCCAGGGCGTAGCACGCTTGCGAGCCCGTCTCCAGATCAAGTGTTCTGGTCTCGGTAGTCAAGTCCCACAGAGCGACAGTGCTGGCTTCTCCTCCGATCAGAAGGGTGTTTCCGTCCTCGAAAAGTTTGCACGAGCGGATGTAATTCTCCTTGAGGCAATCGAGAGTCGAGAGTGGAGATCTGTTCGTGCCCGGGTTGACCACTGTGTCCGAATCCCTGACGTCCCAGATCTTGACGCATCCCTTTCCTCCGGTGTACACACGACTGTTATCACGAGCGATTGTGGCGGCGCAGACGACTTCTCCGTGCATCAGATCCACTCTCTTCTTCAGTCCCTTCGGAATACCCGCTCCGGTCAGTGCATCCGGTGGAAACGTGGTCGGGGTGGGTCCGGAACCATCGACAATCCTGAACGAGTATGCCGGTCTGCCTCCGTTTCCCATCTGTCCCATGGCCGCAGCCAGACGGGCCTGAGTGTGTGGATCACTGAACATTTGACTGAAGCCACCAGCCTGTCGGAGCATGTTCGGATCTGAAAGGGATGCTTTGAAATGAAGAAGGGAAGAAGGATGGACTCACTGAATCCAGCGAACAGACTCATCTGCTCGAGTGACTGCAGGGCTGGTCCTGCCGCCTGTGGTCTTCCGTGTTTCGCCGATGCGATACTCGGAGTGGATGCACCAGAAGAGGCCACGCTGTTCGTACTGTCCCGTCCATTCTTGTTGGCTGCTCCGGTTGACGTCGTGCTCGGATTGTCATCGTTCGTCACGTCAATCTCGAGCTCTCCGTCCGGATCCTCCAGTTTCGGTTTCTTTGCTTCGCTCGCCCCGGTGGCCCCTCCGCCGTTCTCTCCGCCGTTCGTCTGTGGCTGTGCGAATTGACTGAAAAGCTGTCCGATTGTAGGATTCATTCCGAACGGCATGTTCGGAAACATTCCGAGGAGTCCGGCAGCGGCGGGCGGCAGATTCGGCGGCAGTCCTCCGTTTCCATTCTCGCGCGGAGAAGATACTTTGACGGCGTCCAACGCGGCGACGCATTGTGCTTGATTGTCCTGGCTGAGCTGCGGAACCAACTGAAAGGCGACTCTTTGCGTACTACTCATTCGCTCGGCAAACAAAAGCGGTCAGATGAAGGGATCGGTTTCCCACTTATTAGTCAAAGGGAATCGAGGAAACATTCTAGCAACCGAATGACCTTCTTGTGGGGAAAAGTGATGAAATGGAATGTCTCCTAACTACTAACCGTCTGCAGGATGAACTCATGTAGCCGTTTGTTCATTTCTTCCACTTTTCTGACTTCTGCACGGAACTGGTTTCCGGCTTCGTTGTAGCCCATGTACGCACGAGTCATGTTCTCCTTTTCCGTCGATATCTTCTCGATCTCCGACTGAAAATTGAAGATGAGTATCAAAAGGTTCAGCGGAAACATACCCTCTGTTGGCTCAAAGTCTCCGCCAACTGCGAGTGCTCCTTGTTGATCCGTTCGAGGTTTTCCAAAAAAGTCGACTTCATCATTACTGAAATTTTTAAATTGGAAATGAGGTGCGGAGAGTCGCAAAAACGAAAAGCAAGAATTCGATTATGAAGCAAAGGAAGGAAGACGAGGAAAAGAGGCGGAAATATAGCGAGAAAGGAGAGAGCGGAGACGACGAGAGGCAGGAGAGAAGAGCGGAAAGGACGGAGACCGAGGAGGCGCATTAATTGCAAAACGACTGGCCATATAGCCCTCGCTACGAGGCGGTATTGGTGTCGAACCGAGGACGAACGCGCGTCGTCGAATGGGACACCGATGGGGTGGGAGGGCAGTGCGCGAGCGGAGAGGGTGTCCGATGGAGCACGCTTGCACAACAGAACAGACATTGTTTATTGAGACACACACACACACACGTACTGGTAACAGGACGATACCGTTTGAAATGAGTTTGGGGGTAGGAATAGTACAGATGAAACAATGAAGAGTGGCATTAAGGAGGACGCATGAATGACGTGGCACGATCCGTAAGTAGGACATTAGAAGGTCAAATCCAAAACAGGGTGTAAAGTTTTCAATGAAAAAGTGCAGATAAAATTTAAAGGCTATTGGAGGGGGACTGATCAGAATACGGGGCTCTCGGCTCTCGTGACATCTTCTTCGTCTTCAATCTCTTGCTTCACCTACAAAAAAGGCAATTACAAATACAATCGAATCTGTTTTGTCTTCTGATTCGGTGTACTTTGCGACGTACCAACTACTACTCGGAAGGTTTGTCATTCACGGCGGGACGTCTCCCGCAGTCTTCCGAATGATGGGCCGAGATCCGCACACATCCAACTGCTAATCTTTTCACTCAGATAGGCAGCCGTAATGACTGGCAATGTGCAACAGATGGTGTCATATTTGTGCAGTCACAAGATGTCGTACAAACAAGTGTTAGACTGTATATAACTTATACACTCATTTTGGGATGTGACGGAAGGATTTGAAAACGGGTCATAATAGTCAGAAACACGCCCTACTCGCCGTTTCCCATCGTTAACGGAACAATCATTTTGGCGGTATATCTTGCCCCTCTAAGACTTCATCGTGAAAATGACCTTTACACATAATATTCTGTTGGCAGAATGACCGAGAACTAATTACGGGGGTTCTATTCATCTAAATTCTGTTTGTGTCAAAAGCGTTAAGATGGAATCTACTAGATACCCATCAGAATGGACAAGTGAATTGATGAATGAGAAACTGACTAAACAATGTTTACACTGTGTCATGCTCCCAATTTTAATGATCGGAAAACACGAGTCGGAATGCGATTGAATGTGTGGGATGCCGCCCTGTGAGACCACGTCGTAAATGTCTTTCGGAAGAATTACTTTCCCGCCTGAGAGACTCGATCAATCAATCTCGAGTGCCTCCGCCCATAAAACAAGCCCATAAAAAAGAGAGGCGTACCGCAGCGACACTCGCTTCGCCGGCTCTCGCCTCCTCCGGCTCCTCTCGTTCCTCAGAGCTCCTCCGAGCATTCGTCGCACTCATATTCGTCGTGTTCTCTTCCGTTTCGTCCACCTCGTCTCCAGTTTGCTCTCTACGACGTCGTTTGCTGGCTCTAAAGGGAATAATGTGCTCGGAGAGGTCTCAGTGCGAAAGGAACTCACGGCTCGCGTACCATTTCATTCTCTTCGCCGCCCAGTTTACTGCGTATCACATCCATATCAATTCGGAAGTCACGATAACCAATTGAGTTGTTCTGAAGTGGGAAAACTGATAAAATTGAAGGGAATCGCGGTAATATTACCTTGATCTGCAGGTCGAATCTGTCGTCTTTGATAAGTTTGCACAAAACGAGGATTCCGTGCTGCACCGCTTCCCTTTCTTGCGAGAATTTCGAGAACAGCTTTTCATCCCTCTTCGATCTGGCGTATCTCGTCTTTTGTGATAACTTCTTCTTCATCTCGTCTTTTCCCTTTGAGAATCCGATGTGATCGTCTACCATCGCTAGAATCGGAGTCAGCTTCGTTTTGACGAGAGTAGCAAGGGCCCCGACACTTTCCCAATCGGACATCTCCCGACCCCATCCCTTCGTCAAATTGTGCAACTGAAAACGTAATCATTCGGGATGAGAATGTTTGGAATAATCATACCAACAGGACACACATCTGAATTGTTGAGAAGTAATTTGTCATTATTTCCGTCACTCTCTCCTGCATCAATTTGTACTGGACGAATATTTGGAGCACTCGCGAGACAAGCTCAGTCACTTCCATGCACTTTTTGAAAAGACCAGCAAGCATGCCATCGACTGAAATGACATATTCTTTTAGTTATCAGGTAACGCAGATGGCTTACAAATGGGAGGTTTAACGAAAAAGTCCTTCATGAATCCGGCGGCTTCTCTGATCAGTGCCAATGTCTTTTCGACAAAACTGAACTGGAACTCAATGGCGGTGTTCAAAGAGGTCTTCGAAAGGAAACGATATTGTAGTTCGTCGGCTTCCTCGCTCAAAAACTCGAGCAGATTCTCCATGATCGCATTCATTTCTTTCGTCGTTTCCTTTTCCGAATCGGCACAACGCAGTCCGCAGACGGTCACGAATTTGCAGAAATCTCTGAGCATCTGATTATTGTAGAACGTCTCCTCTTGGAGCACTTTGGTCACTCGAGCAAACAGATTCGACCACACTTTCACGTTTTTCGTCATGCTCAGCACGGCCGAAGAGGCCTTCAGAATGGCTTTTCCTTGTAATTCATACTGGATTTTCGGCCTTTTATCGTCCTCAACATCTTCGTTTTCGACATCTACAACTTGACGGAAGAGACGACACGAAAGGAAGTGTGCTTGACGGAGCTGAAATTAAATGAAATAGATAATGAATCAGTTGATCGATCCCACCGCCAGAATGTTCGGTTCTTGTCTTTTCTTCTTTGTCGCTTCGTCCTCTCCTTCCTTCTCCTCAAACCACATCGCCGTCACTCGGGACGGTGTCTGCTTGTATTTGACGGTCAGCAAATGGAGTATGTTCGCATAACTCTCTATCGCCAAAGTTTTGATCGGACTGCCCGTTTCTATGTCAGAAATCCACTGGGGACAATCATTTCCGACGTAGAAATCGAATAGACATCTATAAAAAACCCAAATAAAAAGAGAATTCTTCTTTCGATCGAGTCACTTCGAAAGAGATATCAGGCTGCTGGTTCCAGAGAGGATCGAATGAAGTGGACGGTATTCTCGGATCAGCGCAGTCGACAGAAGCTTTGCTCTTCCTACTGCCCATCCGATCAACGCGTTCTGCACATCCGGGGCGATATCCGGCCGTACATTGATCGTCGTGTTGTTCACATCGCTTTCTTTCACTTCCATCAGCTTCTTCATTATCGAGGCCAGCGTCTTGGCACTTGTCAGAATCTCGGTTTGTGATATATCGAGTGGCACCTTATCCTCCTTTTCTTTCTCCTTCTCCTGCTCTTTGTCTTTTTTCGTCGTTGTTTTTTCCTTGAACACCTTCTCCAATTCTTTCCTTCTGTTTAGTAGGGCCACCAGTTTATCTGAATCCTCTCTTGATTCCACCGCTTCCACTCTTCTCCACATGTGCTCAATGAGAACGTCGTAAGTGCTTAGCATCATTCGAGCAAAGAGCAGAGCTGACTTCCCATTCACAGTCCCGGTCGTCCATTCCGCATTGCGATCCAATCCCAAATCGAGAACATCACTCCGCATCGCAACGGCCACCCAATCCTCCATTTGGGCGGTCGCTTGCTTCAGAAGCAGTTGAGTGCCTTCTAATCGGAATTCCGGATCGAATGAGGACAGTTCGCTGATGAGGCACTCAACAGTTTGAATAAGATGAGGCATTGGCTCAACGAGTTGCACGATGGATCCGCTGCTCGTCGTCATTTCGCTCTTTTTCCATTCCGGCGCCGTTTTTGCGTGCAAAACAATCATATCCAGGAACTGATTGAGCATCGTTGTTGTCTGAGTGGCCAGTTCGCAAATTCCATCGTAAAGAGCGATTTTGGTGGTGGCTGGCTGCCAAAGACACCTGCTCACGATTCCTATCAACTCGAGACCGACTGCTCGATCCACATTCTTCTTACATCCCATATTGTTGAGTGTCTGAGTACTGAAGCTGCCGAACGACTGAGACATCGAATGATCGAACTGACCACCTCCCCCGTCCTCCCTGCGTTTGCTGACAGATCGGAGAAGCATTAGCACGATAGGAACGGCCGAGCACACTGTCGTTTCGCACAAGAGATCCTTCTTCAGACTTTTGAACAGAGACGTTCTCAGTTGAGGTCTCGTGTTGATGATCGGAATGAGACAGCGAATGAGAGAAACGGAAATGTCTCGACGCATTCGACAGACGTAATCAAATAGACCATCAATAAGCTTCGAATTATTCAAGATCTCAATGGAGCACTTTTTAACGAGCTCGCGGAGCACATCGATGAGGATCAGCGCCGAGGGATTGTTGGAAGAAGAAGCGATTGCTTGGAAAAGGAGAGTGAGTTGTACGGCCATGTCGGTCTGAGCGTATGAGATATTGGTTAGAATGTCCCTGCTGAGCAACCAAAGAGCGCATCCATCGGCCACTTTTCCGTCCACAATAACCACTTGCTTCTGATAGGCGGGGGTGTCTAGAAGGGAGAGCATCAGAGAGTAGAGGGGGCGGCTCAGGAGACGACGCAGATTCTCATTCGTCTGGAGGCTTTCGGAGAGAATCGTGAGTTGCAGCTCGACAACACGAAGAAGACGCCCGCAGGCGACGTCCGACATCCACACGCATTCTTCCGATTGCTCTCCGATTCTCCACAGCTTTTGTAGCGTCTTCTTCATGTCAATTGCAGCCTAAACGTAACAAGTTCCTTTTCTTTCGTAACTTATCCCACTCACATCGTTTCTGTTCAAACTGCACTGAACCAATGCCAGAATCAATCCTAATTCACTGCTTAGAACGCTGTACTTTTCAGTCTGTAATGAAAAACTGCTCAAATACCAAATAAACATAACAGTTTATATTTACCCGAATGCAGGAAAGGAACTTTTTGGCAGTCTCCACGTTTCCATTTAAAACTCGGTTTCCGACGACGACACACTTTTCCAAGTGCTCAGAAATCTTTCTCGTTTCCCTCTTCTCTTTCTCGTCTTCCTCTCCGATTTCCCACGCACTGACTACTCCATTCCACAATCTTCCCATCCTTTCTTTTTCCGTTTTCGTCGTCAAAACCATAGATTTCCACGTCATAATTCCTCTTCGCTTTCTCTCCGATTCAACGTCCTCTGCACTGGAATCCACTCCAATTTCCTGTGCAATCACCTCTTCACAGAACTTTTCGATGCTCGGAGCGGTATTTCCGAATGAATTGGCCACGTCGGCGAGAAGTTCGAACGCGTCGACGTCTTCGGTGATGCCGAACCACTGCAGGAGGATCTTATCGGCCACTTCCGTCCCCGACTGCAGATCCTTTTGATACTCGATTTGCTGGCAATCCCTGATCTTTGTTATGAGCACCGTCACAAAATCCTTCCATCTCTGATTGAAATGTCTTTTCATTTTGAGCGGCTTTTCAGCGTTTTCCGTGTTCTCTCCGCCTTGATCTTCCGGCTCTTTTCCCGTTTCGAGCTCCTTCGTAATGTGCTCCACAAGCATCAGCAGTCCGTCATTCGACAATTTCTCCAGATAAACCATTAAATCATTATACATTCCGAAGAAATTAGGCACGGAAATGTCGGCTTTCGTGAGGACGTCGAACAAAAATTTCATAGTTTTCAGAACGAGCTGTTCGAGTTCGGAAGAATCGGGAAGGATGGGTGTGAGCGATAAAATCGAGTGGGTGAACTCGAAGAGACGGCCTCCGCGGTCTTCGGAGCACATTTGAATGAGCAGACGACCGAGGGCTTGCTGAAAGTGATTCGGGATGGATCGGAAGAAACTAAAGTAGAATCAGAGGAACAGAAGATTCCCTACCCATTTGCTATCATTGTTCAGCAGTTGCAGGTTCGTTATAACAGCTTTTTTGGAACTTTCTGATATTTCGCCCATCGAGTCTGTGTGCTTCAGACGAAATTTGATGAGTGCGTCCACGAACTTTTCAGTTCCTCCGCCTCGACGGGGCTGAGCCGTCTGGGTGAACACTTGGGACATAATGACAGATTCCATCTGAACACGGCAAACAGATGAAACAAGGACAGTGGGATTAGAAGAAGTAGGAAGGTGAAACAGACAAAACCAAGAAAGACATTCGCAAACGGAACACAGAAATCATATTTATTTGTTCATTGATGCAGGATTAAAAACGGATCTTGAAATAATAGTTTGGAAAATTTTTCAAGTTCAATCGTACTTTTGATTTTTAAGTAAATTATTATCGTTTCAGTATCTTCCATTGTCAGGTATCATTTCAATGTACCTTTCGCCCATGTACTGCTTGTCCTTCATCAGCGCGTCGTCGTAGTCCTTTCGGTTGTAGAATATAACACGCGCATCTCCGCTCAGACGTTGATAAGCGTCACGAAGTAGTTCCACGTGGTTTGGGCGAATCGGATTGAAAAAGTCGTAGACGTCATTTTCAGTAGCACGGAACGGTATTCCTCGCATGCGCAGAACAAAGTGCTGGTTTCCAGCAGGAGCAGGAGCTGGAGCTGGAGCGGGGGCAGGACGGCTTCCGTATTCTCGGTCTCTGCCGTATCCGTATGGATCAGGCTTCATGTAGCGGTCATCCGGACGACCGTATTCCGATCGGCGCATAGCTCCTCCGACTGAAAATGAGATTGATATTAAAGACACAGAAAATCCATGCAGATGAGAATGCGAAGAATCAGGGGACAACTATGAAGATAACTATTCTTCCGCCCGGTCATCCCTTACTACACACAGTTCACAACACTCTCCCCAGAATCTAACACTGTCCCCAACAACCGAGTTTAACAGGTAACCTTCTTCAGACATAGCATAATTACAGTATGAACTCAGAACTCGGGTCATCCTCCAATCCCGAATCTGTCCACCCGCCAAACGGATTGCTAACACAAACTCTAGGGTTCTGATCCTTCTTGTTCTTCCCTTTTAAGCTACATTCAAAACTCCATTTTTTTGTTCACTTAACTACATTTCCCTTCTGTTCTCCCTTCGTGATTCATTGTTCCCTTCTGAATTCTCCCGCTGCCATTTCCCGTCCGCTCACCTTCTCTTTGTCCGTACGGCTCGCTCGTATAACCACCTCCTCCGTATCGGTCTCTTTCGGCGGGTGGCTGTCCTCCAGCCCCTCCGTTAGCCCAAGAATCTCCTACCGAATAGGCTTCCCGTCCAACCGGAGCGGCCGGTGCGCCAGCTCCTCCACCTGGTGCAGATGCCCCTCCGGACCCACGCCAGTACGAGTCCCTCGAATCCCTTGCATCATAGCCGTAATCCGAATATCTGAATTCCCTTGTTTATACATTTGAACTACAAAACACCAAATAAAGACAACCCAAATGCAACGTCCACTGCCCGAGATCAAGCCAAGCCACCTTCCTGTGTGGAATGCTCTCGCAGGCTATATCAGAACTGCTCGCACCAACGTAGACCTTTCATAACTTATACACATGTTGACTTCTCCCATCACAACAGTTCCGACCTTCATTGCGTGCTGATCCTCCTCAACCTCTGTCCGAGTTCCCCCCGTTTCTTTATGTATCACTTACCTCGGTTCTCCTGTGTACGGATCGACAGGAGCCGGAGCCCTCGAGTCTCCTCTCGGATCAGACAGTCTTGAGTCTCTCGGATCTCTCGGATCGATAGGTCCTCTCGGATCACGCGGATCGCGTGAAGCAGGTGCTCTTTCCCGCCCGTAGTTATCGTACTCCGGTTTCGAGCTATAGTAGCCTCCAGAAGCTGGTTGAGATGCACCTCCGTAAGATTGCTGTTGGTAAGGATCGTACGCTGGTCTTGCTGCGTAATCGGGCGGTCCTCCTCTCGATCGGCCATAAGGATCTTCAGGCTCCGACCCGCGGTATCCGCCGCCATTTGCCCCACGGTATCCATCAGATCCGTATGGATCATAGCCTCCGCGTGGTGGGCCACCTCCGATTGGTCCTGTAACGAAAGGCGGAGGCCCGAAACGAGGCACACGAAGTCCGTTGTCATCAGCGAATCGGCTGAGCTCTCGGAAAGTGGCCTCGAACACTTCAATGTACCGATGCCCAATGTTCTTCATGTGCCGTTGCTTCGCTATTTGGACGCTTTCCATCGATTCGAAACAGACGTACGCCTCGCCGCTCGGACGGGCTCGTTGTTGGTCAGGCAATAGAACGCCATCCTTAAAAACGAAGTTGCAAACTAGGACCCTGGAAATACTAAAACTCACTCTAACAATAGGAAGAGGAGCCAGGAAGTCTGTTATATCTCGAACGGTGACTGCGAAAGGTAGGCCCCTGAGACGAACAACAGAATCAGGGCCAGTACGGGCGCCTCCTCCGCCGTATCCACCTTTATCCGCATTTCGGTCTCTTCCTGGACCTCCACGTGGTCGGAAATCTTCCCGATCACGTCGTCTTGGAGCAGAATCCATGGAAAACACTTCAATGTATCTAAAAGGCAAAAATTCAAACCAAAACCATATTGCCAGCACTCACCTGCTTCCCAAGTGCTCGCGATCTTTCGCCAACGCACTGTTATAAGCCTCCTCACTATCGAAACAGACGGTCGCATCTCCTTGCGCACGTCCGTTTCTTCTCGGAATATCAACGCTCACAATTCCGTTGTCTAAACAACGCTTTTAAAATGTGTCTTTGAAGAGATCACTCACTTTCAAAGAAATCCTTCAGCTCTTGATCCGTTGCTTCCCATGGTAATCCACGACATTGCACTTGATAGGCATTCGTCATACCTGAAAAAATAGAATAAGAATTTGAAGAAAATAGACAATGTCAATGAATCAATGAAGACGTCGTCAATGCATGTCAACAATCGAAAATTCAAAAACAGAATGCGTTGAATGTCCGCAATTGCGCGTAGTATTCTACGTAAACAGAATTGCCTACCGTATCGCATCCTCGAGTTGCATGCAAGTTGCAAGTAATTGTTTTGTAAGTTTTATCTCTTGCCATTCTTTTCAGCTTTGGAATTTCATACTTAGAGTCAAACCACATTGTTCCTACTTTTCAATGTCATACTATTACTGAAAAACGGTCTACTTTCATTCACACTTAGTCTCTTTTCCTTCGTGTGCCTCTCTGCATAGTCATGTATGATTTTCCCAGTCCTCACATTCTAATAAGCCCTTTCGCAATCATCATACATTACTATTTTAAAAATATCTCGCGCGTTAGTCATCAAGCACCAAGCTAATGAGCAATCTCATTAGTAGCCTCGTGATACTGCCAATCGCTTCATACTTAACTCATTCGTTTGTTGCTCTCACTACCTTCGTCAACGTTTCCAACTTTTAATTAATCCAATGAAACCCCGATGCCTGTAGGCTCTTTCCGTCGTACTTTTTCATTTCCGTCGAAAAGCCGAGTCTAACGATTCCAATTAATTCATGTCCTTCTCTGCGTCTCTTTTCTCTCTGCCTTTCCATATTCTCGCCTCAGTTTCCATTTCTCCTCCTCCCCTCTTCGCCATCCGGCCGAGGCTAGGGCGCTCGTGTAAATGTATGCGCCAGAGTGTGTGTGCCAATCGCAACAGCAGCACTCTGCCCTCTCTGCTCCCTCCGCCTTCCTCGTGCTCTCTGCCCGCTTTCTATCGATCGTCGGGGAGACGAAGCAGAGCGTGAGACGAGCCGAGCGAGGGAAAGAGGGCGGCAAGCAGGGTCCTGCCGGCTACGTCTTCTCTGTCTCGTCTTCCCATTTCACTTCTTCTTCTTCTATAGCAGCTCTTACTCTCTCCCTCAATTCTCAATTTCCGTTTTTGCTTTTTTCAGAAAACAATGGACAAGTCTGACATGCAAAGAACTGTCGACTCGCTTCGCAACCAGCTGAACATCGAGCGGACTCCGATCACCGTTTCGGCTGCCGAGTAAGCTGGAAGTTCCGTTTTCAGTACTAATTGCGCATTTTCTGCAGGCTCCGTCGCTTCACCGAGAGCCAGGAGGACCCGCTCGTCAACCCCATCGACAAGAAGGTCAACCCATGGGCCGAGAAGAGCAAGTGCAGCATGCTCTAAACAGTCCGCCCCAACCGTCCGTCTTCGTTTTCTCTCACACTTCCGTCATCCATAATACTAATCCCGGGAGATATTTCCTATTTATATATTTTACAAAATCTCGTTCTCCATCTCTTTTTGTTGTAAAACGAAAGCATAAAATTGTGAATAAACTCATATAATTGCATTTATTGAGTAAGCACCATACAGAGATCTTTGCAATATGCTCAAAATTCAGTCATTCATAACTCGTCGTGGGAGTACGGATGCAAATGGTCCGCTTCCTGAGCAGCTTCTGTTTTGGCGAACAGTACGTGGTGCTCCAGAATCTCATCATAGGACAATTTTCCGTCCTTGTCGTCGTCCGCGTTGGCCAGAAGGCTCTCGGCTTCGTAGGAGCCGGCAGTGGTGCCGTCTATGAGAAGCCACGCACTCAATTCATTGCCGGACAGCTTGCCGTCTTTGTTTAGGTCGTACACGTTGTGGAATCTGGAACGGGAGACGATTGGCCCATTGGGAGTTGTGACAGACCTCTCCACTTCGACAGTGTACCATTCGCTCCCTCTCTGATCGTCCAATTCGCCCAAAAACTCTTTTTCGTCGATCGCTCCGTCTCCGTTCGCGTCTTTTTCGAGCAGAGTGACAGCGATGAGCACCGGGTGCATATGTGGATGATGCTCCGGATTTATGAAGCTTGCCAGTTCTTCCAGATCCAACCTGTGGTCTCCGTTCAAGTCCGCCTCTGAAAACATACAGAATTCGAATTTAGTTAGGTTCGACTAAAAATTTGTTACGTTTGAAGTACATTTTGTCCTGCGCAATCAGTGTTTCCTCCTCTTTGTTGTGCAATTCTTCGTCCGGAAACGAGTCAGCCACGTATTCATCCCAAGAAACCTGAATAGTTTCACTTTGCTTCCCGACAACTTCTACCCAATAAACTCACGAATCCGTTCGCATCGGCGTCTAATTCGCTCATTCTCTCGATGGCTTCTCTGTCGACGGTCTTCTGATATGAAGCAGAAACCCACGCGAGGATCTCGTTTCTATCTGAAGCCTCAGCACTTTCATTCTGAGTTATTAACAGGATCACCGACCTACAAATCCATCTTTGTTTGTGTCCAACGCTCTCGCAAACTTCTCCACACTTTCTTTTCCGGATTTCAAATTCAGCTTTTGCTGCGCTGCCGGTTTGTGCTGGTCTTGAGGGGACACTGAACCGTCCGTCTGAAAAACAAATTGGAAAAAAGAAATGAGCTCGAAATGCACTGACCATCCGTTCCTTCTCAGCCGTAATCGATAGAACTGTCAATGAGAACAGTAAAATCGATGTCTTTAGCCGCATTCTATAAATAAAGAAAATAAATATAAAAAAAGGGAAAAGTTGAATTAAAAAGTTTTATGAAAATAATGATGTTCACAAATATGGCAAAACCGTATTTCCGATCCAGCACTTTAAAAAACCCTAATAGTCTTAGATGGCCTAACTTTTGTTAATATGCGCGGCCGTGTATTCTTCTCGGACAAAAAAATCAGATTGCGACTTTCGATTGTGCCGATTCAATACATAATGGGAACTAAACGTGTCGCGAATCAGGCGGGGCTCATAAGAAGACACCCTATCGTTATTATTACCGGAGCCGGACGGGCGGCCTCTTTCCTCCCTCGGAGAGCCCTCAAGATGATTCGATTGCAGGCCAGTCATATTCTTCGTCCGGCCGAATGCACGCCTCTCCGAAAATCTCGTTCAGTCCCGGCATTCAGCAAACAATGAAGTGGAACGCGTTGGGCGGTGAGTCACTGGAAAACGATGGGAAAGGACAGTAGCGGAACCTGAAAGTTTTCTGTCCAATTTGAGTAAACAAAAACACTTTGTGCTTTTACTCACTTTAAGTTTGGCACCGAAGTACAAAAAGGGTCGCTTTGTCACTTTTATAGCTCTCTCGTAAATCGGTGACGCTATCCTTGATATCTGCCTCTCAAATTGTCAGGTAATCAAAGAAGTTACTGTCCACGATCGTTTCAGCGACCACAATTATATTCACGTCTCCCTAAATATGAAACGAAAGGACAAACTATGTCAAGAAATCCGACTTTTTAAAAAAGCCAACTATGATATTATCAACTACCATCTCGCCAATATTTCCTGTGCACGGATCCTTTGCAACAGCCTGCCTTTCTGTGGATGAGAAGTACGAGCGATTCCGTTTGATTGTCAGCAACATTATCATGGCTTTTGTACCCTCCAAACGAATCAACCCCCGTGCTATCGAGCACTCTTAGTTTATCACATCCCTTGCCCGACGCAAACTTTCCATCTGGAGACGCGAGGGAAACTCCACTTCTTACAAATAAATCTGCCTGGATCTCAAGAGGGAACTCGCCATTGAAGAAAAATCCCGGCACGAAAGGTACCCCATAAACGGCACTCCCTAAGATTTCTTTAGGTTTGTCAACCTCCGTTTCAATGAACCTGACGTGATTGGCATCATCAAACACAACAACACGATTCTCACCGATGACCTCCTCAAAGCAGAAGCACTCGCTGATACTTTTGCTCAACATCCCACCAAAGACAATTCTGTCACTCCCACCCCTAAACGGCGGAATTCAAACACGATCCGCAACATCTGCTTTGAGCCGTTTACTGTTGAATTCTTCCTCTCCAAGATGCCCTCAAAATGCAACTTCACGCCGGATGAAATGCCTTTATATTTTCTTTAATTCGGTAGAAATACAGTTCTAATCTTATAGCAAATCATTTACTTTCTAATTAGTTTGAATGTGTCCTGATCCCAGTTGATATCCAAATTGAGCTTCATCTTGCGCAGCGAATCAACACCCAGTATGTTGACATGTTCGTGATTCCCGTACCGTTGAAAAGACAAGGGAATCATGAACCGGGAGTTCGGTCCATGTATGATTCCACTGACCGAGAACGCAGGGTCACGGAACATCCCTTGACTCAAATGATTCACACCTTCAACACTTCCGATCTATAACATCAAAGTTGTAAAAAATCAGAACCATATAAAACAAAAAAGCGAACCTTCTCCAACTCCTCCTCGTTGATATCACTGAGCATGATGTCAAAAACTTCATATGGCATGACCAACCATCAGGCGGCATCCAAACTAGCATCCTCCACTGAGACGCGCTCTGGACGTAAGATTATTCGATTATAATAGAACATTCAAAAACAGAATGCGTTGTTTGTCCGCAATTGTGCGAAGCATTCTATGCAAACACAATTGCCTACCGTATTGCATGCTTTCTTTTTTCCAGTTTTAAAGACTAAGTAATTCATTGAGTTGTTTTGTAAATTCAATCTCCTCATTTTTCCAGTTTTGGAATTACAAACTTAGATTTAAAACACACTGTTTTTATTCTTCAATGCTATATAATTACTGAAAAATAGATTGCTTACATTAACAAGATTTCTAACCAGTTTCTTGTTCGTTTTTGCGTAATAATTTCATATTTTACAGGTAAAACATGTCGACAACAACGCCGATTCAACGGGTTGAATTCGCCGAGAAGATCTGCAATCGAGATCTCAACGGATACGTGCTCTTCTCGACGGAAAGTGCGTGGATTTGGGTCGGCGAGAAGTATGTTTCTCGGTTTTATAAAGAGAAATCTGTTAACTTTATTGTTTTTCAGCAAAATTCAATCAATCGGTCTCGCCAACTATCCCAACTTCACAATGCTCGTCGACGGGGAAAACACGCAGAGGGAATTCATCAAGTCGATCACTCTTCGGCTCACGAAAACATCCAGATTTACACAGGTTCGCATTGATTCGAAATAATCGAAATCCGAACCGCCCGTTTTCTATCCAGGTATTCTTCACGACCGACATTGAATGCGAGGAGGCTCTCTTCTGGAAGGTGCTCAACGACAAGATGCTTGAGAAACTAAACGAACTGAATCCCGAATAAATATTCCGATCGATCCCTCGTTTTCCTCGATTCCCTTTCCGCCGTTTCTGGTGAAGTGTACACGGGTGTTTATGGAATAAATAATAGAAAACCGCCCAATTCCAATTGAATATAACCGAATTTGGGTCACCACATGAGCCCGTTTCTGCTCGCTTCACACTGTTCTCACACTTGTTTTGGTATCCTTCTATTCGAGTATTCAAAAATGTCGGAAGAAAACTCTTCGAGTACCGAACTGCAGGTGCAGAATAAACTCAAAAAGGTAAGCACTCCAGAACTCGGAATTTCCGTGAGTCCTAAAACTTTCAGATGCTCAAAATGGCTCTTCCTCACGTCGGACTCGCTTTTTTCCTCTTTCTTTATCTTCTGCTCGGCGCTTACGCATTCTATTATCAGGAGTATGATGCAGATAAAAAAATACAATTGGCAAAATTGAATCTGATTCGGCATAGATACAAAAATATTGAGAAAGAAGTGAAAGTTCTGATAGGGGACGAGAAGAAGTACGAGAATTACAAACCCAAACTTCTGAAGCATCTATCCGGACTGTCTTCTTATCACGAAGGCCGGGAATTCAAGACTACTTCTTCTGGAATCAGCGACGACGCGTTGCCTCCTAGGTGGACGAAGAGGAGCTCTATTCTGTACGCGTTGAGCATTCTGGTAGATTCCCTGAAGCCAGCCGAGCTCATCCGTGCCCAGTTTCAGACCACAACCGGATATGCGTACGCAGTGCCGGTCACCCCCATCGGCCAGTGCTTCGCAATCATTTACGGCCTCATCGGCATCCCTCTGATGGTGCTCGCCGCCGTCGATTTCGGAAGATTCCTCTCGCACATTGTCCTGGAGATTTACTCGAAAGTAATTCAACTCGTAGGACTTCCGATCTCAATTTCCAATCTCATTTACAGTATCTCGATTTGGTTCACAAACTGAAAATAATGAAGACGGTAATAATGGAACGTCATCGGGCTCGAGACGAGAAACGACGTCTTCACGAGTTTAAACGGCTCGTCCAGGACACAGCGTCGATGTCGGAGGCCGCGAAAGACGGGCAGATGGAGGAGGAGCAGACGACGGATTCGGACGAGATGCCGGAGAAGAGGCTGCCGCTCGTGATCAACGCCTCGATCCTCCTGATCTTCTGCATGCTCGGCGGCGTCGTTTACATCGCCGCCGGCGGAAAAGCCACGTTTATCGAGTCGTTCTTTCTCACTTTCAACCTGGTCGCGAATCTGACGATGAGCGAAATGCCGAACGAACTCAACCACATTCTCACCATCGTTTACATCTTTGTCTTTGTCACTTGTGGTCAGTTTCTGTCTCCGGCCCGAAAAACAGAAGCCCTTTCAGGAGTGGCCGTTCTTTCGATGAGTGCGGAGTTGGCTGCGTTGGAACTGAAAGAGCTGTTCATGAAGATTCACTACTTCGGCCGACGGATCAATTTCAAGAGAAACCGCTCGAAGAAAGAGCAGATGGATGTGCAAGTGAAGGAACTTTTGAAGATAATCGAGGAGATTCGCAAGAGGTATCCGGAGAAAGAGAAGATCACGACAATGGACATTCTCGAGGTTTCTTCCCGGAATGAATATCCCGATAACCTCTCACGTTTTTACAGTACATGCACGAGAATACGGTAACTGAGAAGCTGAATGAACGGAGGGACACGATCGCATTCATGCCACAGACGATGGAAGTGATCAAGTTCGCTGACGAGCAGGACCTCGAGGAACGCAGTTTCTCGCGTCACGACGACGTTCCGTCCATCGGAGGCAAATCTTCTACGTAATTCCATCTCCCTTCATCTATCAAGCGTGAACTATTTTCAGCAAACTGGCTTCCATGATCGACGTGATGAGCTTCTCTCCAGAAGAAAACATGGAGAAGAGGTTCAAGAAGGAGATTCGGAAGTACACAACAGAAATCAAATATGTCAACAAGAAGGGACAGATAACGAACAAGGCAGAGTTGTAGATGTAATAAGTTCATAAGTTAATTGTTATTTAAATACAACGAATCTTAGATTCTACAATTGAAATTTAAAAAAAAACACTTTCTATTTACGACTCTTCATAAAAATCACCGAATGAGTAAACGAATAGTACATGAAAACTGGCTGGGGAACGTGGGGAACTGAGCACAAAACTGGGAAGCTGGTAGTGATTGGGTGGGGAAAAGTAGAGATGTAAGGGACAAAGGACAGTTATACTCGTATCACACACAACTCAATATACTTAGTCGGTCAGTCTCTCATCACAGTGTCTTGCGGACGCCCATCTTCTGCTTGTACATCCATTCGCCGTCCTTTTCCGTCGTTTCGAATAGGAGCGGTGTCCATTTATCTCCACTCTCCAAGCGCTCCTGAAAACACAAATGAGTAGATTGCTCTGTTTACGAACTGGCCACCTTGGCCTCTCTTCTCTGTCTCTGCTCAATGAATCGTTTGGACGCCGTGGCGGTTTGAATGCGGTTTCGAAGCAACGCGGCAGTCACGTGTCTCCATAGTCTGAAATTTGTTCCGTGAATACCAATTTGTGTAACTCTCTCACCTTCTACTCTCTCGTTTTCCTTGCTGCATCACCGGCACACATTCCTTCTTCACTTCTGGCTTCGCCTTCACATCCACAAAAGTGTACTCCTCTCCGCTCGGCGGTTTCGCATACATCGTTCCGTTCCATTCTCCACGGATCGTCAGAACCGGCTTCTTGACTCCCTCTTTGCAAATGGTTCCTTGAATTCGATGCGGTTTTCCACCGAAGAAGGGCTTCGTGAGGAACTCAATGTCCGCGTAATACCCAGTCTTTTCACACACAACTTTCACTTTTCCTCCGAATTCGAACCACGGAGTGCTCATGATCGAACGGCCGTATCCACTCGGGAACGTGATCGTGTACTGCTCGTCTTCGTAGTTGTGCAACGTCAGAATTCCCTCTCCGATGCTAGCGACTCCGATCGAAAGACCGAGGAACGAGGATTTCGTGTAGATGTGAGCATTGAAAGATATTCCATGAGATGGCATTTCAGCGTAGAATGCAGAAATTGGCGGGTGATGACTGACCTGGAAAAGGCATTGTGCTAATTTCAGTCCAAAGTGACGGAACTCACTTGTTCGGCAATGAAAGTCAGCTGATTCTCATCGGATCCTGGCCACGGTCCGCTCTCCACTTTCTTTCCGCTCAACGTCGAATTCGGAACTGTGTAACGGCATCGGAATGTCTCTCCGAGAATCGCATTGTACGGCTTCTTGGCGACTCCGCTCTTGCGGGCGGCGTAGAACGAATTCAGATAGTATCTGACGACAGCACTGAAATCATATTCTGAGTATTCAGCTCCACTTCCGTCAACTCACATCATCCGCTTCTCGGCCGAATCGATTCCATTGGTGGCAATAAAGAGATCGGGATGGGCGAAAAAGTCGGCGTACATTTCGAGAAGCGAGCGGCGTTCGAGAATGAACGTCGGCAGAGTGACCTTGGTCAGATCCATCCCGACGCTGACTTGACTCAGAAGATGCATCAGAACGGATCCGTGCTCCTGCTGCACATTTCCAATGTCATGTTCTTCCGCGTTATTGTAGATTTCGTCAAAGTCCTCATGCGAATCCCCAAAGTCGAACCCTTCCTCTTCCTAAAAAGATTCATGACCGTCGTGCCAGTCACTCTTCCACTCACAGATGACATAATGGCCGCGTCGGAGCGTCGTTCCGAGTCTCCTGCCTCCGGATTGCTCTTATCGTTTTCGAACTTGTCCAGATCGATCAGTTCTTCGTCGGCGTCGTAGAACTCCTCCTCGTCGCTGCTAAAAAAAAGCGAATTTGCACTAAAAACATCATTCCTTCTTTCTGGTCATGCTCCCAAAGCAAAATCCAATTTGTTCCATAACTAACAGAAAATTGGGGAACGTGACGAGGACGGGTATGAAATGGCTCACCTCGCATACGATTCGGCGCGTTGCGGTTTCAGATGGTCAAGATGTTGAATAGGACTAATCGGCTGCTTGTCGGTGACCGAGGACGACGTCTGGAGAGGAGTCTGCGCCGAATCGGAGGCAGTTCCTCGAGATTCCGACGCTGGCTGCACACGTTTTTTGGTTAGGCACATGGTACGTTTGGAAAAGAAAACGGTGAGAATGGGATGGGAACGAGGAGGGAATGAGCTGCCGCCTGACAGATTAAGAACTCGTTTTCTGTTTCCCAAAACGTTTAGAAGCGTGATGAACTATGATTTTTCGAGGAACAGCCGTGCAAAAGGAAACACTGAACCAAACAAATGTGATTTTTTGATCATCGAGACGCCACGTTGCTCAATTATGTGCTAAACGAGCCGTTCGATGTCTTTCCACGTCATAATGCGACTATCGGAAAAGAGCGTTCTCTCTCTCGCAAACGTCTCTCACTGTGAACTACAAAAAACCATAAAAAAGATAGACCGTGCGCCCACACATTGCAGAAATATTATGGAGAAAAGTCCGTAAGAGGCGAGGAGAACCCCCAATAATGCTCTATTTTTTTCTTGCAAAAGACAAATGAGCCGCAAAACGGCCACGAGAGAAAGCGGCTTGGAGGAGCTAATGGAAGTCGTAAAACTTTTTCAAATAATCGCCGATAAATCAAAAAGATGCTCTTTTTTTAAACTTTTTTCTTCAGATCTCACCGGAAGGGGTCCAAACAAAAGGCGGACGAGTTTATAAAATAAGAAAACATGGCGACGTTATTATTAATTTTTCTTGCCACGAACAAGAAAACGGTGTAAACTAGAGGAGAGTCACGCGATTATTGGTCGAATAAAGTAAGCGAGAAGTGCCGGCGATCGCGAGAGAAGCAGACAAGTCTGGTGATAAGGTGTAAACTGCCGAATTGTACGTGCAGGACCCGCCAGCGAGATGTAAACACGTCTCAGATCTCTTGCGGACCGCTTTTTGCAGAAGATACTATGCCCTTTTTCGGGGCGGCAAGATCTGACTCATATGCGCTTGAAAACAGAAATTTTTCGTTTTTGTGGTCGGTCAACGCAGTCTGCATCGTGATCGCTTTGGTTTATGATGTTTCTCGCAATGAAATAGATAATCGCCTGGGAGCCAGTCTATGACGGACCAAAGGGAATTCCCTGCTAATTGAGATCTAACTTTGCCCACGCGCGCGACCAATCGTATGGCGTCACTTTTGTTCGGCCGTCGCTACAATAAGCTACAAGTGTGCTCACTTTGACTCATCACCCCCTCCATTCTCACTGTTCACTGTGAACGACTCACCTTCTCATTCAAATCAGGATGAGTGAATATCAGTTTGTCCGTTTTCATATTCGGATCGAGACGGGCTTGTGCCATCTGAGAGGAACGAATGAGGATTAACATTTTAAGAAGTCTTACCTGGAGATATATTATGGCATGCTTTACATTATTTGTCAAGTTGTTGCTCGCTGCGATCAGAGAGTCCACCGTCTTTTTCTCATCTGCGGCTCGCTCTCCGTTCTTCAGCTGCTCCAGCTCTTTCACTTTTTCTACTAATGTCTTCAGAAACTCATTCGCCTCCTCAGTCTTCTGCTTGAAGTGTTGGGCAGGGGTAGTTCCGACGGATCCGTTGCCTTTTGCGTATCCACTGCTAGCGCGGATCGCGCTCTCCAGAATGCGGACCCATTGGTTTCGTTCCCGAACATCGCGCCCCTGCATGTGGAATGTCTTTCCTTCCACCGTGATCGTGAATAGACTGTTGTTCTCTCCATCGATCCCCACAACTGCACCGTTCAGACGTATCTGACCTGGAATATTTGAAAATAAACATTTTTGCCAGATATTATATTCGAATTGGCAACCTCAGCATCGTTTTGAAATTAAAATTGATCTCACACAAACAACAAACCTCTCTGCTGTCCTTTCAGCATCTTTTCCCTTGAAGTGTAATACAAAAGTGTGTCGTTCTCAATCTTGAACCACCGGTATTGCCATCCGTGTACCATATTGGTCCATTTCGAAAGCGGACCTTCCATTTTTGGCCTGAAATATCGAAAATAGAGCAAAGAAATCAGAGAGTAGGAGCGCGAGAGAGCGGTGAAATGAGAGGGCGTCGGGATGAGAAACGAAACGGGCGGAGAGGGTAAACGGACGCACGGGAGGCTGAAGTTTCGTCCGTTTCGTACCAACACATTGAGAACGAAAAGAAGATAAGAAAGGCGAAGAAACGTGTTGGGAGAATTCTTTGCGGGAAGAGAACGGACGAAAATGGGTCTCGGGGAGTGGAGGGCGATGTCGATTTGATTTCGCTTCTGCGCGTGCCGACCGGACACCACACTGACACATTTTTTGTGCTGGCCGAAGAGCGCGGGTGATTTACTTAAATATGCATATGCTTTTTTTTCCATATCTGCCAAAACTTTTCGAAATTCTGCTTTTTCAAGGAGGCTGTTTCAATACAACAAACTAAACTACTTGTGTTTTAACAGCGCTTAATAAATTTGAGATGTCTGATTACATGTTTCGCTTTGAAACGGTAAACAACAATGAAGAAGCGCAAAATGTACAATTTTTGAAGTTTACTTTAAAGGCGCGTCATAAAAGTTTGAGGGGCGAGTCTCGCCACGATAGACGCAGAAGGCCATAATCGGTTAAAAAAGTTCGTTTTTTTCTCACAAAGCTTTGAGCTTTGTGTGATTTTTTTCTTTTAAAACTTTTTTCTCTTAAAAAAAGCAGCATTCGGTAACCACCAATTTGAAAGCATTGCCCAGAATGCTCTTTACGAGTCTCCAGGAGATATCCTTCCGGAAAAAGCTGTTCTGTTCTCTCCACTTGGAGAGAACAGAACAGCCCCCGAGGAGTACTCCTCATTTTAATCTATTTAAAACATCTCTTTCTTGTGAGCTGCCCATAGACAAAAGAGTATGAATCCCTACTCGAAAATAGAAAGGAAGTATGAGCGCTTTGTTGCCGGTTAGAAAAGCTGCGGAATTTTTGAGCGAAGAAACGGAAAATGGCCATTTCGGAGTCGCTGTCACACCATTTGATGAAATATGTCGCTGCGACACGAGAAAATACACTCCAAGCCTCTTCGATCGCATCTTTGAGTATTTAATTCAAAAATTACGTGTGGCGCCGAAAACCGCAAATAGAATGGAATTTGGGACCAAATGGGGGATGAAATATGAGCGATGGAGGCTCGAGAACACGGAGAAAAGCATGTACTCGCATGTAATGCCCACGGCTAAAATGGGGCAGAAGGGGATTATTATCGGAATAGGAGACGAGGCGATAAAAAACAAAGTATCCATGAAAGGGCGTACATGCTCGAATCGAGCAGCTCGATATATCAAAGTAGAGGGTGAGCGAGCAAGCGTGTTTCCGTTTTAGGAGCAGAACACCTAAGTATGAGAGGTCACTGAGGCTTGATAAGAAATATATGTCGTCAAATAAGCACGTGCCATCAAATGATGTTTAATTCTTGGCCAATCATGCGCAGTCGGTAGAATGTCACACAATCGGGTTGTTATTGTGTCCTCCGGTGTTTCCGTATTTTCATCAGAATGAGCTATTGTGTTTTCCCAAGGGATATCGCCGAATTCGACGGGCAAAATGCTCTCTGATGCCCTCATCAAAGATGAATTGTTTCTCTCTTCTCGCAAACCAAAGTGCCCTAATAACTCTTTTACCGTTCTTTTCTGTGCAAGAAAATCTGAATCTACATGATTTTCAATAGACTTGAGTCGATCCTTGGGTACTGGAACTCAACAGGAATCCTCATCTGCCTTCGCAATTAGCCCGTTGATGCGAACCAAAGGTCAGTCTCTATCCTCGTGACGCTCTGTAGTTCACCGTCCTTCGGAGTGTAAATAACAACAAAACAATCGTGCAGAACCAGTTTCAAAATCGAGCCGTTGGCACGTACTCCTCTCTTTTCCACTCAGCACCCGTCCCAATTTCGCTCTCTTTCTCTCTTGTTTTTCAGTCTTCTCCTCCCTTCTCAGGGTCCCTCTGCCAACTTTACATCGCAAAGAATAAACAAGGCGTCCTTCGTCCCTCAGTCGAATTCATTATTTTTTCAGTGATTTTTTTGATTTCCATTCGATCGATAACCCATAAATTCTCCTACTTACACCTCTTTCCTTCGTACACTCGAAACAGACTGAATAGGTGGAAAATTGTCGATAAGAGAGAAATTGCAGTTTGAGAGAGACTCCGTCGACCGCCCGCTACTTCGACCCGTTCGCTTCTCACTTGGTAAGTTCTCACGTTTACGTGTAAAATGTTGGCCCTGTTGGCATTTCTTAACATTTTCCCCGCATGGATACTGTTTTGGACTATCTCTACTGGTTTAAGTGGGTTTCATCGACTCTGGACAACCAAGATCGAAACGGATTCATCTAAGCATAATAAAATATTTAGTGGCGTTTTGGGGAAAAATTGCCGGAATTTTCGAGAAACAGCTAGTTTCTGCTGTTTTATTTTCATGACTAAAAAATCTTGAAATGGGTTTTTTCTAGAGAGAAGAGATCAGAATATAGAGCGACAAATAGATAGAGACGCGAGAGATAGACGGCAAATGTGCTGAACAATTGTTTGTTGACCCATTCGCTTCGCTTTTTCTTCGCATTTCCATCGCAGACACTTGAAAAGCTACGTTCGCATTATAGGGTTACGCATAGATGGAAAAAACATTTTTGCTGAACAATAAACTACGTAAGAAAAAACTGCTGCATTGCTCCACTAGACATACGCATTGACTCAAAAAAATTGAACAATTTGATGGGTTTACTTCATTAGAGAATTTTTCTCCCGCAGAGAATAAATTACTCTTTGACATTTCCGACGAATGGGATACTAGAAATTGGGTTCACAGAGACTTTAGGCAACTAAGGAAGAGAAAAAATGGGAATGGCGAAAATGTCACAGCGATTTGAAGATCCGAGTTGAGATAACCTCCGTTACCCTTCGTAGGATGAATCCAAACTTGACGATAAATGGAAGAGTTAAATAAAAGCCGAGAAGCAACTTTCGAGGGACCTCAAACCACCATTCAAATTGAGATCGCTAGCGCCGAGCATCTAGTCAGTTTGTTCTTCAAGATCAAACTATCAGTTCCCCATTGCGCACCCTTCGGTTAGTTTACCAATACAGCGTGGTGGGTACGTGCAAACTTTTCTCGAGAAAGCGGGCAACTGCAGACAACTTGTGGCCTTCATTCGCTCTGTTATCACTGTCCCTCTCGTGTGTCACCTAATCTAACGACATTATCTTGTTTCGTTGACATCATCTCCATCTGTCTAACCGTGTCCGTTTTGCAGCATGAGAACCGCCCAAGCACTCACCGGACTCGTTGCCCGTCGCCTTTTCAACACTTCCAATAGAATCATGGCAAGCGGAAAGGTAAAAACGAACGATTGAACCAGAAAGTAACCGATTGATTCCAGACGTTGACCGTCTCGAACATCAACCCAAATGTCATCACGATGCAGTACGCCGTCCGTGGTCCCATTGTGATCCGGGCTGTCGAACTGGAGAAGGAGCTGGCAGCCGGAGCGCAGAAGTCATTCCCAAATGTGATCAAAGCGAACATTGGAGACGCACACGCAATGGGTCAGAAGCCGATCACTTTCATCCGGCAGCTCCTCGCCTGCATTGCCAATCCGTCCATCATGCAGACCGACAAGAGCATCCCGTCCGACGTCATCGAGCACGCGAACGCCTTCCTCGGGAGCTGTGGAGGCAAGTCTGCTGGTGCGTACAGTCAGAGCACCGGTGTCGAAATCGTGCGGAAACATGTCTCCGAGTACATCAAAAGACGTGACGGCGGAATTCCTTCCAACTCGGAGGACATTTGTTTGTCTGGCGGTGCATCTGAGTCCATTCGCAATGTTCTCAAGTTGTTCATCAACAAGAACAGCTCGAAAAAAGTGGGAGTGATGATTCCGATCCCGCAGTATCCGCTTTATTCGGCTACGATCGAAGAGTTCGGACTCGGACAGGTCGGATATTACCTGAGCGAGGCCAGCAACTGGTCCCTGGACGAGGCTGAACTTGAGAGATCGTTCAATGACCACCAGAAAGAGTACGACATCCGTGTTTTGTGCATTATCAACCCAGGAAACCCGACCGGACAGGTGCTCTCGCGTGAAAACATTGAGACGGTCATCAAATTCGCTCACAAGAAGAAGCTCTTCCTGTTGGCCGATGAAGTTTATCAGGTGAGGGTATTTTGGCACGTGAATCAGTAATTTGTTTTCTATGCAGGACAATGTGTACGCACAAGGCTCGCAATTCCATTCGTTCAAAAAGGTGCTCACCGAGATGGGAGAGCCGTACAACAAGTGAGTAAAAGATTAGCACTTGTCTGCCAACCCATAGGGTCGATCTTTTTATGTGCAGGATTAGGCCGCACTGGGATTGATGGAGGGTTGACGAAATAGGCGTTTCCAGGCTCGAACTGGCGTCTTTTCACTCGGTTTCGAAGGGATACATGGGCGAATGTGGCATGCGCGGAGGATACGTCGAGTTCCTGAACCTGGATCCGGAAGTGTACGCCCTCTTCAAGAAAATGATCTCAGCCAAACTTTGCTCCACTGTGCTTGGACAGGCAGTCATCGACGCTGTCGTCAACCCGCCGAAAGAAGGAGATCCATCGTACGCTCTCTGGAAACAGGAGAAAGATGCCGTTCTGGCTTCCCTCAAGGAACGCGCTACGCTCGTCGAAAAGGCGTACAGCAGCATTGATGGCATCAGCTGCAATCCTGTGCAAGGAGCAATGTACGCATTCCCGCAGATCACCATCCCTCAGAAAGCCGTCGAGAAGGCCCGTTCGCTCAACCAAGAGCCGGACTTCTTCTATGCGATGGAGTTGCTCGAGAGCACCGGAATCTGCATTGTTCCAGGAAGTGGATTTGGACAGAAGGACGGAACCTATCACTTCAGGTAGGCCTTTGTGTCTTTGAGAAGTCTCTCCAACAGATTATGTAACATAATTTATGTTTCAGAACGACGATCCTCCCTCAGCCAGACCTATTCAAGGACATGCTTGCCCGGTTCACAGACTTCCACGCCAAATTCCTTGCCCAGTACAAGTAGAAAGCGTCGAATAACTGCCCTCTTCTCTATTTATCCCTATCGTCACGTTTTCCTTCTAGGCTATTCAGAAGTTTTGCTCTGTGAATAGATCCCCGTTTGAATTAATGCACGTTTCGTCTAATAAACGCATCTCTTTTACATATGTTAATCAACTCTCGTCTGCAGTCGTTCTTCTCTGACAGCTACTTTCCCGGGAGTTAAATAACAGCAATTATGGGTCGCCTGACCTGTCCGTTGAGGAGGTGTCTCTGTTTGCTGTAGCACACTTTCCTCCATTTCATTGCCAAATATCCGATCGGTTTATGACGGTATGCAACCGGTCATAACTTGTGCTCGATCGTGACACTCCACATCTGTTGCACAATTCCCTCCACATTTCTGAGATCGTCGTGCAATCAGTTTACACTGTTGCGCTCCGAGTAAACACGTTTTCGTAACAGACTGTCCCTCTCCTTGCCGTTCATTTGAATTCAGTTAGCACTGTTTATTCTGTTCTACCCATATTTTTGTCAAATTCTACTAATTCTGAATCTCCAACCGCATAGACATAGTTCTCGAAACAACCCACAAAGTGTCCCGAATGTGAACATTTTACACGCACCATCTTCGCTGTCCGACCCCGTGCGCACTGTGCAGGTAGGAGGAGTCACCGTGCGGCAGGACAGGTCAGACGGTCATTATGCAACCTGTGGACGCCCCGTTTTCGCGCGTACCCGCTTGGGCTCATTGTCCCCTCTTGTGCAACCCCATTCATTCGTCTCCCTTTTCTCAGCAGCAATTTTTTCTTTTCATTCTTCTATGTTTCAGCGTGAAATGCTTCCGATGAGCACCGATCCTATGCAGTTCACAGGCATTCCTCAGCCACAGATTCCTGGCGTTTATCCGTTCGTGAATCCCTATGGCCAATACATGCCGGACATGAGCCTACAGTAAGCAAAAGTATTTATTCCATTCCAATTTGTTTATTTTCAGACCGGATTTCTTCCAAATGTACAGTCAAATGATGCAATTGCCACAGGGAGTTCTGCCCGTGCCGCCGGTAAATCTATCAGATGTGAAGCCAGAACAGTCGTCGCAGATGTCTCCTTCGAATAGATCGGAGAGCACCGACTCCGGAAACCATACTCTCTCTCCAACACATCCGACGTTGCAGCAGCCTCAGAACGTTGTCGGGTACGTTCAGAGTTCACAGACTTACGCAATATTTGAATGAGAGGCGGCCTCACTTGATGGTCCGATGCGCGCAATTGGTGTCTCCGCCGGTCACAACCACAGTCTCGGGTCAGATTGGGTAGAGAGAGAGAGAGAGAGAGAGAGAGAGGGTGGGTGGGGTATGTGACGTGGCAAGGGAAGGGGTCAACAAAGAGACAGATGGATTGGTGCTCACATGGCAGATGTAGGATTAGCAGAGAGAGAGTTTGATAAGAAGATGGATAGATTTCCTTCAGTGCACATGCATAATTTCTCTTTTTAGACCTTCCAGTGCTGCAGTCTCTCCGCAGTTCCCCGCCCCTGATTCAACGACAACTCCACTTCATGAGATGCAGAAGATGGCGGAACAGCAAGTGATTCAGGCTTCTGCTCAACACCAGAATGCAAATCCGCCGTACGCCATCAACAGTCTTCTTTCTCGTGAGAAACAAGAAGAAGACGAAAAGGAGAACGCAAAAAGTCGTCGCAACACTCTTGCGACGTCCACAGTTAGGAAGCCTCGCCAGACTCCGTACGAGAGGCAGAACCAGCATGTTGCCGCTCCTGTTCCACCGAACTTCACAACTGCGTACTCGCCGATGATGATGAACAACTTCGCCGCTTTCATGGATCCATTCTACCGCAAAGATCATTGCTACGTTTGTGCGGACACGGCCTCGGGCCATCATTACGGAGTGCTGAGTTGCGAAGGATGCAAAGGATTCTTCAGGAGAACGGTGACCAGGAACATTGTTTATAACTGCTCCAAAGGCAACATTTGCACGGTAAGTTCTTGAAACGAGCCTGACATTGTTAAATTTCTTCCTTTCAGTTCTCATTCGCAAACTGCGCCGCGAATCGAGGCTCTCGGACGAGCTGTCCGGCGTGCCGTTTCAAAAGATGTCTCGAGGTCGGAATGAAAAGAGAACAGGTGCGCGCGGTCACTGATAAAACATCCAAGAAGCGATCGATCAGTCCGTTGCCGGAAGCGATGCCCGAAGAAATCGTTGCACTTGTGGAGTCTTTCACCGCTAATCTGGACTCTTCCCAACCACTCGGCTCCCTCACACACGCCTTCGAGTCGACGAAAAAGTTTATCACAGGAGTTCCGGCCCTGAAAATGCTCTTTCCGGAAGAAGAGGGACAGTTCAATGTGGCAGTTCAGGATGTGATAGCCGGACTCTTGACGCTCAGAGTATCATTCACTCTCGACGGTGTGCCGTTCTTCCGCGCCGAAAATCCTTCTCTCCCGTCGAAAATTGAGAGCCTTAGAGCCGGAATTCGAAGTACTGTTCTGCAAAACGAAGGAGTGGCTCTCCTCTCTGGATTATACATTCTACAAGTAACCAATGGGACCATCGGAGAGGTACGTTCCCGGGTTACTCTCATTACCGTATTACACAACGCAAACAAACATCGCGTCTGATCCGTCAACAACCGTCTCCTTACAGATATTCGGAGCCTACTGCCGTGGTCTTCGTCTTCACCTCTCCCGTTCCCAACTCCAAGAGGAAGATGCCTACGATCGGTTGATCTCAACTCTCGGACAGCTCCGTCAATGATCGGGATACTCGATGTTTTATCGCTCGTTTTACCCAGTTTTCCATATATCCTCGTTCAATCACCTCACGTGTTTTATGGTCCTTTTTTCTACCGATCTCCGATCTTTTCTCTTTTTTCTTTTTTCTACCGATCTCCGATCTACCGTTCTACCGCATCTCACGTGTCTCATCGGATTATTATCATATTGTTCGGGCCGACTTTTAAACAATTGATCTGTCTTTCTGTTTTGTTCATTCTGTGCTAATTTTGCGTGTATAATGAAGCTTGCTATTCAAAACAGAAGTTTATTCTTGGGTAAGTCGGTCACTTCTTACTGCGTCTGGTCGAGTCGGCATCCGTGGAAAGGCTTCTCGACTGGCTGCTCTTCCGACCTTTCTCTCCAGATGGCGTTTGCGGCAGGTTCGTCTCACTGCACGTCTTTACATCCTCTCCTTCACGCTTCAGTTTTCTTGCACGGCATATTTGCTTGTTGATGATCTGGCGGTAATTGGCTTTCTCTTTGCGGAAATTCTCTCGCGGCTCCGCCCAGCAATAGAAGTTCGAGCATCCGTACGAACCTGCAAAGCGGCTCCGTTCAGAGCAGTCCGTCTTTCATCGACTAACCGTCGGCATTCTTGACGAGTCCGTAGCACGCCTTGCACAGCAGATGATCGCACTTTCCCATCGCAATCAAATGCGTCGACGGCAGTTTGTTTCCGCACGGACCGTCGCAGTTCACCATGACGACGCGCTCGTCACAGCTGCGGAAGGCGCCGACGGTCTGCACGGAAACCGTGTACATGTACTCGTTCTTCTTCGTTGTCGAATTCGGAACCACAGTCAGATTCCAGCCGAGCAATTCTCCGGGCGGGAGGAACGACGGAATCATTTGGCTAGGAGCTTCACTGAATTCGGAAACACTTGAGAGGAGAGCAGTGAAATCAGTTTCGAATAATGACTTACTCGCTCGCAGAACCTGACATTTCGGTTTTCGTTTTTTGCGAGCGACTAGGATGACGAACTTGGATTTTTCGATCGAAATCAATAGGAATGAAGAGCTGAACAATTCCTATGCCAATCTGACCTTTTCAACGAGAAAACATGCAATAGCGGAGTGTCACGTTCAATTGACTTTGCCGATTCCCCTTGAACAACGTGAGTGGAATGGAGGAGAGGTGGTGTCGGAAGGAAGAATCTCCCTGCTGCAGTCAATGTACATTGGCACATAAGAAACCGGAACGGTCCTTTTAGGGCTGGAACGGAAAGATCACGTGCTGACTTTGGTCAGATTGTTGCATTGTCCGAGCTGTGAAACCGGAAAGTGTCTATATGGGACGAAACAGGATGATCAGTAGGTGTCTGTCAGAGGATGTTATCCTTTTGTTTCCGGTTATACACTGCCTGTAAGTACGTCCCGTCTAAGAGAAACGAAACATTGAAAAGTTGCAGCGGAAGTTGCCAGCCGTTTCCAGCTTAAGCGGACTAATGCGAAGTGTTCATTAAACAGTCAATCATAGTCCATTTATTTCGGTTCGGGAATGTCTTCCTCACTCTTTCCACTTGATCTTAGGTGGATATCCTTGTGGTACTTCCGAATAGTTCTTCCCGCTGAAACAAAGCGATGCCTGTCAGACTTCTCTGATTTCGAATACCTTTTTTCTGTGAGTTCTTCGAAGATCGTGCGGTTCTGCTCGACCGTTTCATTTCTGTGTGCCGCTCCGTCTGAACAACCATAATTCCATTCTGTTCTACTCTAATTACTCACGTGTTTTTTGTCCACCGTTTCCGTCTCTGTCACTTTCTTTTTCGGGCGCAGCAGCTTTCCGAGATCCACGTCCGATTCACCTGAACTCAACCGTCATCTCCTTTCCTATTCGGTTGCTCACCTTCTCCCACGTGCTCATTCACCAGTTTCCTGTTTCCGTCGCCGTCCAGCACGTAAGTTCTCTTCCGACGGGGAGTCCTTTCGTACTCGTACTCTCCGCTCTTCTTCTGTTCCGATGGTTCCTCCTCTTCATCATCCGAAACCTTCTTCTTCGATACATTCTCGTCTTCGTCCGAGCCGGCGACCGCCTGAATTCCTCCCTTGAAGAATCCTCTTCTTGAGATGAACTTCTTCGCTTTCTTGCTCGGCGGATCCCTCTGCACGTTCTTTTCCGCTCCTTCCTCGTCTCTTTTCACTCTCTTCTCATTCTCCTCCTCATCAACATCGTTGGCTCTCTTCTTTCCTCCGTCCACATCCTTCTGATCTTCCGATTCCTTCATTCCGCCGACTTCGTCTTTCGATTCCTTTCTTTCCATTCTCTTTTTTTCTTGTTTCTCTCCATCCACGTTCAGTTCGTCGCTTCCTTCGGTCCGAATGAGCTCTCGTTTTCCATCGGCTCCGATTCGATAGAACCTTTTCTTCTTCTTCATAACAATCTTCTCTTCATCCTCTGATTGTCCGTGTGCCATAGGTTCTCCTCCCTCTTCTCTGATTAGCTCTCTCTTCCCATTTGATCCGATCCGATAGAACCTCTTCTTCTTCTTCATCACCACTTCTTCTTGCTCGTCGTTGAGTGGCTCCGGACTGTACGAACTCTTATTCTCCCCCAAAAGTGACTTTCTTTTCGGACCTTCATCATCGTTTTCTTTGCTTTCCGTTCTTATCAGCTCCCTCTTGCCATCCGCTCCGATCCGATAGAACCTCTTCCTTTTGTGCATCATGATCTTCTCTTCTCCGTCCATCGGTTCATCATGGGCAACTGGTCCTCCGTTCGGTTCGTCTCCCCCTCTCTCCTCCTCTCTGATTAGTTCTCGCTGGCCATTCGGTCCTATCCGGTAGAACTTCTTTCTCTTCTTCATCACGATCTTCTTTTTATCAATCTCGTTCTCCGGTTGATCTTGAGACGTTTCTAATGCTGGTCCGTACGTACTCTTCTTCGTTCCGAGCAGTATCTTTTCGCCGTCGTCCTCATCGTTCACAAACGTCCTCTTTCCATCTGCTCCAATCCGATGCCTCTTTTTCAGTGTCACAGCTTCTTCATCTTCCGGATGCTCGCCTTCCACTCCAATCAATTCTCTCTTCCCGTCCTTTCCGATCCGATACGTCCTTCTCTTTCTTTCAATGATTCCCGATTCGTCGCTCTGGTCACTTCCTCTCTTGTCGTCCTCCGCTCGTGGTTCTTCTCCAGATTCCTCCTCCTTCACCAGAATTCTCTTCCCGTCCGGTCCAATCCGATATGTTCTTCTCTTTCTTTTCCTCAGTACCACATCTTCCTCGTCTTCTCCCGGTTGATCTTGGGCCACTGATCCTGCTGCTCCTTTCCGTGTGCTCGGCTTGCCCTCTTCCACCAACGTCCTCTTTCCATCCGCTCCGACACGATACACTTTCTTCTTCATTAGTGTCACAACCTCTCCGCCGTCTCCATCTGGCTCCTCCGAGGTCAACGTCTTCCTGATTCCTAAAGGAACTCTGAGGGAGCTCGTCTTTTTCAGCATCACGATTTCCCTCTCGTCACCTTCGTCATCAGGCCCTTCCGACGCTTTCCTGAGTTCTCTTTTGCCGTCTGGTCCAACCCGATACTTTTTCTTGATGATCTCAACTTCTTCGTCGTTTCGGGAAGGTCTTCCCTTCGTCACATCTTCATCTTCTTCGTCCATTCCGGGGTGCTTTCTTAATTTTCCGATCTCCTCACTCTCTTCTTTCAGCCGTGGTCTTCTCTCCTTTCCGACCTCTTCTGATTCATCCGGACGTCTTCTCCTTCTCAGTCCACCGTCCTCTTCCTCTTCCAATGCCTTAGGCCTCTCCTCTTCCTTTCTTCTCTTTCTTCTCTTCTCTTCATCGTCTTCATCCGATCCTCCGATTCTGTAGTACTGCGAGTTCTCCTCTTCGATAACTGGCTGATCGTCTTTCGATCCTCCTCTGGCTCCCTTTCTCTCCGGCTTTTCGTCCATTCGGAATCTCTTTGGCGCCCTTCCAGTCACTTCAACTCTTCCCTCGACGACGGCGTTTTCTTCCTCTTCCAGCTGCCTTCTCTGATCTTCGCGAGCATACTTTCTCTTCTTATTCCTTACGATCACTTGTCCATCTTCTTCCACGTCTTCATCGTCGAACTGTTCCTTCTCCGACCCTCCGTACTTCAGCACCTTCAGCTTCTTTACCACAGTCACCTCGTGCTCCGAATCCTCCGGGAGCTCTTCAGGGCGTCTCTCTTCGATCCTCAACAGTTTCCGATGACTTCTGAGTTTGACTCCCTTCAGATCGTCGTCCTCTCCTCCCGGCTGCATGACCACCTTCCGTGTGACCTCCCGAATCTCCGGCTCTTCTCCGGAATCCGTGAACCTCGGCCGCTTTCCGATCTTCCGTGGTGCCCCGTGCACTTTGACGTATCCTTCGAACTCGATGTAACTCTTCGGCTCGTCCTCGCGAACATCCACGTACTCGTCGTCTTCATCAACAGGTCTCGCATGCTTCCTGAGTGGTCTACTCAACTTTTCCACTTTCACGAGAGTAACTATTTCGGGAACTTCCTCCTCGTCGTAATAGTATTCTGGTTCTGCGGGAGTCGTCGTTGTCGTCGTCGTCGACTTCATCTTCCGAACTTTGCGCGGCACCATCACTGTCTTCCGAACGATTCTGAAATCGGGTCCTCCGATTTCCTGCACAAGAGTCTCCTCCTCTGGCACACCCGCTCCAAAGTGTTTTCGAATCCTGACTTCTCTCAGAACCTTATCCGGATGACGTGTGTTCTTCGTAAGCTTCACAACTTCCGTCGGTTCCTCCTCAGTCGGCTGAGTGTTCTTTCGATACGGGTGTTGGTGTCTCTTGGTCACTGAGATCAAAACGACCTCCTCCTTCGGTCCCACTTTCTTCCGTGGCCTCCTCACAATCTCTTCTACGTCTTCGGAATCATCTACTTCCGGTTCCCTTCGTCCCGTTCTTATTATCAGTTTCTTCACTTCGACCACTCCTCGTTCATTGTCGTCGTCGTCGACATCATTCGTTTCGCTTCTTTCGGGAATCTTGTGAATCACCTTCTTCACTAGAATCACCCCAGTTTCCGATTCCACGTCATCGTCCGGCACTCCTTCCTTCACAGTCTTTCTCGTCCCCGGACGCACTCTGACTCCGAAATCTTCAGTTCCTTCCAGGTATCCGTCATCATCTCCCGGACGTCGATGTTCGCGGATTTCGACCTTCTTGACGGTGACAGTTTCTCCGCCGGAAGAGGATGGAGACGTCCTGTTCACAATTAGCTCCCTCTCCAATTTGATCGTCTTCGGCTTCGTTTCCAAACACTCCTTCACCCATTTTTTGTACTCTTCCTCGTTCAAATTATCCGTATTCACATCGGCACACTTCAAGGAATGACGACGTCGAGGAGCTGGAGTAGAAGCAGTCTCCCGAGTGCGACACAGTTTCAGATGTTCTTCAATCTGAAAAAGTGAACATGACGATAGCTACAGAAACATTTTGGCATACCTCACTGTACGACAACTTTGACAGATCGACGTTGTGGCAGTCGATGGAACTCTTCCTCTCCAGTTTCGGAGAAGGGGCGATTCCGAGGCACTTCCGTTCGTACTCGGAGTATTCTTCCTCACTCATCGCATCCACGTCTCTGTTGTAGCACCCGTCCTTCACAGGATCGTTTGTCTTGTTCACGACGAGGGCCTCCTTCAGGATCACGGTCTTCGGCTGTTGGCATTCTTTCTGATACTCGACAAACTGAAACTCTTGTGTTGTTATCGATTACTCTCTTCAAGTCTCACCTCTTCTTTGCTCATCTTCGACGTGTCGGCAGTGCTGCAATCGTATCGGAACGGCGCGTTGTTCAGGCATCGTTTCTCGAACTCCTCGTATTCCTCGTCGCTCATCTTGTCCACATCTCGATCGTAACAGCTGAATTTCTCTTTTCCCAAGTGAATCTCCACTTTCTTCGTCAGAATCATATTGTCACGATGTCCGTCCGTCAGAACTTTGACTCTGCAGTGTTTCTTGAAATCTGCAAAGTCTTCTTTGCTCATTCGTTTCGGATCCACAACTGAGCAGTCGATCTTCTTCCGTTCCTTTGTCATCGGCTCTTCCGGAGACGTCTCTGGCTCCTCCTCCAGGCATCGTTCCTTGTATTTAGCGTACTGAAAAAGTCAGTTCGGGGTAATATAAATGCGTTTTCTGTGTTTCTCACCTGCTGATTATCCAGCTCCTCCACTTTCACATTTCTGCACTCGTCATGACTCTTCGTGGTCCGTTTCAAACACTTCTTCTTGTACTTTTCGTACTCGTCGGCACTCATTCTCTCCACTCGCTCATTCTTGCAATCGTACTTCTTCCGTTCTCCGCATTCTTTCACGAATCTCGCGTAATCCTCGTCACTCAACGAGTCCACGTCGGCAGAATCGCATTCGAACGGCCTCTTCTCTTTTCCGCACATCTTCCGGAACCTTCGGAACTGAAAAAATTATCATGAAATGAAAAAAAACCAAAAAGATCTTTCTCTTACCTCTGCATTAGACAGTTTGCTGACATCTGCATCGCAAGTCAGTTGGTACGATTTCCGGAATTTTCCGCACTTCTCCTGGTACTCTCTGAACTCTCGCTCGTCCATCTGATTCACATCTCTATTCAGACACTCGTCCGGCTCATCGGGATTCTTTCCGAAACTGGTTGGCCCCTCCTCCGTTTTAATGATTTTCACTAGCTCAACGTGCGGTCTTCCGGAGTCCAAAGAGCATCGTTCCATGTGCTCCAGGAACTCTTCCTTGCTCATTCCTTCCGTGCTCTTATTCTGACACTCTTTGCTGATGGTCACTTTTTTGACGATCGTCATGTTTTCAGGCGCCTTCGTACATCTTTTCAGGAACTTTTTATACTCTCTTTCCGACAATTCGTCAATGTTCACTTGCGAGCAGGAATCGTCACCTCCGGATGTTTCCCTTCCGTTCTTCGGACAACGCTTCTTGTAAGCAGCCAACTGAAATATAAATCCACGTATTCAGATGAACGCGTGCAAATTGTACCTGTCCGGCAGTCAATTCTTCGACTTTGACATCTGAACAATCTTTAGAATCTTCAGAATCTTCAGAATCAGGAGAGTCAGGAGAGTCCGGTGATCCATCGTCTGGCTTGTCGGTCGGTTTACTTCTGATTCCCTTGTCGCATCGTTTTTTGTAGGCGGCAAACTGAAAACTCAAGTTTTGAACATGATCAATAGAAAAATGAAGCACCTCTTCGGCTGACAACTCTTCAATGTTGACGTTGAGGCATCTGTCTTCGGTCGAAGATCGGGGTCCGGACGGTTTAGAACACTTCTTCTTGTACTCGTTGAACTTCTGATTGGACAGTGTCTGGAAGTCGACGTCCGTGCAATCAGGAGATGTGTTCGTTTTGCATTCTTTCCGGTAGTCTTCATATTCTTCCTTGTCCATATTGTCTACGTCAACACTGTCACAGTCTCCATGCGAATCGGGAGAACGAAGGCAATTCCTCTTGTACAATCGGTACTTCTCCTCGGACAGTTTCCTGACATCCACGTCATCGCAGTCTGGCTTCGACGTTTTTCTCGTTTTCATGCATTCCCTCTTGTACTCGGAGTATTTCTCTTCGGTGAGATCACGAACATTCACATCGTCACAGTTTCCGAAGCGAGTCGGTTTGTCGGATCCATCTTCCGGACCCTTCTTGATCAGAAGTTCCCGTTCGAGTGCCACAGATGGATTTCCAGATTCTTCCGGTTGTTCTCCACACTTCTTTCTGTGGATCCAGAACTGTTCGTCAGTCAACTGCTTCACGTCCACTTGATCACAATCTGGGGATTTCCTTCGATTCTTGCACTTCCTCTTGTACTCTTCAGTACTCAACTTCTCCTCATCGACGTTTGAGCAGTCAGGAGTTTCCCATTCTCCCGGTCCCCGCAAACATCGTTTTTTGAACGCGGCGTACTGAAAAACCGAACTAGAAACTGATAATAGCTTCTCGAATTGCTCACCTCATCGGTTGTCAACTCCTCGATTCTGACATTCGGACATCCTTCTCTATCAGGTCGGTCCGGGAAATCGGGTGCTTGACCGGGAGGTCCGCATCTCTTCTCGTACTCTCTGTACTCCTCCTTCGACATGTTGTACACATCCTCCCCATCGCATTTTTCGGGCCTGGACGTCTTCCGATCCGAGCACTTCTTCTTGAATTCCTTATGTTCCTCATCGCTCAGCTCTTCCACATTCACATCCGAACAGTTTTTTCCTCCGAACTCCTGAGGGTTTGCACCGCCCGGAGGTCCCGTTCTTTCCTTCGAAGGCGTATTCGTTGGCAGACACCTAATTTTGTACGCTTCAAATTCCTTCTTTGACAAAGACTCGACGTCCGTATCAGCGCAGTTTGGAATGGAAGTATCTGCTGGGTTTCCGCACTTTTGCACGTATTTCGAGAACTGGAATGAGAAATTCAATTTGATTTTTTTGAAAATCGTCAAAAAATTTGCTCACTTCTTTCTTGCCCAGTCCCTTGACCCGAACTGAGTCACATTCGCCGTCGTTTTCATCCGTTTCCGATGGTTTTCTTCCGCACTTCTTCAAGTATCTCTTGTACTCTTTCTTGCTCAACTGGTCGATGTCAATGTCCTTGCAGGATTCCTTTCTGGTGTCCAGTTCACACTTCTTTTTGTACTTCTCGAACTGCAAAACGATGCATCGTTCTAGAAATATCCTTCATTATCTCACCTTTTTTTCACTGAGTTCTTCGACGTTCACTTCATCACAGTCTGATCCGTTTCCACATCGTTTTTGGTATTCTTTGTACTCTTCCAATGTCATTTTTTCCGTGTCAGACTCTTTACAATCAGCATTCTCGGCTGGGCGAAGACGTGGCTTGCATTTAAGTCGGTACTCATTGTAGACCTTCCGAACGAGTCGCTTCGACTTGAGCATCGAGCAGGCATTGATTTGCTCGACGCACTTTTCAGCAAAATCTCCGTACATTCGTTCACCGATCTTCCGGATGTCGATGTCTTTGCAATCCTTGTCCAACTCCTCCGTATCTCCTTCGCATCTCTCCTCGTACACCGCCTTCTGCTTCTCCGACAGCCCTTCTTTCCTGTCAATTCCACAGTAAAGACCACATTTCTTCACGTATTCCTTTAGTTTTTCATCGCTCAGTTTGTCGGCACGAACGTCGTCGCAGTCTTCCCCGTCGAAGTTCACTTTGCAGTACTTTTTGTATGAATTGTACTGAAATAGTACATTATGAATTGGTTATCCGATTTCCAACCTCATAATCTGTCATCTTATCCACATCCACGCCTTCGCATCCTTCTCCTTTCGAACCGTCTTCCGGTGGATTTCCTTCAGTGATTGTGACTTTCTTCGTCAGAATGACAGTTTCACCCGAGCAGTTGGCCCGGTGCTCCAAGTGCTGAAAACAGAAAAATGAACTGTGGGAGTGTCCCTCTACGAACCTCCTTTTCACTCATTCCGTCCGTGTTGGCGTTGACGCATTCCGGATTGCCAACCACCACCTTCTTCGTGATTTCCACGTTTTCTCCAGGCGGGTCCTTTGGAGCCGAAGGACTCGACGAACATTTCTTTTTGTAGACAGAGAACTGAAAATTGTTCGGTTCACTCCATCGTTCTCTGAATTTACCTCCTCGTCACTCAATTCATTGATATCCACGTCATCGCAGTCCGGACTCTGTCTGCCTTCTGAGGGACATTCCTTTTGATACTTCTTGAATTCCTTTCTGCTCAACTCGTCGATGTTGACACTGTCACATTCAGAAGAAGGTCGTTTTGGTGAATCCGGACAGTCTCTCCTGTACTTGGCATACTGGAAACTGTTGTAATTTTGATTGAAATGGTTTGAAATCTCACCTCTTCATCTGTCAATTTTTCCGGATTAATCGTGTCGCAATCGGAGCTGTTCTTCTTGTTCCGGCATTCCTTCTCGTACTTCTTCAGCTTCTTCTCACTCATTTCTTCCGGATTCGCACTGTCGCAGTCAAAATGTCGTCTTTTCAGGCATTCTCTCTTGTACTTCTCGTATTCTTCGTCACTCAGATCGTCCGTGTTCACATCGCAATTAGCCGATGACTTTCTTTGAAGACAGTACTTTTCGTACCGTTTGAATTGTTTTCTGCTCAGTTTCTGCGGCTCAACGGACCAGCAGTCCAGGTCGTCATCCTCCGAAGGGCTTTTCCTGCTCAGACACTCTCTCTTGTACTTCTCGTATTCGTCGTCCTTTAACTCGTCGGGAACCACGTTGCAATCGGCTGATGACTTCCTTTCGAGACACTGTTTCTCGTACCTCTTGAACTGTTTTCTTGTCAGTTTCTCTGGATTGGTAGAGGCACAATCCTTCTCTTTTTTCTTCCGATCCAAGCACTCCCGCTCATACTTTTTGTATTCTTCGTCGTTCAGATCATCCACGTTCACATTCTGGCATTCTGGCGCCCCTCGCTTATCATTCTCATCATTCAGACACTCTTTCTTGTACATTTCATACTGTAAACTTCCTTTTTAACCAGTTCCTAACTCCCGCTCACTCACGTCCTCGTTATTCAAATCCTTCGAATTGACATCTTCGCAGTCGTACTCCGGCTTCTCCTTCAGACATTTTTCCCGGAATTCTTCAGTGTTGAGCTCCTCCACAGTCCCGTTTTCGCATGTCTTCTTCTGTTTGACACACAATTTCTTGAACAATCTCAACTGTTTCTTGCTCAGATCTTTGAAGTCAACAGCAGTGCAATTCCAGTCTTCTCTTCCATTCGGACAATCTTTCTTGTACAGTTCCTTCTGAAATAACAATTAGGTTTTCTTAATGGTTTCAGAAATCGTTGCTTACTTCTCCGTCGCTGAGATCCTCTGGATAAATGCCGAAGCAGTTGGGCTTGGGATTCTCACTCAGGCACTTTTTCTTGTACTTTTCGTATTCCTCATCACTCAGATTATCCATCTCTACTCCTTTGCAATCCGGTTTTCGTTTGAGGCACTTCTTTTCAAACACGCTAATTTCCTCTTTGCTCAGTTTCTTCGGCTCAACAGTCAGACAGTCGATGTTTGATTGTTCGGAGAGACACTCTCGCTCGTACTTCTTGTACTGAAAGCAACAAAGACAGTTAGGGTCGTCATGAAAAAAATACTTACCTCCTGAGCGCTGAGTTCGTTCGGATCGACATGCTCACAGACGGTTCTCGTCTTTCCCAGACACTCCTTCTTGTATCGTTTGTATTCCGGTTTTGACAGTCCGTTCGGATCGACGGTCAAACAGTCGAACTCATTGCACTCTCTTTCGTGCTCACGCAACTGAAACTCCCCCTCATGACCTGGCTTCCTTCTTCCCCACACTCACTTCCTCCCCTTTCAGATCCACTTCCATCTTCTCTTCGCACTCTTTCCTTCTTTCAACGCACTCCTTCTCAAACTGAACGTCCCGTCCATCGCGCATCGTTTCCGCTTTCAAATTCACACAGTTCTTCCGATTCGTGCACTCGAGCAGGAACGTTTGGAACTTTTTCGCACTCATTTCCTCAGTTCTTTGTGCATCTTCTTGACAATTGACAGGCGGAGTGTCGCACCTCTTCTTGTAGTCGGAATACTGTAGAGAAACAGACAATCTTTAACATGAAAGTAGTTGAGAAACCAACTTCTTTCCTGCTCATCTCTTCAATATTCAATCCAGAGCAGTTGCTTCGAGAGTCCGGTCTGGATTCTGAGCACTCCTTCTGATACCTCTTATACTGAAACCCAGATATCACCAACACTCATTGTCATCTCCTCAAACCTCCTTCTTGCTCAACTCATCCGGATTCACTGTCCTGCAGTCCATTGGCGCCAGACACTTCTTCGTGTACTTCTCGTATTCGTCCTCGTTCAGAGCGTCCACATCCACGCCATCGCAATCGTCTTCTTTCACGAATACGCATTCCTTCTTGTACAATTCAAACTGTTCGTCGTCCAGCTCATCGAGATCCTCTTCATCGCAAACGTCCTTCGTCTTCCGAGTCACAGACGAACACCTCTTCTTGTACTTAGCCAGCTCTTTCCTCGTTAGCCCTTTCTCGTTCACGTCTTCGCACTGCTTCTCCACGATGCACTTCTTCCGGTACTCGGAGTACTGAAATATTGATTTGCGAGCATGACCCAGAATAATCTATGTCTACTAACCTCCTTCTTTCCCATTCTCGAGACATCAGATTTACATTCAGGACTCTCTTTGACCACTTTCAACAAGAGATTGATGTTTGGCTTGACGAAGCACTCCTTCACGAACAGAGCATATTCCTGTTCACGCATCGCATTCATCTTGGCCTGAGATGCTCCACATCTTGCACTCTTCCTGACAAACGGCTTTCCGGGTACGTCGATCGTCTCCAAGCAGTCCTTCTTGAACTGCTCGAACTCTTCCGTCTTCATCTGTCTCGTGTCTCCCTCGCACGGACACTCCTTCCGGAACTTTTCGAGAGTACTGTTGCTCAGATTGGAAGGGCTCTCCGAGCAGTTCGCAGCTCCGGTCGGCGGAAGAGCGACTGTCCGATCGGTCGTCGGAATGACTCCCTCCATCGGTTGATTGTCGTCAGTTCCGATCAGATTGTCAATCAGTTCCAGTCGCTTGCTGCTCACGATTGTTTCGCACGCCTTTTTTAGCTGCATCAGTTCCGTTTTGCTCATTTTCTTCAGATCCGCATCCTCGCAGTTCTCCTTCTCATCCGGCTGTTCTGGACACCACGGAAGGTCCTCCAGAAGGGGCGGAGCCTCATCTTCGTCGAATTCAAAGTCGGGCATCACATTCTGATCGAGGTGCTCTGTCAACGGTTTGTCGAGCTCATCGGCTCCTTTTAACTCGGCCGGGCGGAATCTGAATGGAATTCTTCAGATAGTTCTGACTTTAGGGAAATCTTTAAAGGTACCTGCGTGGCACGGGCTCTCTGCTCCGTCCGTAGGGATCATTGCTCTGCTCGAATCCGGGTCCGATGTTCAGATCCATCGTCTGCTTCGTCTCCTTCCTCTGGTACTTAATGCTCGGCGCATCCGTGTCTCCCGGACTCGTGTTGCTCGGAGCATCCGACTGAATCACCGTCTTCTTCGTCTTCACCTTCAGTTTCTCTGTTTCCGCTGTCGGTCCGACAGTTCCGTTCTTCGGACGAGGACGGCATTTCGGGCCAGTCGAGCGGGCGATCCGCGTGTTATTCTTGCTGATCGGTCTGTTCGGATCTAAAATGGACAAGGGGCTGGAAGTCTCCTGACTCGTATCGGTCAGTTCGCATTTCCAACGCAGTTTCGCTCCGGAGAGTGCGACGAAGGAGAGAAGACCCAAAAGGGCCAAACTCCGGAAGCACATCGGAGAAAAGACGGAGAACGTCTGAAAACGAAGAATGGAGAACGGGAGGGAATGCAAAACGAAAGAAACAATAACTATGAAGCGAATCGTCCGTTTCTTCGGCTCTTTTATCTCTTTCCGGGTTCCCATAAGGCATCTGGGAACCGTATACCGAAAAGACGGGAAGCCGACGAATGATGAGAAAGCGGGGAGGAGGGTGGGCGAGACATCAAAAATCTAAAGAAGTGAGTACTATAGTGGAGAGTATCACTGTCAGGTCTCACCCGTGGTACCGTATCCGTGCAGAAAAAACAAATAGCACGGCTTCACTATTAAACAGTCCATTTATTACTTGCAGAGCAATAATATGAAACGATCGGGGAATACCAAGCTATAAAAACATCAAATTACAACGAAATGCGATCAAAGACACAATGTAAACCAACGAAGAAGAACCAAACGAAAAATGACCCAGGAAGGTGTTCAAGGAAAGAATCAGAAGACGTTGCAAGATGCCCCACAACAAAGAAATGGTCATTTTGCTGGGAAGTATGGAAAAAGGAGACTAGAAAACCAAGGGACAGAGCTAACCGGAGACTGTTGGGCGAGAAAACAAGGGTATACTGACCATCACAGAAGAATGTGAGATTGGGGAGAATCGGCGCCTATTTACAGAAAAGAATTAATGGAAATCGTGAAGGTTGGCGATGGCTCGAGTGGCCGCGATGCGGACGTTGACTTCTTCAGAGTCTTTGAGAAGGGCGACGAGTCCGGTGAAGACGAGCTCCTTGCTGATAGTGGCTCTAAGGGGGGCACTGAGCCCATCGAGAAGGCATCCCGTCAGATGGGCGGCATTGCATCGGATCCGGGCACTCGAGCTCTTGAAATAGTTGGAAGTCGCCAGAGCGTACTGATTGATACGATCCGGGAAAGAGTTTGCCTGCAAGTAAGCACTATAAGAATGAAAACCTGAGTTCAACCTACCAAGATAGCAGAAAAGTCTTTGACGAATTGATTGTAGTTGGCGGGCTGCTTTCCTCCTCCGAGTTCCCGCTCTATGCAGATTGAAGCATTCGAAGAAGTGAGGAGTTCGTGCAGCCGGAAAATCGACGACGCGCATTTCTGTCTAACATCCTCGTAGTCATCGTTCAAGTGGAGAAGAAGGGAAACGATGTTCGTGTGCAGATGTCCTCTGAATTCTTCGCTGTTCTCTCCTACTCGCGCTCCGAGCTCTCCGAATAAACTAAACGACGCAGCACGAAGAGTGGACGAATCCTTTTCGAAACACGGACGGATTTTGAGAAGAACCAGGGGGAGTATCGACTTGAGTTGGTCATCATTCGTCAGCTGGACCAACTTGTTCAGAGCCATAATCGACTCAATTGCCACCGTATCCTTCCTGTCTCCATGATCATCCAAACCGGACATTGCTGCTTCCACAGCCATATGAACGAATCTGGCGATGACGTCAGAGGAAGAGCACTCGGATAACTCGCCGAGCCCTTTGACGCAAAGCTTCCGAATCCGGAGGCTCGGATCTGTGAGGGAATCCTCGAGACGGCGAATGCATTTGACGAGCAGTTGCTCATTGAAATCCCCAGATTCATTTGTGCTCCGTCTTATCAACGAAGCAGCGACAATGACGGCTGCGAGTCTTCTCGGTTCGCTCTCGCTGTTCGCGTACTCTTCCATTATTTTTGCCAATGGAGATACCCAAGCCGGACGTTGTTCTACGAGAGATCGGACGAACACCGTGATGGCATGAATGAATGCCTCTTTATCAAGGCAGTCACTCCATGCTCTCGCCTGATTCATGTCTTCAATTACCATGTTCGAACGGGTCCGATTGAGAAGGTTTTTGATGGCAGAAACTGCCATTCCGGCAGGTTTCTCTGCAGCTCTGCGAAGATCCGGGGTGATAATTAGCGCCGTCTTTGTGCCGTCCTTGCTCTCTTTCTGCATGACTGGGAATTGTGTATCCGACACAGAGCAGATGAAGTGAATGAGGAGAGTGAGAATCAGCGGAAGACGTTCCATCAAAGCAGATTCCGGCTCTCCGTTCTTGACCACTTCGGCAAGCACTGCTACGTACGCACACGGCTCTACGTTGACCACTTTCGCGGAAACGCCGCCTCCAGAATCAATGAGCTCGTAGGGCTGATCAAGGCTTGCTCCGAGCAGTTCAGTCAGATGATCAAGGATTCCAGCGAAGAGAAGTTTGTCACGGGAAAGGCATTCCCAAGCATCGGTGATGTTACTGAAACCAAGTATCTCAATTTGAAAAGGAAGACAATGCACTTACATTGAATACGGTAGTGGTTGCTTGAAAAGTACGTCGCAGACTGCTTGTTGTTGGTGAACTGCAAAGGCGACGAGGGCCGCAAGCACGTCTGTGTTCGTCTGGACGCAATGATGGATATCTGCCAGTTTCTCGACCATTTTCGTGACCAGAATGTCCGCTTCTGCATTCAAAGTGGATCCTCTGGCCATAACGGCGTAGGTGAGCAGCTGAGCAGCAGCCGAACTGACGTGGCTCTGCCTATCTGTGAGCATTTCGAAGATTGCCGACAGATAGATTTGCATTTGTGACTGCGGCAGGCGGTATTCTATTATCTGAGCGATAGCCTCTATTGCCAGTTTCTCCTTCTGTCCTTCCAATTTCACATCACCACTTGTCAAATATTTTTCCACAAATTTTGTGTAGGAGAACAGACTCTGATCCGCATCTCTTCCGTGTCCTTTGTGCATGTACGCGAGCCGGAGAGCCCAATGAATAGCAGAGAGCGCCTGGAGACGAACATGGGCGAGCAAATCGACGAGACGAGGGGCCAGACGACCGAGAAGTGAGCTGAGCGGTTCGAAGTCGGAAGCATGGCCGAGAGATATGTCCTCTGCACACTCGTAGTAAACACGAAGAACGAGTACGGTCATGTCGACAGCACGGCTCCTCTCGTGGTCGGCTTGTTTTCCGTAGTACGGGAGAAGTATCTATAAAATAACAAAGCGTTGGAAGGTGGTTCCGGTCGGACTCACTTTGAGAAGGATCATGACAGTCTGAGTTGTGGGAGCCATTCTGACGATCTGTTCGAGGGCCAGACCATATTGGTGCATCGTTGCATCCATTATCGTAGCTGATTCGTCATCTTCCATCTGAAAACCGAAGTTATTACTTCAACCTAACATGAAAAAAAATCCACTGAAAATGTGTTCCTTTTCCACAAAAAGATTTTCAACATAAGCCAAGTCAGTAGCAAAAAAGGAAATTGATAAAAACCGAAAGACTTTTAGTCGGAGAAATAGTAAAAGAACACACTGTTAGCCACCCGGCAGCACCTTGGCTCCTCCCCGATGTTTCTGATGGATCGGCGTTCCGTTCGGTCCTTCTGCCACAGTGTTTGTGGTCAACGGAGGGCCTGCGTAGCCAGACAAATTGCTGCTGAATGTGGAGAGAACTGACGAGGAAGCGTAGTCGAAAATATCGAAAGCGAGCTGGAAATAGAGACGAACCAAGTCCGGGGACTGTTAGAGGCAAGGTGAGAAGGGGGAGAACGAAGAAGAAGTGTGAAGGAACGAAGGAGAGGGAAGACACGGACGGACGGAAGGGAAGCGGACCACTTACTGTCTTAAGACCACTCTTTTCTCTCTGCATCGGAAGTATCTGCTTGCTCAGAACGGTCCCAATATCTTCGATGTCGGCGGATGAGAGCGGTGGTTCCAGTTGTCTGAAATTGTATGTTTCTTTTGATTTACATTTCTCGCTGTATTTACACAAGCGCAGCTGTCGCCTTCGCGGTTAGAAGTCTCAGAGAGCTGGTGAGCCACTCTGGCGTTTCCCCGTTCAAATAATCCTTTGCATATGCCAGCAACTCATTTCTTGCCTCGAACTTCCAATCTCCTCCGATTCTGGATGGATGCACGGCCGTCGCAATCAATCGCATCGTTTCCAGCATCGCTTCTCTCACAATCGTTTCTTGCTTGGAATTTGCGAAATAATTCCGAAGGAAGACAATGATGGTGTTCTGGAGACGTTGAGTGACTGTATCCAAACTGCACGCCATCACGACATGACCGTAACAGAGCATGAGAGTTGCTCGCAGATTTATCATTTCTTGATCCGGATACTGCCGTATTGGCATCGTGTCTTTTATGAATCCGAATAGTCCTGTGCTCTTACGTGCGTGCTCCCATTTGCTGACATTTTCGAGCTCAACAAGCACGAGATCCATGTGAGATGCGGCGATCGCGCCGACTCCTCGAGCACATCCTTGCCGTTCGGTGAGCACGGAATGGCTGGCCGATTTGAACATGAGCATCATGTGATCGATCACGAACTGCTTTGCGGTGATCTTGCTCAGAGTGACTCCGAGGCATCTGAGGAGGAACGACTTCTCGTCGCTGAGTTCTTTGTACATGTCCAGCTGTTTTCCCATCGCTGCAGCTACATCTTGCCGCCATTCTCCTTCTGGAACAGCAGAAACGCAAAGGGAAAGCCACTCGAGACATGCTTCGTGCCATCTGGAAATGAATTGCGGGGCGAGAAAGAAACTGACTTCTTACCTGGCAATTTTTCTGCCACGGAGTTCTGCCGGCGCGGAGTCCATGTTCGAAAGGGAAGTTGTTGACAGTTCTGAAAAGGGAATGCATTTCCGGATAACGGACAGATCGACTTACCGTCTAGAAGTGGTTCCAACTTCTCGGTCCATCGTTCGGCTGGTCCTTCGATTGAATGATGGAACCACGGAGCGAGGGCCTTTATCAGGCCACCAGCTTCTCTGAAATCAATCTTGCCGATCCTGTCTTTCCGTGTTCTTTTACCTTGACCGTCTTGTGAGCAGTCCGTTCAATGGAGCATTGCAGAAAGAAGTGAAGAGACGAGCAAAAACAGCATGACGGCCCGCCACTTTCGCTGAAAACAGAGTATTACGGAAGGATCGTTCAGTCTGCAACGCACGGTTATCGAATCCAGTCGTGAAATCCATCTCGTGCCCCGCGTCGATCTCTCGATTGACCAGAGTCCGAAGGCATTTGCAGATGTCCCCGACGACCGGAGTGTACCGTTCGCAGCAAATGAACTCAAGAAGATATGGCCAGAGGAGTCTCGTGGCACAGACGCACGTGTTTGCGATGGTGTAGAGTGCCTGTGCGCACTGCGTTCTCAGTTGATTCCATCCAGCGACGTCGAGCTCCAACTTCTTCGCCACTGCTTCCTGTTCTGTCGGTCCGACGAGATTCCGAACGAGAAAAGCGATGACGTAGTCCCCTCCTTCCGCATCCACGTACGAATGATCGGCAAGAGCGACGCAGAGCTGTACTATTGCTCGTTTGACCTGAGACTTGAAAGTGATAAAAACTGGCTCTTTGGATTCACGCGACTAACCCGAACACTCGTCGTGTTTTCTGCTGCCAACAGCTTCTTCAAGCCCATCGTCAGCAGTGATCGCTTGTCTTCCATGTGCTGTCCAGTAGCATTCAGAAGGTGTCTGAGGACGTTTATGGCTCCCAACTTTTGAGAATCGGCAACATTTTGCATTTTGTGCAGCAGATAATAGACAATTCGATCTGCGAATCTCGTGGCAGCTACGTCAAAACATCGGAATGCCTCTGAATGGTTCTTGATCGCGTGAGTGCCAAGGGTGACGGTCGTGTCGTCCGGATCCAGACAAGCATTCGGGAAAAGAGCATTCAGAATGTCTTCAAGATATGGCTCCAAAGGACACGTCTCGTCAACACAGGCGGCCTCGAGAAACCGACAAATTCCTTGGGTAATCATGTGCGATTCATTGTATGATTTACGGTACAGCGGGAGCATATTCGTCACGATTTTCTTGACGTCTTCAACGAGACGGCTCTGCTTTATCATCAGACACAACTCTCCAACACACTCTGCCGCCTCTCCTCTCGTCTGAAACAACGTAGTTTTCACACATGAAGAATGAACACATACTTTGGCATCTTTGCTGTATATCCAGCTAAAAACAACATCATAAACAGCCTCTGTCTGATCGGAATACGTGGCTCGATTGGATACTTCTTGACAGTGACCGGATGCCGAATTGGGCCGGCTGTGATCTCCGATGAATTCCTCCGACGCTTCGTTTGGTCGTTCCGTTTCACACTCACGAACTGCCTCACAAAATGAGCAGATTGCTCGAGCCCAGGCGCACCTGAATGTCAAAAATGAGTTTGAGCAGTTGTTGTATTTCAAATCACCTCAACGGATCCGTTTTGACGTGTGTGAGCAGAGGAACAGTCCGTGAGAGGATGTCTGTCAGGAATGGCACCAAACCGAATGCTGAATTTAAAATGAGAAAAGAAAACACAATGAGTAGATACTTACGATTGTGCACAGCAATCGTGGCCATTGTGAGGACTATATAGCGATGTGGACTCGTCGTTTGTCCTGGCGGGAATTTCTGGAGAATGGCGTCGATGACGTGGCTCACGAACCTGTGATTCTTGGCTAGAGTCACGAGCACTTCCATTGCAGATTCGGCCCATTCCGTATCTGCGTCTTTGGTCATGTTCATTTCTTGAGTCGCCAGATTTATAACGAGCATCACGAGCTGTTCGTCCAACTTCGGAACTACGTCGGAGTCATCGACACAGATTGAGATCGATTGAAGCACAAAAGCTCTTTTTAGGGCTCCCAGCTGAACAGTTTGATTTTCAGCAGAGGTTAGATAGCCAAGGCTTACTTTCGGATTCTGTAGAAGGAACTGATGACAGGCTGTGAGCAAAACATTCGGTTGATGAGCACCGATGACCTTTAACGATTCGGCTACCTCGTTTCGCACATTATCCTGATTCTGATATGTGGTAGCTGTGTCCAGCAAACTCATTATCAAGTCTGAAATGAAATAATCAGCTTTTAAAGGTCTTTCGATTCACGGTTTACCCAATAGACTTGCAACCTGATGGGAAGTCGTCATCTTCGTTATAGTTCACATAGATTGACTTATTCCTGAAAAAAAGGTAACCTTGGAGATGTGGAAATCAGAAAAAGAGGAGACAGAGAACGAGAGAAAGAAAGTGAGGAGTTGGGTAACAATGCGTATTTATTTACGGGTGCTATGGCATGACATCTATTACGCGGCAGTCAGACTAGTTCTGCGCGATAACATGCCCAATTCAACGACTTCGGCTTTTTTGCGATAAAGTGGGTGAATGATGAAGATGAAGATGACGTGTGCGGGAAGAATGAATAAAATTTTGTTTTATAAAATGATAAGAGCTCCCGATGCGCTCTGCCACGCCGTTTCTGTTTCCAATCGATTGTTTCGTGTCGTTTCCTATGTATTTTTATGGCTCTCGCTCGCAGCAGCGGCATCGGCGACCATTGTGTCGGGCGGTCATTCGTTTTTTGACAAATTAGGTGAGCGCGGAGAGCAAAAGGAATGATATGAAGGAAAAACGACAGAATGGAATCAATATGGAGGGAAAAGTGCAAACAATTGTGCAAATAACCGGTTATTTACTGCATTACTGCGTTGTGCTTTGGAAAACAAAGTATTTTTAGAATCTAAATAAAAATTTTTTAAAGGCGCGTTGCAAAAATTTAGTACAGTGGTCCTAGAGCGAAAAGTACGATACTGAAAAAAGTCGGTGAACCGTGAGAACTTTTTCGTGTTTGTTGGAGTTTTTGCATATACTTCGGAAAAAAGTTATTTTGAAACGCGTCAGAATATAAACAAAAAGTGTGCCGCTGTCGTTGTGCAGTCGCTCTTATCGATCGTCTGCCGGAGCAACCCGGCCTCTCTCATTGTTCATTTCCAAACTTCAAACTCTTCAGAAAACCGCCACTCCGTCTCACATTCAATCAATTTCCGCCCCGCGTGACAAAGTGCCATAATAATGAAGGTTCGTTTCGTTAGTGTCGACACGCACTCTGAAAAAAAAACGGTTCAAACAAGAGTTCCGTTTCAATCCGCTGACTCACTTCACCTCTTCCATCAGGTTAACCAAAATTGAACATTGTGCAGGAACAACATTCGCGTCAGTTTTAATCTCGCTGACGCCCCTCGCACTCTCCACTCTCTTTTGTGGTGTTTTTCTTCACCCGACCACCGTGTTATGTCGACAAACCCGCTTCTCTTCGATCGATTTGGCCACTCAAAGTTTGCCTTTCAGAAGTTTAAATCGATCCCGATGTCTGCTTACGATGACGTTCTCGCAAAGATTACTGCGCCAGTGCTGACTGCCGAAAACTGGGAAGGAATTCTGGGATTCTGTGACATGGTGAGTGAAATACATGTGATTCAAGTTATTTCGCAATACTTTTTAGATAAATAATGACTTGGAAGGCCAGAAATCAGGACTGAAAGCACTGAGAAAACGTCTCAACAACCGGGATCCGCATGTCGTTCTGCTTGCCATTTCGGTGCTTGATTCGTGCTGGGCAAACTGCGAGGAACGATTCAGAAAGGAGGTCTCTTCGGCTCAGTTCATCAACGAACTCAAAGCACTCTGCACTTCGGTTAGTTTCCTGCTTTTCCTGTATTTTAAAATTCGAATTCAATGTACAGAGCCAGCGTCAAGTTGCCGAGAAAATGCGAGTGACCGTTCAAAAATGGGTGGATTCCGAGTGCAAGAAAGAGCCGTCGCTTTCTCTCGTCGTTTCGCTTCACAAGAATCTCATTGCTGACGGCTACACATTCGTTATCGAAGATCCGAAAAGCAAGAATAAGGCGATCGATGCTAAATACGCGAATGACCCAAATTACGTACGTTTTCGTTCTGTTCAATGCACAAGTTCTATCAAAAGGACATTCAACCTTGTATTTTTGAAGTTTATTTTTAGTTTTTAACATTTTAGGTGGCGTCTGCACAAGAAGAGGAAGCCATCGCGAAAGCAATCGCTGCTTCGCTGGCTGATGCAGAAAAGCAGGAAAAAGCGAAAAAGTCGACGTCTTCGCCCATGTATCCGTCAACGAAGACGAGCACTACAGCGCTCACCAGTGCCCCAGAGCGGAAAGTGAGGGCTTTGTACGACTTCGAAGCGGCGGAGAGCAATGAACTGTCGTTCGTTGCTAGAGATATCATAATTGTCACTGATGAGAGGTCCGTTTTTCTCTGCATTCGTCTGAAAAACCAATGCGCTTTTCAGCAATCCTCATTGGTGGACTGGCCGTATTGGAACTCAGCAGGGACTTTTCCCTTCTAGTTTCGTCACAGCTGATCTGGATGATTCGAAATCGAAAGAAGCCGAAGCGACTCAGAAAGCTCCCGAAGTGGTGGCTTCAATCAATGAAGCAATTCTCGTCCGTTGTCTGCAAGTGCTCCACGAGTGTGATCCGACTGGCGAAAGAGCCGACCCTCAAGATCTGGCTCAGCTGGAAGCTGCATCTTACGCTCAAGGGCCTCTGATCGACGCTCATCTGGCCAGCATCGATAGACAGAGCAACTCGCTCGCTCAGATAGACATTGCCATTCGGGACGTTCTGGCTGTTTATGACGATGCGATTCAGAAAGGCGGCTTCCAGCAGAACCAGCCAATGTACCAGCAGCCGATGCCTCAGTACAACTATCCACAACCCGTGAGTGACTCTGCTTTCTCTTCAAAGATAATTCTTAATTTCAGCAATACTATCCTTCCGCGGCTCCCGTTCAGCCTCAACAACAATATCCGCAGCACTACACATCCACTCCGACCGCACAACAACAGTACGCCTACCCTCCAAACGTCTCCTCCGCACCTGTTCCCCAACAACAACAGCAGCAACAGCAGTGGAACTCGGCTCCTCAGCCACAACAGTACTGATGCATTCTCATTATGAATTCCTTGTATGTGCCTTCCCCTTCACTCGTTCTCCATCAGTACTGTGATCAGTTCTATTCTCATACATACTAATTTATTCCTTTCACTTCCCTCTGTGCCCTCTCTTCACTGTTTCTGTATAGTCGTCGCTTCTATTCATTTGCATCCTTTCGCCATAGAACAGCAGACAATGAACCGAATCTTTATTATTATCAATGAGCGAAGTTTTACACAATAGTTACAGATCATCGGGATCAAAAGAAGGCATGGCAATCGACGCGTTCGCGGCGCGGATGGATCGTTTTCCCCATCCGCCTCCGCCCCATCCTCCGCCACCTCCCCATCCACCGCCGCCGCCGCCGCCGCCCCATCTCGATCCTCCCCACGGATCTCCGCCTCCCCATCCTCCGTTGCCTCCGTTTCCGCCCCATCCGCCTCCGAAATCGTTATCTCTCCCCCATCCCCCACTGGGCGGTTGTCTAGATGGAGTGTTCTGACGGATTTGAGCGACTGGAGCCACCGATCCGGCTCTGTTTCCGCACATTCTCCTCAGTTCGGACTGGGTGTAGCACGTGCTGCAACTCTGTCGGCAGTTCTCGGACATCCAAGGATTCTTCTGGCACTCGCCGACGCGGGCCCAGCCGGCACAAGATCTGTGGTAGTCGACGCAAGCTGGAAAAAACAGATTGGAATTGGGGCCTGGAAGAACTGCGGGCGCTCACATCCGTAGTTGTAGTCTTCGGGATAGCAGTGTCCACAAGAGACCCGGCAGTTGCATGCCATGTAGCCGGCGTTGTTCCGGCACTCGCCCATCAGTCCCCACACGGCGCAGCACACGTTCTCATTGTAGCAGCCGTCCGAGTTTTCGCACTGCTGAGCCGGAGCAATGGTCGTCGTCGTGACCGTCGTTCCGCCGCCGCCGCCGCACTCCTGCGCCCTCGTTTTTCCGCACTTGTTGCAGCTCTTTCTGCAATTTTCAGTCATCCACAACTGGTTCTTCGTGCATTCTCCGGAACGAGACCAGCTCGCACACTGGTTGTGACGGTCGGTGCAATCTGAAAACGAACGATGTGTGGAGAATCTTTTGAGTCTTTTCAAATTACCATCGATCAAACGGTATTTGGGCTTGCACACACCGCAACTGGCCTTGCACCATTCGTTCATGTAGGCCGTGTTCCGAGAGCATTCTCCCGATGCCGCCCACTGAGCACAGCACTGATTCTCGTTGAAACAGGACTCTTGGGACTGAACCGGGGTCGGATTGGCCGGAGGAGGAGTGATCGGAGGAGGCGTCGGAGGAGGCGCAGTGCTCTGAAAAGGATGGATTGAGATGGGAGAAAGGGCGGATTCTTTTTCGTACGGAAAGAACACACAGTCCGTTCTGGCAGACTCCACCGTAACACGGATTCGTGCGGAATTGAGCACAGGAGGAGCCGGGTTTGATGCGGGAAACGCAACGAGGAGCACCGGTGGAAGAGTCACAGAAGAGGAATCTGGAAGGAAAACAGGCTAAGAAATTGGAGAGTTCGGCCGAAGAACTCACTTGGAGCCACAGTCTCCGCCGGCTGTGCACGTTGGCCGAGGAGCATAACTGTACAGGTTGTCTGTGAATTTATTGGAGAGCCCATCGATATTTCTGCAATATACTTGTTCTTTTTCTGTGTGTGTATTCTGTGTTTCCACCTCATCGGACTGAACGGCTGCATCGGAGAGGCACCGAAATGTTGAGGAGAAGCGCATAACTGATTGTCTGGTGGGAAGGCGATCTCTCGGTCGGCGCGGGATTGCCTGGCCAGTCTCCACTGTTCCCAGATCAAGTCGATAAAACAGTGATGCAGGAAGAAACTGGGGTCATTAGAGGAGGTGGCCGTGTCGAACATATCTCCTCCGACGAAAATGTGCACGTTCCCGTGGGTGTACTCGAGGCAGTTGAAGTCCGTTCGGTACGGACATCCCTGTTGAGGAGCAGTGAAAGCGAGCACTTGATCTATTTGAGTCTGCCGCATCACAAAGTCAATGTCGGTCTGTGAAAGTGGCGATCCCTGTGCTCCGACGGCTCTCTGGATTTGTGCTCTTCCCGAGAGAGTCTGCCAGTTAACGAATGGTCCCGAAGAGACGAGGCCTTGAGCGTTCGATCCACCGACGAGGTACTCACTGGAAACGTTGACACGCTCTGAAGGATTCTGAATGCGCGAACAGACCTGAACATGATGGTATCTGCCGGTTTCGGGAGGTTACTGTCCAAAGTGGAATCCCAGTACGGGAGGGTGACTGAAGGATCAACCTGTCGAAGAGCGAACTCGACCCGTTTCACGAATTCTCTGTGCCAGGGAAGGAAGGCGGGGCCAGAGTGAGCACCTCCGGCAGCCGACATCTGGGAGTGGATGCGGCCGATTCGGTCGTATTCTCCGTTCTGAAAGCAGGGGAATAACTGCGAACGGACACTCGAAAGGCTACATTCTTGAGTCCTCTGAACGCTGCGTGCAGTCTGTTCCGCTCATCGTCCGTCAGCATTCTGTACTCTTTTCTGACCGACTTCTGGAGCGGTTGTCCGTTCGGAAGAGTGCATCCTCCGTTCGCCGTCGCCGTTCCTCTGAGGTAGGAGCACAGACACGGGAGGTCCATGCATTGGTAGATCGTTGAGGCGATCGGGGCAAACTCGGCCGCCATCCCCTTTGCGAGTCCCGGAGGCAGCGCGATCTTCTTCTTCTTCGACGCTTCCTGCAGTTAGATCTTTGACCTCTTATTCTTTTTGATATCAAAACGTCCTTGACCGCCCCAAAAACGTTTTTCTGACTTCTGCCTTCGCCAACTAACCCTAGCGCCGCTGTCCCATTTGTGAATCTGCCGGCACATTATCTTGGCGGCTTCTGAAGGCGCACTTGCACACGGATCATCTTGAGAATGGATAATAGCAGGGAAAAAAAGGAGAATGGGTATGAAGTACCGCATGGTTCGAGGCCGACGGACCTGAAGATCGGGAGATCAGAATACGATTCGGAAAAGAAGAGGATCAACTAAAACATGATGATTTGACTTTATATTCAGAGAAGAAGGGATTGAAAAACCGAGTGATTGTGTCTCGAATCGGACAGCCGAATGAACCCGATTGGCAAAACAAAGCGACTGATTCGATGTGAAACTACTTGATAGGAAAGTAATCGAAGGGGACGTCCCGTCGCCGTCGGCCCGGTCATTTTTTGTAACAGTTTCATCTCTCTTCTTCTCTCTCTCTCTCTCTCTCTCTCTCTCTCTCTCTCTCTCGGGGTCGTCTCCTTCGAAATTCGCTGATTTCCATGATAATGATGATGTCATTTGATTGTCCTCGGCAACCAATTGGACGAGGAAGGAAACCGAATGCGTTCCAGTGGGAATCTGAAAATACGCTTTTTCAGGACGAATTACTCATTGAATTATGAAGTCGGAATCGTTAAATCCAAGCGTTATGTACTGTATCGATTCTCTGTTCAAAGGGTTCACTTTCCTCCGACGCCTTCATTTGAAATGGATCATTTCCCTTCAAACCAGTGAATCACAAAACCGGACACCATCCTCCGCTCCCTTTATTTTCAGAACACCTTCCCCTTCCTCACTTCAATCATTCTTCCAATCGTCCGTTCCTCCACACCCTTTTCTCCGTCTTCTTCTCTGTTTGACTGTGTAAATTTCGGCTTAGTGTGTGTGTGCTTTGAGTACGTGTAAAACGGACAAAAAGGGGAAAACAGTCCATTCTTTCCGTCGTCGAAATGCCCGTTTTTCCTGTCGGTACGTGTCTTTTCCCTTTTTCTCCTAACTTCCATATTTCCCCTTGTTTCAGATTCCAATTTCCGTCCGAAACAACGTCGAATCGAGCCACTCGTGATGCGGGATTACAGTAGCTGGCGGAACGGAGCAAGTCCGTCCGGCTCGCCGAGCACCAACAACAAGAGTCCGCCCGTGTTCCAGCCGACAGAGAAGAAAAGAGTGCATTGGCGAAAATGACGGCCGAGAGGATTACTGTACATTAATGTATATATCTGTTTCATTCCAATAAAGTATTGTGTGTTTCCATTGGGAATTCAAGAAGGTCGGCGACCGATTTTGAAGGCGCTGATGAATATGCAAATTGGGTGGAAAAAGGGACGCCGATTTGGCACATTTGACATGCTCAGCGACAGGGAGGGAGCACAAGAAAAAGAGAAGATTCAGAATATTTGGAACAACGGAGAAACCGAAAGTATTCAGGACTTTCGGGCAAAGTCAGAGGGGCCTGAACACCTTCAATTCAGTCTGCTGGCTGTGAATCACCTATTCCGCTCATGGGCGACGTCGAACAAATCCTTGCAAACTGCCTTTTTGCATTTGAAATGAAAACCTCTCTTCCGAAATCCTTTTCCTCCATCCTCCGCAACTTGATTTTCATAAGCATTTCTCAAAGTAGCCATCAATCATCTGTCAAGAAACCGAAAACAAGACAAAAATTATAAGATTTCAACAAGTGAGGCCCCGAGGGATCGCCGCTCCCCTCGTAAATGAAAAGCCACACGCTATATAATGCCTTCCCAAATATCAATCATGCTCCCCCTTCGGCGCCTCGTCCCGACTACCGTAGTCGCTTATGAACCGAGCCGCTAGCACCGTCCCCGGGGAGCTGCCGGTTCTTCCGTTCTGGATGGCTCCGCCCCGGATACGCAACATCTCCGTTCATTTTGCCCATTATGTTCTCCTCGATCGAGTCTCTTCTGAAATCCCCAATTCCGTCGACTTTTGTGGCAGACTCGAAGCCTGAACCAGACACTACCTCTTCTAATTATTCGAACAGCTGCTCAGAGGAACTCATGAAAATGGCGGAGAAAGCTGCGCAGTTCGCTTCACACACGGATTGCTTCCAGAATGCGTTTCCGGCGATCCCACAATGTAAGTCGGAAGAGCAAAATCGTTTCGACCACGGCAGGATTCGAAACTGCAATCTTCTGCTCCGTAGACAGACGTGCGCCACGCGGCCGCACTTTTCTGATTCTAACATAAGTCTAGACATTTCAACGCTTTGCAGCCTCCCAATTACACCCCCTTACCGCCTACACGTCGTTTGTTCAACCAGTTCTACCGCTAATCTACGACCACTTGGCACTGACATGTACGACCTGAAATAGGCAAAAGTGCAACTGAGGCTGTTTTTCAGGTTCAGTGAATGCATGGCAAGCCTGGGGAAAGATGAGAAGACCGAGAACGGCGTTCAGCAGTGAGCAGTTGGTCCAGCTGGAGAAGCAGTTCTCGGACAATCGGTACTTGAGCAGGCCGAAGAGATACCAACTCGCCCAGCAACTTTCTCTTTCAGAGACTCAGGTACCGTAATCCGTCCCCCTTCACAACCATTCTTTCCCCATTTTCAGATCAAGATCTGGTTCCAGAACCGTCGAATGAAGAACAAGCGGTGTCCCTCTTCTGCAGGAGCTCCTTCCGCCTCCGCTTCCGCGTCTTCCCCTCCCTGCCAGTGAATGATAATTTTCCGATCGCTTTCACTAATAAAGTGTTTTTCCGCGCGGGCGTTACGTACGCGGAACCGTTGTAAACCTGTCAATCACATTGCGTGATATTATTCATCGTTGAGAAGGAAAAAAATCGGATATCTTTTTTGTGTGTGTGTCTTTCACTTTGAAAGCTTATCATCGGGTGAAAAAACACGTTACCTGGGAGAGGACGAAAACCCGCTTTTCAAGGGTATTTATGTTCGAAGCGGAGTCCGCCGCACTTCCCATTCCGACTGCCAACGCCGTCTGATTGATGTCCGTTGTGTCCTTTGTTCAAGTGCCGTTTATATGTACAACTGAACTTTCCATTCGGTTTCAGTAATGTCAGCTACGAACACGGTGCTTCTGTTCATTACTTCCGTCTGCGGAATCGCCATCGTTTCCAGCCTTCTCATCGCTGGAACTCTTTTCTTCGATGCTCAAGAATTCTTGGAAACTTCCCTCGATGACCTGGACTCTTTCAAAGTTCGACTCTTTCGTTTCCCCTCTTCTGATTAACCGCCCTTTTAGCATTATTCCGACAGTGCCTGGAAGGACATGATCTCTTCGAATACTTTTGACAGAAAGAAGAGAGAAGGAGCCTCTTGCGGATGTCCGTGTGCCGAGGGACCGAACCATTGCCCGCCAGGAGAAGCAGGACCGCCAGGCCTTCCAGGAGCTCCAGGTGAGAATTCAGAAGGACGAACAACATCTTCCTCCCGTTTTTGCAGGAGAGGACGGAGAGGCCGGAAACCCAGGAAAGGACGGAGTTACCGGATCGTCGCTTCTGTTTGACGGCGAGAATCTTCCGTGCATCAAGTGCCCGGCAGGAGAGCCAGGACCGCAGGGACCAGACGGTGCGCCGGGAGCTCCGGGACCAGACGGACAGTCGGGAGCGCCAGGAGCCAACGGAAACCCAGGAGCGGCAGGAGAATCAGGACCTGAAGGAGAACCAGGAGACGAGGGAGCGGCCGGAGAAGCCGGAGCACCGGGAGCAGCCGGACAGAACGGAAGCCGCGGAACTGGGGCTCCAGGACCAGCCGGACCAGAGGGACCAGTCGGAGAGCCAGGAAAGGATGGGGCACCAGGAGAGAACGGAGCCGAAGGAGCAGTTGGAAGCGAAGGAATACAGGGAGCGCCAGGAAAGGACGGCGAGAAGGGAGTCGACGGAGTGGCCGGAGGAGACGGAGTTCCAGGAGCCCCGGGACCGGATGCTGCTTACTGTTCGTGCCCGGAAAGAACGAAGATTGTGTTTTCAAGTGAATCTCCATAGGTCTCAGAACGTAATTTATGTAATGAATGTGTTTTTGAATATTCACTGGACAAGTTTTTATTATGGAACAAAGTGGAAAGCCGAGTTGAGATGGGGAAGAATCATCAGAGAAAGGAATGAGATCGGACGGACGAGAAGGGCACCGGAAGAGACGGAAGAAGGCACTAATAGCACGTGATGGGGTTGAAGAAACACCGATTCCGTTCGATGATTTCGACACGTCGTTTCAGAAGGTCTAGTCCTCGCTTCGGTCTAAAAAGCGCATTCTTTTGGCTATATAATCAGCTACAGACATTCATGAGAAACATGTTATTCTCACAACTTTTATTGCAGTTTTCTGGTTTTACTGCCGCAAAGTCTAGTCTGACTCGCTTGCTCACCTGTTGTCCCCGTTATCGGCGTCGTTTATGGTGGCATCGGGGCTGAAGTACCCTCGCGAAAGGCTCTCCTGATTCATGTCGTCGTACGAGCGGAGGAACTGCAAAAATCGCAAAATGGTCTGGGCTGAGCCGGGGATCGATCCCGGGACCTCTCGCACCCTAAGCGAGAATCATACCACTAGACCACTCAGCCGCGGAAAATTCGCATTAAAAAAAGTGATAAGATTTCCATGATTTGATTCGAACCGGTCAAAGTGATAAACGAACGCTTATCAGTCGAAACTTACCAAACTGCGAAGAGGAATGGCAGCCGAAAAGCTGCAAAGGAGGGCGAGAAGGACAATCAAAGCGACGCTTCTTGACATTTTTGGTACCTTGAGAAAGAGAGGAGACTCTGCAAAATTAGTGTTACGATGAAGAGAAAGGTTATTTAGAAGAGGCGGCACTGAACAAAAACAGCAATATTTAGATAGATATTAGTTGAACTATGGAGGAAATGGGAAAGGGGGACGAAGAAGGAGTACGGTAGTTATCAAGGCAGTCTTTCAGAATGAGAAAAGGGGAGAAAGCCAGAATTCGTAATGAATTTTCGTGGAACCCGCTGGTGGGTCAAGTTTTATATTTCGAAATGATAAGGGAGCAAAATGTGTCATCATTCAGTGTAATTGAAAAAAAAACGGAAATCAGAAGAATCCAGCTCAAATGACGAGTGTTGCCTGTTCTGACCAGACACTGGGGAGTGCCCGAGTGTTTTGCTCTTTCTTACAACTCGCACTTTATAGTCCCCATTGCAGGCTCATCTTCTGAATCTCCTCCCCTCATTCGGCTTCATGGCTCCTCCCCTTCGTGGGCCACGAGAATCCCGAGTAGGCGGGGGACCCTCTCCAAAGTATATTTTACGGATAAGCCCTTTTTGGTTTTTAGTACAATCCCAAATTCCATCCGCCAAATCCGAATTCCGAAATTCAAGACACCCGGAATTTGGCGTTTTGGCGGAGAATGAAGGTCGTACAGAGCACACAATTAGTTTAAATCCCTCGAAAGAATAAAGAGAGATTCTCACGTTCACGGATGAAATTTCGAGAGATTTTTGTGCCGCGTGGAGTGGCTCTGTCCATTAGGCAGACAATAGGAAGAAGAAAAGAGGGAGGATTCAGATGATGGGGGTGTCCGATGGATGACGACGTCCTCCCACTGTTTCGTCATTTGACAATTGACATTTCGTCGAATTGCCATCCGGAATTGCAGTGCTTTGCAAGGCCGGAAGTCAATCACGAAAAAGAACGAACGTTTTGCGCGAGAAAGTGAGAACTGGAATGAGAATGAGAATAGGAAAGGCACGCTTTTCAACTATAGCTGTTTTTGTTGCAGGTAAATAATTATTGCTGCCTCAGAATTCTGGCAATAACGCTCTACCGCACGCCTAAATCCCCGGCCAGAATTCTGCGGCGCCGAAGATTGTGTTATCAGTGGAGAATGATGAACGAACACGCGTGTACTTCTGGGCGATGTGGAAATGAAACTACGCTCTGCCGAACATGCGGAAGAATGCTTTTAGTACGAATTGATATCTTCTGAGAGAAAAAGAATGGAATTATTCATACTCGAAGAGAGTTCCATCCAAAAATAGGGGGTGGACGGAAAAATCAGAGGGCGGAAGAGTGGGAGACCAGATTTTGTCAGAAAACAGTGAAAACGGATTGAGTTACGGAGGAACACTTAGTCACACGGATGAGGAATTCAGAAGACAGAAGGCACGTCACGTCGCCAGCTGATCGCCTCCTCATTCATTATCAGTAGCGGCTACTATCAAAGGGTGTAAAGTGTTGAGTCAGCGGCCGCCCACTCCCGTTGAGACTGAATGGCTGAAAGTGTTTGAATGCGAACTGGTCCGCCCGTATCGTATCTTCTTTTGAGTGATGTCATTCGGACAGTTCGAACAAAGAATGCGTCGGAATGAAAGAGGAGGAGCTCATCGGCGGAAGTGCACGAGAGCCAATACGCCAAACAAGTGTTTTGGCCACCAATCTCCCCCCCCCCCCCTTCGAATGTGCTAATTCCGCGCTTCGAAACCCACTCGATATTTTGGGGGTGTCAACAAATTCAGGCGGCAAAGATGATGGTGTGCACACATATTGTCGGGTACGACCAGTGTAGATGATTTCGGAGAAGCAATAGAAGAGATGCGAAGTTTATCACATGAAAATAAGAGAACACAAATAAATTATTGAGAATAGATCGAAAAGACACAAGAAAATCATGAAAAGCGAGGGACTTGTATACACACGGGAGGTTATCACTTGGTTTTTTGGGTTTTCAGCGTGTTTGGATCCGGCGGTGAAGCGTCTTCTTTTTCTCCTTCTTCTTCTTCTCCTTCCTCCGAATCCGTGTGCAAAGCACAAGCGAACAGCATGTTCCAGACGGGGTACGCGACAGTGCAAAGAAGGAAAAACTGATGGGCGCCGAAAAGAACGTGCTGTTTGATGAGGTTGTGGGTGATTGTCTTGGCTACTCCGAAGTCGGTCATTCTCGAAAATCCGTGGGAGATACCGAGGAAATCGGGCACGTTGATGGCCAGATAGGTGATCAGTCCGATCGGACTCAAAAAGGAAAGCACGGCGGTTCGCAAGAAGGATCTAGCCCTGAAATCGTTATATTGTTGCCTGTACGAATGCGTACTTTGTAGTGTACACTGGCTACTCGTACTAGTCATGCCGCCACAAACCACACGTCAATCTCAAAGATACAATTCGACGAGTATAATACGAATGTATCCAAGTCATCGCAGAACAACCCGCACTTCCCGGCTCACCTCTGGCGTGACTCAAACGTCATCAAAAAGACAATTGGAACGACGACGGCGGACGTGAAGAATGCGAGTCCGAAATTGATGAGGGAGAGGCAGCCGACGATGAGCGATGTCTCCAGAAGACACAGAATACGCACGCTTCGAACACTTTGCACTGGCGTTCTGAAATGAGAAGGATGCTTGTCCCTCTCCGAATTGCTTCTTACTTCCAGAAGAGGATCAATCCTATGGGTGCGGAGAGAACCAATATGAACGTAGGAATGAGCGGAAGCAGAGGAGTCATCTGTCCGGCGCATCCTTCGGTCCCAAAGAAGGGGAAATTGGTCCATTGAAGCGCAAAGTCGGTGCCTAGGTTGGCGTAAATCCACGTGGTGGAAGCGTAGATCAGGAAGCCGAGACAATGAAAGATTAGGTAGAGAAACGGCATTTGGAACAACTCGAGCTTTGTCCATTCGAAGTAGGCGGAAACGACGAGAGGAGCGAGCAGAATGCCGATGACTGGCATGTAGAATGCGACCGAAGCGAAGTGCATGTCGTCGGAGAGCACGTACCTGAAATTGCTAAGTAAAGAAAACCAAGAATTAAAATGATTTTGCTGTTGTTGTTTCGTTAAACATGTCAACAAGAGGGATTACTGTTGTGCGCGAAAGTAGGCCAAAACTAGAGGAGTCTAAAGCATCAAGCTTACATGAAATAACTCTGATGAAGTCTTTCTAGCACATTGTTGAGCATACGCGAGACCTCCTCGATGAACTGTCCGGCCTGTCTTTCAGTGAAATCGAAGCTCAATCCGACGGTGATACCCTGAAAGAATACATGGAAATGACGAAGAAAGAAGAGAAAGGAGCTGAGCAAACAGAGAGCTCCAGATGCTCGATTGGTTTCCCTTCCCCCATCATTATGAGTTGGTTGCGGCAGAAATAGTACACGGGGAGTATCATGTACCGAAAGAATGGATAATGAAAACAGCGAGAGGGAGCGGGAGCGCAACGGACGGCGCCCTCCGTTTTACGACTGCGTAGAGCACTTTTCCGTATAAGATTCGTGCGCACCTAATCCTACACGACGTCTGTCCGAAACCGCATTACTCAACTCTTTTCCGCCAGTACTTTTTGTGTAATGCGACATGCAGGGGTAGTTAATCACTAGTTCAAAATTGCTTTTACTAATATCAGAACCGATTTTCTATTGTTAAATACCTGAACTCCGTACTTGCCCATGATGCTGTGAATTCCTTCGATGGACGTGAAAGCTTGCGTATAAATGGCCTTCATTGGAATGGTAAACGGAGAGATATCCATGTACGGAGACTGAAAAAAGTTATTAGTGGGGGATGAAAGATCGAGATGATTACATTGTGCCTATGAATTGTTCCGTAGATGGCGACTCGCGAGGAATGTTTCGAGTCGGCGATCTTGACGATTCCGTTGAAGACGTCCAAGTTCACTTGCTGTCCGTTCAGACCGTTCGTCTCCAGATTCACAATGTGCGTATTTTTGAAAGTCATTCCAGAGAGATCGTAGACAACGCCAGCAATGAGCGCTCCCGTCTGCGTCTGAATCTCTTCCGCTTCGATCGATCTTCTACTGGACTGCTCCGAACTGATCGATTCGATCTTCTGATACTTGAGCAAGAAGGCGTCGAGAGCGAGTGCCGCCTGCTCCGTGGCTCCTTCTCCGTCTCCTCCGTCCACGAAAACGATCACGAAGTCCCTTGCCCAGTAGACCTGTTCCTTGGCAAAGTCAACGAAAGCGAGCATCCGGGCGATCATTCTCCGTGCCATTTCCGTTCGCCCCAACTGAACCACAATCAGCTGCGCTTCTGCTCCGTCGTTTCTGTGCCCTCGGACGAATCCGTACACATTCTCCCCGTTCATCGGGTTTGCGGCCACTGCCGATCGCCATTTCTGAGTGAAACATTGTAATCCGAACTCGGCGAACGTCTCCAAAATGAACTGTTGTTGTGATTTCGTTCTGAACTAGTATTTCCAATGAAATTCTACATAATTCGAGCAGCCCTACTTGTGCAGTTCATTCAGTTTCCTATAGATTTGAACGGCGACTCCGCTTTTGTCGAATCTCGGCGTCACCAATCCGGGCATCAACGAATGCTCTGATATTCTGAATTGCCAATTGGATACTGATTGTGACACTCAATTCCAACCTGGTGACCTCCATATTGATTGGATGAAAGCACCATTGCGAATAAAAGAAAGCGACGGCGAAGGCGAGAATCAAAGTGATTTTCCGGAATCGGAGAAGCCGATCCAGAAACTTCGGACGGGTTAATCCTCCGTCTGCGGCTATTTCCAGAGCCATCGGCTCTTCAAATATTGCTTGTTTTCAATCAAATAAAGAACAAAATATGAAACTAAGATTTCAAAGAAAACTATTGAAAAGATCCACACAGAATGTACAATCGGTCGTGTGAGTTTGATTATTCATTTGTTATGCTTTGCAATATATTTTTGTGTTTCTGTTGTTTGAGATACGCAGAAAAGAAAGAAAAAAGCGAAATTACATGGGTGGAGAGAAGTAGTACTCGTTGGAAGAGCTGCGATGGAAAATAAATATATATATATAAGTAGGAGGCAATTAATAGATCTCAATCATCTAAAACACACACACAAATTGAGAGGAAACCCGTTTGGTACAACTATTCTGATTAGATTACATTTCACAAGCAGACTAAATTGACGTTAAACTCCAGGACGTCAAAAAATGGAAAAAAGAGAATCAGACGGAATATTCGAAAGTGGGCCTAGAGATGAATGGATTCGCCAGCGGATTGAACCAGCGGATTCCGAACGGCCCTCCGAACACCATTTGCAAGTTCTTCCATGAATTGTTTCGATTTCGATCTTCTTCGTCCATCATAGAATTCCGGCTGAAAAGTAACTTTTTTCGAATGAAAAACGACCAGAATCAATGTACCTTTTCATAGACTCGATTGTAGTCTCATCGTTGCAAATTGACGAGATCTGCGTTCCGAACATGACTGCCGTGAATATCGCGAACAGAATCGATTCGAAAAGCAGGAAGATGAGAAGGAGTGTTGTTCCAGGCGGCGCCAACGAAGAGCACCTTTGCCATTCGGCGCCAACGCACAGAATAAACTGCCAAATGCCCCAGTACAGGGCGTGCAACGATAAAAGGGCAATGTACATCTGGAAGGAAAATGGCAAATGGTGTTGGCAGAGAGGGAAACGTACTGTGAATAACACGAAGAACTTTTGATTTCCTTCTCCGACACAGTTGTTCACCCACGGACAGTGGTGGTCCATCCGTCGTATACACCGTTCACAGACCGAACAGTGATGAGCTCGGTCCGGCTTGATGCTCGAGCACTTGTTGCACTTGTAGACGGGCGGACCATTCAGCAACTGGATCCGTTCGAGCACTTCATCCGTCGCGTCTCCTTTTGCAACTGCGCCTGGATCGGTTGTCATCGTCTAAAAAAGTCTAATATAATCCAAAATTTTGAAAAAAAAACCTTTAGATGGCTGATCACGGCGAGCACACTGAACCCTTCAAAAATGATAAAGTTGAGTGCAGTGTGGAAGGGATATTCTTCCCACGAATAGAGCATGACCAGAAATACGCAGATCTGTCCGTACGCGACGAGCATCCACGTGACGACGGCGCACATGATTCCGCACGGATCCCGCACGCACCATGACCGTCCGCAGCAGTTCGTTTTCGTCTTGATGAAGACAGTCATTTTACTGGAAGCGTTTTCTTTTTTTCCGTTTCTTTTATAATGCAACTCACCAGTCGTCGTATTCTTTCCATCAAAGTTTCTTTTCAGCCAGTTCTGCAAAGAAAATCAATCGAATATATTTGGGAAGAGAGGATGGAAAGAGCATGAAATGGAAGCACAATATTTTGAGAGCGAGAGAAGAGAAAAAACGGCTAAGAAAGGAGTTTTCTGACATCTGAATGCCTGTTGGTCTGTTGCCTAGTGACCCAGAATTATTCACACCTAACAACGTTTTCTCGAACCAGTGGCTGAGCATTATGTGGCAGAAGTACAACCACAATCAGTTGTTATCGTTCAAAATGAAATGAAATAGCGAGAAAGCCAGATGAAAAATGAAACCGATCGCAGACAAGAAAGGAATTCAGACAGAAAACACGTGTGAATCTAGAAAACAAGCTAATATTCGTGAACTCGTGTATTCCATTTCACCTGCCGCTAACAATGTAACTATCAATTCAGCTGAAGAGAGAGAGAGAGGGGGAGAAGCAAGGGATCGGAACGACGTCTGTCACTGTTCGCGAGGAAGAAACAAGATATTCAGCGCTCGACAAACGACTCATAAATATTCGATTTGCAAAGCAGCTCTGCGTCTCTCGGGCTCAACGCTTTTCTCCAAATATTTCAATTATTCTAATGTGCGTTATTCTAGTTCGCTGACACGCAAATGGCTGCTCCCTTTATATTTAGGGTTGAGAGGAGAAGGAGAAGAAATTGAGATATTGCTGCTGCATTGCCCTGAAAGGGCTCTCCGGAAATTGGGATTGGGAGCCACGCGCGGAAATATCAATCTTTGAGGGGGCACATGTTGCTCTTCGTCCGGCTTTTTCTTGTGGGAGAGGCGGTTATTCGGTCGGACAGAAGGACGGACGGACAGAGGCACGCGGCCGCGGCTCTCGCTCTCCGCCTCGTCGCCCCCGTCTCGCATCTCTCGCTGCTGTGACGGAGCGTTCGTTTAGTAGACGGCCGGAAAGGAAAGAACATCACTCGACGGGGAGGAAGCGAGCATTGTTCGAACAGAGACTGAGCACCGGAACAGGGTGGAGAGCAGAGTTCAAAGAGTAAAAGCTGCGTACTCACGGATTATCGGTGACTCATCTGCTGAGAGACCAAGATTTCTCAAGAATTCGATCCATAGCAGAAGAAAATTGAATGGAGGAATTACTTTGAAATGAGTCCCTTCAGTGGTTTTTTGAGTTGAAAAAGAAAAAATCTCACCGAATTTTCCACGTAGACTTGATCGAATTATGCCGAAAAGTGCTGAGCTGTCCTAAAAATGAGCATTGCTAGGACACGTTTTTATTCTGTTTCGATACCATGCATAGAAGTTTTGAACTACTGTCTATCAGTGAAATGAAAAAATACGATCGAGTATATGGCTCGTTTATTCAAGTTATTTCAGCGTTTATGAAATATTGGGTTGCGTTCGCCGTCGAAAATCTCTAAATTATACTCATTTCGAGGAAGAGAGATCTTCGCATTATCAAAACAGAAGAGAATATTAAATGGCCAAACTACTTAAATTATTATTTTTGTGGGTAAAATGAACATAGCTTTTCGAGAAAAATAAATCAGATAATGTCAGCAATATTCATCGGCATCTCGTCGATTTGGGTGGAGTAGTACTGCTCGATGTCTCTCAGGATTCTGACGTCATCCTGTTTCACAAAATTGATGGCGACTCCCTTGCGTCCGAATCGTCCGGAACGACCGATGCGGTGGATGTACAACTCACGGTTGTTCGGCAGATCGTAGTTGATGACCTGAAGACCCAATTTATTGCTCTGAACGTAAATTGAATAGCACTCACGAGAGAAACCTGTGGGACATCGAGTCCACGAGCCCAGACGTCGGTGGAGATGAGTACTCTGGTGGTTCCAGCACGGAATTCCTTCATCACTTCGTCACGATCCTTCTGTTCCATATCTCCGTGCATTGAAGAGACGGTGAAGTTGGCCTCCTTCATTTTGTCGGTCAGCCAGTCGACCTTCCTGCGGGTGTTGCAGAACAGAACGGCTTGAGTGATCGTCAGTGTATCATACAGATCGATCAGAGTGTCGAACTTCCACTCCTCTCGATCGACGGCCACGAAGAACTGCTTGATTCCTTCGAGAGTCAACTCATCACGTTTTACGAGAATGCGGATAGGATCGGTCATGAACTTGCTGGTCATCTCAAGAATCTCATGTGGCAGAGTGGCGGAGAGCAGTACGACCTGAGCGCCTGGCGGAAGATAACGGTAGATGTCGTACAGTTGCTCCTTGAATCCCTTGTTGAGCATTTCATCGGCTTCATCGAGCACGAGCAATTTAATAGCGCGAGTACGGAGATTACGACGCCGAATCATGTCGAAGACGCGTCCGGGAGTTCCGGAGACGACGTGCTGTCCGTAGTCGAGTTTTCGTATGTCTTCGCCGAGATTCGTGCCTCCGATGCACGCGTGGCACTGCACATTCATGTAATCGCCGAGAGCAAGAACGACCTTCTGGATTTGAACGGCCAATTCTCTGGTTGGCGAGAGAATAAGTGCTTGAGTCTCTCGTACTTGCGTGTCCAGTGATTGGAGCACGGAAATCGAGAACGTCGCCGTTTTTCCTGTTCCGGATTGAGCTTGTGCGATGACGTCACGAGCCTTGAGGATGGCCGGAATGGCTCTCTGTTGGATGGCCGACGGCTTCTCGAATCCGTAAGCGTAGATTCCTCGCAGAAGATCTTCCCGGAGGCCCATCTTGTCGAACGTCGGAATAACATTCACTTCCTCCGAAGATTCGAACTCCACTGTCGCCATATCATCCTTCCTTTCACTTTTGTTTCCAGACATCTTCCTGCCGAAATGAACAATTGAATGCAAACATGCAAAAATTTACAATTAGATAGACGCTCCGAACAGATTACGGCAGAAAAGGGCGACGGGCAATGATAATCATTCAGTTTTATTGTACCATATACAATTCTGATTGTTCAAGAGACAAGGGTTTGTGTGTGCATTGAATCCGTTGAGCTCGACCGAAGGATTTGGATGAGCTTCATGCGGAATAGACGACTCAGAGGGTCATTTGGGGCTAGCAATCAATAGTGTTACACATACAAAAAATGAGAGAAAGAAAATAAATAGGGTGAAAAAGATGGGGAGGGACACGGCACCAAGCACGCTATCATACAAGACAGCAGGCTTTACCGGGGAATTGGAAATGGTACGGACAACTCTAGCCAAACTTACGAGAGTCTAGAGAGTATGAAGAACGGAAGAAAACCGAAAGTGAAGAGAAGAAAACGGCATAAACGGACATTTTAAATTAAATGCGAACTGCCACCGAATCGGTTGCAAGTTCAACCAATTTCTCGATTAATGGGGATAGAGAAAGGAATGAAGAGTTGAAAATTGAAAAGAAAAGTGTGTGGCAGCAAGAAGCGAAAGATGACTGCTACAATAGAAGAGGATTTAGAAGAGGCGCCCGAAGATGAGTCCGATGAGAAGGGCGGCGACGGCGATCAGGAACACCTGCAGTGTCGGGAACGCGCCCTCCGCTAGCGTTCCATCTGATTGCGACTGCTGCAGCTTGCGGTTCTTCTACAATTATCTGGTTTTGTCAAGAAAGAAGTGCGCCTTTCTAACCTTGAGCATAACTTCTATCTCCTGCTCCAATCCATAAACCTTCTTTTGCAATTCGTCCTTCTCGTCGATCGTCGACTTCAGAGATTTACGCAACGAGGCAACAGTTCCATCTTGGGAAGGAGTTGCCGTGTACGAACTTCCGAGCTCCCTCAAAATGACACTTGATTTTCTATTCAGATGGAAGTTTACTTACTGAGCCTGCCCGGCTGAAGCAAACGTGTCTTCTTGCCCGTTGATCAAAAGAGTCTTGTCGTCTCCCGCGGCCGGGTTTTTCTTGTCCAGGAAAGTGACCATCAGCTTGCTGTAGGTCAGATCAGTTGGGTCGACGACCTTCCAGATCGACTCGAGATCGACGAGATCTTCAGCCGGAGCGATACACGACTGAACCATGAACTTGTGGCGGCCGGCATCATTCGGGATGCCTTCCAGAGGCTGCAGCATAACCGTGATTTGCTTCGAATCCCCGGATCTCAGAAGACCTGAATATTAAAATTGAATGCATTCCATAGGTGTTTTGAGTTGAGCGCCGGCAGTTCGGGACAGGCAAGTGGGAGATTGCAGGAGTGTCCTTAAGGGGCAGCAATCTGGACATTTCCGACTTTACCGCGACTGTAAGAGGTTGCCAGGTTACTTCAACTGTCTAAATTACTTCATTTGATCATATTCGTTCAGTTTCCACTCATAACCCACTAGGATGCCTTAAAATTTTTTGAAAATTTTTTAAAATCCTTTTTCACAGGTCTTATGGTTGTCTCTGGTTCGGAATTCACAGGTCTTTTTTCACAGGTCTTATGGTTGTCTCTGGTTCGGAAATTTCAATCCGACCGCTCGGTCGGAAAAATTTTTTGGCGTTTCTCAAACATCCCGCACCTATGATGCATTAATTTCAAGTATAAACATCACTCACCAGAGTTTGGACGAACACAGTACTGTTTCGGGGCGGTAGTCTTCACCTTGAAGCAAACCGGATTGCTCGTCGGGTTCTTCAGAGTCATGTGGGCGGTGACGACGTCGGTGAACGGACCAGTGAACACGAGTTCTCGGTGGGGAGTCACTTGCAGAAGACTGTGCTTCTCGGACATTTTTCTGCAAAACATTCAGCAATCGATACTTTTCTACGAAAAGCGACGGAGCAAGAGAGAAACGCTGAGTGTGTTCTTGCGTTATCAGTTTAGTTTCGCAGTGCTTAGTGCCGAGACATATTTTCGCACTGCCTATTTGCTATTTGCACGACGAAAAACGCAGCAAGTTTCGTGTTGATTCTCAATTGAAACGAAACAGATCGGAACACGTGTGGCAGCTGACCGACGGTGCAGTGAATGATAAAAACGGAGGGGGAGCGAAGGTGACCCGGGGGAAAACAGAGAAAAATATTTGTTTATAGCCATGAGGCCTATCGATTGAGGTGAATGGGGTCGAAATTTGAAAGCGATGCAGCTACGATGCCAGTGACGACGACGACGACGCCGAAGAGACGAGAAGAGCGCGCGTTTTTGAAAGCGATGTGGTCTAGAGACGGAGGGTAGAGACGGAGAGAAGGAGATGTCTGCGTCTCGCGGTCTTTGACCTTCTCTCCACACTCTCGTCTCACTGACTTATAATTCGAGTGTGCGGTGTGTGAGTGAGAGAGCGAGATGGGCTGTGAGTGTGTGTGAGCGAAAATGGCCAGGAGGGCACGTCGGGAAAACGGAAGGACATGAAAACGACGGAATGCTTCGCTGGCAGAATGGATAAAGCTGGAAGGCTAAGAAACGACTTGTCTTCCTTCCTGCTCAGAAGAACAGAAGATCCCACCAAATGTAAAAGAAGCTTCTAATTGACAAGAAAAAATAAACTCTGATAATCTTCGGATATTGGAAAAAGACTATCGAATACAGCCTCGAGGTCTAATTAGATCAGTTTCACAAGTGTTAAGATGTTTGGCAAAGTGTAGGATGAGAGCAAACAACTGCAGAACCAGTGTAAGCATTGCAGAGAGAATACACATGGCTCGAAAAGAAGACGAAGCACATGAATTGGGGGAGTGAGAGTATGGACGGACAAAAAGGCGCGCATGCAATTAGAGTACACGGCCAGAGAGTCGGTGTCTCTGCCTGCAGAAATACTTCGATGGGAGAGCACTCTCCATGACAACTTCTGACTCAAGTACTGACGAAAGATTGGCTCCTCTTTGAAACTAGAATCTCTTCGAACAAACACAGATACACCGAATGACGGACGACTATCAATCAAACGGGGTTACATCATGATTTTTCATCGTTAACTGAAGCCACCAGTTTTCTGAGCAACTTCATGCGTCTATATGAGAGAAGGTTCGCTAACCGAGATACGGAAGCCATCTGGTAATAATTCGGAAAGCACTTTTCGTATCGCAAAAACTAATTGTAGGAAAATTGATATTGTGGCGCCAGAGAATAACAGAGAATAGCAGAAACACATGAACCCGTCACAGGGAATGAGCAAAGCAAGAAGGTAAACTGAAGAGTGACGAATTCCGATGAATTCGGAAGAGGACGGAAGTGACGGAAGAGAATGGAATTCTGGCAAAACTAGATTGCACGGAACGCTGATTAACTCAATATTACTAGTGAAATGTATAGAATGAGCTATAATAACAACTTGGAACGCTGTTTTCAACAATAAAAAAAAAAGAATAAGATGTTTGAAAACGAGAAACTTCGTTGCGCGTAGGGTTTGCTGTACAGTACGCAATGTTAGCACCCGCAATCTTTTGGCGCAAATTTTAAAAGTCAATTTTTCTCCGGATTGCAACCGATCTTCTGTTTCAAAAGACCTTTTTTCTAATGCTCTTTTCTAGATTTGAGATTTGATGTCTATGAAACCTGCCCGACAGAAGCAATGGGAAAGAAACTGCGCAGCGTTGGGTGATGCCAGGTTCCAGAAAACGTATCAGTTGCAGGACGAAATTATAGGAGAAGGTGAGTCGGTTCGAAATCTCCCAGCTTGAAAATTGTGTCTTTTAGGATCTTTCGGTACAGTAATCGGTGCAAAGTGCCGGCTCACACAGGAGAAAAGGGCAGTCAAAGCCATTCGGCGGATAGAGAAAATGAATATGCTCTCAATCGAGCTTGAACTGCTCTGCGAGCTTGGAGGTCACTTCAATATTGTGAAACTGTTTGAGTTCTATCACGGAAACGGTTCCATCGCTCTAATACTCGAGTTCTTTCCACATGTCACTGCTCTTGAACTAGTGATGAACTCGCGGAGGGATCTCGCATTCGCACTCCACTACATTCGGAACCTCTTCTCCGCCGTCGCCTACCTTCATCTGAATGGATACGTGCATCGTGACATTAAACTTTCCAATTTCCTGTATTCACCGCACACTAACAGGTTTTAGAGAATGGAAATTTCTACCCGGAAAGAATTTATTTCATTTTCAGCTTCCGACTCGTCGATTTCGGACTCGCAGTGAAAGATCGATCGGCCAACGAATGTCCGAGAGTGAGCATTGGGTGAATTATCCGAAAGGAACAAGATTGCAGGAAACGGCGGTGGCTGCGATGGACAGAGACAAGGAATGCACTACGTGCGGCCGGACTTCAAGCCCTTGTATTTTATGCAGAGCAAAGCCGAAGCGAGACTCATATCACGTGGTTAGCATTTTCAAAAAAAAAAAAACATTCCGGATTACCTTTTTTTTTTCTTTTGCAGGTCGGCACACCGGGAGTCCGTGCTCCGGAGCTTCTCTTCGGACTGGGCCTCTGCAATCCATCAGTGGACATTTTCTCGTGCGGAATTGTGCTTCTCTCACTCGTTTCTGCCAAACATCCCTTTTTCATGCCAAAAGATGAAACCGAGAATATTATGAACCTGGCCTTCCTTCTTGGATCAGAAACAATTGAAAATGTATATAAAAAAAGTTTTTCCAATTAATTTTCTCTCGTTGCAGATGGCAAAAAAGGAAGGAATGCGAGTGACTATTTCGGAAAGATTACCTCCTGCCGACTACTATCATCTGGTTCTGTCTCTCCGGTTCGGATTCGACCACGTCCGCCGGCACTGCCAATCGCAGCTTCCGTGCGAATCATGCCGGAAGCGTTCCTTCAACAATCCGGCCGGCGTCTGTTTCTGTAGCTCGATATTCATTTTAGCGCCTATCATCTCTATTTTCCAGGTCGAAATAACTACGATACAGACATGTTCTCAACTGGTCGAGGCGACAACGAACTGATGGCGCTCTACGTGGATCTACTGTATCGAACCCTTGAGGTTTTGTTTGAAACTCAGTAGTATTTTCATCTCCATTTTCAGCCCGACCGTTTCAAACGATACAATGCCGATCAGCTGCTCCGTCTCATTGAATACTACGACTCGCGGGTGAACTTCCGAGCGAAACCACTCACGAATCGCGATGACATCTAGCTACTTTTCAACAGCCTTTCCGTCTTTTACTTGTACTTTTTTCTACGTCATTTTTCTTGTCGAACGGGTTGCTAGTGTTTTTTTCAATTTTTTTCATTTGTGTGTGAGTACTGATTGAGTTTCAAATTTTATTCGACTTGCAAAATCTTGCGCTAACGTCAGAGATGAATTGGCAACATGAATTGGGGGAAAAGGAAGTGGAGAAGGAACAAATTAAATGTAACTGAGAAATCGCAGGTCTACAGTACCCGACAGGAAACGTTCAGTGTTCCTTGGATGGTCCTGTATTTTCAGTGGGTATTGTAGCAATGAAAAAAGAAGGAGACTGAGACATTTTTGGTTTCAATAGGTGGGAAAAACGAAAACTTGAGTGACACGTACAGAATTTTCTAAAGAATGTGAAAACACAAAATTATTAACACTTATTAAATATTTGTGAGATTTAGAGGAGCAGAGAAAACAAGTGAAATGGCGACGGCGAACGTATTTAGGCGACGGTCTTCGGCGAAGAGAATCGGCGGAATGCGTAGTGCGAAACGACGGCCGCTTGCACGAGAATCAGAACGAAAAGAGTTCCAAAGATGGCGACGTACGTGGACGGAGCGAGGCAGATCCCGCCCTCCGGAGCCACCTGCACCTCCTGAGCGTCCTCGCGGAGCAGGTCCAGAGTGGAAGAACGCGAAAGGGCCACTGGCTCATTGACCTGCAAACGGGAGGGATTGGGCATTCGATTAGGAATTGTGCCTACTTTCATGCATACCTGTTGGAGGGGGTCAATGATGACGAGCGAGGTGGTGGTGTGCGATCTTCTTGGGATCAAGTAACGGGAAGTTTCGACTGAAAACGGAAGAGACCTTATTGATAGGATCCGATTGGAAACTCACATTCTTCAATGTTGTTGTTGACCTCTCTCTTCTTCCTTCCGAACGATTTCTTGACTCCTCCGGTCAGTGCGCACTCGACCGGTTCGCAGTCTCCCTTGCAGATCTCCACTTCGCAGGTCACTCTGATCGAGGACGAAGAATCGAATCGGAACGCCTGCATCTTCGTCGTCTTCACAGCCGACGATTTGATTTCGACGGCTCCAGGGATGAGCTTCTGAGCGACGGCCGGAGTTGGGCATCCTCCGTCGATCAGTTGCAGCTTCTCTCCCGCTCCGCTCTTCGCTCCGGCGACTCCTGGCTCGGCGTGGCAGTTCTTGACGAAGAAGTCGAGCTCGTCGTCCATGGCCATGATCTCCCAGCGCAGCTCGAGAATGTCTCCTAGCTTGGCTTGAACCAGTGGCTGTTCTGTTCCGTCTCCGTTGAGAAGCTGCATGAGCACTGGGTTTCCGAGCTCGATCTTTCCGCGTGGCTGGATCAGATTGGCTTCTGGACCAGTGACGGTCATGTTGTATCCGGCCTGAACGCGTCCTCCGAGCATGCTAGAGTAGTCGCAGGAGACCTCGTAGAGCTGGTCCATTGAGGTGACGAGTCCTGGGATTCCGAGGTTGTTGGTCTGGATGACGACGGTCGATTTGTAGGTTCCGTTGAGAAGATCAACGAGTCCGCAGTCGCGGAACTCGGCGGCCTGTCTTTTCTGCCGGAACTCCTCGATCTCCTCCTTCAGCGGAGTCTCTTCCTTCTTCGTCTTGTTCTTTGCCGTCTCGTTGTCATCGACGTTATCGAGAGAGATCGGGCGCATTCCGAAGTCCTTTGGAAGTCCGAGAACGAGAGTGGCGGCATTAGAGTTGGCGACCTCGACACGGCAGGTATCGAACTTGTTCTTGACGAAGATCACTCCGCTGAACGGCTCTCCGTTGTTGATTTGAACCTTGATGCCTTCGTAGTTGCAGATGGTTTGGATGGACTCAGCCTTCACTTCGACCGGTGGTCCGATTGGAACGGTGGATTCTGGGGCACGACGGTGCTCGGTGTTCTTGATCGTTGGCTTCTTGACCTTCTTCGTGGCCAGCAGCTGAGCCTTCGAGTCCTTTCCTTCGACGACGGTTCCGGAGACACGGTGCTTCGTCTCTGGCACGTTGGCGGCGGCAGAAGCTCCAGTGTCGACCTCCTTGGTCACGCAGAGGTTCTTGTAGAAGTCGGTGTGCTCGTTCACCTCGGCATCGTCATCAACAGCGTCGAACAGAGAGCAGTCTCCCAGACGACGGTTGTAGTTGGCTCCGGCGCAACTGAATCAGAAAAAAAGATGAAAAGAGGAGGGCTCGATCAATTTCTCACGTTGGGTTTCCGGCGCAGACCTCGAGGCAAGAGTTGAGCGAGACGACCTTGTAGCTCTTGGCGGGGATTCCACGTTGCTTGGTGTGGAGGTAGCGGGAGAAGAGGGCGTCGTCCTTGTTGGCGGAACAGTCGTTTTCCACTAGAGGCAGAGCTATGAGAAGCACGAAAATTACACGGAAACACACAAAGCGTTTAGAGATTTAGGGCGGACTTTGGAACTTTGGAACTGAGGAATTGAGGAGGACAAGAGGTTAGAAGAAAGAAAGGATAATGGACGGGAAGGACGAAAACTCACCGGTCAGGCAGTGCAGATCGTAGAGGTCGACTCCCTGGCGGACCTGTGGCTGCAGAGTGTTGTGTCCGTCGAGGTAGAGCAGATCGCACGATTTGGTCTTCTTATCGTAGTTGAACGAGCGGCACTTCTCTGGGGCGAGTCCGAAGCACTTGGCGACGCATTCCTTGATTCCCTTGGCGGCGGAGGCCTTGAGCACGTGGAGCTCAGATTCTCCCTCTGGCAGGGCGGCGTTGATGGTGCGGACAGCCTTGAGGTGCTGGCCAGTCGGGCACTTCTCCTGCTTCAGATGGCAGGTGATGTCGAAGTAGTCGACGAGGAACTCCTCTCCTTCTGGGATGAACAGCTCTGGCTTGCTTTCTCTGGTCTCCGAGTTGAGGATGCACTCTTGCTCGTTGTAGTAGTACATGACCGATTTGCACACGAATCCTTCTCCAGTCTCTGGTGGTGGGCTGAAAAAATAGTTTTACTGTCTCTAATGCTTTTGTGAACAGAAAACTCACTTGGTGCATTGGTCGAGGCACATGGTGACCGACGGAACATTCTCCATGACGAAGGCAGCGAATCCGACGAGGATCATTTGTGGAACACGCTTGAAGCTTGGCACGTTGCGGCAAGTATTTGGAGAAGCGAAGCACTTCTTCTCGAAGTAAGTGAATCCTTCGGTGGCCACGAGATCAGCACGTCCGAGTGGCTTGGAGCGCTCATCGGCGAGGATGCACGTGCGGGTCTGGTTGTTGTACATGAACGATTTGCAGTTGAAGTCGTTGGAAGAGATGGAGAGACGCTGAGTGCAGAGGGCCTGGCACGAGTCGAGGTCCACGTTAATGATGCGGTCGAGCTCGTTCTTCAGCTGCTTTCCTTCGACAGCGATGTACTGGGTGATGTATGGTGGATAGCACTGCGCTGAAAAAGAAAACATTCTGGCTCCATCCAGACCCTTTTAAGCTTACATCCAGCGCAGTTGTTGTCCATGTAGATGACGGTGTCATCAGCCTCATCGACGAATAGGGACGGGCGGTCGAGACGATCCTCAGTGTTGAGGATGCACTCCTGATCGACCGGGTAGAACATGGCGGACTCGCACTCGAATCCGAAGGTGTCGAAAGCGTTGAGGCAGGCAGCCATGCACACTTGAATGTTCTCGGCTGGCACGACTTCACGGGCGAATCCGACAAGGATCTTCTGCTCGAAGACGTCGAATTGGAATGGAGACTGGCAGACGCGGTCACTCTTGACGCAGGTCTTGGTCAGAAGCTGACTTCCCTTGATGGCCTTCTCGGATCCAGCACGGAACACGGCGCAGCTGCCATCCTTGAACTCGACTCCCTGGCAGTCGAGGGAAGCGGCGCAGTGATCGGAGCACTCAGCGAGGTTCGAGGAAGGGATGGTTCGGATACGAGCTCCGACTGTCTGATTGTGTTGGAGAACAAAGATCGTCTGTGTTTCTGGGGGACATATCGTGACAGATGCTATAAAGAAAATAGGTTAAAATGCAGAGATTAGCATGCAAACTCACGTAGGGTGTCCGCGAGTACGGAGACCGCACAGAGGGCGAGGAACAAGACCTTCATTGGCCGGAATGTGTGGGCGAGTGTTGCAAAATGGACGGTCTACTCGCCAAGCACCCTTCTGAAAAGAGACGGATAAGAGTGAAGGGGGGAGGAGGGATCAAACGGAGATCTCGGAACGAACAAAAAGAAACATTCCGACGATGGGATTCCGAGAAAAGAGACGAGTTTATGAAAAGTGAAGCGAAAGTTTTGGTTTGTGTTTTCGCCGCCGCCGAGACGTCAGTTTTGGACACCAACCCAAATGGGATATCAGGCGGAAAAGGGAGAAAAACGAAAGTGGAAGAAGCAGAAGCCGCGGTGCCACGTCATGGACCTACTCCGCCAAATACGATTACTACGGGAGGTCTATCCGGACGGAGGCGGCGTCGACTTATCCGTCGGGTGAAGGCCACTGTACAAACGTCTTCTCGGATCAGATAGGAAAGAGAGAGAGAGAGAGAGAGGAAGATGGCGGAGTTGATAACCTAGTGCGGAGGCAGACGAAGGAATGAGGGGATGATAGATGCCGATCCCGGGCATGGATACCCGCGACAAAGTGCCCAGAGGTCATCCCATTCTCATCAAGTTTTTTCCTCTTCCTGTCCGCTGCTGCTTCTCCCGCACAGGAACCGGTTCCAGGAAGAAGCTAACCGCAAATCGGCCGCCGCCGCTCCCGGATACCATCGGATTCTCGACGCATGAATCATGAATCAGGAGGGAACACTTGCCGCCGTCGCGCTTCGAATTAGCGGGTTCTTGACGTTTCAAACTTGAAACGGAAGGTGCGTCCGAATCAATGAATATAATGGGAAAACGAGCGAAAGGGTGAGGAAAAACGAGGTGAACGACGTCGAGAATCATAACGGGCCGTGAATGATCAGAAAAACCAGAGAAATTCGGAAATCTGATGCGTCATGCAAAGGATCAAGTGATATCGAAGTTGGGAAAAGGGGCGGAGACGCGAGGAATGTTGAATTGAACACGGTCATTTCAAGATGAAGTCACAGGAATGTTCAAGCAGAAACACAGAGAGATAAACAGTCATGCAGATTGTTGAGGAGTCTTCACTTTCTGAAGTTCAAGAGCTCTCGCAATCGAATGGAACTCCATCTGATTCCCTTTCGGAGACGCATTCTAACATCACTAATACGGTGTCACAATAATTATGCAATAGAAACGAGCGACGAACGAGCGAAGGAGAATCAAGCGAATTCGATCAAGTCGATCGAACAAAACGATAGATAATGTTCCAAAACCGTGACCCAATTTGCGCATGGGGCGCCTGGAGACACTGCTGTGTTGACCGTTTTTGTAACACATTAGGAGGAGGCGTCGAAAGAGAAATCGGATTGAAAGAGGAGTCAGGAGAGAAGGCGAGAAAAGATTGAATGGGCGGACACGGGAGGACGACGATTAGAATATAAATATGGACGGAGGCAGACAGTTGCGTAACTTCCGTTTCCAGAGGGACTCGCGAGGTACATAGACGCTCAGAAGTGTGCCACGTCACGAGAAGAAGTGAATGGTGAAAGGGAGAAAAGGATCTATGCAAAGTGAAATGCGGAGAAAAATGATAGGGGGTCGGTAGGGCGCGGCGACGTCCTACCGAGAGAGAAAGCAACACGGATAGCAGTTGTGTTTGAACGCACCGGCCGATAAATGGGACACCACATTTGGTAATTGGGTCATTAGGGGTGGCACAGGAAGGGGACGGACGGCCGGGTACTTGATTCCGATGATGAGAACTTGGAGCGACAAGACGGGGATACCGAATGACACTGATCGCGAGGAAAACGGAAAAGGAGACGAGGATAGGAGGCGAGCGAGAGTGGGATCTCGAGATGATAAACAGTTGTGTACTCGCGGAGACGTCTGCAGGACTGATATGCGAGAGACTGCCGGAGCGGTCCGACAGGGCAGGATCCTTGCAAAGTTAAAGAAGGAAGGAGGAGACGCAGAACTACAAAATAAATCCATTCGGCGATCTGAGCATCTTGAAAATAGCAATGCATTGATGGTAAATTTGATAGAGCGATTTTCCGAGAGTTCTGTGGCAACAGTGCAAATAACTACTTAGTTTTCAGTCTTTCTGATTCTGAAGCCCATCCGAATTTTCCGAATTTCACCGATCACTCAGATTTTGGAGCCAAAAGTACCATACTTTATTGGAAAATTCAAACATTTCGAGAATCCGCATAGCCTCGTTCACTTCCGTAAGTCATCTGGAGCGAAAGAGATTAGTTTTCGGATGGAGAAGCATCTCGTGTCTATTGTACATTTGATAAGAGACCGTGTGTTTTTCATCGTCGTCGCGGAATCGTCTCGGAATCCTCGGACGTATCCCTTTGGCGCATTCTTCATTCATCATCATCTTCTCCATCTTTTTGACCTGATTTCTCCGGAGGCAGGAATGAAAAGAGAGAAAGGGACGCGGAGACTAGGGTTACTGTCACTTTTCTATCTGATATTGTATGTGTGTGTGTGTGTGTGTGTGTATGTGGTTGCGCGCGTCTTCTTCTTCTCCTCTCTTCGGATTTCTTCTCCTGCACTTTTTCGTGTCGGTGATAAAGAGAGAGTGCGGGAGAGCGGGAGACGCAGAGCGCGGACGCGAGAAAGGAATGCGCGCGCGGTTTATGGGCGAGAACGAGGTCACTATACCCGACGACGGACTACTCCGAGTGTTTGGATTACACTTTTTTCGCGGGGTGATCACCAGGTGCAACATCAGGAAGCTCCAGACTTCCGGGGAAGGCTGCTCGAGCAGAACGAGCCGGAGCACAGAAATATTAAAAGGAATATGCACAAGTTATGATGGGAAAAGAGTCTCCGAGTATCAGAATCTTCTTTGAAGTTTTAGGCAGAATCACAGAAAACTGAAGCAAATAATGTATAAGCTGTCAATGCTCTTGCTCGGGGCGTTTCGTGTCCTGGACATTTGGACCACTTGCAATCATCCGATCATACTCAACTTTGCGCGATTATCAGTTTTGGGTTGAAGAATCCACCTTTGAAGTTTCAGACCGAGTTGATTAAGTACAGCCGTGCTCTCGCTCTTTGTCTACTTTTCAGAGAAATCAATCCACGCCGTGTTCGTGTTATCTGTGAGCACTCCAGACACTAATCAGCTCAATTTCATTTCTGAACTGAAACCAAAACTCTTTTTGTTCATCGCATTGATTAGACAACATCCACATCAACATTAATTAGCATTCAAATGAATGCACAAATTACTGTTTCGGGCGTCCACAGTTGCCAGTTCGATCGACACATCGGATGGTGGTTCTATTCCTGCTGAAAGAAATCGTCCATGATTTCAAGGCTGCATTTGGGTGAGTATTCCGTAAGAAATATCTGATTATTTCTGGATGGATGGGATAGCAATTGGCAGATGAGTCTTATCGGAGAATTCAACGAATTTGAGATAAGGAGACGGAGACAGTGCGGACGGAGCATTCCCCTTTGAAAACTAGTTTGTTTAGTTTGTACAAGACTTTTGGAACCTGGGCCCGCTGCACAGCTGACTCTCGGCATAAATTATCTGTTGGAGGTGGCAATCTGATTATTGGGGAACAATTTTTGAGAGAGCACAATTGTCATCGGGTGAGCACATGTGGCCTGCACTGTCTCACTACACTTTCAAAGTTCCGACTGATAACAACAAGCCCACAACGATTCTATTGTTTTTCCAGTCAATTAGAGAGACGCAGAGTTTGTAGTTTGTGAGCGGTGACCACTTTTCAACACCTTCATTTGCATACAATACGGAGAAGTTTCAGAAGCTTTCTCAGTTCTTTTCCGTTCACTGTCAAAGGACCATACATCCGACTACAAACTACACACCGTTTTCGTGTCCGTCCGTCTGACTTGTCCCGTTATCGTGACGAGACCCCGCCCATTGTGCACCAAAACAGTGTCTCGTTCCTTATCAATCTCTCTCTCTGTTTCCCATCGTCTCCACTCTTAATTGCTCCATTCCATTCGGTTCGTCTCCCATTCGAACCACTCTTTTTGTTTTCAGTCCGTTCCTTCTCTCAGTTCCTCCATTTCTCAGTTCAATCCCTTTTTTCAGTTCACGTCCTCTTTGCCCTGCCTCTGTTATTTCTGAATAATTCGGTTCAATGGGAAAAGACACGGAGAAAACTCCGCTCCTTTTGGGCACTCCTTCGCATCGTCGCAGTCCGAGCAGCAACAGGTACGTTCATTTCAAATTCAAAACGGCTTCCCGTTTGACTCTGTTATCAGTGCATGTGTGTACAAACAATCGATACAAAATAATGTCATTGTGGTGCTCTGCCCATCCTGGTTTTATCGAAAACGATTGAATTGTAAACGATGAGGTCGTTGCACTGTTTGAATGGGAATAAGGGGAATAAGAATATTTAGCGGTGTTCGGGACTAGCTCCCACGGTATCCTTCCCCATGATTCTCTCCTCAGCTGAATTTCTCCTTCGTCATCCTTCCCTACGGAACTGTGTTCATGCGGTCCACCTGAGTAAAATGTACGTTTCAACTTCAGTGAGCCCCCGTCATCCTTTTCATCCCTCTGATCATCGGAACAAGCTGAATCGCCTGATCTTTCTGATTTTCCACCTACGCCCTCGTGCTCTTCCCCAAAATTCCATAAGTTTAAAATCGAATTGCCCCTGTAACCGCCCACGCACTAAAACCATAACACATCGATTTGAAAAATGAGAGAATGGACATTTGTGTAAAGAAATGCGGTGAACTGGCTTTCAAAGAGTACAAGGGCAAACAGAGGGACGTCTGGCCACGGGGCACACTGCTCGGAACTCATCGGATCTCTTCTCACAAGCCGCTCGCTGTTTGCTTTTTCGTCTGCGTCGCCCCTTCTTCTCGCCCTCTCGCCCTCCGTTCTCTCATCGACGTCTTCATCATTTCGGCCGACGGTCATCAGTAAAAGGCGACAAAACAATGCATTGATCAGTGTGTCCCCCCACTCGGATAAATCATTTCACTGCGTTGCCTCTCTGCGTCTCCGCTTCCCTCGTCCTTTTCGTTGGCTTGGAAACGGTTCCGTCCGCTCAAAGTCTTCGTCTTGGAGACCGGAAGAAGGGGCGGGCTCGAGGAGAAGAGAAACATTTTCTCGTTATTTTTAATTAAACGGGCCAAGAAACCACCCATTTCATTCTGTCCGCTGTCTCGTCTACTCTCCCTCTTTTATTCGCCCCAATAATACCTGATGAAGAAAGGAAAGAACGAGCCCACTTGGGTGACGAAGCCCCTTATCGAACGGTAGGCACAGGAACAACCTATCGAATGCTCTCTTGTAGCCCTAACCCCCTAACTTTCGCTCTTTTCAGTTCCCATTCGACCGATTCTTCCATCGATGAATCCACTGTCAAACTCACCAACTATGGATTGTTCTCTTATACGCAAGGGAAAGATCTGGCCCTTCTGGTTACCGGAACTCTGGCGGCAATTGTCCACGGAGCAGGATTCCCGCTTCTTGCCATCGGTAAGCCTTCCAAATACCCATGATTCTTTATTCTCATTCCTAGACTCGCCTTTCTTTCCAAACGAATTCTCAATCCTTTTTCGCACTCTGATCTCCGACTATCGTCGTTGATTTGATTAGTTATGACATGGCAGGAGTGTGATCTTTGTTGTTCTTGGGGGAAAACAAAGTACGATTGCTTTTTACAGTTCTCGGAGGAATGACCACCGTATTCTTGAGAGCACAAAACTCGGAGTTCGTCGTTGGCGTCGGTAATATTAATCCGAACGGACTAGTGCCAATTTCTTTGTTAGTTTGACGCAAAATTGTGGAAGAAAACAGAAGAATATTCAGGGACGAGTTCAATGCGGAAGTGGTCAAGTACTGTATCTATTATCTGATTCTCGGAGTTCTCATGTTCGTCACTTCCTACATCCAAATAGCGTGTTTCGAGTCGTACGCCGAGAGATTGGTGCACAAATTGAGGCAAAACTATCTGAAGGCCATTCTGAGACAGCAGATTCAGTGGTTTGACAAACAGCAGACGGGAAATCTGACAGCCAGACTGACCGAGTGAGTGGATTCCCTGTGCGCAGTTCATATTGTTTTGCTTTTCAGTGACTTGGAAAGAGTTCGTGAGGGTCTAGGCGACAAGTTCGCACTGCTCGTCCAAATGTTCGCTGCGTTCCTGTCCGGATACGGTGTCGGTTTCTTCTACAGTTGGTCCATGACCCTTGTGATGATGGGATTCGCCCCGCTGATTGTGCTTTCTGGAGCCTGGATGAGCAAGAGCATGGCGACGAGAACGAAGGTGGAGCAGGAGACGTACGCAGTCGCCGGAGCCATTGCCGAAGAGACGTTCTCCTCGATTCGGACGGTGCACTCTCTGAACGGACACAAGCGAGAGCTCGATAGATTCCACAATGCGCTGGAGGTCGGAAGACAGACTGGAATCGTCAAGTACTGCTACATGGGAATTGGAGTCGGCTTCAGCAATCTGTGCATGTACTCCTCCTACGCTCTCGCTTTCTGGTACGGAAGCACTCTCATTATCAACGATCCGACGTTCGACAGAGGACTCATCTTCACGGTAATCCCCTTTTTGAGCTTAGTATCTCATTCCACTTCTTCCAGGTCTTTTTTGCTGTGCTCTCCGGCTCTACCTCCCTCGGAGGAGCTCTTCCTCACCTTGCCAGTTTCGGATCTGCTCGCGGAGCAGCTTCTACCGTACTCCGCGTGATCAACTCTCATCCGAAAATCGATCCGTACTCCTTGGAAGGAATTCTGGTGAACGACACGAAAGGATCCATTTCATTCCAGAACGTTCATTTCCGTTATCCATCGCGAAAGGACGTTCCCGTTCTGAAAGGCATAAGTTTGAACGTGAAGGCCGGAGAAAAGATCGCGCTCGTTGGATCCAGTGGCTGCGGAAAGTCGACGATCGTCAACCTTCTGCTACGTTTTTACGATCCGGCAAAGGGAAAAGTGACTTTGGACGGCATTGACCTGAAGGAGATCAACGTGCACAGTCTGCGCGAGCAAATCGGAATTGTGAGCCAGGAGCCGGTGTTGTTTGACGGATCGATCTACGAGAACATCAAGATGGGAAACGAGCATGCGACGCACGATCAGGTTGTGGAGGCGTGCAAGATGGCCAACGCGAACGACTTCATCAAGAGACTGCCGGACGGATACGGAACGAGAGTGGGCGAGAAGGGAGTGCAGTTGAGCGGAGGACAGAAACAGAGAATTGGTACGCATTTCTGTTTTTTGTGTAATATACGTTCAGTTCATTTCAGCCATCGCCCGTGCCCTTGTCAAGAACCCGAAGATCCTTCTGCTCGACGAAGCCACTTCTGCTCTCGATACGGAGGCGGAGAGAGAAGTGCAGGCAGCTCTGGAGCAGGCGCAAGCAGGAAGAACCACAATAATCGTGGCCCACAGACTGAGCACCATTCGGAATGTCGATCAGATCTTCGTGTTCCGGGCAGGAAACATAGTCGAGTCGGGCAGTCACGAGGAATTGATGACGAAACAGGGGATCTTTTATGAAATGACACAGGCTCAAGTGGTCAGACAGCAGCAACAGGCCGCCGGAAAAGGTAGGAATGGAGAGGAGTTTCTGAAGAAATGAAACGAACATTTCAGACATCGAAGACACGATCTCAGAGTCTGCTCATTCGCATCTGAGCAGGAAGTCGTCGACCAGAAGTGCCCTCTCGATTGCCACGTCAATCCATCAACTGGCTGAGGAAGTTGAGGTCAGTTAACAGTTGAAAAGAACTATAGATTGTTTGTGAGAAACCTCTAGTTTATTCCGATTACAGCTAGTTGATCCGTTTAACGGACAAACGAACCAAGAAATGATAAGAGCCCGAATCCTGTCGGCCCTCGGGGGTGTAAGTGAACGAATGAATGGATATTGTTGTTTTCTCTTCTCTTGGGCTTTCCCTTCTGCTCTTTTGTTTCTGACACTTTGAATGACTTAACTTCTCGGATTCACCTCAATTAATTTAAATTCCATTAATAGTTTTTTTCCAGGAATGCAAGGCTCCGCCCACTTCGATCTCAAAGATTTTCATTTTCAACGGTGACAAGATCTGGTGGTTCTTCGGCGGACTTTTCGGGGCCGTCGTCTTCGGATCCGTCACTCCGGTCTTTGCTCTCGTTTACGCCGAAATCTTCAATGTGAGTTTCCCATGACATTTCGGAAGAAAATCCACCGACTTTCAGGTCTACTCGGAGCCCGTTGAGCAGATGCAATCGGACGTCTACTTCTGGTGTGGAATGTTCGTTCTGATGGGAGTCACCTTCTTCACCGGATTCTTCATTTCTGCCAACTGTCTGGGAAGATGCGGAGAGTCCTTGACGATGAAGTTGCGATTTGAGGCATTCAAGAATCTGATGAGGCAGGACATCGCATTCTACGACGATTTGAGGCATGGAACCGGAAAGTTGTGCACTCGATTCGCGACGGATGCTCCGAATGTCCGTTACGTTTTCACCCGTCTGCCAGTCGTTCTCGCCTCCGTCGTCACGATCTTCGGAGCCCTCGGAATCGGATTCTACTACGGATGGCAGCTGGCTCTGATTCTCGTCGTCATGGTGCCACTTCTTGTGCTCGGAGGATATTTTGAGATGCAAATGAGATTCGGAAAGCAGATCAGAGACACGCAACTGTTGGAAGAGGCCGGAAAAGTCGCGTCGCAGGCCGTCGAACATATCCGAACTGTGCAGTCTCTGAATCGACAGGAGCAGTTCCACTTCACCTATTGCGAGTATCTCCGCGAACCATTCAACACGAATCTGAAGCATGCGCACACGTACGGAGCAGTTTTCGCCTTCTCACAATCTCTGATATTCTTCATGTACGCCGCCGCGTTCTACCTCGGAAGCATCTTTGTGAATCAGCAAGCGATGCAGCCGATCGACGTCTACAGAGTCTTCTTCGCCATTTCGTTCTGCGGGCAAATGATCGGAAACACAACTTCGTTCATTCCGGACGTCGTCAAGGCTCGTCTCGCCGCTTCGCTTCTCTTCTACCTCATCGAGCATCCGACTCCAATCGACTCGCTCTCTGAAAATGGAATTGTGAAGCCGATCACTGGAAACATTTCCATCCGCAACGTATATTTCAACTATCCGACGAGGAAAGATACCAAAGTTTTGCAAGGATTCACTCTCGACGTGAGGAAACATAAATCAAACTTTGAAACACAAAAATAATTGTTTCAGGTCAAGCCCGGTCAGACGGTAGCCCTCGTCGGTCATTCGGGATGTGGAAAGTCGACGATTATGGGTCTTTTGGAGAGGTTTTACAACCAAGACAAGGGAATGATCGTGAGTCCATCAGTCAGTCCCTTTCTCGTTTAGTTTTCTGTTTCAGATGGTGGACGGCGACAACATCCGCAACCTGAACATCAGTTCTCTCCGTCAGCAAGTGTGCATTGTCAGCCAGGAACCGACCCTTTTCGATTGTACGATCGGAGAGAACATCTGCTACGGAACGAATCGGAATGTCACCTACCAGGAGATTGTGGAGGCTGCCAAGATGGCAAACATTCACAATTTCATCCTCGGATTGCCAGATGTACGTTTATCGTTTCGTGCTTCTTTTCGGAATATTGTCATTTGAGGGATACGATACTCATGTCGGAGAGAAAGGAACTCAACTGTCCGGCGGTCAGAAACAAAGAATCGCCATCGCGAGAGCCCTCGTCCGATCCCCGGCCGTGCTTCTTCTGGACGAAGCCACGAGTGCATTAGACACGGAAAGTGAGAAGGTCAGTTGATCCGATCCGATTTGCCACATCATGCCACACTTTCCTCGTTCCAGATTGTGCAAGAAGCTATTGACGCCGCCAAGAAGGGCCGCACTTGCCTGGTGATCGCCCATCGTCTGAGCACCATCCAGAACAGTGACGTCATCGCCGTCGTCAGCGAAGGAAAGATCGTGAACAAGGGAACGCACGACGAGCTGATCAGAAAGTGCGAGATCTACCAGAAGCTGTGCGAGAGTCAGCGCATTGTCGAGAGCCAGTGAAACGAGTTTCAGACGTGGTCTTCTAGGGGTTTTTCGCTTTCCAAGCCTTCTTTCATATTGTATTCGTCCGATTATTATGTGATTCTTTTCGTGTGTGATTTTGACTTTGATTCCCGCTTTTTTTTGCATAAATAAAATATTCGCTTTCATAAAATCTCCCCCCGAGTTCAAATCCCTCTTTTTTTTCGGAAAAGTTCGACAAGCGCGGGTGCTCCGGGGAGGTGGCAGCTGTCCTGGTACTGCCGTCCCACCGCTATCACCAACTTATCATTTTTATGGGGTTTTCGCTCCGACGCGGTGTCTTTTTGACAAAAACGCGATTTATTACGTAAACGAAGAGTCACAACTGTCGTTTTCGTTTTCCTGGCGGTCAAATGAGAGAGAAAAGAGGAATTCGGAGCATTTTCGAGAAGAAGAACACATTTATTGAGGTCGCGAGACGTTTCCGTAATAGAAATAATTCATTTGAAACGTGGTCGTTCAGAGAAATAAGTGAGCAGGATAACGGGGAAATGCATAATAGTTATTGACAAGTATCGTTTTGAGGAGTGATGTGCGGCTCAGCCGACTTCTGAAGCAATCGGAGCAAAAACTACGTCGAAATTCTATTAAAAAAGACGGAAAACCGTTATAATACATACAAAGTTTGAAAGAGAATTACATCGGAGTGAGCAAGAACGCATGCGCTGAAAAGGAGGTAGAAGAGGGGATCATTCGGAGCAAGAAGAGGGAGAAGCGAGGCCGTGTGACGTGGCGGTCAAGGATCCGTGCTCTTGCGGAGAGTAGTGCGGGAAGACGGCGGCTCCTGCCGGCCCGATCACTTCTGAAGTCTGGGCGACGGCGGCCGGGGCAACTGGAGCCAGGATCGAACTCACTCCGAACGGCGTCATTTCAATCGGAGAACTGAACATCTGAAAAGAATTGAAATGAATTATGTTGTTCTCTTTTATTTTTACCATTGGATTTCCAAACTGCGGCGGCGGCGGCGGACTGGTCGGCCACTGGGGAAAGTGCTGAATGTCGAGGGGTCCGCCGAGGGAAGTGTCCATGTGCGGAGTGGCCGGTTGGACCATCAGAGGCCCGATCCCATTGACCCGGACCCTCTGGAGCACTTCCTCCTGCAAATGATACATTCGTTTTGACGGGCTTGTTTCCAGTTGAATGGTTCGGGTGCGCGACAAAAACAAACACGGTGAAAGGGAGAACGGGTACGGTAGAAAGGGCGGCTGGTAGTAATTAACGAATTACCGCACTGCGCATCTCTGTGTCGTCCGCCGCGCTAATTAGATCAAGACGACACTGTAATAATAATGGAGGCGGCGGCGACGGCGGCGGCAGACATGACACTACGAATTTGTTCACTGACCATGCAAAAAGTGGAGAAACGGAACGAGTTGCGTCGATTACGGTAGTTGGAATACGGTAGGATGCTGACTGGCTTTATCCATTAATGGCCGTGTCGAATCACGTAATAATCTGGGCGATGACACCGCGGATTACACGGACAAACAGCTCAGTTTACACGGTCCCTACCGATTCGCAACAGGAGACGTTCCGAATTCAAACGAACAACGAGTAAACATTTGGAGAGCCGAAGTGGGTTATTGTGATAGTTGGCTGGCACACGACAAGCAGAAAATCAAAACAGTTGGTGAAATAGTGGGCAATTTCGAGTGTGCGCAACCATATGGACGGCTCCTTTCCGTCACCTCTTCAGAATGTGAGACGAGCCACGAAAGACTGAACGGAAAGGGAAGAGAAGCACTTGAGATGAAGAAGAATATTGTTTTCAAAACGGATTGGCTTTCAATTCAGATATGATATGCGCTCCCTTCTTCACAATAGTCCCCTCTGTTTTTAGTTCGTTTCTCCTTCTCGAATCTGCGTAATCGGTGAGGCGCTTCCGCGTCAAAACCTAATTAGGTCTAGAGTAGAAACGAGTAGTAAAGCCTTGTATTTGATGTTCCGAAATGGTTTTATGGGCGACTCGTTTTCGTCCGTTTTTGATGACCGATCCTTTCCGAACCATGGCGACATCTCAAATTGGATTGACACGGAGCCATCGGCCAGCGGACAGATGTTCCCCCGAAGAGGCGCCCTCGCGAGAGAGAGAGAGCGAGAGCAGAACAAACAAATGCTCATCCGTCCCGGGTGGTCTCAAAGTCGGAGTCTCACCTAAGATGAAGAGGAAGAAGAAGAAGAAGAAGAAGAAGCGACGGCTTCCGAATTAACACTGATGGATTGCAGGAGACGCGACGACGAATCGAGTTAGAGGAGAGAGCGGGCACGGGGTGATAGGGTGCAGACGACAATCAAAACTAATTACGATGACTAGGAGCACACACTGCATTAGACCAATTGGGTTACTGTAGATGCTGCTGGAAAAGACAGGAAAGCACGCTTTATTCGGGGGCAACTCCGATCATGCCGATACATCACGAACGAATACAATCACAACGAAAAAATGAGGAGATGGGAAAGGCAGTGAGGACTGGAAAAGGAAAGAAAGAAAGAAGAGAGAGTTAGAACAGAGTGAGGGAGGGCTGTGAATCACAGTACAACATGGGCAACTGCGGACTGTTCATGGACGGGAAACGTACTCTTTCGGAGTTGAGCCGCGTCTCGTTGATCTGGATCTGGCGCTTTTTGTCCTTGCACCGCTTGTTCTGGAACCACACTCGAATCACTCGCGCATTCAGTCCAGTCATCTCGACGAGTCGCTCCTTTATCGTTGCGTCCGGCCGCGAGTTGTTCGAGTAGCAGTCTTTCAGAATCCTCAGTTGTTGCTCGTTGAGCACCGTCCGCACTCTCGTCGCCTGCTTGTCTTTCTTTTTCTTCCCGCAACTGCTCGACGAGCCGCCGGATCCGCCGCTGTGGTGACCGAAGAGAGGAGTTCGGACGCCGTCCGATTTCGGAGACCTGCAACCAAAGGAACACGTGTTTTGTGTGATAGGCGGGAGAGATGAAAGGGAGAAGACAATCTGCTGCCAGCCAGGTGCATTTGCTCTCTAGATTAGGTGAGCACACTGTTGGTAAACACCTCCGGAAATGAAAAGCGGCTGGGCAGTAAGTGTCAAGTGGCAGAGAGCCCTTTCCACCTGCACCCACTTCGTTTACCATTCAAATCAAGACAAAAAAGGCTGCTCGATAAGTGATCACTTACCCCAGAGGACTCGAAGTGTTATTGTCCAGGGAAGTCAACGTCGACCTCTCCTCGTCCCATTCGTCTTCGTCAAAGTTCGAACTCGAGTTGTTGTTGTTGTTGTTGTTGTTGTTTTGAAGTTTTCCAAACTCGGGAACCGACGCCGAAGCGTCCGGGTGTTCCGCGCAAATGCAGTCTGATCCACAGTACAAGTTGTTGTTCTTGATCTGCAAATCAAATCGAATAGGATAATACATAATAACAAGTCAAACATTGAGTAACCATGTCATCAGATCGGTCAACATGCTCACCTGGAACTCTTCTCCCGTTTGCAGTCGCTTCTCGCAGGCCACACACGAGAAGCAGCTGACGTGGAAGACCGTCTGCGGGCCCGCTCTCATCACGTAATCAGTCGTCTTGAACTCCTCCTGACATCTTGAACATCGGGTGACGAACAGACTGAAAAGGAGCGGGGATGTTTGTTTCTGATACAATTCCTCTCTTTTCACACCTTTTGCCTCCAGATGGCGGCTTTTTGGAAGGGACGGAAGAGCGGAAAAGGCGTCAGAAGGCGGTGGGTTTGAGGGTGATTACGCGAGCATTTCCCGCTTGGATGCTCCATTTCCGCGGCATCTCAGACCCCTTTCATTATCAGGCTCAGCCCAGGAAAAGAAGCGAAAAAGAACGACGGGTGTGGCCGATCCTATTAGCTTCTTTTGGATTCGTGTGTATGATTGACACCCTCTCGAAACAGTGTTAGTTCTGCGTTGCGCCACGATCTAATCTAATCCCCAATGTATCAACTGCCACGTCACTCGCACCTACAGTAATCAAAAGTTTGGCGAACTGTGCAGTCAAAGTGGCGTGTAATTGTAATTTATCCCTCTTTTATGCAAATGCATCCCGCGTGGTGCTGCCTCGTTTCCGCCGATAATAGACCCCCACCGCCTACCTTATTTCATTGTAATGTATCGTAAGTGAGTCAACACGTGCCCCCCAAAAGTCTATTGTACTCGTGAATACTCGGAAGTAAGCGGTCGCCGCGACAAGGACGACGCAGGTGCTCCGCGGCCGATCACATAATTGCGAAGGGCACCTGTCTTCCTCTTCCCCTTCTTCTTCTTCTTCTTGACCTACCTTCTGTAATCATCCCGGCAGTATGTCTGGCCATTTCTGACGAATGCGGTCTGATTTTCGTCGAGCGGACGGGCGCACTGGACACACTGCAAAACTCACATATTCATCGGATCGGTCGGTCGCATGACCTGAGGGAACAGATGGTAGTCCTTCCCCGGTGGTCACGCAAAGTCCGCACTCAAAAAATCAACAAAATGCGCGAATTTGCGCAGTAATTCGAGCCCTCTCTTCCTGGTCAACACTTCTGATTTCGCCCCCTTCTTCTTCTTCTTCTTCCTCGCCTTTGACCCTTTGGCGCCCTTTTTCGCTTTGGGAGCGAGAGAAGAGCAAAAAGTACAATGGTCCGGAATGAAAGGTATCAAACGGCTGAATAATTCACGACTACTGGAGGGAAGAGGTGGAGGCGACTTGTGAATAATATGCAAAATGGAAATCCGACATACACACACACACTCACATCAAAATGTTGAATATAAAAGAACGAACAATGCGTCAAGTCATGCGCGAAAATGTTGCCTTTTGAGGTCGGACTGGAGCTACCGAAGAGCCGATCATCCACTGGGGACTCACCTTTAGGCAGTGCGAATGGAACTCCAGATTTGGATTGACCCGCAAGAAGTACCGATCCGTAATCTCTGAAATCACTCTTTGTCCGCTCCTTTTTCGCTCCCCTTCACTTACCCAATCGACAGCCGGCACACACTGTCATCGGTTGCTGCTGACGTTCTGAAAAACGGAACCATTTAACTTTTCATAGCCAAATTACCCGTCGGGCTTTGATTCGAAGATTAGGGGGTGCCAAGTTCTGGGGCGGCTCACGCTCACTCGATAATGATACCCACGGCGAGGTGTCGGGCGGGCTCTCGGGGCGAAAAAGTGCTCTCGGAGTGAGAAGCCGCGTCACGGCCTAACAAGCCTCATAAAACGGCTCATTTGAAGGCGTTGGCAAACTGCCAAAACCGCCAAAACTACTTCTCTTCCTCTTTTTCGGGCGCTCATTTCAATTTCACACTTTTGCCACGTCATGAACAACACGTCGAATAGGAAAACGAAATGTCTTGCCTCGACAAATAAGAAAGTTACTAAAAAAAGAGGCGAAGTTTACTCGGCGTCGTGTCGGGCAATTACCGTACACCTTTCAATGCCAAATATAGAGTTGTGACCCAGAAAGAAAGAAAAGTTGCGAAAAGAAGGAAAATTTGGGGGGAAGTTGACGATATTCGAGCGATTAGGTTCTTGTTGAAATGTGCCTCCTTCGCTACCGGATATGTACATGTGATGTGCACAGAGATAAGGCGATTACAGCCGCTGCGAGGGAGCAGTCTCCAGGAGTCATCGGCCGCACAAAACAAGAAAGTCGCGAAGAAGAATGGAGGCGAACGATTAGGAAAACGGAGAATCGAAAATCGAAAAAGTTAATGGATTTTTGTTTTGTTTTACACTTTTTCAGCGGCGGCACAACTTCGAGGCCATCAGATTTAGATTGGAAGTTTTTTTTTGCGAAAAGAGAAAAGGAACCAGCACTTTGTTTGATCACGAATGAGTTATCAGAAGAGGGAGAGAGAGAGAGAGAGAGTGAGTCATAGAAAGTGAAAGTTCGGTGGAGTCGGAAGGCCAGAACTTTGCTCAATTATTCACAGACTCCGGAGGACTTATCCACTTTGGAAAGCAAGAAAAGCAGTTCAAGTTGGGAAAGGACCGAAAGAGCAGACAGAAAACGAAGAAAAAAGTTTGCAAATTCAAATCCAACTCCCCCGAATATTGTCCGGATATCCGCAGCTTACAAGGGCGCATTCCTTCCTAATCGCCCATAGTCTCTTTCAGATATTTGGACACTAAGAAGAAGAATTAGAGAAAAACTCACGTTCAACTGGAGAATCGAGGCACAGGTACTTGGCGTCGGGTTCCGCGTCCTTCCAATAGAGTCCGAGGTCGATGTCCGAGGTGCCTGGAGACGTGACAGAAGAGAATAGTTCGAAACCGTTTCGCATACAAATGTTGGCCGCCATGCTTCTTGTTGGTACTACTCACAAGACACGCACACGCACACGATAGAGCGAGAGAAGAGCTGTGTGGGGCCAAGAAAGTGGGTGGGGTCGCGGAGGAGTGCGGGCGCATTGGCGGGCCCCGCCCACTCGGAGACAGACGAAGAAAGCGCAGCCGGATGCGAACACCCAGGTGAGAGACGAGGTGTGAGGGATGCGGGTGGAGGAGTCTGGAGCCATTCGGACCGAGGCAATGATCGCATGAAACTTGAGCAGGAAGAGAGAGAAGGAGAAAGAGAAAGAGAGGGAGAGAGCCAGAAATGAACACTATTTAGGGAGTTGCAGATTACACGATCGGAAGGAAGGGGAGGCGGCTGTCGGACTATGAACTTGTCCCTTTGAAACACTTTTGAAAACATTTTAGCCAACTGATTACGAATGGAAAACTCAAAATAGCGAGGTATTTTTGCGGCGATAACACAGAGGATAACGGCCAATTTTGCACATACATTCAAAAGTTTAATGTATCTGGGAAAATGGGCAAAAGTGCACTATTCAGAGCATTTCAACAACAAAAACTGGTAACATCGAAAAAGAGAAGAGTAACTAGCACTTTGTTTGATCAGGAATGAATTATCGGAAAGGGAGTTGGCTCGCATCGAAAGTGAAAGTGATGAGTGGATTTACGTTCTACTCACTTGGAGAATGTTATGAAAAACACCGGCTGGTACTAAAGAATATGGTTATCGTTGGGAATTTTGTACTTTCTAGAAGTTTCGAGTAAGATTAAGCTGCATATTAAACTGTTAAGCATATTCATAGTAATTTCCTAGTGAAAGCTGGAGCATTGCACAACTATTCACAGTCTATGACGGTCTGATCTCTTGTTTGGAATGCTCTTTCCGAAGCGAAACCTTCCGTTTTGTTCCCCCGCTATCCGTTTAATCCCCTTATCAATCCGGCCTCAATCAATACAGTCTACGTACAGTATGCCCGCCCGCCCACTTACTTCCTCTTTCGCCTCAGTGATATCTGCGCGTGTGTTCTTCTCTCATCAGAAGTGTGTCCCGTGAAAGCGTGCCGCGCGAGGTGAAAAACGGAAGTGTAGACACGGCACGGGTGCCCATGGAGAGTGATAATTAGGCGGATCGATGCAACAGATGGACGGACAGACGACGTTGGTCATCAAATATCGAGCCAACTTGGGAAAGTAAATGTTTCCCGTCTTTATTCATGCTTTTGCTACACCTCGGACGGTTCTCACGCTGTTTCCAGTCCGCACCTATTCTCAGTTTCGAATGACCGGGGCACGAGGGGGTTAGATGGCGACCCAATGACTGGGTGTGAACTGGAACTCCGTCGCCTTTCCTTACGGCGACGGGAAATGACGGGAGAATCGAGGAACGAGTGCATAAGTTTTGAATCACACAAATAAGATAAAGTGGCGACCTCCGGCTTTGGATAATTTCAGAGAAAATCGCACTTTATCCGACACAGTTTCAGCCAGCTCAACGCGCGGCGGTCTTCCTCTTCTGGGGGAGACTCCTCAGATTAGCATTCATCCGAGGTAGTAATGAAAAGTGGATGTGGGAATGTGGAATTCGAGCAAAAGTTCCGGCCTGAATGGTATGTGAAAGGGAAGAGCCGCCGCGGCTACAGCCCCCGATCCTTTAATCCCCCTACGGCGGCCTCATCAATTTGTTCCGCACTTTTTGCTCCTTAATCTTTCTGGGTAATCTTCCAGTTATGAGTGCACAATGAAGGCGTGGAATTTCACTGATTCGCGTGTATTCGATGAGTGTGGCTGCGGATTGAAAGGGTGCGACAGAAAGAGGAAAAGATCAAGAACCTGAGAAGAAATTTTGCTTCCCGTAGTAGGGATCTCAATGAGTCTGAACCCGAAACGAACCTACAGTGACCCTTTCCAGAGTTCTTCTTCTTCCGAATCAGCAGAGCGTGATCTCATTGCGGAACAGTACATGCGAGAAGTGGAAAAGAAAACAAGTTTAGAGGGGAAACGGCGGAAGACACAGCGCAAACGGAGCATGCAAACTCGTCGATTCAGAATGCGAATCGAAGCGGAAAACGGGCGGACTCACCTGGAGGAAATCTGTGGGCGGAGGTGCTCATCAGCAGCATTTCGTCGTCGAGGAAGAAGACGTTCACATCGGACGAAAGCGGGCGTCTGCAAAACGAAGAATCACGAGTTGTATTGCGGTTTTCGGGTGAACTGAGGCACTGGTTCGATGGTGAAAACCGAGACGGCCGCCCAAAACATCTCCCATTTCATTTGGCGCTGGGAGGGAGCCGCCCGTCAGGGATGGAGATGTTGGCAGAACGTATCCGCATTACACATGTGCATGTGTGCACGCGGGGTGGGATTCACTCACCCCGAAGAGCACGAAGCGTCGCGGCGACGACGACGACGACTCCAGATTTTTTGAGCAAACATTTTCGGAAAACTCGTCATGTTCTCTCTTATTTCGCGGCTATTTCGGATGAGCGAAGGAGTGGATGATCGGGCCGCGAAAGACGAGATAATCGGGACGGAATACTATAAGATGACCCGGGGGCACGAAGATGGAAGATTCTAGTAGGCTCACAGGATTACTTTCGGGTCTCGAGGAATCTAGAAGGACTACAGGAATATAATTCAGAAGAAGCTTCCAGAAGGGAATTTCACGAGACTAACTGGAAATGATGAAAGATGAGCAAGGAAATGAATGAAATCACTCGAATTCCATTCCCCGATCGGAAAAAAAAGATCCCCTTCGTTTTATTTTCATTTTCTTACTGTTTGTCCGTGGCGCTTCCGAATGTTTCTTCTGTTTTCCGGCTCGAACCACTCTAACAGATTGCTTTCTTTACCCACCCGAATCAGTTGAATTTTATTGGGTTCGGGGGCGCACGCAGTTTAATTGAAGCAGTCGTTGCTGCTCAGAAATGCACAAGCGACACACGGACACCGATAAAAAATGGAATGAAGTCGTCGACGTCGACATGGGCGCCTTCAGCCGGATGGAGCGGTAAGCCGCAGGTAATCGGATCGATGCTCGTCCCCTTGGATTACGGGCTCTTCTGGAGCCGTCAACAACATCACGTGCGCCAAGGACAAATCGATCGGAAGGCGAGTTGGCAGGCGGCCAGCCATTTCTCGGATCAGCCGCTGATCCGCTTTCGCCACCACTCATGTTCCCAGATTATCAGCATCGCGAGCAAAAACTGAAATTTTGAAAGAACGGAATACCAGGGAGTACAATCGGATGAGCGAGATTCGCGCGATTCGGAATCGGATAAAGAGTTCAGAAGCCGCTTTCATCTGATCGCAATGGAGCGAGTTTGCAACACGAGAAGAACGGGATGACTGCTGCCAACCCTCGTGCCAGTACGGTAATCCGCTCAAGCATGTCCGGCTAATTACGATCTGTTGTACTAACATGCACACGTGCGACCTGCGAGTAATCCTCGCTCGCAAACACGAAACCAACGAACGGAGTCTCCTACCGTACTCCTGTTTGCCATTCTCATTGGTATTCTCACAGTTCTGGAGCATCATCAAAGGGAGAGCCTCCAAACACCGGCAGCAATTATATTGTGAGTCACAGAAAAGTTGGAGACCGGTACTGTAATAGTGATAGTGACGAAGAAGTGCGAGAAAGTTGTTTATTCTGTGCATGTAGACCGTCTCTCCCTCTCCATATAAACATTTACTCTCTCGGGGGCACAGATGCCGTTCGTTGCTCTTCGGAAACTAGTGATTAACACGTCAGAACGGAAGAAGACGTCGTCAGAGCCGGGGCATAAACAGTCATCGAGAAGACATAAACATTCGCGCACTCGCTCTCGCTCTCCCTAATTACATTGGATTGAAATGCGCGAAAAGGGAGGCGTCCGGTTATCATTCTCACCTAAATTAGATTATCACAACTCGACACCTCCGATTGGTGCGCATCGTCGCACACGTGTCCTCCCACCGTAATCCGTCCTTGGCTGGTGCGTATCGTGAGAAACTCCTCGAGAGTTATTGTGCGTGCGCAATCAATTAGCGAACAGGCGAGGAGGGGACAAGATCGACGAGATGTTATCTGTCACCGGAACATGAACTTTCCGGAACAAGACAAATGCGAGGTGTCCGGGACGAGCGCACGATGTAAACGGCTGCTGTAAATCACTGTGCGCAAAAACAACGCTGCTCAGCCTTCCGATCACTTTACACCGTTCAGGTGAGAAAGCACTTTACTGCTGCTGCACTTCATTGATTACAAAAGGAGGAGCAACACAGTTTTAAAAGAAACTTAATATTTTTCTCTAACATTACACCGTGCGCCGATTTTACTGGAATTTTCTACAGCGGCGGAACTACACACCCAAAATTGCTCGTCCTTACATACCGTCCATCTTTCGAGCGGAAATTTGAATTTTGATGCGGGAAAGTGAACACTGAGCGTACAAAATTATTTAAAAAATTTCAGAGCAATGACTGAACAATGCACAACAGATAATCATTTCTATTTTTCTGGGTATTATCTGATATTTATATGAAAAAACTGTTTATTAGAGTGAGCCGTCGAAAAAACATTCGAAAACATAAGAAGTTTGTTGAGGAGAGGAGCGGCGAGAAGAGGGAGAGCCGTTGGAATTGGCTTGAAAATTAGACAGCCGTTCGGCAGTCGAGAGGCCATGCCAAAACGGGGGAATTCACGGAAACCGCGGGTGCCCAAATCGCGGAAACCAAAATCGCGGATTCTTGCATACGCCATACTTGACGCGCATGTACAGTAAGCTTGCGTTTTTTGAACTGACGAACACGTCAAAAACAGCGAACAATAAGAGAAATAAATCGAAACTCGTCAAAAGTAACTTTGAAAAATATATTTGGCTAAATAAAGTTGTACTCAAAGACCCATAATTTGGTTTTGATGGAAACCCGTTAAGTTAGTAACACGTGCGCGTCAAGTATGGCGCATGCAAGAATCCGCGATTTTTGGCTTTTTTTTTCCGCGATTTTGATTTCCTCGGTTTTCGTGAATTCCCCCGTTTGGGCACGGCACGGCCTCCGGCACGAGAAATGTGCCCGCCGGATCGCGAAACGCGCATACTCAGCCGTCTCTCATCTCTAACGCATGACCGTAGAGCGCGCTTGCATTATCCATCAAAAAATTTCTTGTTCAACACGAGAAAGCTGTCGGCGGCATGGTTAACACAAAAAATAAAATCTTGAAAAATCTGAACAAACAAAGACAAAAATTAGGAATCTTTTTTTTTTATTAGCCAATCAAAAAAGTTCCTGTGTGTTGAAAAGAGTCAGTTTCACCAAAATTTGAGTATAAGACATGTCTAGGAGCGGGTACAAGAAAATTTTCACGACTGTTTCGTCACTTTTCGTTAATACACAACTATATTCAAGTATTGAACACAAAAAGATCAAATATAGATGTGATTCGAATGAATGGGATGTAACAAACCACGAAGGGAAAACTTTGCAGTCACTTTAAAAATCAGGAAAATTTTTTTTCGAAAATCTGATTCTGGCAAGTTGTAGACATTAGTGAGGCCTACGTTTTGCTTTTTTAATCAAGTAAATTGATGCAGTTTGAAGGCAGATGCATCACTTTGAAGTTTTCAGTGGAAAAAGTGGCCTTTTTTGAGGTTTTTGCAGGATAACGTGAGCAAGAAACCACTTTTCACAAATTCACACACACAAAAGTTTCTAAATTTCATGAGCTTTCTTTTGCGATTTCGAACGAGTAGATTGGATGAGTTTGAAGAGAGATATGGCGGTTTGAAGCACGCCGACTTGAGCCAAGATTACGACAGATCCGACTCTCACGGACTCACCGACGGCGGCAACATTCATTCTCACTCGACTATTGTTTAATTCGTAGTTTTACCCGTATGTGAACATTTCCTATCAAAAAATGTGAGGAACTGGTGGATTCTGACTAACTTGTCCACTAGAATACGCCGTGTTCACAACTTCGGAATTCACAGCTCGAGAATAAGAAAAACTTGCGATTATTCATTGCTCTTTGTTTCGATGAAGTGTAAACAACAGTTTACAGCTGAAATCAGTCAAAAAAAGTTTTTCCTCCTCCAACAGCACGCTTCTGAAGTCAGCAGAAAACTGTAGCTCTTTCAGAAGCCGTCTCCGTGGACACATCAGAATATTTTTTCAAGTTTTTTGTTGCTGCTTCGAAGTACTGATCATATTCAACATATTCCCGTAGAAAGCGGGAAAAATGAATCAGTACTCTTCCGAGAGCACGCACCTGAAGTCAGCATAAAACTGTCGCTCTTTCAGAAGCCGTCTCCGTGGACACTTCAGAATATTTTTTCAAGTTTTTTGTTGCTGCTTCGAAGTACTGATCATATTCAACATATTCCCGTAGAAAGCGGGAAAAATGAATCAGTACTCTTCCGAGAGCACGCATCTGAAGTCTCCGATGAAACTTCGTTGGCCACCAAAGTGTGAAATCGGTGCTCCCAATGTGGCTTACACGTTTAATTTCGTTAAATTTTTGATGATGTGGTCATGAAAAACCCTCGGGCAACGTTTTCATCACGAAATAACGGAAGATGATTTTGATTCTCACTTGTAGCACGCATAATCAACCGCAACACGAAAAATGCAAATTTCGTACTGACGCCGGCATTTTTTTCAGAATTTTTTGTTGCTCTTTGCAAGTTTTGCTCATGATAAACACGTTCATGAAGAAAAACGGAAAGATAAATCAGTATTCTTCCGGCGGCGTTCCGAGCGCCACACCAACTCTCATTTCGCTTCTCGAGCGACAGTAGGCAAGCGAGAGAGTGCGAGACAAGGAGAATGCTGCCGGCGACGCAGAGAGCACGCGTAATTGCTTGCGCTTTTCTCGTGCAGGAGGCCGTGACGGCCTCGCAGTCGATGGTGCAGACTGAAATAAAAAATGTTACGTTGGAAAGTTACGCCGATATATAGAGAAAACAAGGGAAAGCACTGAAAATTGAGCAAATAATTCAATGTTTTCAAATGCATTCATGAACATTGATGTTCTGTTAAATTGTCAAACGAAAGGCCGAACACAAGAAAAGTTGTCAAAATTGAAAACTTTACTGTTTAAAAGAACTGTTTTTATTTATTCATTTGTTTTCTGTCAAAAAAATGGAAAATGCAAAGAGATGGCGTGTCTAACCAGTAGTGCGCTCTAATAGCTATTGGACGAGCAATTTTTGAGTGTGTAGTTCCGCCGCTGTGAATTTTCCTTTTCTTCACATTTCGCAAAGCAAATAATAATACTTTTCTTGTAAAAAATATAAGTTTTGTAGTTTTACTTTCGAATTTGAAAAAAATTGGCTCAGACCTATCATATCCATCCTCACAAATGATTTCAGAAAAGGATTGGCTCAATGATAATCAATCATTGCCGGCAAGTGGAATTGAACCCCCGACACGAAAACGGCACGTCGCACACAACCACTCGCCCAGCCGGACGTCGGAAATACTACAGCGCAGAGTGTGTTGAAATGATTGGGGGTCGCCCTGCGGGACGGGAGTGCACTCGGTTTTTTCTAGCAATTCGGAGATTGTGGGCAACACTCAACAAAATTGGTTTATTTCAGAGAAGGTAATCAGTGTTTATCTTTCGATGTCTTCTTCTTGACCACAATCTCCTCCTCTTCCTCCACTTCGAACATCTGACTCTGCTCCGTCTTTTCCACGTTCATCGGTTCGGTTTCGTTTCCATGGAATGCTCCCTCCGGATGCTCCTCTTCCTCGTCTTCCAATGGTTTCTGGGTGCCATGACTAATGGTTTCGTTCTTTGTTTCGATGAGTGATTCGATGTAAGATGTGGTAACCGACGGAACGGTTGACGTATAAGACTGAAAAGATATTTAAAAAGGAACACACAAAATGAATTCATGACGCCTTTCTAGAAGGCGGGTCTCGCACGGAGCAAAGGTTTTCATGCTATCTACACGCCCTATAGGCCTGCGCCTTTAAATTTGAGGAGAATACGGTTGGCCACGATGTTTCATTCTTTGGGCAAAAAAGTTGAAATCAGACGCATTTTTAAAGAGAAAAAGCAAATTGTACATTTTTGAATTAATTTTGCTAAATTTAAAGGCCGACGAATGGATAATATCTAAATCGGAATAGCGTGGGACGCGAATACCTGACGTGGATTCTTGAGTGAAGCACGTGGCTGATAGAGTCCGATGAAGAGCAGAAGCGGAATTATGATGGCGAGCAGGAGGACGAGAGTGAGCACACAGCAGAGGCACTTCATTTCGTACAGTCGTCTCTTTCAGCGACCAGGGCCCATGCTCCTTTATATACAGAAATCGAATTATGCTTTATGGCCTATTATTGTTTTTATTATATATGTAGGCGGCTGGTGAGTGTGTCAGAAAGAATTCGAAATTCAGTGCTGGGCAACAAATGTGTTTATGAGCATAAAGTGAAGAAGGGAACATTTCTAAGTGATCTAGGTGATACACAGTAAAAAAGGCAAGTGAGTATTGTGACCAGCTCATTTTCTAAATAAAGTTTGTATTCTCTGGAGGTGTATTCTCGTCGTATACACCTTTTTTAACTGGTAATTTCAGTGGGGCGTCGAACTCATGCTCGGTTATCTGGAAGTAGCACAGTGCTGCCAACTGTTTCGAAGTGTTTATGTCCATTTGCCACAAGAACCGGGGCAGCTGCAATTGCTCATTTAAAAGATTCTCTTTCCTGCGATGACTCACCTTCACCGCCATAAACTCTCGGAGCGTCTGAAGTTGCTCCACGGTGCCACGAGATGAAACGAGCAGTCGATCTGAAAGTAGCTTGAGCGACCGTCCGAATCGGTTCGACGTACCGACGTGCTTTGTGCTCGAATCGACTCTCGCCACGACATCCGCACACTTGCTCTTCACCTGCGCCAGAATGTATTCAATATCGGTGCCCTTCGGCAACTCGACAATGAACGGCTGGCCCTCTCTCTGTACACTTTTCCTTGTGGTGATCGATTCTTTCGAGGTGGGCAACTCCTCGAATCGCATGTTCAGAAGGAGGTTGTAGTAGGTCTTAATGGACGTTTTGTGATAAGGAATCCATTCTCCCCTCAGGAAAACGGAAGAGAGTCCGATCGGAAGAAAGTTGAGAGAAGGAAGGCGTCGGAAGTGACGAGTGGAGAGGAATCGGAAGAACGTCACGGTCAGACGATCCACTTCGGTGTCGGCAAGTGGACAGACTTTGTCGTTCTCCGATGTTTTCGGGTCGAGCTGAAATCGAACAGTAGTAGAGCGATTCTAAAGGTTCCAACTCACTATTTGTATAATTGCTTGATCATAGTTTCTCGGATCCGTCTCAGCCAGCGACCCGAAATGTCTGGCTGCCAGTAGGATGGCAATTCCTACCACGTGATACCATTTTAGAGGAGGATCTGCACCAGAATCTGAAAACTTGTGGGGTTTGATAAAATATAAAAGTAATTGCTCACTTTTCAACAGACTCGTCTCATTCGCCCAAGAAAGAATGACGAAGAGGGACTTCTCGAGTCCCGGATAGACTCTCAGGTACCGAACTATTATATCCTTCGCCTCGTTCTCTCGTTCATCTTCGGTAAGCTTCCGAAGTTGGCGTAGAAACTGTTTCATCTGCTGCTCGTTATCTTTAATGAAAATGTGTCTGTGTTCTAAGATCGCTTGGAAATGCGGGTGTCGTCTTTCTTCTATAGTGTCTGACTTCATGTAGTTTTCTCTTCTCACGACTTTCAGAATATCGTAAGCTATCCATCCAAAGGATAGTTTTCTATCGGTGCCATTCGCGGCAGAATCTAAAAAATGTCATTGAAATGAAAGGCCATAGACTGAACAAGAACTGACCGTAACAAACATTGTAATAGGCGACGGCCTTTTGCATCATTTCTGCCGTCGGCCTCTTGCATACTCTTCTCAGTACGTCCGTTTGTGTATTTTCATATCTTTCGTTCTCTGGTTCCGTCCATTTCAAGTATCCTTTACTATCCGGGTTAACTTTGAATTCTTCGAAGAATTCCTCGCGGAATTTTCTGAACAGATCGGTCATCTGCTGCTCAATTATGTGCTCCGTATTGAACATGCTCATGTCGTCTTGATCGCGATCCGTGATGCGATTGCGTATTTCGCGGAAGCATCCCGAGAAGATCTCCGCCTCCGTTCGAATGCCATACTGATCCATAATCGAACGAAGACGGGCGTTATACTGTTTCATCTGCTCCGCGGCCAGAATCTCGTAACGTCTCCACAAGGGCGTGTCCATCAAAACGTCGGCGATCACCTCGAGTGGCTTTTGCACCGACGCCACGATTACATCATTAATTGACCTCAGCTCACGGCTGAGAGATCCCAGAAGACGCGAGGAGATGTACATTGGTTGGAAGGTGAAACGATTGTGACCCAACGCGAAATCAGGAACTCTTTCCGACTTCTCCGGCGGATCGTACTCTCCCGTATCTCTATTGTGCGTCCACATCGTGGTCAATGGTTCTGGGGCGACTCCAGATTTCGCATAGTCTAAGGCCATCGAACTCTTTTGTGCAAGCCTGTCGCAAACCTCCGATTCCAATCCAAATTGGTCGGCTTGGTATAAATGGTTAATGAAAATGTGCCCGACGCCGTCTTGTTCCATGTAATCGGTGAAGAACTCGTGCATCTTCGCGTCCATGTCTTCTTCGTTGAACGCCTGCTCCGGTTTCGCCGAGCAATACTTGAATGCCTCTTCATTGTGCTCAAAAAAGAGCAGCGGGTCCCAGACGACGGCGTACTCATCGCCATCCAAGTCGGAGCCCGCCATCTCATCCGGATGAGGGCGGGGTCCGTTTTGCGGAAAAACAACGACGTTCTCGAGGTGATGCAGTTCGGGAATATCGACTGCTTCGAACAGTCGTACATCTCCGGCCACTACTGCCGGGAACTTTGTAATCAAAACCTGACCTGAAAAGATTGGCATTCAAATACCCAGGAAAAGCTTCGTAATCAAACCTTTATAAATCGTTTTCGCTGTCGTCTTCGACGGAGTCTTCATATTGACGTTGTTCGTATACTGGAAGAACACCTGTCCATACTGTAACTGTCCCGTCTCGTCGGTCACTCCGAACATTGTCCGTCCTAAGTCTGGTGGTACTTGAATTTGAATTTTTTGGAGCAGTTTGACTGAAAATATTCAGATAAATGTGCTCTGAAACTGAACGTGACTAACCCATGCCCGCGTCTACTGAGGCCTTGATAAGCGAACGGAAGAACGGTTCCGTCGACATGCTCATCAGTTCATCTTGTAGGTATCGGAAGTTCACGCGACGGGGCATCTCCTCTAGTTTCGACCGACAACTCTCTTCGTTGATAATCGATTTGGTGAACGAAGCGAGTTGGAGATCCAGCAATTCTTCGACTCGGCCACAAATTCTCTTGTGGCACTCGAGGGATTGCTTCGATGAAACGTGATCGAGGATGGAGATGAACGGGCGGTTCAGAGTCAGGGGCGTCGGCGTCGACCACTTCACAATTTCAATCGGCCATTCCTTACTTTTGCCGTCGTTCGACAAGAATCTGCAAAAGTGGAAAAGGTTTTGAAAGGTTTCATCATGGAAATGCTCACTTTAATTGACTCTCCCTGAAGAGAATCTTGTAAGTCCATGGTGCCAGATCCCTGAACTCATCGTTTGTTTTGTAAACGTCTGGGATAAGTTTTCCTTTGCGGTATAAATCTTTAAAGTAAGCGGCCGAATCATCAAGACTCGGGTCGACAACGAGCATTCCTTTCATTCCTCGAAACCGATATTGGAATGCACTAGGGGCGAATCGGGTCGGAAGCTTGAGACCATTCGAAATAATTCTCGCCAGTTTGACAGATATCATTCCGATTCCATCGGTGAATATGAACGGTTTCCTCGGTGTCCTACTTCCGGCCGCTTTCGGTTGTTTGCCTCCGACCACGTCTGGAACGAGGCGGTAGTCTCCACTTCCAATCGTCAATCCAGGACACTCTATAGCCTGAGTGAAGCATTGTCCTAAACGAGCCATTGCCTTCGGAATGCTGCCCGTTTTCTCGAATTTGCCCAACTGTTTCCGGGTCATCAGAATCTTGGGTTTGTAATGAACAGGAGGGTGCTTGCCGTTCTCATACCGGTAGGCGTCTATCATTTTGCGGCTGTACCTCTCCATGAAGTACCCTCCGCCGTCTCTCATTTGCGAGTTCGAGGATCCCAAATAGCCGAAATCCGTGCGCGCAATCGTGAAACCAGCGGACAAATGGCCAAGAACAGAATCCCTGAGAAGTCTTTTCAGATTATTTCTGCGCATTGGTTGGTTATTATCGTCGCGGAAGGTGACCCGAATGATGCGTGTTCCGTTGTGATCGTACTTGGAAAGCGCTCGATTCGACATGATAATCTCAGGAATGACAGGGCACCGTCTCGTCGGAGTGAGCACAATCTTTCTGACCTTTCGGAATCCTTGGTCCCATTGTTCGTTCGTCATCTGGCTATGGATGCCAGTTTTCCGGCGTTCATTGCAGAACCGTTCGAAAACCGAAATAATTGAACCGACTCGGGGTTGCAGATCCACGTGGTTCAGAAGGTCCTCTAATGCGGCCTCGCACAACTGAAATCAAACGATTACGGAGGGCAAATGGACACTTCAGTTACCCAACGCTTCTGGTCGTCCCTGGAATGTTTCTCAATGATTGATAGGAAATGATTCCAGGCGTCACGATGCAAAAGCAATTGATCTTTCACAACAGCGCCTCTGAAATGAACATCGAATGATTGTGTGCGGCGGATGAAGACGTACCTGGAGAGGAGAGCAGTTATGAGGTAAACGTAGGTAAACATCCGTTCGTTGTTTTCATCGGCTGCCTTGTTCCTTACTTTGCCCTGTACTTCTTCCATCGACATTTTCGGCTTGGGGAACGTCCGTTCCAGAAAATCGCGAAAATTACATTCTTCTACATCAACCGGATTCCGACCATTGGTCCATCGATGATATGGAGACATATTATCTCGCTCAAGTAGAATGCAGTCGCCGGGGATAATGCCTCCGTGGGTGTCGCGTATAGAGTAATTATCAATTTTCGCCAACTCGATGGGTACATTCCACCGGAATCGGAGGCGCGAGAGAAGAGAGTAGAGTTTTGAATAGACGATTACGCCATCGAACTCGATGCACAGAATGGGATTTTCAGTGAGAACGTTCTTACTTGAAGTCATTTCTGCGCTTTTTCCCCAACGTAATTGAAGAATTCTGTGGTATACGGGTTTGGTTTCGCTCGGGCTGTTCAGAATTCCGCGCTTTAAGATGGGTGGTGTTCTCAGAACCAGGTAGACTCGTGTGCTGATCCCTCCTTTTCCGTTATCTTTTTGGTGATCCACAATTATTCTCTGGAGTGAGTCTCCCTCCACAAACAGCTTATGATGCACAATTTTTTTGGATCTTCCTCCTTTCGGGCTTCTTTTCTCGTTGAACGATTCGACCGTCCAATAGTCCACAGTAATCGGCATGGTTTTGTCGAAGTCGAACGTCGTCTTTATTTTGTGTAATCTCGGGTCTTCCCTTGCCCTCGAAAGATTGTTCAGGGGACGTCTGTTATCAAATGATACTTCCCAGTGGCTATAAAATGTTTTGTTGATAACATTGCCGAACATGATTTTGTCGGTTTTCATTTCGCCCAGGGAACATCTGAAACGAGCATTCTTTTTGAGCAGTGCAATGCAAACAAACATTAGTTCTTTATCGAAAAGTTCGGGACAGATGAGGACGAGACTGCAGCGGTCGAAGCGATGAAATCTCTTCGTTCGATCGATGAACAACTGAGCAGCAGCTAATATGTCCTTGTTCATTACATATATGGCTTCAACCTGAGAACAGGTCTCTTCGTTTTTTAACTATTAACTATCTTTTTCAAGTTCCCAACCTAAATCTGCAATTATCTTGTAATATCTTTCCAAAAATGTTCAGCATTCCTCGATTTTTTTTTTGGAAAAATTGATTTACCGTACTACCGTAACCCGGATTTGGGATTATTTCCCATTCTTTCTATGGCCCTCATTACTCGCGTCTTCCAGTGGACGTGTTACTTACTATTAGAAATATAAGAGTGAGCAAGGTATTGCGAAACAATTTTTTGCGAAATCACGGTTGAAACTCGGATATTTCAGTTTCAGACTCATGACAAACGCTTCAAAAAAAGAGCGATTACCTTGAGACCTAAGAGCGATTACCTTGAGAGTGGATTCGTAGAACGGATCCTCGAGCTCGCCGCCAACTCTCGTTCTCTCTCCGTCCGGACTGATTATAAAATTGTACTGTTGGAAAGACTGAAAAGAAACGGAAAAGAATAGAATGAGAACGGTTGGGAGGGAAACTCACTAAGGACAGAAGGTTCTCCTGCTCCCTAACTATTTGGTCCCATTCGTCGGGATCCGGGGTTCCCTGGGGAATCTCCAGTGTTACGTATGCTTCCAATGACATTGTTCGAAATAAAAGGCCTCCGAATATGAATGCAAATCACCTGCAAACTCGATAAAATGAAAAAAAAAACGCAAAAAAAAGCGGACAAAGGGGAGGAGCCAAGTGGTTCGGAAGCTTCTAGACGGGCAAGAAGGCGAGAAGCAGACGGGCAGACGGCGCTCAACTCTCGTTAGTACACGTCACACAAACAACACGCGAGAGAGGTAGAGATCTGAGGATCCGAGAGAACGAGAGCGAACGAGACGGTGTCGGATCAAATCCGAATCGAAAGATTCTCGTTGAAACCAGATGATCACGGAATGGAACAGAAAGCACGTGACCAGAGGAAATATTGAAGAAAAAGAGGACGGGAGAGGGAGAGAATGGAGAGGGAGAGAGAAAGAGAGAGAATGGAGAGGGAGAGAGTCCGCCGCGCCGTTGCGCAGGCAGCCGTGGGGGGCCGGGGGAACGGCAACAACGTTTATCGAAAAAGACACAACCAAACCAAGTCGGAATTTTATTACCAATCATTGAGAGATAGGTGCTGCTCCGAATCGAAACTTCCAGAATCAGAACTGTTTTCAGTGCGAATTGGTTCTGATTCATACCAGTTCTGATTCGGGAAGTTCCTATTCTGGGCAGCACCGATAAATAATTGTGAAATAAGACAAAAAAGGGTGTGGAAACATGTGAAGCAATCGGGAAAATGTGTAAATTAAATTATTTGTGTACGAAACGAGTGGCCGATGCCTGAAACTTTACGGGGACAAAAACAAGTAATGGCGGGAGAGTGTGTATTCTGAGGCTCTCGAAATGGGGAAAAATTACAAACTGACAGTGCACAAAAATAGTTCTATTTTGCATTTTTCTTCTTCTCAATTTTGCAAGAAGATTGATCGTCCTACAGTAATCCAAAACTCAATATGAAAACATTTGCAGCAGGATTCTACTTACTATTTGAAGATGGAAAGGATGGAGGAAAAACATGAAAATACAGAAAATGCACTGTGTAGGGTGATTATTTGTTTAGTTGATGCATTATAAACGATCGAACCCTGAGACCATGAGTCAAAAGAAATACTGATAAACGGTTATTGGCTAGTTTAATACATATCACAAGGTTATTTGCTCAGACGACCAGCGTCGCTTGCACAGGGCTCATTGCTGCCTCCAACAGATCATTCTCGGCCTCCACGACATCAGCATCCGTGGCGACGTACTCTTCCTGAGGGAAAACATCTTCCACTCCGGCGTCCACAGTATTCACCGAGTTTTCTTCCTGCAATCAGTCACTTAGAATTTGCTATTTGCAAAAGAATCAACTTACTTTCTCGGTATCTTCTTCTTTCTTCGCTTCGACGCAAACTTCATTCTCCAAATGTTGCATACGATCCGACAGCGACAAAGAAGACGTCGCCGCAGTGCTCACTTCGCTCGTACTCTCCCGAATCGCAGACAGACTCGAATGCGTTCTGCGGGTGTACACAGGAGTGACCGGGTACTTTTTCGGCGATTTCTCTTGCTTCGCCTTTTCCATCTTGTTATCTTCTGTTCCTTCGGGACTGTCTGGGAACTTTGTGACCACCGGTGATCCAATAATACCCGTTCTCTGTGAGATTTTAAAATTCGTTAATACTTGATTACGGTGGTTGGCAACGGCTTTGGCATCGAAGAAGAGGCGTCCTTCGGGATTCTGGCAGGTCTCCTGATAGCACGAGCACGGATTGTGTGGCGCTTCGGCATTGTCTATTTGGCACATGAGTCCGTCGAGTGCACATTGGCACGTCTCCGGCAAGCATTTGCCTCCCTTGCAGGAGCATCCGCACTCCTCTCGCATTCTTCTGATCGACTCCATCGAATCGGTGTTTCTCTCAACTTTGACTCCGCTCTTCTTGAGCATCTTGATCCGAGCTCTGCCCTTGAAAAGTGGCAAGCTCTTCGTCGTCTGGAACTCTTCGTATTCTTTCTCTCCGTCGCTGTCCGGAGTAATGACTTCATCTTCTTCCAATTCCTCGTCGTCGTACAAAGAAAGATCGAGATTTGGCCGTTTGCCGGAATTCAATGGGAAAAAGCGATGAGTGTGATGATCGTTGTGCATTCCGAGAGCCACTTCTCCCTCAGAAGGGACCGTCATATCTCCCTGCCTTCTGTCGAAATAAAACACTTTCAAGCCATCGTATCTGATTTTTCGGCGTCTTGCTTCTACAACGTAGTTGAATTAGAAATCTGATAGTGAGTGGAATGAATTACCGGTTTGATCCTCTCTTACTACGAATTTCGGTGTTTCCGTCTTCAATGACGACTTTCTTTGAGTTGGCGCCGAAGGCTCTGGCCGTTTCGAAGTAGACGGCTCTGATAATTCCTTTCTGGTCATAGCTACAGTGACGGTAGTTGTGGCCACGGGAGTTGATGAGACAGGCTCTCTCAAGAAAGTGGACGGAGAGACTTTGAATCGGAGCGAAGACGTGGATGCCTGTCTGATGAGTGGCGCCGTTGGCAGAGACGGCGTGGAGCACGACTTCTGCAATTTATAGAAGTTAGAAAAAAGAAAAACAGAGATCTAAACTACTGATAACCTCCGTTTGCATTGCCTGTGGTGGTGGAAATGACTGACGTGAACTCGTGAAAAAGAAAAAAGCCTTGAAAAGATCGGACCACGTACTTTTTATCATCTTCCAACCTTGCCCTTACTCACCTCGGTGTCTGCTCCGATAGTCTTTTGCTGATCCCTGCGCGTAGACAATTTCAGCGAGAGACTTCTTGCCAATGCACCGCCCTGCCCCCGTTTTATGGTTTTTGTCGAGTCTCCGAATCCTTCGTCTTCTTCATCTTCCAGAACCTTGTCGTCAATTGACATCTGCTTCTTGACGAGAGGAACCATTTCTTTTCCTGAAATTTGGCGATTTGTTATGATGTTGCGATGAGTATCAGGGAAGATGATGATGACGCAAAGATGAGCAGTGAAACGAGATGCCAGCAAGTCCGCGAGGTGTACCTAGACACGCGGGGCAAAGGGCATAAAAGTGTAATGAACACAACTTGACACAACCGGGCGACCGCCTCCTGGAGCACTTGGGGCGTCCACCGGCTATGGCCAGACAGAATGGTGCCACCTAAATTGTGTACAAACTTTTCGACCGTTGCCGACCGACCGGCCGCCCCCGGGGTGCTTCTCTTTCTCAGAACGCTCCCTGATCGTCTCCTCTCCTATTTGTTTTATTTGCGCCTCCCGGGGGACCGCCCGTGCGCAAGTCTGCGCGAGCACACCGGCCTTATAATTTTCGAAAATTCACAAACTGATTCTTGTGCTTCTGATGTCATCAGAGGGGGCCACAAACCGAACTGTATCGCCTCGTGCGACGACTTATCGGTCATGGGCTGCGTCAGTGCAAATAGGTGCGAAAATGGGTTGGAAACTTCAACTTCCGTGAATGGGAATTGAATGGGAACTTGCTACATATGTGAGCAAGAACACAAACATCACGGAGCACAACGTGCTTAAAAACTAAAAGATGTTGGCGGTGGTGTGAAAAAGAGAAAGATTAGCACACTAGAGGGAGAACAAAAATAAACAACTCAAAAGATCACTCGATTGTTCGCTCTTCCTCCTCCTCCTCCTCTTTCCTCACTCACACTTCATCACCGATTTTCCGTCGGTAACAAGTGCTCAGTACTAACAAAATCACTGAATTAGTCTCGGTAAAAGAAAACGAAGCACATGGAGTTAAAAAAAACAGAACAGAGACCAAGGGGAGGAGCGAAACGAAGGAAGCCCCAATTGCGAGTCTTTAAAGAGACGCGGACAGAAAGAGCGATCAAACTGATAAAATACAGAAAGAGAGGGAAGCGTCGTACGGATGACGATGAAACGATATCAGATGACGTCGAAAAGAGAGAATGAATCGAAGATTGATAGCGGTGAACGGGGTCTCCGCGTCTTTGGGTGGTTGCTTTGCCCGCTAAATGAATCATCTCCCGCGCACTTTCCTGAGTTTTTTGTGTTTTCGCGCGATGAAAGCGCAAAGTTGACAACAAGGAGGTGGGTGTTTCATTATTCGAAACCGGCAGACATTGATGACTAATAAAGAGATAAAAGATGAAGCTGAACTGATCCACATACGATAGCTCAGCTTCCGACTAATAAAACTCAAACAGTGGTTTGACCTTGGCTCTCCGGTCTAGGGAAAATTACTATTGGTTACAGAAATCTGTGGATATGGAGATGACTGATTAGATGATCTCTCTATCTCTTTTTTTAAACCTCCTGGAGTGGCTCTACGGGCAAATGGACTGATGGGAGAGGCAGGAAAGAAAATCAGAGTGGTGCCACGTTTTCGAAAACCATACAGTGTTCTATTTGGACAGTCTTGCAACTGTGTAGTGTCGCGGAAAAGTGAGAGATGTGCGAGAGAAGGAAACGAGATGGGGGGGCCACCAAACAGTACACGTCCATAGAGGATTCCGAGTGCCGTCTATTGTGAGGTGATTGCATCATATTGATCAGATTGGGGATGGGCATGAAGAAAAACAGCGCGAAGGATGAAGAAGAGCAGAAGAACCTTGCTGCTGGTGTAACATTTTGTCTCCACTGATGCTGATGATGCTGGAAAGAGATCGGGGCTTCCGTTGTCGAAGCAAAAAAAAAAACAAATGAACAAAAAACATATCGAGATAGAAAAAAGAAGCGGCAGCAGCATTCGGCCCCGGGAATAGACGTTTCGACCTCCTCACAAATACGTATGCAGAAGAGAGAGAGGGAGAGAGAGAGAGAGAGAGAGAGAGAGAGAGAAGCAGAATAAGCAGAAGACGTGGAAGCGGAAAGAGGAGGAGAAGAAGAAGATTGAGAGCTCTCGCATTTCAGGCCCGACCATACTACTGAGCACTGCTTTCAATGGAATGGAGAGAGCCAGCAGTCGCGGCGCCGTCGCCGTGTTTACTTTTACGTGGCCGAACCGAAGAGGAATCATTTCGCTGTTTCGACCATCTCCTTTCTCACGTACAAATAATTTTCAGTCATTTCGATCAACACAAACACACTTTGTACGTTTTTATCAGCAGATGCGAAACACAGAAAACCTTTCCGTCCAGCAATCAGTTAAGTCGACGGAGACAACCGATTATCATGAAAAATGTCCATTGGTTTCAATGTTTTCGAGTCGAAGAAAACGGGAAACCATTAGTTGAAACGATGTTAATTTACCGGTTAAACGATGGAAACTGAAAAAGACTCATCAGCGATAAGAACCGCCTGAAATAACCGCCCAAACTTTTATCTACAGACAGTTCAGTTTTCACCTGTGGAACTGATGTTGACCGATGGTTTTAAGAGGTCTCCACGTCAATACTGGATTACTGTAGCTGAGGATCGGACACGAACACGAGTTATGCGTTTATAGGAAAATCAGTGAGTATTGAAAACGAAAACAGGTGAAAACACGCAAGGAGAGACAAGCGGAAACTAATCAAAACCGCACGGAAGCTCGAGTGATTCAGCAGGAGCTATAGAAAAGGCTGTTTTCGCCTTCGGCTGTAATTGGAGCCTCATCAGAATATGATCGGAAACGAGGCTACTTAAAAAACGAGGTGAAATCATACAAAGCACTTCCTGAATCGGTCTTCGATCGTCCGAAATGGCAGCGAAACAGAGAGAAGAAGCGCATTGATAAGTGAAAAGTAATCTGTTTTTGAGGCGAACAATCAGTTATAGATGGCGGGGGAAACGGAGACGAGAAAGATAAGAGTTCGGTGGTGTTTCATATGAATTCCGACTGATTGTCAGGGATAGTCAAGTACGAATCGGTGTCGAAACAAAAAACAAAGAATGCCGGCTCTCCTGATCCGAACCACAAATAATCGCATCTTTTTCGACGGAGAAGCGGCAATAAGACTCAACGATCAGAGAGCTGCTCCGTTGCCTATCAGCTGTTCGAATGAGGCCGCCGAGGGCTTATGAATACTGCCATGTTATTGGCATTTCGACGAGTATGGCTCCATGAAACAGCAATGTTGTCGGAAAGAAGAGACATCTCCTCCAAATGCGATGGTCAGAAGATGAAAAGTCGCGTGGTGTTTCAAAGTTCACAAAGATCATGGCCACTCAAGTTCCTTTGAAAAATATGCAAACTCACGAATTGCAACATTCTTTGCGTTTGCTAAACTAACAACGGATGAACGTTTTGCTTAAGAAGACGTCACAAATATTTTTGAAAATCAGATGAAGATCAGTCGGAAACGCACCACAAGGATACCGTAATCGACGAAGAACGTCTGTTTTCGTAGTCTGACTTCGACGCAACCGAAACAGATCAAGAACCAAGACGATGCCCCGCTTACTTTATGAAAGAGAAAATGATGAAAACAGGAGTTGCAAAAGAGGACGAGAAAGAGAGATAGGAAGTGACACCGACGCCTACTTTCTTCTCTTCTTCTTTTTCTTCTTCAAAAATACAAGAAGAACAAGTGGCGGTCGGCCAGTTGTGTTCGTCGAGAGAATCTTATTTTCACAGAGACTACAGACGTCGCGACCGAGGCGGTGGCCACGCGTGGCGAGTGCGCGATTAATTTGAAACGACACTTCCGTCCTTTCCACAACACCATCCATTGCCGCAATACACAAAACAATAACCGAATTCGTTTCCCAGATAACTTACCCTTCTGCAAAGAATTCGACGATGTAAAGAAGACTTCCGTCGTTTCGGTTTCAGGTGGCACCGTCGGATCCTTGGTGGGCTCATCTGAAATTCATGAACGATGTTGTTGACCGGTCGGTGATCTAATCCGATTGTCGGTCAAAAAATGATCAAACCTCCTTCGTTCGCACTGTAGTATTCCGCGCCGGAAGTGGATCTCGTTGCCAATTTCGGAGGAGCAGGCTTATGAGAAGAGGATTCATTCTGAAAAGGCGATGGATAGAACGGAAATTGAGCAGGAAGACCGTACCGTTTCAGACGAACGACTGCTTCCCGTTCCGTAAGTGAGAGCTAAACGCTCGCTGAGCTGTTTCGTGTTTATCGTTGACTTGTTTCTTCTGAGCGGAGTCCCATCTATAGGCACTGGGTCTGGATAAGAATATGTGCGATGAGATGCAGGAACTTGAGGTGTTTACTCACTTTCTTCTCTATTTTGCATCGGCATTGTTGGCGTGCATCGTTTCTTCATCGGACTCGACGGCTGACTGTTCGATGCGGGACGACCTCTTTTCTTCACCGGAGAGATTTGCAATTTTCTGGCCGACGCTTTGCTTGGGCTCTTGAATGCCTCACAATAAGGTCCGGGACCGTTCTTCTGGGGAGTGAGAGTTGGCATAGTTGGAGACTGAAAACAAAATAAGTTGGGTTAGAGAAACGCGGTTAAGCTCATCTTACCGTGCAGGAAACATGTCGCTTTCTTTTGAGAGTAGAAGTGCTTTCTCTTGGTTCTTCTTCGTCTGGATTCAGCTTTGACAGCGAGCCGGATCGCTGAACTGTCTTTCTCGGAGCACTCGCTCTCCTCTCACTTCTCGACAAGCCAATTTCCCCGTCCTGCTTCCGTTTTCTCTCCGGAGTCTGTCTGAGAAGCATTGATCCGCTGCTCGTACGACGCATGTTCGGCGCAGTTTCTCCTGCTTGAGCCTCCCTTTTCGGCGACTCTTTCTTGGACACTTTTGGAATAAGTGACGCCTTCGCCACAGTACCTCCGGGTGTTCTTTCGACTTTTAGTCTCAACGGTGTCACTTTTCTTTCCTGCTCTAAAAGTCGGTCTGGTAGGTTCCGGGCGGGCACTGAATCAGAATTCAACGGCTGTACTCGTGTGTTGGTTCTGGTCAAGAAGGATCGGGGAACAATCTGCAACTGCCGAGTTTTTTAAAAACTACTTTTCGGTTTCCTCACATCAGTTGATTCCCCGGCTGGCGTCAAATTGGGAAATGACGGCATATTAACCATGGAAGAAGAATGCGCTAATTGAGATGAGGATAACGAAGATTCGCCTGATTCCTGAAGCTAATTAAATTTTCAAAAGCATTTCTTTTTTCCACAAACATCAATGTTGTTCATGAGTGTATTCAATCGAGCAGTTCCGTCCATTCTTTTGAGTCCTTTTGAAGGTTTAGGTTGAGTAGGTGCTGTCTAAAAAATGGAAATTCAACTGATTTATCGACTTTCTAGGGCATACGCTTGCGTCTTCACTGTTCGGCACTTGCGCTGGTGGTTTGAATGCCGAAGAACGCATCTGAAAATGAAAATAAAACTGTTTTAAGTGACGAACTTTGAAATTAGACAAAAAATATGAATTCAGAATTTAAAATGAGATCAGATCAGAGCCAGCTCGCGCAGTCGCTTAAGCGGTCACGTGGTACGGTTTGCAATTGTCCGTGATCACCGTAGTTTACACCACAAATGACGCGCAATTGCGGAGTAACAAGTATTCGATTTATTCGTGGCCTCCCTTTTTCCTATTTTTCAGTTTTCCTGTCGATTTCCAGCTTAATTGTCGTTTTATTCAGATCAATTTTTTTTTGAATCATTTATTACTTTCATAATGTATCGAATTTTGCAGAGCCACCGACAATGTCGACAGCAGTGACGATTACAGCTCCGAGCGTCAAGCATATCCTTCTGGATTCGCTTGTTGTCATGAAAATCGTGAAACACGTTGACAGCGAGCTTCATGCTGGAATCAGCGAGGTAATTTCTTTCTTCTATCGGTGCCTTTACTCTTTGTCAGGTTTCTGGAGACGCTTGCGCCGGAGTTCTCACTGGCCTCGTTTTCCTGGACGACTCCCGACTGGAAATCACCAACTGCTTCCCAACCGTTCGCAATGAGCCGGTTATCGATGACGATGCAACGGTAAGTGCAAAAACACTGATTACTTCACTAAGAACAGTCCAAAAAACAGGCTGCTCAACAGTACGAGGAACAGAAGCAGCAGGAGATGCTTGATATGCTCCGGAAGTTCCGTACTATGAACATTGACTACGAAATCGTTGGATTCTACCAGTCTCATCAATTTGGAGCTGGATTTTCACATGTAATTTTGTTATCTTAGAGACTGACGATGAAAGATGTGCTACTTGTTTAGGATCTCGTTGAGTCCATGTTCGATTATCAGGCTATGGGCCCGGAGAACGTTGTGCTCATTTATGGTAAACAGACACTTCGCTTATTTCGTCTCAAAACCTTGATTTCTCAGATCCAATCAAGACTCGCCAAGGACAACTATCCCTTCGCGCTTGGCGCCTCTCGATCGCTGCCTTAGACCTTGCTTCAAGAAACGACTGGAACCCAGAAGTGTAAAAAAAATTATTCACTTCGTGAAGTATTGACTTCTTTTCAGCGTGAAAGCCGCCGGATTGAACTACCAGAACATGTTCGAGGAGCTGCCGATCATCATCAAGTCCTCTTATTTGAACAATGTACTCATGTCCGAGCTGGCACTGACCAAATCGTATTCGTCCGACAAGTACTCGACAAGACACTTCGATCTCGGATCGAAGAAGTCGCTCGAGAAGTCTGTGCGTGCCATGATGGCCAATGTGGACGAGTTGAACAAGTCGATCCAGTCATTGACCAAGTACACGATGGACAAGCAGAGACACGACAACATGGTTTTCAGCTTGACTCAGAAGAGGGTTAGTATCTGTTTTATTTAGCCTTTCTCACGTTTTCCTCTTTTCAGCAGCAAGAGAACGAATCACGTCAAGCTCGTGGAGATCCCCTCCTTCTAATGGACGACATCAAGAGAATGAAGGCTCCTCAACTGCAGACCAGAAACGGACTACTCGACGAACTTCTCGCCAGTTTCGACACGAACGCATTGGCCGACTTCTCGAAGACGGTCACGAGCGAGAACATCACGAAGCTGTTCATCGCCGAGTCGGTCGCTGAGGAAAAGGTCGTCGGAACCAAGGACAGAACCTTGAGCTCTGTCTCTTCCACTCGTTAATTTCCTTCTTTTTTCCCCGTTCTTCTTTTTTTTAATACAGCAAAGGTTCCATACAAATAGGGGAAGCACATTTCGTTTTGGAAATGGCTCCCTTCAAAAACTCTCGTATACTAGTTTCGGTATGGAATCCGTCTTCCGTTCCTTCCTCTCTGTCTCCCCTTTCCTATCCTCGTTCGTTAGCTAAATTATCCTTTTCTGTTCCCTTGTTGATGGTGTTCTCAAAATTATAAGTTTTTTCTTTTGGTAAACATTGGAAAATGTTCGTCGACGAATTTCTCTCAAGTTGACTACACAGGTGCGGGAAGATAGTGCCTGGATCAAAAAAATGTTTTCCCAATCCGGCGGGTGGGCAAAATTTTTAAAAACCTCATTCCGAGGGTATAGCTAGTTCACGGTGGGCGGGACGTGAAAATGTTTCCACCGAAAAATGAAAGAGAGAGATGCGCCTCTCAGAATCTACATATCAATATAAAGAATTGAGACCGTACGCAATTGACCCCATAGAATCCATTTGTCAACTCAGATTTCACTTTAAACAACTAGGTCGGCTGGAGAAACGAAAAAACTCATTTTTGACGACGATTTTCAGACTTTTGAACGTTTCTAGAAAACTAGGCGTTGTGCATCTCTAAATTTTTGGTCACCGATAGTTTTTGATGTGTAGAAGACTCCTTTCGGATCATTCGGAGTGTGCGAGTTGGCAATCATCATCGCTACCTTCGTCTGCTCTCCCTCTTTGTCTCCCGCAATTCCGACAACTATTTCATCATTTGCCACCTCGTCGAAAACAAGGCGACCGGTTTTCTGGAGAGCGGAAATTCTTCTAGTGAGCACTTCTTCCAAGTGAACGATCCCGACGACTGCGGAGCGAACGTGGACCCGACGGCCTGTTCTCGTGGTTCTCTCTCCGGACACAATGTCGATGACGTAGGTGACACCTGGAGCAAACTGTTTCTTCAGATTTGCAATTTCTGCTCGCGATCCGAACACGCCGAAGTGCAAGCGGCTAATGACGAACATACCTGAGAAATCGGTCAGAAAGGCGCCAATGAATTGCGGCAACGAACGAATCCCAGTCGCTCAGCGGCAAAGAGAAAGAAAACTCATCGCTCTCAGACACAAATCGCACGAAATCGATTAGAAACTGATCGACACTGCCCGGACCGGCAAACTCCTTCTCGTATTCGGCAAGCTCTCTGCACCTCTCTTCTCTGGCTGTTCTGCTCAACAGTTTGCAGTACTCCTTCTTAAATCGAAACGCGGACATGTTGGACAGCCTTTCCCGGAGCGGCGACACTTCTGCTTCCTTCTCTTTCTGGATATGGAGACTCCATATGGAGATTTTCCTTCACAGCCTCAACAGCTTGGGAAAAGTGTTGCTCGTATGAAGAAAGCATTTCTGCGGCTTCATTCTCCGCTTTTTCCGCTCTATCATCTTCCCGAGCCTCTTGCTTCAGAGCTTGGATTTGGTTTCTAAAGAACTTCACAAGCTTCTCTCCGTCGTCGAGTAGCATCTTCAGGTGCTCATTCTCTCGCTCCAATTCCTTCCGTTCTTCCTCCCAATGCTCCTTTTCGAGTTTCAACAGCGCCCATTCATTTGTCCTATGGGTTTCTTCTTCGCTGCGCTTTTCCGTATCTATTCGCAAGTTTCTTGTGCGAATCTCGTCGACTTTTTTTGGTCTTGGCATTTCTGTAACAATTATTGTTCCTTCAACTGCCCCAACTTCACTTTTATTCCTTTAAGCTCGCTCCTCTTGCTTTTCATAGCCTTTTCATGAAGCCAACAAGTTTTCTAATTGTTATGACCACGATTCACCAACCTTTCGGAAGATTTCCTTCTTTCGATCGATCCACCCGTCGAAACACCCGTCTTGACTACCCAATAATCACCTGTAAACAATCGATTGCAATCAAGAAAACCGAACAGCTTCGAAAAAACAAACGCCGGAACGAGAAAACAGATCGGAGACAACGCTACTCTGCGCAAATTAGTGTGATTTACCACTATTCGATTGAAAACGTTTTTATTCTTTCCTGATTTATTTGTTTTAAAGTCTATTTCTCTCTAATTTTTCCAATAAATTCCGACTATTTTCTGAGCCGTCGTCAAACTTTTTCAAGATAATCTCAGACTTTTTCCAGAAATTCTTAAACTTTTCTAAGCCTTTTTCCAGAAATTCTCAGACTTTTTCCAGAAATTCTCAGACTTTTCCAAGAATTTCTTAGGTGGCGCCTGGAAAAGTTTGAAAATAGCTAAGAAAAGTTTGAAATTTTACCTGAGCAGCCGGCGTGACACATTTCAAGAGACGCCTTTTCGAAAACTCTGGAAACTCGATTGCAATCTAATTAGAAGAGTTTGCAATCTAATAAGAAAAAGCTCTATTTCGCAATCTAATAAGATTTAATTGAAGTTCCAGTAAAATCGTATTAGATTACAATATATTTTTCCTGAATTGCAATCTAATAAGAAAAAATTGCAATCTAATTAGAAAACATTGCAATCTAATTAGAAACATTTCAGTGATTGCAATCTAATTAGAAGATTTTGCAATCTAATTGAAGCAAATTCTATTTCAAACGAGTTCGTATTAGATTGCAAAGTTTTCTAATTAGATTGCGATCGAGTTCCCAGAGAAATCGATTCAAAAAATTCATTTCTGAAGCAAATGCGAAAAACTCGCGCCTAAAATGCTCAAAAAGATACATTTAAAAAAGTTATGCAATTACATCAACAGAAAACATGCGAAAACCAGTAAATTTACGTCAAAAACATCAAATTGACTGCTCAATTTCAAATTTCCCGCGGAAATTGTTCCTGGTATACGGTAGCCGCCACGCTCCTTTCTACACTTTTTGTCGCCGTGAGCCCAGCGTACAACGGTGTATGCGGTAAAGTCGGAAATGTGCAGATTGCTGCCCCTTAAGGACATTCCAGCAATCCGGACAAACTTGGCTTTCTATTTATGCAATTTCCAGCATGCATATTCACTTATACAGCCTTTTACGTCCCTATTGATCTCTGGGAACTCAATCGCAATCTAATTAGAAAACTTTGCAATCTAATACGAACTCGTTTGAAATAGAATTTACTTCAATTAGATTGCAAAATCTTCTAATTAGATTACAATCACTGCAATTTTTCTAATTAGATTGCAATGTTTTCTAATTAGATTGCAATTTTTTCTTATTAGATTGCAATTCAGGAAAAATATATTGTAATCTAATACGATTTTACTGGAACTTCAATTAAATCTAATTAGATTGCGAAATAGAGCTTTTTCTTATTAGATTGCAAACTCTTCTAATTAGATTGCAATCGAGTTTCCAGAGATGTCAACAACAATGCTCATCTCTTTTACTCGTCGACGATCTATTTATCGTTATTCAACCCCATTTCTGTTGTTCTTTTTGCTTTTGATATCGTATCTGCTCTTGCTTTGCCTTCTACAACTACAAAAAAGTTGTTTCACTTGAAAATTATTTTTTATTCACGCCAGTACAACATTATAATCAACTACAGTACACAATGTTTCCACAAGTGACGTGACGGAGAAAATAAGAAATGAACACGTGAACCTTCAAACGGTTTTGCAAAGCAAATAAGCGGCGAAGCCGGCTCCGAGCGTTAGCTCGGACCGCGCAGCGGGCTCACGCTCAAAGTCTTGCGGTAAAGATAAATTAAAGGAAAAAATGTTAAAAGTATTCATCAACAGAAAATTACTAAAATCACTCGGACGTCTTCACCAGAACAGTCCTCCCTTCTTCGCTCCGTTCACTTTGACGATCGCTTTTGGATCGAGTCTCGCAAAGATTTCCAATCCGGCGCTTCGTTCGACGGCGTCCAATGGCACGTGGAATGTGGAGATTTCGACAGTATCAGAAATGACCTGAAGACGGGAGAATCAGTTGTGAACGAAAAAGGGAAAGTGCACCTCGTTCGGCAGAATGTACGACTCCAACTCGAACTTGCCGGGCGTCACTTCAAATAGAGCGACTTTGAAGAAATGGGTCGGAACGGCGACGTTGTTGTCTCCGATCACCTCGTACTTCACGTACTTCTTTCCGCCTTCCACGTGTTTTGGAAGGTACAAGGGACCCGTCACGATGTACGTATTCAGCATTTTCTTCGCCACTCTCCTACAATCCAATTCTCACGAGAGTTCTTGTCTCACCTGCAAGCTCTTGTCTCACCTGCAATGCATTTCCAGATCGTTCCACTTGTCGCGATTGAATCCCCGGCCGACTTGCGGGCTCATGTTGCTCAGGAAGAACGTCTGGTCGACGGCCAACTGGCTTTTCCGGTGGTTTCCGGCGGCCGCCAAGTGGCCGCGATCGAATCCAGATCGGAAGTAATCCGAGTTTTGGGAGAGGAACTTTTGCGGATAAGTGGTGTCGGGTTTGAATTCGCACAGTTTCCGATCGACTCCGTCGACGCGCTTCAGTCTATCCGGCGTCAGATGCTCGCACACCTGCAACCAATGGTCCTTCGTTTCTCATTGACGGTACCCATCTCTCACCCAATGCGCCGTTTTTGTTTTGTAGTCGTAAGAGAGTACAAAGTCTTCGTAAGTGCGCACGTTTGTGAATCCCGGGTAGCCATGAGCCATTATCTGGGCCGAACGGGACGGACCCAGAGCGTCCGCATTCAGATTTGCCGGCTTGAGGGCCGTCGGTTCCGTCGTGGCCGGCAACTGAACTGGATTCTGAAGACGTTTAATGGATTCAAAATATTCAAGTTTATCGAGAAACCATAGGGACATTAGTGGCCGATTGAATGTTCCGAACGAACGGAAGATCTTCATTGGAGTACTTTCCGAGGAGGAACGAGAATCCGGCAACCGCTGCAGTTCCAGCTACTCGGCCGAACATGACTGAAAAAAAATATTGAACTGGGAAATGGGAAAAAAGACACGCAAAGTATAGCGAATGGCAAATAAACAATCAATCGATCGAACAATCGGAATTGCAGAGTTGCACAATTTATTAAGTGTCAGTGTTCAGAATTCGACATGGGACAAGAAAATAATCAATGGGAAGAGAATGAAAGTAATCGGAGAATCTAAGAGCACCCGGATGGAAACATTAACAAATGGGGAAAGAAGATTTCAAATATACAGGGATCCGTCGTACGGTTTGATGTAACCGATGGCTATCAAGACGACATCAACGATGGTCCAGACGCCGAGTCCGCCGAAACTGAACAGCTTTCCGATGGCCGACTTCCACAGTCCGAGGTAGAATCGATCGGCGCCGAAGCCTCCGAGGACCACCGAAAGGATCATCGTCTTGGTCCAGCTGTAGCCGGAGGACCAATTGCACCGCACGCGTTTGTAGAATCTCCGTTGACCCATGCAGATGACAGAGGAATGAGCCTGAAACCCGTGGGTGTCTTGAAGGGAGAGGAGGATTGTGAGCTCACCGAACACCTCGTCAACTGGAGTCTCGTACTGCTTGTGGAACAGTTCAGCGCCGGTTCGCAATCGTAATCGTCCTCGGGAAGTTGCCAGCAGAATCGACATACCGCTTCTACGTTGGTCCTGCTGACCGGATTGGGACAGCCCTTTCGCGAGGTGCAGGTAACGAGAAGACTCTCCCCAATCTGGCAGTTATTCGGGAAGACACATACGAGACCGCTCACGCCGTCACAGTTTTTGTTCTTTTGCTCTTTTCTGAAGATGCTCATTTTTTAAGCACAGCTGAAGCTGAACCCTACACTCCGCCGCCAGATCCGGTCATCGGAAGGACGACGAGGAATATTGCCGCGAAGAGAATCATCGATTTGTTGGACGCCGATCCCATTGCGATTACAGGTAAACACCAGACGCCTTCTCTATCTGTTATCTGTTTTTGAATTGAAAGTACATGATATATGAATACAGAAGAGGTATTGAGAAAGGATGTGAGCCTGAAGCGAGTGAAAAGTATGTTCAAAGATGATGAGTTCATTCAATTTTCGTGAAATCACGTGAGAAACTGAGAGATCACACTTGCAAAAAACATGAGTGAGGTGAGGGTTAATTTATGAAATATGAAGAAAAAAAGGGAACGGAACATGAGCATTCAGTTTTTTGAATGAACGATGAACGGGACGATTCGAAGCCATTTTCCTTCTGAGCGAGCGGTCGCAACTCCTTCGCATTGACAGTTTTCATGAGAAAACATGTATTGATGACAAGGCTTACATCCGAAGGGAGGATCTCTGAAAGCGAATTTTCAGAGAGCAAGACTCAGACCGGAGTGGACTCACTCTTCTTCGATTTCATCGCTCACCATATCCTCGGATCCTTTGACGAACACAAACAGACGATGATTCTTATTGTTGAGGTTCTTGTCGTGCTCCACCGAACTACGAGATTGTCTCAACTGAACGTAACATATCTTTCGTGAAATGGAAGGCTAGCTCACTAAAAACAAGTCTCTATTGACTTTACGCCGTTCGAAGTCGTTGAGTTCCGCGCAAGTCTCTCCGCAACTTTTGTGATCCGAATCCATTGCCTCGCACAGATTGATGGGAACGCCTGGAATTATACTTTTGTGAGTGTTGGCTATGTGTGATGCATGTTTAATGGATGTACTATAGTACCATAGTACATTTGCCCTATTTGAAATTTTTGCGGTCCCGCCTCCTCCACCTTTGTGATCGTCATCTAAAGGGGCGTGGTGGCGGTGAAGCACGGCTGAGTGGGTGGCTCGGTTTGGTAGTTTGGGAGGAGGGGCAGATTGAACCAAAGCTTACGATAGGAGTACACAGAGCGAGCAGGGCAAGTTCCGACGAAAACGGCTACTTCCGAAATGATGTTGCGATGGCGGGACCGGAACATTTCGCGAAATGCGTTTCGGATCTGAAAACAACACGCCTTATTGATGGGAATATAAGAAATGCTCACTTTTTCGAAAGCAATTATCGCCTTCGAGCAGATTTCGGAGTCATCCTCTTGTCTTGGAATGATCGGCGATGATGAGAATCCATGACTGAATACGAGTTCAAACACGACAGAAAAAGATACTCACTTACGAGAACATGAGAGATTGCATGAATAAATCAACGAATTGGAGAGAAGAATGGATACAAACGGCTCGTTTGAAAGAAACGGGGAACAATTCGACGGGAATTTTCTTCTCGATTCTTTCGAATTCGTCGTGGATTACGTTCAGTTTGTTTGAAAGTTTCAGTTGCTCCGTCATGTTTCTCTGAAAGCATTTAATTGTCTTTTCTGTTGAAAAGACGAGAGGAAAGAGCAGAAAAAGCAAACATATTTTCGCGGTCGAACAGTTGATATTTCTAGGCCATGTTGAGCGATTGCTAGTCCGCATCTCGAATATTAGATATATGCTAGCATATGCTCAACAAATTAAGTTGTTGAAATATTATGATACAGATGTGGCTCACTCCAGTGATCTGCTTTTAATCAATAGCTTCTCTATCACAGGTGATTCGTGGTGGGTCTATTGAGAACTCGGAGCGAGTTCTTCAATAGACGCATGATGGACCGATCACGAAAGTTTTATATTTAGTGGACCTATCGCGAGCACTTTTCAGGGTAAATAGGCCTATGATAGGCCTATCATATGCGAATTCAAGAATTTTCGCGATAGACGTATTGTAGGCAATTTTTCTTCGCGATTGATTCATGATAGGCATATCATAGGCCTACGTTCTCAATGGACCGATCGCGAAGCACCTGTGATTATTACGGTATTTACGGAAAATACCGATTCTAATGAGATGTGTACAAAAACCATGAATAAGAAGAAATAATACTTTTACTTAGACTTTTATGACATGAAAAAATAAAAGTAATTGAGTGGAGCTACTTCTTAGTCGGTTCCCACTTGCCCTTGGCCTTTTCCGCCTCCTCCCGCTTCTTCTTCACGGCCTTTGCGGTTGCCCGTTTCAATTGGAACTCTGGCTCTTTCTGAACGGCGCAGTAATTATCTATCCATTTTCTCATGTCATTGTCTTCCGTAAAGTCCCGGAACGATTCAAAGTTTCTGCCGAAGTTGTCTTTGCACTCCGTCGCGTCGAATTGCTCTTTTCTTCCGAAGGCGTAACAAGCGGGGAAGCGTTTCTTTTCCTTGCAGAACAGTCTGAAATGTGTACACAGAGGATGTGAAATAAGAGGGACAATAATGGCTTACATGAAAAGTTGTCGAATTTTTTCCTCATTGGATTTCATCATCATGAAGCCGTTTCCGATGAGCACGAACTGCAGCTTGGCTCTGGTCAACGCCACATTTAGCCGACGGGTATCTTGGACGAATCCAAGGGTGACTGAAAAAGGAGAGTGTTAAGAAGAGGACGAAGAGGCAAAGCTCACGTTTGGGATTGCTGCGCACCAGCGAGAAGATGACGACGTCGAACTCTTGACCCTGATATCTGTCCACTGTTCCGACCCTGAACGCGTCGAAGTTCTCCAGAATAGGTCGAAGATTCCGCTTCTTCCTCTTCTCATTCTCATCGGCATTTTCATCATCCGTCAAAATCTTCTGACGCCATGCAGTCAGAGCAGTCATGACGTCTTCCAACTTAAAAAACACAATGTTCACTTGAAATCAGAGAATCAGAACCTGCCCCCTGTACGGAGTGATCACGGCAACTGATTCCGGCTTGACGCCCACTTCCAGAAGACGACTGTAGTGAGCAACGACGATTTCAACTTCAGCTGAAACGAACAAATGAATTAACGGAGGCACGACTTGAAGACTGACCTCTATTTGCATATGTGAACGCTCCTTGAGCTCTCGTCTGGTCGGAGATTCCGCACTTGATGTGCTCATAAGTATCCTCTCGCTTCGTACTTGCGGTTTCAATAGAAGTGTCGATGAAAACGAGAGGGTCGAACATCATCTCAAAGTTTTTGAACACGCAGAAGAGCTTTCTGAAAGGCTGTTTCGTTCTACACTACTGTTCAATTTCTCTCGCCTTAAAGTCCTTTGTGGATTCGTCGCATGTTTCAGAGCCCGATCATAAAACATTTGGTTCGACCACTCGGCGATTTCCTGATGCATTCTGTACTGTTCCTCGAGTGTGACCCAGCTGATTCTCTCCTTATTCGGCATCAAACGATACATCACAGAGTTTTCCAATTTGAAATCGCGAGCTCTGAAATGAGGTCTGTTCAGGTGGACGCTCTGTTTGCGTTCAAACTCACGCTTTAGAGAGCACCAGAGCGGGAAGCTGTTGGGGATCTCCAGCCATGATGACGCGGTCCATCGTGTCGATTGCCGGCCACGTCATCGCTTCAGTTACTTGGGCGGCTTCGTCTGAATCGGCAAAGGCTTACTCATTATCCTAAACTGCGGAAGTTTCCGGACTGACCCAAAATGCACACCGACGGGTTGAAGTCCGGGTGGCTTATCATGGTGGTTGCGAAAGAGGCCTGAATGGTCGAGAACACCACCGAAACGTTCTTCATGATTTGCTTAAAGTAAATAATTTTTATCTGAAAAAAACTGTCGGCTGGTAGCTCACATCGGTACGCTCGACGGTCAGAGCTGTAGACTTCTGGATTGACAACTGCTCGAACTCCGCCCTTTTCATTGTCCCATTCTTTACTTCCGCTCTCATCTTTCTCTGTAAATTTGTATTTGTTGTTCGATTCATTCAATTCACTCCCTCACCAATTCTTCAGCCACTTCTTCCACTTTTTCTCCGGCTTGCAGCAACTTACTGTATAATTTATAATCCAGCAGTGCTGAAATTCGTTGGTCTGTTCCCTGTCACTGTGCTATAATTACTTACAGTTTTTATTGAATTTCCCCGTTGCGCTTCTTTTTTTACTCAAATGGGCCACCAGTCTTTTAATGTTCCTCAGCGATTCGTGCGTCGGAGTGAGCACGATCACTTGCTTCTTGTCCTGGACCAGCTTCCAGATGATGTTTCCCAGAGTGGTGGTCTTGCCGGTTCCGGGCGGTCCTTGGATGAACACGAGTTTTCGTTTCTCGTTGGTGCCCATCATCACTGCTTTCCACTGCATCTCGTTCAGATTGCATTGGTACACTTTTTCGTCCTTCATCTCCGCAATATCCTTCTTGTTTTGCAATTTGTGCTCGAGCAGATCACCCAAGAACATCAAGTGCTCGGTCGCGGATGCCGGCTTCTGAATCGTCTGCTGAAATAGTAGATTCCGCACGTGGTTGCCGCTTCTGCAAACAAACAAGAATCCGATTGTATCAGAAGTGGGCACGATTTCCACTACTCAAATTTCGGACTTTTGAGTCTGAAGTCTGGATGTCTCTTACTCGTAGTAATCGGCTGAATTCTTCGCACTTTCGGCGATGACACGGACGATGTCGCCAACTTCGAAGTAGTCATCCACTTTGTTTCGCCACGTCTTACTCAGTTTCACGATGCAGCGCTGAAAAGAGAACAAATGAAAAGAGAGTCACGTGGGTGTTCACATACAGCTTCATTATCGACTTCATCGGCAGTGAAGAACGTTCCCTGCGGACCGCCATCCACGATTTCCACGTCCTCCCACTCTTCTTCGTTTCCGTCCTTGATGACCTGTTTGACCAGTGAGATCGCGGCTGAAATACAACATTGGCTGATTGCTGTTTTCTTCGCAGTTCTCTACATCCGTCTTGCGATGAAAAGAGTTTTTCGTGCGACATATCGAGAAGCTTGAGGACGGGACGGAGGCCGCAAAACGGGTCGGTGTCGTCGAAAGAGATCAGTTGCAAGTGGCCGATAGCATTCCAAGTGACTTGTTCGCTCTGGAATCACTTTGATTCTTTCAAGCTTCCTTCAACAAGCGCTTACATTCTTGTTGTGTGCTTCTTCGATTCTCAATATTTCAGGCAATCTCTCGAAACGAGATAGTTCCCGCAAAGTGTCATTTTGCGGCTCGACCATCTCACTCGACGGCGTCGCATTTTCGACGATCAACAAGAATTCAGGTTTGGTAGGATGAATCTTCACTGTGAACACGAACACCTCGAAGCTGAAAATGAGAGAATTCGAGAAGAGAAACGGGCGGAAAATCACATTCCCGGGACGACGAGCTGTTGAGGATCGAGCATCGTTCCGAATATTTCGTGTTCGTACTGATCGGCGACAATGAGCTCAGAAGCCACGACGCACACCTTTTTGAGACAGTACTGAAACAATTCGACTATTGACGCGAAAAAGGAAGCAGAAATGTACCACAATATGTTGTTTGTTCCTGCTAACATGTCTCTGCATATATTCCAGTTCTCTCGGAAAGTCTTGAATTTTGACTATTGATCCACGCTCCAATTTCCCTCTGAAATAAAGTTGGACCCTTTTAGAACATGTGCACGAGGGAGGACTGACTCTAGTTTGAAGACGATCGTGTCTCCGAAGTCCACATCGAACAAATCGAACGTGTTCGCGTCGATGATCTTTCTGATCGTGGTGACAGTCTTCGAATCATCGCTGAGCTCTCCAAAGACTGCGAGTTTGATAGCATAGCTGGAAGGCGATTCGTCTTTTGCATCGGGCAGGAATCCCAGGAAAAAGGCGTAGTAAGCTTTCTCAGGCATCTGAAAAAACAATTCATCTGGAGGGGCGAATAGCAGATTTTAATGCTGCAAAGTATGTTCTCAAGGATAATTTCAATATTGAAAGGGTATGGCCGCGTACGGCAAAACTCCTAGGCCACATGAACAAGCAGCGAAAGGGGGATATGGAGAAGGAAAGAGAACGAATGCACGCACGGTTTTCCAAAAACATAACCGAGTAGATATTATAGGGGCACCGGACAGAAAGGGCGCGCTGTTCGCAATCTGGCCGAATTTCTAGGCCGCGAAGTAATTTTCGACTGAAAACGTGGCCTAACTTTTCAAACTCGGCCCCGAGGTCGCCAAATTTGCACTGCAAAAAGAGTTTCTCAACAAAGCGTCATTTCTGTGCGGTGCCCCTATAATATGGTCAATCGATGAGCGCAGCAGCGAGGGTGAGTGGGCGAGCAGAGAGAGAGAGAGAGAGAGAGGGAGAGAGAGAGAAAAGTATGTGTAAGTACCAGAACGGCAGAATGGAGCAAACGGGCAGTCATGGCAGACGTTTGTTTTCAGCCAAATCAAAGGAAATTTCAAAATAATCTTAAACAAGAATAAAAAAAATTCGGACACGTTTCCAGAAACTTCTCGGCACCTCACCAATTGAAGGTCTTTCACCAGGGTTTTAGAAAAAAGTGAGAGTTAGGAAGAAGAAGAAGATGGAGTTATTGGCTGTTTTTGGAAGGAGCTAGAACATTAGTGAATAGATTAGAGAGCCAATAGCTCGCTGAGCTTCACTTTAACGTTTGTCACATTTTCAATGTCGGGACAGCGAAACTAGCACTCTCATCAACCACTGGTTTACCTCAAAATGAGTCACACATCTTGACTTCACATCACCCCGGGGCTAGGCAAAAGGCCGACCCAGGCATAAAAACGTTTTTTGAGGTCTGAATTTTGTGAGCTTTTTGAACTAGGGTTGAAGTAATTTGGGACTCCATTTCATACAGATAAGTTACTCTGGAGATATGTAGTTGGAAGGCCAAAACGCCCGAACTTTTCGCAAACCGTAAGTCCCCTCAATTCTTCTCCGAGTCTTTTTTCTATATATACCCCGGATTGCCCCATTCACTCTGTCTCTCTCTGTCTCTCTCTCTCACTGTCTCTCTCTCTCTCTCTCTCTCTCTCTCTCTCTCTCTCTCTTTGTTCTCTTCCGGATGATGCAGTCTGCTCGTATTAGCCAGAGACGCCCTCATTAGATGCTCCCAAATGACTTTGGCCTCTATTTTCATCCGGGCCGCCAATCAATCGTCTCCGCCGCGCCTCTCTCCATCCGATTTCCCCTGGCTCACGAGTGCGAACGTTGCCCCTGGTAACTGGATACAGAAACATCTGTCCCTCCCTCTCTCGTGCCACTTTCTCGGCTCCTTTTCTTACTTTCAACCATGGCTCTCACTCCGTTGTTCACGCTGATCTCCGCTGTCATCATGGCCACCGTGGCCACGAGTCGAGAGGTGGGTGAACTGTCCAACCGGTTCCGCTCCCTCCGCTAATCACAAATTTTTCAGGCGGGCGCCATCGACATGCGGGCGATCCGTCCGTTCCCCCAGATGAGCGGGTCGGAGGACGACGACAGCGCCAAGATGCAGGTGGTCGTCGTGCTGCTCGTCGCCTTCTGCGTCAGTCTCGCCATCACTCTTATCATCCGATTCCTGCGCAAGTACTCGGAACGCCAACGCCTCTACTCGAGCTTCACCTAATTGCCGGACGACTCATAGCTTGTGAACACATGAAAACTGTCTACCCGTCCCGATAATCAAGTTGCTAACACCCTATCCCATTTCTCATCTTCTGAGCACTCTTTTCTGACTACGAGCAATAAAGTCATTTCACACGACATTTGAGCTCAATTTATATTATGAAATCTCAGGAAAGTATGGAGGCAGGTGGAAAGAAGAAAAAGCGAATGAAAACCCAGTGATGTTCGCTCTCTTACAGTATGTTTGGGCGACGCGCAAAACGATAAAAAAGAGAGTGACTGCTTCGAATGAATGGGAATGGGAATGGTTTGATGCTCGGTTGGAGGAGAGCGAAGAGAAGACAAACGGAGGAAAGGAAGAAGAAGATACCGACAATATATTTATGTATGTGGGCGAAAGCCACATCGATCTTGCAGCCGTAAACTGCATATGAATGATCTGTCAACAGGCATTTTGCAAAACCGAATAAGAAACAAGAGTGTTGTGCGCAAGACTGTCAAAAACAGGACGCCGTGACAAATTCCAGGAGAAGAAGTGTCCAAAAGGACAGGAAGGAAGAATGACTAAATGGAACTGGCGCCCTACTTTTATAGAAGGTTGCGATGAAAGGGAGAAGTCAAATTAATCTGTGCGGTGTGGGGGCGGCGCATCGGGCGCCAACCAGAGAGCTTGTTGGCATAGAACGGGGACACTGGGATAAAGAGGGGGAAAAGGGGAAAAAGAGAGAACAACAGGGTGATAAAATGAAAAATAATAGTTTTTGTGCTTTTCTTTCAGCTCTCTTCTTTCGCCTCCGACAGCAACAACTGCCGACCAGAGTTGAGCGGAAATGGAATTTTGAAATCCGGAAGACGGCAGACGGCAGACGGAATTCCGCTCAACACTGCTGCCGACCACTCTTCTGAACTGACTTCGCACCTGGAGAACTTCAGTGTACTACCATCGTTGTTGGAAGTCTTCGACAGCGATGTATGCGAGTGGTCTGCAGTTAACGATGGAATACATGCGGCCAAGATGATGATGAACTCCTCTAGTTCCATAAGGCTCTTTGTTGTTCCGGCTCGCAACAGTGATCGCTTCAGAAGTGTAATTATCCTTTCGTAGATGCCTCCACCCGATGGGGAATAGTCCGAAAGAGCCGTAGAGTATCGAGATGTCCGAAGCAGCTTCGACGATTCGCATAGTCACAGCTTCTGTTTTCAAACGGCCTGGCAGATTTCACGCGAATGTCGGAAAGTTTAGACAAGTCCGGTTGGCGGCATCCATGACACTGACAGTAGTCAAATCAGACGATATTTGAGCACTAATTTGTGCAGTGTCACGTCTCCTTTCAAATGTCCCGTCCCTGCGTGAACTTGTTCGTCCTTATCCAACTCTTCTCCGTTTATTTCATTCTTCTTTAGTTACTGTAGTAACAAACAGAGTTGTGGCTCCGATGGAAATCGTTCTCAGTGTACTCACTCTTTTGATACTTTCCGTCCCGATTGCATTGTGCGGCGGAAAGGTGAGCAGTTAAGACTTGTGTCATTAAATCAGCGAAATGCTTGCAGAAACGGAAAAATAATGTGGAAGTACAGCCGCCACGTGAGTTACAAACAATTTCAGAACGGAAATGTATACTTTTCAGCTATGAAACCGATGGCAGCGACGACGACGACAATCGGAAACATGAAGTCGGAGAAGAAGTCGGAGAAGAAGTCGGAAATTAAGAAAGAGACGGAAGGCAAGAAAGAGGAGGGAAAATCGGAGGAAAAGAAGGAGGAAAAGAAGGAGGAAAAGAAGGAGGAAAAGAAGGAGGAAACGAAGGAAAAGACGAAGGAGTCGAAGAAATCGAAGAAGTCGGAGAAGAAATCCGAAGAGAACAAGGTAAAATCAAAGGATGAGAAGAAGGAGAAGACAAAGACGGAAGAGAAGAAATCGGATGAAAAGAAAGAGGAAGAGAAGAAGGAGAAGACGAAGGAAAACGAAAAGGAAAAGGAGAAATCAGTGACGAAATTGGAGTCGGAGAAGGATGAAAAACCGAAAAAAGAGGAAAAGAAAGAGAAGAAGGAGGAGGAGAAAGAAGAAAAGAAAGAAGAAAAGAAAGAAGAAAAGAAAGAAGAAAAGAAAGAAGAAAAGAAAGAAGAAAAGAAAGAAGAAAAGAAAGAAGAAAAGAAAGAAGAAAAGAAAGAAGAAAAGAAAGAAGAAAAGAAAGAAGAAAAGAAAGAAGAAAAGAAAGAAGAAGTGAAACAAGAGGAGGGAAAGAAGGAAACGAAGCCGAAGAGAGAGGCTCTCGTCGAGAATCCGATTGTGACCGAACAGTCCGACATGAGATCCATGCAGGTGAGAAGCCACCTGAAACTGCTCCTTCCCTTATTTTTCCCTTTTTCAGAATGCTCCGGACGGCAAGGACAAGAAGTGAACTCCCATCCGATAAAATACTTTTTCATGTGACTCAGTTCAGTGCAAATGATTCATCCGAATCCCAGCAAAACCCACTTCCCGTTCTGTTTTCCCATCCGCTCATTTCTCAAGAGTTTTCCTTTTTCCTTTTTCGCATTCGGAATTCAACCGAACAAGCAAAAAAAGCAAAAAAACACTCTTGTTGTCTGCATCCAAACGAGTCGGTTTCGCTTTTGATTTGCACACGAAATGAGTTCACAACTGCATTTTCTCGTTCGTTTTTTTGTGTGCCAATACTTGGTTCATTGTAACTAATTTATTGGTGAAAAAGCGGGGACAGATTGAAATACTTACACGGGAAACGGCGGGCTTGGCATCGGGACGGCAAGTTTCTACACAAAAGGATCCGGACTAGAGGGTCACACACTCGTGAGATGATATCATCTATTTGCGGGCAAAAGCTGTTCTCACAGGGTTCACTAAGCGGGAGGGAAGAGGTGCCTAAGCATCGGAAAGAAACGAAACGGTGTCTAGAAGAAGCGGCGTCTAGTTCATGGCCAGTTGCACGGTGTTCTTGTCCTCTGGACAGTTGGTCGGCACCGGAAGGAATCCGTTCTTTTTCGAATGTTTCGGTTTGGCGATGCTGCTAAATGTGGAGAGAAGCTGCAAATGGATGATTGGGATGATATTGATCCGTCCGGCACACTTACCGTTCGGTTCGAAGTCTTGTTGATCGGCGCTCCACTGTGATTTTCCGATGACTGTGGACAGCACACTCCGAACGTTTGGAGGAATTCTCTGAAAAACGGAAAATGAGAGCTCCTTCTACTGACTCATTTCATCATTTTGTTTTGTGTTTACATTAGGCACCAAGTCAGAACACAAAAAGAGAAGAAACGTGAAATTCGAGAATCCCTACAGTCGTCATAATCAAAACACACCTTCTAAAAACGTGTGACATGAGCGCACACAGCACGAAATTGACGGCGCTGTTGATGAGACTGAGAAGGTCGAAGACGTTGTTCAGCTGGAGAGTGAGGAACGTCAGACGGGGGTGGGCCCCCGCGGCGAACGTCAGCACGCCCTGCGGAAGTTCGGTGATCAGGAAGATGGCGACGATTCCCGTGAGCATCGCCGTCGTCCTCTCCGCCTGCGAGTTCCCGTTGCCGATTCCGCCGCACAGACGGGAACGTCGCTCGCGAGCCTCGATGAGCATTCGGACGAGCAGAGTCATGAAAATTGTGAGCAGGAGACACGGGATCAGCTTCAGGATCAGGGCTGAAAACGTCTGGTTGTCACGGGATTCGGGGGAACACGCCTACCGGCCATCCAGTAATTGACCCGTTCCCAGTCGCAATCCCACCACAACGGCTGGCTAAGTCCGTAGAATTGGATCATGTCGTTCGGTTTCCAGTCTTCTCTGTACTTTCCCTCGAGACACAGATCGGGCACCGCTCCGACCTCTCCCTCAATTATTCTATAGCGGATGAAGATGGGTAGGCTGCCGATGCAGGCGATTCCGAAGGCGAGCACGATGGCGACGAAGGCGGCTCCGAATCCATTGCACGGCGGAATCCTCGTTTCTGATCGGCTTCCTCGGTAAAGCACCAAGAATCTGAAGGGAAAACGGAAATTGCGGGCGGGAATGTTTCATTTCCTGCTCACCTCAGAATGGCCATATTGACGGTGAGCCAGAGACTGCACGAGTGCACAAACACCGAGAATATCGCGTAGAATTTGGTGTAGATTGCCCACGGAAACGAGAAATACCACGGATGGCACAGTTCGACGTGTTTGTACATCAAGTAGGTGGCCATCAGAGAGGCGTCGCACACGGCGATGACGACCAGGAAGAGGTTGAACGGAGACTTCCGCATGGCCGGCCGGAGCAGCACGACGACGATCGAGATGTTGGCGAAGACTCCGAGCACGCAGAGGAAGACGTATACGTAGTTGTGGACGACGGTGAACGAGGCGGAGAAGGGCAGGAGCAGCTGCAAAAGCTGGAAGTTTCGGAGCTGAGAAAGGAAAGATAGGAAAGGCGAACGAGTGCGATCGCGGGAAAGTCCCTCTAGAAGCGCTTTGTGCACGATCTCCGACACGCACGTGTCATATTCTGATCGTTTTTCGGCGGGTGCAACGAGCCAATTAGCAGCGACTTCTCGTATTGATCGGAATATGTCTTTTTCTCTGAAATCCAAGCCCTTCTGTCCTCCTCGTGACGCCTTCCAAATGGTCCTTCACTCGCCCTTTCCCCACTACTGATTTTTGTTTACTCGTCGCTCCTTCTGCCCGTCCGTCTCATCTTGAGAATGTATACGACGTGTTCTGAATGTTTACACCTCTCCAATTCCCCCCATCCAGATTCTTTAACGTATATATACTTCATAAATGTGGCAGGCAAACTCGGTTTTTGCAAAGTACGAGTGCGTTTCGGCTGTCAAAGGAGAGGTTCAAATCTCCGGAGAGCACGGCGCGGCAAACATTTTCTCCCTCCGCAATTCTATTTTCGAGCGAAAAATGATGGATTCGTTGTTTTCCACTTTGGCGAATTACAGATCGGTGGCAGGGGGAAAAGGGCGTTCGAATAAAATTTGCGATGAAAGCAAACGAACACGTCGCACTTTGCTAATTGAGAAGAAGTCCATCTTTCTCTCTCTCTCTCTTTTTTCGCAGATCCGAAAGTGCTGCTCATCAGTTGAATTTCCAGAGCTCATTGCTCTAGAAATTGGCTCAACTATGTGCGTCCTGACGATGTTGCCCGCAAAAACTCAATTCTATTCCGTGTTCTTCTTCTTTTCTCCCTTTTCTGCTCCGACCGACGCCATTCATGATTCGATTGTGGGTTGAGAAGGACGACTTGTGAAAAGAAGAAGAGAAAGAAGAAGAGAAAGAAGAAGAAGAAGAAGAAGGAATTCTTCTTCGGAGCAATAAGGTGCTGCTCCGCCGGTCGATCCCATTTCCATAATAAACGAACGGCCGTGCCGTCGACAACGGAAAATATGATTCAGACGATAATTAATGTATATTCTGTGTGTGTGTGTGTGTCGGTTACACATGTTTTTCTTGGTGAGAAAGGGAAACCAGCCGAACGGCGCCGAGGAGAAATGAGCGAAAACCTAATAATTAGGTGCTAAAAATGCGCACAAATTTCGAGAAGCGTTCCAGTTCGCCGATGACGACGACGGAACGCGGAATTCGGGCGACTCACCTGCTTGAAGTAGTCGCGAGCCTCCTGCAATTCCGTCGAGTTGAGTCCCATGCAACTCATCGTGATGGATTACTGTAGGCGGATGGAGTGGGAGGACCTGGAAATGATATTAGGTTCGGATGGGAATGGGCGATGCGGAGGAGGAAGAGCGGAAGAGCCGGAAGTGATCGGCGTGACGTGGATGCGGGTATTCTGGAGCCGGAGGATTCGTGAACTTTTGCGTATGGAAAAGAAATTTATGCGAACCTCTTCTGACCTTTTTATTCACAATTTTCTCTTTTGAAAACCTTTTCAATCGGGACTAAACCGAGTTACGAACGCACCGAAAAAAAAAACAAATTTGAAGAACGCGTTTTTATGCAAATATTTGGGCAAAAGGACAAAAAAGATTTGGTCTTTTCGAAATGGATAAAAAAAAAGTGAGCGAGCAGAAAATGGCAAATTGTGAATAGGAAGTAATGGGAAAGAGAAAGGATTCTGGAAGAAAAAAGAGATATTCTTCTTCTTTCGATCCTTTCAGTGCATTCGTACAAACTCATCAGTGGGCTCATGTTCGAACGTCAACAATATCAACCCGAAAGTGCCACGGGGAGCAGCGTGCTGTGCGCGTAAACTGGGCGGAGCCGGCGGCCCACCCGAAAAAAACGGCTGAAGGCCAGGCTCCGCCCATTTGGAAGGATGATGAGGATGGTGTCAGTTGCAGAAAACCAAAAAGGGACAAATGAATTGTGGAAGCGAGAGTAGAAGGAGGAGAGAAGCCAGTGGTGACGTGGCGACGGAAGTGGCGGTTGAAACCCAATAGTGCGGCACGACGGACGGCTTAGCGACTGGATTAAGCTGGCGAGATGAGCCTGATATCGGAGCACCAGGGTGGGCGACCGAAAAAGATCGGATCGGGGCGGAAGACCATGCATGGAGGATGAGTTGGGATGGCTAATGGCGGCGGCGGGTCGAGTACAAATGAAAACACGGGGCCAGACGGAAAACACATGGACCGAACACGGGTCGGCGTGGCACGGCGCGAAGAAGCTAAAGAGACAAACAAAACAAGGAGCCGGCTCAGGCGGCGGGCTCAAAAACTTGAGAGATTTCATTAAAACGCACAATAGAGAGGTGCTTCGGACGGGCGGAGGCGACGACAAGGGGCGGCCGCATTATGTAAACTATGTGTCTAATGAGTTGGAGAGGGGAAGAAGGAGAAGAACAAGACGAAGAAGAAAAAGAAGAAGAAGAAGAAGAAGAAGAAGAAGAAGAAGAAGAAGAAGAAGAAGGAGGGAAGGAAGAGGCCGAGAAGTTATTCGAGATTCTGGAGCAGCAGATCATATGAATGAAGGGCTGCTCGCGCTAATGAGGCGGAAGGGGTCAGGAAGAGACAGGTAGCCGAGGAGTGGAAAAGAACAAATGATTACGTGGACGGGGAGTATCGACAAACATGCCACAAATGTGTCACTGCCAAAATACCCTCTCCTCGTTCCCCTTTTTCTTCTTCTTTTTCTTCTTTTTCTTCTCCTCCTTTCTTCCTTTCAATGCAGCCACTAATGAATGATTATTGTTCGAGTTATAGTAGGCTTCTGGGTTATACGCAGAACGAAAAATGTGTGATCGGAATGGATTCGTTACTTTCTCGGGATAACCACTTCCTGGATCGGCCATTTCGGACGGTTTAGTTATTCTATGGGAAATCTGGAAAACATTTTGCTCTGGAGCTCAAGAGGGAAGTTCCCGTCTTCGCGAAACGGAATGAACGCACTCTCATTGCCCATTCCTTATTATGACCGAATCCTCTTGTTTTCGACCCCCTTCAACTCCCGGGCGACGTTCCCTTTTCACTAATTGCGATCTCACTCTGTCCGCACTCTGATTGGTACGATTCGCTGCACGGAGGCGGACGAAAAGCGCCGACATCTGAGCATTCCAGCTCTCAAAACTACCGTAGTCCGGTTGAAAAGCGACAAGTTTTCGAGTGAGAAAGAGTGAGTTTCGACGTGCGACTGTGACGTTGAGAGCACGAAGCATCGCGCGAGACGAGTTGATCATTAGCGGGGACAGACGGGATACTGTACTTGCGATGGACTCGCATGTTTTTCCATTCCGATTCTGTTTTTTCCGCCCTATCGTCTGAATAGCGAACTTTGAGAATTTCGTAGAAATGTCAGGTTTCGGTGGTGGAATGGAAAGAATGGCACAGAGACGAGCACTTTCGGTTGACAAACGGGATTGGAATGGACGAGTGAGAAAGATCAAGAAGGCCTTCGCATTCACGTCAGAAGTTCCCACAGAACGGCCTCTGGCGATGCTCCGAGCCGCTTTGTGCCCATCTTTCAAATTCAAAAAGTTTGAAGACAGGGGCGGAAGGTACGGATTGAGCAGTTGCGCTTCCCGATAATCTCCTGCTGGATTGCCGAAAACTATTAAACGGATTATGCGACGAAACGGGCGCTTTTAGGGGAGGGACACGATCCGAAAAAACAAGCGAAGAGAGCACTCTGCCACTTTTGCAAGCACAGAACCATCCAGAAATGTTTCATTTCACCTAGGGCTGGGCATAAAGCCACACTTTGCAAACTTCTTACATTAGACTTGAACTGAAGCAGTTTCAGACTGATCGGATTATCTGGTCAAGAGTTGTGTGGATGGGCCATTCCGGCATCTCATCCAGATTTCGCCATAGTTCTGAAACTTGGTACCAGGATACTTCAACCCAAGTCTGAGAAGCGTGCAAAGTGTTGGTCCGATCGGAACATGTGTTACAAGTGGGATAAAAGTCCAAGCCTGCGCCGGCCTTTTGCCCAGCCCTGATTCAATTTTCCACTATCCTTTTTGCCACGTCACCCGGTCCTTTCTCACGCCCGTTTTACCATTGTTTTGGCTCCTGGAAGACGCACACTATTTCTGATTTGAATAATGGAAAACGGAAGGTTCAAAATACAGTAATGAATTATTCAAGGAACGAGGGAGAAAGAGAGCGGAAGAGAAATCGTGGGAACTCCAAAAGTGGGGGAAGAGACAAAACGGTACCGAAAAGAAAAGAGCACCAAAGAGCAGGATTGCTGCAAAACGTTTTCGTTTTCGAGGGTCATTCCTGAAGAAGAAACATACTCTCACGTGTCCTCGCTTTAATTCTGAACCTCGGAAATGCGAAAAGCTCATCCGGGGGTGATCTGTTCTATTTCGAGCCGAGCAAACTTCGAGGAGCTCATTAGTCTAAAAGCCCGACACCATCTTTTGAATTTGAAATGTTCGACTTTGTCTCGTGAGTGAGCTTTTTTGCCTTTTTCCTTTCGAACCCATCGTCGTTCCATTTTCACTGATTGGCAAATGTAATAAAAGGGCAGTGGAACGAGCAAAAAGTAGTCATAAAAGGAGAAGGAAATGGTAGCGAAAAACGGGGGTAAAGTAGGAAAATGGGAAAGGGAAATGAGGGTAAGAGAATAGGAGAATGGGAAGAAGAAGAAGGAGAAGAAGAAGAAGAAGGAGAAGAAGAAGAAGAAGAAGAAGTCGAGGGATCCGAGAAAGATATCAGGCAAGTTCGCACGGTGGGTGGAAATTAACGAGAAAGTGTTTGTTCGCGGAATGCCTCGGCGACAGGTGAATTCGCTCGTCAAGGATCAAGAATTCAGCTGTCAGACACGAAATTGAACAAATATTCATTCGAAATGTGAGAAAATGTTGCCGTCCGGCGGAAACTAATTAAAAAGTGAAAACCGTTCGGAAATGAGTCAGAATCAATGAGATCTGAATGAGGCTACGCGGAGCCCGAACTGTTCCGGATCAGAACCTACCTGCAGGAGGTTCTTGCTACAAAAAGTCATGTCGTGACGGGTTCTGACAGTTCTGATTCGAACAGTTCTGGCTCGGCGTAGCCTTATCTGAATACGGTCGGGACATTACAAATTAAATGCGCTCTGTCGAAAGTGTGATCTCCGCCCCGGCGCCAAAACAGAAAAAATAAAAACAAATTCGTTTTGAGTTTTTAGAATGCGGAATGCGGAATGCGGAATTAATATTAATGGGTTCAAATGAAAAATCTGTGTGTTCTGGTGCGTAAGAGGGTACAGTTTGTGATACGGAGCGATAAAAACAGGCCCGAGCACGTTCACAAATGTTCGCCGTGACGGGCAAGCATAAATATTTGATTGGGGCCCTCTTCTGGATTCGAACACACACACGCACTTTCTCTGTTATGCCGGATGTTTTCGGCAGTGCTCTGCGGCGAATAATAATTGAAAACACAACAAGAAAGTTGACGGATGAAAAGAGTTGGGTCTTCAAAGTCTTTCCGAAGGTGGATAACTTCCGAATAGTCAGACATCGACAGGAAATTCCCGTTTTTGGGTTTTGAAACTCGAGCTTCACTTCTTCCGTTTTGCCCCCTCTCACGAGGTGCTCATGAATCACGGCTTCTTCCGAATTCAGATGCGTGGGTCCGTCCTCCTACAACGACGACGCCTTCTCGACATGCGAAAGCTGACACTCTTTTCTCTGATATTCTTATCATATTTCGAGGGTTCAGAAAGCTGTGCAAAAAGTTTCGCGTCGAAAGTGAAAGTGACACGCATCTCTCGTTTCGCGAGCCACCTCTCTCTCTCTCTCTGAATAATTCATTCTCCGATGTGATCCTTGTCGTGCCCACCACTACAAATCGCCGCTTCCGTGGCGCAATAGGCAGCGCGTTCGGCTGTTAACCGAAAGGTTGGTGGTTCGAGCCCACCCGGGAGCGAAACGGTTTTTGAATTTTTGGAAGCGAAAATGAGGGCCAGGATGGGAAATGAGTTTTCAATGGTGAGCAAATATGGGTGTTTTCATAGACTGCGCCGGCCCGTCAAAGCCTCAATAATACGTTTCCTGAGGGCCCGCCCTTGTGTCGTTCTTCAAATTGGCACCAAAGTGTGTGAACATAAAAAGATATGACTTCCGGAAGTTCTCGTTTAGAATTCTTTGGTCCGCCGGAAGAAAACAAAAAAGGTTTGCAAGGAAAAGTGCCCGAACAATAGTGTTCGAAAGAAAAAAGAATGGCAAATTCGAAAAAAGAAGAGGAAAGATCAGCAATATGGAAGTTGGAATGAGGAGCCAGAGACCGCCCACGCACTTTGCTAGAACGGACTCAATTATAATCAGAGGAATACAATAGATGTGGCCGCCCGCGGCACACGCATACACACACGTAACCCGTTTGTTTCGCATCAATGCTCCCTCAGAATGCACTATTTGATTGGGTTCCAGTCCCCCACGTAGAGACGCAGTAGGAAGATGGGGCCAAACGCTTTATGGACCACTAAAACATTTGTGTCCTTCCCGAAGCACAAGTGTGCGATTCTGAACGGCCTCGCCCCGGGAGGCGCCAAAGGAATTATCCAAATGAGAAGAGACGAGAAGAACTTTGCAAGGACGAGGAGAAGAGTTCAAATGAGAGGTCTCAAACGACGGGCAAGTGTCAGTGTTCTCACTTTCAAACAAAACATTCTCGGAGAGCACACAACTGTTTCAGAGAGACTGCTCCGGCTGTTCAAGGGAGGTATTTGATGGACGGCCAACACGGAAAAGAAAGAAAAAAAGAAAGAAAGAAAGAGAGAGAGAGAGAGAGAGAGAGAGAGAGAGAAGGGAAACGGAGAAGTTTTTGGGTGGAAAGGACACCCGGGAAAGGATTGTGGAATGAGTGATGAGGTGGAATTAGGAAGCATTTGCCCGAAGAGCTCTGCAGAGAACATATGACGTGGCACCGAACGAGCAATATATGAATGTTACATTGCGAAGAAAAGAGCAGGAAAGGGACGGAATAGGCAAGTGAGCGGATGCATAATCAACCGGAAATTGATGATTTCATGTTCTAACTCGTCTTTGCACCCTCCCCCCGCCAGTCTGATTATTTCTGCACAAGAGTGCTCTTCGCATTGAGATAACAGTGGAAAGAGCGCTTCGCGGGCCATCTTCCTAATCCACTTTTGAGCTCTCGCAGAAGAATTCGAAACAGCGCCGTTTCGATCGATGTTCTCACGGCTTTCACCCTGAAATCAAACTTTCAGCGCTCAACCAGTGATAGTCGCAGGTGTTCCCTTCGTATTCTCCGTTGCCACCACAAGCGCTGATGTGTAGGCACTCCCCGGCAGCAGAAGTTTATGCGTTTTGTGGCCTCATCGGTTGCGCGCGCGGCCATCGCTCTGCTGGTCGCGAGTTCAATTCCTCGCCTCTTTGTGCAACATGGGAGGCCGTCGCATTGCCGGTTTCCCTCATGACAGAGAAGGCATACAACCCAAAGTCACCACATAGTTCATATCACCGTCTTCCGGGTGATGTGTCTCCGCCAGGTGTCTCATTTTTTCAGTTTTTATTGCTTTTAAGACGCTTATGATGTCAAAAGAGTAATGCGATCACAACTATTGGTTGTGTTATCAATCAGTGATAAAATGATACGAAAACTGTAGCAGTCGAACAAAAAACAAGTAAATTCATTATTTGTCGGAGAACGGAAAAGGGAAAACAGTCAAATCAACGAAACGTGGATAACAAGAAAGAATTCAACAACAAAGGGATAAAAGTCAATTGGAATTGAGAGAAATGAGACAAAAGTACCCGGAGCAGTAAAAGAAGAGTGAAAAAAGTCTAGAATTCAGTTCGTCTGCATCGCCTCCGGCTCTCCTTCTTCTTCGTCCGCTTTCGGCCCTTCGGACGGTCTCAGTTCATCCAAATCCCTAGTTTTGATTGTCGGCTCCCCGAAGACGTCGTCCTCTTCTACCAAATCTTCCGATGTCCTCACATTCATTTTCGTTGTCGCCACAATCAAATCGATGGATCCGATGAGCGAACAGACCATTTTCTGTACTTCCAGCTCTCGGGACAGGGTCACTTTCAGCCTGTGCACCTGCTTCAACACCTCTCTGTCCAATTTTTCCGAAGAGTAAACATCTGAAACAACTTATTATTTCTCTTTTTCCGTCTGTTTCAGATACCGAAAAATGCAGCTACGACTTCTTTGAGAATAGAGAAATATTGCGTCTTGTAGAGATTATGATTGAGGAATCTGAAAGTTGCTTTGATTTCCAGTTCCGCTTTTGTTCTGTGTCTTACTTGAGAACGTTCTTCTGAACTATCGAATCCTGGCCGGCGAGAGCTCTGTGAATGGCTCCTCGCATCACGATAATTCGGAGATAACTGACGACGGCACTGTCGAAATTAGACCGACACTTTCCGGAAAAGATATTCCTGATGACTGCCGCATGCTTGAAGTTTGCAAGCATTCCGTCGATCTTCGGGATCTTGAGCTTGTCCGCATTCTTCGCCGCCACCTCCACCGTCTGCGGGTCTCTTCCTTTCTCGGCCAAATTGACTGGAGGCGCCGCCGTCCGAATCACCGATCGTTTGTCCTCGATGATAGCGGACGCGGTCACTTCCTTCTTAATCTCCGCCCGTCTGTGCAAAGCGAGCAGATTTCCCATTCCGATGGCCATCGTCTGATCGTCCCGAGAGACGTCGATGTCAAGCACCGGGGCGGGCATTGCCCACGAGTGAATGAGCGAGTAGTTGGTCGTTCGGAACGCGTTGACTCTCCGATCGATTCCGGCCGTCAGGAGACACGTCGAGTTAGTTGCCAGTCTGAGGGACGTCACCGTTTTGTAGTGGGCCTGTAGAGCAGTCAATTGGCGTCCGGTCGTCGTGTCCCAGATTCTGAAGAAACAGTAAGATATTTGAGATTCATATTAATATTTACTTGACAATCGGACCGGCGGCCGTCGCAATCAGTTGTTCTCCTGGCAGGAAGAGCAGCGACTCAACAGGATGCTCACAGTCCAACTCTATCGTCTTCTCCTTGTTCCTGATATCCCACAACCGCACTTTGTGATCGTATCCACCAGTCAGCACCATGTTCTCGTTGATCGAAGAGACTGCTCCGCATCGGATCGCATCCTCGTGTGCCTGAATGTCAACCAACGGGACTGCGTTCACTCCGTACGCAGTGTCCGCCACGAGGAACTGCTTGATCTTTCCGTCGTCGGCCAGCGAGAAGACAGTGTCTCCGCGAGCAGAAAAGTGCACACTTTTGACGGTGGACTGCGAAGCCTGCATCACACGGAGTGCTACTTTGCTTGATCCAGTCGTCTTCTCGACGTCGAACACGCGCACTTTTCCTTCGTCTCCTCCGATTGCTGAAGGAATCTCAATTTTCACATCTAACATTCACATCGGGCAACTCACCGAGAAGGCGTCCATCGTGACGGAAGTCAATCGAACAAACACCTTTTTTGAACCGACTGAACAGATTGAGTGGTTCACAAACGACGGTGTCATAGAGAGTGAGCCGGACACTGCTCGTTGTTGCCACGTGGAACGGTTTCTTCGGAGAGATTCTGACGGAACTGACGACGGACGGCTCCTGGAAGACTGTGAGCTGCTGCATTCGTTTCCAGTAGACGACATCGTCGTCGAGCAGAATCGTCTCCTGCTTCCTCGAAAGAAACTTCTCTGCTGGCAGATATGGTTGAGCCATTCTGATTTGCATTTTCGTACGCATAAAACGGATAGAAAAAAGAGTAAAGTAATGAAGTGCATAGAAACACAGATTAGATCAGAGGGACCACTGAGACAAATACTATTTTGAACGTTTATAGCACAAAAAAGATTAACAACAATGGGATAACAACTGAATAAGAAAACAAAAACAAATTGCAACAGAAATTCAATGTCTTCTCCCGAGAAGTGCGAGTGCCTGCTTCTCCAGATCCTCCGTATCCATGGGCTCGTCTTCCTCGTCGCTCTCCTCCGCGTACTTTCTTCTGACCGCATCCGGATCCGGCAACCACGAGATGTCCGGTTCGTCGTCGCTTTCTTCCGCCTCTTCCATGTCGTACTCCTCCGTCCTTCTCTTCTTTTTTTCTAATTTCTCCTGCCTTCGCTGTTCTCGCAACTCTTTGAACCGTTTCCGATCTTCTTTATCGACGCTCTTCAATTGCTGCTTCGCCTTTTCAATGTCTAGTCCGTAGGAAGTGATCGTCGACGGACCCTCCACTTTGCCTTCGTCGTCATCGTCCTCAAACTTCTTCTTCGTATTCACTCGCAATTTTTTATTCAGAATCTTCTTCGCGGCTCCGACCTTTGTCAACGCCTTCTTGATCGGTTTTCCCTTTTTGAGAGTGATCTTCTCCTCTTCCTCTTCCTCTTTTTCCTTCTTGACATCAACTTCTTCTTCATCCAACCGCTCTTCCAGATCCTTTCCGTTCTTTTTAATCGTAAACAGTTCCTCGTCGTTTTCGTCGATGACGAACTTTCCAACGAGAGAGGAGTCTCTCTTCGGCTTCTTTTCCTCTTCTTCATCTGATTCCATATTTTGCTCATCTTTTTTCTTTTTCTTCTTCTCATTCTGTTGTTTATCGAGGAATCTGATTCTCGGCACAGAAACTAGTCCAAACGAATCGGCGAGAGCGGCCGCGTCAATCGAATTCACATCGAATATCTTCTTGTCTCTCATCGTGTAAATCGATCGGAGATAAGCGACGATGCTCTTCTGAGCGTACTCCTTCAGTTCCTGTGATTCTGCCAGAATTTCACGAAGCTTCACACGCACATCAGTCATCGCCTTCGGATCAATTCTGAGCTCTTCAATCGGAATCGAATGCTTCTCAAGCTTGGCGATCATCTCGTCCTGCTGAGATGAAGTGACCATCAGAAGCGAGTTTCCAGTGTCATCCATCCGCGCACTTCGGCCCACTCGATGAATGTAATCGTCGATTTGAGCAGGACAGTCTACCTGGATAACCCAGTCAATGTGCTCAAAATCGAGTCCTCGCGAGGCGACGTCCGTGGCGATCAGCACGGCGGTTTTGCTCTCATCGAACTTCGTGAACGTTTCGATTCGTTTCTTCTGGTTCATCGTACCCCAAAGACCCATAACGGGCAGTCCGGGACGCAGTTGAGAAAACGCTTCGGTCAGGAAGCGTGCTTGTTTGCAGCTGGAGACAAACACGAGCGACTTCTTCTTCTTGTGCGCCTCAATGAACGACCATAATGTGTTCAGTTTGTTCTCTTCTTCCACGACGACGTACGACTGTTTCAGATTGTCTGGGGTGGCTGCAGTCGCATTTTCGTGCACAGAAACGAACACGGGATCCTGGAAGAGCAGTGGTTTGATTGCTTAAACTGTTACTTTCACTCACATTGGTACAAACTCTACTCAAATCTTTCACATTTCTTGTCTGAGTAGCCGAGAAGAGCAACGTCTGTCTTTCAGCGGGAAGGTTCCCTATAATTGCATTCAACTGCTTCGAGAATCCCATATCGAGCATGCGATCGGCCTCGTCAAGCACCAGAATCTGAAGGGGATCACAGTTCAGCTGTTCGTTCTCGTCCATGTGCTGCAGAAGTCTTCCCGGAGTGCAAACGATGATGTTCACCCCACTGATTCGATTCCTTTCGAATGCCAATTCACTTCCGCCAATCACAAGTCCGCATGAGAATCCGTGGTGTTTCCCGACGGCGTTGATCGTGCTGAACGTCTGAAGAGCGAGTTCTCGGGTCGGCGAAATGATGAGGGCGCCGAGGCCGTGATCGGGAGTCCACTTGGCCCTCCAAAGGGCTTCCAGCACGGGAATCACGAGGGCGAGGGTCTTTCCGCTTCCCGTTTTGGCTGCTCCGACGACATCGGAACCAGTCAGTGAATAGGAAATTGTGTCTCTCTGGATCTCAGTCGGCTTCACGTATTCATTCTCTTTCAGTCCTTCCAACGTTCTCCAGGAGAGTGGGAAATCTTCGAAGCGTAGGAACGTCCGCGTACTTTTCTGAAAATGTATGTTACTTTTGAATTCAACTCTTCTTTTGAGTACTTTGAGCATTTCCTGGTATTTCTGTCCCACACTCTCCAGCATAATCTCTTCTTGCCCCTTCAACTCCTGCTTCCTCTTCTTCAGAAGTCTCTTCTCTTTCAGCACTTTCGTAACACTAGCATCCTGCTCTCCGTTGAATTTCCGTTTTCTTCGCTCGTTCCCACCGGATCTCCAGTTTTGACCACCTTTTTCTTTTCCGTTTGTGTGCGGCATCTGTAATTGGCAATTGAACAGTTCATAGTGAAAATTGAACAGATAGTGTGGACGAGCAGAACCGTTAAAAGAAAAGTTTCTCCGACAACCAATTCGTGTTTATTATGAGAAGAAAAATGGAAGGATAGAAGAAGCGTTAAATAGACATCAAATAACAAATTAATCTGGGAGCCACCGAAAAAAGGAAACCCCAATTACGGATAATTTAGACAGAAATCAAGTAACAATTTGACGGAACGAATTGAATTCAAAAGGATCCCGCATACTTCTATCATCTGTATCATGCCTTTAGGGAAATTGAACCTCCGCGACAAAACAAGGACATGGCTGTTTCAGATGACTAGAAGCAAACGGTGTTCAACAGGAGACCGAAGGACGGCGGAAGACTGGATCGTCCAGGCTCCCGCCGCGAACGAAAGGACCGAATAGATTAGAAGTCGTAGGTGAATCCAAGGTAGTCCTCGTCAAACTCTTGAATTCTCACATAACCTGAAAAATTGAATCAGTACAAAGACACTAAGACTCAGGAAATACCGTCTTCTCCTCCAGTAGCGATGATAGTTCCGGATGAATGCCATGCCATCGTGTTGATGGGTCCGAAATGTCCCTTGAACCGGGCGAACTCCTCCTCGAACACCATGTGATAGATCTTTGCTTCGAAATGACCAGCAGAGACGGATGTTTGCGTGACCTGCATGGCGTCTTCTCCTCCTCCGAGGCAGATATGATCGCGAGTTGGAGAAATGCACGCAGAGTTGACTGGACGCTCCGACTTGTACTGCTTCAGCTTCTTGACGTCATTCACGTCCAGAAGCGCGGCAGTCTTGTCTCTCGATGCAGAAATCAAGAAATCACCGCTCGGAGACAGTTGCAGATCTTGGACGCTGTACTGAAAATAGGAAAACTCTTATCAAAAACTTTTGAAATCTGAACTAACACGATGGACACTCTCGTTTGTGTTGATTGGTGTCGACGGGTTTCTCAGATCGTATTGCTGAAGAAGTCCCGATTCGAATCCGATTGTGATGACGTCGTCCATTCTTGTGAACAGAGCATTGGTGGCGTTGACGTCGAACTGGGTCAAAAAGAAGGACTCGCCGCCCTCTCCCATCTGGGTAGAATCACGAAGATCTCGCACTTGTACAGTAGACAGGTTCTTGGTCATCTTCTGGGTCGTGAAGCACACGAGGTTTCCTACAAATCAGCGCCTTGCAATTCACTTTCAGTTAAATAATTACCAGAGTAGGAGAATCCGCAAGACTTCATCGGAGTCTGATGGTTGACGGTGTAGAGGCACGAACCGAGTTCAGCGTCCCAAACCTAAACATGCACAATTTGCATCTAGCAAAAACTAGGCATTTCCCTTACCTTAACAGTAAGATCTCCGGAAGCGGTGACGCATTTCGAAGTATCCCAAGAGACATCGATGTCCCAGACGGCTCCGTTGTGTCCGTCGTAGCTTCCTGCAAAACGGATATGTTGACAGAAACATGAATAACAAACACATACCGATTCTCTCTCCGTTTTCGGTGTACCACACGCAAGGCTTCTTGTCCTTGGCACACGAAAAGAGCAAGTCTCCCTCGCGATTGAAGCGGACCCTCGTGAGTGCACGTTCGTGGCCTTTCAGAGAAAGTGGTCGCATGTCTGAAAATTACGGAACACAATGCAATTAATTTACAGTAGTATTAACGGATGAACGCAAGAAATGTGAGAAAGAACGGGAATAATTGAATTTCTCCTATTCTACTTGCTTAAAAATTTCGTAGAGCGTTCGGTGACTGCAAGTGACTGAAAATTTTGAAAAAATTTATTAATAAAATATGGTAAAAGTCAATAATGGGGAAAATCGATCGCAAATTGAAGAAAGATGAACGAATTCGAGTCCGTTAAAGTAGGAATTTTAGGAGTCTTGTGCAACATGCCGTGACGGTGTTTGCGTACTCTTTGCAGACCGTATGCCATCAATATTTTCAGCGTCAGCTGATGGCTTTTTGGACAGGTTTTCAGATTCCCCGGGACGTTTTTAGTGATTCATGTGAGTTAGTTTTATTAAAATTAAATAATTTTCTAATTTTAATTAATTGAACGTCTCACAAATTTGTGCGTGCACCGACCCTCTTGCTTCCTTGTTTCTCATTGATTTTTCACGTGTTTCCTCTTCAAGAAATCCTGTTTTCAGAGATCAATAATAATGCTACAGTTGAGATTAATAGCTAGCTTGCGGAATTCGTCGATTATTCGCCTAAAATCACAGGTTCGTTCACGCTTGATGGCTTCCGAAGTCCATTTCGTATTTTTCTAGGCAGTTTACCGCAGTTTCTCTTCCCTGACGAAGTCTCCGACCTTCATCAGAAATGCAAATCAAATACTCAGTAAAAATGTGAGTTTTCACACGATTGTGACAGCAATTACTGGTTTCAATGCGGAAAATGTTTATTAGCTCTCAAATTAGACCAGTTAGTTCTTGGGCGAGGCCTCAGATCCGAATTCGAAGCTGAACTCTCCCTCGTTGTTCTGCTTGCACTTCACGTTCTGTCCGTTGTCCAATTGCCCACTGGCGTTGAGCTCCAAGAGTTCGAGCCCGGCCTTCTTGTTGAGCACGCAGCCGATCGGAGCGAACGAGATGTATCCGTTGCTCATCTCGCACTTGTACCGGAATCCCACGGAGTTGCCCTTATACATTCGGTCGATCGTCTCCTCGTGCTTCACAAACTGAGCCTTTTCGTCCTTCTCCCAGCTGGCATAGCATCCGGCAGTCTCGTACTTGCTCACGCATGCCTCGTAGTAGCTCCCCTTTCCGATGCGACGGCGATTTCCGAGTTCGCAGTCATCTCCGACCTTCACAGCGCTCACAGTCAGAGAAACGAGTCCGAGAGCGAAAAGAGCGAAAGAAGGCGACATCTTCTGAAAAATAATCGATTAAATTTCAGAAAAGGGCAATCGCGCAAGTGTTGACGAGGACGTGTTTCCATCCAGGAGCGAGCAGTCAAGTGCCGTTGCAGGTAATTCGAAAACGAGGAAAACGAATGAATGAGAAAACGGGCCGAACTCTGTTCTTTTATTCCGTTCGGGCGGCTTCTCTTGGATGGGAATTCCCACCTCCGCTCCGTTTGATTTCTGCCGATTCCCGTCGGCCGATTGAGAACTCGTAGGAGCGACGGGACACTGGATTTCCCACGTTTTACTTTCAACTTAGATAATATTGCAATTTAGTGTCTTAAAATAAGGGCAAAAAATCTAATCAGAGCGCTAAAAATTAAACATTTAATTGTCACCCTCTCGATTTTGATGTTTCAGGCGAACGGACAACTCACCGGATATCAGTTGATACAGAGGCTGTTGAAGTTCGTATGGCCTAAGGATAAACCGGAAATAAAGAGGAGAGTGCTCGTTGCTCTTTCTCTTCTCGTGGCTGCCAAACTGGCCAACGTGTCAGTTCCGTTCCTTCTACGCGACATCGTCAATTACTATAACGGAAAAGCGCCAGAATTCTTGAAACTCACCCTCGAAGGAACAGCTTCACAGACTATTTTCACAGCTGGAATTGTCACCTGCATTGCATGTGAGTTTCCAGAATCCCGAGGACACATTCTGAAGTCCCTCCAATTCAGACGGATTGGCTCGTGCGACTTCTTCCGCATTCAATGAGCTCCGTAATGCAGTCTTTGCGAAAGTCGCTCAGAATTCCGTGCGGAACATCAGCCGATCGATCTTCCTCCACTTGCACTCTCTCGATCTTTCTTTTCACTTGAACCGACAGACCGGAGCACTCTCGAAGGCGATCGATCGAGGAACGAGAGGCATGAGCTTCGTTCTTTCTTCTCTCATTTTCAATCTGATTCCTACTGCGGTCGAGATCGGAATGGTCTCCGCTCTGTTCACTGGAACTCTCGGAGCCGAGTTTGCATACATGACAATGGGAAGCATCGGAATGTATGGAGTGGCCACGTTGGGCATCACTAGATGGAGAACGAAGTTCCGTCACCAGATGAATCAGGCCGACAACGACGCCGGAAACAAAGCCATCGATTCTCTGATAAACTACGAGACGGTCAAGTACTTCAACAACGAAAAGTTCGAGGCGGATAGATACGATCATTTTCTGAAGAAGTACGAAGGAGCTTCCCTGAAGACCACTTCCTCCCTCGCTCTTCTCAATTTCGCTCAGAATGCCATCTTCTCGGGCGCTCTGATCGGAGTGATGTGCATGGCTGGAAACAGAATCGCGTCCGGAGACCTGACAATCGGAGATCTCATTCTGGCCAACACTCTTCTCTTCCAACTCTCCATCCCACTCAACTTCTTGGGATCAGTCTATCGAGAAGTGCGTCAAGGACTTGTCGATATGAATCAGATGTTTTCTCTGTTGACGCTCAAACCGAAGATCGTGGAAGCGGTTAATGCGAAGAAACTGGAAGTGACTGAAAACGATATCAGTTTGAAGTTCGAGAATGTTCACTTCGGATATCTTCCGGAGAAACCGATTCTAAACGGACTGGACCTCGAGATTCCGTCCGGAAAGAAAGTGGCCATCGTCGGAGGCAGTGGCTCCGGAAAGTCGACGATCGTGCGTCTTCTCTACCGTCTTTACGACACCGAGCTTGGAACTGTCAAGATCAACGGTCTGGAAACACGGGACATGACGCTCGACTCTCTCCGCCAGAACATTAGCATCGTTCCGCAGGATTCTGTGCTCTTTCACGATACCATCTACTACAATCTGGCTTACGGAAGACCGACGGCATCGAAAGAAGAAGTTATTGAAGCTGCGAAGATGGCCGATCTGCATGAGTCTGTGCTTGGAATGCCAAATGTAAAGAGAGAATTGGAGGTTACTGAAATCACACTTTGTTTCAGGGGTACGAGACGCTCGTCGGAGAAAGAGGACTCAAACTTTCGGGTGGAGAGAAGCAAAGAGTCGCCATTGCGAGAGCTATTCTAAAGGTACGGAAGGCAGCACTAGGAAAGTTCACTTCTCACTTCAGAATGCTCCATTTGTCATCTATGACGAGGCGACGTCTTCGCTGGATGCAATCACTGAATCAAATATCATGAAAGCGTTGAAAGGGGCCGTCGAGAAGAGAACGTCGCTGTTTATTGCCCACAGATTGGCCACCATCGTAGATGCCGATATAATTTATGTACTAGAAAATGGAAAAGTTGCGGAGAAGGGATCACACTTCGATCTGCTCGCCATGGACGGTCTGTACGCGCAATTGTGGAAGTCGCAGAACATTCACGGAGTTGCTGTGAGTTATCATTTCAGTTGTGACAAGAAGAATCGTATCGTTTCCAGCCGAAGCAGAAGAAGCCAGAGGACGAGGATCTCATGCTCGAACTGGACCTCGACAAGTGCTGCGGCAGTTCGAGTTGCAATCGATGATCAATGACCCATTTCTCAGGGATTCTCCACAAGTCTAACATCTTCATTTCCTCCTTCTTTATCACTTTATCGTTATTAGGCCAATTTTTATTTGTTACTGAATTTTAGCCTTTTTCTTATAGACTCGGGTGTGAAAATCTGTGTTTTCTGTTGTTTCACATCTGTAATTAGTTTCTCTAAATTCCCTCGCTCCCCCGGTTCTCTCGCCGTTTGCTCATTTCTTGTCAATATCCTCTCTTTTCCTTGCACCAAATACAATTTTCGGATTTATTCTCAGCCACCTTGTTCTCATTTTCGAATCGTTCTCAAACGATGCCATATCTACGCTTTCGTTTCCACATTGATTCCTATCTTTAATTTAATTATTCAGAAATGTCTGGCTGTCTGGATCAAATTCGCTGCGACTGCAATTTCGATTTGGAAGGCCGAAGGTTCGTGATTTGATTATAGTGTCCTGCCAACTGTACTTTTCAGAAATGCGGTCGCTTCCGTCGCTTCGGCTGCTCTCTTCTTCATCGCTTGGTGGCTGATGATCGACACGGCGGCCGTCTACGACTCGAAAGACTGGACGAACGTCTACTTCATCATCACCATTTCGAGCACTGTCGCCATGTTCATGGTGAATGCGATTTCGAACAGTCAAGTGCGCGGAGAGAGTCTCCACGAAGGACTTCTCGGAACCAAAGGTGTTCGTCTCCCGCTCATCCCCCTCACAACATCCGTTTTCAGGAGCCCGTCTCTGGCTGATGGCCGCTTTCGTCGTCTCGTTCGCTTCTCTCGTCGCCGCCACGTGGATTCTGTTCTCCGATTACGTTCTCCGCCAAGGCGAGCACACCGTATGGCCGGGAGTCGCTCTCTTCCTCACCAACTTCATAATCTTCGCCTCTTCGTGCGTCTACAAGTTCGGGCGTACCGAGGAAATGTGGGCGTGAAGAGAATACGACTGGACTGACGACACTTCAAATTTCAATTTAAGCCACTTATTCATGCATTCTCCTATTTTTCCTTTACTTAATATCTCGTTTGTAATGTAAATAAATCAGCGACTCGAAGTGACTGTATAAATGTGAGGTCGTGAGTTCGTTTTTTAAACTCTTATCATACCGTACCTATCGGAAACTTATCTTTTTTCTCTTCAACTTAAGAATCCATTAGACTTTCTTTCCGTTTCTCTAATTCTATGTCGTCATTTATAACGCCGCGGTCGTGATCGGTCCGTTTCTCTGCGCTCTATCGCTCGATGACTCATCTATGTTTTCTTTTCGTTCTTGCGAAATTCGCCTGTTTTATATCACTCTCGAAATTATTTCCCAATTTAAAGCTTTCATTTTGGCAGAAAACCTCTACAATTTATCATGGGCGCCGGAGAAAGTAGCATGGCACTCGAAAGTAAGCCTTTTCATACCTTTATTCAAATCCAACTTCACGTCTTCAGAGCACCTCTTCGACCTCAAGTTCGCTGCGAAGCAACTGGAGAAGAACGCTCAAAGATGTGAGAAAGAAGAGAAAGTCGAAAAAGACAAGTTGACGACGGCTATCAAGGTGAGCTTTTGAAACAAGGAGTAGGGAGAATGAATGGCTTTTGCAGAAGGGAAACAGAGAAGTTGCTCAAGTGCACGCCGAGAACGCCATCAGAAAAAAGAACGAAGCCGTGAACTACATAAAAATGGCTGCGAGAATCGATGCAGTCGCTGCACGAGTACAGACTGCCGCCACGCAGAAGAGAGTGACTTCAAGCATGAGCGGAGTTGTGAAGGCGATGGAAAGTGCGATGAAGAGCATGAATCTGGAAAAGGTTCAGCAGCTGATGGACCGATTCGAAAGAGACTTCGAAGACCTCGATGTGACTACGAAGACGATGGAGAAGACGATGGATGGAACGACAGTTCTGAACGCACCGAAGTCGCAGGTGGATGCGCTCATTGCAGAAGCCGCCGACAAAGCCGGGTCAGTTCTTCATTCGAAATTATTGTTCACTTTTGTGTGCCCCTTTCAGAATCGAAATGAGCCAGGAACTGCCTTCAAATGTGCCAACTGCCCTCCCAACTGGAACTCAAGCTGTTTCGGAAGACAAAGACCTCACCGAACGTCTGGCGGCCCTCCGCAACATGTGATAATCTCTGACTCTTCTTTAAGCGCACATTCATTTATTGTGACGGCTTTTACAACTAAAAATGCTACTCTTTTACTGTATATAAAAGTTTATTAAATACTGTTTTTTATTAAAACAATAAAACTGTTCGATTGTGGGCACTGGTGAGGTCTTTCATCTCCCCCATCCGGATCTTCTCGTGCCATGGTGTTTCTCGGTGTCTGCGTTTATCATCTCTGTTGTTCGTAGTCTTATCTCTTCTCTTTATCATTCTGATAGTTTTTATACTAATGTTTTTCTCAATTTTTTTGGTCTAGTTGACTGGAAAATTGTTCGATTCAGAGTCAAGATGCTTCTCTTTTTCGCAACCATCTCGTTTGTGCACGAATTCAATCTCTTGTGTCCCTTGTGATCATCGATGAGAAAGTGAACTGCGAACTGTGTACTTTGACCCCGTTGTTCTGTTCACCGAGAAAATAAAAGATGTCAATACTCTTTGACTGATCGGAATAAACGCCGCGCAAGCTTAAACTGAAGAACCGGCGATGAGAGCCGGTTAGGTCGAAGAGCTTTTTTCTTTCCGAATTTATTTTTTCTTTTCTCTCTCTCTCTCCTTTTGACATTAGACCGTTCATTTCGCTCTTCCCTTCATTTCAGTTGAACATGAGAATCCTTGTCGGAGTGAAGAGAGTCGTCGACTATGCTGTCAAGGTAACCCCTCCGTCCCATCTGTTCCGCCCTTTGAACCTCTTCTTCTCTCAGATTCGCGTCAAGCCAGACAGATCGGGCGTCGTGACGGAAGGAGTGCAGCACAGTATGAATCCTTTCGACGAGATCGCCCTCGAAGAAGCCGTGAAGCTGAAAGAGAAGAAGCTCGCCACGGAGGTCGTCGCCTTCTCGCTCGGAGGACCGAAATCGGCCGAAGTGCTCAGAACCGCACTGGCCAAAGGAGCCGACAAAGCTATCCACGTGCAGGTGACGGACGCAGAAGCCGGGAATCTAGAGTCGTTTCACGTGGCGAAGGCGTTGCAAAAGATCGTGGAACAGGAGAAGTTTGACGCCGTCTTCCTTGGGAAGCAAGCGATCGACGACGACTCCTCGCAGACTGCTCCTTTGCTCGCCGGTCTGCTCGAATGGCCGCAGGCTCTGTATGCTTCGAAAGTCGAAGACGCAGGTTCCGGACATCTGAAAGTGACGAGGGAAATCGACGGAGGACTCGATACCATCAAGGTGAACTGACTGTCTAGTGTACTTAAATGAGAACCGGACGATTTCAGGTGAAGACTCCTTTCGTATTGTCGGCTGACCTTAGGCTCAATGAGCCTCGCTACGCCACTCTTCCGAACATTATGAAAGCGAAGAAGAAGCCGCTGAAGAACATTCCCGTCAAGGATTTGGGAGTTGATCTGGTCGCTCAGGCAGAGACTCTCGAAGTGACCGAACCACCCGTTCGTCAGGCCGGAGGATTCGTGGAGGACGTGGATGCGCTCGTTTCCAAACTGAAGGAAAAGGGATTCGTCAAGGCCTGAACAATAGCGTCCCTCTTCTAACTTATTCGTTCACATTGTAATGATAAATTCAGAATTTATTTATGTTCAGAATGAGTCTAAAGAAGTGAATAGTTCGATCGGGAAACAGTCAAAAACCGGAAAGCGTTGTTGACAAAATCGTGTGAGAATTGATGCAAGTATAGCTGAAACTGAAAAGATTGAGTCATTATGGAAGTGAAGAAGTGACACTGACCAGTCTTGTTTGGGAATTGCATTGAGGACAGATGGATTTGCCAGAGGAGCAAGCGGAAGTGTCGAAGGACTCATACTGAGGAGTCTTCTGGTGGAACGAGGAGAATATCGGCTGCTCGTTGTGACACCGGAACACTTCTGCCGACTTCGAAGACGTCAATCGCAAAGTCGCTCTTCCAGAGAGCACGTGTCCGCCCTGCTGCTCATTCTGCTCATTGCACATCGACAGTCTCGCTTGTCTGCGTCTCTTCAGCATCACACTCTCTCCGTCGGCTCTCCGTTCCACGAGAAGCACCAAACAATCGACCCGATTCATCCAGAAACGGAAGATACTTGCCGCCTGATCGACGGAAACCGCTCGCAACGATATCTTGTTGCACCGCAGAAGACGGTCCCCTTCCCGGAGATTACCGCTCTGCAATTGCAATTCTTTTCTTCGGCGGATAAGTGAGTTATGAGACGGGTTCAGCGCGTCCGCGGACTTGCCAATTATGCGTGCTCGTTTCCCGGACTCGATGCGCCGTTTCTCCCATTACTCATGCGTCTGCTCCCTAAATTACTCCTCCACTTCTTTTTTTCCCTTTTGAGAAGCAAGCGATTCAATGAAAACAAAGTGGACGCGCGAGGGCGATTCTTCTCGCGATTTGGCAGAAATCTCTCGTGGGAACACACTCACTTGTGGTGATTTCGAATGAACAAAGTCGATGAATACGCCACGGCTTCTGCTTCCGACCATTCGAAACGCAATCCCGTTCGGTTGTTCGGCGTCTCGAGGCACGTTTACCTATAGTCACGAGATGGATTACTGTAAATTTCACGAGAAATGTGAACCTAAATGTGCCTAATCCCCAGGGAAGATCGTCATCCTTCAAAACGTAAAAAAAGGCGTTTTTCTTATTTTTCAGTGGCTCAAAACACACATCATTCCTCTTTTTCGTCTTCGCTGACATTTTAATTCCCCACTGAATCGGACAATGTCTTCCTCCCTACCCGGCGTGCAGAGTCTAATTGAAGCAGCGGCGGAAAAGGGGGAAGAAGATGAAGCCGTCTGTCATTTCCATGCGGGAGAGATGGATGGCACGCTAATAAAAATGAAAACGCGCCGGGGTTCACCTCGATAGTCTCCGTTTCCACGGCGATCTTCTCCTCGTTCGCACTTTCGAAGAAACTCGTCGACGTGCACAATTTGTCGTCGTCGTCAAACTCATCCTCGCAGACTGCGTTCTCGTAGGCAGAAGCTGACCTCGGGAATCGGGCAGTCAACATCGAGCCTTCTTTTTCTGAAGTCTTCGTGTTTCAACGCAAGTGAGCAATGAGTTGAGACGAAAAAACGAGAGACAAATGAGCGGGCGAAAGGAAGGAAGGAAGGAAGGAAGACGACGATTAGAATGCGTGCGCTTGAGACGCCAACTTGGAAGGCGACACGCCGAAGAGAGCACCGTTTCTCGGCGAGTAATGAGTGCCTAATTGGCTCTCGGTTTGTGGCGATGCAATGTGCGAAACGAAACCAAAGTGACGCCGAGGAAGCGAAAACAACGCCAATAAAGGGGGCGGGGCGTGGCGGAAGAGCTCCCTTGAGAGTGCTACGTTCGGGGTGGGAGAAGGCGTCGCGGAAGGACTTGTGGCGGTTTTTGAGAAGAATACAACTAGAATCAGGTGAAAGTCGGCTTCGTTTTGCGAGTGAAAGAGAGTGAAATAACAAGTGTTGTGCTCGCCCCCAATAATAACCGAGAGCCGCGCCGAAAACACTGCAAATACTTGCTCCCCGAGAAGGAGTACGTATTAAATGAGCAATTTCAAACGTAGAGGGCTCTCCGAATTCTCTCGAAATAGTATCAGACTGATGTGTGGGACGACGTGTGAAACGTGACAAATGACCCATTTCCTATTCCGACCGCAATTACCTCTGACCATTTGAGCCATTTGAGAAAAGAGAAAGGTGTCGATCTCAAAAATCAAATGGGATAATCAAACAGAGGAGTTGCACCCGAATAAAAGTAATTCAACACCGTCTCTCCTCGCCGTTTCGCCTAATATTTATCCAAGCCGAAATAACTTGAGAAACCAAGTGAGCAGGTCAACGAGTCAGCGGAAAACGAGCAGAGCCGCACGCAGTCATATATGCAAATCGACAACAAATCGCCGCCGTGCCGGACGTGGAGCAAGACGACGGAGCACGAGCAACATCAGATAGCCGTGCGAAACTTATTATGCCTGCTCCAAGTAGTTTCCGCCCGCTCGCCCCAGTTTCTATGCCGTCGACTTGTGCGCGGCTCCCGAAAATGGACGGAAAAAAACAAGAGTTATGTGTTGGTGTCACTCATTTCTCCGACACCCAGCCACAATGATCGTGGCCGGAACCATCATGAATTATGAATGAGCAGAGAAACGCAAGAAACCGGAAAAGGCACAAAATGGGAGCTCAGATTGGATCTCAACATGGGGAATTTAGACTCATTAGAGCAGTTATTATTCGTCATTGCTTTCGGCCCCGAAGGATCGAACGATCGTCTGCCGGAGGGGCAAATAGCCGTTTGCGCCACGCAAGCAAGTCTCCCGCCTGTTCGAAGTGCGTAGACAAGAGGCGACACGCGGGGAATGTCTATGTACTATTAACTTTATCGAGCGAGTCATCGGCAGAAAAGAATTCACAGGAACATTAACGGAATATGGGATAACTCGATGGGGGACGAGTTAAAATACTTGGGAGAAAGGTATGCAATTTAACAGTTTTTGGGAGAGGAAAGAAATATCAAAAACAAAAACGAATTTACTGGGAGAAATTTCATCAGTCTCAGGGAAGCAGATCAAGTTATCGGGAGAATACATTCACAGAAATACAAATGAAGAATTGGATTTCTCGATGAAGGACCAGTTCAAATATTTTTTTTCCAAAAAAGAGAATCTTACAGTTTTGGGAGATAAGAGAAGACGGTGTGGGAGACGGTGTAATCGGCTTTCATCTCCTCCAAGAACTGCTTTTCGTTCGGCTCAGTTTCACGCGTCGGACGAACCGAGTTGACAAAGCGGCTCACGTGCTCCAAAGAGCATTCCAATTCGAGAGAAGTCATCATTCTGCTCTGCACATTGGCTCCGACCGTCTTCGTGTTCTCGCACGTCCAAATGCGCGGTCTCTTGTCCATGAACTTTTCTTTGTTGATGCGGAGGAGTGGAAGAGTCGTTTCGAACGTGTAACTGGTCTCGGTCTCTCCTTTTTTGCTCTTCTCGACCATACTGCTCGTGTACTTTGTGAGCACTCTTCTGGCCAGATCAGGCAGAATGACGTGGTCCTTTTCGTTGAGAAGTCCGAAGATTTGGCTGACCGTCGAAAGCGCCATTGTGATGGGAAGAAGGGAGACGACACTCGGATTCATCGCCCCCTCTCCTTGCTTCAAATCGTTCTCGCACGCTTTCAGAACAAGAGAGATCTCGTCACTCGGGAATTTCAGAGTGCTCGCAAATTTGTTCACAATACGTCTGAAAAGAGAACTCCAACAAGTAGATTGGTAATACACAAACCCTCTGAGACTCTCCACTCCGATCTCCATCATCATGTTGATCGTACTCAGTCTCTCGAGAATCGGCATTCTGAAGTCACACGTCTTCGACTCACGGATCAGCGACGCCAGATGGCTGTTGTTGTGCTCCAGAACGTGCGATTTGATCTTTCCGTAGGTGAGAGCTTGAAGGAAGTTCTTGAACAGAAGAGTCGCCTGCTTGATGTCCTGGCAACGGCGAACAATGTTCCAGACCTTGTCAGTGACCTCTTCGCTCCTGAAAATCTCATGCATTTCTGTTGTTTCCCTCGATTCCTTACACGTCGTTCGACGCGAACACATTGTCTTCGTTGGAGCACGTCTCGATGAGCTCGTTCATCAGCTTGACGAGGTCGTCGAACTTCTCCCATTCACTTGGGAAAACAACTTCCTTATCGGGATTAGCTAGCACGTCGGCGAGACTGAGAACGAAGAAAAGTTGCTCGAACATGGATTCGTCGATGAAAAAGCGGTTGTCTCTCCATCCCAGGTCGATCTTGATTGTGCACTCGGCAGCATTTACTGGCTGTTCCAGAAGGACCAGACTGTTCTGCAACCAGACCATTCGCTCCTTGAGGGTCCCTTATGAACTGTGCTCTCACCTTCGTATTCCAACGCATATCCACAATCACTTCTCCCGGAGTCTCGCGAGTCGCCGTCGCAATTCTGCGAATCCCGTCGTAAACGGCACGGTACCGGTTGACCTGTGCTCCGCCGCACGCCTCGTTCAACTGATTGACCATCTTTTCGCTGTTCTCGTTCAGACATCCGAGCACACGGGTGCTCCCCGAAAACTGCACATTCTTGTTGGTGCGGCCCATTGCCAGCCAGCAGACGAACAGACTGTCCGTGGCGGCCGTGGAGATCCAGATCGGTAGCTTGGAGAGTTCAGTAGAGAAGTGTTCGGATCCATTCAGACGAATACTGCAAGAAAAGATCGGTTAGTGAGCAGTGGGGAGGGACTTACTATCTGAGCAGAGAAATTCCTTTCTCGTGTGCAATAGGATTAGCATCGAAACTGGTCGCTTCACAGTCGAATCCCGCAATCTCGATGTTGTTCTCTGAAAAACAAAACAATCGTTTTTTGTTTCGTGCCTAGACTTCTAACCGTCACCAATATTTTTCCTAAGTTTGTCCAAAGTGAGGAAAGTGGTCTCCAAAGGTCCGCCGTTCCCTTGGTTCTCTTTGTCGCCTTCTTCCTCGCCAATTTCCATTTGTTCGTCTTGTTCTATCTCCGCGTGTATCACATTCGGTACATTCAATTTCTTCTGTTTCTTTTCCGCTCCGATAGGCGAGTCAATGACGAGGACGTCCTCAGAATTCAAGCCGATTTGAGAAACATTGGAGAAGTTCGAAACAATCGGCAGCTCGGTAATAGGAAGAAGTCTCACGCGGTACTGGTTTATCTAAATGATTGGAACTAATTCATACTTTCTGTCGGTGTAAAATACGAGCAGAATCGGAGCCGGCGCTTCTTCGTCTTCTCCCTTGCAGTTGATTGCCTCATTGTATTGTTTGAGGTCTTCGAAATCGATGGGCATTACTCTAAACACTGATTTGAGGGTGTTTGTAACAATGCAAGACAATTTTCGGCGGTTTGAAAAAACAGTTTTCGAGCTTAGCGTCAATTACGGTAGCGCAGTGGCGGATCGTTGCGAAACCGGAGTTTTAAAGGCACACGCTTGATGTGAATTTACGGATCGTCGATGAGAAACTATATGAAAAAGCATCAATTTTAGCAAAAATCGCTATTAGTTAGCAAAGCACGTTGAAGTTATTTGAATTTTCCTACGTTTTCACATTTACGATTGCTTCGCTTTCTGTCATTTCAACTTAAAAACAGCTGATAAGTAAAAACAGCTGCAGAAGCGACAACGAGCTTTAAATTGAGCTTCAAACAAGAGCTCCGAATCCAAACGATATTGTTTTGAACTTGCCGCGTTTTCGATTTCGTGTGTTTTTCGTCTGCAGTTGCCGCGGCGCAAAGTTGCGGACATCAACGGCGCGCCCTATTGCACTTCTTATCGATCGTCGTCGCCGCCAAAAGTGCCCGCCAAAAAGTTGAGAGGTGAAGACAGTGTTCGGCGAACACGTCGAATTTTCTCACCGTTTCTATTTCTCATCTTCAAGGTCTTCCGTTGTTCATTGGTTTTCCACATAAAGTACCGTTTGCATCGTGAAAGCACGTATTACACTGTCGTATCTTTTGACTGTGCGTCTGCTTCTCTGCCGCTCTTTCTTTGTTGTCGTCTCCGCTCGCAATCATAATTCTCGCTTGTTTCTCATTCACATTTGTACGTGATTATTTCAGTAGCATGTCGGAGGCAGAAGCCGGTCCAGACCGAGGACAAGAAGGAGGTATCTACCAACTAATAATGCTTTTATAATAACGTTTTTTTAGAACCACCATGCGTTGAAAAGTTGGAGCCGGCGGCTGTGAAGAAGGCGAAGGAAGATAGGAGAAGCATGTCCCTTGAAGCCAACGCCGGCGAGAACATCAAATTGCAAACGATTTGCTATAGAGGAACAACTCTACAACTACCGGTCGCGCATCCACATATGTATCAAGTTGTCTTTCGAATACTGAAATAGTCGGTTATTCAGGCTAGACGTTTCTCAAGTTTATTCATTTCAGCGTTTATAATCCATTAGTAAAACAAATTTTGGTTGGATTGCCCATAGGATGGCTTGACTCGAATCCTACCAATGAAGAAATCGCCTCATATGTCGAAAAGTACAACATGGCGGCCAAGCCCTATGCAAAAAATGTATTGGAATATTTGATTTTGCTATGTATTGATTGCACGTTTTCAGTGGGGAGGATCGTACAACACGGAGACGCTCAAGGATTGGGGACACCCCCAATGTTCCCAGAAAGTTGCCATCGATATCACGACATTCGCATACGAGTGCGCTGTTCCACGTCCAGCGAACCTGAACAGCCATTACAAGAGTTTCAGCTCTGAAGTAACCACCGTGAATATCGACGTTAATTTATAGGAATATTGCAGACATATGGCGAAACGAATTTGGAGCAGATGGCGAGTATAATTGACGAGCTGAAACTCGGCCCGCAGGACGTGTTCGTTGATCTTGGCAGTGGTATCGGCACACTCGTGGCATTTACTGCAGCTTACTCGAAAGTCAAAAGAGCCGTCGGAATCGAGCTTTTGGCAACCCCGGCTAATATTGCCGCTCAACTCGGAGTGTATTTCAAACGGTTGCTTTAACGATGTTTTTTTTATGTAATGCTTTCTTTCAGACTGATGAGCCATTTCGGTAAAAATTGTGGAAAGTTCGAGATGATTCAGGGCGACTTCCTGAATCCAAAGTTTAAGAAATTGATCTGTGAAGAGGCGACAGTTATCTTCATAAACAACTTTGCTTTCAACCCTGACCTGATGAACAGCATCACAAACGAAATACTGCAAGATCTGAAACACGGAATCCGAATCGTTACCACAAAACCGTATGAATCAATATGTAGTATTGTTGTTTGACACTTTGATTTACAGGTTCGGTTCCAGCAAAAAAGAAATAACGTATCGCTCAACAAGCGGTAAGTTTCTATTATCTAACTCGCAGAGAAGATATTCAAATTTTTTCCAGATATCACCTCCATGAGTACCACCGTCAAACTCCGTTCGCTCGATTCTGGAGTATCCTGGACCGCAAACAAAGTCGACTTTTACCTAACCACTATGGACCATACAAAGGTGAACTAACGAAAACAAGCAGAGAAACACAAATTTACATTTCAGCTGATAAGATACTACGAGGAAGAACAAAAAAAGAAAAACCCAAAAGCTGGCGATGGATCGGATGTTGTCGAAATAGGAAAAAAGCGCAAAGCAGACTACGGATCGAAAAGCAAGGTGCCTCGAAAAAAGTTAAACTGCTCTTCTAAAAAGGTTCTCCCCGCCAAATAGATTCTTTGATTTTGCATGCGGTGATTTCATCATGCTGTGCTTTCAAATAACTATCCTCGCATACCCTCTCAGTTTTTCACATTCAAACTTTTATACGAAGTTAGGCACTATCTCTTTTCATTCTCAGTCGGATTGCCCGAAAACGCAGCTTGAAGAATGACCGAACATTTTAACTCGCTTTTTGAACACTTAATAATAATCAAAAGATTTTAATAAATATATAGGCATCCGCATTAACTTTTGCGTTTTACACACAAAAATTTTCAAACAGCTCCTATCTTAGTTTTCCTATACTCTGTGCTGAATAGAAGGTAGTGCCTGATTTCCGTTGCAAGTTCGTGTGTTTTCCTAGTCGCCACCCTCCGTTGTCCTTCCCTTCGGCCGGCCGGCCGTTTCTCCTTTTCCTCTTCGCGCTGAGCGACCGCAGCGCGCCTCTCCTCCCTCGTGAATCGGGTTGGAGAGGGACCGGGTAGAAGAAAGAAGGAAAGAGAGCGAGAGCAGAAGGAGAGAGAGAGAGAGAGTGCATGTGAGAGACGGCAGACAGCGAGCGAGCGGCGGCAGCAGGCGAGTGTAGCCGGGAGAGAAGACGCATAACTGCGACCTTATGCAGTATTGATCGCGCGGATTTCAAATGGAGCCCATCGTCAAAAAGCCCCGCGAAAAGTCCGCTAGTATTACTTCGTCTATAAATACTGCTGCTTCTGTATCTGATATCAATATGCCGACTACTTCAAGCCGTGCAGCGTCTGTAAATCCTTCAGAGGGTGTAAATACTGGGGAAGATGATATTTTCTATGGACGAACCACTAGATTGATGTGGAAAGCGCAGGTTAGTGAAAGTGTGTGAGGCTGCTCCTTCGAGAAAGTTACGAGTAATTAGATCCAGAGAACTTGGGTAGTTTAGTGAGCGGAAAATGTTGGGGCTTGAGTGGAATAGTTTCAGACTGAACAAGCTGCCGCGTCACTGCCACACCAATCTCCGAAATGGAATGAGCCGGATACGGATTATGCTCCGCCAGCCAAAAAATCGAAGAAGCACAGAGATACAGCCGACTCGGCACACGCTGCCGCTTCGACTTCCAAGAAGAAGAAGAGTCTGTCTGGCCCGAAGGAGAAAAAAGAAAAGGCAAGCTCGTGCCAACTATTAATTAATTTTTAATTTAGCTTCAGACTCCGAAAACTCACTCCAACCGCCACAACCAGTCGTTGGACCGCTCTGGCGCGAATGTTCCATCGCAACCGAAAGCTACTGCTCCTCCACCAATTCCAGCTGACCAGAAGCCAAAGAGGGAAGAGCCAGCCGAGCAAGAAATCATTCACACCGGACAGCTCGACGGTCAGTCGCTTCTAGTAGCGCCGTTTTTATGCGAACTTTTTCCAGCAAAGACAATGAGTGCTCTTCATACCATTCGAGAGGCTGCTACGACTTCGTCGCAAGCGGCGGCCATTCAGGATGCGGTAAGCGATTCAAACTGACCATGTTCCACAACCAGCTCTTCAGATCAATTCGGTTCTCAGTCAAGCCGAGGTGTGCTCCAAGCAACAGGTTAACTCTGTGCCAGCACACGGAACTAACCTTTCCGCGCAGACCGAAGGCTTTCCGAGTGCCCCGGTTGCTCCACAACCACATATTATTCCGCCGAGCTCCGAGGTTGCCGCCGATAAACGCCACACTTTCATGATACCTCCCACCGATCCGATGTACAACATGATTGTGGGATTCTATTTCGAATTCAAGTCATTCGCTGATCTGTCCAAACACGGAGATCAAGATTTCATCAATCAGCTGCGTAAGGACATAGAAAACGAGAGATCTCGGAGAAATGAGCTGGAAGAGGGGATTACTTCTACCCGCACACAAATCGACGATCTTCTCGGAACCGGCGTTTCTGTTCTTCAGAACAAGCTTCATGATCTGGGAATGCACGATGTGCACGATGTTCATGAGTTGCTCTCCGGCTCTAAAAACATCGTCACACAACATAAGGCTCTTACCACTGAAATCGCTCAAACGGAACAAATCATTGCTGTGGAAGAGCAGAAACTCCGTCGTTTCGGCGGACCTGACGTCCTTCGTCTCTATGAAGGTGAGAATATTGTGCGTCCTGTACCTATCCCATGGTTTGTGTTCCAGATGCAACGGTGGTGCAACAGAACCAGCTTGACATGATAAAGTTGAGAGATATCGTTCTCTCCAGCCGGCCTCAGAACTTCATTTCTCACCTCCACCCGGATGAACATCCAACTCCCGATTCCAAAATTTCTCCGTCTTCTCGTCGTCCTCGCCAGAAGCCACGTGCTGCCCCGGGAAACGGAAAGCGTGGCACTTCTGCCGGTCGTAAAGCCGACGACCCGAGCGAAGACATGGAACTGAAAATACAACAGTTTGTGCAGCACGCATTGAAGGTGGACAATGCGGTCAAAGAAAAAGAGAGAAAGGCTCGTGGTATTTTTCAAGCAGCGGCTGAGCGAATGCCCAGGAAGGGTGAGATTTATAGTCTGCGGCTTTCTGTTCCGTTCGCTTTGGCCTCTGCTTCTCTGCCGCTTTCCTTTCTTAACTTCGTTCATTTCAGGAACGGCTCCATCGCCCATCACGTCCCATCGTGACGAACAACACTCGTCCGGCCAATAAATGAATCACTCCCCCGAAACTCTTGCATTTAAACTCTCTGTCAGTGCCTTTTGACGTTCATCCTATTCCAACTGATCTATCTCATTTAATTTACCTCTACATTAAATCAATCCCTGCTAGAACTAAGACTAAATATAGTTTTAATTCGTCGGTGCAACCTTCCCTATATTCATACTCTCTTGTTCCACATTGATTACTCTGTACCACTGTCTGAAGTTTCAAAGTCAAATGAAGAATCTTGAAATACGGCTTCGTTGTTCTTTCCTCTTTATCGGTTATCGTCCGTTATACCTTCTAGTGCCCATTTCTCCCTCTCATTTCTGATGACCTTTTTAGCCGATGGAAGATTTCTCGGGAAACAGAAGACACCGTCCGCCTGGCTATCCTGAGAAACTTCCTCAGGCCAGCAGTTCCCGACGGTATGTCTCTCATCGAGTTTCATCCAAAAACGCATTATTCTCAGGTCTTCTGGAGCCCATGGATCCTCTTCGAAACCGGTGTTTCCCCCTCCTCAGCCGCCATTTGATGGATCTCACGCGCATCGGAAAAGGCCGCGCAGTTTGGCTCATCCAGAGCAGAATGCGAGAATGCCGCGCAAGGAAACGGATGTCGTTGACCGCATTTGGCATGATATCGACGCGGAGCAACGGGAAAAACAGGCACGAAAGAAGGCGGCAGCTGAGGAGGCCAGGAAGTCGGAACATCCGGTTACGAGTGCCGGTCAGTGCGTCGAGCTGACAGTGAACAATCTGAAGAACTTCAGGAATGACGACTCGACGGTGAATGACGTGAGTGAGGAGAAAAAAAGAACCAAATGGGAAACAAAGAAATTTAGTTTATACGAAGAGAAGAAATGGTTGACAAACTTCTCGGGTACAAAATGCTGCTGGGTAAAATGGAAAACTGTGGAACTCTGGGGTACGAGAAGATGACCGAGCAAGAAGTGAGACAGTTGAGTCTCGATTATTTGAACAAAAATCCAGCACCGGATGCGGATCAAGAGCACAGACCGAGGATAGGGCCGCGGACTCCGAAGTCTCCGCCACAGGACGACGACTACGAAAGGAGTCCGAAAAGGCCGCGGAGAGGTCCGAAGACACCACCTGGATCGCCAGGGGGACCTCCGCCGGATCAGGCATTGATGAGTCGGCGGGATATGGTCGAACAGTTGGCGAACACGTTTGGACAGAGCACTCACGAAGTGGAGGAAGCACTGGGCGGAGAGCTGGACAAGGCTTTAGAAGACTGCTCGAAAAAGATAAAGAATGAAATGATGGAGACTTTCAAAGCGGCGCTGAAAAAGGTGGTCGATAAGAAGGCGAAAATGTAATAGTTTCCAGAAGACATTCCAGTACCTTTTAAAGTAGTTGCAGAGCAAGCGACCTTTCTGATCAGATGGAGCTGGTCTCCGACACGTCGCTTTCTGTCGACATGAGAACTGGAAAGAGGGAAGAGCCGGATGCACTCACTCAGTTCCGCATGAGTGTGCCACCACCACCAGTGCCCCCGCAGCTAATTCCGTCAGCTTATCCGTGAGAGATCTCGCTTCTCTCTATTTTTCATCTCTAACTGTTCAGGTATTATGCTCAAATGGCTCCGCCAGTTTATCAGTATCTCCCGCCTCCACCACAACCGCCATTCCAGACGAACATGATGTGCTATGTAATTTCTTTTCGTCCTTGATCTACTTCGATTTTCAATTTTTCAGCCTCCTCCGTCGGCACAGAACTTTGCACCGACTGGACCTCCGCCACAAATGCATTATCAGATGCCGCCTGCACAGCAGTACAATACTCAGTCGGCCTCCGCAATGGTACTTCCGCCAGTGAATGTGCCGCCTCCCCCGATGGGAGTTCGCATTGACACTCCGATTCCACAAGTGATACCTCCAGGCAGGCTAGGAAATGTCGAATCGGTAGCCAATTCTTGGATTTCAGTGGTTCCGCCCACCGGAATGCCTCCTCCGCCGATTCAGACACAGGTGCCACCGCCCATGTTGCCACCCAAAATGCAACATCCGCCTCCGCAGCCGACGTCGTCTGCACAGTACTCTGGAGATTGCTGGCGCCCCGCACCAGGACAACCTCCAGTAGCACTTCCTGCTGACTCGTGGCAGCAGCAAGCTCCGCCTCCAGTCCCACCCGCTGCTCCGCCAGTCAGCGCAGATCCATCGGTTATTGTGAACGTGCGAAGCACTCTGTTCTCCGCACTTGGTCTTCATAAGCCTCCGCCTCCTCCTCCGCCACTTTCGAGCACTCCTGTTCCGTACTCGTCGTTGTCCGTTCTGCCACCTCCTCCGCCTCCTCCGGTCATTGTTCCATCCACTCTTCCGTGTCATTTTCCTCCTCCTCCGCCTCCTCCGAATCCATCCTCGAATGGTGTCGTTTCTTCCTCTCCTTCCACTGGATACCGTAATCACGGGCCCGGTTCTCGCCTTCCTCCTTTCACAAATCAATTTTCAAACTTTTAAGCTTAAACTTCTTTTATCATCTGCGTATTCAATTTTATGAAAAACTTCTATTGCATCCTTTTTGTCAGTCGTCCGTCATGCCTTTTCGTTCTGGCACACCTAGTCATCAGCATTAATTCTTGTCATGAATCCCGTCTTACTAGTCTTCCGGTTCACTCATTTACTTCATGCTTCCTTTCTGCTTTTGCCATCTTTCTCTTCCAGTCAGTAAAGTTGAGCTTTCATCTTTCATCATTCGTAATAATTCCATTCAATTTTACGCTTTCCTTTTCTCGTCGAACAATTTCTTCTTTCTATCATCTAATCTATTCTCCATCGGACTCTTGTCACTTTTATAATTCTTCTATTTATTTTAAATTTATGCATACTGTTTATCATTGCGAATGCCACATAAAGATATTATTTGTGTAAAGAACGGTTACGACAGCAGGATATATTTTCAGAATCTTTTCCAGCTCGTGGCACGTTCAGCAGGTAAGCGAATTGTCGATTCGTTCCCATTTGCTTTGATTCTTACATTTATTCATCTATTCTATTATTTTTCTTGAACTAATAACTTTCATCAGGATGCGAAATCAGGCGGATAAAACGGGAGTTTATTCATTTCAATCATTTTCTGTGTTGTAATTATCGTTTTTTCATCAGTGTAATATTATCCATCTATTTATAAAGTTGCCAATTTTGTATATTAATGGCGCTCAGCTCTTTGAATCGCGCTCCACTGCGATTCCCGGTGGAAATTCAGCCCCGCAGTTCGCTGTGAATCCACGTGCAGTTCGGTAGAGCGCGATTCCAATTGCATCTGACACTATTTCGGTGACTGAATATCGGTCATGCTCAAGGGTAACTACAGTATTCAACTGAACTCACTGAAACCGTGAGCATTCGTCTGAAATTCGCACGTCTTCCATCGTCGGATGTGTGTCGTGCAGCCCGAATTGCCGACCACTCCTTCGATTGATGCACGTGGAATCAGAAGACACATTCGGAAGTGGGAGAGAGAGAAAGAGAGAGAGAGAGAGAGAGAGAGAGAGAGAGAGAGAGAGAAAGAGAAAAGGGAAAGCACGGGGGCGAAGGCGGTAATCAACTGGAAAAAGCGAGTGAAGCGGTCGTCAAGGCGACCGACGGATAACCGAAGGAGCCGAAGAGCGAGCGCCTGCGTGAGTAACTTTAATGAATCGCGATGAGCACGGTCATTCTGTGCCATACGGAATCGCCGAACCTCGATGCGCTCCGAGCCTCCAACGCGAACATCGTGCGCTATTCGGTCGGAGTGAAGATGAACGAACTGAAAGGTGAGCCAGCCAACCGAACCCCTGCCCAGACCTGTCCAAATTTGAGATATGCTAAAGCAGTACGCCTCCGTTCGCATCCAAAATCTCGGTCTCCACATTCAGAACCGTGACACGAAGCTTCGCATTTTGGAGGATATGGTAATTGGGTGGTTAGATGAGGCTTCTTGATTTCGAACCGAACAGGAAATCACGAAAGAGTCGCTGGAGGACGCCGGCTCGTTCGTCTCGCAGTTCTTCCGCTGGCTCATCTCGGAGGTGCTCGTCGAGGGCGCCTTCATCGACTTCCTGCTCACGATTCCGATTGAGAACGCCTCGCAGATCTGTCTCGCAGTGCAGGGCGTCAGTAAGAAGAAGGTGTCCCTCTCGGTCCCGCAACTTCATTAATCCTCTTTTCATTTCAGCTGTCCGTCCGGCTCGTCAGCAGATTCCTCTCGACGGAACTTGCTCCTCACAACAGGTCTGTCCTCTGTTTTGTGTTCTTCTCCCTTTCCGTCCCGACACAAATCCCTTAGCAACCACGCGCGCCCCCTTTCCCCGTCTAATGAGCTCTCGCCCAGTCGCCGGGCGGTTTGATTCGTTTAGTGCATTCTGCCGTGTCCAACTTTTGTTTCTCATCCACCTGCCAGCCACCCTCTATTTATACGTTTCAGAAGAATTATCGATATTTATATAAACCATGATATAATGATCACGAATCCGAATCCGAGAGCCAACTCGGCTCACAATAGGTACGAAAGGATACGGACGGTTGGAAAAGGTGAGCAGAATTGGAGATTAGGAGAGAAAATGATGATGATGACGTGGCAGGAGCATTCGGATCGGCGGTGCTCTACAGACGGAGAGAGGACAGTTCGCTGGTGATTATAAAGGAAATCAACATGTACGATTTGGACAGTTCGCAGAGAAGATTAGCCTTGAACGAGGTTGGTGCGAGAGGACATCTAGTTGTATGCGAATCCAAAAGTGACTAACCCAATTGTTCCATCTAGACTAAAGCAAACTTGGCAATCAGTGAACCAAGTTGTCGCCAATCCGCCAATTCCCTTTCATAATACTAGTGTGACATAGATGTTTGAGCCCCCGTGCCTCCATTCTTTCCAGTGCTAATCACACGAAAATGAAAGGTTTCGCTGCTGTCCCGCATCGAACACCCCAACATCATCGCCTATTATGACTCGTTCGAGGAGGAGGGCGTGCTCATGATCGAGATGGAATACGCGGACGGCGGGACGCTGGCGCAGCTGCTCGCGCGGAGCCAGAACCTTCTCGAAGAAGAGCTCATCGGCGACATGATGATCCAGATGTGCTCGGCGGTCGCGTATTTGCACGAGAACAGTGTGCTTCACAGGTTTTTGGAAAGAGAGATCATCTGAATTCAGAGGGACTTTCAGAGATTTAAAAACTGCAAATGTGTTCCTGACGCGAGATTCGTTCGTTAAAATTGGCGATTTCGGAATTTCGAAAATAATGGGAACGGAAACATTGGCTCAAGGAGCGAAGACCGTCGTCGGAACTCCCTACTACATCAGTCCGGAGATGTGCTCCGGAGTTTCGTACAACGAGAAAAGTGACATGTGGGCACTGGGCTGCATTCTCTACGAAATGTGCTGTCTGAAGAAGGCGTTCGAAGGAGATAATCTGCCCGCATTGGTCAACAATATCATGACTGTAAATACGCAATTCCCAAGAATCCAATGTAGATCGAGGTGTTTCAGTGTGCGTATACTCCCGTCAAAGGACCGTATTCGTCTGAAATGAAGATGGTGATCCGAGAGCTTCTCCAGCTGGATCCTCAAAACAGACCGTCGGCTCCCCAGGCACTTAAGGTACTCAGTCCCGTTTTCTCTCAATCCATTCGGTTCCAGATGCTCCGTCCTTCCGAGAATCGCCATCGACACACTTCGGGATCAATGCGCTCATCCGCCTCGTTTTCGACCCTCTACGATCTTCACATTTCCACAATCGCCCTCTCCCAGATATCCGATTTGCCGTGTCGAATATCAGTGAAACAGATTGTGCTCAGTGAGACGCACACTCTGATTCTCACGAACGACAACGAATTGTTCGCGTTTGGAGACAATTCCTGCGGTCAGCTGGGCTTCGGCACATTCACCAAAGCGTCAGTTTCAACATGAAAATTCAAAGGAAACCGGATAATTGCAGAGAAAGTGCCCGGCTCGTGGACAGTTTGAAAGGAAGAGATATCCAGACGGTGGGAGCTGGAAACTACTTCAGGTGACATCTTCTGACCGTCTCTTTCCCAATCCCTCGTTTCCAGTGTTATTTGCTGCGACAGAGGGACTTTGATGACGTTCGGAACGGCCAAGAACCTCGGATTGGGACGGGATGCCAAAGATTCGGCCAAACCGATTCTCCTGGAACAGTTGCTGCGGGAGAATATCAAGGATGTTTACTGCGGATACGATCACGCCGTGGCCGTCCTTGAGAACGGAGAGTGTCTCGGATGGGGCAGCAATCAGTTCGGACAGCTCGGACTGCCCACTCTCGATCACTTTTTCACGCCCACAAAGGTAGGAATTAGCAGTGGGAGTGAGTGTAAACAGAAGACAAATACCAGATTCCGATGCCTAATAACAAGAAAATCGTGTACGGCAAAGCTGGGAAAGACGCGACAATGCTGTTGTCGGACGACGGAACTCTCATCGCGATGGGTTCGAACAAGCACAACAAACTGAATCTCGCGCAGAGAATGGGATTCTTCTCAAAGGAGAAAAAGGTGAGAAAAGACTGAGGAATGGGAAAAAACTGGGAGTGAATTGAAGACTTCCACTGATTACGTGAACAAGCCGACGATTCTGCAAGGGTTTCCGGAGAGAGTCGTCGATTTTTCGGTGGGAACTTTCCACTCTGGAGGTACAGACACTCTTCCCTCGCTTCTTGAGATGTTCAGAATGTTTCAGTGATTTTGGAATCCGGGCAGGTGATGCTTTTCGGACGGAATAACAACACTGAACTCGGCTTGGGACACTGCCAACGGATGGCGGTCCGGTGTGTGAAACCAGTGAAGTCTCTGCTCCATCACGCCTGCACGGTTAGGACTCTCTTTGTCTCTTTCCCTCATTTGCATCCTTTCAGCATGTTCTATGCGGCGACGGGTTCACATTGGTGAGCACGACGGAGCAGGAATTGTACTTTTGGGGACGGAAGGACGCGCTGGACGACTCGATTTACATTGAAGATCTGGAAGAGACGGTGAGCGACAAAAAGATGAGAAGGACGACAAGCGAGATTTTCGACAAGAACGTCGTCACTCTGCCCTCCCTGATCCTCAGGTAATCTCCCGATCTCGTGGCCTTTCGAACTCCAGAAAATTTTTGGTCTTTTCAGGCTCCAAGACGAACGAGGAGACAAAGGCGCTCGGCTTTCCGGTCTGGCGGTTTCGAGTCGAAAAGTGCACGTGGTGGTGGATATGCTCGAGGGGAAAAGGTATTTGAGCGGGGGGCCTTTAACGAGCACTCCATCCATTTGCAGACTTCCGTCGGCGCTCGCTGAAAGGTGTCGGAGTGGGTCGATGTCGACGATCAACGACGAGCCCAGCACGTGGCTGAGGCACGAGTTGGAGCAGGCAGAATTTATTCCGATCGACGCTTCCAAACGAAGAGTGCGCTTCGACGTGCCCCGAATGTAAATATTTCTTAAGAGTTGTGAGTTTGAATCATTCCATTTGAAGGGATTCCACAGCCAAACGAAACTCTTTGATGCAAGAAATCGAGGACCTGAAAAAGAAAATAAAAGAGCAAGACACGACGTTCGAGGGCCATCGCAACCAGATGTCCGATTTGGAGTCGAAGCTGCAGGAGCTGCAAACAAAGCAGGCGTTTTTGCGAAAGTCGGAGCCTCCGCCGGCGTACGACCGCAGGAATGTGACCTACAATAAACTGTTTCCCGAGAAGACGACCACAAGTACGGCGTGCGTTATTCTCTAATTAATTCTTAATTTTCCTTCGGTGATAAATATTTATTGAATCTAATAAAGCCATTTGAAGATCCTGAGAAGAAGGTAGAGAGGCAAAAGAGTGATGACACAGTAATAGATTGAAATGAGAATGTAAATGTCTGCGAATGACCTCTGGAACCAGTGCAACTGTCGAATGTACGGATCCATCTGGCTGAGTGGTCCGAACTTGGCCACGAATTCCGTGTGCTTCACGACCAGTTCCTTCGGTTTGAACGGACTCGCATTCAGAAGAGCGGCCAGCTCGTTCGCTTTCTTCGAATAGCTCGCATCGAAGAGGATCTTCCGCACGTACTCTTTCAGCAGATCCTCCTTTTCCAGGTCGAACTTTTGCAGCACTATGGCGCCTCCGTGCCTCGCCAACATCGGAGCATTCCTTCCTTGGTCCCCGAAGATTGGCACCACAATCGCCGGCTTGCCGATGTACGCCAGTTCGTTCGTGCTGCCGAGGCCTCCGTGAGTCAAGAACGCAGAGACTCGGATGTCATTCAGAAGAGCCGTCTGGGGAATCCATTTGACGAAGTGCACGTTTTCAGCTCCTTCCGCCCATTCCAAGTCGTCTGATTCGTACTTCCAAATGAACGTTACTTTTGGAAATGATTTTATCATTTTCAGAATTGTATTTCTGGAAAAGCTGGTTGTGTTCATAGAGGGCTTCTCGTTCGAACGAACCTCCATTTCTCGGGCATCGTGGCCGATTTGACCATCGATCCGAACGAAATGAGCAGGTTGTGCTCTCTTTTATTCAATATTTCATCCCATTTGCCATCCAGTTTCTGTGCTCTGATCGCATTGATCTCCACCGAGATGCCCGCAATCGGAACCGTCTTCTGAAGGACCGGTCTCGGGAAATCGAGGTACGGATTTGAGTTGGTGAACATGAGAGAAGCGCCCGGAAGGAGCTCCCGCCAATGGCCCACTTTCTGCCCGAGATTCCCTCGATATCCTCTCATTTCCTCGTCAAACATAGCCTCCAAATTGCTCGCCATCACGTCTTCGGCCGCCCAATTCGTGTACCTTTGCCACATGTCCATTTTCTCGTCGAAGTACGCTCCGTGCACCGGCACATAACTCATGTCGACGGGCTCGCCAGTGTTCCTCACAACTCCCTCGTATTGGGTCGTCGAGCTGGCCAGTATGGTTTTGTTAATTCCGAGCGCATCGAAATAGCCTGAAAAGTGCTTTTATCATTAGTTGACCGGCTCTGAACTGACCGAGACCGCACACCGAAACGGGTTCCGCAATTGCCACGTCAAAGTGAATCTTGGAAAGATTCTCGAATACTTTTCTGTTGGCCGTGAACTCCTTGCAGGTGGTTTTCATCATTTCGAGGAAGAATCCAAAACACTAAAGAATGTCTATTGAAAATTGTTTTCTGAAGAAACTTACAGTGGCAAAGTCAATTGGTCTGTTTTGAATTTCCCATAATGGCCTCAGAATCTCATCCATATTCACATTCTGGCCTTCCGTCACTTTTTGATCCTCCTTCTGGAAGTACATTTTAGGATCATTGAAAAAGTGCAATACTCACATCTACAATGATAACGTTTTTGGTAAGTTTGACTCCGATCTCGTGTTTTCTGGTCGCATCCGCAACAGGAACCAGGAAGGTCTGCAAACAAAACATTTCGTTTTGAAAACAAAAAGTAACCAACCACATTATGTCCCCTTTCCGTCAGAGTGTCCGCAATATTACCCATGAACTTGCTGTGACTCCCACCGAAGACAGGAGAGTACACGAGAATGTTGAGAGGATTTTCGGCTTCGCATCCCGCCAAAACGAGAAGAGTGCAGATGGGAAACAGGGCAAGGAGCAGCATGCTTCGGACTGACTGCACCAGACAGCGGTCATTTTAAGAGGGAGGAAACGATTGCACAATATTGCACTCGCTGTGATCGGACGATCTTTGGTGTAGCAGGACAATGAGAGAAAATGACTGAGACGAGAGAGAAAGCGGCGGTGAGTACAAACTTATTTTGCAGTTCTTACATCCAAAAAGCAAGCAAAAAAGGTTAAGGAGGCCTGTCACTTAGAAACTAGTTCTAAAACCACTAATATTACTCGATAGAGCACCAAAAGCGACATTGGGCCATAAAGAACTATTCGTCGCTCTTCTCTAAAAACTCTTTGTCTTGAGACTTATATCTCGAGAACCGATAATTATTTCCAGACATTGCCAACTAAAAACTTGTTGCAAATTTTGTGCTGAATAACTTTGCAATTGACTAGTTTATTTCTTCTTTAATTCTGAGCAAGTTTCTAAACAGTATCCACTAGGGCGACAAAACAAAATGCAGTGCTGTATCTGAAAGACGAGTCCCGTAACATTACAGGCGGATTCCGCGAGAAATCGGCTGTTGTCCCATTCTCTCAAGTACCGGTCGCGCATCCGCTTGTCTTAGAGACTATTCTAGAGGTGGTAGGAATACGGTTGAGACCTGCAGAATGTGCTCCGTGGCCGAAGACTTGTGAGAATGTCCCCGAGCCCTGTTTTGTTGTTTCATCGATGTTCCATTTCTATGGAATCGGAAATCTTTTAACACACAAAGTACCCAAGTTTTACACTAAAATCAACGAAACGGCGGAGAAGAACGTCTCCCGTGAAAGTGATCAATCAGATTATCTTCGTCTGCTAAGATGATTCAAAATGACTCTCTGCGGCCACAAAAACTACATTCGACGCCAGGAAATTCATGTGAAAAAATGATGATGAGACGGATGTTTTGTGAACTTTTACAACCATCCGGAGACCATTCCGAGCAAGTGAAACCTTGAAAATTAGCTGAAAAGATGATAAAACATTCGATGATTGAAAAACAATAATTAAAAGACTATCTTTCCATAACACTTTACAGTGTCAGCTACCGTAATCCATCGTTATCACGTGATCGTGTTCAGTCACAGAATTTTATGACCCCAGCAGATGATATATCGACTACAGGGACTACAGAACCACTTTCAGAATGTCCCCATCTTGTTTTGTTTCGGATTGGGCGGGAACTTATCAAAATGAGTATAAATGAGTGCACGGCAGAGATCGGAAAAGGAAAGGGAGAATCATGATCCGTCTTCTCGTCGCCTTTCTTTTCGTTTCGCTTGCTTCCGCTTTCAATGTACTCGTTCTTTCGCCGGCTTTCGGAGGAAGTCACATGAACTTTATGGCTCACTTGGCAGATACGCTCACGGAAGCAGGTCACAATGTGGTCAGTTGAGGATCCCCCTTCTTCCATGCCCCCTCTCTTTTTCAGACATTCTTGATTCCCGTGGCAGACGAAGCAAGAAAGAATCAACTGGGAGTGAAAGTCACAAAAGACGTCGTCATCGTTGAGGTTTTGAGACGAAAAGTCATTTATCTGTTGCATTTCATTATTTCAGCAAGACGATGTGATGAAGAAGGACACTCTGATTGTGGATGATCATATGGACATGATGTGGACGGTCGACACGCATGATCCGAACTTCGAAGAGGTGTGCTTTTCTTCCATTTGCAGTTCTCACATCCTCTCCGATTTCAGATGTTATTCTGGTTCAACACAATAATGGAGTTATCGTGCGCCAACTTTTTGAGGAACACACAAGTGTTTGAGCAGATGAAAGAACGCAACTTTGACGTGGCAATTCTGGAGCCGCTCTCCGTGTGCGGACTGGGATACTTCAAGCGGTTGGGCATCGAGAAGACGATCCTCGCTTCCTCTTGCTCTCTTTACGATTTTGTCGTCCCGAACACCGGAGAGCCGGAAGAGCACAGTTATGTTCCATGTGAGTGAGGGAAACGGAGGGCATTCTGAGTACAGTAACCGAGAGTTTCAGCACTTTCTGCTCAAACTGGAGAGCAAATGAATCTTTTGGAGAGGTACAAGAACTACAAACTCTCAAAGGTTTGTTGGAATTTCGGACGGACGACAAGGAATGTCTTTCATTTTCAGGAATCCAGACGGACAATCGAGAGATTGTTCGACAAGGAGACTGCAATGTACCGTGAGCATTTGGGAGAAGATCTTCCCCATTGGAGGGAGCTCCTTCCCGCCGCCTCATTCTTTTTCACCAACTCGAATCCATACTTGGATTTCCCTCGTCCTGTTCTACAGAAAACCGTCGCGATCGGAGGAATTTCGGTGAATATGGACAAGATCCGATCGCAGAAGATTAACGAGAAATGGGATGAGATACTCGAGAGAAGGGAGCGCAACATGCTCATTTCATTCGGGTCAATGGTCCAATCGTATCAAATGCCTTCTGAATGGAAGCAAAACGTTCTGAGAGTGATCCGATCCGAGCCGAACGTCACTTTCATCTGGAAGTACGAAACGAACGACACCTCGTTCGCGCACGGCATCGACAATCTCGTGTTCTCTCAGTGGGTCCCCCAGACGGCCCTTCTCAACGACGACCGTCTGACGGCGTTCCTCACGCACGGAGGGCTCGGCAGCACGAACGAACTGGCTCATTGCGGGAAGCCGGCAGTAACTGTACCAATATTCGGAGATCAAGTTCGGAATGCAAACATGCTCGCGAGACACGGAGGAGCGATATTCGTGTGGAAGAACGAGCTGGGAGATTTCGGAGTGCTCCGGAGAGCAGTTCACTCGATTCTCTACGATCGGAAGTACACGGAGAGCGCCCGTCAGCTGGCCTCCATCCTTGAGAATCAGCCCCACCAGCCAAAGGATCTGGTGGTCAAGCACACCGAGTTTCTGGCCAAGTGAGTGATCCGTTCCCTTCGATCATTCATCTATTTTTATGCAGATACGGTCCGTTCCCTCAAATGGATCCCTACGGTCGTAAACTGAATGTTTTCGCACGCAATTTCTTGGACGTCTATGCTCTCGTGGCTTTAGGTTACACAGTAATCGCCACTGTTTCCATTCTCACTCTGAAGTTTGTGCTCTCCAAAGTTTCGATTCGAATCGTCAAGAAGAAGGATTTCTGAAATTGGGCTCTCTTTCTCTCTCTCTCTCTCTCTCGTTATCGGGTTTCTCCCTCAATAAATGCTTTACTTCTCTGTTTGGGATCAAACTTTAAAAGTCAACAAAACGTTGTGCAATAGTTCACAACTGGGCGACACTCTCTCTCCCCCCGATTATAATCAGAAAACCAGTCCGTCAAGTGTCTCCATTCGTCGCTTTTCCGCTGATAACGATGTCGTCCGTCTGGCTTCTCTCCGTCTCTCTTCTCTTTCTTCTCTCCTCCCCGATCTCTGCTCTCAATATCCTCGTTCATTCGCCCGCATATGCCGCCAGCCACACCAACTTCATGGCCAGACTGGCAGATACGCTCACTGAAGAAGGTTTCAATGTGGTCGGTCGAGATTCGGACGTAAAATAATCAGATCTCTTCGTTTTCAGACATTTCTAGTTCCGATTGCAATCGAGGACAGAAGAGATAAACTGGGAGTGAAGAGCACAAAAGATGTGATCATTGTGGAGCAAGACGAGCAGATGAAAAGGGAACTGAAGCCCAGCAGCGGCAGCATCGAGTTCCTCTGGATCATCGAAATGGATTCGTCCAGCATTGATACAGTACGTAGTGTCCAGTCATTCCTTTTCCTTTCATCTTTCTTTTTTCAGATGATAAACAACAGACATACCCCCCAAGAGTTATATTAATAAGAATGATTGTTCAGATGTTCTCCTGGTACAATGACATCATGGCCTTGACGTGTCAAAACTTCATGAGGAACAAAGAAGTGCTCGCCGAGCTCAAGTCTCGGCACTTTGACGTGGCAATCGCAGAGCCGTTCACAATTTGCGGACTGGGAATTTTCGAGGAATTGAAGATTCAGAAGACTATTCTGGTTTCCTCTTGTACACATTACGATTTTATGCTCCCGCACATCGGAGAGCCGGAGGATTTCAGCTCAGTTCCAAGTGAGCCGATTGATTTCGAATGCTCAACACTTAATTTGAATTTCAGCCCTTTCGAGTAAAGTCGGAGAGGAAATGAGCATGGCTGAGAAGTGGGAGAACTACCGGCTGGTCGAGGAGACGAAGAAGAGCCTCGCGAAACTGTTCGATGCGGAAACGAGCACGTACCGAAAGGCATTCGGGCAGAACGTGCCGAACTGGAAGGATCTTATGGCCTCCGCTTCTCTCTACTTCACAAATTCGAATCCTTTTATTGATTATCCACGGGCTTCCATCCAGAAAACCATTCCAATCGGAGGTATCACAGTCGATTTGGAGAAAATTAGAGCGGAGAAACTGGACGAACAATGGGAAAAAGTGCTGAACGAAAGAGAGAAGTCGATGCTCATCTCGTTCGGATCCAATGTTCCATCCGCGAAAATGCCCTCTGCATGGAAGTAAGTTGACCATTTATTGAACGAATATAATCAATCACTACAGATCTGGAATCCTGAACACAATCAAAGCGATGCCAAATGTGACTTTCATCTGGAAATACGAATCGGATGACGTGGCGTTCGCCGATGGAATCCCGAACATCCACTTTTCCAAATGGGTCCCCCAGACCGCCCTTCTGGGAGACCGTCGGTTGAGTGCCTTTCTGACGCACGGAGGTCTCGGCAGCACGAACGAACTCGCTTATTGTGGGAAGCCCGCAGTGATGGTCCCAATCTATGGGGACCAGACGAGAAATGCGAACATGCTTGCGAGACACGGATCCGTGATTGTGCTGCACAAGAAGGATTTGGCCGATGCGCAACGAGTTCAATCCGCCGTTCATTCTGTTATTTTCGAGGAAAAGTACACGAGAAACGCGGAGAGAATTGGAAAAATGCTTGCGAATCAGCCGATGAAACCGAAGGAGACTTTGGTGAAATACACAGAATTCGTGGCAAAGTGAGTGACGAACACGAAAGAGTGGAAAAATCGGACATTTTCAGATACGGTCCCTTCCCTCAGATGGATCCCCACGGCCGCAAATTGCACTTCTTCCAGAAGACGTTCCTCGACATTTACACTTTTATTTTCTCCGTTTTCGTTGTCACCGCTCTGGCCTTTTACATTCTGGTCAAATTCATTTTTTGTTTTGTTAAAGTCAAATCTGATTAGTCTGCTCTAATTGATTTCGAATCATTGACTACGGGTTTTAATGAACTTACTGGAACTGCCGTCCACGCTTGACACTTTTGAACACTTTAGGACACTGTTGGAACACTTCCATCTTCCAGATTTGTTTTTATTTTGTTTCTGTCGACCCGCAGACTTCTCAAATCAACTGCTTCCCTCTTTTCTGCGTTCTCTGATCTTGTGGTTTGTGATCACAAAGAGGCGTTCCCCGGTAAAAGACAGTGAGAAGGAGGGGCGGATGAGATAGGAAGAAGACTGCCACAGTTCCTCGTTTCCGTGCTCGCAATGCTCCTTCTTCTCATTCTTTTCCCTTTTATCGCTTCCGTTTTCCCTCTGAACATTCTCGTTTATTCGCCTGCGTTCGCCGTCAGTCACAGTAATTATCTGGGTAAACTCGCGGACACTCTGACGGAAAGAGGACACAATGTGGTGAGAATCCTCTTCTCGAATCTTTCCAATATGCTCCTGAACTGCAGACATATTTGATGCCGATAGTTGAGAATGGGAAGCGGGAAGAGTGTTTGGGAGTGAAACGGACGAAGGACGTGGTGATTGTGGAAGCGGGAGAGGAAATGACGGCACGGAAAGAAGAGACGGCGTCGAGCGACGAGATCTTGGAAGTGTTCTGGAAAGTGGAGATGGACTCTTCCAACTCCAGAGATGTCATTTCACTTGCCTTCAATTAAACATCACATTCTCTTTTCAGATGTTCAAATACTGGAGTAATACCATGAAAATCGCGTGCAAGAACTTCCTCCGTCGTCGCGATGTCTTCGAAGAAATGAAAGGAAGGAAGTTTGACGTGGCAATTGTGGAGCCGATCAGTATTTGCGGGCTCGGATTCGTGAAGGCTCTGGGCATCGAGAAGACCATTCTCGCCTCCTCGTGCACTTTCTTCGACGTCGCCCTACCGTACCTCGGAGAGCCACTGGACTTCAGCTATGTGCCGGCGGGATTCAGTGCGACTGGCGAAGTGATGACAATGGCGGAGAGGTACGAGAACTGGCAAGTGACGAGGGTAAACGAGTTGAGTGAGAGAAACAGAAATAAATGGAATTCAGGAGATTTCGATCGCACTCGAAGACATGTTCGATGGAGAAATGAGCAGTTATCGAGAGTTTCTGGGCGCCGAGCTTCCCGACTGGAGGGACCTCCTTCCGGCCGCTTCCCTCTTTCTCGTAAACTCGAATCCTTTCCTTGATTTCCCTCGGGCGGTCATCCAGAAGACAATCCCAATAGGAGGCATTTCGGTGAATTTGAAATGGATAAAAGAACAGAAACTCTCTGAGGAATGGGGAAAAGTGCTGAACAGAAGAGCGCACAGCATGCTCATTTCTTTCGGATCGATTGTCAAATCGACGCAAATGCCGAAGAAATGGAGGTGAGTCAGAAAACGAGATTTCAACGAGGAATTCCGTTCAGAAATGGGCTGCTGGAAGTGATCAGATCGATGCCAAATGTGACTTTCATCTGGAAGTACGAGTCGGATGACGTGGCGTTCGCGGATGGAATCCCCAACATTTACTTCTCCAAATGGGTTCCCCAGACCGCCCTTCTCCACGATTATCGTTTAACGGCGTTTCTGACGCACGGAGGGCTCGGAAGCACGATGGAGTTGGCGTTCAGCGGAAAGCCAGCCGTCATGATTCCCGTGTTCGCCGATCAAATTCGGAATGCAAACATGCTTGCCAGACACCACGGAGCCATCTACCTGCATAAGAACTATTTGGAAGATGTGGCAGTCACCCGGAAGGCATTACAAGACATTCTTTTCGATGAATACTACAAGAGGAATGCTCGGAAATTAGCTGAAGTTCTTGCAAATCAGCCGAATAGTCCGAAGGATTTGGTCATCAAGTGGACTGAATTCGTGGGAGAGTGAGTTCCTTTACAGATAATGGAACATATTCACTTTCATTCCAGATACGGACCGTTCCCGCAGATGGACCCCTACGGCCGCAAGCTCAACTACTTCCAGAAGACGTTTCTCGATATCTATGCTTCGTTCGCTTTGGTCCTTGTCATTTTCTCCATGCTCACAATTTTGTTCGCCAGATTTGTCTACTTCAAACTTTGGAAGCATATCAACATGAAAAAAGTAGAGAAAAATGAATAGGATTACTGTTTGAAATGTTTTATGTTTTGTGGCCATCGTCAATAAACTAGCTAAACTAACTTTTGAGATCAAAATACAGTCAAAAAGTGTCGGAGACAATCAGAATCATGCTTTGTGATCAAGTCACAGATTGGAAATTGCGCAATATTAGAGATGTGTCTTCAAGTAATCTTTTAAACATTGTAATGGGGAAGGCAAGTAATCAAGCGAACACATTTACTGTAAATACTGTAATTGAAGAGAACACCAACACCGTTCATTCAAGACGATGTATCTCAGCTGTCTGTAGAAATATCAACAAGTGTCCTACTAATGAAACGTGCGCAATGTGTTAATGACCAATTTTTCAGTTGGCCACTTTTTGATATCTCTGCAGAAAACTGAGCTCTATCGTCTTAAATGAACAATATCGGATGCCCTTCGAACATCGACTCAAAATGAACGTAAGAGTGTTCTTCAAGTTTGTCAAACTCGAATTATTGACATCCGTCTCCCATTACTCGCCAACTAGAAGGGAAGGAATAGAATGTTCCCATCGTGACCAAAGTGTTCCCCACAACAAAGTACGGTCTATATTCCTTCTCATCATCAATATCAATATCAACATCATCTGCAACCACTACGCAAACTACGAAAGCTACGAGGAGCGAGTGGGCGCGGCCTCTTGTTTGAGAAGACGATAAATGTATAAAAAAGGAATGGAGGGAAAGAAAGTCAGCCAGCCACTGGTCGCCATGTTGATCCCATCAATTATTCTGTTTTCCCTTATCGCACTCGCTCCAGTCAATGCCTACAACGTTCTTGTGTATTCGCCGTCGTTCGGCGGCAGCCATACTAACTTCATGGCGAGATTGGCGGACACTTTGACGGAAGCAGGACATAATGTGGTATGACTGAAGACGTCAAATATTTGAGTAGGCAATTAACTTTCAGACATTCCTCGTTCCGGTAGTAGATGAGGCCAGAAAAGGGCAGTTGGGGGTGAAGAAAACGAAGGATGTTGTTGTGGTCGAGGTTGTTTTGAGTAGGCACGTGCACCCGTTGAATAGACAATTTCAGCAAGACGAGGAGATGAAACGGCAAATCATTCCGATTGACGATGATATGGAACAGTACTGGACGACGGATATCGATTCGTCCAACGCAGAAACGGTGAGAATGAACGATTGGGTTCCACTTGCATTCTCATTCTTTTCCAGCTATTTTCCACGTTCAACAAAGCATTCTTCCTCTCTTGCAACAATTTAGTGCGAAACAAGAAGGTTTTCAATGAAATGAAGGCTCGGAAGTTCGACGTGGGAATCTTCGAGCCGGTCTCCGTGTGCGGCATGGGATTCGCGAATGCGCTCGGAATCAAGAAGACCATTCTGGCGTCCTCGTGCACAATGTATGACGCGGCAGTGGATGCAGTCGGCGAGACGCTGGACCTCAGTTATGTGCCGGTGATGATGAGCAAGTTCGGAGAGAAAATGAACATTTTGGAGCGACTCGAGAACCTGCGAATGGCGAGAGCCACGTCCCGAATGCAGCAGAACATGTGGGACGAGGAGACGAGAATCTACAGAAAGAGTCTGGGAAATGAGGTTCCGCATTGGAGAGATCTCTTGCCCGCGGCTTCCGTCTTTTTCACCAACTCGATTCCATACATGGATTTCCCGAGATCGGTCACCCAGAAAACCGTTCCAATCGGAGGTATTTCAGTGGATATCGCCTCGATCAAATCGCAGAAACTGCCGATCGAATGGAGCACAGTTTTGGACGAGCGCCCGTACAGTATGCTCATTTCGTTCGGCTCGATGGTTAGAAGTATGGACATGCCGAAGGAATGGAGAAGCAATCTTCTCGAGGCGATCCGATCCGAACCCAATGTCACTTTCATCTGGAAATACGAATCGGACGATCTCGGCTGGGCGGAAGGCGTCCAGAACATCCACTTCTCCAAATGGGTCCCCCAGACCGCCCTTCTCAATGACGACCGTCTCACCGCATTCATGACGCACGGAGGACTCGGCAGCACGAACGAGCTCGCCCACCTCGGAAAGCCCGCCCTAATGGTTCCGGTGTTCGCCGACCAGGATAGGAATGCGAATATGCTGGCCAGGCACGGCGGAGTGTCGGTTATCCACCGCAAAGAACTCGGGAATGCGAAGAGGATGCGGGCAGTCATCTGCTCGGTTTTGCACGAGGAAAAGTACAAGAGGAATGCGCGGAAACTGGCCGATCTTCTCGCGAATCAGCCAATGAAACCCAAGGAGCAAGTGGTCAAATACACAGAGTTCGTGGCCAAGTTCGGCCCGTTTCCGGAGATGGATTCGTACGGACGGAAGCTGGGATTCATTGAGAAAAACTTTGTGGATATTTACTTTTTCATTGGCCTTTCGTATCTCCTGATATTTGCCGCTCTATACTTTTCTGTTAGATTCGTCTTCTCTAGAATTTCATTCAAGTTAGTCAAAAAGGATTAACTCTCTCTCTCTCTCTCTTTGTGTACTGATTCTCATACTGTTCGGGTAGTAATAAAACGTTCTTCATCTAGTCAAGTTTATGAAAAATGTACACTAATGATAAAACGGGCAAAAAAAAATAAATTGGCACAAGAATCGAGCAATGTCTCAAACGGAATGGAATGTCATGAAAGTTGTGTTGAATCGGTCATCTAATTTTTTTTTCTTGTTCACGGTCCGTTCACGCACATTGCCGTAATCGGTTTTATGTGTCCATCCCATTGCGCCACTTTGCTTCCGCTCACCACGTCCCAGATCTTGACTTGATTGTCGCCGCCGCCGGTGAATATGTACCGACCTTCGGACGAGAAAATGGCATCCCAATTCCAGGAGCAGCCAGTTCGGAGACAAGCCACTTGCTCCATCGTTTCCGAATTAATCACTACCACTTCCTGATCTGATCCCGACGCGACAATCCATTTTCCATCGGGACTGTATCGACAAGACAGTCCGTATCCACGTGGCATCCGATGCACTCTGTCTTCATCGCGCAGATATGCGTAAGTGCCAGTTTCCTGCTCGACGGGCACAATTGGCGATTTGAACATATCGAAGGAGTTGGCCTCCACCTGTCGGGTCATCAGATCCCAACACAGAAGACGTCCCTTGTTCGTCAGTCCGGTCAGCTTCTTGCCAGACGGATGAACGGTCAGCCTCTGCACGTGCTCCAGAATGTGCATTTTATCCGGCATCGGAAGCCGCATGAACATGTGATTGACGACGTCCCAGATATAAACATGACCGGCATTAGTCGAGATGAAAAGATCGGTCTGGTTGATGTTGGGCACAATACTGGTCACTTGCGACGGTGTGAACTGCAAAAGACATTTCAAATTACAGGAATCCACTGAATCGGACTCACGGCTAGGAGCCGATTGGCCACCAACTGGTTGTTCCTCATCTCCCAAATCCTGCAAACTCCGTCGTCTCCGCCCGTGAACATCCATCTGCCGGTAGCTTCGAACCCAACGACAGTCACGTTCTTCGGAAGTTCGATCGTAGCTTTCGGATCTTTTCCGGACGAAACGTCGTAGATGCGAACTCTCTGCCATCCGCCGACTGCGAGATCTCTGCCAGTCGAAGTGAGACTCAGCGCATTCACCTTCAACTTCTCCTTCTTTTCGTTTTAAATGTTTCGCTTACCTGCCCCTCATTGTGCGGAATCGTTCCAATGCCTTTTCCCGAATTCAGATTCCACAATCGGATCGATTGATCGTACGAAGCACTGACGAGCAAAGCGTTCGGAGTCGCGTCGAACGGCGGTGGCGGATCCATTGTGATCTGGAATGCAGATTGCTTTCGGAAACTATTCGGGAGGACAGTTCAACGAAACCATTCTGCTCCTCCACGCCATTCAGTTCGCTTCTATGGACCTGTTCATGGACCATGGGCACTCGGACAACGGCACGACCCAAATGCAAGTAATCTCATAATCGATTATGACAATTCGGTTTCTATTAAACCCACAACGGGATTAAACTTTTATACGGTTCAGACTAACCGATAATAATTAACATTATTACCTTGAAATGACCAAAACAAACGTGCATCAGGGTATGGATGGTCGGTCCTACTCGCGCGGACTATACAAGCGGGAGGAAGGGCCGATGGATGAAGGGAATCATTGCAGTTCGATCCGTAAGCGAATTGGGGGAAAGGAAACAAAAACGAGGCGGGAATTCTAGTGAGAAAAAACAAGAAGAGGAACACGCAATGGATGAGTGAGAGGGAATAAATGGATAAGGGGAGGGCCCTGAGAAACCGACTAAAAGGTCGGCATAAAACGGGAAGCGTGAAAAAATGCGGTGGCTGTTGAACTTTAGGCGAACGAAGTCCGATGGACAGAATAGGGAACGGCAAAAAGGTAGAGAAGAAGGCGGCACGATGAAAAGTCTTACAATGAACAGGAATTGAAAGAGTACACAATAAAGCAAAAGAATCACAGAAAATTACTGATGAACAGATGAGGAGGTTGATGAGCCAGGGCCGCCGGCATGTCTGCGGGAAGAGACACGAGAGACGGAGACGGCTGCTGGACGCGAAGATTCGATGAATCGACGGAGTTGAGAGACCCATCGAGCACACACTTCCGGCTGAGTAGCCATCAGCACAAGCTCGCGCGAAAGGCCAGTGTCTGAAAAAGGATCATCTCGTTTCTCTTCCTTCATTTCAAAAGCTCACATCTGCATATCGGAGTGGTTCCCTTGACAACATGCTCCTTGTGTGTCTTGAAGTGACAGTTCTTGCATTCATATGCTGGTGTTGGTCGAATCATATCGGAAAGCTTCTTTCCGCAATCATCGCAGTGCGTCCGCATGTGATAAGTGAGCTCTTGAAAGTCGTGTCGCTTCCAGCTCTCCTCGCGGTGCGACTCAATCATGGAGAGATCCGAGTTGGAAGCGTGGCGAGAACTGCTTGAGGACAGGTCGTCGTACATGATCTGCAAGACACCCAGATTCAGAATAGTTTTAGAGAATCGTGCTCACATGGAATATCTTCGGAAGTTCATTGTCTTCGACGTTCCTCAAGTCGGCGGCAGTCACATGACGAACGTGAGCCATGGCTCCGGCTTCGATGTTCAGGATGGTGGTTCCCATTTTATCGTCGGTACAGATGACGAACGCGTACTCGTTGAGAACGACAAAATTGCTGACCCACTGGAAACAGATAATTATAATTCAGATTCTGGCAGTCAGTAAACCTTGGCCTTTCGCGATTTCTTGCTCGTCTCTCTGATAGAGAGCCATCCTTGCATGTTCTGATGCATCAGAGAGGGTGGAATGCCCTCGCGGGAGTCTAGAGACCTCTTGTCCTCGTAGCGCATCTCTCCGTTTCTGTTCGGATACTCACGGAACTCCTTCAGCTCGTCTCGCATCGCTTCGCAAGTCGATTGCATTTCTTGCATTTGCATGTTGTAATGTTCGGCTTGCTGAAAACATAGAAGGTAAAGACTGATGAACTCGAACTATACCTTTTCGATCTCGTTGTACAAGGAGGCAATCCTCTTCTTCAAACCATCATTCTCTTGTTGCATACTCATCTGAAAGATTACATATTTACTTCTGTTTCATTCGTTTAACTCACAATCTCGCGATCCTTTTTGATAAGTGCTGATTTGGTCACTCCCTTCTCGCCCTTTTTGAGTGGCTGCCTCTTTGCCATTTCCTCTTCCAACTTGTTTATCACCGCCTTTTTATGCGCTGTCTCTAGACTCAACTTCTTATTCAAGTCAGCAATCGTCTTTTTGTCGTTCGATTCCTGTTCGGATGACTCAATTCGTGACTGCTCTCTGATCTCATCCAATTGAACCTCGAGATGTTTCAGTGTCTGATCCTTGTTCAAGATCTCCTTTTTGTGTCGGTTCATCAGCTCCTGTACTTCCATTTTGAGCATTCCTCTCTCTTTGTCCGCCACAAGCAGGTTCTCTTCCAGGTTCTGCGTCTTCATTCTCTCGTTATCCAACTCGAGGCGTATTCCGTCAATCTTCCCTCTGAGCCCGTCCTCCTTGTATTTCGCTTCTTCATGACTTTCCATCAACTCGTCTTGGCACAAGGAAAGGACTCGTTCGTCCGTGTTTCGGCTGTCCATCAACTGTTCCACGCGGATTTCGAGTCGCCGTTTCTCAGCCACCACGTCCTGCAGATCTCTTTCCAGCTCTTTCCGTGCCTCTTTCATGTTCTTGTAGTCGTTCTGCAGCAACTCGTAGTTCGTCTCAATACCTGCTAACTTCCTGGCCACTCTGCTCTGATCGAACTCGGCGGCCGTCCGTTTCTGTTCCTCCCTTTTCCGTTCGTCGTGAGCCTGTTCTAACTGCTTCTCGTAGTACTGCATCTTCCGTTCCCATTCCGCATCGGTAGCTTTAGCCACACTCTGCTGGAACGCTCCGTTCTCTTTCCGTTCGTCCAGCGCCTTTTTCAACTGCATCGACTTTTCAGCCTCCACGGTCTGCAACAGTTCGTACTCCCTCTTGATCTCGGCGAATGCCTCGTCGGCATCTTTCTTCTGTTGGAACACTCTTTGCGTCTCGTTCTTCTCTTGTGCCAATTCGCCTGATTTCTTCCTAAGATCTTCTTTCAGCTGCTCGCATCGGTCACGGAACTTGCTCAGTTCTTCTTCCATTCCCTTGTTGTACTCTTTCGACATTCGCAGCTCGACCGTCAATTCGTTCACTTTCGTATCCGAATCTGCTCCGATTCTCAGTTTGTCCTTGTTTTCTCTTAATTCTCTTTCGAGTTCTCCGATTTTCACCGATAGTCTAAAAAAACATTTTATACTTGTTGAAGTTATGGTGTAGAGAGACTTACGAGTTTTTCTCGCTTTCAATCATTTGTGCTCGGATGTCAGATCTGTCGATCCTCTCTTTGAGCAGTTCGAGATCTCGGTTCTTCGCACTGATCTCCATCAGTGCGTTATTCAGCTCTTCTCTGGGAATATCGTTCATCGTTGGCTGCTCAATTGCCACCGCTTTCGGTTCGACTCCGTTCTGAACAACGCGTTTGAGCAAGTTCTGAACGGGACTGTATTCATTTGAGTAGGTGAATCCAATAAACGGAAGCTGGTTTCCGTTGAACGTCTTCGGCAGCTGGAAGTCTCCGGCGTGATCTCGGTCTCTAGTCTCGATCTCCTCGAAATGAGTGGTGTCGTCGTCAGACTTCAGATCCGGAACAACTGGCGGTGTAGCTGAAAACAGAACAGAAAAGTTGGATATTCAGAAGTGAATGAGCCTACCATCTCTCAGTGTCTCGAAATTCCATTCATTATTGACAAAGAATTTTTGATTCCGAATTTCATCGACGCTGTTCTTTCCGAGTCTTTCTGGAGCCGCTGACAGGAATCTCTTGATGATGTCCTTGGCTTGTGGGGAAATTGCAGGTTCATCGGGGAATTTGAGACTCGTCTTGTGGTCCATGATGTTCGTGTACGTCGAGACGAGGGCTTCTGCGTAGAAAGGTGTCTCACCGATGAGCATCTCGTAGATGAACACTCCGACGGACCACCAATCCACTTCTTTTCCAAACTCTGCGTCTTTTCCCTGATTTTTGAGCACTTCCGGCGATATGTAATCGGGTGTTCCGACTGCCGTCGAGCATTTGACCACTCCGTTCGCATTCATTCTGACACACGTTCCAAAGTCTGCCAATTTGATGTGTCCACTTCTGGATATGAGCATGTTGTCCGGCTTCACGTCCCTGTGGATGTATCCCATGTTGTGCAAAGCGGCGAGTGCTTCGACGAGCTCTGCAGTGTAGAAACGAGTCCATTTTTCTGATACTTCGTACGAAGTCATCAGATTGACGAGGTCTCCTCCGGGCATGTACTCCATAACCATGTACAGATGGCGTGGATCCTGGAACGCGTACTGCAGTCGGACAATCCAATCGCTGTCCGCGTGAGCCATGATATCCCGTTCTTCCCAGAAGAAGGCTGAGTCTGCTCGCTTTATCTGGAAAAAGAGAATGTAATCAGGAAAAAAATAGAGGGGAAAAGCAATGACAAACATCTTGGACAAACAAAAGTAACAGAGCAACACAACACAGACCATGTCGTCCTTGTTGAGCATTTTCATCGCGTAGACAGTGTTCGTGTTGGTGTGTCGCACGAGATGGACCTCTCCGAACGCGCCCCTTCCGATCACTTTCAACTGACGGAAATCTGCTGCTTTCATGCGCAACGACGTCAGACTATCAACGATTCCTTCATCTGAAATACACAACACCGCATGCATTAGTTTTCTGCTCTCCTCGACACTTTTTGGAATCGCTTCTAGGTTTTCACAAAGAAATCAACCACAAAACAACGTCAGAAAAATTGAACATAAAAATTTCCAACTCACATCTGTTTATGAAATTTTCAACGCTTTTCATACGCTTCACAACAGGTATTTTACAGTCTATGACGAAAGCTTGAATGGCATCCTGAAACAATGCAATCGTTGCGATGAAAGATTTCCATCGGGGCCCACCAGAAGACTCTCGATGTTGACCGGCGATCTGGGGTCGACCAGCTGCTGAAGCAGTTCCTCTTGCTCCATTTTCAGCTCGATTTTCGTCCGCAAGATCTAATTTGGCAAGGCGAAAAGGAGCTGATCTCTGTAAAATTCAAAACTGAGGTGACAAGAAATGAGGAAAATAAGGGAACTCAGAGGGCGGGTCCAAAAATCGATTAACAAAGGAAAAGAATGGATGAACGTTTCCTTTTTAGAAACAAAGAAAAGCAAGAAACTTTAGAGAAGAAACGTGAATGATTCGAGAAGAATTTATGAGAAAGAAAGGGACAGAAATCAATTCAAAGCAGAAAAAGGCTATTGAGGCACATTCATTGAATCGGAATTCGATTCGTCCCGATTTCGGGGGCGGCTTCTTCCGGGAGACCATCCTCCCACTCCTTCGATCTCGCGAAACGACGAAACTTTTCTCGTTTCTCATGGGAGCCGATGGAATTAACGGTCATGAGAGACTGCAGATAACAAAATACCAATCATAACACTCGTGCTCTTATCAAAGTCTCGCTCCAAAACGATGCGAAAACAGACAAACTGAACAGAATCAGTCGACAGCTCCGTGGCCGAGAAGTTCACGCGTAGGTGCAACCTCGGCCATATGACTTCAATTGGCATTTCAAGGCCAAATATTCCGGAAAGACGTGTGTGATTCATCTGGGAAGAACTGGCAAAACGAGTCAACAAAGAAGGAAAAAGTAAATAAGATTTTTTTCAAGGAAAAGAAGAAACGTTGAGGAGTTGCAAATGTGTTAAAAGCGGGTGGGAAATCTTAGATTGCTCTCTGTTTTTGCATGTTTGCTTTGATTGGGCTGAACCGCTCGGGGAAAACAATCATAAAAGCTAGAGGAATGGGAGAAATGCATCGAAAATAGTACTATCTGAATGAAAACCGAGGGGCGAGGGCGCAAAACGACGACGATCGTTAACCGAAGTTGTGTAGTCAGAAGAAGCCGCCCGAGTAATGGACGGACGGAGACAGACGGACAGAGGAGGACAATTCGATCGTTCGCTGCTGACACCGCTCGTCTCATGAGAGCGGACAGACCGGACGACGGTCGACATGTTGCGCAGCAGCAGCAGCACCAGCGCCCAGCGCTCGATAGCGCCAAATTCAAATATTCGAACACAAGGACAGGGACTGTGTGGAGACGCAGGTGTGAGCAACAGAGGCCAGATGGCGGCCAAGACACCGGCATTCGAGGAAGTGGACGAAACGAGATGCATTGTATACGCGTGTTCGGCCGATGAGTAACACTCTCATGAGACTGCTCGTTTCTCCTTTTATTACGTTCTTATTTCATTTTCATTACTTCTCATCACCTATTAACACACGTGCGCCTGTACTAACACTTTGCATGCGATAAAAAATAATTTAAAATTTACTGCTAGTTGAGCTCTGCGAAATTAATGAGTCTTACAAAAAAACCGTACAAAATTTATATTCTAAGTATTTGAAGAAAAATGCGGAATTAGCAAAAACAATCGAAATCTGTTCAAACTAGAAAACTTGCGATTAAAATATGCGCCTTCGCTATTAAACTTAGGATAGTATTCAAAAATTTTACAGTCTAGACTAATCTGGAGTTCACAAAAGACATAGTAGGTTCGTGAGAGACTCCAATGAAATCTATCATAGCTGACCTAGATTTTATAAGAATTCGTGGCCTCAGGTAGGTTCTCACGATCACTTGTACAAGAGAGTGATAAAATGCCTTCGCTTCAACACTTGGGTTGTTAGGTTTTTAACTGACTGGGAGGTCTTAAAACAAGATGGTTCACAAGGGAACTGAAATTTCGATGCGGAATCGGACCGAAAGTAAACGGATCGAAAGAGAGACATAGGGAGGAAGATGCGGTGCGATTACGCAAATCGTGAACAACAACAACAGCGGCGTTAGGAATGCGAACAACCGTAGTTGTTTCCGAGTATTCGGAAGAAGAGTGTACTGGCCGAACGGACATACATTCAGGAAAGGGAGAGGGCGGACATCACCAAGATATGAAACTTGGAAAAATAGTGCCTAATGTGGCGGAGATGACTATCGAAATAGTGCTTTAATGAGAAGAGACGCAGTCGGCGGACATGAATCTGCGCGAAAGAGAAGAGGTCGTTTAACATTTCGAATAGTACACACTTCGGTCGCCGTTTCTTGCCAAATTTGTGAATGAATCCGAAAGGGAAGGACAGCCAAATGAGCGGCCGAAAAGGGAAAGATCGCAAGTTCAGAGCACTGGGAGAAGAGCCGGTCAGGTGTAAAAAATGCGGGCAAGGCGCCCGAAGACTCGGTCACTCAGGAGCACGGTCGGTCGGGCGGCGAGGAAGTGCGCAAACCGAGGCGTCAAGTGGAGAGCGACAAGGTGTTCGCACACACGATCCGCTTGTCGCCCAGACGATCTGCGCACCAGTGACTACTGTAGTGAGGGCCGAGTAACAAACAACAACAGTCCGCGGGCTCGTTCGGTTTTGTTTGCGATTCGGCTCGAGATTCTCCTGAATATCGTGGTGTCCTAAGACTATGAACAATGTTTCAAGTTGAATTGGAATGTGATCGGAGTGAACCAGAAAACTAAAGAGTTCAAGATCTCACGATCAAGAGAGAGGGAGGGAGATAAGAGAGATAAGATGAGGAATAAGAAATGACTTTTTACGAATAACTATTTACAGCACATTTATTGTCTCTGCAAAAATTTTTAGGAAAAGAAGGAAATACTTGGAAGTTCGCGAAAAAAAGAGAGGAAAACTGAAAAGTTTGCTTTTCAAATCAGCTGCATTAGAGCGCAATTGCATCGTCCACCCTTCGCGCCAAGTCCGAATTTTATTTTCGATTCTCGCACCCCTCGTCTCAGTTTCTCGCTCTACTCTATTTTACTAACCCGAAATAAATTTTGTAAAACTCGTAAGTTACCCACAAATATCTTCCTAAACTTCGAGCACTAATCTTTCAGGAACTTCAATCTGTTTCTCCCCGACGCCGCCAAAACTCTGTTCTTCGACGACTTTGACCCTTTCTACAAAGGTGAGTATTTGAGCTATCACGGTTTCTTACAATGCATAAAATCTCAAAAAAGGCTATTTTTGCACGAAAACTTGTCAGAAACGTTGTCGGAAAACTGAGGGAGTAGGTCATTTTCCGATATTTTCGGAAGGCCGAACAATATAATTAGGGGGTCTGAACCTCGAAACTACTACACTTAATCGTCTCGAAACACGAAAAAACGGCCAAAGTTGTCAAGAGGTCAAGAATTTGTTCATTTGGCCCCTCTTCGAGTGTTTTCTCAGTCCGAGAACAATCCGGATCTGATCTGCCTGAGAACTTTCAGGTTTCTCAGACATCTCCTGCTCACTGGAGTCTTCTCTTTTGTGAAAAGCATTGCCACGTGTCGAGGGAATCCTGTCTGTTGTCCGTCTCTGATTGCTGCGCCGTTCCGAGTGTTCAAACAGTTTGTGGCTCTTCCTGTCGGCCGATCCAGTTCATTGTCTCGCTGCTTCCAATTCATTCTCTTGTTTTCCTCTATCATCTTCTTTCCTTCTTCGTACTCAAAAATCAATCAATTCCTTTTTGCTCTCTCCCCATAAACTCCCACGATCCATCGGTCACTCAGCACTCCTTTATCACTTTTCTTCCCTTTCGCCGTCCGGACAAATATACTCTCCATCACAATGCTTATTATTGTTGCCTCTCTTCTTTTCTCCTTCTTCTTGACATTGAAAACAGCCAAAGACTGAATAGGAAGTGCTTCAAAAATAGTTGTTGAAATGAGTGATTGCTCCCAAAATGTTTGTTTCGTCGAGCCTCTGCCACCCGCACGCCCTTCCTCTTTTCCCTTTTATTTCTCTATCTTACCTCCCAATTTCCTTTCATTTCGGATAATCTACCGGTCCCTTCCGTTCTCTGCGTCTCTTCGACCTCCGTACTCTCTCGCCTCTTTCCGAACATAACCTCATTTTCAATTTCAAATTCAACCGAACGAAAAGAAGGGAAAAGAGAGATTTCCGTATTTGCAACATTTCCTTTCTGATAGTCATCTGACGGCTTCACCCGGATTAGTCTCCCTACCGACAGGTCACCACTGACCAATTTCAATAACAGGAGTGTCCTTCAAAAATATCATTGACGTTTTGCATGTGTCCGTGCGAATATATTTCGCTGAAGTTGCATTGTTTGAGCAGGTGTCCGCGTGCCCATTGGCTTCCAATCCGGCTACTCGTACTGCTCCTTCCCCCGCCCAAAACTCTTCCTTCCGCCTCCCTAATTCGGCCTCTTTTGCTGCCAATGCTTCTCATTTCGTCGGTCCCCACTGCTCGCTCTTTTTGTTTCGTTTTTTTCCGTTTTTCGCGGCAGCTTCTCACCCGCAAAAGTCAATAAAAAACATGGGAATCCCAGCTCGCTTTCCCCATTTTTTCATCTTCCTCCACAATTTCCTTTTCTGTGGTGCATAATGCGTTTTATGGAAAACGGCACGTCATTCATCACAACAAAATTGAAGAAGAAAGCGAAAAGAATAGAGCGAAATGGATGATTCAGACGGCAGAAAAAAAACATAAGAGAAAACGGGTGGATCGGCGAGCTGTTAAAACAGAGAAGGCTCGATTTCGAGTGCCCCAAACACATTCACGCGAATGGATCCTATTACGAAACAAGGGAAAAGTGGCTAGACAGCGGGGTATGAAGAACACTTCAGATTCGTATTTAGTCTCAAAATTTCTCGCTTTTATGAGATCAGGAATGAGTGAATTTTAGAACAGAGTAGAGGTTTCTGAAACAGTTCAAATTGTCAATTTCTCCTTTCCCTTCCGTGTCCTAATTCGAGTAAATGGTCGGCTAATGGAAGTCTCCACTCGGTTCTCTGCGTTCAATCCCCCGCTGATAACTGATTCTCTGATAAAGTTTCCTTCTTTGCCCCCACTGATCACATTCGTCTCCATTTGCCATTTCAACATCTTCGTCTGCCGTCTGTCTGTTACACCTCCGTTTCCTCTGGACTCCGCCCCCTTCATTGCCTCACGCGCCCTCCGCTTTCCCCCCAAACAAACCCCGTTTCTGACACACTTGTTTCGTCCATGGCCTCATCTTTCATGCATTCATCATCCCATTTTCAGATCATTTGATGATCGCCCAGCTGAAACAGACGCTTCAGCAGAATGCGAACGCGAACGCGCCGAAGAGCGTAGAGAAGCCGTTGGCCGAGACGAGCATCAAAGACCGGCTCCGCGCACTCAATAACGTGAGCTGGGAAATGCATAGATGAACATGGAAAACCGAAAATATTTCAGAGTGCGAATCAGTGGCAACAGCGGGCTCCCCGGCCACATCCACCAGCCCCTCAACGGCGGTCCAGCTCGAATGCGCTCAAAGATCTTCCGGTCCTTCAGAAGCTGCAACAATCACAACATCAGAAGGAGGCACTGGAGAAACGTGACTCATCGAAAACATATGACATCACCAGCGGTCTGAAGAAATTCTTCGGGAGCAGTGCCTCATCGTCGGCATCACGAGGACCTCAAAATTTCGATTCGAACGAAATAGATTTAGACGCGATAACGGCGAATGCACGGCCAGTGTGAGTGCCGAACGAATTCCCTCTTCTCAGCATCTAAACTTCGTTTCAGTCTGAAAACAGTTTGTCGTCCCCGTGCTCCGAACAGAAAGAAGGCATCGCAAATGGCGGCGTTCGACGAGCGAATCAGACTGGAGTCAGTCAAGATCAACGAAGACGAATTCGTCGGAGAAGAAGAGGAACCGGAGAAACTGGAGACACAAGCACAAGCGATCGCCGCACTGAAAAGCGCCAAAGAGCTTCTGAAGAGTCCTACGAAGAAGTCGTCGTATCCGGAAGTGATGCTCATTCAAATCAGAGGCTCCAAACACACCGACGTCCGTCTGGTCGCTCCAACGATGTCTTCGATCCACGAACATGCCTGCTTCGTCGTCGTTCATCAGAAGCATCTGATGAAGTATGAAGGTGCAATGGCCAACATTCTCGAAAAAACGAAGGCCGCTCAGCTGTGCATCGAGATTCAGGGAAAATCTGATTTGAACTGTGCTGCGGATGCAATTGTGACCGTCACGGAGAGCTCGAAGAGCACCCTCTCGAAACTGTTGTTCTGCTCAGAAAACGGGAATCCATCGATGAACAGTCAGCTGATAATGTCCTCGGAACCGTTCGAATTTATCGCTGCCAAACTGAATCTCGTGCTCCGCGTCGCCGATGACCGCAGTGCTCAAACGTATTCGCGCAGAGAACGCTTGTCCGTTGAGATCCTTCAGCCGAGTGAAACGCTCATTCTGGACTTTGGAAGTGAGATTTACGTGTGGACTGGGAGGTATTCGAGCAAAGTGAATGCGGCGTACGCGTTGGAATATGCGAAGCAGCTGATGGAGAAGCCGGTGAAGAATGGGAAGACAATTCTGGGAGATTCCGAATTCGGCGAAGAGGAGAGAAGACCCGAATGGACACTTTTCCGGAAGATCCATCAAGGAGTCCTCGTAAGTCTAATCCACGTTGCCAATCGAGTATAGTACTTTTCAGGATACCTTGTTCAAAGCAAAGTTCGCCGACTGGCCAGAGAACCATGAAGTGCTCACAACGTGCAGACCGAGACCTCTCTTTTCGACCAAAAAGTCAGAAATGAAGACGTATGAAGACGTAAAAGTGGCTAATCAAGATGAAGAAGTAGAGGAGCTCGTTCGGAGAATGTTGGCGGAGCCGGAGATGGAGCCGATTATGATGCTAGAGGATCAGGAAATCGACAGACGTATGCACGATGTGATCACCGAAGACAAGTCGCTGTGGATTCTGAGAGGAGAGATTCTGAAGAGTATTGAGTTCACGGAACAGTTCGACTCCACGAGATGCTACGTTCTCCGCTGGAAATACAGAATCCAAAAGTCGGGAGTGCGTCGAATCAGAACAGGAAAAGAAGAGGAACGAGAGACAGGACGGTCTCGTATTGCCTTCTTCTATTGGCTCGGCGAGCACACTTCTCCTAAGCAGCACGGCCTTTGCGCCCTCCGCATCAAGAACATTGACAGGGACAACAGCCCGAGAATCCGAGTGGCCGACGGTAATGAGCCCGCACTCTTCCTGGCTCTTTTCGAGGGAAAGTTTCAAGTGAGCAGGGACCTCGCGGAAGATAAGCCTCTTCGCGTATTCGTTGTGATCGGAGCGAACGCAGAAGAAACCAGTCTTCGCGAAGTGGTCGATTTGGAAGTGAAACTGCGCTCGCACGCTTCTTACATCGAAATGAAGAACAGTATTCCGAACATAGTGTGCGGTTCGAACTGCTCTCCGGAACAAGTCCGTTTCGTCCTAACGCACGCTGAAAATCTCCTCCAGAAGGCGGGACACTCCGGGAAAGCCGCGGTCGAGGTGGAAGGAGACGTGGAGGAGCGTAAATGGATCCATTCGACGGGAAGAAAACGGGCGATGCGGGTGTGGAGGATATTCGAGAACGAGGCAGAGTCGACAAATCATCTGAGTGGCCACAAGGACTGCGCATTCACATTCTCTCAACAGGTCTCCCAGTTTCAGTCAGTCTGTTCATTTATGATTTCAGATTCTCACCGAAACCATCCTTATTGATGTGGGAGAAGCGCTCTGGTTGTGGTCAGAAGACGTCATAACAACATTCGCTCTGAAAGTGGCCAACAAGTATTGGGAAAATCGAGAAGGACCCGCCAAAGTGGTATACAATGGAGCCGAACCCGAGAAGTTTCAGGCGCTCTTTTCGAATTGGGAGACCGTCGATGTCGAAAATCGGTTGGAGCCGCGGGATGTGAAAGAACTGTTGGCAGAGAGGTGCAGAACGTTTTCGCTTCACGAACTGAAGGAACGCACGAATCTTCCCGCCGGAATGGACATGCGGAGACTGGAGAGCTACTTGACCGACGAAGATTTTCGGAGAGTGTTCGGCATAGAGAGATCCGAGTTTTATGCACAGAAGGCGTGGAAACAGAACGAAGCACGGAAGAAAGTTGGCCTTTTCTGAAGTCGCCTTATTCCAACTACTGTCTCACACAATTTTATCTTAACTTCTTCTTTACTACTCCTTGCCATTGTATTTCTTGTATAGATTGCCTGAAGAATAAACGCGTGTATGTAAATTTTTCCGGTTCTCCTTCATTGAAAGTGAAATGTGTTCGTGGTTTCAGCATACTTTGAACTAGAAATCAATCTCAAATTGTCCGAGAAGGGTGTGCAACTGCGCTCTGTTGAAACGCGCGAAATCGTGCGTTCAAAAATTTTCTCTGATAGCTGTCCCAATTGAATTTTGCCAATTCAATTTTCGAGGTTTATGCTTCTTTCTAAATCAGATTTCCCCGAAATTGAGTTCTTTTTGCAGCGACTACTAACCATGTGGAACGAGACGACCGTAAATGACGAGAACGGAGCCGGATGGGCTGGAGGGGAGACTTCTTTCGTAACCGATAAGAAAACTGTAAGAAACCCATATCATCATCATTCTTACAAGACTTTTTGAAGGTTTAATAGTCTTTTTTCATTTTATTATATTTTCCTACTCACGCGAGGTAAATACGTTATGAGAAACAAGAGTTCGATAATTCAATTAACCGTCGCCAAATCCAATACATCCGTGACAACCTTCGTTTCTGTGCGTTTTTCTTTTCTTATTTCTACCATTGCACGTCGATTTGTAGGAGAGAAGGATTGGGGTGATATGATAGGATTTAGTCGGAATCTGTTGGAACTCAGACTCACCATCCCATTTACGAGTTTTACGACCATTCTCAAACATTTTCTCAGGACACGAAAGCCACGTCGCTCGGAGACAGACTTCCAGTACCGGTGACCATCACAGACCTCAATGAGAACTTCTCCGCGCAGGATGACAAGTACATCATCGGAAAGTTCCGATTCGCGACGGTCAGAGCTCTTGATCATTTGTTTGATCCCTCTATTCATCCATTGTCTTTTCAGGTGATGACAGTTGGAATTGTGAAGGATATTACCGAGGACGGAACTTCCCACTCGTACAACCTGCAAGACCCGGAGAATGCCGACTTTGAATACCGTGTCACTAAGTACAGCAGCACCGATGGATCCACTTTCGATCCATCGACGATCGTCGAAGGAACTCGCGTGCGTGCCATTGGAAAACTGAAGGGATTTGACGGCGCGAATAGTTAGTAATCTGAAATTTTCGAAAAAAAAAAGTGTTTTTTGCAGTTGTGATGTTGTTCAACATCGTTCCGATGCCAGACGACAAGGAGTACACCATCTTCAAGTTGGAGGCTAAGGTCGCTCGTCTCTTTTTCGTCAAGGACATGAACGACAAATTGAAAAACGAGTACGCTTCCAGTGGCTTCCGCGGCATGTTGGCCCCACCAAAAGGTCGCTTTGGAGGACAGAGCAACTCGCAAAACTCGCAAGCATCGGACACCAAGGAGAGATTGTATCCGTCGAGCAATCAAGCTCCGCTGAGCATGCCCAAGAAGGTCGAAAATGTCGGAGAAGTTCTCAAGGACCGCATTCTGGCTGTTCTTAAAGCCATTGATGACGACCAGGCCCGTGAAGAGGGCTCCCCGATCGCGTGGATTGCCGAGCAAGTGCAGGAGAACGACATGAAGCTGGTGCGCAACACGATCGCCGATATGATCGAAAGGGGATTCATCTTCTCGACCTTCAGAGAGGAGTGCTACTCGATCCTCTGAGCAATACTCAAAAACATTTGTACCATGATGATCATTCATTTATTTAAAAAGTTCACTTTGATACTCGAAGCAGTAAACGTTTGAAACAACGCCAGCTCAGAAGCGATATTATTCAGAGAAAGTGGTGCGAATTCATTGTTTAGAAGTGCAGAGAAAGCAAGCAGAACGGCGAATCACAGGTTAACCCAGGCGATTGAAGACACTCTTAGCTACCTGAAAAATGAAAAAATGAAAAACCAGAGAGATGAAGAGAAGGGGTGGTAGGCTCTAGGGGTTAGGGCGAAAAGAGGGATCAGTCCGATTGCCTAGCTCTCAATAATCACATTTTCAAGGAAAACACCATTGTCAGGAACTGCTCGTATCCGATCGTAATCACTCCGTCGCGGTCTGTGTCGACATCTCTGAAATCGAGAATTCAGTTTATCCATATAATCGTTCCGATTAAATTTACCTGAAAGCGGCAGTGAGCGTTTGAAGGACGACGCACAGTTGGATGAAGTCGTCGAAGTTGATGCGATTGCTGTGACTGCGGTCGAATTTGTGCATAAGTATCGTGTAGAACTGGCCGGAGAGTCGGTATCCTTTAAACAAGAAGGCAATCAAAAAAAGAGGGAAAACACGGTTGACTCACCGAACTGGGTGAGCGCGTTCGTCAGCTCCGTCTTGTCGATGTTTCCAGATCCGTCGGTGTCGAATCCGCGGAAGCAGTTCGTCCAGTCGTTAATGTATCTCCACAGAGCCTGAAAACAAGGTATTCCGATTACTCTGGTAACTCGATTTCAGTCTAATTAGACAAAAAAGTAGTGCAATTTGAAAAAAGGTTATTTTTAAATCTAATTAGATGAATTACGAATCTAAACAAAGTCTAGTTACACAGAAAATATTGCTACAATCTAGACAATTGCAGTTTAATTAGAAAAATTTGCAATCTACATGTAGAAATTTTAGATTACAGGTAAAGTTTAGATTGCTGTGCCCTATAAACCTGAAACTCGCTGAAATTTATGGCTCCGTCTCCGTTCGAATCGAACATTCCGATCATGAGACGGCACGTTTCCGGGTTGAACGGATTCCACGTTCCGTTAGAAAGAGCGCGCTGCAGCTCATCCGCACTGATTTGGCCGGATCTGCAGGGGAAAATCAATAGATAGACAAGGGACGAGAAGACGGAAAACTGACCGGTCTTTGTCGACGGAAGAGAAGATTTGTTGAAGATTCGGCTGTTGGAAAGCCATCGAAAAGAGCTGCAAATGGCGAAAAGATTCGAAGTGAAAGTTAAAGTGGCGGGAGGGATTCAGAAGAAGACGCAGACTGATATACAAATGTGCGCTAAAGAGGGCGGGGCCGTAAACAGTGGAGTGACGTCACGGCCTGATGATTCATCGCTCTCTTCAGGGGATACGATTGTGAAATAAATAAGTAATCAGTCGACAAATACTCGTCGTCAATGGATAATATCCGATTTCATCAGATCTGTGACGTGGCGCGTCCATTTGTTCTCGGAACACTTACTTCCGGTAACCGTACGTAGGTGTGCGGTCAACACAGTCATACTCATAAAGAAATGGATCCATGATAAGATAATCACCACACTTTGTTCTTTTACTATATTACGGAAACAGAAAGGAGACGACGAGCAATATGAAGCGAAAGGGGCGGGAAGACATGCTTTTATACAGGACGAATGTTTTTCTACAGAATATATTGAGATTAAAAATAACAAAAAAATGATTAAAGCCCGTTTTTTATTTTGAATATACAATGCAATGGGATTCTATTCTAGATTCTAAATTTGGCGCCGGCTGATGCAGACGCAGTCGCTTGCCCGTTTGTTGCTTGGGAATTGGATCGGGAGAACGAGGACATTTGATAAAACTGCTGAGGATGGGGCATTCCGTTATCGTAGAGACCGGCCGAATCGAGTGATTGTCTGCTGCCCATTGATCCGTTTATTCGCTGCTCGGCCACTGAAGGGGCGGTCGGAGTGGCTGCCGTGATTTGCGAAGATCGTCGAGCCGGCGGCGGCGGACGTGAAGCAGACGCTGAATATTCGGATTAACACATGGAAATTGGTCTGTGGACTCACTCGTTCTCATTCTAACTTGCTGATTCTGGATTTGATTGGCTGGTGGCGGATGGGAGAGCACTCCGTAGTTGGACATTCCCGAAGTTCCGAGCGTGGCCACCGAGACTCGTTTAGCCGGATCTATCGTCTGCTGAGCTGCATACTCTCCCGCGTGTGACGATCTTCTTTGTATCATTGCTGCCGAAGCGGCCGGCGTTGCGCCGTTCTTCTGGCCAGATATGTGCGATATTTCGTGTAGGAAATATCTCGTCGGATCTTGCACTGTGCAATAGTTTTCCAGATCGCTTCCTAACTGGTCTATGTCTCGGCACGTCTCCGAGATGAGAAAGGCACTCGACGTGGCAGAACTTCCCGAGGACATCGCAGGCTGACCTCCGGAAGACGTGGCTGGAGTGGCCGGATGGTAGACTGTTGGGGTGGCGCCGATGCATGAAGAGGTATTCTGAAAAGATAGATTTTCAGTGAGGTTGGATAGACAATTGAAACTCACGAAGGATTCGAAAGAGAGGTTCTGTGGTCGTGGAATGCCAGCTCCGTTCTGATGTTGGCTTCTCTGATGCATGTATTGCTGATAGGCGGGCGGCGGATTCGAATGCGTCCCGTTACTGACCCCGGAATTGGTTTGGGCCACAGACGGATGATGTCCGTTCTGTTGATATTGGGCCATGTCGGTGATTGTGTTCGAGGAAGAGTTGCCAGTTCCGTTCCCCATCAGATTCAGATAAGTGGAAGAGCCGTCCGTGTTGGGAGATGACATCGAGAAGTGACCGATGCTTTTTTCACTGTTTCTCCGTTGCAAGGGAGGCTTAGAATATCTTGTGGAAGAGGAGATCACTGAGCTGGCCGAGGAATCCAACGCCGTGTTGTTCAGAAGATTTCTGGCGCAGGAGGTGGAGATGGACCTCGTCGCTGCGAGAGATCCGTTCGTCGTCAAAGTGTGCATTCCGTCCTCAGAAGAGAAGTTGCTGGCCGGAGTGGTGGCTCGGGTCGAAAGATCCCGGATGGATCCCATGCACGAGTAGCCGTCCTCACTGGCTCTCCACTTGCTGCCTGCTTGTGCGAGACACTGTTTCCACGCAGAATCTGGACCCTGGGCAATATCGGAAACGATGGAAGACACGAGCTGTTCCGTGTCCACATGCTTCATCGTGCTGTCCAGATTCTCAACGACTTGTCTCAGATGGGCTCCCTCGTCGAGCATGTTCATCTGTGCATTTAGAACAGGCATCAGAGTGCCTATGAAGAACGAGAACTGAGTCCTTTGCTCCGTGAGAACCTTCGTGCAAATGTCCCTCTGCTCGCTCATCGCCGTCACGTCGGGTCTCTGCTTCCGCGATCTGACCTTCTTCACGTGCTTCGCCGCCAACTTGTCCATCTCCTGACATCTTCCTTTCCAGTAGTTTCCTCTCTGCTGCAGGCTCAGGGACAGTTCCTCGCACAGTGCATCTGCCCACGACCTCATTCTGTTCTCAATGGCTCTCTGCTTTATGCACACTCTTGTCACACATGCGCCCACATCTCTGGATGCTCCTGTAAAGGTGATCTTTTGAGAGAAGAGGGAAGGATTACGGTACCTTTGAGGTTGTTCGCATTGTCGCACACTCCTTGCATGGCCTCTGTGAATGCCGAGAGACATTGTGCCGTTGCTCTGAGCTGTGTCCCGAGCTTTTGTGCCTTCTGACTCAGGGAATCCCATCCGGGATACGTGTGTTTCATGTCGTGAACCACGCTCTGGTAGAGGGTCGTCAGCAGGTTGAATTCGGCGTCCGGGTCCATTCTGCAAATGCATCATTTCGGTCAGAAGAAGCGAAATAAATGTGAGTGTGTGTGCATCACACTCCAAACTTTTTGGGGAGCATTCGTCAGTGATGAGACGAGCCGATAAAACGGACAAATGCACCACAAAAGAGATGTCGGAGAAGGGAGAATCAATGAGGGAGTGTGAGATGTAGAGAGACGCAGAGAAACAGTGCGGCGTGTTATGTAAATGTGACGAGAGAGCAGGCGGAAAGATGGATAAAAAAACTGAGCAAGAAAGTCCCAAAATCTCGATCCCGTGGGAAAGGAATCGAAGAGCACTATCACTCACTATCACTCAAACGAAGAGTAAAAACATATCACTTCGTACAGCGCGGAGACGAATTGATATGAAAAACATAAAAGGACCGATCATCTCTGCGTCTCTGGCTCTCTATCGATTACACGGTGCACAGTCATAAAGGTGCCGCACGAACTTTCAACTGTAAATGTCAAAAAGCAGAAAGAAGAACCGCCGATTGAGTTGTACAATATAGAAGAAGACGAAGAAGGAGAAGAACGAATGATAAACAAAACCGACCATGAGGGGCGACCAAAAAGAACTGCTAATGCTCTGGTAAGCCGGTCGGGAAGAAAGGAGGGGCTCTACTAATTCTACGAGTAAATAACAGTTTCACTGGTTTGAGTAGCAAAATAATATGGTTTTCGTTTGAAAATGATGGAAATACAAAAAAGAAAGCGCGTCCGTGTTGATCGTCACATCCAGAATCTGTTTGCATAGGCTGGAGGTCTCACCTAAAGAGATGTACAATGTAATATAAATAAAGGATAGTACGCGGAGAGAAGCGGCAGGCATCGAGAGACCTCCCAAAGAGTGCCAACAGGAGGATCGAGGGGAGCCACGAGCCGTCCTTCACGCACAGCGCTCCGGAAATGATAGGAGCCCCCGTGTGCACACGCTGTTTCTGGGGAACTGTGCGCAAACAAGTACGCCAAGAACCCGATACGAGCCGGCGGAGAGCGGCAGAAAAGAGGAACAATGCGGTCACGGGTCACCAGGCGAATGCACTCCGAACGGAGAGAATGGGTACGCATTACGGTCTCGCATTTCATCAAGGCAAGTTCGCAAATGTGAATCTGGTTATTCGACAATAAAAATGCACATGGCGAGCAGTCACAACTTGTTGACTAGTCATTCTAGGCACATCCAGTGTAATGGAAGAGAATACTTTTCAAATAACGGTTTATAGTCCTCATATACTGACATTTATTGTATTGGTTTGGTTCATTGACAGATTTGTCATAAAAGTTCTCTGCAAAAATTCAAGCTAACCGCTCCTTTTTTAATTGTTTACATAGATGCGTGCATAATAACGGGGGAGGCGGTCTATCTATGGTTGCAAAAAGGGGGAAAAGGGGAATTAGTCAAAACAAAAAAGAGCATTTTGGTTTTATGTTGCAAGAGAAGAAAAAAAATGTCAAAGAATAGATTAAAAATTTCGAGTAGCCGCGGGCATCTCGTGTCCGTTTTCTTCTACTCTTTCCTCCTATTACATACACATCACTGAACTCATTTTCTATTACTAGAAGGCGCAAAAAACGGGGTCCGAGAACGAGAAGCGGCGGAAAGAAAAAGAAGAAGGAGAAGTACGCCAAAAACGACTTCTTCTTTCTCTCGAAGAGGCCGTTTCACTACTGAGAACACAGGGGACGTCGACAAATGCGACAAATTTGACAAGGAAACGGCGGGAAGTCGGGGTGGTCAAAGAGAGGCAAAAAAGGAGGATGAAGACGGGACTGAGAGTCGCCGGCGCCCCGAGAGCCACTCCCTAAACTTCTTCTTCTTCTTCTCCTTTCCCCGTCTAAGTTGGCCAATTTTTGGGGCGATGAGCAGAAATGAGATGGACACAATCACGATTGAAGCACGAGGAGAAGAAGAAGAGAGACGAGGAGAAGATGTCCTTCGGCAGACAGAATTCATAAGTTTTGGATAAGGGGGTCGAGAAGACGAAATCGAATCAGTGAAAATGAGTTTTCGAGAAACGGCATTAAGGGAATGTGTTCGAAAGGAAACCAAAACTGAAAGCATGACAAGCTTTTCTTGATTGTTTTCTTTTCCGCAAAAAAAAAGAGAACGCGGCGGGAAATGAAATTCTGATGAGAAGAAAAACAGTAATGAAAACATATGAAAGGTTCCGATGTATTCAGACGGTGAGAAACGGCGAAACTATTCGGAAGACCCGTAGATTGAAAGAGGAAAGACTATCGTCTATTCATTTCGAGCGAGTTTCTGCTCAAGTCTTCTCAAGTGTTTTGCTCAAGAGATGACGGGCATAAAAGAATATTTGACCGGTGTTTCAGATGAGAGAATGCGATTTTTCATTCAAATCCTCCATATGAATGCATTGAATTGCAAATAATCTTCGTGAGAACCGAAAGAAGAAGAAAGCAGCCGAAAAAACGAAAAAGAGGATCAGTACAACAAAGTAGTGCAAAGCAGCCGAAAGGGTATGTTTCCGGTTCGAATGAATTCGGACAAGATCGAAACGACGAAGGCAAAACAGCGACGGCCAATTCAAGGTTATTGCACCGGGAATATTATGCAGATGTCGTCGAGAATCGAGAAACGAGACAAAACTTTTCCGAGAATTCGCCACCCTCCTATTTATTTGTGTGGTCGTGTAAACAATTTCAGACCCGTCGGCCGTTCATTAATCTTCCACCAATCCCCTTCAAATAGGGTCGTATAAACACGGAAATTCGAGCTCTGTTACTCTCGAGAAGTCGTTGTTTCGAAATGCTGAAACAAAGAAATTTGAGCAGAGCATGTGGTTTCCTGCTCGAAAGAGCCATTTTTGGAATCAAAATGACACGACGCAACGTGCAATTTGGATGGCTGGAAATCAGAAAACAGTTTGGAAAAGAGCAGAATGGGCGAACCGGGATGTGTTGAGGGTAGAGAAGAGAACAAAGGAGGTGTGAACTTCGCATTCGAGGGCGGCTGAGCACACAATCATTGTTGGGAATCCTCACTTTATTCTCAAAGTTTATGAAGGGGAAAGAAAAGGGAAAATTGAATTTAGCGAAAGAAAGAGGAGAGTTCTTCTTCTTCTCGTTCGTTCCGGACAACAATGCGTGGTCGCACCCGCTCTCGTTCATCCAAATATGAAATGGCTTCAGTGGAAAAGGCAAAAAAAACGGGCGGGGGGCGGTCGTTCAGTCCCTATTCACCTGTCAACACACATTTGTCTCGGCACCAATTTTAGGTATGTGTGGGAAAAGGAAGGACCCGTTCTCACTCCTCGTTTTTCGTCTCCAACTGACTGAGCAAAATTTAATGCTGGAGCACAATGAATCTTTTGTTGCGAAGTGGAGAAAACGAGGAGCAAAAGAAGAGAAGAGGAAGGGAGGATAGTTGGCTACTAATGGGTTTCGCGGCTGCTAATATAAACAACGGCCTCTCGAAACTTTTCACCGATGTCTTGCCGTCGTCTTCTGGAGGAAGAACAAGTCACCTTATTCCTCCCGTTTCTACAGCTGTCCGCGCGTAAAATAACAGCTGTCGTCGCGGAAGGTCGCAAGCAATACTCAGATAAATGGGAGAGGTCACCTGCGGAAGAGGTCCAAGCCTATAATTTGCAGGAATAAATGCGTAGGCGGCAGAGAAAAAGGACTGCCACGTCATGCGCCAAAGCTCCGATTGTTGGTAGTTCGGATTGGGAAAAGAGGTGGGAAAGAGGTGGAAAAAGGAGGATAGTGGGGTGCGGACGTAAACATTACACATCCGAGCGGTGTTCGGACATCTGTCCTGCATCTCAAAAGGACACGTAAGGGGTGCGGCCAGACTCCTCATTAAAAGGAACCGAGCGGGGAAGGACGCATCGATCACACAGGAATCCACCTGCTTCCACTATTCCAGATGGAAAACGGTCTCTTTTCGCATGCATTATAATATGGACATACATTGGCAATGATGACTAGTACCACGATTCGTAATGCAAAGAGTTTCAATTAAACCTGTGCAGAAAGCGGGCGCCGACGATGAGATAGCGGGCGCCGCCATCAGTCGAAACGAGGCGGATGCAACACAAAGTAGTTTAATATGTACTATGGATTCGTCGCCGATCGAACAGATCCATTCGATTCTTTGGAATCGCAGGAGAGGAAAAAGCGAGGAAACGGATAGGCCGCGAGTATGATGGACGCAGGAGAACAACTATATATCAACATGTACGAGCGGTCGGCACTAGGCGTGCTGGTGGACAATGGGAGAAGTGGAAGAAGAAGAAGAAGAAGGAAGAGAAACTGATCTAAAAGATGGAAATGCGCTCAGTTGATAGTAAGAAAAAGAGATGCACGTGATCTCACAGAAATATTATCTTCACGGCCAATTTCCTCGAAAACTGAAAATTGCGAAATGAAGGAAGCAAGACGGCCTAAATGATGATACTCGGACACCGAACAAAAAGTTAGATTTCTCCTGTTGCAATCAGAATCGGCAATCAAAACATCAGCCTCTATTTTGACAGCTCAAATTGATACTACATTTCGTAGAGAATCCTCTGTGAACAGAAAAACATAATTATTTGGGAAAGAACAAATCAAACTTGAGAAAGTACAACGCGAAGGTCGAGAGGTTTGGGAATATTACATAAGATTAATTGGAAATTGGCGGAAGACCAGCGGGAGACTTCGATTAGCGGGCTGCTGCCCAATTTGAATTCATACTCAACGAAGATTTGAACTGATTTTAGCGGCTAGGGAGGATTACCCGAGTGGGCGCCATGCCTATCCGACGGAACACTATTTTTCGAGGTCATCTGACGCGCAGGCTGACGGACATTATATGAATGGGAGTAATTAGGCGAGAAACGCGTATTGACTCGAACAGAGGTACGATTTCACCTACTACGAGTAAATAAGCTTGCCCGGCGAGCACATTAATTGAGTCGGCGACCAGCTCACGTAACAAATTGAGGAGACAGATGGGTTGGAGGGAGACACCTTGGCAGCTCAGCATCGCAAATCCCCAATTTATTCACTAGGTCGAAATGCGGACCCGAGCATTGAATGTGAAGTACGCGGCGAGAACGTTTTCGTCTTCTTGGAAAATGAGCAGATATTCTTATTTGACAGAGAACAGTGCAATGACGACGACGACTAAAAATTGCTAAAAACATTCATTGATGCTGATGCACAAAAAGGACAGTAAAGTATATTTTCGAGGTCCGATGGATAAGTGAGGCACGATTGGTGGTATCATCATAATGCTTAGAAGCAGAGAAGCGGGATGACCACGAGTAGCTTGACCGGAAACAAGTGGACAACGCACAACGGGTTCCGCAACGACAGATTCCAACCGGAAATGCGTCTGAAAACTGTACAATTGTTGGCTACTACTTTCTTCTGACAGCTCTTCTCGTTTTGCATCAAATAATTTAAAGACTAACCAAAGTCTATCGCTCCGTCGACACAGATCAACATCTCGAATTCGTACATCGCACCATGGCGGTCTTTCAATGGCTGATTGATGGCGTTGACAAACGGATTGTCGAATCCATAGTATTTGGAATACTATTCATTTTTCGAGTGATCGATTTGCAGACAGTGAAACAACGACTCTTCTAGCCGGAAAAAGAAAAAAAAATCATTACGAATTAGTTTCATCGAACTAACGAACTCTCGTGCAACGCCGGAAAAAATTAAAGGCTGCTAGAATTTCTCCTCATTGCCTTTAATTCTGTTCAGCACAAAAAACGGCAAAAAATCTGTTTTTCTATTGACTTTTATGCCAAAAAACAGATTTAACCGTAAAAATCAAAATCAGAGTGCATTCGCTTTCAAAAAAAGGCTATTGTGAGAGAGAACATGTTTCTTTCATTTTTCCAATTATTCTTGCACAAAAGTTTAGTGTCAAAACCTTTTTTTCAGCGGCTCTTTCTTTGAAATTTCTCGATTGCCGCCAACTCCGAGCAGCTGCCTCGATTTGAATTGCGCGCCGGTCGCGTTGTCGCTGCGAGACCCGGCGGATGGCTACGGTCGCACTCACTGGAATCCTAAATTATTTTTCTCCGTTTCACCACGCACTGGCCAACACTTGTATTTTTCTCGTCGTTTTTCAATCCAGTTCTCCTATATTTTTGGTTATTGGTTCAAAAATTCGAATTTACTTTTTTGCAATTCGTTCCTGATGACTTCTTTCTTACGGACTTTTATGCTGGTTCCATAATTTTTTCTAATTATTCATTTTCCAGGCTTCGTTCACGGACACCCGTCGCGGAGCTAGTCAAACATGAGAGAGAAGGTAAAATTATTCGAATTTCTACAGGCGTATAATTTATTCTTTTCAGTGGCGTAAGAAGCGTATGCGTCGTCTGAAGCGCAAGAGGAGAGCCGCCAAGAAGTAGACAATCTGCCTTGTCGTCTCCTACAATACGTTCAATTTTGCTGTCAATCTGCGAGCCCGACTTCACCGTCTTTTCAACGATCGTCAACGGGATTGCTCGTCACTTGTTACCCTTTCGTCTGTTACCATGAACGTTCGTTCAAATTTTTGTTTTCAAAGATTAAATGAATGGTCATAACAAAGCAACTGTTCATTCTACAGGACTTTTATGTCTTGATCAAAGAAAATCTGGTGGGGGATTAATGGTCCACCTACAAACAAAGGAAAAGAGTTGTCTCCTATACAACGGTATTTTCCTGTGTGACCTTCCGACAGTGGATTGAGTATCAGGTCGTTTCCGTCGTACTCGATGTCTCCAAGCTCGCCTGTAAATGTTGAAAGCTGTTGCTTGCAATGATTTTGCTCTTGCCAAGAGGTTCTCCGTCTTTTTCCCATCGCACCATCGGTTCTGGATTCGCTAGTACCGGGCATTCTAGAACCATTCGCTCACCATGGAGTCCTCTTCTCTCGACACCTGAATCAAATTTGATATGATTACGATTTCAGATGATCTCGAACCAATAACTTGTGGTGGTCTAGCATTTGCGACTTCAGATACTCGAACTGGGTTCGGAAAGTCAAGAACTGGTGGCACTGAAAGATGTCATTCAAGGTTTCTCTCGCCACACGGAACTCACAGTAGATGATCAAGTTGCCACTATGAATTTCCTTGTCAAGTGTTCTGACTTCGCAGCGATACTTCCCAGCAACCCTCACCGACGCCGTTCCGATCTCCAGATACACCTTTCCTTGTTGCACTGTCCCAGGAAATACCTAGAAGTAACTGAGAAAGGAAAATGATACTCTTCGAAACCGCCCACTTTTCCATCTGACAGCCGTGTGAATTCTCCATACTCCACGTCGACATGCTCGCCGAGCTTTTGTGTTCCGCACCTAAATCATTTCAGAAGTTTTCATGAATAGGGGAGCTTACCACAAATTCGGAATGTTGGCATAGAGTGTTTTATTCAGAGTGGCAACGTGTAATTCCGGATTCGCAACGACTGCCAAATTTCCGATTACAGTGGTTTCGGCCAGAGAAATCAATGGTAAAATGGATAGAATAACTGGAAAGAAAGGCATGATGAGTGGGAAAACAAAGAGAAAAACACTCGAAATGAATGTCCCGCATTTCGAAGGGTTCCGACTGGTTCGGGAAAGAATGACTCACCGATGGAAGCGCAGTCCGACAACCTCATTTCTTCTTTTTCTAGAGAGTGCTCCGATTCGATCGAACCGATTCGATCCGGGCGATTGGGCCCTTTCGCCGTCTCTCCGCTGGCCGCGCTCTCTCTTTCCGTCGAACAGTTGTGTAATATCGGACCCAGAGAGCCAGAGTATCCGAGCATCGGAAGACAAAAGAGACAAGATCTAATGACCTTTTTTTTAAGGATTTCATGTGATCTGTGACGTCACAAGTTGACGGAAAATGATGAAATGTCACTGGGAACGTGTCGATGGAATTCTTTGGAAAATCATACTTGCAGTGGGCCGATTTGAAAATTTTCATGAAACCGGCATGCTCAGCTCGGACATACTTCATGTTTCTGGTTCGAGGATCCATTATGCGCAGCCGCAAGCAGCGCATATCAGTTGAGGCTATTATAAACTCACATTTTGAAGTGTTCTTCTTGTTCGTCTTTTCAATGGAACATTTATTAGATCCGTTTCGTGGAAATTTCAATTTTTTTTAGAGTTTCGGGCTGAGCGGGCCGGATTGGGCTGTAAATATCATATTTTCAGAGAAGGCACAAAAATCATGTGAAATCGGAGTGATTCGTACGGCATCGACTGGAAATCCCTGCGTGAAACAAGTAATTCGCATCGTCGGAGCAACCCAATCTTGTGGGAATCTCTTGAATTTCAGTCGATCATGCCCATTCGAAATCCGACTCGGGACCGCCATATTGCCCACACATTTTGTACTAATTGGGCTCGGATTCGCCAATTAGACGGGCTACGGTAGAAATATGAAATGCGAGCTTGTACTCTCTCGCCCATCCATCCGACGGCGGCTCCATTGCTCACACTTTCTAACCACAATTCTGTCGTGTTCTTTTTCTTTTCATGCTCTTCCGTCCCATAAGCAGGGGGACAATGCACTCGTAGTCCGAGCCGATTCGTCATTTTCCCAAAGGATCTGCGAGGTGCTTACTGTGCCTCCGAGTCCATCCATCACTTTGAATCTCTCGCCGACTCCCACTCGTTATCACTTTCCGTTTGTATGCATTTTGCATCCACGTCACCACAATCGTACTCGGATGCCTTTTTCATGCAAATCTCTGGCTCCTCCGCAGCTCATTCTTCAATGTTTCATTCCGATAAGGAGAAAAAAGGGGGCGGAGTCTGCTGCCGTCTACTTTTTCGGGCGCTTTCCGTGATCAACAAGCCCCCGAAAACCTTTCAGTAATTATAGTGATCGCCGTTTTGACGTACTTTCTGAGAGACTCTGAAATTAAAGTTGAGTGAAGGGCGAACACGAGTTGCCACGTATTTCGGCACGTTCTCATTCGATATTCATCTAATTGTTCTGTTTTTCTCCGACTTCTCCTGCTCCTACAAATTGTTTGACACTGTGCAGTTGTAGCCCTCTCGCTCGTCTTTTCGCTTTCAAACGATATGCGCCGGCTTGAGACGGATGGATAAATCCAATTTGGTAGGCACAAAAAGGACCTCGTACTAATTGGATTATTGCGAATGAAACGGGCCCCTCTTCTGATTCATATACTCTTCTCAAGACGTCTTAACCGAAGAGAAGAAGAAGAAGAAGAAGAAGACGTCGTGCTCCTTCTTTCACTTCGCGTGAAACTTGTGTGGTCCCATAAAATGTCATCATTCATCCAATTATTTATATTTCCCTCATTCTTCCTCCTCCCAATTATTCTCATAATTCTCATCTTTTTGATGTCGACTTCTGACGGAAAACGCGAAAAAAACTCGGAGGAGTAAATTGTGTTCCACCGTGTGCATTGTGCTCCAGTTCCTGTTTTCTTGTCACTGTTCGTTGAATTGAGAAAGAGAAGGGTCTCCCCAAATTCCCAAAACTTCTCGAAAGTTGGATCATAAAGTCCATACTGGACACACATAAAATCTACATTCTTCGAATTGCGCGTCCGAAATTTCGTGCAAGTTTATCACTCGAAATATAGCCTTCTTGTCGCGCTTCCTCTTTGGAACTCTTGGCCCGACTTCTTCCGGCTCCCGCCTCCCAAAAATACCTCGAAAGGTTCCCTCTCCAGAGTGTTTTGGTCTTTCCCCATCTACTTGCGTTTTCTGACAATTTATGAATCGCTCCACGTGTTCCATATATTCGGAACGAAGTCTTGATAGTTTTTGCCTCAAAAGAGAGGGAACGAAACAATTGATCATGAGTCAACCGCTCTCTCTCTCTCTCTTTCTCTCTCTCTTTTTCCATTTTCTTATTCTCTTTCTCGCATTCGGTTTCCGTGTCTCCGTGGCGATTCAATTCGCCCCCTCGTGTGTCCTTTCTGTCACTTGCAGAGAGCACCCATAATGAGAGCCCCCCGCCCGTTTTCACTTCGCAACACCACCACCACCACCACCGCTTTTTCGTTGTTTTTTCTGTGTCGCATTCGCTCGTTTTCCCTCTCGATTATTGCTCCCCGAGGAGTGCTTCTGGACCGGATGACACACTTCCGAAATCAGAGTGAACAACAGACGGGCGGCCCGCCTAAAAGTGCACCATTCCCATGGAACCGTGAGAATCGAGAGTTGCACGACAAGCGCGGAAGGAGCCGAGCACACAGGGCTTCCGCTGAGAGTTGCTCCAGTTACAAGCACTTTCGAATCGACGTTCGGTGCGAAAGAAACCCGTGACAGTTTGACGTCTTCACCAAAAATCAGCGCTATTCGCATTCCGCATTTGATCAATTTTTGAAAGTTTGCAATGCGTTCCTTACTTTCGGATGTCCTGGGAGAAAATCCGAGTGAAGGGAAAGTTGAGAGACTTAACAGATGTTTTTATTTAAACCTATGAAACTTGATTCCGCATTCCGCATTCCGCGGATCTTTCCGGATGGTGGTCACTTTCGGATGCTTGCCCCCATCAATCCACGCACCCTTTCGATTTCCGTTCTCCGTTTTTCTTCTTCTTCTTCTTCTTCTTCTCCTTCTTCTTCTTCATCTTCTGTTCGTTTCGTTTCTCCATTATATATCGGTCATTATTCAAGCGCACGAGCCGACAAGAAGAAGAAGAAGAAGCCGAGGAAGAAGGGAAGTGCTCGTCAGGGAATAGTCCGTCACCGCTCACTCGTGGTGCTCCATTCGTCGCGCTCATCATGCTCAACTGCTCCCGTTCGCTGCCGCCCGACGTCTCCGTCAACAGTTCCGTTCTTTCGATCGTCCTCACCTACGTCGCGCTCTTCCTGTTCGCATTCGTCGGAAACGTCACCATGTTCCTCATTCTGTGTCGGTGAGCCATTTCACTCTTCGTAATGAAATTCCTTGCAAGAGCCCGACGATATAATATTCAATTGGAATGAATTTGGTCTTAATTTCTGAGTAACTCACCCGAAAAGTGGACGATACTCTTTGTATTCGCATTAATATCCGCTTCCAAATGAATGGTCAAAGTTCAGGAACCAACTGGTGAAGGTGCGGCGGGTGCACTCCCTCCTGCTTCACATGAACATCGCCCATCTGCTCGTCACGCTCGTCGTCATGCCGAAAGAGATTCTTCACAACTACATGGTCGCCTGGTTCGCCGGAGACTTTGTGAGCAATCCGAAGAAGAGTCCGAAAAGAAAGTGATCCGATTTGCAGATGTGCCGAGTGTGCAAGTTCTTCGACGTTTTCGGAATCAGTCTCTCGATGAACGTGCTCATTTGCATCACGCTCGATCGTTTCTACTCCATCTTCTTCCCTCTTTACGCGATGAGAGCCCGCAAAAGTGTGCAGAGAATGGTATCGTTCGCCTGGATGGCCTCCCTTCTCACCTCAGCTCCGCAGCTTTACCTCTTCAAAACCGCCGCCCATCCGTGCTACGCATGGTACACTCAATGTGTTTCCAAAAATTTCATTGGAGAACTGTCGAATGATGTAAATAACTCTGTGAGCCTTTTTCTCTCTCAAATGTCACAAGATTTCAGGTTGTCTTTTACTTTTCCATCATCAACATCATCCAAGTTTACATTGCTCCGTTGGTCGTCACTGTCGTCTGCTACTCTTTAATTCTGTGGAAAATATCCAGAAAGAGTAAGACAGTGAGCGAGAAAGAATGTAAGAAAGAGAGAGAGAGAGAGAGAGAGAGAGAGAGAGAGAGAGAGATCCCTTGAGAACTGTTTCCGTTTCAGCTGAAAAGTCGTCCGAGCTATTGTTGAGAAGGAACGGGCAGAACAATCTGGAGAGGGCCAGAAGCCGGACTCTCCGCATGACATTCGTGATCGTGCTCGCATTCATCTTCTGCTGGACACCCTACTCCATCCTCATGTTTCTCCATTTCCTGCGTCACACCGATTGGATTCCGAAGGACATTCGCAAGTTCATCTACGCCTTCGCCGTCCTCAATTCGGCCATTTCGCCCTACCTCTACGGCTACTTCTCGTTCGACATCCGAAAGGAACTCGAGCTGCTCTTCGCGTGCTCCCGCGCCACCGCCGCCGACCGTCACCTCTCCTGCTCGGCCAACATCAGCAGGTATCCGTTGTCCGTCCCTTTCCTATCCAACCTGTCATTTCCTATTTCTTCAGAAATGTGCATTCTTCAGAAATCAAGCAAGCGAGAGAATGCGTAAACGGAGCGCCTCTGCCTGTAACTTTGACGGCAAGACCAACACTTTATCGCCACGGCCGCCACGTGGACACAGCCTGAGACACAAGACGAACGGCGATCACGTGCGCCGCGTTCCACTCGACAACCGGCTGATGATCTACCGAAACGGATAATAGCTATGCACTATTGCGCCCGCCAACCACGTCATACAAACAAGTACAAGTTGATGATAATGAACTCTGATAAATGATACTCGACATCAAAAAGAACCGCTGCGACAGTTGTCACTGGCCTTCCACGTGTACTCCAACCTTCGCCCCTGTCACTTTGCACCCTTTCTCTCTCTATTCCTCCTTTTCACAGATTACAATGACTCTCCCGTCACCCGCTTCTTCCACAGATAACGGAATCTTGCAAAGTACGGCGTAGTTTCAATCCGAGCACCTGTCACATGCGCATTCGCAATCACTCTCTTTCTTTCCGTTTTCAGAATGATTCCGACCGTCCGTCTGCTGGAATCCGGGCTTCCGGGGAAGCTCCTCTTTTCGCCGACACACCCGCTCTTTTCGTTTATATTCGTGTGACCGATGGGCTGATATCGACGATGAAACCGAAGCGGAGACGCAGCTTTTCTCTTCTTATCGTCCTCGACAAGTGCGGGCAACATTGCGCCGTTGAAATGTTTTTTGTTTCTCATTGTTTCACTTTTCGACGTCTCTCTTTGTCAACACTAGCCGAGGAGTCCAGGTGTTTTTTGATACTTCAAAACTAGAATGCTGAAAACACGTTATAGGTTTTTTGTTCGTGTTTTGAATCAAGATACATTAATTTTTCAAATCCGCACTTAAAGTATGCGTTCCAGAGTTACTGCGGTCTCGAAATTTTCAGTTCGCGGACTAGTTTCAATGCCCGCGGACTCCTCGTGGACAAACAGCTGTTTTTCATGGATTTTTTACTTTTACTCTGTATCTTTCAGCCTGTCTCAAATGTGCCGTATTGGAATAAAAACGTAATCAATTTCAGGAGGAGGTGTCAGAATGGCGTACAAAAAACAAGAAAAGCACCCGTTGGAATACGAATATTTGCAGCCGGAACACCTAAAAGGATTCGATTCATACAAAGTTTGTGATTAATAACGCCCGTCACTCGAAATGATTAAAAATGATCACTTTGTTTAGTACAATTGCGTCGACAACTCTCCTCTTTCAGTCTACGTCTCACATCCGTTCTGGAATTGGCTAGTTCAGGTACGGAAAAGGCGTTTGTCCGGCGGGAATCGAAATATTCAGACGGTTTCAGTTCTACCCACTAACATGGGTGCCGAATGTGTTAACATTGGTCGGCTGGGGATTTGTGATGGCCGGTTTCTTCATTGAGGCCTATCTTGACTACAGCATCAACCGGAATTCAGACGGATCCGTGAATCCGATCCCCGATTGGTTCTGGTTCGTCGCCGCCCTCTGCACATTCCTCGGCCACACTCTCGACGGCACTGACGGAAAACAGTCGAGACGAATCGGAGCCAGCGGACCGACCGGAGAACTCTGTGAGTTATTCGAATACACTTTCCTAAAAGAAATATACAATTTCAGTCGATCATGGCCTCGACTCGTGGTCCACCGTGCCATTCACAATCACCATTTTCTCGATTTTCGGCCGCGGACGGTTCAGTATTTCTTCGGTTGAACTTCTGTGCGTGCTTATCAGCACTCAAATTGTGTTTTTCACTACGCACTGGGAGAAGTACAACACGGGAATCATGTTCCTTTCGTGGGCATATGATGTCAGCCAGTTTGTGAGTCTTTTTTCTGAATTCATGGTAAAAATCGGTATGTGTTCAGGGTCTAGTAATCGTGTATCTGTGGACGTACGCAGTCGGGTACAAATGGTTCCATTTCGATGTGTTCGGAGGAGTTGTCAACTTCGCGTTCACGTTCGAAATCGGATTCTACAGTGAGTCCGAGCTGAGTTCTCGCATTGAATCTTCAATTCCAGTGTGCTGCCTGCTCTCGCTCGTCGCTTCCGCTTACAATGTGCACAAAGCGGAGAAGCTGAAGCAGCCGACCGTGCTGGCCGGAGTTCGTCCTGCCTGGCCTGTGCTCCTTCTCTTCGGATCTTCAATCTTCTGGGCTGTCAAGTCTCCGACAAACGTCATAGACGCTGATCCGCGATTCTTCTTCTTCTGCATGGGAACCGTATTCAGTAACATCACCGTAAGAAACTGCTTTGTAATCGTAATATCCCATTAACTTGGCCAATTTTCAGTGCCGCTTGATAATCGCCCAAATGGCGAGCACAGTGTGTGACATATACAATTTGACGCTCGGAATCTACTTGACAACCATCGGTATTCAGTTTACCACAACTGTTTCTTGATCTACTCATTCTCTCTTTCAGCCGTCGCCTTCTACAGTCCAGCTTACGAACTCCTAACACTCCGCCTTTCGACCCTTTTCATCACTGCTCTCCATCTTCATTACGGAATCTGTGTGGTCAGGATTCTTACCATCATGAATATTCGAGTATTCCACATGTATTCCAGGTCCGCCAACTGTGCCGTCATTTCAATATTTATGCATTCGACGTCTCGTACCTCAAAAACCGCAGCAAATAATCGAGAATGACACTCAAAGTGTACTACTACTATTTCGGATGTATCTTCTTTGTCACTTACAGTTAATCTCCCTTGCTTCCAATTCTTCATGTACCTTTTCGATAGAGACTTGCTCACACTTTCCAGGTCGCTCTTAGTCTTTTCAATAGAAATAAAAGACGATAAAACACTCACAGAAGACGTCATCACACGGGACGTCATGGCGACTGTGAGAGGATGTCAATGGAGACGGTTCGCTCAGAACCTCGAGGAGTCATTCCATCGCTCGCGAAGCCCGTCATTTTTAAAAATTTTTCCTAGGTGGTTTTTGCGAATAAATGAAATTAATTAATTTTCGGGAGGGTGCACTCTAATAGGCGCCCGAGACAATCCGGTACACTTTCCTCGTTCGTTTTCGTTTGCGCTCCAGTAATTACTGAATTCCAAACATTTCCAGGTGAAAACTGCGTTTTCGTTTGTTCTTTTCAGTTCAGAAATGGGAATGAATTATGCGAAAAAGTTAGTGGAGGTGTTCTGCTTCGAATCAGGAGTGAGTGGTGAATCGCTTCCATGTCTGCGTCTTTCGCTCCTCCACCATCTCTCGCCACAAATGTTCCCATCACAAATTCAGTAAGTGGATGCATTTTAGACAGACGTCTTCTCCCCAATTCTCCCCAAATCTTTTCACACTGTTGCTGTCGTCTCCCGAGGGCCCTTTTCAGTTTTGCAAACAGGACTGGGAGAAAGGCCTTTCGAGGCCTTGACTTTTTTGCACAATTATTATTGGACTGCAGTATCTACCTCGACAGCTTCAGCACGGTCGAATTATGCGATCTGGCTAATGTCGAGGCCGAGAAAGCCGGCCCCAGAAAAGAAAGTAGTGGCCCAAAAGTCTTCCGCCCAGCCCTGCCCGCTCGTTTACTTGATTCAGACTCTTCTCGAAAAGGTCGATACTCACGAGTATACTCGTTGGTTGCGTCTGTCGACCCTTCATTTCAAACAAAACAAAAACAATCGGCCCTCGCCGCTGTTAATCGTATCGTTGCCGATACAGTAGTCCTTTTAGTGGCCTCTCACGGCTAATGCTCTTTGTTCCAGCCCCCTCTTTTCTGCACAAAACGATCCACTTACTGTCGTAAAATCCGCTTTCAATTAACTGTTCTGATGACGTGGCAAGCGCTTCTGCCTTCAACCCATTGCTTTACTCATTTCGGTGTTTGACGTGGCAACAAAGGTGTCATTACTCTCGACGATATCACGAGTGGAGCACTGATCAGCGGAGCATACTTGTTATTAGTTTGGCAATCCGCTGACGTGCCGCTCAGACGCCTTCCAAATTGTCAGCTCGTAGTTTCCCCAAAATAGAAATCGTCCTGGCGCATTCGGGTAATGGATAACGGAACAAAGTGTGCAAATGCTCGCTGCCGGAAGGCTGTTCACCCTTCCGCAATCTCCGCTTCTTGCTTCCCTTCCGAACACTTTCAGACGCGCGTAATTGTTGTACCTTTCCGCCGCCGCTGCACACTATGAACCCCTTCGATCGAACTCACTCCCATCTTATAATCCCCCTCGTGGAATGTGCCCCCGAAACTTGTTTTGCGTCGAAAAAGGGGAGAGATGCAAACGAAATGAAAAAAGTCCGTTGGAGTCGAAACATGTGATGAAAACAAAGCCGAGAATAGGCAAGTTTGATCACGGCAACGTATCAACAATTAAAAAGTGGCACCCGTGCACAACAAATTCCGTGGGAGGATCGCTTCCGAAGGTGTCGGGTTTCATGCGTACTTGCTCCTCATATCGATACGTCCACGTCTTCTTCTTCTTCGTTTTCTTTCCTGTTTTCACGCTTTTCCATTGCTGATGTTTGCTTTCTTGCTCTTGGGTTCAGCGCTCGTGTGAGGGCAGCGCCAAACGAAATATTTGTTTCCGTTCAAACCGAAAAAAACGCGTGTTCCATCCATTTTAGAGGGACATTTTCAGAGTCTAGCTAACAAATTTCTGGAAAGACTGATGGCTTTCAGATTACTCGGAATCAGTTGAGTTACTTGAAAAACATGTCTCCTACTCGCGTTCGTTTATTTAAGACCACGACGGGCAGGAACCGATCGAAAGTTTGTCTGAATAGATGTTGTCCGTCCTGCTAATCTTCCGGATTATCTTCCTCATTATGACCTCTCCTGTGACGTGGCACTTCGTGTTCTTCGTCCATTCGTTTCCCATTTGCATTCCAATAATCCGTCCTCCCTCTCTCTCTCTCTCTCTCCCTCTTTTTCTTTTCTCCGTGCGCCATTAGGAATGATGAAAAGCATCATGAGGTTGTCGCTCTAATTGGATTGAGCGAAGAGCGACGAACTGACCGAAACGAAGCACGAAAAAAGGAAAAATGGCAACATTTGGGTCGAAATGCACACTGAGGACCGCTGCAAGACGTCATTCCGATTAGAACGAGGACGAGGAGACAAAGCGAATCACAACCATTTTTCGTTTCGCACATTCTCCCGTCGTCAACACCTTTTCCTCCTCCTCCTCCTCCTTCAATTCCAGCAATCGGAACAAAGCAAGCACAGCTGGAACTGGAAATACGAGAGCTGCCAACTTGTGAAAAGCAGTGGTATCTCTCCATTCAACCCTCGGAAATTTCCGTTCGATTCCCGCAGAGATCATAAAAACAGCACTGCGAACGACATGTGCAATATCCAGGGTTCATAACTTGGCTCTCACTGGGAACTCGGTTTTTCTGTTTGCTCATTTCTCGTAGACTTATCAACCGCTTTCCATCTTACTCGTTTTCGCCTAACTAACCTCCTCGGCTTCAATTTCCGAGCCTTCACCCCTTCTCCAGAAATTCCAATTAATTATTGTTCCTTCAGTTCTCTCTCTCTCTCTCTCTCTCTCTTTCTCCTTATTCCGTCTCGATTCTGCCAGTTTCAGAGTCATAATTGACTCATTCGGAGCAGCAACTTTCGAATTATGATGCCCGTCACGTAGTGCACATTTCATGTCGCCCTCATTCGCCATTCCGACATCTTCCCCCCATCCCTCTTCTTCTGCCTCTTCCCCTCCGCCTTCTTTTTACTTTTCATCTTTCATGTCCGCAAGTTTGTACTGTTCCTGAAATGATTGGCCCTCGTTTGTTTTGCCCGTTCTCCTCAAACGGATAATATCATTTCGCTGCTTGGCCGCGACTAACTCGTTCAAACCCCACATTCTGCCGCACACTAATTTTTCGCCTTTTCCGGGTTATCGAAGCAACTGAGATGAAATGTTGTACGCTTCCGTTTCGAATCAGAGCAAGAGATCTTCCCCCTCTCATTTCACTCTAAACTTTTAAAAGATCTCTCGAGAAAACACGCTCACGTCATTTAGAAATTGTGTCTGTCCGTTGAGTCTTGAGACGCTTTTAATGAAGTTTGGTCCACGATGTTTTAGTGAGACAGTTTCTGATCGCGAGGTTCGGTAACAGCACACTTTTTTTTCAAATCTGGGCAGGGCTTTTTGGCCCTAAATCTCCAGACAAGATAAGGAAATCGGTCGAAAACTTTAGAAAACTCGGCCCGGCCCGCGACAAGTCTAGGCCCGCTTTCAAAAAACGCAGCCTTGTTTCAAATCAGAAATGGCAAAATGTAGGTGCTCCCGTTCGAATCGTTTTTCCTTATCCAGATAATACTAAAATGTCGGCGTGAAATGAATCATTCTTCGCTCCCCACAGTCTCTTCCACTTTCGCCTCCATTTTCATTAGTTTTCTGTCCTTTTGTGCAATCTTTTCACACCCAAAATTACCGAGCTCCCTCCCTCTTTCCCTTCGAAATTGGCGGGTGTCATCTCCCGCTTTCTTGCCCCATTTCTTCTTTTTCGCATGTTTTCGTACACTTCAGATTTTAAAGACGGGAAATCAAATTTCCGCTGTTTTCGGTTATTCTTGACTTAATTCGAACTGCGTACTCTTTCAGGAATGAACTTGAACGATTCGGACGATTCGGCGATGACGGACGAGTTGATGAGGCAGTGGTTTCAGAGCCAAATGGGAGGAAAGAAGGCGGCGACGCCTACAGAAGGTACACAGAAGAAGGATAGGATTACTGTAGGTGGTGGGTTCAGACATGGAGTGGGCGACTGTCGGAGGTCGTTTCGGAATGGCCTACATCGCCTTCGGAATCCTTGCCATCTTCGTCAACGTCGTCATTTTCGCGTGCATAATCGTGCGCCGAAGAACGACTTCTTCACACGTCTTCTACATAATCATCCTCAATTTCACAATTATCGACACTATCAAAGGCTAGTCCTCTCTCGGTTTCCCTTCTTCTCAAATGATCAGTTCAGGAATCTGCTCAGTGTTGTTCGCCCTCAAACTGCTCACTTTCAACATGGCCACGGATGGCTCGATGTGGACGGTCCGTGTCGATCAGTACAGTGGAGTTCTTCTCCGTTTCACAAACCTGACGACAATCATGAACGTGCTTTTGATAACGATGAACGAGTTCATCTTCATCTGCCACCCACTCAGATATTCAGCCATTGTCACGAGGTTTGTCCTTTCGCTCCGCATTTACTCGCACGTTGTTTACCCGATTCCAGATGCCGTGTGCTCTGGGCGATTGTTTTGAGTTGGCTGCTCGCCTTCCTTCTGACCCTTCTCAACATGTTGACGAGCACCCGGCAGCGGAGTGTTATGATAGACACCGACTGCGACAACGGTACGAATCGAGGGAACTGTCTCTGACAGACTGCCTTCCTTTCAGGAGACTTGATCGGAGTGCCGTTCTGCATCAAGCACCAGGAGACGTCCATGTTCCACTACCTCGTCTTCCACATGATCCTCATCGCGTTCTGTCTCATCTGTCTCGCAATCACCGCCAGCTGCTACTTCATTCTCTTCAGGTTTTCCGTTCCTCCTTCTTCTGCCACTGAATACCTTCTCTCTCTCCTTCAGAATAATCTCAAGACTGGTGCGTGCCGATGCAAAGTACCAGGCAGAGACGGATCTTCTTAAGGAAGAGCACTCGCACGGCAAGTCGATCGCGCGTCGCAAGAAGTACGTTCTCATGATCGGAAGCGTCATTCTCGTCTATTCGGTCTATCTGACCACCTACGCAGTCATTCAGGGAATGCACCTCATAAATATCACCAGGTACACTCTCCCTTTCCAATTGAATCAACTGGCATTTTTACAGCACTTCAAAAGGATCCGAGTCCCCAGTCCACACGAGAAGTGGATACATCTACACAAAGTACACGTGCTACCTCTTCATCTCATTCCATTCTCTCCTTCAGCCGCTCTGCTTCATGAGAATGCGAGAGTTCAGAAACATTCTCAAAAAGTAACCGCAATTCGAACGACTCCGTCCTCCAAATGTCTCTCTTTCAGAACTCTGTTCCCTTGCATGAAAAGTGAACCGATTCTGACGACGGACGCCTTCAAACGGCACAGTCAACCCACGGACATCTGATCTCATCGACTCATTTCATCCGGTTGCGCCAATATCGAAAAGTTCTCAATATAATTCTGAATCTCTCCGAATCCGTAATGTATAATTTTCCATACATAATGTTCCATAAGCTAATACAAAACCATGTAATTATTATTAATGGAAGTCTTGGATTCACAAAGCTAGCAATGGGGCGCACCTGCATTTCCCACCGTAACATTTTACTGAGACGCACGAGATAGTCGGTCCCTCTTATTCGAACAAATCATCATGGCGGACGGCCCTCCTTGTCCCCTTTTCCCCTTCTGGACCTTCCAGACATTCCGCTGACGCACTTTATTCGAAATTTCAACTTGTTCGAACCGTACGTTGATTTTTCTTGTTTTCACTGATTCCATACAAGAGTAGAATTTTTATTCACTTTTTTCGTTTTCCGATGGAAAAATGATAAATTTGAGTGTTCGAATAGGCCCACATAATACATGCTTCTAAAATATTTTATAAGAGGTGCGTATCTAGTAACCCGACAAACGCATTCTAACTTTCAGAATTCAACTCTCTCTGTGCTAGAAAGTACGGAACTCGTCTCGCGAAATAAGGAATCGATTGCAGCACAAGAGCTGTGGGTGCCTTTGACGTGTGGTGTCGCTGCGCGCAGCAATGGATCGGAAGTGGATCGGCGATGGCTCGGTTCAGTGGCGCTTCGGTGGTGGCGTCGTGGCAAAACATTAAAACTATCGGAGTGGGCTTCTGGTTCAATCCAGACCATCGGAGTGGGCTTCTGTCTCAATCTACCTAATCAGATTGCAAAATCAGGAAAAATTGACTGTGATCTAATACGATTTCACTGTAACTTCAATAAAATCTTATTTGATTGCGAAATAGAGCCTTTTCTAATTAGATTGCAATCGAGTTGTTCTTAATTTGGACGAGTTTCTCGGCCGCTATGTTATTTTTAGTTGTTTTTTACTGAAAAAAGACAGACAGACAGACAGACAGACGCCTCTTGTGCTTTATATATATATCAGAACTGTCCCGAATCAGAACGAAACCTATCTGCGAGTTCTGATTCGGGGCAATTCTGGCTCAGGGTAGCCTCCTTGTTTCACGAGTGACGAGAGACGCAGACGACAAAACGAGAAACGACGCTCCGCCGTTCCGATGTAATCTTATCTCATTTGCACACCAAGGCCGCGGGACCCCTTTTTGCTCACATCTTCGACGTTCATATCGGAAATATAAATATCGATAAAAATAATGAAAATCTGCATCAATATTCTCTTTTCCTTTTAGTAAACTTGTTCCAATGTGTTATTTTTCCAGATCAAATGAGTTCTCCGTCTGAATCTCGTTCTTTGTACGAGAGCAAGTTATCGGTGTTCAACGGACGTCTTTGCGCACTTTCGATCACAGCGGCTTCTCACTCTAAAGATTCCGTGAAGGTCAGTTAGTCAATGCTTCTCAAATCTTAGCGATAAACACATCTTCCAGATCCGTGTCTTTTCTCCCACCGATGCTTCTATTCTGCTGGACAGACTACTCGAATCGAGTGATTATACGAAGCTCCTTGAAGTGCTCAAAGGCATTTCTAATGCACGCGCGCAGGATCCGAGCATCCTCGGTCCACGTGTCGAGGCTGATTCCACGGACGTCGATTTTCCATTCCGACTTATCGTTGAGCCGGCCGATGAAGTAAGTAGGTCGACTATCGGATGCATTTCCGTCCCGCTCTCCGTTCCCTCACCGCAGGAACGATACGAGTATGTGCTCTATTTGTATGCCAAGGAAAAGGTATTGAGCTTAACTTGAACAAAGGTAAAATAAATACATTTCTGCAGTCACAACTTCAAGCACAAATTGGAAAAACAGACGAGATTTCGCAACAATTGCAAAAAACAATAATAGATTATAATGCAGTGAGTCCTATTTTATTGATCCAAATTCAATTTGTTTCAGCTAAAACTGAAATGCGAATATCAAGAAAAAGAAATCGATCTTCTACGGCAGTTAAATTCACAAACAACATCTGACAGTCGGAAGCGAAGTCGAATAGATTCCTTGAATACGCCGACGAAAAAGAGAAGATGTGGATGTGAGGACGACGGCGAATCGTGCGGATCGGACTGCGAAGGAGAAGAGGACGTAGAAGACGACGAAGCGGATATTCAGATATTCAGAGCAGCGGCGGCAAAGTTACAGATGTCAGGAAGTGGTGGACATAACGGTAAAACGAAAGGGAACATGCGAAATTTACTGAAAATAGATTTCAGTGGAAGTTTCTCCTGTTGGAGGGAACGCGTCCGACAAAACAGAGGATCTCATGAAGCAGCTTGAGAAAATATCCAGCGTTATTGTGAAGAGTGAGCATTCCGAAAGTCATTTTTCACTAAATTCTGCTCTTTTTCAGCTCCAAATCTGCCCTCTACATCGGGAACTTTGCAGATAAAAGTGGAAGATGGCCAAGAACAGTCCGGCCCGCTGGTTTTACAAAATGCGGGAAGTTCTGAAGAGCAGAGTGTGAACCAGAAAGTGGTCGGCGTCGTGCAGTACGTGATCTGTCAGCTGTGTCCCGAGGAAGAGCAGAAGTCGATGGACTTCTCCAATCAGAAGGAAATGGAGGAGCACTTTCTGGATAAGCACGTCGACAAAGAGAAAAAGAAGTGCGAGGCGTGTCCGTCCGACCAGTTCCAACCGCACAATATAGGTCAACATTATCGATTGCACACGAACAGGTGAGAAGAATAAACGAAAGATTTTCAAGTGTAAATAAGAATATTTTTCAGTGTATATGCATGCGAACACTGTGGGAAAAGAGGAAGACGAAATTATCTGATGTCTCACATTCGGACGCACACGGGAGAAAGGCCATTCAGGGTAAGCTGATATGAATCGAAATGTGCAGAGATCTCGGGTTTCAGTGCGACACGTGTTCCAAGAGTTTCTCCGACTCCTCCACTCTCCGCCGTCACCGACTCGTGCACACGGGAGAGAAGAAGTATCAGTGTCCAGTGTGCGGCCGAGCGATCGCGAGGAAGGACAACGTGAAGGTGCACATTCGGAGCCACGGAATACATATTTGAAAAGCAGGTAGCGATGCGTGCACGCTTTTGTGTTTGCCATGAATAAACTCATATTTAACCTGTCTGATAGTCGTTTCGTCTTTGAGTTGTTGGTCACTGCACCCTCGCCGAATATCTGTTCACCTTAACATTTTCAAGTATTCAACGGGTGTTACAGATGAGCACGCATAATGATGAGTCGAAGAATCTGTCAGAAACGCTCGACGAAATATTGTAAGTGCTCTCGGAACAGTGGAAAAGATCGAAGATTTCTTTACATTCCAGAAAACTACAAGAAGAGCTGCAATCCCGGATGGGAGCGTCCAATCAGAATCTGGAGGCCAACTTCGAGAACATCAGAGACTTTGTAAGGGGGAGAGAAGAGAGTGATCGTCCGATTCTTCCGGAATATTCGCTTCGAAATGCATGCTCCGCCGCCCTTGCTCCGCACCCTTCTTATAATAGATATGCAAATCGGATTGGCATCCCAACTGGCAGCACTCATCTGAATTCGCTCTATCAGTGCCTTCTTCTGCTTCTTTTACTTCCGTTTTCTCTTCTTTGGTGTTCTGACAGAAAAAGTCATGGCGGACAACATCTTCTTCTTCTTTTCTTTCTTCTTCTTCTGTCGTGATTGAATTGCAACGGCAAGTTTCCGTCTGAATCCTCACGCTCTCCGTCGGTCCCATTTTCAGCTTTGTCCTCTCGTTTTGGAGTCTTCTTTGCCTTCTCCATCCTCTGTACAAATAATCATAAGCTATCGGATTTCGTTCCGTTCCTCTCTCTCTTCGTCCCGCCTTAATTGTTTGTTCATCGCCTTCTTAATCCAAAACGAGTCTCTGTTCACGTGGTCCGCGTCAGAAGAGTTGAAGTAATCGAGATTCGGAATAGAATTTGGTATCATATTTCCTCTATTACTTCTGAAGTGAATCGTCCACTGGAGACGTCATTTTGAATGTCATCTCCAGAATCTCCGATGAACTCTAGCAAACTGCTTTCAATTTTCATTGCGTTTTTGTGCTTCGCCAGCTACATAACGTATGCAAATTGGCGAGAGTTAGGTCAGTGAATCGGCTTGCGAGAGCTTCAACATCTTTCCTCCCGGATCGCCCACCTCTGTCGCCTAGTCGTCAAACACCAGGAAGTTGGTATTCTATTCTCGGCACGTCATGAATCCAGTATTCAAATTACATGCCGCTCTCTCGCTTCTTCTCGACATCTGCTGTTCGAAACCATTTCCATGCATATTCCATCATTGTCCTTTCGTGATATTCATTCCTCCCCCCTCGCACCATTTACTGTTCGAACGATTGGAAGCTGTCAGTGGCAGCCGCCCTCTTTCCGTTCTGTTTATCCATTCACTTACTCACTGTTTATACTCGCCGCTGAACAATGATAGTGAGAATGAACTGCCGCGTGGAGACGGCGGGCGGATCGGCTGTCAAAAACTGATAATAAAGGGAGGAGGAAGTGAATGCACAAAGAGAAACATTGCAGGTGTCGCGCGCCCATGCCTACATCCCGATTCTGAAGCAGGTTTCGAAGGATATGGTCGAGATTTCCGAGCGAGTTCAGGCACTGAAGAAGAAAACGAGCAAACTGGAAACGACGAACGGAAGCAGGTCAGTCATCTCTTTTTCCGCAAATTTCAAAGGAAAAGAGCGCGAAGTTTCTCAAAAAGAACTGAAATAATGATTATGGATCAAAACTAGCCGTGTTTATAGAAAAGTGTCCTCTTGGTCTTCCGTAAACATTGCCCGAGTCACGTCGTTCCCACGAGTCCATTCGTTCTTTTCTCAGCTTGTTTCGTAATGGTTTAATGACGTGGTACATGAGATTGAAGTGGAAATCGCATGCGAGCACTTCACCCGAATGGCGTCTTGCTCCACACTCCCACCTAGCAACCGTGAATAGTTTTAAGAGCCGATGAAGCCCTTGCTCCAGCCAATGTCATTTTGTTGGACGACTGGGGGCTCAGCAGAAAAGTCCGAGGTTCTTGGCGATTGCCTGTGCTCTTCCCATTGACATTCCACCTCATTAAACACGGCCAATGATGTTTTTTAACTGAGATCACAAATCTTGGAGGGACCTGCAGAAAAGCACAAGAACACGATTTTAATGGGGAGTCAATAAATCAGATATCGACGTGTCGAATGACTTGCGTTTCTTCCCCTTTCTCTTCCCTTTTTTTCGTTTCTCTTGATGCGACAGCTGACTCTCCAGACGGCGAAACTGGCGGCCATTCTCCCGCCTTTTCAGTCGGATCTCTTGCAGATTCTGAATCGGAGAATGTGCTTCCTTCCGTTGTTTCAGAAAAAACTGAGAGCAATTTTAGAATCAGCGAAGAAAAACCAATAATTTAGAAAGCTTCAACCGTAGATTTATTAGTTTTTTTTTTGAAAGGGGACCCTCCAATTATTTTGCAGTTGTTTACCGGTCGAACTTCCTGCAGTCGCCACCTTCCTCTGAGCTTCTTGTTTTCACGACTGGCTCCTCCTTTCTATCGCTTTGCTGAAACGGAAATCGCAGCGTGTCCTTTCCTCACTTCATTTCGGAGTCGAATCCCTCTGATTCTGAAGAAAAAGAGAGAGAGAGAGCCGTCGTCCGTATCTAGATGTGCTGTTATCTTGCCGAAACACTGCCCTCGTCATCTGGAATGTCTTTTTTTCCGTGTGCTCCTCTTGGGTTTTTCCAATTATCTCGCCCCCTCTCTCCTTTTTTACCAAGTTGTTTCTTGCATCTAAACAAAAACAACTCTGAACAACCGATCTCCCCTCCTCCGAGTTTCCCTCATCCTCCGCCGGTCTCGTCTGCCCTCCCAGGCCGTCTTTTCTTTCTCCGCCTTCATTTCGTTCACCTTGCCACCCGTCCGCTTCCCCCAATTTTAACGGCGTGTCTTATGAAGCGCGCACACATTGACAAGTAATACTGGGGAACAGACACCAGTAGTCGTTAAAAGAATTGCATAATGACAAAATATGTCCCCTTCTTCCCCCATCCGCCCATTTTCGTTTCGTTCCGCCACCCGGCACTCCTAATGATGTTACCCTTCTGGAGTTGTTTGCTGGCTTTCAGTAACGGGTATGCAGAGATCAAAGGATCCTTCTGGAACCGTTACCCTCGTGGTTCTCCATCTTTTCTCACACCTTCGTGCTTTGGCGTAATTAGCACAAGTCCTTTTACGTCTAGTCTCATGTCCTCGTGTATTTGTTATGATTCGTTGGGCCTGATAACCAGACTCTCACTCTCTTTCGTGAGAAATACCGAAAGCGACTGCCGGCCTCCGGTCTCCAGAATCTTTCACTTTTCTGCGTCTAGAAGCGCACGCGCTTCTTCATTTTCCCGAGTAAGTAAATATCAGAAAAAAAAGCGTCGCGTCGTCTCCGGAAACTAATAACGAAGTGGGTCATCATAAGATTTTGCTGATGGTCGAAGAATATATAAACCGTGGAGGGCGAAATTAAGCTGTTGCTCTTGCTCCCGCCTTGCACCGGCCCGCTCTGTGCCCTCTCCATTGTTTATTTTATCCGAAATTGAACCCGATTGACGGAAATCGCCAAAATACATTCGGACGCGCGGGGAGTTGTCGCCCTCCGTGTGCTGCTGACCTCTTCCCTCTTCCATCCAAATTTCCATGTCAATTGGCAAAATTAGCTCCGAATCTGACGAAGGCTTCTACTTCTTGTACCACGCGTTTGTAGTTCGATAATATGAGCTTCTGGAAGTCTTCGATTACCCGACAACGGCAATAAATCTCACAATGCGCGCCGGAATCTCTCATCCGGGACCTCCATTCATGTCTTGCCCGTTTTCAGCACGACACACGAGCAGTAGGCTGATTTACGATTCGACGCCAGCTTCTTCTTCTCCTTCTCCATTTTCCACTCACCTCCCATCATCATCGCTCCGCTCCCTTCTCAAAATCGACGTCTTCCCGTCGTCTGCCGTTGACCTGCAATTAAAGTGCGTGAAATGGGCGATTTCGAGCGGCGACCCGTCGTCTCGATGCGGCGGCTCATCATCTTCGTCGTTCTCTTGCCGACGGTCGTCGTGTCCGCTGCTCGCAAGCCGGTTATGTGTCTGCAGTGTGGAGGAGACAAGTACGAAGGGAGTGTCAGGTGAGAAAAGGAAAAGAGAAGACAGAGTCGGAAAACGGAAATATTGCAGACTGTCGAGGGATATCTGCTGTAAAGCCACTCCGATTATGTGTCTGCAGGGACAGGTCTGTCTCCGAGCACTCGTATACTCTCCGTACGGTAACTTCTTCCTGTCCGGATGCCATCCAGAAGAAGACCATCTGAGCGGATGCGACTATCATTATCTCCCTCACAACTCGTCCGTTCATCGGTGTGTCTGCACGGATGCCGAGTGCCAGAACGACTTTCCCGGAGATTGTCCGATCAAAGGAATAACTGATGTCACCGTTAGTTTCTTTATCCAATGTCCGTATGAAAGCCTGAATTTTCCATTTTTCCAGAAACCCTTCACGACGAGCACAGGAGTTCCCCACTCCTCGACGCCTCCTTCACTCCTCGCTCGCAATCGGACACGTGGCAACTCGGCTCGCGGACGTCATCATCACAACCACAGCATCACGAGCGGCTCCCTCACGACGTCTTCTCTCTCCGTCCTTCTACTTCTTTCACTCTGGGTTTACAGTGTTACAGTCGCTTGATCTCTCTCGTTTCGCGCCAAACATCGCTTCTATTTTTTCCTCGATGTCATTTTCCTCCCATAACATGATGATGATAATAGAATATCGTTGTTCCCGTCCACTCCGTCGATCAATTGTTCCCTAGTCCCTTTTTCCCTTTATTAGTTTCCCCCGCAATCTTATCATTTTTCAACAATCGCCATTTTCATACATCGAGACTCAGACACACTGTTGCAGAAATGATTACTTGTGTTTTTGTACGTCTGGCAGTGCACTTTTCCCCCACCGTAACGAGTTCTTATCAGTCCCCTCATTCTCCCAATTTCCTTTTTTCATCTGCCCTGTTTCCATGAGTTTCGTACGTGTACCGGATGCTTTAAATTTATGAAGAGTCTTTTTCGAGTGCTCCTTGTTTCAGTCTCTCAGTAAGTTTCGATCAAAATGTGTACCTCTGAAGTGTGGTGTTTATGTGCGTGTACTCGACGACGCTTTGCATAATAATCACGGCAAAACAGGAAGGGCTCTTTAGATGGATTAAAAAGAGAGCGGAAGGGCATTGCCCGGCCTCTCTCAGCCTCCTTTTCTCTCCGAGTTTCCTCTTTTCTGGGCAAATATCGACGAGAAAACCAATTCTCCAGTCTTTCTTTTTTTTCGTTTCGGAGAGAATTGATAGGAAAATTTGATAAACCATCAGTTGCTAATTGCATTTGCATCAACACTTTGGTTGGCCTAAACTTTTTTCAAAAATAATCACACGTGTACGTTCTAATTTTGTTGCCCCGTCATAAGAAATCATGTTTAAATGATAAAGAAACGAACAACACGTTATATTCTGGAAAATGTCCCTTCTCACGCTCTCTCGCCTTTTCAGACGTGTTCCGCTGGATCTTCTGAAGGTATTCGAAGCTTCGCTTCTCATTTCCACGCGTCTCCCAATTTTCCTTCTCTTTCTCTAATTCTCTGTTTCAGATGAGCAGCAGCGAGTTGATTGCCGAGTTGGAACGAGAACGGAACCGACGTATCCTCTCCATCCAAAGCCACGTCGTCCACGGATACGCCGGCAATAAATGCTCCGTTTTCCCGCTCCAGGTGCCCTGCTTCATTCCGCAACTCCTCAAAAATGGCATTTTTTCAGTTACACGGTTTCGAAGTCGATTTCATCAACAGTGTGCAATTCTCGAACCACGCGGGTAACATCGAATATTTGACGCTTCCAACAAGTAACTTCGGGTCCCACCCACTTGAAATATTCGAGCACTACCCACTTTCGGTTCATTATTGTTATTATTATTTCCATGTCATGTCTTTTAGTTCCAATTTTACGGCCGCTCGTCACGATAAAAGTGCTAATTTTGGGGAGGGTTTTCAGGATACGAACACGTGAAAGGACAGAAACTGACGGAGAAAGAGCTGGAGGAGCTGTACGAAGGGCTCACGTTGAACAACATTAACAACTACACGCACGTCCTCACTGGTAAACTTGTTTCATTGTTACAACGCTTTCTATCGTCCGAGTTCAGGATACTGTGGAAATGTAACATTTCTGCAAAAAATAGCCGACGTCGTCAAGGATTTAAAGCAGAAAGACCCGAAGACGACGTTTGTGTGCGATCCGGTGATGGGGGACAACGGAAGATACGTAAGAAGGACAATTCCTTCTTGTCGAAAATATAACATCTCATTTCAGTACACTCCGAAGGAACTGATGCCAATCTACCGTGATCTGATCATTCCGCTGGCCGATGTGCTCACTCCGAACGCGTTCGAACTCGGAGAACTGACTGGATCTCCGATCGAGACCGAGGCGGATTGTCTGCGAGCAGTAGACTTGTTGCACGCGAAGGGGGTCAAGACGATCGTGGTGACGAGTGGAGTGACTGGAGCACAGACGAACGAGAGCCTCCGATGCTACGCGAGTGTCAAGGGAGCCGCAACCTACCGATTCACGTTTCCGAGACTTGTCGGACAGTTCGTCGGAACTGGTTTGCTGTCGAGAAATTGAATTGTTGAGAATGTACTCGTTTGCAGGAGACGTGTTCACTTCTCTTCTCGTCGTTTGGCTTGACGAGTTGAACGGTGACGTGGCAGAGGCCGTGAAGCGAGTGCTCTCTTCGATGCAGTGTCTCATTCGGAAAACGAGCGATTTCGCCCAGCTCCAAGTCGACACGAACTCGCATGCGATGTGCGAACTGCGACTCATTCAATCGCGGAAAGACCTTCTTTGGCCTGTCCTCTGCGAACAAATTCACGTGGAGAGAGTGGGACGTTAGGCCCCTGAAACGGACATTCTTATGTTGAGCTTGTGCATAATGCGTAAATCTGTGATCAATAGTATTTTTAGCGTTCTCAGAGAACTCTTTTTTATTGCGAGTCGCAATTTGCGACCCATATGCTTATTTATCGAACAATTTTTACAGAATCATAAAGTATTGGAACATGAACAAAACTCTGAGTTATTTTTTGTATCATGGCTAGTTTGTGTTTTGAGAATCTTCGGGAAAGAGAGAAGGAAACGGGGAGCGGGGAATGGAGATAAATACCAGTCGCCTAGGCTGGGTTTCCAATGTGGAACTACTCGATTTAATCCGTATCAATATGATATCACGGTCAGATTTTCATAGTTTCTACGACGATTGTGCAATGTCTGGAGTGCTGCGAGTCATCGAAGTGAAGCGAAAAGCACGGACGACGTTGCGGAGGCGGCGGCGGGCGGCAGCGGCCGACGAACGGGCGGCGCTTCGGATGTCAACTCGTTCGCGCGACGGAGAACGGGCGTCCACTGATTTGGAGGTGGTGGCGCCTAAAGAGAAAGATGGATGGGCAGAGAACGATCTGAATTACCTTGAAGTGAGGCCATTGTCGGGGCTTTCTTCGAAGAAGAACTGCTCGGAACTCCGGACGCGCTCGCCGTTGTATCCGCCCTTTCACGGACAGTTTCCGGCTGCGAGACAGTTCCGAACGTGATTTCATCCGAGCAAAACTCCGAATCTCTACCGGAGTCTTCGGCTGTCCGCAAGTTGAACTCTATCTTCCGGCCCAGCGCCGGAGTCGTGGCCACTGATTTCGTGCTCGTCGGAAGCGTCGGTTCTTGGCTCGGACCGGCTCCGTCCTGCGAGTCGGCAGGAAAGAAGTGCTGCGCATCCGGTCGGTTCGGACTCGTCTGCGTCTTCGTGAGGGAGAAGGGCCAGGACCCACTACGTTGCGACTGGACCTTCACCTTTCCGTTCGAAGTGAGCTCTCTGGCCAAGGGACTCTGTCTTCCGATGTGCGAATGATCGGAATAACGGTGATGACGTGGAGAGTCCTCTTCAAGAGTGGCGGGAAACGGAGAGAGAAGAACTCCCGGGTGCGATTCGTGGCTGTCCATTTTAGAGAGATGATTGAGGATGCGATCGAGACGGTCTGGCTCTGTTTCGCGAAGTTTTGTGTATATTTTACATTGAAGTTCCTTTGGAATCTGGAACGAGATTCGTTCTGGAAGTGTCTAGGAAGAAACGGAATACCTTGAATATCTCCTCCACATTGCTGATCATCGTCTCCACAATGGTCACTTGTAGTTCGTTCTCTGCCAGTGTCTCTTGCAGTTTATCATGATCGACTCGAAGGATGGAAGGTGCGAATATAGTGGCCAGATTGCGAGCATCCATTTTGTTACCGTAGAGCTGAAATAAATAAGTTAAAATGGGAACACCTTGCGATGTCAACTGACCACTTCGCCGGATGCACTCTGTCGGTCTTGTGAATGACAAGAAACCTCGTGGAGGAACTTCAGAAGTACGAAAAGAGTGTCGAGATTCGGCGAGACGAGGAGAGCGAACAGTAGGCGGATTGCCTCGATCCGTTCTTCAATGTTGAACTCTGAATCACAAACACTTATCCTTTCAACATGCTTTTTTTAGACTCACTCGCTGCTCCAATGTAGGCGGAGTAATGCTCGGCAGGCAGCAGACTCTGCGGGAGGTCTCGGAAGTATTCCTTGAGGAGTGTTGCCACGTCATGCGCCGTCGTGTTTTCCACCATATTATCATTGATCACAGCCCCGCCGCCCACCTTCTCCAGTGCGTTTCTCAGCTGTCTGCAGCGTTTCGTATTGCCCGCTACTCGGAACAGTCCGACTTGAGTTAGTCCGTAGGTCATCAGATATTGAGTACAGTTCTCAACGATCTTCGGAACTTGCAACGCGTGTGGATCCACGTCATCTATGTTCGCATCGAGGGAACACGAGAAAGAGGCGGAAGCGGGACGCTGCTTCTTCAGAAAACGGCCGGTAACTTGCTGAGGCTCCACGGGCTCGGCGGTGAGCAAATTATTCGTGGAGGGGAGAATCGAACAAGTGGGAGGAGCGGAGCCAACAAACGGTGAAGGGGAAGAAGGGTTGGAAGCGGAGGAAGGATAGAGGTTCTGAGTGGAAGGGTACAGCCACTTGCGGTCGTCCGGAGTCGTGTGGCTCACTATCTCGGGCTCCGATTTAGTCGGCTTCGCTTTCGATCTGAACGAGGAAAAGTGTGAAAGATGGGAGACATGGAGAAGCACTTACTTATTGAGCATGCAGACGGTCGAATCATCGAGGGACCTACATCGGCTCTCCTGGTCCAGCCTCTTCTCGTTTACCATGCACATCGCCAGCGACACTCCGAACACTCGCTTCTCCTCCGGACACGGAGTCCCCGATGCCCGTCTTTGCACGTCCGCCACAGTCGGCGTTCGGTTGCTTTTCACGAGTTTTTGACGTTTTTGACGAAGAGCTGACAATGGATCTAGAATGAGACGGGTGACTTGCACCTCAGAACTCCTCCCACCTTTTGGCTTCCCGAGACTGACTCCTGGCAACATTTTCCCGAGTCGTTGGGCAGCAAGCAGTTGCAGAGCGGACCGTTCGATTTCGGAGAGATTCTCGAGACGGGCGCCCCGGAGGACCACTTCTGCTCCGTCCACGGACCGCCACGTCATGCTGTCCTGCAAAATATTCGAGTTGCTTTGTGCTATTTTAATTTTGGAATACCAATGACTTCCACGCAGAATCTGTAGAAGAAGATGTCGAGCTGGCATGCGAGTACGCGTATTTAGGCTTCAGTTTCCAGAGTAACTTTTGCGAAGAATACTTCCATCCTTCAGAATGTGAACTGAAATAACGCACCGATACTTTGGACTGAGGTTGTCAGATGACCGCGGTTGCAGCTGCTCCCGAGCAGAAAGTTTCGATGATGGATAGCCGGATTTCAGCTGTCAAACGAGATGACTAAGCGGACTGGAATCTGTGGTTTCGACCCCATTCGGAGACATCAGGGGACACAATCAGTGGTCTCGAGTGACCCCGATCTCTGTGTTTCGGAGCGCTGATGTCTGTGAGAATTCCTACTTTCTAGTTTGGAAATTTCCCCTATTCACGTTAAATAAGCTTTCTCTCTCGTACGTCAAAAAGTCTGGAAAAGCCCAGGAATCCTTATTTATCCCCGCAAGAATCCGCACGATTCAAAAATTTTCACCGGCGGCTCATTTCATTTTCAGTTGTTTTTGAGCCAGAAAAAGAAGAAGGAAAACAGTCTGAGACTGTCCCGCGGGAGCCAATTATCCGTTTGTTTATCGCTCCAGGAAGGGCGTTATATGAGCGTGGGCGAACGAGAGAAACTGCGGATTTGAGGCGGCGTGCAGGAAGGGCTTCTTCCTTTCGGCGGACGATGAGAGGGGGAGGAACATACCTGCTGGCCGACAACGGCACGTTCGGAGAAACCGGCGCCGTCATCGAATAGTTGTGGTGGTGGTGGTGGTGCGACGAATCGGCGACGCCTCCGCCGTGCGCGCTCGTCCCGGCCACGTCTAGCGTGTCATGCGAGTCGTTGAAATCCGACGAATCACGCGAATCGCGAAGACGGCCCTGAAAGATTCGGAGATAGTTGTGAATTCAACGAGAGACAAAGAAGAAGATGAGCACGGGGAACGACTGTGGATTCGCGACGTACCTTCTTTTTGCGGAAAAGAAACATCTTCATGTGCTGAATTGTGGATAGACTGTCCGACTGAGACGCGGTGTCTCAATCGGCAAATAATTAATGGGACTAGTCAGCAGACACCTGCAGTGATATCACCGAGCTACAGAGCACGGGGAGGGGCTCTCGACCGATACTCTCTGGCTTCGGAGGAGCTGATACGGGGAGCACGCGCGAGCAGCAGCCACGCCCCTCAAAGGATTAGACTCTGCTTCCCGATGGATAGATGATGATGATGGGAATGGTGATGATGACCAGGCAAGGAGAGAGGCCCCCGCACCGGCAAAGTTCGACGAGAAGGGGCACACTTTAATTGGCTTTTTAATAAAATAATGAGAAGACAACGAGCCGAGAGGCCTATTAGATGAGTGAGCAAGCCGTCGTAGCGCATTATATTCTGGAAAACTTCCGTTGCTTCTCGGGGGATTCAGAACGATTTCGATGGAAACGGAATGAATTGTTCAAGTCAGAAATATTGGAGTCAAGCTGAGAAATGTAGTTGAAGCCGGAGCACTACGGCCACAAAACATGAGGGAGAGCAGATTCCAATTTCGCATTTCCAGGTGGTTTTCGTAAGGAAATCGGGAGGTCTAGAGATGGACTGATGCGACGGTGGTTTTATCCGGATCAGACGGGAACGTAAGCCGATTGAGTGAACATCCACGGGGAAGATGTGGAAAAGGAAATTTGTAAATCTTGATCTAAAGCTGAAATGAGTCAAGACTGGAGTCAAACACGGAAAAATGCACAATAAGTTGAAGGCAATTTGAGGAGAAACCTGACAATATTGCATCTTCTTCTTCTACTTCTGCTTCTTCTCTCTTTTGAGCTTTCGGAGTCGCAAACCACACATTTGAATGCGGGCCGTGAGAGCTGAAAACGGGCGGGCGGACGGTGGGAAAATAACAAAAATCATTGTCCGCGGCGAGGAAGGCGGCACGAAGGAAATTCGCGATTATGAAGGAGAAGAGATGGAGGCAATCTGCGGAATCATGCACAATCGAGGCATATTTGGGAGGGCGAGAGAGTGTGGACGGACGAAATACCGAGAGAAACGGAGCGGGGGAAAAGGAAATGGCAATCAAAAAGAGAAAGAGGCGAACATGGAGAAGTTCCGATGCTGTTAAGTGGCGGATGGATGCAGACTGTGGGGAAGTTCCCGTGATCACATCGCTTCTCTTTCTATTAATCTCTCCTTCGCCTTGTCAAGAATTCATCTCGGATTTCCACGAGAAGCCTCAAAGGGAGGAGACAAAAAAGAAACGGAAGCGAAACTGAAATGTAAATGAAATGTTGAGATGATCACGAATGCAACGAATACATGCAAATGATGATTGCACGGGGGCAGGTACGAACTGAAGAAGACGAATCGAAGGGTGCACGTCAGTTGTGACGTGGCATCGGCACACGAGAGCAACGGCTACAATACAAAATGAGCGAGCGTGACGTCACGGACGGAGAGCGGGAGAAAGAAGCAATAGTTTGTGGCTGGCAGCCGAGTGTCAAGTTGACCATAAACCTATGAAACAGGAAGCGGCGGCGCAGTGACTCGGATGTTTCCGGACACTGCCTCCAGAATCGACGGCGACGCGCATTTTCGCATCGAGAGAGCATGCACGTATCGGGTTACCTCTCCCGGACGGGACCGACAACCACATTAGGTGATGTGCTCGGCCGCTTCTACTCGAATTGGCTGCTTCCGAAGACGGCAGAATTCACCGAAAAACAAGTGGAACAAGCCGAAAGGGGCCGCCAAAGTGATGACAATGAAGTGAAAATGAGGATAGACCGATGGAAGAAGTGGTGCGACAGACGGACGGACGGACGGACGGACGGACGGACGGAAGGATGGATGGATGGATGGATGATGCATACTCATTAGTCGCGGGACCAGTAAAAGAGACTCTTCTGCTCTCCTGGCGCTACAGAATGTTTTGCTCTCCCTTCTCACCGGCGGGCCCTCTTTTCCGCCTTCTCCTCTTTCTTTTGCCTCTTCCTCTTCATTCAAAATGGGATTTGAAAATGAGCAAATTGAGCTGGAGCTCTCCGGAGCACACCGGGCAATGTCTGTCTGTCAGCAGAAGAGGGACGGCCGGAAAGAGAGAGAGAGAAAGAGAGCCGGATGGCTACTAGTTTTGAGGGACCTCGGAGCAAAAGAGGAGAGCCCTTATTTGTCAGAGAAGATGAAGATGGAGAGGAAGAACGAGAAGAAGAACCCGCTCGTTTTCCTTCTCTCTCTCTCTCTCTCTCTCTCTTTCTCACATACAATTTCCCCTCAAAAGACAGCTCTCTTTTTGGTATGTTGACAGAAACTCTCATGATCTTAGGATTCGCGTGATCTTGATCTCGTCACTTTGACTAATAGTACATTCATGTCATAATTATCACCGAAGAATGATTCTGAAGAAGACATCAGACGGTCCCTTGTGAGGGAAACGATGAATGCAACGTTGGGGAACACGTCACCAGATGTAATTTGCATTTAAGAGACATTCGGAGGCGACAAATAGAGATGCAATCTGAATAATGAAGAAAGTGAGAAGAAGAAGAAGAAGAAGAAGGGGAGGAACACGTCATGCGGGTTCATATGGGAACGAATCGGAAGGACCAATGGCGAAGGAAAGTTTTCGAATCGAATCTCTTTGCTTTCTCCGCCGATTTTGGAACAAACGAAGAGGCCTTCGAGGGCTCTCTTGAGAAGAAGAAAGAAGAAAATAAATGACGTGAGCTTTGAAGATTCAGATGAAGAAGAAGGAGATTGGAGAAAACGATGTTTCAGAGTTGGAACACACAGTGCCAAGAGGACAAGAGCTCCTCCTTGGTGGGGGCCGCAGAAGGAGCCGAGAAGGGACCAAAAATAGATACAGATACGCTTGTGCTGTGCACTAATCTAATCTGTGCCCGCAGAGCCACCACAACAGGACGGACCCGAATGGTGGTAGAAGCGAAGAAAATGAATAGCAGGAAGAGGAGTAAACACGAACGAACTGGCAGAAGAAGAAGAAGAAGAAGAAGAAGAAGAGATAGAGAGGGAAGAAGAAGAAGAAGAAGAAGAAGGAACGAGCACGGCTATGATTCGGTTAGTTGCGAACATTAGTTTGAATGATTTATGAAGTGGAAACAGATAATTAAACGGACGAAACTATTTTTAGATTTCGAAAACGCGGAGGAACTCCGGAAATGAGGAACATGTGCGAGAACGAATGGGCGTTTCCCTCTCGTGCTTTTCTGATTTGTCAGTACAAGTATTGTAGTAGTAGTGCCACTTCATCACTACATTCCCTTCTGATTGATACGTCTCCGATCAGAAGAAGTCCCCCCCAACCTACCGTAGTGTCCGAGTCGGTCCATCTCCTTTGCGTGCTCCGTCGGATCTGCAGGAACTCGTCGCCGACTCCTTCAACCGCTGGATTCGGCTGGTCGACGTCGAGCTGCAATGGCATCGCCGAGCTGTCGATCGACGGATGTCGTAATGTGAGGCGTGGCAGTTGGCTGGAATTCAAACGGATTCTGGATTGCTTTCTTTCGTGAGCATGAGACCCTCGGAGCCCACATTATTATTACGAGGCACACACTGGAAAACGGGAGAAGGAAGAAGGAGAAGGGGAGGAAGAACAATGCAAAATTTTAGGCGCAAAAACAGAAGCACACGCAAGGCCATCGAGAAGCGGCGAATTCATGGCATGGCACGAGACAGGCAAAAGTTGAGGGCGATATGTGATGAATTATTCGGAACGAGCAAGGTGTCTGGTATCGGTGGGCGGCAAAACACGAGACAACGTGAGCTGGGAACCCAGCTGACCTGGCCCGGAAACTCATGGGAAACGATTTGAGTTGGGAGGCGAGAAGAGCTGAGAATGGGAAAGAGCCGGAGGCTTCTGGAGAGTGAAATGAGATATTTGTGGAAAGAGTTCAAGAGAAACCAACTGAAGGATGCAAAAATCAAAGGAGAAAGAAATGATGTCATTTGAGCGGAAAACACTGGGAAATCAGAAAAATATCCAGAAGCCAGTGTCTTTTTGGACAGCAATGAGCCCGGATTGGAAAACAATCCGAAGAAAAATGAATTCTGGAGAGAGACCAGAAAGAGAAAGTGAAAGCGAGAGAGGGGCAGAAGATTCGGGTGGATTGTAGGCGTGCGTCACTGATAACAAGACATCATGCCCCATGTGCCTTCAAAGAAGACATCAAAACTCACAGCTGATTCTTCTTCATGCTGCTCCGCTGCGATCCGAAGAACGTCCGATGCTTGAAGAGACGCCATTGACTCTTTCGGATCGATCTGAATTTGTTCCAACTGTCGGGTGCTCCAGAACGAACTCCTCCTACCTGCTCGCAAATCCAGCAAGTCTTTTCGACGTCGACATCTGCGGGGACTTTTCTCCTCCAGGATTCGGGGATCCTGGCCTGCTCGTGGCTGGAGAACGCACAGCTTCGTCGTCTTTTCCCGAGTCCACTGAATCTGAACCTCTAAAGATTATATAAACAAAATTCTCAGATTGAAACCTCTTTTAGTGCTGCTGCTATTTCTGAACAGAAGCCGTCCGATGGAGAATGTGGAGGAGGGCTTGTGCTCGGGAACGACGTTGTCCGAATCGCTCCGCGTCGAGGATGCCACCGACGTCTTCGCACTTCTGCTCGGCGACGACGGCACGGCGACAGTCGACGAAGATGGCCCGCACGCCGACAACGAAGACGGCGACGGTGTCCGCGACATTGCTGAAAAGCTAACTTTGGCAAAGGAAACGGACAATGGACGGATGAAAAGTGAAGAAGGAGGTCAAGAAGGTCGAAAAAGGGCGAGGAGGGGGACGAAACAAGACGTGACTCGAATTTTAATATTCTCCCCTTGTCTTCGCCACTTGTGAGCTTCTGTCTCTGTCGAAATGCTCTCAAAATCAATTACGGCCCGGGTCGTGTCTCGTCGTTTTCTTCTACCAGTCAAGCCGTCAACGAGACGGAGAAACGAGGAGGAAGTCGGTCGATAACTCAATTAAGTTCGTGTCGGAAGGCACGCTGCAGTCACCGAAGGCTTTTAATTGGTTGAATGATGAGCTGGAAGGGAGCCAGAAGAGAGTGACTCAGAACGAGAGAAAAGAAGGCGTTCCGGGTACGGTAGAAGACGTCGGAAGGGGGAATGAATAATGGATGAGATCGAGCGAACTCCCGAGTGCTTTCTGGTCTTGCGAATTCGCTATGAAAAGCCACCCAGACACCTCGTACAGACCTCTTTTTCCGTCAGAAAACACAATGAATTCAATTATTCTCATCACGCAAAGTCATCGACGATCGACTAATTTTCGCCGGACAAACTCTTAAAACTCATAAGATATTGACGAGACAATGAGTCGGAATGACACTTAGCAGGAAAGGAATGAAAGAGAGAGAGAGAGAGAGAGAGAGAGAGAGAGAGAGAGAGAGAGAGAGAGAGTGAGAAATAACTGTCCGACATGCGAATGCAACTTTTATTGGCCAGCCGAGAGCGACAAGTTAAATTGGAATAACTGCGTGTCTGCAGCTAATGAAACCGACTCCAATTGGTCCCGAGAGATCAGGAATCATAAAGAAACTATTAAACGGAACAACTGGAAACAGCCACATCATTCCCGAATCCATACTTGTTTCGAAATTATTCACTTTACAACAATAGCGTCAACATGAAAAAAGTTTGTATTCGAGAGCCAACTTCTGAGAACGAGATTTTCTTCGAAATCAGAAGGGGTGTAAATGGCATGCGAACAAGCTGGAGAGCACGTCCTTCGCCCGCTCTCTCGGTCAAGTGTTGCACAGATTCGCGAGCAGTATCTGTGGGCGTGGCCTCTGGAAGGGCGGGGCGCTAAATGTCGAAAAGCCAGGTGTATGGCTCTCTCGGCTCACCTGCTCGTTTTCCAAAGGAATTCAACAGTTGCTCATTGTTGACTCATTCCGAATGGAAACGACGGATGAAGAAAGGATAAGGAGGAGTAGGGGCGAAAGTTAGAACGAAAGGGAATGCGAGAAAAAGGAGGATAATTGGAAATTGTACTGCTGAAGCGATCTATCTAAGAAAGCATCTGCTCGTGTTGCCAATTCGAGAAGACGGTGGAGAAACAAAGAACGAATCGAAGGAGGATGTGCCACGTCACAAGATGAATGCGGAGGAAGAAAAGGTAATGATAGGGTACGACGGAAGAAAGAGTACAGTAGTCCTCTCCCTTCGGCTTCACTTCCTGTCCTCAATTCCGAGTCAAAAGAAGGACAGACTCTGCCTGTTTTCGTTCGGATTTCGGCAAAGTTGGGGGAGGGAAAGCCGATGATCGGATGATAGGGACGAGAGTACTTGAGGCCAAAACAGAAGATGTGCGAGAAGTGAAAAGCCGGGCGGAACAGGTGGAACTGCAGAGAGTTGCTTGAGAAACAGGAGATCAATCAGCAGGAAACATGCTCTCAGATCGCGCTCGTCATTATGGCCGGTCGGGAAGAGGAAACTGGAGCGAAATTCAAAATCAGGCCTCAATTCTGACGTGTGTCTGTCACACATGCATGAATTCGCAATTTCCTCCCCTTTTCTTGTCCCTGCACTATGATGATGTTGGTTGAAATTGAAAAATTGAAAGAAAACGACGGGGGTTACAAACGCTTCCTGACCTATTTGATTCAAAGTTCGCGCTACTTCTGGCAAATGGCTGCGTAGCGACTCGCCTGTTTTGTCGATACGGAGTCTAAACATTTCGGTCATTTTCCCAAAAATATCTGGGGAAATGGGCAGTTTACCGTAATGGTTTGTTCACTCAATGCGTAAAAAATTACGAAAAGTCCAAAAATCAGTGAAACATGGCTGTAAAAGTCATTTTAGCTATCATTTTTCAAATTGCTGGCGCCGTGCCAAGCGCCAATGTCGTTGAACGCGTTGCGGCTCACGCACTGCGTGCGGGTCAAGCGGTAGAGCGGAAAAGCATATGTAGCGTTTGAACCACCGTCTTTTTCGAAAAGATGAGGAAAAGGCATTGAAAAGGCAAAAAATTGGATTGGAGGCGGAGGCGGGACCGAAGGATCGGCAGGGCTCGAATCCTAATCGGATTAATGAAAATTAGAAGGGAAGAAGAGGAAGAAGAAGAAGAAGAAGCCGAGCTGAAACAGACAAAAACAGAAAAAGGAACGGAGGAGGAAAGCTAGTCGAAATGAAGGAAATGGAATAAACTGTAGAGCACCGAGCCTACCGTAATCCCATCAAGGCCGGCACTGCTCAAATGTATCTGGCACCTGCACGAGCACAATCTTCCCACTCCAATTCCATTTTTCATTCGGAAGGAAACTACATTTCCTTTTCTGTTAAGAGAAACCCACACAGAGATCACGAGCATTTTCAAAGAAATTTGCACAATTATCCGTGTGTTTATGAGCATGCAAAGCTGGTTCGTTTAGATGGAGAAGAAGCTGAGACGGCTGAAAACAGGCGACTAAAAGTAGAAGAACCCGGACTGGTTTCTGGATTTGAACTAGGAGAAAAGAAAACGGGGGAAGAAAAAGGAAAACATTGGGCAATGTTGTATAATTTTGGCAATTTCAACGCCCCTTTTGTAAGTGCGACTGGCCGCCCGTTGTGGATGAATTGAGACTCGCTTCTCGCTGAACTTTTGCTCGTTGGTCGACTAAATCAGCCGAAGGCGAGAGCATAATTGGAATTGATAGTCGGCGCGAAGGGCGAAGGATCAGGGGAAGAAGAGCGGGCGAGGGATCCGTTCCCACCATTCTCTCGGATCAACAATAGTATAGGCTGAAAAATGGAGAATGGAATTCAGGATCTTTAGCAAAAAATCTTTGAAAATTGAAGAGGAGGGGAAGATTTTTGTGTGTAGTTTATCCGATGACATTCTGAAAACAGAGGCAAGAGAATGAGAATGGAATATTGGTCCATAGCGACGACGACAAATTGCATTCCGTGCTGACCATGTCTAAATCCAGACATTCTGTCTGAAACGGCGGCTTAGCGGAATGATGATGATCTCCGGATGAAGGACAGAAGGCCGTCGAGCGACCGAATGATTCTGAAACAAGTCGGCAGACCTCTTCCGAGAGCACACAACAATCGGTTTGTTGTCCGTCGTCTCTTCTTCGTCTTCTTCTTCGTTTGCTTCTTTTTCTTCGACGACGGCGGCGGCGGCGGCGACTACTAATTTCAGTTCTCGCCCCGAGACACGTTTTCTAATTATTCTTGTGCGCAAGTGTGCGAGAGGAGCGCGCTCACCGAGCATTACAAAATGATGCTCGTCGGGCGTCGGCGCGAAAGAAAAATGGCGGGAAAGAAGAGCTGAGAAAGTGGAATTTCTCGAAAAAAGGGTTCCGATTGGGTGGACATGATCGGAAGAACAGAAAAGCAGAGCAAAAGAGGCAGTTCAGGTGTGACGCGTGGGGAATATTGAAAGAAGACCGTTCCGAGAAGCCGATTCCGTCTAGGCATGTATCAGGGAAACGGAGGAAAGAGACTGGGAAGCCCTGGAAGATCGCCGTTAAACTGATAGACAGCTCAAAAATCAGAGGAACATTGACGGACACAACAATAATAAGGGGCGACGGAAGGAGAAAAAGACGAGAGCAAAAGGAGGAAAGTCTCCGGCGCACGAGCCGAATGAAGAAGAAGACGAAGAAAAAGAAGAAGAATATAGGCGAATTTGGTTGTGGGCGGCTAGTTGTTTGGATATTTCTTTTCTCTTTTTCACCCCGGTTTCAGATGATGTTAAAAATGTATGAGTGTCCGTTGTTGTGCTTTCTGTTTGGTCGTGGATGCGAAAGAGAGGGAGAGAGTGAAGAATCAGTCTATTTTGAGCAATGAAGAATGCCGTTTCAATGAGCAGGCACCATGGAGCACTCAGATCAGAGGAAAACTGAATGTGAACAGAATGAGCATGAATTGAATACTCGATTAGCGGACTCCGTCTGCAAAGGACCGCCCGCGAAGAAGGACTCGCTCCTTCTCCAATGATTGGTTTATTCGTTGTTTTTCGAGGGAAAGCAGGCAGGTGCAAAGGCCAGAAGCCAAAAGGATTCTGACGGCAACAACCACAATGAACCCAAGAAACCGTAATTTGATTGAAACTTCAATTAAATGTTTAAAAAGATCAGTTCAAAAAAACCATTTTTGGCAATCCAATTACACTTTCAACTGAAAGGGCATTCTTCTCGAACACTGAAAATGCGGCGTGCCCTTCAACTTTCCCTTTCTCTCCCTCGCCGTCATTTGTCCGATTTCAGATCGTTTCATTTCGGAAAATTTCTCTCTCTCTCTCTCTCTCTCTCTCTTCTTGTCCTCATTGTTGCCACATCACGGGGTCTTCTTCGGATTCGCTCAAAAACAGTGCGTGTGGATGCGTCAGTCCGTCCGTGCGTCCGTCCGACGTCGTCTGCGTCTCCGCCCCCCATCTGTTGATGTCTCTGCGCGCGCATTCTGTTTATTTCTAACCTTGATTTCGACAAGTGGGCGGGGCCTGGCTATTACTGCTGATTCTGCCACTGCTACTACTGTCGCTGCTGCTGCCGCCGCCGACGCTGTTGCTGCTGCTTTCTATCGTACCGTTTCGCATGTGTTAACACACAACAAATATGATGAAGTCGTCCCTTTTGTATTCACTCTTACTTCTCTTCGTTTTCATCGAACAGGTTCGTTGTTTCGGTCACTCTCTTTCCATTTCCTTTTTATCCGCCCGCCGACTCGTGCCAATGATTCCATTCAAAATACGTCGGATTTGAATAGAATTAATGTTCGGTGCCGCCGGTCCCTTTGGCAATTGTTACCTAGCCCCCCAACAACTACTTGTTACCTCTTTACGGCCACTTCAATACCGACGGCTTCAAGTATTTTGCCCAATTAGTCAAAAACATTTTTTGAAACGGAAAAATGATTGCGGTCTGGCAAACAGGAAATGGAATGTGTGTATGATGTCTGCGGGGTCATATGTCTCTCTGTGTATGTGTGTTGAAATCGAAAGCCGAATGGCAATGGGATATATCTGAACACTGCGAATCCAATTGTCAAAGTGTTATCAAAGAGTCGGGGACCAGTCCGCGGGAGTCCCTGCTGTGGCACTTACCAGTAATCGACGGCCATTCCGAAGACCGTTCTCCTATTCTCTCGCCCTCTTACTCGTTCGAACAAAAGCACTCTTTTTGCCCGTCTTTTTCTGCCCCCACCACAACTTTCGATTCTTTCAAAAACCTCTTTGTTGTCCACATGATAAGACGGGCACAGACGACCACAATTCAAGTATCGAAGAGACGGAAAAAAGGAACGAAGGCGAGTTTCAGGCGAGGAGTACGGTGTTCGATGAAGAGACGGAGCAGTGCAAAGCCGAGTCGGGGTACGGTCGGAAGACGTTCGTGTGCGATGTGCACGGTAGACTGGCGACGACGACGCGGAAGAAGTTGACGGACATCCTCGCGGGGCTCAAGGACCGCATCGGGTAAGAACAACTGAACTAACAGACGATGCATACACAAACATATTTGGCCCGCGCCTCAATTTTATAGTCTCGCTTTTTTTATCGTGTAATAGGATGAGGAGTGTTGAGAGAAGAAGACCTTGAGACGGGACATCATATGAAGCTATTAGGCGCACGGGGACGCAATGAATATAGGTCTATGGGATGATCAGGAGGCAAGAACCAACTTGTTGTTTGGGTTCCAAAAAAGTATCCGATGGCAGACTGTTCCTTCTGTTTCTATGCCTTTTCTCTTCTGAAAACTTTCGACGGTGAACCCGAATCAATCTTCTTCCAAATGAGAATAATCTGAAGGGACGCCAAGAGACGGACGACTGTTTCTTTGCGAAAAAGTGCGCGATACCCGAAATACTTTTCGAGATTCCATCCCGATAGTGATACTCAATCTTGTGGTGCCGACGCACGAGATCCCTCCCGATAGACCTCCATTTTTTGAGCGCCGCCACCTTTCAGATACCAATCTTTCTTGCTTTCCACTCGCTTTTTCAGATGCGAGTGCGCCGACGGATGCACGAGAGCCGACGGTACCGACGCCTTCATCGGACTGCTCCACGTGACTTCGTCCAAGAATGCAAGTCTCTCTTTCTCTCTCTCTCTCTCTCTCTCTTTTTTTTCTTCATCATCTTTTCATCGGATATAAGTTACAAATTAGGTCAACTGGTTAGGTTTATTTGTCGATCATGACAGGCGGACGGGCACCGCGCCCTGCTGGACTTTGATGGAGAACGAAGAGATTCAAGGGTCGGATTACGAGGGATTCGTTTCAGACGGACGATCTGAAAAGGGACATGGAGAAGGAGTACGACGACGCGCAACTGGGCAACACGACGTGCGACCACGGACTCGTGATGGTCTACTTAAAGGATACCCAACAGGTGAGACGAGATTACTCATTCCCCACTCGGCCCCCAAATTTTCGAAATCTTGACTCGCAAGTGAACATGTGCGCCGCCCGTTTCACCTTTCTTGTCACTTGGCAGCGCCTGCGCATAAATTGATGCTAAATAATTGGGCGAGGCGAATTGAATCGAAATCGCCATACAAAGAACAGTTTGCGAAGCGAGCGACACATTCATTTGTCTTGCGTGTTCGAGGTCATCGGCTCATTCGGATACGAAATGAGCCTCCTTCCATCCGAATTGTTTTGCGAAGAAAAACAAGGGAAATTGGAAATGAATTCCCATGCCGTTCGGTCGGATCGCACGCAAAAACTTGCTGAAAGTGAACGCGTTACAGTTAGCCACTTTCCGCGGCGGAGATTCGTTCGTACTTCTCGGCGACGACGACATGCAGAAGCTTCACAAATTGGCGGCGCAGGTAGTTATCAGAAGCGGAGAGAGTGGGAACGAAAAGAGCGTTTTCAGCAGGGAAGTGAGAGCGACACTCTGGCTGTACAGTACTTGCTCGCCAACTACAAACAGGTCTCCGAGGCTCCGATCGACAATTGGTATGCTTCGTGGCTGGTGCGTCCCGCGGATCCGATCGCAAGTAGCCATTCGGTCTTTTTCAGCCAGTGATCGGCCTCATCGCCGCCGTCCTGCTCGTCCTCTGCCTTGTTTCGATACTCCTCTCCATGATCTGCGCAAAATGCTTCTGCTGTTGCCGAAAGAACAAAAAAGCAAGTTGCGCAACCGCCGAGATCCTCGCCCTAAAACCTTTTTCTCCCCATTCCGAACACATTTGATTCCGATTCTCCCAAGCCAATCATACTGTTTCTTAGTGGGTCAAATGTGTCGGTGGTGGTGGAGGTGATGGATAAGTCCGTCAGGCAGAGAATCACATTAAAAAAGACCTTGATGTTCTTTCCTCTCACTTTTGAACTGACCGATTTTGAAAAAGAACAAAACAGCGAAAGAGAATGTAATTGAGCGGTGATTCAGGAAAAGTACGAGGTTACGAAGCCGGCCACGTATAAGTCCATCGAGCCGCTCTACGTCATCACTCCGCCATCGTAAGTCCATTTGACGGAGATCGAGAGATGAGCACGCGTTGTTGTTCAGAACTATGAATCCGAGACATCACGACGCCATCTACTCGACGCCCTACTCCGGAAGTCCGCTTCCGTTCCCTCCGCCGCCAGGGACCACAGTGCCACACACTCCCAATTCCACGTATCGGTACAGGGTTGACACGAACAAGAAAGCGCCGAAGGACTTTGAAACGGGATCATTGGGACAGTTGCCGATCGACGAACCGAGAATAGGGCACCCGATTTACTCTCCACTTCCAGCCCTCGATCCGAATTACGGAACCAGTAAGTTTCCCCTCGGTTAAGATACTTGAGATTCTTATTCTGTCGTTTTCAGTTCCGCGCGCACGACTTGCCCCTAACGGAGCTCCGCCCCTTTCTCCGAGCTACTCATCCGGAAACGATCCGCACTTTTTGGATCCCCGCAGGAAACAGGAAGTTCAGACTCGCGAAGAGCTCATCTACTAATTCCTCTTCTTTTGCCTTCTAGATTTTACAGCCATTTATCATGTTCCTACACTGGTTCGAATCTTTATTTCCCCTAATTTGACCATCTTTTCTTCCTTTTGCCCCAATGTATTCAGAGATTGACTCGAGTGAAAATTATTTTATTCTCTCAAATAGTTTTGTATTTAGAAAAAACAAATGATGTGACTCTTGTTTGGTGCTCAGAGGAGGAAGATGTGCGTTTTTTACCCGGTTGCAAAATGAGAAAAATAGGAGAAAAGTAGAAATGAATGCGAGAAAACCGACCCATAAATAGGATTAAGGCAAAAAATAGGACTGCGAAGGATTAGGGGGTGCCGGCCATCGAGGTGATCAGCGGAGACTTCGGCTCGGCCGACGACATCACATCCATCGTGTTGAGCCGGTGCCGGTGGTTGAGAGCGGTGCCTGAGAACGAGAAGATCTTTTAGAATCCGGCCGCAAACCTTACTTTTTGTGAATTCACTCTTGAATCCAGAGTGTTTTGTCTTGGACAGCAACGATTTGAACGCAGCACGGAATCGGGCGGACATTAAATTGTACAGAATGGGATTGATGGCACAGTTGATGAATACGAGCGTCTTTGACAAGTTAATGTACCAGTCGGGACTCCACGAATACTTTGGATCCGAAACGAACGAGTTGTAGACGACCATTCCACGGTAGGGCAGCCAGCAGATCGCGAACACCGCCACGACGATCGCGAGCATTTTGACGACCTGAAAGGGGAGACTGCGGGTGAGTGCAAACAATCCGCCGCCCGCCGCACCTGGTTCTTCCCCTTCGTCGAATTCCGTTTACCCGAAATATGAGATTCCCTTCCGGAGTAATGTCCCATTGACGCCGACGACGTTTTCGACTTTTCGACGATCATTTCGTTCGACACTGAAATTTCTGAACCCGATTGTTTTTCGGAGGCGATCGGGGGATCATCTATACTTTTCGGCTTCACCGATTTCTTGATCTTATCGCCACATTGACTCAAAGTGATACCGATTTTGGCGTAGATCACGATGTCGCAGAGAATCGGCAGCACGTACCAGAGGACGAAGTCGAGGAGGAAAACGATCTGGAATCGGGTGTATTCGGAAGTTTGCAAAAGGGGAAACGGAAGGATACCTTGTACGCGTGACTGTTTCGTTCCAATCGGAAACTGCACGAAGTTCCGATGTCGTCTTGGATTAAAGTGGCCAAAAAGAGCCAGTAGGAGTGGTAGAGCATTGAGAAGATCCAGATTCCACAGATGATGCACGTGGCACGCTTCACCGTGCACATGGTTCTGGCTTTGTACGGATTGCAAATACCGTAGTACCTCTCGATTGTGAACGCGAGAATCGAGAGACTGGAGGTGTTCATTGCGAGATACGGTAGGTAGGTGAGCAGCACGCACCCTGGAACCACGCGGATTAGATCAAAGAACCATCTCCAAGAATAAGGAGACTGATAAAAACCGTTTCTTTTCAGGTCAAATCGGAACTGCTTATGCGCCTCGCGTATTTTAAAAATTATTTCACTAAAATTGATCGTTTCACTTTGAGTTGTGTCCTGAATGCCCGCCCACTCACTGACCACTCACTGATTTTATCGTGGTCATTCTCTTCAGTTTTTTGATAAGTGACCGGCAAACAGACGGAAAAGAGCGAACTTTCGAACTCACCAATCTTTCCGAATAAATAATGATCGTTGGGTCCGAGAAGGTACATCATTTCATGGGGCATCGAAGCGAAGAAGAAGAGCGTGTCGCTGGCGGCCAGCGAGACCAAGTAGCAGTTGGTGGGCGTCTTCTGAACGATTGGGACCAAGTGATTAATTGTCTCTTCTTGTCAGCTCTTACCATTCCGCGAACTTTGAGAACGACTGTGATGACGAGAAGGTTTCCGAGCACTCCGATCACCGAAATGGTCGAGAAGACGAAGGCGAGGGTGATGTCGACTGGCTCGGAGCCGACGGGAGCCACCGTCCCTTCGAGCTCATCGGGCACCATTGGCGAGATCGATATGTCTCCCAACGAGGCTGACGTCATCTGATGTTGGTGTGACGTGGCAGATAGTCTTGCTGAAATGGGGGAAAGTCTGAGAAGGTGCGGATGAAGAAACAAGACGAACAAAAAGAAGACTGTTTAATCAATGGTTGAGTTTGGCCGTAAATAATCAGCTTTACTTCTGCCGTCACTATTTTGGAGGTATTGTCGGACAGATAAGATAAGAAGAGAGACGCAGACGGACAAGGAACACAAAGTTATACTATACAACTAGAAAAAAACATTTGGAAAAAAGAAGGAAGGTGCGGGGGCGAGCACTCTGTGCTGCCGACGCTCCCACCGAGGGAAAAAGCTAATTAGAATAGAGAGAATGACAGAGAACAGAGCAACAATCTCGGAAACGGAACGGACTTTCAGCGGTCAGTCATGTGACGAGCGGAAGAGGAGGGAACGAAGGGAGGAAGAAGAAGCAGTACGTGTGTGTGTGGGGGGAATCTGTTTGAACAACAGGGGCGGGACCCCGGAGCCGCAAGAAGAAGCCACCGCCGATGCAAAAAACGAAAGGAGGAGCGAGTGGACCTTGTACTTTTCGCGCTGATGTCATTGATTCGAGTGTTTTGCGCGATGGGATCACTCTCTTGTTGGCACGGTTTTTGGCGTTTCGGAGACAAGGGCTCTGCGCTTCTGCTTGTTCCAGTTGTTTGTTCCCTAATTTCAGGAATGTGTGTGAATGCGTGCCTCGTGGGAAATCGAGCACGTCGACACTCTCGGGTGTCTGTATTCACCGTCTTCCGCTTCTAGCCCAAAGATCGATCCGAGCCACGAGGATTTACAGAAATTTCCACAAAACGACGCATTCGCTTATTAAACTGAACACTCGTGCAAAGCAGAAGAAAACAGAGTGAATTTCTCGTTTCGGATGAGTAAACCCGAGACGGAGGCGTCATTCTGAGACGTCTTCTGCTCGAAAGTGTGCTCAGCACCGGCACGAACTCTCTGCCCACTAATGACTGCCCCCTCGTTCACTGATGATTCTTGCCACTAGACACAGAAAACGCACAAATAGCAGGGAAAAGAACCCGAGCTGATACTTTGTCAATATGCTGAACATGAGGGGAAAACGAAGGGATACAACTCAAACAAAACTCTTTTGCGGTACCGTATCATATCGTTTGGGAGGAGACGGATATGTGCTCTCGAAAGCATCGGAGTTCAGCTCACGGGGACACATTGACAAGAAATGCCTCTTCTGCCTTGTCTCGGTTGTGACGAAAGGGAACCAGAGAATTTGATTACTAGAAAAATGACTAAAATGGGCAGCGTTTTTGGAAAGCGAATATCAGATTATTTCGCTCTGTCAGAATTCTAATTAGAATTCCATTTAAGTAAAATAAAACAAAAGAAGAGTGGTTTTGAAAGAGTGCCCGGGAAACTAATCCAATAAAGCAAAAAGACAGAAAAAGAGCAAGAGGGCATCGTTTCCGAAGGGATTAAAGGCACTGATCCTGTTGGTTCTGCCTAAAATGTTCCCCTTACATACGGGGAAAAGGTGTGAGATCATGGAAAAAGAAGGAAGTCTGGCCAAGTGCAAACAGATTCGAGGAGACAACGATCCGAAGATCAACAGCTGTGGGAGAGAAGTACTATCTCGCGAGAGACTATCCATGGGAAAACAGGTACTACTGTAGGCGGAGGATGAGCACTGGCTTCTTGAGCATTTGAACAAACTGCAAGTAGAGGGCAGGAGGTCAGGCAACGAATAATGAGAAGAAGTCAATAAATTGATAAGGTGCTAAGTTCTTGCAACCTTGTTTAGGATTACACTCTGAACCTTCGGTAGCTGAAGAGCCGGAGAAGGGAGTGAACAAGATCAACGAAGATCAAATCTGTTTCTGCTTACGGCATTTCAATAATCGGATGGAAAAAGAGAAGGCAGAAGAACTTTTACAGGGTGAGCATGAAAGAAGAAGAAAAGGGAGCAAAGGAGAAGACACGTCACGAATCGAATGAAAGGCAAGGCCGGAAACGCGAGGAGACTGAGCAACTCGGTATAATTAAACCATAAATCGTGGACGTCTCTTTCCGTTCCCGGATATTGACGACATGTATGGAAACAAGGGATCGAACATCAGTTTGCCAAGATAAGAACGGTCCGGAGCAGGTGACTTGTTCTGGAAGGGAATCAGTGACCAGCAGAGACCAACATGTTTTCGTTTCAACTATTCATGTCACGAGTGAACTTTTTGTAAACTGAAACTGACGCCCAGAGTTTTCTATACGAACAAGCCTAACCACAAGTTTTTCACACCTTTCGGCCACTTCAAACGTGTCATTGCACTCATCAGAATGATGGACAGAGTGGACATCCGAAGCGACGGAGCCGCTCTTTCGGACGGGGCCAGATCGGAAGAAATGCGGGAAAGTAATCCGGGCGAGAATCTTCCGGGGCAGCTGACACCGTTTCGGAAGGAATGGATGGATGACGAACATAAGTCAAAACGAAAAAGTGGACGACAAATTGGATTACAATGGGCGAATGGGCTCGCATGAATCTTGCTCTCCTGGCCGCAAACTGACAACTGCGCCGAATCGGAGCATCACAAATTCCGAATTATTTTAGTGTTTCAAAGTTCTACGAGTTGATCAGCATCGTTCTCTGTGAAAACGCGTTCACCTGGCTTCGGTTCCTTTAAACAGGAAAGAAAGTGAAAAGCTGTCTGGCGCGCACAATTCAGAAGACAAAGAAGGCGTTAAAGTGAGGATGAATAATTGAGAGTTCAACTGTTTGCGCTTCGAATACATCGCTTTTGTCGTCCTTTTTGGAGTTATAAGGACAAATAGACGGGATTGAAACTCGAGAAGAAGACGACGAAAACGGGAAGAATAAGGCAAAAAGGGGAGCGCAAGCGAGAGTTGAACTCTGGATCGATGTCCAAATTGAGCCTTATTACTACTGCTCCGCTCTGAATAGTCCGCCCGTCCCGGAAATTCCATTTTCAGACCGACAGCACGCAGCAGGCGGTTCTTTTGAAAACAGAAACGGGGAAGCAGAGTCAGAGGCACAGTGTCAAAATATTTGTGACATCAGAATCAAAAAGTTCCTGCTCTTTTCCAAAAATCAAAGTAGTCTCTCGGTGGGAATGTAATGCAAAGATCAACGAAATGTGTTCTGAGGCCGTCTCCGCACGAATTCCCTCGACAAATGAGCCCACGTGTTCATGGAAATGAGGGTTTCCGTGGAAGTGGACGTGCAGTAGCCACTCGATATTCTGATGAACTCTGAAGAGCTCTTTGTCGACGCCAAAAAGAAAGCGCGCCGACGGGAATGTGTGCTCCAAAAAAGAGCCAAAGTCGTCGAACGAGCTCTAACCTATCCGCGCGGGGGCAGCTACGCAAACAGTCAAAATTCGAAACCGAAAGCATTTCTCACACATTCGGCCCGCAAATCCCGCTGTGGCTGTTTGCCGGCACGTTTTGACAGGTCAGACTGTGGAGGAAGGGAAGAGGTGGGCTTCGGGGATGTTCCAGTCCGACACGCGCAGCAGCACTCACAAATATTTGTCAACTTCGAGTTCTTTAACGGTATTTTCATGTCACAAGAACGGAAATAGGTAATTGTGGGCAGGAATAGAGTGTTTTGGCCGTGTGTCTCATCAAGTTTTTGTTTGTTTATATCTGCAGATTACGCCCGCGGCTTCTCCAAAAAAAAACAGAAAAAAGAAAGAAGAAAAAGAGAAAAATAGAGGGAAAAAGTTTCGTTTTAAGCTTACGGTCGTAAAATGCAGATTTGTGAACGAGAGAGAGCGAGAGAGAGAGAGAGAGAAGAGACATGTGGGTACGTGGAGCCAGATGGAAAAAGGTCATTAGATACTCGGAGAGATGCCACGTCACAGCGAGTGTTCCCCTGCAAACGGCTCTCAAGGTGCTCGGATTTCCCGAAACGGACAAATCATCAAAAATTGAAGAAAACACAGAAAAAAGAGGGAGAAAAAGGAGGGTCTCGATTATTTTTGGGAGGTCAAATCATAAAAATAAACAGAGCGACGAATCAATGCGCGTGATGGTTCGAACCGGAAAACAATGAACACACCGGCGCTGGAGGGCGGCTGTTGGCGCCCCGAACAGGAGAGAACCGACTCGAGAGGATCGTTGCCAAACACGGAAAAAGGAAATGACGGAAGGATTGTCGAGAGCCCGCCGCCGGCGGTCGGTTCGAGGTGGATGTGCACGACTCGGCCACTGGGGAGACATTCGTTTCCGACGACGTCGGCACTTTCTGACGGAACCAAAACAATTCGAGCGGGCGTCACTGGGAATGTACTGGAAAGGGCGCGAAGAATCGAAATGTCAACGGTTCGTACAAACGTTAATTATATAAATGGCGATTATTATTTACTATAGTGCTCATCAAAAGCATTGATCCCCATCGACAAAATAGTCCGAGCAGCAAGCGATGACGGAAGATAGTTATTGAAATTGTAGGAAAGACAAAGTTCCTTGTGGACACTTCGTCTTCTTCTTTCTTTCTTCTCCCCCATTATTTGTTGGAAAATGAGATGAATCGAAAATAGAAGTGAATGGAAGTGACGTGGCAACACGAAGAAGTCTCTAGTCTCCTGCCCAACTTCCTTGAAATTCGAATCTAGTCTCCTGTCACAACTTCTTCTTCTTCTTTTCAATTGAGTCTGGCCAAAGAATATGCAAAACTTGCAAGGCGGCTCCTCAATGACGTCTTCTTAGTTGTTCGTAGGGATTCTGCTCCCATTTCTGTTTGCTCAATTCATCTGCGTCTCTCCGATCCGTTCACTCTCTCGTTTACCCATAGTTCCTGCTAGGGGATAACGAAAAATCGGAGCGAAATGAGAGAAGAAGAAGAAGGCGTCGAAAAAGGAGAAGGGTCGGAAGGATGGGGAAACGAATGGGGAGAGAATGAGTTGCTTCTGTTGACACTTCATTTGTCTCGACCCCCGAATCACTGATCCGAACGGTCAATATCACGGGATTCGACGACGTTTTCAAAAGGTTCGTAAGCTCGGAAAACAACTGTAACGACAAGAAAAGAGAGAGAGAGAAAGAAGGAGGGTTCCCCTCGATCAAGCATCAGATACAAACTTCATTCGGCACTAAGATCAAGACGAGAATTGGGCGTCCATTCGGTCGGCACGAAAATCTTTATCAAATTTTTTATAGTAACGGCGCCTAAATACAACGAAACTAAATATTGAGGCTACTGTAATTCGAGACAAAGGATAGACTCAACAAATTGCAGTATATCGCCACCGCACCAGCTTGTTTTAAGTAATGAAAAAAAAACAATGTATTCAGTTTCGTTAGGCGCCGTTACTATAAAATAAACCTATTCAGATTTTCCAGTCTTTCTTCCACTCTCTCCACCCATTTTTTCGCTCTTTCCTCTCCCATATACGTGGTCTGGAACGAATTGCCCCGAATCTTCCAGTCTCCGTTCGTTCGGCGGATCCATCCTTGAGTTTTCGATGTTCATTTTGTCGGCTTCCAAATTCCATTTTGAATTAATTCTCCGAAACCACTACGTGCCACGTCATAAACATTTCATCTGGAAACGCTCTGAAAAAGGTACGCTTTTTTGAATAGCTCATTCGCCCTTAGCTCTGAACTTTCATCTGAACTTTCATAATTTCCCTTTCGAAATGCGCATGAATCACAGCCGAATCGGTTCGATTTCTCTAAACAAACAACTGAAATGATAAGGAGAGAAGGGCGAGGAATAGGAGAAAATTCGAAGAGGGAAAATGGAGTGGAATACACTTTCCGTGCCGGCGAAACAATTTATTTTGGGATATCTGAAATACTCGGAAAGGTACGTACAATTCCCTTGTCAATCTGAACGGGCTCCTTGCAGATGCAATCTCAAGCTGTGCTCCAGAAGCGACAGAGCTCTCGTGGACTCTACGAAATACGTGGCAGACTGTATTTCGATTGAAGAACAGAGGGACGGAGGAAATGTGAGTGAAATTATCGGAAACTACGGAAAAGAGGATGGTTTTTATCAGAGTCGGCTAATTTTGAGTTTCGAAGATTATACCATCAAATTGACAGAAGAAGATAATGTAATAAAGATAGAGCGAACGGGGGAAATGGAGAGTGTGAACGGCAACAAATACGACGCGGCACGGAGAATTCTGGAACGAATGAGTGACCGAGGAACCATTGCAGCAAGGGAAATCCTCGTGCGGAATGTCTGTGTCACCCCGTGCTTCATTCAAATTTCCCGTGTTCCAGACGTCCCTGAAGCCAAGTGAGCACTGGATTCTGAAATGCGAACGGCTGGAGATCAGGATGGTCGGGGAGGAGAGACAAAAGTGTTGGCTGCAGAAAACGATTCCGAACTTGAAGAAACTGAAACTGATCGAATGGGGAATCGAGGGAATTTTAGATCTGCCACAAGTACAGCACACCTCTGAATCCGTTCATTTCTCAAGAGATGTCAATATCAGCGATGAGCAGTTGAGCAGAATTTCAGCCCCATCCGTTCATATTATTTCGAAAGACACAATCAGCGGAATGGGGGCGAAGAAGGCATTCAAGGCAAGTGAACTCTTGAAACGAAACGAAATGAATGAATTCAGAAGTACGTGGAACAAGGACGTCCGGGCGATGGATTCCAGCTGAGGTTTGCCTCGGGAAATGGGTTCCGTCACGAAGAAATGTTCGAGAAGCAATGGAATGTCGAGAAGGTGGAGTGTTTGGATCCGACGAACGGGGAATACCTGTATGCCATCTGAAAGTCCGTCTACTTATCCATTCCCCCATCATTTTCAGCTATCTCATCAATGGTGGATTCTCAAATTTCCACGGAGTCACGAAGATCTCCCGCGTGATTGTTCACGAATTCTCCACTCATTTCGTATTCAAAGAATTCAGCTGCTAAAACCGTTCCTCCAAATAACTAGTACGAAATGTTGTGGACTGTTTTGGGCGAACGGAACAGTAGCACGCATAATGTGTGTGATTGAGAAGAACAACGATATTCCGTACCGACTGCACCCATTCACACTTAATTGATACTTTCATAAATATCCTAATTTATTTATAAAACTTGTTGAGTCGGATTCAGAAGGGAATGACGACCTCCGTGAAGTTGCGAGCGGCGATCGGCGGGAAAACGACAAATTGGAGTTCGTCCCCTGAAATGAGAAAGAAAAGTTTCCAAACGGCAAAACTGTGCTCACTGGAAAGAGCCTTCTTAGTGTCCATCTCCCGCGGATCACACTCGATCGCCGTGTCCAGTTCTTTGTGTTCGTCAGCAGTCAAACCTTCTGAATTCGTTTCTATGTATTTATGTTTCTCTAGCCGTTCCCCACTTATTTTCGAGTCGACGTCCGTGTCCGAACCACTGTGTGCCGCGTCTTTCGCGCTGTGCATCGTGCTGCTCCCCTTGTCGACGTTCGCAGTGTTCTGTGGTCCGTCCGCGTCCTCCTTCTTCTTTTTCTCTTCTTCCGCTTCCACGACAGCCGCCACGTCCTTCTTCACAGTCTTCGCTGAAATCGCCGTCTTCTCCGACTCTGCCTTCTCCGTCTTCTCCTCCTTCTCCTCTTTTTCCGCCTTTGCCATTCGTTCGATCTCCTCGTCTTCCCACTCGTACGGATCCAAAAAGTTGATCTTCATACGAGTGATGGCTGCCATTAACTGAAATCATTTCACACCATCCTCGGAAGGTTCCCAGTCACCCACCAAATTGTAGATCTTGTCGTAGGCGGGTCTGTCGGCGTAGTGCAACGTCTTCAGATACTCAAAGATCGTCTTCAACTCTTCCGGCAGATCCTGTGATTCTCCCTCATTCCCAGTTAGATCTTCGTGCTCACCTCGAACAGAGCCGCATCCTTCGTCGCCTTCTTCATCGCCATCACTTCCTTCTCCTCCTTCAGATGAGCCCACGGCAACTGGAGAGTCACCGCGACCAGAGTGTAAATCATTGCGATCAGATCGTCGCACCGTCCCTGCTCGAGCCGCTCGTGCACATTCATCGAGCAGTACCGCAGAGTGCCTCTCAACGGAATCTTTCTCCGCATCGGCCGTAACTTCTTCTTTCCGTCTTCGCCGGTCACCACGAACGAACGTGCCATTCCGAAGTCGATGAGGATGAAACAGCGGGAATCGTGTCCCCGGTTGCCCGCCGTCATTATATTGCCCGGCTTCACATCTCGATGCACGAATCCCGCCTCATGCAGTTGTTTGAGGCCGTACAGAGTGAAGAGCGCCACGCGCAACACCGTCGTATCGTTGAATCCCCTCTGGATTTTCATGCGAAGAGCCATCAGATCTTTGCCGCAAAGGGTGGTCACCATGTACCTGCAATCCTCCGTTTTCTCTTCCGCCACCCCCTTATTCCCTCACGAGTAATGCTTCCTCTTTCCGCAGTCGATCATCTTGAGCACATCCTTGAACTCCTTCAGCTTGTTCAGCACGTGCACTTCGATCTGCAGGGTCCGATCGTACTCCTCCGAATCGTACTCGATCTTCATCGCCGCACAGTATCCCTTGCGGCTTCTGTCCTCCACTTTGTACACAACTCCACACGCTCCTTTTCCCAAAAGAGCCTTGATTTTCCATTTGTTATCGATAACCTGAACCCTTTCGTTGCGGTCCTTCTCGATTTTCAATCACTCACATGTCCTGGGTGCATTGGTTTGGCAGCACTAGAATTCTCATTGTTATTCTCCATTTCGATTTCGAATCGATTGAATTTCTAGGAATGGAATGCAAGAAATGATCATTATTTGTTCCGTTTTCGTTCCGTGAGACGTGATTCATCTTTTTGAGGAGAAAAGTTCCCTTTCTTCCAAAAAAGAGAACATTGAAATCACCGACAGCGAGGCAAGTTGCGAAATCAAACACAACAGCCGCATGTCGCTTTTTCCCTCATTTCTCTCGTTCTCAAAGGGAAACACCTTCTTTATAATATGAGTTCTTTTCAGTTTCCCACCCGTTCGCACACTGAAAATGGAATGGAGCCAGTTGATGAATGATGTGAAGAAGCCGATTGTGGAGTTGTTGGACTATGAATCCAGGTATACCTATTTATATTCCATCGCTCAATTTGATCAATTATCATGCGTTCCAAATTCAGATGCAACCTAAGAACGTGCTCCAAAAGTGATTGTGCACTCGTTGATTCCTCGAAGTTCACAGCAGGAAACATCACGATCGAGGAAGTGAACAGTCGGATGGACAATGAGAAAGTGAGAATTGGAATCGATAAAAGTAGATTTACACATTTTCAGACGATCATCCGTATTAACATCGACACATTCACCATTTGGTTCATTGGAAAAAACGAGGTGACGAAGGTGGACAGAGCGTGGAACGGAGAGCTGATGGAATGGAGTGAGAGGAAGGGGGAGAACAGACGGGACGTGGCACGGAGACACATTCAGAAGTACATCGAGAAGTTCGGTATATTGGAATCGAAGATTATTGCCATCCGATATGTGAGTGACCTCATTGTTCTCATTCGCATTGATGTTTCAGTTGACGATTGCTCCCTCCGAAAACTGGCAATTGAAGTGTAAAGTGCTGGAACTGACGGAAGTATTCCAAAATGACAGAAGTTGGCTGAACAGAATAGCTCCGAATAATGAGTTGAGAGAGATTGTGATAAACCGATGGGACGGGCCCCCGTTACTAATTCAACCGAGTATTCTGAATGTGACCGACACTCTGAGACTGAATCTGGACTGTGACATTACCGACGAGCAATTGAAGCAGGTGAGGGCGGTCGATCTGGCGCTCACGTCGCCGAACATAACGGAGGGAGGAGCCAAGAGGAGTTTTGAGGTGAGGGAGTAAATCGAGAAAGACTCGCAGCTGAAGTTTCAGCGTTTTCTGAAGTACGGCAAGGAAAACGATGAGTTCCATCTTCGTATTCAGCTGCCGGCGAACTTCGATTTTCTGAAATTGCTCCCAAAATCGGTGGTATTCCGACGGCAAGCAGCTCAAAATCCAGATCTGCAGCACGAGCTCAAGTTAGTGACTGATGTCTTCGTTTCAAAGAGATTCACTTTCCAGGGGCAAAATCATCGGAGGCTTTTCGAATGTGCACGGGCTGCAGAATGTCCGTTTATTCGCCTGTGCCGTGAACTTTGATCACACTCACATAATGTGTCACATTCCCAAAAAGAGCACTGCGCCACACGAACTCTATCCGTTCGCCAACGATTATTGGAGATGAACAAATATATGAACAATCTGTATACAAATATGATATTGGCACATTCACTCTGTGGCTATTTACTGATCATCAGTAATTTGTTTTAATTTAAAAGAAACGTTTACTTGGAAAACCCATAAGCTTAAAATGAAATTAAAAAAGTGCGTTATTTTCCTCTTCTCACAAGTTGAATGTTTCGATTGCACAATCACATCTTCAGGGGATCCACCTTGGCGACTTTCTTGTTGCCGGCAGCAGCAGCAGCATCGTCGGCCGCTTTTTTGGCTGCCGCCTTTTCTTGTTTGATGCGCATGATGTCAGCGTCGCGGTTCATGCGGTTGTCCATAGACAGTCCCTGAAGAGAGAATCACGAGTTCGATCGAATAGAATTTGAAAAAAAAACTGACAGCATTTCCGTCTTGGCCGGAAGCGCCCAATCTCTTCTTGGCGTCCGCTTGTTTTTTCTGGTTCTTTTCGCGAGCCAAATCTCTCTGATTTCCACCTGAAGCGTTCAATGTTTCAATAGGTAAAAACAGTTTCCCTGATGTACTCACGAGTCATTTTGTAGTCAGCGAAAGTGATAAATCACGATACAAATCGAACAATCTGTTTCTCGGATCGACCGAAAGCCGCCAGGGGAGCACTGCCGCCGTACACTAGGAAAAAATTCTGAAACAAATAATTGATTGGTGATTGTTGGAATAACGCGCTTAAAAGAAGGAAGAAAGACAAGTGGTCGGTCTGAAGCGTCTGTTTCGGGATACAACTGAAGGAGGGAGCGCGCAGCTGTCGGGAACGCAGACAGACAGTGACGAGATAGGCCGACAAATGCGACACGTGGAACTTTCGGATATAGTCGGGCAGGCCGCATTAAATGTTGGTCATAAAAATGATTGAAGCGAGAAAATGAATTTCCGGGCACGCAACCCAGCGTCATTTTGAAAATAAGTGTACATAGTGATAAGAGAAATAGAAAGAACAGCAACAATTCAATATTTTCAGAGTTTTGAACTCATCAATCGATTGAATAGCAAACTATTTTACGACAGGAAATGGGTGAAAGTTTTATTCAATCCGTGAAGGAAAATGAGATTCAGACACAAAGTTTCTCAATTTTGTTTTAAAAAAAGAGAGGACAAAACAGAACAACAATAGTAACAGGATTGAAGAGAATGAACGGTGCTACCTGAAGTTGGAAGATTTTAAGACATTGAACAGAAAGTAACTCACTTCTCCAGCGGATGGTAGTTGAGCAACTTCTCGATGAGGTCGACGTGAGCGAGAAGCATTCTTCGGCAGCAGTAACGACGAAGACCGAGAGCATCGAGCGCGTCTCCTAGAAGAAAACCAATAATGTGAGTGTAAAAGAACAGTTACTCACCTTCACTGTATTCTGACTGCAGGAATCCGATATAGGTCTCCCATTTATCTCCGATGACCTTGCCGCAGGTAAAGCATCTGATTGGAATGATCATCTTGTGATTGTGCTGCAGAAACTTCTGTAGATTCGAACGTTTAATAAAGATTTTAGGCAAACAGAAATAACGATAGTTTCGAAAAGAATAAATCGATACTCAGATTGGTTATTGTATATAAATCTAATACTAATTAGATTTTCGTCTTATTTCGATGTTTTTGTTACAAGCATACAGCAGAAACAGAATATTCAGAAGACACTTTGTTTTTGAAAATAATTGATTGAATGCGCGTCATATGCTGCGCACAGTGTTCATTGTTCTGTGAACTATTTCGCCCACCGTAGTCTCTCAAGTAATTGGACTCAACTCGCAGAAATCGTCGAGAAATCGTTGCGTTTTCTGGTTTACAAAATGGAAAAATTGCGACAAGAGCTAGAAGTGTACAAAAGAATGTATTTTAAAGCCTATCCCAATTCCTCAAAACAAGAAGAAACGGAGGCAGTTGTCAAGAAGGCGGAAGAATTCATAACGGTCAGTTTTCAAATAATCAAAATACTGATAGTTATTTCTTCAGAACGTTCTACCCACAGTCATTCGTGATAATAAGTCTCGCGCCACCGACATCAACCAGAAAGCTCTTCTTCTTTTCGAGGCTGGAAGACTGTACAATGTGCTCGATGAACACAATGAAACTGCTGAAAGATTTCTAAGTAAATCGGTCAAAATGAGTGCGTTTTTAAAAACATTGAAAAGTAACCGAAAAACATTATCTCTAAAGATCCAAAAAACGCGGAAGCCTGGCACGAACTGGGAGAGTGCGTGCTGAAACGGAGAGACTTTGAATTTGCGCAATCTTGCTTCAAAGTAGGCGGAGTGCGTTCTAAAAGAAATATCAAAGAATATTTACAGATTGCACTGGAATTGGACAGAAGTGCTCAAAATCTGTGCTCTTTGGCCGTCGGAACGCGGTTGGTTGCTCTCGAATTACCAGAACCTGCTCAAACGGATATGCGGTAAGAGAAAGGGATGAAATCCTCTATCTGACAGTTCCGTTTTAGATCGAAAGCGATGGATCTGATTATCGAAGCACGCCGTCTTGACAGTTCATTCGGTCCCGCCAACTTGGCCTTTGCCACTGGACTCTTCTATTGTTTCTTCAAAAGTGCAAATGGAGAACTGCACTATCTGGATAAGGTTATTGAGAATTATAAAAAAGCATTGGAGTGCGAACTGACGAAAACCGACGTCCAGGTTTACATGAACATGGCAGTCTGTTTGAAGTGATAAAAGCATCTCAGCAAATGAGTGAAATAGTCGTTTTAGATTCATGGAAAAGTACGACGAAGCCATCGATTCGTATCAGAAAGCGGTCGAGTACGATTCGAGAAACGAATTCCAAACTATCGAGAAATTGAAGTCGTGCACCGGTTATCTGCTTAAGTTTGCTGAGGCGATACAGAAAAAAGGAAAAGTAAAGGCGAAACGGATGCAGGAAATGGTGAATGAGCTCAAAAAGCAGCCGCCCGCCGGAGCGGATCAATTTCGAGCCAAAGTAATCGGAAATGTAGCCCACGAAGAAACGATTCCAGTGTGAGATCCATTGCCTGCAGAATCAACTTCCAAATCTCTCTTTTCAGAGCTCTTGTCGGTGTGGATGCTTCCGGCGAGGTGTTTGGAATCACCGTATACAACTGTCTCGCTAACTTCGGCTTCGTCATTGGAGACACGATCACTATTGCAAAACCGGACTACCGATCTATCGAGGTGAGCTGGAAATGAGAGTGCAGCCGTAATCCTATATTCATTCAGAATCTCGATGTTCTCGGCGAGACCTCGACGACGATAACATCATTAAAATGGATTCGAGTGGCCAATCCGACCCAAATAAAGAAGAACGGATCACCGCTGCCAGAGTCGGTTCTCGCGAGAGCTGTTGCTTCCACACAGACATGACTCACTCCGTATCTTGCTTCCATCAGTGCTTTAATTTACATTCCTTGTGTCTTGACGAAAACTTGCTTGTAAATATTTAAAACAATTGAACCTTCAACTCCTATTTTCAAGTGAAACTAAAAAGAAACGTGACACTTGGTCTACCGCTCAGACAATTTTCACTTCTTTTCGTCGATCAATTTTCAAAATTTCTAGTCTCATTGGTTAAAATTAAAACGAAGCTCCTGCGATGGGCGACGAAGAAGAAGATCGAGAAAGTGTCCGTCTGGAACTGGGAAAAGTGCGCCCCCCCGCCTCGGATTTGTGAGGACAACCTCTCATTTGCAGGGCATTTCGGACTCGACCAAAAAAAATGCGATGACGTGGATTCCGATTCGAGAGCTGGGAAAAGGCGCGTTCGGAACGGTGTACCACGTCGTCGACGAGAAAGGAAATCGGGAAGCGGCTCTGAAGATAGAGACGAAGTCGGCGGACAACTTGCTGAAACTGGAGAAGGAGATAATGGAGGTGATGTCGAAGGAGCCGACGGCGATCCAGCTCTTCGACTCTGGCCTCTTCAAAGAGTACAGGTACATTGTGATGACGTTGTGCGGACCTGACCTGGAGAAAGTGGGCCAATTGGTAACCGTTGCAGAGCAGACAGTGTACGTACTCGCGTGATTTCAGATGGGGAACAAGTTCAATCCGGACACTATCATCCGTGTTTGCACTCGGACGCTCCTCGCCATCAAGGTTCTCCACGAGAACCACTACGTCCATCGGGACCTGAAACCGTGCAATTTCGCCCTCGATTATCAGAGAACCTCCACCAACATCTATTTATTCGACTATGGAATGGCGAGGAAATATGTGCGACGCGACGGCGGAACTTATCGATTGAGACGTCCGAGAGACATGGAAAGAGTGGGATCCGGGACGCTCGGAAGATGAATCTATTCGTGTTCAGATTCAATTTCGTGGAACAGTTCGTTATTGCTCTGTGCACATGCACAAGAATAAGGAGCTCGGACGCGTGGACGACTTGTGGTCGTGGCTATTCATGCTGATGGAAATGTATGCTCCGCTCCCCTGGGCGGCCACTGTCCATCGGGACAGAGTGGAGGTTCAGAAGGCAGAACATCTTCAGGATTACCTGACCAAGGAGCCGTCAGTCATTTCATCCTTCCCTTCTCTGAATATTCCTTTTCAGTTTCTTATGTTTCACACTTCCGATCTTCCATATGCTCAACTCTTACGACTACCCAGATCGTCCCGATTACCTCCAAATCTCTGAAATTCTTTTTTCCAAACTGAAAGAGATCAATGGAAAAGTGGTTTCGAATGAGTTCGATGCCATCCGACTCACAGCCCCGGAAACGGAACAAGTCAAAAGCGGTGCGTTCCCGATCGATTCTTCCGTTTGCATTTGCACTTTTCAGCAATGAAATCACTTCAAATCAAACCGATCGAGCAGGTGAAAATGGAAGACGAACAGGTGGTTTTGGTGAGCGAATGCCGTCAGACAGGGCACCAATCGTGAAAAGTTACAGAACAATCTGAGGACGGCATTCAGCAAAGTCGAAGTTCCGGGCGGCGCCGATTACTTGATGCTCGAAGATCAGGACTTTTTCGCTACGAACTTAGGTGCGCCGAAGAAGATCCGTGAGGAACGGACGGACGAATTCAGGAAAGTGAGCGAGTTCCTGCAGATTCATTCCAAAATATTAATCACAGAAGCCGCCGGTGCTGCCGCAAACGGGCGGTTCCGTCGCAAAGCCGTCGTTAGTGCGGACCAGAATGACTGGAAAGGCTCAGCAGCAGCCGTCGTTCCCAGGGAATACGGCGTCGACGGTCAAAAGTGCGCAGGCAAAGAATCCGACGAGCAGTCTCCAGAAGCAAAGTAGACAGAAGAAGACTTCGAAGCTCAAATAAACAGTTTATTCCGTTTCTTTTCACTATCAGTTTTCATCCAACTTCCGTTCCAATTGGAATAATTGGAATATCTTTTCTGAATCTTCTATTAATGTTCTCTCTGTTGTATAAATTTTATTTGAATAATAATGAATTAGGACATGCAAGCATCGATGAGCCATGTTTATGTGGTCGAAGAGAGAACTTGGTTGGGAGCGATTTGATGAGGAAGATGAGGTGAAATGCGAGCGAGTGGAGAGAGAGAGAGAGAGAGGAAGTATCACATGGGAGGTCTGGAATTAAAAAGGAGGGGAGCGAGAGAAGGAGCTGAAACGGGCAAGAGCACTAGTTTTGGAGCATCTGAGCACCGCCCGGATCGTGGAATGAATTGGGCGGAGGCGCGGCTGGAGGTCCGCCGTTACACAGAACACTGTCGAGACCTTCGAGACCGATATCCTAAAAAGGGCAAAATATCAGTAGGAAGTGTGCGGCACAAGTGACTCACATTCAGATCATTGAAGCAATCGACATGATGTCCGGGCGCTCCTTCCGCATTCGTTATCGTCAACTTGGGAATGTCGAGCGCTTCCGGCGAATTTGAGAATGTTCTGACCGGCCACATCGGCGGCTGGTTCGGATCCAGCTGGTTGTGCGGGGAAGTGGGCGCCGACTGGGACTCCGGAGTCAGCGTGGGACCGGGCACTAACCGAGGTCCGCACGTTCCGGTACTATGTCGAGGGCCGACGGGAGCGTGGTAATATCCGCCCCCTCCGCCGCCGCCGACTCCGTTGCATCCATTAGTGTACTCCGGATTATGCTGCATCTGCGGATGATTCTGGAGGTTCGGCAGACTTCCCGCGTCATGATTAAAATCGTGCATTCCAGGAGGACTCAGTTCCATGCACGGCGTCCCTGAGCCATCGAGCATCAACGTGGAAGCATGTGGGGAATCCATCGGAGAGTGTAACGGAGACCCATTGTGAAATCTGAAAGAGAGAGAGAGAGAGAGAAGTGAACAGGCTTTCTCGGACTGGACGAACTCACCCATACATAGGCGTCATCATGTGATTCGGAGACTGTAACGGCGACATTCCATTGTTTCCCATCGATGACGTAGCGTTTCCCATTTGAAGCGGCGGTGGAATCTGATGATTCTGAAGGGGAGATCCTTGCTGAGATCCCTGCGGAGTCACTTGAGGAGAATGCGTCTGAGACTGTTGCTGCATCATTCCGGAAGGACCCGGCATCGCGTTCTGAATGAAATGGGGCATGTGGTGGATGGGCATCTGGTGGTGCATCGGATGCATCGGCATCATTCCGCCCGTGTTGTGGATTGCAGGGTCCGAACGGGCTCGGTTGATTCTGAAGGCGATTGAAATGAGAGGGAAGAGAAGAAATGAACTCACTGATTGAATGAATCTGGGGGCGGAACAAGACCTCCTGGCTGATTGAACGGAGGTCCGTAAGGGGGATACTGCTGATGCACAGAAGGAATCCGATCGGGCGAACGACCGTTTGCCCTCATTCCGTACGGATGATAGTGGTGGGAGGGAGAGCCGGAGGCACTTCCGATCATGTGATCTTCGGGAGAACGACTTCTGTGTCCTTGCTGAAATGAGAAGTATTAGGGGCACGAAAGAAGAAAGGAAAGGGACCATCGGCCTGTGCATAACGTCCTGTTGCCACGGGGGAGGCCATTGCGGGGGAGAATAGGAAGGCATCTGGTGAACGTTCGGCAGAGATCCTCCTAGATTGTGGCCCCACGGCTGGGGAGGATGCAGTCCGCCCGAATTGCCCTGTTGCGGAATGGCCATCGGAGCAGTGGTCGCGGAAGATCCCGAGGATTCGCCAGGTTGGTGCGTGATCGACTGCACCTGCAAACGATCCGAATTGAGGGGGGAATGATGAGCAGTGTGCTACCTGTCGCATGATATCCTCGAAGGTGGTGTTCTCCTCATTCTGCTTCCTCTCCAATATCGCAATTTTCTCGCTGAACTTGCGCGGCGTATTCGAGTTGGACATTCGCATCGCTCGACTCCGAGCGTCCTTCTTCCGGGTGTTTCTTTTGTGTTTCTCTTGTTTCCCTACAGGTGCACGAGATCAGAAAACGAAACAAGAGAAACGGGGGAAATCGGAGGAGGCGAGGGTGGAAGAGGAAGAGAGCACGGGGTCCGGAGGGGGGCACTTTCAGAGATTAGGCCGGGAAGGGCGGAAATAGGAGTAAGGAGTACTACTTGGGGATTTCGAAATCATACGGCTGTCTGGTGAGGAATTATTTAGAAGGCTTTCAAGTTAACAGATCTTCATGGTCATGAAATGCGAATGAAATGGTACATGGCTGAGCAGAGAGTCTTGGATTTTGGCAGAATCGCTCTGATTTTGTGCAATTTCTCCATCTCCCAGTTTGTTTTGTATTCGCGAAAGTGTGTCAGAAAGAGCTTATAAAATGCATGAAATTGAGTTTTGGATTTTGTATGTCAAAAAGAAAGAACAGTATTGAGAAAAGAGCGTGAGGTTGAGTGATCGGGAAGAGAAGAGGAATGATAGCAAGAAGAGAGAGGGAGAGAAAGAGAGAAATGAGCATGTGATAGGTGTGACGGGCCGAAAAGAGGCAGATGAGCGCACATTTGAATATGATAGTGCGTCCGAATCCGAATGTTTTCGACTGAACTTGCATACATTCCCCCCATTCTTTCGCTCATTTCTCTTTCCACACACCCCTTTATTTTCCAACTTTTTCTCTTTTTTATTTGAAAGCGATAAGGAACTGGAAATGACATCACGTGCACTTGGAGATTCATGTGATGATGTCCATGAAAGGTTTTTTGAGTTTCCGCCGCCGACGCAAACGACGCCAACGCAAAAGTGGTGCACAGTCTGAGAAGAGTACCGTATATGCTCAAAAGTCAGTGAGCAGCCGCTTTCTCTGACTGATTCAGCTTGCCGGAAATGGAAAAGCGGGCAAAGTTTCCTTTTTTGGGGAAAAAGAGGAAAATCTAAAATTCAACGGAAGACTATAGCCGATTTGGGCTCTCTTCTCTCCATTTCCTTTTTTTGGAAGGCATTGAAAGCTTGAAATAGGGAGTGCACAAAGATTTTAAAAGAGACGAACATGAGCAGAAAACAATCGGAACGGATCCAACTTATTATAGTTGTGCTCTGTCTCAGTTGTCGCTTTTTTCTTCTTTTTTCATTGATAATGGATAACAGATGAGAGAGAGAGAGAGAGAGAGAGAGAGAGAGAGAGAAGAGCGGCGGAGCGAAAGGAGCGAGAGTGGCGAGAGCTGCCCGCAGAGTTGGCGCGAGTAGTTATAATTGGTAGAAGAAGTGAGAGAAAATGCGACAGATCGGAGCAAGAGAGCGAGGGAGAGAGCGGAGTCGACGGCGATGCAAAGACGGACAAAGTCGCCGGGCTCGCGGAGCACGAAGAGAGCAAGAGAGGCGCGGCGAGGGAGTGCGGCGAGAGGGGAGACGCAGAGAGAGCGAAGAGCTCCCGGGGGCGAAACGCGCGGAGACACAAACATGGGGGGATCCATGATGTTCTCGTGAAGTGTTGCCAACAGTCTGTTGAACTATTGATTCGAGAAAGAGAGAAAGACAGGAGGGAGAAGGAGCAGGAGCTCCGAGCGTGAGTCACGAGGGACTGTTTCAAAACTAGTGATGTGCAGAATGAAGAAGAAGAAGGCCTTTGCGGGTGTCAACACTTCCGCTCATTCTATTCGTAACTCTTCTCTTCCACTATTCTTCCACAGAACCACAAAAAGTGAAACAAACAGATTGACGCTCCGAATTCGGAGACGAGTTATCAGCGGAATGGCAAATAGATTGTAGCATCACATAATTCGAATTGTCAAAAAGCGCAAAGTGATGATGATGGAAACCAGTTGATACACACAGCTTATGCAGATGCAAAAATGGGGGGAGAAACTTATAACGTTTCCAGTTTTTAAGCCCTTTCACAGGGTCTGTTTTCCAAATGACATGGCTCTTCTCTTCGCCACCTGAACAGCAGCATCCTAATCTGCTTTCCGAAATGTCTCATCTATCAATTTCTTGAAATGTGGGTCTTCTGGCACAAAAACAAAAAAAAAAGAGAGAGAGAGAGAGAGGCACTCATAAAGCCCTCCCCTCCGATTGAATCCACATGTGCGCCGATCAGATGTGGTGGAGAAGAAGAAGAAAAAGAAGAGGGAGAAAGTGGGATGATGAGTGGATAATAGTCGGAGATTAGGCAGGCTCGAACTGATGTCGAACATTGAATAACTGAAAGATCAGTATGAGAAACCTTCTCGAGCCTCGTCCAAATGAGTAAACGGATGGAGATATTCTGGGAGTCGATGACGCCAAAAGGGCCGATGAGCACGTGCTCTTTCTAGTAATTACGTGAACTTGTTTCGAAATATGGGCGGCACGAGTGAGCTGGCTGAATTCGAAGCAGAAAAGGAAGTTGCACTTTGTGCTCCGATCATCATCTGAAACGTTTCCATTTATATTTCTGAAGAAGAGACACCTGAAAGTGACAAGCGAAGCGATTGGAAAATGCGAAGAAAAGGGAATGAGTCAGACGGGTGAAGAATACTGAAAAGGGATGATCGGCGGGCGGTGGAAACGAAGACGATACATCTAAAAATAAGTGAAAAGGCAGCTGAAAATAGGCAAGAAGAAGAGGGGAAACGGAGATGAGATGCGCGGAGGAGACGGGCGGCGGCTCGTAATCTGATGGCTGTGTCTCTGTTTGGATTATCTCCGTCAGCCAACACGGATTGTTGCATTAGTCGGAGTGGAGAGAGCGCGGAAAGCGAATCGAATACGGGAGGAGGGAAGAAGAAGAAGAAGAAGAAGGAGGAGGGGCAGAAGAAGAAGCATGCACAATTAATAAGAGCATCATAAGAAGAAGAAGAAGAAGAAGAAGGCGAGAAGGGAGAGCATTTCACGGGTCAAGAGGCTAATCGGCTGAACGGCTACCTGAATGGAAAACTCATTAGAGACTACTCCAGAAATGAATACAAATTTGGTTGCCGCTCACGCATACATTATGACACACTCAAGTTCAAAAAGAGTTTCATCCCTCTGTAAATCCTTTTCTTGAATACATTTATTAATGAAAAGCAACTGAGTGAGCAAGAAACCCTTCCAGAAGCAGAACAAACAATCAAGAAATGTTGATTCAGCATGAATATTAACTGTTTAAGCCAAAGAACGTTCTTGAAAACGATCGTATATCACGTTACACTCCTCGTTACCCAGCGTCGACCAGAATAGAAGACCTTCTAGAAGATAACTCATCCAATCAGATGGGCCAATTTAAATGTTTGGTGTACTTCTCATTAGGGCAGTCTAGTCGCTGTCTGCTCCCTTTCTGGACTGTATTCCCGCGGGAACGGAATTGATCAAAGCACACATACAATCAGAATCAGAATCAGGAAGTTCGGAGGGAGTACGTGACTGGAGAAGCGAGCAAAACCTCGGCTGCTATTAGCAATTCAGGCGCAAATTAAGTCGGGAGCCAGCGAGAAGTTGACAGCTTTCCAGGTGTGCTATCGATGGAAAGAAAGTGGGGTGGAAACGGAGAAGAAAAGGAAGAAGTTGGAGGCGGCGACGCCCCGAGACGGCCACAAACATCGATTATGTATGAGATTTTGCAACGATCGCGCTGCGCCCGCCGGCAGGAAGTCATCTTTTGGTGCGGAAAAAACGAGGAAGAAGGGACCACGTGCGTGCATATGCGGGACTCCGAAAGGGCAAACTTTCAGGGCCGAGAGACGCAGATTTCAGAGCAGAAGGTCCGAGTAAACAGAGACAACTGGAGAGCACGGAGCAACTTTTGGAGCGATAAGACTGTCCGAAGAGGCGCGCGTCGCTGAAAGCGTTTCCGGCGGAGGGTTAGGAGCACTTCAGTCTTCCTCTCATCGGAACCTTCCGACCACTCGGACCGTATCAAAAATGCACGCGCGCTTTTTTCTTGTCAATTTCATTATTTCCCTTTAATTGAATTGTGCTCCTCTTCCATAGTAGTCTTGTTTTCCACATCTCTGAGTTTATGCCGCTTCGATTATTGATCTACCTTCTGTTGCTCGAGGTCAGGTATTGATTTGTTATTGTTCGATTTCTGTCCGCTCGAAAAACCTGTCCCTCCTCAGTCACTCGTCATGCAGGCCGTCCGTCCGTTCCCTTTACTCCGGCTAACCCCTGAACTCGCCAAGATTGTTTTTCGACACTTCGATACATTTCAAATGCAAGTTTTTCTTTTTTCTAGAATGTTTGCCATTCATTCTTTAACTTTCAGCTTGAATTTGTCATTTTGTTCTCAAAAAGTTCAAAACGTCGTCAAAGATCTTGGACTATTTCCTGATGGATGGATTGAGTCGAAGAATGAATGGCTCGAAATGAGAATAGTTCGTCACGATCGCAACGAAACACTCAGAGTGATTGTGAAAGCGGTCGGACTGCTTGAAATGTACCTCCCGGACAGTGAGACATTGAAACCATCGATCGAAAAACGGTCACTGCGAGGATTCGATTTCTTCACGTCTTCTGAAATTCACGAAACGTCTTCAGGAAGAAAGGAACACGTTTGGAGAGCATTCTGGCCAAATGAACAGATTGGATTTGAAGTGATACTGGACCATTTTAAAGAGATTCTCGACTCGTCAGAGTTCGATTGCCAAGTGGAAAACTATTTGACTTCAAAAATGAAATTGGCAAACGAGAAGCCGCCATTCAAACTGCTACAGCTGCCTTTCCTTTGTTCTCAGGCAGCCCTCCGGATGATAGATATTACTGGACTGTTAGTTTTTAACTTTAAAACTTTAAAAATTTCTCGAGAATCCATAATATTTTAGATTCGATCTGTCCCTATGTTCCAAGCGAGCGGCGAACTTGGTGAGAACGCTGAAAAGAAAAGCATTGAGATTGTATCTTGGTGTGGATAAACAAAATCAATACATTGTGCACTTGTCAGTGCCACCATATCGCCATCCTCTGTGCAAATTTGCGGTCCGGGATATGAAGGATTGTGAAGGAAGCGTGCATGAGTTGGACAAACGGAGCATTGGAGGAACGACTGTTCCCAGTTGGATCAGCGTCGAGCACGGGTTGGTCACCTACTGGAACGACCAGCTGGAAGGACTGAAGAGAGTGGCGGAGCACCTGAAACACTTGCTCAAGTGCTCCTCTTACTTCAGCCTCCTATTGGATTGCTCGAAATCGGTGACAACGGCGCACAAGGATGTTATCCATTGGCTTTTCAGTGTTCAGTCCTCGGTTTCACGGTTCAGTGTTCTCACTCAAGACGTCGACGATGACCTTCCAGCAGTCATTCTTCCGTACGCTGAGAAAGTCACCGAATTTTTCAACTGCGGTCTGATGACCAGTGATGAATTTCGTTACTCGCCCGCCGCCTACAATGGAATCGCATTCTGTAGCAGTTCGTCCAGGTGGCTGATGCTAGACGACGTGTTCAGAATCAACTGCCCGTCTGTCCAATTCCTCAAAAACAAAAAGAATATCACGAATGCGGATATGAATGCGTTTGTGAAGAAATGGCTCCGAACCGCTAATTCGAAATTGCGCTCTCTTGTCGTACACATCGAGGACATGAATGCGGTCGAAATTACGAGAGATTTGGAAGGAGTGTGGAGGGATTCGGATACTGTACGAGTGTTCGATTGTCCCCCTCCGAACAATCATTTTAGAATCCGTGGGGGTTTCGATATGAATAAGAATGGGGTGACGGCCACGTTGAACTGTGCACACGTCGAAAAGTATCCCGTGATTGTGCTGGCTGTGTGGACTAACGGAGAGTGCTTTTAATTCTGTGCACTTTTTGGAACCTAAGGAATATTCATTATGAACCCATGCTTACTTTGATAGCTTTTAATTGTCTATTTTGTGTCACCTAATTTATTCGCTCTATCGCTCTACCACAATCCCACGTAAAAAACCCGCCCGCGACCGCGACCTTTTCCAATTTAGCACTGAATTCACGTGGTGTGCGGTAGAGCGCCTTCACATTCAAATGCCCCGATAGTAGAAAGTCGCTTCGTTTTTGCACTTTTTAATTGTATAACTAATAAATCCCTGTTAATAAAATTATTTTCTATTTTTATTTATCTTTATGTTCCAGCCGCGTACAAAGTGAATTTCTTCATTGTTTACAAAACTGTGTCGGCGCGGAAGAGACGCAGATTTCAGAGCAGAAGGTCCGAGTAAACAGAGACAACTGAAGAGCAACTCTCGGAGCGATAAGACTGTCCGAAGAGGCGACCGTCGCTGAAAGCGTTTCCGGCGGAGGTGTGAGTCTGCTGAGTTGCCCAGAAAGACAAGCTCGCCAACTTCATTGTTATTTTTTTGAATTCAGCTGCTCATTCAGTAATTGGCTTTTCCAGTAAATTTTTCTATACATTATTTTCAAAACAGAAAGGTAAACCAGTTGAAGCAACTGTTTTATCACATGCCATTGCCCGTTTCACATGACCGATTGTCGCCGGTTATGGGGCTATTCAGCATATGTTTGTTTTCCGTTTTTTTCGTTTTTTACATCGCTGAATTGAATTTTTTGACGTAAAAAAAGGAAAACAATCATTTTTTTCACAGCCTGAATAACTCCATTATATAATGCGCATTCAAAACGAATAGAAATGGGAACTTGTTTCAATCGCTCGTCAGCGAGCCATTCGACCACATGGTCCTTCCGACTTCCGGCGCTCCGATCGCCTCCCCGCCGACCGGGGAAAGCTCTCTTCTCTGCCGGAAGACGAGCCATTCGGGCGAGAGAGGAGAGGCGCAGACACGACGAGATACCGATAGCAGGGCGCCATCAGCACTGTCCGTCGCGAGACGCAGACCTTCAAAGTACTTCGATCTGTTAGTGTGTTGTATTGTGACTGCGTGGGTGTAATAATATGCGTTTTCGTTGTCCCGCTGCTATCTCCTCCTTTCGAATTTATTCTCTGCTACTTAACTTTCCGCTTTTCGTTCGTTTCATCTTCAATCATAATTACAGGTGCAAATGAAAAGTTATGCACTCAAGCGAGAACAGCACACCTAACAGCAGTACGGACAGTCCGTTCAAGTTGAAGGTACGCATCATCAGAAAGCATTCGAGGCTGATAATCTTGCAGACACCAAAAGTCACGCCGCCAGAAATCACTGCGATAGATGTGTGGTTCCACGGGGAATTGAGCGAACACGACGCCAATCATCTGCTCCAGGTTTGTGTGCTTTATCGGAGCGCAAGATTGAATGCTTTTCCAGAACACAACTGCAGGCGCTTTTCTTGTCAGACAGACAAGTCCGACTCGGTTCTATCTCTCAATTGTGGACTCTGATGGTTACCCAAAGCACATGCCGTTTGTTGACTCTCTTCATTAAAAAAAATTTATAATTAATTCTATTCAGAATCCGGCTACTCACTTCTCCTCATTATATGTTCGAAGGTAAACGATACGATACTCTACGAGACGTCGTCGACGACTACAAACCGGCAGTTTACCCAATCGGAAAAGGCGAAATGACGTCTTTGAAAAGAGTGAGCAAATATTTTTACTTATTCCCTTTCAAGCTGAAACTATTGAAGATTATGAATAACGAGTTTTTCTTGTGTATGAAAAGTTTCGAAGGAACGGAAATTGACGAAATGAGTGCAGAAGTGGGTGACGTGCTGACGCTCTGCGATTCAAATGAGCCCGGTTGGATGATCGGAAAGAACGAAACCAACGAATCCTCAGGGATCATTCGAAGTTCGCACGTGGAGCCATTGGTCTAAACCTCCCATACGCGTCTTCAGTAGTCGGATCTTTTCAGATAACTGTCGTGGACGATATCACCGAACTGCCTTATTTCTACGATTCAGTTTCATCTGAAATGGTGCTCTACAGTCCGATAGGTACTTTTTCGTAGTTGGAAATAGTTTGTTTTCTAATGGATCAAAGGAGTTACAGGAACCTTTCTGCTCCGTCGCTCTTCAAAAGGAGCGGACACGTATGCCCTTCTTGTCAAGACACAGTTCGATGTAATCGAAAAGTTCCTGATAGTCGGATCTCCCGCAAAAGGCTTCAACTTGGCCGGCCGTCCATTCCCGACTATCGGACACGTATTAACAAGGTATTGCGTCCTTCGTCAAGCAGCTGTTCAGATCAAGTTCCTTGCAGATACTGCAATCGGGCGATAGCTGGAAGAGTGCGTCTGACGCATGCAGTCTGCATAAAACAAAATAGAAAACCTTCGAGCTGTCGCTCAATTGCTGACGGTCGGTGGGCGGCGCCGATGAGTAGCAGTCAATATGAAGACGTGAAAGAGAAGACGAAAGAGGTGAGAGTATCAATCAAGCGTGAAGACGTTTCCATAAGGCAAGAACCTCCGCGCAGCTCTCAATTGTTTCCCCCTTTCCGGACGCAAATATATCGTTAAACTTTTATTATGCGAGAGACGGAAAAGCGATCACAGCCGCCGCCAATCAATCGGCGTTTCAGCATGGTCTTCTCCCGATTTGTGAGTTTCCACCTGTTGGAGCATATTAGCCAAACGAGCACATTCCAAGAAATCCCATTATTGGCGGCTTTTCGTCAAATTGGTTCTTGTTAGATTAACTGCCAAACTGAATCAAAACTGCCTTACGCTTCTGGATTATTCTCTCTTTTGCTGCCTTTTCCGAAAATTAGTCATCACTAAAAATCGCGTTTTTCCACAAAGAAGAGTAATGACGAAACCCGTTGACATTTTGATCTGTTTCCCCTCTCATTTGTCTTCTTCTTCTTCTTCTTCTCGGTTTCCCCTCTTCTCCGTTCGAAAATCCGACTGAAAAGAGAGACTGGCTCCTTGAAAAGAAATGAGCTCGTTGTTTGAGCAAGCGAACCGCCCGTCGCGTCGGGGATCTCTCTTATTGTCCTTTCCAATGTAGAAATGGGGCTTGTGCAATTTCGCAGTTCATTTTGTCTTTGGAATGATTCCAAAAGGCTTTCTCTATTGCAAGGTCTTGCAAGGGAAGCATACTGTAGAGAACAAAAAAAACGAAGGAGTCAACAATTTGACCTACCTGACCTGCGGATGACCTAGACAGGGACTCAGAGGTCAACTGAACAACTCTGTTTAGTCATTTAAAACTTTTTTTTCATTTTTTCCCGCACTTCACTCTGACGTTCCTAGTTAATCAAGACTTTTCAAAAAAAGAGACAGAACTCATGCACGACGAGATTAATACTATAAGGAACCTATAATTTTGAATAGAGCCGCAGAGGATAGAATTAAAAGTGGTTTATGCGTTTTTTTTTTCGATAAATGTCCTATTATTTCGTCGCCGATGGTTGGTCTGTTTGTTGCGAGAATTTTAAAAAACCAACTCAGTCTTTGATGATGACTGATATAATGTCACGTGGCGACGTGACCTTGTTGATTGCAGAAGAGCAGACGGATGTTTCGTGGCGCTTCGATCGACACTGCTCTCGCTTCTTCGTCTTTTCTGACGAACAGCTCCATGCCGTCCCCTTCGAACACTTTCTCCACCGGAATACCCGAACATTTTGTACCCCTTTTCTCTAACTTCAATTCAAATTCAAAAATTTTTAAGCAGGATCGTTTCACTGACGACGACAGCCACGATCATCTGGAAACGAGTAGAACGGCCGTCGCGTCGACAGTCGCCCTCCGAAAATGTCAGTTTTGTGCGCCGTTAATTATTTTTTTACTGTAGAAAGAAATTGAAGAATGTAATATTTCAGCACGAGAAGAAAAACAATGGAAAGACTGTTGGCTGACACTTTCCGATTTGCCCGGAGGATTCAGTCAACTTTCCGTTTCCGATTCAATAGTAATTTTTCGTTGTTCTCGTTGCTTTTTTTTAATTGCTTGTGTTCCCAGGGTTCGAAGCTCCGCCAACAGGTCGATTTGTCTGCGTGCACCATGTTCTGGCTCGACGAATCCGTGTTTTCCGTCGACGGTTGTCTCTTTCTCTCGTCCTTTACCCAACAACCTGCACTTTTTCTCTGTTTTCGACCCTTTACAACGTTTTTGAAATGGGTCCGAATGCTCAGGTTTGTTTAGACTATCGGTGAAGAAAACGTTGAATAAAAACTTGCAGAAGTCGGACAATCTATCAAGATGTTCCCCCGGCATTGATTCAAGGATCAGTGTCCTTCATCGATCCGAACTCGCAAGTCTCTCTTCTTTCCGTCGAAATCGATAAGTTTCGTTCGGAAACGTTTAAGCAGGACATGATGTACTCTGCGAATGTGCTTCTCAATGGAGTCAAAGTCGCCTCATCGAGCTCATTCGCTCCCACTGGAAATCGGAGTGCCAACGAACTTCCCGTAGTCGTCATTGATTCGAAGTTCATTGTTCCGTGAGTCTTTTCAAAAAACGAGGCTGGCCGAAAGGGCCTTTTGAAGCGTCTCTCGCTTCTAAAGGAGAAGGCGAAGGCGCCTCGAAATAAAAAGGCGTTTATCGCCTCCGCCTCTACTTATTTAGTAAAGACGACGAATTTCACCTCAGGTCACGGGAAATATTGTCACGCAAATAATGAGAATCAACGGTTTCCAATGCATTTTTAGAATTTTTATGACTTTAGAAATGAAAAGTTGAAAAAACGTTTTACGCCAAAGGCGACGGACGCGGGTGACGGGCCCCGTCGCCCTCTCCATCAGAGGCGAGTGTCGCCCACGCCTCTATTTCGACGCGACCCTCTGCCACCCTACATAAAACTTCTTTCAGCAAACGGTCCGTTTTTCAGATCCATTCCAACGTGCACTTCGAATGTGCAACTATCAATCATCGGGCATTCATCCACCGGAAAGAAGGGCCGCCCGTGCGGAGTGTCCGTTTCCGTATGCTTGCACGAGTGGAATGAGATTGTCAACCAGAATCCGAGTGACTCCGGATTCGTGTTCCGCGTTCAACGAATACAATCCCCCGTGCTCTCGATCGAACGGTATCGGTCTCTTCTGGAAGCAATGAGGTAGGTGTGCACAGGCATTTAAAATAGAAAACAGTAATTAAAATGAGTTCAGGGAGTCACCGAGTGCGCTGTTCAGTTGGCCGTCCCAAGTGCTTCCGCAGCATCTGAAAGTGTTCATGTACTCGTGCGTTTCTCATCTCTACGCACTCAACCCCAACTACTTCAGCCCGCTTATCAGGTAAGCATCTCCTCCGGCGGTTCCCTTCTCAGTGTTTTTCGTGTTCAGATGTGTGATCAGAGACGTTCTCGCAACATCCACTCCGGAAGACGTTTTTCGAAAGGATTCTCTGGCCACTGGAATCATAACGCAGTGTCTTCGGCATCTGTTCAAAACGCCATTCGACGAGTTTCTACAGGAAAATTCCGCGTTTTCTCAAGCCATAAAACAACAAACGAACCTCGACGCGGCGGTCGAACTTCTCGTGAGCTTCGTTGATCAGAGATTAATGACCATTCCTCTGGCCACTCGCCTCCTGGTTATTGCATCCGAGTGCGCGCAGGAGCGATTCGGAGACGAACCGCACCTCGTGAAGAGAACTTTGAGTGCTCTCCTCATACTCCGAGTTCTCAATCCCATAATATTCTCAACCCTCAACACTGGAATCGGCAGTCAAATTGCGAAATCTGTGCAGATTTGCGCCAATTTGGCTGCTTCGCAGTCAACAAGCGATTCCCTTTCACCGGCTGCAGTCACGATTCGCAGAATATTCGACAGAATGATCATTCTAGTTGAGCAGGTGCATTACTGATCAAGTCCATGCGCTAATTTACTTTGTTCCAGAAGCAGATAGAATTTGACGACGAATCTCTTCCAGAAGTAGACGTTCACACCGAATGGCTGTCTTGGTTGGCATATCTCATCGGCCATTCGCTCACTTTGCGCACTTCTGTCACGGCGGCTCCACTCTCCACGATGACATCTGAAGAGATGCACTCGCGGATGCCACTCGCCGTTCTGGAGCTCGTCCGACTGCACCAGTAACACAATTCACACCGTTTTATCCATAGCTTTTGCATCCAAACTAGCCGATTCTACTTTGCCACCCTAATAACCGCTTAGTCAAAATTGGTCGTTATGACCTTCCGCCTGTTTCAATGTCCCCCCTTTCTCTTTGTTCATGTATATTTCTGCTCGCGGGTTCCCCATTTTTGCACTTTCCCGACCTGAAAACTCGAAAAGTTTGGTGACATTCGTGAACTGCGGATTCCAGTTTCAGAAACGGAAGCTACGTTCTTTTTGTCTCTTCTAGCACTTTGCCCCTTGTCTCAATCCAATCAAAACCTAATTTTTCCACTTCTAAAATAGCATGCTGATTTGATCGGATCCCCAACCCTTTTGTATTTACCCTCTTGTCCAATAATACCACTTTTCCACTCTCCCCCTCTCTACGTGTGTCTTCTTTTTGCCAGTGTGTTCACCTATAATGTGTGTATTATTAGGCTGAAAGCGCATATTGTTGAAACCAGAACGTCTTCTCAAAGAAGACGTGCATCCCCTCCACCCGTATTCTCCCTAGATTGCACCTCTCGACACCCACTTTATAAATGTACCATAGTGAGATTGTCGTTTAGTGAATGCGTGCGAGTCCCCCCATCCACTTGCTCTTCTCCTTGTCATTTAATGAGCATTTTGTCTAGTTTTATCCGTTTTTCTTCTCCTGAAGCCGGTAATTTTCAATGTTTTGCCATCTTGTGTTTTATATTTATTTGGAATAAAAGAGTACATCAAACTTTAGTACTTTCTGTCTTATCGACAACTTCCGGAGCATCGAGATCCGAGTCCACTTGAAGCGAATAAAGAGCCATCACGTAGACGTAGAGCAACGAAATAAGACGATACGTGGCAAAACGACGGAAGCGGCCGAACATGGCGGAATGAGCGAATGAGCGAATGAGCGAATGGGGCAAAACGGGGGGACGGGCGGGGCGGTTCATTGAATATGCGAGTGTGGGAAATCAGTGATAAGATGAAAGGAAACCGCCGATGACCACATGTGGAACCCATTCGGAAAACGGAAAAAACAGAGAAGCAAAGAGCACTTTCGGCATAGTTGGGACTAACGGATCGGAGGCTTTTTAAGGCCTGTGCTATTTACCAAGTTTCAGTCCGATCGGATCTTCTGGTCCGAGATATGCTGGTTTGAGAAACTTCTCGACCTCCGAGATCCATACTGAAAGTGTGGGGAAGAGCTGTCTCTCTCTCTCTCTCTCTCTCTCTCTCTATCTCTCTCTCTCTCTCTCTCTCTCTCTCTCTCTCTCTCTCTCTCTTCCTTCCATTCCGTTAATATCAAGTTCGTTTTCCGCCTTTTCCAACTAGTAATCCCCCACTCCGAACACCCCCATTAGAAGGCGAGAATCGATAGCGTCGAGCGGATAATTATCAGCGGGCGTCTCCGATTGTCTCTCTTTCTCCGGTGTCCTCCTCTTTCTGCGCACTCTCTCCCCCTCTTTCTTCGTGCTCGTCTCCATGGAAACGGCGACGGGGGAGGCGGGCCGAAAGCAGTCTGCTCCGCTCGATAAACCCACTTCTCGATGCGAACTTTCGGACGAACGACCTCATCATTGGACTGCTGCGGACGGAAGAAGTGAGAAGAATGACGTGGCTCGAGACTGTATTCTGCTGCTGCAACAGAAGGCCGACGATCAGAAGGTAAATACTCTCGGAACGGGGAAAGGGATCGGAAAGAAGTGTTTCAGGGAAATAAAACTAGGATGCTTTGGCATCGGAGGCGCCGGAAAAACGACGTTCCTGAAAATATTGAAAGGAGGTTTGAGTGATTCTTGATTCGAATGGAAAACGTCGTTGCTTTGCAGAGGATCCCCGCGGGGTGCTCACTACAAACGGGTTCTCAGAAGTGAAGATGGACTACGATTCGCTTTTTAACTTGAAAATCTACGATGTCGGCGGGGACAAGGGCATCCGCGGAATCTGGAGTAACTATTACGGAGAGGTTCCAATTTCCTTCGCATTTCCAGCTGATATCGTACTTAATTTCAGGTTCACGGAATTATTTATGTCATTGACTACACGACGGACGACACATTTTTCGAGTCAATTGAAGTGAGTAACCGGCGGGAAATTGTTGCGAAATGTGTTTTGAAGCGTGAATTATGAATGTGTGGGAGGGGGGGATGAATGCGGAATTGACGATAACTCATCAGTTTCTGATGAGATGAGACGGATGGGTTGGAAAGCGACTCAAGAGAATTTCAGGCGATGCGCCCGCTAATAAATCATCCCCAAGTGCAGAAGAAACCCATTTTCCTGGTGGTGAACAATCAGGCGAGACGGGAACTCGACGACGTGGAAATATCGAATGCGGTCAGTTTGAACCTCTTTTCTTCCGCCATTCTCTCCTTTCTTTTGCAGACTAACATCCAGGCAGGACAGCACAAAATAGTGCTCTTTTCCCACTTCAATCAGTACAACGGCTTCGTGAGTGATTGCTCGGTATCCCCACTGAGAATCCACGTGTTTTCAGCTGAATAACATCAGAAACTCGACAATAACAGTCTCTGCGAGGGCTCAGAAAGACAAATTGGCTTTCCAGGAACAGTTTGTTCGATTCATTGACTGCGTGAGTGAAAGCACAGTATTCCGTTTGCAAGTTATTGCTACCCAACACATCTAGATACTTGCGACTAGAAATTTGCTGTTATTCCATGGGGAATTGCCTGTTTTCTTTTCAGATTTCGGATAATTATGTGGAGCTGTCGGAAGGAGTGAGGGCGGCCGAACTGGCACTCAGACTGAAGCAGGACCAGGCGCGAGAGGAGCGGCGTCTGATGGCAATGAAAGTGGAGCACGACGCGCTGAAAGCAGACGTCGCCGGCCTCGAAGGGTCCGTCCCTTCGCACCGTCCTTTCTCTCATGATCTCCTTCCTTCCAGACGTGCCCTTCCGCCTCCGCCGTCCCGCAATCCGGTCCCAGCTGATCCTCCGTCTGAGCCCAAGTCTGCCGTTGTTCATAGAGACGAGAGCCCGCCCGTTTCCCTTGCCAGCTCCACAATCCCTTCCGATATCATCCAGGGATCTCCGGAAGTCTCCACTCCGCACGATCCTGTCAAGTAGGCCTTTTCTGAGATTTTCGGATGCACCGATGGCTTCAGTTTTTGCAGAATTTCTCAAACGAGTACCAAGCCTGCATCACCGCAATCCGCCGGGGATATGCACGAGCCAAAGATGATACTGAAAGACAATTACTTCTTGCCACCCTCGACACCAGGTAAACCAGAAAGACGGGGCACGAAGGGAATGTCCGATTTCAGGACGACAGTTCAGCAGAATTCAGAGGATTCAGAACGTTCTCAGCAGTCGAGTTGCGCCGAAATAACTTATTCTTGTTGGCTAATAAAACACATTTTTGTGCTGTTAACAATTCATTGACAACAAATAACAAGATCTTTAGTCGAAGAGACCGAAGCCCATGTCGTCATCGGACTCCTCCTTTGGCTCCTCCTTCTTCTTGGTCTCGGCGGCCGGGGCGGCTCCTCCAGAAGCTGGGGCAGCAGCAGCGGCGGCTGGGGCTGGTCCAGATCCAGCTCCAGATGAGACGGAAGTGATGAGGTTCTGAAAAATAATATCGTACAGGGACTTCACGCTGGCTGCATTCTCACCTTCACATCGACTCCCTCGAGGGCCTTGGCGAAGAGTCCCGGCCAGTATGGCTCGAACTCGACGTTGGCGGCCTTGAGAAGAGTAGCGATCTTCTCGCCGGTGATGGCGACCTCGTCATCTTGAAGGATGAGAGCAGCGTAGACGCAAGCCAGTTCCTGGTTCGAGGCCATTCTTCAAGCGTAAGTTGCTGGTGTGCCTTAGCTCCAAAGAGAACAAACGTTTGAAAGAACGCTGAAATGTAGGATTAGTGTCACCGAATGGCACTTTCGAAAATAATAAACAGATATGGAGCATGGGAGTTAACCATGATAACGAGAAAAATCAATGAAAAACAATGTTAAACGTTGTTTAATACAGTGTAACAACATGGCTTAAGCCACCAAAACACAAGCTCCTCCAGCCTTCTTGATCTTTGTCTCGGCCTCGTGGGAGAAGAATCTGGCCTTTACGATGAGCGGCGTCTCCGGGAGAAGTCCCTTTCCGAGAACCTAAAAATTTGAAAGTGAAGTTAGGAAAATTGAGAATTGTTTCGAGCCCAGAGGATGACATTTGTCGAAATTCAAGACAAACACCGAAGGAGACACGACAGCCAAACGGCACCACTTTTTCTCTCGTAACATACACATTCCACATGTATCAGTAGAAGCGCCAAGACGAGAGATAAAACGAGATAAACAAATCTGAACGAACCTTGAAGTATCCAAGCTTGGTGCAGTCAATGACTGGGGCCTTGTCTCCGGTGGCCTTCTCGCGGACCTCCTGTGGGACAAGAGACCACAAGCGCTCGACGTTGACGGTTGGGCAGTAGTGGTGGTTCTTGTTGAGGTGGAAAACTCTCATTCCTACCTGGAAGCATAAAAAAATTAGGAAAACAATATCGAATAATTTTTTTGTTTATTGTCTTGAGCCCAGAGGATGACATTTGTCAAAATTTGAGACAAACACCGAAGGAGACCCGAAAGCCTTACGGCATTACTTTTTCTCCTATAACATACACAGCCATATTCACCAATGGAAGCGCCAAGATAGGAGGAATGTTTTCTCAAACATTTAAAAATAAATACCTAAAAAAGTACCTTTCCGAAGTATCCTGGGTGGTACTTGTCACGGTTGATGCGGTGGTGGTGTTGACCTCCAGCGTTTCCGCGACCTCCAGGGTGCTTCCTGTGCTTTCCAATACGTCCGTGTCCGTGCGAGACGTGACCACGGAGCTTTCTGGTCTTCCTCTGCGCGTGAGCCATACCCTGTAAAATGAATAAATTTTAAACGAACACAAGCGAGAATAAAAACAGGGCTTACGAAGCAAATTTTAATGATTTTCAGTTTTCAAAAAAGTTCCTTAATAATTTGCACTAACTTAGCAAAAAATGAACAGAATAGGGCAAAAACTGAAAGAAACGGAAAGAAATCCTAAAATCAGAACGAAAATACGCTTCTCGCGTCTCCCAAAAAAATTGGATACGGTAACACTCGCTTTCCACAACAACTTTCGTTGCGAGACCCGGCGTCCGATCGGCACCTCCCTTTAACCCACCTTTTTTGCGCTATTTTTCCAACAGCTTGAACGCGTGTTTATCACTTGTTTTCCAATATTTCAGTAAGAAAAATAGTTAGTTATTTAGAAAAAGTATTTTCTTTGAAATTTAAATCAGCACCTATACCTCAATTGAGCCTCTTATCGATTTTTCGTAGAAACGGTTGAGGCAATTAAGTTCTTATAAAACTTGAATGAGCACAGAACTGCGGGTGCTTTTGAATTACGAACGGAAAACTAGCGTTTTATTACATTTTTATTCGTCAATACACTATTGGAATTAACTTTGTCTCTTAATTTCGCAAGAAATAGGTTGTCGTCATTGCATCATCGATTCTGTTCTACGTTCGTATTGCATCGGACTGTTTTGTATTTTTTAATATATTACAGAATGGCCGCTGCTGCTCAAAAGCTTTTGGGTCGCTTGGGAACTGTTGGAGTTGGACTCTCCATTGTCGGAGGAATCGCACAAACTGCTCTTTACAACGGTTAGATAATTTACAAAGTGAATGAAGTATCCTTAATAGTATTTCAGTTGACGGAGGCCAGAGAGCAGTAATTTTCGATCGATTCAGTGGAGTGAAGAATGAGGTCGTCGGAGAAGGAACGCACTTCCTCATTCCGTGGGTTCAGAAGCCAATCATTTTCGACATTCGGTCTACTCCGAGAGCCGTCTCCACCATCACTGGAAGCAAAGGTGACTGAACGCAACGAATAAAATTAAACCTAACACTAGACATTTTTAGATTTGCAAAATGTGAACATCACGCTCCGTATTCTCCACAGACCAAGTCCGGACAAGCTCCCGAACATTTACCTGAACATCGGTTTGGATTACGCTGAGCGTGTCCTTCCTTCAATTACGAACGAAGTGTTGAAGGCTGTTGTGGTAAGCATACTCATAATCTAGTTTCCATAAGTAATTGTGTTTTCCGGCTCAATTTGATGCGCACGAAATGATCACTCATCGTGAAGTGGTTTCTCAAAGGGTATCGGTCGCTCTTCGTGAGCGTGCCGCACAGTTTGGCCTTCTTCTCGATGATATTTCTATTGTAAGTTTTTTTTAAAAATAACTCTCACCTTTAATTCGATTGCTCTTATAGACTCACTTGAACTTCGGACGTGAATTCACTGAGGCAGTCGAAATGAAGCAGGTTGCTCAGCAAGAGGCCGAGAAAGCTAAATATCTTGTCGAGAAGGCCGAGCAAATGAAGATCGCTGCTGTTACCACCGCGGAAGGAGATGCTCAGGCCGCCAAGCTTCTCAGCAAGGCTTTCGCCAGCGTTGGAGACGGACTTATCGAACTCAGAAAGATCGAAGCTGCCGAGGAGATTGCCGAGCGCATGGCCAAAAACAAGAATGTCACTTATCTGCCAGGAAACCAACAAACCCTTCTCAACCTTCAATAAGCATCCGGTTACGTGTTTTAGACGAATTCCATTCATACTTTCCGAGACAGTCTGTTGAACTCTCGAAAATAATACCCGAAATCTCAAACAGAAACTTATCGCTCAGTCTCGTTTTTATTTTTGTAGTAGACATTGTGACTGTTTTCCATTGTTTTTCTAAAGTAGTCTTTTTTATTTTGTGTAGGTATTAGAATGTTTTTGTTTTCTCTTTCCGTTGTTGGTTCCTCTAAATAATAAATGCATTTTCCATTTGCTGGAATTCAATTTTGTCCAACCGGTTACATCCCGTTTCAAACTTACTTTTGAAGATTATTTCGTATCCGCGAAACAGATTTGTTTTCAGATGGCGTTAATGAAGTGCCGTTACTATGAGAACCAGTTCCCGGATGTCGAGGAAACCGTCGTGGCCAATGTCAAAATGATCGCTGACATGGGAGCTTACGTGCGGCTCTCCGAGTACAACGACAAAGGTTTGTTGCTGAAAAAGATGGACTGCATTTATAAACTTATTCTGCAGAGGGAATGATCCTGCTCTCCGAGCTGTCTCGTCGTCGTATCCGCTCCGTCAACAAGCTGATCCGTGTCGGCCGAAGCGAGTGTGTCGTCGTTATCCGTGTCGACAAAGACAAGGGATACATCGACCTCTCGAAGAGACGTGTCTACCAGAAGGACCTGAAGCAGTGTGAAGAGCGCTTCGCCAATGCCAAAATGGTCAACAGCATTCTGCGACACGTGGCCGAACAGCTCGGATACACCACTGACGCCGAGCTGGAGGAACTGTATCAGAAGACCGCGTGGCATTTCGACAGAAAGGAGAAGAGGAAAGCCGCCTCGTACGACGCTTTCAAGAAGGCTATCACTGATGAAACTGTTCTTGACGAATGCGATATCTCGCAAGAAGTTAAGGAGAAACTTCTGGAGGACATAAGAAAGAAGCTGACTCCGCAGGCGGTAAAGATTCGTGCCGACATCGAAGTCTCGTGCTTCGACTACGATGGCATCGATGCTGTCAAGTCGGCACTCATCACTGGAAAGAACTGCTCGACGGAAGTGTTCCCAATCAAGGTATTCCTGTGAAATTCATTGACCAGATTCCAATCAACCAAGTTTTATACAGATCAACTTGATCGCCGCTCCGCACTTTGTCGTGACGACTCAAACTTTGGACAGGGAAGGAGGACTTGTGGCTGTCAACGAGGTTCTCGAGACGATCAAAAAGGCGATTGAGGGATTCAAGGGGAAGTTCGTGATTAAGGAGGAGGCCAGAATTGTGACTGATATCGACGACGAGAAGAAGAAGTTGGATGGAGATGAGGACGAAGAAGAATCGGAAGAAGACGAGGATGAAGAGGAAGACGAGGACGACGTGAGTTGTGAAGGGGAAGAGTCTGTAGTGATTGGATTTATTACAGGATGGACTGATGGCTCCGAAAGGCCTCGACCAGCAGGTGGATGCGGAGGAAGCGAGTCGCGACAACAGAAAGAAGGCTGGAGAGGAGGAGGACAGCGACGAGGAGGACGAATAGCCGACTATTGCCAACTCCTGTCCCGTTTAGTATTATCCAATTCTTCAAGTGGTTTTTCTGCTTTTTCGCCCTTTTTTCGCTTGGTGATACATCTGTTTGCTGTCCAGTTCCAAACTGTTCCGCCCCTTCTATTCATATTTTTCTGTTGTTGGTTCGTTCCATATTTATTGTCTCCTTTCCTGTCGGCCCATTATTCCATTTTCTTCTTTTCTTGGGATCTGCTGTTAGTATCTGTTGCTTCTCAATAAACAGTGACCTGATCATGTTGCCTCTGCTTTCCGCAGTCGCCCGTCCTGTTAAATATTTAACGTCGACTATAGTGTTCAATAATTGATCGATAAGACGGGCCACTGGAATGGCGTGGCCTTTCTCTCTCGCCCGTCACGTGTTCTCGTGGCAACCACCGCGTCTTCGCTGTGAATTCCACTTCTCTGGTCACAAACAACGTCTCGAACTTTCGTTGAAAAATCGGAAATTTCGACGAGCATCGGAAAAATTAGCCATTAATCCGATACGAAAGCCCAAAGATCATTTTCTTGTTTGTTAGCGGTTTCTGCACTTTCTTCTCAATTTTTGCGTCAGAAATACGAAATCGCCAAAGAAAACAACGGGTTTTACTGATCAAAAGCACTGCTTTGTTGTTCTCTGACTCATCCGTTCGCATGTTTCCCATTCTCGGTTTCTGCTCATTCTTTTCCGTCAATTCCAACTATTCTTTCGCTGACTCGTGTCAATTCCCCCCAATTCCGTCTCAATTCCCTTTGTGTGTCCAACCCGGACTAAACTGTTTTCGGTGCGATCCGGTTGACTGCCAAAGAGCATTCGAACTGATAACGCGTGCCGCCTTCCTCCCTTTTTTGTTTCGATTCGATCACTCGATGCATCGGGTGATTCTTCTCTGTTTTCCGTCCTTTTATTATTTTTACTTTTTCAGAAACAATGAGTGGATTGGCTCCCGACGGACTGCCCAAAGGAAACAAAGTTTGGGCGGACGGATGGTGAGCAGCCCGAGAGATTCAGATTGACGGAAAAACAGAGAGTTTCAGCTACGATATGGTCCATTTCGGACACGCGAATCAACTGAGACAGGCCAAACAGTTCGGACAGAGACTGATCGTCGGAGTGCACAATGACGAGGAGGTATTTAACTGGGGGAATGAGAGGGCGCCAGCGAAAACGAGTTGAATGCGCAGATTCGTCTCCACAAGGGACCTCCGGTGTTCAACGAACAAGAGCGATATCGGATGGTGGCGGGGATAAAGTGGGTGGACGAGGTGGTCGAAAACGCGCCGTACGTGACCACTGTGGCCACTCTCGACAAGTACGGATGCGATTTCTGCATTCATGGAGGTTCCGAGCTTTCAGAACTTCTGATAATTGCCAATTCAGATGACATCACCCTGACTGCTGACGGCAAGGACACTTATCAAGAGGTGAAGGACAAGAAGCGGTACAGAGAGTGCAAGAGAACGTGCGGAGTGTCGACGACGGACCTCGTGGGCCGGATGCTTCTGCTCACAAAGAACCATCACACTCAGGACGAACACATCGAGCAGCACGTCGAGAGAGCCCGTTCGTTGAGCACGGTGAGTGAGGTGCCCGTCCATTCGGCCACAAACCCGATCTGAATTTTAGGCAATAATCGAATACAGCACGGTACGCGCCGCCCGTCTTTTCCCTTTCCTTTTCAAATTACCGAATTTTTCTATTTAATCGCTAGTAGATAGATTTAGATTTCGCAAGACAACTGATTGGTTTCAGGACAATGTGGCGATGTCTCCGTGGACTCGAGTCTCCCGATTCATTCCGACCACCACGGCCATTCTGGAGTTCGCGGAAGGAAGACCTCCGAAGCCGACAGACAAAGTGGTTTACGTGACTGGATCCTTCGATTTGTTCCACATCGGGCACTTGTCGTTTCTCGAAAAGGCGAAGGAATTCGGAGATTATCTCATCGTTGGAATTCTTTCTGACCAGGTATCTAAGTTCTCATATATTTTCTGATTGATTATCTCTGAAATTCCGTTCAGACTGTCAATCAATACAAAGGAAGCAATCATCCGATAATGTCGATCCACGAGAGAGTTCTTTCCGTCCTCGCTTACAAGGTTTTCTTTTCGTCTCTTTCGCTCCATCTCTGCTATTCGTTCTTTTCCAGCCTGTCAACGAAGTTGTCTTCGGAGCACCGTACGAAATTACCGGCGACATTCTTGATCAGTTCAATGTGCAGGTTTGTCTTCTCCACTTACTTTTCTCTGTGACGGCGAGATAGTGTGCGCGGCGAGGAGGGCCACACACAAAACATAGTGGGCGGCGAAAGTAGGAAAGTGTCGGCTGCTGCGTTGCAATGGGTTGGAGTGGCGGCCGTGAAAAGACAGCCTCTGGCGCTGCTAATAGCCAGGCTCAAGGCGGGCGATGATTGATATATTTCCCACACGCAATTTCGTCTGAACGTCAATGAAGGTTAAACTTCCTTGGACGTCTGAGCCGCCTCAAAGTCATTGAAAAGGAACTTGTCCTCAAACTATTAGAAATCGGGAGTGAGAACTGTTTCAGGCGGTAGTCAATGGATTCCGTGACCGCGACTCTTCGTTAGTTCAATCGCCACCAAGTGACCCGTTCGCTGAAGCGAAACGTCGTGGAATCTACCACGAAGTGGATTCTGGAAGTGATATGACCACCGATCTCATTATCGAGCGGATCATCAACCACCGTCTAGAATACGAAACGAGAAACAAGAAGAAGGAGAAGAAAGAGGCGGATGTCGCAAAGGCGATGAACTTGATCAAAGTCGAGGAATAGGCATCTGATGCCGTTATCTTAGATTCCCCGCAAAATAACCATATTTTTGCTTTTAACCCCTCTAGTCGAACCATACTTTCCCAAACTCGCTTCCATTCTTTCCCACTTGCCAAACTCGCTTTAGTTGTACATATCTTTCGGAATTGGAATTTGGAAAAAGGCAGTCAATAAATCGGGCATATTCAGTTTTGCATTTCGTGAAGCCGTAGGAAAGAGTGGAATCATGTTGAGGCTCCGACAGACTCATTACTTTGTACTTTGAAAAGCACCAAAAAACACTCCGTACCTCAGATGCTCAATATGAGTCCGTCCGGTTTTTGGCCGCCAGTCCATCAATGACAAAAAAAAAAGAACAGGTCAGTTTTGCCACTTTGGAAAGTCTTGTTTTATTTAGAAAAAAGGAGAAAACCCTAATATCACAAATTAGTGAGTTCAAATGAAACACAATGGGAATCATCAAATCGAGCCAACGGAGCGCGGCAAGCAGAGACGTCGGTTGAGTTGGATTCGTGGGAAAGACGGCAGAGACTCTCGTGTTGGATCTGGGGAAGCATGGAATCTGAACGAAAACAATGGGAAGGGGAGAGCGGGTGAGGGCACGAACACTTCTGATTCTGCTGGATCTGCCTCCATTGCAAGTACTGTCTGACTGCCGTCGTCTCTGCGTCTCCCCAGTCGTCGCACTCTCTCGCCGCTTCTTCGTCCTCATCATCCACGTCGCAGTATTCGCACGAACTTTGCGGAATCTCGAGCACTTTCGCGTGCATATATTCCCGCTTCGGCCGAGTCTTCCCACGACCACCCGTTCGGAGCACGCAGCACGAGACGACGCAGCAAACGCCGATGAAGGTGCAGATGGTGAACTGGCAGTAGATCATGATGCCTTCCGCCGAGTTCAACACGATCGGGATCTTGTCCCTTTCGACCGAGAACTCTTTCGAGGCATTGAGGCCCGCCAAAGAAGCCACGCACTTGTACTTGCCCATGTCTTTCAGGCCAATCTTTCGGATTTCCAAACAGAATTCGACCTGTCCAGAGTCGGATAAATGTTTCTGGGAGATGCCCTGAAAAAAGTGGAATGTTGATGAAAATAAGGGGAAGGGTACATTTGAGATGTTCTTTCCGTTGAGTTGCCAGAAGAGAACCGGAGCAGGAGTGGCGAGGGCCGTGCAGCACATTGCGTGGGCGTCATCCAGAGAAACGACCGACGATTCTGGAGACGAGGACGTCACTGAAGGCCCGCAGACTGTCTGAAAAAGGGGAAGAATTGAGAAGGAGCCGAATGATATCACTTTTCCGTCGATTGGACTCTTCCGGAGCTCACTCGGCCGACGACAGGGAATCATTGTACTGAAATTGAAAAAGAGGTAAGGAATGAGAAGACGTCGTGAGGCTACCTGTCGAAAAGAGCCAGTTTCTCGGCCCAAGTGACAAAGTGCCAAAGGGAACAATCGCATTCGAGGTCGTTGAATGTCACATCCAGCTCCTGAAACGTGCTCATTGAGCTCTTTCTCTCTCACTTCCCGTCTTTCCCCACACATTAACAGATTCCAATTTCGAATGTGTGAAATCGAACTCGAAAACACATGTCGCTGGTTGAGTGCACCGCGCGTTTGTTTGCAGTCTGCGCGCGCCCAAACATCTGGCCATTAGGAAGGGCGGACGGACGGGCGGCTCAGCGGGTGACAGTTAATTTCGAATCAAAATGAGATATATTGAGAGTCCCTTCCCGACTGAACACTCCAAATTAATCCCTAGAGAAGCGAGAGAGCACTCCATCACATTCCATTGCGTAACCCATCGTATGAAACGGATTCACAAGGACGCAACGACGGCTGTTTTCGCGCGGATCGAATTTCGATCCTTTCCGGTTGGCACTGACCTGCAACTTGTGCAAAAAGGGCCAAGGAGACAAGTGGCTGAAGCGGTTGGCCGCCAGACGGACCACTTCCAGATTGAACGGAAGCATCCGGGGACGGACGGATACCAGTCGGTTGTGGGAGAGGTCGACGAGACGGAGCGACTCCAGATGGGACATGTCCGGCACGTACCTGAAAGAGCCGAGAGTATTTTTCGCATCGGACAACCCATTTCGCATCGGTTTTATGGGCCAATTATTGGCGAATTCAATAACTGCTGGCTTCCGGTCCCCCCACACATAATGCTACTAAATGATGTCTTCTCTCCTTCTCCATTCTTTTTCTTCCCTTTTTTCTGGTCATCTTCGTGGGAATCGAAGCATGACGTGTGACGGACTTACGTGAAAGAGTTGAATGCCAAATTGAGCACGCGCAAAGAGACCAAGTTGCGGGGAATTATCAGTCGGGACAGTGAGTTGCGGGAGACGTCGAGCTCACGGAGTTGCTCGAACACGGACAGAGCCTCGTAGTCGAGTCGTTCCAGCTGGCACTGATCCAGACGGACAGACTGTAGCCTTCGGTATTCGGAGGGGAAGACCGAGATCCGACTGATCGAGTTGTTCGAGAGTGAGAGGGAGAGCACGTTCGGAAGGAGCGACGGAGGCTCCTGGAGTCCCACGGAAGAACAGTCCTGCAAACAAACATTCGAGAGGGGGGGCTCACGCACATAATTGAGCACCTGAAAAGGGCGGTTCGACACCCAAAAACTCTTGCATTGTGGCGGAGAAGTGGAGGCGACGGAGCGGAAAATGAGGGGGAGAAAAAGAAGAAGAAGAAGAAGAAGGGACACGGAGGAGTCTCGCATCGTCTTCCGAATCAGCCGCATTCCATCGTTTTCTGGAAGAAGATTCATGGATGAGTAGACAAATATTTGTGAGGAGCGAAGGAAAGGGAGCCATGGATTCTCATTTCAGAAGCGACTGACACTTCGGAAAGAGACTGACAATAAGAGAACGCTCGGAGCACTTTTCAGATTCCTTCGAAGTGTACAACTCAAAATTATGCTGCCAATGATTGTCAATGGAATGGAAAAACAAATTTTCAACCGAATAAAATGCGATTTTTGGCGACGGCACACAACAAAATGGCTCGAGGAATTCCAGTGGAGTTATTACAAATATGCCGCCGGAGCACACGCATTCTCATAATTGGCAAAGTGCTTGGACATGAGAACAAAAGGATGGGGGGAAAGGGTTTGAAGTGGCAGGAAGAATCTTTGAGAATATTGGATACTCGCACACAATGGACGTGTGTCTCCAACTGCAGCAGGCCTATCCGCCTGCCGACCAACACAAAAAGAATGCACTTAAAAAGGGGGCGGCGCTTGAGCAGAAAGCTCCACTGCAAGAAGAAGAAGAAGAAGAAGAAGAGGGAGGGAGGAGCCCGCATTTGCATATGAAGGGATGGGCGGCGGTTTGAATTTTATGGTTTTCGAATGGGATTGGTCCTCTTCTGATGCTTATCTGAATGATGATTGACGACGGATTGGAAACGAGCAATCACACTGATGGGCCCACGAGAAACGGAGATTCGCGCTCGGAACCGTTTCAGAATTCACGCTTTTTCTCGTCTTGTCCAGACTATTCAACTCCGAAATTTCATCTTCGTGTTCCATTTAACTGAATGGGAAAATGTCATTTGATGAGGAAACATCGAGAAGAATCAGTTTCGACGAGTTCGATTAGAGAGAAAGGTGAGAAGAAACATCCTTATTATAGGGGTACCGGACAGAAATGGCGCTCTGTTGAGAAACTCTTTTTGCAGTGCAAATTGAGCGACCTCGGGGCCGAGTTTGAAAATTTAGGCCACGTTTTCAGTGGAAAATTACTTCGCGGCCTAGAAATTCGACCAGATTGCGAACAGCGCGCCCTTTCTGTCCGGTGCCCCTATAATAATTTTCCACTGAAAATGTGGCCTAACTTTTCAAACTCGGCCCCGAGGTCGCTCAATTTGCACTGCAAAAAGAGTTTCTCAACAGAGCGCCATTTCTGTGCGGTGCCCCTATAATAGCTGCACAACGTGTTCGGTCACTTTTCCAGAACCATTCATTTTATTGTCGATTATTTCAGGTGATCTGAACTGGAACACGAGAAATTTTGTGCCGGAATTCGATAAAATCTCTGAGCACAATAAGTTGTGGCTAATGGAACCGGGGAGGAATGTAAGGACTTCCGAATTATAGTCATTGTTTGTTTCCGAGATGATCGTTGCCCTGAAAACTGAAATTCCCGACCAAAAAGAACTTTCTGTCTAATTAACTCGTCCCATAAAAGCGGACATTTCTGAATTCTTCGTAGACATCGATGAGTCGAAGGAGTCCTGATGGCTCTGAAAAAGTTTGAAAGTAGAGCTGGTTAGGCTGGTCGAACAGGCGATTTCAGGCGCTTGCGCCTGTTTTTTCGTGCGCCTGTTCGACCAGCTCAGCTGGTGATTCGAGATCCTAAAGCTTTCGGGTTTTTGGCGATCATCCATGTGCACTTTTTTCTGCCCTACCTTCTGTCCTAGTTAATGAGGAATTCTGCTTTTCAAAAAACCCATTCCGATCAGCTCTGGTGACTACGTCAAAAGGTCACGTCTTTACACAACAGTTTCAAAACATGTGCATTCTGGCACATTCTTGTCATAAATTCAAGAGTTTGAAGATTGATTCTGATTTTTCTCTTTTGATCATATTGTGTACGTTTTCTTGAAATACTTGGACCCGCTTGTTTCATTCCCAGAACCGTTTGAAAGTTCACGTGTTCACTTCTCAATTTCTCCGTAACAACAATTTCCGTTTATGGCCCGCCAGCAGATTCTGACGACTCCAAAAATGTTCTCTTGGTCCGATCTACCAGCCTGATTTCTTCTCCCTAACAGTGCTTTTGAAATCTGCCCGCTGCGCGAGGCCGAGCTCACGCTCAAAAGCAGTTTTTGTCAAGTGGCCGAGTTTTTGATGAAATGGCCTAGGTTTCCGTGGTGGTCGAAATGGCGGAATGCCGTTTTTGATTTCGATTTGCCGCGAAAGAAGAGTTGTCTTATTTTCAGTGAATTGTCAAGGTAATTTCAGATTTTTAAAGCCAGAAATAAAAATTAACAATTTATTTCAATTGGACGTTATTCGTTTCTTACCGTTACTATCTTACTCTTGTAAAAATTAGGCGAAACCTTTAATTTCTCGAAATTTTAGGATGTTAAATTTCAACGAACTCCTTGGCCGTGTGGACAAACAAGGGCTCACCGAGTTCTTCGATAACCCAGCATTCCAGCAGCACAGAGAGCTCTTCGTATGATCTGTTCGTATCGGACTGCTAAACCCCTCATTCAGTTGCAGGCGACTCGTAATTTCATCGCCGGATCTGGCATTCAGCATGCGGTCGGCGGTGCCCTTGGATCCTCCGAAAATACCTGGACGCGGGAGAATCAGCCAGTTCAGAGAAATCTCATCTTCGGAGAGAAAGGCATCGAGTTGCCGGGTCGTCTTGGCAAGGAACCGACCGCCTCTGAAGAAACTTTCACTGACGACGCCATCGCCAATCAGCCACAAGTTGTGATCGACGACATCGACAGTGAAGAAGTATTTGTTTTTATGCAAAAAAAAGTAATGAAACATGTTTTCAGCTGGACGAAGATGTCGCTCGAGTGAAAGTGGAAGCGGACCGCGCGTTCTTCAATCACATGCTTCTTTCTCGTCCGGCGGCTGTTCCCATCAATCCGGCTCATGCTATGGAACGAGATGTAACGATTATCAGGCATTTTTTACTTATCTAACTTTGTTTCAGGACCTACCACTGGGCAATGGAACGTTTGTGAACAAAAATGTTGTCGATCGAAGAGAGCTGATCTTCGGAGATAAACTTCAAAAGTATTTGAAGAACCAGGGCAAGAAGAACATTGTGGAGCTGATGAAAGAAGCCGTGGAAGAGAGCGGAACGGATGGTGCACTGGGAGATGTGTGGAACGACGTGACATCAGTTATGAACAGAAAGACAGTGTCCGATCGAGATGACGTGACGACAACTGCCGTGCTTCTGGAGGACGCCTGCAAGTATCTGCAGACAGTGTTTGCAGAACACATGCAGACCGTCGTCGATCGGAATCTGGAAGTTGCCGAGAGAGGAGGAATCCCTGGCACTCGAGGACTCGTGAACGCCTACCTGAAAGTGGGAACCGAGGATCCGTTTCAGCCAGAAGATGACAGCATCGATGGAATGCCCACTTGGCAAGTGACGTACCATTGTGTTCGTGCCGGAGACATGGCTGCTGCTGCCGAAACACTCAACAGACTGAAGTCGTTCCCACAGTGCGCCACACTCGTCGCCTCTCTCAACCACGTGGCAAAGCATAAAAAGTGGGACTTTATAAGAAAATGAAAAAGAATACGAAGTTCTTTTCAGATTAGACGCGGATCTGAAGAAAAAATTGAAAGTAGAGTGGAGACACAATGTCGGGCACACGAGAGATAAGTACAAACGGGCCCTCTACGCCGCCCTTCTCGGCGGTCTCGAATCGGCCGCACTCGCTGACACTCTTGAGAACTGGATCTGGTTCAAACTGCATCCCCTGCACGTCGATCCGCATCTGACTCCTCTTCTGTTTCAAGAAGTACAGAAGGCCGTTTCCATCGATTACGGTACGACTTGACCCGTCAGATAGAGTAGTAATCGTGAATTCCAGGAGAGCAGTATTTCATGTCGAACGGACCGTCAGAGTTCCAGTACTTCTTCACCGCCCTCTGGCTTTCCGGACAATTCGAAAGAGCCATTTATGTGAAGATTTTTTTGAGTCTACCTAATTAGACAACTGAATTGCAGCTTCTTCATGAATGTGGACAGCGAGTCGACAGTGTCCACGTGGCAGTTCTTGCTCACAGACTTGGCTACCTTCGGATGTCGCCCAAATCGACAGATGAGATGTGTAAGTCAACAATATCTATTCAGTGATGACAGAATGCTCATTCCAGTGGTTGTGGATTCGAACCAACCCACTAAATGTCATCTGAATCTGGCCCGTCTCATCGTCGCCTACACTAAAAGTTTCGAGCTCGTCGACGTTCCGCGATCTCTTGACTACTGGTTCTTGCTGAAAGGAGTTGTCACTCCGACCGGATCCGACGTGTTCGAAATGGCAGTTAGCAGATCTGTGTATCTGACGGGACAGGCTGATGCTATTCTCGGAAAACTGACCGCGGATGGAAGAAGAGAGAAAGGATTGATAGACGAGTAAGATAGAACAGTTTATGAAAGGAATTAGAGTAAACTGAAAGTGAGAGTGTTGCTAGAAACGGTCGACGGAAACTGGAAGCGCACTCGTTTCTGATTGCTGAAACAGGTGCATCGCTCGAGGAACGAGGCGGTCGCCGTGGCCGCCTGCGTCGAGTCGAATGTGATCTCCGAGTGTGCCACCGAGTCGACAAAAGTGCTTGTTTCTTCCGAATCCTCGCTGAATTCACAGTGAATCGGACATCGTTGTTTCTGACGGAGAACTGAACGGCCGGGCACTTGGCTGATGTGCGGCGGGGTGAAATGCACTTCGTTTCCGCATTCCGGACGGTTTTCAGACGGCTCTATGTTCCCTTCAGACTGAAATTAGAAAAAATATGGTTTTAATCAAACACTGCCTGACGTTTGTCTTTTTCGGTGTTTTCCGTGTGCAAAAGCTGACCAAACTGGCCACGATGATAACATTTATGAGAAAGGTTGTGAACAATTTGTTTATAGTAGCCAGGAGTATGTCTGAAAAGAAAAAGCTCATCCACCCGACTCCATCAGAAATACTAACACTCGTGGAACATTTCGGAGAAGGAAATGACAAGAGATACACGTCGAATTATGTTCGTTTTCAGATATTTGGATGATCCGTCCGAGGTTATTTGCCGCGTGGCCACTGACACCGAACTAACCGGAGAATGGGAGCACGCCGTCAAGCTGTACCTGCTGGCCTCGAAACCGACGAATGCGGCCAAACTGCTTGCGTCGGAAATCAGCGAGACTCTTCGGGCGGACAACAAGGAAAAGATCGCGGACTTGGTGAACGTCGCCGAGCAGTTCAAGAGAGTCCAGAGAGGATGTTCGTCCGCCGAGTACGCGGAGCTCTCTCTTCTCGTCGATCTCGCTGTTCTCTTCGATCACTGTCGAAACGAGAATGCAGAAACCGCCTTTGGGTTCGTGAATTCACCCGCATCAAATATAATTTGCTTTCAGAATTTCCACCCAGCTGCGTCTGATTCCTTCTGAGCCCGATCAAGTGACGGTGATCGTCAACGAGTTTCACATGGTCCCGCAGAAAGTCCGTGAGGTTCTTCCGGATGCGTGCTTGCTCCTGATGAAGTGCCTCGTCGATCACTGCATTCGCCAGTCGACAACTCAATCGGATCAACGTGGAAGCAACACCTCAGCCGGCTCCACGTCCATCTTTTCCCCGTCGAATAGATATGTGAAACAGGTAAGAATTGAATTCATTGGACTCGTTTACAACTGAAGGAACAGAATTCGGTGCTATATACAGATACAAGGGTAGATCTTCTAGTCGTGCTTCTTTCCACTTTCTCTTCTGTTTTCCTCGATCACGGGTGCTTTCTCCGGCAAGTTGTCTGCCAGAAGTGACTGTCTCTCAGCCTCTGGTTCCTTAGATTCTGCAGATTCTGCAGAAATCTTATCCATCTCGATCTGGTTTGTTCGCGGAAGATGCATGCTCTTGTTGGCACACGAGAATCCGCACTGAAAAAGTACTTTGTTGGATGGGAGAGAGAAAAGAAACTCACCTTGACATGGTAAGCTTCATTTAATACGAATCCAAGGAAAACGAAGAAGCACGAAGCCCAGACAAGCAGTCCGAAGAGCGAGGGGTCGAAAAGAAAAATCACAGCCACATCCTTTATCATCGAGAATCCCTCGTACAGTACGGACTGGAATGTGAACACGGTGTAGCGCTGTTTTTCCGGAATTGTCTCCTGTTGAATTTGAGTGATAGCAGGATCGGCAATCCAAAGTCCGAAACGTGCGCCGGTGATTCCGATGAAGAAAATAAGCAAGGAGATGGAGGTGTCCATGAATGGAACTTGAGGCTCATTCTGGATTTCTGGTGTGACTACTTTGTCGTATGCTGTTCTCGCCCACTCCTTCAAACAAGAAAACAATTGCTTTACATAGGGTTCTCTTACGGCGAGTGTGTAGTTTTCGACGAAACCAGCGACGTTCAATGGGCTTCCCGGCAGCAGTACAGACACTCCGCACATTTGGATGAACACGTTTTGCCACTTAAAATTGAGCTTCATCAAACCTATTTAATGCTCCGACTTACAAGTAGTCCAAAAGCGATTGTCCACAAAAGCCCAACTCTTTTAGCGATGTGAGGAAAGGTCATTGCTCCGAAGACGCCGAGCAGGGAACCAGCTGCTCTCAAAATGGAAATGCTCAGGGCAGACATTCCTTGACTTTGGCCGTATGAAGTGGCGAGCTACAATGCCGTTTTCACTCACTTTCCTTTTCCTCACTTTTTGTTATCACTTACATTATCAAATCCTAGCACAGTTAGGAACAGTAGAGACAAACCGAATCCGGCCAGAAAACTGGACTGTTCCCTATATATTTTCAACGAGGAATAAGAGACTTCCTGCATGGCGTGCAGCTCTCCAATAGCTTCTGAAATCATCGACATCGACGTCTCGTTTACACAGTGAAGATGAACTGACCCTCGTCCGTTTCTCTAGTCTGCAGTTCGGCCGTCGTGTCGTATAACTCTCGAAGAATGCTAGATTCGAAGATCCATGAGATGATGTTGTAGGAAACGACAATTGCGCATACGTACGTCCTAAAATGTCTCTTTGAAATTACTCGAATACAGTTCCCTTACCATGGAATGTGGTCGATGAGTGCTCCCGTGACGATTGGAAAGACTACGGAAGAAACTTGATCAAGGACAGTCATCATTGAGTTTATCTCTAAACTTCGTTGCTTTGGTTTAGTTCTCTTTAGTTGTGCTCACTCGACAGCTCGACTTCTTCGGCTCCCGCAATCACGATCACCCAGTCTTTTTGAAAAGAGATTCTCTGAATTTCGCTGGCTATTCGAGATATTGACGAAAAACCGGCGGCAACGACAAGAAGGAAATTGGAGTTCATGTCAGTCAGAAACATGTATCCGAAGACTGCTGCTGACAGAGCTATGGTCACGTTGTTCAGAAAGAGGGAATATTGTATGACTGAAATAGTTCAGTCAACTCTATGCAGCTTTTCCACTGCTCACTTTTGCTCCGATTGACTTTGTCGAGGCGCTTTCCAAAAAAGAAAAGGAATGTCAGTTTGGAGCCTGCGTCTATGAATTGATGTACGGCAACCCATGCCATTGCTCCGAGATGCGTCATGAAGAATCCGATGGCAAACATCCACATTCGATCACCCTGAAGTTCATTCTTGTACTGTAGTTTCGGTAATACGTGAGAATCTGGGCATTTTCCTAGTCGACGTCGCTTTATCAGTGTGATTCAGTGAATTATGGGAATTATGAGACGCCAAAAATCGTTATCAGACTTGATAGTTCAAAGTTCGGTTGATAGAGTGGGTGGATGAGAACTCACCAGTGTGGTCAGAAGAAATGCCACGTAGAGCTGATATTCCTTCCGCTTGGCCATTTCGTCGTGTCTGAAATCGTTTAGAGTTATTCTGAGCACGGCGGGCAGTTCAGTTGCGATGAACAAACAGACGGTCAAACATAAATATGTGCAAGGCATACAAGAGCCCGAAGCGAGAAAGTGTCACTTTCCGGAGAATGGCTCTGGAGTGATTTCTCTCGCACAATGATGGCGACAATCGCATTACGAGAGCATTTTAATACGATATGGGTACTGATAATCCCATCGTTTGGGTGGGGAAAAAAGTAGTAGGCGGAGTTGAAATGGGTAGAAATGAGAGAAGGCGAAATAGTGCCAAGTTAGGAGAGCACTGTCATACAACGAGCAGTATTGGCTGGCCATTTTAACTGTTCTGTGTCTACTAATGAGTCGTTTCGGCGGAGGAAAACCAACGATAGAGAACCGTTTTTTGAAAGCACACGATAAGAGAAATCGTTGAGAGACGAGGTTGGAAATGAAATATTGATAAGTTTGAGAAGGCATTGTGCACAATTGGACGAGTGGCCGACCGTTTTTTAGCGGTGGAGGCGGAGTCGAAAGTCTTGTGATGACGGACCGATTTAGTTATCAGTGGAAGGTTCGAGACGAGTAAGCAATCGAACTAACTATCCGGAAATTTCGTTGGTCAATGTACAAGGGAATACGTTTTTCGGTTTGAAATTGAGAGACGGCTCTTGCTCAGGGTTAGGGCGTTTCGAAATTATCTTTTTGACGAATGACTCAGAATCCAATTGCGACGGAATTACGAACAAAACCGATTCTCGAAGGGTTAGCTGTGATACGGTTATTGCATGAATTCTTAGTGAATATAGTGATATTTCCGGATCTTTTCCAAATTCAAGTTTTCCATTCTCACCGCTAAGAGAAATCGTCTACCATACGGAATCGTTTACATCATAATTCAATACTTCGCCGTCTCTCCGCATGTTTCGTGCAAAGGCCCAAACTTCAGCTGAAAACTCGTGGCCGTGGTAACAAAAAACACGGTGCACTCGCCCTTTGTCCTTTTACGAACGTCACTGAAACCGAATCCTACCCGAGCACGCCACTTTTGTCGCCTATCACAGAGATCTGGGACATTATTTTTACACCTGCCAAAGTACGTGAGGAACACGACTTTCAACGCGGTTTCATCGATTCGGTTATCAGGTCCTGTTAGCTGTCTCTCTTACTCTCTCCGTACCTCCAGTCGCTTATCAGTCGCCACAACTCAACGAGTTTGTGGTTCTTTTCGCCTCGATTCGTTCGACAAAAGCTAAAAATAATTGTTATTTTTCAGATCAAGGCGATTGTGCTGTACTCGGCAACTGTGCCCTACAAGTTCCCGACCCATGTGACCTCCCGGCTGCTCCAACTGCAGGCTTCTCTCGGAGTTTAAAATTTCGATTCCACACTACCGAATGTTTTGAATAATTTTTAATTTATGTTTTTCTATTGGCAATTGTTCGCAATTTTTCAATTAACGAACTATATTTTTATACATCGTCAAATGAAGTACCTTCTGTCCGATTCTCTCCCTTCCCATCCGCTCTCTCCCTATTTCTAACCGGTTTGAGCTCACCGTCTGCCGTCTATCTAACTCCCTCAGAGGTCCTATTTTTGTTTGCTAACAGTGTAAGCGCTGATAAACTGCGTGCTTCTTTTCGATAAAAAGTGTGCGTGTGCTGTGCGAGTGTGTTTGTAAGCAACGAGAGAGCCACGAGCACGAGTCGAACGAGGCCACAACACGTACGCGATTCCGAAAACAGTGGCCGGGAACGTGATTCCCGCCACTTTCCCGATGTGCGCGTGCCTATTGCTCGGCCGTATAAAAAGGCTCAGCGGAGAGAAAAAGTTACGGGTTTAACTCGTTTTAGAAGAAATGAAAAATAAGAAAACGTTGTTGAGAAATGGGTGAAGAAAGAATCGGAGGACGGCCGAATGCTCTTCTCTTTTTCGCCAGCAACTGTGTTCCCTTTGAAATGTTTATTTGCAACCTTTTTCTGATAAGTATTAAGAATACTCGGAAATTTGTTTGTTTACGGCTAGAGTTTCGTCTTCAGGAAGGCTTTAAAACATTTTCATTCGAAAAATCCGTTCTTGATCCTAGATTGATATTGAAACCCATCAATAAATCATCGCATTGTCGTAACTCTTCTCTTCTCTTTCCCTTTCACGCTTACTCGCCTTCGCATGGCGTGGTGGCCGGACTGTAGGAGACGCAGACGGGCGGCCGTTCTCCTCGTTTTCCTCCGCCAGCAGTCGTCGCCTTCCTTTTAGACTGTTTTTGTTGTACTCTCCATCCTAATTCGTTATATTCAGAGCCGCGTTCCTGTTTACTCTTTCTCTTCGTTTTTTTCTCTCACTCTCTTCTACTCTGACTTTTTTTGCATGTCCGTCTCTCATTGCAGATATCTACAGATGCTGCACGCGTCTCGCTCACTGGTCCGCACGTCGCTCGACCTGCACACGACTGTCCGTCACTCGTCCACGAAGCATGTGTTCGCTTGTGTTCTCGGCTCGGGAGTCGCCGGTAGTTCTGTCGCATACCATCTCACCAAAAGGAATATAAAGGATGTGCTGCTGCTCGACAGAGCTTCTGGTGAGTTTTTGACTAACTGAAGTTAACTGAAATTATGGAGAAACGGTGAAAGCTCTGAGCTCTGGCACTTTGATATCAGAAATTCACAACTTTTAGGTGGCGAATTCGGTGAAGTCGGTAATGTTAAAGCATGCATCTGTGTTGTGTTCCGTGCACTTCTACTTTAATTGTAGGCTCAATAGTCACTAGATTCGTCTTGCTTTTAGTTCTCAAGTCAAACTGTTTCTTCTGAATGTCCTATTTTCAGGAGTCGCCTCTCCCACAGGAACATCCTTCCACTCTCCCGGGCTCGTTTCAGCCAGTCATCCCGCTCACAGATACAAGCCAATCCTTGCTCACTCCATTGAGCTCTATTCAAAACTCGAAGCAGAGACTGGAGTGAAAATTGATTTCCAACAAACTGGAACGATCCGTTTGGCGACCAATGAAACCAGATTGGCCGAGTTCAGAAAGTATGTCTCAAGAGACTACTACAAGGTTTGTTTGTCTCGTGATCTTTCGATCTAGAGAGATAGAGAGAGAAGCATTTTTATTTCAGGAGGGAGATGTCTGCAAGACCACCTTGCTGACGCCCGACGAGGTGCGACAGTTGGCTCCTGCCGTCGACCACACCAAAGTGCTCGGAGCGCTGCACACCACGAACGACGGAACCATCTCTGCCCGTGCACTCACGCAGGCTCTCGTCGTCGGAGCCAAAAACGGAGGAGCGCAGGTTATTGATGGGGCGATTCCGAAAGAGATTCGATACGACAAAGAAAAGGGTCACTGGATTGTGGCACTCGAGAACGGAACCTTCGTTACCACCAGAAACCTGATCAATGCCGGAGGAATCTGGGCGAACGACATCGCGCGGCTCTCCGGACACAAGATGCCAGTCGTCGTTGTTGAGCATCAATACGCTGTGCTCACGGTGAGCATTTGTCCCTTCTTCCTTTTTCAATTGACTGTTTCAGCCTAACAAAACTCCCGCTTCCACGCCTTCCATCATAGACCACGACAGCACGTTCTACGTCCGAAAGAGCGGCGACGACTACCTGTTCGGAGGATTCGAGAGTCTCGAGAAGACTGTCATCCGTGAGGACTGGTACAATAAGGGAGTCCCGACCGAGGGATCCAAGAGCATTCAAGCCGACTTCTCCCGACTCGACGAAGCTTACAAGAGAGCCTGTGAACTGGTACCAGAACTCCAGGGAGCGAAAATTGACGCTCGTGCCGCTGTGTTCAGTATGACTCCAGATGGATACCCACTCGTGGGACCTTTTGATAAGAACTACTGGATGTCTACCGGATTCCTCGACGGTGTGAGCAGCGGGGGAGGAATAGGAAAGTACCTGGCCGACTGGATCGTCGATGGAGAGCCACCAGCAGAGCTGTTCGACACGGATGCCAGCAGATACGAGAGATGGGGCGACGACAGAAAGTTCGTGACGGACAAATCCCGCGAGACGTACTCGATGTACTACAATTGGTCGTACACCGACCGTCTTGCTGGCCGTCCGACCGACCGAATCAGTGGAATTTACGGAAGACTCAAGAGAGATGGCGCCTCTTTCTCGTTCAGAAACGGGTGGGAAGTGGCCAACTCATTCAACATGGGAGTTCAGAACGAGGAATATCTTCCGTCGTTGGTCCGAGAATACGAGATGGTGACCAACAAGTGCGGAGTCATCGATCTGTCGTGGAAGGGAAAGATCGAAGTGAAAGGAAAGGACGCCGAGAAACTGATGGACTACGCTATCGCCAGTCCGATTCCGGCACTCGGAAAGATCAGTTCCGGGGTGATGCTGACTCGTGGCGGAGGCATTCTCGGTCCCATGATGATCTTCCACCACGACCGTCAACGATCTGCGTTCATCCTTCTCACCGAGCCGGAGCGCGAGTCCAGAGACCTTTACTGGCTCCGCAGAGCTGCCGCCGAGAAGCATTTTGACGTGCAGGTATCGATTGTCTCCGAATATCTTGCTTCGTTGGCTCTTGTTGGACCGAACAGCAGAAAAGTTCTGTCTGCTTTGACCAAGTCGGACGTATCGGACGAAGGTTTCCCACAGAAGTCTACCCGAATGATCAGACTGGGTCCAGTCGGAGTCGTCTGTGCCCGATCATCCACTTCCACCGGACAACTCTCCTACGAGCTGTTCCACAATCGAGCCGAAACTGCGAAACTGTACAACGCGGTGATGTCTGCGGGTCGCGAGCACGGAATCATCAACTTCGGACAGGCGGCGCTCAACATGATGCGCCTCGAGCACGGTTATAGAATCTGGGGCAAGGAGCTGACATTGGACACGAATCCGTTCGAGTGTGGACTCGGAAGTCTAGTTGATTTCGACAAGAAAGAGTTCATCGGAAGAGATTCGGCTCTGGAATTGAGCAAGAAGGAGTTCAAGTAAGTGTACAATATGGTAAGAACTGTCACTAACGGCCGCAAGGAATTTCAGTCGTCGTCTCGCTCTGATCACATTCGACGCCGAGGAGGGAACCGTTTTGGACGACAAGTACGTGCCGAGTGGAAACGAAGTCATCAGAATAGACGGACAGGAAGCGGTCAGAAAGGGGCTGATGAAGTGACGGAATAAATCTGAAATTAATTGCAGAGAGTCGGACAGATCACTTCGGGAGCCTACAACGTCAGACTGCAGAAACCGATTGCGTTCGCGTGGATCGATGCCTCCGTCGGACCAAACGAGCGGGTAATCACGGACATTTAAGTTTTTCCGTTCATTATCCATTTCAGCTCGTCGTCGAGATCGGAGACAAACGTCTTCTGGCCACCAGTGTTGAGACGCCGACGATTCCTCCAATCCAATAATCCCATCGTCACCGGCTTTTCACCACTCCCATTCCATCCAATTTTTTCCAGTATTTTTCGGTTCTCAACACATTTGCAGTGGGATTTTCAGTAGATAGATATCGTTGTCGTTTAACCTCCTTCTTCTCTCTAGTTACTGCCTCATTCATTGTTTTTCTTGCTTCCCAATTTTCATTAATAAAACAACAGAAGAGTTGACCTGCTTTATTCGATATACTAGTTTCAATTCATATACAACCTAGTTTATTCTACAGAAAAGTGATTAGTAGAGGGGCATCGATTGTCCCGAAGTGTAGGAGCTAGCCTCCGAAGCGGTCGACGATCCGCTCGAAGTGTCTTCCGTGTCTGAAGATTCGTACGATATGGACTCATCCGAAGACTGGTTCAGCGGATTCTCGACCATGCCGACCTGCAAGAAGAATTCGTTAGAATGGAGGACATGGAAAGCTTACGTTGCGAGAGCGAAGTTTCCGAATGAGGAGTCGGAAGGGAAGAGTCACTGCGCGGATTCCCCTGGCCAACAAGGACCTTCCACTCACGTTGTTCTCGTTGCGGACCACCTCGACCGAGTCCGTGGTGGCCGAAGAATCGGAGCTGTCGTGGTCGCTCTCGCTCTCCGAATAGCCGGAATACGCGTCACGGACTGCATCTTCGACCGATCCGCACAGCTGATCGAGCTCTCTTCGGACCGTGGCTGCAACAGGGAACTGGATTGGACAATATAATTTCGGACTCACAGTAACTCATATTTTCTTTCAAGTCGTCGAACTTTTGCAACAAGTCCGCTTTGACGGTGATTATCAGTTGGCGATAGCTCTCGTCGATCATTTCTTCGATCTTCTGCACCCGCCGAGTGGCTCGAGATCTTCGCACGACGGGCGGCTCGGCCACAGCGGCGCCCATGAATCCGAACTTTCGCACCATTTCTGAATGTTTTTCTTTTTTATCCTTTGCATTTCAGTTTGTTAACTACCCATGACAAGATAGTTGGGGGCGAGGTCCGAAATGGCGCATTTCGTCTCGGAACGGCACGTCGGACACTCCAGATACGCCGAATTTCCGTAGTTTCGGACGCTTTTTATGCACTCGGTGCAGAATGTGTGACCGCAGTGCAGCATGCGAGCAGCCTTTGTAGTTTCGTTGTAATTCTACAAAATAAATTTATCGGGAGCCGCGGAGGGATTGGATACCATGTAGCACACTTGGCACAGACAGAGATTCTCGACGAACGAGGCGGAAATGTTTTTGTCTCCATCTGCGAAGTTGTCTATCGGCTTTGCATTATCTTAAAACGGTTTTTTTTTTGCATTTTGTGTCTTTGTGTTCGGATTTTCGTGTGAAAATCTCAGTCTCACCTTTGTTTTTTTGATCGAGAGGCATCATGTTAGTGAGCGACTGCAAAAATGTGCGGATATCGAGCGAATGATAAATAAAACGGACAACATTTTCAAAAATACAGTGGCGTAGAGCATTTGGCGGATTTTGTAGAGATCGAAAAGCTGAGAAAACTCTATTTGAATTGCCGCGAACAAAATGTTTGTCGATGGAGCGCGTTTGCATTCTCGCGCGCGTTTTCGATAATTTTCTCATCATCGCAAAATACGAAATTCACAATTGTTCATGCAATATCGATAAAAACACGCTCAATTTTTGTTTCAGATGGAGAGGAAAAAGCACAAACGTCTTACCGACAACATAATGAAACCAGAAGACCTGAAAAAATCAAGGGTTTGATTTTGTTGCAAATTTACGTTTCTCACCTTTTTACCGTTCAGATGCATGTTGGCGGTAACGTTTCGGGTCCATCCACTTCGGCATCTTCTTCCGGAGGAATCAAAGCGAAGCTGGACTTTCGATCCACAGCCCCGATAGCTGCCAAACAGAATCCTCATCAGAATGCGACAGGTGAATGGAAACGTCAGATCATGTGAAAGAAGAATAATTTCAGCCGGTCCTTCAGTTCAATCGAGCCACACGGTACGGCCCGTTTTAGACGAAAAATGGAAAGAATTCGGAGATACGATCAATCTGAACATCGACACATTCGCAAAGAGTATAAAAGAATCAGTGGAGTCGGATAAATTCAACAAAGTCGCAAGAATGATGGTCGCCGCGTTGAAAAGTTTTTCAAGCGGGGACATGTTAAAAGTAGAGTACAGATTGATGGGCACAATGGCCGAAACCATCAAAAACCACGGCACCAAACTTAATGTAAATTACATTGTTCTCTTCTCTTTTCTTTCATCACCCTGTTCTTTCAGCACGTTCCTCTTCATCGCGGTCTCCTTTTCGTTATCTCACATTCCCGCTCCTACCCGGAGAATATTCTTCAACTATTCATTTCGATGGTAACCAGCCTTGCGAAACAACAGCCGATGCTCGACAAATGCTACGTGGAAGCCTATCTCCACGATGCGGTCGGAATGAACGTCGGATTAGGAACTGCAAATCGGTGTGCTTGGATTGATAAGCCGTTCTCGGAGGCCCTCGTCAAACTGATTCTGGGTCCATTCGCCACTATCTACCCCGACCCGGAAATGTATGCGACGTGCCAAATCGAGAATTTTTCGATATCAGAATACCTTCCGAAAGAGAGACTGGGTCATCGAGTGCGCGAAGAGCAGCTCTCTGTGTTCCTGGAGTTCTTGAAGCCGTGGTTCGATACGATTCGAGGGGAACTGCTGCCGAGGACGTTGTTCCGAGCACTCTGTCTTCTGTGCGGGTACGATCAAGTCCGCCTATTCATCGCCGGTCGTCTCGAAGTGTGGATCACCCTTCAGAAATTCCATCGCGAAATCAGTGAACTTCTTCTTGTTCTTGGCTGTAACATCGATGCGAAAAGAGCTCACGACGAAGAGGTCATCGATATTCTGCTAAAATTGAACTCAAAAAACATGAAGACTAGAACTGTGGCGGGTCCGTACACAGCGGCGATCAAAAAAATCAGCGAAAAGTTAGAGAATACGCATTGCGTGTTCCAAACACTCATTCAGAACGAAACGGGTCCTCCACAAAACAGGTCACCGACAAATCTTCCCACGATGATAATGCTGCTCTCGTGCCAACCGATAGAAACGGCGAAAGCGATGGCTCTTGTTTGTGCGAGAGAACTGATTCGAGAAGGAGAGAACAGCGCGATGATGCTCAGACAGTTCATGTCTTCGTTCGTCATCAATGCCTACAGAATCTCAAGAGCAGAATTCCCGTTCTCCGTTTTCACCGCCACGTTTCTGGACGTCATTCTGGAAGAGGGAGAAGCGGTAGGGAATCCGAGTGTGATCTCAACTCTTTCATTTCTCATTCAGGCCGAGATCTGTCGCCTAGCCGTCGACATCGTCGTCCAAGTGCCTCTAGCCACACTGGCCGCCCTGCTTTCAACTCGAGAAAGTGCGTTCGCCGCCAAGTACAGCAATCTAATAGCGTCTGGCAGTGTCGCAATGATTCCTCCGGAAGCCCGACTTGCTCGAGAGACCTTCCAGTCAGAATTCGTTCTCTACTGTGAAGCGGTAATCGAATGGCTCATAAAAGCTCGCTCACTGTTTGCTGAGGAAAACGACTACATCCGATGCTTTTCGCTTCTTCTATTTCTCGAAAAGAAAAGGGAATTGTACACTTCAATTGAAGGCGCTGCCGTCTCAGACACAGAGATCGTCACGTACATACACATGTTTGGAGAGTGCGGAATATCTGAAAAAATGTTTCTTCTGGTGCGTATGAAGAAGTCGTCCGAAAAAAGTAATTTGTTTCAGTTGTTCGAAGAGAAAAGCGGCGCGTTGTCCCCGAGAATTATCATCGAATTAGCATCAGCTTTAACTCAACGAGCTGCTCTCTATCATTCGAACTTTCAAGAAGCCCCTCTGGTCAAGCTGACGGATCCGTTCGCATTGATCGACGGTCTCCTCTCCAGAACCGTCCTTCCTGAGAGCGAGTTGCCCCGATTCGAGGATTTACCTCTTTTGTGCTCTCGGGAACTATTCTGGATTGCGTGGAACTGCATCATTCTCTGGATCGCTGGCGGTGAGATAGTTCCATGCTTCGAGAAGATCTACGTCTCGTACCCGATTCTCCGATACATCATTTTCTGTATAATGACGGAACGATTCGATTTCCCCCTTACGTTTGAAGGGAAGACCGCCGATGAGATGCAAGAGCAGGAGGAAGCAGTGGCGGCTACGGAGGAAAAGGTCTTCGAAATTTACGAGAAAAAGTTGATGCGACCGCTCAACTCGCTCTCTGCCTACGCAAGCATTTTCCCAGACAAGTACATACAATAGCTTCGCTGCATAAAACAACCAAATACATTTTCAGAAAGACGTTCCGCGCTCCATTGTTGCTGGACGATATCCAAGTGTTCGCAGACCGATTCAAACTGGCGTCCCGGTTCTCTCGATGCACTTCCCCTCCGCTCCTCTCGCAACTCGTCTCGAGCATTGGCGCACAAAGCTCGCTGTTCGCAGTGCGAGAGATGCTCAAGGCGGACCCGTCGACAGCGTCGATGCTGACCGCCGAATGCACTTTCCATGCGCTCATGTACTATTTCGACAGTCAGAGAATGCGAGATATCGATCAACCGGCAAATCTTGCAATTCGGGCGGTGAGAAGTCCCCATTTCTTCTTTCCATTTCCCTTCTTTCAGCTCATTCGGCAAGCAGAGTCGAACTTCAAGTCGGTAGAACCAGTAGAACAAGACTTCCTCCTGCAGTCCTTCATCCACTCGCTCGCTTCCCCGAACATATCCATCCGTGCTGCTGTCGTTAACGCATTCGCGAAACTGTTTCCGTCGTCCGAAGACAAACCGTTCGATCTGTTCAAACTGTCAAAAGTGCCACGTTTCGAAAGCGGAAAGTTGAAGTATCTGGAGACGCTGGCCAGTGCTCTTCTCGTGGAGCCGGACATTGCTCTCGCCAACTCATATCTTCAATTTTTGACTCAGAACAGCAGTGACAAGGAGCACATACATACTGTTCGTTTCGTTATTTTTAATTTCCCACCCTTCACACGGGCCGGCAAAACCTACGGGGGACAGAAAACTGCGAAGCTGTAACCTCCCACAGAAACCTTAAATTTATCTCTAGCCTGGCTCATTTTGAAGAACACAAGACAATTGAACTTTTATCACAAAAGCAGAGGGCTCTATGTTTGATTTCTGGAGATAAATTGAAAGAACCGTTAGTCGCATGTGTGAAAAGCTGGGCCGTGGCCTCAGGCATACATTCGATTTCAGCTCGCCCGCGCCGTTTGCGACACTCTTTCCGTCGATTGTCATCCGCTTCATAACTCTCTTTGCGAATACTTCAATCAATACGTCGATATGTGCGTCGAAAATCATCAAGTGCAGGATGCGAAGTCGCTCAATGAAATGCTGTGCTGTTTCGAATTCGGTCCGTATCGAGTGGCCATCAGTCGCGAAGTTCCGAAAGCCGTAATTAAATTACTGTCGAAATACGCGACAAATGGTACAAATGACACCTCGTTCGAATCTCTTGTTGAAGTAAGTTTCTCATAAAATTATAAATCCTCATATTTTCTTCAGCTCTGGCTTTCTCCTGGCTCCATTCCGAAAATTGTGGACCCGGAAACAGGACTAGGCACACAGTTTTTGAGTCTTCCGATGAGGAAGGAAATGCTGAAATCGGCGGAACAGCGAGTTGTAGATGCTGCACTCGACGAACTGTCCGAGAAAGACGCCCAGGAATTTGTGCTAGTCTCGCAGATGTCCATGGAGACAGCAGAGAAGGTCATCCGAAAGGCGGAAGACGTAAGACGGAGAGAGTTTGTCCGAAAAGTAACGAAGCTAATTCTAGATGAAAGTGGAGGACATCTGCAGAAGCGAGCTATCCAGCATGTATTTGCTCGTTCGTGGTTACCGTATTAAAGGAATAAAAGCAGGAGCACAGCTGGAGACACGTTTGAAAGCGCAACTTGATCGACAGGATATGTTCGTAGAGAAAGAAGAGCCGATGGAAGTAATGGAAGAGGGCGAGCATGTCCAGGCGCCGTTGCCGTTCTTGGACAAAGAAGACGGGGAAAGGACGCTCACAGACATGGACACTTTGACAATACCGACTACCGATATAACTGCATGGCTCAAAGTAAACTGCGCAGTTTCCACGGTGAGTATTCGGAAGCAAATGACACAAAAATCGATTCCAATTGCAGCCAACGAAGCAGAGGGAACCGCCCGCATTCCGTCTTCCGACAGCATTCATACAGTCGGCGATGACGGACGAAAAGTCGGCACTCGCGTGTCTTCAACACATCGAAGCCAACCTCAAGTTCTTTCTGTTTCACGAAAACGCATTTCAAACTCTCATAGTGACTGTTGATGCCGCCGCGAACAAGGTATACGTTTTCCCCATCATTTGTTCCAAAACTTTGGTTTTTTTCAGTTCGAATTTGTTAAAAAAAGACTCGAGAACTTGGCAGTTCGTCTTCTCAAAAGCGTTTCTCCGCCAGCATCGGTTGCGGGAGTCCTTCAGAAACATGCGAGCAACAGTCGAGGAGTGCATCAGAGAACGCCAATGGCACCGGTCAAAACATCCACTTTTGCTGAGTTCGCAGTAGCTGTGAAAGGAGTCAGTATTGACCAAGAGAAGCAGATTGTCGATGAATTCATGGCCAACTTTGTGGAGGACAAAGGAGAAGTGATAGAATCAGATGACGTGCTCGCTTTCGTCCGTTCTATCCGGTCTGTCTATTCGGGTGCAAATGCGGAAGTGACTGCCGAAAAGTGTCTGTCAAATCGATGGTCTGCCCATCTCCAGAGAATCGTTTGCTCCGCGCTTCTCGACGATTTCCGCGACACTGCCTGCTCCGTTTTCGTCTTCCGGATAGTCGCTTCTTACGTCAGGAAGTATCCGCTTGCATCTTACAGCGAGTTATTCCTCGTCAGAGACAAATCGGACCGATTCGTGATCAACAAGAAAGTATTCCAGACTCTCGTCATATTTTTCTCCGATTTGGTAAACAAAAAAACTTGAATTGTTCCCATTACTTTAATCTTTCAGGCAACTAAAAACGACGAGTACGAAGCCCGCGCTATAAATCTGATGGTTGTCATTGTGAGTTGCATTCCTCCTCTTGTAACTGAACTCCACATTTCAGGAGAAGCAAGGAAGTACGCAGGCAGGCTTCCAGTTCGGAAGAGCCCTTCTTCAGACGTCGTGTGCCAGCCCGAAATCTTCCTACAGAAATGTGGCAAAGAAACTTCTCGCAGCAGTAGCGACCAGATTGGCATGTATGTGCTCGTTTTCATATTCGGAACACTTTTATTCCATTTCCAGATCTTTCCTACACAAATGGAATCGCTTCGAGTATGCGTGTGCTGACGAACGTCGAAACTCGCGATTCGTGCATTCGGAGGTGTGAGCAGATCATTGATAGGATCGTCGAACTTCCGATGGATCCGAAGCTGGCCCTTTCGGAAGACATATGCGAAGAAGAGCGAGTGACGAAAGAAACGAAGGAAGCGAAGGAAGACAGCTCGAAAGTGGTCAGACCAGGATCGAAAAGACCGGCGGAAAGAGGAGGACGAGGAGGTCCACCCGCCAAAAGTGGAAGGTTCATAACACCGAACGAGCTTCCGAACCCAATGGGCGCTGGTGGAGCTGCGGCTGGGGCCGGAGCAGCTGGCAGTTCTGGCGGAGGTTCACAGCCGGTTCCGAACGAAGAAGCGCCCTCGGAAGAGAATCCACAGAAGCGAGAATGGATAGCCACGTCACACGCGATGAGTCGCTTCGTTTCGTTGCTCAGAGAGCATCCAAATGTCGTTAAAATGAAGTTCCCAGTTCTTGCACACTTCATCTCACGATTGGCAGCTATGAACAACAAAGAACTGAGAGTAAGTGATAAGTTAAACACAGAACAGTCATGTTCATTCTGTTTCAGGAAGATAATCGTCTACGCAAATTCGAGATGATCGTACAGGCGGTTATAATTCTCTGTCCGACGATGGACTCGGAAGAAATATGCTCCGTCGACACAGCGCTCACGAATTCGCTCGAATTCTACGAAAAGCACATAGACGGCGGAGTTTTCGGAATCAAAACACAGACTGCGTACGCCGAGCTGATTATCCGGGCTTGTGCTTCCTATCTCAATCGCAGTTTTGTGGAGGTAACTATTACCTCGTCGTTGCCTTCTGATTTGCTGTCCATTTCAGGCGCGCACATTCCTCCGCGACAACCGTCCGTCCGTCGAGCGCGTCTGCAAGCGCTGCATCGACATGTACAACGCGGACCTGGTCCTAGACAATTGCGAATCCGCGACGGCTGTCGTCGCCGTTTAAATAACCCCCGTTCACTTGGTGTATTTCATTGTCATTAGCCGCCTCATAGACAGTCCCGGTTGATCACTTTTCACCCGGATTTCCATTTTTCCCAGCGTTGTAAACCAATAACGGGTCCGTTTCTCGCTGATAACATTTCAATTAATTATTTATATTTATATTCAAATTTTATGATTTGCCAATGAATTTAATTTGATGCCTGTTCGTTCCAGTCGCGATCGTTGAGTTTCCATTACTCTCTCCTATCTTATATTCTTTTTTTATGTAAAATAATATCGATGTCAATGAGTAATCGGTATAGATTTTGGGATTTTTTTGAATGAGCCCTGCCACATGCACTTTCCCGCCCAATCGTGGGCAGAGAAATCAATGCATGCGGCACGGTCCATTCATTCACTGACTTTGCACGACGAATGTGAATGAGAATAGAAACACGGAAACAAGCAAACCCAGAATGGGAAGGAAAACCGTTCTGGTGAAATCTCTGAAATTCTTGTTCCGATTCTATTATCGATTCTTCCCTATTCTCACCTCATTTTCGCCCACTGCACCGCATCGTATTCTCCGGACAGTTCGCGAGTGAATATTTGCACGCCGTTGTTCCTCATTCTCAAAATGATCGCATTCACTAGTCGATTCTAATCTTTGTCTTCATCGAGATTCTGCACTTCTTCTGACCAAAATATGTTATGAATTGCAAAAAATTGAATGTGTTTCGATGCTGTATCTTGTTTTGATCTCGTCTCTCTTCCGTATCCAATTTCTTATGATTCCAGCGTACGAACACCCGCAAACTCGATAAAAATGGGTGACGACTACATGGACGACGATGAAGACTATGGATTCGTAAGTTTTGGAAAAGATCTAAAAAAAAAATGATATTGATATTGTCGTTTCTTCCAGGAGTACGAAGATGACAGCGGCTCGGAGCCCGACGTTGACATGGAGAACCAGTACTATACTGCGAAAGGATTCCGATCTGACGGAAAGTTGGATGAAGCCATCAAGGCATTCGAGAAAGTTCTTGAGTTGGAGGCAGAGAAGGGTGAATGGGGTTTCAAGGCTCTGAAGCAGATGATCAAGATCACGTTCGGGCAGAATCGTCTCCAGAAGATGCTCGAGTACTACAGTGAACTGCTCACCTACATAAAATCTGCAGGTCAGTCAGAAACCCCGATTCAATACATCAACAAAACGTTTTAGTGACAAAGAACTACTCGGAAAAGTCGATAAACGCGATCCTCGATTACATTTCGACTTCCCGCCAAATGGATCTGCTGCAACACTTCTACGAGACCACTCTCGATGCGTTGAAAGACGCGAAAAACGAGAGACTGTGGTTCAAGACGAACACGAAACTCGGAAAGCTGTTCTTCGATCTCGGCGAGTTCGGAAAGCTCGAACGGATAGTGAAACAGCTGAAGGTGTCGTGCAAGAACGAGATGGGAGAGGAAGATCAGCGGAAAGGAACTCAGCTGCTCGAGATCTACGCGCTCGAAATTCAAATGTACACGGAACAGAAGAACAACAAGGCGCTCAAGTCGGTGTACGAATTGGCCACACAGGCGATTCACACCAAATCGGCCATCCCGCATCCGCTCATTCTCGGAGTTATCAGAGGTTTGTGAATAATGGGGGAAATGAAACAAATCCAATAGGGAAATCTTTATTACGATGAAATCAGAGTGCTTTTCATCCGATGATCGACTTGTCTCTCAAGCAATGACCATCATGATCGCTGAAAGTGTTCTCTTTCGGAAACCGCGCATTCGGTTCACTCACTCGCCACACACGCCATGATAATCGAGAGAACAGTCAGTAGGGAGCACACAATGAACATGACCTTGAAGGCCGGATGTCCTCGCTTTCTGAACTATCATTCGAAGGGAATCTCTGTGGCAAACTCACTTGAAATGGGCGGTCTTCTTCTTCTTTTTGCCTTCTTTGCCGCCGGCAGCCGAGCGCCTCACGCTGCTATCGTCTTGCTCTCGAAACGACATTTTTTCGGACACCGCGTACATCAAATTGCAAACTGAATGTGAGCGGAGTTGCGATCAATGAATACGAATGCGAGAGAGACGTGGGAATAGGCGTAATGTCACGCAAGATGTCACGATTCACTTTACGATGTTTGAGTAATTCACAGAAATTGTTTACAGAATGTGGAGGCAAAATGCACTTGCGGGAGGGTCGGTTCCTCGATGCGCACACCGATTTCTTCGAGGCCTTCAAGAATTACGACGAGAGTGGATCGCCACGCCGTACGACTTGCCTCAAGTACCTTGTGCTCGCCAACATGCTCATAAAATCGGATATCAATCCGTTCGACAGTCAGGAAGCGAAACCGTTCAAGAACGAGCCGGAGATTGTGGCGATGACGCAGATGGTGCAGGCGTATCAGGAGAATGACATAAACGCATTCGAACAGATAATGGCTGCTCACAAGTAGGCTCCTCATCGTTCCTTATTCTGCACTGAGTTGTATTCCTTTCAGGGACAGCATCATGGGCGATCCGTTCATTCGAGAGCACACGACGGAACTAATGAACAACATCCGTACTCAAGTTCTTCTCCGTCTTATCCGTCCTTACACCAACGTCCGAATCAGTTATCTGGCTCAAAAGTTGAAGGTTTCCGAGTGTGAAGTGGTCCATCTTCTGGTCGATTCCATCTTGGACGACGGACTCGAGGCGAAGATCAACGAGGAGTCGGGAATGATCGAGATGCCGAAGAACAAGAAGAAGATGGCCGTCTCTTCCCTGGTCGTGCCGAATGCCGGAGATCAGATAGATCCGGTCAGTCCAGCACAAACCCTTTTGCAGTTTTCTAATTCAATTGAATTCAGAAGGGAGACGCGAAAGCGGGCTCTTCCTCCGATCTGTCAGCTTCAGCTGCGACCGCTTCGGCCACCTTGTCCGCCCCTCAGCCCGCATCCTGCCAACAAGAACTCTCTTTGGAAGCACTCCGCATCTGGGCAGACCGTATCGACTCGATCCAATCGATAATCGGAAACAGACAAAGAATATAAATTATTTTAGTATCTCTATCGATTCTTATCCTCTGGGACGTATTCTGAATAAAAGCTAACGTTCTCAATCATTTTCACTTTGTATTGTTTCAACAGTTCTTGGCTGTCAGTTATATTTTTCTGCTGTTTCGTTTTCTCTCTTATTCCACATTTGTTCTTTTAGATGGCGAAAGATCCGAATGATTTGAAAAGCGAGCTGGAGGGGTGGATTCGCAAAAAGAACGAGATCGTCTCATCATTGAGTGCCCTCGAGCACCAGATATACAACTTCGAAGGATCCTATCTGGAAGACACTGCTGAGTACGGAAACGTCATAAAAGGATGGGGAAACTTTTCAAATGCGCCGCCGCCGTCGAAGACGAATCGAATTGAGAAGAAGCTGAACAAACGAGGCGTCCGGGACGAGGACCGGCTGTTTTCGAAAAGTTCGACGACGTCACCGTACGGAAAGCAGCCGACGAACAACGGGAACGGAAGCGGGGAGTCGTCGTCTGGCCATGACAACGGATACGCGAAGGACGAGTCAGACAACAACGAAGAGGATGACGCGGTAGGGCAGCTGACACGTGACTCGGTTCGGCCCCTTCCCCCTCCCACTTTCTCGGTTACCGTTAGATTATCGATCTTTCTTGCAGGCATCCATCTCGAGTCGCGACTCAAAGCCGCCGGCCAAACGACGAAAGTATTGAATTGACATTCCGATTCCCTTCCACACAAATCTCTTCTCATGTATAATAACCTCGTCTTCTGTTCCATGTTTTCGTTTCCCGAACTCGCTTCACCGTTTCATTTATCCAACCAACAATAAACATCACCTCACTTTTCGATTATATTTCGTAATTTCTCGGTCCCTTCGCCGTGTTTATACATGTGTTTATGTGTGTTGTATCGTCACTCACCCAAATCGGTTTCTCAGGAATGATTCCAGGAATGCGCGCCTCTCCGACAGAGGCGTTCAGCTTCGTTTATAGCTGTGACCTGCAGACGAACGTCCAAGTGAAGGTCGCTGAGTTCGAAGGAATCTTCCGTGACATCGTCAATCCTGTACGAAGGCTCAGCCAATTATTCACAGAGCTCACAGTGAGTCCCACTCAATTTGAATACCAGCGAACAGATATTCCCTTTCAGGTGTATTGCAATAATCAGCAAATCGGCTATCCCGTATGCACGTCGTTTCACACTCCTCCCGATCCGAGCCAATTGGCACGCCAGAAACTGATTCAGAAATGGAATGAATGGCTGACTCTTCCGATTCGCTACGCGGATCTCAGTCGAGACGCCTTCCTGCACATTACAATCTGGGAGCACGAAGACGAGCCGGGAGCGGTCAAGAACCAGACGTCCACGGCCACGTTCCCACGAAGACTCGTCGCCCAGTCCCGTCTTTCTTTGTTCAGCAAACGTGGAATCCTCAAATCGGGCGTCGTCGATGTGCAAATGAACGTGGCGAGCGTGCCAGACCCGTACAAGAAACAGCCAGAGACTTGGAAGTTTTCCGATTCGTGGGGAGAAGACATCGACTTGTTGCTGAAGCAGGTCACTCGTCAATCGAGAGGACTTGTAGAAGACGTCCCTTGGCTGGACCCCTTCACTTCCCGCCGCATCGAACACATTCGTGCCAAATACAAGCACTCTTCGCCCGATCGCCACGTGTTTCTGGTCCTTGAAATGGCGGCCATCCGACTTGGTCCCACGTTCTACAAGGTCGTGTATTACGAGGACGAAAGCAAGAATGTAAGGCAGTTTGACAAGGAAAAAATATAGAAAAAGGGTTTCAGATGAGGGTAAGCACTTCAGTTGGAGGCGGAGTCGGGATTGTGACGGCATGCACTCGCTATTGCGTCGCTGACCCGGAGCTCCTTCTGGACTCTCTGGCAGAGGTGAAACACAGTGCGATGACGAGAAGAATCCGAGACATCGGGGATGAAAGACACAGACAAGTAAAACCGAACAAACAGGCCAAGGATCGTCTCGAGGCCATCGTGAACTTGCCGTCTTCTCAAGTGCTAACTCGCGAGCAAAGGGATCTTGTCTGGAAGTTCAGACACTATCTTCGACAGTTCCCGAAAGCACTGAACAAGTATCTGCGATCCGTGAATTGGGCCCAGCCGCAGGAAGTGAAATTGGCGCTAGCTCTGATGAACGACTGGGAGCTGATCGAAGCGGAAGACGCTCTCGAGTTGCTCTCCTCCGCTTTCACTCATCCAGCCGTCCGCGCCTATTCCGTGAGCCGTCTTCTAGAGGCGGCCAGTCCAGATCAAGTTCTTTTGTATCTGCCACAACTTGTGCAAGCGTTGAAGTACGAGCAGACTCAGGCGAACGACGCTTCATTCGTCGCTCACCAGGTTGACGATGACTGCGCGAATATGGAAGAAGAAAGAGGGAGTTCCCCGGAGAGTTTGGGCAAAACGCCCACGCGTGCAGCCACTGGAACCTCCTCGCCAGCAGCTGACGACTGTGAAGGGAGAGACATCCTGGTGGTGACGAAGAAAGAAGCGAGAAAAGCGAGTGGAGATCTCGCAACATTCTTGATTGAGTAAGTTTTTTTCTGAGTCACCAAGATCCCAAAATTCCTCTTTTCAGTTATGCCATTGCTTCCCCGCGTGTCTCCAATTATCTGTTCTGGCATCTTAAAACTGAGATTGAATTGACAAAGAAAACGGATGAGCACTTGTCGAGAATGTATCAGAATATTCAAGACAGACTGATGGAAGCTCTGGTGAAACGGCACGATACGAAGGCGCAGGTGGACTCGTTGCACCAGCAGGTAGTGTTCGTGGAAGATCTGAAAGTGCTGATGAGCGAGGCGAAACTACGCGGAGGTCGGCTGAACGAGACAAAGTCGGCAGAACTGAGAACGATGCTCTCGAGGGCCAAGCACATGCTCGATTTGAAGGGGGTCAATCTCCCGTTAGATCCTTCCTACAAACTCTTCTCGGCCATTCCGGACACTGCCAGTTTCTTCAAATCTGAGATGATGCCGGCGAAGATTTCGTTCAAAGTACAGTTGTCGCAATCGGCGTCGGCAAAAGTCGACAAGAATTTCCTCGACGAGTACACGGTGATCTTTAAAACAGGCGACGATCTCCGACAGGATCAATTGGTCCAGCAAATGGTTCGACTCATCGATATCATTCTAAAAAAAGAACAACTGGACCTGAAGCTGACTCCTTATTTGGTGTTGGCGACAGGAGTGGGTGAAGGATTCGTGCAGTGCATCAAATCCAAACCTCTCCGCGGAATCCAGGAACAGTACAAGGCGCACAAGTTGGACTGTATTCGTGAAGCGATGAAGGAGCTTCGTCCGGGCGACGGACCATTCGGAATCGAAGCGAATGTGGTCGACAACTATGTTCGATCGCTCGCCGGATATTCCGTGATTATGTACATACTCGGACTCGGTGACCGCCATCTCGACAACCTTCTGCTTTGTGAAAACGGCAAACTGTTCCACGTCGACTTTGGATTCATTCTCGGACGAGATCCGAAACCAATGCCACCGCCGATGAAGCTGACGAGTGAAATGGTGCAGGCGATGGGCGGAATCAAGAGCAAGCAGTTTATGGAGTTCGTGCAACACGTCGACTCTGCCTACCGTATCCTCCGACGTCATTCGAATGTCCTTCTGAACCTGTTCAATCTGATGCTCGACGCCGGCATTCCGGACATCGCTTCAGAGCCGGATAAGGCCATTTACAAGGTACCAACAGTCATCCTAATAAAAACTCATTTTGCTTCTCTTCAGATCGAGCAACGTCTTCGCCTGGACCTCTCCGATGAGGCAGCCACGAAGCACATCTTCACCATCGTCGAATCAAGTATCAATGCTAAGATGGCTCTAATATCTGACCTGATTCATTCTTATAAGCACAATTACTTGTAACTGTAATTATATAAATATATTGTGATGCCGACTCTGACTAAAATTTGCACCTTCTATCGTAATTTCTTCTTACAGTATTACTGTTTCCAAACAGCGATATTTGAATTGCCGCCTTTCTTTGCATTCACTAAACAACGAGGGGTGCGTCCAAACGGAATCTCGTTTGCTGTCGATTTTTCCCAATATTTTGACAGAAAACTAGGCTCTTCAATCATTTGTGTGCTTTATGTATTAGTTGGTTTTATCCGTATTTTCAACAGATATCGTTTACAATCATTTTCATAAAATTTTTATTTTTTTATGAAATTATCATTTTCAGCTCACCAGAATGAAGCACAAACAAAGGGAAGCTTTCGAGAACGATCTGGATCTCATGGAGGTACAATTGATCTGATAAATATAAGAAAAACCTAGCGTTCAGGAACAAGATGCTATTTTCGAGGAATGGGCCGCAGGAAGCTGTACAGACATGGAAAAAGTGAGAGAAAAACAATGATTCTGAGAATAGTTAGGGCATTGCAGAACGACGAGGTGCTAGGCCTCGAAAAAGTCATCGACCTGCCCTTCCGCAAAAAGTGAGTCTATTATGTAGATCGATGGTATCAAACAGTGTATTCCATTTCAGAAGAGGAAACAACAAACCAACAACTTTTGCCACGTGTGAGGTCTGCGGAATCCATTTGAAGCATCCATCACGGATCAAAGTATCATTCAGACTCTGAGATTCTCAAGAATCAATTTAATTCAGGAGCACATGCGAACTCACACTGGAGAGAAGCCGTTCGAGTGTGATATTTGCGGATTGCGATTCAGTCAGAAGACTCCGATGGTTAACCATTACCGTGTGCAACACATGAGAGATCTTCCATTCCAGTGCAGTTTCGGATGCGGAAAGAAATTTGTGAATAACTCGCGAAAGAATGCTCACGAGTTGAGACACATTGGATTGGTAAGCTTTAATGTTAGAAGACAAGAATACAATTTTATGTTTCCAGAAACGAACTGGTCCGCCGAGACCGCACCTCAAACCTGTGAAGAAAATAGTGTGCCGTCAGTTAGAAATGGACTCATCACGCACTATCCGCGGCCTGTCCGTTTCTGCCACCGCCAACTTCATCCGTCCGCCGTCTCTGTTAGTTATTCGAACATTTTCTTCAATGCATCAGTTTATTTTGCAGAGCAAATGGTTTTCAAGAACATCCTGGCCCGTCAGGTTCTTCTGCTTCGCCACCGCCTCCGCCATTCTTCCCTGAAGATATGGATTCAGGACAGAGAATCGACGATGTCATTTCTTCCGTTCTTGCTAGAGTTCTGGCTCCGCCGCCCGAAGAAGTTCCTGCAGAGAAGGTGGACGATGAGTCGTCGAAACGGCAGTACTTGTCAACCCGCACACCCACAGTTGCGCAATGCAACATTTGTGGTCTCATGCTCAAACATCCGAGCAAGATTGCCGAGCACATCAGAACGCACACGGGCGAAAAGCCGTTCCAATGCGGAGAGTGCGGCATGTTCCTTTCGAAGGCGACCTCGCTCAAGGTGCACATTCGTCGAATGCACACGAGCGAACGGCCGTTCCCGTGCGAATGGGAGTGTGGAATGTACTTTGTGACGGAATCGATCAAAAGGGAGCACGAGATGGCGGTGCACGCGGGAGTTAAGAGATACACGTGCATTGTGAAGGGCTGCAACACGTTCTTCGCGCGACGAAGCTATCTGATGAGACACCGAAAGAACGTGCACGGAGAACTGTTCTGCGGGATCTTCGATCCTGCGCAAGTTGCTGCCGAGGAAGCTGCAGATCCAGTCATCGACGAGAAGACTCTGTTCCTCGACGGAGGAGATCAGATGTTGTTGCTCGGCGAAGATGTCAAACTGCTCAGTCAATTCGACGAGGAGGAGTTTGTCGAGCAACAGATGAGTGCCAAATGAGCACCTTGTTGCTCCGCTTCTTGCTTGCCCATTTGCCGGATCTCATTCCTAGACACTTGAAGTGCCACACATTAATAAACTGATTTTACGTTTTCCCCACTCTTCATTTTTTCTGAACTGCAGTTATCCACTGATATTTATCTATTCTGCGCCTTCTTTGCTTTTCACCTTAACCGCTTTATTACAGGTTATTATGAACCAGTCGTGCTCGGATCCCATCGAGTCCGAAGTTCTGCCTCCTCGTCCCTCGTCTGTGATTCCCAATTACCCGTACTCCGCCTTCGACCAGAATCCCTCTAGAGTCATTCCCGTTTTACGATCGAAAACTGGAGAAATTGTGCCGATTTTTAAGCGGAATGAACCGAATTACAAGCGAAATGATCCGTCCAATCGGAGTTATCGAATGAGAAAACGGACTCCGGCGCAGGTTTATCACTGTGTGCAATGCAACAAACACATCAAATATCCATCGAAAATATCCGAGCATATCAGGAAACACACGGGAGAGAAACCGCACATTTGTCTGGTCTGCCATCAGACTTTTTCGCAAGGTCACACTCTCAAAACTCACATGCTCCAACACATTCACGAACGGCCATTCAAGTGCTCATTCTGTAGCGCCGAGTTCCTGAATGTGCGCGATAAAAATGCGCACGAAGTGGTAATGCTTCAGAATCTGTAAATTAGGGTATACATATATTTAAACTATTTAGCAACACATGCATCATCCGGCCGAGCAAGAATCAATGGATGACAATTGTTCTCCGTTCATTCAGGTTCACTCGTCTGGCGAACCATTGGAAGAGGACGGACAGCCCTGTGGAATATACGTGTGTCCGTTCACCTGCAACTTCCAGAGCTACGAAGAAGGTGTCGTGGTTGAGCACATAAACGTGGAGCACGGCAGATACGAAGATGTGTGTTGGGAGGGAGATCAGCCGGAAGAAGTGACTCAGGAGCAAGCTCAAATAGAGCACAAGATGCCGATTGGAGCAATTCCGGTAAGGAAAGAATCAGATGGAAGGGTTCAATTTGAGCTGATTTAGAATGGAATGATCGTGAGAGAGTACACTGAGGATCCTGAGCAGTTATACGAATTTTTCGAGGAACAATTCGTTCCCCAAGTGGCGTCTGAAGCAATAATCGAACAATCCGGAGAGGTCGCCGAGGAGCCGTGTCCTTCAAATTCAATAGAGTACGAAGAGCCGTATGATCAACCGGGACCGTCTAATCGGGTGGTAATCCAAAATCCGGTAATAGAAGATATGATTTACGATTTGTGAGTTACTTGAGAAGAATTCAGATGAGAATATAGACTTTCAGAGAAGAAGAGGTGGAGGAGATGGGACTGGTACACGACGAGGACGACGAACAAGAACGAGTTCGCATAATTGTGAATCCGAATCCACCTAAAAGAGGCACGAAAAGTGCTCGAGACCACGACGAAGCATCGGCTGCGTTGACAGAGATGGTCGTGGATGCGTCGACTTTGGAACTGGCCGCCCCGACGAGGCATCTGAAACAGGGATTTCCGGCATTGGGAAGGAGAAAAGGAGGCAAGAAGGCGCTCAACCTCGACTGGATTATTGACGCCGTGGCAAAAGTAGACAATCCCTTTGTAGATGAGCGCATTTCACTTCTTTTCAGGGTGTTGATGTGAACGACGCGAGCCCTCATCACCGAAAGAAACCGACGATGCACAAATGCGAATTCTGCGGAAAAGTGGACAAGTATCCGAGCAAGATCCGCGCGCACATGCGCACGCACACCGGAGAGAAGCCCTTCAAGTGCGACATCTGTGGAATGCGATTCTCGCAGAGGACTCCGATGAGATTGCACCTCCGAAGACACTTCGACCAGAAACCGTATCAATGTGACGTGGACGGGTGCAAGGAACGATTCGTATCGGGAGCCATTTTGAAGATGCACGTCGAGAAGAAACATCTGAATAAGAAAAAGTAAGCGATTCTCCAAGAGCTTAGGTTCGCAAAAGAGACTTTTCAGATACGTGTGTATTCGTGGATGCGGACGGGTCTTTTCGAGTGCGTTTAATCAGAGACATCACGAGAAGAAGTGTTCGCAAAACACTTATCTGACATGGGTCGAAGAGAATGAATCCGAGGAAGACACTGCCGGAGAGTACCCAGAAGACGAGGAGGAGTACCTGGACGGAATGGTGAGAGGGAAAACAGGGGAGGACGAACGCAATGAAGTGCAATTTCAGATGGATCCGTCCGCTTCGGAAGTGCATCCAGTTGAGCACTTCCCGGAAGAGCCCGTCTTTCTTCATCAGTAAATTTGTTTTGTTTTGATTGTTTCCAACTTTTCTTACTCATCAATTTGTCATGCTTTCATTGTTTTTTGAAAATACATCTTCTTCAGGGCTAATAAAATTATTTCCATTTTGTACTCGCGTGATCTTCGGTCGGTCGTCTGGGGAGGCGTCAATCAAGTTGGGATGCCTTTCGAGGAATTATTTGCTCTCTCTGTCTGATAACGAAAGTCAACGAAATACGATCGTATGATCGCCGTCGTCTCTTCCGTTATCGGTGCCGGATTAACCAAGCGAGTGACTATAAAAAGGGTGAGGCGGAGGCTTTCAGAATCAGAGAAATAATCTTCCTTTCTCTAGCCTAAATTTCTTCCGAACCCTTTCAACGCGTTCCGATTTCCAGAATGTTCCGCACCGCCGTTGTCGCCCTCCTCGCCGTCTCGATCGTCTCCGCCGCCGTCCTGCCGCCTTCGCAGGCTTCCCTCGCCTGCATCACTTGCGTCGCCACCGTGAAGGGAGTCGAGGCCAAGGCGCTCTCCGAGGGAGGCTCCGTCGCCAAGCACGACGTCGACGCGATCTGCCTGAAGGAAGTGCCGACGCATTCGGCCGAACATCTCTGCGAGGAGTACGGAGAGCACGAGATCGATGTGATGATCACCCTCATCAAGCAGGACGTGCCGCCGAAGACCATCTGCCAAGAACTCAAGAAGTGCTAGACGTATATTTTAAATTCAATAAATGTTTGTCATTAACTATTTTTTTTATGGGAACAAAATCAACAGAACAATGGAGTGTAATCTATTCTAATGGAGTCTCTAATCCAGGACTGGGGAGGCCGGCCTAACCTGTTGAGGACTGGACTTTTGAACCTGTTGCAATATTCCGATCGGACCCAAACTTTGCAGGCTTCTTGGGCCTGGATTGAAGTATCCTGGGTTCAAGTGTGAGACCGATCGGATGATTTACTTTTGAGATATACTGGTTTGAGGCTAAAAAACTGGCGTTTTATGACTCCTATTCACATATCTCTAAAGTAACTCATTTGATCGATCTGAACCATGGACCCAAAATACTTAAATCCAAATAAAAGAGGCCTGCAAAGTTTGTGTTCAATCGTCTCAAAAAGACATCAAAAGGACTAGACCAGCCCTGGCCAAATCAGAAATCATTTAACTTCGTTGTGGTACTTTGCGTGTCCGACGCTCTTCCTCTCGATCATCTTCGCGTGCAGCCATGCCGGAAGTTTCTTCTTGTTCTCCACGTAATCCGGATCAACCCATTTCGGTTCCTGCAAGCACAAACATTCCCCTCATTCCGTTGCTGACGTCTTTCGCCAGAAGACTCCATCCGGATTTAAGTGTCTCCGCCACGTGAGCTACACGACGTTGATAACGGAGAAAACCAATTTGGTCAATGTTCAAACTGATAACTAATCATAGAGGAGGGTACTGTAGTCTGGGGCAAAGGGCGGCGGGTTTTCCTGTTTCCTTCTCCTTATCTTTCCGCTTCGCCACCTTTGTCTTGCTCACCTGCACGTCTTCCAATTGCACTGCCGCCAGTCGTTGCTCCAAAATTTCCTGTTCCACTTCTTTCGAATCTCTGTACATATCCAGGTACAGATCGAACGGCTGTGGTTTCTCCGGGAACTCTCGTTGTGTTGGCTTCAAAGCGGGTGTGTATTCGTATTCGTAGAGCGGCGATTTCAAGCCTCAAACATGATAGAGTGGATACTTTTCTCTTCTTTTCCGTTACCAAGTGAATGCAGAGCTTTTTTGACACTGTCATCGTATGACGTTTGGAAGAATCGGATAGCGGATGGAGTCAGAATGCTCTCATTGTTTTTGTAGAATTGTGCAATTGCCTGGATTCGATTTTCGAGTGATGTTCTTAAATAATTGTTATCGACTCAAAAAATTATTTTCACGGACCCATTCCAGTTCAGTTCGATTGGCTGATTGTGCCGGAACAGAACGAAAGCGACACGATGGAATCCAGTTCCGTAGAAGGGAAGCGGCTGCAGATACTCGACCACCTGAATTCTTTATTCTATTATTCAGAAACTGTTTGAACGGATCAACCTCTTTTCCAGCGGACACTTCCTGTCCGTTCGGGATGTTGGCAACCAGCCACTGGACGACTTCGCCCTTCTTCTCGAGTGCATTTCCATCCAAATTCACCATCAAAAGCGTGCTGAATCCGTCTTTTCCGACGTTTTCAATCGACACTTCTGGCCTTGAGCTCGTCACGTTGGCCGTCAGAATGTTTCCGTTGTGAACGATATTGTCGCCGAAGTTCACTTCCAGTTTTTGGACGTTATCAAAGAAGACGTTCTCTCCGAAAAGGTGATCGAAAACGAGAAAATGGCGGTAAACGGCGAGACTTTGCACATCAAGCGAGTCGATGTCGATTTTCACTGAAAAAATGATTTAAGAAATGAATTGGCGAAAAAATCTCACGTTGCATATGTCGGGACTTTTTCTCCAGTTCGGCACGATCTTCTTCTGTCGTTGTCGCTTTCGAACTTGTTTCATTTTTCTTGAATCCGATATTGACTGGCACGAAATCAGCTGAAAACTCATCTATTTTGAGAAACGGAAAATAGATATGAAAACATACGTTTGGCGAGCAGTTCACTCAACGCTTTCGTGTGCTCCGACGGATCGATAATGTGCATTTGCGGCAGCTTTTCCGGCTTGTCGATCCGAGCTTTGTACCATTTGTCGATCTCGTAGAATCTTAAGGAACCATTTTATGAAAATGTAGTTGCTTCGGACTATCGGTTCATCTCAGAAGTCATCTTTAATAATGTTTACAAGCTCGAACTTTAGTTTCAAACAGCACGAGCAATAACTTTTATAAAACTTCGCCAACTCAACTATTTCTCACCTATTTGGATAGAAAGCGGCAGGACCGGCCCAAGCGATGACACGTGGCCGCCACGGACGGTCGACCTTCGGAAGCGTCCGCGAACGATACTTTTTCGGCACCAACCGAGCGTACTGTGCAGCACTCATTGTCGGAAATCAGTGCTCAGACGGGGAAGAGCCTGAGACAAAAAGGAGTGTGCGACGGCGGAAGGTACGCAATGTGTCGTCTTTTCCGATGTTTATCGGCTTTCTCGGCACCCTCTCGGGGTGCAGTGGAGAGAGGAAGAAAGTTCGACCGTCGTCCCGTGAACTGTCGGTTGCTGATTTCGCCGGCCGGTGGCATGCTCCCCAACTTGGGCCCAAGCCTTTTTCCGCGCGCCAAAACTTCTGATGCGTGCTGTTCGAAGAATATTCATTCATTTTTCGTAATTTTTTGGGAACGAGTTCATTATGATTGAAACTCGCAAGCAGCAACGAGAAACTCGCAGAAATGTCTATAGGCCACTGGGAAAATAGCTTGGGAAAATTCAAGAAAAGCCCCCCACCTCAGCAAACCCCCGGTTATAAACAATCTTAGAAAAGCCCCCCACCAGTACAAAAAAGGTGGGGCCTTTTTCCTGACAACGGGGGGTCATACTTGAACGGCTATTCTTTAAGAACTAGGTATTCTTAAAGAAAAGCCCCAAAGGAAAGTCCCCCACCATTCGATAATAGCCCCCCACTCCATTTAAATTTAATTAAAGAAGAGGTTGATTTTGATGTGGGAGAAATAATTCTGACTAGAGGGGAGGGGAAGGGTCTTCAATATTAGTCCCCCACCATTCAAATAAAGTCCCCCTTCCCAAAAATAGTTGGTCCTTAGAGGTAACCACACATTAAGTTGCGAACTATGAAAATAAAATTTCAACAATACGAATCACTTTCATAAACAAAAACGAACCAACAAAATTATGTGTGCTTCTTCATTTCTTCGTACATTTTCAGCGCAAAGTCGTCCTTCTCGTTTTCACGCACTACGAATTCTGAAATACTGAATGTTTCACATTTTATGATTTTTCTGAATTTCAGGCAAAAAAGCATCGAAGAGGGTTGAAAAAACGATCATAACGACGAAAAAACGACCAAAAACGACTTGCTTTCGTATTGCTTTCCTTTAACATCTTTGCATTTCATTTGACGACACATTGGGGGGCTTTCCTTTAATCCTAACTCGGTGGGGACTCAGTGCGCGGGATGGGTTTCTGATTCAAGTACTTCCGGACGTTCTTGTTGTTAGGTAATTCATCTGCTTCTAGGACGCTAAGCTAAGGAAAAAGTTCTCAGTTTGCTTTTCAGTACAGCCTTTCAAAAATAACCCCTACTGAATTCATTTATACCACCCCATTTCATTCAATAACAGCGCTCCGCCCCCCCTGGTGGGGGGACTTTCTTAGGATGATATTGGTGGGCTTTTTTTCAATTAGGAGGAGGACTTTATTTGAATATACCCACGTTCTCAAAAAATCAAGTGAAATGAATCAGTATTCATCCGACGGCACGCATCTGAAGTCTCAGAACAGCCGAGGAGCGCGCGGGCGGCGGACGGCGGCGCGCTCTCCAAGCCTTCTTCTGTGCGCCGCAACTTCAGATGCGTGCCGTCGGACGAATACTGGTGGATTTCACTTGATTTTTTGAGAGCGAGTTCCTCAGGTAAAATTTCAAACTTTTCTTGGCTCTTCTGAAGACATTCTCAAACTTTCTCAAGACAAAAAACTTTTCCAAGACCTTTTCAAACTTTCTGAAGCACTAAAAACTTTTCTAAGCCTTTCTTAAACTTTTTCCAGAAATTCTCAGACTTTTTCCAGAAATTCTTAAACTTTTCTAAGCAATTCTCAAACTTTTCCAAGAATTTCTTAGGTGGCGCCTGGAAAAGTTTGAAAATAGCTAAGAAAAGTTTGAAATTTTACCTGAGTCATTGTGATGTAAACTAACAAAGAGACACAAAAAGCACGCACGAGCAGCAATTTTTCGAAAAAAAGCTATTTTCCCAGTGGCCTATAGACATTTTTGCGAGTTTCTTGTCGCTCTTTGTTAGTTTTGATCATAATGAACGCATTCACTATGACAATGAATAAGATGAATAAGTATTTCTCCTGCGGCACGCATCTAAAGTCCCTGGAACGCTGCATCGGAGCCTTCGTGGACGACCTTCTGCCGTTCGGCCATGTTTTGGGACCAAAAGTAAAGTGGTCACGGTGATTTTTTCCTGGGGGCCCAATGGATAGAGGAAGAAAGATGCGTGCTGTCCGAAGAATACTCATTCATTCTTCCTAGTTTTTTGGGAATGAGTTCATTATGATTGAAACTCGCAAGCAGCAACGAGAAACTAGCAGAAATGTCTAGGTGTCACTGTCAAAACAGCTGTTTTCGACACATGACTGCTCGTGCGTGCTTTTTGCGTCTCTTTGTTAGTTTACATCACAATGAACTCATTCCTAAAAAATCAAGCGAAATGAATCAGACGGCACGCATCTAAAGTCTCAGAACAGCCAAGGAGCGCGCCGACAACGGACGTTTTTCTATAATCTAGGAGATGGAAGTGAATTTATTAAAAATGGAAAATTTATTTGATACAAATTAGTTGTAATCTTAGAGGAAAAACGGTAAAATGGTGTCGGTTGTATTCGACAGGATGATGCGGGTACTATTGTGCACATTCATAAAGCACATTTCTCTCGATTATTGTATTGAGCCGGGATTGAGTAGTTTGAAGGCATAAATATCAACGTTCTAGTGTACAAATGAACAGTTTAGGGTCAATAATGCAAGTTGCGACGGGACAGAGGTCGTTTGTTCGACGAGGCAACCGACGAGGGCGTCATTGCTCTTTTCGATAAGGGCGTCGTCGTTCGAGAGATCGTCTCTTTCGGTGACGATGTCTTCGGACCGCCCGGTTGTCTGCGAGTCGGAGTGATGAAACTGATGGCTTCTGAAGTCGCTGGAGACATGCACGGAGGCAACTCTGCGTCGTAGTTCAATCTCTGAAATTGTCCTCAATACGCTCAGAACGTCGCCCTCCTAGTCTTACCTTGGCCACTGGCTCCATTTTCGCCGTCGACATCGGAGTCCGGAAGAGTGGGGCGGCTCGTTTCTGAGTTCTCGGTGTTCTGGCTGGCTGGGGCGACAGCAGCCTCGTCTTCTCTTCTTTCTTTAGTTGGAGTTCAAACTTCAGCTCTCTTTTGTGATCTTCCAGCACAAATTTTATGTAATCGTGGGGCAGCATCCCCTGCACATGTATCTCTTCCCCTTCGTTCTCATCCTGATATTTTTTGTGAGCTGCTCGGATCTCCTTCTCCAGTACTGGCATTTGAGCCAGCAACTCTCGTTCTCTCTTGTTGTCCGGCAGCACATTCACTTTCTTGTAATAATCCGGCTGACGTCGTTTGTCTTCGATTCCGAGCTTCTCGCCCCACACGTTCTTCCACTTGTCAACCAAATCGAAAACAGTTTTGCATGCTGCATATTTCTTTTCCAATCTATCGCACTCTTCGCACATGCGACGTAGACTCTCTTCCGATTGACGGCTCGGTTCGAAGACGGCTCCGTAATGCCTGTCTCCTGGTGCCACGAGACACTTTTCCCAAAGATCCACGAGCTGCTGGTGTTTTTCTGTCCATCTGAACTCGATGTCCTCTAGCCAGTGAATGTATATTGGCTTAAGATCTCGGTGGTACGCTGCGAGAGCTGAAACCACTTCTTCTGAGAAAACAAAGTCGGTGGAATCAATGTTTCTATCGAGCAGGTCGCGCAAATCTTCGTCTCCTTGAATGTATTCGGCCACTCGTTCCGCCATGCTTCTCCATCGTTTTATGTCCGCCTCAAGCTGTGCGACCTTCGTGTACCTATTGTTCAGAAGTTCCTCCATTTCGCCGCAGTCATTTTCGTACTTTTGAAGTGAGGCGACTGGGAAGAGCTGAGAAAATCGTATTATTATTCTGGCCAAAAGAGAACAGACTCACTGAATGTGTTTCGTATTCGAATTCGAAATCGGATGCAAGTCTTTTCTTGAGATTGCAGATCTTCTCAACGAGAACTCTCTGATCTTCGTGTCTTTTCTGGAACTCCACTTCGAGTTGTTTCACTTCCGACTGCAGATGTCTCATCAGACTGATCGATCCGTCCTTTATATCTGCCGGCCTCTGGAAGACCTCCATCTCGAGCTCGTTCCTCATTCTGCTCACACTCTTCATATCTTCTCGGATACTAACTTTCAAATTGTGCACCATCTCCTTCTCGCCCGAAAGCTGAAATTGCAAATTTATTGCCTTCTTCAGAATTTCTGGCACACCATATCATCGCATAACTGTGTTATGTGTGTGAATGCATTGTCAACTCTTTTCAAACGCATCGATTCGGACATGTCCACTTCGTCCCATAACCCGGACAATTCGCGCATCGTGTCCCGGATCTTAGCTTCGACGCTCGAGTACGCATCGACTACACTTTGCCTGAAAACGAATGAAATGACGGGATGAATCAGGAAAGGTGGGCTGAATTACCTTCGAGACATTCTTGTGAAAATCGCTGATCAATTCTGGTTTTCTTAGTTGAAATTCTGAAAAAAAACTTTTTAAAAATGTATAAAACCAATTTAGTATTGCTCTCAGAATATTTGTGAGCGTCTGTGCGTGTCAATTAAACGGAATAATTATGTGTAACAGGTCTATTGCAAGTTTGCGGAGGACAAAGACACAAATCAAATAGTATTCGAATGCTGGCACGCCGCCAAAATTTGAATCTCGCTCGCGGGTCGCAAGGGGTAACTCTTCCACGGCCGCGCGGCCGTCGGCGCCGATTCAAGTTTTGATTTTCATGGAATTCCATCGTAATTTGACCTCATTATCAAATGTTGCGACGGAGGACGAGAAAACCAATATGCTACGAAAGTAAGAATTTCGAATTGAAAACTTGTTCTGAAATAAATTTTCCAGTATTAGAGAATCTCCGAGAGCAAAAACACGCCGAGAAAGACTCTCCTTCTCGCCCGAATGATGAACTTGACGAAGGTCAATTCACTACAATTTGGGAAAATCCTGAAAGAGTAATCAAATTATCACAGATACCTAAAAATACTGAATCGATCGTCTTCAGCTCTCCGACAAAGAAGATTTCTCGTTGTTGTACCAACTGCTTTCGCGTCAACTTTCCCTTGGACACTTCGAAGATCCGTTAACTGTATGTCGGAAAATGGCTGATTCTTCATGTGCCATGAAGCAGAAACAGGTCGGCACAATGTTCACATTACTACTGATGCAGTTTTTGAAAGAAGAACGACGGAAGCAGGTGAGTAACGAGCGAATAGAGTGCCTTTCGATTTCATTATTTCAGATAGATCACCACGTTATTCTCGCGTGGCTTGATGCGGGTGATCGGTTGTTCAGCGAAGAAACCGAGCCAAATGCACTTTCAAAAAGGAACTATGCTGTTTTGAAGTTGTACTACTTGTGCAGGACATGGAAAGCTCAAATCGAGGTAACCAGAGAGAATTTTCTTAAAGCCCCGCTCGGCCCGTCACAAAAAATGTGTGCGAATTTTCCACGATTTTTCCGGAATTTTCGATGAAAGAAGCGCGAGGAGACGCTTTCGAGTGATAAAGATGGCTTCGCGAACAGTTTCGAACGCGAAAATAGATAGAAAGCTCGTCGAACTGCTGAAAAACAAGGCCCGACGGGCCGGGCCTTGTAAAAATTTTTTTAAAGCCCGGCCCGTTGCAAGTCTGATGTTCAGTGTTTTTCGTGCGGATGCATTCAAAAGCAGGTGGTCGAGCTCTATCTGGAAAACGACTGTTCCCGGCTAAATGATGCTTTGCTTTGCATTGTCAAAGCGAAGAAGAACAACAAAGAAGAGACTGAAAGATGCATCGAAGATCTGAATCCGGCAGTCCTCAGTGAGATTCCGTTTTGTTTGAAATCCTAAAAAGAGAATTCAGGACTAGTCAAAAACGCGTCGAACTTCAGTTCAATCGATATGTTCTCCTATTACGTGGAAGTTTTGCAAGAGCTGCACGGATGCTCTCTGATCGGTTAGTTTCTTTAAAATTCGTCCTTTCAGCAACGATTTCAGATGTTGCTGACGAGAAGGCGTCCGCACGTCTCATTCAGTTGGCAGGGTTACTGTGCGAATTGAGCTTGAACGATGTCCCGGAGGCCTGCTCAAAACTACATCGCCTTCTCACTCACATGGGCCGGAATCAGGAGAAGAAAGTAAATCAAATAAAAAACCGTGTCTTTTCAATCTGAGACTTGTTAGAACGTGACTGCGGTGGATACGGTCCTCAGGAGCAAGTTACTTCCTAAGATTTTCGAGTATCTCACAAAAAACAGTCTCGTGAAAATGCACAGATTCAATCGGATATCGGTGCAAGAATACGTGGATATCGTGGCCAAAAAAAATTATTCATTTGCCGAGCAATCAATCTTCGCTCCCCTCCAGCTGCTCAACTTACTGTATTCCAGTGAGGGATCCTGTTCCACTTGATCATTTTATTATTTTTCTTCAGAATGGGATGCCTGGAAGAGAACACGATCTGTAGTCAAGAGCCGCATCGATTCGCTCGATCTGAGTAGTTCTCACGGCCCCGTCATCGTCCTATATATGCTCAGTTTCATTTATCGAACAGGTTCAAAACTATTTCTCGTCCTGACATCCAATAGTTTTTTTTTCAGATCCTTCCTTACTAGCAGATCTTACCGGATGTCTTGAGGAAAAGTATAAAAAAGCCGATTCGAATCAAAAAGTGCGCAATTAGGTTATTCAATTAATATATGCAAATTTCCAGGGCATCATTCTTCTGATAATCGAAATCGCCGAAAAACTGGCTTTGACCAACGAGTCAATGGCTTCGTTTCTCAACGAAAATGCGGTGAAAACACGTCTACTTCGGGACACAGATCCGATCCACTCCGAGCTCGTCTTCTCCTACCTGCCTGATCTAAAACCTCTTGAACTCAATCAGTTTCTGAAGTCAAAGGAGGAGTCCCTTTCCGACGAGGCGTGGAGCGATCTCTTCCGAGTTATCAAGGATACGGAAGTGACGGTGCAAGCTGACGGAGTGTGGAAGTGCGCCGTTGAAAAGAAGAATTCAGACAGAAACGCCATCTGTTTCATAACGAAGCAACTGAATGCTATGGCTGAAAGACAAGACGGGAAGATGTTAACGATGCGCGTTTCACAAGTTTTCAATCATTTGAAGACTACCTTGTCAGTTTCTTTTTCAATTGAAAGACACATGTTTTAGTTTCAGTTCCTCACCTAAGTTAGTGCCTCGTGAGCTCTTGCTCTTCTTCCCGAAAGTGCTCTTTTCGTTGACAGACACTCAGTATTTATTGCTCCCACCGAATACGTCCAACTTTCTCATTCCGCTGCTCATTCTTTCGTACTGTCTCTTCTTCGATGGAAATGGTTCGTGAAAAAGTTCCTCAGGTTACTCAACGTGTTTTTTTTAGAATTGGAGATCGCAAAAATGTTCCGGATATTGAAGAGTAAAATCAGAAAAGAAAACTTCAAAGAATCCAACGATGATCCTATAGACGTTCTTGATGAAATCTGCGAGACGATTCGAAGCGGAAAAGTGCCAAACTGCGACATTTCGTTTGTAAGATCGTGCGCAGGCTCCGACTTCTTTCTCAAAACGCTTTTCGAAACTACGGTAGAGGGCCACTCTCAATCCGCCGATGTGGTCGTCCGAATGAGGGAAAGAACTGTGGATGTGTGCTCGATTCTATTCGGCAGACTGGCACCACAGCTACAATCCATCGGAGACAAGGAAGGAAAGACACCCTATTGCCAAATCGCAGTCATAATAAACAAGTTTGTGACTGGAAATCTTCCGTCGTCGAGCAATCCGAAAGTGTGGAAGATCACCGAACGAGCCATAGAAGGGTTCAGTTGCATGACTCTCAAATGGAATTCCATTTTCGTGGTGGCGAAGGTGATGGACATTCTCTCGTCCGCCAAGAATCACGCCGACCTGCTCGCCAGAATGATAGGCGTGATCAGAAGAAACCAGGTAAATACGAGTTGGAACCATTCTGATTATTTGCATTCAATTACAGGATCTACTCAATAAGCTGAGAAAAAGAAAGGAGTTTCTCGAACTCGAATCAGCTCTCCGATAAACAAAACTGTCCGTTCCATGCTCACACAACGGGTTCATTTGTCAAACATCTCTGTAAAGTTCGAATATCATTTGCCTAACAACGCTATTGCTTATTAATTTGTATCTTCTTATTTTCTTACGAGTTGATCACTCTGCAATTTATCTTTCCATCATTTTTTCTCCGAGTATCAGAAACATGCTCAGGCTGCGTAGAATGTCGGCGCGAAACAAAGAAGACGGCGAGCTGTCGGACAGATCTTCGAAAACGCCGGAGTTCGGCCCAAACGAGGACTTCATATTCGATCGGACCGTTTCAGGCATAATTCCAAATGAAGATCTTGAATCGAACAAGTCAACGGAGACTAAGAGCCCGTGGCTGAAACAAATGCGCAAGAGACTTCTTCTGGAACCGGTACGAACAAATAACGCAATGAGAGAGGAAAACGTTTATTACAGGAAGAACAGGACGAAGAACCGACAGCTAAACGTCGTCGAGGCAACTGTTGTTTCAATTGCAAAGGAGAACACATGATCATGCACTGTCCGGAGCCCCGTGATCCGAATGCGATACGCAGAAATAAATATGAATTTCAAAACAGCCAGCAGCAGCCCGGTGGAAGGTACCCGTGACTTGGTCAATCAGTTCAGTTTCTGTTCTTTCAGAATATCGAAAGCGGTGGAGAACAAGTCAAAATACAAGCCGGGAAGACTGAGTCAAAAGCTGCGCGACGCCCTGAGTCTGGGGCCGGATGACATTCCGGAATGGGTCTACAGAATGCGTCGGATGGGATTCCACAAAGGATATCCGCCAGGACATCTTCAGAAAGCATTGAAAATAGAGTACAACGACATCAAGATCTTCTCAGACGACGGAGAGAAACCGACGGAGATCGACGAAAAACCGAACCCGTCTCCTACTGTCGATCTGAAAAAAGTGCATTTCTACATGGGATTCAACAAAACTTACGGTGCTCTTAGAGATCGCGAAAGAGGAAGATTCGAGATTCCGCCATTCGAACTGTTTTGTGAAATGTTGCAGACGGTGAGAAAGATCCATTTAGTTATTACAGAAACTGATTTTTCAGGAAGTGACAAAAGAGCATGACGCATCTGAAAAGATTCGGATGAATGAGGAACGCATCCGTCGTCAACTGATCGCAGCTAACAAGCCAAACGAGGAGGAAGCGATCGCGGTGGACAGAGAGAAGACGGAGCGAGCTGAGTCGTTGACTCCCAAAAAGCAGGACACTCCAGAAAGCGGTGAAGGGAACATGGTCGGAAACTAAAGGTTTCAGGAAGTTTATGAACTATTGTTTCAGGGCGAATCGATATCCCAGTACGTCGGCACTCCCGTCGTTTCCAATCGGGACAAATCGGGAACTTGGATCGAAAGCCCCGTTCCTCCGCTGGAAGCATTTGCCGTCGGAATCGTTCCTTTCGAAGCGAGAGAAGAAGATAAACCCAGCGGACTTTTCAAGAAAATAATGAGCACTCTCCGCACGAAAACCGACTAGAACAGTGGACGAATCGAAGTTCTACCCGATTTGTCATCACTCTTCTTCCCTCCGTCTCTTCATGCTTCCCGTTTCCTCGCTGCGCTGGCCGCGTACAAATATCATCTTTCTTTCTGTCGACTGCAGTGTTTATAATGGCCTTGCCCGCAGTCCCTCATTCCCTGTTGTTCTCTGCCAAATGAGTTTTTCCTTTTATGACCCGATTTCATTCTCTCGACTCGATGTGCTCTTATCGATCGTTTATTTACTTTTTTCCCGTTCTCCTGGATAAATCATTCAGTTCGTTTATTTTCAGAAGATGTCAAAGGCATTCGTCGACGGACTGCTCAAATCCTCGAAGGTCGTCGTCTTTAGCAAGTCCTACTGTCCATACTGCCACAAAGCGAGAGCTGCCCTTGAGTCGGTCAACGTCAAATCGGACGCCCTTCAGTGGATAGAGATTGACGAGCGCCAGGACACCGACGAGATTCAGGACTATCTCGGAGTGAGCGTCCCTTCCTCTTTCCTGTTTTTCTTGAATAACTCATTCAGGCATTGACCGGAGCTCGCTCCGTTCCTCGCGTTTTCATAAACGGAAAGTTTTTCGGAGGCGGCGACGATACCGCAGCTGGTGCCAAGAATGGAAAACTCGCCAAGCTTCTTCAGGAAGCCGGAGCACTTTGAATTAATTTATTTCGAATGATTGCTACAAGTTCAGTGAATGCATAAAAGTTTTGCAAAGTGACCCGTAAAGTGTTGGCGGGAGTATACGAAACGGGAAGTGATCAAGAGTACATCGAACTGATGAGAATGTCGTCTTCGTCCGAATCTTGCTGCAGAATATTGTGTCCTCTCCTGTTTCGGAAGCCTGTTTTCTGACGAGCACTCCTCCGAATGACGGCGACGACGGCGACGGAAAGGGCAACGAAGGCGAGGAGAGCGATGAGAATGTGACTGTACTGGATGGTGACCGTTCCTGAAATCAGTTCGTCTCCCTCTCCGAACGTCGGCCCCTCTCACCTGAACGGTTCGCAGCCGCCGCTGTTGTCGTCTGGACCGCTGCGACCGTGGCAGAAGCTTCTTTCTCTCGCGGCGGAGCGATTCCTTCCCGAGCCAACGGAGCCGCTCCTCTGTAAATTCACTCGTTTTGCTGGTATCATTTGATTGTCTAGTGGCACCCAAGGTCAAATAGATCCGGAAAATCAGTGATTTCCTGTCTGAGGATTTGGGAAAGAATGGAGGAATCGTCGGAGGATGATGCCATTCTAATCGATGAGCAGTCAGGCGAAGGGGAAAGCGAAAGGGAGGAAAACTGATAAGGAAACGGGAATGATCAGCTCGTTAAATTGAAGAGGGGGAGCGTTAGGGGTGTAATTCCAGAGATTCCGTCTTGTGCTCACCTGGCCGAATCGCAGTTCCATTCGTCGGATCCGTCTGTGCATTGAGTGATTCCGTCGCAAACGTCGTAATGGGCGATGCATTCTCCGTTCCGACACGCCCATTCCCATTCTCCTGCAACACGCGAAATGGAAATTCGATGAAAAGAGCACGGGAGGAAAGAGGAAGAGGAAGAAGCCGCGCACTGCGACGATGAGACGCCACGTGTCAACTGAAAAGAGCACTCACGAGGGCACTGTGGAAGCACGGGCCGCTGGGCGAGACGGTCGATGTTCGATTGGGGCTCGTACTGAAAATGAGGAGCGGTTGAGAGGGTAAACATTTCAAACATTCATCTGAGAAATTCTGTGAAAAAGTTCAATGTTCAGAATCAGAAGCTTAATATCACCTGACGAGACAACAGTAATCTGACTGAAACTAACCTGAGAATTGACACGGTAAATCATGAGAAAGATGAGGAAAGCGGCGTTCATAGCTGGCGAGTCTGTCCAAATGACGGCTTCTCCGCGGCACGCCTTCATGGATCGATGCGACAGAGACGCAGAGAAACGGCCGGAGCCCTCCGCGAGAATCAGCTGCTCGCATGCAAGAGTGCGCGAAACCGAGTAACGCAGATCCGTTCCGGACGCCAATTAGTTTTTCCGCGCGGTCAACGATGAGAAAATGATAATGATTCTGTCCCGATTGGTGCCATTTCATCCTTCCAGTGCTTTCAATCCAATGTCCTTTGTGAAATAACTTCCCCGGCATTGCCAATCTGGCCAAATGGATGGCCATTGTTTCAAATTTGAAATTCATGGAACCTGTCAGTCAAAGCGAAGAAACGCGGTATCCGGAATCAATTTAAGCAAAAGTTGTCATACACAATATATTCAGTCAATAAAATATAGCATGTAAAAGAAGGTAGAGTATAGTTACAAAAATAGAATTGGCTATGATGAACCTGCGAATCGGAAGATGCCAATTGAGGAAACGAGCGGGAGAGTAATCACATGAACGCGTCAAGAGACAACGGGTGCGGGCCGGAAGATATTGATAGACAGTTATTTACAACCAGTTCGAAAGTGCATTTATCCGCTAATTCTACTCTTGTCCGTCCTGTCCAAAGTCATTCTTGAATGCTTCCAGACGATCCAGGTCGGTGTTGTTCACTGTCGGTTTGACCGATGCCAACGATCTCATCAGATCTTGCTGAAAAACAAAGTGAATTGTAACACGAAGTGAGCAAATGTGAAAGCGTACCATTGAAAGCGGCGGGTTTGCGAGTTTGTCTCCGGGAACGTCGAGCCAGCTCATCGCGATGGCGTGTGGATCACCTGGACTGCACGGGGCCAACAAGTCGTGAACAGTCACATTCGGGTCTTTCGGTGATGGCCCAGATACGTGCCTGAAATAATGAATGTGTGAATGCAGAACAGCTAGATGTATCTAACTTGAAGTGCGTGGCCGATTGCACTCTTCTGACTGGTTGCATGAGTGCGTCTTTCACCAGAATGCTGATATCGTATCCAGAGTATCCGTCGCATCTCTCCGCAAGAGCTTTAAAGTCCTGATCGGTCAGCGTGTTGTAGTTCTTTCCCACATCAATTCGGAACATTTCTTTGCGAGCATGAACATCTGGCAGCGGGATGTATATCCTCTTTTCGAAACGTCTGGAAATTGGCGATTAACAACATCCCGTCTTCTTTGGAACCAACCTTCTGATAGCCGCATCGAGAATCCATGGGATATTGGTGGCACCGAGCACGAGGATTCCGTCATTGTTGAGACCGACTCCTTGCATTTGCACCATGAACTCCGTTTTGATGCGTCGCGCACTTTCACTTTCATTGTCCGAACGAGCAGAGCAAAGCGAATCTATCTGTAGAGAAATCGGGATTAGACTTTTTAGAAAAACTGACACAACCTCGTCAATGAAGATAATTGACGGTTTGTGGTCTCTGGCCATAGCAAAAAGATTCTTGACAAGTCTGGAAGCAGGTAAATACAAATAATTTTCGGAAGTATTTTGTACTTTTCGGATTCTCCAAGCCACTTTGACATCAGATCAGACGAGGAAATCGAGAAGAACGTGGAGTTGTCCGCTTCAGTTGCGACAGCCTTTGCGATGTACGATTTTCCGGTTCCTGGGGGACCGAAGAGCAGGATTCCTTGCCACGGCTTTCTGTTTCCTGAAAACATTCATCGTTTTTTCATTGCGTCCATTCCCTATCATTTCTGTATTCAACAGCCCCTCGCGATTCCTTTTTCCGTTTCCCATCTCCTTTGCGAACATCATTTGCGTGCCGTCCAAACTCTCAAAATTTAATCAGAATGGGTGGCAGTGCACGAGAACCGAAATAGAAACACACACATGTGTGTGTGTGTGTCCTCTGTTTCCCACTGGTCGATACGAAGCCCTAACGCTTGAGGCAAAAAAACGAGTGACGAAATGGGTGCCCGCTCCATCTACTCTGTTTTCTTCTTCTCCTTCTTCTCAAAAGAGTGCCTGCTCCTTCATAGCTACGCTCGTCAAGCCTGTTGGCGAAGAAGTGAAGCGAAAAAAAGACGAGGAAAACATGAGAGATAAACTGCGATGGCGAGATGAGTCGACGGCGTGTGGAGAGCTAGAAGAGGGAGAAGCCGGAGCAAGAGGGGGAAGGGCGAGAAGGAATAGAAGAGCACGTTGGGCAGCCAGACAACAGAGCGTCAGCGAGTGAGCCACCCGCCGCGACTGCCACCACTACGGCTCCCTCCGCTACTGGCTCACAACACTCACGAAGCCTCGCTCACAACCCGCTCACGCCACACTCACTCGTCTCCAGTTTCTTCGGGCTCCTTCTGGCACGCAGTCATCTGGAGGCGAGACAGCGTGCGTCTGTCGCCCGTCCCATTTCGTTCTTTCTCTATTCGGACGAGCGAGAAGCGCCATCCACTCCAGATTCCCATTTGCCCATTTCAACCTTATATCCTTCTTCTTTTCAAACAGCATAAAATAGACGAAACCGAGGTAGAAGACGCGAAGGAATGTACGGCTTCTTCAACTCTTCCGAGATAGATGAAGAGTATTACAACTCTACTCACACATCGGCGCCTTCTCCAATCCTTGCCCTTATTTTCACTATTATCAGTGGAATTGGCGTACTTGGAAATGCTTCACTGCTGATTTATATAATTGTGCAGAAGCTCTACCACAACTTCATATCATCCCATTTTATTGCTCATTTGTGCTTCACTAATCTTGTGGCTCTACTAGTTCTCGTTCCAATCATTATACACAATGTGTTCACCGGAGTCAACCTATTCCATGAAAGCAATTTTTTATGTCGTATCCAGGTGATTTTCAATCCCCTTGCACAACCGCCAATCACTGCTTTTCAGGTCTCGATCACTGTCACCGTTTGGACAGTTATGGCAATGATGAACTTGTGCATAGCGGGTGTTCATTTGCTTACATTTGCAAGAATTCATTACGAACAATTGTTTGGATTATCACCCACTAAACTGTGCTTTCTCTCCTGGATAATCTCGTGGCTTCTTTCGCTTCCATCTCTGACCAATGGACACGTTGCCATCTATGGCCCAGCCGTGCGAACATGTGTCTTTTCACATTCTGACTCTGGCCTCAAGTTCCTCACATACACTCTCATTTTCGGTGTCTTCATCCCGGCAATGTTCTCGTTCATCGCCTATTTCCGCATCCTACAAATACTCTTCCACAGCCCGATCGTCTTCCAATCACTCGGGCTTTTCAAGAGTCGTTTCCTGGTTTACTTCTTCCTTCTGGGGTGAGATTGCTCACCTCTCTACACTTTCTAATCCATTATTCATTTCAGTCCTTTGTACGCACTTCCCTTCTACATCCTTACTGCTTTCGACCCGTCAGACCCTGTAAGAATGAGCCAAGACACATTATGGACAGTGGCGTGCACGATGTTCGCCTTCTTTCCCTGCGTTATTGCTCCCATCCTCTACGGCGCCAGCATCTTCATTATCAAAGAGGAGGACATGGCTCTGACGGCCCGAACACACAAAGCACCGCCCGGTGCATACCACCACGTGGCGCATCAACACAACATGCAGGCGCAGCTCATCTAACTTCATCACCCGGTGCATTGTATCCATTCCGTAACTTCTCCTGTTTAGAAATCTCTTTCATATCCCACACGAATATGATTTCCCTTCTCTCTTTCGTCCCGGTCATTCCCTTCCCTTCTTTTAGTTTCTTGCATAGTTCCGTCTACATTTTCCGCGTTCCTTCGACGTTTTCGAATAAACGAAAGGCAAACTCACCAGTGAACAGTTGGGGAAACTTGATCGGCAGAATGACCGCCTCCTTCAGCGCTTCTTTGGCTCCTTCCAAACCGGCGATATCCGACCATTTGACATTCGGCTTCTCCATCACAATCGCTCCGGAGAGTTTGTCCTGAAAAGAAAAAAGGTTCCGAGTGCTCACGGAGAATTCAATTACTGCCGGCGCTGAGTGCCACGGGAAAGTGGAAAGAGCTTAGGGAATATGGAGGAGCTTGAAACCGAGAAATATGAAAAAAAAGCAGGGAGAGGATGGATCATACTTGTTTTCACAATTGAAGATTTCTTTTCATAACGCTTTTCGAAGTTTGGAAACAGAGAATGTCTATTGCTGTTCTGGCGTTTTCAGAGCGGTTTATTTCGACAGTACAAGGTTAGAAAACAGAATTACCTGGAACTTTTTCTTGTCCTCATCTTCGTCGGAATCATCCTTTCCGTCCTGAAAATAAATGCGGGCTCTTCGAATTCCTGCCCGTTACTTACTTTGACAGGTTTTCGTTCTTTTCCCTCTTTCAGAAACTTCTTTATCTGCTCAGCACGATTCAAATACGTCGCCACTTTGCTCCGGATGGCCTGTTTTTGCTTTTCTCCTTGCGATTCGTCTAAAACAAAGCAATTAAATTTGAGGCTATTCAAAGAACAAAAAGTTACATTTTATAGCATGAAGGAAATATTCTATGGCCTGATCGTAGAATCTGAGTGACACGTCGTATTTTCCTCTCGTGTCTTCTTCCGTTGCTTTCGTCACAAGCTCGATCGCCTTCTGTAAAAAATCAATAAATCAAGTGTCAAACTTTTTCTAATAAACAAAACCTGTAGGGCAGTGGATGCCATTCTTCGAGATCAATCGCGAAGACAATCGAGCTGTAGACGAAGCTGAAAAAGCAGAAAATGATAGAAAGGATAGGATGAAAGAGCGAAGCGGCGAACGAAACAAGTCGCGCGAGGAGACGCAGACAGATAATAAAACCAACGGGTCACAAAAAGATAAACGGTTTAGTGTAAAACTTGCAGTCTGAAGCTTCTTGAAGGTCAGAAAATACAATATATTGGGGAAGTGTCGATAATTCAGTCTGAACGAGTAAACAAATTATCAGGAAACGTGACTCATTGCAAATTACTAAATAAATCGAAGATTTATGAAATACTTATAAAAATGATAGATATCGACAGATGTCCAAAGAAGAAAATCTTGATTTTCAAACGAAAAGTCTCGCTGTGGATGGAAGGAAAAATTGGAGGAGCTTGTGAAATAGCATATGAGTCACATGAAAAAAGTGTCGAAATAGCGAAACTATTTATCAGAAGAAATTCTTAAGTATTTAATGCTTTCCCGAAAACTAAATACTATTATTATATTATTTGTTTTTTTTTGAATATTGGTTGTTTGAGAGTTGGAAATTAAAAAATAGGTTTCGAACAGCGTTCAACCAAGAATTGCGGAAACAAAAGTGTACACTAGTGTTAATATATGTTAAGGACCAAAAATTCGAAGTGAAACGGAAACAGAGAAATCAGAAGATCAGAAGCACGAATCGGTCATCGATCGCGCGCCGGAATCAAATGCGACGCCGCCCCCAGGTGATCGCGAATTCGGCTGCTGCGGCCGCAAAGAGGAGTCGCGAGGACGCAGCGACGAATTTGATTCGCAAGCGAAACTCGAGTTTGAATTGGCGGGCGACTCGATGCAAAACCGCGACGCGGGGAGCGAGAGAGTATTGCAAAGCGCGGCGTGCTTGGCAAGCTGAGAAATGGAGGAAGTAGTGGCAGTGAAGCATGAAGACGGACTAGACGCAGATACGAAAGGGAGAGAAAACAAGAGGAGACGAGGCGAGGCGAGCAGCGGACGAAGACGACGATGGGACTGCAGCAATGGCGGTGTGTTGGTCCGGTCGCGTTTGGTGCGGTCTAGTTCAGAGGAGAGAGGAAGAGTGAGACGGAGGGAGTATTCCTATCGGAGAGACGCCTCGCACAGAGAGGGAAAGGAGCTTGCGGCTGGCAACTAGCACTCACAAAACACACGGGGGCACACTGCAGTGTGTGCGTGTGTGTGTGCGTCTGTCTTCCCTCTCGTCCTCTCTCGGCGTTTGCATACTTGTCTGTGCTGCTGTCCGATACACGAAGAAGACGGCGACGAAGACCACGACGACGACAACGGCAACGCGCCTCGAACACGATTCGACGTGCGTCTGATCCGATTGCGAACGTTCGATCCCCTCTCGTTAACCACCGCCACTACCACCATCATCCTCTCCTTTATTCCCTCATTGTTTCCGTTTCTACAGCTTTTTTGGGTCCGCTGAAAACCAACTACGATCAAGCTGATTTACAATTCGGCAATTGGAAGTGCTCACCACGTCGCCGTTTACTATTCTACTTCTTTCTTCGTCTCCGTCTCGAACCGCCTGTACTGCACTGTGTGAACAAGAGAGAGCACCACCGATCGAGCCAGAAAGAAGAGCCACCAACGCGTCAGGATGCGCCTTATGGGGTGCGTCGGCGCAGGCGCAGATGCCGAGGGCCGAGAAGCACGCAAGGTCAACAAACAGATTGAGGAGCAGTTGGCCAAGGATAAACAGGTACGTACTTTCCAAGACTGTGGTATCGGCAAAAATTCATGATGGCTTCAGTTGTGCACCTCGCTGCCAACTTTTTGTTATTATAATCATAACAAATGGAGTTCTGTTTAGAAATTGTATCCGTGCTTCAAATCGGCTGCAAACGCGCTAATCATATGACATATCTTGCCAAACTCGCGTGCTAAAAATAGCTCGCCGCTCGAATCTCTAATCCGACTTTTTGTAATGGCGCATGTGAGTGTTACTCACTCGCTCCATTCCCACCCGTCTTCTCGCTATCCCAATTCAAATGGGCGACTGGGAGCACCTTCAAAGTTGCGTCAGCAATGCTCCATGAAATGGGAAATTTCAATGTTTTAGAGTTGCACCGGAAACAATGAAAATAGCGCTACGCCTTAACGGGTGGGCTATTATTAGTCGACGTCTCCTTTTACGTTTTAGAATCTTGATAGAGCAATAAGAGTATGCGCTCGTGCTCTTCACTTCACTGCTATTTTTGTGCAATGATTGATATTTTTTAGTATACTCTTGAGACCGAGTTCACCCCGAAAAAGGGAGAGACAGCCGGCTCGCGACGACCAGTCCGATAAAGGTTACGCGTAATATGTTTCACGATGACATCATTGGTAAAGGTGTGCTCAGCGAGAGGTCTTCTGAAAGCCATCATGAATTTTTCTTAGTGGTCATTCCGTTTGGTCGTCGTCGTCGTTCAGTAAGTGGTGCCCCTCCGTCTCAGTGCGCCCTAATTCTCCTTCCGATCCCCCAAATCTATTGTGGCGTCCGGTCAAGACAGAGCGCATTGCCATTAAACCGGTAAGCCTCCGCCCGAAGCCGGAGGCTAGCAACACATTGTTGAAATATTGATCGATAGAGGAAGAGGAGGAAGAAGAGGCGAAGGCACTGCGGGGCGGGCTGCGAATTTCGGAGGCCAGGCGGCGAGGGGCGAAGAGTTCGTCGCTGCCCTGAGGGCCGCCGGCAACACGACGACAACGACCGAGCGGACGATGAACAAACGCGTTGTAACAGATCCCCGGAGCCATCCGTACCCCTGTTTGTAGGTGATGCGAGCGACCCATCGGCTGCTCTTGCTCGGCGCAGGAGAGAGTGGCAAGAGCACAATTGTGAAGCAGATGCGGATCCTTCATATCAATGGATTCAACGAAGCCGAGAAGATGGAGAAGATCAAGGACATTCGAAGGAACGTCCGCGACGCCATGCAGGTCCGTACGCTCAGCTCAAGGGGAAGAATAATTCACAGGGCGACACAAGATATATCGTCAGGGTGTTTTGTTGACAGGTCCTTTCAACTGGCTGAACATATCCAGCCTTTTCTGATAATAACTTTAGGAGTGCTGATGCTGTCGGTTCGCATTGATAAACAAATCAAGCAGCAGCACCCTCTCTCGGCGCAACCAGGCGCCCATTGATAGCTTGGTGCTGGAAACCGGGAGAATCTATTTTTAGACATGCCGCTTACTGCCCGCTTATCGATTTTAAGGCATATAATGCATACAAATGTGTCAGCTGGCTGATATTTCTCCTTTGCGGACGGCGCTTTCCGAGACGCGAATGAGTGTGCCTCGAGTGTCTTTCTGTCTGCGAGACTAGCGCGCCGTCGGCCACCGCCAGAATTTCCTCTTTCTTCTTTCTTTCGTTGGCCGGCCGCGCCACAGCAGCAACCCGCGCCGCCCCGCGCAAGAGCCGCCCTTCTATTTCTTCTCCTTCCCCTCTTCACTTCGATATATATATATGCTGTGTGCATGTGCACTGCAACTGGGGGAGAAGGAGGAGGCGCGAAATAGAAGGGAAGTGTGATTTTGTGGGAGACATGAGTGACAGAGAAGACGAGCAGTTTCCTCTCGCGATGATTAATTGGATTTCACTGAAAGCAGCACTTTTTGGTGTGCGTCCGATTATGATTGGATGAGTCGTCTGGGCAGTTGCAGTCACAGAAAGCTCATGATCGGGTTGGATAGAAGCGCATTGGACATGCACACTCGAAATCTCCGGAGAGCACTTGAAAATATTGCATATTTTTGGGCCTCATTTCTAATTGTTACTCCTTGCCTCCTTATTTCGCGTCGTCTCGCACGCAAAATATATAGCCTTTGGAAGAAAGGGAAAGATGACTGAATAGGGTGTCGATTTACATTCAGAAAAGGAAAAAAGGGAGCACGGAAGGAGGAGAGACACCCGAATTACACTGAGATGATTGCAGGTAATCTTGCGGGCGATGGCCGAAATCGAGCCGCATGTGTCGTTGGACGACCCGAGCACGGCGATTAGCCGCGATTATGTCCTTGGAGTCATCAACGATCCCGACGAGAACTATCCATCTGTTAGTTTTTTATCGGGAAAAACCAACCCCTAAGTGAGAAAATAGGAAAACGCGGAGATTTGAGATCGACACGGGTTGAGATTGAAAATACGACGAAGAAACTAATAGTTATTCAGGGTATGAAAAAATGTGCTTTTTCTTCGTTTTTTTTTGCGTCAAAAAACCCAATTCAACGATGTAAAAAAACGGAAAAGAAACATACGCTTAGTAACCCCATAAAGAGACAGCGAGAAAGAAATACCAATCAAAAACAGTAAACGGAATGGTCATCTGAACTGTTTGCGTCAATTATCGAAGAATAAGTAAAATTAAAATGTTTTGATAGTTTTTCTCTTTGATTTCACGAGGAGAATTTTTAAAATTACAACGTTTTTAAAGATGCAAAAAAGCCTTGTACGCAATTGCGCGTGTAATAAGATGCTATTCACAAACAAATTTCTACCCTGCCTCTCTGAACTTCTGAAAACTTTGAACCACTGTGAATGAAAGACAAAATCAGATTTTTGCTTTCAGGAGTTCTACGATCACGTTCTGAAGTGTTGGAGAGACAAAGGAGTGATGGCTTGTTTCGAAAGGAGTAGTGAATATCAACTGATCGACTGTGCAAAATAGTGAGTTCGCTTACAGTAAGATGAATTTAACCGATGACCGAATTTGCAGTTTCCTGGACAAAGTAGACGTTGTAAGGCAAAGCAACTACGATCCATCCGAGCAGGACATCTTGAGGTGTCGTGTCATGACGACAGGCATCTTTGAGACAAAGTTCGAAGTAGATAAAGTCAGATTCCAGTAAGTTCAAAGAATAAATGATTTCGTGTAGACGAACTCATCCTCAAATATTTTCAGCATGTTCGATGTGGGAGGCCAACGAGATGAGCGCCGAAAATGGATTCAATGCTTCAACGACGTCACCGCCATCATCTTCGTCTGCGCTTCTTCCTCTTATAACCTCGTGCTTTGGGAAGACAACACTCAGAATCGGTGAGTTTTCATAATTGTTTCCCCCATCTCATTTCCTTTCTTTTGTAGACTACGCGAGTCTTTGGCGCTGTTCAAAAACATCTGGAACAACCGTTGGTTGAAGACCATTTCAGTCATTCTCTTTTTGAATAAACAGGATTTGCTCTCGGAGAAGATCCGTGCAAAGCGGTATCTGCTCGAATCGTTCTTCCCGGAGTTCGAGGGCTACAATCTGCCGACGGATGCGGTTTATGACAATCAGGAGGATAAAGACGTCGTCAGAGCGAAGTACTTCATTCGAGGAGAGTTCCTGGTACGTCGGGTTGGATTACACTGAAAGGCGGAAATAAAAAAGTAGAGTGCAGTTACTGTACCTTTAAAAGTTCATTTATTTCTCCACAATGAAATTCGGTTTTTTCTCAGAGAATATCAACGGCGAACAGCGACGGACGCCACCACTGCTATCCGCATTTCACGTGCGCCGTCGACACGGAAAACATCCGAAGGGTGTTCAACGACTGCCGCGACATCATCCAACGCATCCACCTGCGGCAGTACGAGCTCCTCTAACTTCTCGCGTCCTTCTTCTTTTCCGTGTGTGATCAATGTGTTCCAGCCGGTCGCGGGAGTAAGTCTTTGTCTAGTTGTATGTGCTGAATAACAGTTTCCATCCGATTCTCTCCCGCCTTTTCCCTCCCGATCCGTCCGAACTGCTCCTTCCTTTCTTTATCGCTTCCTCTTGCCGTTTATGTGCGTTTTCTCTCCTCTCCCCACTTAACCCTCCCTCTCCCCGCATTTTTGCCCGACTGGCCGGTTCCGGTCCCTTTTGCTCCGTCTTGTCTGGAATCGTCAACCGGCCACGACGCTCAAGCCTTTGTGATAATTCAAAGTGTCTTTGGTTCGCCAGAGACCGTCCCCGTCCCCCTTCCCTCTCCCAATTCTTTTCGCACAACGACGCCTTTTCCCCAATAAACAAGCTTGCCTCCGACGGTCTTCATCCCCTTTGAGCCCTTCTTCGGTTCGCATTTATATGTACCGCACTCTCGGGTTCAACGGAAGGTTGTCCCTCCCGTTGACACCTCTCTCCATGCTTTATCCTCATTTCTCTCTCTCTCTCTCTCTCCCTCTCCGTCTCTCTTTCTTTCTCATCATATTATTTTGCACCCGTTCTCTTATTTATTGTACTCGTCCACCAATCGAAAAGCTTTCTCGCAGTACTGTACTACAACTGATCGCTCCCCAGTCCCCCTCTCATCCTCCGACTTTAACCTTTCCGTGCTAGTCAACAAGTTTCCCCTCCCCGCCTTGTTCGTCATCCAATTCTAATGATTCGAAGTCCTCGAGCCGACTCCATCTCTTTCCGTTCTTTCCGATCAGATGATCGCTCAGTGGATGCCGTCGGTGGCCGTCGCCTGGTATTCAGGAGATGTCCGCGACGCCTTCCCTCCGAGGACTTCCTATCTTAGGCACTGCAATCATCCAATGTTTTGTCACCACAACGTGTAACTATACAATTCTGTTTTTGTCTTCTTTTTACTTTGAGATAAATTTTTTTGAATTTTGAAACTGGTTTTGTTCTTTTCATCTCAACGTTGTTTGCTACTGTTTTCCGCCTGCCTCCTCGTGTTTTTCTTTATATTCGAAAGAGCGAAAGTGTACGAAAAAGGAGAGAGAACAAGGGGAAGAGAACGAGAAGAAATACGTCTTCGGTGGCCGAAGATGATACTTTTTCCCGCGTGCCCAATCGAGAACCGTGCTGCCGGAATGCGCTCCCACGATAACACTTACAAGGTGAGTTTGGAAAGGTCTGGAATACTGGATACTGATTCGACTGGTACCCCCAGTGGATCTATCCCATCCGATTAGTGGTATCCCTTTTCACTCCCCTCTTTTCAATGCTTTTCTGCCGTTCCAAACAGTCTGCAATGGCAGTGGAAGAAAAATTTGCTTCAATTTGCGCTCCAGTTGAGCGGAACGGCGGAAAATGTACAACAAAGTGAGCAGTGTTCGTCAAAATATAATTACGGGCTGAACTGTTTGTATGAACAAGTTATGCAAGTTCTTTCGCCAACATTTTCAATTTGCTTTTCTCATTTTGTCGTACATTTGTTAGGTTGGCAATATTCTATGTTGCAATTTTACCATTCAACCCTTCTCCAACCGCCCCTCGATTCCCCGATTCCAGGCCTCCCTGATCCTGTCCGTTTTGGCCGATGTGCTCCTTTGCGCGGCTCTCATCGTTTCGCTCTTCTACTATTTTCACAACGGAATGCCATTTTCTCCCCATTACATCGTCGGCTTCTCTGCCTTTTTCATCCTCTTCGCTGGCTTTTTCGTCTCTCTTCTGATCGCCGTGCACACTAAAAAGATAACGGCGCTTCTGGTGGCCGTCGCGTTTACAGTAAGCTTCCGGGAATCATCCTGATCGACAGTACTCCAAATAGGTGGCTCGCTTCGTTTGCGCAATAATCGTTGTGATTGCTTGGATGTCGGAGTACGGCGGAAGGAGTGAGGACGAGCAGAAACCGAATGGGAACGAGACGGAGGACCCGTACAGATGGATCGCCAGTGAGCCATTCGCGAACTTTTGCGAGTTTCGAACGTAACTGTTGCAGACCGAAAGGCGTACCTTCTGATATTCGCTGGAATTTACATCAACATCTTCATCGCTCAACTGGTTATTCTCAACCGGTATTCGCCCATTTCCCTTCTCTAATTCCCTGTTCATTTTCAGATATTACTCTCAGGCGAACGACGAAAAACGACGAGAAGAGACGGAGAGAAACAAGGCGGATTTCTACTGAGTCCGCACGTGTTCCAGCCTTCTTTTCATTTGAATTTCCATCATGACTGTTCGCCATTGTTTTTATAATGTTGAATGTTGACATTGCAGCATATAAACAAGATATTGAGTCATCATGGTTCGTTTTTTTTCTCTCAAATTCAGTTCAAAAAATTGTCTGCCATGAATGTGAATGAACAGGATATGGAATTTCGGTCGTTTTCTCTCCGAGCACTGGATCGCGATCGTCATCAGTTTGGTCTGTTTGATTGTCATCCGGACACTCTTTAACAACATCCTCTTCCCGTATTATTATGAATCCTTCAGTGAGCGCTCACTCGGCTCCTCAATCTCCTTTTGTACTTTTCCAGAAAAGTGGTACGGGCTCGAGAGTATGTTGTCGGAAATGAAGGACATTTTGGAGGAGGACTACTCGGATCTCTGGCATGAGAGCGAATTCTGTCTCGCCTTTCTCGCAGTGCGAATCAATTTTGCGTTCACCTCAGAATTCATTCAATTTTCAGCTTCAAGATGAGCATCAGCGACTGGTCCGTCTGGCAAAAAGCAACGTGCACGGCGAGAATCCGAAGAGGTTTCATTGGGCGAACCGTTACGCGAAGATACACATCAAATGAAGTGTTCATTTTGAGCAAAACAATAAACAAAATGACTAGAGATTCGATTGGTTTGAGTTTTGGGGTTTGGGTTTCACACTAAACAAAGAAGAAATAAGAAAGTTAAAGAAAGCGTTGACAGTTGGCGGGACGGAGACAACTGGATTGGATTGAATTGAGCTGGGCACAATACACGTGGGAGCCGATCTTCGGAGGGAATCCTTTCCGAAAAGGACATTGGAAGACGGAGGGGATGGGACGGATAGGGCTAGATATCCTGAGATGGCTGGAGACGGAAAGAAGAGGTCATGAAGCTCGGGAGGACTATTTACACAAGGAGGAGGATGCGGAGAGCGTTAGAATACTCCGTAGTTCTTGGTCGTCTGGGCGACTCTCTTCAGGTCGTTGGCCAGTTCGTCGACTTCTCGCGGGTCGACGCGATGTCCGTGATCCGAGCGGGTGACCGATCGGATGGAACGAGTCGACTTTGTCTGCGAAAGAATGGCTTCAAGGGGAATGACGAGAAACGGCACGTACCCTCTGCATGCTGTTGTACTCGGAAGTCGGTCTCGTTGGCGGCCTTGTCTGTGACGTGGCAGGCCGTTCTCCGCTCAGCCATTCGTGCTTCAGAGCTCCCGTCGCACTCAATCTCTCCACGCAGTTGGTCTCCAGCAGAGAGTCCACAAACTGCTTGGCCAGCTCCGAACCCGACCAGAACTGAAAAATAAACAATTGGGAAGAGTCCCTGCGGCGGATGAACTCACCTGAGGGTAATATACATAGTTGGCAGTAATGATGTGCGTATAAAGCCGACTTCTGCAGTCGTCGTCAAACGGCATGATTCCGGACATGAGGATGTAGGCAATCACTCCAACCGCCCACATGTCGACCTTCTGGGTGTACGGTACTCTCAGAAGTAGCTCCGGGGCGATGTATTCTGGAGTTCCGCACGTTTCCGTCATCGTCTCATTCGGCTTCGTCGCTTGATATGCGAGTCCGAAATCAGTGATCAGAAGACGAGCTTCCGGCCGAGAATCCGAGTACAGAAGGTTTTCTGGTTTTAGATCTGTGCAAAGAATCAGTTTAGCCGGATCAGAAGACCTAAGCCATACCTCTGTGAGTGACCCGAATGGAATGGAGATAAGTGAGACCCGTGAGCAGCATCTTCAGTGCATTCCGCGCCTCCTCCTCAGAGTACCTTCCTTTCGCCACAACCCGATCGTACATCTCTCCGCCACTCGCCATTTGCATAACAATAAATAGTTTGGAAGAGGATTTGAACACCTGAAGAAGGGTGGAATTAGGACAGGTCATTGTAGGATGAGTACCTCTTCGAGACGGATCACGAACGGATGCGAGAGCCGACTCAGGATGTTCAGCTCGTTGTTTACGGCTCCGCAGTCCGAGTTGACCACTTTCACTGCGAAATACTTGCGAGTGACTCTGTGTTGGACACGGAGCACTTGCGAGAAGCTGCCCTTTCCGACGACTGCTAGCACCTCGTACTTGCAGACGAGCCGACTGTCGAAGCGCATTGCTGGCCGATCTCGGAGCACTGCGCACTCGCCCAGGGGCATCTCGCCGCCGTGCTGAAATGTTTAATGTGAATTGAATTCTGAACCAACAAAAGACGTGAACGTACCGGTGGAGGACAAGCTTGTGCCAGAGCATGGGGGTCGATGTGCGCCTTGTGGAAGAGATTGGAGAAGAAGCTGTTTCCCGATGAGCCGACGACCGAACCGCTCTGCTTTTGAGAGCAGTTACCCATGGTGGCTGGAAATGACTGATGAACACGACTAAAACGAACGAAAACGAAACGAATCTGATGTCGACCTGTGAAAAATGGGTCTCTGGGGAACATAGGTGACAAAGGACAAGCGCGGCAGTTCAAAGAGGCGAAAACAAAAAAGAACCAACGGGGAATTGGGAGGGGATGTGGATCTGGGGAAGAAGTGTAGCGGAAAGAGAATCAGAATCCACAAGGCTATCCGAATGGTAACTTTGAAATGAAACAGACTGTACATAAGGGGAGAGAAGGGAAAGAGTGCGGGAGATGGCGAGACGCAGAGAAGGGTGTGGTCAGGCGAGGCAAAGAGCGGGCGGTTCGGGGAGGTTCAGATGGAAAGGGATGAAAGTGGAACCATTGCCACTCCCAATCAAAAAGGGGCGAGAAAAAGGTGAAAAGGAAGGAAGGAGGGGGCGAAACGTATGACACGGACCGAATATTTTACGCATTTTTGCGCCCGAAAGGTCACAGAAGCAGAAGGTCTCGAGGCGAAAACATGTGTGTTTTCGGAAGGAAAAGAGAACGGAATGGAGGAGTCGGCAATGGTCAGTTCGAACGGAATGGGCCACTTTTGAATACAATCGGCAATATGTTCTGTGCTCTTTGCTCAAATACTGTTGAGCAGAGTGGGAAGTCTGCTCGGTCCTGGTTGAATCCGAGGATGTTTGTGATCAGTACTCCTCCCGTCACTGACGTATCTGCCCCCGAAATAAAGTGCTCAAAAAAGAACTCCCTCGTAAGTGGTTTTTGAGGTTAAGATTAGGACAGAACGGCAGAGAGAACACGTGCTTCCAGACAGTGTTCGGCCGAGTGTTTGAGGGCAAGAAGAGTCGGGTTGTCACGTAGTACGATTGGGTTGCGACTTTCCTAGAGAAAGATACTAATCGCAACGAATGAATTTAATGGACCTGCCAACCCGAAGAAACGTGTTTGATCAGCGAGGAAGCGGCAGGAAAAACCATGTCGTGGCCTGCTTCCCGCAAGGCTCAAAACTCAAATAGATCAGTTTTTGTGGCGAGCACACATGTTGCGGAGGTGGGAGGAAACTCAAGATGATCGCGATGACTAACTAGGGAAAAGAAGATCTTTGCAGCACTTTGAACAAGAAGGAAACAGTTAGGATTATAAAGCCCCGTTGCACAAGTTCTGCAGGGGATATATAGAGCTGAGAGAGAGAGAGAGAGAGAAAAAGAGAGAAAGAGAAAGAGAACGAACGGTGGAGAGAGCCGATCGGAGAGCGTCGACCGGGGAGAGAAATGCAACACTTGGTGTTGAAAAATGAATAATAGGTATGAGATATGACAAGTGAGCGAGGTTTCCTCTCCCTCTCCTTCTCTCTGTTTCCGTCGTCCGGGAGCAGCCGGGCGGACTCTCGAGAGGTCTCCTCTCCGATTGTGACATTACAGCCTGCGAAGACGACACAACGAGGTGGCGGCGGGGAGGGAGGCACCAGGCGAAGGAAACATCATGTGAAACGGTGGCGAGCGAGCCGATTTCGAGTGGCTCAACGCAAATATTGTATTCATTTTCTGCTGCTGCTGTCTGCAGTAGCGTCTTCCTCGGGTCGGAGACAGTACTGGTAGGGGCGACGGTTCGAGTGGGACAGCGGAGAGAGCGAGCGGGACGCCGAGACACAGACACAATTTAATTGAAACTTTACGGTTTGTTGCCTTTGTTTGAATACCGCTGTGTTGTGTGAAGAAGTTAGTGCCGAAATGGAAGAAGCGTCTTCTGATCAAGAGGAATACAGAGGCGCTTCCCCTTTTCTGCGGTGACGGAAATGAAAAAGAAACATGTGCTTGGAGGGATGGCAACCATATGATGATATCTCTCAAAATTCGAAACACACATTGATTTGATGGTCAGCTGAGGGAGACAGAGAGGTTATGATAGATGAGGAAGGTCTCGGCGTGACAGATAGTAGTCAAGTGGCAGAACGTCGTAACAAGCGCATCAAGGAGACACCACTACACATCGGTAGATTTTCTGATATGAACTGCTTAAAAGAAACGAATCGAGGGAAATGAGTGTCATTGAGGAGGAAGAGAACAAAGGACGAAAGGGACGAGTACTGTAGATTGAATCTCGTGATTCCTTTCAACAATCTGGAGGAAGGGCAAAGGGTTACTGAACTGTGTTTGCATTCGGTTTGATGGTATTACTAAAATGAGCTCGGTGTGAAAATGAACGGTCAACACACACGTAAAAATGCAAAAACAGACAATTTGAATGTCGAAATCACACACTGGAATGAACACAACAAATCGGAATTCGAATAGTGTGATAAGCGATCCTTCCTGTCGAAATGAACTAGCCGATTGGGCCGATCTGCCGCCGTCAAGTGTGTCGCTTTTTCCGCTTTTCATAACAATTACTCGCGAAAGTGTGCCGATTTGTTTTTGTTTGGCCTCTCGTTCGTCTCGACGAGGCGTCTCTTCCTCCCGACCTCCTCAATAACAACTTGATATCGTATGATCGAGACAATCTTGAAGGCGGATGAATTGCAGCCGACGTCACAATTAATTGGAAGCAGTAGACACCGATTTGTAATCGAAAAACATTGATCTCGTAAATGAGAAAACGTCGGAAATCATTCCCATTTCGAACGATCACAGATTATGGATGGCAAGGTAGGTTCTGAGTCAGTTAAAGTTGAAACTGAATAGAAAAAGGAGAAGCAAAGAGATAAGAGATGCAAACTAAAAGAGACGATCAGTGAAAGGAAGCCCTCCTCCTCGATTGCATAACCCGTCCTTCCTTTCTTCCCGTCGCATCGATCATTTCTTTTGCCTCGGCTTCACACCCACACTGGAAAACGTGAAGTCAACGGAGAGGAAGCGCTTCTCAAAGTGACAGCTACTGTCACTCAATGGCTTTTGACCTATCAGGTTACCTCCGGATATATCACAAATAACACTCTAGGGCGACGAGCACGCACACTTTTTGCCGTGTCGTTGATCTATCGGTTCTGCTGTCGTTGAAATATGATCAAGGAGAAAGTGCCGAAGAAAAGCAATGTTAGAAGGCATGAAAGAGCGGTGGCTCTCTGATCTAAGGATTTGCAAGGGGTGATCGTTTGGCGGAGATCGAGACTGAATACTGGGGTGGTCAGAGCACATTCTCTAATTTTTCAATTGTTCGATTCTGCACTTCAAGTCAGACTTCTGAGAAGACTTCTCCGACAGATTTCAATGTTATTATGAAACACTACTGTAGTTCATAAGTTGTGCACTGTGCACTTTTTCGGGTTATGTGAGACATTAGCCAAATTTCTTGCAATCCAGTACTGCAGTTGCGTTCAGATTCGAAATGAGCAGAGAGAGTTTCTGCTCAAATTCATCCGAGCCGTCGTCGAACAGCGAAGACGTCATCATAGTTGACGAGTCTGAAAAAGAACGGATCATAAATCAGGTATCTTTCTTAGGCGTTTCCCTCTCATCGCTTCTTTTAAGGGTCTCCCTTTGGATTGGCTCGTTCGATCAAATGTTGTGAGCACTCCGGAGACACTAATCTACTTGTCGCAACAAAGAGAAAAATGGATACACGAAGATCAGAAGCTCATTCTTTTCATTCTCCAGGTGCCACTGCCAAAACAGAACTTGTTCACATCTATTTCTAGGAATACGATAGAACCGTGAGAGTGCTGATTCCGGAGAACGATCCTTCGTGTGTTTTCCCTAAGCGCAACATTAGTGTGGCCGAGAAACTGGCAGCGAATTGCGGCGACTCGAAGGAACTCTACGATTTCACGTGTCGTCTTCTGGAGTTGGTCAGAGAAGAGCCGGTATTATGGGACCGACAGAACTCGCCGTTCTTTGGATATCATCAGCCGATGCGACGCGCGTGGTGCAGCATTTCGCTGAAACTCGGAGGATGGGGATCGATACAGCACGTGCACATGCTGAAACAGTACTATCGGCGGAAAAGAGATCAGTTCAACATAGACCACCTGAGGCTCGGCCGCCCGTTTTTGTACAGCGAGTGAGTTTTGAAAATGCATACTTCATTGTGATTAATGCTTTCAGACAGCTTGACTTTCTGAAAAACATTTTGGAGATGGCAAGAGTAGGAAAGGTTCCCAACGGAGCAATCACCATTGAAGAGCACGTGCACGCCTCGGCTCCCGACATCGAGTTCGAACAGGAAATTCTGGAAGCGCCAACAGATGTTCAATTCATTTTAAAGTGAGAAAAGACGCTCACAAATAAATTATGTTTGTTTTTTAAGAAAAGTGACCGAGTCGATAGATGAGATTGCTGAGAGATATCCTCCGGCGGCGCTGGCCGAGTATCTCACCCTGTGCTGCAATGAAGTCGTCAAAAACCGAGAAGACCTGGCGACGGCCCAACTCCACGACTGTAAATAACTATATTTTCATCCCTAAAAATTTTTATTAGCCTGTTTTTTTTCTGTGCGTTCCCTCGAGAAAGTCGTTCGCTTTTCCCTTGTTTCTTTCCCTATATACCCGATCACAAATAGGCCGAAAAAACCCGATTATCTCTGCGCGGCGAAAAGTACAAAGCGAAAAAAACTGAACGCGTCGTCGCAAAAACTTGGTTGGCGCGTGTACAGTACCCTATGGGAGACTGGAAACGTTTCGAATTCTCTATTATGTAGAACGGAAAAACGACTGAACAGCCTTGAAGAAAAAGCGAATTTGTTGTCACACAAAAAGGTTTCAGTCACTTCAGGACATTCCGATGACAGATGATGATGATAAGAAGGAAGTATGCGATGACGTGGCTAAAGATGTAGACGACGACGAAGAAGAAGAAGAAGGGCGATGAAACCGAGAAAGGTCACATAATTTGTAAGAAAAACCGTCTGATTCGGAGGCACGGAACAGGTATTCTCAGCGGAAAGTCTCGTTGTTCTGCGGGAAAAAAAAGGTTATCGAGAAGAGAAGACAAACTTCTCACTAGTTACTATTTACTTTCCCATCCCGGCGATTAGACAACACGAAAACGTCTTGCTCGTCTGTAATAATAGTTTTATGAATTCTTGACACTTGACATTTCTATTGGAATACAGGTCAATGAACCTTCTTCTCATTTCCCAAGGGGGAAGTTTTATGCTCGTGGGGAGACAGTTTTCTATCCCACTATTAGGTTCAGTTTGCTCAGGATTTGACGCTTGTCACAGGTCAAGAAGGTTTTATATGAATACGAATGCTCGGATGATCAGGTCATAGACAGTTCATGGATTACATGGCACAGATGCTTCAAAAAGAAAAACGGGCGACAAGCTTTTCTCTTATACACATTCAATTTATTTCTTTTTCGTGATGTTATTGGTCGAGGAAGGGCGGTCCCTCCGCGATTACTACGGTACTCTTAGTTGGGCGGTTGTCTGGAGATAACAAGTTCGGTCGCCCCTTTACACACTTCGTGCCCTTTCCTGCGAGTTCTGATCGCTTTACCGCGGAGTACTGTAAACTGAGAAAAAGAGAGGGAGAGGAACTGATTGCTTGTGCCAGGTCGACTAATGCAAAAGGACGTTGGGTTGTTGTGCGGGAAATGTCTTGATTCGAACACAAGGGGCCAATAGGAGAACTTTTGAGACGAGAAAAAGAGATGGGTGTTATCATTTGGGGGAAGCAGTCGATCAAGTAGTACAATCGGGTTATTCGAAGAAGTTTCCGTCTGTTCCGATCTTCTTCTTTTAATTAAACGGTCTGGGTAACGGCCCCTATCATCCCGATTCAAAAAGCAAGCGGTACGTTGATTTGCTCCGCTTCTCCTTCCCTCGGTTGTTGCACTATACGCGCCTTCTCCTGTCGGTTCTGCAACGGTGTACGATTGTAATGAGCATGTCTTCGATGACGTGGCGCTCTCCTTGGAAGTCCCAAGTTCATGTGAGTGTGACCCCATCCGACGTGTGTTTCCAACAGTTTTTTGCATTCGAAAGACACAATTCAAATTTGCGCAACACTCGACGTCTTCCTCTCTCTCTCTCTTCCATCCCACCGCGATTGCCCATTTCATTGATGTTCCGAGAAAGGTCATCCCTCTTACTCCCCCCCATTCCCTCCTTTTTTCCTCATTTCCTCTCTTCACTCACTATGCGTACAAGGCTTTAATGAACGAGGTGGCGCCGGGCGACCGAAAAACCGAAGGCGAATGTGTCGCGAAGTGCACGGACGGACGGCCCCAACATGGGCTTCCTCTTGACCCGAATTCGACTCGAAACAATGAAAAGTGACACCTCGCAGGAATCATTGAGAAGATATGGCAGTGATAAGCGTGGAGGAGGACGAGAAAAAGAGAACTTGTCCTTTTGGAATCCGCAGGCTTAGTCATGTGATGAGGGCAACAACAAAAGGAAAACCAACAGTTATTGTTCCCCGTATCGATAATAATCATTCCGTTGACAAAATTGTGCGTGATAACGGAAGGTTACGGTAGCGACGTCACAACAAAACCGTCAGAGAGAGCAACGAAATGAGAAAGAAGCACGTGGGTTTCGAATGAACGCGAACTGCAGTATCACCAGTGCTTCAGAGCTCATCACATTCCTGAAACGACTTCTTTCCAGATGACCCTCCCTCCTTTTCCGTCGGTTTCGTTTATTTTGTCGCGAGGCATGGTTGGGAAGCTGTCGAAAAGATCGGATTTTTTGTCCTATATATGTGTCAGACCACTCGGAGTGCACTATGCGACCTCGGACAAAAACGGCAGTACGCGTCTACTTGTAAGGGAGCGAGGAAAGCCCGTCTCGGCCCAGTTTGTCTCTTTAATCGCGGTTCAAAAGTGCGCGATTATCAAGTTCCTCCTCGTCCTTCTCGCCCTTCCATTTGTCCGTTTTTCTTCTTTGATTCCAATCCGACGATGTTTCTGAAACTCAATAAACTGCTAGTCGGAGTGCTTCTTCCACTTCTTGTCACTCTCACTTCCCATGCATAACCGATCAAATTCGCCCGTAGTTGTTACCTTGACCCGAAATGGAAAAGAGAGCAAGAGCAAGAGCAACTAGTCTCATTTTTTGCTGCACATGTTCCATATATATGACCGCATGCATTTTTGATTGTCCGCTTCTTGTCGCCCCCGACGTGTCAACGACATAGTGTTTCAAGTGCAGATTGGATCTTCGGTCCCTCCGCAAGGACGTATCGAGCACCAACCAACGACTATTATTACTATTTGCAAACTATCTGTAACCGCTATACCGAATTTGGTAACCGAAGATTAGATACGGTCGGAAACGCTGTTGAAATCGTCGGGCGGTCGTCGCAAAGATCTAACTGCCAGATTGCCTTCTTCCCCTCGCCAAGATCGAATGAACTTTGCTGAACCGCGCCGCCGCCGTCGTCACAGTTCGGCCCGTTCTCACATGCTGGTTTGATGCCACACTTTGTGACGCTATCACTTCGGTGTCAACTATGCGCTCACTGCTGATACAACTGATAAAATCGTGGCGACAGCGTCGGTAAACTATGCCGGTGGTGGAGCAAGCAGGACGGCGCGTCCTCCTAGACTATAAGAACCGATGGTTTCCCGGAAGGAAATTGCGTACGCAGCTGTTGAAATGGCCGGGTAAACAGGCTCTCCGATGGGAGTATAATAATGCAATGAGCCTGGAACTGCGATTCTCTACACTTGTCAAGATAGAAATAACACGTAGTGCTGTTCGCATTGCGCTCTTCGGCTGCAACTGATCCCCCAGTGGCTTACAATAAATGAATTCCAGCTTGCGGGAATACAAAGTCGCGTCACCGCAGTCGCTGATCAGTTTGACTATAACAAACAGATTGATAACAAGAGCAGGTCGCCTCGTCCTGGTTCGAGTCGTTCCGTTATCGGTGTGCCGTAGCTATGCGTATAGCACTCCTTTTTAGCCGACTCACTCTCGTGCACAACTCGCTCGCGAACTGATCACTTGTTGGAAACAATCGGGGCTCATGCTCTGTACTTGTCTTCTTCTTCTTCTGCTTAACTTTCTCTTCCTCATCCCGTTGCTCTTTTGCTCCATTCTGCCCGCTATCATCTCTTTCGACACTGATCGGTGATCGGCATTGATTATGTGATGACGCTTGAACTTTTATATCCGTTTGACCCAGCTCTCTGTAAATCATGTATTCGAATCATGGACACATTCCGAGCAATTATATAACTGTCGCTCTTTTTTAGAGGGTTTTATGATCCCGTCCATGTACTATCTCAACATATTTTTATGGCTATTGTCTGTCTTCTCATATTCACAATACGGTCGGCTATCTTTTTGCTTCAAAAACATTTTTCATCTCAAGCGAACCTAACGGACAAAAGAGGCGTGGCCACACTGCTCGCCAATAAAAACACAATGATTGCTCTCCCTCCAACTCTTCGTTCAGTTTTTTCGTGTCCCGCCTCACCCCTCACAACTGGCGTGTGTGTGGGGAGTAAACATTGCACTTTTTGGCCCCGCCCCTTTTTTCGAAGAAACATCTCTCGTTCGTCTCTGCGTCTCGTTCAGGTCCGCCCCTTCGATCTGCCAGACCACACCGATTCGAGATTCTTATTTGTGGTCTCTCGTGGTCTCATATAGTTTAGTCCCTCCCAATCCGACCGTTTCTCTTATCGCCCAACCTGTTTACCATTCCTATTTTTGTGCAAAACTTTGTTTGTGCAACGCCTCCCGTTTAATACAAAACTATAAAAAACAGACGGAGTTAGAGATATCTGACTGATACGTTCTCTTCTTGCTCTCTCGCCCAACCTGCTCTCATTTCAGATGCTGTTTACGATGGAGCAAATTGAACTGATCCGTCGTCTCCGAGTCACCGGCATCTCCTCCGATCAACTGCTCAAGGCGTTCGGGGACCTGGAAGTCAGTCAGTCCTCGGACAATAACAACAAGCTGCCAGCCGCCCTCTACAGTCCCCTTCTGGTCCAACACCTCACCTCTTCTCCTTCCATATCTCCTCAGCTGCTGGCCCCTCCAAGAAGGCCAGAGTCCCTGACAGTGCAGACTGTGCCTCCAGCAGTTTCAGTAAAAGAGGAACAGAGTTCTCCACTCCCCGCGGGCATTCCCGCTTCTCCCTCCTCCGCAGTCTTCGAACACCCGATCTGCTCCAGTGCTCCCCGACCGATTCGCAGTCAGAGAACTCCGATGAAAGAGATCACGACCCTGGACGATCCGAACGAGCTGGAAGAGTTCATGCGACAGGGGGAAGAGGCGTGCATTCTCGACATGAAGACATTCATCACACAGTACTCGCTCAGACAGACTACTGTAGCCATGATGACAGGTGAGCCCGTGGCCCTCATATATTATAGGGGCACCGGACAGAAAGGGCGCGCTGTTCGCAATCTGGCCGAATTTCTAGGCCGCGATGTAATTTTCCATTGAAAATGTGGCCTAACTTTCAAACTCGGCCCCGAGGTCGCTCAATTTGCACTGCAAACGGAGTTTCTCAACAGAGCGCCATTTCTGTGCGGTGCCCCTATAATACTCGCCCAATGACCCCACTTCATTCCAGGTGTCAGTCAACCGTACATCTCCAAACTTCTCAACGGAAACCACCGGGAGCTGTCCCTCCGTTGTCGCAAAAACATCTACTGCTGGTACCTGAACTGCCGTCGCCATCCGAATAAACTCGCCGCGTTCCTCAACGATCCGTCGACGCGTCTCGAGACGAACGGAGACGGAGAGCTCGTGCCGCAGCGTCGCGAGAGATACGTGTTCCGTCCTATTCTGATCCGAATGCTCGAAAGCTTCTTCGCCCAGACCCCGTTTCCTGATCTGCCCCGCCGTACCGAGATCGCAGCAGCCTGCAACCACATGCTTCAGCTGGACAAGAAGGGAGTCGGTCTGATGCCGAAGGAGGTGGTTTCCCCACAAGTCGTGTCAAATTGGTTCGCCAACAAAAGAAAGGAACTAAGAAGACGTTCGGCCGAAGCGACCGCCGCCTCCTCCTCCTCCTCCGCTTCCTCCTCCTCGTCTGCGAACAACGACGTTTCGAGCATTTCGAGTATGAGTCCCCGTGATGAAGAGGTAATTCCATTTCCATTCTCTCTCACATTCCGCAACATTACGACGTTTCCCAGCCATTTCCCAAGTTATATACCCCCTTGTAAACCCTTCTCCATCATAATGTCCATCGTTTCCAGACCTCTCGCAATACGACCCCGGAGACCGTCTCCCCTGCTCCGGTCGACTCGCAACAGGCGACCGTCGCCCCTCCGATGGTCCCGCTCGTCCTGCCGATGCCCTCGCTCCTTCCCTCCACTCCGTCCCCGTTGGAATTGATCGCTCTGGCCCAACGACTCGGCATCCAACTGCCGTCCCTTCTGGACACTCCCGCCCCGTTCCCTTCCCTCAATACCTCTTTCCTTCCTTTCCCTTCGACCCTTCCCTTCTACAGTAATCCCTCGTCGGCGCCCGTTCTTCATACCGAATAGCTCTTTTCGTTCTCATTCAATTTATTTTCCTTCCCATGACAATTATTCTCTTTCCCCCTATTTATTAGTCTGTTTTAGTGTGTGCTCCACAGTCTGAAAATCCGTTTAAGAGATTACGAGTTTAAGATCTTGAAAGTAATAATAATAATAACATTATTATGACGATCCTTCCCCCAGATACTATTGCTGTTTCGTGTTGTTTCGCTTGCCCAACCACCTTTTTCTAGAATTCCGTCATTATTTGTGCAATAATAATATTTGTGTGTGACTGTCAGCCGTCGGAACCGTGATTTGGTTTCATTGAATAAAGTTCTCGGATGATAAAAAGTTAAAGAAAAATAAAAAAAAACTAATCGGTTAATAGTTGGAGTTTCGGAGTCGTAGAGTCAACAAAAGTGCCATTTTTCCATCGGATTGTCAGCGATTCAGCTGCATCCGTAGTCGTGGAGACGTACATTCAAACTTTTTCGTTGCCGTCAGTTTCTCTCCGGGGTGATAGCTTTCCAGACACTTTTCTCTCAAACTCCTTTTCGCTTCTTTTCGCCCACCCTCAATTCGTGAGATTCCCACGCCCAAAGAGCTCTTTTTCTGCTCGGACGGCCACGTCACTTTTCCTTCCTCTCCGTTTCCACGTCATAATACATTCAGGTATCCGATTGCCGCTTTTCGCCCTGTTGCTTTCCCAATAATCCAATAATCGTCTACCTTCTCATGAAATGGCGGAAAGTAATCAGAAAACAGAAGAATACAAGTGTGAGTCTGGTGGAGCAGAGCAGCCGGAGCCACCGCATTCATCACAAATCGGCTCGGTGTGTGTGTGTGTGTGTGTGTGTGAGAGAGTGAGTGAGTGAGTGTGAGTGTGTCAGCATGTAATATGCCCTTGTATTGGGCCGTCCGTAGTTGCCGCCGGATGAATGAATATTCAATAGAAGAAGGCTTTCTGGCAGCACGGAGAGCCCCCATCACTCACGGCAGCGGTGGTAGCTCCACGAATTAACGAGAACGTCTCAAATGACTGGGGGCTCACTCTTTTTTGCTCGGCTTTCCCATCCGTCTCTCCGTTGTTTCTCTATGGTAATCTCGTTTCGAAGGTGTTCTAGACAGCCGAAAGATACCCGGTCGGACGGGCGGAAATCCCAATTCCGGAGGGACACTTTCACCCCACACAGAGGGTGTCGCAGCTTACTTTTCAAACACCACTCTTTTCGCGCTTTTCCGACAAAAAACCGCCGAACTTTTTGATGTATCTTCCTCTTCTTCTTCTCCTCCGCCTTTCCCTTTTCCGATCCATGTCAGTCAGGAAGAGTTTCTAGAAATATGTACATGGTCATTTGTCTTTCACGGTTCATTCAGAGTTCCGTGTGTCTTGAGGGCTCATCTCAATTGCATGTTAAATTAGAAAAGAATGAAATTGTTTCGGTGCCTCCTTGTGCTCCTCTTCTTCTTCTGCTTCTTCTTCTCTGTCTTCTGCTTCCTTTTGCTTCCGACGCCACGCACTTTTGACTGTGATTCGTGCCATTCGTTTCAATTAAACGCTTTCTCGCCGGCTCCTGCTTTCCTCTCTTTCACGTGCCCTCACTCTTTCTTTCTCTCCCTAATCTTGCCTTTTCAATAGGATTATCCGTGCGTGTGTCGGCGGGAGGAAGTGTGCAGAAACAGAGCAGAATAGGGAGGAAGCAGCAGATAGATAGACTGAAATCTTTTGTGCCAATTTCAAAATTTCCACTCTGGCGACGACACATGCCAACGAAGCGGTGAGGAAGCGATGAGATGATGGAGAGCCGGCGATGGCGTTGCTCAAAGTGCGCGACGAGTGTACGAAGCTGATCGGACATCGGTGAGTCCGCGAGAAACGTTCTCGAAAGGAACAGACGACGGCAGGTTTCTCAACTCGCACATTTGTCTGGTCATCGCGATGCTGCAGCTTCTCGTCTGTTGCTGGGCCGTCGCTCAACACGTCAACTCGTACCTCATGCACAGTAAGGTGAGACCGTGAAGTGCTGGAGAGCAAGACTAGGCAAGAGGCCGGCCCAGGCTTTTTGAGGCCTACACTTCAGAACCTTTTTCGCCTTCCATGTACATGCCCAAATATAAGAAGCCTGCAACGTTCTGGTCTGATGGCATTATTGCATGTTGTTCGGAAACTTAGGCTCAAGCTTTCAACAAGCCCAGAATTGCTGTGAAGGCAAAGAGTCATCCCATGTTCAGATTCTGAAGTGCGATTTCCTAGAGGGCAGCCTCCCTCTCGAAGCAGTCGACGCCGTCATCTTCGACATTCGCCTCTTCCACTACTTGTGGGGAATCCGTGGCTGCGTGGCCGAATACCTCGATGGCGGTGAGTCCGTTCCCACGACGCCGCCCTCCTTATCCGTGCCCTCAGGCTTCGGACGTCTTCTTTGGTGTGTCTCCCATTGTCTCACACTCATTTTCTCGATCCCCGTCACGTTCCTCTCGCATCCCAGACCGTACCTCTTCTGGCCGTTGCTCTTCCAAGTAAGTTCATCTTCTCCGTTTCGATCAAAAAACAAGTAGGCGGGAGGGACGAAACGGTCCCCGGGGACGTCGCAAACGGATGACATTTGACGGGTTATGTGCCCTGAACAGACAATTGCTGACGGATATTTGAAAGCGCAAAACGCAATAAAAGTGGTGTGAGACTGAAAAAGGACAAGAAAAAAGACGGATTACTGTAGTCAACTGTGGACGTTTCGAACTCTGCGAGCGCACCGAAATGTCCGTCGCATCCTGCTGAAATCTGAGCCGTTTTGTGATCGGTTGGCGGGCATGTCTAGACAAAAACTACAGTCTCTCTTTCAATGGGTCACCCGGAGTAAAAAGACAAACACGTCCCGGCGGTTCCGTTTCGGATCAAACCGACCAACATCTTGCATGGAGTCCTGCCGCGGACCTCCAGAATCGAGAAAGTGCAACGAAGATGAGGGTCGTTAAACGTTTACACTTGAGCCGATTCCCGGGCCAAACAACTTTGGGGGGCCATCCGATCCGAACACATGTCACCCCCAGGCTTCCCGACTCTCCTTCTCTCGCTCCCACACACTCTCTTCACCCATCGCGCCCCACATTTTTTGTAATCGTTTCTTCCTCTTCTTCTAGAGCGTCGATGAGATGAAAGAAAAAAGAAGAAGAAAGAGAGAACACATAAAACACACACACTCCGATGGATGCTACCGTAATATCATATAAAGTGTGTCTGCGTCTCACGGCGCTGGGGGCGCGAGGGAACGAGCGATCGCTCGAAAGATGCAAAAAGTGCAAAGAAATTAGAAAAGAGACCGGTCGCAGCGTCTCCTGCCCAAACACTATTTCCCGACCGTCGCCGGCTGTCTCTCTCCCTTTTTAACTATAAAAAATGCGGGCTGAACGAAGGCGAAAGAGAGTTTTTTGGACGCCGCCGCAGCTGCCGACACTGGATGTTTCGAGTGAAGAGAATGATGATGATGATGAAGACGAAGAAGAAGAACTGGGGGAGAGAGAAATGGGCCACCGAGAGGGAGACTTCTTGAAGGGGGCTAGACACCGCAACAAGGTCAACAAATGACTGGTATGTAGACTTTTGGTTAGCCATGTATTGAACAGTTGTGATCTCGAGTGCAGGAAGGTGATTCCTTCGGAGACTTTTGGATACCTCTGGAATTCTGAAACGATTCCACACTATTCCTGATTTGTGCTCATCTCACTTCAGCTCTCTTGTGCAATACAACGGGGTCATCCTGCGTTTTTCGGCCGCCGGTTTTTGCTCACTCGAAAACCAAAAGTCCATGAAAAGAAGATCGGGCCCATAAAAGTGCATTCTAGACAGACAACCGGATTACGGTAGTCCTCTTTCTCTCTCTCCCGCGCACAAACATCCAGAGAGAGAGAGAGAGAGAGAGAGAATTCACTCGAAACGATAACGGTTTTTGTTTATTCTCGACCCGAAAAAGTGAGACGGCGACGTTGTGCGAAATGCACGCGTCTCCGTCTCTCGGATGCGCCCGCTCCCTCGGTTCCGAAGCGTCACCCCCAGGCAAACAGGACGCCCGAACACAGCGAAAAAATGGCTTCACCGCATAAAAGTGCAAGTGCGAGCGACAGTGCGCGGCAACACAAGAGAGCGAGCAGAGAAAGAGAGAGAACACACAAAGCGACGTATAGTTAGTCCGGATGGAGATGGTTTCAACAATCAAAAATTGAGTGGGGAAGGGAACTGTCTTCTTTTGCAGCAATCCGCCTACGGAATCTGTCTCCTCGTGCTCCTCCTGGCCGCCCTTCCTCGGATCGTCATCGTGCTCGCTGCTCCACAAGCCGCTCCGCTCGTCCCCATTCTTTTCTACTTTTTAGGCACTGCACTCAACTTTTTTCATGTAAGATCAAAGAAAGTGATACATGCTCGGCAAGCGGGTCCCTTGCAGTTGTACGTGTACTGGCACTGGTACTGGCACGTGACTGCCATGTGGAACTCTGTGGTTCGGGTGAAGTTCGGCGAGCGATTGGTGAATGCGAACAATCGGAGCAGAAGGGACAAGCCGATGGTGCCGAAGGAGGAAATCGATGAGGCGATTCTGCACTACGTGCCTGGCGAAAGACCGCCCGATCAGAACCACGTGGATGCTCGGCCGCCCAAGGTGGGAGCATCCCGCGATCAAGTGTTCCATGTTCAATCTTCCAGGTGATCATCCCTCCGAACCCTTCTCAACCCGTCCGTTCTCCACCTCAATCTCCTCCCCAATCGAATAGAAATCGTCGTCGTCGTCATTCGTCTCCAGAAGTGCCGAAGCAGACGTCCTGCCGGAAACTCCTTCCGAATCAATCGTCCTCTTCCCGTCCTCGAGTGTATTTGAGTGAAGAAGAAGACGACGATGAAACCGATGGCGGGGACGAGGCCGACGTCGACGAACTGCCAAGCCCGCCGCCTCCGATCTACGCGACCCGTCTAACTGCGGACTCGTGGGAAAATCGGAGACTGCGTGCGCCCGGAAGAAGACATCTCCCGCAGACTCCCGACCTTCCGAAGCACGGCGAACTTCCCGTTCTTTTCAATATTGCGCATGCTAATGTCTAGGCATTTATTTTTTGTTTTCTGGTATGCTTTCGGAACCTCAAAGTGTTATTGGCTTCCTGAAATGCAAGGTCCCTTGTGGTCATCCGAATCCGAGCAAACACTTCCTTCCGTCCCTTTTCTTTCATTCCGAGTGATTATTTTGCCCCCCGACGGACGCCTTTCACTCTGTCTAGTACGGGTTCGCAGTCATTGAATAAACTATGAGATCTCAAAGAAACAAACAAGAATTCCTCGATTCCGCTCCCGGCCGCCCGTCGTCTCCATGGCGACCCAATAATAAGAGGAGGGGGCCCGGCGAGCAGCGCTCCATTGTCGGAATGACGAGCATCTATGTGTGGGTGCGCACCGTCCGTTCCCTCCAATTCTTTCTTCCCTCTCTCGACGCTGACTCGGATTGTTTCGCAGTATTTCTTGAAATTTGCTCCGAAGTGATCGGAATGCTCCCGAAAGCAGATCAGATTAGGTCAGATTTCCAATTATCTCTCCTCATAACCGTTACCTTTTTTCAGTTTCGACGAGTTCGGAGCCTTGTGCAACGAGCGAATTGCGGAGAATCATTTAGAAGCGATATTCCAGAATTCTGTGGAAAGTGGCAAAGTGAGAAGCGGACTTGAGAAAGTAGTAAACTGAACGAATTCAGGGGAATGCACGGATTAGGATGCTCGCTTATTCTCTCTTATTCGCCGGATTACAATTGAGAACGAAGGATTTGGGGACGGCGACGCATTCGGAGATCCTTCTCAACAGGCTCTCAAAATACTTCGGCAAGTTTTATGCTTTTTCTCAAATCTCACTTCCTATTTTGCAGGTCCCATTTTCAAACTTCTGTTCCAATTAGACGTTGGCAAACGTCTCCAAGACAGAGAAATCGTGCACGCAATCGGAAATGGCCAGGTGAGGATGATGGCTTCCGCCGCTGTCTCGTTTCCCCGAGTGGGCGGAGCATGCGCGCGTGTGTAGCATAGCGGGCGGCGGAACCCGCGAGGTGTCGGCTGCAGCCAATAGACGTAAATCGGCGTCTCGCTGTCTTCGGCGAGACCATACTATACAGAATCATTTCTGCAGTATGTATCTCGTAATTCCCATCAAATTGGTAGAGATGCCATCCGCGATGAGTGGGAGACGGGCGGGCCGCGAGCGTGAAGCAGCTTTTCGGAGCTTGATGACCGCACGGAGCCGATCTATTTTGGTGCCGTAGTGGCCCGCTCTTCTGAGCGGATATAAAATCGAGAGTCAAAATAAAAGTGCAACGTCAGGGCTACGAGTTTCTGGATGGATTACTCGAAGGCACGACAAAACATAGACAAGGGAACTCGAATCAGCACGGTGTCCGTCCACTCTCACACATTATTCCGTCGATTCTGGAGAAGGCGAATAGCATTTCCCTGCCTTTTCTCTGCAATGAAATACGGAGACATCTCATCAGAGACCCGTATCACATCGATGAATTCGCCTCTGAAAAGTCGAACAGTGTATTTTCCACGACGAGAAGAACGACGTTGGCGCATAACAGCAGAAGAGTCGTTCGATTTCACTATATTAACAAGATTGAGGTTGGCAAGAACGGATGGCTCTTTCGGTAAATAAAAAGGGATTCAGGTGTTGCGTAAGGACGAATTTGCGAATGTTCATCTCCGAATTTGCAATGACAAACCGAAAGCGTCGTTCGTTTTCGCTCCTTTGAGGTAACGAAATGAACTGGAGACAAACTGTGAAATGTGAGCATTTCAGATGTGAAACTGTATTTTTGGAAAGTTTGACGTACTGTAAATGGATTGTATTGGGGGCTGTTCGGGGAATTGTCATAGTGAAGAATTGCGTGGGAACTCGAATATCGGCTTCCTGTGATCAAATAATCGTTATGAATTCGCGGAACCTGGAAATTCATTCGATGTCGCTGAAGAAGCCGATCATACACAACAGTTCCTCGATCACTTTTGCACCTTTAAATACCATTTACGAAGTATTTTCACTAGACATTTGAATTATCTGTAACTGAGTTCGTTTTCAGGGTCAAACATCTTTTCTTGAAGAAAACGGGCACTCTTTCGACAACAATTTGATACTGAAAGAGCCCATAAATGTGAGAGTCTCGCACTAGTTCCAGATGAATTTTACGGTTTTTCAGTTCGGAGAAACCTCGTGGAAACTGATGGACACCTCCCGATTTGTCTGTCAGCGCACTCCTTTGCACTCAACTGATAAGAACTCGGAAGTGAGTCCGAAGTGTGACTTCGAGTTCAACGGTTTCTTTTTTCAGACGCTAACGGCTTCTCTCCCTGAACTTTATCGCCTTGCACACTATCGAAATACTGCGGAAGGACGCAAATGGCTTTCCGATAACAATCGTCGAACGAACGACGTTGTTTCGCATTCCGACCTCTTGTACCTTAAGTCGAAAATAGAAAAAAGGCAGGAAGAGGAAGGAGAGGCATTCGAGTGATAGCCCCACGACGAGTCAACCGAACACACATTTCCCGCGTGACCAACCAACCTCTTTGTGATAAAAATGTGAAGAAGAATCCGGTTCTTTTCCTAGTATTTCCCGTTCCCAGACTCACTATTTTCTGAATGGTTACGGTGCTATTTTTGGGTGCATTATTGCGCCATTTCGTGTGCAAAGTAACACGAGCCCCGCGAACTTTTTTCCAAAATGTTCCCGGGAAATCCCAAAAACAATCGTTCTTTCTGATTTTCTGTTTACTTCCCATTCGTCGGCTGTCGCTTTTTGTTATTTTCTAATGAAATTTGTCCTATTAATCGATTCTCGCATCAGAATGACGGAGGCGTGGATCACTTTGGCGACGAACGACCGTTACGCACAGGGCGCCCTCACCCTTCTCAATTCGCTGCGTTCTTCGGGCACTCGACGCAAAGTTCACTGTCTGATTACCGACGAGGTTAGTACATTCTGCGTGTTCTGCTCCTTCAATGGAGGCATTCAGGTGTCTTCTGGAGTTCGCGAAGAATTGCAGCGCAAATTTGACGAGGTGACTACCGTTGACGTCTTCAACAGCAACGACGCGGTATTCCAAAATTGTAATGAAAGCCAACACATATTTTGTCTTCAGGAAAACCTGGCATTGATTGGTCGTCCAGATCTGGGAGTCACATTCACTAAACTCCATTGCTGGCGTCTCACTCAGTACACTAAGGCCGTGTTCCTCGATGCCGACACGATGGTCATCCGCAACGCCGACGAACTTTTTGAGAGGCCGGACTTCTCTGCTGCCGCCGACATCGGATGGCCGGATATGTTCAATTCGGGAGTCTTCGTTTTCTCGCCATCGATCAGCGTTTACCGTATTTGAAATAATGTTGTGAACTTTCAAGACGTTCTTATTCTAGGAGCCCTCGTCGCTCTTGCTATTGTTGTTGGATCGTTCGATGGTGGTGACCAGGGACTTCTGAACGAGTACTTCTCCAACTGGAGAGACCTTCCATCTGCCCATCGATTGCCATTCATCTATAACATGACCGCCGGAGAGTTCTACACTTATGTCGCGGCTTACAAAAAGTTAGTGACAACTGGATTAATAATTTCTAATTGAATGTTTTTAGATACGGTGGAGATACAAAGATCGTGCATTTCATTGGAACCCAGAAGCCCTGGAACATCAGCTCGACGGGATTGCACAAGAGTGAACACTACCAACAATGGCACTCGTTCAGCCAGCAAATCCATCCTGTGCCATCTCCTCAGCATCACTATTATGCGGCTCCGTCGACATCTCACAAGTCGGACGATGATTCGGAAATTCGTCGTGTCGCGTGGGAGGCTGGACAACCAGACTATTTGGGAAAGGACGCATTCAAGAACATCCAGAAGGCTCTCGACGAGAGCATGGCCGATAAAAAAACTACATAAATCTCCCCTCTTCTAATATTTTGCCCCATTTTCCACATCAATTGTTATAGAAATTTATTGCACTATTCGATTTATATCAAGAGTTCTAATTTCTTGTATTATATGTTTGGCAGAGTTTAGTTTTATACATTGACGAAGTAATAAATGTACTTCACTGTAAGACACGTTTTTTAAGTCCGAAGTTTCGGTTGATAACCAGGATACCAGTATTGATACTCGTTTTGGGGAGAAGTTTCAGAGAAGAAAGGCACGTGGAGCCATTGATTCTAAGCCTTTGTGATCAGAGTCCAGGGAGGAACCTCCGTGCTCTTCATGCCGCACATTCGTCAGTGTCTGATATTTCGTGCATTGAGTGCTCTGAAAACTTTCCGATTGGCTTCGGGAGAATTCTGATGACATACCCTCTGGTGCCGATAGACACTCTCCTGCCTCGAATACCTTTTCCCACATCCGTCACATTCGAAGGCTCCGTGGGATTCGTGCGTCAGAAGATGTTGAGAGAGTCCGTGTTTCTGCCGGAAAGTCTTGTCGCAGTCCCTGCACTGATACGGTCCGTTCTGTGCGTCGTTCTGATTCTGCCGTTTTCTCGCCGTTTTGAACGACGCTTTTCTTCTTTCGGGCGATTCGAAGAACTGCGGATCGAAGACCTCCGGTTTCGGGAAACGGGCGGCTCCGTTCTCTTCCGGAGTATGCACCTCTTGGAACGGAGTGCTCACACTTTCAATCATTTTGAACAATTCCATGTCAATCTTCGGGTGCTGTGGTTCTTCCAAAGCCAGAATCGGTTCGAAATACGCAGAGAAGTTGGAGGTGGAAGGGATCTTCAGAGAGAATTCCTGCCAACCCTTTATCGATCGAAAATAAAGAAAGAGGGAAGCAACTCACCGATCCGTCTTCCCTTTTCAAGTCGCTCAAATTGATCTCCTTCGAAAGCATACTCTTGACGCTGAGTTCCATGTCGCATTTGCATTTCTGTAAAGAGCACAATTGAATCGAACTTCGAGGCAGGTATTTACATCTAGCCTTTCTTTGATCAAATTGTTGAACGTCCTCTGAGTCTCCTGCATTCTTTCCACTTTAATTGCTAGCTCCTGTTGTTCTGCCAGAAACTGTCTGACCAGACACGCCAATTGGTTCACATTCGTCAAATTGTCCGGTATTTTCACACTCTAAACGAGCATCCCGACTACTTTTCGATTGGATTTAACAAATACTCACTCTTCGCGTACTGCGTTCCAATAGTCTCATAGTGTAGTCCTGAATATAGTTGGAAGCTTTTAGGAAATTATTAAGTTCCGTATCGGTACTATGGAATTCCGCCATTTCGGCGACGAAATAGTCTGTGGGAAACACTGTTTACGCAGTTGCAAAAGTCGATAGTCGACTGTCGTGTGGTCTAGTGCCTCTTGTGCAGTTGCCCGTCTCACGACACTTTGCACACAAGTGGGGAGGGGGACGCAGCGGCAGATTTCCCTAGGCCACCATCTAACCAATTCATGTTTGTGTTCTCTAATCACTTTGTCTCTCTCTCTCTCTCTCTCTCTCCCGTCCCATTCTTTATCGCTTCTCGTGAAGCCATAAAAGTTGGATGGTCCCTCTCGTTTATGGAGTCTCTCTTCTCACCCAATCGTATACATTTCGACACGTTCAAGTGCTCATTCGAATGGGAACAGAGCAGGTTTCTGATTGTATACTCTGCTCGCACGTATTCATGCACATTGCGGTCAGCCAGAACATTGATCTCTCTTTCATTTCGACATTTGCGGGCACCCATCAAACACATAATTAAACCCCGAAACCCTTTCGTACACTTCCGATTCACACTTGTTTTCTTTGCCTTTCTCTCTCTAACCCTATCTCTTCTTTTTCATCCTTCCGACTTTCTTCTACTTTTCTTGTGTATTCGAATTTCGAGAGTACTCAGTACTGTAGCTCATTTCAATTCACACATCACTTTTCTACGACCGGTTTGAGTCTGAATATCTTCTTCAAGCGGAACTAGTCTATTGGGTCTTTAGTGATGTGTTCATTCGCATTTATTTACTCGTTTTCCCCTCCGTAGGTTGTCCGATCGAAACAGTTTCACTTTCAGCCTGTTTCTTCCCTTCCCGATTATTTTCATACAACAGAATTCTCTTTTTTTTCAATTTTCTGTTTTCAGTCGGTTATCGATGCAGTAAGTGAAGATGGAGATCATTCCGTTGCACTACGGAGCCCAAGTCGGGTTGTACGAGGAAGAGTCGGAGGTGGGTGTTTTATCGAGAAAAGTACAACATGTATCAAATTCCGAATATGATAAACCGCTTGGTTGAGTTGGAACGAATAAAAATTCTGAACAAGCGCCAACTTTTCCGTTTTTTTCGTCCTAAAGTAGTCGGTTTACGAGACCAGTTTGCGAGAGATGATTCGCCGATTCGGAGGTCTCTTCCCTATTCATCGTACTTCCGAAAGACAGAATGGCAACAAAAACCCGAACGAAGGAATTGTTTTCTTCAATTCGAATACTTGATTGAAGGATTACTTGGCAATTCCACGGAAGGCGGAGTAGCATGTGGCCTCCATAATCAAGAGAGTGAGAACCGACGCCCACGAACTTCCTGAGAGAATTTCGGTCGGCCTCGTAGTTCTATGTTTTCATCAGACGGCTCACGAATTATAAGTGGAGTGCTGTATAGATTTTGTGAGCATTCTAATTATTCATTTCCTGTGAATTTCACATTCCGTCCTTCTCCCAAACATCACAGCTTTCTCGAAATGAGCACATTTTTGCTTTAAAAGTGATCCCAAAGTCCAAGAGACTCTCGCCCTACCAACGGAACAAAGCGTTTTCAGTGATCTTGCGATCCTGCTCCCTCCACTGTGACCTTATTAGTCATGTGCGTGTTTCCAAAAGGTTCGCACCTCGAAGAAAAGCCCGGACACGAAACATTCCGTCACTTTCTGTTGTGCTGGGTTTGTTAGTCATAATGGCCACACTCGGTGATACAATTTGCAAACGCTCCGAGTTTCACACGACTCCATGATCGGCCCGTATTACGTTTTTTTTTTGTGTTCACGTTTACTCTTTTGCTGTTCAACTACGGTAATTGTTCCGGAAGAAGAAGAAGAAGAGGGAAAATGAAGTGTGCTGGCAATAAATCCATCAGCGAGGGATGCCCTCCAAGACGCCCGTCCGTGTCACCTGTCCCTGAGCGTACGGGCGTGCCACCCGGCTTCTTCTCATCTTTTTGTGCCCCTCTCGATGATTTCTTACTCGTTGTGTGCCACACGGAAATACACATGTTAGTGATTTGCGGACCAGAAGCGAATTTCGACGTTCCTTCTCTTTTATTCGTATTTCTAGTGGAAATGCGGTAATTCGAGAGACCACCATTTCCATAATTGCCGTTTTGGGAATTAGGTTGAATTTCATTCGAATTCGTTCGGAATCCGAATGTGTTCTCAGTCCTTTTTCGTTTGTTCTTTTCTGTGAAACCAATTACCACTCGAGAGAATCCCTTAGTTCTGCAAATTTCTGGAGTATCACATAACATTCACAATCTCTAAATTCCATGTTTGTCTGCCTCTTACCAACAACACGAAAAGCGATTTTCTTCGTTTCCGTGGGAACTGACACTCTGTAAATAAGCGACATTCTCTCCTTCATCTGTTGCCTTCAGTCATATCATTCGTTTTGCCACGACATAATGCATTTATCAAAATAAGGCGCGTAGACGTTGAAAATCTAACATTCGACTATAAAAATGTTTTCGTTCTCATAGGTTGTAGGCGGCCGAACGAAGACTTTTTATTTTTGTTGTCCGCTGTATTCTGAACACTTTTCCCCCTCTTATCATTGCATTTCGTAACTAGAAACGCTCCAAGACACTCGGCTGCTCGTTTCCGACTATTGTTTGCATTGGGTTACCTGCCTTCATCAAGTTTTCCTTCTGTTTGTATTATAAAAAATTAGATGCAATTTCGATGGTTCTCTCGGGTTTCCTTCTCTCAGAAGCAAGTGATTCTCGCCCATTTCCTCCTGTTCATCTCATTTTCTGTTTTCGCCAAGTGTGCGTTCGTTCCACGTCATCAGCCCGCCGAATGCAGTAAACAACAGCTTGTAACTTTTGCACGAGACTGACCGGGAGATCGAATAAACAAACGGAGAGACGAAAATCGTTCTAATTCATCCCATATTTTGGTTTCAGTCTTTGATTCTTTCTGATCCGTACACTGAGAAACCTCGAATAGGTGTCTATCAGGATGATCCTTTCTTATCTTCCGTCCGTTCCTTTAATGTCTTCTATCCCACGTATGCGCCTTTCTCTTCCTCTCCTTCACTTTTCGATTATTTGATCATCATGAGAGTCCTAGGATCGCATTGTCGTCGTCGTTGGACAAAACGGAAACGTCGGCAGTCGATTATGTACTCGAGTGTGTCCAGACCGCCGTTTAGACGGCTCGTTCCACTCAAAATGGTTGGGAACGGAAACTTTCCGAATTCACACATCAAAATTTAACCTTTCTCATTTTCAGGCGAACGGAAGGACGGCGACCGACTATGCGGGACAGGACTACGACGAGTGCTATGATCGGTTAGTTTCCATTATTTTTCTCGTTGCTTCTTCTACGGAAAAACCATAAATCAGCGCAGCTGCCCGCTGATCAGTCTGTGTCTCTCCGATCACTGGCCTCTTTTCGGTTTGACCCTCGTCGTTTGTAAACTGGCCGGCAGGCTCCGTCTCTACGCGAATCCAATTGCACTTTTTCGTCGCAGTGCCGATTTACGGCGACTCGGAAACGTATCCTCTCGCCCGTTTTGCCCCTCATTAGCGGTGCCGATGTTTCGCTGTTCCCATGGAAATATCTCCGTGATCGGTTGGTTGCATTTTGAGAATCGGCCACTCTCCCAGAGAAGCTCTCGAACAAGCGTTGCATTATTCATCCGCCTGTTTGCTCCATTCCCCTTCTCATCTGCATCTCCACATGACCGTTTCATAGAATATTCATTCGAAAATAAGTGGATTTGGAAACACCGCTTGAAACCTAGAAAACAGCAGACCAGTGAAGTCAACAATGCAAATGAGCCGGCATTTGACGCAAGAGAGATGAGTTGCGAGCCAGAAATAGGAGACGGACGGGACGTTATTCTCCTTTCTTCCCTCTAACCACTCAAAATTACAATACTAGAATGTCTTCAAAACAAGCCCACCGCATAGACATAAGCCATTCCATTCTGAGTTTCGATTGAGAAATTTGTTCATTCTCAGAATAAGCAATTATTAGCTATCGAGCCACTTCAAAAAAGTATTCGCATATCCATTTCATTCTGTCGCTCTTAATCCAATGCTAATCCCGAAAGTCGCACGGAGATGAAGGACGGGAGCAATCCCGCGGGGGCTCCGAATCAATCATTTTGACAATATGGTCCGCCCGCGCGACGCCGTCTCATAAAGCTTCTGACCGATCTTTATTATTACACCCGCTCTACTTCTATTTCAACAACACCCGGCTATTTTTGCGAATGCGACGAATTCAAATTTTCGCGTCAAACTCGCATCCTTTTCGCCCATTTTCTCGCGTCCTCAATTTCCTCGGTCGTCCTCCAGGGGCCTGCCGAAAAGAGCACCAGAATTCTTTGTCTTCGAATCGTTGTCGGAAGAAGACTGAAAAAGGGCGGAAGACGTGAGCTCGAGAAAAAGGCGCACAAGACAATATTTATGTGTTGTTCTGCTCTCGAGTATTTGATTAGGCTTCTCCTCGACGTCTCTCCCTCTCGACGCATTCCTTTTTCTAGGTACTCTTCGCCCCATTTTATTCTTTTTCTTCCTAGAACAACACTGGCTGATCTTCCGCAGTTGTCTTGAGTGAACATGTCAAAATGTTGGAAAAACAGCAAGAGACTGGCAGTTTGTCAAAATACGCGTTGTCTTCTCGCTCTCTCTCCGCGCATCCTGTTCTTCGCTATCTCTCATCAGATTCCGATTCTTCGATCCGTCTGTCTCTCTTCTTAGCGCATATTTTCTTCTGCCTTCACACTGATTTTTCAATCATTTCGAGGTCGAGACCTTCTTTTCTATTGGCCACCGCCCTGCGTGCCATCCCGAAACGTGTCATAAACAAGATCATTTGTGTATTTCCTCGCGTCCTCCTGCTCTCTACTGCTCTCTCTCTCTCTCTTCCTCTCCTTTTCCTTTCTTCTTCACTTATCTGCCACGTCACCATTGTTCTCTACCGGGGACTATCACATCCTTCCTGTTCCGCTCACTATTTCCTCATCGCCACCCATTTTTCTCGCGTGCTGAGGCACAGAAAAGCCGTAATTGTTTCCGTCGGCGTCTCCGAGCGGACAATACACTCTTGCCGCCACTTCAAGAAACATTCTGAAAGTGTCGATAACTACCTCTTATTCAGTGTGTGTTTCAATGAAGAAGCAAACGTTTCGTGTCCTGCTGACGAGTCACTTCTTCCTGCCAGACCGGACCCGGCAGCCGTATAAACAAAGGCACGGTGGACACAAAAAGATTCTAATAAGTAGGAGTAAGAGTGTCATCGTAATGGTCGCTTCGCATAATTCGATCAACGACGTTTTGTTGTCCGTCTGCTATTAATTCCCCTTCTTGTTCCCCCTATCGATTGACAATCCTTGCTAAATCAGCGAGGCGTGACGTGGCAAACAACATCTCCTTTCCTCGTTTCCTTCTGTTTCCTGCGTTCTCCTGCTTCTTCTACGTGCTGCAGCAGCCGTGAAATCGACACCTTTAGTTTTTGTCCGCCGCGGACGGACACCCATTCATCCGCGTAGTACTTCCTTCCCAGAGTGCACTCGCTTTTTCTCAACGTCTTCCGCCCCACCGGCCCCCTGTGTCTCACCTATTTCTGGCGGTGCCTAATGCGTCTATTCTTGCAGCTGCGAACAAGAGTGTGGTGAGGAGGCGTGGCGAATCGCGTGCTGCTCCAGAGTCGGAAAAGCCGCCATCGTCATCATGTCCATCGTCATACTCTACCTCATCATATCAGGTTTGTTTCATGGATCAGTTCAGATAGATACCCAAGGAGTACTTTTGATTTGTTCAACCTAAAGACCATCTACTTTTCAGCATTAACACCGACGGAAAGCACAAATAAACTAGACGTTAATGAGCCACGACAAGGCATAAACTTGACCAGGTATACCCTTTATCCATTTGATCATTTCATCTATTCGTTCCTTTTTCAGGGCACATCAGGTGCTCAGCTCTCTCTGTGATGCATATGAACGAGGTGACGTATCAGGAGACTCGTGCAATCGATTATGCTACGACCGAAATTGGCTGGTAACGGACTTCTATGAAGGACACAAAACAGTCGTGCTAATCAAAGACGGAGGACAGACGGCGGTTTACAAGAGTTCGAAGCCGTTCATGGAAATGTTCGAAGAACCGCATGATCATTTGACGAACTCTCAATTTTCGGACAAAGTTGTCGATGTCGTCAACGATGAATTGCGTCTCGGGTGGCCGAAACACTACAGTAGGCATCTGATGGAGACGTTGTGGCCAACCTTGCTCAGGACGAAAGGAGAAGAGATGTCGAAAGCAGACAGGCGGTCCCTTTGGGCACTTCTCAAACAGTCCGAATTCATCTTGTTTCGCGTTCTTCCTCTCACGAGAGTCACTCCAAAACTGATCGGAACCTGTGGACACATGTATCAGACGGAATCTCTCGTGGCTTTCAAAATGAAAGGATACTACACAAACCTCAAGGTTCGGTTTTTACTGCTGCTATGTCTGTAAATGTTTCATTTTAGGCCAAGATTCTGGTTCACGTGATGGGCACTCTGAAGCTGCTCTACGAGTTCCTCGATGAGCCTCTTCAGTGGTGCGACGTCCGCTTCGACAATCTCGGACTCTCCGCTGACTATCCGAAAAGGTAAACCTAGTGTAAAATATCAGCTGTTTAATATTTCATGCTCAGGTTCGTGCTAATGGATGGAGATATGGTTTATACCAAATCAAAATTGAATTCACTGCTGAAAGGACGGCCTTGCGAAAATGACGACGACTGTAAAATCGGAGACTGCACGGCTCGTTGCACTTCCGAAATGGTTTGCTCGTCGAGGAGTAACGGAAATCTTGAGGTGAAATTTTTTGAAAACAATTTCCTTCTCTTCATGAAAAAGTTTCTTTCTCAAATTAGAAAATGAGTGTAATTGTTCGAATAGCGCTGTGAAATTGACCACTTGAGTTCACTTTCTCCCGGCCGAAAATGCGCCTCCACACTCGATCTTTTTTCAGGTGTTCTGCGACAAACTGGTGAATAAGCTGTTCGCAAATCAATGGTCCAAAAACAATAAATATCTAGTGGCCTGCAGAGACACGGGCCGAAATATCACTCAACGACTGAACGAACTGCGGCTGACATGGTCATGGAATCTGCCAGATGTGTGATCGATCCTCCCGGTGCTTCTCTATCCAACCCCTTCCCGCGTGTGTCTTCTCTCTCGGTGCTCTTTAGGATCTTGCAATTTTATCGCCTTTGTTCTCTCACCTTTTCTGGTGCTTTTCTCCTGTATCATTCGCATAATTCCAGTCAATTTTCATTTATAGACACTGTCACTATGGGTGCCTTTTCTGTTACTTCGCGACACATTTGTACCTCTTTGTTATTACGGGTTAACACGAAAACTGATTAAATCATATGATGATGACTAAAAAACGACTATAAATTAATAACTCCTTGTTCGACCCGTTGTTAATATCCAGCCGGAGCGCTCTCCTCACCCTTTCGGAAATCACTGTTCGCGTAGATTTGTCCATCTGCTGCCCGTTCGGCGGCAGTCACCACGGTCAGATTGCTGACTGCCTTCATCAAATGCCCTCTTCCAATCAACGACTTGACGTATGCTTTCGGGAAGTTCGGCTCGTACCAGGTAAAGTTCGGCTGCAGCTGATTGTGCATTCTTGGAGCATCCACCGCCTGTTTCACGTCCGCTTTGAGCCAGAGAGCATGGAGAGCGACGCCGGCGACCCCAGAAATAATGGTGGATCCGCCGGCGCCGCCCACCGCCATCAGTTCCGTTCCGTTCGTATTGAAGATGACAAGCGGGCTCTGGCTGCTCATCGGACGCTTTCCGGGACGGATGAAGTTGGCGGGCGAGGGCGGAAATCCGAAAAAGTTGGGGTGTCCGGGCGTCGAGAAGTCGTCCATTTCGTTATTCCAGAGAATGCCGGTGGATTCAGAAGACACGAGAGCTCCCAAACTGAAAAAATCGAGTACAAGAGCAAGTACAGTTATCCCTCGCGGCCACTTTAACTCACTAGAGATTGATGGTGGAAGTGACCGAAACGGCATTTCCCTGCGCGTCGATGATCGACACGTGGGTGGTTCCGTGGTCCTGCGGCGGCGCCTCGAACGATCCCCCGTAGTAGTCGTCCGGGTGCGTTCTGTCCGTGATCTTCGACCGCACCCACTCCGCCCACTCTTTCGAAGTTATGTTCTTCGCGATCTCGGTCGCATTCGAAACAAACTTCGGATCGCCCAGCCAGCTCCTCGCCGCGTAACTGAACTTGCTCGCTTCGAGGAAATGATGGTAGAGCGTGGCGATGTCGCCGAACGATTTCATATTGTATTCAAAGCCGTCCATCGCATTCAGAATCGCTTGCGCAACTGCCGATCCGGACGGAGGAGGAGGTCCGCAGACGGCCCTTCCCGCCTTCAGTTTCGTGTAGATCACTTCCGAAGAGCCGTGCACAATCGACCGATAGCTCTTGAGGTCCTCGGCAGTGATGATTCCTCCGTTCGCCGTGAACTCCTCCACCACCTTCTTTGCGATTTCTCCTTCATAGAACTCGTGAATGGGATCAGACGAATTGGCGAGAATTCGGAACGTTTCCAGCAGATTCTGTCTCGTTTTTATCTGCTCTCCCGGCTGGAAAATTTTGTTCGTCTCCGGATTTATGAATCTTTTCAGTGTTGGCTCCCGACGGATCTGCTCTTCGTTCTGATTGAGAGCCTTCGCGAGAGCATGCGACGTCGGGTACCCTGCAAGAAAATAGGCCGATTCTTTCGGATGATGCCCTTTTTACCTTCTGCCAACAGGTCGATTGTCGGCTGCAGGAGCTGGGCCCATGCGACGCCTCCGCTTCCGAATCGCTCGTATTCAGTTCGGAGTCCGTGCAGTTCACCCGGCACGGCCATTGCTTTCCATCCGACTCTGCTCTCGTTCCACTTGTTCCGGTACATTTCTTCGGTCGCCGCCAACGGAGCCACTTCCCTCGCGTCAATCACAGTGCACTCCTTCGTTGTTCTGAATCTTTACGTCTTCTTTCTTTTCAGTTAACGCCCCTTACGCATTGTAGATTGTCATGAAGTGTCCTCCTCCGATTCCTGCTGAATGGGTGTCCATGACACCGATGCAAAACAGCGAAGCGATGGCCGCATCGACCGCATTGCCTCCTCGCAACAGAATGTTCCTCCCGATCTCCGAACATATCTCGTTGTCGGCTGCCACCGCTGCTTTCGAGTACTTTCCGAGCGGGGAAATGGACGGTCCGGGCCAGCGAGGAAGACGACTTCCGTTCTGGAAAAAAGAAAGAGGAAGTGAGAATGAGTTGGGATGGAACTCGCCTGCATTAGCAAATGAAAGTAGAGGGAGGCGAAAGCGACAGTCGAGATGAGCAGCACGAAAACGAGCACGGTGAGCCCGACGGCGGCCACGAGAGTCCGGATCTTCATCGGCTGCTCCGGCTCGATCAACGGCTCCACCTCGTCGAAGGGACCGTACTCCGGCGGCAGATTGTCTTCATCCGAGAATGTGTTATATTGGGCATTGCTACTGAAAGAGTGACCATTCCGTTTCCATTTTATTTTGCACTTTTCGAACCAATCATTTTGTGGACAATGTTACAAGTTTGGTAGAACTAAAAATGTTAGTTTTTATTGATTTCTATAGTCTTAGTTCACTTATTTCTCTTTAGTTTCACATTGAACGACTACTCAGGTAATTTTCGGCAAGGGTGGGGCGCGGTGCAAAACTGCAAAAACCTCTAATGTGCGCAATGAGTCGTAAAGAGGATCGTCTGAAGAAGGGAAGAGCCAAGCGGGAGAGAATCGAAGAAGAAATGACTGAGATTAGACGTGTCTGAAGAAGGGAAACGACTTCGTTATGAACGTGAAGAAGTTGAGAGATTGGCACTTTTAAACACTTTTTTCTCCATTTTTTGTAATTTTTCTCGTTTTTTGCTGCAGCAAATTGCCGAAAATTACCTATAGGTTCAATAGGTTCAAGTGGTATGACGTAACAATTGACATAAGTATAGTTCATCCTAAAAACGGAAGGAACCCCAGAAGGAACTTTACATTTTAAAGTTTTAAAAGTTTATAATCCTTTATTTTTTTAACCAGAGAACATTCCCACTTTTCCCTATTTTCGTTCGAACCGATCGATATTCTCACCTCGAAGGTTGTTGTTCTGGAGTCATTCAAATGTCAATTTAAAGGCACTTTTGGACAGAAATTGGTGAATTTGGAGAGGAAAAGATTGGAAAATGATAAGGAAACTTTGTAATTTCGATGAGATAAGGGAGTGCGATAGAGCGCGCGCGCAATGAAAGAAAGCGATTAGACAGCATTTTCTGCCCGATGAACCCCCGCAATGTTCGCACAGAGCTCAGACAGTGGTTTTCTTTATTCAGACCAAGTTCAGAATAATCATAAAGAAGATAAGTGGAGACTACAGAGAACAGATTTCGAAGGAAGATAATGTTTGAAATTCATTTTCAGACTTAACAACTAACGGAGTGAAAAATAGTGACAATATTAACACAACAAATTCGATCGATAACGTTAACATAGTTGATTACAAGGTGGCATCGGAGAAGAACTGATGATGATGATGATAAATGGGAAAACAAGCGGTTAATGATGAACAAGATTCATTCTTAAGGCGACAGAACAATTGAATTATTGTCCAGTGAGCACCTTCTGAAGAATTCCTTGCAAATGCTCATCGATGCCTTCCTGTTGAGCGAACACTGGGAACGAAGTGTAGATCTGCTTGAGGATCGTGGAGATTCTCTGCTTCGTATGGTTGCCATGCTCATCATCGTTGAAAGCTTCATTGGCGATTGCCAGCAAGCCTGAAAAAAACCGATACACTTCTTTCTCTGATTGACTTTTACTTACAAACAAGGAAGATTTTTGAGAGATTCTGGTTTTCTGGGCCGAAGAGAGCAGAGTCTTGTTTGTCGAAAAGCTCGGCAAGACACGTGTAGATGTAGGGGCTCTCCTCAGTGTCCGCATACGTTGGCAGCCAACTTAAGAACATCTCCACGATCTGTGAAAGTTTAGTTTCCTTTTTCTGAAAGATTCTCCAAGGTTTACCTTTCTATAATGTTCAGCTGGAAGCGGAACATTGACGATGATTTTAGCAAATGCAGAAATGGCGTTTTCCGTGGCAACAGTGCTTTCTTCGGTAGCGCGCGCATCTTCCCTGCAAACGAACAAGTTTTTAATAACGCAGAAACTTGTAATGATCATACCGTTGAATCATAGTGGCCAGTGGCTCCAAACAATTAGCAATTTCCGCTTGATATTCGTTGACTTGATGGTATCTGATAGCCATGACTCCGAATCCATAGCTGGCAGCTTGTCGAACCTCAGGATACTCGTCTCCGAGGAGCCTGTACATTATCGGGATGAGCTGCGGGAAGCGGGAAGGAAGGTGTCCAACACCGAACTCTATGGCATCGTCCAAAAGGCACATTCCCCATTGTCTCTCGAAGTATTGCTTAGACCCTTCAATGAGTTGAAGAGCACAGTCGAACACATTCACCATGGCCTCGAAGATGGTTCCCTTGAACTCTTTCATAAGAGAGTGAGTCAGGTCGGAAATAGCTCCAAGGCATGACGCCTCGAGCTCCATGAAGTAATCAAGCTCCTCCTTGGCCTCAGCATCATCGTCGTCCTCATCCTCGGATGGCCGGTCGGTCATTCTCTTACCGTAGTTCTCCAATTGCTTGTGAAGAACAGAGATGATGAGCGTGACCTCTTCCGCAGCAACACCTTCAGTTCCCATCACTTCGATGCACGATCCAATGGCAGACATGAAAGCAGCGAGAATTTCAACATCATCCTCCTCTTCCATCGAGGTAGTGAGTGCCTTCAAGAATTCGCACCACAAACGACGCTTATCTTCAAGACCTTGCTTCTCAACGCAAACGAGCAAGAACGGCATGATTTCGGCCGAAGCGGTACGAACACCATCGTGAAGTCCGAAATCAAGATTTTTGATAGCGAGCTCATAGACGTCGAGCACGTACGGCATAAAGGCTTCCTTCATTTCCTTGGCGAAAGCGACAAGCATATCGCAGGCCGTAGCCTTCTCCTCAAGTCCACTGGTGCGTATTCCAACGGTCTTCTCTCCTCCAATTCCGTGGTATTCGACTCCAGATTCGGTCTCTTGAATGTCTTCATCTGTAAAAGTACGTTTTTGAATGCACACTTGTTTTTTTACGAACTGTTGAAGATGTTGAAGTCCGGACGGTAGCGAGCAGCTCTCAGGACTGGGTCCATAACAACCGGAAGGAACGGAGCGAAGTCAGCTCCAAGAATCTGAAAAACGAGTTTGCGTAGAAGGCTGATGCCATTAAATTACCGAGCAGAAGCGAGTCCAACTGCTAATCATGTAGCTGTATTGCGGATCGTCGATGGCGAGGTCCTTCATTCCATCTCCAAGAAGATTCAGAATCTCGATGGCGGTGGCGTGGAAGTGCTCCTTTCCGACAGCGTAACCGATAAGCGAGATGCACTCAATTGTCTTTCCTCTCAGCTCCTTGAGCTCTCCAACATTCTGGAGAATGTGGACCAGGTTCGGGATGAGACGAGCGTGATGCTCCTTGAACAGTTCCTCAGCAGCTTCAGCGACCGAAGCGATGGCGGTGACGATGTTTTCGACAACCACTTGGTATCGTTTGTCGGCAAGGCGGTTGAAGACCGCGGAAAGAACATTCTCGAGCTTCTGAAGAATGTACGGAAGGTACTGTCCAATAATGTTCTTTGGGCACTCTTCAGCGAAATTGACGAGAGCGGAAGCAGCATGGGCGCAAACTCGTGGAACATCAGTGCGATCCAGAGATTCGAGAAGAGCGGGAACGACGTTGGCGTGACACTTCTTCTGGAGAGTTGGGGCAAAGTCAGTGGACATCTGTCCAATGGCATTGCAGGCAGCATATTGCACTCTTGGGTGGCTGTCGTTGACGTATTTCGTGATGTGCACCATAATTTGCTCTATATGTGGCTCCATCGATCTTTGGCATCCCTCGCCGACAGCGGAGAAGGCACGGAGAGCAGCGTGCTTCATCTTCCAGTCATCACTGGTGAGAAGTTTCTCGACGAGCGGCAAGAACACCGGCAGCATAACCTTTCCGTTGATGCAGCAAGCAACACGGTCTATGGCAGACTCCGCGATGATCGGAACACTGGAATAACAATAATTGAAAAGTTTTCTGAAGTTAGTGTCTTACTCTTCATAGTCATCTTCCTCCTCGATTTCGGTGAGCCACTCTTGGAGGATATCATCATCCAACTCGGTCATGCAAGAGAGCAGAGTCTCGACTGAAACATTTCGGTTTATTTTCTAAAGGTGAATAATTAACTTACGAATTGGTCCGAGAGCTCCTGGAGCGTACTTCTTGAGTCCTTTTGGGGCACTCTCCATGTACGAGCAAATGACCTCAATGGCGTTTTGACGGCACATCTCGTTCTTATCCTTGTTTCCAGCGAGCTAAAAAAAACAAGGGAGGTAACCGATGATGAGCGCGAAACGTTTACATACCGAAAGAGCAACGTGAAGGACCTCCGTCATGTGAGTGTTGAGGCACTTCGGCAGCGACGAAGCGAGTTCGGCGAACTCTCCGAGTGGTCCGTCAGAATCGTCTTCATCACTGGTCTCGTTGCAGACTTGAAGCACATTCGGAACAAGAGAAGTCATGAGCCTGACGACGTCCTTCTCCTCGTCGTTGTCAACAGCGAAAGCGATGACAGCGCGAACAGCTGTAGACTTGATTTGAAGGTCCGGAGTGGCCATGCACTTCTCCAGTACAACTTTGAGTTGCGGAAGGAAATGATTGAGGTTGTTTCCGAAGATTATTGGGCACCCGCTCAAAATTGTGCTCGTGAGGTTTTTGTAACATGGGGTTTCTTACCGGAGAATGAGAAGAGCAATGTAGTTTGCGGTAAGATCGTCGCTCTTGAGACAGTGGTCCATTAGCTCGAGAACTCCTTTCCACGACATATCTCCGGCGTCATCGATAAGGTTCGAAGCGATCTCGGAAATGAGATCAGCAATCTTCTTCTTGATAGAGATTTCTGATTCGTGAACTATCATCTCGAGAACCTTGGTTAGAATTCTTTGTCTATTCTCTTCGTTCAGCTTCTCCCAGATAGAATCCCAGTCTCTCGACAGAACTCTTCTCAAGAAGACGAGAACAGTAGAACGGACCTAAACATTTAAATTATTCGAATTTGAAAAAATATAAATAGGTATTTACATCGGTGTTATTGGCATGATGGACGTAGGCCTCGAAGAGAGCGGCAACTTTGGTGGCGCCATCGATTTGCTCATAGTGCTCCTCAGCTTTTTTGCGGATTTCGTTGTCTGAGGACTGTAGTTGTGTGATGAGCTCAGTGAACGCGTTGACATCCATGTCGAACAGCCTAGAAAAAACGAATAAAAATATTTTTTTGAGCAGACAACGGTTGCAACGCATTTCGCAATGGGGGGACATACTGCACGGTACTGTGCAAGAGAGCGCGATAATGCTTCAGGTGACAGACACAGAGGCTAGATATCAATTTTTCAAAACTTAGGTTGTGATTTTATTTCAGTCACAGAAAAGGTAGTACAAAAACCGGCGAAAATCGGCAAAAAATAGGCCCAAACCGACTGAATTTTGGGACGAAATTTCACAACAATGTGGTTTGCGATAGAGCGAACTTGCAGCGACTCACGCATTTTACACAGCCGGCGGCGCGAAATTCGAAAAGATCACGTGATCACGCGTGAATCGCAACAGGCCAAACAGTCACGCGCCGTCGAAAAAAAAAGATGAGAAAAAACGGATTTCAACATTGCAAATTCGTCATAAATTTTTGAGGCAAAAGTTTAGAAATCAATCAATGTGAAGCAATTGCGTGAAAAGATGCGAATGAATCACATTCCGAACGAATTTGCAATTGTGGGGGGGAGACGGGCGGATTCGCTCTTGAAAGTCGTCGGCAACGGACGGAGGTTGTTCCCGGCAACCGATTCTCTCCGTCTATTCAAATTTCGGTGGACGAAAAAAGCGACACGGGAGACGACAAGAGACGGAGACAAAAAAATACTTTTTTACGAAAAAGAGGGTCATTTCAGGGGGGACATAGGATTGATCCGAATAGAACTGACGAAGGATCGGAGGCATCTGACGGGCGGTCCGAAAGGGCATATCGAGAACGACGGCGGAATCAGAAAGCATCCGAATGACATTTTTTTTTCTTTGTTGACACGAAAACCCGAGTGTGGATCGTGGTTCAGTGGTATTTTGTGACTTTAGTGGGATTCTAACGAAAACCCAGTGAAGTACTGTGCGAGGATCCCATTGTACGAGAACTGAGTGAAGTTCAAGCCCGAAGGGACTCAAGGATGTTGTCAAGAACAAATGCAACCACAACTTTAATATCTTCTCGTTTATAGTGGTTTCAATAAATTATAGTTGACTTTTCATGTTGGTTCGTGTTGGGTGCAGACCCACAAGTTTAAAACCATAAGCAACTGTGTGGCGTCTCTCTCTCACACATCAAGCAGAATTGTCATCATTTGAGTTGGATAGATTTTCCCTGAGCCATGGTCTCCAGAGCTGACAATGAGTGCAAGTGCGCCCCGCTCAATAGAGCGATACATTGGCGCGAAATTCAAATCTTAACAGCAAAATTGGTGTTTTTTGCCAGATAAGCCACGAAAAACCGATAATTTCTTATTTGTCTCTCGATAGACCGATTGTATAGGCTATTACGAATTTTTTAAGCGCAAGAGCGTTAATTTTGGTCAAGTCGCAAATCACATGTATCCGTTTGAAGGTTTTTGGCTAAAACTGCGTGAATTTCAGTTGCGTTTTGGTAGTTTTCGCGGTTCGAGCGCTCAAAATGCTTGTATTTACGTGATTTACCATTCTCAAAACCAATTCTGTCTGAAAACGGGCAAGAAAGCGCAAAATGAGATGTGCGGTTTTTAGGCGGCTATCGGCGCCCGCGCGACGAAGGCGAAAAAGCAAAGTCCGCGAAAAATGCGCCAAAACGTCATTAATTCTGAGAATTAGTGTGTTTTCATGTCTAACAATCGTTTTTCATCGCCTTTGACCACAAAAATCAGAGAAAACCTGCTCAATTCATGAAAACACCATTTGGCCGAGGCCACGCCCATATTGTCAGCTCTCGAGACCGTGGCGAGCTTACACAGCATTCGGTTGTATTTTTAAGTATCTTAAAAATAAATAGAGTAGAGTTATTTGTGTTTTGCCTGAGAACACAACATTGGCGATCAGATTTCGAACTCTATTTCGCTCGCGATTCTTTTTCTACAGAATAGTAACCACGACAGCTGAAAACGGTGGTGAAATCTTGTGAGCAGAAAGTGCCCGTGACAGTATAAACGGCGGCGACTTTTTCTGTGTATTCTCGTCAGTGCCAGTTAACCTGCAATGGCGGAGAATAGCGACATGATGGAGAAGATGCTGAAGATGATCGAAGTGACGCAACAGCAAATGCAGTTGCAGGCAACTCGGCATCAAGAATCGATTGACAAGTTGATCAAGTCCATGTCATCTGGAAAGATCAATGGCAATCCGGGAACGGTGAGCCAAAGCGAGTCAAACGTGTCGCAATCACAGCTGATAAATGTGATCAGCGGCAGGATTTCACAGTTCCAGTTTGATCTGGAAACGGAGAAGACGTTTTCGAGGTGGTATGAACGGCACGGAACTACGTTCGACCAAGACGGAAAAGATTTGCCGGATGAGGCGAAAGTTTCGTTGCTTGTGAGTAAACTTTCGGACGAGGTGTATGAACAGTTTTCTAAGCGGATCTGTCCGAAGAAACACGCTGAAATGAAGTTTGAGGAGACTGTCGGACTTTTGAGGAAGATGTTTGACGTGAAGAAAAGTATTTTTTCCCACAGATTTGCGTGCATGAACGTGCATGAACGGGACGGTGACTCGACGGTCGAGTACACCAACAAGGTGAACGCGATGTGCGAAGCAGCAAATCTGGACAAGATCGACATCGACGGATGGAAAGTCCTCTTCTGGCTAAAAGGGTTAGATGGGTCGAAAGACAAGGCTATCCGGGCATATTTCATAAAATATGTGGAACAGAAGTGGGGAAAAGAAGAAACTGTCACGATAAACGACCTGTGCGAAGAGTGGCAGACAGCGGACAGACAGAATTGTGTGATTTCTGAGATGGAGAAGAGTAAGCTGGCTGTAAGAGCGGTACACTCCAGAGGAAACGGAAAGGGAAAGCAGAACAGATCGTTCAGGGGGAAAAGAGGAAGCTTGTTGGAATTGTGCTTCGGCAAAAAAAAATTCACCCGATCCCGATTGACATCAAGGGGTTTTTAGGCCGAAATTCCCAAAATTCAGAGTACTTTTCTCAAGTTCGCGAACATTTTTCCATGCAAAAGTGCGTTTTCTCAATTTTTTAAGGTCTGATTGCGATATTTGTTGTTTTCGTATACTTTTAGGCATTCTCGATTTTTTGGAAGCATTTTGAAAATTAAAAAAAATTAGGTTTATCATTGAAGCGCACTTGCAGCGCACGCGCGGGAGTTCAAAAATAATAAATTTTCGGCGAAAATTGCGTTATTCCCCGTGTAAGAATTGAACGCCGTAATTTTTTCGTTTTTGTCACAGGCTATATTGTAGCTGGGAGTTAGACGGTCATTTTGAGCACACACAGAGCCAAATCGGTGCAGCCGTCGTGTTTCCTTGTGCAAAACTGTGTAGCGATGCGAAATAAATTTAAAAGTTTGAGGTTATTTTGAATTGTTTCGCAGATTTATTACGACAGTGACGCTTGAATACTGTTATATAATGGCTAGAGACGCTGTACGGATGAAAAAAATCGCAATTCAATGCAAATAGACCGATTTTAAAAACCATGAAAGAGTAGCGTGAATTTCTGGCTGAAATACATGAAAAGCAGAAGTTTGTCAATAGAAAAGCAGAAGTTTGTCAAAAGTTGTAGAGATGAAAGAGAGCTTTATCAAACGTAAAAATGATTATGTGCGCGATTGTTACGTCTTTTTGCCGTCAGAAATCTAAAGTGTCTCTGAAAGTGAGCTTTGTAGGCAAACTTCCGGCCACAAGGATTGAATTTTAGAATTGTTGAAGTGAGATAACATAGCGAAAAAAGAAAACTAAGAATATTTTCAGTGAGCTTCATTCAGTAATCAAGCAAATTTAGTGTTCCGTTAAAAATTTGTTGCTGGAGATTCCTGGTTTTCAGTTGAATAGTGCTTTTTTCTATTCGCGTGTCCGCCGCAATCCGATAAAATGATGGGGAAAACCTGAAATTATTTATCGGCGAAGAAAATAACGGTTCTTTTTTATTCTAACCGCTACTCCGTGCCGCTCGGCAATTTCCATCAGCTTCGCGCCTTTCCAACTGCAGAAATTGTTGCAACGAGTCCTGAAAATTCAAATTTGAGTTTTTTGCAACAAATATTTAACGAAAAATTGCGTTTCGACATGTTTTAAAAGATAAAAACGAGAAAAAGATTTTAATTGCGAAACCAAAAAATCCAATAGTGCGCCAAGTGAGTGCAAGATGCGCCAGCAGTCTCCTTTGGTCTCATGTCCACGCTGTGACTCAGTGGGTCATGACAAAATTTTCGAGAAAAAATTAATTTTCGAAATGCTTCAAAAAAATCAAGAATGCATAAAAGTATACGAAAACAACAAATATCGCAATCACACCCCTTTGAAAATTGAGAAAAATCTCCACCATTTTTTTTAGCTCTCTACCATTTTTTTTTAGCTCTCCACCATTTTTTAAAATCTCCACCATTTTTTAAAATCTCCACCATTTTTTAAAATCTCCACCATTTTTTAAAATCTCCACCATTTTTAAAAATCTCCACCATTTTTTTTAGCTCTCCACCATTTTTTAATATCTCCACCATTTTTTTAAAATCTCCACCATTTTTTTAGCTCTCCACCATTTTTTTAAAATCTCCACCATTTTTTTAAAATCTCCACCATTTTTTTAAAATCTCCACCATTTTTTTAATATCTCCACCATTTTTTTAAAATCTCCACCATTTTTTTAAAATCTCCACCATTTTTTTAAAATCTCCACCATTTTTTTAAAATCTCCACCATTTTTTTAGCTCTCCACCATTTCTTAAAATCTCCACCATTTTTTTTTAGCTCTCCACCATTTCTTAAAATCTCCACCATTTTTTAAAATCTCCACCATTTTTTAAAATCTCCACCATTTTTTAAAATCTCCACCATTTTTTAAAATCTCCACCATTTTTTAGCTCTCCACCCACCATTTTTTAAAATCTCCATCTCTCTCCTCCTCCTCTTCTGATCACCCGACACAATTTTTTTACGTGGAAAAAGAGATGTCGGCGCGACAAACGTACACAATTGTTTTTACGTGGAAATAGAGATGTTGGCGCGACATGACTGCTCTACTGAATACAACACCTTGACCAAGAGACCAAGTCGTATGCAAGTGATTTAGCGCCCCGACATTGAACCAGAGTGATCTGGCGTTGGCAGGCGCCGCAGAGTTCACTACGACGCCAAGGCCATACATAGGGCATAAGCTCTCGTTGCCACGAGATAGAAATGCCTCCCGACACCGAGAAGCAAAGAACTTGACAAGGCGAGATTCTAACTTAGAGGCGTTCAGTTATAATCTCTCAAATGGTAGCTTCGGACCAGTGGCCATAAATTTAAAGAAATTTTGCGTCACGATTTAGGAGGGGCAATAGACAGGAAAGCGGTTGATCATTTCATTTACGAATATATTAACAACATTCTTCCATGAGTAATCAGGGCGACTGATAAAATGTATCGTAGAAGCAATGAATGCAGGAGGCTCAGTGAAATAATAGTTCAGACAGGAATGAAAATGGGCCCCAAGCCTTAGCTAAGCCTAAGCGATGTTTTCTGTGTTCCAGTCAATTCTCGTCCCAGTAGTCCTCATACGTACGTCATCCATCACTTCCACATAGGCTGGTCGAACAGGCGATTTCCTGAAAAGCTGGCGCCTGTTCGACCAGCCCAGTTTCGTCGCACAATGGGGCAGGTTTTCTTGAATCCCACAAAGTGAAAAGTGAGCGCAATCGAAAGCGGAGACAATTTATTGAACAATAATAAGGCAAAAAGGTATGAATCGGGTGAGAATGAAGCGGGGCTTGAACAACCGTAAACTAATCAGAGATGGAAGAAGAAAAAATGGATCAACTGAGACGGAAGTGGTGAATTAGACCGAGAAAGATGAAAGGGCGGACAAATACGCAGTGGAAGAGGGTTAGGGTTGGATCGAGTTCAGGTAAGTGACAATCTCGGGTGGAACGGCACGAATCACGTCTGGAACACTGCTCGGGCCACGAACGAGAACCGCTTGGGCGAAGTAAGCTGAAAAAGACGAATGAGAACACATAAGAAGACGGGGACGGAACCTTTGTGGTTGGAGATGGTCGGAGCAATCGGTGCTGGTTTCGGAGCGTAACTGAGACGGCAGAACGGGTTGACGAACTCTCCCTCCGCGTTGTACATCGCTGCCTGCTCCTCTTCCGGGGAGAGAACAGCACGGTCACTGGCAGACGCCGCCTCCAGAAGCATCGCTGTTTCGTAGGACAATATTCCGTATTGACCGCTGAAAATGGACGCGATGAGAGATCAGTTTCCTATAAAGACATGCCTGATCTGCTGAGTAACGTCAGCCAACAGATTAGCCATTCCGATGGCGATGATACGTTTTTCTGGAATGGTCGTAGACTGCTTGAGTCCTGGCAGTTCGTTGCAAACGACACGTTCGATGAGCATTCCGAACATTCCGGTTTGGATGTTTTCGCACGATCTGACCAAGTCCTGCGCACTTCTCGAGATCGTGAATCTACAGAGAAACACGACGAATAACTTCATGAACTTGGGCGTTTTCGACGATTGCACTCGTCGGAACATTGTATTCAGTAAGAACGTCATTGCGCTGCCTTCGAAGTGTTCGATCGACGGCAGAATGGCAGCGGCCAGTTGGAATCCGTATTGATCCAGAGTTTTCGAGCCAAGAAGTCGAGAAAGATGTTGCAGGATGAGGTTAGAGTTGGATGAGACAACATTTTGAGCGTTAACGGAGAGAATCACTTCGAGCACCGAAAGAGCAGCCGGTACGTTCGCAGATCGAGCCCAAAGTCGTTCGGAGAGCAAGAACGGCAGGAAAGCGGAGAACTGATCGATTGAGGCGTTGCGAGCAATGCACGAGGAGACCAGAACACCGGTGATTTGCAGAGCGTATGGAATCAAGTCTTCGAGGTCTTCTCTGAAGATCACTTCGATCAAGGGAAGCAGCTGCGCATCAAGGGAAGCTCCGATGGTCTTCGTCTGAAACATTCCGGAGTCGAGTGGGTTACTGTTCAGTTACTAACCTTGGTGACCAGTACACAAATAGTTTCGAACAGGAAATGAGTGTGCACCGAATCGGCTGGATTTTTGGTTGCCGACTCGACCAACTGAGCCAACTTCGTAGCAATCGCATCAGCATGACGGATTGTCTCGTCGTCCAGAATCACGATTGTTCTCAGAATGGCCTTGATGAGATACGGCGAGTTCTGCGCCTTGGGATCTCTATCGAAAGCGGACACCAGATTCTGGAGAATTGATGCGACCGGAAGGTTGTGAGCAGAGAACACCTGGAAAGCAGTCCAATAGTAGAATTGAACAAGATTCTCCTACTCTTCCATTGTCAGCGAGAAGAATTTTTTCGATGGTGTATGCAGCGTACTTGTGCAAAATGCTGGTGTTGGAGGAGAGGAGTGCATCCGACGCTTTCACAGCAGTCATCAGATGTTCTGGAGCAAGCTGATTGCGGAAGGTCACAGAGAACTTCAGAGCGTCAGCCTTCAGAACGGGCAGTTGATTAACGTCAGAGTTCAGATGAGTGGCGACTTGACCGATGAAGAAATCGTTGATATCAACAAGGTTGTTCGTCGTTGTTACTCCACTTTTCGCCGTCTCCGTACGCACTGCGATGGCAGTGACCAGCGAATAGACAATGTCCGTCCGAATATAATCTCCGCTACTTAAAAGACTTTGGATGATCTCGACGAGGACTGGCTCCATCTGAACTTGAAACCGGCGGTACAGTCCACGTGCGAGGTCGATGGCTCCTCGTCTCCGAGTGCCCACATCGGTTCCCTCGATGTCTCTCTTCATGTAATCCAGTGGTTCGTCCTCGAACAGCTCTATATCCTGTTGACGGAGCAGCAAATTTTGCACGCAGACATTCTCGGCCAAGGTTTTGAGAACGCCTTCTCCGATGAAGTGACTTTCGTAATATTGCCGTTGACTAACCATCGAGAGGAACTCGAGTGCAGCACAGACCATCGTATCGTAGCGGGTGTCTGGACCAGTGGTCTCCAAAAGTCTCCAGACGGCCGCGATGATATCGGGAACGAACGGGGCGATTTCTTCTTCGTATCGTTGAGCATAAAGAGTGAAGATCTCACAGATTTCCGTCTTCAATTCATCGAGAACAGTCGGTTCGCCAGATACGGACGTCTCAGTCGGAACATTAACCTGGACGAGGTGCAGGAACGACGGCATCCACTTGTTAAGGTTATCCTGAAATCAGGGTTACAGAGGATAGCATTCCGACAGTTTCAACCTCGAAGTATTCGGGAATATCTTGAGAGCAGAGGGAGTGGTAGACCTTGGCAATCAGGTTCAGAACCTTCAACCATTGGTTAATCTCTTCCGTTGAAAGCTGAGACTGACGCGACCCAACTTCCATCATGTTCCCAAGCAAAAGGGTCAGTGGCTCCTGCGTCTGAAACTATGCTCTTGAATTTTCGGTACATTATTCAGAATTCTGACACTTTGAAGACACTTGAGCAGCTCCTTCCACAACTCCGTCGACTTGGATTGATACCGGAACTTGCGGAAGATCTGGTCCATTGAAGTGAGGGACGCTACCAGGTGGTTAAGGTCCGCACCAGTCAGGAATCTCGATAAGTATGGTACCACCTCTGGCCATTTTTCGGGAAAGTCACGTTGTGCAATAAGATAGAGGGCATAGGAAAGAACCTCCTGCACGTTGGCTTTCGTGTTAAACATGGCCTCCAAAAGCATGTTTCTAAACTGCTCCTCGTCTTCTTGGCTCATTTCAACTTCTGGTGCCGGTCCCTGAAACAATTTGAGTTGTACAGTGAACGGCATCGTACTATCTCACCCAGTTCCTCTTCACAAAGTTCTTCAGGGCGATAGCGGCTGCCATGCGGATTTGGGGAGCAACCTGCGTTTGCTCGTTGACGACGAGTTGCAGGATTTGGATAATGTAGCCGGGATTAGCTTGCAGGTTTCGGAGGGAATCCTCGCCATGCCGACGCACCGCCGCATTCGATTCGAGTGTTTCTTGAAGGGCCACACCAATTTGTTCCATTTCCCTGAAAAACAAAAGAACTTTCAGGAATAAATTTCCTACGTAACGGTTTAACGGGTTGAAAAACAAGATAAAATTGATCAAATCTGCAATATAAGAATTTTTTAAACAATTCGAGCAAAAAAACGGTAAATATTGAACGAAAAGCTACGAATTCTTCGAAATTTTCGCGCAAAATATTGTTTGAATCTTCTAATTCTGCATTTTGCCGCCGCGGTGTTTACGTGCAAAGCATTTGAAACGACGCAATAATCTTTAGTTGCAGGTCTATATTTTACTTCGCCTTTGATACTTAGTATCTATTTTTCTTTGTCAATCAACACTTTTGCAGAATATGGGTATTGCTAAGACGAAAAATGCTCAAAAGCAAAAAAAGATCAATCCGTTCGAGCTGAAATTCAATAAATCGAAGCACGATGTGAGTTTTCAGTTTTTCCAGCTGTTCCGAATCGTTAATTTTTCAGATTCTCGGACGTAAAAAAGGAGCACAAGTAGGAGCTCCAACATCTTCTAGGAAAAGAGCTCACGAGCAGAGAGAGAAGACGTTAGGTGTAGAATACGATAGAAAAAATAAAATCAGTAAAATCGTGGACAAAAGATTGGGAGAAAAAGATGGAAAAACTGAGGAAGAGAAAGGAGCGATGCGATTCACGGAGGAAAGAGTAAAAAATTACAAACGTGCTTCAAAGTTCAATTTAACTGACGATATTGGCGATATTGAAGAAGAAGATAGTGAGTTCAAACGTTAAGTAATTTCAATTGACCAATCGTGCTTCCAGTCCTGACCCACAAAGGAAAAGCGCTGTCGGACATTGAAAAGTACGATAAATCAATGATCTCTGACTCGGATGACGACGAAGATCCAGGAAATTTGGGCTCTCATATGGTGAAAGTGGCTCATTTCGGAGGTGGAGAGAAAACGACGGAGGAGCACGTGAAAGAAAAAATGAGCAGAGAAGACATGATCTCGAATCTGATTGCGAAGACGAAGTTCGCGAGACACGAGAAGCAGCAAGCGAAGGACGAACTAGTAGGAAATTGGGAACTTCTGAAATGAGAGAGACAATTACAGGAACTAATGACCGACTCGTTGGATGCGAAGTACCAGAATCTCATGGCAAAGATGCAGAGTTCGTTTCGTCCAGTCGGCAGGCAATTGGTCGAAAAGGATGATTACGACAAACTCGTGAGTATAACCCCGTGGATCTTGTTTATCTTTATCTGTTTTCAGGCAATCACTCTGAAGACGGAAGCGGATGCTCGAGCTACTCCCGCCGATCGAAAGATGACAGAAGAAGAGATGGCCGCAAAGGAGAAGGAACGCCTCGATTCTCTGGAAGCGGCCCGCATTTCCAAAAACAATGCGGTGCTCAACTCGAGATCTCATATCTCCGCCGACGATGATGTTGACGTGAATGCGGGATCGAAAGCCGATGCGAGAAAACTGAAGCAGAAGAATGCTAGATTCGAAGTGCGTTTCGACGAGGAAGGAGCGATGGTGGAAGAAGGGAAAGTAGAGAAATCGAGCATTAGGAAGGTCGGACACGATTCCGATGAAGACGATGAAGACCTGGAGGATGAGTTTGAGGACGAAGAAGAAGACTTGGATGACCTGATGGAAGACGAGGATGAGTTGGAAGACGATGAGGACGAAGAAGAGGAGGAGGAGAAAGTGAAGACGAAGAAACCGAAAAAGGGCAAGAAAACCGAGGAGATCCTTGATGAAACGGTCCCATTTGTGTTCGAAATGCCAAAAAATTACAAAAAGTTCTGTGCTCTTCACGAACAGTATCCGAAAGATATGGAGAGTGTTCTGGAGAGACTGGTGAAGTGCCATCATCCCAGTCTGAAAGAGGGAAACAAGAAAAGATTGAACAAACTATTTCTGATGTGTCTCCGTTGGTTTGACGATATGGCGAAGGAGAAGCTCACCGAGCAAACCGTTCAGGAAATCGATCTGGCTCAAAGAACAATGCACTCACTCCTCAAGGTTTGTTTCACTTCTCGCAATAAGTATAATCGAGAGTTTTCAGTTCGACATCCAGTATGGTGTTCGGTGCGTGCGCGCTTTGATCCGTCAGTACTGGAAGGGACGTCAAGACAAGGAGAAGACGGCGCCCGCTTCGTTCGGACTCATTTCTGCCGTCCGTCTCGTTTCCGGACTCTTCCCGGTCGCCGACAGCTGGCATCCAGTCGTTGTCCCTGCCTTCTTCCTGGCCACTGAAGCGCTCTGCTCTGCTAAGATTCCAAACCTCGTTTCTCTTGCCAAGCAGATTGTTCTAGCTAACACTCTCGTCGAATACGTTTCTGAATCGAAAAGGTAACTGTTATATACTCTAGCTCTCACTCCACAATTTCGTTGTGCAGATACGTGCCAGAACTCGTTTCATTCGCCAGAAGTGCACTTTTGCTCGCCGTTTCTGAAAAGCCGGAAAAGTTTTCCACAAACGGATTCCCAGTGTCACAGCCATTCTCAGAGATGTTATGCGTTAATGAAAAGGTGAGACCATGTAATTTATCAGAGCATAACGATGATTTTGCAGGTTTCGGATAAATTGGAACCCATTTCACTGCGCTCAATCTTCGGCGGAGCTCCTCAACAAAACGAGGCCTCAGTGAAAGTGACCATACTCAGAGCGCTCATTTCTTTAATCCAACAACTTCGTGTTATGTACTCCAATCAAAAGGAAACCTATAATATCGTCTTTAAACCATTCCTCCGCATTCTGGGAAACGTCAAGAAGGACTACCTTCCTAAGGAAATACGAGAGGAACTGGAGATTCTGACCGCTTCAATGACGGCAGAATGCGATACGAAGAAACGTCTGATCCATCTGTCGCTGGTGAAGACGGAGAAGAGTATGCTAAAGATGTTGGAGCCACGTTTCGAATGGGACTTCGATCCGGAAAGACCACACAAGGGCCCGAAAAACGAAAACAAGAAGATGACGAAGAATCTGAAGAACGAGATGCGCGGAGCCATCAAGGAGCTCCGCAAGGACACCGCTTTCCTGGCCCGCAAGCAGATGACGAATGTGAAGGCGAAAGATCGGGCACGAGTTGCGGCCACGAAGCGAGTGATGGGCGGTCTGATGCAGCAGCAAGGAGAGTGGAACAAGGAGAAGAGGACGAACGAAGTGGAGAAGAAGACGGCGAAGAAGTGATCGAATCGTTTTGTTATTTGTTTTCTCATGCATTGTTTTGTTTTATTTCTTTTTTACTTTGTTGAATTTATCTAAATTGTTTTTGAATGAACCTAGTTCATCCTTATAGTTGAGATCGTACAAAACGACCTATTGTCTATCTCAATTTTTTTTTACATTGTATTTTTGAGCTCAGAAATCTTGAAACACATGTACTATTAATCTTCCAGTTCTTCCGGAATGCCACGTCATCTGAACTCCCAATGTTCACCGATTTCTTCGTCTTCTTCCCCATCGTGCTCATAGAGGTTTTGCCCTAAATTTTTGTAAATGCAACGGAAAGAAAGTGAGTAGACATCTGAAACGAGGCGGCTCAAATAGACGCCAATTTGCAGACGAAGACGGCGAAATCGGAGCCATTCTTCTGAGAGCGACGCAATGATCACTGAAGGATTATCGCAATCTGAGCTCTTATCTCTGTTTGACAACCTCTTACGCATTTGCGAATGAATAAATCCGTCTCATACTTAGAATATTCGATGTTCCCTTCCGAAACGAATGTGTTTATCATGCGGATGCCTACTGTTGCCATGGTCCCCTCCCTCCCCTTTCCGGCTTAATGCACGCGATGCTGCGTGCTCATCCGGCCGCTCTCGTCCGCGTCGATTCGATGCATTCATTCGCCACTTTCCAGAATGACTGACCTCCCAAAGTCTCCGCTTTTCGCCGCAATCGATAAAAATGAAACGGAGAACGCAATGGAATTGCTGAAAACGAAGGATCAGGCGAAGGAGAAGGATGCGACTGGGATGGGCGTGCTCGCTGCCGCCGCTTACAGGTTTTTTAAAATTATCCACCACATCCAAAAAGACAAACAGACAGACGCCTCTTTTGTTTTAAATACAAGACTTTTGAAGCCCAGGCCCACTGCGCATTCTTATTTAATAAAAAGTAACGGAGTCTGTCTATTTCTTTCTTGCTTTCTTTCTCCGTTTGTCCGTCCTTTTTTCATTTCTGAGTTGGGACGGAGAAATCAAGAAATGAAAAGCTGAAATGAGCGTTTGACGCGGCCTATAGGCCCGCGCAGCGGAACCCGGCTCTAAAAGTCTTGTGATGATTATAATTTTGTATAATTTTATTGCTGTTTCCATTTACAGAGGAAATTTGAAAGTGGTCGAGAAGGCGATCGAACTGGGTTCCGATGTGAACGAAAAGACGGAAGACACGCTCTACACGCCGCTTATGTTCGCCGGATTGTCCGGGCAGCAGGACGTGTGTCGCGTTCTGATGGACAACGGCGCCCGCATGTATTCCGTGAACAGCATCGGGAAGACGGCCTCTGAACTGGCGGCGTTCGTCGGACATCACGAATGCGTCGCCGTGATCAATAATCACATTTCAGTGGATTTGATTGAAGAGTTTTTGCGGCCGAAGGTCAACGGAGAGAGAGTCGGAGACGAAGAATACCCGGACGAACTGGCCACTTTCATCCATTCTCTGTGCGGTTCGCACGAAGTTCATCCGGTCAAAATTATCTTCCGATTCGGCAAGTATCCCGATTCGATCAAATATAAAAAGAAGGTGACTCACTCATAATCTACTCTATTTTAATGCTTCCATTCAGATTTTGTACGTGATTGACCGGGTGTTCGAGAGACAGCTCCGATGCAAAGAGAGCAACGAGATCATGTCGCTCAAGCTGTGGCTCATCCTCTTTTTCATGCGCGAGACTGCAAAATACGTGGAAGCGAACAAAGAGAAGTCTCCGGAAGAAGCTTCTCTTCAATACGCACGGCTCATTTCCACGTGGAGTGAGGGGGACGAAGTCCGTCGGCCGTTGGACGTGCTCCTCCGAAATGCGATCGTCGCGTTCCCCTACAAGCATTCTCTGCTCCACGACACTCTTCAGAAGGCGCTTGCGAAGAGCACTGTCGGACAAAGGCCTTCAGCGTACGAGTACATCATTCAGTCCCTTTTCGGCCAGCGCATCGTTGCCGTCTGTCAGTTCTGCTCGGTGTGCGGGCAAGTCGGAGCCAAGAAGCGGTGTCCGCAGTGCAAAGTGAGCACATTCCTTTGGTTTTCTAGTTTCAGACTGTTAATCATACTCTTTTCAGCTCAGTTACTGCACGCAAGAATGCCAGAAATTCGATTGGCCAATCCACAAAAAAGTGTGCTCTTCGCTGAAAGGAAATCAGGAAGTGATGGCGGACACGGTCTCTCTGGAAGACATTCAAACTCAAATCGGCCAAATAGATATCTGATCTCTCTCTCTCTCTCTCTCGCCTTTCTTGCTACTTCCTCTTCAATCCTACTAAAACCGAATAAAGTCAGTGTGCTGCGAAAGGATGATCCCTCTCCCGAAAACCTCGATGCATTCCTCGCTTGTTTTGCCTTTCCCCATTCCGTCTTGGCCATAAACCGCGTTTCCAGGCGACACCCAAGGATTTCATTCGCCCCGGGATTTGTGTGTCTCCGTCGCAATCAAAACAACAATACTCGTGTGCTCCCTCCCTCCTCGGTGACTCGACTCATTTCCAGCTGCTTCTCCACAGAAACATCTGAAAATGAGCATATCATGTGGGTGACGTGAAGCGAGAACGCGTATAAAATATAAAAAGAAGCATGGCTTTCTTTCACTTTTCCATCTTTATTCTCTTCTCATTCTCCGATCGCAAACCGTTCTTGGTTATTGTAGCTTTCGGGTCGAAATGCAAATTCATTTAGGATCGATCCACGTCACAGATTTGACTGATGGCATCGGTTCGAAAACACGATTTTGGGTCCAATTTCCGTGAATTTCGCACTGCATTTGCCTACTAATTGTTTGTTTTCTATGTAGTTCATTGTGTTTCCGCGAAGGCCTCATTTCACGTCATCTTCTATGCTCCAGAAGCCCAATCTGGCGGCCGGACGAATGAGCTCTGCATTTATGCTCCCGGTGCACTTTTTCCGTCTTCCACTTGCTTGCAAAAAGAAAGAAATAAGAGCGCGATAGGCCGACTATTTAATTGGAGCAAGAGCAAGCGGAGAAAGGGATCCTCTCTTTCCCTTTTTTTCTGTTCGTTCCGAGAAAAAGACGCCACGTCACCGTCTCGCAAGAGACCACATCTGTCGTTTATAAATTCATCCGCGGAGGAGCTTCAAAGAGCCATCCTTTGTCTTCCGAGCTCGCCATTTTCCGCCGAGACTTCCACAGTGCCTCCTAATCTCTGATTGCTGCTCTTTCAAGTACTATTCAAGTACTATGTTATAGCTGTCGTGGTGGAAAACAAAAGAGTACGAAAAAGAGAAAAAGTGGTTTTTGTTCGAATGCAAATTCTCCGTTGCCACGTCAAACCTAGACAAGTGGAGAAAGAGATGAGCCGTCTGGACGGGTCTCTTTTTGGCGGAGTGCTCCGCGGCGAACGAACATTGTTTCCGTTTGAGCAGCACGTGCGCAGGTGCTCTTTTCCCTCTTATTCCCCGCTTTTTTCACTTCACCTGTATTCAGTATAGCAGAATTCTGTGGCAGGGTTAAACCGAAAAACAGTCATTCTCGAGAGGGAGAGAGAGAGAGAGAGGGAGAAATGTCTCTGTTTTCGGTGTGTCGAGATCCTCTAATTATACCCGTCAGAATATGACACGAAGAGCCGCCCCCGACTCATTCCTAACACAAAATACGGGACGTTCGTTCGCCCCTTCCGGAGGCTCCTCATCCTCAAATCCGGGCGGTCCCCAGGGAAATGTCTCTTTTTGCAGAATGTCGCCGTGCTGTGATGATGACGTGCTAATAAATTCTGGAAAAGAAGATAGCTAAAAATAGACTATTCTTTGTTTCGGTTTCGATTTCCTCTCCTTTGGTTCAAAGTTTGCCGTCTCCTTCTGCTTCTCCTTCTTCTCATTCTTCTTCTTACGTCAAATCCGTCGCGCGTTTCGCGTCCCTTTCATCCTCCGATGATCCCTCAATCAGTCCTTTTTCAGATGTCTTCCCGAAGAGTTTCGCTGCCTGTCGCCCTCGCGATCCCTCAACAGTTCCCTTCGCGGCTCTCCCCGCCCACGCCGTCTTCTCCGGCCACGAACAGAAGGTACCGTATGTCAATGATTCGAACTGACACGAATCAGAACGAAAGCCCACTTGCAATACTCTCTAATTCAATTGTTCGCAACCACGTCACTAGCTCCAACCCGCTCTTTTTTCTTCCTTCTCTTCTCGTTTTCCGTAACGAGTTGCAGTCAAACAAAATATTGAATTTACGCGAAAACGGGTTATCCGCGGCGTCGCCCAGAACACTTTCCCCCAAACAACAGCCCTTTTTCAGATCGCTCCCGACTTCTCCGATCTGCCGTCGGAGCCTCCCGTCCACGCCGAGAACCGTCTCTCCCCGTCGCCTCACGAACCTGCTGCCAGATGTTGATGAGCACTTTGCGAGCACGAGTTCAAGGTATCCTCCCACTCAAACATCGCCACAACACATATTGGTTTCAGTTCGGAAAACTCGCCTCGTCGTGTGAAAAAGCGCCGTCCGCCGCCGAGGTACAGCTCTTTCCGGTTCGCCTATCGAGTTTCATTCGTTTCTTCTTTTTAGGTACCAATATTCACTGCAGACATCTCCTGCTCTCATGCATTCGAATAACGCCGAAGAAGAGATGGAAGAGAAGCCGGAGGGAAGTCTCCGGAGCTTCGCGATCAAGAACGGCCACGTCATCGATAACGGATACAAACCTATGAATCCGAATCAGCCGATCGGCAACCTCACCTACAGTGATTTCTTTTTCCATTTCCTCTGTATTCACGAAAACAGTTTAGGAGACCGTCGGGCCACGTGTCCAGAAGTGTGGCTGTTTCCGGAAACATCGAATGTTCCCATGAAGCACGTCGTCCTTCGAGTCTACGGATCAAAGAGCAGCGGAAAGAAGACTCTGCTCAACTCGATCGATCAGTTCGCGACGCAACTTGTGACACGGTACAACAACGAGCGTGAGTGGGAAAAACGGGAAAAACGGGAAAGTTGAGAATTTAGCAAACGAAGGCGATGAGAATTCTTCGAAGATGATAAACTTCCTGCTGAACAACGAGCAGATCGAATTGGAAATGCTTTTGGAGGCAACTCTCGAGGTCCCATTTTCCCTTTCTTCTAAATATAATCATTTCTTTCCAGAGCTCTCCGTTCGCCTCTGCTCTCGTCATGTACGCAATCGTTTACAACGTCGACAGTCGTGATTCGTTCCTTTCCGCCACGAGCCTCTTAAGTCGCCTTCTTAATCGGAAAATCGCGCGTGGTGTGAACATAATTCTGGTGGGAAACAAAGTGGATTTGAAAAGGAATACGGTCGTTTCGAAAATGGGTTCGTGCTTTTCGGATCCGCTCATTTTGAGGTCTCGATTTGCAGAAGGGGCGTGTCTCGCCAAAGTGCATAAGTGCCATTTCATAGAAGTGTCCGCCCTGTACTCGATGAATATCGGCGAACTGTGGACGCTCATTCTGAAGCAGCTGCAGACTCCTCCGAACGAAACGGAAGAGGAGCACGGCTGGATGCATCGGATTGTCAACCGTGGCAAACAATTGGCTCATTCTGCCGAGCAGATAGTGCAGAAATTCGTAAACTAAATGTGATAATGAGTCTCCAGAGATTGAAAACAATTTTCATACTTTTTCTAATTTATATTTGCAAAATGGTGAAGAACAGTAACAAATAACAATAGACAACAAAAATCAGAAAGACGATCTCTTACTCTTCCATCTGTTCGTCTACCTCCTTCTCGTCGTCATCCTCTCCATCCGCCAGTTCGGCCTGCATCTTTCTGAAATTGTCACGGGCGTCGTGGGTCATCTTCTTGTACATCTTCTTGGCCTTCTTTTTTGTGATGAACTGAGCAGTAGTACCACGTTTGCCAGTCGGTGCGTCCAGAATTTTCTTGCTGAAAAATGCTTTTCATGTTTGTATTTCATTCAATAATAGCTTTCTTACTTCTCGCGGACCGGCAGTTCGTTCTTTCGAATGATCTTTTTCTCATTCACCTTTGGAACGTTTTTCAGCTCTCCAGCTGCCAGCTTTTTCTATAAATAGCGAATATTTGAATAACCGATTTTAAACTGTTACTCACCAAGGATGATACGGCAAGTCCTCTGACTCTCGGAATGTCTTCTGTCATTTGTACATCTTTTTCTCCGTCCTTTTTGGAGTTCTTCGCAGCCGCCTTCATCTGTTTCGCTTTTCCGACGGAAACGGCCACTTTGTTCCGCACCAAATTCTTCTTCTGATTGCGGAATTTGCCCATTTTTTGAGTCTGAAAAATAATCAAAAATTCGTGTACGAATGACTAGAAATAACAAGAATTAGGCTCGAAACAGTTGTCAAAAACGGCAACGAAAATCGTCCACGAGTATTACACACAACGGCGGCCGAAGTTTTACAAGCGGCCGCCGGGGGCGGTAAGTAGAACTCGCGCAGAATGGAACTGTTACGATTTAGGACTCGCAACGTTAAAATATTACTGCGAGTTCCAAATCGTAATAGTTCTATTCCGTGCGAGTTCTACTTCATTGTAGCGCCCCGCCGGGCCGAACCAAAACGCGGGCACTTGAATTTCATCAAAAGCAATACATTTTGTGAGAGAGTGACGAAATAGCGGATGCTAAAGGAGCGGAAACGAACATTCTCTTTAAATTTCAAATCCTGACGTTTTTATGGACTGATTGGGGCATTTTTGTGACAGTAAATTGTGAGACTATTCAATTAAAGTGTTCAACATAGATATATTGCAATTTAGTGTCCCAAAATACTTAAGAGATGTTCGTTTCTGCTCTTTTGGGATCCGCGATATCTGGTTTTTCCACTATTTTGTCACCCTCTTCATTTTGTTTCTTTTTTTCACAGAAGGTCGCGCTTTCTATTAACAAGTTTTGAGTGCAAAGCAGTAATTCGATTGTAGACGGAAGTGCTTATAACTTGAAGTGAACTCGAAATATACAAGCTTCATAAGCATGAAAAATTATCAATTGAAAAACAGATTGATCATAGTACAAACAGAGAGAATCACACGGGTTGGAAAGTGACTAAACGAGGGCAATATGACGGCTATCGGTTATTCCATATTAAACGAGAATAAATGATAGATTATTACAATTCCCAATCGAAAATAAGGCAAGACACAAGATTTGGTACAGGAAGACGTGGATTCCATCACACAGAGAACGATTGAACGAAAATACCGGTAAAAAGAGACGATAGTGGAGGGGTTCGATGGCAATTATAGTCACAGTGAAAACTCGTGCGGAAGGGCTACTCGTAACTCTATCAACAGTTCCTACAACTAGAGAAGGGCGAACAAAGTGGTGCTTCTAGACGACGTCGGATGGAACGATGCCGTAAATGTCCGAGTACAACTGCGAAGAGTCGTCGTTCGAGGGCAACGGAAGACGTGACGGAAGCGACGAATGGAGGAGCGTCCAGAAAAGATGCCCCCTCCACTCGATTCGTGTGTGCTTCCGAAGTATCTGTCCGAGTTCGTCGTCGAGCAGATTCACATCGACGCCTTCGCCGAGCACTGCTATCACCCGCTTCGCCCGGTTCTTCGCAAACAACTGATGAGATGTCTGGAATAAAAAAGAGTTTATGAGACGAATCCGAAGAGTACGCGGCGGCGACTTACCTTGATCTGAAGAGTTTTCCACTCATTTTCTAAGAAATGCCTGGTCAACACGAGTATCAGACACTGCGCGGAATCCATTTGGGCAATGAGTTCATCGGAGATTGAGTGCACATTCGAGTTGTAGGTGGGTCCGTCCCGATGAAGCAGACATAGTTGATAGTCCTCGTCTTCCAGAGGTCTGCACAGCTGATCGATCACCATCTTTTCGTCCTTCTTTGAATAACTGACAAAGGCGTGATAGCTGAGAAGAGGGATCGGCAACGGAGAGGATCCCGCAGACGTGGAGCAGTTGAGCGAAGAGGCCTTGTACCTCCTCTGGTTGATGGCATCGTGCGACTTGCGAACGAACGACACGGCCAACAGAACGAGAATGCAGAGAAGGATTGCGATGGACACAGTGACGACGACGAAGATGATGCTGTTCTGTGGATCCTGACCGAAGAAACCGGATGAGAAGGGCACACAAATTGACTTGTTGTAGTCGCGAAGGAACTCTGCAAATCATAAATTGAGAGAGGAAAGTCCAAAACGATGTAACCATCGATGGGCATCACAAAGATATCATGATTGACGTTCGGAGGATACGCAGACAAAACAGTCGTGTCATTAGTCAGGAATGCCTTTGTCACGTTCTCCACACATTCCACTTTGACGGCGTCGACAACGAGATGACGATGGACAGACATCCATTCGGCCGCATTGTGCTCGATGATCGGAGCCGCGTACGGGCTGTTCTTCATGTTGAAATGCCTCGCATGAGAGGAACAGTCGCATCGGAGCGGGTTCGCAGACAACGAGATTCCACTCAACGAGGCCACATTCGAAAGGACGGGCGGGATATCTTCGAAAGTGTTGTTGTGCAGAGTCAGGAACTTGAGGTTGGGCAGTTTATCGAAGATTCCACGAGAGAGAGTAGAGAAACGGTTGCCATTCAGGAATAATTGAGCGACTTCCGGGGTCTTGAGGAATTCGTCTCCGGATAAAGAAAGCAGAGAATTGTCCGAGAGATCCAGAGTCTTGAGCGATGGCAAAGTGTGGAATGCCTTCGGCTGTATCGAACGGAGCCCTGTTCCATTTATATGAAGCCGTTGAAGACGGAGCCGTCCAATGAAGGAATGTGTGCGCAGTTGAGGTAGAACGACTCCGGAGAGAATGATCTCGGTGGCAGAGACGGGGACTTCCGAGACGACGAACTCTCGCTTCGGCACGATCGTCTCGTTATGTTCGCAGCGGACGATGTTGATTTGGAACGAGTCGTCCCGGAAACATCGGCAAGAAGACGGACACACCGATTTGCAGTCGCAGTTTCCGTACTGACAACAAATGCATTCCGGTTCGCACACCGATTGGTACGGACAGAGAAGATCTTTCTTCGTGATCCTGTCGAAGGAAATTAGCCGCCCGTCGACTGCATGGGAGCACGTCGCATTCTGTCTGCCCTCGATTTGAATTCGCACCGCCTTCTTCTTGTCCGATTCGCTTCCCGGATTGAGCACCCACGTCATTTGGCACGAGCATTCCAACGGATTGTTGTCTATCGCAATTTTGACCGGATGAATGGCCTCGACGACTCGCATCGATTCCGTCGGCACAACAGTCAGATGATTGTACGAGAGATTCAGTCTCCTCAGCTGTGATTTGTCTGCCAGAGCGGCCTTTCCCAGACGGGACAGTCTGTTGTGGGAGAGGTCGAATGTTTCGAGCGAGTTGGGAATTTGCTCCGCATTCAGCACTGTGATCTTGTTTTTCGAAAGAGTCACCACCTTCAGATTGGCCTTTGGCGCCGCCGTCAGCAGGTTTATATCGTTCTTATCCGCGATCAGATACTCCAGATTTTCCGGCAAAGCGGACCATTTCAGAACTACGATCGCATTCTCGGAGACGTCCAAACGGCGGAGTCCGTCCGCTTCGGAGAGTCCCTCATCGAGAGATTCTAAAACATTCGTCATGAAAAGTCGAGTTGCGAAGTAATAAAAACTCACTGATTTTATTATCCCTCATGATAATTTTGCGGAGTTTCGGGCATCTGGCAAACGCGTCCTTGAACAGAAGAGAGATTTCATTACTAGAAACGTCGAGAGTATGAAGTTCTGAGCTGTCGGAGAATATGTATGGGCCAATCTGGAAAAGAGGAATTTGAGACTGAGAAGAGGAAAGAAACAATGACTAACGCTCAGAAGCTGATTGCTCGACAGATCCACAGTATGCAGCTGCTTGATCTTGTTGAATACGTACTGGTAGAGCTTCGCAATGTTGTTATGGCTCAGATCTACTTTCTTCAACTGCTCCACCTTGCCAATGGCGGCCGGAACTTCAGTGAGTTGATTGTTTGACAAATCGAGAATGTCTGAAATGGATTCCATTTGACAGCTGCAACGCCTGAATCGACTGACCAAGTTTGAGTCCCTCCAAGGAATTCGGTTCAATCGTTTCAAGTGAGTTGTTCGCCAATCTCAAGTTTCCGATTTTTGAATTCACCGGCAACACGTCATCGCCAAACACTCGGAGACGATTCGATGACAGATCAAGCTGCAAATTCGTCATTATTCTTGATGATCTTTCAACGACGGGGACAAGTGCCCTTCAATTTCTGTGACCATGTGGTTGCCTCCCCGGTATAACACGTGTAGTGGTGGAAATATGTTCCTATGCAAATATTAATCAGGGTGTCAAAAGTGTGTATATTAGAATAACACAGCTCCCTCGCAAGAATAGTCTCCCGCACACAAGTGTTTTTCGCAAACATTCCATGAGTTCTGGAGGTCGACTCTAATTGGATTATGAGTGTGCACGTGCGCACTTCCTCAATTACGTCACTCGATGATCGGGTAATTGTTCTGATCTCGGACTCAATTTCAGCAGTCATCATCCTTGCAAATGTATCCTTTCCCCGGGGTCATTCTGTGTCTATTCTCAGCTGCCTAATCCTTCTCATCCCCGCACACAGATCGAAAGAACCCTCTCAAAAATAATTACTGAAAACGAAGAAAAGAGCTCATCGACACAAATTGGCCTCTCGAGAGAGAAACATTGAGGGCAGCAGTAAGCCAATTCCGGACCCTCCAAAAAAAAGCGCACCTGCCAGCCTCTCTCGGAGCGATTCGATCCCCTGGGGAGACGGGATTAGTTCCCGGTCCGTCAGGGGCCGCCCGTCTTGTCCGGCTGTCCGTCACACCTTCGCTCACTGATATGCCCGTGTCGTGCCCGCTCGCATAATAAACCCCCGGGTTCGGATACAATTTGGCACCTTCTGCCACACCAAGATGATATTATTCTCGCAACAATACGGGAGGGCACCTTAAACCCTACAATTATACAACCAACTCTTACTCTCCCTCAACCACTCGCCACTTACTTCACATAATACCCCTCATTGAGATGACACCTGTGGGCGAATAGATGGCACCCTTAAAAGGTCAGCCAAGTACTGTTTGTCTGGTGTCACGCAATCAGAGAAACTGAGAAGATCCCCCCAATGAAAAGAAAGAAAGGGAAGACGCGTGTCCGATCCGGAGGTCGAACAGAAGGCGTAAACGACTCACCGTCTGCAGATTAGTCGCATTCGAGAAGCTGCCGACGAGCAGTTGTTCGATTCTGTTGTGCTCGAGATGGAGGTGCGCCAGCCGTTTCTCGCACTTCTCAAGCCATTCAGACGGTAATGTGTCAAGCTGGTTGAACGAGACGTCCAGCATTTCAAGTTCCGTGGAAGCTGAAGATGAATGGAGGGATTAGAATGGAAAATAGAAGGATGGGCTAACCGAGAATGGAGGAGTTTCCTGATTCAAGAGAGTTGTGGGAAATGTTCAGAGCCACGAGATTTGGAAGAGCCAAGACTGCCTCAGGGACACGTTCCAATCGGTTTCCAGCCAAATTCACATGAACAACAGTCTCGGGAAGAGATTTCAGGTCCGCAATCTGATTACTTTCTGCGTCCAACTGCTGCAGGAACGGTGTTGCCGACGACAACTCCAGCTGAGAAATGGCATTGTGAGCCACAGAGATCTGTCGGATCGCCGGCACTCCTCTCAGAAACTGCCTGCAATTAATCGAATGTTGTTTCCGCTCGGTTACCGCGCTAATGCTTACTCAATGCTGGACAACTGATTGCGCGACACGTCAACGATGAGAAGTTGTTGCGCAACACAGGATTCTTCCCTTCGCAACGTCGGCAACGCGTTCGTAGACAGATTCAGCACCTGCAAGAAGGATCAAATTTAGTTGAGTGGATTTGTTTCGAGAGAGGGAGAAACAAGGACCAAATTTCCTTTGATGATACATCCGAACATTGTCTGTCACCCTCTCAAATAGCCACACACTCTGGTCTGTCGGATATGGCAGTTACACCAGGCGGGTCCCCATTGATGTTTGTGTGTTCTAATTAGTAGTCATGAGAGCAGCTAATGAGCTCATATTTATTAATTCCTCTCCTCATCGGATGAGGCTCATCCTCCTCGTCAGTATCTCTCTTCACAAAAGGATGTGCCCACTCTGATGAACAAGGGCGCGCGCAACTGTTTACAACGCGATCCGTTCAAAATTCGAATGAATTATTGAGCACCGACTCAAGATTGAGCACTTGCCAACTCGACGGAACCAACGATTCTGCGCCATTCACTAATAATAATAATAATAATAATAATGTTCGGCTTTATGGGTCCATCAAGAAGACGAGGGAGAACACGGGGAATAATGTTATGTCTTTCTCTCGACGATGATGGATGTTCGCGTTTGGAGAGCGAAACGTTCGCACTTTACATATGAATGGCTTGTTTTGGTACCGTCCGTCCGTTACCTTGACTGCCCGAACGGATCGGTGTCGCGGAAAGGACCATCCGAGAAACAACAAGCGGAGTGCGGTAGCCACGAAAGGGCTCATTAGCTAAATGACGCGTGATATTCATCGTCTGTGGCATGCCAACAATACACCTCTAATTATTGAAGCAGACCAACGAGAGCTGCCGTCGGTTCCAAAGTCCCCGACTCGCTTGTCATCGTCAGTCACAACAACTTCCGATGATATTCGACACTTCACGACGTTCAAGCCCTTTGTTCTCCAACTCGCCGTTCAATTGCCGCCTTCTGCCAGATGGCTGAACGTCAGTTGAGTAAGCCTTTCGCCCGTACTCCCGCTCTCCATTTAAAGCCCCCGTCTTTGGAACGCGAGCGAAACTAATAAACAACTAATTCCTTGTCGAAATGTATAGTGCAACAAGTCGTTCAGAACAAGACGTTTCGCAAGGATTACCAACCTGCAGATGCGGCAGAGAGCACAGAAGTCGTCGAGGAAGTTCCACGTTGTAAGACTCGGTCAGTGAGAACTTCTCGAGTCGAGCAAGCGGCATAAGCAAGTCTTCAGTTAATTCAAACGACGACTTCGGCGATGACAACTGAAATGAGTCAATGATAAGTATCAATCTCCCTCGAAACGGCCCGTACCTGATTGAGTTCCAACGTGCGCAGAGCTGCCAAATCCTCGAACAACTTGACGGGGAAATGTGTCGTTTCGCATCTCTGAAAGCAATCCATCATGGGAAAGGCTTGTCAAAAAACGTTGCCGCGCCCGCCATTCTTCGACGGTTTCCCGTTTCCTTCCTGCTGTCACACCACAGACTGTGGACAACAACTACGTATTTCGGAGCACTTCATGCATCTGTCCGGTGCTCTCCAAGTATTGAATATTACATGGCTAATCGGCTTAACCTCTTCACGCCCAACACATGTTCTTCCGTGTGTTCCCCTCTGTGCTTCTGTTTTCTATTCCTTTGGAACGGACGGATACTAACCTACTCATCTCAATGCTCGCCTATGACGCAATACTGCCTAATTAGAGACATCGGAGAGCCCTTAGGAATTAGGAGAGGAGGGTGTTGGAACGCATAAAGGGCAACGGACACCTTATTCCTTTCATGCCGGGTCGCTGTTCTACCCGTTACTATACAAATCTCAAAATAATTGGTGTCGTCGTCAACAGTCAAGAAGGCACCGTCTTCGAACGAGAACACTATAAACGCGAAGGCAGATGGATACGGCCATTAGGCGTCCGCGTGGCAGCTGAATATGATAAACTCACCGAGACGCGCAGATGATGTAACGCCGTCAGCGACTTGAAATATCCTTCCGGAAACCAGACGAGACCGTCGCAACTTATGAATAAACTTCTGAGAATAGAACGAAGGATAGGCTGAAATGGGGGGATTTTGTGCTCACCTAATATTAGCAACCTGATTATAAGCCGATGCAATAGGTGTTATCGTGAAATTCGACGAATAATCACATAATACAAGTTTAGAAGTCGGTTGCACAGGATCAGGAGCACATTTGCAACTGAAACAAAACAATCGAATAACGAAAGGAAAATCATTCGAAAACACACAATCTGGGGCAATCTTCTTTTTCGGTTTCGGTTGAGTGTGCTATCCGACAAATTAAGAAAATTAGTAAAACGAAATAAGGTTTCTCCCTCATTTCTTCTGTTCTGTCCTCACCGAGCAGTTATCATGTGCTCTGAAAAAAGGAAAGGAAAATTAAGCGGATGAAACGGAAGGAAGAATAGCGAGTAAAAAGTAATTAGGAAGGCAGGAGAGACGGGGCGAAAACGGGGTGTTAATTGACTATACATTTCGAAAAGGGCCAGAAGTGGAGTAAGGGCGAATGGACTTGCGGAACGAGAGCAACTAGTTATCAGCAGGTGCAAAGAAGTAGTACAAATCTGCCGGAAATTGAACTAGAATGAGAGATGAAGGGAGGCGGAGAAGCGGTAAACATTCAGAGAAAAACGGAAAGGAAAATTGAAGAAGCGATCCAGCGAACGGTACGAAACCGGGTGATGACATGCGGATAGTGGGTGACGGGTACGCGAACAACGAAATGGATCAGGTGGTGGTGGTGCCCGGATGGCAGAGAGACCACCAGCAGAGAGGGCGGGGTTTACGAGAGGAGGGAGACGACACGGACCATCGGATGGCGAGGAGGGGGAGGAGAGCGGCAGAACACATGTACTGACAGGGCCCTGGGAAGAAGAAGACCGATAGGGTCGATTGTTATCAATGCGTGATTAACAAGACAATGCGAATTAGCACGCGCGGCGAAGACTTTTCCGCTTCCGTCCCTCCCGGACGACTACTTGACACGTCGGAAGTAGTTGTTTGATGGCGGACCGACAACGAGGAGACGAGCGATTATCGGAAGTGGTGTCAGATGCAATCCACTCGAATTATCCATCACTTTATGAGAAGCAAGACTCGTCTACTCGGCCACATTATTTTGTTGGCCCGTTTCGACACATTTGTGCGGATGAGGAACGACAAGAGGAAACGGTTTTCGTTGTAAACGGAGGAAGTCCTCGCACCAGTGTATAACAGAGTCAGAGTGAATAGAGAAAGTGTTTCAAAGAAAAATGGCTGGAAAAAATTGGCTCAGTTGTAAAATGTTTCGCAAGTCTAGAGACTGCTTATCAGAAAACCAAATTGGCAGGTACAGAATGATAAAAGGAAATGTGAGCAACAGTGTCAAAGTGACTATGCACATGTATGACTGTACTAGTGAGTGTGTCGAGAAAACAGTTCCTTTGCCAATTAGCCGAGCCCTCTGCTCTATCAGTCTTCCTCTCATGACCCACTTTTACGACTTGTTTGACCACCTTTTTATAGCGGATTGGCCGGTGCATTCGAGCAGATTACCGTTCACTTGCGCAATCCGTCTCGCCTTTTTATAGTCCCTAAGAGCAGACGCGTGCTCTTTTCATAGAATCGAAGGGACCACACACTCCTAATATGTTCGGATGCATAAATTGTATGCAAATTAGAGGATACCAACAAAAAATGAGATGAGCACTACGTACGCTTCATTGAGCACCATCAGGGGGAATATGAAAATAAGATGGGTGGCGGGAAAGAAAGTCACGAACATCTGGCCACAGTTGGGGCCAGCGATTTATTCGTGATTGTATCTAAGGTCGACGTCAACTTTCTCATTCCACATTTCAGATTTATTAGTTTTGTGACATGGCAAGAAGTAAAGAAAATAGAGAAGTGTAAAAGGTTAAAAAGTTGGTGGACCAATAAATGGCAGAAATCAAGTGAAGCGTAGCGGGACTAATGGAATATTCCATGGATGGCGCCAAAAAATGTGGCAACATTGTGACGCTCTTTCGATGAGAAACGAAAGAGCACAACCTCGGGAGGAGCAAACAAAGCTGCAGTAGGCGTTCGAACTGGCGGTGAGAATCAAAGAAGAACGAGGTGAGAGGACACAGTTGTTTTGTGTTGTGTACGCCCGGGTGTTGTATGCATTGTGCACAATGTGTTAATGGATACATATCGCATCCCGTGAAGATTACTGTTCGAGCAAACGACAGCGATCACAGAAGCATATCCAGGGAACACAAGAGAGCGTTTAGATTAAATGAATGGAAATCGGAACACTGAGCTTCTAATTTGATACATTTCTAGAAATCAACAGAACGGATGTAAAACAAACGAGAACCTCTTGCACCGAAGGATAAAGATCTCTTTTTATCTCACGGCAACTTTTGTACAGACTAACAAGAACCGCTAATAGGGAAACAGAAACATGTCCTAATTAATACCATAATAGTTTCTCCGAGGAGAAGAGTATTCTCAAAGATAACAGGAGACTTTTGACAAGAAAATGACCCAAGTGATCTATGGGAAAGCAACCTATTAGTGGAATGAGGAACGTCTTCTTTTCGCGTCTGTATTCAACGGAGGAGTGGTTGCGTATGCACAAGGAATGGGTCAAGTGGTTCGGGGAACTGTCCGGGGTCTTTCTGCTCAAGAAGGTGTGTCTCCCGGCGGCTTATCTTTGTTCCCCAGACACCTTTTCCGCGTGGCGACATCTAATGGAGTCCTCGGAGAGTGCGTGAACAAACGGGCGGTGCAATGAATAAATTGAGAAAGGCACCAGGAAGAGTGTGAGATGAACATTCGGCCACATGTGTCGTCCGGCCCGGAGCAGCCTCTCACTCTTGCTTCTTCTACCCTTCCCGCGGACGGATGGCAAAAAGTTTATGGATAGATAGATAGCGGCCAGCGGACGGACACACGGATGCAATGAATTTTGTTGTGGTGTGCCTGTCAGGTCGAAGAGGTTCGAGAAAGAGAGATAGAGACCTCACAAATTAACATTTCGAATGGACGCGCCACCACAACTGAACAGAATTGTTATGAATTCGAATGGAGCCAATTCGAGATCGAACGCGTAGATAGTAGGATAACTAGCGCCAAGGGGCGAATTCGAAGCATTTCGGGAGCGAGATTTAGATAAGAATCTTTGTAAAATGAGAAAGAATCGAAGAGCGAAATCGCACTGGCAAACACATGTGACAGACGTTTTTGTGTTCACGGGAGAGGAAGCCTGTACATCTTGCTCTCAGCTCGTAATCGCCTAATCCACCTCATCCGCCTACCGTAATCCCGAAAACCGTTCAGCAAACATGGTAACCTGATACACAGCGGTCAGAAGGCCTGATAAGAGCGACTTGTCATCTCTAGTGCTCTTCACAGATTTCGACCAAACAAGCTGACCTGTCCGGACGAAAAAGAAACAGTGGTCGTCTCGGAGACACAAACAGCCGCAGCCAAACCCCTCTCTCTTCCGTTTGCATTCTCAATAAAAGGTTAATTGGGTGGGAGGAAGGCGGCCGATTGGTTCCATATGTCGACGCGGTAATTGCTATCTGTTCGAAAGCTCACAAAAAAGAAGGTGTGGCAGAAGAGGATCAACACGAAAACAATTTGGAGGTGGCAGCAATCTGGGATGCAGACGGGCAAAATGTTTGAATTCAATGGAGCGATGTGATCGGGTGGCACGCATAAAATAAACTATTGGGACGCTTTCGGATTGTTTATTGCCACCAAAAGTTGGCTCGGATCGAAAACATCGGAAACCGAAATGGATTTGGGAAACGTGACGTGACGGGTTGGATATCGAGAAATTACTCCTTCGCGTCCATCAGACATTGCACACAAAAACAAATGTTTCAACAGTCCAGAAAAATCTTTCCGATTCTAAATACACCATTCATTCATTTCACGCTCGTACCTCCAGTTCCGTCTCCTAGTTTCTAACAAAGGAAAGGTCGTTATGCCCTTTCGCTCCCTCAAACTTGTCAAAAAACGAATCAGTTGGCTAATGCGCGTCGAATGGGACACCGTGTGTGGACACAACACATTGAACTTTAATTATTTTTGCAAAACGCCCTATTTGTGACTCACAAAAGGCGCGACAATGACCCGATTGAGGTATACGTACAGTGTACCAAAGAGGCAAAATAAAGGGTTAGAAGGCAAGCGAAGAAACGTGCGGGACGAAGGAAGAGGGCCAAGGGATGTGATAAATAGCAGCTCATTTTCAACCGACGCCGAGGAAACAAAGAGGCGGGAAAGAGACGAAAGGGCGCCAGTGGGCCATAATGCATGTCGGAAAGGCGGCGCCTGGGCACAAGAGGACGTGATCGATGGGTCATTGTCCAGAGGATAAGACTGCTCGGACAACTCGTGGACACCCTTATCATTTCCTTCGCGTGCACTTATCAACCACGAGCCAAATTGGTCTAACCCGTTGATGACTAACATAACAAATGAGAAAGGACAGAAGGGAGAGAATGATGATGAAGGAGAGAAGAATGAAGAAATAAGGAGGAATTACTCACTGACGAGAGGAGTCGCTGATTGATAGCTTCGAAGAGGGGACACAATCATCGGGAGATCTGACGGAACTGGTTACGAACGGACGGCAGAATTTGAAAAAGTGAAAACAGTTTGACAGAATCAAATTTCAAAGCGAACGAGGAATAGTATGAGTAAAGGGATTCCGCGGAGACTCGCGAGCACTCTTGTGCAACTCGACCTTCACCTTTACAACGGTTACATCCGACCGGAGGGCAAGGAAAGGTGGGTTTCGAATTCATCGAGTTTTTGCTCAGCTAAAATGCGGGTCAACATGAAGCACTGGGTACTGGTACACGTGCCAGTAAACAAATGGAACAAATAAAAAGGAGACTTCAATCGATTATGGAGATGCGGACTGATTGCGTATGTCGAACATGTAAAGGGTGCGTACGGAAGGAAGGGAGAAAGAGAGAGAGAGAGAGAGGGGATGCAACTTCTCGGGGTGGCAGTTGAAGTGTGTTCGCAAAGGGCGACAGTTGGCTGGCCGTCGATCCCAATATCAACTGCAGGGGGAGAACAACTGACGGCCGGCTATGAGTCAATCGGAGACGACGGGGGCGCCGCGAACTAATCAGACCTTCTTCTGGAAAGTGACACGATTGCGAGAAGAATGGACATGCACAACGTTCAATTGTACTCGCCCATGTTTGCTTTCCCAATATATATAAGGAACGCAATCGAAGTGAGAGATTAACAACGCCAAGTTGTTTTATGCCCTTCCATTTCGGGGCTTTTCGACCGACGAGACGGACGGCGACTGACACCAACACCCCTCTCTCAATTATGCGATTGCAAACAGGCGGATTCGCACTCAGTCCGACTCATTTCGAACAACTTTTGTTGCCACATTCGGAAGGATTATCTTTGCGGAATACGGTCGAGTTGCGATGAGTGAACGAGTAACAAAGCGGCCCGAGGACGAAATGAGGACGCGAAAGTGCATAATGAAGCCGTGGAAAAGGGAAGAGTGGAAGACCAGTTCATGTGGGAACGAAAGAGGATCCGATTAGGCGGAAGGCTGAAATTGGCGACCGAAGAGACGTCTTCTTCCTCTTCTTCAGTTCGATTGAGTAATTTATACGAGATACTGGCTGTACTCATTTCAAATTCATTAAAAAAGGGAGCAACTGGAAAAGAGACAAAATTTTCAGAATTCAATAAAAGCGGGAGAGAAAGAGAGACGTTTCGCTCGAATTCTTTAGAAAAAGAAAAAAGAACCGAAAACGGTTCTTCTCCTTGCCAGCCACAATTACAGAAAGTATCGCTACACTGTTCTATTCGTGACATATTGTGGATCTAGCACGTTGTTCACAAATAAACGTGAATGGCAGGTTGCCTTTGGAATCGCTCTGGCCAATTACTGAAAAAAGAGCCATAAGGTGTGAGAACGACATTAGGGGATGTACAATTGCGTACGATTCGGGAAAACAACAGCGGTAACTAATAAAAGTAAATAGATCTATTAAAAAGGTGCGACTCGATGTTATTGGCAAGCGATTTAGTGATGGGTTGCGGTACGACGGACAGACCGATAATCGCCTTTGACGGAGAGCGTGCGGACCGGTCCATAAAGAGGAAGACGGCCCGGAAGAGTCGCATGTGAGCTCGGAGGACTGGGGAACTCGGGGAGTCTGGAGCAGAAGCCCACTTACTCTGATGACAACAATTCGGCGCATTAATACTAAACGAGAAGCGGCATGGATTAGAGTGAATGAAGTGTCAGCCATCTGACACCGGCTGTTTTCCAGTGTATTCTGACACAGGAGGTCATGTCGTTAGGCCGCATTTCGAGATGAAGACGACGACCGGTTTGAAGGCAAAGATAAATGATAAACGGACAAGTGTGAAGGAAGACATCGATCACGACTGTCGGCGCACCGGGGGAGGCCACCGAAGAACAATTCCATTTCGCGGATAAATTATGGCTTGGTCGTTAGAGAAACCTAACGATTCGATGAATTAACGGCACCGCCGAATCACAGAAGAAGCGGACGGTTATCGTGCCGAACGATCGAGGCCGAAGGGTAAAAAAGGAGGGCGCGGAAGGCTTTGTTTCAGGAGGAATGAATCTGGCGTGAAGGAGGATCCGACAAAGAAAGCGGATGAAACGAAAGTTGACTGGATTTTATGACTTCAAAGTGGAGAAGGGAGCAAAAAACTGAGAGATGAAAGAAGGATGCGAAGATTAGACAGGTTCGGACCAGGAAGACACTCCGATGATGGGAATCGGAAGGGGAATAACGGCAATGTTGATGAGTCTCATTCACAACGACTTTGATGACGAATATATTCATGAAACATTCGTGGAAGAAGTGCACTCCAGCTGTCAGGGATTGCCCACTATATGAGAAATAGAAATAGGTATTTTCAGTAAAATGTTCTGAGAAGTCACATAGAAAACTTGAGATGTTTCTATGGAAAAAGTATTGTGTTGAAAAAACAGCTCATTTGGAACCCGTTTTGGAGGTGAGAAGGGGACGTCTTTTGCATATAACCTTCAAGGAGCGTATCGTACTGTCTGAGAAGGGCGTCACCATAAATAAATCAACTGGGGAACTGATATTTGAGGGCCAGCAAGCCGAACTAGGATGCGCCCTATCGAAAGCCGTAAATGTGTCATTGGAACGGAAAGCTGAGCATAAAATTATGCGAATTGTCGTCCATCGGTTCCATCGTCGCCGCCACTTTCATATCTTTTGGTGGCATCGCGACGGACTGCTCACGCAATGCTCATCTCATTTGCAGCTCCCGAGAGGCACGGAAGAGACAAAAGAAGAGTGTGGTGACTTGCTGGTGGACGAACGTCATCCGAGGAAATTGAAACTTGTGGAGGGCGGCCTCAAAAACGACGATGTACGCGGGAGGCGTCTCGTTTTCTTCTGGAGTGGTCATGAGGAAGAGTTGAGAAGTGCACGGCCAACACAAATGTGATTTGGCTGATTCAAAGAGAAGACGAACTTGGGCACTTGGGACCGCGTTACGAGTACAAAACCGCGGCAAAAAGTACCCGTTTTTACTCATTTTTATTGGAAAACTTAAGTGGAAGAAGAGAAGAGAAGACAAGCGGTTGATGAAATGATGAAAAAGTAGAAGTGAATAACGAGAAAGAGGCTGAAATGTGGAGATAATTTATGGTTTTAACTCGTGCAGTGACCTTTTATGCGAAAGTGCTAATTTGAAATAAATGGAGGGGTTTGAAAATTCCTCGAGGACAAACTTTATCGGAGACTGCTCACACGGTGAAATCAGAAGAAGAAGAGAGAAAGAAGCAAGGGAGTGTCCGGATAAACAGTTATGAATGGGAAGCGACTACTTCCCTTCTCTTTCTCTGTCTGTAATGATGCCTCCGCGGTGTGTTTCTGCTAATTACAATGGACAAAAGAACGGCAAACTGACGGGAGTCAAGGCTGTGCCCCATAAACACTTTCAATTATTTCGATCGAGATTTGATGTTTCTGTAGCTAGTACACAAAACAAAAACGCTTTGAATACAATACAGTACACGCATTCTAAGGAAAAAAGAAAGGAAGAGGAGCGCGCGTGGACGGAAGAGATAACTAAGTCACTGTAGTGAATGGAGGACAAAAGTGAGAAGGTAACTAACTTTTCGGGGCAAAAAACTAACAACAAAGCGACGGAAGAAGTGAGAGTTACTCGTGAATATTCGGGTGAACGAAGTCGACGTGTTTTCGAACGCAGCTTGGAGGGAAGACGAGCCGACGAGTGGAGATTTTGGCGCATAGCAAAAGAATCCTCTTGAGAAATTTAAGGCATATGTTGTGATGGACGGGAGGCGCTATCGCCGAGCGGAGGAGTATTTCAACATGCCGGGATTAACTGGCAACTATTTCCAGATGGTTTCAATATTCTTATCAGGGCACAACGGATGATTGATGGCTGGGATCAACGGCAGATTAGTAGCTGGGAACGCGCTCGCTAATAAACACAATCGTTTACTCAATTGCTTTTGTTTTCGGAGTTTAAATAAAGAAAAGAAAAAGATAAAAGAAGTTTTGAAACGACTAACGACAAAAATTTACGTTCGAACAAGTTCGCGCTCAAATTTCTGAAAACAAAAAAGGGTGATGCGCCTTTAAAAAAGCACCGTACACGTACGTGTTGAAGAAAGTTGAACGTAAAGTTGAACGAATGAAACATATTTTAAGAAAAAGTGCACTTTTGGTGCAAATGAATGTGTTACATCATGACCTGATTGGATATTCCATTCGGAAACATGTGTAGAAAGCAGACGGGAAATGAAATCAAAATGCAGCTCCGAAACGGCGAACAATGGGGCTCGCCTCCGTTTGCTCATTACTTGGATTGGCTCCGTGCCAAGCAATTCGTCCTTCTTTCCGTAATTAGATGCGCCACCATCGTGTGTGCTCATATCGAAATGAAGGAAAATTGATGAAAAGTTTTCAGTATTATACACTTTTTCAAATATAATATGAGTAAAGCAAAGAAGGAAGGGCCTCCCATGAGCAGTGTAAATGAGATTGAGCAACTACTTCCCGTGTGGTGACGGCTCGTTTGCTCCGTTGCACTTCTTATTTGATAAATGCAACGGCAAAACAAAAAGTTGGGCTCTTTTTGGCGTCTGACAAGTACATTTGGAGACTTTTATTCAGAAAGAGACACAAATAGGCACAGTTTACTTATTGTTGGCAATTGCTAAATCGAACGGATTCTCGAAGGAGTCGGCAGTCGGAAGAACTCGAACTCTCGCCTTTTGATCACGGAAAGTGACACACTGTTCGATTAATTCCACGAGGTTTCTGTCGGCCAGATTACGCATTCGTTTATCCAAACTTCTGAAAATCCATGCCGGTTTTCTGGAAAGTCTCTCCGTTCTCACTTGAACTCTTCCTGCTCCAAAAGCCCCTCGACATCAACGAGTTCATGAGTTCTGTTCGCCAATTCGGTAAGAGTCATTGACTTCATCACCGGCAGATTGAAGACGATCGAATTGAAGAGAAGATCCAGAAGGAGACACGTGTTGATGTCCTTTTTCTGTAATTACTTTCCTGACGGTTCTTCTTCGGCATCTAATTCTCACCGTGTTCAGTTCACTGCACAGATATCTCTCGCATGCTCTTTTCAGAACTGGCAAGTCGTTTAGTTCGGCGTCAATGAGAAAGTCGACAAAGTCTTCGACGTATTCCATTTGTGGAAGAACCACTTTGTTGAAGTACAAGTTGGCCAACATCTAAAAGGGTTCCAAGTAGTTAGACAACGTCATTCATCAGTTCTCACATCGTGTACGTGTTCCTTATCGCTTTTATCGCACTCGAAGTGCGGCTCCTCGTCGTCTTCGTCGTCCGATCCTTCCTCTTCCTCTTCCGCTTCCGAATCTTCCGTCCGGCTGTCGTACATGAACGAGAGCCTTCTCTGCTCACAGGACTCACAGCAACTCACCAGAATCTGTAATTCCCATTCATTTCAATTCCATCCCTACGCTCCCTACCCTCTTGAACATGTGATCGTCGAGTACGGACTCGTGCTGATTCTCGCGGAACTGTGAGATAAGTGAGGCCCTCCGCGAGCTCGAGTCCTCTTCTTTCACTTTCAGTTCCCTTCTCTCCGCGATTTTCTCTCTTTCCTCGTCAAGAATCATCTGTACTTTCTTCTCGTAATCCGTCTTTTCCTTGTCGCTCAGCACTCTTCTCTCCACCCGTCCGTTCCTTTTTCTAGATCTTCTCTTCCACACTTTACTGTTCACTCTCGCATTGTAATTGGCAGTTAAAAAGGAGACTCGGGGCGTCGGAGAAACCGCATCCAGGTAGGTGAACGGCTCGAAAAGACGGGATTCCATGTTAATGATTACCGAAATCTTGATGATGTTTTCCACGTTCTCTTTCAGATATTTCGACACGCACTCCCGGTCCGCGTCGGTGATTTCGCATCCCACTCCCTTTTGCACTTTGATAGTCTTTGCCTCTTTCTGTCCGGAAGGGATGCTCCCGATCGTGGCCGTCGACGTCTTCTCGAGTGCTCCCACTTCGGCCATCACATTCACTTCGTTCACGGGCCCGTCCACGAAATACAGATCAACTGCCACGTAGTCCACGTCTTCATCGTCGTCATTCTAAAAACCAGACGGCTTAGTGTACAAACAAATTAGTTAAATAAAGAGAAAAAGATGAAAATGAGTTGTTTACCATTTCGGAAGTGTCGTGTATTCTGATGTTCCACTGAAAAGAGATGAGCTGGTGAACGGTTGCAAACTTGGGGGAAATCGAAAGAATCGTGGCGTCTCCGTCGGCGGTTTTCCGTGTTTTCAACTGAATCACCACGATAGAGACACGAGCGAACATCGTACTCACTTTGGTCGTCCACGTGTAACAGAAGGAAATGCTGGTGGCCGTCGAGGAGGGAGATCCGCAGATCGAAGGCGACGACGGCGTCGACGAAACACTCATCGGCGCCTGCTGCAAGCGGGAATTGAGCGACGACATGCGGGTCGCGAGCCCCGAAATTGAAATGCAAAGCGGGGGGAATTAAGGAGTGAGAGACTGCCCGACACGGCCATAATTTATGTTAACTATCCGTCAATTCTGACCCTGTGTCACCGACAAACAGCCTCACAAAAAGAGTCTGGAAGGGAAATCGTGCGACTGTTTATCCACTCGTTCATGGCTTTTCGAGTCGATTCCCCGGGGGATTCGGTGAGAGCACGCAGGGAAAGAGTTTATTCAAATGAGATGAAAAAAAAACGAAGAAAAAGAAGGGAAGCGGTGGATGGGCAGCGGAAATCAAAAAACAGGACGAGGAGGAAAAACAAAGAGATTCAGGTACGGTAGTTGATCGGATTGGTAGAGAAAGAGAGAAAGAGAGAAGAAGAGATGTTCGTGTCCTGGGGAACATGTATGCCAGGAACAGAAAACAGAATATTCTGCAACAATGGACCTATGCAAACAATAAATTCTTTGTTGAAAAGGCCGGCAACAATCTCTCTGCCAATCATCGCTCTCCACTTGAATTCAGTGCTGAATGAAGTACACATGTATTCAACACAAAATTTGTCGGAGTGCACAATGAACTGTGATTGCGAGAGGTATGTGTCTGGCAGTTTCCGGGAGGAATCAGGTAAAGAGAAAAATGGATGGAAAACAGAGCAATGAATGTTGTTACGAGTCAGGCGGCAAATAACAAATTCATGCATTCATTCATCGTCGGAATCCGTCGCTCCCCTCCTTCAATTATTCGAATTGCCTCCGTCGGATGTCTGCGTCTCTCCGTCGCGTGCGTTCTGTCTCCATGACAACCTCATCTCATCCTGCTTCTTCTCCCTTCCCTTCTCACGCAATCATCCCTTTTCAGATGGAAGACGTCACTCTATTCCAGTTTACATGGAGAAAGCCAATTAAGAATCGAGAGAAGATTGCGTACGCTTCGACGGAGACGCAGACAACGGAGACGAGTCGGAAAGACGCGGAGAGCACGGCCAATTTCCAGCAGAGTAAAGAAGTGCAGACGGATGCGGTGGAGACGGAGATGGCTGAGAAAAAGGATGTTCGTATAAGTAAAGAGGTAGGGAAATAGGTAGGGGAGCGGAGAATTACTTGTGTGCTACAGGTACTGGATCTTCTCTACGAATTCGTCAGAGATGACTCAAAAGTGAACTACGATAGACTTCTGGAGTTCCACAAGTTCGATAAGGTCGCGTTGGAAACAGTGCAGAAGTACCACGTGGAAGTGAGAATCCATTCCGAAAGGGAATCTTCATACTTTCTTAATTTTCAGACAAGAAACGAGAATATCATTTCGATGCTCTCGAACTCTTCCAGAAAGACACTGGTCCTGTTCGGAGGCTCCAGCCACGAGACGTTCTGTTCCCATCAAGCGAGGGCCCTCCTCTGCTCCTCCTCCACAGTAATCCATCTTCCGTCCCTCTCTCTCTCTCTTCCGATCCCTTCCCTTCCAGAGCTTCTCCCTGCCTCTTCCCGTCTGTGCCATCTCCGCCGTCTTCTACTCTTCCACTCAATTCATCGTCGGAGATATCTCCGGAACAATCTCGATGTACACAAAGGACCAAAAACTCTTCGACGCAAAGGTTTCTTTCAAAAAAAAAACGGAGTGAACAGGGAAAGAAGTGCTTTCAGATATCCGACGGCGCCGTCACATGCCTCGAACTCTCTCGTCACGGCCTTTTATCAGGATCCGACGACGGGAATGTGGCTCTTTGGCAGGTCGGAAGTTCGGGTCTCGAGCGGATCGGCGGCTTCCGACTGACCGTCTCCGATCTTTCCCGCAAAATCCGTCGCTCTTCCACTTCGAACAAACCAGTGGCCATTGTCAGCATGCAAGTGTAAGGGGAACGGAAAGAAAGAAAGAGAGAGGGAACGATGCTATTTCAGAAGCGGCGACGAGTGCTGTGTGGCGACAGAGACGGGCGGTCTGTACGTGGCCTCGCTTCCGACGCTCGATTTCCGCCCGCTCGCCCAGTCGGCCACCTCCGTCGCCCGCATTCTCTTCGATTCTCCGTTCGTCGCCGTCGTCTACCACACTTCGAATGCGGCCGTTTTCAATTCGGAAGGCCTCGTCGACCAGATCCCATTCGTGGCCAACCTTGCCGTCAGGTTCGTCTCTGTTCCCGTTCCCGAATCGTTTCTTCTCCAGATGCGGACATTACTTTGTTTTCTCCGATCATCACCGCCTTGTCATTTGGTCCTGCAACACGCGGTCCCTTGTGGTCGACGAGACGATGGAGTGCCAGGCAATCTGCTCCATTTCCGACGACACCTTGCAAGTTCTCGAAATGGCCAACAATTTAGTCTCTAGATTTATAAATGACAAATTATAAATATTTTTTATTCAAAAAATATTGGTATAGTGTTGGAAATACAGTTGAAATAGCGGCTAAATGTGGGTGGGAATAGTTTTGAAGCGAAAACCGAATGAATGATACACTCTCGGTAAGTGTGACAGTGGTAAGTGGAGAGAGCGAAAGAAAGAGTGTGAGAGAGAGAGAGAGAGAGATAGGCGTCGGGAAAAGATGAGGAGCTATGGGAATCACAGAAGAAGCTCGAAATATGTCCAATGGAACTTGAAGAATCGTTAGCAACGAGATGAAGCCGGGATAAATATGGAAATGGACCCACGAGGAGAGACAACGCGGAACGAAGCGGAAAGTTAGCGGATATGGAGAAAGCGGCGAGAACGGCTACGGCAGAAGAAAAAGATTAAGACTAAAAGATTAAGGGAAAATAACAAACAAAGGAAAGATGGAAGACGTGTGCTAGGATGAAAGAAAGCTCGTTGGCGGATAGAAAACACACACAAAGCAACAAAAAAATAGAAGAGGAGAGAAAACGAGAGGTTCTAGTAAATAAAGGTGAGTAAGAAGGATGACTGAGAAATAATAAAGATAAAACGAATCAAGAGTCAGAGGCGTCGGTCACCTCGTCGTCGACATAGTAGTGGACCACTCCGTTCTCGTCCTCGACTGCTCGCATACTGAAATGAACGCGTGAGTAATGTCTTTCATTCCGAGCACTTGCCTTGTGAGCGCTTTCGATCCATCTTTGGAGACGACATTGAGCACTTCGACGATATTTTCTTTTTCAGCCGGCCCGTCGACTCCGAACGACGGAAGGGTGGAGCTCTTGCACGGCGGCCCCGAGTTCCCCATGAACTGGTCGCACGTGGCTGTGAGCACACTCATTTTTTGCCACGCGAAGCACTGATCACACATGATGTTTGTTACCTGAGACGCCGGTTTGAACTCCTGAACAAATATAATTAGTTGATCACAAGAGGCATTCAAATGAACAAACCGAGTCACACCCGATACAGGTGAGCATCAGAGAGGAGGCGCTGAATGAACGGCTGATTCTTTTCCGGCAATCGGAAGTCGTCCTCTGATTCTGCTGGAATCTCTGCTTCGCACTTTTCATGTACTCGTTGATTATCTTGTCCATGTATTGATGGTGCGTTGGAAGCAGTTCCGACGCGAGCACGCACGTCGAATTCATTCGAGCGATGCAGTCGTCCGTCCCGATCAACTTCTCTTTGGCCTTACTGTTTGACGATATTCGAAGTGTGCGGAGCACATGCGTCCGGATCTCATTGAGCATTCGCCACTTCTCGTGTCCACGCCCACTTCCGATTCCTGACGAAGCCAGTGTCATTCCCTTTGCACTATTTGGAGGTTGCTGCTCGTCTCCAGAATGCACACTCGGGTCCCTGTTTTCTCGAGATTCCGTCAGCTGCGCGTGGGCACTTCGAACTCTCCGTGTGCTTCTGATGGACCCTCTGCGGACGTCGAGACGGATGATATCCATGTACTGACTGATGAGAGCGAGCTTGTCCGTCTGCGACATTTCCATCGCAGACATCGCCAATTCATTATCGTTTTCCGCTTTGGACCAATCAAAATTCTCTCCTGGGTCGACTGCAAAATGAACGGGCAGCAGGTTCCGATTCACATCGATTATCGGTATGATCTCTGAAAGCTCCCAAAATGAAAGCAAACGATTGTTCAAAGACAACTACTCACGCTTGTTGTTAGTCTCTGTTCTCATGAGCACAAGCGGAGAAAAATGGGCCGAGTCGTAGCAGAGAACGAGCGGCGACCGATGACATTGTGAGGGCGGGCATTCGAGAGGCAAGTAGACACCTCCGAACGACACGGGCGAGAGCTCCTCGCCTTTTGCATTACGAAGTATCTGCACAAAATTAATTTATCAAGTGAAAAAATTATCTTGATTTCAAAAATGCAGCATAACGACAAACTTACGGTATCCGATACAACGACAATCGGTCTTTTCAGAACATGAGCCAATGCAAAAACGTGGATTTGCTCGAGACTTTCGTATATTTGATCTGTTGAATTGGACCCATTGTCCTCCTGTTTCCGAGGTAACGGAGAGGAAAGTCCGAGGACGACATCCCATTCGAGTTGCCATTCCACGTCTGACAGCGTTAACGCGAGACCGTTGCTCTTGAAGTGACAAATCGATGCTATTCTACAATGGGACTGATGCTTACTTGATTGTAATGATGTTCGACCCACTTCCATCTCCGACGAATCGCCTCTTTCCTCACACCGTTTGTCAGCAGTTCGTACAATGTTTCGCGCAGAGACAGTTGTCGGTCATGAACACCCCACATACCTGAAGATGTGAAAAATTGGAGAGGGGGAGGGAAAGAAAAACTTACCAAGAGACGCAGCATGGAGTAGACAGTTACCGTCTCCAGTCGTTGAAAGGGGATACAACTTCTGGCCGAACTGATGCCACCAGTTGAGATGCCCTACACAGTTGTTTTTTGATGTTTGGAACAACAAAGTAACAACTCACTGGACGCTTCTAGCCGTTTCTGTGTCTGCGTCTCAATGAGATCCTTCTCCAAGAAGGAGCGGAACTCGTTCGGAAATCCCCCAAAGTCCGGCAGATAGAAGGCTAATCCGTGCACCCGAAGCCGACTTGACAAACGTTCCAGATCGGTCTCTTCTGAAGTACGAAGACTCACTGCCTCATCAGAATGCTTCCTGAGCATACCTCGAGAAGTCCCCGGCACCAAAGCCTTGTCTTCCTGCTTTGAAACGCGTCGCGAAGAGATCACAATGTCCCAATCGTTTTCTGAAGATGATTTTTAATGAACTTTTTCGGCGTTACCGGGACCACTATCTTACGTTTTGTTTTATTTCGCAAAGTGTGAAAACACTCACCCTTGAGCAATTTGACGGCGTCCTCGTCGGAGATGTTCACCATCGTGCACAGCTCCTTCACCTTTAGCTTCTGGTTTTCGGTTAGTCCTTCAGGGTACATTGCTGCTGATTAGTGGGCTTGGAAGACGGACTAACGCCGATTGACCATCTAGTAGGGACTATCCTGAAAAAGACGCCGATGGACAACAAACGGTGAGTCAGAGAAAAATAATAACATAGAAAAACTAGTTGATGACATGGGGAAAGGGGTAGGCGGAGAGAAAAGAGACGGAAAGATAGGAGAGCTTTCAGAGTTGACAGCAATGAATTGGTTGTATATTGAAAATTGGGGGCGGCCGACCGAAATATGATAGTATCTGATGGAAGAGTGGGGCGCCGCTGAAGAAAACCGGTTGGCGGGATGAGTCGATACCAGTGGAAACCCCCGAGCTTCGCGAATGTGTTATTTTTACTATATGTGCAAATAATGGGAACAATTTTCGGTGAGCTGTGACTTCTGTGGCGACGGGCGCGCATGCGATGAATGATGAAACACAGACGACGGGAGTGTGTTGGCATTGATCCAAGAAGCGAGAGAGAGCCAAGTGCGGAGAGGGCGCAGACGGACAAGCGCGGTCGCATTCGTTTCGCAACCCGAAACACAACAAGCAGGCAGAGAAAGCGGCCACGCCGGAGGATGTTGTGTTGGTGGAAAAGGGGGAGAGATACGAGTGCCATCAGCAGTAGCGGGAGAAGCGAGTAGCCGCCGAAGAACACAGTGTCCGGAAGGAGACCCCGCCTACCTGCATTCACAGACGCCACGCCATTCACACTCTTATTCGGGAGCGAGTAGAGCGGGGAGGAAGATATCCATCAGATGGAGAAGGCGATGGATTGAGAGTGGAATGCGGGATAATGGATTATAGAAGACAGAGAAGCTTCTCGAGAAGGAAAACGTAGAAAACGACTCAAGAGCAGCGATTCTCGGCCAGAAGGGAATAGAAGGAAAAAGGCTAGAGGGAAATAAAATACTGCGAACACTCTATTAAAACGGTATGCACTTCTGTTCTCCAATGTAAATAAAACCAAATTTTCGAAGGTTCTAAAAAAGGTGCCCTTCTAATACAGTATTTACGGTATTAGGAGTCGAACGGCCACGAAAACAAAAAAAAAATGCGTTCTTCTGATAAAAGTTGCAAATGCGCTCGATCACAATTGTCAAAAACCTAGCGTGAAAACTCGACCGCGGGCCCGTTTTGAAATAGAACACCGGGTCCGCTATGATTTGAGCGCACGAGTTGTTGATGTGATCATTTCCATAACTCAAGAAGAGAAATACATTGACTATTTGGCCCATTCCTGGAGCCTTCTAATCAATTAATGTTCGCATATCATCCACATAAATTCATGTCGCCCACCTCTCGTCTCGGTTCTCTCTTTCGCCATTATTATCACCATCTTCTCTCTCTTTCGATCTCCCCCGTCCACACACGTCCCCCGCTGCTCTCCTTGTCTCGCTTCCTTCTCACTCTCCATCTCTCTCTCTCTCTCCCTCTCCCTCTCTCTGTTTCACTCTCGTCCGTCCTACGTCGGCGGTCATTTATCCATCTTTTCCTCGCTCTTATTTTTGACCCTATATCGAACTTTTTTTCCATATTTTTACAATACTTGATTGTTCAATTGCAGAATGGGAAACTCGAATAGTAGGTCCAATGATTTGATGATCGATATTTTAGTCAGAAGGAACCGAGCTCTCGTTCGTAATGTCGAAAAAGCCTTTCGTCTCGTCGACCGTGCTCATTTTCTGCCGTCGAATCAGCGGAACAACGCATACACTCTCCTTCCGCTCCGCTTGCAAACCAACGAGGACGGCCCTCTCTGGCCGGGCCCTCTTCATATTTCGAGCACTGACATCTACATCGCCGTGGCTCGAGAACTGGATTTCCAGAAGGGAAACTCCTTTCTGAACATCGGATCGGGCTCCGGCTACTTCAGCACTGTTGCTGGCTTTCTTATTGGTCAGTTTATTTCTTTTGAATTCTGTCATTAACGAATTCCGAATTCTCAGGTGATACCGGGATCAACCATGGCATCGACGTGTACCAGAACCTTGTCGATTATGCGGACGAACGAGTCAAACAGTTCATCCTGGAGCCGGCATCTAGCTCCACCGGATGGGTCCGTCCCGAGTTTCGTACCTGCGACGCACACAACGAAGCATTTCTGGAGAAGCATGCGGAGACGTACGACCGGATCTACGTCGGTTTCATAATAAGAAAAGAACGGATACTGTCGAGAATTCTGAGAATGCTCAAAGTAGGAGGAGTGCTCGTTGCTCCAAACGAAAGAAACGTCAGTTCGACTCTTTTTCTATCCTCCGCTCATCCAGAAAATGTTCCTTCAGCTATGCCGTTACATTCGCATGGATGCCGATCACTGCCACCGTACAGTCCTCTCCCGGATGAGCTTCGCCCGTGCCATCAAATGGAGTCCCAATGTCCCTCTGCCTCCCGCTCCCACTTTTGACACGTACCGTTTCCCTCAGTTTCCCGGGCACATTGTTCCCGTTTTAGAATGCCTTCGTTGATTCAATTGGCTCGTCAAGCCGTTCGTCGTTCAGTCCGTCTCACATCGTTCACTCCGAACGTCATGAAGAGAATATCACGCACGATTTTGGTCGGCAAGAATGGACAGAACAGACGACCCGATATCATGCTACCACATTCACCACGTCATCAGGCTTTAGAGCAATTTCTTGAGCACTACGCCGCAGAGTCCGATGACTCCCACCACCACCATCATCACATAGAAAATTTAATACGCGTGGAACAGGTGGATGAAGGGATTCCGACTGAATCCTCCTCTACTTCCGACGACGACTCCCAAAATCTTTCGCTTTCCGACGATTCCATCAGTTCTTTCGAAGGGATCAACTGGAGAGAATTAGGAACAATTCGAACCGAGTACGAGAGAATTCTCACGGAAAGAGGCGTTAGAGTGCCAGAGAGAGGATCGGTAAGTTACGAAGAAATGGAGAGAGTGGTGCAGGATGCGAGAAGGAATCCGCCGGAGGAGGAGGACGAAGAGCCCGACCCACTCCACATGAAGCTGTTCACGGAGCAGGGAACGGTCAGTTGCACTCAGAGTCTGAGAATGGGAAGAATATCCGGAATAGTTTCAGAACGGCGAACGGAGGACGGTCGGAGTGTTGGCGTATTATGAGATATCATCCGACGAAGAACAAGAACCCTCAGATTATGAAGATTCCGACGAGCAAGAGTCGGAAAAGGAGGAGAAGAAGCCTTCAGGAGAAGTAAGCTTCGAGATTGGGCAGGCAGAAGGGGCGGAGACGGACGATGAACCGGAAGGATCCGAATCGGACGGAGAACGCGAAGACAGCAGTGACGGAGAGGACGGGCCGTCCACTTCTGCGGGACCTTCTCGGAACAACACGCAGAAACGGCACTTGGATGCCAACAGAAAACCCACGAAGCGTTTCAAGGAGACTGTCGACGGAAATAAGAAAAAGAAGAAGTCGGGCGCGGGAGTGGTGAGTTTCCCTCCCGTAAACTGGGCAGCAGTTTTCGTTTTCAGACGCTCGTCCAATTGCGAGCAAGCCGAGACAAGGCAGTCAAAGTGGCGGATAGCAACTTCAGAGAACGCATTCGCCAATTTCCAATTCCAAAGAAAGTGCAAGATTACGTGTCACTGATGCAGCATGACGTCAAGATATAGTGAGCTCCACAATTACTCGATTCGGCTATGAATCCTTGCAAGAAAATGTTGGACTTCGTTCATAAATGAAAATATTTTTATTGGAAACATGCGTGCATAAATAATGCAAAAAGAGTTGTGAAAGTAGAACTGAACTTTCCCTGAATCACAATGAAAGAGTTGACTGGAATGAGATTTTTGACGTGTTCTTAGAGGAGATTGTCAGTTGCTGGACCTCCGTAGGCTAGTTTCTCGCGAATGAATGACCTGAAAACTAAAAAGATAATTTAGATGTTGGTAGGAAAAATGTCACCCTCTGAATCGATTATCCGTGTTTGCAAGAAGATGGAGATCTCGTGTGGTAACCCGTACTGTTCGTGGACGAGGTGCACTGGACGCTGGAGCAGAGCCTTCCCATCTGAAATTGGATATAAAAAATTTAGGAATTTCCGGAAAAGCTACATACTTATTTTTAACCGTCCGGTTACTAGAAAGAGCAGCAATCGCAGCTGCATTCGCGTCGCGATTCCGTTGTGCCTCTGCGACCTGTCTTTGCACTTCTTTCGCCTTATCCATCGTTTCTTTTCCGATATTCTTATTCTTGCTCTGTCGGATCAGTAATTCTTTCTCTCGGCTTTCTCTCATCTCTTCTTCCTGACGATCCAAGTCTTCCAAGAATCGAAGTTGCTTTTTGACGTCATCGCATGACACATAGTTTTCGGGAACTCTGGAATCTTGCGTGAACTGGAAAACACGTTTACTGTGCATCACCAACCTCATGGATTCTACTCTGTGCTCTGCAATGCCAGCCATCAGAGTTACCATATCACGGAGTTGAGACTCGACAGCATCAGAAATGGCGACGAGCGCTTCTTCTTCCACCGTACACGACGCCATCATCCGCTTCGTTATTCTATTCAAAATTTCGTCCGGCCTTAGAATAGACGACTTTAAAGACGTTTCCGCGTACTGCCTCATCCGAGGGGGTTCGTCCACTTCCATTCGTTCGCCCTGATGTTGGACTGGATTCATGCTCGGCTGCATTTGTGGTGGCGGCATCTGCTGTTGGGGACCATGCGGGTGCTGCATCATAGGTGGTCCCATCGGATGCATCGTAGGTGGACCCATCGGCATCTGTCCACCCATTGGCGGCCGCTGTGGATGCATCGGAACCTGTGCTGGGCCTGTTCTTTGTATAAGCGGACGAGGCGCCATTTGTGGCTCGGCATTCAGGCGAGAGATGATCTGTTGAGATGGGTGACCAGCCGGAGGAGGCATTGGCGGCCTCATTTCGTGGGACTGCTGTGGAGGGGGAGCTCGTCCGTTGCTGAACACATATCCGATTGGAGGGGAGACTCCATCGACCTGTGCTTCACCTACAATTACAGAAATGAGCAACAATCCCGGAAAACAATAGGATTGTTAAAATCCCCTACCGTTTCTCACTGCCGCCCTTAACGCGGGTAAGGTATTCTGTAGGAACGGAAGTAGATGCGGCTGTGCTTGAGATTTCAGAACTTGCTGAAGATTCCTTGTGAACTCTTCTGCAGTCGTCTCTCCATATATGACTCCCTGCAATATTAACATTCGAAGTCATTTGGTATCATCATCATTCTTATTTATAAAGTCTTCACGGGTATGTCAGTCTGTTTGTTTGTTTGTTTACAAGACTTTTCGAACCTGCGCCCGCTGCGCGGGCCGAGCTGACGTTCGGTAGCGGCAAAGCCGCTTCAGAGCGTCAGCTCGGTTCGCGCATGGGACCCAGATTACAAAAGTCTTGTTTACCCTTATCAAGTCTTGGACTCTGACCGCCTTGTCCGGTTGTTCTGGATCTTCGTTATTTGACAAATTTATCAGAGTCTTTAGAAACCGCACACATTTGGTGACGTTCTTATCGTCTTCCCCAATCGCCATCGGATTCTGGAATTGAAGCTGTTGTTGTTGACCGGGTCTTTGTATCGGATGTTGATGTTCTGAAAACGAGCATTTCTATTTTAGATTCATTGTTAGTCTGCTTACGAGACGTGCCACCCATCATCATTGGTGGAGACGTGGGATCATCGAAGCCCATATTCGGAAGTTCATGCTTTATAATCATCTGTGGCTCTGGCTTCATCGGCAGGTTCTCCTGGTAGTTCTCCACACTTGTGATCTCCGTCTTGACTGGATGCTGAGGAAGCACATTTTGAATTGACTGTGATGTCTGAAATTGTAAGTATGAATGAGCTGGTTTAGTATTACTTGTTTCAGATCTCATACCGGCTCTGTAGTGCTAACGCCATTAGAAGAAGAACTGGTAGGCGTTGATCGCTCCCCTATCGCCTTTCCTTGTACGAGCCGGAAACGCGGGAGACTCATTTCTGTAGGAATTGATTGTTTTTGAAGGATAAAATATTAATTCCAAGAAGGAAAAAATTAGCGAAAGTCTAGCGAATAAATTTGTAATGGGGTTATTAAGGCTGTGAAAAAATGATTGTTTTCCGTTTTTTTACGTCAAAAAATCCAATTCAGCGATGTAAAAAAACGGAAAACAAACATACGCTGAATGGCCCCATAATGTATCAAGTTTATGAACGACCCAAGAGATACTCAATCTCTGGAACTATTATAGGGGCACCGGACACAAAGGGCGCGCTGTTCGCAATCTGGCCGAATTTCTAGGCCACGATGTAGTTTTCCACTGAAAACGTGGCCTAACTTTTCAAACTCGGCCCCGAGGTCGCTCAGTTTGCACTGCAAAAAGAGTTTCTCAACAGAGCGCCATTTCTGTGTGGTGCCCCTACGAAACCACATTTTTGAAAGTAAAAATGCAAAAATTCTTAGAATACTGTCCCTGCCAGTGAGGTTACGTCGAAATGAAATGTGGAGCAAATGTGTAACCGCGAACGCCCTGCTGCTGACTTTTTCTCACCGTGCGCAGATTCAAATGCACGCCATCTTCACCTGCGTATCTCACGTTAACGTACGTTCACCAAATGTTCTATGGGGTCGCACACTACTCGGTGAGTGCCACCGTAATTTCGTTCGTTGCGAGACCAGGACCGCATGCTAGCTAGCACGCAACGCGGTCTGCGTCGCGGTCGCGCGCACAATTCAACTGCGGGAATTTCGGCGATTTGAACGGGGTTCTGGTTTAGCGAGTCTCTCTCCATTTAGACAGTCACGATTGGTGCGCTCGCACGAGCGATCTGTTCGTGGACGGCTGCTGTTTCTATCGAGTTTAGCCGCAAATTTATTCGCTTAAAAAATCGTTCACAAATCCCGTTCAATGAGCTCTCAGAGCACCTTCCCCTCTGTTCCGTTCCTGATTGTTGCATTCACTTCCCTTCTTATCCTTCCTATAGCAGTGTCTTTTCAGAATGGGTATTAAAAGCGAAAAAAAAGCTAACAGCGATCAAGCTCGACTGGCACGACTCACACTGGAAGGAAATTCCGGCAATGAGGAAGACATTCAGTTAAAGATCAAAATGGTAAGGCATTTATCGATTTTTCGTTACCGCTAAGGAAATTGACTGGTTTGTTAGTTATAATTTCAAGTATCCAAGTAAACTGATCTATGTTCCTGGCGACACGTGATGTTGTTTTGGGCTATGTTCGGCGTCCGTTGTCAATGTAAATAGTAGGATAGGCACTATTCATTGGAACTTTTGCGTCAATCGAGCAGATGACAAATATCATGAAAAGAGGGCAGGTGTTCGCTCATTCTGTTCAGGACACAGATGTTCAGCCATCCACTTAATTGGTTGCGCACCCTCGGAGATAGAATGCGCAAGCTCTTCTGATGGTAAATATTTTTCAGATCATCGAAACCACTGGTTGTACACAATCACAGGCTGAAATAGCACTATTGGATACCGACAGCAATCTTCATAGGGCTATTGAATTCATCCTTGATAGTGGAGATAAGCTTGATTCATGGACTGAACAGAAAACCGCCAAAAAGGAGAAGAAGAAGCAAGATGATGGCAATTTCAATAACAGAGGATTTGTGCAGAGAGGAAGAGGTTTTTTGCTTGGTTGAATCAAACATCCAATTTAACAGAACTTACAGGTGGTGGCACTGGTTTCGCCGATCGAGGAGGTCGGGGACGATCTAACGGAGCTCCACGCGAAGGACGCGATAACCGAGAAAATCGTGACAATCGGGAGAACCGAGAGAACCGGGATTCTCGGGATCGCGATCAAGGCAAAGAGTTCGGAGGAGCTCCTCGTCAAAACCGTGGCGGATTCGAAAGACCGTATGTTGGTAGAGGCGGGAGAGGAGGTGGCAGAGGAGGATACTCGAGAGCAGTTGCTCCATCCTCCACCATTGAGCCTGATGCGTTTTCCAATGAACTTGACGAGGTAAAAATACCTTTTTCTCTGATTTCCATCATTTCAATATTCAGAGTTTGCTGACAAAGGTCGACACTACCGTAACTGAAGTTCAGCCGCCCATTGAGGAATCCGTCACCGCCACGGTACCTACTTCATCCGCACCGGCACCGATCTCGTTTGCTGCTGTTGCCGCAGCCGCTCACCGCAAGGAAGAGCTTCGAAAGCAACAGTTGCATAATCCGCAACCTCCTGCACCACCACGGCGGAGTTTGTCGCCGGCTCCACTTTCTGCTCCTGTTCAGGAGGAACCGGCTCAAACCTATTCGGATCCGGAATCTTCGAATCAGCATGAGAAGGAAGACAGTTTCTTCCCAAGGTGAGGAAATGGTATGAGAGACGTTGAAAAATAATTGATTTACAGTGATTCGTCGGCTTTGGCAGAGGAGCAGATTCCGAACGTGTCAACTCACATCGATGAAAATGTACAAAGCTCACCAGAACAACCAAATCAAGCTTGGACCGCCCAGCTGAAGACGGATCTTGGCATCGGTTTGCACGACGCTCCAGGATTAGGATTGTCTCCTATTTCTTCAAGCGCTGCCCCGATCCAAAGCATTCCGGATCCAGGTGTTGAATTTGTCGGCACGGCTCCGACAAATGTCCATGACTACTCGTTCGGATTTGTTGAGGCTCCCCCAAGTCCTCAAATTCCATCCGCTGAAACCTCCGCCGCTACGATCTCAACCAACGCAAGCGAAAATATCTTCAACTCTCCTCGTATTCTTCCGAAACAAGTTGAGGTGACCTTCATATACGAAAGGGCTGCAGTTAATAATATGTAATTTTTCAGCCAGAACGGTCAATTCCAAATGGCGACTACAGCCTGAAGTCGGCTTCGCCTCCTTTGGCATATGGACAATCGAGCAGGGGATTGTCGTATGATACTTCTTCTGCGTCATATCCACCGACTGATCGATTGTCAAACAAGCCGCAGTTCAACAATCCTGGACAGCTCCCATCCCAACAGGCAGCACAGCAACAATCGCAGCAACAGCAACCTACACAACAGCAGCAAACACCACCTGCCCAGGCGCAACAACCTGGACATCCTACGCATCCGCAGCACATGCTCTTCACTCCTCAGCTCACGCCATATCCGTATATGAACTCGTACATGAATATGTACAATCCGATGCAGGGAGTTCGAGACGAACAGTATGCTGCCCTTATGCAGTATGGAATGGGTGTCGATTTGGCCAACTTGTCAACTATTTTGCCGCAGTCTGCTGCACTATCACAGTCGGCTACGACGCAGCAAGTGCAATCTGGACAGCAACGTGAAACTCACGGGCTGATGGACTTCAACAAGTTCGGAACTCAGAACGCACGAGAGCAGCAGCAGCAGCCGTCGAATGTTGGACCACCACCTGGATTCCAGGCTACCAACTACATGCAGCAGCCAAATCTGTCTTCTCTGTTCATGCAACAACCATATGCAGCTGCCCCGCACACGTTCGGATTCATGAACATGATGCCAAACGTCGGAAGCAATGCTGGTGGTCGTCAGATGTATGGACAAGACGACGAGCGCAAGAACTACGACAAAATGGCGTCGAAGCCGGCTGCTCAGCCGAACCAACATTCGCAATATCAACATAATGGAGGAAATCTCGGAAAATATGGCAGCATGAATAATAAGCCGTACAACTGGGGAAACTAACCGGTTTCAAATGTTCTCAGTCAGCGACTTTGCTCCCCTAATAAAATGATCTGTTTTATTTTCACATGTTCTTTATGTTCTACGGCTTTCCAAATAAATGTACCTGATGTCAAGGTGTACTGTGGACCACATCAGTAATTGCAGCAATAAAATGTCGTGCGCACTTGTAATCGGTGCCACCTCGACACTGGGTAAAGCTGTTGTCCGAAGATTGGCATTCGCCGGGTATAAAGTGGCCGCCACGGGAGACTGCCCTAATAGTGTGGGAAAAGTCGCAGAAGACAACAAAAAGGTCTGAAAAAGCTTGGTAAAAATGGGAGGCTGGAATGTTTAGGTCGGAGGAGACGTTAGTGCATTTTCATTGGACACTTCTAATCCAGAGCATCGCAAAAAGCTCATTCAAAAAGTTTCCGAGAAATTGGGCGGGCTAGACACACTTGTCATCGTTCCTCCCCAGAATACGATAGTTGGAGATTTAATCGATAGTTCTGAAGCAAACTTTGATAAGGTTCGTGCTCGTATCTCTCCGTTTTCATATGTTTCTCATTTTCAGATGTTCTCTGACGCACTGACAATTCCGTTCCGAATCTCACAAGCCGCACTTCCGACTCTTTCTGAGTCCAAGTAATTTGGTGTTGTTCTCAGTTGAAAGGAAACACAGGTTTTTCTAGAAACGGAAGCATAATCTATCTGGCGTCGTGCTTCGGCTACACTCCAAGCATCGACATGGGACTGTTTTCGGTGGCGTCGAACGGAGTGCTCGGATTGACGAAAGCGGTCGCATCGAGTGCTGCGAAGAAAGGAGTCCGTGTGAACTGTGTCGTGTCGGGAATGGTGGAAGGAGACGGCACTGGCGCCGTGTGGGACAACGCGTCGGGGGAAGAAGCGAAGATCATCAAGCAACAGCTGGAGTCGATGATTCCGTTGGGAAGGGTCGGAAGACCGTCTGACGTCGCCTCATACGTCGAATTCCTCGCTTCTGATAAAGCCAGGTCAGCAAATATTCCTGTTTTCTCTCCAATTAGCTTGTTTTCAGGTATATCACCGGAGAGAACTGTATCGTCGGAGGTGGAGTGTCGTATCGTCTGTAAAAATAATTAATTCTCAATTCAAGAATAGGATATTTTTGTTTTCGTTTTTGAGTTTTAGGCTTCACTGTTTATAATTGTTGTCCGTGTTCTTTCATCTTTCTGAACATTTGAAAATTTTAGTACTCCAATTGTTTTGCTGTCTCGCGGAAAGGTGACCCCCAAAAACTATACTTTTCCGAGCACGAACCCCTCAAAAACTTTTAGCAATAAATCAGAAAAATGCTGAGGAACAGTCGACAGATCGCCAATTCGTTGTGGCCGTCAAGAATTTCAAACGAGGAATACGCAACGAGAAGAACGAATCTGCTGAAAATTCTGAAGAAAGAAGTGAAAACGGGAGGTTGGACACTGATCGAATTCTGAAGAGAAATTGAGAATATTGTAGAGAAACACGTGGTGGTCGTGATGAAAGGAGCGAGAAAATCCTTTATTGCTCCGGATGTGCCGCACGCATTCCGACAGAAAAGCCATTTCAGGTGAGCCACGAGCCCCTTCCGTTCCCAGTCAACTCTCGATTGTTCAGGTATCTGAGTGGAGTCACTTCGCCCGATTGCTACTACATCGTACACTCAGGGACCACGTCGAACAATGAAAATTCAATTCTTCTCGCTGACCGGCGATCCGCGTACGAGGAGCTTTGGGAGGGAAAACTGCCGAGCGAGGAAGAGTGGGAACAAACCGCCCGATTCAGCGAACTCGAGCCCACGAACCGATTGATGCAGACGCTGGAGAAGCTGTGCGACAAAGGGACCGCCGTGTTCTTCGACCCGAAATCGGACGATGTTCTGAATAAGTTTCTGCAGATGAAGGCTTCTTCCGTGAGGGATCTCAATCCGTTCGTTAGTGCCGTTCCCACTGCTATTTCTTGGTTTTTAATACCTGTTTAGATAGAGCGATTGCGAGTGATCAAATCGGAAAACGAAATGGACTCTATGCGTGACGTGTGCACTCTCGGAGCACAAACGATGTCAGCGATGATATCGGGAGCGAAGAATCTGCACAACGAAAATGCGATTTGTGGGCTCTTGGAGTTCGAAGGAAGGCGGAGAGGGTCGGAAATGCAGGCGTATCCGCCTGTGATTGCCGGCGGTGCCCGCGCGAACACCATCCATTATTTGAATGCGAACTGCGATTTGCACCCGAGCCAATGTGTTCTGGTCGACGCCGGATGCGATTTGAACGGCTACGTTTCCGATGTCACACGATGCTTTCCAATCTCCGGACAGTGAGTTCCCCGAGCCCACTTGAAATATTTCGCCTTTTCAGTTGGTCCGACGCTCAACGGTCTCTTTACGAAGCTCTTCTCTACGTGCACGAGGAACTCCTCAGCTACGCGCACAACGCGGAACGGGTCAAACTGAGTGCTCTTTTCCGCCGCATGAACGAATTGATAGCTGCGAGCATGTCGGAACTCGGATTGATCAAATCGAAGGATGGCAAGGAGATGCTACAAGCTGCCGAGCAGCTGTGTCCGCATCACGTCAGCCACTACCTCGGGATGGATGTGCACGACTGTCCGTCCGTCTCCAGGGATATCGAACTTCCCGCCAACGTTGTGTTCACAATCGAGCCGGGAGTTTACGTTCCCAAAGATTGGTCAGTCGAAGAGTTCCGTGGCATCGGATATCGAATTGAAGACGACGTGGCAACCAGTGCGTCCGGAGGAATTGAACTGCTGACAGCGGCCGTGCCCCGGGATCCCGTGGAAGTTCAGAGACTCATGGGAACTGCCGAGTGAATGCAATTTCTGATCAGCTGCCGCCACTAGTGCTTCTAGGTTTTCCTACGTGTTCCCGTTCCTGTTTTTACTTGCTAATTTAGTATTTAGAGATTCCGTTATTTCTATTTTACCACTTTGTTTTCTGAAATAAAAAAAAATGTCCTCAGAAAAGAAGAAAGATGACCTGCAACCAGAGGAGACACAATCTTCGGAAAAAGAGACGACAGTAAGTGAGGAAACGAAGCAAACGGATCGGAACATCGCACTGGAGAACTTGGCGAACACTCCGATCCAGTTGGTCGTGCAGCCGACGCCTCTGACTTGCGCCCCCACGCCCGACACTCCGATCGAGCAAGAGAAGAAGAGGGAGGCGAAGCAGAAGGCGATGCTGGTGGAAGTGGCGAGCGACGAAGTGGGAAGAGTCGAGAATAACATCGACAATCTGCCCTTCTACCACGGCTTCATGGGCAGGACGGAGAGCGAAGCGATGCTGAGACACCACGGAGACTTTTTAATTCGGATGACCGAGATCGGGAAGAGAGTCGCGTACGTGATCAGCATCAAGTGGCACAAACAGAACGTGCACATTCTGGTGAAAAGAACAAAAACGGTGAGGGAACGGAAGGAATGGGCGGAAGGGAGAGAGAGTTGCAGAAGAAGTTGTACTGGACGAACAAGTACGCGTTCACCTCGGTCTGCGAATTGATTGCGTACCACAAAAGGAACCACAAACCGATTTACGAGGATATGGTGTTGATTTGTGGACTGGCGAGACACGAGTGGCAATTGAATAACGAGCAGGTGACACTCAACAAGAAACTGGGCGAGGGACAGTTCGGAGAAGTTCACAAAGGATCACTCAGAGTAAGTAGGGATAGGAAGAGGAGATTCAAGAAAGGGTTTCAGACTTCCCTGTTCACTTCCCCGATCATTGTGGCCGTGAAGACGTTGCACCAGAATCACCTGTCCGCCAACGAGAAGATTCTTTTCCTGAGAGAAGCCAATGTGATGCTCACTTTAGCTCACGTAACGAACAATCGGTCAATTGTGTCATCCAAACAGAGTTTCAGCCCAATGTGATCAAGTTTTACGGAGTTTGCACAATGAAAGAGCCGATAATGATTGTGATGGAGTTCTGCGACGGGAAGAGTCTCGAGGATGCGCTGCAGTCGGCGGAGAAGGTGTCCGCCGAAGACAAGGTACTGTACCTGTTCCACGCGGCATGCGGCATCGACTATCTGCACGGAAAACAGGTCATTCACAGAGACATCGCCGCGAGAAACTGTCTGCTGAACTCGAAGAAAACGGTTGGAAAGAATTCGATGAGAATCCACATAGTTTTCGCTTTCAGCTGAAGATTTCCGATTTCGGATTATCAGTGAAAGGAGTGGCAATTAAGGAAAGGAAAGGAGGATGTCTTCCGGTAAAGTACATGGCTCCGGAAACCCTGAAGAAGGGACTGTACAGTACTTCTTCTGATGTGTACAGGTTAGGTCGGATCAGACACTTAAGAGAGAACTGTTATTATTTAGTTACGGGGCACTCATCTACGAAGTGTACACGGACGGCAAGACTCCATTCGAAACGTGCGGACTGAAGGGAAACGTTCTCCGAAAGGCAATCATCGGGATGACGGTCACTTTGAGCCTCGACGTGGAAGTTCCCCCGTTCATCGCGACGGTCTTCCAGCAGAGCCGGCAGTACGAGACGGAGGATCGGATGACGGCTCGGCAGATCATAGACACCTTCAAAGCGGTAATGGATCCTCGTTGATCCTTCCGATCCGACGCTGATCTTTGCAGGAATCGGGACTCCGGGAAGCCGAGATTGGAGGTCTCTTCCACCGAATCGCCAGCGTGTTCCTCCGTCGGCAGCAAGTTCTCGCCTGATGTGCTCTCGCTTGTTTTGTGTCCAAATACACACTTTTCCACTTTTCCTGTATGTCATTCGGTCCGACAGTATCATCGAGAGCGCCCGTCGTAACCAATGAATTCGGCTGTTTTTTTCATCGTTTTCCGCGCAGAAAGCCTAAGTATACAAAAGGAATGTGTGTTTGTGAGGCGCGAAAGAAAATCATAATACTATGAAAGTCAACAAGTGATCGATCCCTCGCGTGCAATTTCGTTTTCCTGTCTTCAACTGATAACTCGACGACTGGGGATGCTCGACAAACAGACGGAAAGGCGGCAAAAAATAAGTGTTCGCGTTGCGAATGATGGCAACCAATTGAGACTCTCAGAGCGCTCTTCTCCGTTTTCAGAACAATCCTTTCTTGGGAGTCGTAGCTCGCGGAAAGCTTCCTTTGTGGGAACTTCTATTCTGGCGCATTTCTTTAACGAGGCTTCCAATATGTTCTCCGTTATTCTTTTTTCTTCTACCGTAATCCTTCCCCCATCCACTTTTGTCTCGAAAGGTAATCTCTGACCAATGACTTGTGCTACCGTATCCCCCAGTGTGCTCTCAGTTTTGCACTTTTTGCAATGCGCAGTCCGTCTGCTTCCGCATGCGGGCATTCCGCGTCATGAATCGTTGGCAAACACGGCCTTCTTTCGCCACGTCCCCATGCAAAAAATGCGTCTGATTGACGGCGGCGGTGTGCTCCGCGAGCCCGTGCGTATCACTGATTTGCATTGCGCAATAGCCGAAATAAAAGTCGTATCGATCCAAATCTGGTTTGTTTCGATCAGTTGGTTTCATCGGAAAGTCGGTGCGCGGAGCCAAGGCGCGAAGCATTTCCGCATGATTCGCCGCGAGCCGCGCGTGCCATTTCCGTTTGTTTGTGTTTTGTTTGCGAAAACTGTCGATATTGAGCGGGGAGGGATGGAGGGACACCCCGCGGCATACCTGAAATGCGATCCCGACTGTCGCACTGGCGCTGCCCACTCTCGTTGCCATTCGAAAGTCTCGGTGGGTTGGCAGCGGAAAGGAAGAAAAAGAAGAAGAAGAGGAAGACGGCCTTCTTTGTTTCTTTTATCCCCTTCTTCTCAGTCGGTTTTTTCGCCTTGACGACCTTGATAAGTGTTATCCCTGAATTCAAATTGCCGCCGGCACCTGCCTGACCCACTACTCGAGCCGTTTGCCCATCTGTCGCCGTCCTTCATTTCCAACTCTCTCTTTCATCCATTCAGTTCGAATAACACTGTTATGTCGCTCATTTTGTGTGTGTGTGTGTGTCTCTCACTCGCAAAGGGCATTGTCCTTTCCTCTTTTTTTCGCTCTCTCATTTCCTTGTCGGAACTCTAGAGCACACATTACGCAGCAGATCACTGTTCAAGCCAACCTTCCTTCGAAGGCAAAAGTGAATGGGTGAATCGTTCTAGGATGTTCCATCTTTGTCACTGCCAGAATACGTTAATTCTGGCGGGTCTCTATTTTTAGGAATACCGTGCTTCCCTCGAAATCCAGAAGCCACAGAGTTTTTCGTCGAGCTGTCCAAGTTAAATCTATCGTGTTGGACACTATTACAGGTTCCTGTACTCTTCAATCTCCTATTTTTCAAGCAAAACAGAAGTTGTATTGTGTCCTTTCATCGTTCACAAAAAATCTAAATAGGTGCTCTCTCGCTTTCACAATCAAGCATCTCTTCCTCATTTCTCATGCTCCCTTCTGTTCGAATTATCATTCATAACTCTTGAATCACGAGACTAGAGTATTTTTATTTTTGAGCACGAGGAAGGCCAAAGAATGAAGCGAGGTCCTCGTAAATATGATTGTGATTATTGTTATCTGCGAGCACATTTCTCTGTTTTTAATCTCACTAATTCGTGAATTCACTCCCTCATTTATAGAGTTGGGCCCCGTTATCAAGTGTTTCGAAATAGAGAATGGACTAGTTGCAAACGAAAAGCGTTTCGAAATACATGTCTTCTGAGACACATGTCTTTTGGGAAATCTGTTCGGTACAGAAGGGTTCGGAAACTTCCGAGACGTGATTAGTGGCACTTGTGCAACTCTCCTGACATCGGTCCCTCTTGATATGCGTCTGGACATGACATGTGTTGTGCCTGCAGACGGTACTCCAGAAAAGATAAGATCTGCACGCAGCTGGCTGCCTGTTTCATAACTGAAAGGTTGCGAAACCACCTGGCACCGCCGCAACATTCCCCGCGCTCGTTCCGCATTTATTATCTTCGAAAACGACCTCTCCTTTTGTTGATCCCATTTGGGCTGGCCCCCATTGACTGCAAAGGCGATGGCTCGGATTTCAAAAAACAAAACAACGTCTCGTTGGGGACATACCGCCTTTCTTCTGATTATAGGGTTCGTGGGGCGTGGCCTCCAAGGCCATATCCAAGCCTCCATTCGGAGTTTTGCCGCGTGTTCAGACCTCAGATTCCAGTCACTTCCATCTTCATCTCATTTCCAATTCTGTTGTTTTGTCAGTAATCCACCTCTCTTTGCATCTTCTTTATTTCCGAAACATGCCCAACTGTTGTCCTGTCATCCCCTTCGTTCACCCGTCTCTCCGCCCAAGCTCCGCCCCCTTTTTGGGAAGAGGAGCCGCGGCCATTGTCTCCAGAAGATTCGTCGCATCTGAACACTGATTTTGACGAATCGACTGTCTATTTTGCGACGAACATTTGCATTTTAATCGAGTGTAGAGTCTCTTCTCTCTTTCGTCTTTTTCTACGTCCCCCCCCCATCCATTCCAACCTTATAATTAAACTCGAATCCTTTTTCCTTCCGTGATTTCCAGCCTTTCATTTCAGGTAAATAAATGCCCGTCTCCTCTGCAATGCGTTTTGATCAACCCTACAGAAACGGTGAGAACACTCTGACACATCCTGAGAACGGAATGATTTCAGATGGAACGACGGGCAATTCTTACATTTACAACACGTGGAACACTGACTTCTGGAGCCCGTAAGTTCTCTTCAAACCTTCCGCCCTATTCAATCGAATGATACAGTTCGGAAAGGAGGTCTCACTTTTGAAAGCTTTATAATACTAAACGACCTTGTGAAATGTTCAAGGATGACTGGTAGCCAAACATGTTGCCATCCAAACATTGAATATCTCGAAATCTTCTCTTTTTTAAGTGGGTCGGATAAGACACTCGGCCAGACAGCGCCCTCGCCTTCCGCGACTACAATTAAATATCGTCGCTTCGCAAAAGAGTTTCCAAACTTTCGTCTTCTTTGCAATCGAAAAAGGGAAAAGTGATTTAGGCGGGTTGTCTTGTTCCCCCTTCAAATGTTCATTTTGTCCCCCCGTCTTATCGCCTTCGAACTTTTTCTCAAACAACCATTTTTATCGGCTTGCCAAGAACAGTTTTTGAACACAAATTTGAAACGCGTACGTCCACGATTTATCGGGGGCTGAGGGGCTACTGGTGGTGTGTTTCAAAGCAATGCGCACGCGTATCCGCCATCTTTACCTCCCTGCGTCCGTCTGTCTTTTATTACCCCGTTCTACTCGGACGAGAGGCCAGCCCGGGGGTCTCTTTTTAGATTAGTCTTGCCAATTTTCTTAAATTTGTTTTTAGACTACGGTAAGCAAGGGCGCGATTATTTTGTGCAAACACGGCGGCGCTAAAATGAAGAGCGCGAATTTTCGGGTTTTAGAATTATTCGCGAAGAGAGTGATTGCTGTTCCGTTCCTCTTCCTTCCGGGACCGTCTTCATTCTCAGCCGTCGTCTGCTTCGGTTGCATTCCTTTTTTGCCGTCCCGTCCGTCGTCTCTGTTCCTACTTTGCCATCGGCGCTGCCCGTCATACGCGCCTCCTCCTTTCCGTTCTCATTCATTGTCTTTCCATTTTTCCCATCTAGAAAGCTGTTCAACTATTTTCAGAATGAAAGAGGATCAAGTCTCGCAGAAGCTGCCAGGAGCCTGGTACTACGAGGACGACGCGACCTCGTGCTCGCCAGTCAGCGATCCGGAAGACATCGCCCAGTTCCTCAGCTACAGATCGTCAATCGGCGTGCAAAATGTGACTCAGTCCGTCGACGTTCCCACTTCAGAGCACGTCGCCGAAATCGTTGGCCGTCAAGGTTGCAAGATAAAGGCTCTTCGTGCCAAGACGAACACGTACATCAAGACGCCGATCCGAGGAGAAGACCCGATCTTTGTGGTGACTGGACGGCCAGAAGACGTGCAGGAGGCGAAACGAGAGATCGAGTGTGCCGCCGAGCATTTCACTCAAATCCGCGCCTCGAGAAGGCACAGCCAAGGTACGTAATCGGGACAGGAAAAAGCTAAAAGTGAAATTCAGTGGTTCCAGGAGCACATGCACCAGGACAAGTCACAATTTACGTGCGCGTGCCTCTCCGCGTAGTCGGTCTCGTCGTCGGACCGAAAGGAGCCACGATCAAAAGTATTCAGCAGGATACCCACACGTACATCATCACGCCAAGCCGCGAACGTGAGCCCGTTTTCGAGGTGAGCTGCTGGTTCGGTCGGAGGAAAAGCGCACGTGTGTCTCATTTCCCCATTCTTTTCATCCCACCGCTTTGTTTCCTCTTCCTGGGCGGCGATCGAGGTCGCACAGTTGCAGAATAGTTGGCAAACAAAAACAACTCGTGTCTGTAGGCAATCAGCCGGGTGATAGCGGTTGTGTCTACGAAACGGGACAAGTTCAACGGAAACATGTTGGGCGAAAAATGTTTTCCAGATGGCACACTTAGCCTGTTGATCTCATTTTTGTGGGATCTTGCTGACATGACTGATGAGAAAACACATCCGGAAGTACTTGTGGAGCCAGTCTTTCGTGAATTTCTAATAAATTGAAATGGTTGTACCAAGCTTGAACTTTGGTCGCTTCTCATTTTCCTTACTTCTAAAGCGCAGGGTAATAAGTGGGAGATGGCTTTGATGAGAATGTTTAGGGAGAGCTATGTGTGTTATTTGGGCGGACATGTCGAGATTAAGATCTTTTAATTTGCTCGTCGTCTCCGCTCCCCGTGGGACCGATTAGTGTTGCATTGATGCCGCTTCGCAACAAAATATCATCTTGTGCTTCGTCGTTGATGAGATAATTCAGTTTCATGTGCAGTAGTGACGCCTTCTAGACTCTTCTTGGCCTTCACAAGAGCCAGCAGTAGATTAGGCGAATTACCGATGGATGGCCGCCCGTCCGGGTTTTTGAGAAGGGAGTCACGCGATGCCGCCGACACGCAGCCGGAGACGACCCACTCCCAGGCAACTCATCACCCACAAAAGGGATCTCTTTGTCCTCTTGCTTGTCAGAAAGGATGGGGAGGAGACTCAATTAATGAAATGGCGAACCGCGGGCGCACGGCGAGGCGTCAAGAAGGCGAAATTGCACATATGCTCTTTTTATTATTGCCCGCCGTATGAGCAATGCTTGGCCGTAACTAGAAAAGTGAGACGGGATGTTGTCAGCAGGTTTTTGAAGTAGGAAAAAAAACAAAAAGCAACACACATCTGGAGAAGGTCGTTCCGCAATAAATGTGCTATCTTTTGTTACCAGGAGGTTTGAACAGTAATCAGATCATATTAGGGTTATGTAATTGACGGTTTCGTGTGGGTTTGCGCGAAAGTGTGTGCAATAGAATTACCGTATCGCGGAAAGGCGTCCCCGTCTCTTCTTCCTCACAATGGTAATTATCATTGGGTCGTCGACCTCCTCTCACGAACTGTGAATGTATTGACAGTGCGCGCGGCCCGAGTACATGACATCTTGCAACCGTCGTCATTCCTACCAATTTAGTTGTCCGTTTGACACAAATGCCCGTACCGAGAGATGAATGCCAGAATCGCAATGATGGTTTCATCTGATTTTTTTGTGGGACGAGCGGTTATTAGGAGTGCGCCAGACGATGACCGTTTGAAAAATGGATGGGCTTTTGTGAAAAGTGACGAGGGTCGCGTGCCGTATTTTGATATCCATCTAATCAAAAGGTTTCTATCTTTTTAGGTCGAGTTACTCACTCTTTCGTTGCAGGTCACCGGACTACCGCACAATGTGGAAGCAGCTCGCAAAAAGATCGAGACGCACATCTACGAGCGTACAGGAAACCTGCCAGAGACGGATCACGACGCTCCGGGACAGTACATCGGGGCGCCAATGATGCAGTCGAACCTTCAGCAACAGCAGCAGCAGCAGCAGCAGCAGTCGGCCATATACCGCAAGGCCCTCGCCAACTGCAATCTTTTCAATCAGATGGGCAATGAATTGCCTTTTGGAATGGAAAGCTCTCTGGGTCTGGATGCTCTGGTAAGATATCCAATTAGAGGGTGGAAAGCAACTATGTTATTCCAGCTGCGCAGTTTCCCGTCCATGCGCAATTCACTGACATCTGATGCTCTGCAAGGGTTTGGCAGAAGTTCGATTGGGGCCCCAATGCAGACGAAGGGCAACCGTCCGTCGCTCGGCGGACAGTCTGTGAAGCTGGATGTCCCGACCTACGACTACTGGGGAAACAACAACTCTATCAACGACATTATGGAAAACGGTATTTGTTTAAATAAAAAAGTCTGGAAACAACTTTATGCTTTCAGAGATACTTTCCCGCAATTTCGATGCTCTGTCTGCGTGGTCGTCGACAGGGTTGGAAAAGCGCGAGGAATCGCCCGTAAATGGACTGATGTCGGCGAAGAACGGCAGCTCCGGGTTCGGATTCCTCAGCAACATCTGGTCGGACAATCTGAATCTGAGCCCCGGATCTCTCACTTCCACATCCGCTTCACCGACGTCATCAAACTGTGATCACAATGATCACACTCTGGTTCCGATCAGTGGATAGGGTCCTCCGTCCTTGCTTTTCCTTTGTAATCCCGTTCGTGTAGTCCTAGATGTCCAACGAGTAATGCTTTCTTCCCCCCAAAAAGAGTTTTCTCGAAGGCTCTTTCTGTACGAGTACTCCATTCCTCTCACCCGTACTCTCCAACATCTTTTTTTTATCAAAAATTCACACAACATTATATTTACTCGTCCCAAAAATGTATCCCACTAAAATCTAGATATTTATATAACTATTATTTGTTATTGATATTTTTGAAATATATGTAACTTCCCCTCCAACTCCTATTTCATATGGTAGATTCGAAAATACCTGTAAGTTTTGTATTAGCCAATCTGTGGACGGACGGAACAAGGCCTCAGCCCAATGGTTTATCCATCTATGGATTGTCTCCTTACTCCCAATCGATCAGACTTACTCTAAATTTTACTTAGTAGATATTTACAGCTTTTTTCTATTTCGCATCAAGATCGCTGGGAGCACGACTCGAGCAGTTTGCTCATGCTCCCCGCGCTCTTTCATGTTCTAAACAAATGCATCACACCACCTGACACAACTTAACTGATTTCTCACCTAGTGTATAACCTGTTTATTTCCACCTATATTCTCCCTACGCAATCCCTCCGATTTTCTAACCGGAGGAATAAGCCGATTCCAGAGAAAAGGCAGAATTTATAGCACCTATCCATAATTAAACTCGAGTGATCCACACCCCATCCCTTTTTACAACCAACTCTACACCAATTTGAAATCGTTGCTTTTATATTGATTGTCTTGGTATGTGAATGAAGAAATTCGTGTTGACACCTAAGTGCTTCTCTGCGCTTCTCTTATTCAGCAGCCATGGAAACGGCATTGATCCGTAAACGAAAAGAGCCCCCCCCCTGCTCGCGCTGCTCTTTCTATTCATTTCACAATGGAGGAAAGAAATGTGCCCACCATACGGGAGCTGTCAGATCAATTGAAAGAGCTGCCGATGTATGCCCCATTGAGAGTGAGTCATTGAAATATTCATTTCGCACATCCATTGTTATTTCCTCTTTCATATGGAAATCCATTATGACGTGGCTTTTAGACGTACATTAGAGGAACCGTAAATGTGGCTTTGGGAGTGACGAAACGCCTCCCCGCAAAGTTTTTGACGGATAAAGGTGAGGAGGTATCGGAATGGGATCGAAATGGACAGTTTAAGGATTGCAGAGTGCGTGGCCCACAGTCTGATTGCCGATTGGATCGATTCGAGTGGATACAAGATTGCGGCTCAGATGATGAGGACGCAAATGGCAGAGAAATACGTGGATGCGCCCCAGCAGTACGTGACGAACGGCGATTCGATCGACAAAAAACTGACGGAGATTGAGATGAATGTGCCGAAATTGGAGAGAAAAGAAAGGAGCGTCGAGAATGGGCATCCGAGCAGAGTGAACAAAAGAAGAGGGCCGTTGAGGATTGCGCCGGCGATCAGTTCCGAAGACTTTCGGAAATCGATGATGACGAGAGTCGAGATGGAGAGGAAAATGGTAAGCGGACGGGCGGGATGAGAAGCAATCGTGATGAAGTTTCAGTTTCCGAGAAAGGCTGTAATTGTTCACGAACCTTCGGACTCTGAGGATTCTTCGTCGTCTTCGGAAGAAGAGAAATCACAAGAAGAGAAGGCCTCGAACAAAGAAGTGGAAGACGAAGAAGAAGAAGAAGAGACGACGAAGCCGTGGACACCGTCGAAACTGGCACTCGTAACCGATGAGGTCTCCGATCCTCCCTCTTCCATTTTTTCCGCCCATCTTCCACCGCTTTCCATCAGCAAACCGTTGCTCACGACGAAAGAAGAGAAGGCGATTGATGCATTGTTTGAAGATGATTATGATTTGGGAGACTTTGACGATGACGTCGAAGATGAGACAAACAAGAAGAAGGAGACGGAAGTGGAACAAAAGAAAGAGGACAAGAAGGAGGAGCAGAAGGCTGTCGCCGTGGAGCCACTCGTTCTGTCGGAAGGTCCGATTGCTCCCGAGTCTGTCGGTCCCTTTAAAGTGAATTCGTTTCAGGCGAGTCAATCGACGAATTGGAGGAATTCGACACAGGTCTTCTCTCGTCGGGAGGGTCCGACTACTCTTTCTAATCAAACAAAACCAGTTGCGAACAATAGAATTCGTATAAAGTGTGGCCCCGTCGCCCTTTCCCATTCATCAATGCATTTTCTCGTTCGACTGTACACTACTGGCTCTCTTTTCTTTTCCATTCTATTTCTTTGTGTCGCTTTCCTCGTCATCTTCGACATTTTCGATGAAATTAACGAGTTCTGCGGAGTGATGGAGAACGATCTGAAAAAGTTCAAGGTATTCCGTCTGCGCCCACCCGATTCCATTCCATTCTCTGTTCAGTTCTACGCTTCTGGCGCCTCTCGAACAATGGACGGAATAGACAAACGACTACTCTTTGGAGGCGCTGTTTCAGTCTGAGAAAAAAGAAGAATGAATTTTATTAAATATCACAAATTCTTAGAATAGAAAATGTTACCCATATAAAGTGAATGAAACGCGGACACGAAACACACAGAATTCTCTCTAGAAGTGGTAAAGCTGGCACAGAATACTCTGAAAAGGACATGACAAATTGGGGGAAATCAAAAGGTCTCGAAGCGATGTGCGAACGACGGAGCGTCCCGTTGTCTGTTTGCCTCCGCACATCCTTCGGCGATCTTTTCGTTAAGCTGCACGGGACCACAACTGAACACTCCGATCTCGGACTGCTGCAAACACGTGGAAGTTGGAGAGGAAGCCCCGATAGAATCCCTACCTCTCGGTGCTCGCTTTGAATGAACTGGAAGAACGCCTTGAAGTTGGGACGACCGAAGTGATTCTTCGCGTGCAATCCCGTAAACATGGACATTCCTTCGTTCTTTGCTCGGAAGTGCTGCTCACAGATGTACTGAAAAGTGATCCTTATAATCTCCTGTCTGTTTTTCTCTTTTTCTCTCTGATCTTACCAGCATGGTTGTTCGGAGATCGAATTTATGGAATAACTGGGTGACGAAGATGTGCGTTTCCAGAATTCCCGGCCTCGCTTGCTCCTCCACATTCTTCAGAACGTCCACGAACCATTCGTAGTTCTTGTGGCTCGGGCACACCCACAGGAAGTACACTTTCTGGCACCTTACTCTGTGGAAGTTGTCATTCGAAGTTAGCTGCACGAGATCGTTGAGTGTGGAGGCGTACGGAGTGACTCCGATTCCTCCGCCCACCATAATCGCCACTTCGTAGTTCATCCACTCCTGGTTTCCATCTCCGTACGGTCCGTTCAGGTGGACCAACGGGTAAGGAGCACCCGTGTTCTGGGCTCTCAACAGTTCACTGCGGAGCTTCCACGTCCACGGTCCGACTGCCTTAATGTACAGTTTCATGTTCTCGTCTTGAGGAGAGGAGGCGATGGAGAAGGCGTGTGATTCGTTAAAAGTGCAAGAGATGGACGGAGAGGATACAGTAACCCATTGGCCGGATTTGTATTGGAATGTCCGCGGACGACGGAATTCTATGTAAATAATGTCGGAGGGGAGGATCTCCGCACGGACGATTTCCAGCTTCTTGTAATACTGCATCAGACCGATTATGCGGTCGAAGACGAAGATTACGATGGGCCCGACGACATAGTAACCGAATTTAGGAGACTGAAAACACACAGTTGTGGAAGAAGAGGGAAGGGGAGACTCACGTCGAGAAGTTTGGGAAGACCGTGAAGAATAGTGAGTGCATAGAAGGCAATGTTGAGAAGATGAGTGAGACGGAATGCGTGGTAAGCTCGTTTGATGAAACACGGAAGTGCGAAGACATAGATGATGCACATGACGGCGACTAGAGCGATGCCAGTGAGACCGGTGATTGTACCGTAGAACCAGTAACTGATGGATGGCAGGAAGTTGGAACTGCAAAGGGAAGGATTAAAAGGGGAGGAGGAAGTCGAAGAAATACCCGAAGAAGGCTTCCTGGAATAAGCAGGCAAGGCCCTCTTGACTTTGAGTTCCGACGTGATAGAAGTTGACACAATGACCGACAGTGTGGAGAGTTGCCCAGAAAGCAGCGAAAAGGGCGACGATCTGAAACACATCGAGTAGGAAAAGAATAAGAAGAAGGAGTGAAGTGAAATAGACCTTGTGGAATGCGATGGCTGAATCGAAAGGAATGTACTGGGCAATGACAGTCTCTCTGAGCAAAGTAATGATGTTGCGGCAAACAGTGAGCAGAATGAGGGCCATGCAGAAGGAAAGAGCCCCGGCCGCGCCACGAGTTATCGCGATTCCAGCACCCATCACACGCCGAAGATCGCGGTTTTCGGTCATGTAACGGTAATCTTAAGGGGTTTAATTAAAATTACACATAGGATGAATGAACTTACGCCAGAATCGCTCGAAGAAGAGGACAAGATTAACGGCCACGAAGCAAAAGACGATGAAGACGTGCTGACGGTACGTTTCGAGGAAAGCGCTCACTTTGTGAATGAAGGTGAGCGGAGCGGAAGTGCTGATGGATCGGTCGACGACAGCGAACGAGTTGAGTGAAGACGTTCTGAAACGGAACGGTTAGGAAGAGGGTTGGCTTCAACGGGGAAACTGACTCTCCGATGCTCGGTTGGAAGTTTCTTCTGTTAAACGGAAGTCCGATCGGCTGATTGTCCGGAATGTTGACGAAGAGCGCATTGAAGTCGTCGTACGTCAAATAGTCGGAGTCGCTTCTGACGCCTGAACAGCGGAATAGAGGACGCATTCAAAGGAAAAGAGCCAACCTGATTTGTGAAGAACGTCGTTGAACAGGGCGCTCTGTGTTCTCTCGTCTATGTGCACTCCGGCAGTCTGGTTCAAACCCCTGACCAATTCTGCCAGATCTTTCCGAAGAACCCTGTTGGATCCGTCCAAATCACACATTTTGAACAGCGTTTGAAGTTTCAGTTTTTGTGGTGCTGAAAACAAACTATGAGAACGGAGCTAGTTGAGTGGCATACCATTTACGAATTCTCGGAGCACATTCAGGAATTCATTGAAGCTGAGCGAGTCCTCGTTGTGCTTGGCAGTCATCGCGAACATCCTCCGCACGAACACGTTGTCCGCCTTCATCCCCATCGCTCCGGCCAGCTCTTCTCGGCTGATCGTCTCGTTCAGAATTTCGTCGTTCGAAGAATCGAACGAATTCTCCGCATCTCTCAGTTCGTCGTCATTGAATGCTTGTGCGTACGCTTCTCGGAAGAACAGATTCAGACGATCCTGTCGACGTTCCTTTGTGATGGCTTGTGAGAGAAGGACCTGAACGTTCATTTCTTCTCAATCAGTAAATTCATAGTATACTCACAGCGTTTTCTTGATCAGCCACATTAACTTCCGCATTTATTCCACTGGCCGCATGCCTGATCCGATCGAGGAACCTCGAAAGATCTCGATCGGAAGGCAGTCGGATCACCAGATGGTGGTTATTCTTCTGAGAAAGGAGCACGAACGGCCCGTGCATTGCCGACGGATTCGGAGTCGAATGGAACAGGTCGATCTTCTGATCCCTCTCGAATCTGATCTTCCGCAGTATTCCTCCCCTCGGCTTCTTCACCGTCAGCGTCGTGTTTTCTATTTCTATCCGAACCTGTCGAATGTACTCTTCTTGGAGCCACTCGAGAGCTGAAGAATGCACTTCTGAAGTACGAAGTAGCAGAAAACGTACCGTTGACAGAGAAAATGTCTCCATTCGCTGCAATATTATCCGTCAAAAAGTCAGTGGTGAGGCTGTCGCAAGCACTGTTGTGTCCGATGCGAATGCGTCGGTTCACGAGATAGCTTCCGATTCCGAAGCAGACTGAAATGCGGGATCATTACGAATTTATTCGCTGGAATAAATACTTACTGAGTGGGACACACGCCAATCCGATGAGAGTGAACACGTAGGTGGTGTCATTGTCTGTCCAATAAGTGGATTGCATGAAAGGCACGCAGGGCTCCAATCCAGTGGTGTTCACTTGGAATGGCTGCGGACACGGATCTCCCTCTTTGAAGAAGAACACCTGGAAACGGGATAGGGTGACTTCTGGAGAACGGAAAGCACTCACGTCCTTCTGGAGCATCGTCTCGTCAATGTCCGTGGTTGCCTTGATGATCTCTCGGAGTCCGATGCTGTGGATCATCTGCACTTCCTCTTCAGTGAAGATTCCGTTCAGTTTGTTCTCAAACCAGAAGCGATCTCCATCACGGATCCTTTCGAACTGATCCTTAATGATTGCCTTAAACAGCTCACCCGGACCATTTTCTCCCCCTTCGAGCATTCTGAAAAAGGAATCCTAGTTGTTGGCGTGCACAGAAAGGGTCTTACCCTCCGATATAAGCATCCAAAAAGTCAATGTTTCCTCCGTACAGATCTCTCAATTTGTTCACTTTCTCAGTGTGCTTCTGATAGAATTCCGCATTTATGTTCTCCCACGTCTTCGGCGGCAATCCGAACGTTCTTCTCAGTTCGTTGTAGGGCGGAAGTCCGTTGTCTCGGCCACGCATGATCGAGGAAGCAACGACGTCCAAGCGGGAAAAGTGCATTGGTCCGAAGATGTAATCACGCAGATCTTCCACCACAATGTTATCGTCGCGTTCAGCAATCTGACTAGCCATGCCTGAACTTCAGAAGTTCTCATCGACCCACTCCTCCAACTAACCAAGAATGATTTCGTCGACGCTGTACTCCTTGACAATATCCTGAGCATTCCACCAGTTCTGGCACATTCGGAGAGCAGGATACCCACCCACTTCTGTTCTGAACTCGCACTTGTTTCCTCGTTTTCTCAGAAGCATTGCAGGCGGAACGATGGAATGGGGGAAGCGGAAGGCGGCGGCTCCGAATGCGTGGGAGATGCCTGGAGGCACGTGCGGCATGTACTTTGTGTAGTTGGAAAGACGAACATCTTCTCCCAAAAGAGCAGGAACAAAGTCGTAGGCGATGATCTTTTGCATTGAAGCGATAACGATGCGACGAGCAGCCTGGAAAATCTGTTCATCCGTCCATTCCGTGTGTTTCCGATGGATCTGATCTGCATTGTAGTTGTGCCAACGGAAGAGAATCAGACCGAACGAGAGGAGTCCGGGGTTCTCATTGACCCGGGAGTCTCCTAGCACTGAAAAAGGTACTGTAGTAGGCATCATCACGGATTACGGTAGCACTCACTGAACAGACGGTCCGGACTCATGAGTCTGTGAACCTGCGGCGGTGCCGGGTTGTTGAGTGGGATGTGCGGGTTGTTGAGTGGTGGATAGCCGGGCACTCCTTCCGCCAGCCTTCCTTGCTTGAACGATCGGAGCGAAGAGACCCATGGTTCGGTGGTCCCGTAAATGAAGGATCCGTCGATCCACGAGGTCCGTTCATTGATCTGTTCTCGCGGAGAGTTCAGTCCGCTCCCCGTGTTTTTATCATATTTTGCACGTGTGAACGGTATTTCCGTCTTTCCTTCACAGTTTTTGTCGAACACACTGTCGCACAAAGGCACCTGGATCTTGAGGGTCTCCAAAGGACAACTCACTCCGTTTGATTGCATTATTTCGTAAGCGACAACTTGACCTGAAGGCAACAACCGTCTCGAGATACTGTGGAAAAGGTGGAAGGAACTCACTGAAAAACGCGAGAAGAGTGGTGCATCCGCGAGTGTTCGGAATGCCGGAATCTCCCTTGAAAAGGGTGTCCGAGAGTTCGCGAGCTGACGGGAGAGAATTGTTTACGAGATAAACGCCGTCCAGGTAGTGCGACCGAGCATCTCTGTGCAGTTTGCTGCCTGAAACACTCTTCGCTCTTAGTTTCTTTTTTCAGAATCGCGTGCTCACCAGCGGCTCCCCATTCGCTGTTCGCCAGATTGTTGTACCATCCATCGTAGCGTTGGAACTCTTCATTCTGCTGGATACCTGCAACTCTTTCCCTTTCCGTGCACTCACTCCTTTTGTTCGCATTTCCGTGCAACTTGCCATAAAACGATCCCTTCCGGTCACCGTCCGATGCGGGCAAATATCAAAGAAAAGCGGAGGCCTTCCCAGAAATATCCTTCTTTTCGCGCCCTCCCCCACTCCTGTGTTTGCTCTTTGAATTTTGTACATTTTTGACCGTCTCGGGCGGTGTTGATTGTCGCCCCCAGAGAAAGAATAAACAATAAACATTTGGGTGCCAGGTTACGGAATTCCGACTGGTAAACACACAGATTTGTACATGTTTACCACAAAAAAGATCCGAAACATTGAATTGAAAAGAAGGTAAACGGACGAGAGTGTGACAATCCCGTAGAAAATTCGAAACCCGTAGAGTCAAATCCCGTAGAAAAATGTCAAATCCTGTAGAAATGGGCGGAGCCTAATGCAAGGTGCGCGCACACTGTTTTGACTCATTTTTGATTGCCTTTTTCGCCCCTTTAGTAACTTTTCATTTGAGACATGAAAATTTGACAGAACGATTAAAAAAATTCCATGAGGAGTCCAATATTCTGAGTTTTCTGCGTTTTGGCGTATCTGTGTTTGCGTACTTATTTCTACGGGTTTCTACATTTTTCTACGGGATTGTCCCACTCTCAAACGGACGAGAGCTGGCACCGTAACCAGCCTCAGATTAACAGTATCGAAAAGGGAATTGGACGTTGGTGAGCATATTCTGTCTGCAGATCGGCGGCGTGTCTTGCGACTTCAAAGGCCGGGAGATCGGTTTTGACACTCGAGAGGGTTCTCAAACAGTGCGTCTTGGCTTGTCTCCTTGTCACTGGTTACATTTCACTGGCGCCCTCTCTAATTTCTTCTCTTTTTTGACATTTTTGCGCTCTCCTCTCGATTGCTGACCGTCTCATTTCCACATCAACGCCGGAAATTAGACGGACACTTTCAGCTGTGTTTTTGTTTTGTTTTCTCTATTGTCTCTCGTCTCACCGCGGGGCAATTTTGAAAGGTCTCACCTAGGACATGATGACTGTAGAATAGGACTAGAATGGGTATGTACAGGACTGATTTCAAGCGCATTGCGCCCTTGAAGTGAAGAGAATCTGAAAAGAAATAGGGCGTTGCGAGAAGGGAATGGACGAACGGAAACGACATGATAAGGGGAGTGACTTTTGATGAGTCTGCAAAAGTTTCGTGGGAGAAAGACCCAATGGAATGGGGGAATGAATGAAGAGATGGTCGAGTTGCGCGAGATGAGACGCCCGGCGGGACAGTGGCAGAAACAGAGACGAAGGGAAGACGGGGAGACCGCCGGGAAGGCGGAGGAGGGACAACGAGACGGCCGCCGAGACTATGAACAGACCTACTTTCGGTTCGGACGGCCCGCGCGGCACCAACACCAACAGACGTTTTTTCGAAACCGGTTCGGGCCATCCAGTGTATATTATATTCTATTACTACAACTGTCACTCAACAGAATACGAAGAGAAATGAGGAGAAAGTGGGCAGGAAGTGGGTTCATCCGGGACACAAACACCTTTGCAGGGGGAACCACAACAAACCATTATTTACTGATTTCGGATTGGCGCGATCAACAAATAGAGAGCGAGAGATTGAAAGATTGGCACTGCTTCTCCATCTCTTTGCTTGTTTGTTATGACGTGGAAGTTATCACGCCCACGCATTTTATTTCATGGATTGAGTTGAAATGGCAATTAGGATCATTTTTTGTCGTTCCGCGGAAGTGTGTCAGGTCCTTGTTAATTTGATGTAAAGAGTGCAAACACACGTGCGAACAAACACATCCGCCGTCGGGAGAAAAACGACGGAGAAAGGAGGATCAGCTGAGAAAGAATCGGAAGGAGACGATGGCATCGAATCGATATCTGCGACGGCGGGAGGCTGCTGATGCGCAGACGACTTCTGCGCATTCTTTGAGAGTGTAACAACAGTCTCTGCTGCCAATAACGACGTTGCGCAACGCTTAAGGGATTACGAGAAGCGCAGAACGAAACGGGTATCAGAAAGAGAAAGGAGGGAAGGGGCGGAACTGGAACTGATAAGTGCATGGTTCGCTTATATACCCGACCGTTCCTTCCTTTCTGCCGCCTATTACTCACTCTTTCGGTTACCAGTCAAACGCTGTTATCGTCGGAATTAGCTACGGCATTTAAAACTGTCTTGCGAAGGTCGCTGCGTCCACTTCCCGTGACCGACAGTATCAGTTCTGTCCGATCTTCCGCTGTGTCACTCGAAATCAGATACGCGATGAAACGGAAAGGAGGAACAAGACCGGCAAAACACAAATATTTATGATATGCCAGCACCTTGTTGTGAAACGGGAACATAAACATATTATGCACAGGAAGGGAGATAACAACGAACGATGAAAATGACTAGTTTGAATATATTTCGCCTTGTTCACAGAAGAAGACGTGCCAGGCGGAAGTGTGTGTAGAAAACACTTCAGACGGTGTTGGAGGTTTTCTCGACGAGAGGCTGATCAGCAGAAGAGTTCAGAGCGGCGGGAGCATTCTTCTCCTCGATCGCGTCCTTCGAGAACAGTGCGAGGACGACGGGAAGAATGAAGAGACCGTGGAGGAGACCTGCGAAGGATCAGTTGCATTCCCGAAACACCCACGCATTCTTACCGATTGCCACGACCAGAAAGACTGTTTTGGCAAAGCAAACGATGGCGTAGGTAGGCACGAAGATCAGAGGGAGCATGCAAAGGAACGTCGAGAGTCCCGCCTCGAACATGGGCATCGCCATCTCAGCCAGACTGCTGTAGACCCGCTCTTGGGGAGTTCCACGAGCGCGGAAGTAGTTGTAGGCCACGTGAGCGGTGTAGTCGACGGAGAATCCGGTGGCCAGAAGCACGTCAACTTGAATGACTGGATCCAGATCAGCTCCCCACAAAGAGAGACCGCCGACCAGAACTGAAAGAGAGCACGAATAAGGAGAGAAAGAAGCTGAAAAGGACAAACTGAAGCAAATGGACGCGATAATCGAGGTGATGACAGCAACAGCGTTGAAGTTGGCAATGAATACGAAGCAGACGATGGCCATGCAGACGACGGTGACGGCGATGGATCCGATGAGATCGGTGCCAACAGTGAGGATGATGCTGAGGATGGCCGAGTCGCAGTCGAACAGCGTCGCGTTGAACTGCTTCTCCGACTGGAGAGTCGTCCGAATTTGCTGCATCGCTCTCGCTCTTTCCGCCCATTCGGACATTCCCTTGCCAAGAAGAGTCAGTCGGAATGCGGTCACTTCCGTTCTGAAACACTTTCATTCATTCTTTTCCGTTCGCTTCTTTTTTCTCACTTGTTGTTCTCCGTTATCTTGTATTTGACGACTGGCGGATTCCCGATGGTGTTCAGCCATTTCGGCAGGTTATCGTACGACGGTTCATACTTATCCCCGAACAGAATCGAAAGTGGATTGCTGACGACTCGGTCATATTTCTCGTACTGCGGAAGGAAGATCAGACTGCGATTCTCGCCTCGGATGCCGGGAACTGATTCGAGTTTGTGCACCAGATTGAGAAAACTGTCGTACTGAAGGCAGATTTGTCGACGAGTCAAGGACTAATTACTGCATACCTCAGTCTGATTTTCGATGTTTGGTGGCCTGTTCACAATGACAGTAATCGGGAAATAGGTGTTGAAGACGGGTCTAGAATAATGGTGAATGCTACAAAATGAACACGTTGATTTCTCACTTGATATTTTGCAGAGAATCCACCAGTTTCGAGTTGGATGGGAACGCCTTCGCCGGCTCGAAAGTGGTTCGCATTGTCAAGACTCCGTAAGTAGTCAGACCGTACATCACGATCAAGGTAAAAAGGCAAACAAGTCTTCCCTTTAGAGAACACACAAAATTGGAGTACTTGGCCAGCCACGTGTCTGCTTTCGGAATGGTTTCGACCTTTGGAACGGGCTGATAGGAAGCATCGTTGCAGAGGAAAACGATCGGAGCGAGGATGGTGTAGGTGAAGATGTAATCCAGCAAAAGAGCCAAAGAAGCCGTAAGACAGAAGAGAGACATCTAGAAGAAATGGAATAAACTTCAAGGAATCGAGGATAAGTAGAACCTGTGGGGTGGGAGTGAAGAATCCGATTCCGAATGCGATGATGTTTGTGAGCGAAGTGATGGTGATGGACGGTCCGACATCCACAATCACCTGCTCAAGACGTCGGTGTCTAAAAAAGAAGATCAGTTCAGGATGGGGACGGGGGAGCTCACGTGTCAGTGATTGCAATGTGATGCTTCCAACGGTGAAGGAGAATGAAAGCGTCGTCGACTCCTATTCCGAGAACCAAGAACGGAGTGACGCATTGGATGGAGAACGAAGGGAATCCCATCCTGAATATCATCTTTTCTCTACTAATACCATCTGAATTCCCGACCAGCAGATGGCTCCGAATGAAGCGATAGTCGCAGCCACTGGAGTGATCAATGACGTGGCAACCAAGTAGAACGCCATCTTGACGGACGCCAATCGGACGATCACAATTATGACCTGAGTGAGGAGGAGGAAGAAGCCGATAGTCATGAGGGTGGTCGCTTCGATGGCTCCTCTGATCATTTCCCGATTGGCAACTAGGTCACTAAACACTGTGAACTGCACCGCTTCGAATGCGGAACTGTTCTTTGAGAGTTCGAAAAGTTCATCAATGGCATCCTTGAACGCCATTTTTCCTTCCGGAGTGTCAGATCGAGAGAAGTACCAGAGAACGAGAGATCGGGAACTGATTCTGTTCGTTGGAGGTTCTGAATAGTCAGCATCCGCCAAGAGAAAACGAATTCAACTCACTGAAGTCGACATTACTGAAATGGAGTCCGAGAAAGATGTCCAATCCTTTGTACTGCATGTCCGGGTAAGCAAATACATTCGTACTTCCGTTATTCTCCCGGGTCTGATTCTGGAAACATCTTTTTGACTGTCATATTGGGTAAAACTGTTACAAACCACAAGAAGATGGAATGGATTGTTGAGGTCGCACAGAGGGTCGCAATTCCTCCGACCGTCTCCGTCCTTCAGTCCAACCGCATTCGAAAGTCGTCTGTCGACTGTGTAAATCTACAAACTGTGTACAGTTTAATTCAAATTCAAAGTAAACACTCGCAAACGCACGTCTCTCAACGCCGCCTCCCCCGGAATACTGGAATCGTTATCTTTGGATGTGAATATGCAGAACGCCCTTTCCGGATACTGCTTCAGTCCGTAATACTCGAGCCACACCCTCGTCTCACTGAAATGTAGTCTACACGCAGGAAGCTAAGCACAAAACAGAGAAAAACACTCGAGAACAGGTTCTCAGGTGACGTCAAGGTCGCATTTCGTCACTCACTATCCGGCATCTGAATTCTCCGGGGAGAACGACTTTCGGATGTCCTGCTCCAGACGGATGTTGATGAGGCCTGCACTGAGAGCGACAATTGAGAGAATGCTCACTGAAAACAAAGGAGTTGAGATAGGAGAAAGAAAGAGAAAAAGAAGCATAACTAATTAGTTATGTGATGAAATGAGAAGAAAAACGAACAAACGATCGAGTAGACTGGATATGCAGCCAGCAGACGGGCCACGATGGCACTGATCGAATCCCAGCCCATTTGAGCGGACGGCTGAAAAGTAAAAAGGTGTGAGGAGAGAGGAAGATAGTGAGGGAAGAATCTTGAAGTGGAAAGGAGGGGCGGCAGGGTGGAAACCGACTGACGAGGATACGAAGCATTCTCAGGAGGTGGACCTCGGAAGACGTGGACGAAGAATGGAAGGATGGATGGAAAGGAGTCAGGAAAGGTCACGTGCACGTGAAACAGAGACGGTTCAGAGACGAAATGGGCGGCAGCAGAAGAGACGGACAGGTTTGCGGATTTCGGATCAGAAACTGACTGGGCAGTACGGCCGACCGACAGGTGTTCGCAGAAAGCAGGAATTCAGATGGCAGAACGATATTAGAAGAAGAAGAAGAAAAAAGAAGAAGAAGAAGAAGAAGAAGAAGAGGAGTAAGCATTCGATGCAAAGTATAAGTACGTGGCAGATCGAGGGGATTCCGCGACCGATCACAGTCGGATTAACAGAGCATAAACCGGTGGCGGGAGCGGAGACTTTAAGAGGCAACGAGTACGGTATTGCACGGTTTCTGCCGAGAATCTTGATAGGAAGACGACGAGAAAATGAAAGTGGACGAAGATCCGAAAAAGTGTCGACTGGAACACACAGATCAGTGAGTGACCAGGTGTGGAAATGGAATGAAAACGGTGATGGATTCAGGAAACCGGACTGTTTGTCAACTGTTTCTGTGGCGGAACTATAAGGTCATCTGGCACTCTGAGAAGGCATTATGCAAGCAGCTGGACATCCTATTCGCTGCCGCAAAACCAGAAAAATCAATCAGAGAATTGTGGTGTCTCACTCATTTTTTCCGCAGATTTCCCCTTTTCAGCTTTCCTTTTCGTGAGAAGATCTTCGAAAAGGACGAGGGATCGCGGAGACGTAGACGGGCGGATGAATCGGGTTGTGTCGGAGGGAAGCAAGGAGGAGGGAGAGAGGGAACGCTTGTAAACAGACGGAAGAGGGAAACATACTCATTGTGTTCATGGACGGATTGGGGACAAGTGCCGAGCGGGAGAATAACTATGCGGGTGGCCACAGAGTACTGTAGGAAATCGAGTAAATGCTTTCGAAGATCTTGAACCAGGCATCCAAACGTTTCTTTTTTCGCGTCTGCAAGATCAGAACGATTTGGGATGGAAGCTGGAGTCTAGAAAGGCTTGGAACGAAAACATAAACACATCTAGAAAACGGGGTCGACAGAACTTCGGACGACGGATGTCACGCCCTTTCAAACCCTTTCTAAATGACCTTCAATTATTCAAATGTGTTCCTCTTCAATCATTCCAATTTCCTGCTCCGAACCGTTCCAGATGATTTCTCCTTCTTCTTCCTGTTTATCAGTTGAAACTAGACAAGAAAGACATGTGATAAGGACGGAGAGCACGCGTAACATGTCACTCGGCTATAAAGTACTCTTCATTTCTCTCTTTTTCATTTTCTTTTCGAATTTCTTTCAAAATGCTAAAAGCTTACAAACAACTGATCAAATACACAACTAACCCCAGGTCGGTCCTTGCCTACCCACTCCTTTTCACCGTTTCATAATTGGATAACCCCCTGAAAGCTCTTCTGAATCACTCCACCCCCTCTCCCGTTTTTCCCATTTATAGCCTCCCTCTCTGATTCCTAGCCTCCCTCATTTCTACAAGTTGTCGGCCCCGTGTGGCCACTGTTTTCTGCGTCTCTCCTCCTGGCTATTAGTGTCCGTTTCGTCATCGTAGCCTACAACCGAGACCTGTTTGCCAGCGGAGATTAGCCTGGCGATCCCTCTCTTTTCGCACCCCCGACCAACCTCATTCCAGCCTCATTCCAGCCTGATTCTCATGGGAGGCTTCTTCTCGAAACACCACCATTTGACCCCGGTGCACGATGCCACGTGTGGACCCGTCAAAGGAGTCGGATACGATCAGGTACCACATGATTCTCGTGCAGATTCTGATCGGACAGTTACAGGAGGACGGCTCGGTGGTCGATGGATTCCTGGGAGTTCCGTATGCGGAACCGCCCGTCGGGCCGTTGAGATTCCAAAAGCCGGTGGCCCACAGAAGATGGGAAGAGCCCCTTGAATGCATCAAGTTCGGTCCCAGATGTCCGCAGAACGACGAGCTCCTCGGACAGGTAACATCCTTCTCCTCTGATTTTTGATGTCTTCATCTATTTTTGTTTATTATTATTATTTCAGTTCGTGAACACAGTGGGCAAAAGTGAGGATGATTGTCTCACTCTCAACGTTTTCACTCCAAAGTGGGAATCGGAAGATTGGGTAAGTGCCCCCTTCACCCTCTTCATTCTCTTTTAAACTTTCTTCAGCCGGACGGCTTTCCCGTCATGGTCTTCATCCACGGCGGCGGATTCGCAGTTCATTCGAGCAGCAACTACGGCTGCGCGACGATCGCTCGTAATCTGTGCACGAAGGAAGTCGTCGTGGTGACCGTCAACTACAGACTGGGGGTGCTCGGATTCTTCACAACGGGAGATGATGTCTGCAGAGGGAACATGGGACTGTGGGATCAGACGGCGGCGCTTCAGTGGGTTCAGAAACACATCCGAAGCTTCCGAGGGGACCCGAACAACGTGACGATTTTCGGGCAGAGTGCGGGCGGCGCTTCCGTCGATCTGCTGTGTCTGTCTCCGCACTCGAGAGATCTATTCCGAAGGGCCATTCCGATGGCCGGGAACGGAGAATGCGATTTCGCAGTTCGAACGAGCCAGCAGCAGGCTCAACTGTCAAGAGAGTTTGCGAGATATCTCGGATGGGAAGGAGACGGTGAGGGAGAGACGGAGAAGGAGAAGAAGGAAAAGAAGGTTTCAGACGAAGACTCGGAAGATCTGCTCCGTTTCATTGATGAACAGCCTTTGTACAAAATCGAAATGGGCATCAATCCGAGGAGAGGATTCAAACATTCTCAGGCGGGAAGTCTCTATTTCGTGCCCAACTTTGACGGTGAGTTCTTCCCGAAACCATTGTCCGAATTGCGAAGAGAAGTGCCGAAAAAGCAGTTGATGACTGGAACAACAAAGCACGAAGGACTCTTTTTCAGTAAGCGCATTCCTTCTCTTTCTCTCGATTAACCCTCTTCTTCCTTTTTACAGTTGCTCTCGGAGCGCTCTCCCGCAATCCAGAAGGAATCAAGAAGTTCATGGCACGAATCTTCAAAGAATGCGACTACGGAGCACGCGCCGACGAAGCACTTCAGATGACCTATGACTTCTATTTCAAAGGTGTCCATCCAAAAGATAACGAGAAAAACATAGAACAGATTGTGAAGGTAATGAATCATTTCTTCTTTTCCTCGTGTCATCCGATTCGTTTTCAGTTCATCGGAGACTATTCCATCAACTACGGTACGTACAGATTTGCGAACGGAATGGCCGCACTGGACCACGACGTCTACTTTTACTCGTTCGAATACCACAACCCCGGAGGATTCGGCATATTCCGTTGGCTTCTTCCCTTCCTCGGTCTCTTTCGATCTCATTTTCTTTTGCCTCAATTCTGAATGCTTTTCAGCGTCCACTCATTGCACAGAAATGCGTTATGTCCTAGGAAAAGGAATTATTTCAAAGTTTAGGCCGGACGAAAATGACAAGAAAATGATCGAAGTGATGACTACGTATTTTACGAACTTTGCCAAGTTTGGGTGAGAAAAACAATCTATGATCAGGGTCATTAAAATCGTTTTTCAGCAACCCGAATGGTGAAAACGAGAAGGGAAACTGGCAGAAACATGATCCGGCGACCCCATTCCGCCACTTTAAGATCGATCTGGAAGGATGTGAAATGGCGGAAGACTATCAGGAAAGAAGGGCCGAACTGTGGGACAAGCTGAGGGCGATGAATGTGAGCAGGGCCCAGCTCTGAGGGCCCGCAATCTCCCTTTCAATACGGGTGCCTTGTTTCTATGTTCTGAATGTTCAAATAAAGATTTCATCAGGTTATCAAGTTAAAATTATCAGACGAATTTCAGAAAGAACCGGTATAATAGTGGGAGCGACTACAGTAGAAACTGTAATAGAAGGGCCCATTCAAGACGTCATATCTCACGTTTGCACTCAATGGAGATATTAAAAAGTTGCCAATTAACAAATTGTACATTAGAACATTGAAAATATTTTTTCGGTTGACCACTTTTTGATATCTGTGCAAGCAGCTGAGATACATCGTTTTGAAAGAACTGTATTACTGCAGTTTTTACAGTAATCGAGACTGAATGGGGAATTGCAGAGGAATCGCCAAACTTTTACTTTTACTTTCGTACTTTCAAACGGTATGTCGTTTGGCAGTTTGAATGCAAATTCGAACTCGTCCGGGAAGGTCACTCGGTCCCTCTCGGCAGCTGTCCTGGTCACCTGATAACGGGGCCATTGATGCGCATCGGCTTGTTCGGTTCGCGAATGACTCACGGCTCGTCCGACCGTCCGTCTCCATCCTTTTCTTTTCCGTCTCATTCGGTCCATCGGCGACGGCTTTCATCTTTTCTGCAAAAAGTCTCTCTCGCTTTCTCTCTCTCTCTCTCTCTCTCTCTCTCTCTTTCATTCTTCACATCATCATTTTTTATCATTCGCGCGTTCTTCACTCGAAACGACGTCGTTCTAATCGACCTTCTCCGCTACTATATCAACCCAAATTGTGTGTCCGACTGCCGGCTAATTCGACCCACGCACCGACTTGCTTCTCCTGGAAATCGAGAAGAAGTCATTTCAGTGATCGTCTCCTAATTTATAGGATTCGACCGGTTAGAACTCTTGTTTTCGTGCCTGGAAATGTTATTTCTCTCAAACAAAACATTCCACGTGTTCTGAGATCTATCAGTTCATTTCTCTGCTTGACTTCAATGATCTTAACGTTTCTTTCAAACCACTAAAAGAAGAAAAGTGCTCGCTTTGTCATCCTTTGTGTAAAAGTGCTCTGACAGTGGCCTCCTGAAAATTGCACAATACTTCGTGGGTCAGACTTCTTCACAATCTCTTAACATTTCCGTTCGCTATCACTAATCCATTTCCCTTTCCTCTGATCTCTCCGCTCTCCACACACTCTCTCTCTCTCCGAAACAGACTATCATCAGTTGATAACTGCCCGCTCCCTTGTCGGATAATCCACGGATCTTGACCCTTCCCTCCACTTTTTGCCCCGTGTCCCGGGCCGCCCGTTATCTTCGACCCGCCATCTGCCGCCTCGTTTCTTCGAATCATCGCGCCCTGCATTCCCAACATCTCAGATTCAGGTTCATCGATCCACCAAAATCTTGCCTGATAGCCCCCACTCTCAGATGTCCGATCAATCGCTCGTCCAACGGGTTCCATTGCTCGCCTCCTGCAAGCCGGTGAGTCCGTAGGAGCATTACTGTAGAAGAGAGGTAAGCACGGGAGGGAAGAAGTTGGTTCCACGAGCGGAACGATTACATCTGTTTACCGAACTCCCTAGTTTTTCTCGTTGTTTCCTCCGCCTCAGGGTGTGTTTTCATGAATCATTTTATGTTTGGAGTAATAATAAAAGTTCGAAGTTTGTAGTTTTCGTCTAATTGTCCGCTTGTTTTGCCCATCCATATAGAATATTGAAACCGTGAGAATTGAGAAGACTTCTGAAGATGTGAGCTCCGAGAAGCTGATCTTCTTTAAGGTTACTGTAGCCCGGTCATTTTTTGAGGCCAACTCGTGGATCAGCTCCCCTCTCTTTTTCGGGTCACGTTCGGTCAATCTAGCTGGGTCTGGCGGGCAGTCAATCTTGCGAATGGTCTCCCTTCGGCTGCCACGCGCGTCGTCCCTATTTCCCTCGTCGCGTCGTCTACTTTCTACTTGTCCTCGCCTCCTCCTCCCACACAGATCCGCCCGTCTCTCATCGATTCGTCATCTTCCATTTGTTTTGGCATTTCAGTCACAACATCCGCTTTTCCGTTTCAATATTTCCTCTCGATATTAAAACGATCTGCTTTCGTCGAGAATCGTCATATCTTCCTTTCTTTCAACATTCTCAGATTATACTGAATTTGTATCACCTTCTATTCGAAATCTGAAAATTTGAAAGGCAGTGTCGCTCTAGCGCAATCCCACGTGAAAATCCGCCCGCCGCCGCAAGGTTTCCCAAGCACTGAATTCACGTTTCGAGCGGTAGAGCACGATTGCGCAACAATTCGCTTTCAAAAAACTCTTCAAAATGCTCGTAGTTAGGCTGGTCGAACAGACGATTTTAGGCGTCGGCGCCTTTTTTTTCGACCAGCCTACTTGTAATTGTTCTACAGCGACTAAATGGTTCAGTGTTAACAGTCGACATATTCGAAGTTTAGGAGCTTCGATCAGTTCCCCAACGATGTTCGGTAATTCGAATTAAAGTTTTTCAAGTGTTTGTTCTCTCTGCGTCTGTCGCTCTATCGCTCTTGATGGTTCCAATCATCTGGAGGTGCGAATCTCTGCGTCCTCTTCCGCTTTCTCCGTCTTTTCCTCCTCTGCGCAGACGCACTCGTCCGTCCGCCCGCTCCGATTCACCTTTCAACCCATCCCGATTCCGTCGTTTCTCTTGATTTATCGATCTTTTCGAGGATCGACATGGATTCGTTCAAACGGTTCCAGTCGAAAGTGTTCTCTTCGGTTAGCACAATTCGGAAGCCAGAAAATACTGTAAGTGAAGACTGGAGACTAAGCGTGAACCTAAAAGAACAGAGAACGATTCGTTCAGTGAAAGCAAACATTTCTTTCAGGCTGAGGACCAGGCGTACAACACGAAACGATGTTTCATCCACGTCAATCATCTATCCGTCGCAATCGCCGTCGTCGAGCTCTCTATTCTCGTTTACCAAGTTTCACTTTCCCTGTTTTCTCACTTTCAATGTTTATTCCTTCAGCTCTTGAATGGCAGCTGGGGAAATTCGGATTACGCGTTCGTTTTCACTTGCGCGGCCTTGCTATTCCTCCTCGTCATTCTGCTCCTTTTCGTGGCGATTTTCTACCGAATCAGCAACCTTCTCATTCCGCACATCATCATGCAGCTCTTCATTGTCGTCAGTTTCCTCGTTCTCACCGGATTTTCGCTCTACGCTCTTTTCTACGGAGCCACATTTCAAATGTTGCTCGTGGTAACCAATCCGCAGATTGCCGCTGATTCCATGGTCCGTATCCCTTTCCCTTTACACCTGCTCTATTTGTGTTCCAGACTGCCCTTCCTGCTCCGATGCTCGCAACGAACATGGTCTCGGGATTCCTTGCCGGTCTCCTCGTCATCTTCGCTGTTTCCTACCTCCTGGTCGCCGTACTCAACGTGAGTTTCTTTTTTACATTCCCCTCTATCCCAATTCTCTATTTTTCAGACGTGGTGCTTATACGTGGTTATCGACAGTTTCCAGCTGCTCAGAAGCCAAAAGAACCAGAGCCGTCCTCCGTCTGTCGAAGAATACTGTGCTCCGAAAACGATCCAGCTCTCATTGTACCCGAATCAAATCGTCCAAGCCACCGACTTTTAATCTTTCTCACTTCCGGTTCAATTTCTGTAAATATGTGTTTGCCGAGAATTCAGGGTCCAGGCTTTAATATTTTATTTTATCTCAGTCATATGTTGAATACAAATTGCCAGAATTTGTTCCTGGTTCACACTTCCCAACGCATGAAAGTGCTAATAATCACAGGATCCGTCCTTCCATCCATCCCTCCACCGTTCCATCACATTCTTGCAATCAAACTGCTCTTTCCCGGTCTTTTTGTTCACTTTATTGTGCAACTGGCACATCCAAAGAGCGAATTCCCGCCGACTTTCTACCTTCGGAGGCTCCTCTTTCAAATCCTTCCGTAGATCCTTTGCACAGAAATCACACGGATATGTCTAGAAATGGAGAAAAATATTGAATGCATTCCATTCTCGCCAACCTGACCGAGTAAAGTCATGAACGTTTTTGCCCGTGACTTGTCCTCTTCCGTCGGCTTTTCCGGGTAGTAAACCGACATTGTATGAAGTAAATTCCACGTGGATCGACCTGAACACGTCAAAATTCGACTCAATAACAAGATAATGTTTACCTAGCTCGTCTTTATCCACAGGACACCCGTACACTTTCGCTCCCGTACTTGTGCTCGGAGCAGATGTTTTGTCCTTCGACGGTTCTCCGGCTTCTATACATCGCAAAGTTTCTTTATTGTGGAACGGCATTCCATACCTTTCTTTTTCAGTTTTTCAGCCATTTCTCTGCCCTTCTTCATCATTTCTTCCACACTGACACATGCTCGACACGGTTTTCCATCCGGGCCAATTTCCATTCTGAAACAGATGTTTTTAGATGATGCAATATGGTAAGATTAATACGGAGACAGCCTTGAATGCGGAGATTGCTCAGTAAACGATTAATGATGACGCTGAATCATTAAAGACAGAAAAGAAAACAGAAAATTAATATTTTCTATTGGAACAACGCAAATTAAGCAAAAAGTAAACCACTTGGCTGAATTCAGATTGGGATGGCCGAAGTTTTGTGAAGAAACTTTTCTCGGCCAGCTAAAGCGCGAAAATTATCCGCTTTGAACAACAACGTTATCGCGCACTTCGGAAATTCAAAAATGAATTCGGGGTTTTAATTGTATTTTCACAGTTTTTTTTAGAGTTTCTAAATTTACAAATTCAATTTTTCGGGTTGGAAGTTAGTCTTAAAAACTCAAGAAACGATGAAGATAAGTTTTAATCAAATTAACACGCTCCCTGATATTTTCTAAACGCTTGCCTCTAGTTATTTTCAATCCACAACTTCACATGTATTGTTTGCACAAACGAAGGGGCCGCCGGTCTTTTTACTGATAAACCTCTTCGTTTACAACAATTTCCCGCATTTTCTTTCGATTTCAGACATGCGAGGATGAGCATTGCCCAATTTCAAACTCTGAAAAAGCACTTTGAAAGCATTTTAACAGGGGACGGAAACAAGGCGGCGCGACAGGTGAGATCTAAACCTTTTTGAGTTATTTGTTTCTTTCTCTTCAGAAAATCATCACAAGCATTTGTGAGCTTTACGACTGTTTGGGGAGAGATGCGACCAGCCAGCAGTTCGAGAAGGTCTACGAGCTTTACGAGTTGTCAAAGCACATTTTCAAGGCAGCGAATCAGGTAAAGAAGAGGGAAAGGAGCTTATAAGAGTTGGACGGTTTTCAGGAAGTGACGGAGAATGATGAAAGGTGGCAGAATTGTCCGCAAAAAGAAAACAAGACCGCTTCGAGACTGTACAAAACGAAACTGTTTGAGCTGTCCATTTATCATTTGAAAAACTGCTGTCAGCAAAGTAATATAATCCTGAATGACTTGTCGTTATTGGAAGGAGTTTCCAGAACTTGATCACAACAATGTTCCGTGGATCCAGTACTGTTTGGCGGTCCTCCAGAAGTCGTGGATTCGGTCCGAAGTGAGCATGGAATGTGAATTGTCCGCGTGCCTCCTCTCGTGCGCAAACGCCTCTCAACTGCACTGGGCACAGCATAACCATTTGAAAAGTTGGGAAAACGGCAGATTCTGATTGAACGCAACGTCATTTTCAGGACTGTGGGAGTTTATTTGGGAGCGGATTGCTGAAAAGACACTGGACATGTCTATTCTGAAAAACTACGTGGAGCTGGCTGTTAAAATGATGAAAGAAGTGGAGATGACGGTCTTCGAGAAGTCGCCATTCCATATCGTTCGAATTGTTGTGCACACTCTTAAGAGAATCGCCGAAAGTGTTGATTCTACATTGTTCGTTTATCTTTCCGTTTCATTAGTAATTTTTATTGTTCAGCTGGGCACATTCGAGAAAATATTCATTCGTCTACATTCTCTCCTATGTCGTTCATCGGTGGGGAGTTGCAGCCAGAGATCTGATCCTTCGAGATTCCATCGAAATTATAAATCATCTGAAAACTCTTATGACAGTCGAACATTCTGGAATGGAAGACTCAAAGGCACGTTAGGACGAGGTTATTTCAATCCAGAACATCCATAAATTCAGACTTGTATGATGATGCTGATAGACGATTTGATCAAGTTGGCTATGGTGAAAACGGTCGGAAAACATCGGACGATGGATGAAGAAACCGAAGAGAATATGAAGGATCTTGTGCGAACCGCAATTACGGAAACTCTGAAGTCAGCACATGGATTTTATTTCAGTAAAGCCAAGTTTTCGCTTTACAAAGAATACGTGAAGTACCTCGCGAGATGGATCATAGCTCTGCGAGTTCTTGAACCTCCGCCTTATGATGAATCTTTTGAAATGGTGACAAGCAGCCGGAAGAAGAACGACTACGGAGGCGCATTCACATTTAAAGGACTCGTTAGTCTTTCGTTTGGGGAATCAATCTCTCCGAACGTCAACAAATGCAACGCCTGGAACGGGGCAATGCAAATTATAAGGGAAGTCATCGCCAGTCAGAAATTGAGTTATTCTACAATCGGACTAATCATATCTTCACTGTGGGCGAAACGGAAGGCTTTCACAACGGACGAGCTCCGTGCCACTTTCTGTTCTCTTCTGGCAAGCACAACACATCCATATGTTATGTTCGGAAAAGATCAGATCCCGTCAATTGACCTTCTTCTCAAATACGCGCTCTCCCTCATGCCGAACGTGACTTCTCTTCCCAGCTCCGCTTATCTCATCGAGTGCATCATCCGCTCTCATCCTCAAGCCGTTACGAAGGAAATGCATAGAGCAATCTGCGACACCGTCTCCAGAACGAATCCTTCTTCGCTTCCCGTTCTCCGCCTTCTTTCTGCTTTCATTTCGTATACGGAGTTCGAAGAGGGATCTCGTTTCAGCAGTATCAATGACGATGCGAAGGGAAGTTGGAGTCTTCGGAAGGACACGATTGACTGGCTTCTCGTTGATCTGAGTGCGAACTCTCACCCTCTGCTTTATCAATTGTGTCGTTATCATCCGACGTTCTGCTATGAAATGGATCAGCCCATTCATGGTGATCTGCTAGTTCGAGAGTTTTCGTTAATACTCAATTTGCAGATGACTTACTTCTTCAATCTCTGAAGCAGTGCCAGCTGGTCAGTTCCCCTCAAATATCTGCGGTTTCGCCGTTCCGCCCGATCGATGCAACTATTGATGAAATGGTTTGTTACGTACACGGCGAGCTGCAACATCTTTTGAGTGAGCTCTAGGCACCGAATCTGTCGAAGTTTAACTGTGTTTTAGGCCTCGATCTCTCCCTCCCCGTTTTCGTACTTTGCTACGAGTTCTCTCTCAAATGCCAACAAAATCTGTTCGATTTCAGCGTAAAATGATCTAGTCAATACTCAATCAGATCTGGAATATTTCAGAATATCTACAAAAAGATTGAAAAAGTTTCGGAAACCCTGGAAGATTCGGAGTTCCAACAGGCAATTGAAACGATCACCGTTTGGCCAGATAAACTGTCATTTCCGAACGGAAGGCAGTCACCAGAATGTCTCATCGCCTTCTTCATCGCCAATCTCAGTAACCAGCTCATCGAACTGAATGCGTGGTATTCGTGGAAAAACGATATTGTTCCTTTGCTAGCCGAACGCGTCAAAAATAGTCCCGGATTGCGTTCAAAGGTGCAGCAGGCGATGCCCTTCAATCATTTCGTTAAGCTGTACATTCTCGACAATGTAGGAGATTTGTATGAAACAGCGAAGCGATTTGTGGATGTGTCTTTTCTTTTATCCCATAGGAACATGCTCGCAACTAGAACACGCATCAGGTTAGTCAGATTCAAATAACAAGAAGTGAATATTTTTCAGGAACGAAGCGGCAGAGCAGTTGAAATCTGGCGAATCGATCACTGAGGACGATATGACTCTGATTGAGAACATGACGGCGTCTGCATGCGTTCGGAATGTAACAGGCAGCAATCGGATCGGAGGATATCAACTGGATGCACTGGCAGTCGCGCACAACCCGAATCACGTTTTCTTCGATGATCGCAGCCTTGTCTTGTACCTCCGAATGCTCAGAAAATCCCCGTTTCTCGCACAGAACATTGTGAGGCATGTAGTTGAAAATGAGGAAATGTGGCACTTGCATGGCAAACTGTTGAAATATGTGGTGAAGGATGAATGTCTGCTGACGGTAAGATACCATTGCGCACGTTGTATTGAGTTGGTTTTTTTCTGCAGGTCTGTATCGCAACAATTCCAGACATAGTTCGTTATTTGAAAGTTTATCAGGTCTTACTCAATCCAGATGTGCCTGTTCTTGATTTACTGTAATCGGTCTTCAATTGCTTCGAACGTTTTCATACTCGTTTTCAGACGTTTCAATACAAAATCTATTGCTGCCTGTCAAAAATACATTCGAAAACCCAAACAAAATGCGGATTCCATCACTCCTGGGCAGCTGATCATTCTCTTCGGCTGCGATAAAAACAAATGGGCAAGAGTGATCGTAAGATTCTGGAAACTGTTCGAGAAAGAGCCCGCCTTCGTGTGCGAGAGGTTGTACCACTTTGTAAGTTGGCCAAGAATCTACTCTTATTATTTCTGATGGTTCAGGCAAAGCGATGCGTCGCGCTCAACCTCTTAAATCGCATCGTCGCTCTTCTGAAAGCTATTTCGACAAGCGAATTCTGCATAAATGTTTTGAAGGATGAACACCTTCGGACAGTTTACAAACTCGTTTATCGCTCTATTTTTACACTCATAACGGACAAAACGTGCAGGTTCCGTTTCTGGCCACTCGAGCCCACTCAATATTTCATTTATTCAGAACAGAAATAGTGGAATCGTGCATGGACGAGAGACATCGTTACGATCTGTTCGAGCATCAGATCAAGAAAGTTCCTGCCGAGCATACCGACAAGTACATGAACTTTGAAAACGAAGTATCATTCTCGGTCGAAAAGTTTCTTCAGTACGGAATTGAAACTGACAACGTTGACTTTACGGATTTCGGACTCACTGAATTCTACAAACAGCTCAACGACAATCTGAGTGAAGAGATAATTAAAACGAGTGAATCGAGAGGTTTTTTTTTACTGGAAAAGTTACGCTTTTCAAATTTTCAGGCAAGTACATGGTCGACTTTCTCGCTTTCGTCTGGCTCCAGTTGCCTTCAATGCGCCCGCGAATTCTCCCGATCGTCGCTCGTTTCAAGCATATTTCTCCAGCTTGGGCCCGTTTTCCACAGCCTCCTCACGTGACTGCTGACGAGCACACTTTTGTTTTCAAACTGCGGTTCGTCCTCGCCATGAAGATGATGGCGAATGACCAAATAAGAAGCGGAGAGCTGTCGACAAGCGTTGTACTGCTGCTGACCACCTACGATCGCAAGTACTCGACTTGTGCTCTGATGACTAAATCTCAATATAGACGAAAGAACTTAAGTTCGGGCATGCTGCCCATGCTGATCAAAACGCTTCGGAAGCAGTTGAATGGGGAAGAAAAAGAAATGATCGACGGAGATTTGTTTGAAACGGTCGCTCAAGCGGCGTCCCTAATTCGAGAAGTAGCGGCGTGCTTCGCTCCGTTCTTGTTCAAGATATGCGTTGATGTGAAGGCATGTTACGATTTTGCCCTCTCTAAGTTGTTGGAAGGACTAGCTGTAGTGAACAAACGAGAAAAGCCAGTAATTTTCTGCCTGGCCGAATGCGTTGATTCGATGGGTTTGAATGTTCTCGCTCGGTTTGAACGACTTCCAGACACGCCGAAGGGTGTGCATGGCTCCCGTTGGTTCTTTGTTCTGGCGAGGCTCTTCCTCGACCACGGTTTCCTGACACACGCCTTCGCCATAGCAAATCTTATTTTTGATCGACTCGTTTCGAACACCAGAAATGTGATGATGATCGACAGAATCTCGTTGGAAGAGATCGAACACAGCGATCAAATGATAGCGTTGCTCGTGGATATCTACGTGGCGCAAGACAATTCGGTCGCCCTGGGCTCCCTTCCTTCGTTCGTGCAAACCCGTCCGGATGTCCGTCAAGTGATGTTCAAAAACTCGAAAGAATGGATTCGTCTCGTATCGACGAGTCTGTTGGATTCGCATGAAATGACAATAGCCAGATGGATGTGTGGTCTGCACTTGGAAGGTGGCGAGAAATATTTGGACTCAATTCTTCATTGTCGCTTTTCTGACTACCCGAAACTGGTGGATTCGCCCATCAAGTTTGTCTATTTTCTACTTTACCATCACGCACTCGGCACGGATATCTCAGTGGCAATCAGTGAACTAACTGCACAAATGATGAGCGAACTGTCAATCAACGATGTGCGACTTCTGATGTTAGTGGCGGACGAGGCGAACTTCGCTCCGGAATCAATCGAAGAGCACGTGATGCAGGCGATTCGAGATCTAAGAGACACGGCCGGTAAGCGGAAAAGAATGGAATTCCAGCAGGCGAAAGTCAACGAGAAGACTGTTGGAATGGTGAAAGTTGCGGAAATTCTGGCGCAGAACAATGCGCACGAAGCCGCATCTCTGCTGATGAACAAGTGGCACGAGGAGTGTCTCGCCTGGAATTCTCCGTCGGTTGACGTGGCTCTCGTCGAAGTCTGTCAGTCAGGAATTATGTGCCGAGCGGGAGACTATCGCATGGCTGAGATCAATTTGAGGGCGATGCAGCCGCAGTTGAACGACATGAGTGACGTGGCAGTCGCTGAATTGACGCTAGTTTTGAGCAAAATAACTCTGGAGTATCGAAACGATTTGGACGAAGGAATTCGGATTCTGGAGAAAGGGTGTAATCGATTGAAGAAAAGAGAATCTGTGGAAGCGAGATTGAGGTTGTTGCTGGAATTCCACTTGGTCTGCATGAATCAACTGTCCAAACTGGAAGAATACCGCGAATCGAGAAGTTTCCGTATGAAACAACAGGCGATTACAGCATTCGAGCAACAACTGACCAATTCATCCCGATTGGGCAGAGCCAATTCTGAAGACGAAGGATCGAAACGGGCGGTTTCCCGAGTTAAAAAAGAGCATCAATGCGAGAAGGAGGAAGTGGAAAAAGTGCAGATCAGTGTGGTGACTGCTGCGGTGAAAGCCGTCTCGTCGGCATTCGACGCACTTGGTATTCTTGTATTGTACTTTCATCTCCAGATCGGACTGTTTTCAGAATGTATCAGTCGGCTGAACGACACTGAAGAAGCCATTCGGACCGCTTCACTCATCGTCTTCCCTCTCATTGACGTCATTTACAAGTACGAACAGAGTCCAGAAGTCGTCGTACTTCTCAAGGATCACTGCACCAAACTGTGCTCCAAACTGTGGTTGTGTGCCACTTCGCACATCGCTTCAAAGTGTTTCTCCGCCGAACCTTCTCCACTCCGCCGCTATCTTTATCAGATACTTTTCCGAATGATCTGCGATTATCCTTATCACGTTCTGCACACAGTTTTCATGTATGAATCCGGACAGAGTGGGTCGACTGTCACGAAGTTTCTCAACTCGGTTCTGGAGAAAAGGACGCAGTGGGATGTCAATAAGCTGAGAGAAATTGTCACTTTGATGAGAGAAGTGCACTTAGCGTATAGGTACGTTCCCCAAGACGACAGTAGTCACTTGTCTCTTTTAGAGAGTTGGCCCGATTAGAGACGAGGGAGAATCACCTGCTGCAGAAAGTGAATGTCGAAGGAAAAACTATGCTTAGACTGCCGTCAGACCTGAAAGTGTTAAAATGTAGACTGGATCGTCTGCCTATCCCAACCATCTCTCAAAAAGTACCACCTCGCACACACTCTCCCCAGTTCTGCTCATTCTTACAGATTGGACGAGCTGGAGACTACACGACAACCGGACTGATCACCTGGAAAGCTTGGAAAGATGTATTCTCGATCGCCGACGGACTCTCGGCGCCAAAGATTTGGGAAATTCAAGGAAGCGATAAAAAGTGGTACAAGACAGTGTGGAAGAAGGACGACGTGCGACAGGATGTGCTCGTGGAACAGATGTTCGACGTTACGAATAACATGCTCGAAAAGAGAACTTTGCGAACGTACAATGTCGTTCCTCTGGATACGGAGTGCGGAATCATCGAGTTCTGTGGAGGAACCATTAGCATAAGTTTGTGTCTTTCCTTGGAAATTAGATATGTGAATTGTTAGAGGAAATGTTGTGTGGAATTACTCGTGACAAAGGTCTGCACAGCGAATTCAATCCGGACGAGCCGACGGCCACGAAGGTATCTCTGCAGATGCGCAACTCGCAGCAAGAGTCGACAGAGTCTCGGAGGAGAGTGTTCGTCGACATTTGCAAAGTATATTCGCCCGTGTTCAGGTAATCATTATCTAGGGAGAAATGACGGATTCACGACTTCAGGCACTTCTTTTACACAAACTTTCCGACTGCTCACATCTGGAGAGAGAAGATTGCCAACTACAGAAAGAGTCTTGCCACGTGGAGTGTAGGTTAGTTATTCATATCCTCTTTCTCTTTTCTCCCATCACTTCGTTACAGTGTGCTACATCGTCGGTCTCGGTGATCGTCATGCTTCGAACATTCTCTTCGATCAGAACAAGTGCACCTTCGTTCACATCGATCTCGGAATGATCCTCGAATACAGCAAAAGAACGCTTCCAGTCCCCGAAAGAGTGCCGTTCCGACTCAGTCGAGATCTTCTTGATCCGATTTTGATAGAAGGCATCGAGAATGGACAGCTGGCGGACGAGTGCATCGTGGCGATTGAGAAGTTAAAGCAGAACGGAAAAGTGATTCTGGGAGTCGCGTCTGCCCTTCTCCGAGAGACAACGACAAACTTCCGGGAGGCGGAGCAAGCCAACGGCCGCCCTTCTTACATCTCCGAAATGGCCATCGGGCGGCTCAGAGACAAGTTGGAAGGAACGGACGACGGAGTGACTGCGCAGTCTTCTGATCTACAAGTTCGGAGGCTTTTGAGGGAAGCCACGTGCGCCGACAATCTTTCAAGAATGTTCTGTGGATGGATGCCGTTCCTCTGAAACCTCACTAATTGTTGAATTAATCTGTATAACAACACACATATTTTGAATGCTCACATTTACGGTTCTTGATTTACATCTGATGATTTTCAAAGTTTGCCTCTGAATAAAATTCAATTCTGTTTTATGAAAATTCTGTTGCCAATGTGCCAAATGATCTCTGCGTGACACGACCTTTGACTTGAGGCCAACGTGGCAACTATGATCAGCTGTGTACTAAAAGATCTTGGTCGGAGTTCAGTATTACTCGTTTTGCGTCACAAATCCGACTCCAACGGAAAACAGTTAATCCGTTCCGATCTGACGAAGTACTCGATGCGAAAAGGGTACTTTCCTATGATGAATCGATACCTCAAACTGTTATTCGTCGTTGTTCTCTTCGGATGTTTCCTGGCGTATTCCAACCTTTTCAACCGTTCGTTCTTCCTCAAACAATGCCGCAATGCCACGTCACGTGACAATACGGTAGCAGTGGAAGTGCCGGATTCTCTGGATGTCTGCAGAGGTCGGGAAATGAGGAACTGCGTGCCTCCGTTGAGACGATTCAAACAAATGTACAGGGTACCAACACTTTTTTCTATTTTCATTACCTAAGTGTTCACAGACCGCCACGGGAAAAGGTCTGACTGCGTGTGTAATCGAAAAGACGTTCTCGACGTTCCTCACCGCCATCATGTGCTTCCTGAACGATCAGAAGACGTTTCTGGCCAGCAACCGGACACTCGATTCGGATATTTATTCGCAAAGGTCCGTGAAAAATTTGTAGATTTTACTTTTTTCAGTTGAAAATGCTGAGATATGAATAGTTTCTCGAATAAACTGTATTGGTTCTATACGTATTTGTCTCGTTTAAAATTTGCAACTTTTTGCGCAATCATTCACGTTATTGCTTACGGAAGAAAGTTAAAAACTAACAAAGGATAGTTCTAGGTTTGAACATAGTGTAAACTTTTTAAATTATGATGATTCCTGCCTGAATATTCTCCCAGAAAAAAAAATTATATTGCGTAACAATTTCTGCAGATTATGCAAGGATAAGAACGAATTCACCGAATTGGAGAACATTGCGAATTGGAAGAATATGACGCTCTTCGCAGTGGTGCGCGACCCGATCGACCGGTTTGTTTCGGGTTTCACAGACAAATGTTTGCGGGAGAAAGTGTGGAAGCGTTACAAGATGAGGTGTGGTGGCTGCAAAACGGTCGGTGAATCTGAAAGAAGAAGAAGAAGAAGAAGAAAAAGAAGGAAGGGTTTCAGAATCTGACGTGCTTCGTGGATCAAATGCATTATCGGATGAAATTCTTCGAACGACGTCCCTACGGAGGAATCGACTTCGACGACAGTCACTTCTTCCCGCAGTCGTGGTGAGAGCGAGCGGCTCGATCAGCTTCAGAACGACTCCTTTTCAGGCGGTGCGAGTTCTCCACTCAGCTTGTCAAATACCGAATTCTTCAACTGGACAGCCCTCAGTTTTTCGATGAACTCCTCGAGTTATTTGAGAGACATGGAGTCGGTCCGGAGGCCATCCAGTTCATCAGTACATGCCTCTCCACCGGGTTCCCCGTTCATTTCTTTCTTCAGATGCAAGTTTGCACACGAGAACTCCGCACAGTACGAAGGATTCGATGGAGAGGGCGGAGGTCGAGGAGATGGTGCTCAAGACTCCGTACATCCTTCGAAAAATCATCCAAATGTATTATTTCGACTTTTTACTTTTCGGCTTCAAACTGCCAATCATTCCTCACGTTTAGTGCCATATTCAGTAATTTTTAGCTACTATAGAAATCTTCCGATTTTCGACTTTTTGTTTAATAAACAAATAACGTTATATTCCGAAAGACCCGTGACTACGCGTTCGCAGAAAAAATTTGGGTCACAAAACCATTTTGTTTTATTTTTGCAATAAATATTGAAGAATGTCAGCGATATGGCAAGGAATCAATTGATTATTTACAGAAAGAAAATGGAAGTGAGAGAGAGAGAGAGAGAGAGAGAGAGAGCACACCTTCTCCAAAGGGGAAGGCGGAGCTTGGCTCAACAGAGAGGTAACCTAGAAGAGATGAGATGAAAAGTGTCAAATAATCAGTACATAGAAGGACTCGTCTCGTCGATTTGCGTCTTCGTGATCGGTCCCGCCTTCTGAGAAGCTCGAGGCGTCGTTCCGTAGGACATTCTGAAAAAAAGGAATGAAAGAGGAAAGAAAGGCAGGAAGAAATAACTAACAGATGAACGTTGTGTGGAGTGTCGTTCGAATCGGGAGTGATGCTTCGGATCGTGTCCTCCAAACTCAGCTTCATCGTCGATTGACGTCGTCGTTTAGTGGTGATCTGAAAAGAAACACACACTTTTTTGGGCCGGACATTCCTTTCGTTTGACTATCTACCATGATGATGAACAACGCGACGGCGAAGATAATGACAAGTGCGAAAGTGATTATAACGATCATGAGAGAAGAGAGCGAATAAGATGCGGTCTGTGTGGAAATGGAATCAATGTACGCTTGTGACGTCATTCCTGCAAACGCTTTCTTTCGAAAAGACAGCTTTTTGGGTGGATTACCGTCGACAGTCACGCTCAAACTGTCTATTTTGTAGTCGGAGACCATGGAGTTGTTTCTGGAGAAAGCTGCCTCGAGACTGAAATTCCTCACATCATTATTGTGTTTCATTCTGAATACTCACAGATTCACAGCCATCTGAGCATCCCCGAGTGACTTTTTCGTGAGCAAATCGGCGCCCACGACGACCGATCCCTTCCTGAACGACTTGATTTCGACAGTCACCAAGTTGTCCGCTCCCGCAATCGAATTGATGAATTCCCCGACAGCCGGCACCAGTTCCTTCGATAATTTCTTCGACGGACCACTGTGGATGTCATTGAAGTCCGGAGAGAACTCTAGAGAGACGATTCGGAAAGTGATCGGAGTGCGGATCGCCTTCGCCGGAAGGAACACTTTCGAAGAGTTCTTGAGGGCAGGCGTGGCGGCGATATCTTCCGTAGTCGTCTCTTCCGAAGACGTCGTCGCCTCTTCAGAAGTCGTTGGCTCAGCCAGTTCTGTTGTTGGAATTTCGACCGTCTCAGTTGTAGTTGTAGCAGCTTCCGTGGTACTGAAACTTCAAGATTACCCTTGAAAAGACTGAATGTGTTACGTAGTTGTGGTAGAAGAAGGAGTCGTTTGTTGAGTGGTTGTGGTGGCTTCTGTCGAATATTCTCTAGGATTCGACAGTATCTTTGAGTCCTCCTCCTTCATTTTGAGAATCGGAAATGCTGGTGCGGGATCGGTGGTGAGGGAGGAGTCGATGACACTTCCATCCTGCTCAAAGAGCCCTTCAAGAGCACTCTGGTCGAACGGAGTCTCTCCTTCGTCGTCTGTTTCGGAAGGATCACTGACTGCAGAAGTGGACTGCGTGGTCGTCGTCACTGAATATTCAATCCGTCTATCGGAAATTCTTCTCTCATTCTCACCTGGTTTCGTCGGAGTGGGCAGTTCTTTCTCTTTCAGTACCCTTCTGTCAGCCACCTCATCAACTTCGATGGGCAGAGAACTGAAAGTGATCACGTCCAGAGTGACCGTGCTGGTCGGGACCGTCGTCGTCGTCGTCTTGAATGTCGTCTTCTCCGAACTGTCATCCACGTCTTCCATGCTGTCTTCTTCGATCGTTGCTTGTGAGAAATTGAAAACAGCTCCTTCCAGCGGGGTAATCGGGGAGAAAACAGACGTCTTCTGGATGGGATTCACTTCCAGAGAAGTGTCGTTCGCACTCATTTCTAACATTTCTGTGCTAGTCACGAATGAGTCGGATCTGGAATATTCCGACTTCACGATTACGTAATGGATACTACAGTAATCCCTGCCGCTCACCCTTCATTCATAAACTCTTCTTTTGGCATCTCAACATCTTCCTTTTGAAGCGGTCGGTCGAAAACGTCCTCTGTGTTCTCGTCTTGTGCGGCGCATCCTGCAGTCAACTGATCTCTCGAAAGAACTGTTTGATCTCAAACTCACGTGTCGTTGAGAGTGCGAAGATGAAGAAGAAGAGAAGAAGTGCGTGTATACGCATCGCTGGAAAGCAACTTTTGTATTGGGTAGATGGAAAAAAAGGGAAGGAAGGGTAACGGGAGCGTCTCCGAGACGATATCAAATCGAGAGAAGCGTGCAAAAGCGCGGAAGGGTCAGACGAGACAGGTGATGAGAATTTGGAAAAACAAGAGAGATAGGATTGGAACGAAGGAGAGTATCTGAGAGTGGAATCGAAATGAAAAAAGTTGCCAATGTTCAGCAGGAGAGGGGGTAATCTGTCGGGAAGACAAGGCTGCTTACGTGGTGGCAGGCCAGTCAAAACAAAGCGGCGCGCCGAAGAAATGTGGCGGAGGGAGAGAGTTTTGGAAGTGATTGTTTTATGTCGTATGCAGCTTGTATGCTTATTATTTACACATTGTGTGACCACACACACTGACCGACTGCACACCTCTCGAAACGGCTAATCCGGGCACCGATTCGAGCCTTCTTCCATTATACATTCGGGTGGGGACCGCCCGACAGCCCGACAGAACGACCGAACAATAGTAATGTTAGTGAAAGTTGATAAGTTGAAAGAGGGAAACACTGAACAATGGAGGCATCGTTTACAATTTGGAAAGAGATAGGAGGGATGGCACACTGTAGGAAGGCGTTACATCGACGCCGCTTCATCGCCTTTGTAAAACAAGAGGGAAAAAGGGTACGGACGTATTTAGCCGGACCTCATTTGAACCAAGTTTCAAGGCAAACAAGCGAAAGAATTAGGAAAAGGATTTTCAACACGAGATGCAGCCACCAGATACGTTGGTTTTTGCGAAGATAGAGATCTGAATGGAGAAGGTGCCGGTCCGGGCTTCTCCTTTCTCTTCTTCTCCGTCGTCTGCTTCAGACGATGACACACAACTGCACTTTGCCATCGCGCACCGATTCACTTTCATGCCACGTCATAAAAACACTGCCGGCGAGGTCGTTGATGGAATTCTTACGCAAACTGAGAAAGACACGAGTCGACAGTAAATTGAAATCGCGAGAGAAAGAGAAGAAGGAAGTCGTCGTCCATTTCAGCTGCATCGTAAAAATGTCTCTGAAAGTGTACAAGACCGCAATTAAAAGTGGGAAGGAACGAAGGAAGACGGCATATGATTATGGTCAGCGAGCGGACAGAAGCGGCTGCAATTCGAGGCAGAATGTGTCGTCTTCTCGAACACAATGAGGAGGAAAACAAGACGAGTTCAATCTCATTCTGACGATTGACCCGACCTTTTTTTGTTTTGTTCGCGCCCACTTCCAGATGATGTGTCATCTCGATTCAAGGTTGGAAATGGTGTAAAGTAGTGGCGGAATAAGTGGCATCACAAAAGACGCATCACAAGAAGCCTATTGACTTTTGTGAATCGAGATTCAAACGGAATGCATTCGGAATGACAGCCAACGTAAACGAAAAGATTACCACCGAGTATGTAGTAGTGGTGTTGTAGTACGGAAATGAATTGGAGGAGGGACGGGAAAGAGAAGAAGAAGAAGAAGAAGAAGAAGAAGAAGGGAAGGAGTAAGGGGAAGACATTACTTGAAAGTTAAAGGCTGGAAGAAACGGATTCCGCCTCAACGAATCATCGAAATGCAAACTTGTTCGGAAGCGAAAGAACATGGCAGAGGAGACCGAAATACGCGGAGAGCCGTCGCGCGGATACTTGAGAGGAGCATGAAAATGGGAGGAAAAGACGGAAGGAGGTCAGCACACACGGACATTCCGCGCACTGATTGGCTTGTGATCCGGGCGAACGGAATGAGTGGCACTGATGGAACGAATATCATCTTCGTCTTCTTCTTCTTCTTCTTCTTCTTTCGCTTCCTCTTCTCTAGTTTCGAGTGGAAATTAATGCGAAACGGTTCCCTTTTTAAAAATGGGCGGGATTTTGAAAGTGGAGAGACTCGAGTATCTTTTCGTGTTTTTCGGAAAGGCACTTTTCACAATCGTTCTGGATCTTCACATCTCACGGTTTTCTGCACCTGGGATTCGACGAACTTCAGAAGGTTCAATCAAGTATGGAATGAAGTTAATATTTGAGAAAAAGGGAATAATAAGAGACCTGTGGCCTGCGGTCGAGAGAACGGACGGACGCAGATACAGGAAGCAGATAAACAGGGAAGGAGGAATCGAAACGAAAACAAACGAGAGAAGTAGGTGAGACTGAATTCGTGGAAGTGCCTGATATGGGAAACCGACCGTACGGCAGCGAATGAAGGCGTGAGAAGAGGGAAGATATGGCCGAACTGGTTGATGACCACCAACGATCTTCCGATTGTGCTGCTGTCTGCCATCCGACCGACCGCATACATTAAGTCTCTTTCGTTTAATCATCTCGCAAAACGAACTGTTCTTCCTCTCCTCCTCCTCCTTTTTCTTCAAAGAAAGATCTTCTTCTGTTTGTGATGAATTCACTAGGAAATACGAGGGATCAGACAAAAAAGGTGAATCAGCTGTGGATTGGAACAAGCTGAACAGGGCCAAACTGGTTCTCCGGTTACACCTCGGCTGAAAGTTTTTTGTTTTAAACTTGGGCGAACTGATAAGAAATAAAGAATACTACTGTGGATGAGTGTGAATCACTGAATCTGATGTTGGGATGTACCTTAGAAACGGTAATAGACGGGCACCCAAATATCGTTTGTTCAAGAAGATGTATCTCAGGTGCCTGTAGAGATATCACAATATGGTCAACTGATGAAATATAGACCAATTTTTAAGCTGCTTGTTAGTCTCTACCGGCAAGTGATATATTGTATAGAATGAACGGTAAATTCCAGTAACATTGCGGAAATCATTACTAATGAAATCCCGGGTCGCAAACAAAGTTGAATTCGGACGGAAAGTTTGAAACCACCAAATGGAAACATTTATTTCTTCTTCGTCTTCTTCTTCTTCTTCTTCTTCTCCTACGCCGCAAAAAAAGACTAAAGAAGAGAGTTGGTATCAGTCGAATCATCCGTTCTCCTTTCCCTTTTTCAACCGTCCTCGTCTTCGGACGGCCTTGTTCTTCTCCTCCCGATTGCGCAGTTCGAGTATGTGTCGAGTGTGCATGTTTGCCGATTGAAACGTGTGTATTACTATTATAATAATACCCGAACAAACAAGAGAGTGACCAATGCGAGGGGCGCTCGTTGCAACGGCTTTTCCCCTTTCCCGTTTCCGTTTTCCGTTCACACTTTCAAACTGAACGCCGATATCCTCGTCACTTGTCACTCCTTTTCTGTTTTCGTTCCCTTCAGGTCCAAAGTGTTCAGATATCGGTTGGGCTCTGTGAGAAATTAATCAGACGAATAAGTGCACACAAAGGAATTTTTTGGAAAGTGACTCATAAACTAGTTCATATTAATCATGTTGAGCTAATCAGGAAAGTTGAAGAAGATGAAGACGTCATGAATTGGAGCAGGACTTATTCAACACAATCGGATACTGGAGAGATATTTTCCCCGTAATCCTCTCGGCATCTGGCGACTATCATACCGACAGACCAACTACTTTAAACTGTTCCTTTCGTTTCCTCTGCGCACCTTTCCTCTTCCTCTTCTTCTTCTTGTTCTTCCGCGAAACTCGATACTTTGAATGACCCTAGTGCTACAAAACAACAACAGATTGTCAGCACATTAAAAAGGTCTGGCGTCACATCAATCAGAGGGTAAAACGAGTTGGAGGAGTGCGCGGCAGCTGACTGACTGACTGATCGTCCCTTTATTTCCCTTCTCCCTCTCTCCTATTTCATTAATATTTTAATCTATGTACATGCCTGTTTTAGCCCTTCTTCTAATTTGCTGGAGGCGGACCGGCCGGAATATGAAATGAAGGGCGAGGCGTGGCGACATACGGAGGACAGCTCCTATCAGATGTGCCCATCTGACGAGTTCCTCCCGGTTCGGGGTCACTCCGAATGCTCCGATTGCTCACACTTTGTACTATTGTTCTTCAAAAGTGCGACGACGCTTTCGGAATTCGTTAGCCACAAATTCGTGGCCTCACTAATACCTGCACTTTTGTGACACACATGCGAAATGAGCTGCCGCATACAAATTCCGTGGATCTGAGTGTGACTCGGCCCCCTTCTGTCCCCGAGTATTTTTCCAATTTCCATCTTAAATCAGGCCACTCACACGTCTCATCTCGCATTCCGTACGTATCTTTTTGCTCGTCAGATGGGTCACCCCTTCATTATTATATGTCTATTAAACTAATTATCTGCTCGCCCGCCCGTCTTTCCGTCCTCCTTCTCAGCCTCTCGCTTGCTTTGATAACTCGATTCTCTCTTCGCATTACAAGCATTTTGTCACTCACTTTCCAGATGACTAAACTACTGTAGCGTGGCGACGGCGAGAGAGTGGGCGAGAGGAAGAGACGCAGACACACTTGCGCCATTATACACTGCCGGATAATAAGCGAGCGAATTCGAGCGATTTCGCCCCGTTTTTCCCATCCTTCTGTCGACCATTTTATGCGCTTCGCCACGTCATAAAAGTGTATAGAAACAGTGATTCCGATCGGTCACTTCCTTATCATTGTTTATCAGTGTGTCCGCGAATGCAATTCATTTCCCTCTCCGGACATTCGAGCTGCACTCTTCGGAGCGCTCTCTAAAGACTTTTATTCTATTTCGATTGGAGAGGCACTCTTGATTGCTCCTCGCCCAACGTGGCAGGAAATGTCATCCGCGCCGTCCCGATATTACATTTTCATGCAAATTGAGTCTCTTTCTCTCTCTCTCTTCCTTTTCTGAATGTTCGCTTGTTTGCATTGCCACGTCATCTGGCTGGGAGCCCCTGGGCACGAAACTCTTGGAAGAAGGCGTTGAAATGGAAAAGGAAGGAAAATGGAAGAGACCGCGCATCATCATCACGCGTGATGCGTACAACTTTGACGAGTCTGGCCGCCGTTTTCGCGCCGATTCGCAACTTTTTATTTTGAACGGCTTGTCCCCGTTGACCAGTTGAATAGACCGCCGAATGCCCGTTTCGAGGCGAACACTCGCAGATTAGTTGAATGTTCGACCGGACATTTCAAAGTTAACTTCACTCCCAAATATCGTACTCCTTCCGTTTGCCCCTTAACTCCATCTGTGGTCGTTTAATTTCGAAACGGAACGGAATCAGAAACTCAGAAGCGCCAGAGCAATTCAATTCGTCTTCATTTCCATTTGTATTTCGAATTCCACACTGCTCGGCACCACCACCACCACCACCACAAATCGGAAATTATGCCGAACTCCGTTTGTGTCCGTTGCAATTCTCTCCAATTTCTGGGGGCCGAGTAATCCAATTGAATGCTCACGACTCCCCACGGACCCTTCTGTGTTTGGAACGTGAGCCCGCACAAAAGTACACACGTCCAGCAGCTGTTCCTCACAATTTTATGGGCGCTCCACACTGCGACGACATGTCACATCGTCTTCCGATTGTTGTATAATAATTGTGGAGGGGACGGGGAAGGCCTCTCCCACTTCAATTATCCTTGTTCACTGGCCGTTCGTTCCGACACTAAACGCATTGTCCCGAGCAGTAATGAACGAGGGCGAGGGAAACGAACTAACTGACGCCTCGTACTTCTTCTCACTTATGGCTTCTTCTCCTTCTCCCGAATTCCGCCGTCCTGCTCCCTTTTCACACTCGTTTTTGGTATTCTTTTGTGCGCCGCTCGTGTCCTCCCCTCTGCCCCTGCTCAACTGCTCCTTTTCTTCCGTCCACCCTTCCCTTTCCCCTTTTTCGCTCCAAAGTTCCTCGCCTAATGAACTCAATCGTGTTCTTATTTCTTCGTCTTTTCCCTTCTTTAGCCCAATCTTTTTACTTTTCTGCAAAAATCCAGTAGCCCTGCTTTTTCTTCTGCTTCTTCTCTCGCTTCTAATGACTCCCTTCCCATAACTAACCTAATTCCTTAGCAAGTTCCTATTCTTTCGCTTCTTCTTCTCACAACTAATCTACATATTCATTGGACGCCGCGAAAACTTGTTGCCACGTCGTTATGCACGGTCTGCTGGGTCCGCTGAACAATAATTCGCGCATTAGGAAGCGACCCGTTACGTACAATCAAACGCGCAGTGTGCGGTGGCTCCGGCACCCGTTGCCAAGTCTTCAAGTTGTGCTACTTTGCTCCGTCTGACTGGCTGGCCCATCTCGCCTTCTCAATGTAATTGTCGTCTTCTTCTTCTTCTTCTTCTTCTTCTGGCCGTCCGTTAACGCCAAAACATCGCTCCCTTCTTCGCCTTCTCCGTTCCTTTGCTGCCACGTCACGGAACCTGGTCTTCGTACTCTTTTGAGTGCTTCTCCCGGCTTAATGGCTTTTCAAACGGACCCCTCTCTCTCTCTCTCTCTCTCTCTCTCTCTTTCTCTCTCTTTTTCTCTCTCTTTCTCCTTCCCTCTTTCTCGTTCGTTCGCAACATGTTCGGTTGATACTCGAGGGATAAGCCGGAGTCCTTTCCGCTGCTCACATTTAATTAGTCCTCCCTTCGTACCTTGTTGATCGCCTTTCCAAATGACTCACGCCCCTCCCTGCTTACTACATTTCCGATTTCCAGCTGCGGCCCTCCTCCTACAACACAACAGTTTTGTTTTCCCTTTTGTACAGCTGGCCGCCTCACAGCTACTCTCTCATATTGTACGACTGAAGTTTTGCGGTGATCGGGAGAGTCTTCTCGGGAACGCTGTCACTATCAAATGCACGAGAGCGGCAGACGCTCGTCACATCATCCGTCATCTTCAGATTCCCACGTTCTAATTGGGCCCACCACACACGGCTGCAGTTCCACTTCCGCTTTTGACTCTGAATTCTGAATTCTGAATTGTGCATTTCGAATTCCACATCTCATTCTGTTCGACTTGCCCTTCAATTTGATCCTATTTTCGTTCTAGCGCATTGCCCATATCAATTTCCAGTCTGCTCATCTCTTTTTCTGCTCCCCGCGTGCCCCCCCTCCTTCTGAATATTCTGCCGAGTTTGCGTGTCCTCTTGTCGCTGCCGCGATTCCTTTTCTGCTCACAGCTCGGCCACCTTGACTCATCTCGGAATGAATTCTGTCAGAAGCCGACCGACGTCGTTGTTTATGACGAGAGTTCGCTTCTTCGTGACGGCGCGCTCCGTGTTTGTCGCCTGCACTCCAGGGGAGCAGTTTCTCTGCGTCTCTCCGTTCCCCACACTCACCTTGTTTACCTCGAGTTTTTGATTGTGTCTCTGGACGGATGGACTGAAGCGAGGAGAGATCTACTGAAAAACAATTGCCGCTCACAGGAACTTTCACCCTTTTCGTACTCGTTTTTTCCCTCTTTCTACTTCTTTCTCTCTTCTTCTCCTCAAATCGTTCGTTTTCAGATATGAGTCAAGATGAGGAGACTCATCACATATTCGTCAGTGCTCCCCCTCCGATTCCGGAGTCGTCTTTGCTGAAAATGACGTCGTCAGAAGGGCAGGTGAGAGATGAACGAGAAGAAGAGAGTGACAAACAGGAGTATCGGTTTCAGCCGCGAAGACTCGAGAAGGAGCCGCTGATCGACGAGGGAAACGAGATGATCGACGAGTCGCGAGCCACCTACTGGAAAGGATGCGAGTTTCTGAAGGCGTCCGGACTGTGCTCCAGTAAATGTAAGCGTCCTTTCTCATCAGAATCGTCCTCTTTAATCAAAACCTGTTCAATGGAAAGGCTTTAAAAACGTCGAAACCTTTTCCATCACTTCCGACGGATTCCAGCTGTGCCCCTTCTTCTTCCCTTTTTCCCACCTCAAATCACTTCAAATGCTGTCGTGTTCAGTGTCTCTCCAGTCCGCCTCGGCCAATATGTGCCGTATCTGTCACACTTCCACTTCCACCCGTTCCAATCCACTCATCTCTCCGTGCCGCTGCTCCGGAACCCTGCTCTTTGTGCACAAAGCGTGTGTAGTGGTAAGAAAACGTAAAAAGACGCGGAAGTGAAATGGAAAGGGGATTGCAGAGATGGCTGGAGATGTCCACGAGAAAGATGGTGCCGTCGCCGCGCTGCGAACTGTGCGGATACGATTACAGAAGAGGCAACGTCTTCCAGATGAGGTCGATCCACGTGCCTCACGTCGACCGCAGCTCGTGCGTCCTCAACATTCTCTTCCTTTTCACCGTCTTCATCATGATCTTCTGCGGATATTTCACAATTCAATTCATCCAGGAGAATGCTCTTCTCAAGCGGAGGTCCCCATTTCCGGCCCCCGCTCGTCTCCCTATCCCTCTTATTTTCAGATTGTTCGCCCACAGCTCAGCCAACTCTGCGTACACGTGGAAACGGAGAGGATACTTCAACGGCAACGGGGCGAACGGAGACACGGATTCCTCCGACGGCTACTTCTCGCGGACGCCCGTTTCTTCGCTGTTCGACTTCAAAGTCGTCTCGTGTGCTTCCATGTTCCTTCTCTCCTTTATCGTCGCCCTTTTCACTCAATATCGGTAATTCTTTTTCGGCGCAATGAGTCCATTTCATTTCACTTGCTTCCATTTAATATCGTACGTTTGCAGAGCCGAATGCACAATATTCCGATGCATTTTCCGATTCTTCGTCATAAATCAGAATTGGATGATCAAGAATTACGACATAAAGTGAGCCGCCCGTTCGTCCCATTTCCATTCTGACAATTCCAGAAATGATCCCGAAATGGCGCACCGCCGTCCGAAGCCGTCCTCGGTCCCACCGGTCGCCCTCTCCGCTTCGGATATGTGTCTCCACGTGTCTTCCTAGTCCTCCATTCCCGTTCCTTTCTTACTTTTCTCCCGGGTGTCTTCTCCTTCTCCGACTTTTTCTTCTTGTCCGATCTTTTCTCGTTACCTCTCTTCTCGTTTTACATTTTCTCAGGACCGCACAAAGTGCCTCTCGCACGTGTGGTGAGACCAAGAAACATTTCAATTTTTCTCGCGTCCAACATAAATTGTGCATATTTACTCTTCATTGAGGCATAAACAAAACATAAAACCGCGTAGAGTGAAGCAGTTGCGTGCACATTTTGATATCATAAAACATAGTGATTCTACGAATTTTCGACTAACTGACGGGGAGTACCATCGTCGAGAGTGGGCCGAGTCTAAATGGAAAGGAATGTTCAAATTCACAAAGGAATGGTCAAAAGCCATTATTGGGGGATTATAAAAAAATTATAAGGGGGAATAAAACAAGAAACGATGAGGAATATGATAAAAATTCGATGGTGGGTGGCCCGGGGACATAAAACATACAAGAAAAAGACAAAATGGAATGTGGGGACGGGCAATAACTATTTGACAGAAAAGCAAGTGCAATAAAAGAAAATTATCGTACAGAGCTGGTCCGTTCAGATGCCAATAAGGTGTTCTAGGGACATCTGATGATGCGAAGCCTGCTTCGCTTCGTTCGGCAACTGGTTGCCCGAGTTGTTCGAGCCCCACGACTTCGTGTCGGAAGGGCGGAACTCGCTGAGTAGCGACGAATGATCCATATGAAGCTTGGCTCCAGCAGTCACGTGTGGAGACAACAGGCCGAAGTCGGATAGATCTCCGACAATGTGAGCAATCGATGGGACAGAAGAATGGCGACACATTGGGTAATCCTGAAGACGCTACTGAATACTCACAATATCATCCATAGTTACCGGGAACACAAATTCTTTCTTATCAGTGTTTGCATTGGCCGAATGCGAATTCGACGGCAGGCGACTATTGTTGATGTCCTCGTAGTTCTGTATCTTCTGTTCCATTAGAATTTTGCTGCCGTTGTTGTTCAGTGGATACTGTTTCGTCTCGACCGATGTCAACTGTCCGGTCGGCTGTTTGTTCTCACTGCTGAAAACCTCATCCTCCGTCTCACTGAACTCTGTCGGCTTCGATCTGATCGGAGAGAACTGAGGACTGACGAACTGAGCAGTTGACAGTGATCCACTCTCGGCACGAAGACGTTTGACTGGAGACCACGGAGCCGGCTCATCGTTCACCGAGTTATCGTACAGACTGCACTGCTGTCCGACCACCGGGTTGATCCGTAAGTTGCCAGTGGAGACAATCATATCGGATAGCTCTTCATTGGTCATGTCACGGCGAATCTGAGAGAGATTGGAGGCATTCTCGTTGGAGGTTCCGAGGTGTTTGGTTATGAAGGAACAGTTGTTCGTGTCGATCGGCGATAGGCCAGCGAACGCCGACTGAGGAACGCGCATGTGACTGTAAGCAAGAACGGCCGGATCATGGGGCGATGGGATCCTGTCGCCATGGCTTTGCACTGAAAAACGATAAAATTGATTGAGAAAACACGGTGATCGATACTCGAAGGCATGAAATGGACGGGCGACGAGGTTCTTGGATACTGCTCGTAGAAAAGCGACGGATTGATGACCGACAGATTAGGACGCTTCTTTCTCAGCGCTTGTTCGTGTTGCAGCTCAGCTTGAGCAATTTCTGCGAAGAACTGCTGTGGTGTCATCGAAACGTCCGAGCGCAACGGCGGTGGTGGCACAGCCGGTTCATTTGGCTTCCAGTTGCCTTCCACTTCATTTCTCTTGATCTGCAACTCCATTTTCCACGTAGGCGGAGCTGTCTTTGCCATTTCTCTGGATGAACCGGAACGACATCTCGGCTCGCCTTTCTGCGAATCACATTCTCTGAAACAAGAGGAGAATTATTCACAATATGAAAAAATTACGACTTTGGGCCCTCTTGACAGTTCGCGAACGGAGGTGGAGGAGTATTTGCGCGCAAAACAGCGAGACCGTCGAATCTTAAAGAGAAAAATGTGATTAATTGTAGCTATAAGATTCTCTAACCGTCTGGCTCCCTCAGTGTAGTCGTCGAAATGGAAGTTATCGGTGCGGAGGCTGGCGTACTGTGGAACCGGATGGTTGTCAAATTTTTCTAATCCAGCGTACGTTTCGTTGGGAAAAACATTCCTGTTGTATTCAGAACAACGTCTTTCCGATGAACCGGATGAGTTACGGTATCCACGACAGTTTCTGTGCGTGTTGATGTTTGTATCAGTAGGTTGGACAAAGGAAGCTGGAGACAACCGTTCCTGGACCGATGCTGGTCGCCGATGATGTGGGTGCCCGTGGGTCGTGTATCTCTCCCACATGTTGGCAAGTTTCTCCGTGTTGGCATGCGAACTTTCTCTCAATGGACGAATGTGCAGTTGTCGACCGTGAAGATAAGATCCTTGAAACTCCACGAGCACTTTATAGAGGCCTTGCACTGACCTGAAAAAAACAACACAATAGTAAGAAAAGTTATCAAAATTCTTACTTGAAAACGACTAACGCGTGGCGTACGGCTCCGTTGCGCACAATAACCTTCTCGACGTGAGCAACTCGATTGAACACTTCGAAAAGTTCTATGTCCGAGATAGTCGGCTGAAGACCCGACACATACGCAGTTCGGTCGCACCGATCGGCTTGACCGTTCATACCTGGAAAGAGTTTGATTTCTCCGAAAATGACGCAACTTCTCAGAAAGAATTACAAAATTTCAGAATAAATATAATTTACTTTAAAGGAAATTATACACCTTGAATTCTAAAAAAACAACACTTTTTAAGGCAAAAATGGATATGAGCGATTTTTTGCAATATTTTCGAAAGTCGAAAACAACCGCCCTTTTTTAAATTCCACAGTAATCATTCCGTGCGTTGCGAGACCACGACGAGAAATTTGTGCGCACTCCTTTAAGCTTGTTCCAATGAGGCTACGCCGAGCCAGAACTGTTCCGAATTAGAACCTATCTTCTTCATGTATCTGAGCGCGGAAGCGGCTTCGCCGTTTGTTTCATTCTCAAAATGGTGGAAAAATTCACGTGTATATTTCCTAAGTTCTCCGTTACAACTTTTTCGGTTTAGAAATAAAAAAAATGGAAAAAAATGGTATAATCGTGAACACTTTAATTTATTGTTTGCACTTTCTTAGCAAAACATACAATATGAAAAACAATATTATATTATAGGGGCACCGCACAGAAATGGCGCTCTGTTGAGAAACTCTTTTTGCAGTGCAAATTGAGCGACCTCGGGGCAGAGTTTGAAAAGTTAGGCCACGTTTTCAGTGGAAAATTACTTCGCGGCCTAGAAATTCTGCTAGATTGCGAACAGCGCGCCCTTTCTATCCGGTGCCCCTATAATAAAAGTCTTCGGTACAATTGACATGAATTATGGGGTTATTCAGGCTGTGAAAAAATGACTGTTTTCCGTTTTTTTACGTCAAAAAATCCAATTCAGCGATGTAAAAAAAACGAAAAAAATGGAAAACAAACATACGCTGAATAGCCCCATTAGATAAACTTTGAAGAACTCTGCTTTCTATCCGACCTCCAATCCGGGAATTGACTTAACATCTTTGAGCATGACTGGAAAAGTACATACTATATTAGAATTTAACAAAGAGAAAACTTACGCTTGGCATCAACATCATCAGCGTGAAATATAGAAAAAATGTGGAGGGAATATCTTTCTACCTTTGAAAATGTTGTACGACTTGACTGGTGTGCAATTTATACCAAGAGTCGAAAAATGTTTCCACTTCCATGTCGCTCACGAAGGTATACTTTATAGACCATGCCAGACGGTCTCCTAACACAATCCTTGTCAGGAAAGCCTTCCGAGCCTTTTTCAGAGCACTCTCAAGATCATGCCAGACGGTGCAAATATCATGTTTCGACGACCTTATATACCTTCGTGAGCGTGGCTTTCCGCCAGGGCAGACCTTGTGGGCAGGGCAAAAATGGCTGGACAAACGGAGAAAGAAAGAAATAAACGGACAGTTTTCATAAGCTTTTTATTAAATCACGTATTTATTTATTAATTTTTTTCTTGGTTTGTCCGCACACGTTTTCATTTCTAAAACGGAAAAAGTTGTGACGGAGAAATTAAGAAATGAACACGTGAACTTTCGAACAGTTATATGAAAATTCGATAGAAGAAAATAACTCAGCGCAGCCGACCCATGCGTGGCGCCACGTTGATGTCTTGTTGTACAAGAAACCCATAAATATACCGTAACTTTCGAATAAAAAAAACATAATACAACAGAAACTAAATGTTAAAGACTGAACTAAAAAGAATTGAAATAAATTATTAACGGCGAACAAGTCCTGGCATATTTCCCCAGACAATCTGCTCGTTCTCAACCTCCAAATCATCTTTCATCATCAATTCGACCTAAAATTCAGATTATTTCCGTGATCGACAGGGAATCGGCTACACAAATGAGCGCTTCGTCGTGGAATTCTCTCCGGAACACTTCCAATATCTGAGCGCCTGCCAGCTCTTCCGTCTCCACGTGCGGCAACAATTGCACTTTCTTGAATCCAGTTTCTGTGAATTCTATCGTTTTCCTATCATTTCATTTCTCCACTCACTTATTTTCGTTTGCAATTTTTTCTCTTTCTGGATGATCTCATCAAAATTCAGTGAGCTCTTCGGCACGTTCTCTTCTTCAATTGTTTTTGATACTTTCCACGCATTCGCAGGCAATGTAGGTTTTAAAATCTGATTGGCATTGACGAAACGAGTCCCTTTCGGAACGAATCGACCGCCCGGACACTTGGCCTTGTTGGGAGTCCACGAAGAAGAAGGAGAAGGCGGCGAAGAAGAGGCGCCCATCACGGGAAAGTCCTCCAGTGAATTCGAGATACTATTAGTTCTATTCTGCTTGGGAACTGGGATACTTTTTGTCATGGGAGACATCGAAAAGGCCAAAGGGGACTGAATCGGACTTCCGATTGAGCTGGTCAAGCTTCCACTTTTCGTATTGTCTCTTATCGGAATCTGTAACATTTAGCCTTTCTCTCAAAATTTTCCTTATCTGACTTACTGGAGAAGAGCTAGCAGCTATCCCGGAGGGCGCGGGTCGGTACGTTCGACTGTTGTTCCTACTCCGCACCGCCTTTTTTCTGTCTTTTCTCCGCATCGCTTCGGTCATTGCGGCATCCAAACTGCACCCGAACTCATCACGAATCGATCGCCAAACGACGTCTTCGGAGTCTTGGTCCAAGTCAATGAAATATCGAACAATGTCGGATGAGTCATAGTTGCTAAGACTGCCGACGTTTGGGATTGGTTTGCAGTCTTTCCTTCGCTCGACAAATCTGAGAGAAGCATTGAATTGAAGGAAAAACGAAAAAAGAGGAGAACTCACTGAGTCAGAAGTTCTTTCGGGGGAAACGCCGAAGAAATCGAATTGAAAAGGAGGTATGGTCTTTCGAGAAGTCCTTCGAGAACTTGGTTCCCAAATGAAAAGAAGAGTTCATAGAGGAAAGGAAGGGTGAAGTCAGTGACTGTCTCCATGAGCACGTGCATCGAATCACTGAACAATTCGTCCATCAGATGATAATCGTAGAAATTGATACACTCGATCAGCTAAACATTCGGGCATCAGACACTTCTTCTTTTTTTTCTGTTTCATTCTCACCTCGATCGTTTTTATATCGTAAAGAGTGGCTGGATTGAGCATTCCACGCATTGCTCTCCGCACGGTTTCCTCCGTCGCATTCGCTGTCACTTCCACTGACTCTTCCGCCACTTCCTCTTGTTGATAATCCCCGTAAATCGGAATTTTATTTGTATTGAATCTCTGCATGGCTCCGATTTGACGCGAATGCAGAAGGAGAAGGTATTTGTGGCACGGAACGCGTGCTCCGTCGGAAGTGGTCAGCCACCATATCATGCTCGGATCGGTTCCTTCGGGCACGAATTCTTTGTTGGGATCAGTTGGGGCGGGCAGGGAGCGAGGGTTCACAAGATCCACGTTCAACAAGTAAGCGTTCAAAAATATTTCTTCATTTTTCAAAATTCCTTTCATTGGAACCTACAATATCAGAGTTTTCTTTCAGCTTTTCCGTGACTAATTACCGGAGGAAAGTGAAACTCGTTGTCGCGAATCAAGTGTTTCACTTCTGGAAACATCATTTCGAAGACCAGCCGGTTTGTCCGATACTCAATGGTTTCTGTGTCAAACGAGTGGAAACACACCTGAAATTCTGTCATTAACTAGGTCCCTCCAACATTAAACACCGCCAAATCATCGGGAATGTCCACTGGATCGCATTGCCTTTTTCGATTCACAAATATCAAATGAGTTCGGAGAGACTGAAACAAATACGAGCGATTCGAGCTCAAGTCTTCCACTTGGTGACTCCTCTGAATTGAAGCAACGATTTAAAGTTTAAAATAGACGGTTCGCCACCAGCATAATCAGGTTGTTTCCATCTGGAGAAGCAGCAAAGAACTCGGTTCCAATAGAGCCGGGAACCTCTTCCATCAGAGCGATCAGGGTGTATTTTGTGTCGAAGTGCTCCATTACTGTTCCGTTTTTCACTGTGAAACCGTCATCGAGATTTTTCCAAAACTCCAATTTTCCTTTCAGTAATCCATTTTTCGATGCGTAAACGGTTGCGTCGGTGAGCACTTGAAAACTTTCGAAATGGGCGCTAATGAGGTTCCCGTTCACAATCAGAGCAATCTCTTTCCGGGCATTGAATTGGGGACTACGATCCCAGTACAAGCTTCCTTCAATTAGGCTCAAATAGATCTGGAGACAGGGAATAAAAAAGGGAGCAAAGAAATGAGCTCACTTTCATAGTGCTCTTTTCGAACGGAACATTGGCCATTTGGTATGTGACCGGAGGGAAGCAAACTTTTTTCAATGGAATACGGCAATTCGAGGAGACAGGAACCGACGGGATGTCACACTTTCCAACGAAATGCCACTGGAAAGACAGTCAAATCACCTAGGGAAAACCGCGACACTCACAATATCGTCAATCAGAAACTGCGATCCGCCCTCTATCACCCGTATCTCTGTGATCTTCGCGTCCTCGGCCACTCTGGGTACTTGGATGAGTGTGGGAAGTGCCACGTATCCTCCGTCCGCGTGCTCGGCCAGCTCCGGAAGGAATGACGATGCCTTTCCGCACCCGAACAGCCGGTTGTCTACAGTCAAAAACACCGTGTGCGTGTTGGTCATTTCGATTTTTGTGACCGGAGGAACACAAACAAGACGGGGCTCTTCGACCGGACTGCCGTCGGAAATGACTCCAAGATTGAAGAAGCGATTCGTTCCGACGGCGATCACGTGGTGACGACGCTCTGAATATAATCCAATTCTGCGAGTGGACAGAAGAGCGAACACGTACGTGGCTTCTGAAGAACATTTCCCTCGAAAACACTCTGTCCAAAGAATAGAAGTCGTCGTGGAAACATTGAATCTTTGAAGCTGTGAAACTGGAAGGACAGGTACATTCGGCAGAGAAGGGAGCAGTTTTGCAGCTGTAAAGATCGAGGAATCGGATCGAAGTTTTGGGGAGAATTCGAACCTGTGCCTGAATGAGTTTCCTTTTGTAGACACTAGAATGTCGGATGTAGTTGGCCATGGCCTGGCATGCTTCTTGAATTGTGTCATCATCTTCTGAACTCATAAATTCTGAATGAAACGTGTCCTAATTATAACTTGCCCTCTTTGATAATCCTGTCAAAAAGAACTACAGCATGGGTCGGTTCAGTCGACAAAAATGCCTTCAAATCCACTACTTGACGCATTTTCAGCGATGGAAAAGCCATGAAAGTTGGCGCGAGAAAACGGGGGACTAGGAGCGGACACTCGGCCGCGGTGAGAGAGAGAGAGAGAATCGAGGGGCGCAAGAGAAAATGACGAGACGAAATTCGGGGCAAGCCAGAACCCGTCACAACATGACTTTTGGAACAAGATCCACCTGCATTTAGGTGCTGATTCGGGACAGTTTTGGCTCGGCGTAGGCTCATTGGAACACGCTTATAGGAGTCTTGAAGGGACGATTTTGAAGATATGGAAGACGAACCAGATGACCGCATCGACTACGTACTCGTAGATTTCTCAGTTCTTCTCCAGAGCCTTCTTTTCTGTAGATCTTGCTCAAGCACGGATGTGCACTTCCAAATGCATAAACCAAATGGGTTACACATTACCGTATGTAGTCGCGTCGAATAAAAACAAAACTGGCAAGAGTTTCAGATTTCGGTTCAGTGCCAGAAATGCCTGAGAAACTTCAGTTGTCGAAGCTCGCGACACGGTCGAGATTGCAATTCCTTCCAGATCAACCGCGACATATCTTCGGATTCTGGATATTAAGTTTATTCAAATTTTCAAATTTTTGATACTCTGTGAGAATGATTGTTAACAGTAGTACTTTAAGTACGGGATGGGGTAACATTAACATGCACATGCGATGCAGAGGTTCAAGGGAAAAACAACATGAATTGGGTTGACAGTGAAAAGACCGAGTTTGGAATGTAAAACGAATGTTATTTGTTGAAAGTACTGGGTATCTGGGTCCTTTTATTGCTGTGCACTCTGCTTCGACTTGATCTCCGCACTTATTTTGTCGCGGTGAGCCTCCAGGAAATTGATCACATTGAATGTGATAGTCTAGAAACGATGATAAGCTGGAGCGAAAAAACTTGATTATCACCTTAACGATCTCGGCTATTTGGTGAATAACTGGCGAGTCCTTGTCGAGAACTTCGTATTTTATCAAGGCGGCCTCTATCTTCTTGTTGATAAAGTGACGACGATTATAAATGGCCTTTCTGACAGTTTGCGGTTTCTAAAAAGAATCAATTCAGTGGAAGACCAAACAAAATGGAGCTACCTTGTGAAGCGCAGTGGCAAGACGGTTAGCCTCATCCCACGTGTCCTGGTTAGTCCAAATCGAGTAGGGCTCCGATTCGACCGCGTACTGCAAACTGATTTTGTTGAAATGTTCAGGTGATAAACTCACTCTTATCGACTCGCGGAGAAGCTCCTCGCTTGCCCCGAGACACGAGGTCGAGCTGTTTCTCTGCCGACGAACGCCCGGCTTATCAGCTTTCGAGTTAGCTGAAAAACACTAAATTTGTTCAAAAACATCTGAAAAACTAACATTTCATGGTTAGTACAAGACGAGTTGAGTCGAAGGTTTGCCCAGCTGCTCTAGTTTTGCTGAAAATTAAAAGAAAAACATAAAAAAAGCTCGAACATTGAAATTGCGCATAAGCAGAAATTTAGGCCCAAAATTTGTTCGAAATTAGGTCGGGAAAACAAACAACAAGTGTAAACAAATTTGAATTTCGTCCGCAATTGCGCGACTCGAACTGCGGACTCGGTTTGCGTACCGTACCACCGTGCTAAAATCGCAAAATTCTTGGGAAAAGCTCTAAAAACAAGTAGAAAAAGTGCATTGAAAAATTTTAATAAAAAAAACAATTATTGGAACGGGAAAGGCCGGTCCGTCTCCTCCTGGGGAGCACGCAGGTACGTCTCTGTAGTCTTCTCCATCCTCTTCGTTCTCGCCTCGAAGAATCGCTGTTCGTCCGCATCTTTCCGTTCGCTGATCTCGTCGAAGTTTTTCGCATCTTCGATGACAGTGAGCGCTTGCAGTTTCTGAAAAAGAGTGAATTACAGTACGGCTTCATTTCATACCTGCTGGACCTTCTTTTTCTTTGTCACAATCTCATTTTTAACATCCGCGATTTTCTTCACATTTGTTCCGATCCGCTCTACTGCACTTTCCATCTGTTTTCTGATCAGCGCTTTCATCCGATGATTCTGAAAACTATGACTTGAGAAAGACAAACGAAAACCTACGATGAGCACGTCGGCTTTCAGTGACACGTGGCATCTTTGCGCGCGATCGGCATATAAACAGTCGGAGCAAACACGATACTTCTTGATCCGATCAATATCGGCATCGGCCGCGCCCTCCACTTCCGTTGTTGGTGTCTCGTTGATACATGTTCCGCAAATCAGGATTCTGAAATTGAGAATATATATTTTGTTACTGACTTCAATTCCAATTCCAGGACTTCCTGAACAAGTTTCAAGGCGTCATCAGGCTTCTTTCCGAGGCAATGCACTCTTCTGATGGCCCAGATGATTCTCGTACGACGATCCCTTCCTCTCTCGACGTTGTCTTCCATCACGAGCCTATGAGTTTCCTGAAACAAAAACTGAGGACTGATCAGAAGATGCTCGGAGATTGATGCCGTTTGAGCACAAATCGCCTCCTTTCCTGTTTGGCTCGTAAGCGACGACGATGGTGGCGAAGTCTGAGAGTAAACAGAATCCTCGGGTTCGACGAAGACTTCCTGTTATGACAAGAGGTCCCTTTTGTAATTAATGGACCCAGACAAACTGTGCAAACACTTGCCGGAAGGTGTACAAAACACACCGCAAAGTGCATATAATCCCCCCGATCGTCCTAATGAAAACCGAAAAGAGAGAAGCCGTCGCTGTTGGAAACCGCTATTCACTTTGTTGAACTTTTTCATTAAATTGCAAAAATTTGCAGTGGTGAAGTTCGAGTTGAATGGGCCGAATGAGAGAAGTGGGAGGTAATGGAACGAGATGAGTATCTGCTGGATTGGCACCCGTCGGTGGCCGTGTTGTATGCGTAGGTACACAATAACCCTGGTTCCGCCCGGTTCATTATACTCCTTTGTGCATCGGACACTCGATTCGGTGGGCCCCTCCTACCGTAGTAGTAGTGGCATTCCCTCCTCGTATAACCGAAACTGATACTCGTCTCTAGGCGAGTCTTGTCTGCGTTCTCGATGCTTCCAGTCATTCTACTTGTTATGGTACACTTACATTCCCTTCTTTATCTGACACCATAACTCTCCAATTTTAGTTAAAAGGGGTATCCACTTTTCAATTAGACAATGAAATCGTGGGTGATCCGAAATTCGAGTGCAATCCGGACAGCATCAGCTTCTCGTTCAACACCAGAAACGCATTCAAGTCTGTTCTTTCTTTCCGAGAGCTCCCCCGATCTTTTCGTTTCAGAGGCAACGTCTACATCCGCGGCTTCTACGGTTCGCCCTCTTGTCGTCGTCGTTACGATGTCCCCTCGCAGGGCGGTTCCCTCTCGATTCGTTTGGGAGACTGCGGAATGAGACGGTCGCGGCAGATCAGCGGAATTCTTCCGCGCGGAGTCAACCAGCACATCACCTTCGTCGCCAACTTCCATCCGCTTTTCTCGACCAAAGAGGACCGAGCATTCAGTATTCGTTGCTTTTACGCGCACAGTGAGTCTGTGGTGAAGGCGGACATGGCGGTGAAGTGAGTGCCATTTCTGTTAATCTTATGATTGTTCTGTTAATTTTCTGATTTGTTGCAGTGGCGTGCCGGAAGAGTCCGTCGAGAAGGGCATTACTGTGGTCCCTACGTGCACTTATTCTCTGAGAGAAGGCACTTATGAAGGTCCGAAAGTGATGAATACGAGAGTCGGAATGACAATCGTCCACAGATGGGACTGTGACACTGTCGGCAACTATGGAATTCTGGTCCGAGGATGCTCGATCATTGACTCTCGAGGCGTCGAATCCGTGCCGCTTCTCGATGAGAACGGGTGAGTTTGTTGTTTGCCAAAACACCCACAACCCTGGCCCTTCGTCCTTCAGATGCTCCGTCTCCCGCGACTTTCCCCAAGTAGTCTATCTCCCTTCCCTCACTTCTGCCTACATGGCCGTCGAAGCCATCTCTTTCCCCGATCAACCATCCGTTTCTTTCGCGTGCCAGATAAAACTGTGCGACAAAACGAGCGATGAATGTCTAGGAATGAGTCCTCCCGCGTGCACTCCGCTCACTCAGATGCCCGTTTCCGGACAGATTCCTATGCCGCTTGACAACACGATCGGGAACACTTTCGGTGGGCATTTCAGAGATCTCGCAAATGGATCAAAGTGCTGAGTTCAGATGGAATTCCGATGGAACCGTTGGAGCCGTGGATGAAAGAGCCGATGCCTCCGGTGGATGAGAATGTGACTGTGATATCGGAAGGAGAGCCGATGCCCCGATTGATATCCGATGAGGAACAATATCAAATCGAATCGAATCACGTCGGAAGGGAAATACGCGAGAAACGGTTCGCCCTCAGACTTTTCAACGTTTCCTCCGAGGATCTGTTCATTGAACCGTCCGAGGAACCCAGGAAGTTAGAGACTCCGGGAGCCCCCCGCGAGCCATCTGCTCTTTCGAAAACCTGCGTCTCCATTGAAACCTTCTATCTCTCGGCTCTCGCCGTTCTGCTCGTCTTCCTTCTTTCCATCGGAATGGTCTGCTTCTTCGGCGGACACATTCTGAAAAAGTAAGCGAACTGTCGACAGTTGTTCTTTACTACCACGTCATTCCTCCCATTTTACAGAAACAAACATGACTACGCAGCCAGAATGTCTGTGCCAGAAGCGTATTACGTCAGCAAATTCTGATAACCTTCCTATTTCGTTTTTCGTTTTGTCTGTGCCATAATTCTTGCATACTGTTGTGTATTTTCTTTATTATAAACATACATAATAAGCAATTCAACCCGTCGCAAGTGTGCTATCAGAAGAACCAGGCGTGGAAAGTGACCGTCCCGTTATCAAATGGAGTCGGCTGCAACACGAAAAGAGGATTAGGCGGTACCGAGTGCTCCGCTCACCTCAGGCTCCTCGTACTTCAGATCCATGCGGGCGAGTCGCTCGTTCTCGTGCACTTTTTCCACCTTCTCGCTGTTTGTCGAGTTCTCGTCGACGGCATCCGCGACCACGACGTCCGGCGCAACGACAGCTTCCGCTTCTTCCACGTGTTTGTATTCCGGCTCTTGCCGATCCCATCGACTCATTTCCTGCGTTGGCGCCACTTCATAAGAGTTACTAGCTGCAGAAGAGCTGATGGAAACGATGGGCGGCTCGAGGGGAGCAACGAACGGAGTCTGAGTAGCGACCATCATGGAAGAGGACTGATGGGAGTAGCTGGCAGGGAGAGACACCGGCATCGGAGGCGGAGGGGGTAATGGAGGTGGCGGCGGGGGGAGCATCGCGGACGAAGCCATCGCGTACATCGGAGGAGGCATTGCGTAAGACGGGGGAGCAGAAGGGAACATTGGTGGAGAGGGTGGAAGGCTGGAAGAACGGGTAAAACAGAAGATGAAAAGAGGAACTCACATGTAACAAGTGGTACTGCTGCACTTGTTCGGCTGGCACGCTTCAATGTTTCTCGCGAATTGGAGGACAGCGACAAGTTGCACGACCGCACGCATTGACGCAATGACAGAGACGGGAGTGAACAGTTTGGCGGAGGAGAACGGCAAGTCTGGGAGTCGTTAGGCACAAGCAGTAGAACTATTTACACTTGTTTATTGCTACAGACAATGCGTATTTACAATTCGACAATATCTAGAGTTTTGTGTCCACCACCGACTCGTAACGCTCCTTCTCGCTTTCGTTTTTCTGGAGGGTCCAGCTGGCGGGAGACGCGTCGGCGAACAGACAGAAGATGGCGTTGACAGAGAGGAGAAGGACCGCGTGGGCGAGGAAACAGTTGCGCCAGTCGATGAAACTGGAAGAGAAGGATCGGGGAAGATGGAGAAGGGACTCACGTGTTGTCAGTGACAATCATATTGACAAAGAATGGCTCGATGAATATTGTGCACGCCCAGATGTTCATGATCTGAAATGGAATGTGGAGGACAGAGTGAACACGATGGGAATACTTGTTGCATTGAAAAGTAGGCGTATTGTTGGGAATGGAGGGTGGCACACTTGTTGAATCCGGCAGTGTTGCAGCCCATTACACTTTCAGCGCAGATCTAAACAGGAAATGGACGGAGTCAATTCATGGAGCCCAAAAGTACCATGACAACGATGGCAAGCAAGTGTTTGTCTCTGGGAATGAAGGCGAGAATGATGAAGAATCCGGCGGCGACGGCGAGTGCAATCGTGTTGAATATCTTAGTTTTCCATGTTTCTGAGATCCCCCTGAAAAATGATTATATGAGGGTTAGTTTCAGTGCTTCCTCCCACGTAATCATGTCACTGCTGATTCCTGAACAAAGTTTGATGATGAACTGAAAAATGATGGGAAGAGCTGCGAGAAATCCAGAGGAAAGCACGTCATAGTTGAGATAGTTCTTCATGTACTGAGGATTGAACTGAGAAACCAACTGAACTGTGATCAGGTCTCCGAATGATGCGATCCAACAGGCCCAAAGGGATAAACTTGTCAGAATATGACGGAATGGAAGATCTCTTGGACGGGCAAGCTATAAACGGATTCCTTCTGATTCTCTCTTTGCTTCTCCACTCACCTGCTTCTTCATTCCGATCTTCTCCAGTTCCTTCTCACTTACCCAACTGTGTTCGTTCGGAGAAACACGAAAAAAGAGGAAGAAGAGAGTGAAAGTGAGCAGGGAAACGCCCGCATGCACGTAATAAACAGAAGTCCATCCGGCGGAAGAAGAGCAGAGCCATCCGGAGACTGGCATCGTGAAGATGTTCGCGAGTTGAGTGTTGCCCGTCAGAAGTCCGATGAATACTCCGTGCTCGTGAGGAGTGGCCCATCTCGAAGTTATGCTTCCGGCCAATGGGAAAGTTGCCGAGAAGGCCATTCCTTGAAAGATGCGCGCTGTTACGAACCATCCGAATCCCAGCGAGCTGGCCAAAGGGACCAGGGCCGTGGAAACTGGAAAACTGGGGGAAATTTCTCGGGGATGCAAAGAGTACGGTACCTCCAGAAATTATTCCGGCGAGAATGAAAACGGGTTTATGAGGGAGATACTGGAATGCGACGGAAAACGGAATGGAAGCCGCGAGACTGCCGATGGCGACGCATGACTGCAGGAAGTTCGACTGGGACTTTGTGTAGGTCACTGCAACTTCACACCACATGCTCTCGCCGCTCTTTATCGAACTCACCTTTGGCCGTGCTGTTATCGTCTTGCATACAAATTTTCGTGAAATTGTACGTATTCATGTTGGACAGGATGGAAGTGAGACATAATGTGGCACATATCAGAATCTACAAGAGAGTGGATAATTCACGGATCAAACAAAAGATAGCCGACCAGAAATCGGACAGGAACTGGAGAGTTGAGCATTATGACAGAGACCATTCGCGTTAAAATTCATATCAAGAAATTTATGAACAAGAATGTCGGCGTGATAAGAGCGGAATGAGACCAATCAGAAGATTTGGCAAAACTTTTATCAGCAGAAACTTCGGCCTCTGACGCGCACGCACGGTGCTGCTCCTCGGATTGCGAGGGAAATGGAAACTGCTCATTGGTGCACTTCTCCGAGGGCTCAAATTGTACTCTTTCAGATAAAAACTACTATTATCCGAAGGATTTTCTCACACATGTGAACTTCAATCTTCAATTGCTATGCCTTCTCAACTGTGTCATTTCATTCATTACGTTCCCATTTCACACAAACTCCTATACTTGGCCAGCGTGCCACTCCCTCGCGGCCGTGGCCGAGTTTCCTACAGCAGGGCGACTCCGAGTCCCTCTCGCTCATTTCTCCATTTTTTTTCGCATGTTTCACTGGAAACTTCTCCTTTTTGCAGGTCGACAACATGGGATTCTTCTGGAAAACTGCAAAGCTCGGAATCAAGGTCGGATTGGTGGCGGGCGCGGTCAAACTGTCAATCGATAACGATATCTGGTCGACCAACAACGTCAAAGTTCGTTTTTTGTTGTGTTTTTCTCATAATCAGTGTATCTTTCAGGGATCCGAACTCTATCAAAAGCTGAAAAAGTACATTTTGCCGGGAACCGTTGTTTTCCCTCAGCAGGTGAGTGATCGAGTTCCTATCCAATCGTTGCGAACCGAGTAAGTTCAGCTTCCGTCCGTCGAGGATGTGCAATTGAAGGCCGGTGGCAAGTGGAACAACGCAGTCGACTCGGTATGTTCAAATTTTATGATAAATTAAAACGTTCGCAGTTTTTAATTACAAAAAGTACTATACAGCTCACCACTACTTTGTCTTCGAAAAACTAGAAAACAACGGCTTCACTCATAGGAACGTGAAACGCGGTCCCAAAACTTTCGAAAAACTGTTGTTTCTAAACTCCCAATTTCAGGTGTTCACGACAATCGAAAACGTGCCCTCGAGCCTGAACACAGTTGCCAACCGACTTATCAACAACAAGTAGAAGCCTCCGACCAACGTCGTTCAGGAAAACGACGCGATTCCGTGTGACCCTTCTAGATGTATTCATTTTCGCCTTAGTTGCTCGATCATCCATCCATCTTCCATCCCAATAAATGTTCGACCTTTGACGAGAAGTTTGAGAAACCATCGCAGCTCGCAATTGCAACTCTCCGCGTGTTATCAGTTATGTGCTGCTTGCGAGCCTCTAACTGATAACTGCTCCGCCAATTGTCTTTTTTGGCAATTCGCAACTGTCCCCCGGCCTTTAGTTATGAGTTCGGCCGTCGCGTCACGGCTATCCTGGGGCCTCATCCTCGCGTCAATAGACTTCCTCGCCTGCCTCCTATTCGCCTCTCTCCACAATGGACCGTTCGCTCTTTCCAATTTCACTTCACAGTTCTCCAATTTTTCCTTCTTCACAAGGTGAGTGTCGGACGGGCGGTTCACTTATTGATTGATTAATCAGTACCATCGACCTGTTCCTCCTCCAACTGATTCGTTTTGCATTATGGATGGTTCCTGCGGTCATCCACACCGTCAACAAGGCCGATACTTTGACCTACTGGAAAGAGGTATTATTTTTTAGGCCAACTATCATTTACATTCTCCTTCGCTTCCTAGCCGATCTTCTGTTCTTCTCTGCTCATTTGTGCAGCCAGTCCGACCAAGTTGCTCTTGCTCACCGAAAAACTGAAGCCAGATGAGTTTCTGGCATTCGGAGACGCTTCCTTCCTCGTCTGGAACTTCATCGCCGCCATCATTCTGAACGTCTCTTGGTCGAGATTCTTCTCCAGAACCCCCTCTTCTTACATTATTCTTGAAGATGAAGACGTGAGGGAACCATGTTTCAAGTTCTTCCAAATCGAAATTTCTTCAGGCAGAAGTGGCTCCGAAGCAGACATTCGAACTTATTTTCCGTCTTCTGCAGTACTGTAAACGCGAATGGCTCTGGCACATCTCCGGATTTTCGTGGCTTTTCATTTACTCTGTCAGTAAGTACTCCTTCCGTTCCGTTCCTTCCTCTGATTCACTTTTTCAGCTCGTATCTTCGTCCCCTACTATACCGGTCAAGTGATCGCCACTGTCGTCGCCACCAAGTCATACCCGGCCCTTTCGAATGCGGTCTACATCATGACCGTCATCTCTTTGGTCAGTGCAGTGGCCGCCGGATTCCGTGGAGGATCGTTCGAGTACGCGTACGCCAGAATTCAAAGATCAATCCGATACGACCTGTTCCACGGACTCGTCAAACAGGACGTCGCTTTTTACGATGCTCACAAGACGGGAGAGATCACATCCCGACTGGCCGCCGATTGCCAGACAATGTCCGACACCGTGGCTCTGAACGTCAATGTCTTCCTCAGGTAGCACTGAAATCATGAACTCACGAACAAAATAATTGAAGAAACTGCGTGATGCTTCTCGGATCGATGATCTTCATGATGAAGCTGTCGTGGAGACTCTCGCTAGTCACGTTCATTCTCGTTCCGATCATCTTCGTTGCTTCCAAAATCTTCGGAACCTACTACGACGTATATTTCCGGCTCCTTCCCCACTCAATAATTCATTTCAGCATCTCTCCGAACGCACTCAAGACACGATCGCCGAGTCGAATGACGTGGCAGAAGAGGTGCTTTCCACAATGCGCACCGTTCGTTCGTTCGCCTGTGAAAACGTGGAAGCGGAGAGATTCTATGGAAAACTGACTCACACTCTCAACGTCACTCGCACCAAGGCCATCGCGTACATCGGATTTCTCTGGGTCTCCGAACTCTTCCAGTCGTTCATCATTGTCGCCGTTCTCTGGTACGGAGGCCATCTCGTGCTCACCCAGAAAATGAAGGCCGATCTTCTCGTTTCATTTCTCCTCTACCAGATGCAGTTGGGAGACAACCTTCGTCAGATGGGAGAGGTGTGGACCGGACTGATGCAATCCGTCGGAGCCAGCAGGAAGGTGTTCGAGTACATCGACAGAGAGCCGCAGATCCAGCATTTGGGAGAGTACATGCCGGAGAACGTGGTCGGGAAGATCGAGTTCAGAAACGTCCACTTCAGCTATCCGACCCGCTCGGACCAGCCGATCCTCAGAGATCTCTCGTTCACTGTCGAGCCGGGAGAGACGGTGGCTCTTGTCGGACCGTCCGGCTCCGGAAAGTCTTCGTGCATCTCCCTCCTCGAGAATTTCTACATTCCGAATGCGGGTCAAGTGCTGGTGGACGGAGTGCCTTTGGAAGATTACCAACACCATTACATTCACAGAAAGGTCAGATTCACAGGAGAAGCGCGAATAATTGGAATGTTCAGATTGCGCTGGTCGGTCAAGAGCCGGTCCTGTTTGCGAGATCAGTGATGGAGAATGTGAGATACGGAGTGGAAGTGCCCGATACGGTCAGTTCATCGTCTCGCTCCTCATCTCACTCTCGTGTTTTCAGGAGGTCGTTCGATCGTGTGAAATGGCGAATGCTCACGGATTCATCATGCAAACTACTCTCAAATACGAGACGAACGTCGGAGAGAAAGGAACGCAGATGTCCGGGGGACAGAAACAGAGAATCGCCATCGCGAGAGCGCTCGTCCGAGAGCCGGCCATTCTTCTTTTGGACGAAGCCACTTCCGCGCTGGATACGGAGTCGGAGCACGTCGTCCAGGAGGCCATCTATAAGAATTTGGACGGAAAGAGTGTTATTCTGATCGCGCACAGACTGTCCACAGTCGAAAAAGCGGATAAGATCGTGGTTATCAATAAGGTAAGTGCGCTCCATTGCAGATATAGTTAAGGATTGAATTGCAGGGAAGAGTGGAACAGATCGGAACGCACGAGCAACTGCTCAAGGAGACGAACGGAACGTACGCGAAGTTGGTGCAGAGACAGATGATGGGCGAGCAGAAGGGACGGAAGAAGGCCGCAGTGGTCCGATCCGGCCCAAGACCAGCCACCTCTATCAACGTGGCAGGGCCTTCTCAAGGGAACGCCATGTCCTTGCTCTCGACCTCTTTCAGCCAATCGGCCAGCAGCGTCACCTCCCATTGATGCCCCCTCCATTGTTTTATTCCTCTCACTTTTGATGAACTCGACTAGATTTTGGGTCTTCCTGTTTGCTTCCAATTTTGTTCGATAGTATAATCAAAGAATAAACTATTTCATTGCGATCGGTTATTATTATTACGGGAATCTCGATCAGATCAACTCCAGATAGTCGTTTTCGTCGTTGCGTGCAATCTCTCGAGTTCGCAATGTGTTCTATAGAAATGAGAATGAAATCAGAAAGTATGCAAAAGAGCTGGCTAACTGTTGATCGGACGGTGTTGTTCCAGCTGCGGATCTGTGAATACGAGCTCACGGTGCCACGCGTGTCGCTGGCAGCCTGCCAGTTGTTCACCGGCACTCCGTACGTCTCGTTTATAGTCGGAACCGAAGGAATCGTCTGCAAGTACTTTCAAAAGCCCTCATTTCGGCCTGTTCATTTTCAGTCACTCACATCGTAGTTCAGACTTCTGGCGCTGCGATGGCTGTACTTCATTGCCGAGTAATTGGCATTCGAAACGGCGTAGATCGTCAAAGGAGTGATCGGAAAGATCATGATATAGTACAAAGTGACAACGTGCGCCACAAGCTGCAAACGAATGGAATGTGAAAGTTGGGGAAGTAGCAGCATACCAAGAGAGCGTAGAAGATGGAAATTATGAAAGCAAAGATGACAAAGGCCGACGAGAAGAAGTCCGGATTAGTGGAAGCGGTTCGCGAGTACTCGAAGATTGAGGTGATGACCGAGTAATACGAGAAGAAACAGAGACCGAGCTGAAACGAGGAATGTTGGGGGAATAGTGCGATGGGTAAGTGAACCTCGAAGAACAGACTGGGGAGAGTGAGAATCGCCCGGTAGCGCATCCGAAGATCCGATTCGCGCTTCATCAGGAATACGGCATAAAGGAAAAGAGAGCAGCTGATGAAGAAAAAGACGAGGAGATAGGCGCACTGCTCGACGAACAAGGAGGCGTTGATCATGAACTTCGGCAGATTCATCACGATCTTGTGGAGCCAGTAGCACGTGGAAGAACTGCACGAGATTCTCGCTTTCGGGTCATTGCAATAGGTGGGAATGGCGAGGTGTTCCTGCATGGAACGGATGCAGTAGACCACCAACACAATGTATTTGATTATCGAAAAGTTCTGGAATGAAAGAATGCATTGCTCTCTGTTTCAGTTCAAGCCAGTACCAATGTCATTTTCAGAAGCGGCAGGTAAACTTGGTGGAAGGTGTCATCCAGGTCTCGTGAGCTCCTTCCCCTCGACCGACACAGCGAATACATTCTGTATGAGGTGGAGCTGAACTCGATTAAGGAAGAAAGAAAAGATGGAAAGAGAGGATAGGAGATAGAGTTGTCAGACGGGGTTACTCGGGTTCAACGCTCATCCTGAAACATATCGCAAGTGAATCCTATTTATTAAAGAACAGAATGACGAGGTAAAAATATTTTCAATCGCTTGACGAACGACTCTGCGCCTCCTCGTCGACTGTTTCTAGCTGACGGAAACTGCGCGGAGAAATCGAGCGGTTGTGTCTGACAGCCGAAGGCGCGGCACTGAAAGAATCAAAGTGGAAGGGGGCAGGAAGAGACTGCTTTCACCAGTGAGAAGACGAAGCGGCGGAGAGCTCGTTGGGGACGGCTCCGAGGTCGCTGAGCAAATTGCAGCCTTAAAGGAAAAAGAATGGAAATTGAGAAACGAACACTAAATTGATGCTTTCCGGTAATATAAAAGAAAAGACCTTTTCCCTGGAATCGCAGTGAAGCTTGGTGAGAAGTTTTGCGAAGAGGGCGACGGAAAGCACCTGAAACAAATGCTGAGGGGCAAGCGGATGCAATGGCTTACTGTTCTGAGAGGTTGGTGACGGCTGATCACCTCGTCGCTGGTAGTACAGCAAGCCAAGCCAGAATCCGTACAGAAAATAGATGTACATAGCCCAGATTATGATTATAGGCAGCATAGTCAGTCTGCACGAGTCTGAAACAAATCGAGTTCAGACAACATCATGAAATGCCAGAATACCTAGAACGGTAGAAAACTTGAGATTTTCTTTGATTAAAATTCTTATCATTGAGTGCAGGGTGCGCAAAGTCCACAGAGAAAGAGGGTACATGAACATGAACTGAAGTCAGTACTGTTACGTGTGACTTGTACATAAACCTACCACAGAAATAGTTGAAGGAATGAGCAACGAGGCAGGATTCATGTGAGGAGGAAATTTGCGACGAGCGACACTCATTTCGGATAACCTCATTCCCAGAAATCCAGATATCACACTGAAAAGTTGAGAATAGGAAAAATTTGAGAAACAAGGGTAACCTGAAAATGAGAAAATAGGAGAAAATATTGAGAGCATTTCTGGCGAACAGCTGATGCGGTCGGGCGCCCCTCTGATTTTCCCCGGACCAATGGAGTCCGTCGAATCCGGGAACTGAAATCGGTTCGAAAGGCCCGTCGGGACTCATTTGGCTTGCGTGATACAGTCCGATAATTGCAGTTGCGAGCAGAGCGACCTCCACGTGAAAAACCAGACTCTAAATACATAATGTTTAGCTGACACAAAATCGACTGATTTCACTTTAACATGAACTTGATCGAACAGCCAACGATACGGGTATTTTCTGTGCAGTCTGCCGGATTCAGGACGGGCTCCTCGGGATAAAATTGATTGATTTGACTTTAAGCTGATGTCCGCCATTTTTGCTGCTGAACAAAAAGACAAAAGTAATTGACCAAAAGTTGAAATAACAGCGAAAAACAGAATTCGAATGGCGTTAAACGCGTTTTCATATGTTTCGAACAAAATTTAATTTGATTTCGAGTATGCGCCTTTAAAAACGGTTACGGTCCCATTTCCGTTCGAGACCCGCTAGCTAGCCTAAATTTTTTGTTTTTTTTGTCTGTACTTAAAGCTCGCTCATTTTGAAGTTTCAGTGCGCAAAACTAATAAAAATGTACGGACCTCAAAGAAGTTTCGCCTACATGGGTCTCGTGTTCAGTGGAATCCACGATTACACCTCCGATCAGAGCGATCTCGTTGTTCTCCTCAAGACAGAAAAAGTTAGTTTAAATTGTTTATTTTTCTATTTTAAAAATAGTATTTGCAGGACACTGGCACATTGAAACCGTACGTTTACGGTGTCACCAAGCAAGCATTTCTTCCGCCAAACGTTGAATACGACTTTCTGAAAGTCGATATTGCGAAGAATCTTGAGTGAGGCTCGTTTATTTTTTATGCAGCGTTCAAAGTTTGAAAAAAACTCGGATTCACGCGGGATTTTGCTGAGATTTTCGGAGTTTTTTTAAAACTCTGGATGCAGCATTCCAAACAAATTTCAGTTTTTTGTAGGAGACGATACGCTCTACCGCTCAAGTTTGGCGATATCATCCAGTGGAATGACGATGAATGTGATCACTCGAAAAAAATAGTTTATTCTTTCTACCGTGAGAAGCCGTTGCACAGAGTTGACTCTGATTCTCGCGGCTATCTTTTAAGAGTTGGAGGAGTGATCGAACCGAGCAAACCCACTTTGTTCTGGACCCAACTGGCGACAATCCCCATTCGTAAGCATTCAGTGGTAAATACTGGATTAAAACGTTTTTCTTCCAGCATTCGCTGAAGCGGCGAGAGCCGAGCCGAACGTTTACTTGTATGCCTGGATTAGAGTGGAAACAAGAATGTCGTGCAGCACGGATCCTGTCGATATCCAGTTTTCGTTCCATAAGTTTGATGAATGCGATGCCAGTGATCAGGGTCGTGTTACTGAGGCGGTAATATTATGATTTGCTGCAACAAGACAAAACATTTTCTATTGTTTAGCCGTGGCACAAACTGTCGATCGAATCCAAATTCACCGTCTGGGCCGCCGAGCCGTCCCCAATCGACAGTGATGACGAAATTGCTCTCGAGCCCCCAGAAGGCATTGTGAAACCGGAGACAAAATGGGCTGAGGTACTTGCCGAGAGCCATACCTTTTTCTCTGACTCCTGTTTTAACAGAAAATCAGAAAGCAACTTGGCTTGTACGTGGGAGAGCGACTGCTTATCTGCAAGGAACTTCCTCAGTACGATTTTATCATTCCACTTCTCCCTCAGGTAGCGACGGACGAATCGTCGGCGATTTGTCCGACAATCGGAGAATACTACCACTTCAGTGCTGTCTGGTCAAACAATCACCGTAGTTTCATTGTCACTGATATAATGACAGTCGTGATGCTCAGAAGTCATCCGGTCACTCCTAATGGAAACGTTAGTATTCTGGATATTTTCAGGAATGATGTTCCTGTGTTCAGCTCTGTGTTCGAGTTCAATATGCAGGCAATCGGACAAGAGGACTATTCATTGATTACGAAGAGACTCTCGGACTGATGGACGATCCATTTCACTGCCTTTCGTTCTTCGAATTCCATCCAATCAACTATGGACAAATGAGAGCATCGGTGAAATAGAAAACTACGCATTTATTACTTTTATCATACTTATATGTATTTAGGTCGAAGTTCGCGCTGTACGATCCACCGAGAACAGATCGGTTCGGTACCGAATTGTGCGATTGATTCAAGACGACGAACTGATGTCCAGATACCTGCTGTGGATTCGATCGAATGATGTTTACTTCATTTTATCCAGTTAACAGCTAAATATCGTTTTCAGAACATGTTGGGACCAATTGAGGGAGTCGTCATCAACCGAGACACAGTCATTGCGGCGAAACATCCTAACGTCTACTTCCGGATCCCATCAACGACTCCTGAAGCTGAACGGCCACCCATTGGATCTGGCGTCCGATTTAATGCTAAGCGTCTGGCCGGATTCCACAGTGAAGCTACTATTACTGAGTTTCACATCTTTCCGAAGATGTCCGTGAAAAAAATTGTTCAGAGACAAGACTTGGTGAGACCAATCAGTTTCCATTTTAGCCAATACAAATTTTCAGCGCTTTTTCCAAGTTTCCCTCAAAGCTCTGCCGGACCTAGAGCAACTCGCAATTTGCGATGATTTCGGACCCGTTGATACTCGCTGCACTAATCACCCGGAAAATAGTGGCGAAGAGTGAGAACGTCAATTCTCTGCGTAATTCCAACGATGCCCTTCAGGTACCTGGCCTGGGTCAGAGAATCGCCTATGCGCGGAGACTGTCGCTTGGCGGCAACGTTCATGGAAGTCTATTCGGTTGCGACGAACCCTCCGATCCTCCCAACGCAGGCATCGAGCGTCAGTTCCAGAAGTAGCTCATCTAGAAACTCTTACTCGGGTAGTTCGAATGGAAGTTCATCGCAGAGTTCGAGACATTCCCGTCAATCTTCTATTTCTATCACATCAAGCGTAAGAACAAATGTTACTAAGATCAGCTAATTCGTTGTTTCTAGAGGTTTATCGGACCTGGAAGTCGCAATCTGGCGTCGCGCAGAGCTCAACAATCTGGCTCTTCTACTTCTTCCAAATAAGTTCATGTACACGCATCCAAAATTTTGTATCTCTGTTCTAACACGCTGACTGTTTTTTGTATTCAACAATAATAAACACTTACTAAAAAAAACGAAAAACTGAGAAAAGGCGCGCTCTTTGGAGCTTCTCATGTTTGGGTTTCTTCAAAGCGGCTTTTCTGAACAACATTTTATTAACGGTGTAAATCAGGGGCCTTCGAAGGCATTTCGCATGTAATGCTTCTCTCTGGCTCTGATGAAATTGTATTTTATGAGTTGAGAGAAACATAGCATGTTGAGAAGGGAGTACATCCAAAATATGCCCAGTACGGAGTTGGAGATGTAGTCCATCCAAACCGAATATCGAGAACTGCTTGCCAGAAAAGGAAGCATCGAAAGGGAAGCGAGGAAACTGGTGATTAGATAGAAGAACTGCAAAAGAGAATAATTGGGGAAATGAGGAATCGCGAACTGACACAAGTGACATAGATCATTGGAAGAAGCGCCGGAAGCGGATTCTGAAAGCGGACCGCCAGGCCGGGAGCTACAGAAATCGCCAAATGGATGACGACGAAGACGGAAACGAGCGTGAAAGGAATCAAGAGCTCCATGAAAACACGGATGAAGAACTCGATGAACTGAACAGTGAACGGTGCGAACGAAAGGGAAAAGTGGAGGTGGGGACGGAACCTGGCGGTGAGAGGGCGATTCATCGATGAGACAGTCGTCCAGCGGGAAGAGAGAGCAGACAACGGTCGAGTATTGACGAGGGATGTTCCGGATTCCCTGGATGTAGATTGCCACGTTGCACAGAATGGCCATCGTCTGAAAGTCTCCGCTTTTCTCTCTCTCCATCTCTTTCTCTCTCGTTCACCATGACGAACAACTTGATGTTCGGGTGTCTGTACTCTTCGAATCGTGGCATTACTGGCGTCTCCGGCTGCTCCGTCGACTCTTCCGACAGGTTCTCTTCTAATTCAAATTCGAACCCCGGCACGTCCAAATGGACGCCTTCGGGCCCTCCGATCAGACTCTTCCCCGTCAAACTTGCATTGCTTCCTTGATCTGAAATCCTCTTGGATTCTTAATGGAAACCGCCAACTGACCAGAGCTCATTTTACTTTTTGACTAAAACTTTGAAATGCTCTTTATATTATTTTGTGCATGCTTTATGTAGCAATCAAATAAAACAATCACAGTAAATGCCAGTTCACGTGTGAATATTAACCAATTATTATAAATGGATGAATGTCCATCTAACATAATCTTCTCTATTCTACTCTTAAATACATTAAAAGTGAAGTTCGGAGGGGTGGGACAATAGAACAGATAAGGGGGTGAATTTGAGGGCGAGAGTGGTAAACCGACGGTACCCGTGGATGAAATCAAGTTAATGGAAAGGTGGGAGTAATTATTCAACAAATTTTGAGCATAGAAGGAATGGCTTTTTGAATGATGAATGGGCGACACGGCTTGAAGCACTTCACGGCAGCTTCGCGTACATCGCGTTCAGCTGCGCAGCGTAGTGAGACTTCAGCTTCGGGCGCTTGCTTTTCAGCGTCGGCGTCAACAAGTCATTCTCCACACTGAACTGCTCCGAAGACAGGAAGATGTCACGGACTTGCTCGAAAGAGAACAGTCCCGCCTTCTTGCCGACGGCCAGCATATCATCTAGCACCGCCTTTTTGACTGCTTCATTGCGGCACAACTCTTCGAACGTTCCCTTGATTCCCTGTTCAGCCATTGCTGGCACCAACACCTGAAAATTCAAATGAATCGGTGGAAAAGCGGAGGAGCACAAACCTCAGCATCGGGCACAACGACGGCGATAAGGCACGTTTTCAAGGACTCTCCGTGAACGAATGACTGCGCTACGTATTTGGAGCGCACATAGATGTTCTCAATCTTCTCCGGAGCAACGTATTCTCCTTGTGACAGCTTGAAGATGTGCTTCTTGCGGTCGACAATCTTAAGGGTGCCTTCAGGAGTCCATCTTCCGATGTCTCCGGTGTGCAGCCATCCTTCGCTGTCGATCGTTTCCGCCGTCTGCTGCTCGTTCTTGTAGTATCCCTTGAAGATAATGTGCCCTTTCACGCACACCTACAAATTTAGCTATTTTATCTTTTCTGTAATGTTCTTCCTAATACCTCTCCCGCATTGTCTTTGGCGTAGTAGTTCAACTCGGGCACATCAACCAACTTGATCTGCGCGGACGGAATGACCATTCCGACGTGTCCGGCCAGCGAGTCTCCTTCCATGGAAACCGTGCAAGCGGCGACGCACTCGGTCTGGCCGTATCCTTCGACAACGACACATCCCATGGCCGCACGCACAAATGTGAGCACATTGGTGGAAAGTGGTGCCGATCCCGTGATCATGAGGCGAACACGACCTCCGAATCCCTCGCGGATTTTCTTGAAGACGATGTTGTCAAAGAATCCGTCACTGCGAATGTTGAAACTGTAACATCAGTTAATATAAAAGATAAAAGGGTCACAGTCCTCACTTGGCCATATCTCTCGCTTTGTAGGAGATGGCGAAGTCAAACAGCATCTTCTTGAATGTCGATTTGTTCACCTCAGACATCACTTTGTCGTAGAGTCGGTTGAGCACACGAGGCACCACTGGCACCACAGTCGGGCGGAGTTCCTTTATATCTTCGGCGAGCACGCGGATATCTCCTCTGTAGAATCCTACCTTGGCTCCGACACAGAAGCACACACTCTCAATGACTCTTTCGAGCATGTGAGCCAGTGGAAGGAAGCTGATCATCGAATCGGTGGCGGCGATTCCGCTATGCTTGAAGAAGTCCATGCAGACTCCGTCGGCAATCACATTGGCGTGTGTCAGCATCACTCCCTTCGGAGTGCCAGTTGTTCCGGACGTGTAACAGATAGTCGCCAGATCTTCGGCAGTCGGGGGAATGTGCTCCGGACGGCTGGTCGCTCTCTTTCCGAGGTTTTCGAGATCCTCGAAAGTGAGAACATTCACGCCAAGAGACGACGCCGATGCCTTCAGTTCCTCGTTCAATGGCTCCATCACAACAAGAGTTTTCAAGCTGGGACATTGTTCTTTGAACTTGAGTAGACCTAAAGACCAACCATCAAAACAGTTACATTACTGATAACAGTCGCTGTTCACAGTTCGAGCCGTTATCAGGCTCATAGCACAAAAACATACCGGTCGCTTTGGCGATGTCGTCACAAACGACAATTTTGATTTCAGCCTGGTTGAGGATGAAAACGGAAGCTTCCGAGCCGAGAGTCTCATATATTGGGACGATCACATTGGAGTAGTTGTAAGTGGCGAACTCCGTCACGATCCACTGAAAAGAGAACTCGTTTTTCAGAAAACAATTCGCATTTTTCGTATTCTACGAATTTATACCTCTGGACGATTCTTGGCGTAAATTCCAATGTTCTCGTTGTTTCCAACTGGAATTTCGAGCTCGCGGAATGCAACGGAAACGTTGTTCGCCCGTTCGATGATCTCGTTGTAGGACTCCCAGACATACGGAGACGATCCGTCCGCCTTTTTGACTCTTCGTCCGAGCATCGGACCATTGTTCGAGAGCCGCGCTCCACGTCGGACGCCCTGGAATTAATTGAGTTTATCATGATTACGAACATGATCTTTTACCTGATAAAGTGTTCTCGCGTCTTCAAAGAGATACGCTTGCAGATTGTCGTCCTTCAGGTACGCACTGATACGCGAGCCGTCCTGTGATAGTGTATTTCGAATTATACGCTCTGGAACACTGAACTTACCGGCAAAATGCGACTCTGGTTCATCGGGTCGACGAGAGGCTTCACATTTCCGGTGTAGGTCACTCCGTTGAAAGAATAAGAGCCAGACGAAGAGGATCCCTTTGAAAGATAGTATCCAAGACCCATGGTGACTGCAGCAGCGGCTCCGATTTGTATGTAAGGCGGTAGAGAAGATGGAGAATTTGAGGATGGCGCCGAAATGAAATCGACAATACTTCTACAATAGGTATGATGAGTCATCGGAAGGACGGGTCGCAAAACATGGCGCGGCGCAGAACAAACATCTCTCAAAATTATGAAATGGTGTTCTCGACGTGACGATACAACCCTTTTAAAGAGAGCCGTCCGTAGAGCGTCATCAGCTCTTTATCATTACAAAAACAATCAGGAGCATCGACGTCGCTTCGAAATTACGCGTTTTGGTACATTCAACTCCTACATCAGCTTAACATATTTGTTTGTCGGCGGCAAACACCGTCCGCTATCGCATGTTTCAATTCGACAAAACTCTTGGCTCGTCAGTCGATTGAAAAGAAAAACAAGAGAGGGAAACGAACGCACCTCGATTGAGACTGTACCCACGCAGCCGTGTCTGTGATAACCATTGTGTAAAAGAGGTCTATTTATTGTCTGGCAAAGGCACAACCCCGTCTAAAATGAGATTAAATTGGACGATAGAATGAGGTACAAAGTGGAGGGGAAAAGAAGACGTTAAGAAGGAACGAGGAGAAAAAGATGGAGAAGAGTGAGACCGGAACTAGTTCTCTCAATTTGCAGCCGCGACGAGGAGAGGCACTCAAAAAGCAGTGTCCGGACAATGTTCAACTTGATAACCATATCAAAAATGTGTCGTTTGAAGTTGTAACCGAGCCGCCTTTTCTTTCGATCACCCCATATTTCTCCTACGCGCGCGCGTCCGACAACTTTGACCGGGGCGCCAACAACGGCTTGTACATTCGATTTCGAGAAGAAAAGGCCGTAAAGATGGGCAAACAGACCCTCGCAAAATGATAACAGATTTGATTAGCCAATCGGGTGGCGGCGGCAGCAATTCGGAGAACACGTGGAGGTGATGAAGTCCAATGAAGCGTACAATCGACAATTTTGAAGCAAAGAACGGGCTGAGGAATATAATTGAACAGAAAATGGGAAGGTAAGTGTTGGCACAGAACATTTGGAATGAATCGGAGTTCAATATTCAAAAATCATGCATTTAAAGGAAAAAGTCTAGACATTTGGTAAAAACTAAATTTTATTTATAATCCTTTTCTAAATTTCGCAATACTAGTTTCTAAAATGCGTTTTTAGTTGAATTGACTTATAAAGAAGTTAAAATCAATAAAAAGGTAAACTTTGAACTCTTACTTACGCAAAACTAATAAGGCAATGCGCACAAAAATCAATTTATTAATCTTGGGAAGGGCCAATCGATGGCAGCGCGACCTCCGATTTCTTTCTTCCAGACATTCGCTATTCAAACATAAAAGAAACGAGCGCTTCCGTCGGTCGCGATGCCATAGAAATGGGAGCAGCCAGAAAGAAGCCCTCGGCCGTTGGCAGTGACCAAGGGGCACAGCGGCCAAACAAGTGGCATCTCATGTCATTGGGAAGACGAAACTATAAACAACGAAGTGTTGCAATTGTTGCAAATAAATGTGATAACGGATACTCTACCTCCACTTCGTGCGCCAGCGCGTGTTCCGCCCTCCCATTTATCATCGGCCGCGGTGGCCACGAAAAGATAAAAGTCATAAAATTTGATTAACCATTTTTTGGGTGAGAAGAGAAAGAACGCTCGTCGCTCGAAACCGAACACGAGTACGTGGCCAAGTAAAACTGCTCAAAATTCTGATGACAATGTCTGCGTTTCGTCAATAGTACACATGCAGCAGGGCGACATAGTCGTCGGAATAAAACGAGTTATGGCAGTGTCTTTTCTGCGTGTCTCTTCGCGTTGTGAGCGGCAGTGTGTGCGTTGTGTGCGCGCATGTGTATGTGCGCTGGGTGGTAGTGGTCGGGAGACTCATTCGCGTGAGGGAGAGTGCGGCGAAGTCACTGTGAGCAGCGGCTGCGGAGCAACCTCATTGCCTCGCGCATACAGTGTAGCCGCGAATTAGGTGGAGGGTACAACGCCCGCGCGTGGAAGTTCCGCGACACTTTCAAGTAGCGGAGAAAAAACTCAGTGAAATGAGAACACTTCTGAAGCGAATGGTTGTTGTTCGACACTGAAAAACCCCCAGTTTTACAGTACAAAAAGAAAGAATGCGACTGCGAATGTGTCCGTCTTTTTCGATGGAAAATGCAAGTGAAGAACTACAGAGAAAGCTACAACTTGAAAACAATATTAGGTATTATTGGTTTTGTCCAACTATTGGGAGAATTTAACCGATCTCAGGAAAAGGAGAGGGGAAAAAGTGAGAAGAGAAGGTGATGGGGTGGCCGGAGAGCAAGGCATATGTAGTTTCAGAGCCAATCAATCGAGGTGCTTTCGTTTTCCTTTTTAGGTCTCTGTTTTGCAAGGGTCACGTGCGGCGAGACGAGAAGATAAACAGAGAGAGAGCGCGGATAATTCCAGGAAGCGGCACTTACTCGAACATGTTGAAGCTGACTTCGCAATCGACATCTGCCATTGTCTCGCGAGGTGACAGAGGCATAAATGAGGACCCCGAGTCAGATTTTTACACGTTTTTTCCCGAATAATGAAACGTGACCTACTTGATTAGTTGCGTGAGTATTTTGTCAGGCACTGGTTTACAAGGTGAGAATACGGGTGAAGACGCCTGAAATTGAACGGGTAATGGGGTTATTCAGGCTGTGAAAAAAAAATGATTTTTTTCCGTTTTTTTTCGTTTTTTTTACGTCAAAAAACCCAATTCAGCGATGTAAAAAAACAAAAAAAACGGAAAACAAACATACGCTGAATAGCCCCATAACGAAGAACGCATGAAAAAAGGAAACTGAGCAAATGAATAAGGTCGCCAGGCAGCTGTTTTGATGTCGGCGAAAACAGAAAAACAACACTGAGTATTTCTGCGCCCGTTTCAGAGATAAAGTGTCGGTCAAAAAGAGCGTAGTTGAGAGAAAAAGAGACGTTCGAATTTGAATTCTGCACACTCGCGCGCAATTTTCTCACCGTACTTCGCGGCGGGATTCAAAATTTAACATTGTCAAACTGATTTCTTGCGAATATATTTAGTTTTTGCGTGATTTAGTCAATAAAATAATGAGAAAATGCATTGTTTATTCGCTTCAAAGTCACAATTAAAAATATGATACCGTTTGACATACAATGAGTTCATGAAGGGGACACAATAGTAATGGATAAAACGATAAATGACGACACACATCATTTTGTCATAGATAAACGAGAATGAATTGATTGTGAATAAAGGTTATGGAAAACGAGTCCGAAAATGGGAAATGGACAGGGATAAAGTATAAAAAGGAAGAAATATTGCATTCGGGCCATAGGGTGAGTTGCACATTTCAGTCGGACTTGGTCCGCATCACCTACGCAGTTTTTATTAGTAATCTGACGACGAAGGGAATACGCGTTTATTAGTGGTACACGCGTATGTAAATATGGGTGTTTTGGTTAGGGAAATGGGTTCGTAAGAGGGATAGTGAACCCTGCATTTGTTCCATCTCGAGATGACGTCACCAAAGAATCAGAGGCGGCGACGTCAGCTCGAGAAAGGATTCCATAGATACTATGAGATGGAACTAATGTATGTCGGACGGTTTGATATGAGGTGTCCCAAAAATATCAATGTTCGGAGGGACCCATCATATCACTGAGAAGTGCTGAGCGAACAAACTGGAGAGTTATTAAGGGACGACTACTTATTAGGGGGCCTAGTCGAGTTATTAGAAGAAGACGGAAACCTAGTTGATGGTACGAAGACCGCCACGAGCACAGTACATGATGACGTTCCAGTTGGAGAGACATACGAGGTCCTCCTTCTCGACGGAACTGACACGGTCTCCGGATGGAGCCACATTGCACATGCGGAGACAACGATCTCCCACTCCGAGATCCGGATTCGACATGCCGAGATGGGAGCAGCAGGCACGGTTGTCTCTGTTTTGGTTGGCACAATAGAGCAAGTTGGTCAGGTACTGAAAAAGAGTGATTGGGGCGGATCTGAAGCGGATCGAATGCTCACCTTCATGTCGCAGTGCTCTTGCTGGATGGCTTGAATGAGCGTCTCAGCGGCGACGTGCTCACGGTGTTCGTAAGTGCAAAGGCTGTGGCAGTTGGATGGAAGCTGTTGGCGGCAGCAGGAAAGGAAGACGTCGTCGGCCGATTTGCGGGAGAGGCATGGGGAGAATGGCGGCTGCGACCGTTCGGTTCCGCACTCGGAGGAGAGATCCGCGTCGGTGACCTCCGTTATCGGGTACTCCTTGTTGAGCAGTTTGGCGTCTCCGGTGACCGGAGCTCTGCGGATGTCCTTCGAATCGATGAACTGCTCCTTGACCTCGTGGTTGACTTGTCCGACGACTCGGTTGTTGTTGTTCACCTGTTTCGCCGCCTTCACTTCCGTCTTCTTCGGGGCTCTCGTCGAGGGCTCCTGTTGTTCGTCGATAGTCTCGTACTTCTCCAGTTTGTGGGGGCATTTCTCAGTGACATAATCGATACAACCAGACATACATTTATCTGAACATCTCAACATTCTCGGACCGTCTTCTCATTCCTCCATTCTCACCTAAGACACGTTGGGTACAGCACAATACTTTTGGAATCTGCTCGCAATCGGGCAACTTCGGTTCACTATATACACTGGGAATAATTGAGATTAGAATAAGAATACCGGCTGCCGATCGCATTCTGAAAACGAGCGAATGAATGGAAAACAATTGGTGACGACTCACTTGAGTATTTATTTACTGGAAAAGAGACCTCCGGAGGAACTGTTCGACGAGAAGCAGCCTGTGGACGAGGACGACGAGCTGTTGCTTCCGAAAGCGAATCGGTCCTGGAATGAGACGGCGGTGAGAGTGGATTAGAAAGGGGCGGATAGCGGAAAGTGGGGCGGCTGTGGCGAGAGACAATCGGACAATGGACGTCCGAAGGTGATAAACTTGATATATCTCCTTTCGCTTTCTGCATTCGTTTCGCACCACGAGAAGAGAGAAAGGCGGTTCTAGAAGGGTCGAAAATGTTGCCGAGAACTACCTTCTACAAGATGTAAAAAGAATAGAAGAGCAAAAGGTATCTTGAAGCTCGAGATTCTTTCTTCAAATTTTTCAGAAAGCAAGAATGATCCTAGGATGTAGCATGGCTGATCAGCTGATCATGGGAAACTTCCTAGTTTTACACCAGTTCCGCAAAGTCCTCTTCGAATGATATGAGTCGATCACAAGTTCCCACCCCCACCCCCAAAAGCTTCGTTTGCTGACTCACATTGTTTCTGTTGTTTCCGCCGAACATTCCACCTCCAGACTTGTCCATGTAGTCTCCACTGACTCCTCCAACACCTCTTGTAGACCTGCAATAAGCATTCTCGCATTCGTGGCCAACACAAAAACTTGCTAATGAGACACACGAAACCAGTCCGTCGGGAGGGATTCCCGGAGGAAGACGGGAACGCTCTAAACCCGATCGCTTCGTTACGTAATGATGCCAGACGGCGTCGTCTTATCCCGACCACTACCAGTTGCGTAAGAACTCGTCAGACTTACCAGTTGCCAGATCCAGTGCCGACGGAGAACGTGGAGGCGCCGGTCTGAGGTTGGAGGTCCGAGAGAGCAAGAGCAGCACGTGGGGATGGGCTATCCGGGAGCATTTTGAGAGGGAGGAAGTGAGAGTTGAAGGAAAGTCTGAAACGAAATGGAGAAATGGAGGTACCGGAAGGCGGAGAAGACGAGGAACGACACCGACTGGGCGCAGGAATGCGCCAACGAATGAAAACAAAGGGAGGAATATGCTTATCTAGAAGGCGGAATGGCATCTGATCCACAAGGAAGAGGAACCGGACCACCGCTGGAAGAAGCAGAACAACATGAACACGAATGGCAAACAAGGGACACTACGGCCTGCCCGATGGCCACCGACCGTCGAGACTGTCCTCGGCATGAGTGTTGTTCGTTTTCTCGGGCTGGCCTTGCCTCCCGGCCCCGCCCTCTCTCCATGGCATGCTCCGCCCCTTCGGATATCGGGAGGACGACGGGGGGAACAAGAATGCGTCGAGGAGAAGAGCGGGTCGGGTGGGCAATGGCATCAGAAGCAGAAGTGAGGCACAAAAAAGTGATGGGAGGGGCGGGGCGAACAATCTTAGCTATGTGGGTGCCTGGTACGCGCGGAGGAGGCATCCGTGCCGGGAAGAGCCATCTTGATTGCGCAACCTTCGCCTTCCGTCCATCCGACGATCCGCCCGCCTCCCTCGCTCTATCTTATATCGTATTCTGTTCTCGACGCGTGATGCGTTGTGTGTGTGTGTGTGTGTGTGTTGTTTTTATTTTTTCTAGGTCAGTTTTACCAAGGACGACGATTTCGATGAATTCGAAAAACGATGACGATCGCATGCAAAAAGATGATGACCGCCGGACGAAGGCGACTCCCGCACATCGTGCCCACGAGAAAAACTGTTCGGACTTTGGCAGCAGAGCGGGAGAGAAAAAGAGAGAGAGAGAGAGAAGGACAGTTCCGAAGGACACGCACACTTGCCTTGACCCGACGATTTCGAGAGAGGAGGTGGAGCGTGCGGATTGGCAGAACTGCGGACGCACTTCTGAAGAGGACTTCCGAAGAGGAGAGGAAGAAGAAGAAGAAGAAGAAGAAGAAGAAGAAGAAGACGAGGAACAGATTCTCCGTGACGGCAAAGAATGAACTGGATGGCAAAGAGGAAGAGGAACATTACGTTTCCTGCAAAAGATCAGAAGCACGAGCTCGAGCTGCTAAAAATATTTTTTTCGGGAATCGGAGTATTGAATGTGTAAATCTGAAAATGCTCCGAGCACGATTATTTGTGAAGAACAGGCTTCAGAAAGAGCAATAGTTATTCCTTTTCAGATACTCGAGTAACTTCAGAATTTCCCAGTGTTCGTCAGTTGTTCCACCCTCCCGTTGTCGTCCTCTAATCCTGCTCTTTCATCATCATCCTCATCATCCTCATCATCCTCATTATCATCATTATCATTCGTCATCGTCTTCCGAATCACGCGGCGTTTGTGTTCCGTTAACGAGGATCCCGACGCCCACCCCACAGTGCTAATGTACCTCCATGTGAAGCTATCACGCAATCCCTCGTATATCATGTCTTCTGTCAGAAGCGCTGCCATGTGATTTAGTATGTCTCCCTCCCGTCCGGCGTCGTCCGTCGTCATCGGATCCACTCCGATCCCACTCTCCGATTGCCCAACAACAGAGCATCCGATCTCTCCTCTCGTTTCCGTTCTCCTCTGTCACTTTCTGCGCGGAATGCTGCCGCCGAGTACGAATCCCGAAGCATCTTGTTGTATACGACGCATTCTTTTTCGGATGGCCAACGAAACCGAACACTTTATGGATAAGATACGCGAGGTGTTCATCAGAAGAAGATGAGAAGACGGGAGAGGCGAAGAAGAGAAACAATTCGGAGAAAGGGCAACACTCGGAAAGATGGTGAAAACAACGAAGAAAAGGAAAAACGGGAAAGGTGAATGGGAAGAGATCGGATCGGAGGAGGAAGATCCGAGGAGCCGACGAGTTTGCCAGAAGACCACAGATCGAATGAACCTGATTTCATTTTTGCAAAGACAAACATCGGACGATCGACAGAATATCGAGAAACCATCTAAGGGAGCTATCCGACGGAAGTGGCAGATCACGGTTCGGAGAGGATTGCTTCCGAAAACCTGAAGGCTCTGAATGAAGGGTTTTACTCTGTAGCTCTCCTGTATCACTTTCATCTTCGTCTTCATTTTCTTCTTCCGATTGCTCTGTTAGTTGGGTCCGATCCTATCAAGAAGCCCAGCTGATGATTCCATTATCAATCTACAAATCTGTTTCCATTCAGATTTCGCTCTCATTGCTTGTGCGCGAAACGAAATGGTGTCCTCCCTTTCCGAATTTGATAATCTCACTTGATTGACGATGAATCTAGGAGGCTTCCTCTCCCTTATCCAAGCGGCTGCGTCGTCGTTGGCGGCAAATGAAAAAAGAATCGAATATCGGAATATCGAATAACAATGGCAGGCATCAACAAACGAGGGCCGATCCTCCTCCTCCTCCTCCCCATCCAGCAGCCAGCGGGTCTTGCCCGTGTTGTTCTGCTTTTCGGCCCCGCACCACTCCTTCCGCCTCCTCCTTCTCCTCCGTTATGACGTGATTTTTCGAAGTGATTCACAACTGTTTTGCGGGATGAGCGCCCTCGACGCCAAAAAGATGAATAACTTGCGATTTTGAAAGATGGCCTTGGATACGGACCGAATTCGGCCGCTGACTCGCCTCGTATCAAGAAATGAAAGTAGCCGGAGAAAGGAGAAGAATGGGCGAGAAGAAGAAGAAGGAGAAGGAGAGAAACTCGGTTATTTACCCGTCCGGAATGACCTGACGCCGGCGGACAGATGACGTGAGAGAACGGCCGGAAATCATATTCCAGAAGCCTTCCAGAAGCCACCTCTGTTCATTCCAAGAAGTGGAATTGAGACGGGTTTTGCAGAAAACTGAAAATCCATGAAATCCTCGTTTCCTTTCTGGCAGAGACCGACGAAAAAACCGAGTTCCTAGATGCAATCGGATGTTCCAGAAGTTTTTGAGAAAGCAGGTTCGGTGTCCGTGCGCCAGACAGTCTGAGCCTTCGTTCCGAGCGAAAGTCCAGTTCGGTGATTGCGGTGTGTCCTCTCGTTTCTTCATCTGAATTTATGACTGTCCGCAGCTGTCTCGAGAATGGCTTGTTCCATTCGCCATTAGCTTCTTCTTCTTCTTCTTCTTCTTCATCTTCTTCTTCTTTCTCTCGGTCTCCCGCGCGGGAAACGGCTAATTCGGCTGTCGGACAGTTCCGTAATCTCGCAGAGTATCATCCAGGCGCCGGGCGTGTGCGGGCGAGGGGAGGCAGCCGAGGAGAAAAAGTGAAAAGCTATCAAATCGGGCTATAATATCTGGTGGTCGACGGAGGAGGAACGCAGCCTCTCCATCGAGATTGGCCTGCCGTCGTCTCGGAAAGGTGCAAAACCCGTTGGCAAGTCCGCATTCTTGAGGAGAAGGCTGGCAAATGGCCAAAAAAGAGGAGAGACAATCTCTCAGAGATTGTTGTCATGGATATGCAAATAACTAATGGGTCAAGGCTTATTGTCACGGGAGAGGAAAGTGGCCAAATTCCTCGCATCTTGAAGGTTACCGTATACTTTCGATTCGCAGGTAATCACATGATCGCGAGAGTAGATTGCGGACGGAAAACGAGAGGAAGAATGAGGTGTACCGGCGAAAGGGACGGAAAGAGGACTTCAAGAGGGTCGACCTATCAATGACCGGATGCCACGTCATGCGAGGATGATCGATGGAAGCTGCTTCTCGTAGTAGATTGGCAGGCAGCCGGGGACAACACGATCTGCATCTGCAGCCACATCCACATCGAATTCACATGCCAGCCAATCCAGTGCGAAGCATTTCAACGACAGGAGTGCCACGTCGTAATGAGAGTGAGAGTACTGTAGATGCGTGAAGACTGGAGTCATCCAGGAAGATCTAGTTCTGAAAGACGGCCGAAAGATGGAGAGCGAGGGAGCAAGCGCCTTTCTGGTGACAGACCTTCGGTTCGGGGCCGTCCTTTTTCCCTTCACACCTTCGATCAGTCTTCTTCGGGCAAACAGGAACTTGCCGGGTTACGGTATCCCTTTCTCTTTCAACTGTCATTTCTTTCCAATTCAAACGTATCTCTTTTGTCGTTCCTCTTGTCAATCAACTCGATTTCGTTTCCAATCTCGGCAGCTCATCAATCTCCTGAAGCCGCAGAATTTGAAAGAGTCTCTCTGTTTTGGGCGCAGTCGATTCTGTCAATCTCCAATCAGATCAGTGCACTTTGCGAATCGGAGAGAAGGAGCGACGACCGTCGGCAAGTGCAAGGTTATCAGAGAATTCGAATTCTCGACGTTACGAGTTGAGAAAATGAGACCTTCTTGTGAATTTGAACACAAAAAAGTGGAAGAGAGACGGCCTTCGTTCGGACCGATTCGAACCTTGATACCGCAATAACTTATCTGTCCTGGTCGACCTTATTCTAATGCTTTTTTTGGTGTCCGGTTTGATTCAAAATGACTTTTTTCTTCGAATTTGAATTGTTTCGTAGACAAAAACAGAGCAAGGACAAAAGATTGGTGACGAAGACAAGCGGCGACGGGCCGAGGACGAGTGAGTCAGTCAACCAGCGACGAACCGCCGATTTGAATTTGAGGAGAGCAAACTTGAGTTCAAGGGACAGGAAGAAGTACGGTATCGGATGGGAAAGTAGTTCCAGAATGCTCCGACCGGCTCCGTCGGTTAGCACTCTTTGGATGAAACGGAAGAGTGAACTGAAGGCAAGTAGTTGGCCTATCGGAAGAAAACCTACAAGGTTCGAAAGATCTCAACGAGAGGATTTCAAATGTGTTCTTTAATTCTGCATCTGACCTCTAAACCTGTAGAAAAACTGATCTGAAGTTATTGCAGCGGAAGTGAAACTGAAAGTTAACGAGACATTGTAATTGAAACTTTGCATAAATTAGGTTTTTGCATCGAAAGAGTACAGCGCGAAAGAAATCTGATGAGAACCAGGTTTCTAAGAGTTTCAGATGATACCCGTTTCTGGTTTAGGCAATCTCTCCCCAACCAACTGGTGGTACACGACCTCAAGAATCCCAGGCTCCTGTTCCCATGGTGCCGGCAGTCCCAATCCATCGGATCGTCCTCCGGTTCCGATTCACTCCCGAACGTCCTCCGTTATGCTTCAATTTGCAATGCAAACATCACGTGATGCAATTCCTTTCCGGAGGAGGTCTTCATGTCCTTGAGTGTTAATAATTGGTCATTCAAGTCGAATTCCACTTGATTTCAGAACGCCAAAGGGCCTTTGTGTAGTGTGATCCCTTTCAGAGACTACAAGTGGAACTGAATACACCGACTTTCGGCGGCGATCCGTGTGAAAGGGGCGGCGCCTGAATGACAGCTGAAGTAAGTTCCACCGGTTTGAACATTGGTGTTTCGCCCGGAATTCGCATAAATCCAATAGATGAAATACGCAATCATCGTCGTCATAAAAAGCAGCGTGGAAAGCCTGTTCGGTAGTGTTTGTAAAAGTGTAGTATATCCGGATTTCGGTTGCGAAATGTTACATTCTATGGGATTTGGGGGGAGCCGCACAGCTTCTCGTCAAGATCAGGGAGTGCGCCGATCGGAGAGACTCAGCCGAATCGCATTCAACTGCGCAGTAGGAGGGAAAAAGTGGGCAGGTACCTTCTGCCATTGGCGCTCAACTATAAAAGCTGCGGTTTAAGCTGGGAATACCAACAACAGCTTCACCCATTTCTCTCTGAACATGTCGTTCCTCGCCAACCTTTGTCAAACCGTGAGTACTTCGCATTCCTTTCTGAAGTTTCCCTCTCTTTTTCTTTGAAGGCACTCGTCGTCTGCTTCGTGCTCCTCACCATCTCCACCAACGAAACATTGGCCTGTCTCGGAGGATCCGGAGGAGGATGCTGCATGACTTCCGGATGCCCCAACCCGTGCGCCGGATACGGAAAGAAGTAACTTCTGCTCAGCACTGTCCTTTCGCGCCAACTACTGTCAATGTCAAATTATATCTATTCTGTCTGTATATCTGATTTTCCAAGTATCCGAAATGAATGTATTTATTCGCGTCTTCCGCTGTTTACTGCTTCCGAATGTCAACCCAGTCCCTGCCGGCCGTTTCTCGCCGACTGTGCGTTTTTGCGTGACCGTGTACTGTTTGTGTGTGTGCCTTCCGCGATAGCGGCAATTCCGAAACGAAATTTCTTGCGACCGATGCGGCTCAGCGACACCCATTTTCCAATTATACGTATGTACACGTTTTCTCGATTTTCTAAATTTTCTGAAGATTCTATAAATTCTTTTGTATCTGTTCTATTCGCGTTGTGCTCCGAGAAAGACACCAAAAGTTCCAGAGAATGCAGAATGGAAATGCAGGGCGTCAATTGGAAACTCAAAGAGTCGACCTGAAGTTCTTCGATCTCGATGATATCATCGCCTTGTCGGAATCCACTTCTTGCACGTTCGTGGCCGAGGAGTTGAGCCTAGGTGTGATTGTTTCGCAAAGAGAGTTTCACACTGACATCCTTCTAGATTTTTTCAAAGAAATGATGGGAATTTCAAAGCCGACTGTAAATTCAGAAGGACACTGCGCAGATACTCCACTTTGGCTTATCAATTCAGTCAAATCCCCTCATTTCGTTAGTTTTTATTTGTATCGAGAAATCAAGACAATTTGTTTCAGGTACACTTATCACAATCGTTGAGTGTGAATATGCAAAGTGTGCTCAACGCCGACGCTCGTAACGTAAACCTCTCTCGATTAGAACAACACTTCTACGCGAACGGAATGCAAGTATGTCAGCTGATGAGATCCCAGAATCCGGAAGCCGCTTTCAATCTCTCCAAATGTTTGCTTTCCACGCTGACGCAACGGCTAGGAGGTTTCACTTTCATAGTAATCTCAAGGTTTCAAACATAACCATTCAGACATCATTTCGAATGCTGCACACGCGCGGAGAAAAGCCGACAAATTCGACAGTCTGGAAATACAAGTGTTCCAAGAAGCAAAGAAGTGCAAAGAGGATATCGATGCTTGGTTGCGGCAAGATAATAAACCAAGTTCCAAAAAGCGGAAAAGAAGAAACAGTTAACAATCTATCTGCCTCAAGTAATTATCATATTCTCCACCGGCTGTAAATAGCATTATTCCTTCGCTTTTTTCTAACCAAATTTTATGAATGAGCTTCTTTGTATTAATAATATATTCGTCTCTTACATGGCCGCTCTTTTTTCAGATAATAAACTATATTTTGCTTAAAACAAAACTAAACAATAGAATTTGTTCAAAAATACTGAGGACGGCATAGCAAACTACGAGAGGGTGTCCTAAAACTCTGGCAATTCGTTATTAATCTAATTAGACGTTTTATCAATCTAATCCAAGTCTACTCGAGTTATACGGCGGCCTTATTAGATTGATATCGCACCTAATTAGATTGATATTCCACCTAATTAGATTGATATGCCACCTAATTAGATTGATATACGATGGATAACATGAAATCGATAAAATTAGAAAAAAAAGTGTTTATTGGGCAAGAAATAACAGGAACAACAAAAAAAACAAGAAAACAACAAAAAAAAGGGAATTACAAGTTACTTTTTCTGTGGAGGAGCATCATCGGCAGTAGCATTTCCCTTGCGTTTTCGATTGTCGACCGATCGTTGGTGGTTGCTGAAAAGTCCATGTCTCAGTAGGAAAATTGAATGGGAAATCTTACATTTTGTTAGTGATATGTTCTTTAAATAAGAGTCCGACGTGGCTAGAGATGTCGTCGACGACGCCACCTTCCACCGACAAACATTCGAGAAGCATTCCTGTAATGTCGTATTTTATAGTTCAAAAATAAGGAATATGTAACTCACGAACTGGCTCATTCAGCAGCTCAGCCGGAATAATCGTTCGTGACGAAGACATAGGCTTCGTGCTCGTGGTGTAGTTCCCCATCTCTTCCGGTTTCAAAATCTGAAAACTTTTTTCTGTAATATTAGAGGTAATTGAAATGAAATACCGCTCGAAGCCACGCGTTGGCGACGTGATGGACAACCGTGCGCAATGTTCCTGACATTGGCGACGTTCTTTGAAAGACGGTATTCACACACACGTCTGAGAATTAATCACAAATGAGCTGGTAAGTGAAAGTAGCGAATGATTACCGTGGCCGTTGGTGGTGGTGACGACGGACGGCTCGGCTTTCCTCACGCATTGTGGATTGAATGTAACCGTCGCCTGCGGAACATCTTTTGACGAGTTTTTCCCGTGGGAATTGGTGCGGTCTTCGTAGAGCGCCTCGATCTGGGAATAGATGTTGGGACTATATTGAAGGGCTTTCTTACTACGTGCATCAGGCCCTTCATCATGAGACAAGTGGCTTTGACGTCATCCGATCCATGGTTGATCATTTCGTTAATTGCCGAATAATCAAAGGTCACCCGACAACGAACCGCATTGACCAGTTTTCTCTGGAAAACAGGAACAAACTTGAATGAACTATTGATTATCTTGATTACTCGAATGTCCGCCAGAATTTCCTCGCTGAGATCCCCGATCTCGATTCCTAGCGACAATGGGCAGATTGCACCGCGAGAATTGGACTTGGACGACGGCACAGGAACTGCCTCTTCGAAGAGCTCATAGTCGTCATCGTCATAATCGCTGTTGTAGTTCCCGACGGCTCCAAACTCGCCTTGATCGTCGACAACAAGCTCGTCTTCCCCCAGTTCTTCTTCCAGTTGCTCACCGTTCACCAGTGCCACCTGAACAGGAAATTTGGATGTATTAGTGAGTTTTGCAGCTCACCGGTTTCAAAGGACTCCTGAAAAGCGGCTTGCGAGGTGGTGTCTTTTTAGAGGCGGACATTTTTGAACCGTGCGAGTACTCCTTGTGGTCGTGATGGGAGCGAGAATATTGCTCCGGTTTCTGCAAAATGTGTACTTATTTCTTCCAAAAACATATCGCAATACCTTCGTTGTTGCTGTTTTCTGTTGCGAGCGGCGGGGAGTGCTCTGATGGATGGCTGACTGTCGGCTGCTGGATCCCGCCCTGCCATTGATTTCTCGCTGTGTGTTCGGTGCTTCGTTTCGCTGCTTGAACGCGTTCAGCATATCTTGAACAACACGCATGCCTGCAATTTGTTTAGTACGGCTTGTCACCGTTCTCTAGATATGCGAAATGAGCATGCAACAGGCCTATCGTTAGAGGCGAAAGCAATATGAACAGAACAAAAGCAGATTATTTGTTAAGAAGCGGTTGGGCGGGTGGAAAATGGCAGTACAACAGAAACATTTCCGCTTTGCACAATGACAGAGTGGCCTAACAGCTGATGAATGTCCAATATTATTATTTCATCCGTGGAAGTAGCAATCGAACCGAAAGCAGAATCGTAGAGAGAGTCCAGGACGGATTGGGAAACGTCACGCGGTACGCCGGCTGACAGAAGCCGTCCTGACAACCGCAAAACATGCTTGTTTGTCAATCCATATTTCTGAATGATTACGCGCCTGGAGGTGTCGTTGTGAACGAGGAATCCCATGATTTGGCCGTATCTGTGGTGCCCGTTCTCAGAGTAAATCACTTTCGAATCGTCGCACTGCGCTCGTCGCAGTGTAGAGAACTTCACGCCGCGCACGTACTCAATCGTCGAAAATCGCTCATCTGCAAACGCGAACGTCTTGAAGCGCTCAGGCACCTCGGTAGTCCGGCCACATCGCTTTTGAGTCAATTGAAATTTGTTCAACAGAGCAGCTCCGTGCCACAATTCACCGAGATCCGCGTATTCTAGATGTCTGCGATGAACTTCGGCCTTCAGTTCTTGAACAGTGTGGGCGCTGAAATAATGATAGATCAAAAAGTCCATGCGGATAACCTTACTTTCTCATTAAACTCGTCGGGAGACCGTTCGTAATTTCAGAAACTAAATGCCTTTGTAGAACATGATAATAGTGTTCGTGTATCTGCGTGCTAAGCGGAAGCAGGCTTCCGAACTTTCGTACATTATCGGGCAAGTGGTAGATAATTTGCTGTAAAGTGATACTAGTTATTTGGTAACACTTGGAAAGCAATGCCTAACGTGTACTTTTGATCCTCGTAACAGCTCCGGACAAAAGGAAGTTACTAGAGAATGGAGAGCGTTGCAAATGCGGTAACACTTCCCGTACAAATTGCGGTCGTCGACGGAAGTTGGACAGATGTTTAGTCTGAATAGAGCATGGATGAGTAGACAGATTGCCGACGGGATGGGAGGCAGCTGCTCCAGAAACGCATTTGCAACAACAATAGATTGAAAAATCTGAAATTGACAATGTAAGAAGGTGCTTCCTTAATAAACTCATTCCGACGTACACAAGACTTTTCGGTGCCGGTAATATTAGAAAGTCGCCCGCTAATAGTTCCATATCGCGACGGAATTCGGACATTCGTACCGAGGTCTACGTGGCAATTGGCGAAGAGTGGTAATCTTTTTGTAGCCGACATTTCTGCAATGGTTCTTGCTAGTTTCATTCGTCACGATTCGTTTTCTCATATATTTTGTCCCACCACCCCGCCCCGCGAATCAATAAGTCACATTCTCTTTTCAGTTCAAAACGGCACAGTACCATTCGAATTATTGAAACGCGTAGCGGTCGCGTTGCGGTCAATGACAACAATTTTCATTTCGTAGCAATTAAAGACTGACCGTTCAGTAACCTGTTGTGGATCCCTTCGGAAAATAAATGGAACATATCGAGGGGAGTTGTAAACATTGGGACCACTTCGTGGAAAAATGAATGTTGTCCTCTAATTTTAAGGCCATCGTCTAACGCATCTGGCATCCTCCGATCGTATTTTTCGCGCACTGGAACGTTTTACTACATTATGTTAACATGACATCTAAACGTACGCTTTGTCGAACCGTTGTTGATCTTGCACAATGTCTGTTGATTCAGACAGTACGGGCAGGAGCCGCGAGCCGAATGTCCTTTGAGATTGTAGAGTAAGCGTTTTGCCTGAAATTGGCATTAATTTTTCGTTTTTCATTTCATGTCGAATACCTGATCGTCATGTACACCTGTGACGAGTTCGAATCGAAGTTTCAACCCATTCCATTCGTATTCATCACAAAAACTGTGGAGAATCCATCTTACAATTCGATCGTGCGTTTTGCTGGTTGGGTCTTCATGACTGGAAAAAAGCGCTAGCAACATTATACTTCTTGGCGAACACCTGTCGACGTCTTCTAGATCTAAACACGATAGTGTCAGCGGCCAAATCTTCATCTTTCCTCGTTTATGAAGACGGATTCCGTCGAAAGCACATTGTACGTGAATTGTCATCGTTCCTGGGTCGTTCTCCTTCAGAAGTCGCTCTCTCAGATCCCCGCAGTTCATTGGAGACGAGCTCCTGGCATTATTCCGCACATTATCTTGAGTATATTTGATCTTAGCAGCGTACAGTTCGACGAAAAATTGAAGCCTATCGCGGATGGCACAGAAGACGATTTCGCATTTCTCTTTCAAAATGCACTGACATCTGAACGACCAATTACTGATTCCTTCTTCCATTCTTTACCTTACCGTTCAACGTCCTTCGAGCAACGATTACAAGCAACAACTCTACTAAACTGTGACCCGTCAGTTATAAGTTGTTTAATCGTTTCCCGGTTCCTCACATTCTCAGCCACAAAATAGTCGTTTACAGCTGCAAATTTATTGATTTTTTCGCGGGAATCCCAGGCATTGATCACCTCTTTTCGAGTTAGTTTCTGATAGTAAGAACGAAACTCTGCACAAATCTTGTGTTGTCAGCTTTCTCCACATATTTTCTTCAAGAAAAACAGTTACAATTCCTTTAATGGGTAAAAATATTACCCCGAGTGCTTATCTCACGTAACTCCTCGGTTTCCACTCCACTTTCATCATATGACAGATCGAACTCATCTGGATCTTCATCACTTGTCCCACAGCTTAACATCTCATCGCTCTCCGATTGATATTCGCCGTTCTCTTTTGCATCATTACAATGAGCTCCGAGCGTCCGCTGCGCACTTTCGACAATTGACCGCGTGGTTATACGTCTCCTTTTCATTGTAGAGTTCCTGAAAAACAAACTGATCAATCCAAAAAACAAAACTTCGCATTAAAACTGTATTCACAAGCGCAAAAATTTCGAAAATAATCTATCTCATTAGACGTCAACCTTTTTGCTGGCGCAAAACTCGATTGCGCCAAGAAATACAGACCAATCTAATTAGATTGCGATTAGATTGGTAACAATCTAATTAGATTAATAACGAATTGCCAGAGAATAAGAGATGTTCGAGTCCGCTATTTTGTCACCCTCCAAATTTAAGTTGCAAGTGCGCTCCGCTGAACATGTTTGAATGCGCGGGCGAGTAAGATGTGCAGGACATATGTCAAAACTGTGGTAGCGTAGAATTCTTCCGAAATGTTCTCGAGGTTTTCTGAACTTGCGAATTTTCAAAAAAAAAAAGATTGTACAAATTTACCGTTAATACTGTATAGAAGGGCGTGCCGTTCTATTTTTCAGAGTGTCCAAAATTAGATTTCGAAATTATAAAATCGTATGAAACGTACGAAAATCGACTTGAAACTGCTCTAGCTTATTTTGCTGGGTGCCCTTCTAATAAAGATCCCTTTCTGATACAGTATTTACGGTAGTTGGAAATCTGCGTATTTTTGTGCTTTTTTTTAAACATAATTTTTGTGTGAGACAGACGTTACTTATTTAGATATTTCCTCTCGTAGTTTTTATTTCACCTGAATTTTTCAATTTTCAGGGTTACCAAGTTAAACAATGACTGGAAGCACTGAGACTCGCAACAACGAGAAGACGGTGAAGGAGGTAAGCGCCTGTTTATAACAACGAGTTAATGTTGAAATAGCAACCACAGATCGAAGGATCTGATGAATCCGACAATGAGAACGGCGAGCAGGAGCTCACCGAGGAGCAAAGACGTGTGGCTGAGGCTGCTGGACTTGGAGAGCACATCGACAAGCAGGCTAAGCAGAGCCGCTCTGAGAAGAAGGTGATTATAACGTTTTTTTCAATGCAACAACCGAACTTTCTAGGCTCGCAAGCTCTTCTCGAAGCTTGGACTGAAGCAAGTGACCGGTGTGTCCCGTGTGTGCATCCGCAAGTCGAAGAACATTCTCTTCGTCATCAACAAGCCAGACGTGTTCAAGAGCCCAGGATCTGATACCTACATAATCTTCGGAGAGGCCAAGATCGAGGATCTTACCCAACACGCCCAGATGTCCGCCATCGAGAACATGAAGCCAACCCGCGAGGCTCCACAACTTAAGACCGTCGAGGAGGACGAGAACGAGGACGTTGAAGAGGACTCCACTGGAATCGAGGAGAAGGACATTGAGCTTGTCATCTCCCAAGCTAACACCACCCGTAACAAGGCCATTAGGGCTTTGAAGGAGGCTGACAACGACATCGTCAATGCCATCATGAGCCTGACCATGTAGCTTGTTTTTTGATGGTCTTACAGATACTCTTGTTATCCGTTGTATCTGTTGTGCATCTCGTTTTCCTTTTCAAGTAAATGGTTCCCATTCGATCTGTCTTGTTCGTATCATGGGAAAAATAATCTGCTGAGATATCAGGTCAACTTTCTCTTCTTCGAGTTTATTATTCACCAAATTTATCGAGTAAGCAACACGTTCGAAGGGTGAGCGAATCAGCAAACGTCCCTGCATGCGACGCATTTATTTCCTGCCCTCGACACTGATGTTTCTTTTTATGATTCATCGCCATCGCTTACATTTCAATCTAGTTTCTTTGTGTGATAGGAAAGACATCAAAGCGGGCGCGCCAGGCAATAACGATGCAAGTGCGCCCCAGCAAACACGTTTGAATGCGCGGGCGCTCTTTCGTTAGATGTGCAGGTCATATAACAAACCGCATCGACCAGCCACTAGCAGCAAGTTCCCGAGCTGTTATAGATTTTTTATACGTTTAAAACCGATTTTCAGAAAGCTTCTGAAAATCAACTGTTGTGAACTATGCTAGAGACCAACTATATAGCAATATTGAAGTGAAAACTTCCTTCTGAACCTCCTTTTCCGCCTTAAAATGACGTCACGTTAAAAGCTGAAATTTCGCAATTTTTCAGCCAGTTTCATGATCGAATGGCTCGTAATGAAACGTCCCAGCAACCCAGCAGTTCAGGGAGTAACGGAGTGCCAGGACAGCAGAACGGGTCAGCCAAACCATCCAAAGTCACTGTGAAAGGTTAATTTTTCGTCTTTGTTCTTGACTATGTCACCATCTTCGATTCTAGTCGTCAATGCTTCATTCGCGAAACCAGTTGATTGCTATATCGAAGTCAGTAGTGATACGTCATCTGCGGCGCCAAAAAAGACGACAGTTAAAAAGAAAACTTGTGCACCGGAGTGGAATGAGCATTTGAATATTCATGCAAGTGATTCCTCAACTTTATCTTTCCGACTTCTTCAAAAAGCAAAACTATTCGAAGATTCATGTTTGGGAGTCGCGAAGGTTAAACTGTCCAGTGTGGTGAAAAACGAAAATGGCGAATGTAAGACTGCAATTTTTTAACCAATGGTTCATCACTGATTTCAGTCAAAAGCGACGTTAACACATTTTCTCTGGTCGCGAAAGATACTGCCAAGGTTGGCACTCTCGGCATAATTTTTTCTGGATATGTTGAACGGAAACGGAGGAGTGCTGGTATAAGCAGGGCTGAAACCGCGACTTCTGCAAGTTCTGAAGCTTCCACTTCCAATGGAGCTGTTTCTTCATCGAGAAGGCCAGCAACAGCTAAACGTGACACATTGACGGTTCCAGCGGTATGACTAATGTAGTCAAACACGTAATGTTTACTTTTCATTTGCAGAATGGCGCAGCTGCGGCCACAACGCCACCAGAAGAGCAGCTACCAGAAGGGTGGGAGATGAGGTTTGACCAGTATGGACGCAAGTACTACGTGGATCACACTACAAAAAGCACAACTTGGGAGAGACCGTCAACTCAGCCTCTTCCAGCAGGATGGGAGATGCGGAGAGATCCAAGAGGAAGAGTGAGTGACGTCCATGAAAGGCAGATGTTTTTAAACTGAAATTCAGGTGTATTATGTTGATCATAACACTCGTACGACAACGTGGCAACGACCAACCGCCGATATGTTGGAGGCTCACGAACAGTGGCAATCCGGAAGAGATCAGGCAATGATCCAATGGGAGCAACGCTTCCTCTTGCAACAGAATAACTTCAATGCTGATGATCCGCTCGGTCCTTTGCCAGAGGGATGGGAGAAACGCCAAGACCATAATACTAGCCGGACGTACTTTGTGAACCATGTAAATAGAACTACACAATGGGAAGACCCACGTACCCAAGGGTTAGTTAATTGTAAATCGGAATTGTTCTCGAGGTTTTTTGTAGTGGCTCCGATCAACCGTTGCCCGATGGCTGGGAGATGAGGTTCACCGAACAAGGAGTTCCATTTTTTATCGATCATCATTCCAAGACAACCACCTACAATGATCCACGAACTGGAAAACCAGTTGGACCACTGGGTGTGGTTGGAGTGGCGTTGGAAAAAAGTTTCCGGTGGAAAATCGCACAGTTCAGATATTTATGTCTTGTAAGCAAAAACAACCTAGAAATCAACACGGTCTGAAATTTCAGTCAAACAGCGTTCCTAATCATGTCAAGATCACGGTTTCAAGAAACAACGTTTTCGAAGATTCATTCCAAGAGATCATGCGCAAGAATGCGGTGGACTTGCGAAGGAGATTGTACATTCAATTCCGCGGAGAAGAAGGACTCGATTACGGAGGTGTTGCCCGTGAATGGTTCTTCCTCTTGTCTCACGAGGTTCTAAACCCGATGTACTGCCTGTTCATGTATGCCGGTAACAACAACTATAGTCTTCAAATCAACCCCGCTTCATTCGTTAATCCTGACCATCTCAAATACTTCGAGTATATTGGAAGGTTTATTGCCATGGTGAGAAGTAAACCAGGCTATTTATCTGATTTCTTATTAAATTCAGGCTCTTTTCCACGGGAAGTTCATTTACAGTGGTTTCACAATGCCATTCTACAAAAAGATGCTCAACAAAAAGATTGTTTTGAAAGACATTGAGCAAGTCGATTCTGAAATCTATAACTCATTGATGTGGATCAAGGATAACAACATTGATGAGTGCGACATGGAGTTGTACTTTGTCGCAGACTACGAATTACTTGGAGAACTGAAAACTTATGAATTGAAAGAAGGAGGCGCCGATATTGCAGTGACCGAAGCGAACAAGGTAACATTCATTACTTGAATGTCAGTGTCGAATATAATTTTTTGTTTCAGTTGGAATATATTGAATTGCTGGTGGAATGGCGTTTCAATCGTGGAGTGGAACAGCAGACGAAGGCTTTCTTCACAGGATTTAATTCCGTATTCCCACTCGAATGGATGCAATATTTCGACGAACGAGAACTCGAACTGCTGCTGTGTGGAATGCAGGATGTAGATGTGGATGATTGGCAGCGGAACACCGTCTACAGGCACTACGCTCCACAAAGCAAACAGGTAACTAACTAATCAGTCCTGTGTTTTCTCTTATCTTTTCATTCCAGGTGACGTGGTTCTGGCAGTGGGTGCGAAGCCTGGACCAAGAGAAGAGAGCTCGTCTGCTCCAGTTTGTCACGGGAACGTGTCGAGTCCCTGTGGGAGGATTTTCCGAACTCATGGGCTCCACGGGTCCTCAGCTGTTCTGCATCGAAAGGGTCGGCAAGGATAACTGGCTGCCTCGTTCCCACACCTGCTTCAATCGGCTCGATCTCCCGCCCTACAGAAGTTACGATCAATTAGCCGAAAAATTGAGCATGGCTATTGAGATGACTGAGGGATTCGGAAACGAGTAGAACAGCTAAACCCTTCCAATTGTATTATCTTTTCTTTCTCATTATTTTTTAAAACAGTGGTTTGTGATAATTCGTGTTGTGATACTGCTTAGGCCCTGGGTATGTACTTATTAGCGTCTTCTGTACTACATCGCTTCTGCGTCTTGGAAATTTGCTTTGGGACTCTTCGTTGTCGTGTAGATGACTGCCGCCTTTCACAACTTTATTTCGTTGTTCATCGCGCTGGAAGCCTTGTAGAACTACGATTACCTTAATGCGTCTAGAAATTTCTTTGTAATGAACGTTTATTTTATACGACACTTTGAATTTGTAAAAATTGGGAACAAAGAACATCAGATATGTGGGGCGGTCTTGTTCAGTCATTCATCACATCGCGGGAAATCAAGCAGAAGTGCAAGAGGGAGAGGGAGCCTTCTTCTTCCGACCGGTCATCTGGCTGCTCTGCGTCTCTTCTCTCTTCCGAGAATCGAATGGAACCCTTCTCATTCTCCCATTTCCCTCGATTTTATACCTCGTTTGACATTGCGATTCTTTCCCCGAGAAACAAATTTTCGACCTTTCCATTATCAGTGTGTATATATTTTTTCTTCCCTTTTCGTATCCTTTTTAATCTTGTTTCACGATTTTGGGCTAAAAAAAAAGAAAAAGTTGGTCGATGATGTTTTCGGAAAAAAGACCGCCCGAGCAATATGGGGGGAAGAATTAAACAAAACATGCAAACTCATCCTTTTCTACTTCCTTTTTTTGGTCCATTTGTGCCTCGAACCCTCGCTTTTCCGATTCCAAATGCTCTCTCGTTTGCCGCCTTTTCTCATCCGATTTCCGGTACTAATCTGTGGAAATCCGGATTCATCGCTTTTCGTCCCCTCCCTCGCTCGTTTTCTTTCCGTCTTCGCTTCCAATAATTTGGTTTTCTCTTCTTTTCGAAACGCCAAATTGACTGTTTCACTCACTGCATTTCTGGCACTTTTCTGCTTTCCGAAACAAACGCATATACGAACAAAAAGTTATGAATTCTTCTGGAGGTTTCCCCCAAAAAGAATTTCGTAGATGTAGATTTACTCGAAAAGTCGCGCAACCATTGCTCATTCAAATTGCCCATTCGTTTCGAGCATATCTACCTGCCAAATGTCAGCCCGATTTCGAGCGCATTTCCCTCATTTTCCATTTTCTCACATTAGTTTTCGTCGGCCGATTTAATTCGAATTCCCCCCTGCAACGAGCTGTCTTCGTCGCTTTCAATCTCATTTTCCCGTTCGTTTTCCAATGACTCATGTTCGTTTTCCTTTTATTTTGCATTCTGAAAGTCTGAACAAATCGAAAACGCTTGTGGAACCGTTCGTCCCCGATTGCGAACGAATAATTGATTGTTATTTCGACGCGAGAACAATCAATTCACTATGTTTTCGTAATAGTGTGAAATGAAAGAATAATATGTTATGGGAGCGACTTTCTGTATTCTTCGCCGTTACCGCCCATGCTCGCTCCTCCTTTCCATCACGGGGAAACTTCGCGTGAATGCCCAATTACCGACATCAATTAACCGGATCCTTTTCTGATTCGATCTATCCACCTCTTGGTTTCCCTTTTCAAATTTGGCTAATTAGTTTACAAATGCAACAAAATTATCGGCTAAGGATGAAGAAATGAGTCGTGCTCTTAATTACCTTCTTCTCCTTCTTGGCTTCACCCTCTTTCCTCTCCTGACGCCCATTCTGAAGTGCCTCTTCAGAGTATTCCGTGCAGAAAACAGCTTACAGACGGATTCTTTTTCCGAGACGGGTCGATCTATTCGTTGTACAGTACCCGTTCTCCCCACTTTACAGCACCTTCCCATTTATTCATTCGAAATCTGCGTTCATGTAACCTGCCGATCTTCTTTTCGTTCATAAATCAGCGTGTCAAGTCGGGGGCAGCTATCACTGCCACCCGCTCATTTACAATCTCGCGACCGTCGGCAAACACGCCTCTCTCACGTCGCTCCTCCTTCTTGTTCCCTGCCTTCTCAAAATAGTCCGTGTTGGGCCACAGTTTGCTCCGTGTCACGTCGTCTGCGTCTCTCCGCTCTCCCCCGTATCTCTCTGGCTGTCGATAACCCCCGCAATTTTGAAACAATCAATCCATAACCCTCGAATTGTAACCGGTTCCCCCCGTCACTCGCCAGTCTCCCTATTTCTCACTGTACACCGTCTCCTCGTTCTTTTCTCTCTGTCTGCCACGCTCTCTCCGTCGGACGTCCAGTGTCGACATGCAATTTGACTCGGAATGTTTAGTTTTTACCGCCATTTCTCGGCTGCTCGAGAACTGACTGATAACAGTCGTTCGGTAAATCATTGCAAGGCACAAAAGGGAGTGTGGGGAAAGGGGAATTAGGGGCCATGTGCTTTGAGTAGGTAACACAGAAAACCGATCTGAAAGTATTGGGAAAAAGACCAAGAAACGAATGGATTGGCGAAGAACGACAAACAGGGGCGACACTACCGTAGTAGTGCATTCGTTTCATTCACCTACCTGCGAGATATCATTTGCCTCTAATCGTCCATTTCGGCACACATTGACTCTCTTCTGTTTACATAACACCACGAACAAAAATCTGTGCCGTGAAAATGCTAGAGTGGGAATCAAAATGTTCAGCAGTACTCGTTTCTCTCTTACGCGGACCGCACTTTATTCGCACTGATCCTTCTCCCTCCACTGATTCATTGATCTCCCACAGACGACACTTGCAGCCGGCCGTCTGCGTCTCCGAATTCATCGAAAGGACACCTTTGAAAAACATTCTCTCAAAATACAAACACCCGCAAACGTTGTTCGTCTTGATAACTCGGGCGCCTGCTATTCATCATTCTCTTCCTCTTTCTCTCTCTCTTTCTCTTTCTTTTCATGATCGAACTTTGACCTCGGGGGCTCCTATCATATTACGGAGGCCTCAAAAGTCCGCTACCTTCCGATCGATTACTGTCTGTCCACTTTCGTTTCTCATACGTTCTGGCCATGAATCATATTTGTTGCCAACAAAAGAACACTAGCGAAATCGAAATGCGGGTGCGGAGGAACATGACTTGTGGCCGTCTGCTTCTCTTCTCTTATCATAACTATTCGGTCGAAGTTTTCTCGAGCAGTCCTGAGAGCTCATTTGTTGGTTGGTGGCTCCACTCTGATAAAGATGAAGTTTGGAGCCGTTTGATTGACATTTCTTCCACCGCATAAAAGCTGAGTTTCAATGTCACTTCGACCTCCAACTTCTTATTCTGCCCGGTTTCCTTTCTCGAAATATGTTATGTCGGTATCCTGAATGACTCATTAAAACCTAAATCATCAGGCGATCAGTCATTCATCATTTTCACTTCTCCTTCTTCTTCTTCCTCTTCTTCTTCTTTGTACCCTTTTCGAACGTGTCATTTGTCTTGCTTCGTGCTCGCAGTTTTCTGAAAACTCATCATCTTCGACCCATTCTGCTCTGTTTCTGATCTTTTTCTGACTACTCTCATCACACTTTTCTTCGGCCCTCGTTTCTTTTCTCTTTTCTTCCTGGAACCCACTTGTTTTGTTGCCTTTTTCTGCCGCTTATCTTCCCGTTTAATCCCTCTTTCGCACGACTACAACCCATTGAATCAGCTCATTCTGTTCTCCGTTATCGTCTTTTCGGCATAGCACATAAACCGCGAAGACGAGACCGTAACACATAATATTATAGTTAGCGGCGTCGTTTGCCAATCTATTTTTTTCTTTATCACTCGACGTTTCGCTGTTGCATGTCGTCATTCTTTCCGCGGCTCTACCGTATTCGTTGCAGATGCAGGAGGGCGAAGAGTTCATCCATCGGCCCACCGTCATCTCGTCCGCATCGGCCTCCCGCCCCCGACACAAGACGTTCGAATTGCTAGGGCCGTTCGGGAACATCTCTCTTGCGGACATGTACAAGGCATGCGGCAAGATCATCGGCCGTTTTCCCATTCCGTTCATCATCGCCACTGCCATTATGTGCTCGGCCGGTCGTGAGTGGATCCTTCCCGGTCCCTAGTGCTCAATGATCCCTTTCAGTCGGAAGTATCGGTTTGGAACTCAAGGACAACGTGCGTGACGGATACACTCCGAAGAACTCGGAAGCTCGTCTCGAGAACAGAATCTACCGGGAATTCCTGGGATCGGAGGGAGATCCAGTCATGACGACCGTGCTGATAACTGCAAAGGACGAAGGATCGATGCATCGGATCGAGTACTTGGAGGAGGCACAACAGGTATGAAACTGGCGGACTCGTGGATTCACAACAACTATTTTTTAAGCAATGGCTCTACATTTCGAAAGAGCTGAAAGCTGACGTCGGGGGAGGGAAACACATGAAATTCTCCGACTTCTGTGGACATTACTGCCACGCCAATGACATCGTTCAGTACTTTCTGGACGCCTACAAAAGCAAGTCTGCGAACCCGAACCTCGACGGATTCCAACTGGACTACCCGATCGCCACTGTGATGGGATACCAACTGCATCTGGAGAGGAACTTCTTCGGCGTTTCCGTTAACAATTCCAATCCAGTGACGAACATTCAGGAAATGAAAGTGCTCACTTTGCCAGTGCTGTCCGAGGTGAAAACGTTCGAAGACACTGACAAATTGAACAAATGGGAGTTGGCCGTGTACAATTATGCGACCGAGTATTCAGCAGACCCGGATCACAAGATCGAGATCAATGTGAGTGAATGTGGTGCCTCCCGGTCGAACGGTTCCTTTTCAGGTGATTGGTGCGGAAGTGGTGGACACTGAAATGAACAAGGATGCGCAGAAGATGGTGCCCTACTTCATCGTCGGAATCGTCTCCATGATCCTGTTCATCTGCCTGACCGTCTCCATCTCCGCCTCCTACTACGGCTACTTCTCGTGGCGCATCGGACTCACCGCCCTCGCTTGCCTTCTCGTTCCCATTCTCGCCATTCTCACTGCTTTCGGAATCAATAACATGCTCGGCAATCGGACGAACTCGCCCATGATGATCATGCCGTTTCTCATCAACGGAATCGGAGTCAACGACGCGTTCCTGACCCTTCAGAACTGGCTGCAGCACAGTCCCGATCTTCCGTCGGGCAAGAGACTCGGGTACATGCTCGCAGAAGCGGGCCCTTCGATCACGACCACCACGCTCACAAATGTCATTGTTTTTCTGATCGGATGGATGAATCCCACCGAAGGTTAGTCCTTCCACGGTGATTCTTTGATTCTTTGCGATGGTGCGGTGAGGAGAGGGAGAAAGTTCGGCCCCGTCCCGTGAACTGTCGTCTGCTTAGTTCGCGAGCCGGCGGCGCCCTCTTCAAGACTTTTTCCGGTCGTCAGAACTTCAGATGACTGCTGTTTTCAGAATACTGATTCATTTTTCCTAATTTTTTACTCGAGGATGGACAAGAATTTTCCTCGTCACCCTCGCAAAGAATGTTTTCTCCCTTCCGCTTCCATACTTTCTCTTCAGAAATGTCCATCTTCTGTCTGGGCTGTGCCATTTCTCTGCTCCTTGCTTACGTCTACACCCTCACCTTCTTCTGCCCAGTCCTTGTTCTTCTTCTCAGTGAAAGAGTCAAAGAACCCAGCAACGTGCGGTTGTCATACTTTTTTTTAAAGATAAATCTAAATGGAAATCCGTTTCAGCTTGAAAAGACGTTCAACAAGATGCTGGAAGTGTACGCTAAGATCGTGTGCAGTCGGTGGACTTTTGCGCTGCTTATTGTCGGAAGTCTCGTTTATTGGGGATTCGGAATTTACGGAACTCTCGGAATTCGCGCAGTTCTCAATACAGCAAAGATTCTGCCCCTGGAAACGCCGATTCGGAAGCCGAACAGAATCATCGAAGAGACCGTCTGGAAGGAGTTCTATCCGGTTACCGTACTCGTCAACAAGCCCGTCAATATCAGCGATCCTCTTGAATTGAATAACTTCCAAATGCTCGTCCATGACTTTGAATCGATGAAAAACTGCAGAGGGTCCGAGTACACGATCTCACCCATCAGAGACTACGAGACCTACTTCTACGGAGTCGGAGCGGAAGACTTCGACTACGAGGAGGAGGCCGTCCACAACACTTCGCAGCGATTCGACTTCAGCAAACTCCCTGCTTTCCTCACGAGTCCGATCTACAAACACCACAAGGGAACGATGAAACTCAACTTTTCCGACCCGTTCGTTTCGCACGAGGTAAAAAATATAAGTGTTGAAAAGTTTGCAGAGTGCCTATCCGGAAAGTGCAGCTGATATTCGCCTATGAAAATGTAACATCTTGGGACGATCGGATTCAGATTATGCAGGACTGGAGACAGATTGCCAGTTCGCACGAGGAGCTGAACGTGTCCGTCTGGAATGTGAATGCGATGTTCGTCGATCAGATGAGAAGTCTGAAGGGACTCGCGATCACAGTACGATCATTTCGCAACCTTCCCATTTAATTCCTTTTTCAGAACTCTCTCGTCACCCTCGGATGCATGGCTGCCGTCTGCATCGTTTTCATCCGAAATCCCCTTTCCGTCGCACTTGCCACTGCCTCCATTCTCTCAATTTCCATAGGAGTCACCGGATATCTCTGTTTTTGGGATCTCGATTTGGATCCGGTCACTCTGTGCGCAGTCATTGTTTCGATCGGAATGTCAGTCGACTTTGTGGCTCACGTCGCTTGTCACTATCAAGTTAGTTGTTGGCTGAAAGGCTCTTCTTTTTACAGAATGTATTCAGGTTCGGTACAAAGAATTCGAGGAGGACGGAATCGTGAAGCGAGTGGAGATGAAGACTCCCGAATCTCGCGTCGTCAATTCCCTTTCGAACGTGCTCTGGCCTATGGTCCAATCCGCTTTCTCGACTCTTCTCTGCGTCCTTCCACTCGCCATTCTTCAGGTAAGACTCCCTTGTTTCCATCTTTTCACAAGACCGCGTCATTTCAGAATTATCTCCCGATGGTGTTCGTGAAGACGATCTTGCTCGTCGTCATCTGGGGAATGTTCCATGGCCTCGTGCTGCTGCCCTGCATCCTGGCTCAGTTCCCTCTCCGAATCTTCGACAAGACCTTTGCCGATTTCCTTTTCGGACGCACGTCTTCTTCCTCGTGCTCTTCCGAAACCGATTCGGAAGAGGACACGACGGCCGACGCACAGGAAATGACACCTCTTTCCGGCGGTGCCCAGCCCTGATTATCTGTACACTGACTGTTTTTTATGCACCTTTTGCTCACTTCTCTCACCTCTCTCACCCCCACCGAACTTTCTAGCTTTATCTGTAGCTTTTCATGGTCTATCACCCTTTGCCGCGCCTTGCGTTCCCCTCTAACGCTTCTTTTCCAATTCCCCCGTGTCACCTGTAATCGGGTCTTTCTTCCCTTCTCAGGGTCGTCTCCCCCTCCGACATTTCCTTTCTATTTTCCAAATGTTTCTTGTCGTCCAACGCATTCTATGTTTCGCATTTTGTTCTTTGTGTTGAAATAAAACAATTTATACAGAAAACAAAGTGACAATATGTCATACTTGGAAATAATTTCCACGTGGAAATTGGAAGATCAAACGGAAAAGGAGCATCGGGAATCGCATGTTTTCGGGCATAATTTGGACACTTGGTCCCTGTAGCAGAGCTGAAGAACACCCCACAGACGACAGTAATCTCCGTAGTCCATGCACTTGATCGGAGTGTTCGTTTCCTGAAAACATCCTTTAGAATCTGAGAATCGCAACTTTGCCGCACCTCTTCAATTGGCTTCGAAGTTGAAGATGTCGTCTCCTGAACTTTTGCTTCCTCTGTAGTCGGAGGATTCGTTGTCGTCGAAGTGAACGATGATGCCGTCGTTGACGTCATCGGCGCTTCTGTGGTTGTAGTAGTTGATGATGTCGTGGTTGAAGCTTCTGTTGTTGTCGTAGAAGTAGTTGTACTTTCCGTAGTCGTTGTAGTTGTTGGCGTAGACTCGGTTGCTGTGCTTGTCGACGTCTTTTGAACAGTCGTCTCTTCTGAGGGCTCCATCGTTGTGGTGTCAATGATTGAGTATCCACGACGGTATGGAGGAATTGCTGAAAAAAGCATAGAGTAGAAGTAGAAACGGAGGAATGCTCTCGTACATGCTCGGGTGGTAGTGCTGAGTTTAGCTCTGATGACTGGCTCAACGAACTGAGCAACGAGCTCATCAGCAACAACTTTTATCGACTCGAAAGTTTCCAGTCCAGTGGGGACAATTTCCCTTTCAGGAAGAAGGAAGCCGTGCCCGAGCATTGTATTCTTCGGCCGAAGTTCAATGAGATACGCGTACGGCACTTTAAGCTGTCCCTTCGCCCAATCGTGAGATCCTCCGGAAGCCTCATCTGCAATCATTTCCCTCCTTTCTTTCCCGAGTGATTTATCTACTCACACATAAGATCGGCGCCTGTTCCCACTTGATATTTCGTCCCGTATAACTCGTAAAGTGCCTTTGTGGCTCTGAGAGCAAGAGGCCGGAGGCCAGTGTGATAGTCTTGGGGATAACTTTGTTTACGATGTCCGTATGGAATCAGCCACATTTGGGAGTAGGAGTGGAGAGAAATGAATGCTTCCGGAGTGTTCTGTTCGAGGAAATCACGGACTGCTTGAGATTCGGGCTCCGAGAAAGCCGAGGAGCCGTGGTAAGTGTCATGACAAGGATCCGAGGAAGAGCCGGTGGCTGAAAGCATCGTTTTGCTAGGAAAGAGACAAAGATACGTACATGCCCAGAACCAGTCGAAATTTCTGTTAAGATCCACTCCGGAGCAGCAAACCGTGCTGAAGTGCTGTCGATGACACTTGGCCGGACTCCGGTTCTTTCTCCACATTCGGTTCTGAATTCAATCCGTTCAATTCTGACAGGAAGTCCCCGGTTGCTGACCTTTTCTCTCGAGTACTCGTATCCATCAGGGTTCATGACGGGGAGGATGTAGAAGTCAATGTGGTCCATCAGCTTGGCCACAGCCGCGTCGTTCTCGTATCCCAGTATCAATTCGTGAGCCATGTACATTGCGACGGCCGGAGAAATCCACTCTCTCGCGTGAATTCCTCCGTCGATCCACATGGAAATCTTCGATCCAAGTGGGTTTCTCTTTCCGGTTATCTGAAGTTGCCTTCGTTGGAAAGTGATAAGGTGTGTGTGTGCTACTGACCTTCATAACGAGAAGAGTGCGGTTCTCGTGACTCTGTCCTATATCGATCAAAGTGATCATCGTCGGATATTCCTTCTTCAGCCGCTTCATTTCTGTGTGGATCTCCTCCAAACTGTTGTACTTATCGTACGCGAATCCGGCCACCGGATTGTAGAATTGATCGCTGCTGCGCTCACTTTCAATCGCTCTTAATGCTTTGATTTGAAGTTCGAACTTCCCTTATTAACTCACTTGGAAAGATCATTCACAGCAACGATGTAGTTGATATTCTGGGATTCGAGATCTCGAACAAACTTCGGAGCATCAGAGGGAGAAACTGTCAAATCAACAATAGCCCCTGTAAATAGAAACAGTAACAGGAAAGTTGAATACTCAAAATGAAGCCGAACCGATATGCGTCGGAGGCTGCCAGAAGTCGAGTTCATAAGGCGACGGATCTTCATAAAGACTTCGGAGATAATTGACACTGCTCTCAGTCTCCGGATTGATTCGGATGAGTTTGAAACTGAAACCGACAAATGCCGCACTCGTATGCTCTCAAATTCATACTCACTTTCGGAACTCGAACGAAGATTCCGAGTTGTGAATAGATTGGGCCTGCTCCAGAAGGCCGAGTAAAAAGAGCAAAAGGAATCGTCGCATCGTCGGAGTGAGGAGTGTGACCGTGGAGGTCGGCTCTCCAAGTCAGAAGCAAGCGCCAAAATTTGACATTTTGTCATATTTGAAGAGGAGCCGTGTATTATTGTGGACAAAAGAGATGCGCTTTCCGCGCGGAGGGCGGCTCCCAGAGAAAGACAAATAGGGAAGAGAGCGGGGTGTTCGTGAAGACTGAATTAGAAAAACGCTGGTTTATTGCCGAATAACGAAATATATACAAAAACAGCAGAACAAGGGGTGGAGGTCAACAGAAGGAGCACGAGTAGGCGCAGTTCTCGCGCATGAAGATGGGCACCGTCCGACACAGCTCCTCGCGCTCTTGAACCCATCGTTTGCACGCGTGCCGCACATCGAAACACGATCCCTCCGTGCCGTCGCCGAAACGGAACACTCTCGCTTTCGGCGCTTCTGAAAAGGGAAACACGATGAGTTGACGAGTGGATCTCTTTCACGAAACCGATCGGCCGATGGCTAATTTCGGAGTGTTCTCGGCTTTTGCGAAAGAGAAGGCAAACACTTTTTATGACGTGGTGGATCTGTTTCAATGATTCCAACTATGACTCAATGAATCCCCCATAGTCTATGACTCCGGAGACTTAAACGACGTGGAATGCCATTACAGTAAGCTGCGGAACATCAGAATTATTTATGAAAAGCAATAACTTTTGAAACAGTCAACGGGGGCAATTACGGTGTAACCGGTTAGGTTTAAACGCATTGAAAACAGAGGGAAATTGAAACTATCCGGATGATCCACAACTACTTCTTCAGGTACAATTACAAAAAAGAGAACATGAAAAACGGTTTCTGCTCGGTGTGCTCACGAACCTTTTGGAGTGGTCGACTTGGCCGCAACAATCCGGTCGAGCACTGCTTCCGCCACCACTCTCACTCCTTCCCACGTCTCTCTGGCCGTCGGAATCAGCTGTTTCTCATCCAAAATGAAGCCGTCCCAATCTGAAAATGCATTCTTACTCGACGGGAACAATCGAAACACTCACTTTTCTCGTCGGGCCTCAACTCGAGCAAGTACACGAACTTGACCTTCGCCTCGTGCTTCGCCCAGTCCTCGGATCCTCCGGACGCCGGATAAAGAGTGTCCGCACCACTTCCGACCACGTATTTAGTGCCGTAAACTCTTTTCAGCGCTTGAGCGGCCTTCTTTCCCACTTCATACTAAACACTCGAGTAAGTTGAAAAAGGAAAGAAAGACTCACGAGATCTTTGATATCTCCTGGATAGGCATCCTTCTTGTGGCCATATGGATGGATCCAAATCTAAAAAAGAAACCGATGCTGTGAAGCTGTGAAAGTATTGATACCGAACCTGTGAGTACGTGTGGAGGGTGATGTACCCGTCGGTCCTTCCTCTGTACCTGGCTGACAGCAGAGCATCCCTGACTGCCTTCGCTTCCGGCTCACTGAACGGGGCGGGTCCCTGGTAGATCTCCGAACACGGGTCGTCACTCGTTCCGCTTTCTTAAATGTCTCCATTTCAGTTCAAAGTTCAACAGCATTGCTTGGGCCACTTATGGGCATGTACCTCTGAAGTGGAAATCAAAGTTCCTATTCAAATCGACGCCTCGGCAGCACCGGTTACGACCCCAAATATCTTTTCGACACTGCATTTTCGAGCGGTTTTTTCGCCAAAGACGCACCTGAAAAGGACAATTTCAACCTGTTGGGGAAAGGTCGCAAACATGAGGGTTGGTGGATGATCTTGTGAACTCATAGCCATCGGGATTCAGACACGGAACGACGACGAACGTGATCTCCTCGAGCAGCTTCTTGATGCCTGGTTCATTGGACCGGGAAGTCAACTGCAATGGAGAAGACATGGAACGTTGCGTAATTCCCTCTTTTTATCAAGTTTTCACTTGCGTCGGAAGGTGTAAAAGAATGGCATTCCACTAATGGGAACGCACTTTTTCGGAGAAAATGAGAAGAATTAGGAGGAAAGGGAAAAGGGATTGATACCTGATGAATGAAGAAAAGAGCGGTGTGGGGCGCGGCCCACTCGCGAGCATGGATTCCCCCGTCAATCCAGAAGATCTTCTTCGTCCGTGAGTCTCCACCGATCTGAGCGATTTGAGCAATGGAAAGGGTGAAAGGCAAGGGAAATCACCTCGACTCCATCGATGGATCTGCCCTCCGTCGTCTTCCCAATCGTTATGTACTGCACCATCCTGGGGTACTTTATCACCAGCTGCTTCATCCAATCCGTCATTCTCTGATAAGACCCATACGTGTGAAAGTCATAGTGGACAGAGGAAGAGTCGTCCCAAAGACGTGGGAAGAGCTTCGATTCAGTTCTGTTGCTCTCGTGTTTGCTTATTAATCTGAACAGGGATTGTGCTCGAATACTCTCTTTTTCCACTCACTTTTCAACATCTTCTATCGTTTTCATGTGCGAGATATCATTGTTTTGCAAGTAATTCAAGAAGAACTTCTCGTTCTTCAACTCCACCATCACATCCCAGAATCCATGCTTGTCTTTGCCCGTTTTCCAAAAGTTTAACTGAAACAGACACTAGGAGAGGATGCTCGGGGACAGAAGAAACTCACGTCATGATCAGTGGCATTCTTGTATAACCGTTGAATAGCTTTGAAGTCATTCTGTGATTTGGGTAGTAATCGATAGACGGAAAAGGATTGAGTGGATAGAGAGACGAGCGAGAGACAGAAAAAGAGCTTCGTCACCAACGTCATCTGCTTCTGCTTCTCCATGTGTCGTCGTCGTCGTCGTCTTCTCCGCCACTCCACGTCGCCACCGCCTCCTTTTCTGTACTCGAATCCTGTTCCGTCTGTCGTCTTCCTCTCTCCCTACCTGTCCACACTATTTCCAAACAAGCGATGGGGCCAGAGGAAGGAAGGGGAGAAGATGAAATCTATCCCTTAAAACCATACCGTCTAATCACTTTGAGGCACCACAGGGAGACGAAGAATACGAGAAAAAACAGGTAGGGTGAGACCGAGAAAAGCGAGAATGCAGCCGAATCGAGATCTGCCTGTTTTTCTTTGAACTTCGGCCAGATCACACACAGCCTTATAATAACAGAGTGTAAATCAGTCGAAAGAGGAAAGTAGAAGTTGCAAATGCCACAATGAAAACATCAAACGATATTCTAGAAGCTCGTGGAATCCCGTTGAGCACATGCTCCTGAAACTTACGGCTTTGGCTCCAAACTTCACTGAAAACTATGCGAGGATACTGTCACTTTCTTGGCGTTTCTCATTTCTCTCACGGTGACACCCACCCGAAATCAAATGATTCACAATACCTGGGTACTTAATCAGAGTGTTACAATACTAACGATCACGAAAACTGATGATTGACGTTCGGTTTCCGCAAGGTGATCACATCAATATCAGTTCGACAACACTGTTCCAACGGCACACCTACCGTAACCCTCCGTCTTTTTATTTTTTGAACTCTTCAAAATCTACGTGAGCTCGCTCAGTGATCGCCCCTCCAGCGATGTTTCCGATTCACGTGGGCCCCTTTTCCTTCTCATTCCCCTCCAGTTTCCTATTATTTCTTCTTGAAAATCCACAATGTCGAGTGTTCGTGAGTTTCCCCCTCTCCCATCTCTCGTCTTCTGTACACTTCAGCTCTTTTCAGCCACTCCCACAGAAGGTTCTTCAACGCCATGGGTCAAAATTATGATTTTCATCGCTGTTGGTGTCTTAATTGTTGCCGCAATCGTTTTCATCGTGATCCGATTCTGCATGAAAGTAGGCTGAGCTGGTTGCTCTGTGAACCAGCAAACATGTTTCAGAAATCAGATGATGAGGACGACGACGACGAGCCGAGCAAGAAGAAAAAGAAGAGAAAGTCGAGCACGTCGGACAGCAAGTCGAAGAGCAAGAAGACCGCTCCGGCCAAGAAAGCGACGAAGAAGGCGCCGAAAGGGGTCGCACAGGTGCCGCTCCAGGTGAAGTCCACGGATGAAACGGTTCCATCGCCGACTTCTTCCGTTGTTCCGACGACTGCCGGATCACAAGAGACAACGGGGGCGGAGGTGATGCCACTGGCTGGAAGTGTACAAGATGAGGCTCCGAGAGATCAGAGGTCCATGGAAACAACGGAGCAGAAAGAGCAAGTGACTGTGCTGTGCACTTACGGAAACGGATGGAAAGCCAAGACGAAGGTAGGGAATAGACGAAAAGTGTCTGTTAGTTATTCGAAATGAAATTGCAGCCCCCCAAAGACTTTTCGTTCTCGATCGAATCCGAGTGATCGTCTTGTTTCTCTTCTTGTTCCTTGATCCCTTTCAGGTCGCTCACCCCGTAATAATGTCACTCTTTGTTTGTATTTTTGCCTCATTTAAGTAATAAACTTGATTTGAAAGCCCGAAATATCTGCCCGGAACTTCCCCTCTTTGCTTTCAAATCGGATTAGAGTCGAACAAAAAAGTTGTGGTGTTTTTGGACGAGATGTCTGTTCCAGCAGTGTTTGTCCGGAAATGCGCCGAGCGGGTGTGAATAGACAGGAACTGGGCTCCCGACTGCTAAGAATACCTCCTTCGGTACGGAAATAGCAGCGGACAGCATTTTGATCAACTTTGGGAGGGTGAACAGTTCCCGAGCACAAGCGGAGAGCATTCTTCCGATTGGGTCATTCGGCCGGCGGGTGCTCAAAGTATTGGAGAAAGTGCGACTCCGAAGTGGCCTCTTCACTTTGTACCTTCCGCCGTCTTAGTTTTTTAAAGCGTGCGCGCGCGCCTCTCAGGCGGAAAGACCGCGACGGAAAGAGCGCTTCGAAACCGATTTACACGTTTCGAAGGAGACTGTCGACCCAGAGAAAAGATGCAAAAACAAACAGAGAATCGGTTGCGCAAACAATGCGTCGTGCTTCTGCTTCTTCAGCTTCTTCTTCTTATTCGTCTTCCTCGCCTTCTTCTGGTATTGCCGCGCGAGTGCGCAGGCGGCCGCCGCGCGGAGGGAAACAGGAGGCGGGAACTGTCTGGCCGTCTGCGCTTCGGCGACGAACACTTGGGGGTCTCCCGCGCCGACGACGGACGCACGCACGAGGGCATCGCCCCGTTGATTCTCCGAGTTTCACTGCGAAGAAGAAGATGTCAACGAATGTCGTCATCCTCCGGCTACTCTTTCTCGTGCCATTGCTGGCATCGGCCCATCAGAAGTAAGTTCTCCTCCTCCGGCCTCCCCTCTTTTTGCTTTTTTGATTGGAGAACCAGTCTCCCTCTCTCTGATGACTTATTGTTCGGAAGAGAAAGAGATATTATAATAATTGCATGACATAGCCGCTAAATCGGCGCATCTTATCTATGATCGCGCCAGAAAAAAAATGAGAAAGTGTCGGAGAAGATGAGTGGACAATGGCTATCTGGACTTTGAGTTTTGGTAGAAGAACAATCACTGCTACCGTAGTTTTACTAGTTTTATCGAGACATTTAGCAACAAAGTTACTATTTTCTAAGATTAGACTAGACCAAGCTCATATGTTACTGTACCTCCTCGTTTTCTAAAATAACTTATATTATCGGAAGTTACGCTAAAAATGAAATCAGAGAGCTCTAGCAAAAGTCGTTTTTCAACTGTATCCGTTCTCAGAAAGTTCACCGTCTGGCGTGTGCAACCAACCACTCAGGACCAAGTCGACATTTTGCACAATTTATATTTGAACGATGTGAAGGTACGTTCCTCCGATCCTCTGGGCATTCAATTCATAATCAGCCCGTTTCTCTGATCACTTTCTCGTTTTTGTCGTGTTACATTGTTATACAAACGGCCTCCACTGGTGTCAACCTGTTCTAGGTCCTCTGAAAGTGTAAGCAAAAAGAAAAGAAAAGCTGGTGACATGTTCATGATCACTGTCACTTTGAATTACAATCATCAGAATGTTGCCAAAGTGGAAACGAATCGGAACAATCTGATGCGTCTGGGAAATGAGAAAAATAGATACCCGATCTGACTGCTCTACTGTTACAGCTCGACTTCTGGAAGTCCCCTTCGGAGGCCGGCAAGGAGGTGCACGTGATGATATCAGACGAGAAGACTCATCAGTTCCTGGAGCAGCTCGATGATCACTCGATTGCACATTCTGTCATGATCGACGACGTCCAGAAGTGAGTGTTAACGATGGCATTCGCAAAGAAACAAAAACGAAAAACCTGTCGAATCGCCCTTTTGTCACACAAATCACCGTGATGATGAAGGGACTTGATTTCCAAATTACACTCTCTTTGCGATGCCTCTAATATGCATGCTGCTGCTACTGAACGGGCGGGCGGATCATCCATTGTTGGCTCGTCACGGACGACCGAACGGACGGGAACCGACTGACTGACCCACACTTTATTGCAGAGTGATTGTCGAGCAGAAAGAGAAGAGGGACAAGTTGCGCAAACAGGTGCGATTACACGACTGGAGGGAGCAAAAGGTAGGAGGAAAGATCATTGCGAAGCATTTCAATCTGATGTGGACAGGTTCAATTCAATCTTGCTCAATATCATTCGTTCGCCGACGTCATCAACTACCTCAACTCTCTCGCGATCACCTATCCCGAATTGGTATCCGTTCAACCAATCGGAACATCCCACGAAGGAAGACAGATTCCCCTCATCAAGGTTCCATCATCTATTTCTTCTCCACAAATTCACATTCTTCGTTCTCCAGATCACCAACAAACGGAACGGAGGCGTGAAGAGAGGCATTTGGGTGGACGGAGGAATCCACGCACGCGAATGGGTTTCCCCTTCCACAGTCCTTTATTTCATCCATCAGCTGGTTACCCAATATGACAAAGACGCGCAAATAAAACAGTATGTCGATCAGCTCGAATGGTACATTGTGCCGTTGCTCAACCCGGACGGATACGAATACAGCCGCAGCAGCAATGATCCGGAAATCCGGCTGTGGCGTAAGAATAGGTCACCTCCCAAGTGCATACAACAGGCGACAGGTACGTTCGGACGACAACGGGGAAGGTCCGCAATAGGCCTGTTGCAGGACTCTTTCAACCACCGACGACCACGTGCTGTCAGGGTGTCGACCTCAACAGAAACTTCGATTGGTTCTTCGGGCAGGTCGGATCGTCGACAGACCCGTGCTCAGAGATCTATCAAGGAGCTTACGCTTTCTCCGAGCCAGAGACAGCCGCTGTCAGGGACTTTGTGCAACGGCACCGAATCTCGACGTTCCTCACATTCCACTCGTACTCTCAGATTCTAATGTATCCATTCGGACATCAAGTGAGAACCTATTCAAACGATTTGAATGACCTGGTAAGATCAGCGTCAACACAAACGTCTACAAGAATGAAATGAATTGCAGAGATCGACCGCATTGACAGCCGCACAGGCATTGAACAGCGTCTACAATACACAGTACAAAGTGGGAACCGGAGCAGACACCTTATGTGAGTTTGGAAAGTTCGAACAGAGAGACAAACTGCTTTCTAGATCCGGCATCCGGAGGATCGGAGGATTGGGCGAAAGGAAAGGCTCATGTCAAGTACTCGTTCCTTTTCGAGTTGAGACCAGAGGAGCAAGTCTGGGATGGATTCCTTTTGGCTGAAAATCAAGTAAGTGTTGCATCCGACTAGAGATGCGCATTAGTGAAGTCTAGAAATTTATTCTCCATTTCCAGATCATTCCAACTGCTCGCGAAACCTGGGAAGCAGTGAAAGTGATTGCAGCAAAGACCATCGAGTTACCCTCAAACACTCACAGAGCACCACCCAAGAGGTATTTCCGTTTATTCTTCTCTTTTTTTCCATTTCTTCTCTTCAGATGCATTGACCACGATTCGCTGTGTCCCTCGTGGGCTCAAGGCGGAGCATGTGAGAATTGGCCGGAGATGCGCCTCCGATGCCCTCGTTCGTGCCAAGTGTGCGCGTGATTTCACACTCGATTCTAGTGTCTTCAACTCCGATCATCATGACAATTCTAGTCTCGTTGCCTCTAATTCTCTCTCTCTCTCTCTCTGTACTGTTCCGATTCTCTGGAACTTTTGTCTTTCCTCATCCCGTTTCTTTCTCTGCTCCTTAATTGTTCGGGTATCAAACTGCCGTCAGTGCTCGTCGTTCGTTTTGTATTTATTGCATTCGATAAAACATTTCAAGGATAAACATCGTACCGATTGCGTTCCGGACAACGACAATACGTGCCGTCCTTTCCGGGAATGCCGGGGAGGCCTGCCTGTAAATTATTTTTGAAAGTACGTGCGGAAACAGTTTGATTCACCTTCCCGTCTGCGCCTTTTTCTCCGTTCCGTCCTGATTTTCCGCTCTCTCCGATTGCTCCAGGTCTTCCGGGTTCTCCCGCTTTTCCAGTTGTTCCAGGACTTCCCTTTGATCCTTTGCATCCATCGTCGCCTTTTCTTCCTTTCTTGCCAGGTTTTGACGTTATTCGTATTGCCCCCATCCCTTCAATCCCAGGCTCTCCGCGACCTCCATCAATTCCATCTTGTCCTGACAGTCCGGGCGGTCCCACTGGCCCGACGGCGTCTTCTCCATCAGCTCCGGGCGGTCCACTCTTTCCCGGATATCCTGGTTCGCCAGTAGATCCGGGATCACCAGGGGCACCCGGAGGACCCGCAGGACATCGAATGCAACCATCATTGGACATTTCTAGAATCACATGTTCCTTTTTGTTTTCGCACTCCCCGCCTACTCATATCCATATTGCTGTGTCCGTTTTCGCCGTCCAAACCGTCCATCCCTGTCATTCCGGGCAATCCGTCGGTTCCTGCTGCTCCAGGAGGTCCTTTAGGGCCCGCAGCACATTTATTCGAAACAGATGTAGAACAAGAGCACTTATTAGGCTCCAAATAATCTCTAAACATCAAAACGACAACTTGATTATGATTTGATCAAACCTCTTTTGTCTCCTGATGGTTTCCAATGTTCTGTACTCTTTCAGAACTTTTCTCGCCGTGCTCCGATAGTCCTCACTGGCCGAAAGAAGATCACTCTCAAACTGAGAAATGTCTTCGAATACAACAAAAGATAGTAGGGCGATGAACAAGAGAGGAACAGTCCCAGCCAGAACGATTCGCTTCATTTCGACGCTCCCCATTCCCTCTTCTAGTTTTATATCCCTCGAGAAACAAGTAAATGGCCACCTCTCCATCTTCATTCCATTCTCCCATTTCTCTTTTCCTGATAATGATTACCTCCTTCTCCTCCGCTCCTCTTTTCTCATCGTAACGCGAGAGAAGAGAAAGTCTCTCATTCCCTTCTCCGGATCCGTGTTTTTGGGTCACTCCCATAATCGCTCTCCTTTTGCCTTCTATCCATTTTCTGTCCATTTTTTCACTTTCCTCCGTTATCCGTATTACGCATTTGTTTGTCTTTCTACCTGCAGATGAACGAGAATACTCGAGAAGCCGCCTACGCAGCCACCATCCTCGTTTCCCTCTTCATTTCGCTTTCCACAATTACTTCGTTCTTCGTCTCCGTTCAGCCGCTCGCTTCCATTATTCGGCCTTCCATCCAGAACGCCGTCAACGATGCAAACTACTGTCAGGTCAGTTTCTTTACTCTATTTGATTACTAACAGTTCCATTCAGGAGAGCGCACTTGAAATGAAAGGAATGCTCTCCGGAATAGGACTCGAATTCCGGAATATAACGAGACAGAAAAGGGATGAAATTGACGAGTTTCTTCGTGAAACGGGTCAATCAGCGAGAGAACGGAAGTGCGAGTGCAGACATCCGCAGGGACCGCCCGGATTGGCCGGAAGAGACGGACTTTCCGGGCCGAAGGGATCCGAAGGAGCACCCGGATTACCTGCCCGCCTGCCTTGCGAACCGCCCGTCGATTACAAGAAGCTTTGTTCGGATCCATGCCCGAGAGGGGTTCAAGGACCGCCCGGAATCACGGTAACAAGTTTTGTGAGTGGGTCACGTACAGATGTCTTCATTTTGTAGGGAATCAAAGGAGATCTGGGTAAGTCTGGAGTTCCCGGCAAAAATGGAATCCGTGGAGAAAACGGTAAAATGGGCCCGAAGGGTGCGGAAGGACCACAAGGAATATCTGGATTAGACGGAGAAATGGGAGACGCGGGTGCCGATGCCTCTCCGAAGCCATTCATTCCCGGACCGCCTGGACCAATGGGAGAGGAAGGGGAGTTCGGGCCTCCAGGGCCTCCGGGAATGCCAGGAATCGATGGACCGATCGGAGCTCAGGGACCGCGCGGAAGGAAGGGAAAGCCTGGATTCCCTGGGAACGACGGAGCGGCTGGAGCAGAAGGACTCATCGGAGAACGAGGAGACGAAGGGAACAGAGGGGTTGGTTGGAATTGCAGTGCAAATCAGAGAGATCTTAATTGCAGGTGTGTCCGACGTACTGCGCCACGGACGGCGGCGTCTTCTTTGTGCAGCCTCCAGAATGGATGCTCCAATAACTTCCACTTTGTCCGTTTTCCAGAGAGCATAACTCCCCTGACCAGAGTCTCAATATCCCAGGAATACGTGTACATACCACCCATTTTCCTCGTCTCAATAAATATTACCTCGCTTTCATTCAATTCGGTTTTGTTTTTTTAATGTTTAATAAGGTGTAACTAGCTCGATTGAGGTAGACTGGTTTATTAGGGATCTGAACGAGGCGGAAAGATTATCAGGAATACATATCAAAAGGGGTTATATAGGTGTCGGATGGAGGATCGGCCGGATGTGGTCGCGTGATTGATCGGACGAGACTGGTCGGTGGCTGAGGATCCGATCTGAAAACATTCCAGTTAGATTGTGTGATGGGAAGCGATGCGCGGGGAGACGCGTCTAATGTATTGGCCATAGCTTCCTGGTCTCAGTCACAGGACAAAGTGCGATCGGGGAGCCGCGTGGGGATGGGTATCCTAAGACGTTCAATAAGGGATGCGCGATCCCTTACAGTTTGGTGCCCGGATGACTCATCGCCATCATGGGCTATCTCTGCGTTGTGTCGCCCGTCGGCCGCCACTTTCTCTCCGTTTCTCTCGTTCTCTCATCTCTCTTCCTTCTCTCTTCCTTCTCTCTTCCTTCTCTCTTCTCTCTCTTTTTCCCACTCTCCCGCATTCTTTTTATTCTCAATTTTTCCTGCTTTCGAAAGATTTCCGTGTTAACATTAACACACATTGAATATTGTTCGGTTCAAAATGAACGTGAACCCGATATTCGCAGACGAGCTGCGAAGCAGTGGAATCACTCTTGCCGCTAGAGTGAGTGAATTCAGAAATCATCGATTATTAGACAGTGTAAACACAAAACATAGGTACTTGGATAGTCGAAAAGAATGTATTTTGCCTATGAGTAGCTGAGAACTTCATATTTTAACTTGATTCAATGCCAAATGATGGTTTTCAGTACCTCGGGAGTATTCCAGTCATGGTGTCCATCAGTGATATGGTCTCCGAGATGAGAATCCAAGTCGTTACGTGAGCATCTGAACGTATAGCTTCGCTTCCATATCCAGTTGTTTTTCAGAGAATGCATAAAGCACGTAGCAGCAAGCGTGGGCCTCAGTCAGGAGACGGAAATCAACCCAGTCGTCAGTCGGGTGAGCCATTCTTCCTCGTTTTGTTTGTTTTCAAAGACCATGCTTCTAGGTTATAGGAGAAGTGCAACAGGACAATTATCCGGTCGATTTGAACATTTCCTCAAAGATGCTCAGAATTATCAGAAAGAATCGGCTCGTCCAGCGGAATCCGTTCGCCTTTTTCTCTTTCGGAGCTCAAGGTCAGAAGGGAACGGACACGGAATCCATGTTCGGATATATCGCAAAGAAACCGGATGGAACGGACAGACGGTGCCACGTAATTTCGTGCAGAGATGTACAGAAATTTATGGATATAATCACCGACGCGATTACTGTGAACACCTTCGATGCACGCGCGGCTGCACAAGCCGAAGGGAAATCCACGGATGGGTTCACAGAGCCGGCTCCCAGCGGACTGGACCCGAACAGACAGTCTTTCGTGTCGAATGTGAGACCTTCGACGGTGATGGACGATGTGAAAAACCAGGTGTGGTATCACGGAAAACTCTCGAGGGATGATGCGCACGCACTCTTAACCAGCCCCGGCGACTTTCTAGTGAGGTGAGATCTTTGAAAATAGAAAGAGTTCATGAGATGAGAAGATTTCAGGAAAAGTGATCACACTCCCGGACAGTTCGTTCTGAGTGGAATTACGGTCGATAACGAGCACAAGCATCTGATTCTTCTGGACAGTAAACAGGTATGTCACATGTTTCTGAAGCGTACTTTTTAATTTATATTAATTGAATTGAATTGAATTGAATTTAATGGCCAGACGGCTCGGGCTCTGCCCGACGACCGAAATTTTTGTCAACTTTATCAATTTTGTTGCAATTAATCAGAAAATTGCCTATCTGTATCATTTAAGTTGAAAAAGGCCCGGAAAAGACTGAAATGTGGAAAAACAGTACTTCAAATTCGAAATTTTAGTATCCGGGCCCGTAACAACTATAGTAAATAAATTGATTGTTTTCAGAGAGTGCGTACCAGAGACAGGGAGTTCAACAACATTTCCGAGCTCATCGAATATCACATGACGAATGGAATGGCGGTCCGATCGGAAGGAAGGGACCGCGAGACTTCTCTTAATTTGATCCGTCCTATCCCGGCTCCCCGTTCGCAGCTCCCAAAATAAATAAAAGTAGTGAATTGCGTAACCCTTTTTTGCCTTCTCGTGCCTGTAATTAGGCAGTTGTCCTTCTACAGTAACATGTCATTACCAGCCGCTCGCTTCCCCTTTTTTCATGCCTCCTCCCCCTTCTTCTGTGTGCGTTGCGCCGCGCTCCAATTATACCCATTCTTACGCCATCTTCCTCTCTCCGACCGCCCACCCAGTCCCATCCTTTCCTACTTGTGCCTCTCACTCTCTATTATTAATACTCTCGGATCGATTTTTTACATCTCGATTCGTTCGCGCCGAATGCTTTTTCTGTGGCTCATCGGCTGGCTTCCGTTAATTGAGTCGGCCGCCATAGTAGACACTTCGATCGCATGCGATAAGGTGAGATTCCCTTCCCGCGGCCTCCGTTCCCACGCTCTCCAGTAGCCTTGTGATGCCTTCCTCTAGACACCTCATGCCATTTACCGATTCCTTTTCTCATTCATATCTAATAAATTGGTAGTAGGTTTCGTTGACAATTGGCTTTATGTACTCTTTGCGCAATGCTTTTTTTTTGAACGAGGTCGCAGTAGTTTCTTCCGTCGGATGATCGGATTTAGAAGCCATCGATGCGGAGAATTATTAATACCATATAGTAAAACTAGAAATTCACTAGGGTCAAAGTCATAGCAACAGGATTAAAACAGATCTGAACATATTTTCCAGACTGACTTTCTTCTGAAGATCAACTTCGATGAAGTTTTTCGAGGAACTATACAAAGTCGTTCAGGCGACCCAAAGTGTATTTATGCAAATGGAACAATTCAGCCGGATACCAAGTATCAGTTGAAGGTCGGTTAACGCAAAAAAGAGGCAATAATGGTTTGTGTGCTTAGATTCCACTGAAAGGATGCTCGACGAAGGAGAACGGAGAAGGGAATCTCGAGAATGAAATAGAAGTTGTGATGGCAAATGAGTAAGGCACTGAAGGACTCTTCTCCTTTCCCTTTGAACTTTTCAGATTCAGTGCAGAAACTGATAAACGATTTCTTCTGACGTGTATTCCAGCTGCTCCAGTTCCCAAGTACGGTTTCTGAGTGTTTCCCCATGACCTCCATGCTTTCCAGAGAATCGCAAGTGACAGTCTCCTTCGGAGGCATCACCATCAATTCGGAAGCTACTACGGCCAGCTCTCTGCTCGACAACAAAGTGAGTTTCGGTTTTGATTTCCGTTCCCATTTGTTTCCCTCAGACTGTCGATTATCGGGTGCGTGTGCTGGACGGAGACAGTCTAAACGCAAAACAGTTGCAACGTCCGCTGGCAGTCGGAGACAAAGTGGTAAGCCACGGGAAGACGCGAAAATCGAAAGTTCAGTGGAAGAGATTTGCAGACGTATACGGTGGAAATGAAGGACGATCAGAACGGAAGAATCGGCAGGTGCTGGGCCAACGACGGCATTTCGGAACTGCCGCTCTCCGACTCACAGGGATGCTCTTTGCAGACTTCTGGAGAGGTAATCTTTTTGAGACTTGTAGCAATTCTGACTGTGAGAACGAATTGTATTTACTGTCTTTTAGGTGTGGGGTGACTTTGAAGTGACTCGAAAGGACGGCAAAACCGTCTTCTTCAACCACATAAAGGCCTGGGCATTCCCGACGAGGTAAGAGGCTTAGACCGTCCTACTTCAACTTACTCTCTTTGTTCTCAGCAACGAAGTGAACATCTTCTGCAATTTGCACGTGTGCGTCACCTGTTCGCAACCCTCTTGTCGTGGACGCGAACGACGCCATCAGATCCGTCCGTCCTCTTCGTTCTCCTCCTCTTCAGCCGTCGCCGATCCCTTCTCGGCATCCGTAGACGTCTCCGACATCTCGCCTCCAATCGCCGTTCGCACTTCTTTCCGTCTGAAACGGGAGAATGTAGCCAGGATGGAGACGCAGTCGGATCCCTCCTCGTCTGCTTCCTCCTCCTCTTCTTCTTCTTCTTCTTCCGCTTCCACTCTGTTCTCTGCCAATCACGTCTTCTTCGTGCCGCTTCTACTTCTTCTAATCGCTGTTTCAGGTGTCGTCTATTAATAAATGTTTTGCAAGAGAAATAATTGGTCTTACATGTACACTCGGATGCATTTGTTGGCAGGCGCCAACTTCTACGACACTTTAATTGGCCCCTCTCCCTTTCGACGGGCAACAAATTTCGGCAAAGTTTTGGTTGGTTATTCCTAAAAGCAAAGCGATTTTATGAGGAGAGAGTCATGTTTTCGAGAAATCTGACAGCTTTCGAAATGTTTTGAATGAAGAACACACGAACCACTAGTTCGTTCGCACCCCCCCCCCCCCTCATTATCGTCTTTGCGCAATGATCATAAATGGCTCGTGTTCTTCCATGTAATAAACGTTTGATTACTTGTCATAAACTCGTTGATTGGGGAGGGTGCGTACCCGGGTGTGCTCTCACTTCTCCGCTCCGATTCTGCACGTGATTTCTCTTCTCTCGTCTTTTTTATCACGGGAATTCTGTACAGCAGACGTAAACAGAAGAGTGGCTGCGGAGAAAAACGGCTCCAACTGATAGGAGAATTGTGCGCTCACTTCCTCGACCGAATTTGTCCTTATCACCTTCTGCCCTTTTCGGTTCACCATGCTTCTTCATCAGCAGCTTCGTCCGATTGTTGTCGGTTCGCCGCAATCCGTGCTCGCAGTCCTTGCGTGATTTATTCGCGCGCCGGGCTCATCCGCCTCCTCAGAGAGATATGATTGATGCGCGACCCGGACCGTCGCCCCGCCGGGAATTTTTCGTTTGCAACACAACACCCAGTCGTTTTTAGAAAGGCATCTCTCCATTGCTCTCCGATTGGCCGATGGAATTCGTTTCGAGAGATCAAATCTTATTCCGGGAAAGGGAGACGCCGGTGGTTGTGGTTGACATATTCCCGTTCAATTGGCATGTAAATGAGCCCCGTATGAATGAAGTGTCCTTTTGGCGGCGACGCGTATCCCATTGAATTAATCTGCCATTGTGCCTGGCCTCCCCCCTCAATCTGTGATGCGTGATGCTTGAAATATGCTCCGAGTGACAAATTGGACTGCTCACTTCGGCCATCGACAAGAAAGATCTGCGTGGCAGATGGCTGGCAGACTCTCGACAAAAACAGTGTGAAAGATGGGGTCGGACGCGCGAATTTAATGGAAATCGGAAAGAAGAGGAGGCAGTGAACTGTTAGTTAATACTGGAAAAAGAGGGGAGAAGCAGATGGTCAAACACACATTTCAGAGCAGAAAAAACAGAGGAACGGCAGTCGCAAACACCCGGGAAACACCTGCTGAGGGCACTGAAAAACAAGTTAGACTTTTATGCCAAATAACACAGAAACAGACGCTAGGAGTTTCAGAAAATGCTTTCCATGTACGTGTAATTTCCCAAGTGGGTTCAACTCCCCCGCTATCAAATCTCGTTACGAGTCGTCCGTCGTTCCCGAATCTGTTTGGTTTTCCCCACAAAAAGTTCCATTCGTTTTCCTCTGGGATGAGCTCCAAACAAAGTTACACAATGTGCACTTTTCTGGCCGTCCTCCACAGCTCGTTTGCTCCAATTGTCTTCAGCCGGAAATCTGATTTGTTGTTTGAACTCATGAAAATCAGCAGAGCAGTGAGAGGAATCTCGGTAGTCAATTTGATTGCGTACGGGGAGTGAAAACCGTTTGCTTATCATTTTTGACTACTGTCGCTTCTCTGCCCGCGAGGAAGGTGGGTGTGCCCGAGAGAAAGATCAGATGAAAGAGGGAGAACTTTCAGCTGATCGAGTGCCACGTGGCGCTTCTGAGTGCACGGTATCCCCTTTGTGCCCGATGATGGCTGTTATCAAATGATTGGCTCCTCTGCTGTTTATTTATTACAGGCTCATAAAACTTCGGGTCGCCAGAGACGAAAGCGCGGAGAGAACGGAGTGAGGAGCGCTGCTCTCTCTCTCTCTCTCTTCCTCTTCTTCGTTTCTTTCCCCACCATGCATACAAATATCTGATAACCAACCGACCAGCCGGGCCTCGACCAGACCCCGCCTCCGGGCCATTTGTCAAAGGACAGACCCCGTCCTGCCTGCCTGCCACTGGTGTGCAGCCCCTCCCCCCGCGACTCGTCCCAGTCCCTCCCCATTCGTTGTTTCTTTTGCACCCCATCTCATTATCATTAATGAGCTCGTTCCCCTCCATCAGTCGTTTCGTGCCATGGCTCTGCGCTTTTCTCCTGGCGGCGGGAGCACAGAAGTGTCAGCGGGTCGACCATGAGATGTGCAACGATCTGCCATACAACCTTACCAGGTCAGTCCAGTTTCTTTCATTCCCAAGTTTTGTTTTGCGTGTGTACGTGTGTAACACTTCGGGAAGGCAATGGGACCCCCATCAATTATAAGATTTACGAGCATCGCTTCGCAGCCTTCGGAGCATTCCGACCCACATCGTTTCGTTATTGTTGTCACCTGTTGCCACGTTGGCAAGAAGAGCCGTGTATAGTGTTGTCGGAAGGACGGGGACGCACGCGTTAACGGCCGAAACTGATAACGACGGTCGGTCTCCGCTCGCCTCATTCCACCCGGTCGGCAGCCATTCGAATATTGATTCGGAGTTTGAAAGAGACCGTTTCGGCCGAAACTGGCTGACGGTGATTAATCAAAAACGTGTCGGAATTCGCAACATACGGTTGGCAAGCCATGTGGCGACACGGCGCCTTTTCCTCTCCCCTCCCAACTATTATTCGGTCCTTTCGACCGTCTGTGGCACTGGCACACCAGCCGTTCGGATGCCACTGTACACTTGGCAACAATGGCGTGTTTACAAATTGATAGGTTCTCTCTAGATAAACAATGAAACGCAGTGAATATGGAGTTTCATGGTGGTCAGTATATATATATACAGATTGTAATCGGAGAGAAACGGACGAGTAGGGCAGAAGGAAACATCGTCGGAATGGAAGGGAGGTCCGCAGTGTAAGCGACTCGGCGAGCAACTGTCCCAGTACTGGCAACTGATTTATAGTGATTGTTATATGACCTGGAAAACGGAGAAAAGATCACATCAAGTTCCCAGAAATTGACTCTTGCGGCTTCAATTGATAGCGGCGATAGTCACTGAATTTACAGGATTGTGAACAGCTGAAATGGCGACCAATATTTTTTAGTCCAAAACCCAGAAACATTTGTGAAAAGTGTAGTCCGTTCAATCACTCATGTTCCGGATCCCTTTCCGACCTTTTCCAATCCATCATTCCGTTTCCGTTCGATCCCTTCCGGCGCCTCTCCCATGCCGCGATTACAGAGGCACAACCAAAGTTTTGAGGGGAACAAAGAAAGAAAATAAAAAGTTGCATACCCGTGGTTCGGTCGTCGGCTGAGCCCGTGGAGCACAGCCTGAGAGGCGAGCCGTGATATATAGACGGGCTTACTATCTGCTTGCCATATTTCACGCTGACAGCGAGAGAGTGCGGGGGAGGAAGAGACGCAGCCGCGACAGCCTCTTGCTCCTCGGAGCCATCCTTTCTTCTATCTCATATCATTTGTACTGGCTGTCCGTTTTGACGCGATCACAGAGGATTCTGATGAGGGAAATGGAGAAAACACTTCTGGAAAGGGAGCAATAGACACTTTTTTTCAGTTTTCCGAATCTGGTTGGAGAAGAGTCATTCAAGGATGCTGCCGAGTCCATTTCGACGTACAAGCCGCTGCTCTCTGTGGTGTGCTCCGAGCAGCTCAAGTTCTTCCTCTGCTCAGTCTACTTTCCAATGTGCAACGAGAAGGTGTGTTCGTCCCCACCTACAGTAATCCTTCACTCTTCTCCTTTTCCAGCTCGCTCATCCGATTGGTCCTTGCCGTCCTCTCTGTCTTTCCGTCAAAGAGAAGTGTCTTCCCGTGCTTCAGAGTTTCGGATTCTCGTGGCCAGAAGTGATCAGGTGCGACAAGTTCCCACTGGAAAACAACCGTGAGAAGATGTGCATGAAGGGCCCGAACGAGCAAGGAGCCATTCAGGACGAGAGAGGCAAGCATGCGGCCGCCGAACTCGTAAGTATAATAAGCGGAGGGATCTACCCGCCATAGATAACATCTCCGTTTTCGATGACCGTACGCGGTTACGTAATTGAATACACACCTAGCTCCAAATCAATCATCTTTTCAGGATGATGAAGAGAATGATAAGCGAAGGGAGGCCGACCGTCTGAATGGAAAATGCCCGACGGACGAAGTGTTCCTCAACAGGTCTTCCAAATGTGTTCCGTTGTGCCACAACCCACAGAAAATTGGACAGGTTTGTCATTGGCTTCTAAAATATTGAGATGAACTCGAACGACTTCTGTTTTCATATCTAGATAATTCTGAAACTACATTATGAAGAATTTAGTATTCCAAAAAGGAAGTAGAGTAGTTTTTTTGCAGACGGACCGCGAATCTTCATCCCGTTTCCTGTTGTTCCTGTCGCTCAGCTCCGTCATTCTGACGATCCTTTCCGTTTTCGTCGTCAGTCTCTCGTAAGTTGCTCCGCTTCCTGTGCTCTGTTCCAATGCAGTTCATTCACAAGCAGGTGGTACTTCAGAAGGCTCGAGATGATAAGTTCCCTTCCCGAAGCGGCCATGTTCTTCTCGTGCCTCGCATTCTGTGTCACCTCGATCATCTACATTTTCAGTGTCACATTCAAAGACCAGGTATAACAACGAATACAAATCGTGCAGAGTATCATTAATTGGATCCTCTTGCAGTTCCAAATCTCCTGCACCGACTACACCCACCATCTCCTGTTCGTCGTCGGCGGTCTCTCGCATGTTCCGTGCTCTTCGGTCGCTTCTGTCATCTACTACTCGGCCACGTGCTCCCGTCTTTGGTGGCTTCTGCTCTGCCTCTCCTGGAACAAGGCGACAAGATCTGCAAACATGCTGGTATCCCAACACAGCTGAGTGTTTTCAATATTTCCGTTTTTTCCAGGACGACTCTCGTACTCGCGTTGTAATGCTCATCTTGGGCTCTCCCCTTGCTCCGCTCATGCTCGCTCTTCTCGCCAGAGCAGTCGCTGCCGATCCGCTGACCGGCCTTTGCTTCATCGGCTCGGCGAGCCCTGGAACCGATTGGGTCTTCAATTTCTGCCGTGAGCTCGCTCTTTTCCTCGTCAGTTCGGTCGCTTTGTTCTCCGCCTGCTGCCGTCTTCTCGGTTCCGAAGATCACGAAGTGAACGGATTCGCCGGAGTCATCGCTGCAGTCTACCCGATCGCGGCTCTCTTCTACATGCTCGCTTTCATAAACGACGCCGCCCAGCCGCATCTCCAGTGGCACAAGTCGTTCAATGCGGTGTCTGCCACAAAGTACTCGTTCGACCTCATCCTCAGCTTCATCATGTGCGCATTCAGCTTCATTTACCTGCTCACAAGAGTTGCCAGATCATCGTGAGTTCCCGTTGAAATACTTCACCACCAACTCATTCCATTTTCAGATCGAAAGTGAGCAAAGAAGGCTACCAGCCAGCAGTTCCGAAGCTCCCACAGCCGGCCATTCCCGGAAGTGTCCGATCGAATACGTACGCGTCGACGTTCCGAACGAACAATATGATTTGAAACGGTTCCTGTCGGCCGGACGGAACTCTCATTTGTAGGTGGAGGAAGAAGAAGAAACGGGTTGATTAGATGGAAAAAGGTGGTCTCAACCGCTCGTATTATTTCGATGGAGTTTTTGTTTCGTATGCATCGAATGTGACTAATAATATTTTCTTTCGTATTTCAATAAACGGTTCTGTGAAACAATGTATACGAGGAATGTTCTGGAGACAGAGACATTGAAAGCATAAGTTCTGGGTCAGCCCCTTCGCAGCGGCAACTCCCAAATTCTTCAATTCTTTGCCCATTTTTGAGCCGAACCGCCTTCCTTTCTCCACACATTAGGCAATTATTTGGGTCCGTGGGCTCCTGGTGCTCACACAATGGTCGGTAATTAGAGCTCGGTAGGCAGGTAGTACAGGAAACGTTTATACCCTTCAGGCACTTACGCATTGCCGCCGGGCTCCCCTAGAGAGCTCCATTATACTACCAATTAAATGGATAGGTAAGAGTGAATATTTTTGTGCGACGAAAGAGCCGAGGAGCCGCGGATCTGCGAGCAATTAGTCTCATCAGCGGCAGCTCGGCGGACCTTAGCCCTCCCCCTCTCAACTATTTGCTTTTAATTAAACAACTGGCTCCGACCAGAGACTCTCTTTCGTCTCTATTTATCTATTCACGGTTTCGGCAGAACCCACCCAACTTCGCTAATTTGTTTCCTATTCAACGATTCTTGAAATTTTGAAAAAAAAGAGAGTGCAGGCACGGGCAGGAAACGGAGAAGGATGACTCGACGCGTTGTTTAGATCAAATTCTGACACGCGGCCAATTGGTTGAGCCGGTTACAAAAGGATACATCCCGGTCCCGTTTCGTAGTGTGACGTCGCACGTCTTCAACGGTCAGAGCGGAGAAGGAGAAAGAGTGCAGATTCGGCGAAGAGGGTCATTAGATCTTTAAGCAGCTTTCGAATATAATCTCCGCGTTTTCTAATTAATCCTGAAAATCATTCAGCTGATGGTTTCCCGGAATGCGTGACTTTCATTTGTATCTAGGCGCACTTTGCAGCTCTGATCATTTCGTTTTCCCTCCGTGTTGATCATTGTTGGTTTCTCACACATAACTGTCCCTTTCACGTATTTGTCAATGCTCACATTCGATCTGATTAATGCTGGATGAGCTCGTAAAAGTGATAACCACGAAGCAAACAAACATGCACGGACAGTCTCCGCCCACTCCGTGTCACACAGATGAGCTCGTTTCTGGCTGCAGCAACTGCGGGTCTGCTCGGGCATTCCTCTCGGATCTTTCCTACAGTCCCTCTCCCTCTCACCTTTCGTTTCGCTCGATTCCTCCGCATTCCTCACTTTCCCACACCCTTGCTCTCAATTCGGGAATGTCCTTTCCGTCTAATCAGTCCCTCGTTTCATCGGCTCACTCTCCATTCGCCAATTCATTTATCCGCTTAGCAGCAGATTGATACGCTTCCAGAATCTCACGCGGCCCCCGCCCGTCCCAGTGCTCTCTTCCCCTTCTCTTCTGCCCTCTGGATATTTCGCTCGTTTCGGCCGCGGTGAATACTCATAATTGCCGCTTGAGCCCATAATCATTAATCACGGGCACAAAAGGAAATTGCTTTATCTCTCGCCCGCACTTTTCTCTTCCGATGCACCACGCGCCGCCCGTCACAGAGTATCTCCCACGCCCTCTAATTTCAACTTTAATTCCAAAATTTCGAACTCTTGTTTGTTCGAATTCCTTCCGCCAAAAGACGAATTAGCCGATGTCATCACGAAGACTCCGTCATCATTGGAGGAATTAAATACAATTTGAAATGATTCCGAGCCCATTCATTCTGACGACGATGGCACGTTCTTTGGGCTCAGTTTTCTCAGTTCTCCTGTACTTGCCCTTTCTGGAACTGCCAACTTTCCCATTCCCTCCTGGCCGATTCCCTTTCCCCCGCTGACATACTCGTGTTTTGAGTAATTAGTGTGTGTTTAGTGGCGGGAGCAGCCGCAATGAAACAGACCTTCATCCAAAATTCAATTAAACGTTAAAGCGTAGGTAGACGGCGGCGGAGGGGCGGAGTGCCCTCCAAAAAGGAGCTGAGCCAACACCAAATCGGGCACGTCGGCCCCCGAATTCATTCAAAAACAAATTATGTGCTCAACCGGCAGCTCACCGCTCTCGGCTGGTAATTACTCTTGGAGTGAGCCGATTCCCGGGTTTACTCCCGCAAACTCTTCTGGATAATGTCTCCGGACGGACTGCGCCCTCTTGTGTGTTCCACGCTGAAACTCTCGCTGGAGCACGGCGAGAGGCGGGCCCAACGAGGACGCAGGAGAGGAGAAGAAGGAGAAAGGCAATTCTCATTGGGACCGCTAACCCAACTTGACTTTGATTACCCATTTCCGGACTCGGCACTATATAATTACTTTCGTCTTCTTGATCCGCAACCGCCTCTCTTTCGATCTCTTTACTTTGGCAGATATTTTTAGAACATGAATTATTTTTTGGAGGTCTGAAATAGTACTGTATCTTGTGACAGCTCCATAAGATACCTCCAACAGGTGTTTGTGTATTTACAGTGTTATGTGGACAATTGCAGTCAAATACAGAATTTCACTTTCGTATGAAACGGTTCGGATGCTAATTTCCGCCGCCGTCGTTGCCATCCTCTTTCACCTGCCCCTGCCCCCCCTCTCCACTATTTCCTGTGCTCATTCCCGGATATGGGGGATCGAGGCCTCGATGGGCCAACTCTCAAGCTCGTTTTTTGCTTACTTCTTACCCGTCGTCTTCTCCTATTCTTAATTAATGAAAGCCTTTTCTAACGAGTGTATGCGGAAGGCAGGGGAGTGAGCAGGATGTGCCGCGTCTTGGCCAACGTGTCGCGAGTCCCTGCCTCTCGCGAACAAGAAGTCCCCCGTGGACAACTCTGTCGGCCGTCGCTCATTAGCTCATTTCATCCACACGCTAATTTCATTAATTTTGCGCCACGGACACGCGTGTTTACCACTGCTCACCTCTTGAACGGCCGCCGCCTCGCTACAGGATTCGAGGCGGACGCGATTTACTGAAAGAGTCCACTCGTTCTTCCCGGAATCTTCCTCAATAGATTCATTAAGTGAGCAGTGGGAGAGCACGAATTGACTCTACCGTAGTCAAAGAGATTCGGAATCTCACGCAGGATTTATCAAAATGACACACCGTTTTTGTAGTGCTTAGCATGCTGTTTGACATCTATTTTTGATTGAAGCTAAAAATAAATAGAGCGTGTCTAGTGTGTGCTACAATAGTTTTTCTGCTGACTTTTTGAGTCATTCTCATGAATAGTAATTGTTCCGCGAAAGCATCCTTGACCTGTACTTTTGAGATGTGCTCGGGCTCCATCGCATCTACAGTACTCCGTCGTCGTGCTCTTCAATGCTCTTCAAGTCCCTTCTTTCCCCCCTAAGTTCGCATGGAGACACATTTCTTCGTCTCGTTTCTCCACTTCCCGTTTCGTCGTCGAATCCAGGAAAGCTCATTAGCTCATTTGTTGGGAGGCGAGCGAGAAGTGGAGTGACGGCGAGGGGAGCGCCATTTTGAATGGGTATGCAATTAGCAATCGATGCAAATTAATTAAACAAACAGCAGCCATTGGACGCCATTCTAGCCCCTGCCACACTCGTTGGAAATAACGATGTCGCCTGAAGACAGGAGCGCATATTTTTTAATTATTGAAATTATACGTTGGCTTCTTCTTCTTCTTCTCCTTCTTCGTCTTCTCCGCCGTCTTATTCTCTGCTTGTCATCATCTCGTTTCTCCCATTGAATATGAGAATGCCACGTCATATCCAAGAAGCGAGTGGCTGGAGAAGTGCATCGAGGAATCCGTGAGAAAGCGGCGATTAGCCAGAGGGACGGCCTTCCAAAACAATTAGTTGGTCATCGTGTCCTTTTTTGAGCCATCCGGAACTCCCCTGCCTTGTGATATCGCGGAGAGAGCACCTGCATACACACGAAACCAAACCGCTAATTAAGACAAATTATAGAACTGGTGAAATAGAATCGTGACCAGATTCCGTCAAATTGGATTAGTTTACTGCTGTTTCACACAGCCGGAACTCTTCTCGCGTACCTTTTCCCGTTGACATTAATCCGTGGATTTGGGAGACAAGAGGGCGATGAAACGGCCGATCTTTCGAACAAATCACTCGCCTGCTCCTCTTGCTCATTTCCGTTTTTCGACCTCTCAGTTTGACGAAACCACCTGCATCTGATTGCACGTATTCTGAGCACTCTCAAGAGTGCAACAATAACAGTTCGACGTGTGGTTCATGGCGGACAGAGCATTCAATTGTTTTTCCAGACTAAATGCTCTTTCCTGTGGCATAACTGTACGAATGACCTGCTTCGTGTTCAGAGATTCTGCTGCTCCTAGCTCTACGTCACTTGCTCTGCAGCTCTTTTAATCAGTGCACACTGTGTGCACTGCACAGTGCTTTCTGCTCCTGTTCGGACCTCTTTCTCTCTTCATTCGACTTGCTTTTCACTGTACTCAATCCGCTTCTCGGTTTCGTAATATAACAATTACACACGCGTAGACTCAATCTGCGTGCCTTTCTGCCCCAATTGCATAACCGTTGTCACTGTCCTCCGCTCGGAGCCCGCTTTCTCACTACTCCCCCACCTCAAATTGTTATTAGCCAACAACCGCTTATATCGCCTAATTCGATTTTTAATTCGATTCCGCAATTTATTAATTTTCGTCTCGCTCCGCCGTTGTCTCCGCAGTCTTGCTCTGCTTTTCCGCGAGCCCGGCCGTCGAGAAGCAAACAATCCGAAGTGCTGCTCCGAAGGAATCGCGGCGGATAACTCAATCACACTTCGCCTAATTACCGGGCAACCAAAAACTGCGCGTCGTCGTCGTGGACTCCCGTGGATCTATTTACTTTCGATTACTCCCGAACCCTTCTCTCCAAATTACTTCATTGCTTTTCTAGATGAGCCGCCTCATTTCGCTTTTCCCCTCCGA